ATCAAGCCTTGGCGAAATCGAGAAAAGCCAAGATCTTGAGCAGCTTGATCAAAGGACTAGGAAGGACGGATATATAAGATTGCCAGATTTCATATGTAGGAGTTCTTCGTAGTCAATAACAAATTGTATCTGATCTTTTGGAATTACCTTACCAGTACAATAGTAGCTTATCCCCCTGGATAAGTCAGAGTTATTATCTTGTCTTGATACTCGCTTTACCCTATACAAACCTCTGCGATATACCCCTCTTACCTTGTGTAGTAAGTTACCTATCGTTACATAGGTGTTAAGATCGAGGATCTACTGGTTGGTTCTTGGGGATGATCTGAAGAGTAACACGAAGAGGTAGGTAAGGCAGGATAATAATGATCGTAAAACAGTAGAGTGTATTATTTGATACTAACTTAGGTTGAACACAGAAGACCATAAGGGTATTCTGGGTTCTCTATATACTTGGGGTGATCATGGTTTTCATGATCGTTGGGAGTCATGATCATGGTGATCATGATCACGTGACTACCCGTGCGTCTGTGGTGTTGGGCGAGGTGGTCTCCTCTTATAGTGGCTGCTTCCTAGACCAAAGGTGGATCGTAACACTAATAAGGTGGGGAATCATAAAAATATTGAGGTAAACTCTGTTGTACATGCTACACTACGTGCATTAATAGAAAGCACCAAAAGCATCCAGCTCATAGAGCTTTAGACAGAACATAGTGAAGCTAAATCACTACATAAAGACTAAGAAAGAATCAGACAGCATAAGCAAATTCAAGATTGCCTACAGCCTACCCTATCATATACGCATAAATAAAACCTTTCCGGAGAAGAGACAGCGTCGCTACCGACCAAAAAGCGGCTGCGCGTTTATGGCGCCGAGACTGCCCTTTTGAGATACTGGCACCTGCCGTGCAGTTCCGGCTGGTGCCACTGGGTTGAGTGATCGTAGATTATTCGTATGCCAGCGTGAACCGTGCTCATCAGTAACCGGTTCCACGATGGCGGCTGGGCTCGAACGTGGATGTGCGTTGATGGTGTAGGAGTCCCCTAAAGCCTCACTCGGGATTCGTGCATGTAAGCCAGGGACTTCGGAATAGGCGCCATGGTCACCTGGATGTTTTTTTGATTGCAAGATTGGGGATTCCGACTCTCCAGCCCGCCCTGCGTGTGCTGTGGCCGAGGGAGGATTTGAGCCTATCTCGATGGTGGAGGAAGATCCATTTGGGGCATGAATGTCGACAATCCGTCTTTGGCCAGCGGGTGTCTGGAAGCTCTGGTTAGACTGCCTTGGGGTGGCAGCAATAGCAACTTGGTAATGTGTTTGCTGATGCGCTGGATGTTGCGGGTTTGCCCAAGGGGTTCTTTCAATAAACTGCTCTTCCGCAGCAGCCTCGTCGGCGGTAGCACTCCGGTGCATCGAGCGGACGTAGGGCAGGGTTTGAGTGGCCGAAGGACGTGGTGTGATCTGGGAGCGTGCGTGTCAGCTAAAAGGATGATACAAAATATATTGAAGGGACTCACTTTCATTGCTCGAAAATCATCATCTATTTCCGATGGACGTGCAGCCTTCAGTTCTGGAGCTGCAGGAAAGCCAACGTACTTGGCTACACCGGATATGATGGAGACCTCTAGATTATATGCTGTCTGCTGACGAATTTGCTCCGACCGCTTCTCTGGTAGGCGGATGGCATATTCAATATCCTCGACTCCATACTGTCTGCGGCCGCGTTGCAGCTCGTATATCCGTTGATTACAGTCCGAGAGTATGTTTTCTCGAGTATCCCGTACGGTTTGGAAGTATTGGCTGTGTAGCTGATGCCTCTCTGCAATCGTGGTCCTCTCAAGGCTTTGCTTCTTGTACTCCATCAATTGCCTTTCATAAGCAATCTTGGCCGTTCTTCGATCGTCGATACACCGAATCATGGCTAGATACTCGGGGTGTTGACAATTTGGTTGTTTAAGCAGATCCATCTCGTACTCACACTGAGCAAGCTGCTCGTCACATAGTCTAGAATGTCAATTTACACATAGTTCGTGCATGAATGTGTGGACGGTGCTTACTTTTCCCTGAAAATCTTGAACTTCCGTTCGATCTTTGCTAGCTCGTCAATTGCAGTCTTCTTCTTCGAAGCTGGAGCACAGTGGTTAGGTCGAACGTTTAAAGGTTAAAGGCAGGGGAGCTCGATCGCGTCTACTTACCTTCCTCATCCATTGCAGAGCCATCCTCCTCTTCCTGTTCGGCGTCTCCTTGGAGCTCCTGGGAATCGAGATTGCTCGTGACATCAACGCCCCCACCGATATCGTCATTCTTTCTCTTGCCTCTCCTACCGCCTTTACGAGGTTTAGAGAGCTTTGCAACTGTGGTCAATTCTCCAACAGCCTCTGTTGCCACATCTGCCTGTCTTGCCTCGAGCTCCATTTCCTTTTCGGCAAGCTGCAATATTCTTTCCCCAGCAGTCTCGATCTCCTCTTCGATATCAACTGGAGCGGAACTGGAAGCTACGCCCTCGCGGTCGCCGCTATGGGCAAGATCTGCCTCGACACTTGTCCGCTTTCTGGCACGCTTTTCGGTTGCTGTTTCGTCAGCAGAGCTTGTTTCTGCACTTGAACGCTTCCGTTTCTTCCCAGCCAATTCCAGGCTTGCTGCTTCTGACGCCGCCACGAATGATAGCGACCGGAGCGCTGCATTCCCGTCTGTCGGAACGTCAATCACATCAACCTCATCGATGACCGAAGACGTCGGCGAAGGTGGCACGGAGCTGTCCTGGAGCACGGTCTTCGTATGCGATAACTTGCTTGGTGTTCGTTCATACATCTGCTCCGAATTAAGTGATGCATTCGTCGCGGTGCGGGTTAACTTCCGGGGTGTCTGTTCCAAACGTTCAGTTTCCGCTTCGGAATCATTGTCAATCAAATCTATAGCCCCGACAGCACGAGGAGTAGGCTCTGAATGCTCATCAGATGCATCGCCCAACTCGCTCAAGCTACTGGATCTGTTATCCTGCAAGTCATCGATACTGTCCCTTCCAACCAGTGAGTTAACAGACACGCTGTTCAGTGTTGGTTCATCTGATACTGGCAAGAAAGGCGATGTTGGTGCAACAGCTCCATCTGGCTCTTTGGAGCTGGAAATTTGTAGAGAATCCTTCGCGGTGAGGGGTGGGGTTGACGTTCTCGAGGAGGGATTTGATAAGTCGGTACTGGGAATCTGAGCATCGTCTTATAGGAAACAAAACAATAGGTCAGCCTTGACATGTCATACTGTTGCATGGAAGAAGCGTGGATCCCTCGAATCTGGATTTGCCAGCACAGTCGTTGCGTCGCGGGTTAGACTGCGATATAGAAGATGGTACTATAGAGGCAGAGCATGACGCTCATGGAAAACATAGAATGAACTCTTGTATTACACATACCGTTGGTCACCACGACGTCCCGTTCGGCGCCTAGGACGGGATTTGAACTGCTTCTCTTGCCTCGCTGGAGCGCGCTCATTGTGCGCTCAAGCGGCGGAAAGGGTAACCGCCAGAGATCTTTGTCGCGAATCCAGGCCCAAGGTATCGCACGCCGCACGTGAAGCTGCTGGATTAAGCTTGTGGTTATAAAAGATCGTGGTCGCTGAATGCGAAGTGCGGGAAAGGAAGGTATATCGGGGGCGCTCGTGTTCCTTTAGACGTATCGGTGAAGGGCAGTGAAAACCTAAACGATGTGCAACGAAGCAATAATTCACGTCTTAGTAGGTATGGTGAGGAGGAGAGACGCAGTACTGTGTCGCAGAGTGAACCAAATGAAGAGTCGCGGAACTGCCCGTGTTCGGCGTGCCAAGTGCGTGCTCATTGGGAACAGGTCATTTGGGCCGAGCACTCCGGGCTAGCCAAAAGAAGGTATGACTGCACTACGGCGCCATGTTTCTCCGGCCAACCTGCTCCACCAAAACTTTTTACGGATAATCCGCCCATACACCCTTCGTCAAAACATTGCAATGGCGAAGTCGGCTTCCAATCGAGCCACCGCAGCTGGATCGCGACAGCAACATGCAGGAACCTTCGTGAAGCTCGACAAACGCGCACTTGACCCGAATATTTCATCCCTGTTCGCGAAATCTGTAAGTATTACCACCCATCAAACACGCAACATTTCATCATGAGGTCCGTATCTAACATTTGACAAAGCTTGGTCCAGTCAAGGCTCCTTCAAAGGCACGCTATCGGGACTTGATCGAGAGTCGACCTGTTGCGAACACGAGCGAAGGAAGTGAAGATGAAGGCCAGCGCAAAGAAGTCAATGAAGACACTACATCCGTGTCCGATGATATATCATCCGATATAGAGGTCGAAAAGCAATCCGTTTCGAACGAGCTCGAATTACCTGAACCTGGCGAAAACGTTCCACATTCTCAAGACCACGCTTCTGCGGGTGACATCGGACCATCAGAAGCTCGAGAGTACATCACCAATAGTGATGAACAACATTTAGGCAAAAAGCGTAAGCGCACCAAGGAGACAGATGTAGAGGACAACTATATGCAGAAGCTTGCTCGCGAGGAGGCTAGAGAAGAGGAGGAGAGAGGCAAGAAGCGAAGAACCGTAGTTGGTACAGATACGGACTCTGCTACTGCGTCAGGATCGGATGACGACAATTACACAATTCCAAAGCATGAGACGCAGACCGGGTCCGCAGATATGGACGAAGTGGATAAGGCTAGCCGCACAGTTTTCCTCGGTAACGTCTCCAGCACCGCAATAACATCCAAAACTGCAAAGAAGACTTTGACAAGACATCTCGGATCCTTCCTTGAAGACCTTGCCGATCACAAACCTCCGCACAAAATCGAGTCTTTGCGCTTCCGCTCTACCGCTTTTGCTAGTGCTTTACCAAAGAAGGCCGCATTTGTCAACAAGGAGATTCTAGATGCGACCACCAAGAGTACGAATGCGTATGTCGTATATTCCACAAAGATTGCGGCTAGGGAAGCAGCAAAGCGTCTAAACGGAACAATGGTATTAAACAGACATCTTCGGGTAGACTCTGTGGCACACCCGGCCAAGGTGGATCACCGTCGTTGCGTCTTCATTGGTAATTTAGGCTTCGTTGACGACGAGAGTACGATTAATGCCAGTGAAGAGGACAAAAAGAAGACCAAACCTCCCGCAGACACGGAAGAAGGCCTTTGGGTCCAATTCAGTAAAGCTGGTAAAGTGGAGAGCGTCCGTGTAGTCCGCGATTCCAAGACCCGAGTCAGCAAGGGCTTTGCTTATGTCCAATTCGAAGACGAGAACTCGGTCGAGGCAGCTTTGCAGTACAATGATCAGAAGTACCCTCCTATGCTTCCGCGTAAGCTTCGAGTGGTGCGTGCCAAAGCTCCTAAGAAGAAGTCAACCTCATCGGTGAGGAAGCCCCAGCCAGGCAAGCCATCTGGGGTTTACAGCGCCAAAGTGTCGGAAAAGCAGAAGACGGACCATGGCCGTGCTCGCGCCATGCTTGGTAAAGCAGCTGCTTTCAAGAAGGCTGAAGACTTTGTTTTTGAAGGCCACCGAGCCAGTAGGAAAGATGGGGCGGGTGGGCCCAAAACGGGGCCCAAAAAGAGGACAGGCAAACCCCAATCTAGAAGCAGCAAGCGTGGCGCGGCGTGGAAAGATGGTGCTGGAAGAACAAAGCAGTGATGGAGGACACGGGTTGTTGGAGACTTGTAGTTTTTATAAGTAGGTCAAGGGACTGTCTTCCTTGGGGCATACTCATGACACAGTAACGCTTTGCTCATATATCGGACACTATAGCCTGTGCAGTGACCGTCGAGACATACCTCTGCACTCCACGCGACAAGGTTTCATGTAGTTATCATCTCAAGAATCAAAGATCATCACGAGTCACGCATTCACCGCCACCACAACCTATTCATTGCTCAGTTAACAGGATGAGTGGTTTCCGACCCAATGCCCACAGCCACTGTATCTTTGTTCACTGCGAAGACCCTTTGGTGCGCTTCTGATGTATTATTTTTGTTGTACAGTGCAGATTGATACGCACGATGGATGCTGATGTCTTAGTTCGAATAGGGCAATGGGGTGTCGAGACATGAGTGGGCGCGTATCTTTAACTTGTTCGCTCATTTCATTGTATGGGGCCATCGCCTATTGTCCAACCAAGCTTTGGTCACCACGCCCTGTCTGTACTCTGCCGTAGTCAATGCAGACTTTGCCAAAGGACAACAACCCAAGCAAGTGCAATTCGTCTCACAGCCCATTTGAGATATCAAGATCGCACCGTAGAGCTCCCAAGAAACGGGTAGTACCTAGATGATAGTATACCATGAGTTCCAACATTCGGCCCTTACCGTAAGGACTTGGTCAGAGAACACCCAAAGGTACGAAACACTTGTTCTATTTTTCGATCGCGTAAGATGAACTTCATAGTTAGGTCAGGGTTGTAATCCAAGGTATCAGAATATGCTTTACTGCTCTCCATGATCCCAACGCAGGATTTGTAAGGTAGAAATCTCTGGAGGTTACTACGGAACAAAATGTAGTGACCCGGAACGCGTATAAGAGATAGAGAATGAAATAAAGTTATAGGCGTCATAAATCTTTGCTGGGAATAGGTACATCGACAGTCCAGGATGAATGTCCATGTCGTTAGAGCATTATAAACACCCTACTGTGTTTGTGGTTATTTATTAGCGATACCGAACTGGTGCTGCACCTCCAAATACGGTAGTGTTTCAACTGAGCCTAGTGGCACAACAGCTGGGGTGTATGTAGTGATGCTGGCCTCGAAAAGATGTAACGTTGATTGATTAATTCGACGAAGAAGCGATGCCACGACGCTGCGAGTGTGGCAGAGGACCAGGCTGTAAAGTTGAGCGAGTGAAGAATGAAAGATCTGATTTCGTATGTACGGAGGTAGTCCGTAAACACATACAGTATAGAGGCAGCAGAGGAAAGTGGTCAGCAGTATCTGATGATAACTTGTGGTAGGGTAGTGAAAATCCAACACAAGGTAACTGATTAGCGGAAATAAACCCGCTCTGTTGGCCAAGAGTGCGAGTATCTACAACTTCGTCCTCGCCCTGTCTACACACATAAACTTGTATCTAGGCATGAGATCTGTGTATAGTCTACCGGTATGTTCAAGCAGGAGACTCGCGATAGTCGGCTTAGCCATTTGAAGATGTCACTGATGCCACGTTGGGCGGCAGAAGAGCTGGAGGAGACCCATGCATCCTTTTCCATCTATCACCTTGGAAGTTTATCAATTACTCTGCAGACGGTCACTAATACCAGAACACCATAGTTCTATGCTGTGTGAAGAGCATACTCGTACTATTTCTCAGAGTATAACATAGCCCAAGCGCTGACGTCGTCTGGCGGCGGCTGAAACGCCAATCGTGTTGGGACGCTATAGACATCCACCATGGGGAGAATTACCTGCTCCCACGCCTAGCGGCTAGTCTAGCATGTCAGCCGTGGGAAGGGGAATTAGATATCTACGCCTACGAAGGTAGAGACAGCAGCTCGTCGTGGGCGCCGGGCGGCCGATGGGGGAGAAGGATAGGTAGACTGTTTCGATGTGTAATACCCCGTAGGATGGTGATGCTTGTATTACTCCGTAACTACCTAGTTACATACCTACATGCTGATTACATACACAGTACATTTGTACACGCCTGATCGTGCAAACAACATGGGGAGATGATATTTGATAACCAGGCCAGGCGAAAGCAAATGTACTCCAGAGTCCGTACATAGTACGACGACTACGAAAGAGACGCTACGAAGGACAAGCTACAGAGCATATAGTCACACTGCACTCACCGTAGGTACGAGGTAAGTAGAAGAAGTATTGGAGGTGACTACATACACAGTAGTAGCAGGGCAGATACCTACTCCATACTGTGTAGTTACCCATCACCGGGCCCGGTTTAGGGGTAAGATTATCCATTATCTTGTGCAGCAAATCATGGAGGAGTATCTTTGGCAATTAAACCACGTAGGCTGAACGAACTTCAGGCGTGAACCAATGGAACGTCGATATTGAAGAGAAAGTGGCAGGTTTTGGTCACAGTCACATTAACGATTGGGCACGCGCTGGAAATTCCACCTGGCGAGCGCGGGACGGTGTGGCACTGTAGTCTGTGGCACTACAAGTTCTTGGTCCCTTGTTAATATTTGGTAGTATGTAATGTATTGTATTCCTACAAGGTACGGAGTACCTACTGATTACCTAGGGGTGTCTATCTAGGTGTTTAGGTACTGTCACTGTACTGTATGGAGTACGCACTACTCACTCAACGACTACTGTACACAATATTATACTACAATATAGGTACTCCATACTCTGTACTAACCGACTATGATGTTGTTTTTGGTCTGCTACGGTGTAGGTATGGGGACACTATAGTGTACCTACGTTACTGGAAATGATGGATTGATGACTTCAGTGTCCAGCGTCCAGTCTCCGCCATAATAAACCCTGCTCAGATTCCTCGGATTGACCGATTAGTGTGGCCATAAAAGGCTTAGCGTTTTCCTACAGAAGCAGACTAACAAAAAAAGCAATAATTAATGCACCTCCAAGGCTCGTAGGTAGAACTTTGGGCAGATCAGACAGACCAGGCAATGTCCTGCCAGTGTCCTGCAACTTACTGTTTGAAAAGAGATGACTTTCGGAGAGAGAGCTAGCGAGAACGGAGAATATGGAGTACATAAGTATGGAGTAGGTAGTTACGAGGTACTGTTAGAAAACAGCGAACAGAGAGAATTCGACGTACCTAGGTAGGTAGAAACGAGAAACGAGAAACGAGAGAGCGTGTGGAAGGGACCGGGGTCCCTCCGAACCCGTGCCACTCCTCGCCTTCCCGTGTATGTGCGTGGATCCGGGATGATTGATTGATTGGATTCGTCAGTATCTACGCCTTCCCCCTCCTTCGTTCGCTCCTCCCCTTCGCTTCGTTCGCTCCTTCCCCCTCCCACTCCCCTCCTCCTTCACTTTCCCTCGTCCGTTCCTTTCCCAGGTCGCCCCCAACTTCACCCAATAAAAGTTCTCTCCCACCCCCCGATCATCCCAAAACAATCCATCCATTCACCTTTCATCGTCTATCCTATCAATCCTATCAATCCCATCAATCCTACTCTCTATCCGTCAATCAAATCAAACTTCCATCATAATTCATTAAAAATCCCTACGAGGTACCCTATCGTATCCTTCCATTTGCTTACCTTTGCTTTGCTTTCCTTTCCACAGCCGGAGAGACTCACGACTCTCACGACTCAATCAAGCACGAGCACAACAAGCACGAGCATAGGCACACGCAAGCCATAGCGATAGCGATAGCCATAGCCATACCGTACTGTGTACTGTGTAGCCATCGGCCCATCGCCAGCTGCCATACCGTGTGGTTTAGTTAGCCCAACACCGGGGCGACTACACTCGTGGTTTGTTTGGCTCTTCCAACCTCTCTTTCCCCCTCTCAACTCTCCCGCCTCTCTCAACCTACCTCTCAATCAATTCCCCGTCACTCCTCACCAACTTACTCGTACATCAACCTACCTCTCGTTCGGTTGGTTGGATAGTTGGTTACTTGCTTCCTTTGCTAAGTAACCTTCCTACCTGCCCATCTACCTACTCATAGGACGAGCTACCCACGAGTGCAATACCCATACCCATACACTCTACTCCGTACCTCTCTACCGTACGAGGTACTTGTCCGAGTTCAGCCCTCTCCATCCTCTTCGACCTTTGAACGCGTTGAATCTCCCAACCAGACACAACATCAACAACATCAACATCAACATCATCATCATCACCGTCACCATTACCATCACAACCACCATTACCATCCCAATACGACACAGCACCATTACTCACTCATCAAGCGCATTGAAAATCTCGTGACTGTCAGCCCCTGCGGTCCATCTGCACTCGGTAAGTCCTCGTCGGGATTTCCGTTTCTCAATCCACTACTGGCGCCCACCCACGTATTCATATTTTTTCATTTGGTACGGAGCATTCATTATTCATTCATCATTTGTCCTTTCCTTCCTGCATGCTTGCCAGCCCGCCAAACATCCCTCCTTCTTCTGCGAACTCTACCTACCTGGGCACCTAGGTACTAAGGTAGTAATTATCGGACATCCCTTCACGCTTTGTCCTGTTTGGGTCGATCCGACGCCGCTGCTTACTCGCCGCGCGCGCGCGCACCCACGCCCAAGCACACACACACAGTCCTCTCACACACTCTCTCTGTCCCCATCACACACATATACAAAACATATACGCACTTACACGCGACCGCGACCGCGCCCCCGCGTGCAAGCTTTCTTCTCACCACGATTCCCACAGCCCTCCCTGTCCGTCTCGCCTGTTCTACTCATTCTACTCGTCGCACCACCTGGGCAATTCACTCTCATTCCCATCTTTTTTGTTTCCATACTCCGTACTCCGTACACCGTCCTACCTACACTTCATTTCCATTGCGATCGTGATCGTACACTGAGGTAATGAACGGACACACTCGGCTTACTCCAAATCCCTAGTAGTATCCGTCTATCTTGACCATTTCTACGCGTAGTCCTCCAAAGTCAGCTGCGCGTTGGATCAATATATACCCTGTCTGTCTGCAACCCTCGCTGTGAACCTACTTCATAGCCGCGCAGACTCACTTCCCACCTCCTGCCAGAGAATCACCTCCCGTATCGGTTCCAGACAAGTCCGCCAGCGTCACCCTGCGCCCAGACGACCACCTGAGCGCGCGCAATTGCGACGTGGATACCCTGCCGCTGATTACAGTTGGTAAGTCTGTCCACAGCTTGCATAGAGCTGCATTGCCAACGCATCACCTCCAATCGCCCGCCCGCCCGCCCGCCAACACAATGCCCGCACCCGTCCCCTCCGCCAATTGCCCCATTGCGCACTTTTCTTATGAAATGCTAATCCAACATTGCTGCCTGTAGAATACGCATCGTCGACCACCCTTTCCTACTGGCGAACTGCTACTACTACTACCACTACCATCTGCGACGTTCCCCACACACGGAGCGGCCCTCTCCTCGAATCGCAAATCCTTTTCTGAGGAGCCGCTATACCCTCAATCTACCAACGCGCGCCCGCACCGCCTCATCCGTCGCGTGTTCCATCGGCCAATCGCACCCGTTGCGCCTCAGACCTACGTATCGCACCGAGCCTCTTGCTTGTGCGCGTCCCCAGAGATCCGACTCTTAAGCGTGGCCATTGACAACGCATCAAGCATCTGGCCTGTCGTGACGTGACCCCGACCATCACCCACCACCCATCCATACACACCCATCACATCCTGTTCAGAGAGCCTCGCTGTCCCAGCAGCTGTCGCCAGACCAGCAAACGGACAACAACACTGTCAAAGAAGCTTCATCACTTCCCCTCCCCGAGGAACGCCTACAGTTGTCGACTCAGTTCCCGGAGTCCACGCGATTCTCTAATCTCAGGTAAGCCTCCAATTGCCTTCGTCATCTCGACCCTTGTTGCCTATTGGCTATATGCTAATTGCCCTGCCTATTGCTCTAGGTTACGACCCTTCACGAGTCGATCCGTACCGAGGGCTCGGCCTCTGTCCGATTGTGGCGCACCGTCCAGGAAAACTATCAAAAAGGTTGCGCCGCCTCGCGACCGCGTACTTCTTTGAACTCACCACCTGAACCATACATCGACTTTCGAGCCGAATTCGCAGGTCATCATGACTGATTACGCGCAATATCAACAACCCCATCACGCGCACGCGTCCGCGCATATGCAGAATTATGGCGCGCAAAACCCAGGAGCCGCGAACCCATCCATAACATCGCCCACCCAGCAACAGATGCACTCCTATCCACAAACCTCGCCAATCCTACCGTCACAGGGAAACCCATACTCTCAAGGCGGAGCGAGCGCCCAGCACCATCAGCAGATGAATTATCCCCAGACTGGCTACATCCCCCCGGGAATGCACCAACAATATGGAATGTCACCCACGCAAGCGGCAGCTATGGCCACGGCAGCAGCCGCCGGTCCAGCCGGCTACTACGACCAAAACTCTTTGCAGGGCCAGCTTGATCCTCGAGCGTCTCCACGAATGTCGGCCGGCGCCATCAAAACTGATGGACGCGTTGCACCTCGTTCCCCTACCGCGGTCTCAAACCCCATGAGTGCCGGTGGACTTGCCTCACAAGTTCAGATGACCCCTGGGCAACAGCAACAACTTGCACAGCAGCGCCGCATGAGCACACAAGTGGGAAGCCCAATGCAGCAGCCGCAGCCCGTGATGAGCCACGGCGGTGCAAGGCCATCTGTTGCTCCTCAGATGCCACAACCTCCCCAGCCACACCAATCCTCGCCAGAAGCCATAGGTGGCGCACCTGCCGAAGAAGCTCCACTCTATGTCAATGCTAAACAGTTCCACCGAATTCTGAAAAGAAGATTGGCCCGGCAGAAGCTTGAGGATGCCCTCCGGCTGACTTCGAAAGGTCGGAAGCCTTATCTCCATGAATCAAGACATAATCATGCGATGAGGCGCCCACGTGGTCCCGGTGGCAGGTTTTTGACCGCAGATGAGGTCGCCGCAATGGAGGCCAATAGCAAACCCGGTGGCGAGGGAGAGGACGGCAACGATAAGGAAAACACTGATGCCCCGGCCAAATCGGCCGCCGCCCAGCCCAACTCAGCAAAGCGAAAGGCGTCGACAACACAGCTCAAGGGAACTTCGTCCACGAAGAAGCCTAAGACTGGTGGAGCAGTCCAGCGGCCCAGTACAAGCGAGGAAGAGGAAGAAGACGACGAGGATGACGCAGACGATGATGGTTGAACTCGCTGTCCGTGAAGATGAACTCCTCATTCTTATTACTTGTTTAATCCCGCCATATCATTCTCCTCTTCTACCACTGAGTTATTTCACGATTTACGAAGCGACTGTTACTTGGGCTCGTCTGCATGTTGAAACCACTGCTGTCTTGCCTTGCACCCAGATCCTTTCCTAACTACAAATTGATATCGAACTACGTTGATATTCTGGCGATGGGCTAGGTCGGGCCGACATGGTGCCATATACGGTTAAGGGATGGACGGTTCATGGGGCGACAGCCACCCAATTGGTTGGAGTTTCGATGGTCACTGGTGGATTGGGTAAAGAGGCGCCTTGCGTCTCGTCTCCTTCCTGCCTGTGATCCTGGCTAGCTTGTTTGTTTCTCTTTATTCCTCAATCTTCCTGTATACCCCACATTCGCTACCCTGTAGTCCTTTTCAACTTTCCTTCCCGGGCTAGGGCACTCTTCGCCGGTGGATGGGCAAGGAGCATATTAGAAAGGGCCATCCTTCATCGGAACAGAAAAATGGAACTCAATTTTTGTCACCATCCCTTCAATTTCTCCACTAGTCACTCATTGCTCGCTTCACATAAGTGTTATGTTTGACATCGGCTTTTCGTGACAGAACGGGCGGCAGACTCTACATGTCATGGCTCATGCATGGTGCTCGTGGGTATTTGTTCTAGTATGTGAAACGAAATCCCTCCGTGCCTTCAATCATCTTCTTGCCTTGCTTCTGTAACTGATTGGCAGCATAGAAATGCAGTGAGAACGCGGCGACACAGGCTACGATCAAAATGTGCGAGCCAATGCTTATCCAAACAGCCGTTAGATACTTGGGCGCTTCCTGCCTCCTCACGATGAAGCTGCCGGCAATGCCTCCGGCTCCATTACATGCAGTCACTGCGGCAGCAACAAAGACCCTCTTCCACTGGCCAACGATGTTGTTGGCTTGATAGGTTGCCAACGCTGCCCAGTTGGCGACGTAGGCGCCCGTAGCCAGGAAAGTACCGATGTATCGGACGCTGACTTGATCGGCGAACCCGAGCATGCAGAAGCCGACGATGAGGGTGGCGCAATTGAAAACGATGATGGGACCGCGCAACTGGAGATGGTCGCCAATCAACGAGGATAGGATAGCAGGCACGACGGCGTAGTAGTACGGCGGCGTGGAGAGAAGGATGGACTTATCGGGCGAGAAGCGCATACCCCCTTGGAGGATGATGGGGAGGAAATAAGACAGACTGGTTGAGACGAGATTTTGAAGGAAGTACATTGTGCAGAAACCGTAGACCTTGGGATCTTTGGCGTGCCGCAGGATCGCGGGCCAACTGAAAGACGATGGTTCGACATCGCCACGATCCTTTTCGATCCGCGTGGCTGCCATCCTGCTCTCCTCGGGGGACAGGAACAGGAAGCTCTCGTGGGCATTCTCGGGGAAGTCCACCATCCACCAATACGTGATTATGCCAATGAAGGCGGCGACGCCGCCTTGGACTACGAACATCCATTGCCACCCTCGCAGGCCGTTGTAGCCATCGAGCTGGTTGAGACCAAAGTTGACAATGCCCCCAGTCGCGAGGACTATGACCTCCCCACTCTGTAGCAGGGCGAATCGAAGTTGCTGCTCCTTGCGGGTGTACCACGTGGAGATAAGATAAGTCAGGCCTGGATATACGCCTGCCATGGAGATGCCGAGAAGGATGCGGAGGGCGATCATCTGTCTCCACGTCCGCACGAAGGCAGTGCAGAGCGTGATGATGCCAAATGAGATGGTGATGGCCGAGAACCAGATGCGCGGTCCAAAGGTACGAACGGCCACGGTCGATGGCAGTTGGAACGCGATGGACGCGATTGTGAATATGAAGATGGCGACGGAGTATCGATTGCCTTGATCTAGGCCCAGGTCCGACAACATGGAGGTGACGGATGCACTGGAGATGACGCCGCTATCTAAAAGATTTAGCGAACAGAGAATCCCCGCAATGCTGCAAAGTCGCAAGTCGACCTTCAGGCGGATTCGACGCTCCAATGCCACTTTAACATCGTTGTGATCGCCATTGTCGCCGCGCTCGCCTAGAATATCCTGAACATCCTCAAGGACCTCTTCCGGTCGTACGAAGGACGGCGCCTTCGTCATTTCTCTCGTGAGGCTTCACAGAAAGGAAGGACTCGGGAAAGATCAGGAAGTTTAGGGTTCGGAAGGAGGGAAGTGGGGTCAAGGGCAGATATGTGTGGGAGAGAGAGAAGAAGGGTGAAAGGTCATCGAAGTATCAAATGGGTATTGACCTCTGGGGGCTATCTTTTTATCTATTCTCCGTGCCTGGGTGCGGGTATATTCCAAGTATCGGTTGGTTTTAAAGGCATCTTTCAAGTCGAGTTACCAATCACTTGTGATTACCGCTCCACTCACTAGACGCTCCATCGATTAATAAACTAATAATAGCAGTGGAGTGTGCCACAACTCTACAGGGAACCGGAACTAACCACGAGCATATGTGCTTCCTCGGATTTCTCTATGATATAAACGCATTACAGTACTCCTCGTATTATCATTTCATGGCCAGCTGGTGCTTTCGTCTTTACTTTCTTCTTCTTCCCTTGCCGAGGTACAGATGCGGGTCCGGTTAGCGAGTCCAGAATATGACTAATTGAAGAGACGAGGGCAAGGGAGGAGGGGATGGGAGGGGAGGAAGGATTGATGATGATTATAATGGCGACAACGATGGTGACGGTGATGGTCACAATAACGATTATGTAGTGTGGGTGGACACTGGAAGCTGACCACGTAATACCTAAGTACCTTTAACTAGGTAACTAGAGATGCTGCTTATTAATAGTTATGGTTTTCCCATAAGCATACAAGCTACATATGAAAGATCATCAGGTATATCCGTGCCTGTTATTGTTGTAATACAAGTCAGGTAAACTGAAGCTGTCTATACGGTTTGAGTGGGATTCCGAGATGATCAGTAGTAATAGTAGTAGTAGTAATAGTAGTGGTAGCAATCCAGGGGAAGAGATACCTACCCAGGCAGATATTAGCATCTATGCCTTGAAATAAAAGGCGGTAACTACCTCCTTGGTGAACTTTTGACAACAAGAAAGAAGATGATAGATTGGAAGAGGGCGGATTTTTCCTTTCTGTTCTTACTGGGCCATCATCCAATATATCCAATATATCCAATATATATATGTGAGAACCTCAGCCGATGTACGGAGTACCTATTATGTTAATACATACCAAAGTACCTACGGAGTACACACAATCACATTTCATATAGTAGAAGTAAACACATACTTGTACCTCAAGTTAGAAGGCAATGCTTTTCTATAATTGGTGATAAAAGATATTACTTAGGTAGGTAAATAGGTAAATAGGTAGTAGATACCAGGTATGTACTCATCCGCATGCGCTGACTGTCCTTGGCTAACTAGGTACCTAGTAATCATGGACCCGTACCTGGTTACCTCTAGACTCTACCAAGAGAGAAGAGCAGCTGCACTAATTACCACCAACCACACCAACCACCACCATCATCACCATCTCCTACTCCTACTCCTACTCCTACTCCTTCCACCACCTCTCATCTCCAACCCTCCAACAATTCCATCATTACCATTCCTATTCAAATCCACCCTCAACTCAAGATCCTTCTCCCTTCCTAATCAAACCGTACGTGTAACGTCGGCTCACACCTACACACCCACCCTTCTCCGCCCCCCCAATCCCCCTGCCCATCCCCCTACCTAAACCCCCCCCGTCCTTTCTGAGAACGTGCCATTGCTCTCTTAACCCAAGCAACCCCAAGCTCATGCACATCACCGCACGTCACCGTCACAGATACCCTCTCTCGTAACACCCACCCACCACCATCCATCATCTCAATTATCTTCTACAAACCCAAATCTCTCCCGCGACCGAAAGGTGCGCCGCACCATCCACAGCCGCCATGGTCTTCCTCGGCATACATCGCGCCCTATACGACTATGTCCCCCAGAGCGAAAACGAGATCGCCCTCGCAGAAGGCGACCTCCTGATGGTTCTGGAGAAATCCACGGAAGACGACTGGTGGAAAGCCAAGAAGAAGGGCGCCGAAGATGATGATGAGGAGCCCGAAGGCCTGATCCCAAATAACTACGTAGAAGAGGTGAGTCTGGACGCACCGCACCCTCAAAGACCCTTTTCTTCCCGTATACCATCCCGCTCTACCAATTGCTTCCATCGGCAGTTGGCCCATGTCTGCACCAGCTCTTATAGCAAACTACCTCATCCGAACAATGCTAATGCCATCCGCCTCAGGCCCAACCGATAGCGCGAGCAAAAGCTCTCTACGATTACACACGACAGACGGATGAAGAGCTCTCATTCAAAGAGGATGCCGTCCTCGATGTTTACGATGCTTCGGATCCTGACTGGACACTCATCGGAGTCGATGGTGATTATGGATTCGCGCCGGCGAACTACATTGAGATCAAGGAAGGAAGCAGGGTCGCACCAGCACCGGCTACAGTAACATCTCCCACCCTACCTCCTCGTTCAGCAGCGGCTTCCGCGGGTGCAGCTCCCGATTCAGATGACGAACAGCAGCCTCCCACCCCCGACAGTCCCGCCCACCAAAGTCCGGCCGCTGCACTTGCTGGCATCATTCAGAAGAAGTCGGAGCAGACGTCCGCCCCACGATCCGTCATCTCACCCCCGCCTAATGTCACTGCTGCTCCTCGTCGTCGCGTGAAGTTTACCGAGGAGGAATCGGACGAGGAGCAGGTACCACCCCCTCGGTTGCCACAAAGACCGGCTTCGCAGCAATTCTCGCCTCCTCCAACACAATATGCCACTCCTCGCTTCCCAGATTCGCCTCCTGTTGCGTCGCCGCCGGCTCGGAGCGTGACATTCGACCAGTATGACCCGCGTGACGACCGAGACCAGCCAAACACTCCTCTTTCTGCCTCCGGATATCACCTTTACAACATCTACGAATATATTACTCAGCCAGGTAAGAACAAGAAGATGCCCATCACTCTGGGCATCAACATCCCGAAAGGAGTCATTATGCTCGCACCCGAGAAATCAAGAGACGGACACCAACAGGAGTGGACTGCGGACAACCTTGAGCTCTACTCTCAAGAAGGAAAGCACGTGTTCTTAGAGCTGAAAAGGCCAAGCAAGAGCGTAGACCTCCACTGCGGGGCAAAGGATACTGCTTCAGAGATCATATCTTTTCTGGGTGAACTGTCTGGGGCAGCTAAGGCATCGGGTCTGCGGGAAGTCCTCGCTGCCGGATCGGGTCATTCGAATGTACAGAAGAAAGGGGCAATGCTATTCGATTTCATGGCCCAGGGCGATGATGAGGTTACAGTCGCGCAGGGAGACGAAGTACTCATCATTGACGACTCGGCCAGCGCGGACTGGTGGCAAGTGCGGAGACTGAAGAATGGAAAGGAGGGCGTGGTTCCATCTAAATTCGTCGAGATAACAGGTTCCGTTCCGATATCCGCCGCATCTTCGGCTCGATCTGGAGTGAATGCCGGTCGCTCCACGACCGATCAAAATAGATTAGAGGAGGAGGAGCTCGCCCGGCAGGCTTCGAAAGCAAAGCGACGGAGCGAGGGTGATGCTCGGGCTGATCAGGTAGGGCCTGGCCTGCACTTGCCTGCGCGTCATTCTAGTCTTATGCAGTCAAATGTTGACCATCGTCGTACTTCACAGAGAGGCAAACGCGATAGCACTGCGAAAGATCCCAAATCTTCCAAACCCAGTCAGTATCTCCTGAAAAAACCCACAATCGTACAGATTATAGAGACTTGATTGCTAATGCCTCGTGTATAGACCCTGCTAAGCTACGCGTTTGGACAGATCGATCTAAATCATTCACTGTCAACGCCGAATTCCTGACGATCAAGGATGGAAAGATTCATCTCCACAAAGAAAACGGCGTCCGAATTGCTGTGCCCGTCCCTAAGATGTCCGCTGATGATCTAGAATACGTCGAAAGAGTGACGGGTATCTCGTTGGAGGACGACAAGCCACTCTCGGACATCAAACGAAGAAGCACGCAACGCGCGAACGAGCTGAAAGGCTCTTCATCTGGACTTTCCGTCGAGAAGAAACCAAAAAACGACTTCTGGTTCAATTTCTTCCTCGAGAGTGGGGTAAACCCTCAGATATGCGAGCGATATGCACAGGCGTTTGATCGTGACGAGATGGGGGAGGAAAACTTGCCCGATATAACTGACGGTCTTCTTCGTACCCTCGGCCTCAAGGAGGGCGATATTCTCCGTGTTATGAAACATTTGGACAATAAATTTGGTCGCGACAAGCGGGGTGACGGTGACGACGGTAGCAAAGGTCCTCTATTCACTGGACCAGGTGGTAGCCTAAAGAACAACACGCGTAAAGGACGGCCAGCACCTCCTGTCCAGACAAACGACGTCGTCGATGCGAAGGCTCTTGAACAGAAGACAGACGACAGCCCTAAAAGGCCCGCTGAAGCGTCGCCTACTCCCCTCGCATCCGTTCCAACCCCTGCCTCAGATAAGAAGGTTGAGGGTTTCGATGATAACGCCTGGGACGTCAAGCCTTCCCGACAGCCGTCGGCCTCCCTACCGACAACGACGAACTCTAACCCACAAACATCGACACAGGCCCCAGCTCCTGTTCCCGCTCCCGCTCCCGCTCCTGCCCCTGCCCCTGCCCCTACGCCCTCAGTCCCGGCACTTACTGGCTCTTTGGGAGAGCTATCTCTACTAATGCCAGCTATTAAGCCTGAGATTCAAGCACAACCAGTACCCGCTGCCCAGGCACCTGTCACAACACAAGCTACGCAGCAAGCGCAGCTAGCTGGCGCTACACCGTCGTTGTTTGATCAGGTAGCTGCTATCAAATCGGTTCCTCCCGAACAAATTGCCCCTCCTCGAGTTCGGCCTCAGGCACCGCAACACCAGAGTCAGAACGGCCTCATTGCACCTCCTCCACAGCGAGCAGCTTCAGCTCCTCAGAATCAACAGAGCGCATTTGCTCCGCCGCCTCCGTTGCAGCCACAGCTCACCGGGTATGGTGGTGCCCCAGTCATGCATGCGCAACTCGCTCCTCCTGGCCAAAGCATGCAGGATCTAAACAACCAGCGTCTCCAGCAACAAATGACCGGCTTTCCCCAACAACTACCCGGGGCTTATCAGTTCCAATCGAATGGCATTGCACCACAACCGACTGGTTTCAGCAACATGCCAGCACAGCCAATGCAATCCCAGGTGACCGCATTTACACCCTACCAGCAGCCTGCGCCGACGGGATACCAACAAACCCTGCCCCAAGCATTCCAACCTATGCAGACAGGCTTCCAGCAGAATGGAAGCCCCTTTACTGACCCATCACGACCCCCTTTCCAGCCCATGCAGGCTCAACCCACGGGTTTCAATTCATTCTCTCCAGCACCGGTAAATGGTCAGACCGGGATCAATCGCTTCCTTCCTCCAGCAATCCAGCCAACACCTACTGGTTTCGGACAATCTCAGAGCCCCCCTCCCATGCCTCCCATGCCTCCCATGCCACAGGCTCAACCGTTGGTGCCACAGAAAACGGGACCTGCTCCAAGTATACGATTTGGGGTGCAGCCGGCCAATAAACTAGTACCTCAACCTACAGGAAGGGCAAACTTGGCCAAGGCTAGTAAGTATATCAACATTGATCGACTCTGACCCGATGCTGACGTCCCTATAGCGCCACAGAATCCTTTTGGTTTCTAGGACACAGACATGGCCCTTGCACTGGCAATTCTTAATGCTGCCACTGTGACAGACCTCTGTATATAATTGGCATCTACTAGATCGCCCCATGTAGTTTTGCAGTTTTTGCCAGCAAATATGCTGCATAGCGCTTCGTTCTTCTTCTCCTTTCTGAATCGCCTCCTTACCTAGATATGGTTGGCGGCGAGTGTCCGTTTTCTCTCATGCGAATGAAGCGAGCATGGTAGAAGTAGAAAAAAAAAGAATGGCGAGGAGAGGCACTCATCTTGCTGCAATTGTGGTTTCTCGCAGCACAAGTTTTTGCCCCATTGTAATTGACGGGGGACAAATGCATCTTAGCGAGGGCATTAAGATATCTAATTAACTTTACTCATGATATGGAAGACGTTTATATAAGGGAACGAGCATTGTGGACTTGTGCATACGAGGTAGATCGGACTATGTGGTAATTAAGATATGACATCATCCGACCAGTCTAGCAGGCGTGAGGATGTGAGGGAATATCTGGCACTGCGATAATTGAATCGAACCCGTGAAGGGAAGAATAATGATCGGCGGCGAAGCTTTGCCAAGAGGGCTAAGCTCTTTACCTTGGTATGCATCTCTGGTTCTATGTACTACGTTTTGGAAGCATTAAAACCACGTCTCGCAATTACCCATACGATCACATTATCATGCGTGCACCGCCGTCCCGTGTACAGACTACGAGCATCCATGCGGGTTGGCCCGAGTAGCTGGTGGTCGGTCTATTGGCCAAATAATACGGCACCTAGGTAGGAATCAGGACGATTACATCGCGAGGTAGTTCGATCTAGCCAGCCCTCATCCTACGATAAGGAGATTGACTGCACAACAAGTCACAAGCAGGATGTTCCTGGCAACCTTTGTAGCCTATTAGAGCGGAAGTTTTTCACAGAGTGCATTATGAGAGACCTCTGGTAACAATAATGAAACGGTAACCACTCGCTCGCAACAATGCAGACCTGCTCGAGCTGAGGGCAGTAGCGATGGCTTCCGTCCCATCCGCGCCGTCCGCGAGCCGAAGAAGCTTCGTCATCACGAATCATGGCCGAGTGGCTGAGGAAGTGCGGCCTGCCTCCAATGAAATGACGAGGAGACTGCTAGGAATGGGTGGCCAAACCTAGGATCTAAAATCTCGGCCTCTTTCAATGACATAATGGGGCCTACATCTTCACCCATGGCTATCTAGAAGTTGCCTAAATATATCTATTCGCTGGCTCACCCTTTCTACGTTGCAACATTCCACCCTTTGTATGTCCGCTGCACATACACTTCTTCTCCCTCGCTCTTCACTTTCTCTCACAGCCTCTCCACCTTTATTCTTCATATATCAGACTTCAACGTCCCCGCAAGCAACCCGACGATTCAAGACAACCCGTCCGTCGTGGTTCTATTACTCTCTTTCCTATTAATTATCGGCCGCCTCGTTGATTTAATTCGCGACAATAAGTCGCCTTCCTTAAGAGTCCACCGCGCCAACCCTAAGTTTTTAACAAAACATTCTCCGGCTCAAACGAGCGATCATCTGTGGACCTTTACAATTGCACCGGAGAGAAGAGAATTGGAACCTCCATCCGGCACGCCCCATAATCAAACCTCATCGCCAAATCCCCATTCGCAATCATGTCAGCAAACCAGTACTACAACCAAGGCCCTCCTCAATACCCCCAACAAAGGTTAGTCACGAACCTTACATATTACTGTCTTTGACTATGAACCGAAATGCTAACGATCGCACAGCTACAGCGGTCCTTACGGCCAACCTCAATATGGCGGTCCACCGCCCCAGCAGCAGATGTACTATCCACCACAGGGACAGCAAATGCAATACCAGCAGGGGCCACCGCCACCACAGAGGCAGTCAAAGGATCGGGGATGTTTGGCCGCTTGGTAAGTGAATGTTTTCGAGGCACATGGTCTCATGATACGTGCTCAAACCTAATCTGTGCACAGTCTGGCAACCCTTTGCTGTTGTTTCGTCTGTGAGGAGGGTTGCGAATGCTGCATCGATTGTTGCGAATGTGCCGAAGACTGTTGCTGATGACGAAATAATGGAACGGCCATGTGCCCGGACCCTTCTATACCCCCCGAGGGCGCATTTCCTTGATTCGACCATTCCGTTAACATTAGGTGTGTTGAGCGGGAGGGCAAATCTGTAGTTTTCCTTTTCAGAGTGTGTAGCGTACACAATACCTGTGAGCACGCCGACCGCCCTCCACAACTGTATATAGCACTTGCAGAATATCCCAGCAAAGAGAAGTTTCCTCCCGCTACTTTTCAGCTTCGATCTATGTTAATTGGGGGGAGCATGTATCACAACGACTGCTTGTGAAGCAGAGCCTGGGCCATTCGTCAACAAGCACCACTGCGAGATGCTGTCAATCGAAAAGGAAACAAACGAAGTTTCATTTAGTTAATAAGTCGATATACCAGAATTCCTCAGCCTAGAAACCCATGTTGCCCAAGCCATTTAATCGCATCGAGTGTATATCGATCGGTCTTTGCGCTTTCCTGTTCCACCAATCTTTCGTACAGGCTTAGTTTCTTATTCTCCTCCCTTGGTGGGTGAGCCAGTTTACATCGATCTTTGTACTTGCAGTTGCCCCTTAGCCAGTGGGGACATGCACGAGGGCCCTTCTCAGCACTGCCTGTAGCCCCAGTTCTTGACGGGGGTGGTGGGGGTACTGCATTACAAGGGACGATCTTGGAGGACAATTTCTCCGGCTCCATTTCATTCTCATCAGATTCATCGTCGGATCCTGCATCATCTGATTCCCCAGAGCTCGAAACCACAGAAGATTCCGAGAGAACCGAACTCTCATCCCCGGAGTTACTGTCAGTGCCGTACCCAAGTCCAAGATCGACTTTTGGTTTGCCTGTAACTTGAACCGGCTGCCCCTCAGTCGTTAAGGTACTTCGGGAATCGATTTCGCGAGCGTGCGTTCCATTCTTTTCGGGGTTGCGCACTATTCTGGTCGAGACTTCACCAAAGCTCTTTTCTGGGTTTATGTGAACAACTGGCCCACCTTTCACCTTGCGCAAGAACATAAGTTCACTAGCACGTTTCTCGGCCTTCTCCTGCGCCTTAACCTGTGACCTCAGGCGCGTGGGATACTGCTTTCTACGGTCTTCAATCCAGGCTGCTATGTCAGCCGGGGTCTGCAGAGATACTGTACGGCCCTCATGCTCGAACGTCATGCGTTGTGAGGCAGGCAATAGCGCGTATGCCGCTTCTTCATCAATATCCTCACCGGCTCCATCGTCACTGCCATCCGATTCCGGTGCACTTGTCGTGAGACCTAGATTCATTCTTTGCTTGCCCAGAGTATTCACATCTTTGGCTGCCGCGGCGTTCGACGATGGTGTGATAAGATGCGATGGTAGAGAGAAGCCGAAACTTGGTATAGCCGGCGCAGGGGCAGCTTTAGCTTTCGGTGGCTTTGATTGTGCTTGTTGGGAGCGCTGATTGTGATGCTGTTCCGTCCGCCCCGAGCTTTCTACTGTTCGCTTCCGTTTTCTGTTGCTCTCTGGCGAGCCGGTTTCTGTGGGCGCAATGCTGCTTTGTCGCGGCTCGCCTGCTTGCTCGTTCAATGAACGCACTTGAGTGGAAGCGTTCCAATGGGGTATCCTGTCATTGGACGAAACCATACCACGCTGCTGGTCACTTTCAGACATCGTTGACTGCAACTGTGGGTGGATCTGCCGGTTACCGGGCCCCTGGCGAGAAACTTGTTTACCTCCGTTGTAAAACCCTCTCCCTCCTCTCCCTCCTCTTCCTTGTCTGGTATTCGCGTGGCTGGTCCCACGTGTCTGCCATCCTCGACCGTAACCACTGCTGGTATTGTTTGCGTTTCTTCCGCGGCTTGATGAGAGTGTTGGCGCATCATTCATGGGAGCTTGCTGAATTGAGGACGGGGGAGGCGGTGGAGGTGGAGGGGGAAACTTGAAGGGTGTCATCTTTCAGAACGGTGAGCTGTCATGGTACTCAACGGTCCATGATGATAATATCGAAGCTTTCGTCGTAGCCGTAATGGTGGTAATATCACCGGGATGGCTGATGATTGATGGTTGTTGGTTGTTGGAGTGCAGGAAATAATACTCGTAGCTTCCTTATCGATAGAGAGAATATGTTGCTTAGCTCGGCCACTTTGCGCCACTTTGCGCCGATCAATCACCCACTGACCACTGAACCGTCGATTCTCACTCATTCCCTAACTACCTAATACCTCGTACCTTTACCTAACTCTACCGGACTACTGGGCCATTACTGGACCAAACTGAACATTCCAATCTTATCCTCACCCTCGTTGCATGCATCTTTGGCATTAGATGCTCGCTTTCTCTTTCCCTGGGATCATGACCTGATAGTGCTCGCTATACTGAATCACTCAACGGTAAAGGAACAAACGGAAAGAGATTACAGTTCATATCACAATGTTCATAACTGTTAGTTGGTCCTTGATTCAGTAGGGTCGAAGCCGGGGCGCTGCGGTCAAGTTGCTAATTTTTTTTTCTTACTGACAGACAACAATTCAAGACCTGATCCAGATCAGGCCCCAAGAATTCGAGAAACCCAGCGCCCAGGCCATAAAGGATGCGATAAATGCAAAATATTCGAATAGAATCATTCAAAACATTGGGTTATGCGTCTGCCTATGGGATGTCTCGGAGAGCACAGAAGGTCTCATAGGTCACGGGACCGGGCTTGTCAATGTGAATGGCAAGTAATCACCACCATCGTTTCGAGTGCGACGTGTTTTTTGCACACATCTCGGAGAGCTCGAGCAGAATTTTGTGGCAAATGCTACTGCCATATGGTTCTACCTGCCAATTAAGCAATCTTGTATCGGCCGACTGACGTTGTAGTAGTCGAGTTTAGGATGGTGGTTTTCCGCCCTTTCCGTGGTGAAATCATACGCGCAAGGATAAAGATGGCTACAGAGGAGGGCATATTTCTTGATGTAGACTTCACATCAGAGATCTTCGTACCGTACCAAAACCTGTTCCCGGGCTCAACCTTTGATCGTGGAGAGGGCGTTTTCATCTGGAAGACGGAAGAGGGCCATGAGCTCTTCTTTGATAAGGGAGAGCCGGTACTTTTCCGCGTTGAGCAGGAGGAATGGATCGATCAAAAGCCTACCGTGATACAGAAGGATGAGGACGGTGAGATCATTGAGACGAGAGATACAAGTTGGAGAGTCATAGTAAGTACTATCTATGAGATCACCGCTGAATGACGAATATTGAAAGATCCAGGGCTCGATGAGTATGGAGGGATTGGGTCCAACATTGTGGTGGGGAGATCAGGAGGAAGGGGATGATGAACAGGGGCAAGGTGATGAGATGGAAGAGTAAGGCTACGCAGGCAGTTGTGCCGAAACTGTGGCAATCTGCTACTGGCCGATGTCAAATAGCACATGGTCCTGGGCTTGCACTGTTTCGATAAGAGAAAGTGAGATACTTGTAATTCTATATTCCCACTAATCGTGTCTTTACTCTCCAATAACGTATGTGCAGCCATGGTCCCCAATCCAGACCTCATGTTCTTTCTTTGCATCGACATCGATTCGATCACCAGCAACGAATGTTGCTTTAGTGGGGTTTACATCCTTAGGATAGACTATGGTCAGTTGCCCATCAAGGATCAGATGCTGCAGGCATTAATACATTGCCGTTTCAGCAAATGCAAGACGGTATTGTAGACTAGGGCTTACAGTGGTCAAACCGTCATGCACATGCGGTGGATAGTGGGAGTTACTACAAGGCGAGGGTCAATTTGTTAGCCCTGATACCAATTCTATGATGCTGAGGTGAGAGAAGCGTGGCCGATCAGTCATACAGGCAGTGCAGGTGAATGCTTGCGACGGCTATGGCCATGTCTGCGGGTTCACGGGCTTACGGGCTGTCGGTCCATGTAAAGACATGTTTGAACCCCCAGGAGCGCACCTTATCTTCAGCATCCCTCTTGAAACTTTCCATGACCGCGACTAGTTGGAGAGAGATGAGGAGTGCAAATAACGTTTCGTTTAGGATTCTGGTACCCTGTTATTTGTATGTGATCGGTTGATCAAGGTTGAGGTTGAGGTGAAGATACAATGTGACGTAGACTTGGGTCGATTCGATATCGATAAGTGGCCGCAAGCCTGCTCCCCTCGGGCGCCCCCACCTTCCAATGCTCGTGTAGTGCCTGGGTACACAGCCCGTAAGTATCTATCTGGGCGGACCGCCTACAAATAGTACGTAGGGTTTCTGTACCTGCTAAGTGTCTATTAATACTACGAGGTACAAGGTAATTACCTTGACTAACTACGAGGTGGCTAACTACCTAGGTACTTTAGGTTCTTTAGGTACCTAACCAGAAGCACCCACTCGTAAGGTACATGTAATAGTAGTCAACTACTCCGTACCTGTGGTACTCTCACACCAACACGCACTCACACCATGATTTGTTTGTAACAAACGTTTCTTGTCTGTGAAACTATAAAAGAAAAGTCGGCACCCGGCACCGTCATGACCCTAGGCACCTTGGTAGGGTAACTTACTCTTACCTACCTACTTAAGTTTGTCGATCAAACAGGAAAACAACAAAGCTGCCAAGCCTGCCTCACAGCTCACTTCCTTCCTTCAGCTCCAAATCTCTGGTGCCGCTCACTTCTTACTTTTCTTCTTCTTCTCCCTCTCCCTCTCCCTCTCCCTCTTCCTCTTCTCGTCCCTCTCACTGCTTCTCATCTGTACCTTCGCGCCTACCTCCCTACATTTTCACTCTACACTTAGGAGGCTTTCCACGACTTAACCGTTGTTTACTTGAGGTGGTGAGTGAGCTACCCCACGCCTGACGATAGTACTGTGCCTGTCTGCCTCCCGTCCCTCGCGTGACAACGAGTTTGGCGCAAGTCGCTAGACGTTTCAATACACGCTGCATCACTGATGGCACAATTACCGTATTATTCCTCAACATCTCATTTCAAGCAGAACTGCACATTCTCTCTTGACGCTGGTGGACACCCTCATGGAGGCTGTTGGCATGCTGGCTTATCAGATATCTGACCCCGCTGTCTAGGCTCTTGCAATATCCACGTCTACGGCCTGCACAGCTTGGCCGACCTCTTGCTTGAAACAATGACCACCGCATTGCCATTGGCTGCATCTGCCAGCGCAGAGGTCGCAAAGGACCGAAAATTGGGTGAGCCGAAACTCGACCAACCGCAGCTCCAAGCTGGAGGCGGGACTGCATCGTCCGCCACAAAGGCTAGAACACTCGACTATCTGAACGACATAATAGCCAATCACCTCAAGATTGCTTACTCGGAAGCAAATAAACGCTTTGATTTGACCACCAAAGAAGGTCTCGTAAAGTGGCTGGCCGAGGAGCAACAATCGCCCGAACAGGATCCGGGCCTATTCAAGGACGGATCATTCTCACATTTTGCCAATTACTTCCTGTCTGGCCTTGCAAATGTCATGGCGGCAGCTCCTAATCTTGATGAGTCCTATCCAATTTCGAATTACTTCATTTCTTCCAGTCACAACACGTACTTGACTGGAAACCAACTGTCCAGTAACTCAAGTGTAGAAGCCTACAGAAACGTAAGTGCTTAATCTTGTCACTCTTTTGCTTTTTCATATTCCGGAACGGCATTGACGCGCCCTCTAGGTACTGGTTCGAGGCTGTCGTTGCGTAGAAATCGATGTGTGGGACGGCGAGCTTCCCTCAAGCTCCAGCTCTGAAGATGAGTCAACAAAACCCTCTACGGCAAGTGCGAAGAAGGAGAAAAAGAAGGAAAAGTCTGGATTAGGTATCCGTAAACGCTTGGAGTTGCGGTTTGGTAGAAAGGCATCGCCTCCACCTGGAGACCGGCAGCCCGAATCCAATCCGTCAGCAATGACAGATGATAAGATAGAGAAATGGCGCTCAAATACGTCTTCTCGTGCTGAGCCTCGAGTTCTTCACGGTGACTTTTCCTTTCCGTAATTCTAGAGGAAGATTACTGACATTGTTTAGGATACACACTAACAAAGGAGATGTCTTTTCGAGCCGTATGCGCAACGATCAGGGATTTTGCCTTTTCCACATCGTAAGTCCCTCCAGGTGCTCATCACAGCGTCAGGCTTCTTTCTCTGACTATATCCAGAAAACTACCGTTAATCGTCAGTCTTGAAGTCCATACCAGCCCCGAACAACAGGACATCATGGTTGAGCTTATGCGTGAATACTGGAAGGGAATGCTTGTCGATCTCCCTCTTGACCCGTCGCAGGCTTCGGGCGACATAGCGTTACCACCCTTGAAGGATCTCGAAAAGAAAATCATCATTAAAGTCAAGCGGGCCGCTCCAAAACCCGTTGAACCCGTCGGCGTCAAACCTACGACTCTACAAGCTCCCACTGAAGTCGCCAAAACCACAACAATCAACTCAGCATCATCATCATCGTCCGAGGAAATTCCAGAATCCCAAGCCAATCCACCCGCCCCGAAGCCTAAAATTACCGAAGCCTTGGGAAAGCTCGGAGTGTACATGGGTGGTTATCATTTCAAAGGGCTCGATCAGCCAGGTGAGCTTCAATAAGCCGCACAAAGGCATGCAAACATTGGTTTGTTAATGATACCTACAGAGGCGCAAATACCAACCCACGTCTTTTCGCTATCGGAGAAAGCCTTACTGGAGGTCCATGAAACACAGACAACAGCTCTGTTCAATCACAACAAGGTAAGCAAAATATCATAATGCCTCAATAGCCCAGTCAAAGAAGCATTCATTGCAGTTTGGACGGATTGCGGAAGCTGCCAATGAGCATAACAACCTCTTCAAAAAAGTGCTGACTTTGGCCGACAGAACTTCTTCATGCGTGCATATCCTAAAGGCCTGAGATTGAACTCCTCCAACCTCGATCCGTCAATATTTTGGCGAGCTGGTGTACAAATAGTGGCACTGAACTGGCAACGCTGGGATGGCGGCATGATGCAGAACGAAGCCATGTTTGCTGGTACCAACGGCTGGGTCTTAAAACCCGAAGGCTATCGGGGTGCTAGTAACGAAACCTCACAGAACACGGCTATTCCGCGCCATAATTTAGACCTCTCCATCGAGTTTTATGCTGGACAGGATATCCCTCTGCCACCCGAAGAAGACGACCCCAACGACTTCAAGCCATACGTCAAAGTTGAACTGCACGTCGAGAAGCGTGAGGAACGTGAAGGGGAACCGCTGCCTGGTGGCGGGAAAACCAGAGGGGGGGAATATAAGGCGAAAACAAAGACACATCGATCTACCAATCCAGATTTCGGTCGAGAGGTAGTGAAATTTGATGGAGTTCAGGGAGTGACGGAAGAATTGACCTTTGTGAGGTATGTACGCAGGCCCGCCTGGCCTTCCCAATCTCTTTTTTCCTTTGTTACATCAGTTTCACGTTGTGGGGCAAGAGATGCACGCGACTTGTTGCACGGGGTTGAACGAGGGGCCTGTTGCGCATGAGGGTTTGCAATTGACCTGTCATCTCTTCGACTGTCCTCAAACCTAGCATGCTAAACCGATCGCACAACCCCATAATACCTTTCCCCCAGTTGTGGAATGACCCGCCATTGCTCTGGCTTACGCCCCTACCATACCAGCTTGATGTTAGGGTAGGGAATGCTTGGGTCAGGACTTTGGGACAACCTTACTTTCTCCATGCACAAGCCTCTTGTATCTATTGCTGGGGAGCTTGTCATCTTGGCTGGCTGCGTTTAAGCATGCATTTCAGGTCTGGCCATTGAGCTAATCTATGCTAACCTTGTCGGTCAGATTTAAAGTCATGGATGATGAACGACTCTCGGATGACCTTGCTGCTTGGGCCTGTTTCCGCCTTGATAGGTTGCAATCCGGGCTGCGCATACTTCATCTTTATGATTCTAATGGGGTCATCACCAAAGGTGTATTGTTGGTGAGGATCAAGAAGATAGTGAGTGCAGCTAAGTAGCATCTTACTTAGTGCGGCACGGAATTTCATTGTGACTATACGGTCCTTTGAACTAATCCAGACCACTAGTTTTATCCCTATTCTCGGGCAAGCATTGGTTCAAGGAGAATTACTAGAGGGGTTGCCTTAGGAAGCACCCGCGCCCAGCGAACTTCTATAGACATCAATAGCCGGAGGAGCACTCCGCTCGCAGTGGCTCATAGAGGTGGCTTGCAACGACACTAGAATGACACATATGCAGAAGAGATATTGATCAGCATATAAATCCCGATTGCACCGCACGAGCGTCTCCCATCCATGTGGAGAGGTACATATATGAAACGATCCTGGGCACTTATATATTCGTGTCTCTCTATGGTGAGCTCTTGAATCTAATTTTCGCTTGAGATACTCCGTAGCAACATCGATGAGCTGTTTTAGCCACGCCACTTTTGGCGACGGTGCGCTTCTATTCCCTTGAATCAATCATGCAGTCTAGCCTTACTCGGAAAATCCGAGAAGTACAAGGTTGTACTTGACACGCGTTTACAGTTATTCAGTGTCAATCTCGGTTTTGCTCCACTGCTTTAACAACTTGGTCCAATATGTCAACTGATGCGGGAAGCAAATGTTGCTATAGAGGAAAGATCACATTGGTGGGTAGATGACGTATTCTGGTCGGAAGTTGTACTCAAGGGCCACTCGATCGCCTGGTCATCACAATTAGACTACGTCTCGAATGGAAATCCGGAAGACAACAACAAAGTAACACACCATCTTGAATTGCTCATTCAGAAGGTGAAAGAAAGACTCGTGAACATGTCTTTGGACACTGCTCAATCTAGTGACATGTAATTCGAACATATGTCTTGAGCCGAGGGCTATTTGGTCGTATATGTAGGTCATGACCTGGCAAGTAAGGAGAATTTGTCAGGTACAACATGGCTAATTCAGTGCAGGGAGTGTAGATTCAACACCATAGAGCGAATCCATTTGTATCTTAGAGTCAGATCGCAGTTATAGCGCAGAGTCAGGCACGAATGTATTGTATTGCGAATCACGAATGAATGACATAATGACCAAAGATCCTGTTTCTGGCGTGGCCGTGTGTCAGTAAATAAGTATCATGGATATGGGTACGGAGTTTATAGGGCGTTGAGTACAAAAATATGTTTCTGATAAGGCAAAAGAAGTATATATAAGATAAACTGCATAACGCTTACCACTTCTAGTATCAAAAGTCTCGATCAACTCGTGCCAGTGGGAAGCGGTGACAATTAATGGTAGGACTAGACCTTCTTTCTCGTAGTGCAAGGGGGCACAGATTGCTCGAACAGGGTCGTCCGTTATCATATCTAGGAGTTTTCGCGCCGGATCGACGAAAGGTCGACCTAGGCACAAGAATACACCAGTAAGCTGTGCAAACGCTCTTGACAATGCTTATGTAAATCTAAATTAAGGCAGGAAATACGAAGGTGGGGTTGGAATGAGAGCTGGTCATCATCACTGGTACGTTGGTTTATCTAGGTTGCGCCGGTGTACCTCCTAGCCAACTGGCATTTGTGTGACCGGCTCGCGGACTTCCGAATGAAAGATACCTTGTGTTCTCTAACTTAAACAGTATGCGAAGTAAAGCCCACAGAACAAGCATACATCTTTTCATCGACTGGGTAGAAGTCTTTAAACATCTAGACAGTAGGATGGTAAAGGAGCATGCATGATATCCCTTCAATTATGTCTGGTACACTTGACACGCTGTGATATTTCTTTTAATACTTTCGATCGCTCCTGACATTCAATTTTATAATCGACCAGTACCTTAAGCTACGCTTGTTCACAATGTAGATGAAGAAGCTTAGCAAATTTTCTGGAATCATCCAAGGAACTATTGGTAGTCACAGGTCCATGCTGACTGATTGAAAGGATAGTTCAGATCACTCGACTCCAAGTCCTAATTGAACAGAGGCATTACACGAATCATGGTGGCACCCAGAGGCCGTACAGGCTCTAGGCACTTGAAACAGCGCTAGGTAACACTACAGCATAACCAGATTGCTATAAAACAATCGACAATAGTTGGTACGGTGGCACTGGAGGTCGTGATACAACAATGTGATGAAAATTGAAGAACCAAGCAATGCATCGACCTGACACGATAAGCATTGTCGACTGTTAAAACCCTTTGTGTAACGATTAACCGTGTTCGACAACTCATTATGGACAGTAGATTTGCGAGGATTGTACGGAGTAGTCCTTCGTTTTGGCCGTAATACTCAACTCAACCAGGGGACCGCGTAGGTTGGATAGAAAAGGTGCAGCTAAGAGATTCGCAACAGCCTCCGATTCGAGACTGTTCCTCATCAGCTCAGAAAAATTAATGATGATACGGAGTACGGAGTACTAGGGAGAATAACATAGCAACATTCTCCAACCAATATTGCCCGCCGATTTGATAAGTTCGAGCCGACGAACAAGGATCATTGGACCGCAATAGGCGGAACGTATTGATGGAAGGGGGTTAACAAGATTGCGTGATAGCAGTCATGAGTTCCTCTTAACTACTCTGACGAGTGACTTTCGAGAACACGTCCCTCGGGTTCTCCAAAAACCCATGGTAGCATCAACAGTGGATAATGTCCACCTTCGCAATAATACTCCATCGTGTCCAGAATTAGCGGACCATGCTACCGCAACCAGTAAGGCCTGGTAGCCGCGATCCAATAATGAGGTAAGTTTAAGATGTGCATGGGTAATTTTCCTTGCACATGTAGCGATTTGAATGGTGTCTGGGTGCACAAGATCGGCTACCGGGATCCCGGGTTTGGGCAACGTTGACCATCTATGGTACTGATGCCACAGCATCTTGCTTATGCCAGTCGATCGTAGGATTTCACACCTCCTCAAATCCCTGGGAAGGTTTTGGAGGGTTCACCTCTGGTGATGGGCGAGGAATATGGTTGGGCGGAAAGGCTTTGGAATGAGAGATCGCCGACAACATGAACAACATGAGATATACCTAGCACGGCTTAAGACTCGATGGGTATAGCGTACATTCTTTGTGAACCCCTGAGGAGTTAAGCGAACCGATATGTAGCACATTGGCGGCAGGATGGCGGGCTTGACCCTAACAACTACGATCACAGATGTGATCGCTCACATCTACCTTGAAGACTATCCGGCAGAGTATGAGTGCAAATGCTCACCGCCAATTGACATCTAGATTGACACGGATCAGCCTTTATCTTCATGGAGCGACTTCTTGGGCACATTCACATGGATCTCACGTTTCATACAAGCTCCTCTCACGATCGAAGTGGTCACCAACAGTGTTCCGCCTCGTCCTGCGTTCTGATAGGTCGAGCTTTGTGCTGGTGCTGCTTGATGGAAAAGCAACTATTATGATCGCTTCTAATTAGAATTCTCTGGAACAAAAGATCGCGTTGCGGTACAACAAGTCCCTGGATCCATCCCCTAACACAGCACTCAAGAAGCGACAGGTAGACATTCTGCCTCCCCCCGGTCTGGATCACCTACTGCCGATGCCCACTTGAAGGGAACACATGCACATATCCGTGTAGCTGTAACGCATCCATTGGGAGTAGCAGTACACACAATGTTCGATTGACCGGCAGATATGCACAGAATCCAGGATGCTCCCATGCGGCTACTGCTGCGGCCGTTAAGGTCCAATATCATTGTTTGGGATCTAGTTAGGACCCCTACATTCGGTCATGGGGGACAGGCAAGAGACTAGAGATATACGGTTCTACCTTCTGGCATATAAAAGGCCTAGACCTCAACAACCAGAGGCCTTTAGGACACCGTTATCTTCAAGTCATTCCCGTGATTATCACCAGGTGCTCACCAAGTTTGCCTTTATCAGTATACGAATCGTGGGCCCAATTTGTCATCTCTCAGCATAGTTACGTCTGTGCTGCTTATCCAACAACGCAATGTGTTTCCAAAGTCCCATCAACAAGATCATCATCCCATCTATGAACGAGGCTGAGGGAATTGTGACTATGCCGGTAAGTCGTTCTGCATGCGTATTCACTCGAATGGAAATCTCTCTGGCTAGTGTTTACCTGCTAATTGTCCCAGGTACCAGGACGCCGCTGCCCAGCATGCTTAGAGAGGGGGGATACTGTGTGGGTGATTCCAGGCAAGTGTTGTCCGCAGTGCGGAACACCGGTGAATTGAACGACTTCTCTCTCTGTGTGTGTATGTGTCTTCGTGTGTGATGAAAAGAGGTATAGTCTCGTAATACATCCATTGATGAACGTTTGCGCTGACTTGCGATTCAGAAGTTGAGCGCGCAGGCTAACTTTGTTATGCGGGGCTTTGGGACCGGATGTACATGAGTATCAGGGTAATTGCATCAACGGGGTTCAAGCTGAGGTGTTTGTGTACTGCATTTTTCGGCGCTCTATCTTGGGGCTGTATGTCAATCGAACCTATCAGGATTGTTTTTGTGATCAGCGGCGTTCGAGGCCAAGCGATCAAAAGTTGGGGGATAATGTTTCATAGTTGCCGTCAAAAGAGGTATATATCCTTACTTGATTAATAGAGAATTAATAGCCCCTCAAGTGTAACGGCCATGGTGATGACCAACAGTGTGAAGGCGAACAACCAGTTTTTGACCCATTTGTCGCCGGAGCTCGGAACTTGCAAACAGGATGAGGAGTTCAAACCCAGACAATAAGTTTGAGTACAGGACGTACGGATAAATTGTATAATTCCGTCTCTCTTGATTCAAGAGATCTCGTGCGGCTTTTATACAATTGTAGTTGGGGTTGTATGTACCGGAAATACGTGGTAGTTAGTACGATCAATGATAAGAAACTATTGGTCGAGTACTATTGTGTAGAATTGCTCAGCGCATTGAGATAGGATGTAAGCAATTCGTATACTCCGTAGCAGAATGTAGCATTGTAGGTAGGGTGATAGGGTGTTGTACTCGTAGTTACTGTGTATCTAGGTAAGTACCAACTACTCGTACCTAGGTATCTACCTACCTAAATACATACTAGCGACCGTAATACTCGGCCCTTCGTAATATACTACGGGTAGTACTATAAGATTCAAGGTACAAGTAAGTTGAAGTAAATCGTAGCAGACGGAGGGAGAATTCAACCTGGTGTGACCATGTATTAATCACTGTATGTATGGAGTGTGGGAGTGTTCCTTGAGGCTCAGGGGGTGCTCAAAATACGCTAGACCCAATATGGGTTAAACTGTGAGACATATGCTGACAACAATAATAAATGATGATGAGTGTTTTCACGGAGGATGTTGTTACACAATTAGGTGTATGTATCCATTCCTATCAGTTAGGTACATGCACAGTATAATAATTACACAGTAAGACGTGTACCAGGAAATGTGATTCGAAAAACGAACAGACTAGACCTAGTACAGATCCCCGAATGCTTCTTAGGTAACTTGTTACTTGTTGTGTAGGTACGGAATACAAGGTAAGTTGATTATTACCTGTATGTACATACGTACGGAGTACTGTGTACTGTCTGTGTACTCGTAACTACTGTGTACTCGTAACTAGTTGTTGTCTTGTCCTTTATTGTTGTGATGATCTAGCACCACCGCCAGACCTCCACTCCCCAGACCTCTCCTCTCCTCTCTTCTCCTCCACTCCACTTAACTCTTCTTTTAAATCAAAGCGAATTCGACACCGCAGAACCTGCCAGAGAAAGAAGAAGAACAGAGAAAAAGAAGAAATCAACCACACTCCGCTACCAATCCGTATTTATCTAATCATAGGTAATCCCAATCCCCGCGTCGCACATCATCGTCCTCCACTTCACCTTATCTGCGCATAATACAACACCGCATCCGTGAACTACCTGGTTAGGTCCACTTCCTTGACTTCGCATTCATTTTCATCGTCACCTCCACGTCGGCCGGAACCATTGGCAGATTTCGCTCGTTCGATGCTGAGATCGGCCCGTCCGCACCCTACCCCTACGTGCACATCAACACACGAGGCCCACTGAACCGCTGTCCTTTGAGTAGAAGAAGAATGACATGAACGGCTCTGGCTGGAGTCACGAGGACGCTTTTGGGCCTGCCAAAACGAGCACGCCGCCACCACCCTCTTCAAAGTTCTCGATGCCGGTCCACACGTCGCCTCGCAACGTTTCGGGCCCCTTGGCCGTCGACATGGCGAACCTTCCTACCGATCCCTCCGCCGTGACTTCGCCGTGGCAGCGCGCCAACCCACACGCACCCCCTACCAACTCGAAGACATCTCAATACATTGATAAGATCACATCTGAGAATGAGAGGCTGCGGCGGGAGCTCAATGCCGAAAGGCTGGCTCGAGAAGAGGAGGCCAAAAGGGTATCTGCAGCGCGATCTAAAGCCGAGGACTCCCGTGCTGAATACCAGCACTTGCAAGTGCTCGCAGATGCCAATGCACGAGCCATCGAGCGCAAGGACAGGAAGTTGGAGGAGTTTAGGAATGCAATGGAGGCCGAAGCAAAGCGAAGAAAAGCCGCCGAGCTGCGAGCAGACGAGGCCTTGAAGATGCTTGGAGATACACGATCAGAGACACAACGGCAGCTTGCGTCAGCGTACGAAATGAAACATCTTGCAGAAACAAACGCAGAAGCTGCACGAGATGGGTTCAAGCGCATTACAGACGGCTATGAGAAAAAATTGAAGTCCATAAACGAGCAGCTCCACAAATTGCGACAAGCCCGCAACGAAGATGCCGATAAGATCAAGCGTCAAGCTATAATCAGCGATCAACTTCAACACGAACTGACTCGAAATTTACGCAATGATCATAAGATGGTTGATATGATGGAAACTTACAAGAAGGAGCACCGCAAGGAGTTTGATGCGCTCCTGCATGAGGCAGAGGTCATGCGCAAAGCATTGCCGGAGAGGGAAAAGGAGGCCGCTCGGTTGATAGATGATATGATAGAAACCAGGGATAAGATGAAATGGGCAATGGCCCAGAACAAGCGGCAAGTTCAATGACTTGTCGGGTTTAATGACTGTTACGAGTGCCTCTTGTATGAATGATCTTATGGGATGTCAGGGTCCTGGCGTCAGGATTTGGATTGCCACAGCATGGTCAGAGGTTTGAAGGTGCCAACTAGCGCACATTATTGTATATTAAAGGAACCTATATTCTTATGTCAATCATCGCTTCATTGAAGCATAAGGTATCACGAACATGGACAGCTTTTCTGCATATTCATACTCTTTGAAATAACAGTGTGAGTGCTTCTGCCTCGTTCTCCACTGCCAAATTGTAGGAATAATAGTAATATTATTTCAGATTCTTCTCGATCAATCATCTGACCCGCACCCTGCGATGGTCGACATGGGCACAAGTGCATTTCATGCATTGGTTGAATGAATCCCATATCAACCACTGTGCCCGTTCACAGGGAGAACAAACTGTGTGATGCTAATGGCTTGAGAACATCGAGATTTCAGATTCGCAGCGACAGAAGAGAGATGCTCATCATACGACATAAGCTCCACTTTGGGAAAGGATGGATAGATGTCCTTGTGAAATAAGGGTGTTCTGACTCCATGTGTGATCACGTAGACATCCATTCGATGTTTCACATACCGTAGAGGTTGATGTAAGGTAGCATTGGAGAATCCCTTGCACGAGAGCACTTAAGGTTAAAGTAGCCCATTACCACAGGTGTGACGTTTCTGAGAACATGAGAAACTGATATCATTCCTTGTATATGTACATACAGCACATTGTGTGCAGGCCTATAGTATGGCTAATCTAATTGGCATTCCTAGGCGGTTGCTATTTCGCCAAGGGTTGCTCTGACTTGATAGTGTTATTCCGAAGCGCTTCAAGCTTACGCTCGTTGTCTTCGTTCGCTTCTCGTTTGAACTTGGCAAGGGTCTCGTCCAAATTGACTTGGTGCCCGGCGGGGACATTGTACGGCGAAGAAACAGTCAGAAGTCTGGGTACAAAGTCAGCGCTTTATTGTTCGTCTGCATGTCCCTCCAAATCATCAGGAGAAGTATAAAGACCCGTGTTCTGTTCGTATGACAACATGAAGCGGATCGGCCATGCGGCTCGCGAGCTGGGATCGACGTACTCGGGAAATTTCACAGGAACATGATCCTGAGATTTGGAGTTCATGAATAACACCCTATCCGAGCCAGCTTGCTCCATCATCCGTACATGAACATCATTATACGCCGCAAGCTCGTCTTGCTTCTCGGTGAACTTGCTGATGAACTGGGTGAAGAACGTTGGCGAATCCGGACCTTGTCGTGACGCAGCATATACAGCATATCCGATTGGGAACAAAGCTACAACACCCCAAAAGCCTGGCTAGATATCCAATTATATTAGCAAAGGTGGAAATAATCGGAACGAATGGCTGTATCTGTGCCTGAACAAGAGCAAGACTGAGCTGGTGGAGGAGGAAGTTCGACGTACCCCGAATGCTTCATTTACGGATGCATGTGCGTGGCCATGGGCATGTTCGTCATGGGCGTATCGACGCCCCTGGCAGTTTACAGAGGTTCTTCCTCTTCTAGCGGTAGAGACTGCTGCCCGGCGAAGCGCTTGCATGGTGACAGAGCTAGTTGTTACTGGCAGAGGCGTCCAAACGTGACGATGAAGCTTGAAGTTGTCAATGACGGCTAGATGGATTTTGGACTAGTGTCTTGGCGACGTTGTTGTGCAAATGGAAGGTGACGGGATTTGGTACATCTTCGTATTATCGGAACGACAGGTTATTACAATCTTTGGCAGTAATAATGAAACCTCATTTTCTTACGAGGTAAATTGAAGACAGCCATATACCCGTCTGACTAGCGCCATCTTGAATAAATCCCAAGAGATCCTAATCTGTCAGTGCAATGGCTCAACTAGATGGTATTTCTGCTGAAGTAAGGCATGATGCATTGTTCCTCATTGGTTCAAAATGCAATGGACATGCTCAGCATCTCAATCGATGGCATGACGACTCCTTAGGCAATCAACATTTCTTTTGGTACAACTTTACTTCCTGCCTGCAATGATGGAATTCAGAGGAAATCCATTCATTTCGCATGTTGTCCGGGGACTTGCTTGGCTCATGACTACTTGGGTACCTACGTGTCTGCCTGAGTAGGCATGTATTACGACATATCATCTCAACGTCAGAACATATAGAATACGCAGAGAGCCTCTTCATGCCCCAACCCACCACGATACAACTTGATAGCCTCTATCGAAAGGCTTGCGATGGCGACGCGAATTAACTATAATAGGGACCTAGCTAGGTAGGTTAATATAAGGGCGCCACCTGAAAAGAGCCTAGTTCAAATCCCAGTAGATCGATACCTCGCGTGCCTCGGTACAAACCCCACCCCATCCAGCTTTCTCGGGGTTCACGACGAAGCACAGGAAGCTACGCAATCTGTGCGAGTGGACTCAAGACGACAATAAAGCGACGTAGACTCTGCCTCTTACTCTCCTTTGCCCTCCCTTACCTTTCCTTTCCCTTGACTATTCACAATCTCTTGACACAACTCTTGTTGGCGACCACAAGAGCGTGACCCTTTCACCAATTAATCCTGAACCGGGTAAGACGAGGCAAAGGTGACACGGCACCAGTGACAATACGAATTCTTGGATTGCCTTCATCGTCTTCAATCATTCCATTGTACTAAAGGTTGATTACGGACTATGTCTTCATACACGTCGGTCCATCTTGCCGAAAGGCCTAAAGACCAAATCGTGCCTGGCAAAACATTCACAACGAAAGAACATCCGACGCCTGATGCATCTACCATCAAAGATGGTGAGGTTCTGCTCCAGACACTTTACCTTTCTCTCGACCCCGCCATGCGAGGTTGGTTGAATTCAACACGCTCGTACATCCCTCCGGTCGGTATCGGCGAAGTCATGCGTGGTTACGGCATCGGCATCGTGAAAGCATCCAAATCTGAGAAATTTCCCGTCGGGACTTATGTGAGTGGAATGTGTGGATGGACCGAGTATGCAATCCTGCCGGAAAAGGGCCTCGAGAAATTAGATTTGCCTCAGGGTGCGGTTCCCACAGACACATTGGGCGTTCTTGGAGCAACAGCATTAACTGCCTACTTTGGAATCCTGGATGTCGGTCAAGTAAAGAAGGGCGACTTTGTCGTCGTTTCTGGAGCTGCAGGTGCGACTGGTAGTGTCGTAGGCCAAATTGCGAAGATCAAGGGAGCCACAGTATTGGGCCTAGCTGGTGGAGATGATAAGGTTCGCTGGCTGAAGGAAGAGCTGGGGTTTGATGACGCGTTAAACTATAAGGATCCTGAGTTCGCAAGCAAATTCAGGGCAGCAACCAAGGTAAATGTTTCTTTCGTGTTGTATACCCATTCACTAACATGATCGATAGGGACTGATTGACGTCTACTTCGATAACGGTATGCATAAATGCCCTTTCTAACGAGGATCGTACTAACTAAAACCTTGTATGTAGTCGGAGGGGAGATTCTCGACATGGCGCTCGCCAGAGCTAAACCCCATGCTCGATTCGTCATGTGCGGAGCAATCAGCGAGTATAACAAAGCGAAGCCTCAAGGGCCTAAAAACTATCTCATGATTATTTCCATGCGCATTCGAATGCAAGGGTTCATTGTCATGGACTACGCGAAACAGTACCCGGAAGCAAAGAAGCAACTTGCTCAATGGCTAACAGAGGGAAAGCTCAAGCGGAAAGAGACAATTGTTAAGGGAGGCCTAGTGAAGGCTGAACAGGCGCTTGTGGACCTCTATAACGGGGTGAATACAGGTTAGTTGTACTCCTCATGATTTACTCGGCCTTACTGATAGGGTCTCGTAGGGAAGCTTCTTGTGGAGGTAGCAAAACCAGAAGATGCCAAGTCCAAGTTGTAAATTATTATCGCAAGCGTCGTACGAAGTGCTACGAGTATTCAATATGATTACAGGAGAATTGTTATAGGGCTTAGTTTGACCTTCACTATTGTGAACCAGCGTCTTCAATCAAATACGGATGTCGTACATGATCCATATGGGGTGTATTATAGCAAGATTCCATCAATCATGACAATCGTGGACCGGCCTTTAACAACATTGCTGAGCAAAGTCCGGTTATGGTGATCTTTGTAATAATGTTGCTTGATGTGACCCGAGCTTGCAGTATCCTTTGCGGCTTAATATACATGTGCGGACATAGATTACGTGAATCTTAATTCGCATATTCATCACTTCGTCAATTCAAGTTACGGTCTACATAATCTGTGGTGCCACGTGATCGAGTTACACACGTTAGACGTTTCTGATTCCCAGAAGAACACTGTACTAGCAAATCACTACCAATCTTTGCAACCTGAGGGAACTTTGTCCACCACTTTGTTATACTTTTGTATAGCAAGCATATGCTTGTGGGAAGTGATGTTGCGAACTATCTAGTTGAGTACTATTCCGCCATTGGCTCTAATGAGAAATTCTGCTCAAAGATTGGTCCATCCTGGCACTGTATCAGACTCTGAATTTTGTTTGGCCCAACTCGTAAGCATGGTGGATTTCAAGGTTTGCCTTACCCTAAAGAAGACAAGGGGGTAATGTACAGGATCATTCTGACGGTGCAAATCCGTGCTTCAACGAGATGTTGGTGAGTGTAAGGACATTGAGGACAACTCCTATACTCGATGCGTCTGACGCGAGGGAACACCAATGTCGTCTCGATAGACTAGTTTTAGAACCGTAGTCAGCTACTAGTAATATATTGGGTTTCAATAGTTAATGTCGTAACTACGCACTTGTACTGCGATTCCAGTACTGCAAGATAAATGGATTGCTGTTGGGGCGGTGTGCAACTCTGGCACCTAGGGACTTAAGCACTTGACGACGCTGCCTTATACTGGGATGTATAGGATCCCCTCAGTCTCACTAATTACACCAAGCTTGAATCAGCTGGAGTGGAAACTCGCCATCATATGGCCCCCATGACACATTCTTATCGTAAGGGGTACATCACGAGAGGATCCAAGGAGTGATCATGTTGGAGATGACTAGTAGCGCGGGCTTGATACTTGAGCCTTTCCTTCATATTTCGTAACTGCTGACTTGCTTAAAAATACATCAACCAATTGTAGACTGCGTGTTCCGAATGACACTTGCATTGAGACGATATATTCCTAGTACATTTCTTGGAAGAACAAGTACGAAAATCATTTGACCCGACTACAGAGTAACCACATAAGCCATAAATAAAGAGAAAAGACATGTCCATGATAGCCCAGTCTCTCTGGGCCGATTTGCGTTGTCCGAGGCCCCGATTACCGTGCTGTGCTTGGATCCTTGGTTAGTACCGTGGTGAATCAGGCCTAGCCTGCGCGATTCCCCGATACACCTGGCAAACCTCATGCCCAAACGCTGCAACTTCATCCAATATGCCTTGCTAGACTCGAAAATTTCCTCCCTTTGTTCCCAGGCATGGTGCTTAGGCTGGCTTAGGCACTGCCGTGCCCATTTCCTCGCTTGCAGCGTGCAGACCCGAGATGAATGGAAGAAGGAAGGTACAGGGCGGGCCGTATGGAGTGGTAATAGACGAGATTGAGACCAACCAACTACAAACACTCATCCCATTTGAAAACCATGGAGACATACCGCCATGGAGCATGTCACCTCACTGAGATACGCATAGTCTTGCACGAGAGTCCCCAGTGTTCCAAAGGGTAAATCGAAATCGGCGGGAACATCGAAACGCTTCACGCACGCAACGTCGAAAATAAACGCGGCTCGCTTCCTGTATACGGTGCAACGAACGACAAATTTAAAGATAACTCGCGGGATGTCTTCTTGGATGGTACGACAATGCATCGCCCTTAGAGACATTGCATACACAGTTTAGGGTGAGAGGAACAGGTGAAGGGTGGAACAAACGTTCCAGGCTGAAGAAGTATCCTGCACCAGTCACATTAGGCTCAATACCGCCACTATCGTGCCTTGAACCTACAATCGTATACGGGTGATCGGTCGACTAGATCTTGATCGCTGATGTGGCCGCTCTTCTTTTGGTGGTTCCGCAATGCGTCGGACCGTCTGTACAACTTGGGACAATACTTGCAATGATACGCTTGGCCTTGGAGAGGCGCTGGACATTCCGAAGTCTTCTGGTGCCGCCGAAGATTCCCTTTGGCATGCGGACCTGTCAAGATTTTGCCACAGAAGTCACACGATTCACTGGGCGATGGAGGTGTGGCAGCTTCTGGACTAGGCGAGTCTTGAGAGCGTCTGGTTCTGGAATTTCCACGGGGAGATTGAAGTGTTGATGATGGATGCACCTGGTCCTTTTGCGTTTGGCCACTTTCTGGTAACATGCTTGGAGCAGAAGTCAGTGCAGATTCCTTTCTGTCCGGCCAGCAATTATCGACTTACCTCCGATCGCTGAAATATTCATTGTTGCCGTTGCAGCCACCTGCAGTACCGTATTCGTACTGTTCATGATGTGCGTTGCTCTGGTTTGCACTCCCTGACGCGAAGGTCGATGGTGAAGTATCAACTGATAAGTCCGGATGAGAAGTCTTCCTATACTGAGAATCAATAACATGAATGACCAGATAAGATCCTGTCCACCCACAATCGATTATAAGCCTGATCACTTTGGCCTCTGTCCGCTCGGCTCGTACCTCGCTCGACACGTGGAGACGGAATATGTCCGTACCGAAGATCGTTCGACAACTGTGGATAATTGGTGTTTGAACTGGATAACTATCAACCCAATGGAATTCACAAAGAGAACATGGTCATAGCCTACATCGGAAATCCTTGAGTTTGGACGAGATCTGGAATGTATTGCCCCTGATGATTGGTAACAAGATGGTTAGGGCTAGGATGTGAATTCATCTGGCTGTACGGCGAGGGCCCTAAGTTCGAAGTAGTGGGCATTTGAACGTTAAAGTCTTGCAAGCCTTGCGGATAAACACTACTGGTGATAGTGTTGTGAGGTATATGTCCCTGTAGAACAGTGGGAACTGGATATCCAAGCTGTTGGCTCGAATTTGGATCAACGGCGCTATTCTGACTTGCCCACAGATCCGAAGAGAATGTGCTCTCCTGTGATCCAGCGAACGAGTGGATCTGCGAGGCTGATGTCGCTAGGCTTCCTGCCACTCGTGGTATTTGATATTGTGTCATTTCCTGGCTATCCCATAGGTTCTGGAGGTTAGATGCTGCGTATCCACGCGTCGTCTCCTTTGCTTCGCCTCTGTCTCTCCTGGGGCGGTGCGAAAGGCGATGCGTGGTATCGTTTGAGGCGGGCGGGGACGCCATCGATCACGAGAAATTGTTCGAGTCTGCGACGGGTTGCTGTTAGCTTCGTCTTTTGTCTCACCACACGAAAGGTTTACGCCGCGACTCGAATGCTATGATTGAAAGACATAATATCGACGGCATACATGTTGACACGCCGCAGCTTAGGAAACCAACGCGCTATTTCGCCGTGGACGTCACAGCCGCAAGGCAATGCAACGACTAGTTGTCTTCTGTTGCTCTAGCAGAATTAAATTTGAACCCAAGATCAATTTTGGTTGGGGAGGCGACAATTAGACTGCGACTCGTAGATGTTTGAAAGGAGATCGAACGGGACTTAATCTGGACATAACCTACTAGTAGAGTCCTGAAAAATGCCTAGACTCGGTCTAAACCGAAAATCAACCCTGGGGAACGGCACTGAAAGCAGGGAGCTGCGTAGGAAACTCACGGTACTTCACAGACAAACAAAAGTCGATACCAAAAAGCAGGGCACTGAGGGACAACTGGCTAGAGCTCTGAGCAGACGGGAGGACTATAAGGCTGGGGTCCTGCGGCACGAGATACTCACCATTAACCTGGACGGTTAGAAGCTGTGGATTAAGAATAGTGGACTATTCACCTTTCCAGCCGACTAAAACGGAAATCGGTCGTGTCTGTGCAAGGGTTGGCGGACAATGTGCGGTCCCAAATGTGTGGAACCAACACTCCCGCCTGCCAAACGGCGTGCCTTCAGGTGTGAGGACATTTGCAGATCGACAACCATGCCGCTTGGTCTGCAAAGCCGCAGCATGGGCCGACCTGAAGAGAGGGCATGCAGATGCGGATGCAAAGTTCCATGGGGACTTCGACATTACACACATCCTGCATTTTTTCCATGGCTCATAGGTACCTAGTATCAAAACAAACTATTCGAAACGTAGCCCAACCGAATTCTTACGTCCTGTCAAAGACGACGATGGTTCTAATGTGGTCTCCAGATTACTCGTAATTACCTTATACTCACGGCAAGCGACCAGCATTCCAGAGACCAGAGAATCATTTCGCTCCAACGAAGAGCAATGGTACTCGCAACGGAAGTACAAGGATATAGCATTCGGCCAGGAAACAGCTGGAGGAAAATGTACATCCAGTGTAATGTATCGCTCAGCCTGATTGACCTCATGCCGGCTTCCTGCAAGTTCCTCCACGATCGACCGCCACTGCTTGGCCTAGGGACCCAAGGAATCGCGGTATGCTACACCCAGAGCATACTCAGTTGGGTGTAACATCGGTAAAGACTCGAACCTAAGCCATACAGCGTGCTAGCTCAACAACCTTCCCTCCCAATTGTACTCCCCTTCGCTTCGATCCTAGTTCGGACAAGGGACGGATTATCGCAGGGTATCCTGGCGCAGAAAAGTAGGCCGAATCGATCCACGGAGCGCGATTGCTCACAGAGTCAGATATTGTACTGTTCGCTTTCTGAACTAGGTACCCTGTCTGGCAGATCAACGTATACCTGGGTAAGTATTGAGGGTCACCAGGGCATGGCGGAAAAGTGCATGTTCGCCCATACATCCCCGGGCCGGACACTGAATATACACGGCACAATCCTCGGATGTACTTGCATCAATTGATTCGCCGTTTCGGCTCGTCCCGGTCTACTGGTCTTCATGCTAATCCACTCCCCCCCTTACACGCAGCCGCCAGCAGTAGTCCGGTACAGTAATTGGTAAGGAATCCGAGGATACATGCTGGCCTAGATACGGGAATTCCTCGTTGAGAAAGCAATCTGTTGCCTTCTAACCTAACGATGCCTCGAAATCAATGCTGGATGGCGGCGTGAACGACTCGGCGCCTACGTTGCGCCACGCCCCTGCATTCTGATCAATATCACGGATATCTGCTCCACCAATGCAATGCTCGCTATCCAAGTCTTCTAAGACAGTGTTATAGAAGAGGATACTAGTCGATGTTAGATCCGTTCTGGCATCCTCTGCTGCGCTTAAGCGTCTCGGACTTTAAGATTATGTGCTGTGATAGTATTGCAGTACTTGTCATTAAAAGTCTATTGGTGGGTTTATCGATAGTTTGGACTTAGCGGCATATATGGGCTCAGTCCGTCTTTGCGGCACAGCACTCCATCCGGCAAGACTTACTCTCTGACCTTGCGCTCCTCCATCGCCCTCGGATTGCTGAATGGAGCGGTACCAAACAGCAAAGCAAGCACGAGAACACAGAGTGGCAATGCTCGACCATTGGTAGTCTGCTTCGAATGTTGCAGTGGCAGCTAGGCATCTCATAATTCAACCAACACTGGCTCAGCCGTGAACTCGAAACGACCCTCAGCGCAACCCCCTCACCTATTGCAATCCTGAAAGAGCCATGGATGTCATAGCGGGTCGAATTCTTGGTCACTACTCCGTACGGAGTACTCCGTACTGTAATAGCATCTGCTAGCCGCGATGATGATGACTTTCACAATCCGACCCCTGTAGGGTATGGTATGATACTACGCCGCCAACATGCTGGAGTGACCTGAGAACGCGTACTGCTTCATGCAGTCTGTGGCACGCACTATAACGATCGGGAGGGATATTGCGGCGCACAATCGAATACGCAGCGGTGCGAAGATGGGTGGATGGGTATCCCAGAAGTCTTGTTGGACCCTAAACGCTTCGATATTCGAGGCAGAAGGCAGAGAAGTAAGCTAAACCTGTATGGTACTAACGCTTGCCTATGCATGCAAGTTTGCCTTTTTGCCTTTTTCCTGGCATCTCACCAGCCAGCGTCCATATCATACGCCTCCCACGGACTGACAACATACCTACAGGCTACAGAGCAGTAATTCACGACGACTGCAACCCCCTTCCATCCCCCCTCAACGTTAAAGTGGGGCACAGGTCTCGTCGGCTATGATCCCGATTCCAAGCGAAGCAATAGACGCTCAATGAGCGCTGAGCAGGCTCCAAATATGCTCAAGATCGGATCGTATTCGCATTATTCATCGACCGTGAGTTTGGCGACTTTGCGTCAAGGACTCACTGAGGTTTCCAACCCTCGAAATGCCGCGGCTCCAACGGGTCGTTTATAGGTATTCTGCGGCTCGTGTGCATGAACAAGCCGCATTCAGGAATGGCGCGTCTACACTCCTGGCCCCCGTGATTCTCAACGTATGTACGAGTAGGTACCATATTCCTCCGTAGTCATACCAATAAGATTCGTTCCGCACAAGTCTGAGGGTGGTGAATCGTTCGTCCACATCATGGCAGTCTACCTTTCTCTAGAGCGCGCCTGACGGAGACTTTCCTTTTGCTTTGACCTTCTCAAAGTAGCACCGGACCATGAGCCAAACCTCGCCGCAAAGATCCACTTCTTTTCAGCAGTCATATTGGATGATCATTTCAATCTGGGCCCATATTCCTATCCCGCATGCTCCACACCTTTGACTGTGCCTCCTGCTACGGAATTGCGGATAATTACCTTACGCTGTGCGACGGCGACTGTCCGGGGGTTCATCGGTACTTCATGTAAAGTTGTTTGTAAACGAAACGCTCCAACTTCTAACTTCGGATTCCGTTTTGAGTCACAGTGCTTATTTAGTGCAGTGCCTCCCGAAATAAAGTGTAACTTCTGCATGTGCCTTCTTGTCATTTGCTTGGCACGTTTCCTGCTCATCTGAACCTAATGCGTCGCCATAACTGCGGCGAGTATGTGATCCTGCCGCTGCCGCATTGTGAAGCAATTTTTGGAAATGTGAAGGAGCCTTCTTATGGCCATTGGCATGGTCACCTTCGTTGATGACGGCATACAGTACGTTTCTACGCGTTGTCCGCCCTCATCTCATTGGAGAGCGGAGGGGAGACTGCATAGTACTGAGATTTATTGCGGGTATAAGTGATAAAATTACTCGTGTGACAACATACCAGTGTGAAAATTTGTCGGTAGTTGGTTGGGGTTATGGACATTTCGCAATTGGCATTCGAGCTCCAGGTTATGGATCAAAACAAATTCAAGAAGGCGATGAACAGTAGGTAGTGAGCACACCTCTTTGATCGCAGCGCGTGTCACATGAGAAGAATACCTCTTTGATTCCAAAATATTAGCCAACCCAACCGGCGATCTCTGGAGTAAATGGAAAAGCCATGTCGTTAAAGCACGAGCATCACAAGACTTTATCGACGTCCAGGTTCTAATTATAAGACACGAAAAGGTTAGTTCACGCGATCTGGATCGAGAAACGGTTGACATCGCGAGGCGCAAATCGACTGAGTGACTGTAATCATCAGTGAGCACGCGTGGCCTCGATTGGGCGGAGGCATTACGGCCTGACGGCCCGAATTATCTGTAACATGTTGTAGTGAGATGTGGTTGGAGGGTGGGGGATGAAATTTGAGCTGTATACGGTTATCGAAGTAGTTTGTACCATAGGATCTTTGAAACCCTTTCCTAGAAATTTAGAGAAGTATTGTTCAGAACGATAGCCGGCGCTTCTTCGATGATGATCAGAAGCATGGGAAAATCGTATTGTAAAAGGAAACGGGGTTGTTCGTTCTATGATTGGCGCGTGCCACTCGGTGAAACAGCCATTAACGGGGAACCAAGAGATACAAGCGACATCAAGACCCAATGGTAAGTTCTTCGGCAGTACTATGCAATGATGCATAGCCTCGCAAACGATGGGTCATTGCGTTTAGGGCTGAACTTTTGTTGACCTCATGTCTTGCAGCAAAACCTAGGCAGGGTGACATAGACTGTCACATGGCAATGGTCAAATCTAGCCATTGAGCATGGCGAAGAGGAATATAATTAAGATACAAAGAGATTTGTCTGAGTCATATGGAGGGTTGCGTGAGCATTTAATTTCTTTAAGAGAAAAGAGACTGCATCTAGCTGGGAGACCGACAGACAAGAAAGGAAATCTGACAATGAGAGTGTCGCTCCCAACATGACAGGTGATTAGGATTATGGGGGATTATACTTACCTTTGGTACCGGGACATTTTACCTTTCAACCAAACATCTCCTATCCCAACCACACTATCAAAACTAGGTATCTAATATCCAGTCGAAAACAACAAGGAGAAACCCGTTAACGTTAACCTGTGGATGACTGAACACAATCCTCGATGAATTCCGGAGAGGGGGGTTAGCCTTCCAAGATCCTCCTCTTTCCAACCGGGCCTCTCTTTTGCATCGGTTCGATGCCCAGTTCGGCATGACTTTCTCTTTGGTGGTTCTTCAATGCATCGCCCCGTCTGAACTCGTGTTTGCATACCTCACATATAAGCAACATCTCGACCTCGCCATGCTTTTGCTTCACGTGGCGCTGCATGTTGCCGACGGCGTAATGTCCCGAACAGGTCGTTGAACATTGGGGAAATGAACAGTGTAATCGAATCGCCGTCTCCTTACGACCATCCCGCTCGATTGAAAAGTTAGATGGATCCATAGCATATTGATTATCTGTAGGTCCAAGTGCAGGTGACGAGCTCAAGCCACATCCTCTGGGGAATATGTTCTTTTCGAAGACGGTATTTGCACTCCATAAGCAGTTAGCGAAGCTCTTTCGTATAGAAGATCATATATACCCTCGAAGGCTCGATGATTTGGGGACTATAACACTGGTACCACGATTCTGGTGGTGTTGTGTATTTCCCACGTCTTTCACTGATGGCATACAGGTACTCCCATGGTATGATGGAGAGGGTCTGTACAACTTTCGTGACTCGCCCGAGAAAACACTCTTGCATGCCCTATACTCATTCCCTGCCGACATCTCCTTGAAAGATATACATACACGGTCGTGGTCGTCAATGGCATTGCCGATTGCCTCTGGAATTCGACCAGACGGGGCAAGAGAGGATTGCACGAAAGTCTTAGCTTGAGACTCGCCATAGTTTGATTGGTCCAATGTATATTGATGATGAACGGCTGGCGGCCACACAGATGGAGAACATGCAGGATTGAACATGTGAGTGTTCATGCTGCCATATGCCCGGAAATCGGCATGCTGGTATCTTGAGAACTTTTCTTGTTGCTGAATATCGGGTCGTCCCTTCTCCATATCAATTGGAGGATGTGTCATGATATAATTCGTGCCATTCGCGCCGTTGTTCATCTTCAACAGTCAGTCCTCTGTATCATACTCGTATTCGCTCTCACGGCCAAATGCTTGAAGTTGGCAATATTACCTACCTTGAATAGCGGTGTACCGGCCCTTTAGGTGCTCGAAAAGCCACTCCTATGCAAGGTTAACGTCCCCGAACCATGAGGCACAATAACTCGGAGAGATGACACACCCCAGGGGGTAGGGTTGCAGCAAAATGGATTTAGGGCTTCGTCGAGAAAACTTCCTTTTTTCTCTTTTTTCAGGGCGAATTGGTGTACTTAAGCGTCATCCGAAGGCTAACAAGCAGCGCCCTTAATGCGAGTGGATTTGGCGTATCCTGTTTCTGTCAACGACTAGAGATGGCGAGAATGGCCTGCCATTAAAGCATCGCCACTATTGAGACGTGGTTATCTTTCCTGCATGCCGCAAGGGCTCAATCGAACCAAAGCGAATCAAGTATCGTACATTCGAAGCCTCACCTCTGCCGATGATCTGGCGAAGCCAGTCATATCGTCCTGGGCAACGTGGATGATCTGGATAGATCGTTCTTGCCGGGCGACACTCCGAATGTTACTCAGAGGGTGGCCTTCATGCCAACGCAGAGACAGGGTTACTGAATCCAAACGAGAGGGGCTCCGTTTTCGCCTCTTGAGATTGTTGAATTCTAGTACGTCCAGCTTAAGACTCGGGGAAGGACGATGCGTTGTCTGGCGAAGGGTTTCCGGTGAAATTTTGTACCAAGGGTTCGAAGACAAGCCCACCTGACAGGGACCAACCGCACAGGAAGACCAACGGAGTCAGCAATTGGAGCGCTGCATTGCCCAAGGCCACAGGCGTTGTGGCGTGAGCGGGGTCGTTGTGTTTCGTCAAGAGGTTGATCTGTGGTTGCAATGATAGTATGGGCAAAAGGGCGCGCAGAGAAAGGGCATAGACAAGTACAACATATCAAATACACAGTGAACTTCATTTTGAGCCAGTGTCAGAGCTATTTGAATAACGACGTTGGGCACAACGCAGCAATATTCGAGCCCGAACAGCTCGTGCCAGCTCGTGCGGACTCACTGGCAAAATAAATCTCTCAAATCATGTTCAAGAAGCAGGCGCCACAAACTTCTTCAACTCATGCAATAGCTATAGATAGCTTGCCACAACGAAGCGCTAGACATGCGGTGTGCCCGTTGGGTAGCCTGGGAAGAAGTGCATGTGGAAGGTTGAAAGCTGAGAGCTGAGAGCTGAGAGCTGAAAGCAGACGGCAATGGTAGCAATCTGGAAATCCAACTCCACTTCGCCCGACAAAGAGGTGTTTACCAACAACCATAACCGCGGCCATGGGTTGCGAAATCCATGGGTGGGTCAGACTACTCGTAGCATTACTCGCTGCTATTAAAACGTGAGGTGTATGGGACAGCCAGGCTCGTATTCGATCCTTCAGCCTTGCGGCCCTTGACATTGTCTCTGCAAGTAAATCTGGATGCATACATGTCAATACGACATTGGATGATGTGTGTATGTGTATGCATTCATGTATGTACATACATCAGTCAGATGCATAGATAACAGAAGGACAAGGCTTCAATCTGCTTGCGCCATGGCGAACCGAGGGTTAAGATCTACTTGACGCTTCGAATGATTGCGATTATTGTAAGAACCGGTGACATTATCTGTGAGAAGATAAGATTGTCTGATGGTTAATGACATCATCGGGAGGGTTACCACAACAGGACGGCCTACACTCTACACAAGTACCTATACGGGGCATCTGTATGTTGCTGATTTATTGAATATCAGCAACGATCCAATTGGTGATACGGAGTATATCGTGTAGAAAACGGTCAACGTGGGTCTGTTAATTAACTATTGGGATCAACATTTGCAATCGAATGGACTTCTGGCGTGGGCGTTTGCTTGAGACGACCGTCAATTTATGAGTACTCGTGATCATCTGGCCAACATTGGGTTTCATTCATGGGAGTCAAGATCAAGATCAGAAGATGAATTGAAATGGGAAATGGGGGTTCCATGTGTTACATCTTCATCAAAGGTGGTGGTCTTGAACAGTACCTTACTATCGAGAACCTGCCTACTCGTAACTACCTACTGTGTAGGTAGGTGCTAGTACCTAGGTACCTAGGCACCTATGTACGTGTACAAGTATCACAGTAGAACCTACGAGTACGGAGTACCCGCCGCGTGCTTAACCACTTACCTACCTCGTACCTACTTGACCTCTCCCCGAGAAAAAAAAACACCCTTAAAAAAGGTACCTTGTAAGACTGGGCACTACTCATTAGGCACCCACGTAATTACCCATGTACCCAGAAGTATCAGTCACGTGATAAAGGTCAGTCAGCATTGGACCAATGGGAGAGTGAATCGACACTGCCGAGACCTCCCCGACCTGAGTCCTCTCCTCTCCTCTCCTGTCTCCTCTGACTCTGATTTTGACTCTGACTCCGACCAGTATCACCTCACACTACACACTACACACTACACAGTTCACACTGCCTCGCTATTCATTACTGCACAGTGTACAGTCGTCAGTAACTACTCTGTCCGGACTATACCTGTTCCTGTCCTGTTACTACGAGTAACCATAGTCTTGGACCTGTTAATGTCTCTCCCCCTATCCAATTAAATATTCCTTCAAATCACATTTTACCATCCTTCATATGGAGTGCACACACGTATTTGACCTGTGTTAAGTTAAATATTTGTCCTTCATGCCAAGTACGTGCTTCATCACTTTGCTTTGTACGGCTGAATAATGCCAACCAACTTAGGCCAGACATGCCAGGCAACCATTAGGCTGATAATTTACCTCGTAATCGTATCATTCTTGATCACAAACGGAGCTGTTCACCGGGCAACTCGCTAGATACCTCCTCGCTTGCTTTTATTTCGCCCATCTGCTATCAGACGTCCACGACCTTTCTCCCCTCATCCCCACGCCGCCACCTCTCTGGGCCATTGCTGCCCGTGTACCGCAAATATAACACATCCACACTTGGCTCCTCGGTCCATATGATAATCGGTCTCCTATCGCCTCCGTAGCTCCTGCAAACGCGCGTTGCAGCACACCTTCCTCCAAGCCGCGAAGAAGCTCACCTCTTGCACCCGTCGTCGATTGATACCCAAACCTCCACCTTGATCTGCCTTGATATACTGTCCAAAGACAATTGAGTGTCGCAGCTGGAGGAATAGAGGCCTGGCGTGAGCGCGGCCTCGGCCAGGCTGGATTGGTATTCGTACATTCATCTTCGAAGATCGTGAAGAGCCAAGACATAAACAGGGCGTAGTATCTCTTCCCGTCGGCATGAGTGATATGTACCATTGACTTGGATCACATTGTCACTCTACAATACTAGAATTTTGTGTTGTTCATTCTGCCCCGCATTTGTTGACCGTACAACAAATTGTTTGTTTGCGGACTACTGGCCGACGCATGAAAATACTCTCTCACCACGATCGCCGGGGCAACCACAGAGTGTTACCATCTTTCGCGAACTATACGTACCATTTTCGCGTCTGGCTGCCTTGAACTGTACCTGTGTATCATACTTAGGCTCTTGGTTTTTCTTTCTTCCTTGCCTCACTTTGCTACCTTGGTACTGACTGTCAGTCAACACCAATACTGTCGGCGTTTATGATGGCCACCAACGACTCAACGCAACCCACCCAACCTGCTACTCAGCAGGTACTTGATCCCCGACGATTAGGCCGTAACCACTCTGGACTTAACGAGAAAGATGTAGCAGACGTGCTCGCCGTCTTGCATCCAGCATCGCCAGGTGCCATCAAAATTGTAGAGGATATGGCAGCGACAAGGCGACAGCACGTCCTATTTCGCAATCCATACGACGACTCGTTCGGCGAATATTCAGACATTGAAGAGCAGGAAACCATTATCATAAGCCCACCATTCGAGGAACCAACAAGAAACTCCGGAATTGGTGCTGACCTAGCTTTGCGCATGTCCTCCCCTTTGAAAGAGCCTAGCCTCGGATTCGTTTTTGGGCGTAACGAGAGATCCTCAGACATAGTTTTTGGTTCGGATTCTGGGAAACGTATCAGTAACCAGCATTTCCGCATATACCTAAACGAGAACACCATCCTCATGCTAGAAGACATGTCAACCAATGGAACACTTGTCGATGAGAATTTGTTAAGAGGTCGCGAATCAGGGCGATTTGCCAAGTCACGGATGCTCAATTCTGGCTCCATCATATGCATCCAGAACGCCAATGAAAATGAGGTCATAAAGTTCATCGTTCGCATTCCATCGCGTACATCCCATCAACACCACTACCACGAGAACGTTCGTGCATTTCTAACAAAGTGTGTAAGAGGACCCGAGCAGCTCAAAGGTGGGTCCCCCTTTTTATGGAGGAAGCTCAGCGACTAATCATTTCACAAGCAGCCCTTCAACGCCTGGGGAAAGATCGTAGCGGACCGCCGATGCATTGGGATGGTGGAGTAAAGTACAACATCATAGGTCAGTAGTGCACCAAGTAAAGATCAGACGAAATCTGGACTAAGTGGAATCTAGGTCTTCTTGGAAAGGGTGCATTTGCGACGGTTCATCAACTTGCCACTAAGATTGACGGTAGTTTGCTCGCGGCAAAGGAACTTGAAAAGAGACGTTTCATGAAGAATGGCCAGCTTGACAAAAAGATCGACAACGAGATGAAAATCATGGAGGAATTGCGACACCCCAACGTTGTCCAGTTTGTCGAGTACTATGACCAGGGCGACTTTCTTTACATTATCATGGAGTTTGTTCGGCACGGTGATCTGCAAGGATATCTCAATCAACGGGGCCGCATGCCAGAGTCACTGGTCCGGACGATGGCCCAACAAATCCTGAGTGCCCTCGCCTATCTCCATCGAAGGAAGATAACGCACCGCGACATCAAGCCAGATAATATACTCATTGCAAGTTTCGAGCCTTTCAGTGTCAAGCTGTCTGATTTTGGGCTGTCTAAGGTTGTCAAACATGACGAAACGTTCCTAAAGACTTTCTGCGGCACACTTCTATATTGCGCACCCGAGGTTTTTCCCGATTTCGATGGAAGGGCAACTCAGGGAACAAAACGACGCCGTGGAGCAAAGCAGCAATTTCATTCGTACAGCTCGTCTGTGGACATTTGGTCATTTGCTGCTGTTCTTTGGTATGCGTTGTGTGGCAAACCGCCTTTCGAAGGCATCGCCGACGCTACGGGTCGAGCGATGTACAACAATATCATGACCACATGCCTAGATACGACTCCCTTGCGAGAAGCCAACGTATCCGATCTATGCATTAACCTTCTTTGCCGCATGCTGCAGACCGATCCAGCCCTTCGCCCGACAGATCGAGAGTGTCTTAATCATCCTTGGCTAAGAGAGGGTGTCGCAGTAGCAGTACTTGAAGATCCGACCCTTCAAAGCATTCTGGAGGAGGATGAATCAGAGAACGTGGAGGAACAGCTCTCCCAACTCAATTTTTGTGAGGATCTTCTGCAGTCTGACGATTACGGCTGTGATGTTCTTGAAGATGCCGAGTTCGAGCAACTCGTGAGCGACCGGCAATCTAAGAAGATACGTGTAGATCCACTGGTGCCGCGGAACCAGATGCGCGATAAAAACCACGGCGCTAGCTCGAACCCTTCATTTCAATCAGAACACCTCGATGATGACAAAGATGCTGCTGAGAGCTTCAGGATCGAGATGAAGCCTTTGGACAAGCAACGACTCTTCGGGGAGATTGGACAGTCTGCACTCCAGAGCTCAGGAATCCTCAGTGCTCATGCAAATGATGCTCTTTCACATGATGACACCAGTAGCGAGGTTTTGCCCGATACCATCCTTCCCGACCAAGTAGCGATTACTAGCAACCGTGGGCTACAGGAACAGGTAGACACTTCGGGTCACAAGTACCTCCCCCAATCCAACACAACGTTCTCGTCACCAAGTCTGCTTGGCGCGGAATCAATGGTTCGCGATTTGAATATGATCTCGGCTCAGTCCCCACCATCTGGCGCTCACAGCCCTGATAGTCCCGCAACCCCAAGGACACCAGCGGCTTCCCAGCATAATGCTCCTAGCACAGATGTTTCGCAGCATAGCCAGGTCAGCGAAGCGACACCTAGAGCCAAGCCTCCCCAACTGGACAGACAAATCAGCTTACCGAAGACGGCCTCGTTCTACTATGACCCTTACGACCCTAGTACCCACAATCTCGAGTATGCAAGCAAAGTCAGCGGATTTGATTTTGTTGGAGCCGCAGCAGCCAAGGTTGCCGAGACAAAGCTGCCTGATACGATGAGATATTCTACCGATGCTGGCAATTGCAGCGGTGGTGATGTTTATCATAATGACCATCAAGATTCAAGTGTCATTCCAGGACTACCATTAGATCTCGATATCAAACCCCCTCCCCGCCGGTTGGGAAAGCTCGTTGCTACTGCTGACTCGTTTGTCCCGGGTCTTACCCTTAATATTGAACGAAGCCTGACGTCGTGGGGTCGACTTCCAGCAAACACGATAGTATACGAAAATCCACAAGATACCCGTGTTCCCAAAACAGCTTTCGGGATTTTCTGGTACTCAACTGATGTGGGTAGTCCCAGTGTCGATACGCTCTCCCAGCAGGGCAAAGATTGGACAACCTTGAACAGTCTATATGTGGGTATTTCAACTGGTGCCACGTCTGGCATCAGTATCAATGGGAAACATCTCCGAAAGGTGGACGACAAGGGCCGTCCGTTATTTGGACACTTGCACAATGGGGATATCATCCAAGTGTTTCAGGATGCTCGCGGAGTCGAATGCCTGAAATTCAGATGCGAGATCTACCACGGCATCGGGAAAGATCCACGCGCTCCGGGCGAGTCGTTTGATATTTTCACAAAGAAGAGAGATCATCTCTAATCCACAAGCCTCCTAGGCACCTCGATCCAGAAACTGCCATGTATCTTAAGTGGGAGTTGGTGGCAATTTACTGTTTGCTGTTCTTGTCGGGCCTTTGTGCATAGTATATCCTTTCGCCGCTGTCAGATTTATGAGATTGGGGGATTTCTAAACTGGCGATCCTCGAAAAATGCGGATAGACACGGTGCTCCAGAAGACGGGCATCACTGAAGCTTCACAAACTATTGGTACGAGTGTAAATACCCGCGAACCTTTATTGTACGAGTACGGCGCGTCCCCGTATGCAATAAATGGCAAATATATCAAGTATTAGCTAGAGATATTATAATTAGACCCTCATAATCGATACAGGTTTCGCTCTCGTATCGCATATTTTGTTGGAACAACGAATGACTACCTACACTACGTGATTACCCAGATACCTTAGCTGCTTAGGTAGTTAGTAGGTACCTAAGTAGTCACGAGTTAGGTTACAGTATTTAGATGACGTAACACTATCGGCGGAACAAACCCTTGAATAATTAACTTTGCCGCCGAATTCGCTCCATAAATATCCATCTCTCAAACCTCATATTCTTGCTCAACACAACGATAGTTTTATTTGGCAACTTCCTCTTCTTCGGCATAACGATAGAACCATGCGCCCTATACCCCCATTCATCACACCTAGACTGCTCTCATCAATCCCTTCAGGCAGATCTACAACTACATTCCGCACGCGACAAGGGCCATGTCTCCTATGCATCCACAGAATCTCCACCCGGTCGTCTCCACGCCTCCAGCAATCCACCACCACTTCAAACACGACCAAAGAGGATACTAGAGCCGCACCGCAAACCCACTACACTTTCTTCCCGAAATCCCTTCCAGCCGGGCCGCCGCCGCAGGGTGATTTCTCGATAGATCTATCCGCGCTGAAGCGAGAATTTCTGCAACTGCAAGCGCGCGCCCACCCAGACTTGCACCCTCCAGCGGACAAGAGCAAGGCGCAGGCGCTCTCTGCGCGGATAAATGAGGCATACAAAACGCTATCATCTCCACTGTCGCGGGCGCAATACTTGTTGACGCTGCGGGGGATCGAGGTCGCAGAAGATGAGACGGCCAAGGTGGAGGATCCGGAGCTTTTGATGGAGGTACTGGAGACGAACGAACGGATTGAGGAGGCGGAATCGGAGGATGACCTCGTGGTTCTTAAGAATGAGAATGAAGCGAAGGTGAGACGGAGTTTGCAGATTCTGGAAGAGGCTTTCCGGGAAGATGATGTGGATGCGGCGAAACGGGAGGCAGTCAACTTACGCTATTGGGCGAATATTGGAGAAAGTCTTCATGCGTGGGAGAAAGGGAAGCCGGTTCAATTGATACATTAGGGTTGGCTTACGAGCAAGAGCAGAGGCGGAAGTGTAGAAGGATGCGAAAACGTCTACCTGACGGTGTATAGATTACCGAGTACATGATACCCAACTTCATAGTTCGATTCTGGGGCACGGCGCCTTACTGGTCACATTGATATTGACACTGTACTACCATTATAAATGCAATAGGGTGAAACTCAAGGCTAAGCTTTGTTCCCAAATAAGGAGTACTTCAAAGCATCATCTATAGCGCATTGTGTGTAGGTAGGTACTAATAACTCCATCCATCAGAGGAACGAGTAATTGATTGTACAGAAAGCTCAATTACGTTCACCGTCTAATATAATAATGCCACCACTACCTACTGACCACGATTATACTGTATTGATATTGATACCCAATCATCACGTTTTGCCATCGGGCATCTCCGAATAATGTTGTTTCCATGACCAGCTTCTAAACCGAGTTAAGCGTCGCGATAGGCCGAGGCTTTCCATTATTCATTCATATCTTCAAGTTCCGAGCGCGCAGAGCAGTTACCCCTCCTCTCCTTCCTTTCCACCATGTCGACATCAAATTTTCGACCTATTCCCGCCGAGGAGGTCGCAAAATCAAGCGATGGGTTGATTCACGGCGTTTCGGCTGCAGAGCTACAGGTACTCGGCTCGGAATGTAACGATGCGAAAGCCACGGCATATTGTAAGCTTTGCCCCTCCATGAGACACAATAGATATTGTCGCGCAGTCGAATCAATGTATGTTTACTTCGAACTAACATGGAGATCGTTTTATTAAGGTCCATACTCTCTCTTTCGAGTCGGCGCATCTCTCCTCATTCGCAGCCCCTCGCCATCAGGAGCTGAGCATCACATCGTATCAGGTGCCAACGTCGAGAACGCATCCTACCCCGTGGGAACCTGCGCCGAACGCACCGCGATGGGCACCGCAGTACTCCAAGGCCACAAAATTGGTTCCTACAAGGCAATCGGCGTCTCTACAGACATGGACGACTTCTGTTCGCCGTGCGGCATGTGCAGGCAGTTCTTGCGCGAGTTCTGCGAGGACAGCGTGCCAATTTTCATGTTCAACAAGAAAGGGGAGTTTAAGGTAAAGACCATGGGTGAATTGCTGCCATTGAGCTTCGGGCCGTCCAGTCTTCCATCTAGGGATCAGTTGAAGGGCATCGTGGAGGATGGGAAAGACAAGAAAGCTTAGTTTTCGCAGTTTAGAAGCAATTCCTTATTAAGGTCATTCAACGAGGATGAGAAGTCCACGATAGTATTATAATGTCCAGGTCACATGGAGAGATTTCGAAGTCAGGAACGAGGGTTGACATGATGGGGGTTTCCGCACAATTTACACCGTACAATATAGCTCTAGACAGATGATCGATGACATGTTTGAATTTGTGATATTCTTTCTGCCGGAACAGCCAAATCTTATTAGTTACGGCTTCGAGTATCACGTACTGCATTGCACTCCTACCTACCTACCTACCTATAGGCATCTACTCCGTATGTTAATGTACAACCATCTTTAAGCTTAGGAAGACCGTAGGGGTCGCACGCCGGTAGGTATGGTGACTAGCCAGGTAGCGATAAGCCCATCCTTGATCCGATAAGCAACCCACGTCTTCCCCGTCTCCAGCCAAACAACAAACGATGAACTTGTCCTGTCCCATCATCCCATCTAAACTAGACTGACCGTCTGTCTGACTGACTATGCATCTCCGCGCCCCGTGGGTATGCGTTAGCAACGTAATATGGCTTGCATCCCCATTTTGCCAATCACCTCATCGAGAAAACAAATACTCACTCAATTGATTTGTGAACAAAAACCACAATAATATATCTTCTTCCTCCACTTCCTCTTCTCTATCTTCCCCAAGCCCATTCCCAAGCCCAAGCATCTCCTCGGGCCCTCCTCACTCCGTGAACTGACATTGACCAGTCGACTATGTCGAACGAAACACCAACATCACACGAGATAGCGCAATCGGAGCACTTCTCGCCATACAGGTCAGATGGAAAACTCGTGAGTTGATCTCTAGTTCATTTATCTATCTATCATCATGAAAGCCCAATCAAGGTAGCCGTCGTAACAACTTGCACATATCTAACTGACATGGTGGTGATCCTCTAGTATGGCTTCGTCTGTGTCGTGACCGGAGCCACTCAAGCTGTTGGCAAAGCCATCGTCACTGAATTAGCAGGTATTTCGATTTTTCCCTTCATCTTATGGTCCAATATGACACTCCCTGGTCGCATGTGACTTTCAATCAACGTGAAGCTTAACTGAAAATAATGACCAGCTCACGGTGCTGCCTGTATCTACGCATGTTCGTCCCTCCCAGACGAGCCCTATGCCGAGCTCGCCGAATCAGTCAACGCCCAATTCCCCAATACCAAAGTGATCGGCTACCCATACAAGATCACATCCGAGGAAGATACTTTGGCCCTCATTGATGATGTCCTGAATTCATGGGGTCGCCTCGACGTCTGGACCTCGTCGACAGGCCTCCTCGGACCCCATAGCATCACGTCGACCGGCCCGAGAGATCTTTACAGCGCATTCGAGACGAATGCCATGCCGGCTTTCTTTGCGCTCAAGTACGCTCCTGCTGCTATGCAGAAGACTACACCCAAGGGCAGGTACCCTAATGCAGCGCCAAAGGAGTGAGCCGGCCCCCTCTTTATACCACTAGATATGTGTGGCGTCTTGTTATCGTTGCAGGAGAAAGCAATTTGGCTGACTCGTCATTATAGTCAAGCATATGGCTCCATCATAGTCGTCACCAGCGTAGCCGGGACCTACGGCGGTTGCTGGGGCCCTGCCTTCACGATAGCATCGCATGCCGCTCTAGGTGTCGTGCGCTCCGGGGTTTCGATCCTAAAGGGGACGAATGTGCGCATCAACGCTATAACGGCAGGCCAGATCGACGTGGGAGTCTCTTTGAAAGATGCCGGCCTCGAAGGCGGTCAATTCCCACCGGCGGGTCTGCAAGATGAAGAGGTGCAGAAGAAGATCATCGGACTGGAGAGGGCCGGGCGCCCCGATGAGGTCGGAAGAGTTGCTGGATTCCTGGCTAGCGGATTCAGTAGCTACATCACTGGCACCGAATTGAGGGTCGACGGAGGAGCGAGCGTGATGAATCCTCTGACAGTGCCAGTTTGAAGAGCTTCAGGGTTTATGAGTAGGGGGTGGACCACAGTGGTGGAGAGAAACAATCCTGGGTATTATCGACGTACGAAAGAATATTTAACTACACGAAAACAATATTGTAGATCATCATACACACTTAGAGCTCGTCCTTATAGATCTCCTCACTTCCCTCCTGTTGGTCTTCGGCACCCTGCCATTCCTCACTGTCCGGGGCTTTGGCTTTGGCTTTGGAGCTGGTCTTCCCTTTAGGTGATTCTCCATCTTCTTTCCTCCCATCCTTCGCTTTCTTTTCCACGTCCTCCTGATCCTCTATCTCGATGACTGCAACAAACTCTCTTCCTAATGGTGTTTCTATAAGTTCGAGCTTCCACGCTTTCTTCCCTGCACGCTTCTTGATGGTGGTCTTCAGCCTCTCCACGTCCTTGGGATTCTTGATATCAAGTTTCTTCATTTCGGCCACGCTTAATTGCTCTCCGGATGATGTTGCGATGGTGGCGAGATGAGTCTTCTTGCCTCCGCCGACGACTACACTTTTCTCGATCACCTTGCCTTCAGAGCCAACGAATTTCTGTGCCCCGACTTCGATGCCACCCACAATGGGTCCACGCTTTGTCGATCCTTCTGCACCGTCCGCGATTTCTCGCAATGGGTTTTGGTTTTCGAGAGCTATTATCCGCTCTGCTTCAGCAAGCTTGTCTTCTACTTGTACCATTTCCCAGGCCTCGGCTTCGAAATCTTGAACGACTGGTTGGCAATTAATTGTGTGTGCAAGGTTTTCTTGTGGTGGCAGAAAAGCAACGTCATTGCAAAGACGAGGAGTATTCACAATCATGAGATATGTGCAGGTGGCAGTCTCCTTGATCATGGCGATACGATCCGCCGACTGGGGATGGCAGTGGTACTAGTCACACAAATCATTAGAGAGAGGAGGCCAACGTCTGGAATGGGCCTACCTGAACTTCCACCTTTCTTTCTTTGCCTGTCAAGTCGCATTCAGTCCCTCCACTTATTCGTTGAACCATGTATCTCGAGCTTCCCTTTGTCTCTAGTCTAGCAACTTCTAGTGTAGATCCCGATGCAGTTTTCGGCTTTTGGATGTTGCCTTCGTCATCCATCGTCTCTTTAGTTCCCTCTTCTTTCCCGAGGGTTTTCTGTGTCTCCTTCGACGCCTTGGATTGATCACTGCCGTCCTCGGGCTTGGGAAACTTTCCTAACACGAAGCTATTGACAGCGGCATCTTCCGCAGGAGGATAGTGTGGCACACCACGACCCGGGGGTAGCGGGTGGAATTGTTTGATCTCCCCCTGGTAGCAAAAGCTATACGCCCACCACCCGCCGATGTAATAGATACAACTGTCCTTCATACCATCCAGCAGTTCCCAGCCTCTATCTGCGGCGCGCACCAATTCCTTCTCTTCCTCTGCTTTTGCTTGTTCAGCGCTTGCTGTTGCATTTACAGTCTCATCTTCTACGATGATGGGAATACTGCAAATATATCTTCGACCGTCAAGGACAACGGGCTCATAAGTATGCTCGAGCTCTTCAATGTCTGCCGGCGGAGCATGGCTCTGATGGTGTCCTTCCGTAAGCTCCTGAGTCTCTTGGGATTGCGGCAATGTAGAGGGTTGGATGTGAGATCCAGATCGAGCGAGGAGACCCGCCGCCTCGTCTTCAGTCAAGTAGGTATCCGGAAAAAGAACTTCATACTGTCGTCTCGAATTAGCAAAATGCTTCCAGGTGCAAGCATCGAGATATAGGCGAATGTATGCTTGAGAGAGGAGTTTACCTGAGGGAATGCGAGGAGATCATCAAACACGCTGAAAGAATGCTGACTTGCGAGCGCAAGACGCAGGAAAGCAGGTAAAGCCCAGAAATTCTTCATCGTGCCGTTCGACACTGACTTTGAAAGAAGCTTTCTTCGTAAAGTTCAAGTTGTTGGAGATCCAGCCCGTGGTGGCGCGGTACATCATCCAGACAGATGTCACTTTCCGAAGCTCCTCGCTCAAACTAGCCTATCGTAGACTAGCGCGTTCATTCGCCTCCGCGGCAGTCACCTCGTTCGATGACCTACTTGTAAGTTGTAATTATCGGTGCCGGGCGCCTAGCGAGTACATTTAGTCGCCTAGGTATATATCTAGGTATTCAGTGGTGCGTGCAGCAATATGGCGAACGATCGTTGATTCACAGCTACGATCAATGTATCTAATCGTATTGGCGCATGGCCAATTGACATCCATGGATGGTGAAGATGGCTTACATGTTTACAGATTTGGCCAAAACTGATTACTACATCAATACAGGATTTCATCTGGCATCAATTATCTTAGCAACGATCTACAAACTGCAAGGGGAGCCATGCGTATAAATTGTATGAAATCGTTCGCTCGTCCAATCATTCCTGGACCATATGTCTTTTCTTCGACCCAGTTGCTTTAGCACTAACGTACATCTTGGGGCTACTTATAGGATTGGTCACCACAAGTTACGAAGAAGTATTGTGTGAGCTTACGCACGCTAGCGGGTAAATATCGATTCAGTCATCAACCCTTGGTTTCAGGTATCGTGGGCTGAGCCCACATTGCGGATTTCTAGACCTAGAAAGATAACCATAAAATGCATGGTGACTTTTCTTCTATTTTGCACAAGTACATATATTGTGTTAATTGAAAGTCTTTCATCAAACAAGTCATTCAGACATTAAGGATCACGGTCTTATGGTCTAGTGGTATGATTCTCGCTTAGGGTATCTAAGCATGCTTGCGAGAGGCCCCGCGTTCGAATCGCGGTAAGACCCCTTTTTTTGTCCCTTTAATGCACTTCTGTCTTTCGATTAGAAACGGCTTTGCTTTTACTTTTTTTTTTTCAATCAATCTCTCTGCTCACAGAGACCCTTCTTCCTTCCTTATTTATCATTTCTCTTGAATCTATTGACAGCCTATCTCTGTTTTCTCAGCCGTGACATTTGTTCAGCTGCGATATTCATTCTATAGGTGCCGCTCTGCTGCAACATGCTTATAAGTGTGTAATCTGATGACGCCAGCGGAGGAAACTATCGGAACCTGCTCCTATTACCCCTTGCACCTGTGTCTCACTCAAGTGAGAGTCAGAGCACCGTTTCCATCCATTTTTGAACATGACAAAGCTCCACAGCATGCATGACAGCATGACAGCATTCACTATCATCTGGCCCGCTCATTATTGCGTATTGTACTACAGTAGCCATCTTCAATAAATCACGAGTGAGTGAGTCATACGAACATACTGAATAGAAATACTCGACGCCCACGCCAATGATTTGCTTTCCCCTCATACTGCCGCAGCAATCGAAGACATGCCACCCTTTGCAACTCTTTATACTACTACCAAATTTCTGCATGCCAAAGTCACAAAGACCTTGGCAGCTGCCGCGCTGAACCACCTCGAAATAAAAGTTGATACTGACTTCAACTATCCCGTAACGAACAAAACTACGGAGTACCTCGCAAAATTTCCGCACGGCAAGATTCCGGCAATCGAGACTCCCTCTGGATTTTGCCTTTCGGAAGCAGGAGCTATAGCTCACTACGTTGCAGAATCTGGGCCTGCGAGGGATCAACTATTAGGTAGAAATCCCGAGGAGAGGGCTTTGGTGCAAATGTGGATATCTCTTGCAGACACCGATATCTTTCCAAATGGTATAATCATCATGCAGTCAAAATACCCTGCCGAAACCGAGTGCATGGCCAAGGATAGTTTTCTACGAGCGCTCGAACGCGTTGAGCAGCATTTGAGCCAAGAAGGAAAGGTTTGGATTGTCAGGAATGATGAATTCAGCCTTGCAGATCTGAGTATTGCAGCGAGTCTGTACTGGCCCCTGGAAAGGATCTTGGACGAAGAGTATAGGAATGAATTCCCTAAAATCATGGACTGGTGGAACAGGTTGATGAGGGTTGATGAGGTTGCGCAGGCGTACCAGGCACCGATTCAATTTTGCCACGTAAGCTCGATGCGGTAAAAGTCTGGATCAGGTTCGTCTTTTAAACATCATGGCTGCCTTGCAATTGCATGACATATCTTGCACAATCTTCAATTCAGCTCTTTCATTGCGTAACTCTATTTTTTTGCTTGAGCAACACCAAAGGTGGCGCCGCCTTCTGCAAGAAATCGTTCCTCCTCAGCTGTGGATTTTCGCCCGAGGGCGAGGTTACGATGTGGGTATCGACCAAATCTGTCCAGGATTTCCCTGTGCTCTCTTTCCGCTTTCAGACCTTGCTCTAAAAATTGACTCTGTCGTTCGACCCCCTCACTCTCGATATCTTCTTTGAGTTTTGCCATAATCTCCGATGCCTTGTTGTGTGCTTCAATGTTCTCGGAATGGATCAAGGGAAGGAAGAACCACTGTCTATGCGCAACGGACACTCGCCATTGCGGATGGAGATCCGGTCTCTGAATTGGACTGTCAGAGGACAGGAGGTGAAGGATCAACGAATACGCTATTTGGTCGTAATGACTATAGACCTTCGCGAGGCCACTTTTGTCGCGGAATATATTGCGAGTCATTTGATCGAGGAGTAGTACCATGCTGAGTGTCGTCCACGCAGCCTTCGATCCATCAGGGGTTGTATCATTTTGGACAACTTCCTCGATTTGACGTAAGAAAGGCTCCGCCGTTGGGCTTGGGAACTTCTCAGGACCAATGACCTCCAAAGCATGTTTGAAATTCTCACGGCATATGCTGTCAAATTCGACTTTCTCTTCGGGGGTGCCCATGAACCATCGTCGCAATACTGGGATGCTGACTTCTTTAGCATCAAGTGGATGTCCCTCGAACCAAATGTCTCGAACTCGATCATACAATTCGGAATTGAATATAGTTCTATCAAGTGTGAAGGAGCCCATCGCTCGTCGGTGATGGAATGAACGTAGTGAAAATAAGTGCAAAGAGTGTCGAGTTCCGGATAACATGTATGCCAATGTTATGGTTGTTGTTGTTGTTGTTGTTGTTGTTGTTGTTACAACACTGGGGAATTTTGTGTGGATTGTCGTTGGCTTTATTGTGACGTAGACGTTATTGTCATTAGTTTCACGGCATTGTCTATCTTTGCTTTAGTGTCGGTGGTTGGGAAGGCCGAAGCAACGAAAGACTGGAATTCGCTTACGGTTTTGCTTTTTGAATGCTTTGCTGACACAAACTTCTTATTGTGGTGTACGGACCAAAACATCCGGAGACCATGCCTGATGATCAAGCCTGTTACATTGTGCTCAGAATATTCTCCTCGATATGTTTACGTAGTAATTGATGAACATTCCGATTAGCTCACATTTCTCTTTCTGTCTCTCATTGGGGACAGCATAAAGATTGCCAGCATAGGCACAGAAGATGATAAACAAGCATTATGTCTTACAACAAGCAAGCCTAAAAGCTCAATTCGGCAAATACGATGATATCAAATTTGGAAGGTTCCAGATGAAGCCGGCCGATGTTGATTTTTCGCATATGCCAATCATACGAAAAAAAGACCCTACTGCAGGACAAGACGCATGGAAGTGTTCAATATCCCTCACTTTCAAACCGACTTACTTACTGTCATTGGCATCCCATCCCGTGGCCTGGCCTCAAAAACCATCTCCTGAAATGCGCGATCGCCGTACTTTAAGTCTAAATCAGTCCAAGTAACTCGCGGTGACTTGTTCGGCTTGAGACCATCGCAATGGAAATCAAAGTCCCGGATGACTAAGAGAAGAATAACCTTCAGTTCATCTAGGGCCAAAGCTTGACCCAAACACGCTCTGGAGCCACGCTCAAAGCTGCGGAAAGCATGCCGTGGAGACTCATTTCGCGAAAAACGATCAGGGTCGAATACAGAAGGTCGCGGGAAGATCTCCGGATTGTAATGCATTGTGTGAGAGACTGGGCATATCATATGGTCTTTGGTGGGATAATTTACGCCATTGAATGTAAGGAAGCCGTTTTCATCGTGCCCTCGTGCCGTGTGTCCGACAGGATAGAGTCGCAACGTTTCCTGGATCACGTTGGCAGTGAGGTGCAACTCGCTGATTTTGGCATGGTGTTGAGGGTCTTGGAGCATAGCGTAGGTGGATTCGACCGTTGGAGCGAACACCTGGTTGTGCTCCTCTCGCAATCTTTTGACGATATTTGGGTTATCAGAGAGCAACAGGAACACAAAACAGACTGTATCTGTTACCGTTCCATTACCGGCCAGGACAAGGGTCTTGATTTGCGTGACTGCCGAGGCCAAGAAGCCCATGTCGAGGGCTGTCGATTTCGACTGTTTGATTTTACGCATCTCTTCTAAACGATCGCGAAGCACAAGGTCCATGATGCTCAGGGATCGTTTGTGGCTTACATCGATGTTTCCTCGCTCCAGTTCCTCATAACGTTGTCGGATCAACTTCTCAATCAGAGAGTCTAGCTGCTTGGTTGCAGTCAGACGCCTTCGCCGTCCGAGAAGTCGCTTGAAAGGGTTCCAGCTGCGAGTTTCCATCGATAAGCCGTGAATCATATCGCCGAAATGTCGCAGAGCGGGGCTGTTCCAATCGGCCTGTGCCCCAAGGTTATATCCAAAGGCGGCTTTGCCTACGATATCGAATGTTAAACAACTAGAGGCCTTCTCTAGACTGAAAACCTCGCCAGACTCCGCTTTCTGCTGCAGGATTGACCGGAAGATCATGACTTCTTCGCCTATCATGCCTACCATACCACGTACTCGCGATATGGAGAACGCAGGGGCAAAGGCAGTGTGTAGATGCTTCCAATACGGCCCTTCGGCTGTGACGATGTTGCCTGCGCCCACGATTGGATCAATGAACGTCTTTTCGACGGAGTGCTTTGGATGGTTCTTGATCGCTGTCATGTGCAAAGCCAAGTCGGGGTCTTGGACAATGATCATTCCGTGGCTGAATGGCCACATATCAAGATAGAAGAGGCCTGGCAGGTTGTACTTCTGTGCCATGGACGTTATGGCAACCTGTGGATGGCACTGACCAGGCATTAAAGCGAGCATGTCCCCCATCAGTTTGGCATGACCCCATAGGAAGTCGTGAGGTGGTTTTGGCTACCCCAGAGTTAGCAAGTGCTGGGCGCGTTGATACGCGGGTCGCCATCTGTTTCCCGTACCAGATCTTTGTAGAATTGGCGATGTTGCACGAGCCTCACTACGAAGTAGACAATGCTTGCAGCTATCAGAAGCGCTGCCCAGGGTAAGGCATATGACTGTTGCATATTGATGTTGATCCAGCAATGCCCGGAAGGAAGGTTGATGATATGTTGCACAAGTTGTGCGCGACTTTATCGGCACTTATACGGCGCAGGTCAGTCGTAAGGTACTGTGCTGAGGCACGGATCGGCTATATGAAGGACTTTCGATTTGTAGTGTTCTAGGCGTAATTCGGGTTAAAAGGATCCCAAGTGACGAGGCGTGACAATGAAGAGGTAGATAGTGCTTTCGGTGTAAGCACTTGAAATGCTCTCGCGCGTGTTGTTGGATTCAACAGCAACCAACCCAGCGCGAGTAGGGATGATGATTGTAAAGGAGGCATGTTGATTCGACAAGGCTGCAATACACTAGAGCCGGCTTGAAGGTCTATGTACCTAGGCGAATGTGCCCAAGGTGCTAGGATATTCCGTATTACAGCTAAGGCCAATCAACGAAACAGTTAATTGGTGACGAAGCTGAAGGCTCTTGTGCCCGGGAGGACTTGTAGTTTAAGCGACCCTCTACCTGTTCTGTGTCGGCCTGCTACCTGCGTTGTTAAGAAAGGGAGGACAACAGTTACACGACAGAGTCCTTGTATTAGTTATCGCAATCTGTAACCATGTACAACGTATGACCGTGGTGCACGTATTTCATTTGCGTCTATTTGCGTTTGTAGTCCCTTGGGAAACTAGTTACCGCCCAGGTATGGAAAGATCTAAGGTCTCCCATCGCGAAGAATACGTGCCTGAGCCGCCTCTCGCATGTGGTCGTCAAGTAACGACATCAATACTGCATCTGTCCCTTGCTTTAACCACCAGGCGTCGTGCGCCAGCGCTACGTGAAAACCATAGTCTCTCTCGAGCACCCTTATATTGGAGATTGTTCTCTCGGCAGCACATATGTCGGCATGCAAAGACATCTTCCCCAACCCAGGCACGCTGAATTTTGCAATCTGGAATTTCCCGTCTAGAAGTTCTCTGACAGGCACTCAATGATGCGACCTATGATGTATAGCGTATTCAGATGCTCACCTGGAATGGCAACAGTCGCTACCAAGCAGAATCCATTCTCCGCTTTCGATCCTTGCTGCTGCGCACAAATTTCCTGCCATGTGCCCGGGCGCTTGCATAACCCAAAAGCTGCCATCTCCGAAATAATCCATCGCTTTCTCAAATGGTCCAAAGGCTATCCAGTCACCGTTCAACTCATGCCATCTTTCTGTAGCATGTTCAGGATCAAAAAACCGGCCGTCCCATTGGAGGCTTGGGTCGACCATGTGTCCAGGCGAACACCCGTCTCTGGTACCTGGCCCAAAATTCGCCGTGGCATTTGGAAAGACATCCCGAATAGGTCGACAATGATCCCAATGCGCATGGCTTGATAGATGAAGTTAGCAGAAGTAAGGACTTGCTATTAGAGTCGGCCATGCATGCCTAAACAATACTGTATCTACATCCTTCCGGTCGACACCTCGTTCCTTGAGCTGCTGGACAATGGAGCGTCGTGGACCAACAAACTCGACCTCGTCAAGCATGAATTTATTCACCCATGGTGTATAACACGCTCGGTCCTGTTCCTTTAGCGCCCTATTCTCACGAAGAATTGTCTAGCGTTGTCGAAGTACTTACTTCGACGAGTCCAAGATCCCACAAGATGTGACGGCCTCTGTGAGACAGGTAGAACGCCCAGTTGTACATGCGAAAGTTCTGTTTCTCTACGCCAGCATGAATCTTCGAGATCTCGCCGATGAAGCTTCCGCCATCGAGTAGTGATAATTGAACATATGCGTCTGTCGCCGGCAAAGGTACAAGACAACGTTCTGCAACTGTCATGTCCGGCAGGTACAGGCTGGATCTGTTAAGTCATGTTACAAAACGAGACTTGGTCATGTAATGAGATATGCTTCAATTTCCCCTCATCACCTAATCCCTCCGCGCTCCTTTTTGCGGGCGACGACTCACGCTTTGCAATTAATTCCTCTCCCCACATTGGTTTAACCATGCTATCCACTAATTGCTTTGCATCCATGTTTCGTGCCCCACCAAAGGCTCAGCTACTCCAACGGCGGGGCGGGGTAAGTAATCATGGGAGGTTGGAGAATCAGGAGAAAAGCCAACATAACCGTACTTCAGGACTTTTGCTACGAGTAAGTCAAATTGTTAGAGAGCTCGACGCCGCTTGGCTTGGTAGCTCCCATTGATGTTCAACCAAGACACGCAGATTCCCCTAATCGATTTCGGTCCCCTACAATCCAGACGCTATGTCAGACATATTCCAGCATAATGCTTTAGGACAGCTGCAAGGCAATCTGGTCGATGGAACTGTGCAATTTCTTGGATTGAAGTACGGCTCATTGAAGAATCGCTTTGCCCCGTCCGAGCTGGTGACAAGCTATGAACAACCGATAAAGGATTGCACACGCTATGGGTAAGAACCCGTCATTCCTGACTTTATATTTTGATTGCTCTACTTAAAGTCACACAGACCGCCTCCAGTGTCTCCAGCCGGGGCTATTCACACCGAGTTTGGGTTCATCCAGAAGTCGCTGCCTCTGCCAGCAGTTCCAGAGCACTCGGACCTTGAAGGACTTAATTTGAATGTCACAGTACCGCAGGGAAAGGATGGAGTCATTGATACGAACGCCAACCTCCCGGTGTATGTTTTCATTCACGGTGGAGGTTTTGCAGTGGGCTCGAGCTGGTACCCTCACTACAATTCGACCCCATTGGTGAGGCTTTCCACAGAGATTGGGAAACCGGTCATCGGCGTATCGATCAAGTAGGTAAGAAAAGGGCCATATCTTGAGCTTCGCTGACAGTGAAAAGCTATCGGCTGGGTGTCCCTGGTTTCTTAACTTCTCGCGAGCTTCGAGATGCTGGTTATAAACCTAACAACGGCTACCGTGACCAAAGAACGGCCTTGACGTGGGTCAAAAGGTTCATCGGTGGGTTCGGAGGAAACCCAGATGAACTGACTGTGGCCGGTGAAAGTGCAGGTGGCTGTGAGTAGAAGCGAGCACCTAGCACCCATCATGCTGCGTGCAGGCTAACTCTCTGCAGTGTCCGTCGCGATGTTGTTGCTTTCGGAAGAACCGCTGATGAGCCGTTGCCTGACCACTGGTGGTGCCATGTTGCTCTTCAAGCCAATCCCCGAGGCTGAAACTGAGGCTACGTACCAGAGTGTTATCGAAGCCCTTGGACTTGCTGATAAGTCATCTGCAGAGCGTATACAGGGTTTGCTCGATTTGCCTGTCGATGATCTCTGGCAGAAAGTGCCTCCTGGGGCTGCCTTGATACCTACCCTGGACGGGGAAACTGTACCTGGCACGCCTAGTTTCGAGATCGTTACTTCTCAAGACGACCACCCAGAATATCCAATTCCTGGCCGAAGATGGTGTAAGGGATTAATGATCGGTGACTCGCAACTAGATGTAAGTGCACGGCATAGCCCACATCTTTCGCCATACTGAACGTTGAAAGGCCAATATTCTTTGCCATATGGGTTTAGATAATCTCAATCCTGGAATAGCATCGAAGTTCATCCGTTCCGTTCGAGAATCGCTCCGTGAACACCCAGAGGCAGCGGAAGAGCTCTTCAAAGCCTATGATCTGTCACCCTCAACTGATGATGATGAGGCGATGCTTACAATTCTGAGATTTGCGTCTGAAATAGCATTTTACGCAGCCGCCATCAGTTTAGCGAAAGGCTGGCCGCAAACAGAAGCAAACAAGGTCTTCCTTTATCATTTCAACGAGGGAATCCCATGGGAGGGAAGGTTCCAGGGCGAAGCAGGCCACATCCTGGACGTGGCCTATTTGTTTCAAAACTACAACGATCATTTGACGGACGCACAAAAGGCAGTCGCACGCACCTATGGAGAGGATTTCATAAAATTTGTTAATGGCGAAGATCCGTGGCCGCCTGTGCAAAACGACCAAATAGGTGCTCGTGTATATGGCCCAAGCGACGTCGGACGTACGGCTGAGTACGTTGGATCTGCTGACCTAGAGAAGACTCGAAGGCACGATAGGATACTCAAGCTAGGTGAACTGGCTGGATTTGATTCAATCAATGCTGCATTCCACGATTTCTTCCTAAAATAAGTAGCTACCTGTATTAATTCAATGGACATCCCAGTCAAATGTTGCGCTCGATCATCATTGTTCTCAGAATCCTTCTTATACTACCATTAACCCTGTCCACTCTGGTCTTTTTAATAGACATTCAGCCCATTCTATTCGCCGTTCCAGTTACCCCGCTGGGACATTGATGTAATTGGTGACAAAAGTGTCTACTAAAGTAATGGGTGCCAAGCAATGTGGGGGGTGGGGAAATCTGAGCTTGCGACAATTTCTCATACAATGAGTTTCCGGAACAGAGAAGGATCGTTTTCTGAGCTGATCTGCTCAATTGACCCTGCAAATTTGGAATCATGGTACATGTTCAGTTCAACCCTGAGCTCCTCAGCACTCTCCAAGATAAAGTTGTTGTGCTGACCGGAGGTGCCACAGGCATTGGCCGATCTGCTGTTGAGCAATTTGCCGGTAAGTCCATCGAGATACAGATCATTTCTCTAGTCTGACTGCCAATTATCATAGACGCGGGTTGTAAAGTTGTCTTTGGTGACATTGATGAGGCACCTGCCCGAAAGTCAGAGTCTCTCCTAGGCTCTAGTGTTCATTTCCTCCACTGTGACACATCATCATACTCAGACCAACTTGCCCTGTTCGCAGCCGCAGAGTCGAAGTATGGTGGAGTTGACATTGTCGTTGCAAATGCAGGAATGGCAGTGCACAAAGACATATTCGCCCCCTCGTCCGATATAGGGGCAGAGCCAAGCATGAAAGAGATCGACGTAAACCTATGCGGCGCCATCTTCACCGCACGAATTGGAATGCACTATCTGAGAAAGAGAAAAGAGGGGGGCGATTTGGTGCTTGTGAGCTCAATTGCAGGTTTCAAAGAGTGCGGAGGTATAGCTACGTATACTGCGAGCAAACATGGAGTTTTGGGGTTGATGAGGGGTCTGCACATTACTGCAATCGAGGAGAGGATTAGGATCAATGTAATTTGCCCTTGGATGACAAGTAAGCAAGTGAAGCTCCGACCACGTACCCTGATGAAGATTGACCATCGTAGAAACTCGACTTGTAAAGGGAATCGAAGATGGTTGGCGCGCTCTTGGATTACCAGAGAATGAGGCAGAGGATGTTGCCAGGAGTATAGTTCTCTGCGGAACAGCGAATAGATCGAACGAGGGTAAAATCCATGGCGGGGCAAGAATGCCTTTTGCTGGCAAGATATTGTGGATAGCTGGTGGCCAGGCTTACGAGATTGAAGATGCAATACAGGCGTTGGAGCCTCAGTGGCTAGGTGAAGAGAACAGTAAGATTTTGTCAAGGGGACAGGAATATTTAGCAAGTAAAGGCACAAGCTGGGATGCTGACGAATTGAAAACACATAAAATGGTTTAGACTTTGTAGACACAGTTTTCTTTTTGCCTGGAAATTCCCAAGGACACGCTAGGTTTGGTTCGTTTCCTGAACTGTTTCTGTTCATTCGAATGTCCATTCCCCAGTAATAATCCTTTTACCCTTATCTTCGTACCCTGCTGGAAGATTGCCTCCTATGTGAAGATATACGCTACTTCCGTCTCTATCATAGCATCGCTCATCTTTGCTTGCACTTTCCCAAACTTGCATTGCCGCCTCTGCCATCGTAGGTCGCACTCCAACTTGAATACCAGCCTCGATTCCCAGGCCCAGATCTTTGAGCATCATCTGAGTTTTGAACCCTGGTTTATAACCGCTATTACTCGGAACCCAGAAATCAGCCACATTCGGAATTGGCATAACGTGATCACACATCCACGACTGTCCAGTAGAGGCGCGGATCACCGAGTACAGGTCTTTAGGATCAAGACCTTGGGCGACGCCTATGGCTAAGGCTTCAGCCGTTGCCAGAAGGATTGTGCCACTGAGGTAGTTGTTCGAGATTTTTGCCGTCAGACCTGCGCCTAAATGGTTTAGATAGAAGAACTTCGCTGGCGAGCCGATCATTGAGAGAACACTCTCCAAGCGCTTGGAGATTGGGCTCTCCGGAGAAGGGGCGGGGTGCCCGATCAGCATGCTTAAGTCCCCACGCTCTGCTGCTGGTACACCGCCCTACGCAATGATGAGATTATTGCTTGCCATGGAAGATGATACGCGACTGACAGAAACTGGCGTATCAACATAAGTTCCCAGGATCCTCTCCTTCAATTTCTCTCCAATTTCGCGCGTACTTTTGGCATCAATAGTACTGCATTCACACAACAATCTTTCCTCATCTATTCTTGAGCTTATAATTCCATCCTTCTCATCAAGGTACACATTTTTCACGTCCTTTGCACCAGGTACTATTGATAGTACGTACTTGCTTTCTTCAGCTGCCTCGCGTGCCGTTGGGACAATCTTGATTTGGCCCAGGGATGAAAATTCGTTCTTGAACTTCTCACAGGTATTGATGTTGATATCATTAATGTATAGTATCGAGTCAGATGGCATTTTCTTGCGAATATTGGATGCCATAGCATAACCCATGGCACCGAGGCCTTTCGAAAGTCAGTACAAACATCTGAGCGATGCCAAAGCTGCGAGAATAGATACCTATGAATGCATAATGCTCTGGCATGATTGGTATGTATTATCAGGTTTTGATACGATACTGAAAATGTGTTCTTTTTTCCTTGCTGTTAAACAATTTATCTGTCGGAACGCTTGGACTCACCGATGTTCCTCAACGTCCCGCGTGAACTACTGACCCTGTTCATCAAAAGCCCCACATGGTCCCCTCATTTCCCCAGATTTACCCCAACCACTTCGGTATGATGTTGCGCCAAAGATCACAATTCCGGATGTCTTGTCAGCGACTCTTGCAGGGCATTGAAGAATGTGAAGACATGTATGAAGTTCTGCTATTTGGGGGCCAAAGGTGTTAGTGGAGGTCAGACTCCTTCATCATTGGGAGTATCAATTCAGAGGATTTCATGTCACACCAAAAATCCGTCATGTACTGTGGGGTAATTGGAGCTTGTTATTTGCTATATACAGACAGGGGCACAGGCACCGTGGTTTGAGTACGCCATGATATATTATGGCGTAGAAGCTGGCTCGAATCTTTTGAACCCAAGTTCGGCATTTCCAAACACACTGTGCATGAGTCATCTTTCCCCCCAACATCCCAAGATATACAATGTCCACCTCTCAGCCTCTTCGAGTTGGAGTCATTGGGCCAACTGGGTTTGGTGGATCTTACTTATGCGTAGAATTACTGAATCGCGGCCACGTGGTCATTGGCATATCACGCAATCCCGAAAAGATCGGGAAGCATGACCGATATATTCCACGTTCAGTCGATATCGACCAGACTGCTACTGTTAATTTGGCCAAAAATTTTGAAGACATCGATGTGTTAGTCTCAGAGTACGGTCCACACACAGCTGGCGCCGATGCTCTCCTCTATAGTAAGAGCCAAATGATCCTTTGAAGCTGCGAGCCTGAAGAATCTAGTGGTTGGCCAAAACAGATACAAGACTAATATGCAGTAGTGCCATTCATGGAGACTGTACGCAAAATCATTCTCGCGGTGAAGCAGTCTCCAGTGAAGTACTTCCTCTTCGTCGGTGGGGCAGGTTCTCTCCACGTCCCCAACACGCAGGAAAGCTGCGTCGACCACCCCGATTTCTTCATGGCTTATCGCCGCGCTATCGCGACCTCTGAAGCGCACATAGCCTACATGGAAGAAAGACTTGGCATCATGGGGACGGCTTTGCGAGAATACCGAAAGGCGCGGATTGCAGATCGAGAGGATCGGGCATCGGCTGAAGATCGCAAGATCATTGCTGAGTACGAATCAGGCATCAAGACTAAAGATCGTGCAAGTGACTTCATTAAAGCGGGAAGGACGGCTTACATGTTTTTCGACGGGAACACCAGTTTTAGGTGGAGTTTTGTTTCCCCATCGGCCTTGTATCGGCCCGGCATCAGGACTGGGAAATACGAAACTAGTATCGACGAAATGGTGCTTCTTGGAGAGCAAAAGGACAACAACATTTTTGAGGATCGGTTGACTGGAATCAGTGTAGCAGACATGGCGATTGCAATTGCGGATGAGGTAGAGAGACAACGATTTGTAGGGAAGCATTGGAGTGCTATTGGCGACTTATCTCAAGATCAGCCGGCACCAGCTTATCTGACCTTGGAGAACGTGGAGGACGGACGGCGGTGACTTGTCCGTAATAATTCAAAGTCTTAGACCCGCAATTGGTATGGTATAACAAAACTATGAAATGAAATAATGCACGAGCCTGTATCCAACTCCAGATGCCCCTATGCTTTTTGAATCATGCAAGAACGCTAAACAGAACAACACGGTACCTAGTTCCCTCTTAGATCTGCATCTCTTTCAAGTCTTCGGCGACCTTGAACGGCGCCTCGGTTTTTGCCTTGATTTCATCCACTGTGACCCCCTTTGCAACCTCTTTAAGCGTTAAGCCCTCTACACGGTCCACGTCGAAGACAGCAAGATCCGTGATAATCGTGGATACGCACTTCTGACCAGTCAAGGGAAAAGTGCACTGGTTCAAGATCTTGGGGTTTCCCTTCTTGTCGGTGTGCTCCATTGTGATGACGACCTTGGTCTGCGTGGGGTTTGCAACGAGATCCATAGCTCCACCGATACCCTTGACTTTGCCTGGAAGCATGAAATTTGCAAGATCTAGAAAACCTGTCAGCACAATTCACCTTGCGATTGAGGTTTCCACATACCTCCATATTGATTAACCTGCATGGCGCCCAACATCGCCACATCGATTCTTCCAGATCTGATCATACCGAAACTCTCGTGGCTTCCGAAGACAGACGCACCCTTAATCAATGTGACAGTTTCTTTACCAGCATTGATGAGATCTGGGTCTTCTTCGCCTTGCTTTGGGTATCCGCCCATACCAAGAATACCGTTCTCGGACTCGAGAATGATTTCGACACCTTCGGGCAGGAAGGCGGGAGCCGCAAGGGGCATACCAATGCCAAGATTTACATACATGCCGTCCTTCAGTTCCTGGGCAGCCCGCTTGATGATGCGCTCTCGTTTTTGGGAGGCTTCTGAACTTCCTAGAGACAAATATACGTTAGCAACAGTTGATGATGGGGGCTACCGTATGCAACTGACCACCTTCCAGGAGTGCTTTCTTCTGTTCTTCTGGGTCTTTGTAGAAGACGAGCCTCTCAATTTTCTTATCCTCAGTACTCTTAATGACTCTCTTCACATAAACACCTTGGAGATGGATGTCTTCAGGCGCAATCACGCCGTCTTCGACAATCTCATCAGCCTCTACGATTGTGACCTTTGCGTTCTTTCCCATAGCTTCGTTGAAGTTGTTCTGCGCTTTTCGGAATTGGCAATTTCCCAGTCGATCGGCTTTAGCGACTTTGACGAATGCGTAATCGCCAAAGATGGCCTCTTCCATAACGTAGGCCTTTCCGTTGAACTCGCGGGTCTCCTTGGGTGGGGCCATTTTGGCGACCGTGCCGTCCTTGTTGTACCTCACGGGAAGTTCACCAGTTTGTACTGCAACGGATTAGATAGTTAGACAAGATAATAAGCCATCTAATAGCTTACCGATAGTTCCATACGCGGCAGGGGTGTAGAATGCAGGCACACCAGCTGCGCCAGCGGCACACTTCTCTGCGATTGTGCCCTGCGGTGTAAGCTGAAGATCCAAGTCACCACTCAAATACATCTTTTCAAAGACTTTGTTGTCTCCAATATAGCTTGCAATCATGGTCCCAATCTGCTTAGTGTCTAAAAGCTGCCCAAGCCCAACTCCGGGCATACCAGCATTGTTACTAACAACAGTAAAGTTTGTTAAATCTGTACGATCGCGGAGGGCATTGATGAGGGTATTCGGTACGCCGGAGAATCCAAAGCCCCCAACCAGAAGGGTTGTGTCCGATTTCATGTCCTTAAGAGCTTCCGATGCAGATGGGTAGATCTTATTGATCTGGTTGCGGAATGAACTACTGCTGAAGAAGCGGACCGCGGGCGCGCTTCGACGAGCGGCCGCTGCAAATAGGGTTCGTTGCATCGTGAGAAGTTGGGTATGTGAGCCTGAATCTCAAACTATTGCGACTGGATGTTTCTTTCCAAATCGACAAAGCTTCGAATGTGGGACTGTTGTGTAATGGATCCAATGTACAATGAATGAATGGTGGTGGTGGTGGGGTCAACAGCAATTTCAATCGTAAGATATACTTTGTTCGATTGATGCTCCAGGGATTTCTTCGATTCGATATAACGCAATAATGAACGAGTCCAAGTGTCAACCAAGATCGTGGAGTCGTCAACTTTTTGTTGCACAACTGGAGCTCCCCACAACTGGAATATCGGACGCTAGGCAATACTGGGTAGACCGATGCAATTGCCGTAGCCGATGCCGGTGGAGACTCAGGCACGTGAGGGACCCCAGAAGGCCACCACAAATGGCTGGGAGGGGATGTGGCAGAATGTAATTCCGGAATGGAGGCGGAAAAGTGGAGGAAAAGGTTCGGATATAGATCTCGGAAGAAATTTTACCAGACACTCCACTAAACGCAACATAGTAACGATCAAGTAAAAGCGCGGCTATGGAGCATCACGTGAGATTGTAATTCATCGGAAGGACGCCGAATCAGAGCGGAAAATCATCTTGGTATATCCATCTCCATGTCCGTATCCAATTCCAATTTCCAGTTCCAGTTCCATTTCCACCCCAATATCCATATCGACTGGTGTCGCGCGGAAACAAGCCTCTTTTTCAGCGTATGGATACTAATTGTAAATGAATGCCGCCACCACACTGTATCGATGTGCATACACCAATCATAGTCTCGACCACGTGTGATCCAGAAAGTGCGCATGATTTTAGTATAGCCCGTGCACAATCTTCTTCACTGGTAAATGTTCAGCTTCTGTCAGTTTTCTTGACGTAAACTAGAAAGCACTCACAGTTTTCAAAATCCTTGTGGTCTTTGCTATGAAGTGCCCGGGTAGCTATGGCTTCTTCTTCTGCATCGCCCGTTGGGACGTTATACTGCACATAAAGTTAGATGCATGGATGTAATGGAGATCTATAGTGCTCACAGATGTCAGCGTCGTCTTGTGACCGAGAACCTCAACTAGCTGTGCAATTGCGTCTGCTACAACATGTGAATCCTCTTCGTCATTGCCTGTGCTTTGTCTCCCGATGTAAGGAATTATCCTTGCGATCTGTCTGGCTTCGTCTGGATTCTGGGCCTTGAAATGCACAGTAGGCGCTAAGCTCAAGCAACTTGTAATACCGTGGGGAATCGAATACGTCGCGCCAATTGCATGTCCAATACTGTGACTGAGCCCGACTCCTCCTGTGTAGAGAAAAGGGAAGAGGGAGGAATAACAGGCCAGAAATAGCTTGGTACGAATATCGGCATCCTCCGGGTTGGCTTTTGATTGAGGCAAATAAGTGAACAGATCTTTGATCGCTTCCAGGCACATGCGCTTGGTAGGTATCTCGGAAGCGAGCGGATGGTACATCAATTCTACCGCATGGTCAAGCGATCGCATCTTCAAGAATCAGCCACAGCGCTGATGTAAGGCGAGGCAGTACGTACACCAGTACTAGTCCAGAGATTTAGAGGCGTATACAGCGCGATATCTCCATCGTAAACAACAGCTGTCCCAGTTAGACCAAGCCGCAGCACGTCTGTCTGATGATCTTACCTTTAGGAACAAGCTCAGGATTGCTGACGGCAATCTTGTGTTTCTCCTCCGTAGTGAATCCTGCATTCTGTGTTGTCTCGGCGACACTGAGCGTAGTTGGCACTGCAATACTTGCAACCCATTTACCTGTTTCTTGATGGATGTTGTGCGCGATCGCTTTCGCAGAATCAATGGGCGACCCGCCGCCTACTGCTATCAAGATGTCACTTCCAGACTGCGCCATTAAGGTGGTGGCATCTTTGATGTCTCCAATCGGCCTGAATATATCAGCAACGGAACAGAAGAATTGCAAAAGGTATCGAACGTACGCATGTTGCCCTATCTTACTGAATGTTCCTCCATGAACGGGTCCCAGACTCTTCTCAATTTCCTTGATGACCGGGGTTTTCTCATACAGTGAACGTCCAGTGATGATGAAGGCCTTTGTGCCCCCAAGCTCCGCAACCACATCAGATAGTTGCTTACTTGTACCTGTATCAAGGGGTCAAATGACGAACATATTTCCCAATTCACAATGGGAGCATTCATACCTCGTCCATAAATCAGAAGCTTGATAGGTGATGCACGGTAGACACCTTTGACAGAGGAGTCAATGCTCCCATTCTGGTACTTGGATGGGAGTGTCATGTTGTTGAGTAATTGGATTTAGAATCTACGTGCTGTGTAATTAGGATTGATGGAAAACACACACCAAAGTAATCTTTTCGTGCTCTCAGCCAAAAAAGAAACGTACCCGTCCGGTCCCTAGAGCCTCCAGATGGTAATTCGTCATGGAGGGGCAGCTCCGATCTCGCCCCACACGGATACATCCCCTGGGGTTGACCGCTGCTGCCCCGCCACCACAATAGCAGCACAACCCTTACACGGCAGTTTGTGCCCTTTCGGGGCCAAGCGACATGGCAGTTATTTGACGTGTAAAGTAGCACTATGATGGAAACCATTCCTGCCTCGTTGTTGTTAGAGCTTGGTGAGAGACAATGGCTGCCTTTACCAGAGCCACCCGCAATATCCTGCAGAGAAGCCCAAACGATGTTGTCTTGTTGTCCGTTGCCAGATCACCTATCAATCGCAGTTTCAAGGGCGGGTTTAAGGATGCACATCCAGAAGATATCCTGATGCCAGTGGGTGGCGAGTCCATGGCAGAGCTGTGGACTGTGAGGCTGAATGGATACAGGTTATGCAGGCTGCCGTGCAGCGAGCCAAAATCGAATACAGATGCGTCGAAGATGCTATGATTGGCAATGTTTTGGCAGAGCTCGGATTCGCGAAGACTGGTCGGATGGCTCTCAATCATGCCGGATTCCCGAATTCAACCACTTTCCATACCGTCAATCGCCAATGTTCAAGCAGTCTACAAGCGCTTACGCACATCGCACATTCGATCCTGGTGGGACAAATTGATGTTGGGCTTGCTGGTGGCGTCGAGAGTATGTCAAGAAACTATGGTTCACGAGGCATCCCCGTAGATGTCTCTCCGACTCTGTTAGCTTCTCATAACAAGGACGCCAGGGATTGCTTGATGCCAATGGGATTCACTTCGGAGAACGTTGCACAAAGATATGGCATCGATCGACAATCTCAAGATGAGTATGCTGTTCGAAGCCATGGAAAAGCGAGTCGAGCTCAAAGAGAAGCGCGCTTTGACTGGGAGATAGTGCCAGTGACGGTTCGAAGGATCGAAGAGGATGGTCAAGAGAGTCAATTTGAAGTGACTAAGGACGACGGCATTCGATCCGGCCTAACATATGAAAAGGTCTCTACTCTGAAGCCGGTCTTCAGAGAAAATGGCAAAAGTACCGCAGGCAATTCGTAAGTAAGTCCATACAGCCATAAAATCATTTTCCTAAACACCAGCAGATCTCAAATATCTGATGGGGCATCGGCGTCTATCTTAGCTAGGCGTTCATGGGCGGAACAGCGTGGGCTTCAGCCGTTGGGCCGATTCGTTGGCACAAAGGTCAGCGGCTGCTCGCCAGATGTAATGGGCATTAGTCCTATTTATGCTATTCCAGCACTATATTCATATGCTGGCATAGAACAAAAAGATGTCGACATTTTTGAATTAAATGAAGCCTTTGCTAGCCAAACGCTCGCATGCATTGGCGAGCTTGGGTTGGATGAGGAAAAGGTGAACCCGAATGGAGGAGCTATTGCACTGGGACATCCCACAGGGGCTACAGGTACACGCCAACTTGCGACGTTATTTGGTGAATTGCGACGACAGGACAAAGAGATTGGTATTGTTAGTATGTGTGCAAGCACTGGACAGGGAGTGGCGTCACTATTCGTCCGAGAGGCATGAGGCAACTGAACTGTCACTACGCACCTAGAAAATGAGGTATGTAGTCCAGCGACCATGAAGTTATCATCAGTATCACCTGGAGCAATGGACAATAGCGATGTTTGATCTGCTCTGTACTATTGGGTCTTCCTTGCCAGATCAGGTATAATTGCCCCACGTTATTAGGGCCACATTGGTAGCTAAGGCATGTACACGTAGATGTCGCGGCCACACGTGAATTCTAGCCTAATCAAGTACATGCACCCTTCCCCACACAAGCTTGCCGGCTCCTAAAACCCGCCACAATTTATCCTTTTGCATTTTGTTGTTACATATAGGCGTTTGAGTTCGTTTTTAGACTTAGTGAGGGAAACTTTGTTGCTATCCACTTTCCTTTGTGGCCGACATTGATCTAATCATTGCACCTTAATCTTCCGTCATCATGTTCGTCCTCCAGCGTGCATCGTTACGTGCCATTCCGCGTATGCACGCTGTCAATGCCGTCACACAGAGACGTACTTTGGGAAGCGTTGGCGCGATTGATTCCGCAATCTTCAGGACCTTGTTTGGTACCGAGGAAATACGAAAGGTTTTCGACGACAAAGCTTACCTTAATCGATGCGTGGACGCCGAGACCGCACTTGCTCGAGCACAGTCTCGGTGCAATGTGATTCCTTCACACATTGGCGACATTGTTACTTCAAAATCGAACGGAGCCCAATTGGATTTTGAAAGGCTGCGACGGGAGACGGAAATTGTAGGATACCCTATTCTGCCCCTTGTTCGACAGCTCTCGGCGGCGGTTGGTGATGAGGCGGGACGATACGTACATTGGGGTGCGACGACTCAAGACATCATGGACCTCGCCAGTATACTCCAGATGAAGCAGGGCTTGGAAATCCTCGAAAAGACGCTTAAATCTGTCGTTAAGAACCTCGAAGTTCTTTCTAGAAAGCATCGAGACACGCCAATGGCTGGAAGAACCCATTTACAACACGCTCTCCCCATTACATTTGGACACAAAACTGCGATATGGCTTTCGGGTTTCCAACGCCATTTAGAGAGACTGGAGCAGCTGAGATCTCGTGCACTCATGGTTCAATTTGGTGGTGCAGCTGGATCCTTAGCTTCGCTAGGATCCGGTGACAATGGCATTCGGGTACGCAAGGAAATGGCAAAAGATTTGGGCTTATATGATCCCCCCATTACATGGCATGTTGCAAGAGACGGCATCGCCGAAGTCACTAATTTTCTTGCCTTGGTAGGCGGAAGTCTAGGCAAACTGGCTCTCGATATCATTATTATGTCATCCAATGAGCTGAGCGAGGTATCAGAGCCGTTTGTTCCACACCGCGGAGCGTCTTCCACTATGCCGCAGAAGCGAAATCCTATCTCTAGTGAAGTCATTCTCGCTGCTTCCAAGATTCTCCGCTCAAACGCTGGACTGGTACTGGATGGCATGGTTTCGGACTTTGAGCGGGCTTCAGGGCCATGGCACCTCGAATGGGTTGCCGTCCCGGAAAGCTTTGTCATTGCCGTTGGAGCCCTTAATCAAGCGGACTTTGCTCTGTCAGGTCTGGTGGTCAACTCAAAGCAGATGCTCAAAAATCTCTACTCCACGCGAGGTCTCATTGTAGCTGAAGCTGTGATGATGGGGCTTGCTCCACATGTGGGACGACAGAAGGCGCATGATATTGTATATGAGGCATGTAAAGAGAGTATAGAGAACGACTCAAGTCTCTTGGACGCGCTCCAGGCACGCGAGGAGGTGACCAGCAAGATCTCAAGTGAGGAATTGAGCTCACTCTGCGACGCGAGGAACTACCTTGGCTCGTGCGGCTTGATGGTCGATGAGGTTCTCGCCACTGCGAAGTAGTCATCACTTGGTTTTCTATCTCAAGCATGATACTCTATATTTCAGACATTACATTTCATTTAAGTAACATGTTCATCCTGTCATTTGGCCGTAGACTTCAGAACGCAAAGCATTCAAACTGCTGAGACAAGGATGTTTTACATTTGAAATGTATGTACCTTCATCTATTTGTAGCCCAGCATCCTGGATATGCCCAACTTGCTCCTTGAATTATCTTTAGATATGCTCTGTGTAGGTGGTATGATATGCGAATTGGGGGGGATTTCTCCCCGCTCACCCTCTCATGAACCATGCCGCCCCACATAAGCGGCGTTCCACTCCATTCAACGACGGCAAATCCACACGGGGGATAATCCGGGGATGTGGATGCTTCGATATAATAGTGGATGCCGTCTAATAACGTCGGATACTCTGCATCTTCGGCGTTGTAGTATCTCATCATGACTCAATTCAAGGAACGCAAACTTATCACAGACCCCCAGAAGGCATTCCACTTCACGGATTTGCAGAGACTTAAACCTACACGAGCAAATGATCCTTATGAATATCAAGCGGGATGGGGGAATCGACATTACTCGGAGGTGATTCCTGGGACGCTTCCAGTTGCACAGAACAATCCTCACGAAAACCGATTTGGATTGTACACTGAAGGCATCACCTACTCGGCCTTCGCCGCACCACGACACGCTAACTTCAGCACATACATGTATCGTGCACGACCAGCAGCTGCTCATAGTGAGTTGTTTAGTACCTCGATAGTGATAATGGTACTGACCGACTCGTAGAGGGATACCTACCCATAGAATCAAAATCTAACGTGGAAAACTGCTTCCTTTCTATCAATCCACGAGTAGACACACTGCCGGAGCAGGCTGAATGGCATCCCTTCCCACTCCCGAAGGACGATGAGAAGATCGATTTCGCCGACGGACTTCATACGCTCGCTGGTAGTGGCGATCCAAATATTCGAGAAGGCATTGCCCTCTATGTTTACATGATCAACTCAAGCATGGAGCAACGAGCCTTCTGCAACACTGATGGTGACTTTTTGATTGCTGGCCAGCTTGGGAACCTCGATATAAAGACTGAGATGGGAATGATATTTTTACAGCCCGGAGAAATTTGCGTTATCCAACGAGGCATCCGGTTCTGTTTGAACCTGGCACCAGATACTAAAGTAGCTCGAGGGTACATCACCGAAGTTTGGGGCTCCATGTGGGAACTACCGGATCTGGGTCCTTTGGGGGGTCACGGTCTGGCCAACCCCCGCGACTTCCTATACCCAGTTGCTGCAATTGATGGCGAGCTCCATGCGGACTGGACAATCGTCAACAAAACGAACGGAAAGCTGATTTCTATCCAACAGGACCACAGTCCGTTCGATCTCGTGGCATGGCATGGCAACGTAGTTCCATACAAGTACGACCTCACCAAGTTCTCTTCTCAAAACAGTACCTCGATCGACCATACCGATCCATCCGTCTTCTGTGTACTCACTGCAAAATCTCGGGACCCCAATACTCCTCTAGCCGATTTCCTGTGGTTTGGCCCTCGGTGGGACGTCGCCACCAACACGTTCCGCTTGCCCTACTTCCACCGAAATGCAGCGTCTGAGTTTCTTGCTTGTCTGTACGGAAAAGGTCTTGGTCGAAGCGATGACTTTCAGCCAGGCGGAGGTAGTTTCGAAGGAGTTCACACCCCACATGGCGGATTCCATGAGGGATATCAACACGGAATGAGGATCCATGAAAGTCAACCAGAGAAGATACTTGAAGGTATGGTCATGAGTCATTTAATTGAGCATTCTTTCTGATTTTCTAGATCAATTGACCATTATGGTCGAATCCAGCCGCCTTTTCCTGTGGACTGAATACGCAAGGAAGGGGTGTGGAACGATTAGCACACAAGGAACAGATTACAAGGTCTGGGATGCACTTCCAGTAAGTTTGATGTATCACTGCCCGTGGTACCACAAGTTACTGATTCACGATAGGACAAATTTTCTGCCAACCCTAGAGCTCAGGAGCTGCTCGCTCGAGTGAAGGCGGATAAGATTGCCGAGAAGAAGAGACTTGCACCATACTACTTCGGTGGCTTTTCTCATGGCGCAAACACGAACAATGCCTACGGTGTACACTCGGAGGAGCTTGCGCCTTATCTGAATGGTAAATCTGAAGCAGATGGTGCCACAGGCGAGCACATTAACGGAACTACCAATGGGACCCACAACGGTGCTGGAAATGGCGTGCTAGATCAAGGCATCAATGGCATTGCAGCTGAGGATTTGAAATCGACCCGTGTCAATATTGCTGCTGCAGAGGTAACTGACACCGCCTAAGAAATTGACGTTTTCTGCATTTGGCGGCATTTTGATCGAAACAATAACATGATTGTTTGTCCTATCTCCATAGCATAGCAACCTCCTTTACGCTCATTTTGAGCCTCCGATAAGTTATATATCCATGACCAGATCGTAATATCTCATTCATACTTCTCATTACTCTGACGAACACAATCAATACCGCTGCTATCGTATCCACGATCTCATATCTCCGCAAGACCCTGCATAATTAATGTCTGTGCACGGAAGCTGAAAAGTAATGTTTCATAGAACCGACCCCACACGTATTACTTGTATGTACGTGTGGGGCGTACTAATTGACCTTCAGCACTTATCCCTTGATAAATCTTCTCATAACAACAAACATAAATCGTCAAAAAATACAATCATGAAGTCGACAACTAGATTGTGTGCCTCCATTAGAGGCCCACATTCCTACCGTCGCGTTCGAGGTTCCGGGCGATTGCACTACAGAATCAGGGAACAATGCCAAAGGAAAGAAATATCGACCTTGAATAGGCCGGTAGACAAAACATCGGTGGAGAAGTTACCATTGGCTGGGATTAGGGTTCTTGATATGACGAGGGTACTCGCTGGGGTATGATGCAATTACCTTTGGCATTATCGCCGGTAGTAAGCAGAGAAGGCTGACTGATCGTAGCCTTATTGCACACAAATTCTTGGGGATTTGGGGTATTCAATACTTGGTTGAAATATTTCGTTATCAACATGCTGAGTATTCATCAGAGCTGAAATTATCAAGGTGGAGCACCCAACAAGAGGCGACGACACACGAAGCTGGGGCCCGCCTGATGCCCCGTACACAGACGGCGTTGAGCGTGAATTCCCTGGAGAATCAGCCTACTATCTATCTGCAAGGACCACCTCAGCTTTCGAACTTCATATAATTCGCTAATACAAAGGGTAGGTAAATCGCAACAAGAAGTCCATCGGCCTATCTTTCAACAACCCCACCGGTGTGTCGATACTACATAAACTAGTCCAAAAGTGTGACGTCCTGGTTGAAAACTACCTCCCCGGATCTCTCGCGAAATATCAGCTCGACTATCAGACATTGTCAAAGATCAATCCCTCTCTCATTTACGCATCTATAACGGGATATGGACAAACTGGACCATTCTCAGACCGCGCGGGATACGACGTTATGGTAGAGGCGGAGATGGGCCTGATGCACATTACTGGCGAACGAGACGGACCACCAGTGAAAGTCGGAGTTGCAGTGACGGATTTGTCCACGGGAATGTTTACGGCAATAGGCGTACTCGCGGCTTTGTACGCAAGGAAAGAGACCGGATTGGGGCAGTGGATTGATGCAAGTCTGAGCGATTGCCAAGTCGCAAATCTAGCCAACATTGCGAGCAGTGGGTTGATCAGTGGGAAGAAGGATAGCGGAAGATGGGGCACTGCGCATGGTAATGTCACATAATCAATACGTTGCTCGTCTTGATGAACACGTTGACTGACATTTACAATAGCATCTGTTGTCCCATATCGAGCTTACCAGACGAAAGACACCAATATTGCCGTAGGCGGTTGCAACGACAAATTGTATGGCATTCTGTGTGACAAAATTGGAAGACCAGAATGGAGAACAGATGTCCGATTCATTACGAACGCGCTACGCGTCGAAAACAGGGACACTCTTGATCGTATAATAGAGGATGAGTTGAAGACGAAAACGACACAGGAATGGCTCGAAATTTTCGAGGGAAGCGGGATACCTTATGCTGCAGTGAACGATATTCAAGGTACCCTTAATCACGAACACGGTGAGTGTGTACATTTCCTTAGTCTCAATCTTTCCTTGAAAACCAGTACTGATCCTTGTTCTAGTCCTTGCTCGTAATATGATCGAAGAGGTTGTCCATCCAGCTTGTGGGCCAATCAAGCTGGTCAATCATCCTGTCAAGTATTCAAGAGCAAAACCAAGTATACGAAGTCCCCCACCTCTACTAGGAGAACACACTGAAGAGGTGCTAAAAGAACTGCTGGACTGCACTGAAGTACAAATAGAGGACTTGAAGAAAGATAGAATTGTTTCATAGAAAGCCCGATTGTTACACATACACACACAGACACACACAGCATGTAGAGCATAGCATAATGAAGCTAGGGTAAGGCTGAGTGTCATATCAACCCCGATTGTACAATTCCTGTCCAAGACATGTTTGTCTCATAGAAGTCAGATAAAATTACCGTCCACGATCTAAAACGATTCGAAAGAAGGCCCAAACCATTCTTAATGACAATTTTCAAACCTCTTTGTATCATGTAAGATACTCTATGGTCATGTTTCTAGCCACTTATCTCCTCTCACGTTTCTACATTTACATATACCTAATTTGGAGAATCACCATCGAAGGCCTGTAGCCAATCACGTAGGCCCCACATTAGTCCCCTCCCAGGTCCCACATCGTCCCCCATGCCCTATGCCGCCACATCTACTTGCGCGTCGTCAGTCAGTCTATACAGTGCGACAAGAGAATACCCTTCTCGAGACCGCAATCTGGATGTCACAGAAATTGATGGGTTTCCTTCCGCAGTATGGGGTTCTCAAGCGGCGGGGAAGATAATGCCGCGCGATTCACAATTCCTATGCTGTAGTCTATGCCTTGGGCAACTTGGATGAGAGGAACTTGTCTTGAACAACTTGGAATAATTTTGTATCATTATCGCAGACATTTGTTTTTAATAAACACGTTATGGCTGATACAGTGACGAATGGCGAGTCGCAGGACATTGGAAGGGAGAAGGCGGCGATAAAAGCACTACCCTTCAGGTATCAATTTGCTGCTGGCGCTGTGGCAGGAGTATCAGAGGTGAGCTGGTTTCATCCACACTACATAGCCTAGGATGACACTAATAAGCGGAAGATCTTAGCGATGTGAGAAAATATCGTGAGAGTATACTACCATATCTAAGAACATAGCAAGGTATCCTCTCGATGTCGTGAAAACACGGATACAGCTTCAGCATGGTAAAGCCATAGACGGGCAAGGATACAACGGAGTATTGGATTGCTTTCAAAAGATTATAAAGAACGAAGGGGCTTCAAGGCTATACAGAGGTATCACAGCACCAATATTGATGGAAGTACCGAAGCGGTGAGATATTGATTTCAACGAGTGCGGTACAGGAAACTGACTGTTCTAATAGTGCGATCAAATTCTCCTCTAATGACACGTTCGCTCCTTTGTATCAGAATCTTTTCAATGCGCCAACTCTCACACAACCTCTTGCTATCCTCACCGGTGCGAGTGCAGGGGCAACAGAGTCACTCGTCGTTGTGCCGTTCGAACTATTGAAGATTCGTCTCCAGGATAAGTCTTCCGCATCACGCTACTCGGGCTTGATAGATTGCTTGGTAAAGGTTGTGCGCAGCGAAGGATTACTCGCACTCTACAACGGCTTCGAAGCAACGCTCTGGCGTCACATTGTGTGGAATGCTGGATACTTTGGATGCATCTTCCAAGTTCGCGCTCAGCTTCCTCCACCGGAAACTGCGAAGAACCCGAAGATGCAGAAGACTACAAACGATCTAATAGCTGGATTCATAGGTGGTGTCGTAGGGACAACACTCAACACACCACTAGACGTCGTTAAAAGTAGGATTCAGAGTGTTGCAAAGATGCCAGGCACAGAGGCTAAATATGCCTGGGCGTGGCCCAGCTTGAGGGTTGTAGCAAGGGAAGAAGGGTTCGGAGCATTGTACAAAGGCTATGTGGCAAAGATATTGAGATTCGGACCTGGAGGAGGAGTGTTATTGGTTGTGTATTCGGCGGTAGCGGAGGTGCTTGGGAAAGCCATATGATATTATCGTAGGCAATCGCAAAACATTCACGACAGGGTCGCGATCGTACATGCTGTTGCGGTGACAAGGAGGAGAAAACAAGAAAATCTTCTTATATCACGCTGGATGAATTATCGGTGCATAAAAATTGCTCTTGAACTTCTTTGGTTGTTTGGAATTTTATTCTGTTGAGGGTTGAAGTGATCTTCATCTTGTTGGAGTACCACAGCAATTCCTCCTTCCTAGGATTGCTGAATACATGGAGCTTCGCCAAGTGGTACTGCAATAGTTGCAATTAGCAAGGTGGTAAATGTACGGGTGTCCGCGTTGCCGTCTAGAGATGAGGATCAAAGGTACAATGCTTTTGCTTCACGATGAGACGGCCATGTGAGGTATAGGTTATAGGACGATATACTTGTAGCAACAGGGATCATGTCCCATACATTGTTGAATGAATAAACGAGTGCAGTGCCGCGGAGTGTACAGGACATGATCCGAGAGCCGAAATAAATCCTATAGCCCGAGGCTATAATCGAGGAGGAATATGGGTCAGCACTATGCAGGGTGAATGATCAGGAAGCTTAATCGCGGTTGATATGAATCAGATCTTGATACCAGCGATTGCATGAAACATATTAGATGAAATCCAATTAGCAAACTTCCATCAATCAGCGGGCACCCAAGAGCTCGAGCTCCTCTCGTCCATGCAACTTTCTAGAAAATAAGAGCCACGTTAAGAATTTTGGGATAATGACTACCACAGTAAAGCATGCGTTTATATGACTAGGTCAGTATTGTGTTTTGTACATTACACTTCGGTGGTGCCCCACTATAGGGTCACAGCACGACAGGGTCCCCACATCCAGTTGGCAACAAGCCCTTTGAGTAGATGGAGGGTGCTTGGAAGCACCGAGCGGGAACCAGTACGAGTAGTTATTCAATATTGCATTTAGACACCTGTCCGCCTGTCAGCTGCCCGTCAATGGTCAGCTGTTTTGGCCCTAGTCGTTTCTACGATGTGTAGATGCATCAACAAATGTATGTACATGCATGTACATGTCCGTACATACACATTGCTAGAAAGCAGCTAGAAAGAAGTGGCGTCAGGATGAGAGCAAGGCGTGCGTGCACAATTGGCGATTGGCTGATCTTCGTCATCTCAACCCAAGAGTCTGTGTAGTAACTACCTATCTACTCCGTATTTATGTACAACCAGGGGCAGGTGATGACAGTAATAATACGAGCGTGGCGGATAATCCAGTCAGCGTGGAAATGCATATTGTGAGTGTGGGCAGTTCGCACGAGGATCGGCCGCCTTGGAGTTTGTAAGAGGAACGATATGCGGGCGGGTGCAGAGTCGCAATCTGGAGGTACAGGATTGCAGATATGTATCGCATCTCATAGATTGAAGGATGAATTGAAGGAAGATGGGCAAATCCCGGTATTATATTGAACCTAGCCGAGTCGCGGGTATGCCAGGCGTCATCAACTAACTCTACGATGGTGTATAGGTAGGTACAGGCAATCGTGGATGTACATATACATGAACATATATACGGAATAGTAGATACTATCATGTATTTCTACTCCGTACACACCTCCTCACCGAGTAGTGATTGTTCTGTTAGGGCAGCGCGCGTGAGTATGAGTGCTTCTTTACTGCGTGATATCCTCCCTCTTTGCCTTCCCATGCTTCATTCCTTTTCTTTTCTTTTCTTTGCTCCGCTTTTCTAGCTATACAAACCATTTGCATTAGTTACCTAGTTACGCCGTATCTGCCTACTTAGGTACCTTAAGGTGCCTACCTACGAGTAAGGTACCTAGGTATTGGATTAGGTATTGCTTGATTGGACTGGACTGGACGGCATTTGGGTCAGACGCCTCCCATCGCTCGCCGTACATGCTCATACTCGTACATACAGTACATACACACAGACAGTAAACTCGTTCTTTTCCTTTCTCGTCCGTCTGTCTATTTCCCCGCATTACATCCCCCGTCTAACTACCTATAGTTACCCTACTCATACTCATACTACTCATACTGCCTACCTACGCTATGGCCAATTGAAGATCCTAAGATCCCTACTCGTACCTTCCCTGCTACCCTGCCTGGCCTGTTCGAACGCGCGCGCATCTCTACATTTTCGCACTTTCCCTCATACCTACCGACTACATACATACCTACACACTTACACTTGCACACACACACACACACTCTCTCTCTCTCTCTCTCTCTCGCTCAAGACACTTCCTACTACTGCATCAACCTGCTCTACTATCGAATCTTTCCTACTACTCTACTCTACTCTACTCTACTCTACTCTACTCTACTCTACTCTACTCTACTCTCAATCAACTCAACTCGACCCAACCTACTACAACTAGGTACCCTGGCGTCCCTGGCTCAACCTATCCCCCATCAACCCTACAAACAAACCCCCTCCTCCCGGCACTTCACGTACCAGACCCTACCACACGCCTACCTCCAATTGTTCGATAACCAACTAAAAGAGTTCCCCTGGGAGCTTCATCCTCATATTTGACTTCCCTGCCTTTCAAAGCCGCCGCCGCGCGCCTGTGATCTTCTCTTCTCACTTCCCCCGAGGGGACCCCGCCAGCGCTCCCCAAGATCCTCCGTCCCCCCTCCCCTTCTCCCCTCTTCTTTCATCAATTCCTCGCCACAGCCCAGTCAACCTTATGGCCTTGAAACAATGCAGCCTGTGCGATCGCAAATTCACTAAGCTCGAGCATGTAAAACGCCATGAACGATCCCGTATGTTGCCATCTGTGTTGCCTGCAAATTCTTTTCTTGTCTGCCACAACGAATCTGACCTCAGGCATAGACACTCGCGAACGCCCTTACGAATGTCCGACTTGCAAGAAACATTTCTCGAGAAGGTGAGTACTTCCCAATTGCGAATCAAGTAACTACCGAGATCCTCCAAATGGCTAATTCGATATTCCGCGTGGAACAGCGACGTTCTATTTCGGCATTGCAAAGGTCACGCACAGAATGCCCTAAACCGAATGAGCAGCAATAACAGCAATTCAAACAACGGGAACAACCAACAACAAGGTCAACCAAAGCAGCAGTCCAAGCAAACTTCCGCGCAAGACAAGCAAACGCCAAAACCCCCCCTTTCACAAATCGAATCTGGTCTGAATTCGACTCCAACCCCCCGACTGCATCGACAAGATTCAAATCTATCTCCGCTTTCGGGAGGGAGAAACCCCCAGCAGGTGCCCCAACCAGCTGGCGATATAGCTCAAAACTCTACTTCTTCTCCATCTGTAGTTGCAGGACATCCATCCGTCTCCCAACACACGGCATCTCCCGGAGACAGCCGACTGGAGGCTCTGATCAACGCCGCGCAACATCTGGAACCCCCAGCGGAGGTGGCCTGGCAGTCTCCCTCTCCAATCAACTTGACATCGGATAATGACCGTTACCTCACCCGTAATCAGGACAATATGCCACCCCCAATAGATCCTGCAATCGACATGCTGTCGTTCTCCCCCGCCGGTCACGTTTCAAGCCTAGATCAGTGGGCCTTCGAACTTGTGCAGAGCAACCATCCAATGCCCAATCGGACTCCAGCCGATGCCCTTCAGACGTGGCTGTTCCCTTTAGATAACGATCTTTTAGCACATGGTTCACATCATATGGCAATAGATAGCCATTTCGATCATGATGGTTTTCGTCATCCTTCAGACAACCATGCGAGTCCTTCCGGAAGCAGTGCTTCTATCGCGAGCAGAATACCTCGTGAAAGATTCGCCAGAGTGGAGAACTGTTGGCCCTCGAAGAATCGGAAATCCGGTCGTTTGATGCCGACACTATGGCACAGTTTGGTCAATTGCGATCACACCAATATTCTGTCAGAAATCCCCCCCGGTGCCATGGAAACTCCTGTTAGCGAACGCGAGAGACGAAGCTCGCGATGGGGTTTGGATGAAGAGTGTCGAGACGTATTGCAAGGAGCAATCAACAACGCACCGCAAGCAGTCACAGCCGCTCGATCCGATTCATATGGTGACACTGCATCATCCAGCGGTGACGCTGGTGCCAGTCCAGGTATCGGCGATGGGATACAATTCCCGCCTGCTGAAATACTAGACATTGCACTCGAAATGTACCTCTATTATTTCCACCCGACTCTACCCATTGTTCACATTCCCACTTTCTCGGCCAAAAATGCACCTCGACCACTTTTGCTTTGCATGTGCCTGATCGGTTTGTGCATTTTGGGAACGGCTGGCGCTTCGAAGTTTGTCTCGCGGACATTCCCGGTATGTTGCTTGTCTTTTTGTACGACTCCGACCATCGGATACTGACATGACCCACCAGACTGTTCTACAGATGGTAACTGCCGAAGTTCAAGACCTTTCATCAAGCCAACAGCGCCCGGAAAAGCAAATGCGAGTCATTGCTACTGGCCTCCTCGCGCTCAACCTCGCTTTCATCACGGGGGTAAGAAGAATCTGCAGAATCTAAGTGAAATTGTTAACAGCTATTAGCGCAAAAGTCGGATCGCTCAAGCTGAGAAGCTGTATACCGACTTGATATCTGTATGTCGATTCTTAACTGTCTAAGTATTGCGCTAACACTGAACAGACGGCACAAGGTCAAGGTCTGTTCTCTTCTAATGAGAGTGCGCCACCAGAAGCTTTGCTTGATGAAATAATGGACATTGATTCACGGTGGAAGGCGTGGAGCAGGGTTGAATGCGCAAAACGGTAAGGAACTCGGCCCATATCCGTGTTAATGTTACTGACATGGAACAGCATCATATTTGGCCTGTTAGAGGTTGATTGCTACTACGCAGCCTACCTATCAACCAATCCAACGATTCGACCAGACTTGGTGCAAATAATCCCTCCCTCTGAATACAATTTGTATCACGCAAACTCGGCCACCAAGTGGTTTCACTTGGCGCAACGAGGTATTCGAATGCACACGCAGCGAATCACTCCCTCTTTTCTTCCGACGCCCGGGTTGAAGATGGACCCTACAAGCGTGCGAACACTCCTCACCCTCCTTCAGCTGCGGATCTATGAAGCAAATGAACGGCTAACGAATGCTGCTGGGCCACATAAACATCTGGAGCCATGGCGAGTTTACAATGAAGATCTTCCAAGTCGCGAGATAATTCCACTTCTCGTCAACCTTTCTTCCTCGTCAATCGATGCCTTACGAACTGCAGATCTCAACTCGGCAGTGCTCTGGCATGTATCTTGCATGCACCTCGGGGCGAACCTGGGGGATTTTGAATTGGCCGCGGGCCGTGCTGGAGCGCAGCCTGCCGTCACAGCTCTCGAAGATATATCTGCCTGGTCTCAAACACCATCTGCACGACGCGCGGTCCTGCATGCCGCCCACATCTTCAAACTCCTTTTCGATCGTAAGGTCTCCGATATTGTAAACCCCCCCAGTGTCGTCGCTCTTTTCCAGGCGGCTCTTGTGTTGGGCCTTTACATTTTCACCCTTCCTCCGTCCTCAACTTGTGGTATCAACGACAACTGCCTCGAACTGTTAGAGCTTGTGGATTGGAGCCACGTTGGTCATGTCGGATTGATGGATACGCCCAATTCGCCAAATGGCCAACATCGCTTTGGCGATGGCCCGGTCGTGAACTTCATCCGCAACGGTGGACCTTTCAGCATAACAGGAATCGCTCTAGAAGGCGGCTATCTTGCTGCTCGTCGTACACTTTTGCACTGCGCTGACCTGATGGACGGCATGGGTCGATGGAAGAGCAGGACCTTCTCCCAAATCTTACATATAATGAGTGATGACCTGACGGACGTGGATACCCACGACAGCGATGAAGCATGACGGTTCGCATCTCCACCCTTGAAGTATCTATCAATCACCGAATTGGAGAAACTCTGGGATAGGAGATCTGCGTAATTTGATCATTTGAGATCAGAAGGCAATTGTCTGCTTTGATGCCAAAAATGGGTTCTAGAACGATTTGCATGATTTTGGCGTCATACCAAATGTATGTTATATGACTGAGATGTGCATAGGGTCTTCAAAAGCATGGTATTAGGTTTACTTTCGGCAGCGATACTGGGTAGTGATATGGCGAGGCTTTAAACGGATTACACTTATGAACTCACTTCAACATGCTCAAATGCTTTCAAACTGCAGCAAGTCCGGCGTGATACTAGAATGACTCAGAGTTGCCTTGGGTGTGCTTGACAGAGATGTAGCCTCGCAAAAAAAAGGAAACCTAAAAGGTCTCCTTCCCCGCAACTTAGACTCTCCGCCAGCCATGATGAGGGGAATGAAAGCTTACCCCAAGCTCAGCAACCCTGTTCATGTGGGGTAAAGCTAATCAGCACAGGATATTCAAAGCAGCCGTTGCCCGGAGCTTACTGGTAGTTACGGGAGTTTCAAATACCCAAATGAAACATTTTCGATCAACCCTCACCAAATCTTTTATATTGATACCAAACACCAATTCACCTTCAGCATACAACAACTGCTAAAATAATTCAAGGAAGGCTTTTCGGAGACATTGGTGGGTGGCATACGGAAATCGCCCCACATCCCCAAAGCACAATGACAATGGTCCTCTACGTCTTGCCTCTCGTTGCCATTGCTGCGCTCGCGCTATTCATCATCCGCGGAAAATTCGTCAACAGGCCGCCTCCAGGCTACATCGATGCTCCAGGGCCCTCGGGTGCTCTGCCCGTAATTGGGCACGCACATCTCCTGGGCCTGCACCCGCATCGCCAAATTCAAAAATGGGCGCGCGACTTCGGTGATTTATACAAGGTCAGATTGGGGTGGCATGACTGGTACATGTTGTGTTCGCCAGAGGCAGTGAAGGAGGTCATGGATCGCCAAAGTGCGAGCACCAGTTCAAGGGCACCCATGCCCGTGGCGAGTGAGGCTTTGAGCGGGGGAATGAGGTTCCTGTTCATGGAGTACGGATCGGAGTGGAGAAAGTAAGCATGGCTATGTACTTGACCATGTAGATTTGTTTTGCAAGAAACTGACGAGTAGATCGATTGCAGATTGAGAGGGGTCAGTCACAAGTTGCTTACTCCGGTGGTGAGTTCGACTTTCAAGCCTAGTCAGGAATGGGAGGGCAAGATGCTCCTCGAAGAGATACTAAAGGGCACTTTGTGCAGCAAAGTGGGAGATGACAGTGCATATAAGGCTGTAAGACGATACACAGTCAGTGTCATCATGACTAGTACATATGGGAGGAGAATTCCTCAATGGGTGCGTATTACCTGCCGACAAACTTAACTAGGAACTCTGATGGAATTAACGAGACAAAGGAATGCGACGAGGTTCATGAGATATATGGGATTATGAATGATTTCTCTAACACAGCAACACCAGGAAAATACATAGCCGACAGTATTCCTCCGCTGGGGCGACTCCCGCCACGCTTGCAATGGTGGCGAAGTTCCCTGAAGCCACTTTTCGATCGGCAAGCCAACTTATGGATGCGACTTTGGAATTTATTGCGGACGCAAATGGACACCGGTCAAGCTCCTGAATGTTTCGTTAAGCAAGTGATAGAGAGTAGATATGAAAACCAGGGTATCAGTGAGCTTCAGGCTGCATTTCTCGCAGGCAGCCTGATTGAGGCTGGAAGTGAGACAACATCAGCTGCTTTGAATACCGCGATTCTGTATCTCTGTGCAAACCCCGGAGTACGAGCGAAAGCTTTCGAAGAGATTGATCGAGTGGTAGGAACAGAGAGGAGCCCAACATTTGAGGATGAATCAGAACTACCATACGTCAGGGCAATCGTGAAAGAAACCATGAGAGTACGGCCTGTTACGAATATTGGAACACCCCATTTCACAACGGCACCGATCACGTACAAGAACATACACATCCCGGCCAAAAGCATGGTGGCAATCCAACAATACGCTATACATTATGACCCAAGTCTATTTATCAACCCGGAAGAATTCAATCCATCGCGGTACCTATCATATCCCGAAAAGGCGGGTTTCTATGCTGCAGGCCCGGCTTCTGATCGTGATCATTGGAATTTCGGCGCGGGCAGAAGGATCTGCTCTGGACTTCACCTGGCAGAAAACAGCATGTTCATCGTCATAGCGAAGCTACTATGGGCCTTCGACATCCTGCCGCCTTTAGATGGCGACGGTAAACAGGTGAAGGTCGACACAAGTGATAACGCATTTGAGCCTGGTGGTAATACAGTTCCAAAGCCGTTCAAGTGCAGATGGAAGGTCAGAAGTGAGAAGACTGCATTGACTATCGAGCGCGAAGTAGCATTTGCGAAGAGGGATGGGTACATTCTCCGTGGTATGAAAGTTGCAGAAAACGGGGTGGAAATATAAACTAGGTGAAGCCATCCCATATTTACTGTTTTATCACTTGCTATGACAATTTCACTAGCAACGCACTTGATTGTTATTCATTTTTAATGACACAATAACCGTGCAACCCCGACTATTTACACTCACTTAACCTGCGCATTCACTTAGTGTTATCATCGCCTCTGCCTTCATAAGCACTCATCCATGACACCCTCGCAGTCTTCCCACGCAAGGAAAAACCAATCTTCTGAATCCAGCAACTTCATTACTTTTAACCGACCAAGAAGGGACCACAACGCAACTTGCATTACGTCACAAGCCGACCACAAGTATGCCGCAACAGCTAGACTCACCTTCTGCGAACCCTGATGAGTATGCGGCCAACTCCATTGCTCATCACACTGTCACTCAATCCGGTGCCTCACTATTCCGGGAACCTTGCAGGTTTTCTAACCAGGAGAGCGCTGAAGGTACCTTAGATGATATGGGTCTTCCGAACCTTCGGGATTGTTCAAAAACCTCGAAGCAAGAGGCTTTCAGCCGTGAAGAATCAGAAGAGCATCAGGCCGATGCAAAACAACAGGCGATGCTTGAGGCTGGAAATGAAGCTGATCGATCAGAGTATGAGCAAGAACACGGAGACATTGGCGATAATCTCGTTCATTTATCGGAAACCTTTCTGCCTACAATCCTTTCCCTGCCCGACAGTCACGATGCTACGAGTTCTGCACAGAAAAACCAATTCCCAATGCAGTCCCATTCGCACCGGTCCAGTGTCTCGGCCGATACAGAGCATGCATCGATTCCATACAGTCCAGGGTCTGAAGATGGCACGCCGCTCAAACAAAACATCGCCTTGATCGAGATTCAACCCATCGATACACCCTTCGCCGATGCTCTAAAGCACTTTAAGAACATTAAGGGCAATCGTTCAGCTTCTAGGAAACACAACTTTCCTGGGAAACTTCGACGTAATGCCTGCCTTCCTGCAGAAATAGCACAGGTGGTACAAGCAGCAAAGGCTGCAGAAGATGATCTGGAGAAACTTGCCAGGCGTGCGATGGAGACCAACAACTGTGAAGAGAACAAGGACCTACAAGACTTGGAGCGGTATCGTCAATATGACCTTGCACCGTTGGATACCGTTCTAGATACTCAGGCTGCCGGCGATATTATCATGTTAGGATCGCCTAGCTCGACGTTCTCCAAGATGTCAAAGGGCAACGTTGAGCAACCGAAGTCTACCACTGCTGGGGCTTTGGCTTCTCCCACCACCAATCCAGTGGAACTCATCACACCCCCAAAGAGGGCTTCTGCGGACGACTCATCTATTCCTGGTAGTTCTGGTAGTTCTTGCATCCTCAAAGTTGAAAGCGACGCCTCCGAGGTTCAACTCACGAACTACATTCGAGAGTGTGGGACAAAGCTCAATGCCGACCAGGTCGACATGGACAACCCGGCTGCTACCATCTTTGACAATCCAGATAGCTATGTTGTGGGTACGAATGATGCGGGTATCTCAGGTGAGCATCCTGTGTTCATTCAGGTCATCGGTCTCGTCCCCATGGCATTGATGACGACGCTTGTGGCGAAAATGACGAGCATTGCCAATTGGAGTATCGACACTATTCTATCAAAGCTTGCCGGCCTAGATTGGGATGAGAAGGATGGTGAAAGAGACTAAATTTTCAGTGGGTGAAGTTGATACACTGGCCCTGACTCTAGCATGACCGAGCAGATTCCAAATTACTTTCGGAATCAAGTCTAGCTATAACGACCTGGTGGACATGGACTACTGCGTGTGCGCGTTGTCTCAGAAGCCAAATCTGTACATTATCATTTTCTGTCTAATTACAGAGACAACTACAATCGAGAAACTTTCCTTGAATGCTCGTCTTCAATGTCCGCTCGCACCTCTTGCCAACCCTCCGCAATTTGCCACAGCTTTACTGCTCCAATGGCACGCAAAACCCTTCCTCTTCCAGATCTGAAGATATCATCATAATCATCTTCTTCAAACACTTGGACTTTCTTTGCCTTCGAAAAATCACTAAACACGACAACTCCCCCATCAGCGCTCCACTTTTCTCCATTCGTAAACCCAATGAAATGATCAGCCATCTGCTTCGCCGCGTTTTGGCAATGAGCGTCAAAATAATGATTGAAGTTTTGTAGGAGGAACGCCACGTCGAGTTCATGGCTAGATAAGCCATGAAATGTGCCATTAATTGGATTCTGTAGGTGGAAGTGATATCGCCCAACTCGACCATGAGGATGATGTGCCTTCCAGCCACTGTGTACCGTTAAAGCAGGGAGATAGAAACGAAGCTCCGAAGCTAAATTTCGGAGAGCCTGGGGCAGCTCCCGTGAGTCCTTCGGTGGCGACCACGATGATGATGATTGTGTTGGGATATTGTAAGCAGAAAATAATGCTGCCATTTCTGATTTGGAGAGATGCTGTGCACAGAGTGCCTGAAGACGTGTTAAAGCTGCTGGATTGTCGAGGATCCGGCCTTTTAGAACGGTTCCCTGGAGATGTTAGTATTTGTTGACGGAGTGCTCGCAAAGCCGAACTCACATCATCTGCTGTATCTCCAACCACGAAGTCTTTGCACCAATGACGTTTATGCACTTCATTGCTTCCATCTCCCAAGACACCTATGTTCCCGTCGGTGTTTAGCCAGACTCCATCTACAAGTCCGCAAAAATGCTGCGCCAGAGGTAACCTTTGGGCCAATTCTTCTGCACCTAGCTCCATCAACAGTCTGGAATGGCCCAGAGTCTTCGATTTGTCCCGATTCAGATACTTCGATTGATCCTTGTACATTTCTTCATGCCATCTCCAACCCCTCGGTTTTCTCAATGACACTTCTCCCGACATGATCACGACTCTATCAAATAAGGATTTGTCCGGATCCAATTCGGCGCATAGCAACGTACTTAGACTGATTCCACCAGCCGACTCCCCTGCAGCAGTTACATTATTTGGATCTCCACAAAATCCCGCTATGTGCTCGCGGATCCAAAGAAACGCGAGTACCTGATCCTTGTACCCATAGTTCCCCGTGGAGGTAATATCCTTACTTGCCAGGAACCCAAAAACATTGGTACGGTAATTTATACTTACGCCGATGATAGGTTTGCCTATTTCCACACTTCTCTCGACGAATCGGCGCAGGTCGTACTGTGGCCACGAATTACTCCCCATACTTAATCCTCCGCCGTGCACCCATGCGAAAACCGGTATGGGATCCTTTCCATTAAGGCCTTTGGGTACCGTGACGTTGACGTGTAGACATTCGAATTCGTCCATATTTTCGTCTACTCCCTGACCTGGCTCTGTCTCCAGATTGACATCTCCAATGAGAGAGACATCCCAAGCTTGTGCTCCGCGTTTGTGAGGACAGGATGGCCCGAACGCTGTGGCGTTGTATACGCCGGTTTTGAGATCAGCGTGCGACTTTAGATTTCTCAGTGGTACGGAATCTTGCCAGCGTCCAGGTACAGTAGCGTACTTGAGGTTACGATATTGGGTCGTTGTCGAGTCACGGAATTGTTTACCAAGTAATTTCACTGAGAGTGTGGGGTGGTGAAGAAGAGCTGAAGAAGACATGATAGGGATGGAAACGAATTGTGAAGAAACATAAACGTGTGGAATAACCAATCGGAGATTTCCTTTCCAACAAAATGATGGAGAAAGAGACGTTCAGAACTGTTGCTTAGATGCAGACACATGGTGATGGGGCTCATATGCGGATTGTGGGGCCCCTCAACTCTATTAACAGCCGGGGCGGGGGCGTATTCGAGGGTGCAGTGTTCTGCCTAACAGTTTTAACGCCATAAGCGCTAACTATGGAAGGCACTTCAGTCCGGCTTGATGCTGAGATGCTAGCAGTGCTCGTAACGCGTTGGAATATATGGGTGGAGGAAGTAGGAGGTTTGTGCAATTTTTGCAGTTTTTAAAGAACTTGAGAACAGCGCAAGGTGATAGCATGCTTGAGGCAATTTGACATGCACAATAAGTTGTTTCATCGTGGATCACAAAATTCAATATATGTCGTCAACTTTGAGAAACAAGATAGATGATCAAGTGGAGCTCGATCATCTTACAGTACTGGAACTCATGCAGCTTTTGCCAAAATTCTTCACTCTGACGCTTCTTCTTCATCGTCGCCAAACTCGACGCCGTACTCTCCGCACACATCCCAACGATCGCCGTTAGCGGACTTGCTGACATATTTGGTGAACCGCAGAACGCCCTTATCTCTCAAGATAATGCTCACATTGTTCCAGGCGGCAGGTTGGGAGAAGAGAACCCCATCATCTTCCTCATCCACAGCACTTTTGTAAATCGCCGGATCAGCTTTTGCCTTACGTCTTTGACCAGCACCAGTGCTAGTCGAAGGCTCTGTAGCTCCAGTGTCCGTTTGATCATCATCATCTTCGCCGGCCATGTACATCTCGTAACCTCCAACCTCCTCCTCAGGCTTAGGTGCTTCAACAGGCGCTTTGCCATTGCCTTTACTGGAAGATCCATTCTGCCCCGACTCATCTTCCTCTTCGTCAGCATTCTCCTCCTCATCTCCCCAGCCTTTGCTAGGTGTGATTCCAAGGCAAACTTCCAACTGCGGGTCCTCCTCTTCGTAGGCAGTGGCAAGTGTATAATCCATACCGCGCCTAAAGCGTCGTGCGTAGATGTTGCTCTTCGTGAGAGTTATCCCAGTGACAAGGGCTATCCATTTAGTAAATGCCGGATGCGGGAATAGGATGTCCACCAAATCGTCGTAGGGGGTCATCTTTTCGGTGTCTGGATACATGGTCTCGGGCAACGGAACGGCCTTACGATAGAGGTATCGCTGCTTGTGCGGTGGCCTTGCAACACCAACCTTAGATTCCTTGTAAAATGGGTTGGTAGGTAAGCTCGGCTTTGGCTCATGATCCTTCGACTCGATGTATTCACGAAGTCGAGTGGCGAATTTCGGCGAAAGGAATTCAGCCAGTCGAAGCGAGGATTCATCCGAGAACATTCCTGATAGCTCCTCCACGGTATCTGGTGTTAGATAGTTTGGATTCATATACTTGATGAGAAAATCAATTTCATCCGCAGTGAGCTCGTCATTCTCCGAGTTTCTGATAGCGTCCCAATTCGGATTGTCAACCCAATGGGCTTGTGGCTCATCAAACACGTCGGCCTTTCCACCCTGAAGTTGCGCTAATGAGCTGCGCTCTGCGAGCTTCTCTTCAAATCCTTCCTCATAACCTTCCTCTCCCTCTTGAGGAATGTGGAACCACCCGCTGATGGCCATGCGAACTCGGCCACCATCGTCCTCCTCCATTTCTTCTAGGCCTCTCTTGTAAACCTCTTCAACATCATGAAAACTCTCACCAGGCTGTACTGTGAAGAAGGAAAGTTGGTTCCACGCTGGTGGGATTGAGACTGTAAAGTCTGGCTGTGGGACTTTGACTTCGTCCCCGCTCGCAGTTTTCAGCTCCTCTGTGGGATACAAACGAAGTGCACCACCCCATTCAGGCTTCCATGGGCGATCCGGGTCAAGTAAATAAAGGATCCAGCTTACACGACGACTTCCAATAACATCATCGTGGCACAGAAGATGGCAGCCCGGTGTATATACGTTCTATGTTTGTCAGTTTGGCCTCCTCAAAATACACGGTTTGAGCATACCACTGCCATGTCCGTCTTGACGCCGCTCAACGGGCCGGAGCCGGTTATAGAGGACAAATATTTACGGAACGCTGAAGAGTATAACGAATCGCGGAGTTTCAAAAGGGAAGGCAATCGGCTGAGAGCAGAATCGTCGAGTCCATCGAGGTTGGCCAAGTCACCAGATTGGTGGATCTTGTAGATGTCCGTCTCTTTTGGCGTGAAAGATATGTTCTCGCGAATTTCGTTACGCACATTGCGGAGGAGGCTATCGTTCACTAGGTCTTGGATGACGGCATGCTTGTATCTGTGAATTGCACGGAATGTCAGATGCAGTCAGCCGGTTGCACTTGAGGTGGCTGCGCTGCACGTACGGTTGCGATTCGGCATAATAATCAGTGTAGCTCTTGAGCACCTCACTGGCAAACAGACCAGTGCGGAAATTCTCATGCGCCTCGTCGTCGGAAATGGCACGTTTCTTTGAGCTACCATTGGTAGGAGCGTCGTTCTTACGCTTCACCATGTCGAAATAAGCAGTGTCGAAAGGGAACGGGGTGGAAGAAAGTCGAGAAGTTGGGAGCTCGAAATTTTTTTTTGAAGTCGGGTTTCTGGTAACAGCCAAAAATCATGCCACAATGGGTTGAGAGCTCCATCACCCACCGCCCAAGCTTTTCTCGTTATCGATAAAGGTACAAGCGTACCGTACCTAGCACGTACTATACTCCACGCCATACGCTCCAGCCCATCCATAACTATATCCATAATCATATTCATATCTTGGTATGGTCACAATTATATTCATAATGATATCCATATGAATACCCGTTCACTTCCCTCTTCCACCATACAGTCCGTATTCCATGCCCTTGCATGACATGACCCGATGAATATGTACCTAAGAACTTGATGATAGATGAACACTACCTCAGGAGGAATAATTTGAAATCATTGATCATTTCTAGTCAAAATTTTAAGGGCATGTTCACCTATTTGCCTATTTACGTCAAACTTCTCGGAAACCATATGCCTCGCAGCTTCACAGATGCAATATATACCGATCAAAGAAACCCCCCCTCTCTAGTTCTATAGATGAAGGCTGTTGTACAGGAATAGCAGGCAATGTAATGGCCGTTTACTGATCCTAGGGAATACATGAATAGTTATCAAAGCGAACGCCTGTCTCACTCCTCCAACTTCTCTTCAAGAGCTAACAGGGCGTCCATGGTTCGCTCGTACGTCCACATGGTCACTGCGCTGGCAGGGGCAGCCTTGAGCAAACTCACAGTCAGACCACGGTATAGACCTCTCCTACCCTCGTGCATCCATATATGCGCCAGGGTCTTCATTACGCCAGCGTAAACGGGTATATTCCTATGCACATATTTCAATCGCATCGGACCTTGAACCTGCAGTCGCTTACGGATCGTGTCGAGCGGGTACACGGCGGTTTTTGCTAGTACACTTGCGACGATTCCTGCTGCTGCATCGGAAGTTCCAAATGGCAATGGCAGAGCAGAGCTCGCTGCTATAGGCTTCAATCCTTCATAGCTGGTGAAGAACAAGCCCATGTAGGGCACGATCTGGCTGACGCCAGCGCCCAAGCCACGAAAAAATCCCTTTGGCCCTTCATGCGCTGCTATGTGTCGGACTGACGCCAATATAGAGGCGTACACCCGATCGGGTCCCTGGGCGGCGAATCGTGTACGGAGTAAATCTAAAGGATAGGTGGCAGTCGTCGCAACCGCACCCGCTGCAGCGCCAGCGAGGAAAGAGTTTGCAGAGGCTGGAGGAGTATACGGGGCAGGAATAGCATCAAGGACATGAGAAACGTATGTGTATGCAGAGAACTGGATGCTTCCGTACGCAAGATACATTGCTTCGGCAGGAATGTTCCCCTTCCATAAGCCCGTTAACCCCTCTTCGCGCAGGATATGCTTGAGTGTGCCGAGGGTACCTTTGTATACAGGACCATTGATGTTGCGAACACTTAATGGGTCTGAGAGGGAGTGGACCTGGAGCTGCAGGCGGATCTTGATGACGTCGAGGGGAGCTATCACGAAACTGCGAAAGTGGAACATTAGATCGCGTGCTCAATGATGAGGGGAATGGAACGAAAAGGCGCATACCGCGAGACAAGACCTGCGACGGCACCAGCGACGGCCACCTGTCTTTGAGAGCCCTAGATGATGAAATGCCATTAGCTACCTGCACCTGTGACTGCGGTGACCTTCACAAAGTGGTGCTGGCTTTGATGACGCATATCGCATACCTCATCCTTGAGCTGTGAGACCCCTCCAGACATGCGCCTAGCGGCTCCTTACACGGGAGTTTTCGCGCACTGCGGGTATCAGGCCAGGTACCCGCTCAATGGTACGATGTAGTCCAGCTGTGTGGGGGAGGAGGGGGAGGAGGGGGCTGAAGGGAATGGTTTCGAGAAAAGACCCCCGGTAGAGCGGAAAAAGTTGGTGTTTACAGTACAAAGCACCTCGGTTCACAGGATGGCGGCTTTTGGTAGTTAAGGGAAAGGAACGGTAATACACGACTACACCACCACACCTAATAACTATATTGTTCGGCGCCCACAACGAAGGGATTTGATATCTCGGTCCTCTCTCTCCCCCTTTCCCCCCCCCACACACAGAGTGCGCACATCATATAGACCGGTGACCAAGCGCAATTCTGTTCATTCAACGTGCTGGCAAAGCAAACCCAGAAGCCGATCTACAGCAAGAGGCACATACCTAGGTACTTGCGGACATAGGCTCGCGGGTTCTCGTATTCGCCCGAAGCTTCGGACCGTCATGTCTATCAAAATTGCAGCCAGAGTGGTCAGACTTCCTCCGCGACTGCTGCTCCGACAGATTACACGCCCTGCTTACCCGCAGTGCAGTGCTGGCCCGACCTCATGTCATACGAGAGTGCCATACCGTCAGTTCTGGCGGAGATCTGGCGCCGCTGCGCAACCTGCACAGCATGCACATGCGGAACCAACAGAGGCGGACATTTCAATTCATGACAACACGAATATGGGGCAATTGGAGGGCGCATCATCCAACCATGTTACCATAAACATAGACGGCAACTCCAGAGTCTTTGACAAGGTCTTCCTGCGCGATAGTTGCACTTGCCCGCAATGCATGGATCCTGACAGCAAGCAAAAATTGTTCCAGACTTCCGACATTCCACAGGACATTGAAGCTTCGTACCGCACCATAGAAGATCCCGAGAAGGGGCTCCTGGTCGAATTGGAATGGTCCAAGGATGTTCCACATTTCCAGCCCGGGCATCGAACCAGGCACTCAATGGAATGGTTGCGCAGAGCGCTTGATACAGAGCTGCAACTGAGAGGCTGCGTTAGGAGTGATGATAGAGTCATGTGGGACAGGGAGAAGATTACGAAGAAAAATAAATGGGTGGACTACAATGAATACATGGCGGAAGATAAGGTGCTCTACGATTCCTTGAGCCATTTGAATGACTACGGGCTACTCTTCCTCAAGAATGTTCCTGAGTCAGAGCAGTCCGTCGTTAACATCGCCGAGCGGATAGGGAACCTCAAGGACACTTTTTACGGACGTACATGGGACGTAAAATCCAAGCCTAAAGCAGAGAACATTGCGTACACTCACCAGTTCCTGGGCCTCCATATGGACCTCTTGTATACCTCTAACCCCCCACATCTTCAACTGCTTCATTCTCTTCGAGCACGAGCACCGAGAGGCGAGTCCTTCTTCAGTGACGCCTACCATGCTGCTCAGCTCCTGCACCAACGCTCCCCGTTCCACTTCCGTACCTTGTGTACTTTCCCAGTGACATATCATTATCACCACACCAACTTCCATTACCACTACACCCGACCGACCATCGAACTTCATCCATATCCTAAATACAGCGAACCCACCAATCTGGCCATCAAGCGTGTGAATTGGAGTCCGCCATTCCAGGGTCCATTCGAGGCGCGCATTGGCGGTGAGAACCAAGCGGGACTGAGGAACTATCTCGCCGCTGCGCACGAGTTCGAGAAGCTACTGAATGCAGAGGAAAATCTGTATGAGTACCGATTAGAAGAAGGAGAGTGCGTCATATTCGATAACAGGAGGGTTCTCCATGCTCGACGGGCATTTGATGCGGCAAAGGGAGAGCGGTGGCTAAAGGGGGCCTACGTAGACGACGATGTTTTTTTCTCCAAGCTTAGAGTTTTGGAAGAGAAATTCGAAGGTCGTTGGACTGCCGAGGGAGTGATTCGACCTGCCGTCATATAAGCTCGACCAGTGGCATTGACATTTGTTTGAAACTGTCAATGTCGTTTCCAGCCTGCACGAGGTGGTGGTTGATTTGAAGCTTCATTCGGACCATTTCCCAGGACACATGCGTCGCCATTTGCGAAGATTAGTCCCAGCATTGATCCAGTATATCCCTCCGATTCGATAGCTGAATTCATGTTTCTCGCCCTCTTTCAAGGGAAGACTGCCTTGGGCAACGTGAAGTCACCTTCTCGCCCATGATTGACCTAACCAAAGCAGCAGATGCCCAGTTCCGGTCACGCAGCTCCACTAATATTGATGATAAGTAAATGCCTTCACATGGACGTATACAAACCGTATAACACCATCTCAGGACCGTTGCTCGACACCATCACGCTAGCCATATGCGCCCCATAACGCTAAATGCATGTCATAAATGAACTCTCTGCTAAAGCTCAACACGTTGTTCGCTAAAGTACGTCCCATGAACATACATATCCCAACAACTGCCCCCCCCCCCTCTCCCCCCAAGCAAGATAAGCAGCACCATTACAATGTCCACACGTAACTTATCGATTCGCACGGCTTACTTTCCCCACCTCTCACGTTCAACCCTCACCGTTTGAGGGAGCATCCAGAACAAAGATACTGCATGCTATCAGCCACAAGCTGCAGACTCATGACGCACGAGCAAACCTTCATACTTTAGACTTGCACGTTACCCAGAGGCTGCAGATCCCCGCACGATCAGAACGGTCAGTGTAGCCACTTTGTCTCCCCGCTGGCCCACCTGAGCACCAAATGTTCTCGTTGACCATCCATACTGTTTGATCACAGTCTACTCCAGGTAATCTTCAGTCAATTCATGTCTGATGCACCATTTCCGATGCAATATAGTTTGAGAGATGTGCGTCAACGTGTAACTACCTGTGCTCAAAAAGCGTTTCATTCCAGCGAAGATTATAAGGCCCACTACATTCCATGTGGCGAGTCCGAGCAATGCGGCGCGACCGGTGCTCGTAGACGGCAGCATCCAATTTACACAGATGCGGTCGAGATAATGTACGATCCCTGCGCGCACATATACAGTGCGTCTCCACAGTGGACAGTGGTGTAGAGCATTGGCAAGGTCAAATAGTGCATGCAATTCATATCCAGATCCATTGTTGTTGTTGTTTGCCTAGAACCTAGGCCTTTGTTCGAAAGTGATTCGGGCTTGTTTGATATTGGACGTGGCGGTCCTGCAGGGGCGGCACGGAGATACGCGCGAAGGAGGAGCGGAGGGATTGTCAGTGTGGAAGGAGGCTGGTTCTACCTCGTAGCATCTTCGCGATCCTATTCCTGATCGTGCTATATCCCGCTTCTTCCTGCCGCGAGTGATAGCGATGCATTGGCAATATTGTGAGAAGTACTCCGTACTCCCTTGCGTCCGTGAGTGTGCTGGGGTTTTCGCTGTGCCGTTGTGCTGGGTTATTGAGGGCGTGGGATGAATTTGGATTCCGAGTGGGTGCGTGCGATAATGAGGTTGCAGTTGTAGATACCAACCCAATGGAATATCGAACGAGGATTCTCGAGCAGTGTGTTACATTGTAGTGGTGCTTACAGAATGAATACCTATTGTGAGATCAACGATATTAGGGCGAAGAGAAAGTATGAAGATGGTTTCAATCAGCTTCAGAGATAGATATGTATGTAGTAGAATGTGACGATAATTATAATGATATGGACTTTTTACCTAGAATACCTGATACAAGAAACCATGCTGCCAATCGTTCGTTTGTATAGCACCTCCAGAGCCGGGAGGAAGACATCATTCCTTCGGGGTATAATGTGATGTGAATGATGATGACGATGCTCTACATAAACCTAAACTTGTCACCGCGATGCAACACAAGGAAAAGAGAAATAATAATTATTCGTCCCCACTACTGTTCGAACATCTGGGGAAGTGAACTTTTCACATCCTCAAACCACAGGATCTTTCTTCTCCGCCAGAGCAGGATCACTGGCGGCTTCGACGTCGGTTGGCAGATTGGCCTGGTTGGATTTCTTTCTTCTCTTCTCGGCCTTTGCCTGCTCACGTTCCAAACGTCTTGCTTTTTCTTCCTCCAACCCAGTCTTTGTCTCCTCATGTTGCTTCTGTAGCACATTCTTGGTGATCAAGAGACTCACGGCCAAGCCCGCGGCCGAGAAACAGACATACATGATCCACATGGTGCTCAGGGATTTCGAAAATGCATATCGCGCTACCGCCTTCTCGTTGTCTGGGAGGCTTTTGATGAGACCCACGCTGGCGCCGGCCGAGCCAGCACCGAACGCATCGGCTACCTGCGGCGGAAGCGTGGACCGTAGAAGCGGCTGGTACGTCTCGATGCGATTCTGGAAAATCACTGATCCGACGACAATGCTGATGGCAGAGCCAAGATTGCGCACGAATCCAAAAGTGGACGTAGCTGTGGCGACGTCCCTTTTCTAGAAGGAAGAAAAAAAACTTCGTTAGCCAGGGTGCCAGGCAAGGGTTGAGATGAACTGGCTTTAGGGTGTCGAGATCTAAAGCCCAGGATTTGCCGCTAAGCAACGGGTAAGAGGGTTGGGTGGGTCAGAGGCAGGCTGGGCTGGGAACCATGGAAAACCCACAAAATAGGAAACTTTGTAACTTACCGGAACAAGACTTTGTAGCGCAATGAGTGGTGATTGGAAGTTAGGTCCAACACCAATTCCGCCTATGATTTGATAGATGATGATTTTGGCCCAGGAGGAGCGCGGTCCCAGGTCGATAAACAGACCGAACCCAATGGTCATGAATATAAAACCGAACCAAATGCAGGGCAGATATTGTCCAGTCTTTCGTATGAAGATGCCAGTAAATGCCGACAAAAAGGAAAGAGATATGGCCGTAGGCAGTAGGTATACGCCGGAAAGTATGGGAGTCGCTCCAAGCACGGCCTGGAAATAGAGTGGCAAGAAATAGGATGCAGAGATGAATACGTATGCGTGGAAGAAACAAGTCCCGAGCGCGGCCAGGTTGGAACGTTGCGAGAAGACGTGGAGAGGCATCAATGGAGACGGCGCAAAGCGATATTCGATGATGAAGAACAAGCCGATGGTGATGGCGCCAAATACGATCAAACAGATGACCGTCGCAGAGCTCCATGGGAACGAAACGCCCCCAAACTCAAGTCCAAGAAGCAGCATAATCGTTCCAGAAACCATGGTGAACGATCCAAGCCAATCGACCGCCTTCAAGCCTTTGCCCAATGGAGTTTTCGGTGTATGAAGATCCAAGCAGAACAGAACAATGGCAAAAGCCACTCCGTCCAAGGGTAGATTGATGTAGAAACACCACCTGAATTGATGTCAGCATAGACAAGATTTGCAGTCCGCTTCAATATATATACAGTACCTCCATGAGACCTTTTGAGTGAAGGCGCCGCCAACGACGGGCCCCAGAGATGATGCCAATGCCCAAACACCGCCGATGATACCAAAGTATGCCCCCCTCTCTCGCATTGCGAAGAGATCAGAAATGCAAATGTTCACCAGGACAATCAACCCTCCCCCTCCAATACCTTGTATGACCCTGGATGCTATAAGCATATTCATGTTCACGGAAACAGCTGCCAACAGCGAACCAATGAAGAAGATGGCATTGGTGACGAGGAGAATTGGCTTCCTCCCAAAAATATCTGATACTTTTCCCCATATTGGGGTAGCGGCTGAGTTGGAGATCAAGTATGCGCTGCCGACCCAGGTATAGCCAGAAGCGGAGTTGAAGTGTTCAGCAATTGTTGGAAGAGCTGTAGTTACAATCGTGATATCCTAGAGAGAAATTATCTGTCAGCCTGTGCGAAACCATGCCTTTTGAGGTTTCCGCATACCAAAGCAACCAGTAACACAGAGATGCCCAAACTCAACATTATGAGTGTAATCTTGAGCTTACTCCGCTTCGGCTTTTCGTCGTCAGGACCTGGCGCATCGGTAGGCAAGTGTGAGTTTGCGCCATGGCTCGCATCTTCCCTTATTTTTTCATTGACTGTCAGGGGTTCTGCTGAATCGACGGGAGCTTTATCAAATGTAGATTGGCTTGTGGTATTCGATGCTGGCGGCTGCGGATGGATGTTCATGTCCTGGAGGATGTTCGGCGCGTTCGTTTGCGGTTGTCGGTCATCAGGATGTGCCGGGGTCGGACGCACGTCGTCCATTGACTGTGGCGGATTTTCAAGTGACGATGAAGGAAGAGATGAACTCATGCTTCAGGGGACGTGGATGGCGGTCGTGAGGCCAGCATGTGAACATGTTCGGAAGTCAGAACATTTTGCGCTGTGTCGCTGGAAGAATACGAAATGTTTAGTTCCATGACGGCATTGAAATTCGGCGTATTCGGCACGCCGAGGCAGCGATGACGGCCCAGGGGGTGCGATGCACAGGAGTCAAAAAAGTATCACTAGGACCATGTGCAGCAACAAATTGGTAAGCAGGGCGTAAATGGAGTTTAGAGTCGCCAACATGTCAACGCACTGGATAGAGCATGAATATCAATCATTGAGTTTGTGTGTGTAGTTGAACTTGATGCGGAAGTAATGAGTGATTCGAACGACGGTGGTACAGCAAGAAATGGAGCACGGCTTGTCGTCAAGTGAATGAAAACAAATCTACAGAATCAGTCCATTCATTACCTGGTTGTTGGCTAGGAACGAGTAGTTAATCCATACTTGTACGGAGTACTTTGTCCTTGTTCATATGACTCAAGAGTACGGAGTGAAAGTAAGAGTTCATACTGTGTAGATAGAGATGCAGACCACTCAGATCTGATCACCAATAACTAGTCACTCTGTAGGCACGTACTACTTGTAGTCTTGTACTGTGTAGGTCACCGGGCATGCATGCAGGCATTCAATTCGCGTAATTCTCCTACACCCATTGCTTGGGTTTTCCACTTGGCGTGGGGAAGGGCAGAAGCCAAGCGATTAACGCCTCGGTAGATCGCTTTGTTAAATTGTGAAGCCATCAGATAACCAGGTGCTTGCTCTGCCTAGGTTCGGTAGGCAGATATTATTGTGATTGTTTAGGGATAATGACTATGAACACGAAACACCTCATCTTTGGTTTTGGACCTTTCCCCGGAACCATTTGGAAATTATACAATGACTGTCTGGTACATTACATGCATCGCGCTCGGTGATCGTCTCCATTTGGAATGCCGCTGTTCGTTTCTCTGGTTCTAACATTCCGCCTGCTTCCTCCGTTGGGATGCCAAATTGCGGAGCATTATTGTTGATTGTGGGGTGCAGCACATTCATTGTTTACCAAAACAAGATCTCGACGAATAAACATGGAGGACGCATAAGTTAACAAATAGTAATTCAAAGGCAGTGTGGCATGATTTTGAGGTTTAGCACGATGCAACCAACTTGGGCTGTTCCCGGGTGGTAGTCATAATTCAGGGTCCTCCTAGAGTCAACCACGATGGCAACCTTCACTCTTTTCAACTGTGCTTATCGAATAGCAGGACCTAAAGGGACGGGTAATGAGGCTCATTGGGGATGTTGGGGATGTTGGGCTACACTGGCTTATGTCCAAGAAAGAGCTTCCGAGCTGATGAGGATGGATTCATCGTTCTCGCACCCTTAATGTGGAGAGGTATGGGTACCCCGGTGGACGATCAAAGCATCGAGATCCATCAGAAAGGGAGCAGGCAGCTTATCGAGGACAATGATGTCGCGTCCTACTTAGTAGTTTTTCTTCTGCCCAATGATGGCTACCAGGGATTGATGTTGGATGGATCTATTTATTGTAGTTGCTTTGTTCGGTATGGTGGCCGCAGGTTCCATGGAACTTGGCTCTCTCAACATCCAAAAGTGCCTAATCAGGGCGTTGCGTCCTGGTGTCTACCTAGTTGCTCGTACCTTCAAATGGTTGAGTTGGGGCCTTGGTAGAGAGGGCGGATCGAGGGGGAAGATCCCACTATTCTTAGGAGCTGAGCCAAAAGAAAGGACATCTTGGTGAAGCTGGGGCACCTTGCTGTACCGAACTGTATTGTACTCCGTCCTGTATATCCATTCTAGGGTTACCTCGTGACCGTGTTACGTAGGGTACTATGTAGTATGTATACATACTCGTACAAACATACATGAATGATGAAATGATACGGAGGGTTGTATATACCAGGCGGAGTACGGTGTAAGTGTTGGTGCATGTAGTTAATGCATGGATACAGGGTTCGAGGAGGGGGGTTCTAACCTCCTCGGTCAGCAGAAAAGAGGAGAAGCCATGGTGTTGAGGAGCACCTAACCAAGCGTGCAGCGAGCCTCGTCAATTGCCGTCAAGAGTCATAACCAAGATCCATAATGCTGATAACCACAGATAGAAGCCCGTTGGTGCGTGCCTATCGTGTTGGAGCTACTGTACGTGCTGTCCGCGAATTCGTTGTTAAGATTACTGGGGGAGCAGCAGTTTGGTGGAGTGCTGAGAGGCTCAGTATCCCGTATCCCCGCACGTAGTCTCCAACTTACGTGCCAGTAACTCTTAGCAGTAATGGTGAGGTTGTTAGATGCCATTCATGCAGCAACAAGCAGCGACGTTCCGAAATTACACGATCCGTATGTGCTAGGCGCACGATGGCTGAACAGGTTCCGAGCGATTCGAATGGGTCGGCCGGTTCAATGGCAACATACTAGGTCGCCCGAACGGGGCAACGGGAGGCAATGGGGGGCAAATGGTATGGGGCAACACAGGGTAGACCATTCAGCAGACTCCAGAGTATAACTCTTTACCTACAAGTAACTAGAGACTTGAGCAGGGAAAGATGCGACGCAACCCTTCACGAACCACGCCCCGTCCACCCATCCATCCACCATGCATCTTTCCTACATACACCGAACTGTGACTGTGTTTGTAAGTGGAGAGATACTGTACGGAGCCTATACCAGTACAATTGGCAGCGGGCTTTTAGCGTTCTGTGTGGTCACTCGTGTGTGCTGTAGGTATGCAGGAAGTGGAGTGGATCACCAGGCCTGGGCCTCTCCTATTTCTTCTTCTTTTTCTCTTCCCTAGCGATGCCATGCTTTGCCATGCTGGGTGAATCACTAGACAGGACAGGGCAGGGCAAGGGTAGAAGACTACCGGTAGCTTCCAGATGGGCTCCGTAGAACCCCTACCCTGCGATACCCTGCCCTGCCCTGCCTTGCCCAAGGCCCTACAGGCTACGCGGTTACACCTAGTGACAGGTATGACTGCACCAGTGCGCCTACAGCTGTACAGAGTACATACATCCATACTGTGTAGTTACAACTTACCACCGCCATAAACCGTTGGATGCTGCCCTACCTTGTTCCCCATGCCATGCCGTGCCAGGCCATGCGCTGCGTTCCCTGTCTGATGGCGATGATTCGAGAGTCATTGACGACACCAGCGGCATACACAGTAGGTACATAGGCAATTACTCGTAGGTACGAGTAGATGGGTAATTAGGTGTTTTGATGTGCACCACTGCTTGCTTCTGCTTCTGCAGCTACCGCCGATCATCCGAACGAAAGGTGAGTCTATCGGTATCTAGGTGCACCTTGCATGTCATCAGGCCCTCCCCATCGCCCGCCATGCATGCTCCCCCTTCTACACAGTATGTACTGGCAATCTCGCCTCGTTGCCTCTTTCCCTCGGTTAGTCGTGGAAGTGGTTCTGCGAGGAGAATACTCCGTCCATACTTGTGTGTCAAATTGGCGGGACCATGGCACGCATGGGCAAAACGCTCGCGACCGATCAAGTGGTGCGGGCAGCGGGACTGTCCGGTATCCCCCTTTCTCTCTCTTCAACAGGCGTAACCTTCTAATTGGCGTCATTAATCATCTCCCGTAACCATAACTACCTGTAACCAACCTAGGTAGGCACGGTCATAGATAAAAGAAAAGAGAGAGGAGAGCGGAAGAGAAGAAAAAAAAAACCACGGACATGGCACGGCCTATATTGCGGTCTTTGGGACGCCACGGCTCGGGATCGTTGTGACCATAGGTACCTAGGTACTCATACTGAGCCCAGAGATTGAAGAACCATTAATGCTTTGCCTACACAGTAGGTATTCTTCCCATGTCAATTGCTGTTTGAAACCTGCGAGTTTAGTTGAGTAGTGTGATGAATTGGTTGGTTCCGGCCAGTTATCGGTCTGACGTCCTCCCTCAGTCATGAGGAGTATACAGTAGTCGGTCAGTCATTCAGCCAGTCAGTTGGATATATACCAGTACCCAAGGTAATAAACCATGCCATGTCCATGTCCCTTTGCTTTTTCAATTAGTTTGGTCGAGAGGGGAAGAGCTAATTAAGTTGATCAAGTTTGGTCTGTGTAGCTTAATGTATCTGTGTGGTTTGCAAGTATTATTATTGTATACCTAGGTAACTACGGAGTATCTACTTGATGTGTGTGAATGGGTACACAGAAGAGTAGTGGAGGATGAAAGATGAAAGAGACCCGGGAATGTGGCCACCCACTACCACCCACTACCACCCATTACCATTACCATTACCATTACCATTACCTAGTAACCACCATTAGTTACCTATTCCCTAGCATCTACTACTTAGTACTTAGTCCTACTAGTAGGTAGTAGTAGTAGGTGGGTGGTAGTAGTAGTAGTAGTAGTAGTAGTAGTAGTAGTAGTAGTACCAACTGGCCTGGCCTAGCGAAAAAAACCCCGCAAGCGTCCGCCTCTTTTTTCGCTCTCACACGCGCAAGCAACAGTGCACGCACGCACGCACGCACGCACGCACGCACGCTGCACGCACACACACACAGACATGCCCACACGCAGACCGAAACCTTCCCTGTCCAGTTCCAGTTCCAGTTCCAGAGTCCAAAACCCAGACCAATCCGATCCCATCCTTCCATCCTACCATAAGTCACTTACCCATATTCTACCCTATTACCCTACCCTAACTACTCTCCTCCTCCTACTCCTTCTACTCCTCATCCTCACATCCTTCCTCTTCTTCTTCCTCTCCTCCTCCTCCTCTCAACCCTCCACTATTCTCCCACTCTCGGTCTATTATCTCTCTCCCTCTTCTCTCCCCACTTCTACTCCCACTCCCACTCCTATACTACTTAACTCTCTATCCTACTCCGCTCTCTTACTCTCTCTCTCTCTCTCTCTCTCTCTCTCTCTCTCCCGTAACCCCCTCCACCTCCTCCTTCTCCTCCTTTCCCCCCACGCCGCCACGATAAATACTTTCCACCACCCTTCCTTGCGTGCCGCCACCTCCCCCACCGCATTCCTTCCTCGCCTGTCCACAACAACAACGCCATCAACCCTCTCGCCCATCCCGTCCTCCCCTTCTACTTAACCCGCGCAACCACCACGGACGCATGTCGAGACCGTTTCGGCCCGCCGAGGCAACATTGGAGGGAGGATCAAGGCAATCCAGCTACCGCAATTGACACGAAAGGAAGAGAAGGAAATATGGCTGATGTTCTCCCGGTTATGTTGCGCACCTCGGCTTCTCACACTTCATTCTTCGATGCTACCGCCCCATATGGTGCGCCGCGGAGGAATTATTCGCATTCCGATCTACGCTCCGGCTCCTTAAGCTCCTCCCAGACCTCATCCTACCACTCCACTCCCGCCAGCAGCCTATCCCTGGACACCGGACTCGAAGAGAGCAGCAGCGAAGACGACGACGACGACGACGACGACGACGAAGATGGTGGACTGTCATTTCCCGCGTACAACACCGCGCGCTATAAACCGAAACCGAGAGAAACCCGCGACGCACAACCTTCAAGCCCGACCCAGACCGCTCGCCCTGCCCCAACACCCGCCGATATATCAGATACTTCCCCCGCCGCCCCTACGGATCCGCCATTACCAATATCCGAAGACGATTCCGCCGTTCGCATCGAGCCTACACACCACGTCGACTACCTGTCGCATGAATGGAACGAGGAGGACATTTGGTCCTCTTGGCGGCACATAGTCGAACACCGAAAAGTCTACGGCGAGAGGTCGAGATTAGAAAATGCATCTTGGAGAACATGGGCCAAGTCGCAGTTCAAGCTGAGGACTGTGTCGCCCGAAACACTGAATTGGTATGTGGAAATCGCTGCCAACCCCTGTCTGCACTGCCGATCACATCCCCACATGTCCGCAAATCCTCCGGCCCAACACCTGTTCTGTGGTTTTTGATGAAATTGGATTGCTAATGGATTGCAATAGGCTGAAAGACTGTGACGTTACCTGGCTCTATGGCCCGCTTCAACCCGCAGCTCATCGAACGCTCTCAACACAGACTTCCGAGCCGGTCAGCCGGTTGTCAAAATCGAACTCATTCCTGCAGCATAAGAAACCGATCCTGAAAAAGCGAAGCATGTCAGAGGTAATGCTACAGAATTCTCTATCATCTTCTTCCCTGGTCAAGCAGGCAGCAGCAGCAGTGCAGGCCCAGCAGCTTGACACTTCGACAGCTCTGGCTCGCCGACGGCAACGTCCTGTGGTCGGCCGAGCTACGTCCGATTACATTACCTCCTCCATATCCTCCATACCTTCCAGAACCACTAGCCGTGATCCGACCGATTACTTTTCATCGCGATCTACGTCTGGCTTGCAGACGCCAGACCATGGCGAGCGGAAACATATTCGCTTTGACGAAAAGGTGGAGCAGTGCATAGCCGTCGAGTGCAAAGACGGCATGGACGATGACGACGACGACGACGCCAATAATTGGAGAAATAATGACGATGACGATTCTTCGTCCGATGACGGCGTTGTCATGATGAAGCGGTCGCGGAAAAGGGCACCTCTTTCGCGAAGCGCCTCTAGATTGAGCGTTACCGGAGATACCAAAATAATAGCCAAACTACCATCGACTACTCTCAAGTGTCGAACAGACTCCCCCGACATCACTGAACAGCAACCCTCCCATTCGCTCGGACTCTGGCGATCGAGTAGATTATCACCTTCACCCTCCCAGGAAACGCTTCGACCATCAAATCCCTCCACAAACTTTCTCCTTCCCAACGACGACGGCGATGAAGAAGAGGAGGAAGAAGACGATGACGAGGATGACGGCTTGTGGGAACCCGACAGGGCTTACGAAGTCAAGCGTCCAGGCACGCCAACTCCCCGAAACCCAAACGTAGAGGCGGCGGAGTCCGAAAATGACGAACCTTCCCAGTCAGGTGGTTTGCGGAAAACCGCATCAGGAATGTTCATGCCTTTTGATGAGATGGACGATGATCCCACCCCACCTGGCCTCATCGGGAGGGTAGTGGATACCGTCAACACTGCTCGAGATATTGCGCATGTCATATGGAATGTTGGGTGGAGGGGATAGTACTGATAACATAATTTTCATTTTTTGCCTTGATGGCGTCGTTTTTAATGGTGTTCGGCTCGGCTGTCTTAACATAAAGCATTTTCGGGAACAGGTCGGGATTCTGGGTTTCACAACGGATGACATACAAGTTTGGTTTGCGATTTCTTCTTCTTCTTCTTCTTCTTCTTCTTCTTCTTCTGGGCCTGTTCCTTTTAGCGGACACACTGAATCGGGGTTCACAGCGTGCGACTACATGAATGCATCTACGTTGTATCATTCATATGCGAGGAGGCGAAAATGGTTCGTCAAGGTGTGGAGGACATAGTATGGTGAATCAAGGGGATTGCTGGATAGCCTAGTACTCTGGTTCATTGAAGCTTGCATTAGCTATCGCGGAAGACAGTTCCGACACAACCAGTCAATTTATCGAGCAAGTTCTTGTCTGACTCCATCAACTATAGCTTGCCCCACAATCACATACACACATGAACCGACCTGAGCTTGTGACCAATCTATAACCTTCATGAACATGGACGGGCTGGCGTGTGAACGCGCCATGTTACCAATATGGCAAGAGATATCCCGCCACCGTCCACGTCCCTTGATCAGTACCGTTCATTCGCAATCATATCTCCCCGTCAGTCAATCGCTCTCCCGCAACAAACCACTCGAGTAACAACAACACTCAATCCATCAGTCCAAATCAAACTCGAGAACTTGCATCAAGGCCTTTCTTGTAAAGCAACCATGACTGCGACGTACTACTGGAAATGCTGCAAGTGTCATACACTAAACTACCTTGGCCAGAAGGACTGCGAGTATCAGGACTGCGAGTATCAGGACTGCGCACATCCCAAATGTAAAGAAGATAAAGGATGCAAACTAGTTCACATGAGGAGGAGAGAGGAGGTAGCAGAAGATGAGGAGGAGGAGGAGACGAAGAAGAGGAAGAAATAGAAGAAATCTAGGTCGTGAGCTTCTGGAGGAGGGTCAGGCTCTGCGAGTGGCTCTGGACAGCCGGGCACAGCTTGGGAGGATTTATGAGTAGAGTCGAGGCATATGTGAAATTGAGGGGCATTCGCTGCCTGAGATGGTCATACATTTTGATGCAAGCCAGTGTTCATACACAGTAGGTGGGTTCGGTAAGATGAATGACATGGCTGTGATCTCATAGACGTGAACCCTTTAGGAATGGGATTCATTCATGTGAGAAGAAGCATTCTTTCCCAAATCGAAACGAAATATACGGAAAAGAGACTCTCATGTGAAAGTCTCACAATCGAAAGACCCTCTCCATTTCGGGAAACGTTATGACGTTTCCTCGATCGAAAGCGGATGGATGTGGAGCGTGGAGCGGAGCGTTGTTTTTTGAAGGGTCCAGCGCACCAACGGTTCCTGAGCCTCGGAAATAAAACCGAACCGTTCGTTGAAGCGTACCTCTGGTTATGTAGATAGAGGGCTTTGGATTATTACTTCATTTGGTTGTCATCCAAGTACTCCGTAGACGTCTCGTGCTAACGAGAGAGAGGTCTTATTTGTGATATAGAAATGAGAGACTACTCCGTCGGCTATGCCACGTGCGATTGGCGGAATGAAGTCAGATCCTGACACTTGATTGGCCAGATTTCAACGGCCAGATTATAAACGCGGACAGTAAAACGTTCTACGACTGATCGATCGTGACTTGTTCCATCGCTACTCGTATCATACGTTTGCTAAGTACGGAGCAGTGAGAAAGCCAGAAAATGGGAATACGGGCGGAATTTTCTATCAGGAATTGCTCTTTGTCTTATGCGCATGTCGCGTGTGCCGGAACGATAGGCCTTATCGCGCCGAGGCATGATACTCGCCTCCATAGGTAGAGGACAATCCTTTTGGAGGGTCTCACCAAACATGAGCCTGATGTTGGCCCGCGGTTCAATTGTCTCAACCTAAGGGATCAAACCGCGCAAAGCCTAAATACCAGCCTCAAGCTGGGGCAGCGTGGTGCTGTTTTATCACGTTTTCAAGTCCTGATGCTAGACCACGCATCAATCGCTCCCGATGGAAAGCTCGCTGTGGCAGGTGGATAACGGAGCAAGTCACTGCCATATGTATACAGTATATTCCGCCTCCGTGCAATATGCCTTGACAATGGACTGTGGAGGATGCGTTCGCACGACTGCCGTATGCCGTATGCCGGAGAAGGAATAATGCAATAATGCAATATATTACTGGCCTTTGCAAATCTCCGACCTCAGAGCATGATCTAGGTTTTAGCAAATGCAGCCGCAGCCACAGCCGCAGCAACGGTAACTAACTGAGAAGTAGACACTTGTCATCTATGCAGAATGTACTACTCCGTAGGGTAAGGCAAGTGGTCAATGGTTTTCTGGTAGCCACGATAATAATACTCCGAGCAAGGTATTAATCAATAATGCTATTCGGTGCTGGAGTACGGGTACTCCGTATGCAGTACTGGAAGTGCTGAGAGGCGAGGTACCGGTACCTACCTACCTAGTTAGTACGAGGTAACTACATACTGCATACTGGACAGTGGAGGCTGCTGAGAGGGGGAAGTGGAGAGGCTGGGGTCTTGATTGGGCCAAGCTTACAACCACCCACCACCCACCACCGTGGCCTCTTCTCACGGCAACATAAAATCCTACCCTTAAAAACACCAAGCTACAACCGACTCGACTTATCTCATTCCATCTTTGTCCCACTCTTCCTTGCTTCCACCTGTCAAATCGCAATCGCAACTGCGACTCCTCTGCTGTTCACATCCTCCAACAGTAGGTTGCTTCGCTCACAATGCGTTTCGCTGTCGGTGCCATCGCGCTTCTTGCTGCCTCCGTGCAAGCACAGGAGCAGGCTCCCTTGGTCGACGAGGAGGTATCTTCCTCGACTTCGATCGTGAAGCCAACATTCACTGTAAGCCCTCTTATCTTCGACTACCTCCCGCCTCCTCCACCAGAATCAATTCGCTAACGGTGGAACCTATTGCAGCCCACAACCCTCAAAGCTCCCTTCTTGGAGCAGTTCACGGACGACTGGGAATCGAGGTGGAAGCCATCACACGCGAAGAAGGATGACAAGTCTACAGAAGAGGAGTGGGCCTACGTCGGCAACTGGGCCGTCGAGGAGCCTACCGTCCTCAAGGGCGTTGAGGGCGATAAGGGTCTCGTCATCAAGGACAAAGCTGCCCACCACGCCATCTCGGCCAAGTTCCCCAAGGCCATCAACAACAAGGGCAAGACCCTCGTTGTTCAGTACGAGGTCAAGCTTCAGAGTAAGTTTTGAAAACAATCGGCTTGGTCTGTGCTAGCTAGCTAACATGTCACCAGACGGTCTCGAATGCGGTGGTGCCTACTTGAAGCTCCTCCAGGAGAACAAGGCTCTCCACCAGGAAGAGTTCTCCAACGCCTCCCCCTACATCATCATGTTCGGTCCTGACAAGTGCGGTGCAACCAACAAGGTATGTGCACAGCTCATGCGTGGCAATTGCGAGGACCGTGAGTTTTGACTGGTATATAGGTCCACTTCATCTTCCGACACAAGAACCCCAAGACCGGAGAGTACGAGGAGAAGCACCTCAAGAACCCCCCGACGGCCCGTATCGTCAAGACCTCCTCCCTCTACACCTTGATTGTCAAACCCGACAACACTTTCGAGATCAAGATCGACGGCGAGTCTATCCGCAATGGAACTCTCCACGAGGACTTCTCCCCCTCCGTCAACCCTGAGAAGGAAATTGACGATGTCAATGACAAGAAGCCTGAAGACTGGGTCGACGAGGCTCGCATCGCCGACCCCGAGGCCAAGAAGCCCGAGGATTGGGACGAGGAGGCTCCATTCGAGATTGTTGATGAGGAGGCCACCAAGCCCGACGACTGGCTCGACGAGGAGCCCCTCACCGTCCCCGACCCTGAAGCTGAGAAGCCCGAGGACTGGGATGACGAGGAGGATGGTGACTGGATTCCCCCTACTGTTCCTAACCCCAAGTGCGACGAGGTCACCGGCTGTGGCCCCTGGTCTCCCCCCATGAAGAAGAACCCCGACTACAAGGGCAAGTGGAGCGCTCCTTTCATCGACAACCCTGCCTACAAGGGTGTCTGGGCCCCCAAGAAGGTCAAGAACCCCAACTACTTCGAGGACAAGACTCCCTCCAACTTTGAGCCCATTGGCGCTGTAAGTAGTCCGCACACTGACGAGACAATGAAGATATACTGATTGTAAACGCAGATTGGTTTTGAGATCTGGACTATGCAGAACGATATCCTCTTCGACAACATCTACATTGGTCACTCTGCCGAGGATGCTGACAAGTTGAAGGAAGAGACCTTCGTTCCTAAGCTCGCTGCGGAGAAGGCTGAGGAGGAGGCCAACGCTCCCAAGCCCGAGGATCCCAAGACTCCCTCTGATCTCTCCTTCAAGGACGACCCTGTCCGATTCGTTCAGGAGAAGCTCAACCTCTTCATCGAGATTGCCAAGCGCGATCCCGTTGAGGCCGTCAAGTTCGTTCCCGAGGTCGCCGGTGGTCTTGGTGTTATCGTTGTCGCCATCATTGCCATTCTTGCCTCCGCCCTCGGCGGTGGCGCTGCCCCCTCCAAGGAGCAGGTCAAGGCACAGGCAAAGAAGGCTAAGGATGCTGCTGTGGATGCAAAGGACAAGGCCGCTGAGGCTGTGACCACTGGTGCCGAGAAGGCCCAAGCTGAGGTCAACAAGCGCACCACCCGTTCAAACGCCTCATAGATATGCAATGTAGCGTAGCTGGAGGATCGATCGTTTTAGGGCGAGGGTAGCAGCGATGAATGATCCCACAAAAGGAGAGACACGTTCAACAGGGACGGAGAAGAAGACGTCCACGATTTCATTCGAATCCATTCGATCCCATTACCTTGGATTTAGGTACATTGATATATTGCTTGGGGGGCGTGCAAAAGGCGCTATGATATTGTATGATAGTTGCTTTTCAACAATGACATGAATAATAACACGTTAAAACAAATTGGCATGACTTTGAGATTTTATCAATGGTGAAAACGGGAAAGGAAGAGGAACGCAATGAGGTTGGGAAAGTTGCATTGTCGGCGGGGACAGCTATAGTAGCGTGCGTCATTGGGGATGGTCTTGATCTCGTTGAGGTGGTGAACTTCCGTGACGCTCCCCACACTCATACGAAAGATCACCTACGTGCCTACCTATGTACGGAGTAGCACTATCTATGTAATCTTGCAATTGGACATGCCTGTCTCGATTCGATGGACAATGCGATTACGCGCAAACGCGCAAGACGCGCAGAAATTCGAGTGTAGTTCCCAAAGAGAACAAGGAAAGCGAATTGGTAATGTTATCGGAATGGCCTTCTTGTTTGATGTGAGGTTTCCTATGGGGGGGAACACAATCGGGTAAAGCTTGGCGTCAACGGCGTCTATCCGTATCGTTCTTCGTTCTCTTTTGAGGGGGAAACAGTGACATGGTGGGGTTATTAATCAACTTAGTCTTGAATCAAGTCATGTGATAAGGGAAAGATTGTGGAGAAAGGCTATTGTGTACGGGTCCTAAGTATGATACGTACTGTAGTCTGTGAAGTGCCAGAGGTGGATTGAGACGGTTTGACTCGGCATCTCTCCCCCGCTCCGACCGCGGCAATGTCGACTACCTTGGGCCAAACCAAAGGGAAATCGTATCCGACCAAACATCGTCCAACCGTCTACAACTTATCTTCTCTACCTCCTCTCCTTTTGCTTTTCTGTCTTCTGAATTGTTCTCTTCACCTTTCCTTCATTCTCTCAAAAATTAAAAAATCCCTCCTCTTGTGGAGAAAGGTCCATCTGCCGTGAGTTGACAACTCGCAATTGAGCAAGGACATCCACCTTTTAATCTACCGAGCAACGGCTAATCTGGGTCCTGCAATGGCCGCTCGACAAGTTATCACCCGCAACCTTGCGACGTTGGCCACCCGGTCGTCCATTCCTCGCGTTGCTTCACTCTCCGCCAGAATGTCTAAGCCAGCAAACACGGCCTACATTGCCTCGCGGCGGTTGCATGCCACTGCTCAGCACCTCAAGCCAGCTGCCACCGCCGCCTCCACCGCCGATTCGTACCCCCTCAACCACGACCAGATTCAGTCGCCCAAAGATACCCAGAACTTCCTTGACAACAAGTTCGTCCCCTCACAAGCAACCCAATGGATTGATCTCCACGATCCAGCAACAAACAACCTCGTCACCCGTGTTCCCCAGAGCACTGATGCAGAGCTCCTTGCCGCAGTTGACAGCGCCGAGAAAGCATTCAAGCCATGGAAGGAGACCAGCTTGTTGCACAGGCAGCAGATCCTCTTCAAGTATACTGCTCTGATCCGCGAGAACTGGGACAGACTCGCCGCTAGCATCACTCTCGAGCAGGGAAAGACTCTTGCTGATGCTCGCGGTGACGTCCTTCGTGGTCTTCAGGTCGCCGAGACCGCCTGCGGCATCACTACTCAGATGACTGGCGAGGTTCTCGAGGTCGCAAAGGACATGGAGACTCGCAGTTACAGAGAGCCTTTGGGTGTCGTTGCAGCCATCTGCCCCTTCAGTAAGTATTTCTCATTATCATGTACATGTCCTTTCGCATGACCGCAACTAACGGATGAAAACCAGACTTCCCCGCCATGATTCCTCTGTGGTCCATCCCTATCGCTACGGTCACTGGTAACACCCTGGTCATCAAGCCTTCGGAGCGCGACCCCGGTGCATGCATGATCCTCGCTGAGCTCGCGGAGAAGGCTGGCTTCCCTGCCGGTGTCGTCAACATTGTTCACGGTGCTGCTAAGACTGTCGACTTCATCCTCGACGAGCCCCGCATCAAGGCAGTGAGCTTCGTTGGAAGCAACAAGGCCGGCGAATACATCTTCTCTCGTGCCTCGGCCAATGGCAAGCGATGCCAGGCCAACTTGGGAGCTAAGAACCACGCTGCCGTCCTCCCCGACTGCAACAAGAACCACGCGTTGAATGCCATTGCTGGAGCTGCTTTCGGTGCCGCCGGTCAGCGATGCATGGCTCTCAGTACCCTTGTCATGGTTGGCGAGACCAAGGAATGGGTGGCAGAGATCGCCGACCGCGCGAAGGCTCTGCAAATGAATGGCGGTTTCGAGGAGGGTGCCGATCTCGGACCTGTCATCACTCCTCAAGCCAAGAAGAGGATTGAGGACATCATTGCTACCGCAGAGAAGGAGGGCGCAACTATCCTTCTGGACGGACGTGGCCAGAAGCCCGCGAAGTACCCCAACGGCAACTGGGTCGGTCCCACCATAATTGCCAATGTCAAGCCCCACATGACCTGCTACAAGGAGGAGATCTTCGGTCCCGTTCTTGTTTGCTTGAACGTTGAGACCATCGACGAGGCCATTGAGCTCATCAATGCCAACGAGTATGGAAACGGTACCGCCATCTTCACCCGCTCTGGTGCTACTGCTGGTAAATTCCAGCGTGAGATCGAGGCCGGCCAGGTCGGCATCAATGTTCCCATCCCCGTCCCTGTAAGTCATTTTCCCCTCCAACCATTTGAGGTCCCGCAGTGACGCATGTATACTGATTCGCCATTCAGCTTCCCATGTTCTCCTTCACCGGCAACAAGAAGTCGATCGCCGGAGGTGGTGCCAGCACATTCTACGGCAAGCCTGGACTTCAATTCTACACCCAGCAAAAGACTGTGACCAGCTTGTGGAGGAGCGAGGATGCCGTAGCCACCAAGGCCAGCGTCAACATGCCCACACATAGCTAAACTGCTTTTGATATCATGAAGTGCGACGAAGTAGCCGGGGAGGATGATTATACGATCAATGTTTAGACGAGATTGAAAAGGTCGGCTTGATATGTCGTTGATATTCACTCAGAATGCCCTCGAAGGTATATGCATACAACCACTGCTCGTTAATCTGCTTGGTATATGGCCATGTAGTTGCGGAACGATTTAGGACAGACATAAGAATGAATTCAAAAGCGGATGCATACGCATCGGACATTTTACATACACTTACATGAGGACCAATTGCCATTCACTTGTTGGCTGCTTTGTTCCGTCCAGCCAGTGCACATGATGATTCTTTTCACCACCAGCAACAGCAGCAGCCGTGCCAGGGAGAACATGACAGAAGGAAAGGACGACTTCAGAGGGAGTCATATCCGACAAGGCTGAACGGCACTTGACAGCGGTCGAGCAAGCTCTCGTCCACACAAACACAAACGCACCACAGTGCAGATTACTCCGTGTTTACTACTACGTTTGTAATCGATTATGTATGTCCATGTCAGACGGGAAATGGGAAAGGGGAAACAGGTCCCAGGATGGAAAATGTCTTGAGGCAGAATTACGTGAAACCTGGGCACGGAACGTTGGGATCTGAAACATTGCTTCCCATGCAGCGCGTGCGTGCATGCATGTTGTCCCTCCGAGAACGCCCCCCACCCCCCCCCCCCCCCCCCCCCCCCCCCCCCCCCCCCCCCCCCCCCCCCCCCAAAACGCCACCGCGATATAACGTGGACGGTGGAGTCTCGATAGACGTTGAGCGGAGAATTGCGGGTAGGTGATTAGTTAATTAGAGAGGGATGGGAGAGGGAGCTGAGTAGCAAGTTGTGGTTTGTTACAGACAGCCTACGAGTATACAGGCATGGCACGTTTGCCCATCCGCACCGGGGCAGAGGGATAATTACAATATCGTTGAATGTGGACGTGGATGTGGAGAGCCAAAAGCCACGAGGCGTTCGGCTGTTACGCTCATCCGTTCGACGGTTGATCGACGACGCGCGGACAATCTATCCATCCACTCATACAATACTGGCCTGAGGATGACGGAAGCAGGACAGGCATGGACAAGAGACGGAGCGGGACATGTTATTTCAATTAATGGGGTTGATCTACTGGATGTGAAGATCAATGACGTCGATTGTGTTTCTCGGGGCTGACTTGGATTATCCAGGAGGATGTTTTGATTCAATTCTCCTGAATATCACGGTGTTTTGGGATGGGTGGATGGGTTTGATCGTCTTTTGGGATCCACAGTGCCACGCAAGAGGAGGGCTACGAGTATTACATCAATGGATAGAAATCATAAGTGGCAAGAGCAGGGAATAATAGATGCGGGGGAAGGGGGGGGGATGAGCGGGATGATGTTGTGTTGTGAGTAACAGTGAGCCTGTGAGGATAAGATGATAAGCTGTTGAGGGAGAGAGGAGCTGGAGCCAAGCAATGTGTTGCGTGTGCACATTGCGCGTGTAGGTAGTCTAGTCTAGTCTACATGTAATACCTAGGTACACGTTAGACTATACAATAATAGTTACTCCATTTTGAAAGTAGACGAAATCAATAAATATTCATGGGTTGATTGGATGAAGACAGAATAAATACTGCTTGATTTTTTCAATGTAATATGTACCTAGCCTAGCATCCTAGGTGCTCCGTAGTCAGTGGATACTGTGTAGGAAGAGTGGGCTAGCTCCATGTGTAATGTCCTCCGCCCTCCTCGCAACTACTGTAGCCACGGGCAATTGCAAGGCTAATTACCTAGGTAGGTGAATACATAACTTGATTTACCAATTGTGTAGTTACAGTACTCGTACCGAGCAAGCAAGCAAAGCAAGTTATCGAATGCTGAGCATCAATATAGGCGGGGGTGCAGTTGAAAGGGTTGTCTGACAGGGCGGATATGTATCGTAATCGTATCATATGATTCATATCGTATCTCCCCGGACGGATAGAGCAGAATAGAGAGGGATTTGTTTCATTATCAATAGCTTGGAAATCCTTTATCCAGAGAGGCTAGGTTCTACTCGTGGACAGGAGGCATTTCGTATTTGCATCTATATTGGCACGTATCTGAGTTGTTGATACTATGCTCGTCGGTGACTCCGTACAGGAGAATGGGTTTTAACTACCTAGGTGTGTACTCGGGACTCGTAGATGTGAACAGGGCAAGCTTGATAGAGCGCGACATGGCAGCAGCACCAGCAGCAGAGCACTGACACAGGTGCAGTGCGGGGGACGCAAAGATTGGGATGGATGGATGGGATGGAGTATTCCGTGCTGTGTAGAATAGGATGTCTGTGGTTGGCAAGGAATGAGGAATGGGGGATAAGGATGATGGGAGTGGCGGGGATTTGGAGCTACCACTGCCGCCGACCGGAAGCGGGATAGGACAAGCAGTTGGCCTGACGATATTGGTATTGGCATGAATACTTCTTTTGTTCGCAGCGACAAAAAGATGCATATCTTCTTTTCGGATTGCATGTGCGTGGTAGCACAAGCGCATCGACGGTGGCGAGGGTCACTATACGCTGTGCTGTATGGAGAGTACGAAGTAGGGAGTAGCATGATAAGAGCGTACCCGTAAGAGTGTGGATGAATTGGGACGGGTTGAGTGCATGCAGTCACAGTGGCAACGCAATCAACGTGCGTGGAATGGAAACATACACAAATGCATGGATACTTCTGGAGCTGAGGCTGGAGCTGGAGCTGGAATTGGAATCGGAATTGGAGATGGGGATGGAGATGAAGCTGGACCCGGACTCTACTGCGTAACTATTCGATTCTTTTGTTAGAAGCAGACTGGAATAGACGCAGTACAGAGTGACTGGCCATCTCACATTCGTGTTTACGTTCTCTCTTTCGCCCCCCTGTGTTGTGTTCCTCTCTTTCTTGCTCTCCTGCTCTCTCGCTCTTTTCCATCTCTCCAAGCTCTGCTCCGTACTCCGCAAATACATACATCTCCATCGTCCTTGTATGCGTGCCGAATACTACACAGTATACTCCGTACACACATTCATACATCCATACGCACCTACACCGTGCATACAATAACACCCGCCGGCATAGCGCTATCAGAGGCTAGAGAGTTGTCGGCTTGACTGGGTTGCTGGGACTGGTGTACTACGGTTTTATGCACCAACACATCGATAACTCGAGCAGCAAATCGACAAAAGATTGGCAAGGCCGGGCGGGACAACTGGTGTTTCGGGTGGATGGTGCATCCTGAGACGGAGATCCGTAGGGATTGATTGGAACGAACGGGCTTCAACATCCTGACTTCCATTACGGTATTACATTCACACAGCGCACATACACACACACTCTCTCTCTCTCACACTCACGCTACTCACACTCCGACGAGTGACACTTCCTGACCTTCCTACCTACTGCTCACTGTTGCTCCTCATTATTGACGCGTTTCCACACTCACTCCGGTACGGAACGTGCAGCCGATGACGAGTCGAGTTAGAGGAAGAAAGTAAAAAAAGAATAAACACACCACCACCCACCGCGGCACTACTTCCACTACTTCCACTACTGCTATTCCACTATCCCTCCACCACAAAACACACCACACTTTTACTACTGTTCCCACTATCACTACGACTACGACTCGACTTCCATCCACCAACAACCTTCTGGGTATCCAAACTCTCTGTATTGTTTCGTACTGAAAAGCGCGTTACGAGAAGAGGAACCTCGTCCTCTGTGGTACGCCACTCACTCTACCTTGACTAGTACCAGGGCCAGGTACACACAGTAGACTACCAGACTACCCAGGGTACTTTACTACTCTTAGTATACACCTAACTACTGTGTGTGTACTCGTACTAGTCACTGCAGTACAGCGTAGTATTGCTCTCATACATACGAGGACATACAATACCACCACCGCATCTTCTAACCACTACTATTACATTACTACTACTTCGACTTCGCCTCCCATCTTTCTACTCTTCCTCTCTCTCTCTTTTCTCTCACTTACTCTCACTCACTCTCACTCTCACTCTCACTTTCACCACTCCTCACTTCCACCACCTCTCTTCCCATCAATCTCTTCTTCCTTGCGCTTCCTTTCTCGTAAAAGGTCCCTCGTTACCCCATCACCATCGCTATCACACACACCCTTACCTCTCACCCGCAGCCGACATCCGCCCTCTCAATCTCACCTCCACGACGACCCACCTTATCTACCCATCCGTAGGCTCATAGCTCTCCAGCCCCCCCCTTCTAATCTTGTTAGCCGACCGCTGCCCATCTCTCATCTCCACTGCAACTCGGCATTGATCACCGATCACCCAACGGCGCCTCACTAGCCACGCTTTACCAGCCCCGTCACTTTGTTGCATGATTCAAGCAATTCCTTGGAAAGCACATCGACAAAACAACAAAGCCCATGTCTGTCGCAATGGACCAACGACCCGACCAACAGAGACCCCGGTCCAAGTCGACCTTTAGCTTCAAAAGCGACAAGTCCCATGGTTCCAATCCCAATCACGATAAACATCACCATCACCTTCCTCATCATCATCATATTCGCGAATCTGCCGAGGACAAACGAAAGAGCCATCTGACCCCACACACCAAAGCCGATCCCAACGCTGCTATGACTGAGGTTCAACCCAGTACGTTCTAATCTGCCCTTGCCATTGCCCTCATCTGGCGCATGCGATTCCAGATCCACCGTACGAAACCTGCGTAACGAATACTGACGGTTCACAGTCGCCGCTGCTTTAGAGAAGCCTACCCTTCAATCCCTTCGTTCCTTCCAGCATGTCGACAGCAATGGAGCCCCAATAGGTAGTGAAGCTCCTCAGCGACTTCCATGGGCAAACGTTAACACAGAACAGCCGAACCTGACCTGTCCAACCCCACTCGTTCGCGATGGGAGCGTCCCCTCGATACGATCAGATCATTCGAAGCTGCGATCGATGGTGAATATAAGCGCAGGTCGCAGGCGATGCGAAATGGTACACACTATTAGTCCGCTCAAATCGCATTGTGCCACGGCTAACGACTCTTCTAGATTCGTCTGAGATGTTGAGCGGATACGCGAGTCGCAGAAGCAGCTACTACGGTGGAAATGGAGGTTACGACCAGAACCGTCACTCACAGCCGGGGGGTTACTACGGCAGTCGACAGACTGCTATGGGACGCGATGGTTGGGACAACGGCTACGGTGGCCAGCGCAACCGTTACAACCGCATGCAATCCGACCCTTACCGATACAACAATAACAACAGTAATAATAATATTAATACCAACAACAACGTCTATCCTACCCAAGGCTATCACCAATCGCGCGACACAGTCATCACGGGAGGGTCGAACGGTAGCCAAAGTGAACCGTACTCAAACGAACAGGGTAGCGAGAACAGCTCCATCGAGCAGAGAGGCGGACCCGTTGGCCCACCACCTGGTGTTCGACCGGACCTTGGAGAGCAATATGGGTTCAATGGCTTTGGCGGAGGCGGTCCCCAACCCATCCTCGAGGAGTATGGAAACGTTCCGTCAGGCCAAGGTTATTTCCCACCACAGCAATCACAACAACAGAACTTCGCGCCGCCTGTACCTGCAAAGACGGGACAACCCCAAGTTGCACCGATTCAGTTGAGCCAAAGCAACTCGAATGGACAGGCGATGCCTGCGAACGGTCCGAGGCCGAATGTTTTGTCTCGCAAGGGCACGTCGCAGTCCGGCGAGAAGAGACAGAGTTGGTTTAAGAGGCGGTTCAGCAAGAACTAAGGCTCCGACCAAGCAGGGTTGATATCAAGTTTCTCTATTATGAGGAAACCGGATCGAATGGTGGGGGGCATGATCAGTGCATTCCACTTCATCTTGTAGCTTTTCTGCAGCTCTTGTAGCTCAGCGTCACATGTATCGTTGTTTAGATTTGTTTGGCTGCTCTGGGTATGGGCGCGGGCGGGTTTGTGGCGTTTCTGAATGGACCTACGGCGTGTGTCCGGGAATTGGCATTCACAAGTTTTTGTTTCACGAATGAATTATGAGTCTACTTCTCATTTGGGACTTTCCCATGGAGAAGGATGAAAAGATGATTCCCAGTCAGTTTTTGGGAGTCCTTACTTGGGTGGTGGACTCTTTCGGAATGAGCGCCAGAGATACCAGGGCGGTGGGAGGCGAAATGATGGCGTTAATAATTTCTGTACAGGCCATCGAATGTCACTCCTTCAACAGGCGCCACATACCATCCTCCAGTATTGTGCAACAGTGAAAGTGTGGATTTTTGGCTGATGTGTCCTCATGTTACTCAACAGCTCGAACTACATGCAATTGTTGTGACTATTAATTAACTATTTTAGGATAAAAGCCATCCAGACTAGGACAATGATGGGTGGGAGGATGCTCAAAGTGACTTCTTCTTCTTCTCTTCTTCCTCTAATCTTTCAGATTGGTCCTCTTTCATTGCGACGATTACATAGGCGAAGAGGACAATGTTGGCCATGATGGCTGCTAGGGCGCCGGCGTACGTTGTGTTTCCTGAAGCCGAACATCAATTCATACATAGGTTCTTTTGTCTAACTTCAAAGATGATGATGGTGTAAGGCTTGACATACCGACTATAACGACATTGACCATGAAGAAATAGGTTCCCAGGGGCAGGGTAATCATGGCGAATGTGAAGCTTAACAGTTTGGCTATGACGGAGCTGCATTGCACGTGGTCAATCATCATTGATTCTTAAGCAGGTGGAAAATGACAGATGTTTGAAGGTTCTTGAGAGTTTGTGAAATCGGCGTCTTGGACATTCATTTCATGGGAACAGAGAGGGTTTATATGGAATTGTTGCCACTGCAGAATGGAATGATGGAATCACTCACGATGGGACGGCGGGAGCGATGTTGGATTTCTCGGTGGGAGCCTTTCCATCATTGTCGAGGTAGGACTTCTCCTTTGACACGATTCTTTGGGTGGCCATCTGATGTTCTTCGACTGATGAAAACGGGAGCGGCTGAGTGGCTGAGTGGTTGAAGATGTGTCGGTGTGTAAGGCGTGTATGCCACGACGGAGTAAGAGAGACAGATGCTACGGAGAAACTACGGGGAGAGAGAGAATAGAAAGTTAAAGTGGTTGGTCGCCAAGAGTGAAAACGCGTGAGTTCGCGTATCCCTCCTCTCATCTTCGCCATCCCCGCAACTTTTCTTGTCACTACTCACTCTACCTCTGTACTACTTGTAGTTATTGCTCCATTACTTCTCACTACCGGTACTAAACTACTCCCTCTTCTACCTACTAAAAAGGTCGACTTCTTATTACCCGCGCCGACGTCAGATCTGCTTTTCCCTTTCCCTTTCCCTACTCTCTTCACTTCATTCGCTTTCGAATTGCCTTCATCTCAAAATACCAAACACCTGCACGAAGCAATGCCCAACCTTATTGTTGCTTGATCACACCTTACCCTTTGTTCTCCATTGTTCGTTGGCGACTTTCTGTTTCTTTTGTCTGATTATAGTCCTTGACCCAACATCTCAAGCCAAATCGATCCGCCATCCAACATCACGTTCAAACCCTCAACCACTCGCCCTCTATCCACAATGTACAGACCAGATCCGATCCTGTCATCTTCCCCTCTTCGACCCTCTTCTCGACCTTCACCCACAGATGCCAGCGAGGACGAGCTTGCCGTAGATTATGTGACACAACCTACTCAACCCTTGAGTTCGGTCAAGGTTGACGGCACACGCTCGCAACACTTTGCACCGGGGGCCACTCGACACATGACGCAGCAGACGATTCCCTACAGTATGGCAGGTCGCGCTGCAATACCCGGAGGTTCTTATATCACGCAACCGACGCAACCTCTCGATCCGCAAACCCTCAACCGCAACTCTCCGCCGCAAGTGCACCGAGCATCTTCACCGCAACGAAAGCTTCCATCGGGTACGCAGCCCACCCAGATACTGAGCACACCTCCGCGGCCGCAGACACACACCCACGTCCAAGTAGTTCGGAGTTCCCCTTCAAATGATCGCCACTCGTCCCCATTGTCGCAAACACAACGTGCCTTTCCATCAAGCATGGCCCCTCCTGGTACAATCTTCGTAAACCCTCCGCGCGTAGCACGACCCGCTCCGATTGACCTCACAGCATACTCCGATCCACCAGTCGAGAGTGATCCGGATGAGGAGGACGATTTTCGCTCGAACATAAAGCCGTCAGACATCGAGACCTGGTCTACCAATGCTCGCATTCAGGAAACACCCCCGCAACGAGTTCCGAACTTCTCACAGTACGCCTACAATGGCACTTCGCAAGCCAAGCGTTCCGCGGATTCCTCTTTCGCCAGCAACTCGCCTCAGAAAAGAATGCGTCCTATGCAGCGCCAATCAGGCCCCTCTCGTGCTATGCCTGTGGGTGACGTCTATATGCGCATAACAGACATCAAGGATGACGCACTCCGCATAAAAGTGCAACGGCTTAAATCCATTTATGCGACCAAGACTTTAAAGGAGTTAATGGACAAGCTAGACGAACACGGGGGAGAATATGAGGCAACAAGACGTGCCCTTAGCCAGCCATCACCATCTAACGATAAATTTTACATGCCTAAATTTCTCCGGGATGGCTCCTCGGACGTCGAAATCATTCCTGCTCCACAGCCCAAGAAGACCGCACAACGATTCCTGAATGCGCCCATCAAGAGTATCAGGGAACGTTACAGGCAGGCTACGCCAGATCGCGAAAGTAGCCCTCAATTGATAACATCTAGCCCCGCCGCCGCACCGCCCAAGAAAAAGGGGAGACTACAAAGAGGACGGAAGAATCGTACTCCCGAACCCGCGTCAAGTCCTCAGCGTCAGCCCACTCCTATCGCTTTGGAATCGGACTCAGACGAAGCCATTGGGACGGATGAGGAAGATGAAGCAAGCGATGACGTGGCTGACAGTCCAAGTTTGCTCGAATTTTTCAACACTTGCTCCGTTGAAGCGATGGTGGATCTTTCAAATGAAAAGGTCGAGGACGTGCGCGCGTTGCTTGAGCACCGCCCATTCAGATCCATGGCACAGATCGAAAAGATAAACCTCGAGCCGGACAATGGAAAGAAGAAAGCCAGGAGGCCAAAGGTTGCATTTGGTGCAAAATTGATGGCTAAAGCTACCGAGATGTGGGATGGGTTCATGGCAGTTGACGACCTTGTGAGAGAATGTGAGAATGCAGGAAAGCCTATTGCAAATGCCATGGCCCAATGGGGAGTAGACGTCTTTGGAAGCTCTACTGATGGTGAAGTCGCCATCACAAATCTCGAGGACAAGAGTGATGCGACACACGATTCCGGCATAGGCACGCCCCGGAGTAGTCATGGAAGCGATACGGAAGTAGATCCCCGGCGTAGGAGGAGCAACTTCGTCAAGAAGCCTTCCAACATGAACGCAGAGATCGAACTCAAAGATTATCAGCTTGTTGGGCTGAATTGGCTGGCTTTGCTCTACCAGAATGGCGTCTCTGGGATCCTTGCGGACGATATGGGACTTGGGAAAACTTGCCAGGTCATTGCGTTCCTCTCCCATCTGAAAGAGCAACAAATGCCAGGCCCGCACCTTGTTATTGTTCCCGGTTCTACTCTTGAGAATTGGCTCCGCGAGTTCAAGCGCTTTTCTAAGAAAATGAGGGTTGAGGTGTATTACGGTTCGCAGCCGGCACGAGCTGAACAGCAGCAAGTCATTTTAGACGCCATTGACGAAGGCCGCGTCGATGTCATCATCACCACGTACGATCTTGCGCACAAGAAGGATGATAACTCCTTCTTGCGTAAATGCCGACCAAAGGCATGTGTCTACGATGAAGGACATTACCTTCGTAATTCGGCAACACAACGATACAAGATGCTTATGCGCATCAAGGCCGAATTCCGATTGTTGTTGACTGGCACGCCTCTCCAGAACAGCCTTCGTGAGCTTGTCTCGATTCTTGCATTCATCATGCCCGACATCTTCGAGAACGTCTCGGATAACCTAGAGGCTGTGTTCAAATCGAAGGCTAAGGTCAATGATTCGGATACACACGGTGCACTTTTGTCTACCCAGCGAATCCAGCGAGCTCGCTCGATGATGACGCCTTTTGTTCTCCGACGCAAGAAAGCACAAGTCCTCAAGCATCTGCCACAAAAGACTTGCCGAGTGGAATACTGTGATCTGCTGGAGTCGCAAGCGAAGCTCTATGCTACCCAGTTGGAACGTCAAAAGAGGGTCCTACTCGATCGCGCCAACGGCATCATACCTAAAGATCACGCCAACATCATGATGAAGCTTCGCCAGGCCGCTATCCATCCTCTGCTGTTCCGCGACCGCTATAATGACAAGGTCATCCGCAAGATGGCAAAGGCGTGTCTGAAAGAGCCCATCTTTGCAGACAGCCAGGAGGAGTACATTTACGAGGACCTCACTGTGTATACAGATTTTCAATGCAATGAGCTGTCAAGGAAATACCCCAAGACCTTGGGCAAATTCGCTCTCAAGAACGAGGAATGGATGGATTCGGGGAAAGTGCAGAAACTCGCGGAACTGCTCAAAAAGTATAAGGAGAATGGCGATCGTGCACTGGTTTTCTCGCAGTTCACTTCCGTTATGGATATCCTGCAGCTTGTGTTCGAGACGCTTGACATTGCATACTCACGTATTGACGGTTCGACACCGATTGGAGAACGCCAGCCATTGATTGATCAATATTACGAAGATGATTCGATCACTGTCTTCATGCTCAGTACCAAGTCGGGAGGAGCAGGCATCAATCTGGCCTGCGCGAACAAGGTCATCATCTTCGATTCGTCGTTCAACCCCCAGGATGACATCCAGGCCGAGAACCGCGCGCATCGTGTTGGACAGACCCGAGACGTCGAGGTCGTCCGATTCGTGACCAAGGGCACCGTCGAAGAACAGATTCATGCTCTTGGGGTTTCCAAACTCGAGCTGGACAAGATGGTGGCAGGCGAGGAAGGCGAAAGTGCTGGCAACGGCAAGAAAGGTGCCAAGGCAGACGCTGGCGCTATTAGTGCAGCGGAAGAGCAAGGCATTGACGCGGTTGAGCGGATGATGCTAGAGCAGTTGCAGAAGCAAGATGAAGGCAAAGATGTCAAAGAGAAGTTCTTGGATGGAATGAAAGCAGCAGGCATCCCAATGGCGGAGTAAGGGTTTTCGAGAGAGAAGGGTCGTGTTAGGCACCATACATGTCTCTAGTTGTTCAAGGAGCGAACATCGAGACATACGAGGCGTTGTTGCATCTTTTTGTGTTTTGTTGAATAGCATAGATACCTGAGGCGACTCTTCTAATGGATATTTGATGTTATATACCAACTTCGAAGAGCATGTCCTTGTAGTGGTAGCAAGTAGGCATCCTTCTTTAATTAAAAGCATAAAGATAAAAATGGACAATACATCATTGAAACTACGGACTTTGTGGGATCAGGAACGGGTGACGTCGTTCCTTTCACTAATTACTGATTCTTGACGATTGCCTCTCCTTGACTCGCCTTCATATGTCACCAACTTGGTATATACTGTGGGTAGGTGGGTGGGTGGCGCAAACGCGTGAGGACGACCTCGACCTCGGCCCCTTGTGAAATGGCAAGCCGAAACCCCCGCCAATAACCCAACCTTAACCCTTCTGCTTAGGAATAGGAATATTAAACTACTCGGGAGCCGCAATCCCAACGACGACAACAACTACGAATCCACCCATCATACAATACCACAACACAATAGTGTTTATCTTCTCCCCCCCCTCCCTCTGCTCTGTACATCATTCTCTCCTCCTCACGCGCCTCCATCCGTCGATTCTTCATTCATCCTTCCGACTGGTTCACGGCTTTCCCGCCGATAAACCTCCGACCTCTGTCCTCACTCCTCATACTTGCACATACTAGATTGAAGAAATCATGTCCTTCCTCGGCGGCGCAGAGTGTTCGACGGCTGGCAACCCCCTCAGCCAATTCACAAAACATGTACAAGACGACAAGTCGCTCCAGAGGGACCGGCTGGTCGGGCGGGGCCCTGGTGGCATGGCGGAGGGCATGCGGAGCCAGCACATGGGCGGTGGCAGTGATGCCGTAGGTATCCCGCGGCGGTGGAGTTTTCAACTGCGATTTCAGTAACACGGGAGCTAATTGGTGTTGGAACAGATGATGAACGAGTTCATGCAACAACCCGCGCACCTTCCACAGGGACCCGGCCCTGCGTCACCGTTCGCCATGGAGCAGATGAGAAGAGAGCTCGAGCGAACACAACACAGCGGCTCGCCTGGATGGGCAGCAGAGTTCGACCCTGGCATGGAGGCTCCGTCAGCAATGGGTCCGGCCATGCAGGAAAGACCTGCAGGTTTCAGCCCTGCCGAGTTCGCCAAATATCAGCAGATGAACCCCACAGCGAGGACCGCGAGTCCGATGGCGAGCCAGTCACCCTCTATGATGGGATACCAAAGGCCTATGGGCGGATACGGCATGGGTATGGGTGGAATGGGAATGGGCTACGGTATGGGCATGATGCAGCAGCCGTACGCACCACAGAACTTCCAGCAACCTGTGCAAGACTCTGGAAAGGGCAAGGGCCGCATGGTTGAGCTCGACGATAAGGACTGGGAGGCTCAGTTTGCCCAGCTTGAGAGTAGCGATCAACAGCAGAACCTAGATGCTCTTGATGCGGAGGCAAATAAACATATTGAGGCGGAGCTCAATGAAATGGACAGGTCAGTGGATTTCGGCGATTTCGAGTCCATATGGAAGGGCATCCAAGCTGAGACTGAGCACGCTAGGCAACTCGCCAACGAGGAGAACTTCGTCGACGGCATGCACATGGGCGATCTCGACCAGTGGGAGGGCTTCGATGGCCTGAATACCCATTCAGCCCGCGACCCTGTTATGGGCGATTATCTCTTCGAGCAGAACAACCTCTTCGATAACGTCACCAATCCCTTCGAGGAAGGTATCAAGATCATGGAAGAAGGTGGCAACCTGTCGCTTGCCGCACTTGCCTTCGAGGCCGCCGTACAGAAGGATCCACAGCACGTTGCTGCATGGGTGAAGCTTGGAGAGTCACAAGCACAGAATGAGAAGGAAACGCCCGCCATCCGGGCGCTTGAGCAAGCACTGAAGTTAGACGCCTCGAATCTGGAAGCATTGATGGGTCTCGCAGTGTCTTATACAAATGAAGGCTACGAGAGCACAGCATACAGGACACTCGAGCGATGGATTGCAACCAAATACCCTACATTGATCAAGGAGCCACTTTCATCGGACGCAGATATGGGTTTCACGGACCGCCACTTGCTTCATGAGAAGGTGACAAATCTCTTCATTGAGGCAGCCCAACTTTCTCCAAGTGGCGAGCAGATGGATCCGGACGTGCAGGTCGGTTTGGGTGTACTTTTCTATGGTGTAGAGGAGTACGACAAAGCAGTCGACTGCTTTGGGGCAGCCCTGGCTTCTACAGAGTCCGGAACTACAAATTCCTCATCCCAGGTGCATCTTCTGTGGAACAGACTCGGCGCCACTCTTGCGAACTCAGGTCGTTCCGAGGAGGCCATAGATGCATACTCACGCGCGCTCTCCTTCCGACCGAATTTCGTGCGTGCAAGATACAATCTTGGTGTCTCATGCATCAATATCGGGTGCTTCACCGAAGCAGCACAGCACCTTCTCGGTGCACTATCCATGCACAAGGTTGTGGAGAAGGAAGGGAAGGAGCGCGCCCGGGAGGTGGTGGGCGACAAAGTGAGCGAGAGCCAGTTGGATAACATGATCCATCAGAACCAGAGTACAAACCTGTACGACACTTTGAGGAGAGTATTCGGCCAAATGGGTAGGCGAGATCTGGCAGATACTGTCGGTCCCGGCATGGATGTTGAGAGTTTTCGCGGCGAGTTTGAATTTTAACAAGTTTGATGATGATAACATGGAAGAAGTGCAGGCTGCCACTTGCGACAAGTGGGCGCCCGAGACAGAGCAGGCAGACCGCCAGGACCAGCATGATAGAGCCATAGAGGAAGGCCCTTGGGGTTGGGAGCAAGAGGTAGGCGCCAGTTGCTGCTTCGGCATTAGAACCGTCAGGGCAGGACCTGACTGTGTCTGGAAGCTGCATGGGGGGATATAGATGACCCGATTGAACGAAAATTACACACAATGACTCGGCATTATAATGAACTGGGCATATTGTTGGCTTCATGCAATCCACACCTAGCTACCATGACATAACTGTGAATTTGATATGGGGTATCATGCCTTCACCCTCACGATGCGAGATTGTTTACAATTCTTTGGGTATCTCGGTATAAAGAGACCCATCGTCCCAGCTGATTCCTTCGAGTCCGTATTCTCTCTTTGATGCCGTTGTGCGTCCATTAGTCCAAGACGAAAACGCGCGCTCATCATATGCATCTACACAACGACCGTGTCCCCAATGCTACAAACATCAGCATCGACACCCCACTCCAAACCTTCCTTCTCAACAGCTTGTCGCCACCTCTCCACGGGCTCCGTCACAGGTTCATAATGCGCACTAATGCTCCCCCGGAACGTCCCATAATGCATCCCAATACTCCTCTTACTCTTTATTGCCTTATGAATGGCCACGGAGTCGTGTGGTGAGGAGTGCACCCCAGACATGAACGATCGAGGTTGGAAGCAACCAATGGGTAATAGAGCAAGATCGAATGGACCGTAAAGAGTGCCAATCTCCTCGAAGGCAGGGCATGGCGGGTGGGGAGCTGCATGATGGGACACTTGATCGTCCGAGTCTACGGAGCAAAAGCCTGTGTCCCCGGCAAAGTAGAGAGACTTTGATGTAGGAGACTCATTGGTATCCAAGGACGATGGCGATGGAGATGATGTTGAAGATGATTCCCTAATGACCCAACTACACCAAAGTGAAGCCGAGAAGTTCCACGGTGCGCGACCAGAGGAATGCTGCGCAGGTGTACAAATCAAATCAACGCTGTTCACACCGGCTCCATTTTCTTTAGATAATCGGATGCCGTCCCACCAGTCCAGTTGCGTGACCTGGGACTCTTTGATTCCTACACCAAGATGTAGGAGTTCGGATTTGACTCCAAGTGCACAGAGGAAATGCAAGTCTCCTTTCTGCTTCTTGAGGATTTCGGACAAGGTCCATGAATCGAGATGGTCGTAATGGTCGTGACTTATAAGCACTGCGTCGACATGGGGAATCTCGTCAATGGAGCAAGGCGGTCGAGAAAAGCGTACGGGACCAACAACGCCATATGGCCCAACTTTGTGACTCCACACAGGGTCAAGTAGGATCACGATTCCGTCGCTGGTCTCAACGAGGAAACTTGCGTGCCCGATCCATGTCGCTTTGAGTCCTTTCCGGTCGGATCCAAAATCGGGTTTGTTGATAGGGATGATGGTGGATATGTTCGAAGGGACTGGCACGAAGTTCTTGGACGAAGAGGAAAACCAGCGCGTCTTTGCAGCATCGAGGGGGCTTTTGCGTTGGAAGGAAGGCCATGGATTCTTGAAACTAGATGCGGGAGAATTAATGTGGTGAGATGGAGGAGTTGTGTAAGAGGGCGGATGCCGTGGGGAGACGGGAGTCAAAGAAATGGATTGTGGTGGCATCACGTTAAAATCTAGGTAGAGAAAATATCTCCGTACTGGGGACCGTGAAAGGGATTTTCTAGAATTTAGAGAGGAATAATCTGAGGAAGTTAGTTAAGAGAAGCCCTCTTTCTCTCATATATAAGCAAAGTAGTCGGACAGATCAGACTTGATGACTTGATGTTGTCAAGAGGAGTGTCGGATCGGATGGAACTCGACGGGAAGACTATTAAGCCGAGTGCGAGGCTGCCACTCGATGCATTACGTCGATGACTTGGATGATTTGATCAGAGTACATTCAGCACGAGTGTATATCTTGAATGAATCCAATAACTGTAATGCGAAGACGACTCGGACAAAGAAACGTACTCAATCGCATCTAATTTCGCATTTCCTTCAGAGCCACCGCGACTATTCTCGTAATTGTAGTAATTACTGTGTAACCAAGGGCAGGTATGGGTATGTACAGAGGGTTGGCACGTCGGGCTGGCCACCTGCTAACTTCATGTATCTCTTCTATACCTAAAGTGTCTACTTGAAAATGTACTGTAGCCAGTAAACAATCTTAACTGCTTGCAATAAACCTTGCTAAGACACTGTTGTAGGCATAAAATACTAGCATGGGGCCAGCCCGACGTGCCAACCCTCTGTACATACCTATACCTTATCGAGGAAACCTGCGCTTCCTTTTATATTGAAGAATAGTACTCATAGGAGAATTGCAATCGATTACTTGTACTCCATAGTCTACTTAGATGCAAACTAAGATAGGCAAAGGGCCGTATGATGGGGACATGCTATTTTTCGTCTGGAGCCAAAGCTGACAACGTGTGTTCTAATCGCGTGTCGATTGGCCCGCCCGTGTCTCCCATGTCTCTCCCGTCACGATCCCAATTCTCATCAAGTAAATTCCTCATTACCGCATTACCCATTGAAACTTTTCATATCATGGCATGTAATGGCATCTCTCTTAACGCCCCTCTGATCTGTACACACTCGATCTATCCTAACCATTTTCTACGTTACTAGAAATCTCCATGACCAACTACTGTACTACCGCAACCCTACAGGCTACTCTACACTACCCACGTGTGATTCCACCACAATGCGCGTTCCAATACCCGGGACGTCGGAGCAACCCATGCCCCATTGGTGAGTCCATAATTACATAGTACACTATTAGTTAAAGCATATCCTAGGAAATACGATCATGTTTCTACGCTGCAATGCACTGGTTTGGGTAGGACAATCCACCTACCGGCCGCCATGACGATGCTTCGGCTTCTAGGCCTATTTTGAACACTGACAGAGCATAGCCTTATCATTGTCCCGTCCAATGAATATCGCACGAGGATCGTTGTCTACTACCGGACTTGCCTGACCTGCCTGGTCCGTCTGTAGGTACTTCTCGCCGCCGTCGCTGTTCGCCTGAATCCCAGTTCTGACCTTCCATTCTAGGTAAAGAGCTTCAATCAACAAGCAAGCTTCTAAAATACCTTCAGCCACAGCTAATTTATTATTTTATAAGAGACTCGACTTTTTCTCCGTTAGCACTCTTGTCACCATTGTAGTTGGACAAGATCATTTCGAGGAGCATTTGGTCAATTGACTCCGTTGCCATGCATTTCTCTGCTATCAGGACCGCGTCAGCAGGACTGCTTGTCGTTGGTGCTTCTGCCCAACTTTACCCCGATCAGAGCCCTCTGAACCATACTTGTGCGCTTCGTAAGTTACGTCCATGATAATACACGAATGTGATGAAGAAGATTTCTGAATATTGTACTCATATGATATATTTAGAAGAACCGCTGCTCTCATGTCCTCCACAGTCTCCTTTGGACGTCGATTCCTGCTGCGTCGAGACATTTGGTGGCCTTGTCCTCACCACACAATTCTGGGACACCTACACTGGACGTGAATGCGATGGTCAGGTTCTCCCCAAGGACGTCTGGACCCTCCACGGCCTCTGGCCTGACTTTTGCAACGGTAGCTACACCCAGTACTGCGACTTGAACAGACAATACGATCCTATTCCATCGCCCAACACCACTAATGGTCTTCCCAACGGTACCGTCGTCAAGCCTTACAACGGCCCCAACATTGGTACTTTCTTGGAGCCCTTTGGCAAGTTCGACTTGCTTGAGTACATGAACACCTACTGGGTCGCTCAGAACCAGGACAACGCCGGATTCTGGGGCCACGAGTTCTCCAAGCACGCAACTTGCTTTTCCACCTTCAACACCCCCTGTTACGGTCCGCAGTACCGTGAGCACGAGGAAGTCGTCGATTTCTTCGAGACCGCAATCAAGTACTACAAGCGCGTTCCCACCTTCAAGTGGCTCGCCGAGGCCGAAATCACACCCTCCAACACCACTCAGTACAGCTACACTGCCATCCGCGACGCATTGAGCTCGCAGTTCGGTAGTGTTCCCTTCATCGGATGCTCTGGACCAAGGTACAACACCACCGACGCCGGAAAGGGCAGCACTGATGCCGGATATACCAAACTCACCGAGATCTGGTACTATGAGCACGTAAGTAGTCTCAAAAACCACTCTTTGTCCTTGCATTTTCGTTTTTCTCACAAGTTCTGAAACAGGTTTATGGCCGTCCCCAGGAGGTCAACACAATCCCCGTCAATGCCAGTGCTACCTACTTGACCAACTGTGCTAAGGTTGACGGTGCCATCTGGTACCACGAGAGGTCTGAGGGATCCGAGAAGTTGCCCACAGTGCCCTACTAAAGTGACCATCTTCCACCGGTCAGACGTGGTTGACGAACTAATGTAATAACGTAAAAGCACATACAGTGTGAAAAGTAGAAAAGCCAAAATAGATCATTTGTCTTGATACTTCGAAAAGACTATGCGTAATTGTGGTGTTACTTTGCGTGATGCCGTACAGCTTCGATGTCATACCGTGCGTATATACTCTGCTCAATCGAGGTTCCATACAGGCAGGTCAAACAACATCATTACAAAAGCTCCTACGTCCACATTGCTCAAACCTTGCCATCATTTCTTCTTGAAGTTCTGACAATTCCTCAGCGAGTGCTACGGATAGCTAATCTGAAGAATTCAAATGCAAATCCAATAAATGACCTCTAGAAAGAGAGCTACTATAGATGAAAATTACGAAAGCTCCAGTCCATTGGCTCCACATCGTCACATTGAATTGATATGAGGATATCAGAAAGCACTAGTGTTTACTCCTGCCATTGGCTCGTTGAAATTTCCATCACCTACGCGATGTATTGACGGCATTGTCAGATCTGACAATTGTTCAGATGGCGTAGTGCTGCATCTGCAGAACCGCTTGGTCGAGTATTCTTGGTCACCACATGTGTGCTGCATTACAAAATTGAATTACAACAAGACGTTGTTATCACACATGTAGAGCAGTACAGCAGCCATGTTGCTTCCAGTCTCAGGACGCATCTCCATGGACCAATCAAGGGCTATCCAACGTCATTCTTCTGCTCCCAGAACGGTGATGCGAGACGAACAGTGCCATGTAGGCGCGACATTGCAATCTCACTTTGGCGAGGAATAGTAAGATACATTTGTCTGTATCTTACTGATGGACGGAATGATGTAATGTAGTGGATTCGGTTCCCGGATATCCTCCACCCCTTGCCCCGGTTATTCAATACTGAGCAAAAGTTATGAAGATACATCAATTGCCAAACATGACACAATACACAAGTCATCACAACAATGCAGGAGAGCCGATAACCAATTTTCCGACTCCGTGGAGAAAAGAACGTACGCCTAGGCGGCCTTGCGCCATTTCTCGCACCAGCACGCAGCCGAGTATACATAGATTAGCAATAAGCACAAGTGCACGAGTTCCAACCTCCCCGTCCCGCGACGTATAGCCGCGGCGTAGTGTATCAGGCTGGCAGTTCCCGCGGTCTTTTCGTCTTCTTACCAAACTGCCTGCTTAAGACAATGATGACCTTGGCCTGTGCCCCCACCCGGCAGGAATCAAGTCCCAACTTGTTTCATGTTGACAGAGAACATACTCTTATGGTTTCTGACGATCTAATATTGATGATGGCGCCATGGGTCAGGTATTACTATAAGGAACAACTATCATTGTTACATGATTTGCCTTTTCTTTGGTTCGCATTGCTGACATGCAGGCATACCTTGCTCTCCTACAAAGATAAAGGCAATTTCACTTTCTGGAAGAATGGGTTGTCCAAGCCGATCTAATATCGGCATCCGTCTATTGGAGAGTAGGGGTATAACGGTTTTGCAGCGATTGGACCGCTCGATCGCTCCAAGGGAGATGAATAGATCTACAGAGATGGACTCGGGACTTGAATAATTAGGCATAGCAACTCTTTAAAAACAAATTTGGCGTTGAGCTTTCACTTCGCTAGGAAGTGACTACCCAAATGTAGCGCTCAGCAGCCAGTGCAGTCCAAACAGCGGCCTCGACGACCACGCTTTGCTTTGAAGACAAGAACAAAATTGCCAGGTTGGCTCTACCATCCCACGCCCCTGTCGCTTAAGCCTGCCCGGATAGTGTCATACAATCATGTCTTCCCTACTTTATCCTTCAGACCGAGATTATCATTTACGTGGTGGCGCCTAAATGCGGTTAGCGTACCAAAACACAGGCGGCTTCAGTCTCAAACACCAGCGTGAGCAGATATTATCTTCTTATCATTGTCGCTAAACTATAGTGTCATATAGCACCGTGAGACTTGTGATACGTTTTCTCGAAAGCCTATCAGATTCCTCCACGAGTGAGGATACTCCACGCCCGCATGCCTACCAGACGTTGCACCGAAAGAGTCTGTAGCCCATGCAGATGCCCGGAGTGCATCCGGCAAGTCCAGAATGCGTATGACCCAAAGCTACAATCCTTGGGACATAAAGTTGGAAGAATAAGCAGATGAGAATTGACCAAACAAGGGTATATTGAGTCAGAAGAACAGCTCCTCGAGCTATCATAGAACCAGCACTAAACAGAGCACATCATGATAATAAAATTCCAAGCCAAAAGAAGTGACAATCAAAAGCTGGCATTATACTGATCGAGCCATAGGTGAGTTTTGGCGCTTTCCTCTCTGGACCTGTTATGCTAGATCATGTCCCTCAAGAACTTGAGAAGACTGGACGTGATGTCCGGTGTTGGATTCTGTTGCGGTAATACCTGAATCCTGAGGCCCCTGACTCCTGCCCTGCCGACTCCTCAGATCATGATACTGGTACTGGTTGGAGTTGTCGCTTTGTCGGCTTGGTGTTTGATCCTCTTCAAGTTCTCTAGGTCTGTCCATGTCTATGTCTTCGTCGTTCGAGCTTTGGGAACGGTCATTCTGGACTGAGTCATGATGTTCCCGCTTGATGCTCATTTGCCGTGCACGGTCAGGGCTGTAGGATTGACGGTCACGCTGCTGCTGCTGCTGCTGCTGCTGCTGGCCATGATGATGATGATGGTGATGAGTGCGCGATTCAGCTGTGTGCTGCTCACCCTCTTCGAAGACTCTCCGAGCCAGATCGTGTTCCTTCCGCGATTCCTCAATTCCACCAGGGAACATCTTGCCCATAATAGCATGATGTTTTTCTTGAACATTGCCTTCGTCATCCTGATGAGGTGGCGTGTATTCGGTTGGGCTTCTAGTATCGGACTCTTCAGTATTGACGGAGTGATGCAGATTCGTAGGAGTGAACCCGTGCTCGAAACCCTGATCGTCTTTCCTTGCGTGCACTTTCCTAAGATTTGCTGCCGAGGACTGTGAGCGCATATCTGGGCGACCGTCCTTTCTGATAAGAACTCCATCAGAGTTTCTCGTAGGCTTGGTTCGTGTTTTCTTTGTATGAGAGTAAGGATCCACGACCATACCAATGCCACTAGTGACTCCCTGTAGACCTAGGCTGACCGAACGACTGCTGGAGCTGGAAGGGCGCCCTCCGCGAGATGTTCCACCACCACCACTACCGCGACGAATGATGCCCCTACCCGTACGCGAGATAGGATAGTAATAGCCTTCTGGACTAGTCTGAGGATCAGTCACACCTTGCCAGTCATCCCTATCCCACACGGGGGTACCGATATGCATTTGGGCTGGCATACTTTTTCTTCCTCGCCCGCCACGACTACCTGGCCCCCCGCCACGGCCACGACTTCGAGGGGTGTGCTGCTCAGCCATGGGGTGTATCTCTGATCGCCAATTGTCATTTGGACGTGTATCTGGAGCGTTGAATGATACGAAAGTTCCGTGCGGCACATGTGAAGCGACATGGCCTGCGTCTAGATTAGTCTCTCGCACATGTGCCTGAGAGGGCATTGCGTGATGGGTGTGTCTCCTGGCGTCCATATCCTCGGGTTCCACCTGGTCATACACATGTTGGGACTGAGAAGGCGTTTGAGAGTTGCCATAGCCAAGCCGAGGTTCGATTGGAGCAAGTTTTGGGCGCTTTGGTGAGCCAAGCTGTTGGCCACTGGGGTCGTGAGGAACGTCCACACTATCAGGTTGTGCGCGCTTAGCACTCGAGTTGACCGATACCCACCCACTTGGAGCCTGGGGAAGCTCAGTTCTGTGAGGAAGCTCTGGTGTAGTATTAGAGTGACTCCCGTGAGAATTGAACGAAGCTGGTCTGTGGCTTGGAGGCATTGAGGTTTCAACTTGAGGCGCAGAAGCGGGTACTGCCGACGGCGCAGCCCGGAAAGGGGCCCTGTTCAGCGCAGCGTGTGGAGGGTGAGCAGGATTTTCACGCGGCGAGGGAAAGGCGTGCGTCGGTACAGGGGGGGTAGACACCGCCGACTCTTCTAGTCGTTGAATTTTGTTTTTCATGATCTCGATGGTGAGTTTCAAGGTATCGACCTCGCTCGTCTTGCGCGACAACGACGATATCTGCTGGGCCATCATCTCCAACGCCGTATCTTGAGCGGATGGAGCAGTGGTAGAAGAAGAAGGGCCGGTTGGTCCTGGATACATGTCTCGAGACGCTTGCACTTCGCGGGTGAGTGCCTCGCAGAGATCCCGCATTCCTCTCATCTCATGCTGCAATCGCGCCACTGCATCATCGACTCGCCTTATATCAACAGCCTGAAGATGTAATTGGGTTTGGAAGTCATGACGGAGACTCTTCTCCACCTGAGCGGCAGTTTCTTCGAAGCGGCGCATATCTCGCGCCTGGACCATTAAAGCGCTGCTGTTCTGAGAAACCTGGGTCTGTAAACGTTCAATTGCATCGAGCGAAACGTCCTTGGGCGACCGCGGGAAGTGATGGCCGTTGACGCGATAGTGATCAGGATGAGAGTGCGTTTGGGTTGTGACTGGAGGGAGTTCGCGTGTGCGATTGGCTACACCAACAGCACTTCCCTCTTTAGGTGGCGCTGTAGGCGGAGGCGGAGGAGGATGGGCATATTGAGCATCTTGCATAGGCTTGACGGCAGGCGATGGGATCGGTGGATTACTGGGCGATTTTGTTGAAAAGGAATTTAATGGAGCAGAAGGGGACCGGAGTGCAGATGCAGGTGGAAGGGAAGGTGCCTGCCTGTTGACCTCGACCTGTTGCAGTGGCTGTTGCTGACCTGGCTCAACACGATGTCGTTCGAGACGTCCATAATGCGGTGATCCTCCTATGACTGGTGGATGGGAAGGTCGTGAATCGATTTCCATTCCGTGTGGGAGCGACTCTGGCAGTGGAGTGGTTGGTTGGGTGGGTGGTGATGATGAGCTACTAGACGCATTCACAGGTAGCGGATTGGGAGAAACGTAGGGGTCGACAGCGATGGATTTGCCGGAGGAAGAGCACTCCCTTCGCAGCTGTATATGTGATAATTTAAAGAAATCGCGACCTCTGTAAGCAGATAGAAGTTAGCAAGGCATCGTCTTTACCAAAACGGCGAGAGGCAATGGTCTGTTAATACGTGGTGCGGGCATTGAACATGCATATAGCAAGTACATACCCTGGCCCCACCTGGCGCCACAAAATGGTACAGATGGTGCATCAAACGGGACCATGGAAGCATGGATGGAGTAGCACGCAGCATGGAGCATGGAGCATGGGGCATGGGGCATGGGGCATGGAAGCATGGAAGAATCGGGAACATGTTGAAGGTGGGAAAAGCCGGCAGGCGAATAAAAGCCAGATTGACCAAGGAATCACCAAGTCAAAGGGAAGACGCGAGATGGCGAATGGTGGGAAGGGAGACGACTCACCGGAACACTCGTTTGCCTTCCGGCACTTGGACCGCACAGAACCCTAGGATTTCGAGGCAGCTGGAGTCCGGACAGGCCAATGGCTGGACACGGCTGGATATGCAGAGGTCGGGTCAGTAAGTGCAAAACTGCCAAAGCGGTGAGGGTAATGAATGGCTGGCTGGCAAGAAAGGAAGTCTTGATATAAGTCTTGATAGAAGGAGGAGAACCAGACGGAGGAGAAGGAGTAGTAGAAGAAGAAGAAAGAGAAGAAAGAGAAGAAAGTGAAGAAAGTGAAGAAAGAGAGGAAGAGAGAAAGAGGAGGTGGTGATAGTCGTCTCGCCGCAGTGGGGACAATGGCGATTGCAACAATGGAAAGAAAGGGATATAATTGAGCTCGGCAGTGGGAAAGAAAGTAGCGGGATCGTGGGAAAAGGAAAGAAAAAAGGAAGGTGGGTGGGGAAGAGTAGAATGGATATTGGATTGATGAGCTCAGTGGGGGTAGGATATTGATTGAATTGGGAGGATAATGTAGTGGCAGTGGGTAGTAATAGTAGGAGGTAGGAAGATCACCATGACAAGAAATGTGGTGACGGGCGTTCAGGCGGAGGGGATGGTGGAGTGGACGGGTACTAAGGTATACAAATAATAATAGTGAGGTAGGATAGATAGGGCAGGGTCAGGGTATAGAGCGTTAGGGTTAGGGTAAGGTAAGGTAGGGTAAGGTAGGGTAAGGTAGGGTTAGAACTTAAGGGTAAGGGTAAGGGTGAGGGTGAGGGTGAGGGTAAGTGCTCGTTAGGGTAGATAATAGATGAATGTAAAAGAAAGCGGACAAGCGGGTTTAATAATTAATAGATGATTGGGAAGAAAAAAGGATACCGAGTAATAGTGTCTTCTGTATAGACATTATTTTGGGGGAAGACGGGAAGAGAGGGGGGGCTTGAGCCTTGTGGAAGGAAAAAGAGGCGACTTAGTGCATTCGCGCTTAGAGGGAAAACTAAAATACCATGGCCCAGGGCGATTGATTGGTGCCGGAATAAGATCATAGAATGCTAGGGGAATATCGATTGCTCGACTGGGAAAAGAGAGAATTGTGCAACGACACGAAAAGCGTACAGAAACCAACACTCCCAGGCTAGGACCTGGTAGCATGGCTGAGCGAGGCAGAGAATGTACCATGCTCCTCCCCTTAGGGTTGAAACAATGGGTGGTATGGTGATAAGATCAGAATAGATGAGTGTGAGTGTGAGAATGTCTAAGTGGGTACCGATACTTTTCTCCAAAATAGGTAGATGGAATAAAGAGACAGACAGGATTGTAGGAAATGTATACCAGTTACCGTCCCAAAAGGATGTACGGAGTACTCAGTAGTATGTAGGTATGTATAGAGTGCAGGGGAGGGCCATGGGCAGGGCATAGAGAGGGCGCAGGAAGATGAGATGCAATGCTTACCATCCTTCTAAATCTGTTCCGATCGATGCTTCCCTCTGCCGACCATGCGCCTGGAGGTAACTACTGTACGACCCGAGAAAGGTTGGAGTATAGTATGTGCCAGTGACTTTGTTCCACGCATTGAAGAAATTGCCCACCACAGCACGGCCACAGCGATTGCAGATGCCATAAGTCGATCTACCATCCGTTGGAGGGTGCATGTTGCGAACGTCGTCGATCATGGTGGATGAAAGTATTACAGACTGTACAGACGGACTGAGATCTACTTCAGCCGATGGCAGTGGAGATAGTTCTCGTCGTCGTTCTGCTCCTCTTCTTTGTTCTTGGCCATCCCCACCAAAGATGCGCCCATCGGCGACAGGCTCTTGGGTGGGCATCAACGGGGGATCACTGGCACGAAAGGATGGCTTAGTTCCTGGGGACTTTTGGTGAATGATTGGTCCTCACAGTAGAACCTTTTTGCCAAAAATTGCAGAAACGTTAGCGTGCCGGCGAACAATGGCCCATCCGAGGTACGAGTAGATAGCTGGTAGGATTAGGTAGTATGTAGTAGTGGTGGGATGTCGAATGTTGGTTGGCCAGTGGGGATATAAAACGTGCTGGAAATAGACAGCTGTGACGGTGAGAATCAGCCCCGCAACCTCAGACAGACATGCAGATTGATTGACGGAATGGCTGCCTGCGAGTGAGCAGGATCCACGAAAGAAAGCGAAGAGGTTCGCACGAATAGCCAAAGACAGGAGTCGAAGTGAGAGTAGGAGTGAGAGCGGGAGTAAGGAGCCAGGAGCGAGGTGGGAGCAATAGGAATAGGAATAGCAATAGGAACAGGAACAGGAACAGTAAGCTAAGCAGTAGTTTCGAAGGGTAGGTTACCAAGAATAAACCCCTAGTCACTGCGTTACTACCTTACTACCCTATATTACCCTACTGCGCGCGTGTTTATTCAGCGTTGATGCAAGGAGTAATGATAATAATAATGATAGTGTAGAGAGATGCACGTACTGCATAGTAAGAGCTTGATGTTTCAGGTGGTAGAGCTGAGGGCTGATGCATTCCGTAGTTTGTGAAGAAGACGATATGTTTCGGTTCCGAGACTGGTGTTATTTTGGGGATGGACGGCAGAACTGGGAGACGAGTGATAGGCAGGAATAGGAAGGTTGAGAAATGATGAACGAACGGAGTCTTTTGTGAAATGCAAGAAGTAACGGGAATAGGGATGGGTGGAGATGAATTATTGTGTAAGGATGATGGATGTCAAAGAGAAGGGGATAACCATTACTAGGTAAGTGACTATGGGAATGGGAAGTGGGACGGATCCAAACCCTCAACTCTTACTAGCTTCAACTCTAATTAATTACCGTCAGTTACGGAGTACTGTGTACTGGGTATCACTGTATACCACCCAATGGCTCAAATTGCTTAATAACCTAATCCTTGTTCTGCTCATATGTAATTCTCCTCAAGAGCCAAAAGAGTCAAGTGTCATCATACAATATGCCACTGCATTAGGTACCTAGGTACTCATATCATACAGTAATGCATACATAACTACGGACCTCGTACCAGGTATCTACCTAGGTACCGGTACTACTTATTGTTCTTGTCAGAGATGGACAGCTCCTCCCCCGACTCGCTCATAAAATAATTAACGTTATAAGTGACCAGTGTGAGCATTACACAGTAAACGTGCCACAATCCTTGACTTGGTTTAGCGGTGGTTGCGCATTAAAAAGTCAAGCTCAGCCTGATTAAGGGATGTTGTATTGATAATTACCTAGCTGGATAACTACCAACCTAGGTACCTAAAGTACCTACTCGTAAGTACTTACAAGTACGAGGTACTACAGCCCGTAGGTACTCCGTACTCCGTAGTCACTTGTACATATAAGTCAATAATGAGTAGTGGCCTATCTCCACCCGACACTACTGGTAACTATAGGTCCCTAGACAATTCCATATTGACTTGGTTCCACAACTCACTTGATTACTTTCTCACCTACTTACTCCGTACCTACTTACTAACTACCTACCTACACAGGTAGTCGGTGCTTATTGGTACGAGGGTACGAGAGTACGAGGGTAGCAATTGCTGATATGAACCATTCCCACCACTGAGCATAGCCGGTCTGGTTCCACGTCTTGCTACAGGTCCGTCATTTCTAACTACATACGAGGTATATGTAAACTGCGACTACTTGGAGTGCAGTGAGGGCTTCATCAACCCCAGTCGCACTCGTGATCCGAGTTACTAGTCATCATTGTCCTGTTTCGGATGTAGTCACATGCCTAGTATCATCACCATTCTTATCTGAATTATGCATCTACTGTGTACTCATGGAGTCATACCTCTTACTTTTAACAAAGTACCCTACTCCGTGCTGTATGAGGTACTATACAGCCGACACTACTGTGCCCGAAACAGGCAAAAACGACCATCAATAATGCTCTCTCCCTCAGCCCCAGGCGCCAGGTCCCATGTCTATGTCTTGTTTGGCTCTATTCCTGTTCTCCCATACGCGTTAATGTTCCTTATCGTAACCATCTTACCCTCCCTTATGCTCCTTTACCGAGGACCATTATGCTCCACCTCTGCAGGCACTCCCCTCCTTCTATCCCGAGCCCTACTGAGATGAGCCGAGCGCATGAAGACGGAAGACAAAGGTCGGCAGGCAAGAAATGATTGACAAGACGCGAAAGAGAAGGGCTCAACATCCGTGCAGCGATCTCATCGTCATTCATATCTTGTTTCGCTGCATGATCCCTGTCGTTCCAATCCCAGTACACAATCCCGACGTGGCGCATAGCCAGGGGCCATGGCGCATATGCACCGTTAACAAACAGTTACTTGTTGTGACTTGTAAGGAGTAAAGTTGCCTTTATTCGTTGTCTTTATTCAATAAAAATCAAGCCCTGGCACACACACACCATCCCTTTTCCATCACAACATCCCATCAACTAATAATACCTAATGGTCCTAATCATCTACATACTACGTTAATCCAGATAGTATGTACATACATACCCCGTACTTGAGTACTACTCGTACCGACCTACACACTCCGTACTCGTACCTGCAAACGAACACAGCAAGGGATGTTCTACAGGGATTACTACTTCTTCTTTTCGAAATGAGAATAATAAAACCCCCGTAATAAGAGTAATAATAATACCGAGAATGATCATCATCATTGTCGCAATAATAATAGCAAAGATAATGGAGGCAACCGTTTCACAATCTGGGAAGCCTACCCAAGCCGCTCCTTTATCTTACAAGAAGCGGTTCCTTGATGTCTGAGACTGGTAATCTATTCTTGTCCTTATTCTTATTATATTTCTTATTCTTACCATTGTTATTCTCACCATCGTCTCTCCATCTTCGACATAACATTTGGCAGTTACCACATCGCATCGCCTTGCATAGCCTCGCATTGTGGGTATCGTACATCATCTTCGATATCGTTCCTGTGTCCACACGCATGTCAAACATGATTCCATTCTTCTCACTCTTTCTCTCCTTCCTCCTCCCTACGGAGTGGAGTACTCGGTAAATCAGTTCTTGGGATATTCGGTTGGGTCAATATCGCCCTTTTGGATTCTTCCTTTTTCCTCGCCCCGGATGCATCTTTCCGATACTTACAATAATAATGCGAATCTTAGCCGACGCATCATCCATCCCATGTCTCGCCAGCGATACAACCGTCGTCCCAGTATTTAGTAGTGCATAGTGATTTTGACATTGTTGTTTATTTTAATGCCCTTCTAATGCTCAATCTCTCATGAGTGGCATAAGCCATCGCCTTCTTACGTCGCGTGGCGTCGCATCACATCGCATCACATTACATCACGTCCTAATTCTTGCAGATACTATGATCTAGCTAGCAGTATGGGGCAGCGGATCCTCTCCGTGCGCCAAATAGTGTGTATCCGTGGCTTTGATAATCAAGCTATAACCGCATGCTACGGTGCTCTGGCCTGAGACAGTGTGTGCTACTCTACTCTGTATACACGACTGGCAAGTCGTACAAGCGAGACACAAATATTATGCCCTCTCACTTGACTACGATGAAGGCCACCCCCTCGCGTGCTTGTTGGCATGCCCGCGATAGTGCCTGCACCTCCGTGTCCGTCCATTTGACGCTGAGGTTATCCCAATTCTTCGTCTGATACTCTCGTTGGTACAGCTGCCGCATGTTCTGCAACCGTCGGACCTCCCTCGGGTCGCCCGTTCCACTGTACACAATGAATGCAGTACACGGTGGCAACGACTCGTAGACTCGTCTAATGTCCGCTACCGTTCTTGCGACGGCCTCCCCGAGCGCATCACCACTGGCCTCTTCCACTTCCTCTCCCGCTTGAGAAGCAGGGTGATCTAGCCTTTTGAGCGCCGCTTGTCGAATCTGCTCCACGTCGGCCGTTTTGGTGTCGTCCCACCAGCCACGAACCAATTCGAGCTCCCGCAGGCGCGCCCATACGAAATCTACTTTGCCCGTGGCACCTTCTTTGTTCTCTGCTTGGCCTTTGATTGCAAGCTCGATGCCATCGACGACGTCCTTGTCACTCTTGCATCCAACTGCCACCTGTGCCTGTCCGCCGTGCCCCCGGGTCGGGTCCCCCCAATCAACCACAGCCCCTGTCCTGAACGCATTGCCGGATTTGGGACGTACACTCCGTCCCAATCTCTTGAAAATGGACTCTGCGTTGGTCTCACTAGTACCCCATCCCGGGCCGCGCTCGCATTTTTGCTTCACCAGGGCCAAGCAGGCACGTGCATCTTCGATGCTATCGTGTCCTTGTACACCCTTTTGAATCTCTTTTGACAGATACTTCTGACAGAGGAATTTGAGCGATTGTTTATATGGTGGACCTCGGGGATGTGGGTACAGGATCCCAGTGTCGACCAAGAATGGATGCGTCAACTTGAGAGCGTTAAGATCGGAATTGAGAGAGTGCCCAAGCAGAATAGATCGTGGCGAAAGGATCTCCAGGAGCTCTTTCTGGATATCTGGTAGTCGCGTTGTAACATCTTGAAGCATGGCTGGAGTAATGCCAGAGTACCTGCACGCCACTTTTAGCTTTGAACTACTACTCATTAATCGCGTCAATTATCTTACTGGGTCAAGTAATCCTTAATAGGCACATCCGGCTTCACCAATTTGTCAAGGACTACTTTGCCATCCCAATCAACTAGACTCACTCGAGTCAATACCAGCTCGTCGTTGTCTGCTTTGCACATTTCACAGTCGACGGTATATACATCGCGTCCAGCGGTCACACTTCCGCTCTCGATTTCTGCATCTGGCACCTCGCCATCCTCAAGCGCTGTCACAATTGTGTCGACCCAGCCATCCTCGGCTATCTGGTGGGCCTCTTTCCTGCGCTGTGTTGCAGCTTCGATCGTCTCGGGTGAAGTAAACCACGCCGGATGCACTGCATATTCATTCTCTTGCTGGTCAATAATATTGGCAATGTAGTCCGTGATGGGGGTGCGCTTATTCTCCCAGTGCTTCGCGTTCTGGGGCAATGGGCCTCGGTGGGAGGAGCTCTTCTTCATCTCCCTTTGTTCTTGGGTTTTGGGAATTTGAGAGGTCAGCATGGTGTGTATGGGCGAGTGAATCCTATAATATTGACGATTCCCGCGATGCTCCCCAATACCCATGACGGGCCAGACATGAGAAAACATGTCAGCGAGCGGCTTGAGTACGTCTGGGAGCCGGTCAGGTTTGAGGTTGGCGGGGTAAAAGTCGTCTGGGGTGATGCGGAGTTTTTTGGGCTGGTGCTCTACTTCATCTGGTTTCGCTTCATCGTCTGCTTTGATGTGGCTGCTTTCATCTTCCGGGGTAGAAGATTTGGATTCAGACGACTGGAGTGATATTTTGCCATTGAACATGCCTAGTTCTAGTCCGGGAACTAGAAGCGTCACAACCTGTCGGATATCAGCCCGTTGTTTGACAGCCACCCATTGCGGGGCATTCCCATCTGCCAGGAGGTAAAGGATGAGCGATTGCAAATCAGTGATTTTGACGTGACTCTGGAGGCGAGCGTTGTGAGAGTGACTGATGCTGGGGTAATTCTTCTCGATCCTTCGCTCGTGCTTCCGTTGCGCTTTCTCTTGCTTGGAGTGACCATTCGATTGGTGTCCTCGATCCCTTGCGCCATTCTCACTGTCATGCTCCCCGTTTCCCACTCTCTTATCACCGGTTTCCCTCGTGGAGAATGGATTTCTGGGTATTGTACTATCACTTCCTTGCTCTGCACTGGTGGAGAATGGGTTATGAGGAAACCCTTGGTGTGCCGGCTCCGGGGTAGAGGCTTCCTTGTCGTCCTGATCAGGCTCCTCGTCTGGCGCAGCTTCGGTCGAGAATGTCGCATCGACCTTTGATTCTCTTGGGGGACGATAGGCCCTATCTCGACCTCTTCGCTTCCGTTTTGACGCGCTCACTACGGTCCAAGCTCCAGCGTCGTTGTTTGAAGTGTCCTTCGCATCTTCTTCGCGCAGGTATGCAAGAGTTGCACCGAGTCCAACATCGGGAGCGCTCGCGTCACTTCCACGCTTCCGTTTCGTCATGTTGGCCTGCAACTAGCTTGCGAAGCAATGCTTCGAATGAGGCCAAGGCCGGACTAGCACAACGAGTTAGTTCTTGAACTGCAATTTTCTTCGGAGCGTCGTGTGTTGTGAAAGCGTCTGTTCTAAGAATTTCCAAAGGACATAGGACTTTCCACCACGCTAGTGCCTTGGCATGATTTCCACCCTTATCGATATCTAATCCCTGAACAGACAGCAAGTGTTATTGGAAAAATACAAGGCTGGAAGTGTGTCTTGACGATGCAGCAGCATAAGTACATCATGACTGGCTCAGATGTAGAGATGATTATACGGCCACAGATGAGATTCTTGATGTTTCACAATTTCCTCAATGTCATGGGTTTGATTGCGTCATCCATCTGTGTGATCATGTAACCAATTTCTTAACGACAGCGGAGGCTCTTACTTGGAGCTACCCTTGCCAAATTTGCCCGTCATAGATCTTGATGCACTTGAACCATATAAAGAAGGAAGTTTAGAATGAAACACAGGCCTATCAAAAACCTAGCCACCGTCGACTATAAGAAGAGAAAGAAGAAGGAAAGTCGTGAATTTCATAGACAGCATACAATGAGAGAGGTTCGTCCAAGAAGGTATTGAAACGTACCCTCGTCTAAAGCCATAAACTCCCCCTAACCGTCATAATACATAAGAGCAAAGCTAACCCTGCATCGTCATCTCTCGTAGCCATAAGATCTTCAAAGCAATTTTTTTCGTCTCTGACACCTCGAAGTCACCAATCAGATTTCCCTGATACTGCCAGCAGTCGCCATGACGGAGACCTTGTCAGTATATCCACGCGGAAAACGGCTTGAATCCCGCCGAGGGGGACAAGGACTCCGTTTCGTTTCCTCAACGAAAGTTGCTGGCTTGCCATTTTCGTCAAGCCCTCTCCACTTCCTGACCGTGACAAAGTCGGACGGGTCACTAGGGCGCCGACGCCCGTCCTGGAAACTCTGTTTGTCAATGATTGTAGTCGTTGATTCGCTCTCGGGTAACGCTGGGCGTTGAACTGTTCGATAGCCGGCGGTCACTCGCTCATGGGGTCCAGGAGATTGGCCTCTATAAGAGACAACCCGTTCGTATGATTCGGCAGGCGACTGAGAACGCGTAGTGCTGTAACGAGTGGTAGAGCGTCCGCGAGTAGTCACATGAGGCGATTCACTGCGAACCCTGTCTCTAATTTGCATCTCCTCAAATTCTTGCACTAGCGGTTGCTCGCTCTCAACGAATCGAATCCTCTCGCTACCTCGACGATCCAGATACTCGCGATCTTCACGAACAAGGTAAGGCTCGTCGAGACTATGGCGCTGTGTTGTCTTGATCTTGATACGCTCACGGCTTTCGCTACGCTCGCGGTGCTGTTTGCCCTTCGACGTTTGAATGTACTCGACACGGGGGCTGGATACCTCAACATAACGGGTCTCGCGGGCGACATTTGGCGTACTCATTCGACGATGATGGGTGGTCGCAACATCTGTGCTAGTTGATTTGAGAATCGAACGTGGGGTTGGAACGACGTAGCTGTCCGAAAACGCCGGAGATGATAGGGGAGTAAAGTCGTCTACAAGATCACTGGCCTTGTAGTGCGATACTTCGTGGCGCTCCACGTCGACTTCGTGGTAGTCATCTCTATATCGATAGCGTGCCGGTGAGATGCTTCGAGATCTCATCTCTAGGCGAGGCAAAACGCGCGGTAAGGATGACTCTCTTCGAATGACATGATAGTCTTCCTGTAGATATTCCTTACGAGGCGGAAATCCAGGAGAACGGTCCCTTGTGACTTCTACATGCACACGGTCATACTCACGCGGCGGGCTCATGGAGGCAATGCGGACCTTCGACTTCCTGCGGAACAGTCTTGGTGACTTGATCTGGTCTTGCAGTGCTCGCAAGCCTAGGCTCGTACGGCTTTCCGACTTCTTGATGATCTGTGGCCTGCTAGTAGAGCGATGTCTTGAGATGTATATATCGTCCCGGTCTCTCGATCGGCTTCGACGTCGTCCACGATCCACTTGAACGTGAACGTCATCCAACATGTACGGCCAGTCGCAGGGCTCATCAGACTTGCATTCTCGGATATGTGTGATTTGCCGCTCGCAGTGCTCGTCGCTTGATCCGGAGTATTTTCTGCAGCGGCGACAGGGAGAAGAGATGACTGGTTCTCCTGGGATTACGGGATGTGACCTGTGAAAGCCAGCCGACCGCATTCGGCCGCAGTCACTGCATACGTGGCAGAGGAGAACGGGAAACGCTTCTGGACCCTCGGAACTCACGGTTTGAACAGTGGTCAAGGTATCAATGGGAGACTGAAGGTCGGGATAGCGATGATCGTATTCGTACCATTTCTCGCGAGTACTGGCCCTGACGAGCTCTCCAGACGACGAGCGCATTGAGCCAACCTAGAGTGACGGATTAGAAAGTGAGCTTCGAGAAGTTGCGGGATTCAGGTAACGCACCATTGCGATTGACTGCGTGTTCGAATCAATTTCGTTTGATTGGCGCCAGTTTTTAATGCAAGATGACACTGGATGAGCGCCAAAAGAAGGATGGTAGCCCGGAGGAGGTGGAGGTGGTGGTGGTGGTGGCAGTGGTGGGAGTAGTGGTAGAGGTGCAGCGGGTGGAGGCGTTTGGAGATAGTGAGGTTGAACGAAACCTAAGGGAGCGAAAGATGGGGGGAAAGGAGCAGCGGGAGGAGCAGGATAATAATACTGGTTACCAGCATAGGTGGCCAGAGCATTTGGAGGAGAGATTTCAGAAGCAGTTGATGTTGTTTGCGTGTTCGTGGCCGTACTTGTAACGGAAGCACTGCCCGCGCCGCCTCCTAGATACTCAGCGTACGCCCGCCACTTTTCAGCATCGCTGTTCATTGTTTGCACACCCTTGCAAGGTTTAAATTGCTCGGGACAGAAACACGGAAGGAGGATTGGAGGATCGATATGTGTCGTTTGGATCCAGGAAAACACCGTGCTACAAACGGACGAACGAGTTAAGGCGCAGTGGGGTGGAGTTGCAGTTGAAGTGGAGAGAAGGTGAAGTAAAGTAAAGTAAACTTTCAAAAGCAGCGTAGTAATGACTCTTCTCGTATGGCCTGAACTTCACGACAATGCAATTTCGAGATTGAATAAGGTTAGGTGCCTTGTTGTGTGGCGAGAACAATAGGCCAGGCAAGTGGGTGCCTGGTATTGTCGATGGTCGTAGGAAGGCGCAAAGTAGGAGTAAATCGCAAGTGGAGGTGAAATGAGGTAGGTTGCAATGCGACCCGATTAAGCAAGATGATGTTTCAGGCCAGTCAAAGCCGCGGAATGAAACAATTCAACGGGACAGACACCAAGAAGAGGAGAATTCTTTGAGAAATCTATTCAAGACTGAGTGAGACTCACCTCTCAGTGCGTACCTGGAGTGTGGGTGAACGTGGCTGGATGCCTGTCTTCGCCTCTCAGGTCCTGCCTCAGACTGCTACAACGAGGCGCAGGCTCGTTTCACCTTTCATGTCTTATCTCTTATTTTCTCATCTCTGCCTGCAAGTATCTGATCGCAAACCTCCCGCTGTAACAATATATTAGGTACCTTAGGTAGGTAGGTACAGAATGAGCTGGCGAACGTGCATGTGCGTGGTCAGACCCTACCTAGATCCCACCACTTGAATGCTCATTTCTTTACCCACTGTACTACACACTTCAATTATTCAGACAACCAGTTGATAGCTTTTGTTGAATCATTGCGGGATGGGAGTTGATTTGGTTCTTTTTCTTCATTTCTTTCCCCTTCTCCAAGAACGCCCTAGTAAGTATAAGTAATTGTCCGGCAAGTTATAATTTTTACAAGGTTCCCAATCATCTCTATGACAACAAAATCCCTTCTCGTACCTCACTACAAAGGGAGATTTTTTTGGTAAAAGAAGCCTCACTGCTTAATCCACCCTCAAGACCCTTGGGCCCTTCCTCTTCGCCGTGCGCTTCTTCTTATGCCCCTTTTCAAAGGATGTCGCGCTCTGGTGGTCACGACCGAAATTGTCAAGGTCCTTGACCTTGTATATCCTAATGATCCAGTTCTCGCTAGTAAACGCCTCCTCAATGGTGCTGAGTTCGGGTCCCTGCGCAGGCAGACGTGCACCACGGACGCGGTCCTGGGCTTGGCCAGCGGGGAACAATGAGTTGTAGTTGTAGTACGACATCTTGTACCTATTGGACTCATTAGAACGTAAATTTTCCGGTTTGATGACAAACACTCACATCAAGCTGTTCTTCATAGTAGGTGTTGCCTCTTCATCAACGCGGTATTCACCACGAGGTGTGAAGAAGTTCCGCTCCTTGACCTCCTCCGGCCAGATGCCCTCTGCGATGCGGACCATCCACAGGAATTTGTTAATATCGTCGCCAGAATAGCCCAAGAGACCACCAAAAACAACGAGGACATAATCTACTTCGTGCTGGCGCATGATCGGGTAGCTGACCTCCTCCCGCGAGCTCATGGCCTTACCAACTGTGGCAATGTGGGTGTTGTTCCAAGTGTTGTTATCAACCAATGTAGGTCGGTCAGCCATGCCTCCAATCTGGTAGCCGTAATCCCACCATGACATGATCTTTGCATTGTCTGGAGTGTTCTGTCGGAGCCAATAATACGCCTCTCGGTAATCGTCGATGATATGCTGGCTGCCGTCGGGCAATCTCGAGGCGAGCACAACGGAAGGAGAAGAATAGGCATTCGAGGTCACCCAGGTGCAGTGCAAAACGAAAAGCAACAGGTAGACTGCAGATGCTCCAACGACGGTCAGTTTAGAGGCGTATGAATAGATTCCAACAACGGGCTTGCGTGTCGATCTCAGACCGTCGGGCAAGACTGCTGCTGCTGCCACCTTGGCAGCATCCGATGATCCGGTTTCTTTAGAATCAACCTTGGGCGTCTTAGTATCGAGATAAGTGTCCAAAATTTGGGAAAAGGCCATGGCAGATGCAACGCAGACAATTGGGGTCAGGGTAAGCATGAGTCGAACCATGACACCTGCGAAGTAACTTGCAAGGACAGCATAGATGACAATAAACACTTGCTCATCTGTCAGGCGCTTGAAGCACATGTAAACACCGGCTGGGAAGAGCCAAATCATCATGCTGAGATCAAAGAAGAAGGCAGGCCATGCGGTAGGTTGATGTTCCGAGACGGACGCGATGATTGGGATGTGAATCTTGGCATAGCCGGTATCCCAGAGAGAGTAGAAACGGCCAGTCCAGGGAGCAATGACACCGGAAACTGTTAGAAGAACGAGTCCACCGAACGCAACCACGAATACAAATAGGACGATTGCGCGGAGGAGCGTCTGGAACTGCTTGCTGGGCAATTGTGCGCGAACATAATCGACAAACGCAACAAGTTGGATGAGCCCAAAGACACCTGCATGCATTGGTTAGTGTACACACCCAAGAGTTTCATTATCAAGGTCTTACCCAAGGATGACATATGCTCGCTACTCCTGATCGGCAGGAATCCGACAAAGGGAATTTGCATGCTAGCAAGCGTTCCAAGCGCATACCAAGAGGTATAGCTGACGTACAGCCTAGCGCTATATCTTCCCATACAAATAAGCACAAATGCGTGTAGAGGTAGCAAATTTGTGATGAAGACATAGCCTCCCCAAGCAGAGACCATGTAACCGTAGAACAACGCGGTCAACGCGCCCCAGAACATGGATCCATTCTTCACTGCCTTGATCCACAGGAAGAAAGTGAAAACAAGAAGGAAGATGGCAATTGCCTCGTTATCGTAACTGCCAGCCACCGAACGTGAGATGTAACCCGGTGTGATGCCCATGAAAGCAGCGGCGAGGAGACCAGCGGAGGGGGAAGTGACCATCTCGGAAGTCAAAAGGTAGGTGGCAAGCGCGGTGAGGCCAGAAAAGCCAGGTGCCAACAGCACGCAGATGTTCCGAATGTCAACGGGAAGGGTGAGGAAGCGGAGAGCATGGTAGATGACGCCGCTGGTGACCATCAAACCAGGGTAGAGGGTGCCACCAGTGACTCGACCAAGAGGGTGCCAGGTACCTATTACAAAAGAGTCAATTCATATAATGCCCAAGAGCCAAAGCGTTCGAAGGATGGATCGTGTCTTGCGGTCGGAGGGGTTGGCTTACGGTCGTCGAACCAGTCCCAGAAGCTGTAGAAGCCATTCTGGACCAGGTATTTTGTCGCTCGAAAGTTAAACCAGGGATCGACTATGTTCATATCAGTCAATTGGATCTTCAGAGTCGCGTTTGAGCCGACTCACACTCGTGGATGATGCTCTCGAATCGAATAACGGAGAAGAGACGACTTGAGACAGCAGCAGCAGCAATCAAAGCAAGAATAATAACTCGAAGCATGCCACGAGTATTCCGACTCGTAGCCGGCGTAAAGACCGACTCGCTCTCTGCGACGGCCATGATTGCGGCGTGATGGTAAGAAAAGAGGGAAAGTCACTGTTCTCCAAGGCCGCGTAACTGAAGCTATCTGTTTCCCGCAACGGTCGGAGCTCGCTCTCTAGCACCAGGTGTCAAGATCGCATAGAGGGATTATGTAATAACCGCCACATGCGCGCCACACTTCTTGTTTCAAACATCATCTCCAACCTCTGTGAGGCAGACCCCTAAGTATTCATGTGCACCCCTCTTATCTCTTACGAATCAAAAACAGTTCATCTTACGAAGGACACGGTCGACGCATATTTGCATCTATTCAGATGTCCACATTCACAAGTACAAGTGCCGTTGCGGTCAGTTGTTCAGACATCCCAGGAGAACTATCTTTAATTGCTTCATGTAAACATTATTCATTCCTAAAATCCAGGTTAAAATACTATATAAAAGCATGCTGTCATATCGTTGCCGCCTCAGATCCCCACACCCATACCAAAATATCCATGTGATCTCTCCTCCATTATCCCGTCTCCCAACAGTAGTAACTAAATGGCATCGCAAGGGTCTATACGAAACTCCCGAGTCTTATCCAGGCGGAGGGACGATGTGTGGGTTCCAAGTCACGTCGAACTGCTAAAACGCAGGAGTAAAACCAAGGGACCGAATTCAGAGATGTGTTGCCGGTAATAGTTATTCTCCGAATCCACCTCTGCGCGGTCGTTCAGGTTGGTGCTGGAAATAAATGCTTGTGTCCCCGTCAAGGTCTAGCATATCTGCATCAACATAACACTCTCGAGATGGTCCGATTTCACTTTGATCTTCCCAACCCGGTAGAGCGGGAGGCACTGACATTGCATCGTCATCATCGATTGTCTCGGAGGCTTCTACCGTTGCCTGGAGGTGATCCAATTCATCCCCTGTCGCCTCGTCTGCGATGCGCTTCCAGTCTTCGAGGACCATCTTCTCTTCGTCTACATGCTTTTGGATATGGCACAGACGTTCTTGGTATCGACCAGTGGATCTCCTGGCAGATGTCTTCTGGAATTCACTACAGAATCCGCACCAGTATTCCAATTTGCATGCTCTTGCTTCGCTCTCCCTGTCGTCGTCGTCGAGTATGTCGTGCACTTTCTTCAGGTGCTCTTTGAAGCCATCTTCGGACTGGAACATGTCTTGACATGATGACTGTGTCGGAAGTTGCAGGCGCTTGCATCGGAAGTAGAGCTCGGGGTAGGAATGTTCCTTCTCCTCATGAGATTTCCACGCTTGGAAGGTTTCGAAGCGGGCATCGCAGGAGGGGACGACGCAGGCGTGCGGTGGCAAATTTTTATGTTGTTTAAGGTGTTCCTCCAAGTCCGGAAGTCCCCTCAAGGGTACATGGCAGGTTGGGCACTTGATCTGGTTGACCTTTTCACTAACTGCCTGTGCAAGTTGAATGAGGTGACTTTTCGAGATTGTTGTGAATTTGACATCGCGGTCGTTGCCCACACAGGTGGCATCTGTAGATATTGAAGAAACGACAGAATCTGCCCGCTCCGGTAGGGCCTCTCCATGCCGTCCCATTTTCTTAGGGAAAGAAAGCACGATATCGAGGTTTTCGGTATCCTCTCTGTCACCCAAAAAGTTACTTTCCTTGGTGTTCTGCAGGAATTTGTGGACATGTCGCAGCTGCTCATGCTGCTCTTCGGTCTCAGGCGGTCGGGATCGTGACAGCGTACGCAGATTTTCGAAAACCTTACATTCCTCCAAATGATTCCAAGGAAATTGAGATGATGTTGAATCTAACGAACTGGAATCATACAAACAAGGACCGGCTACTTTAGACCGATCCGTGGAATCTAACACGCGGTGACCCGAGCCATTCGGAGCGACGGTTTTTGATCTCTCAGCCTGGTCGAGCTCGATAGAGATCTCGGGTTGATATGGATCGAAGCCTTCATCATTAACCACTCTCAGGGAGAGTCGTGTCAGACTCAAATCGGAAACAATCCATGGATTGGGTTCCTGGGATGGGGTTAAGCTAATTCCGGAAGTAGGGTGGTTAACATCATTACTGAAACACTGCCTCTCCGTACCTATACCGGCGAGCGTTGCATCCATTGGAGGCATTGAACGATCCGGTAGCACTGCCTGCAATCCAATTGCAGATCTACTTGTCATTAGCCCAGATCAATGGCAGAAGAATCGCGCTCATACCTTCTGATCACGTCCTGCTCATTCTCTTCTGCGTGCATTCTTTGGATATGCTGTTTGAAGTTGTCCAAACGTGGCCATACCTTTTCCTTGTTTCTGCAGGCATTAGAGGCGCATCGGTAGGAGTTTTCGAGAACTTGAATGCCATGCACGCTTTTCTTGTGTCTGGTCAGATCATTAATGGTGCCGAATCCTTTGCCACCGCGCTTGCAATTCGCAAGGTTACATTTGAAAGGCTTGTTGTGCCTGAGCATGTGTTTCCTACGCCTGATCGTCAGTCTTATACATTCTCAGAAAAGCCCGAGCACGCACTTGTGATCCGATTGGCATTTGGATACCTCCTGGCAGATGACACAGTGATATTTTCTTCCAGATATCGCGCTCCTGGCCCGGCTGCGGCCGCTGTATTGCGAAAGCCGGTCTACTTTGCTGTTGTTGTTGAATACAAAAACGTTATTCGGCTCCTCCGCTACTGTGGAGCCAACGTTCCTTCTCGGAAGAGTGTATACTGCATCGGAGGGGATGTCGTGACTTCGTCCTTGGTCGCTAGGAGAAGAGTATGATGCGGTGCCGTATCCTGAATCGCCCATACGGGCCGAACTCTCGGCCTCAGATGACGGGCCACTGGGGCACATTCCCAAATCATGGTACATATTGCGTTGGAGGGAGTTGGAATCACTGCTAGGGCGGCTAAAGTTCCTCGTATTCATGGGGTTCCATGGTACTTCAATCCAGAATCGATCCAACGAACTGGCATCTCTCCTCTGGCCGGGCAGAGTGGAGGATTGTTGTTGCACCTGAAGAAAATTGAGCGAGCAAGTGTCAGAAAGATTTGAGTCCGCCCTGACGTGTTGAAACTGGAGAGGGCTGGGCTCTTCAAATCTCAAAAAGGGAGAGTTTGCTTGAGGTGCACTCCTCACAGTTTGAATGGACACAGCGGGACTTGGAGCTGCAGGTGGTACAGCTTTAACCTGGCACTCCTGGGAGTTGTGTGGAGGCCATGCCGGCAGTAGGCTCTCATTGGCCAATAGCGGAGCGTCATAGTACTAGAATGGTCATTTGCTGTGACCTGTCACATTCACCGCGCACCATACGTACAGGCACATTGAAATCAAAGCCTTGGAAGTCTTCGTTTCTCTCTGACATATCTTCTCTACACATGTAATAGTCAGCGATGAAGTCTGATGTGCAAATCGTGGCACTCGAAGCACCAAAATATGACGCATAGAAAGGATCTGAACGGGCTGGCTGCGAGTGCCTCTCAGAAAATAATGGCCCAGATAACCAGGTAGTTAGACGAAGGACGGTTTCCCCAACTAATTGATCCTGAGGCGCCTTTGTGCGGGAACCCGCGCGTGCCACGAAGACGCCAGGCAGGAATCATTTTCAAATCCAGATACCACTTACTATCTGAGGCCTTAGGCCTTCTGTCGGATGGGGCGTTTTTGCCTACAATGGAAAGCAGTCGAGAGATTGGAGTTGGTCGAGGGCGCAAGGAGGGAGCATTAACTAGTAGATGCGGTCTGCACTGATCCACCGCATTAAGCGCTGACGTTGAGCGGCAAGCGTTATGGGTTATGTGACTGACTGGCATGCAACGAAACGCATGGGAGGATAGTCTGTCCTACGTTATCGTTCTCCGGTGCAGGTCAAGGATGACGTTCAAGGATCTTTTTGAGGGCAATGAACAGGTTGTGTACGGAGTAGTCCGCGGACCGCAAGTATCAAGACTGCGGCGTGGGCACAGCAGCAGTGTGCATGCAGTTGCAGAAAAAATTGATGAATGACAGAGGAGGAACTCAATGGCATGCGGACATGTAGAAGAAGATGGGGGCGGAGGGCTTTACCCTTGAGGCGCATGTTGGATGCAGTTTGCGCAGCTTGAGGGCGGCCTCCGAAGGATATTGCACAAGGGCAAGACAGTTCCATGGGATGTCAACGGTGGTCCATCATCGCACAAACGAGGATCAATTGGACGTGTTTGAACATCGGCGGCCTATCTCCCCGGCTGCCTGCTTGTCTGCCGTGGCATCGAGAAACCCCGTTGGCCGTATCATGTCCGTCGAGTTGTTTAACGCAAATGAACCGGGATACCGTAGACTGCCAATCATCACGCTGAATGGTGGTGTTCAACTTCACAGTCGTGCATCGCCATGAAACTGGTCCTGCCGCCCCCAATCGTCCCCCCTCCTAACGCCCCCTCCCCTCTCCCTACTTCATGGTTCGAGTCAGCCTCGATAGAGGTACTCTAAGACAAGATAACCATATTCAGAGGTATCCAGCGAGCTCGTGATGAGAACCCATACACTCTTCGCTTTGCCCTCAAGTGTGTTCATGTACAGAGTATTCCGAACTAATTGCTATTCAACATGATGGTACAATCGTGCAGCACTTTGCTTCCAGAGAAATAGAGGAAGAGGCCGATCACTCAATTATCCTTCTCTACTGCTCCCCATTCCTTCTACTCCGTGGCCCCAATGCCATGTCCAGAATGTGACACCGCATGCTAGAAAAATGAAGCTCACCTTAAAGATGAGCCCACCTTATGAATGAGCTCCCCGAGGGTGGCCCAGTCGCGGCCGCCCCCGCGCGATGGTGTGTCGTCGTCTGGTGTCTTCATCTCTGCGCTCCGTCGCATGCAAACCCCTTGCGTGGGAACTAAAATACCTTCGTACAAAAAGCTGGTGTGTTTGCTCCAAGGGGGGTACATCATTTAGTCAACACTGCTCCGTACTCCGTACTCGTAGCCTCTAGTCGTCGTACAGAACGTGGGGGAATATTTGGTCGCGACCGCGCCGCAAGGCCGGATATTTCGGCCTTGCGCGCGATCGAGGCGGCGTGGTTAGGGGGCGTGGCTACGAACACTGCGTTCCCGAATTGTTACGGCCTTGCAAACACTTGTGCGATCTGAAAATGTTCACAGACGTATGAACTAGCCCTCCGTGACATGTGGCTTCTTAATCACTTTCTGCATGGCTTCACTAGGAGATTTATGCACAAATCTATTGAAACTACAGGTAAGTGCCCCCAACCAGAAGACGTGTTTTGAGTACGGACATGCGAACGACAGTGGGTATAGATTTAACGTACTCGAAAGGAAAATCGACGCGTCGAGCCAAAAAATCGCTAGGTGCATTGCATCAACTCATCAGTAGCCCACTAAAACAAGTATCCTCCTCCTTTACGCCTGATATGCGTCCGAACATGAAACGCCCCAAATTGCGATCGTAATTCTATTGTAGTTGGCATCATCAAATACACACCACGTGATGACGTGTCCACTCAATAATATCATAAGTTTCGTGCGAGGTGACACCGTACCCTCCAACTAGTCAAACAAATGTATGAAAGGGGAGGAAGTAGTATCTGCCTCCGTTTCTATGCAGTGTTGCTGGGAAACACGGCTGTCCTCATTTTGAGTGTTTTATTGGCCCTGGTATTGATAATTATGTTGCTGGGGCATGTACGAGAGATCCTGGTAGGGACTCCCGTTGAAGCGCAATGGTGAGCCATTGTCATAGGCCATGCTCGAATTCATTAGGTTCTGGGGTTCTTGCGTAAAATACTGTGGACCCAGGGCCTCACTAGGAAAGGTTGCGGTGTCGATAGGGGAAGTGGTAAATCCCGCTGTCTGGTGATGTCCGAGGGCGGAAACAGGTGTCATAGGAAACCCATTGGCCCCATTCTGCGCAGTCCCGTTTTGATAATTCTGATTAGGAATTTGTAGTCCATTGACATAGGTACCCCGCATCTTTGCAGGCTCTTGCAGGCCCGGATATGTACTGCCAGACATGTTGGGTGCACCTTCCAGCACATAATTGTTATAATTCCCATTGCGTGAAGGATGCTGGGCTTTGATGTGCATCAATTGTGGTGGAGGGTATGAATGGATGGTGGTGGCAGCGTTGCCAACAGGCGATGGGTCTGCGGGGAATCGGCTAGGGTCTATTCCTGGCGCGAAGGTGGAATGATTTGGGATATATCGGGAAGGATTGTCGACAGGTGACTTGCCCGGCGTTGCAGATAACTTCCGTGATTCTGGCATCTCGACGACTGGACTGATGATCGTATCGGCATTCATTTGCTTTTGCTCCACGAGTGGTAGAATTGGCATGCTAATCTGCTCCATGTGTTTCGCCAAATGGACTGTCAGCTTTTTCCAACTATTGCAGATGTTCCCGCAAAAGCGACAGGGCTCATCTCTGGGTTGCTTAGTCGTATCACGGCGGCACCTCTCCACTAAGCTCCATATATCTTCTATACTGATCGTCAGAATGGGTACTGAGGTGAGATAAATGGGTCACATACCTGAGGTCGAAGCAGTAGCTGTGTCTTTGGTTCCGCGGCCAGTGCGTGCTCGCGGTTCGGCGATTTTGTGTTCTCGGACCAAGTGCTGGACAAAATTGTCTTTCCTGTAGCATGTGTGGTTGCAATCGGCAATCTGGCAGGTCCAATTCTCAAGCTGCCGATGGCGTTCATTCTCGTGCCGCACCCAATCTGCTTTTCGTTTGAAAGATTTAGGCTCGCCGCAGTGCGGAAATGTGCAAGTAAAGGGTTGCACATCCTCATGAACATGCTTAGTCCAATCAGAAGGCTTGTAGAACTTCTTGACTTTGAAGCAGAGTGGGCACTCAAATTCAGCAGGCAAGCGCTTCACAGGTGGAAGGGGTACGCCTGATGGAAATTGGGCAGCAACAACAGTTCCTTCTGGCAGAGGCTCGCCATCATCGTCTGACGAGCCTGGAGCAGTGATTTGGAAACCTATAAAGGGTGCGTCGGAATCTTTGTTGCCCGCTCGCGGTGGCAATTGCTTGGATTCTCCACCAAGATCTGTACAAAATGTTGCCGACGGGCAGTTGTGATTCTTCACAGCGTTCAGGTGTTTGACTTTAAACTCAAGCAAACGTTTGTATCTACGCATTTGTTCCTGGGTGATTCTCTCAACCATATAATCGACTAGGCGGGGGTTCAATTGTCGAGCATGGGTCTTGAAGCCTTCATAGGTCGGGATGATGGGGTCAGAGCGAACTTTGAGGTCCATGGTGACAGCTTCTTGGGCATCATCATCGTCGTCGTCGTCACCGCCGGGGCTTGGATTTGGAAGCTTCGTAGCCTCCGTTTCAGCCAACGGCGATGCCAGCATAGGCATAGGGGGCCCGCCATGTTGAGTCATGAGCTCTTTCAATCCTGGCGATCTTCCCAGGTCGCTTCGACTTCTGCTGCGCCTGATCGCGTTCTTCGGGCGTTGGTACCATGGGCCCGATGTTGCAGAAAGGCCCGTGGAACTTGGAGGGCCGAGTTCCTTTACTTGAGTCGCAACGTTAGTATCCAACCTAGGGGACTTCGGTCGGCCCCAACTCCCCATTCGCTTGGGCTTTTCGATACCGACTAGCTCTTTCGCTTTCTCTCCACCGACCTCAGTAGGCGTTTGCACGGGTATGCTGCCCTTTCGTTTTAGGAGATTGCTTGGAGCACGTTTGGGAAGAATGTTCTCCAGAAAGCTAGGCCTCCGCTGCCTTTCCTTCTGTTTCTTAATCTCAGACTCCACAGGCTCTGCGGGCTTGATGGCCTTGACAACTCCGGGAGCCGCCCTGATACTGCCCAAATCAGACTCACTAAGGCGCCTAGAACCGAGAGTGGCGGCCAATGAAGCAGTTTCGACGTCTTTTGCCCTGAGCCCGAATCGCATCATGGCGGCATTCGACGTCTGTGGCTGATAACGAGTAGAAGATGCAGTGGGGGTGGGTTGGGTTGGAGCATCGACCCAGGGCCGGAAAATAGCACTCATTAGACTTCCATGCTCCACAGCAGCCGGTGGGAAATAAGAATCATCAGCATGGCTTGCAGAAATGTCGATTTCGGCAGCTGGGGACTCTGGCTCGGCATCCTCGTCGTCCTCGTCGTCGTAGTCCTCGTATTCGCTGCGTTCATCTATATACAGGCCCGGTCCAGGTATACCTGAGTCATCGAGAAGCTCGAAATCGGTGCGCACTCCCAGTCCAAAGCCTTTGGCAAAACCGTTGCGGTTTGCATCGTTTGTGCTCTTGGCGCGGCGTCTTGTGGTGAAAGGTTTCAGAAGGTTCGTAGATGAGCCAGCATCTCCCGCTTCACTACATGCCTCACTCTTGGTGAGCCACTCTTCGACTTCGAGTTTCTTTTCCTCTTTCAACCTGTGATCGGCAAGCTCGTCGAGTGTGGGAACCCATGCACCGTTCATGTGGTCTCGATCGTGGGGGTTAAGGCCTCCTCGGCCATCCCCCTGGCCAGACACCCAGCTGCCATCCTCATTGCGCTCAGCACCGCGAATCACGGGTGGATGTTGCACACGAACTGCCTGGGGATCCACGTCCTCGTCAGATGTATCATTATCATCCACGGGAAATGGCGAGAGGTGATTGCCCGAGCGACGGCTGCCATGACTTCGTTTGCTGACTGGCCTACTGATATCTGAAGTCGATGGGGATCCAGCTCGGTCGATATGCTCCACGCGTACTATTGGGCTCGTAAGGAGATGAGGTTTGGACTGTTGTTGTGCAAGCGTGGAGTAAGGCGGGCTTTCTGTCAGAGCAGGGCTCTGCTGTTGCTGTCGCTTTCCCTGTTTGATGGGAGTAGAATGCATCATATGCTGCATTGGGGCCGGTGGCGTTGACGATTGATAGTCATTGCTGGTGAAATTCATCGTCGAAAAGCCAGTAGTATTGGCGTGATCGTCGGTAATGACTGGACTGGAATTGTTTGTTGGAGATGGCGAAATGAGCTGGGCTTGTGATGGGATGTTGGAGGGGTTCAGAGAGGGCGCTTGGGCATTGTAAGTAGCCAAAACGTCAGCGGTGATGGGCATTGCCAAGCTTGCATTGCTTTGAAATGGATCGTAGTTCGTAGATGCCATGGGCGGTTCTGTGAAGGTCAGGCTTGAGAAATTGTCTTCTAAATACTGGCTCCCGAGATTAGGGGTCGTGTAATTGCTGTAACTATTTGGATCACTCAAGTACCCTGCCGCCTCTGGGCTAAGGTGATCGACGGAATGCGAGGGGGAGATGCTCTGACCGTTGCGGCTATGTGTGGCGGGAGAGAGGGAGTAATTCTGTTGCGATTGCATGGAAAAGTATGGAGGAGGGAAGGTCTGGTTGATCATATCGGGACGCATGTGAGAATCGAAGGATGAGCCAGCATTGGGTGCGAAGGCTGACTCCTGGGCAGACCCGGGGAAAGGGACAAGGCTGACCATGGAGCCATCATCTATGGTCCCAGGCTCTGCGGAGAATGTGAATCCATTTTGACTCTCGGGCAGTAGAAAGTTGCCCGATGACGCTTGGTTGAACGCATGTGTGGCTTCGTCTTGATGGTCATGGGGATGTTGTTGGCGCTGTTGACGCTGTTGGCCATGGAATACTGGCGGTCTTGAGTCCATCATCTTGCTCCTTTAGCGCAATAGGTCTCGTGATCAATTTGTTTCCTTCTTTCTCCTCAGGATAAGGGGAGGAGAAGGGAAGAGAAAGACTGCGCTGCTGTCTGTGGCTTTGGAAAGTGTAGAATAGGGCAGACAGAGCAAAACAGGACAGAACAGGACGACGGATGGCTCTAGGGGGCAACGTGACTTCCAAGGTGGCTGTTGGTCCTCAGGGATCCATGGGGTGCGGTTAATGCCCGGGAGATTGATTGATTGGTCTTTTGGCGACAACTAATACGTGGGGAAAGAGCGCTCAAAGAAGGAAGGAAGTAAGGTAAGAAGGTAGGCAGGTAAGAAGGAAGGAAGGTAGGAAGGAGCACGACAAGGAGAACGGACGCGATGCGGCGACGAAGATCGAGAGCCGACAATGGAGGGTAGTCGGCGCGGAACAGAGGTAGGAAATATTGCTGAAGTTAGGCTGATCAGCCGTGAGCCGTGAGCCGTGACAGGAGAATGCGTCTTGTCTGTCTGTGGGAATAGGGAAGTGCAAGTGGAAGTTGTCTGGTGGGCGATCCGCCTCGCGCGCGCTCGCGCAGGGATACCTTGGATGACAGCGATGGAAGCTAATGGGCGGTGCAAGGTCAAGGACAAGTGCAAAGGCGCATGCACTTGTGGTGGTGCTGGTGCTGGTGGATGAGCAGATGGTGAGAAAGGACGGAGGGCGGTTGCAACCGAACAGAAGTGGAGCTGGGAGAAGCGGCGGCGCGAGCCACAGACAGGTGGGGACACGACGCTGGGCGGTGGGATGGATGAAGGAAGATGTGCTGATGGTAGGCGACAGTCAGTGGTAGTAGTCGTTGTTGTACGGAGTAGTTGGGCGAGGATTATCGATATTGAAGAAAGTCAACCGACCGCAGCAACAGCTTAAACGAAAAGAAGGGGGGGAGTAGGATGAAGGTGGTGGGGTCGGGTTTGGGATTGGGATTGGGATTGGGGGGAAGAGAGAGGGGGAAGAGGGAGAGATGGAGAATAGAGAGGAAGAAGGAGAGGGAGGGGAGAGAGTGTGAGGAGGTCAGAGAAGGAATACCTAAGAGGAAAAGGGTTCAAGGCACCGGTCAAGGCTGACAGCCTGTACGATGTACACTGGCTGGAAGTTACAAATAGAATAGATCAGAAATAATGAGTCCAAGTCGCCCTCCCCCTTCTCTCTCTGTCTCTCTCTTCTCTCTCTCGTTCGTCTCCTATGTGTACGAGTAAAATAACTATTACCACCTAGGAAGATGATACTCCGTAGCAGAAACCAAGCCGACCAAGATGACCAAGATGACCAATATGAGAGACCGGGGGTACGGGAAGGGGTTGTCGCAAGGAGAGCCGGGGGGAAGTAGGTATGGGCGATGGGGAAATGGGATATTATGGGATATGGGAAATAGGACATCCAACTATCGAGGTACTACTACCTATGGTGATAGTGGGAGGGGATCGGAATGGGGAGAGTTTCAAGCCTTCAAGGTGTCATCACCACAAAACGTATCTAAGTCCTTGAATCACTCCGTAGATGAATGGATATACATAGATACAGATGATGCCTACATAGGTGCCTTGGTAGGTACCTAACCTAAGTACCTAGCTTACGGGTATACAGATTACCTGGATAATTATAATTATAACTAATAATATTATTATTATTAAAAAAGACGATGATGAAGATGTACGAGTACAAGTAAACTGCCAAGCCAAGAACCTTGCAGGCGTCACCACAGTGTAATGTACCTAGGTACTCGGTACGGAGTACATATGTAGGTACATATAGTGGGTATGGACGACCATTCATTCGGAGAGAAACAATATCCATCCACGTTACGGGTAGTAGTAGAAGGGAGCTAGAAAGAGTAGAACAAGTGTAGTGATGAGGCGAGGCAGACCGAGCAAAATGATAGGTAAAGGGATATGATGATGAGTGCGTCTGTGTGTCTGTGGGTGAATAGAAAGTGTCATGTACGATTACATAGGTAGGTAGTGCGGAGGAAAGCTGCGCCCCAAGGCAGACTTCGCCAGAATATGGATATGTTCATTCGTAGCGCTATGAAACGACTATGTAGAAGGGAAGGGTTAGAGACTTAGAGTAGGGTTAGTTGTGTTAGGTCATGTTAGGACGGGATTGGATTGCTTGTGGTAGTTACTCATACAGTGGCGTACGGAGTACGGAGCGCACGAGGGCGTTATGATTCTCGTACCATGTAGGTAACTCAAGTCTTAGACCATAAACCTCATTGCTCAATGCTCAAGCCTCAAGCCTCAAGGCTGAAGATGGCCAAGGGGAGGACCAGCGTGTATCTTCTGTGTAGATAGTTAACATGTCCAAAAGATTATGCGAATGAGGTTGCCCGCTCTCGGCTGCGGGTGGGCGCAGCACAGCCTCATCAACCAGGATGGAATGATCTGCTCGTGTGAGAACGATCCCAGTGGATAACTTAACATAACATCACTAAGTAATCTGAGCAGGTTATTAGACCGCCATGCCTTTTGCCCTGCCCTGTCCTACTCTAGGTAGTTATGTCTGCTGCCACATCACGAGTGGTTGGTGACTGTCCCATTGAATTCTAAGCACGAGCTTGAGCAGAAGCTTAAACATGCCCACCACTTGCTTACCTGCTTTCTTCTTCGTCCAATGCGATACAACACCGGACAGGGCTTTCAATGTGACAGTCATTACTCCGTGCCTTGACAGGTATCTAGGCAGACACATCCACACCACCTACTCCGTACATAATAACAAATGGCGCGAGTGGCTAAAGTGGAAAAGAGAACAAAGCAAAAGACAACGAGGAAGTTGGCCAAGCAAATCGATGGACTGCCTCACTTTTCACCAACCATTTTGAAACGCGAGCGGGCGCTTAGCAGCAGCATCCAGGCCGAATCAGGCGTTGGCCGAGGCAGCCCAGCTTGGACTACTACTGTGTAGGTATCCATTATTGTACTATAGTCTGTACATACTACACTACTCCGTACATGCTGGTTAATTGTAATTAGTGAACGGGATATAAATATATACATACCTCCCTAGGTACCAACACTACCGTGGCTACACTACATGGTTCGCCAAGCCTCCACCTAGACAGTAGACACAGATGATGGACACAATCCACGAACCACATGCAAGCTCGGTCGTGATCGTCACCTACCAAAGAGAAAAAGACCTAACTCCCCTGTGCATAACCGCCAAAATCATGCTCGAATACGGAGTACAGCTTGACTAGAAAAGTGCCTGGGGCATGCTGACCTCGACACAAGTAGACATGTTCCAGCTGCCCAGGTGGATAAGCATGCATGAAGTGTGAACTAATTTGAGTAGCATCGCACATACACGTTCTATACATATAGTGTAATAAACACATTCTACCGCGAGTGAAGTAGTGCACGGAGGCAAATAAATGGTACAGGAACGTGTAGGTGTGAATACTTCTAACAGCGGATATCCGATTGTTCTGCAACACAACGCTGGGGGACGGTTTCTGATCAGCACGTTCACATCAAATTCTATCCGTGCTGGGCTTAGGTAAGGTCTGTTTCACTTTTTCCCCGTACGCCGAGTCCGCTAATTGGTGATCATCTTTGTTCTCGTCGAAGCTCGTTGACATCTTATTATATGTTAGGTAGGTAGTTAGACGAGTAGTTGCGCTTCTACTCGGAAGCTTCCGGTTGGAGATGTGTGTTCATGGCGACCAGAATAATCGGCACTCGGTTCTCTGGATACGATATCAAATACCCCTATCGCAAAGAACAGAAAGAGTCAGCTTCTGGAAAGATCGTTCATCAACGGTCCGAAGCAATTGTTCCGGTAAGAATCTGCATTGGTGGGGATTATGCTGGGCCCAGTGACGAATCTTCCCTTCTCCGGTAGGACGATGGCCGATGATGTAGGAAACCCCCTTGTGCTGACTGTATCTGGTGGCTGTCTGTGTTCAAAAAGAGCAGATGCCATCACTCTTGACATCATCTCGAGGGCGAACCTCGAACCGCGTTCGCGTTCTGTCGGCGACAATCGATCATGTGTTGCATAGGTGGAATTGAGGCTCTTCCGGGTTGATTGATGAACATGATATGGGTTGGTCAAGCTGCTGTAATTGCCGATGATAGTCCCCGACCTTGCATAGTTTCCGATTGTATTGCTGGTGGTCAGGACATTGAGGAGTCTGGTTCAACAATCAACCTGATAGCTACGAGGACAGCCCTGGTAAGTATCCATCTCATTCCGCGTACGAGCCTTGGTGGTTGTTCACGAACCATCTATCAGCGAAGCAAGAAGATAATGAATGAAATTGAGCGAACAGGATTGATATCATTCTTACAATCCAGCCCGGGGTGATGAGATGTTCGATCAGATGATCAAGGACGGATATAGATACCCAGATGCGCGAGTAAGGATTATACCCAAGACACATTCATGGGGGGGTTTTGTTGTCTACGATAGACACAATCGAAGAGACATGTCTACTTAGAAGTTCCCACTCGTGAATTGATTGTTCGTACAACAAAAGACAATATCCCGTGAATAATAGATATATAGATAATAGCGGTTTAGCGTCAGTTATTCGTATACATGATGATAGTTATCAACTATCGAGTGGGGTTGGGTTGGAGTTTGTTCCCATGTCTCCCTTTCCCCATGAGAGGATGGGTTCGGCGCAACGGAAGTGAGAAGGGGGATGTGACCAATCAGAGGGCATTCTTGTCGCGGGCACCGAATGGAAAAACCTCCCCCCCGGGTAGATTCCCCCTCCAATACGAGCAACAGCATTAGGTAGACCAGATTCTAGATGATGTGGAGTAATCGAGGTCATCCACCTTTCATAATAAAACTCTCTTCTCACCTACTACTAAATTCCTTCCTAGATATCCCTTTCCTCCTCAATTCATTCTCTATTCTTCCTTCCTTACCTACCTACCTACACAATCATCAATCCATACGTCTACATTCTATGAACCCATGCGCCCGCCTGCGTCATAAATTCCACAGGAACAACCGCATGTGACAACATCACGTCCACTGCTTCTCCAGTATTCCCGTCCCACACCGACTGCACACAATTGCTTTGGTACAAAACTCCCTGTGTCCTCTCCTGTAATCGGCTGCTGCCTCCTCAACTTGCGCGTTCCGGCTCATCTCCCATCTCCCGTCGCCAATCTTCCTCGATCCTCCCTCTCGTCTCAACATGCCCGCCCTACTGCACATCCCTACGCCCGACGCTCGTAGTCTGCTCCCCTCTCTACTTGCCTGCCTTTCCACAGCAACTGCCTCGAAACAGCCTCCTCCTGCATTGCTGCCATTGCTCTCTCCAATCCTTCGACAGCGCCTTACACTTCTTGCATCCGACAACTGGCTTGCGCTCCTCTCTTGGGATACCCAAGTCGCGTCAAGGCTTCCCCAGACAATCAGCAATATCCATGTCGAACCGCACCCGGCCTCGGGTGAGATCGAAGTAGAAGAACCAGATCAGATCCTATACCGACGCTCAGACCCCGAAACACTACACTCTCGACTGGTCCTGGGCGAGTTTGATCTCATAGCAACATATCTGTGGTGCACTGGAGGGGAGGAGGGCGATGGCTGGAGACTCGCAGAATTGCGCAGCGTACAAGACTCAAATGACGGCACACAATGGTTCCCAAGCATCGACCAAGCGAATGAGGCAGGCTTCCAGAAGACTTCATCGAGGCCAAGCGGAGGAGCTCACCAAACGCCTGCAACAACTGTCACAGCACCTGAGACCACAGCACAAAACGAGGATGATGGTGACGACGACGACGCCTACTGGGCCGCTTACGACCGCACACCAGGCCGAACACCACAACAGAAACGCTCTCCAGCTCCAGCAACCAATTCTCGCGTGCAAATAGGTCCCACTCAGGACGAACTCGAGTACTTTGCCCGGTATGCACAAGAGGTTCAGCCTGCACTTGACGCTCATGATCCTGACGAAGAGGGTGCCGCTGAGGTCGAATCTACATTACATGGAACCTCGCTACAACTTCCCCGCGAACCCCAAACGGAGCCTCTTGCAACAAATCTAGGCCCCTTCGGATATGATTCTTCACTTCCTCCAGCCTTTACGCACCCTACCGGCCCCGATGGGCCCCTCAACGGAGCCGCACATGAGGCCAAGGCGGAGCATATAGAAAATGTAGAGGATGATCGGTATGCTGCTTTGAACCACCCTCGTCCTTCATCGTCCGCATCATCAAACTCGATCGAAAGACTCGAGCGAGAAGCCGAGAGCCATAGTCAGGCCGAGTTGGCCATCAAACAGCACATCAGCACCGATCTTAAGAGCTTATTCCGTTTAGCAAGGACAGCAGGTATTGATCGGGAAGAGTTCGAGAGGATCATCAGGAGGGAATTGGAGGTCTTGCCCTTATTAGAGCGAGACCATTAGAGCGTGTAGCAGAGAATTGGAGAACAGGACGGTTTTCTTGCCATGTCAAATGTATTTGGTTTAAAAAACGCCAATTGACAAAACTCGGTTGGCATGGCGCAGGCTTCTTTTGGTTACAGCATTTGGCATATTTCACATTACCTTGTTGGCATTTTCCTGGGTCACGCGGGCAAAGTCATTACTTTGTAGTAGCTAGGGGTATCAATTCGTCACCCAAACCATTGTATCTTTACGACATATATAGAGGTACAATCGAATTCAATCAAGTATGCAGCCACTTGGTGCTTATTTACGCAGTTGACACTGGGAATACCCAACAAGCAATCATGGTCATCGACCATCACGTCAGATAGGGTACAGTGACACGGAATTGGCATGCGCGATACCCTTGATATATCAAGCACCCTCGGCAAGAAGTGCGAATCCCGTTTGCTACTGATTGACGAGTCGAGGGCAAGTGTTGATTCGAGGCAATTCTTCGATTTCTCCAAAAGAATGATAACCTTTGTCCGGATACGCCCTTTATTTGCCGCTCTCAATTCCGGATTTTAGGCCGTTTTACTTTATGCCGTGCTTCTTGATTTACCCTTCCTTTCACTTTTCCTCGAATTTCCAGGGTGATTTGCTATGATATCTATACTTTCCTCCTTCGCTCGCCGCCGCCCTGTACCTTTGCGCCTGCCTTAAGCTGCTCTAGTATGTCAATGGCATTGTTACCGGACACATTGAAGGTTCTCTCGGTCTCGCTACCTCTGCCAATCTCCTCAACGACATTGTTAGGATCGGCGGCCCCAACGACAGGAACCTCGGACGCGAGCCACTGTTGAAAAGGTTTCGCAACGAAATAGCCATCCGAGGTGAACCATCTTGTGAAGGGTGCCCGGATGTGGATCGTCTTGGAAGGACTGGAGGAAGTGGGGGAAGGCGTGAAAGTGACATCGCATTCATATATCGGGGTGTGCTTCTTCGTGCTCGACCGGATCAAGATCTGAATCGCCAGCATATGTTAGTCATTTTCCTCCCATCATGTCTGTCTGCTACTGAGGATCGAGTCGGCATTCGTTTGCTCACCTTCCCGGTCTTCCCCTCTCCTTCGTACACGGCACCCTTCTCGACAAACCAGAGCCAATATGTAAACGCGCCATTCAGAATGAAATAGGCAGCTACCGCTGGCGCAGTATACGGCTTGGTTGCGTCCCAGCCCAATGTCCAGTCGAAGTAGAATAGCACGCCAGCAATGATCACGGCCACATATCCGAGAGCGAGACGAACGTCCGTTTGCGTGTGAATTTGTCGAAATTTGAGGGAGTGTAGGTAGTTAGGAAGTGCATCATCGGTCGTATTCTTTAGATCTGGAGGTTGCGTCAGTAGGTTTGCAATTGCACGGTAACTAGGTATGTAAATACACACCTGGCAGTGAATACACAGCGATCTTTGTGGAAGCGTTTGACATTTTCGCTATTTGTATATAATACTTGTCGTTGCACCGTTCAAAGGGGATTGGGAAGCAGTATAGTTCTGCGGGAGCTCGTTGTTGTTTGGTCTGATAGCGGCCACATTTCCAAAAGGCGCAACGGGCGGGATCCTTGTCGGAGGTTCGGTTCAGTTCCGCCGCCCTCCCCTGTGCAGGTAAGCTCTCATCACAACCAACCGCCATCGACATCGTCAATATCAATCCCACCACCCGGATAGACATTTCTTGTTGTCCCACTCCCGTCCTCAATCGCGATTGCCTGCACCATCGAATCACCATAATGGCTCAGCCTGTGGTGCAAACTATCCACAGGGACCCCGCCCTATTGTATGTGCACTTCAAATGTTAGAATCGTACAGGGCAAGCACTGACATTGTTACAGTTGGTGGATTCTCCTCCCCATTACGGTGGTCATGGTATGTAATCTCTATGCATCATGTCCTCCAGGCCTATGCATCGGTCTGACATGCTATAGATTTTGACAGGAATCCTACGTCACTATGCGATGGTCCTCCTACAGAATACCCCAAAGAAACAACCCCTCCCACAGATCCGACAGCAACGCTCTCTCGTCCGTGGCGTCAATCTACGTACAAACGCCAATGTCTTGTCCCCATCATCCTTCCAAGGGCGCAAAGCGTATATGGTTCAGGCGTATCAGGATGGCAAATTCCTCGCAGAGCCGGAGAATCGAGGCAAGCCCAGGCCAAACCCGATGAGTGACCCGGCAGCTATGGAGGGCATGATGGGAATGATGAAGGGCAATATGGCCATGATGATCCCGCAAACTCTGATCATGGGATGGATCAATGCATTTTTCTCCGGCTTCGTCATCAGTAAGTTCCCGTCACAATTCAGTTCAGAGGATGGTGCATGGGAGCGATATTTTCAGCGTCTCAACCTTTCTTCAAACTCAACCTAGATCACTCTACGGAACTTGGTTCAGCTACTATGTATCATCAAGCTAACTGGGATTGTAGTGAAACTTCCCTTCCCGTTGACACCTCAATTCAAGTCCATGCTTCAATCTGGTGTGGGTACCCGCGATCTAGATGTAAGATGGGTGTCCAGTTTATCTTGGTACTTCCTCACTTTGTTTGGTCTGCAACCCGTCTACAATTTCATCCTCGGAAGTAACAACTGTAAGTCGTCCCTGGCAAGCTATGAGGACCACTGGGAATTTGCTAATGCTGACCGCCCCAGCTGCAAATCAAGTCACCCAACAGATGGGCCAAATGAATCCAGGAGCAGGCATGATGGGCCCAGAACAAGATCCGGACAAATTGTTCTTGAGTGAAGCAGAGAACTTGGAGGTTCTGGAGCATCGATGGATACTCGATGGCGTCGAGGAGCGCCTCATTGCCAAGTTAACGTCGTAGGGTGGCCGTGCTAAACCACTGCTTCATGGTGATGTATGTATATATATGTGTAAGGGCTGATCAAAGTGGGGGCCATGATGATCAGACATAAGGCCAGCATAGGAAGGTCTTGTTTCCAGTGCGGTGAATCAAAAATTAGAACGGCCAAGATCTAGCGAAATACATATACAGATTCCTCTTCTATCCCAATCAATGAATTGGTTTTAGATGACGCACTAACAAATGCGTGGGGGAGGTAGATATCCTGATATCTAGGTATGTACCGATTGGCAATGGAATTCCTAAAAAAAAGCCTGTCGATTCTTCTTTCTACCTATAGTCAGCTTTGTGAAGGGTGGACAACCCGACAGCTCTATAAATCCGGCCCGTGGGCAAGGACTTTCGGGCCCGTACCTACACTGGTAACCGCCAGGTCGGCTGCCCCTGTAGAACAAAAGAAAACAAAAGGATAATTCTGGGACGACGCTGGAGGCCTGTTTGTCTTGGTGATCTGGTCCTGGAGTATTCCGTAGATGGACGAGGTATCGGCCAAAAGCCCCCCGCATAATCAGCCACCACCACCACCACCACCACCGCCATCCATCCCATACATCACATTACATCCTTCGTACATACATACACCCAACCAATCCATCCATGATCCATCCATCCACCCTTTGTCCAGTCTTCCTCTCATTCCCTGCTCTTGAGTCTTGACTGCCTCCATCTCTCCTCCCCCCCCCTCTTCCTCCCCCTCTCCCTCTTCCCGCTTGTTCCCGTAATAGAATCAGCCAGCACATCCCTTCCGATACCTTTGCTCGTCCCGAGAACATCATTGGGGCGGCACGAATGCCATTCCAATCATACACGTCAATATATTCCAGTGTCACACGTGCGGACAAAAGCCTCTTTCGGTCCTTCAGATTTAACATGGTGACGAGGTCGTCAGATGGTGCATCGAGTAGGCCAGCCGCAGCACTGCACTGCACAGCATTGCACCACACTACACCGCACCGCACCGTACGGCAGATCCAAGCCAGGTGTGGTGGGAAGTGCCTGTCTTGCGTGCCCGTAATGTCTATATTCGCAATGATCTATCACTCTCCATAGGTTGCGGTCATGTAACCACAGGTCATATTAGGAGTACAGATGGCTGTTGTCGTTGGGCAACCAAAGTACCCATTCCTTTCGCGGCGCCCTTATAGTGATTGACGTGCGACACAACATGCTCAGTCAGGCAAACGCAGCATCGCCCTGCCTGTCTCCTCCACCGGTTCCTAATCGATGGTGCATTGTCAAAGATTCGCTCGGGAGTGGCTCGAGGGTGGCCTCACCCCCAGTGGGCTTTCTGCATCCTGGGACAGCTCTCCAATTACAGCATCCCCTCATCCACCCATCCTCAGTCGTATCACACCTGGTCGACCAAATCGCCTTTCCTGCCTACGTATGGCTGCTAGCTCAAGTACTCCGTACTTCATTGTACATGCTTTTTGTCTTCCATGCTGCACTGTATCCGTCCCGTCCCTCCTCAATGTTCTCCTGGCAACCCGATCGACTCGTGGCAGCCATCACGCGGGGTTCATGGCCATTGATGGCTGCATGATGGATGGACGGAACGGAATAGCAGAAGCAATGTCTTCGCCTGGGGCCCGCTGTGGCGCCAATCCGCCCTCACGGGTCAGTGCTGTACTCTTTCTTGTATCTCGATGTTCACTTCCTAGTTCCTACCAATGTTTTCGGTGCGATTGGCCCCCAAAACGCACACCTGAGCTGTACAGAGCATCCTGGACGCCCCCTAGAGGCATGCAGCATTTGTGGCTCGCAAGGTTCTGGCAGTGATCTGCCATATGAATGTATGTCATTACTTTTTATCAGAGGCTTGGTCCTTCCGCCGCCATCCCCCATGCGACCCCGCAGGCCTGCTGTACGGCGCGGAACGACGCGTTCTAGGTAGTTCCCAACTGGGAAGTGGGTAGCTGAACAACTGGCGATGGCCACCGGTGAATGGAACGGAATGCAGGGATCCCCCTGCTCCACGGCGCTCGATAGCCCTCGACGCCTAATTGGCTGAGAGAGGATGCGGCTCTGCGACTCTGACTGGACCATAAATGAGTTCCAGGACGGGTGGTTTGGCAGGACAGTTGCCCATACCAAAACAGAGGCAGTGCATTTCCGCATTCTCTCACTCGACTCTTATCGTCTTGGATGGACTTTTCGTTCGACCGGTGCTTCGCCTCCTCAAATCTTTATTGATACATCACACTTAGGCATCTCGCGTCCTGAGGCCATTGCAGTACTGTGTTGGTGTATATATATATCCTTTCGAGTCTGCTCTATGTGAGAGACCGTGGATGTAAATCATCGTATGTCACTCAACTCATGACTTTTTGGGTTGGAACTTTACTTATGTTTCAATGCTAGCCGTTTCTTAATCCAGTATTGTCATCTCATCCAGTGTCCCAGCGCTACAACTTGACCGACGTTTTGGCATGGTGAATTGTGGTATCGCTTCCTCATTGTAGTCCGGCCAACACTATGGACCCATTTATACAATTTAACGACCTTCCTCAAATTCCAAACTCTTTGGAGGACGAGGCATCATTCGCTGGATGGCAATATCAATATCAATATCTTGCACAGCCGCAGGCATACATCCAGGCGAGGGTGGAATCAGGGGAGTGCTTTGGGAAAGGACCACCCTACCATTACCCAAGGACATCAAAGATGGAATCGATTCAGCGATATATAAACAACGCTGACACCTCTCCAACCTCGCTTTACCTAGGATGTGTGGCCAGCCTGCCTCTTCAGACTCAGAACCTAAAACAGTATGACCAAACATCAACGTGGTCATCTGTAGAATATGTCCCATGCTCCACACGTATCGATTCACCCGAACCTACCTCTGTGTCTGGCGAATCTACTCATTATCCTTTCACCGATGCTGGATCGCCAGACACTTATTATCAAGGTTCTTATGGCGGTCCAACAGATAGCTATCTTTCCGGGATATCGTACCCATCCCCCAACCCGTCTATATCCGCACCCGGCATACTTGAGCTATCGCATACAGGGCTAGGTATCTGCCCACAAGATGTTCTTTACGAGCAGGACCGTGTGGACCCTCTTGCAAAAGACCAAGTCCAAGACTGTTCGGATACTATTTCCGAATCTGAGCCTGCGCTTGACTCGCAGTACGCTTCGGCAACGCCTACAGATGGGGAGAGGGATGAAGACGGACAGCACGAGTACGATATTGCTATGTCTTATCAATTGGAAGAGTATGTTCGGCCTGCTGAGGAAACCGACTCCGATTACTCGCCAGTGCAACGAACGTCGAAGAAGCGATGCTCATCTGCATCCAACGGTCCGTTCCGCTCTGTAAAACGCAGGCCCCGCAAGAGCGGTATCACACAGTCAGCGATCTCCAAACCCAACAAGAATAAGAGGAAGCGCGCCAGCGTCTCGTCGAAGTCAGCGAAGTCCAGCGCCAAGAAGAACGCCGATTCCAAGCAACCTTTCCCTTGCACTCTTGCCATCTACGGATGCCAATCCAAATTCTCCTCGAAGAACGAATGGAAGCGGCATATGAATACGCAGCACATCAAGCTCGGCTTCTGGCGATGTGATCTCTGCATTACCACCACCGACCCCGAGGACGCCGGAAGCGTCTATCACAATGACTTCAACCGCAAAGACCTCTTCAGACAGCATCTGCGACGCATGCACACCACTCACCCCAAAGGCACAAGCGGTGGCTCGGATATCCCAGTCACAGAGGCAAACATCGTCGAGCACGAACATCGCTGTTACCGGCACTTGCGTGAAAACCCTCAACACTCAAATTGTCTGTTCTGCGATGCAGTCTTCACTGGTGCAAACAGTTGGGACGATCGCATGGATCATGTCGGGCGCCATCTTGAGAAGGATCGCAGGCCTGAGACATACGATGTATCGGCTTGGAAGGTAGATCCCATGCTCGAATCTTACCTACTCGATGAAGGTCTGATAAAGCGCAACCACGACGGGTGGTCGATCGGAAATGGTCTCCCAAGAGCGGCGGCATCCCGATTTGATGATGACAGCGGGAGCGAATAAGAGACTGGTTCTCACAAACATACACGGCACAGAGTGGTGAGGCTGTAGGGTCGGTGAATTATACATATCTCACGACATGGTTTTGCTATATGCGCGACATTTGATTTCGGATACCCAACCAACGTGGCGTTCGGGGTATATTTCTTTTAGGCAGTAGATATGTTTTTCGGCAAAAATAGATAGTAGCTGACGGCATAGCGATAATCTCAATTTATTTCCCTTTGATCCAACCAAGATACGCTTCTCAGGAGTCTTTGCGTGTCAGCTTGCCGCCCAAGTCAAGACACGGAGTTCATAGCAATTTGATTCGAAGGGAGGCAACGGCGAATCGACTGTTGGGTTCAAGTCGGACCCCATCTTTTACAAGCCATAGCAGAGTGGTGAATCATGACACCGTGCTCCGCATGCGCGTTGTGTCGGGCTTCCATTCTGATTGAAGTTAGCTTACGTCGGTCGGACTGTTATGGCAGCCAGCTTCCCTTGGTATCTCTATGATTGACTTCTTTCTGGCCTATCCATAGACATCAACGGGAGGCTTGCTTACGAGTCTGTTCACTGGCGGTGTAACCGTCTGTTTGGATGTTTATGGGGCGAGAACGTCCCGACAACTTGGGATACTGCCCACCCTTTTCCTAACTGCGAAGCAGACTCGCGAGAAGCTCACTGGCTACGCTGCAATTGAAATATTCTGCAATAAGCTGCCACATTTCTACACAGCCGACTTGTCGGCGCCTGATTCCATTCCCGTTGGTGCGATCTATCTCGTTATACTACGCAGTTACGGCACCGGTTTTGTGCAAACGTTGTGTACGGACACTCAAGACACAGGCAAGGAAAGTGACGCAGCACTCCTAATCTCCACCAGGTACCTACCTAAGTACCTACTTGACCAATGGTATTAGAAACTTTCTCTCCTCATCTACTTCCGATCCATTTTTCACCTCTGCCACATGAATTTGAAAGAGACACAGCCAAACTGCATTTACTCCTTTCAACACTCCTCCAGAGCAAGACAGCCTCATAATAGCCTTCATACTGATCAATTAAACACACACTCACATGCTCGTGGCTATAATCCAAACTCCTGGTCTTATAAGTTCTGTATTCCTGCTCTTTTCGACTATCCTTAGACGACACACGCTAGAATCTATTGAAACACGATTCTACAAGACGACCAGGTACCGCGGGCTCACATTGAATGTACAGGTAGCAGTGTATCAGGAAATGTCAAATAAAATAGTATCTATGCTGCATTGTATTACTTTCACCAAGAAAAACCCCTTCCAATTAATCCTGTCTGACTGAACTACAGGAGACCACGGCCACGCACATACTAATGAATCAACACGCAGTGTTCAACACACTGAGAGATGTCTGCATCTAAAGAGATTACTTGATTAGAGACCATCATAGTCCTTCCGGACTTTGAATGTCATACAACGATCCATATACTCAAAAAGTACACACTCTTATGGACACAATCGCAACTTCGATTGAAAAAACATTTCAACGCCGCGTGTCAACGTAACTCAAGTCATTAATATATGACGCACTGACATACCATTCACACAGAGAACCATTCAATCAATCTAATGCCACCGAGCCAAAGTTGCTCTTCATTAACTCCCGATACATCAACGAAAGTATAAACCCAAGACGTTAGTTTCCATTGTGATTGAAGTCCGGCTCGACCAGGTGGTCCGATGTTCAACGAGAAACATCAGGAGACCTAGGAACTATACCATGGGGGTATCATTGCGCCTTATTGGGTTTCGTGGTAGATATAATGGGAGAGGGAGTGAGTGGTATGGGTGTTGGATGGGATGCTTGAACTAGTCACGCACATATCCATATGCATACACAATTGCGATCAAGAATGCAAAGATGAGCGAGGAGGATGTAATTAGGTACTCCTGTGCAAGGGGGAAGTATGTCACGAGAAAAAAAAGGAAACAATGGCAATGGCTTTGGCTTTGGCATTGGAGTTGATGATGTTGATGATGTACCCCCAAGTGAGATACGAAAGATATGTACAATTTACGAGAGAAAGAAAGGTGGCCGGTTGTCGATTTGCTGCTGTTCTAATGCTACGTACGTTGATTCATCAGGTATCTTATTTAACAAACTAGCGCAGGGAGAAAAAACAAAGCTATTATACTCGCCACCCGTGGAAATGCCGCAAGATTTTTTCGGCTTTGGTGGCAGGGAAGATGGTCTGGCCTAAAAGGTGACAGATGAACAGATGGCGGTGAAGCGACAGAGGCAGAAACAGACAGATTCGAACGAGCGCCCGACTCCCAGATGTCGTGATGAAGACTTGAAGAGGAAGCAAAAAAGGAAAAAGTATTCGTGTGTCGAGTGCGTAAACGCCCAGCAAGGCCCACAGGTCCTCTGGGAGACGTTCATTAGTCAAATTAAGAGAAAGACAAAACAAAAGGGAAAGTGATAATTTCACAGACTCGTTACCCTACCTGGAGCAGGCAGGCTCATTCTTTGTGGCCGTAAATTGATGACAGATTCCAACTCTTTCAACATATTGTTGCTCGCGTCTCTCTGCTCCCTGAGGCTTGCCTGCCGGACTCGATCCTCTTGGATTTTGTGCATACGTTCTTCTCTCGTCATCGTAGCACGTGTCTTTGGTATGGCAATGGCTTCGAAGACTTCGTCATCGGAATTGTTGCCATCGGCGCTCGAGGGCGCAGATTGGTTGAGACTCAATAATTCTCCGTTCAGCGCTCGGAGGGCATCAGATGGACTACCTTCGTCAACTGCTGTCAAACCGCCTAGGCTTGGGACGGGCGATCTCAAACCACTGGAGGCCTGGGATATCCGCCTTTCGTGCCTATCGATGTTGAGAGCAAGCGCATTCTTGCCTGCTTCCCACGCCTGCATTAGGTTCTTGAGATCCGCGCCAATGGACTCGTATTGCGCCATCAGGTGCGAACTTAAGTCAGTCACATCTTCAGACTCCTCCAAGGTCTTATTCGACTCTTCGCGCAGAATTTGCATCTTCGCTTGGAGTCCACGAATACCCTGGGACAAGGAACCGAGCTTGCGGACCGAGGTGCGCAATTTCTCGCGATTCGGCGTTGGTTGAGACTTGCTTGGAGAAGGCAAGACGAAGTTTTGTTCTTCGCCCAAAATGCGGTTTATCTTCTCGCTCCACTCGCCGGTAGTGGCGGCCAAAGTGAGCATTGAGTCTACCGCGGTACTCCATCGTACAAAGTCAGGTTTGCCACCGTCCGCCTCCAGGGCGAGCAGGGAGCAAAGGTAGACTCTCCGCAAGATGGAGAGCCGGTACTGGAGTGTGCGCAGAACCTTCAGCGTCTCATTATCTTCGAACTCGGATTGCGAGTATCCCTGGGCTGCCTCCTGCAGATCGGGATTGCTGATGTCGTACACATCCAAATATTTCTCCAAATCATCTTCTTCGATCAATTGCTTCAGGGACCCGCATTGCTCGGCGAAAACAGGTACAGCGTCCGCGAAAGCAGCGCCGAGGCTTCGGCGTAGACGTTGGCATCGACGGCTCTGGCCTTGTTCTTCCAGCCGGGAGATAGGGGGTAGGGGGCTGCTTCTATACGAACGTTAGCTAGGTGAAGGCTATATTAGCCAGAATGGGAACACTTACAGTCGATAACCCCTTGAGACAAGCTCGACCTCCTGGATCAATGCAAGGCTCGACGAGGTTGACGCCTCAAATGCTTGGAGATTCGTGACAAGAGTGGATGCAGCCTCTACTGCTTGCTGTCGGAGGTGTTGTAACCATTGGCGCCGGATGTAGGCGTAGCAGCTTGTGGCAACTGCTGCGAAGACTGCCAATACGGCAAGAAACCTGCCGACGCTGAAACCAGTGGACCTGTTCCGCGACCAATGTACCAGCCAGACGAGGCAAAAGGAAGTCGCCGCAGTCAAGCCGGCACCGGTCACACTCGTTGTGGCGACCTTGAACTCTTGGGGTGCGATTCGGTTGTCGGATGCGAAGCTGGGAAGGGAGGGAGCTCGTAAACCGCCTTGCTCGGCGAGGAGTTGAGAGGCGACGAGCAGGTATCGGAAGTGTTCGAGGAAACGTTGGTTGTCTGCACGCCCGATTCTAGAATTCACCGCCCGCTGATAGTCTGCGGTTAGTGGGAGGTCTCCCGACCAGCGAGTGGCCTGTAGATTGACAAACTCACTGAACAAGCGCTATGTATGCGCGCCACCGAGCCATTTCCCCGCGTGTGTATGCGTAGGGGGCGAGGAAGCTTTTCTCGAATCCGCGACTGGAGCGTTGAGGGACCTCTCGGGGCGAAATTGTGTGTGTCGTCTGAAGGGATGGCGGAGGCGACCGGCGACGGCGGGGAGCTTGTGTGTCTTCTTCCCTCACCTGGAGAAGGCGGGCGGTTAGCGCACGTTGCTGCAGGATGTAGTGACACGAAGAGAATTCTTTTACCTTCTAAGAACTCGGCCAGGGGCGAGTCATCGAATATGACGTTCTCCATCCAAGATCATGTTGTGGTGGTTGGTGGTGCGGTGAGGGTTAGGGGGAGTGCGAGTGTCTCGACGCACACTCACACAGAGATGGACACAGGCAATTGGCACGTCACCTGTTCGCGCGGCCCGTGTGATATCGTTTGCTTTGGGTTTGGTGTACGGGATTGTATACGGGATTCGTTTCGAGGGAGTAGATGTGTGGGTGGCAAGTACAGTAGTCACAATCGATCGAGGAAGTGAGGGTCTTTCGGGAGCAACCGAAAGGCGACGTTGGTGGATAAAGACAGTAGATACAAGTAGAGGTGTAGTGTAGGTAGTTTAAAGGTGAACGTTTAGTTGTGGTGGACGGTGGTGGAGTAGCGGGACGGACTAGGAAGGTGGTGGCCTCAGTTCTCGGCTCTCAGTGGTGGATGCGCGGCGTTTGGTTCCCTTTGGTTTCCTCTGGTATGGTACTCGTATGGTATGGATGGACTAACTATGGAGTCATGGACTTTTGCATCATCTGTGCGGTGCTGTGCCACTCCACTCACGTTTCAACTGTCGTCAACTGGTGGTTAACGGGGTCGGTCTGAAATGAACGCTACGGTCGGCTGGTCGGCTGGGAGGTATCTACTCTACTTGTACCTCCATAGCACATACCAAATGACTGGTACTTCCTCCTTACTTGGTTCTCTACTTTTGTACTTTACATACTCCGTGCACAGTACTCGATGAATTTATTATTACTCCGTACTGCATTCGGGGGTGAGATAATTACAAGGGACCGCTAAGGGTCTCGGAACGGTATAAGGCGGCGGTTGTGCGGTGTGCGGTGTGCGGTCTGTTACTGCCGTATACCAGAGCACATGTACGGAGTACTTGTAGTCTTGTACCATACCAATACGATTCTAGGTACTTAGTACCTAGTACGGAGTACCTAGTGACATTGTGTCCTAGTGCCCTAACACACCCAAGAACCACAAGCATGCATGAATGGTCGGGAGATTGTTGTAGATGCGCAGTGGCTAGAACGACCATTGTCGTCCCTGAATTATTACAGCAATACTAATAATAAGGTGCGGAGTACATGGGAATGAATGGAATGGCCCCTTTAGACAAGATGGTTAATTTCCTTTCCCCAGCATATCCTCATTGCAGTAATTGATTATCTACATGCACTTGTAGGCTGTAGCCCTGGACAAGTAGACAAGTACTCGGTACTCGGTACTCGGTACTAGTGACTGCCACTGACAAGTACTGTGTACTGTGTACATACAAGACTACACGTTCCAGTTCCAGTCAACGGTCGTTCGCCTGCGGAGATGAACCTACCCCGATTGGGCGGATTAACCGCCTGTACATTTTGGTACTAGTGGAAACCCCATGTCCCACTAACCTCTTCGGTATCTAGGGAGTGCACGAGTGCTAGCCTGCTAGGTAATGTCTTACATTTACACTTACACTACTTACACTTGCACTTGCGGAATTGCAATCGCGTGGAAAGAACGAAAACGATGCAAACGATGGAACAGGATGAAAAGATTTTGCTTTTAGCTACGGCGTACTCCGTACTTGCTGAATTTAACAATTATCCAGAGTAACTACTCCGTACTTGCGAGTGATTAATACTGACTTTGTATGCACACACACACAGGTAAATGGGTAGTTTGTTTGGGGTTAGATCGGCTCGTATTGGTTCAGTCGGCTGGTTGTGTCCGATCTGTCTTGTTTGTTTTATCATCTTCTTCTTTCTGCGTAGACTTAATAATAGTGCGGTTTCCTTATGTCATTCCTCTGTCAGGCCCCCCACCCCTGAGTGGCTTATCCCTATGGCCAATCATATGCCTCCCTCTCCAACCGCTCGTCAAACAAAAGACTGGCTGGAAGGTATGTGGAACTGTAGTGGAAGACTGGGAAGACTTGGAAGTATAACCAATCTTGTAGTCATAATCATCATCGGTATGAATGGCAGAATGGAGCTCTCAACAGGCCCATCCAGCCATTCACCATTCTTGCACGACTAGTAGAATCGGGTCCACAACCTGGTCGAGTTCCTCGTAGATATCTCAAAGAGTCTCGACGTCTGGTCCCCATTAATCAAGGTTTTTTCGGATGCTTTCAGCTACCACTTGCTTTCCGTTCCATGCGTGAAGGTGACGTACGCCAAAATTCGGTGTTGTACAGCAGCAGATGGCGTCCGCCAGCCCTGCGAATAAGCCTCGTATCTTCTTTAGATCATCGAATCCAGGTAGATCATTCCCATATCCTGCATCTTCACACGGCTGCCGGCAGAGGACCATAACACAAACACGCCGTTTCTGTTGCAGGTAACTAACCGTCCGATTAGCAATCTGGGGTAGTTGCTTGGTGATGCATTCATTGACTTGAACTCGAATACCAGGTAGCACCACACCACAGCCCTAAGCCCTGCCCTTACACGCAACATGAACCAACGAGCCAACCGTCGACTACCTATCGATGCATTGAGCGGACTCGGAGATCGGATTCTTGTCCCATCATCGACTCAGTGTCTCAATCCCCGACCCCCCGTACTACTCATCTACAAGACCCTCCCTACGATGCCTATCGTGACCTTGTGCGCAACAGTGACACTCCGTCTTTCATTCATAGCAATTATCGGATGTCCATGGGCGTATTCATAGCATCTGTGCCCTCCCGGCCCGTGATCAATTTGGCCATGTCAGGTCATGTAATAAAACATCCGACGCTGCCATTCGTCCGATTAGCCAGTATTCAGCTGTAGTGGACCACCGAATTGAATATGTACCATCACCATCGCACTACTCTGCAGTTTGCAACTCGTTCTCGTACGATCCTCCTGCGGTGGCTTTTCTCGCTATTTCTGCGCTCAGTGGCTTTTCGTACCATTTCTGTCTTCACTACTGTTACAGGCTTCGGTACAGCTGCCGTGCCCTAAAAAGAGGGTCATGGTAGACGGTTGGGTGCTGCTGCATGCCCGTAGGCTCAACCAAATGTGCGTGTATGATCAGCGACGAATCGGCCTGCCTGTATGTGCATGATGATCGGCTTAAGGCTGATATATCAGCTATTAGTGATGGTAGACTAAGGTCTATTCTTTCTCTCCGATGCGACCCGTGAACGTGGACGAGATCGTCCCTGGGTGCCCCCCACCTCACGTTCGCTCATTCTGTCGACAACTCCCGTGTCGGCCCTTCTCTTCGATACCCAAAATACTATCTCGAGGCTGTCCAACCCCAGTAAACACCACCCCGTTATTCGTAGCCATCGTCACGGTAGGTATCGCATGGCAATCCTGTCCTAGCTCTCAGAGTGGGGGCTCCACCTTGTACCATTACATTCTAGTGTATGGCGAGTACAGCGGTCGGATTCTGTCTAGACTGCGCTTTCTGGCAAGTACGAGGCCCTATATGCTGCAAGAATGAACCCTCTTCCGATGTATGGTAGGGCTGCTGTGGTTTCATGCTTCCCACCTCGGCAGCCACAGTGAGACTCTCGATTCTTCTAGGAACAAAATCCACTGCACTGCCAGACAAATGAGGTTGGTCCAAACTCACTAGGTGTTCTTGGAACCCGTCCCGTTCTCACTACGATTAAATACAAGAATGGATCTCCCATGACTACTCTCGGTTCACACTCGCATGCACCTTGGCGCTACAGTGAATTCAACATTGTAGCCCGTTTATGAAGCTTCTCTCTCCCCCCCTTGGTGTTTCCAATCCCTTCCCTTTGACAGACATCCTGTCTTCACTTGGCTCTTATCCTGGACACTGACCATGTGCCGGTCCAGTGCACCCCAGTCTCTCGAAATGGATCACCATGATATTGTGGATATCGACTCCAACATAGAGCTGGTGAATGCCATGCTCGACGCTGACCCACAGTCCTGGAGAGATCATTTACGCATCATCAGAACAATAATCGCTACCACGGACATGTCAAGCATCACGCCGAACCAAGGACGAAAGGCCAGCCAAATACAGATGATACGGGTTTGCCAGCGCGTGGCCTACGCCGACGCAGACAATGGTGGAATGCTAGATATTGGAAATTGGTGTCTGAGGCAGGCACTGAGCTTACTCTCCCTTTACCCCAACGAGGTGGGAGTCTTGGAACGTAAGTAGCATTACCAAGCGGCGCGCCTGACTCTCTTAACCATGATCATAGTGATAGGGCGGAACTGGCTCCTCCGAGCCCAGAAAAGCCTTGCGAAGATACAACTCACGGATCCGGAATCCAGCAGCAGTGGTGCGAGTCTATGTTATTCTACATCTCCAGGCGATCGTAATAGACAAGTCGCCGAAGCCGAGGAGCGTTTATACACGGCTGATTACGTCGAGGCTAGAGGCATCTTGCTCCCAGCGACTGAATATCTCCAGAGAGCTGTTGACAATGCGCGCGCACAAGATGTTCTGACCGGCTCTCTTCTAGGCGACGTAAGTTTGTGCCTGTTTTGTTTGAGACAGCATTGATATCAACAATTTTTACAGGCCGCAGAAGCATTCATGAGTCTTGGGAACGTTTCTTCGCCTCGATCGAACGAAACGTATTTCAGACAAGCACTCGAGTACCTCCGAGCAGCGAAGAATATAGAGGATTTCCGGCTCCCGAGCCCCCTCGAACAGTAAGTCGAGATGCATCTCCTTTTGCATCTTGAGGCTGACGTTTTAATTTTCTATAGATATCTCGAGGATTATGGAGTCGTCTTGGAAGGATAGATCGCTTCAGTTTTGCATTTCCAGTTTCGCTATTCAAAACTTGTTGCTAGTACTATACCCTGGTCTGGAATCTTTGGTTGGAATATGCAAAGTGTCTGCATGGCTACGGAGTATATTGATCGCAATTAGAACTTCATGTTGTCATCGAGATAAAACACGAAGTTGCCTAGTAAATTATTGCCCCTGTGAATTTTGTTTTGAACAGTGCTGCATACAATCCAGGTATTACTCTTTCCTAACCAATAAATCAAATTTGGCGAGACATCTCCATGCCCCACGGAGACCAATAATGAACCCAGCTGTTCCACAGCGCGCCCGGACCACTCGGCTCCAACCGTGACATCTATTAGTTCCATGAACCTTAAACTCGTTCCCAACCACAACCCTACTCTCATACAGAAGAGGTGAACACCTCGTTGCCATTTCCACTCTATCCATTGATTCGAACACCGAAAACAACCGTTCCGTACGTAACATAGAAAGGAAGCACACAGCATTCCGAGAATATCCCGACTCCACGGCCGGACGCCGACAGAAAGCCGTACTGTGTAATCACTGCACTGCGCCTCAGATCGAATCGTCCAGAGAATCCTCGCATCTCTTCCATAATCAACACGAAATACTCTCGCACACAACATGAACGAAGAAAGGGAATTGGCGATCAGCCCGATCGTGCAAACGAGCGTACAGCACAACACACAGGTAAATGCGCCCCCCACCTCAGCACGGCTTTATCACCACGCGTATCCTCCTGAAAGTCCCGGTTTCATTGACATTGCCACAGGTCGTCTCGAACATTCGAAACCTCACCGCCTCACTTTTTGGTGTCGCTGCGGGCACCCTCGGATTGGAATCGTACCCTGGCTTTATATTCTACCTCGTCGGAACGCTGGTGGTTTCGGCGATGATCTTCGCGTTCAGGGCGGAAGGCAAACCGTCAGAGTACTTCTATAGGCCACTGGGAGACTTGTGGGCCGGCGAGGTTTTCGGTGGGCTCAGTGGGTTTGTTCTTACGTGGACGCTGTTCTATGGTCTGGTGCAGGCTTGAGGAGGCGAGAAAGGAAGGCTTGCGGGAATTTTAACAAGTGTCGGCAGGGGCGGCGGAGGCAAAATATACGAAGGAAGAGATGCCATGTCGAGGGTGGATCCTGGGCATGTGTCTTTCGAACGAGGGTTGATGCAGCCGCCTCGCGCCGTTGCTCCGTTTTCGGATGATTCTACGGGATCAACTGGGTGTCGTCAGGATAAAGAGCGGGAAGTCTACTGTCACATAGACTCATGGCGCAGCTATTTTTCACCCCACTTGGTGATTTCGCAGCGTTCAGAAACATTCATAATAAAGATACCCAAACACCCATATCACAGTGTGTTCCACTCCTGAAACCATGGATCTGAACTCGATGGCCATTGCGGCTTCCAACAGCTATGCTAGAGCGTCAACAATTGAGGCGTCTTAACTTGCGAAATGATTCCAATGCCAATTCAATTTCAGCCATTACTTAGGTAGTTTGCGCTCAATGGTACATGTCCCAGATCCAAGAGGCCCATCACATGTATGCTCGAGGCCTGGCCTGTGCTCCTTTAGCTATCACGTGATACCCCCAAACGCCAGCTTAATTGATTTCCTTAGTCAGCCCGCGACGCGTTTTGGGAGATCGCGTCGCTCGCGACTTTCCCCACGACCACTTTCCGCCTGTCCCTCTATCTACCTAGATTTCACCTCACGCACTGCTGTTCTCTCCCAGCTCCATACCAACTCCCAACACCGATCATAACAGTATATTCTACTCGTATCAGCAACCAGTACGTATAACAATTGTTCTTACACCCGCGATGGGTATTAACACTCTCCAGTGCTTGAGGCACGCTTAGAACAAGCTCAGCTTCTGAAAAATGTAAGACACAAATCGCACCCACATCTTTAACATGATTAACACTTTGAAGGTGGTGGATGCTATCAAGGATCTGGTCCAAGACTGCAACTTCGATTGCAATGACTCCGGCTTTGCCCTCCAGGCCATGGACAACTCCCACGTTGCGCTCGTGTCTATGATGCTGAAGTCGGACGCCTTCTCCCCCTACCGATGCGACCGCAACATCGCTCTTGGCATCAATCTCGGCTCGCTCACAAAGGTCCTCCGCGCTGCGGGCAAGGATGACCTCCTCACAATAAAGGCCGAAGATGCACCTGATGTCGTCAACCTGGTGTTCGAGAGCAAGGATGTGGACAGGATCAGCGAGTACGACATCAAGCTCATGGATATTGATCAGGAGCATCTGGGAATCCCCGAGACTGAATATGCTGCGACTATTTCTCTCCCATCTGCCGAGTTCCAGCGCATCTGCAGAGATCTCAGCGCCCTGTCAGAGTCTGGTTCGTCTACTAAAGGATTCTAGCAATTTAGATCATCACACTGACTACGGATAATAGTCTCCATTGAGTGCACAAAGGAGGGTGTCAGCTTCAAGGCATCGGGAGACATTGGTTCGGGCTCCATTCAGCTCAGGTCCAATACGGACGTCGAAAAGAACGAGAACAGCGTCGAGATTGACATGTCTGAGCCGGTCGCTCTCACGTTCTCCCTCAAGTATCTCGTCAACTTCTGCAAAGCAAGTGGCTTGTCATCCCAAGTCAAGCTGTGCTTGTCGAATGAGGTCCCACTTCTCGTCGAGTACGGCCTCCAGAGTGGAAGTTATTTGAGGTTCTACCTCGCACCAAAGGTATGACCCGAGCACTGTAGCACGTTCACTGTTCATACTAACGACCACCATAGATTGGCGACGAGGAATAATTGCAGCGCGGACGCGTACGAAATTAATTACATGTCTTCAGGATACAATGGGAGATCATCATAGCGTTATATGTTTGTGACGGAAAGTGTTATTCGGGTCGGAACTGGCATGGTAGAATATCAGTGTGGTGTGTTTCGTGGAGTGGGTTCCAGACCGTCGGTACGCGGGAGGTGCCCCGCCGACGTCAGCGCGTCGGGTCGAGCAGATAACGAAAAATCAACAATACAACCTGACAGATACCACAACTTTGCGCCGCTGCTTGTCTTCATATCAACAATTCGCATTATATCACCTTGGGGTATCCCAGCATCTACTGCGCATAACATGACTTCGGGGAATGTGATACCGGAGACGCGAGTCCTAGCAATCGCAAGTCATGTAAGAGTCATGTCTTTCTTCACTTCTTTCAGAGGGTGCTGATCATGCGACAGGTCGTCCATGGGTATGAATAGCAATTGCACCAAACGAAAATGAGGACTGAACTTAATGTCCAGCTATGTTGGCAACAAGATGGCAACGGTCGTCATGCAGTCCTTAGGATGTGATGTTTCGGCTCTCAATACGGTGCATTACAGTATGTTTTATGTTCACCGATCGGCAATCGCCTTGTCTACGTATCGTTCAATTGGTACTGACGCGCTTGTCATTAGGCAATCATACCGCATACAAGCAGGTCAAGGGCACGAAAACGACGGCGCAGGAGATCGCGGATCTATACGAGGGGTTGCAACAGAGCAATCTGAACCATTTCGACATGTTACTGACTGGGTACATGCCCAGTGCAGAGGCAGTGGAGCAAGTCGGGAAGATCGCAAGGGACCTCAAGTATAACTCTGTCACGAAACCGGGGAGCTTCTTCTGGGGTGAGTCGCGTGCGTCACTTTCAGGGCGACCGCTGACCGCGCACAGTGCTGGATCCAGTCATGGGCGATAATGGCAAACTCTACATTCCCGAAGATGAAGTGCCCCAATACAAATCGCTTCTGCGGGAGGCAGACCTCATTCTCCCCAATCAGTTCGAAGCGGAGTACGTTACCCAAATGCGGGGGTGATAACTGTGGAAACTGACCTGATCTTCCCAGGACCCTTTCCGAGACCACCATCACGGACCTCGATTCCCTCGCCGCCGCCATAGAGATTCTACACAAGAAATACCAAGTGCCACACATCATCATCACCTCCCTCCGACTAACCCGCGATAACCAGACAATACCTTCCCGGCCAGTATCTAAGCCAGCCTCAACCACTGTGTCTGGTGCACAAACGCCCTCCGAGTCGCAAGGCCAGAGCGTAGATGCGTCGAATTTGTCTGAACAAGCTACATCCAAGATAGCTTCGAGAGCCGACGGCCAGGCCGAAGAGGTTGAGACTCTAACTATAATAGGTTCCACATCTACTTCCGACCATAAACCTCGTCTGTTTCGCATTGATACACCCCAGATACCACTTTTCTTTTCTGGAACGGGCGACATGTTTGCAGCACTCACCATCCCCCGTTTGATCGAAGCCGTACATGCTTCGCCCACCCCAGACCTCTCGAGCCGGGCGAGTTGGAAATCCCCAGACGATGTTGCCGCTGAGGACCTTCCCCTAGCAAAAGCGTGCCAGAAAGTCCTCGCATCCATGCAAGCCATTCTCGCCGCAACCTCGGCTAGATGCGAAGCCGAAATGGAAAAGTACGACGCCCAGGTCGAGAAGGAGGGGTGTGGACAGGGCGCAGAAGCGGAAGAGCAAAGAGCAAAGAGGAGGCATCTCGCGCTGATGAATGCATCCGAGGTGAAACCAGTGAGGTTCTTCAAGGAGCTCACTGATCCTCCCGAGCTGGAGCGGTTCAAGCCGAGGAGTGTTCAGAACGAAATCGGGAAGAGAGGCTGAGATTAACCTTGAGCTAACAGGTTTGGGACGAAATATATTCATTTCGATTGACCAATAGACATTAGATAGGAGCAGAGTCCGCCAGTTCACTGTGGTGACTTGAGCATGTCTGCGTGGTTGATACCAATATTACGTTGTAACATCCCTATTCTTGATCATTGGCAAAGGTATTCCTGTCTTTTATTTGGCATATCTCATTGTGGAGGTCTTCTTTGAAGCCCTATTTAATCCTTCGATCCTTCTATCAGACAACTACACCATGCGCTTCTGCTTATTCGTAAGGTATCCATTCAAGCACCATTGGCAGGCGCCGAGCCAAATCCACCCGTACTGCCAAATCCTCCAGCGCCCCTCACACTCTCCTCCAACTTATCGACGACGATGACGCTAGGCATGACGATCTGCAACGTAGATTTCTCATTAGCATTTCCCCCCAATTCACACACAATGTACCGTTCACGACCATGAGGACTGAGCATTCCATACCTTCTCGACGATCAATTGGGCGATGCGGTCCCCGACCTTGATCTCAAAGTCCACGTCGGACAGGTTCGCGAGGATGACGCCGACCTGGCCGCGGTAGTCTGCATCGATGACGCCGGCGAGCGTGTCGATGCCGTGCTTGGCGGCGAGTCCGGAGCGGGGAGCAACGCGGCCGTCTTGATAATGGGGAAATCGAAATCAGCAATTTGTCTCTCGCATTGCGGATGCGAATATAATTCCCAATTGGAAAACCGAATGGCAATTGCAATTGCAATTGTTGTCACATCGGCAACGGTACGGAGGAGACCGCATGACACTCACATGTTCCAACAGGCACTGCTATGCTGATATCGGTGTCGACTCTCGCCCTCCCTCTCGCGGGGATGACAACGTCACGAGCACTGTACAGATCATGACCGGCGGCGAACTCGCTGCCCTTGGTGGGCGCAGATGCCTTGTCACTCAGGAGCTGGACCTGGAGCTGCATCTGGGCGGCGGCGGCAGCGACGATGCTGGGGGCTATGGGGGCAGCGGGCTGGAGGGCAGAGACCGTCGCGCTGCCGATGGGATGTGTGGGGTGGTGCTGGTCCTGCTCGAGGGTCATTGCGAGGGGCGTTGGTGTTGCGGTGCCGGAGTCGGAACCGCGGGGGAAGGAGGAGGGTTGTTGGGCGAGGGGCGTCGGGTCGATTACTCGTGTGCGTTTGGGGAGTGGGGAGGCGGGGAGAGATGGTGGCTCGTGAGTGTTTGGTGCTGGCGTCGTGGTCTCTTCTGACATTATTGTGTGTGTCGGCAGGAGGTTTTGGAGATTGGAAGATGGTGAAGGGTGAATGTGCGGTGAGGAGTGCAAGGACGCGTTGTGGGGTTGAAGTGGATTCGACGCGTTGATTGGGCGGGGTTGTTCCGCACGACTTCCTCCTCGTCACCGTTCTCAGGAACGCGGAGCAGAGCCTCAATCCTTCCCTCGTTACACCGTGCACGTCATTGTCAACTCATGGCCCAGGGACCTGGATTCATCATCCGCTTAACAAGGAATCTCGATAACTTGCCATTGAAGTAACTTTCCCACTCAATTTTCCAATGCTCTCAGTCAGGTGTTGAGTGTGACTTGCAATTTTAGGTGTGCTTGCTGACAAGGGGAAGCTGCTATGATTTGTTTCGACAATTCGCGCCCGCTTCTTCTACAGTGGGTAGGCTCCTGGTCCATCGGGTTGGCCCTTTGTTAGTATCTAATTAATGCCAAATCTATCAATTTGAGAGGCTTTAAGACTATTGACTACCTAGCTACAGAATAATCTTGCTACTTGAGCTCCTATGTATAGAAGATACATGAAGCTAACAGGTAACCAGCCCGACGCGCCTACCTTCTAGACAAACATGAACAGAGATTATTTCAACTTAGTCTTCTGTATGGAGCACTGCAAGTCCATTGTTGTTGCGTGCATGCTGGTCACAGGATCGATCGTTCCTGACCTGCTCTCGAGACCCAATACTACTAATTTTGCTTTCGCCGAGGTATCCCGCATCTTTGGGGATTCTGTTGCCCCTGCCTGCTACCACCCAGCTAGGGATGCCGGCATGCGAAAAGACGCCTGTCTACGACAATAATGACGCACAGCCTCTACTGTATAGAGAGAGAAAAAAGAGAGAAGAAGAGAAAAGATCACGAAGATTCCTCGGACATGACCGAAAACCACGCGATGGGGGCGTGGACCTCACATCCCACATCTCCACAACCGTGGCTCACCACTGATGACCAACCACCGAGGCCGAAGTGTTTCTCTCCTGAAGCCTGATCTTGTGACCTGGAGATTATTCAAGATTTACAATGCGGCTCTGCGCGCCCCAGCTGGGGAACGGGTCGCCGATCTGTTCTCAGCCTAGGACTTGAGCCGCATTATTCTTGTTTTGCCCTGGACCAGACGAGTTTTCTTTATTTTCGTACCTGTCAGCAAAAGTCTCTACTAGTGCCTGAAAATTTCTCCCGGGAAATCGTCCAACAGGTTCGCTTTTGCAACGCCAGCACCGTTCCTCTACACTAGTAACTGGCCGAGACCGTATTCATGCTCGACTAGCCCGAGGCTACATCACGCCAGTAGCAAATCATGACACCCAGACTGACGGAGCTGGCCCCGCTGCTACAGTGAGGTGAAGTCTTTCGTCTAATCACATCTTTCCAAGTCGAGTCGACAATGGCCCGGATTCGTCCTTTTTCAATTGTCCCTCGACCGTCGCATCAGGTTTGGCTACTAATTGGACGCACGGTGAGGTCGCACGACAGTGCTTCCACGCGGCTCTTGCTAGAGCCATTATTTTCTTCCATCTCACTTCTTTCCCTTTACCTAAGTAGGTTAATGCATTTGCTGGGAGTCGTCACCTATGATGCTCATTGCTTCGCAGTCGGAGTACCTCACCTCATGCATAGACATACACGCAGTTAGCGCGGCAGTAGTACAAGGAGGAGGTCTGCATGTCCTCACTCGCATAATTGTTGAGCTGTCTGGAGAAAGCCAACATCCGGGGTTGGTTCTCCCTCTGTTGAGAAAAGCCATGTTGATCAAGACACTGCGACTGCGGGGTTTCTCATCAGAAATGCCCTCCAGGATGAGCTAAATCACGATCGGCCTGGTAAAACCCTCTTTTGAAAAGATTTGATTCGAGGAGTCGGGCAAGTGTGCCGTAGGTGGCACTGCTACCTGGTCGACATCTCCAACATCTTGTAGACCGTGCCATTGCCCGCTAAGCATTTAGACAAGACCTTAGTGCCCGATGTTGCCAAATCTTGTTTACGCCACCCCATACTCCGTGTTCTCCAATTCAACCTGGCCAGCATCTTGTTGCGTGAGAAGTACATTCTACTAACCACACAGATACATCGTAGACGTGTGAACATGATAGCAACGAAGAAACCTCAAGGTGGGTCTGTAACGTTATTGAAATATCAGAAACGTCATGCGCCCGTCTGACTGCAACAACATCATCAGGTCGACACGTGTTGAGTGTCCTTCTATTTCTCATCGCAATGAGGTGATCCCTACTCATTCGAAATTTACACCATAACCCCGATGTAACTGGAGCTAGCAACCTGGAGCTAGTGTGGAGTTCGTGGATGGCGTACCGCGGACATTATCCTCCCCACCTTTGCTCCGTACGATGTACGCTTGATGCAACGTCCAGATGTATTTGCACACAGTCCCGACTCGACTAGACCTTGTTGGTGCCCGCACGGTATCCCCAGATGTTCTTTTCACGCTATTATTCCAATCACCCAATGATTGTACTCGTGACTCCAGTCCTCGGTCCAGTCCCCAGCAAAGCCATCACGTCCCCAGCTAAGCATGTCAAGCCTGTCAAGCCGTTGACCCAAGGTTGAGATCTACAATCTACTTAAAGGAGCTTCAGGTCGCTCCCCAATTCCATTCTCCAGCTCATCACATCCACTTACCTCCATCTCTTCTCCACCAATCTTTGTCATTACATAGAATTCCCAATACCCCGGATCATGGGTTTCCTGATTCAAAAGCCTGAGGGCACTGCCGGATCGGCATTGCCAGCCATCCTGGTCGGTCTGTTCGTCGCTTTTGGCGGCGTGTTGTTTGGGTAACCTACACCGTGTTCCCATCTGGATCTACACAGGGCTAACATGTTGATAGTTATGATACTGGTACCATTGGCGGCATTCTGGGCATGAAGTACTGGAGGGAGCAATTCTCTACTGGCTACATCAACCCCAAAGATCATCTTCCCGATGTCACCGCTGCACAAACTTCCGAGATTGTTTCCATTCTTTCCGCTGGTACCTTCTTTGGCGCCCTCACGGCCGCACCTGTAGCAGATTTGATTGGTCGCCGACTTGGCTTGGTTGCTTGCAATGTCGTCTTCTGCATCGGTGTCATCCTCCAGACCGTTGCCACTGACATTCCTCTCTTCGTTGCTGGTCGTTTCTTTGCTGGCTATGGTGTCGGCATGATCAGTGCTACCATTCCTCTCTACCAGTCCGAAACCTCACCTAAGTGGATCCGTGGTGCCGTCGTCGGTGCATACCAACTCGCAATCACAATTGGACTTCTTCTTGCAGCCATTGTCGACAACGCAACCAAGCACCGCAACGACACTGGATCTTACCGCATCCCCATTGCAGTCCAATTCGCATGGGCTATCATCCTGTTCGTTGGATGTATCTTCCTTCCCGAAACGCCTCGCTTCCACATCAAGAAGGGCCGTCATGAAGCTGCTGCTAAGTCGCTTTCGGTTCTTCGCCGTCTTGACGTCGATCACCCTGCTCTCCTTGAAGAGTTGTCTGAGATCAACGCCAACCACGAGTATGAGCTGAGCCTCGGCAAAGCCTCTTACCTCGACTGCTTCCGAGGAAACTTGGGCAAACGTCTCTTCACTGGATGTGCTCTTCAGGCTCTCCAGCAGCTCACTGGTGTCAACTTCATCTTCTACTATGGCACTTCGTTCTTCCAGAACTCTGGCATCAAGAACCCCTTCATCATCAGCATGATCACATCCGCCATCAATGTTGCCTCCACTTTCCCCGGTCTCTACCTCGTTGAGAAGTGGGGTCGCCGCAACCTCCTCCTCTTCGGTGCTATCGGCATGGCTGTCTGCCAGTTCATCGTCGCCATCACTGGTACCGTCGTCGGTGTTGAGAACATGGCCGCCCAACAGGCCCTGATCGCCTTCGTCTGCATCTACATCTTCTTCTTCGCCAGTTCGTGGGGACCCGTCGCCTGGGTCGTGACTGGAGAGCTCTTCCCTCTCAAGGTCCGAGCCAAGTCTCTCTCCATGACCACCGCCTCCAACTGGCTCCTTAACTGGGCTATCGGTTACGCCACTCCCTACCTCGTCAACAACGAGCCCGGTGACGCCAACCTCGGTGCCAAGGTGTTCTTCATCTGGGGCGGCTGCTGCTTCATCTGCATCTTCTTCGTCTGGGCCATGATCTACGAGACCAAGGGACTCGCCCTCGAGCAGGTCGACGAGCTCTACGCAAAGGTTGACAAGGCCTGGAAGTCCCCCGGCTTCGTTCCTACCGTCTCTTTCCAGGATGTCCAGGACGTGAACGGCGGCAGGAAGTTGAGCTTGGCTGAGGCTGAGAACGAGGCTACCAGGAAGAGGAGCGTCGCCCACTCCGAGAACAAGGGCAACATGACCGAGAAGCATTTGGACGTATAGATGATGGATCAAGACACTTAATGTTGAGAAGCATGGCATACATGACTATTACTGGCGTTTTTCCCAAGGTGTGAGGTTACGACCAAGGGAATGTAAATATTAAATGGGGAGTTCGACGTGTATATATGAACCTTTTACTCATTTCCTTTCGAATCCAACTGTTAAAACAATTCATCTTACTGTGCACAAAGTGACTCGCTGCCTGTACATGGTATAGTGAATGATTAATTGCTCGCTCACAAGCAGTTCCCTATTCCCACACCTTCATAGGTAGCGAGAGGGGAAATTTTTCTCACCTGATGAAAACAGTCAAATGAAAAGACCATTAATTTTTCCACGCTCTTCTCAGCAGCAACGCGTAAGACAAGTGAGCAAATAAGTCACATCTTCTCACTCGACAATAAACTGGAATGGTTGAAAGAAAAGAAAGAAGAAGAAAGAGTCGAAGGTGCATGCAAGCATCACACTTGACAACATACCTTACTCTAATCGAAGTTGGTTCAAAAGAAAATGGCTGTCACCACCTATCTCCATCCTCGACATTGTCCTGTCCGCTGGGGTTTGGAAATCGCTGAGTACGCTTGTCAGCGATGCAATTGATGAACCACTTCGATAATTGCGGTTGTGGTTTCCTCCTTGAATGTGCATTGATCTTCACACTTTCGTGTCCATGGAATATGTAACTACCGGTCAGTTGAATGGATGCTACAAAGGATAGAGTCTATATTACATCAATGTTATAAAAGGATGTTGGAAAGTTTCATTTTGCGTGAGGAGCAATATTAGGTAGGTCATGGCAAGGATCGTGTTATAAATCTATGCAAGGTCAAGACAGCCGTCTGGAGGGCTGAGGATGTGGTTAGTGAGTATTGAGAGAGCTGTGTTGAATCGGCAGCTGTATTGAGTGTTACGTTTCGTAGTGCTTTTGGTGCATCCGACTTCGAATGGGCGATAACGAAAAGAAGGGTTGTCGAGCAGTTCAAACTGGGAGTGGAGGAAAAAGGCCAAGTTGTATCCTCCATCCTCAGGTTTTTTGCATGTTCATGTAATTTCACAGAGTAGCGGTAGGAATTTTGCACGAAACGGTAGTAAGTTCTTTTGTTATCCAGATAGAACATAAATGATTTTAACATCGACCATGCGAATGGTGGTATATCATCGAAGAACGCCCCCGAAATGCCTGAACGCCATATGCCATGCTGCCTTTTTTTTGACCGTACAGTAGCAATCAGACTTTGCCCTTCTTCGGCGTTCGGCCTTCCTCATCATCGGACGCCTCCTCAACCATGGTCGCGTCATCCTCACCATCGCTCTCGTTCCTGCCGCGCTTCAATCCCTTCATTTTCCTGGTCTGCATCTTGCCGAGGTCCTGCTTTCCGACGTGGATCTTGCCGACCTTGTCACCCATGATGTCCATATCGATGTTCTTCTTCGTCCTTGGCTCTGCGCCCTTGGGTTTCTTCATCGCCTCTTTCAGCATGTCGGGGTCAGGGAACCTCTCACGGCCGACGGTGAAATCCATGCGCGGTCCCATCTCTTCGACTTCCACTCGTGGGAGCTTCTGCCCGCTGCGCTTGGTCTTGATCAAGTAGCCTCGGAGGTGGATCTTTGGGGAAGGGAGACCCTCCTCCTCCTCTTCAGCAGAAATTGAGATGATATATTGGAGTCCCGACACGTCCACCTCGTTAGTGTCCTGGCCTCGGAAGAAGTCAAGAAACAGGGACTTTGCGAGAGTATACTTGGTCTCCGTGGGAGACTCGAAGGCTGTGCCGTGGAAAGAAAGCATGGGCTTCATTCCAATTGCGGGTTTGCCGTTCTTGAATTGGCTGAGCTGGCGGAATGTGTCCGGGTTGACATAGAGCTCGAGCATGTCTAGGATCTTGTAGTCGAATGTTCGAATGAGGGTGATGCAATGAGGGCGCTTCTTCGAGTGACTGCTAAGAGCAAGGAGGGAAGTATCGTTCTTGTTGGAGAAGAATTCGAGAGCTTAGGCAGAGTTAGTAAATGTATTGGAAAAAAACTCGACATGCGGGATATCGTACAAGTTGCATCTTCAAAAGGATGGATGTCGTTCTTCTTAGTAAATCTCTCGACGAACGGGCGTTTCAATGAGACCAAGTCCGACACGACTAATTTCAGGACTTCAGAGGTCTTGGTTGCGCTGAGGAAGAGGGTTGTCTTGGGGTTCTCATGCTGCTGCGGCGCACGCTTGTCCATGGCACGCTTTGCGCGAGCATTTTTGGGTTTGCTATGCGAATGGTCAGTTCGTGTTGTCATTTTATGCCTCTCGATACCATTGATTATACGAGATTACACAAAGAGAAGCACTTACGCTGTCTTCAACATCTTGGCGTTGTGATATAGCGAGGGTACGATATTTGTTCTCGAGTCCTAGCAATCTCAAAAAGTTCGGCGGGCGAACCAAAAATTTGACGGAGTTCCGGAGAAACCGATCTGCCGTGTCTGTTCTGCTGCATGGCCAGGCAGTGTTATGTAATCGGCTATCCCCAGATAGGCCAGTGGGGCCAATAGCACGTCAGAGGTCACAACCTTAGTTAACTTAATCATACCATTATATTTTATCAGATCGTAATCCATCGCCATTGCGATTGCGGAATCTTCCCTTTTCTTCTCACTCGCATCCTTGCCTTTCTTAAAACTATAATCACATTATAAATCCATCTCTCCTTGTCTTCCTACGTTATCGCCAATTGATTACCCTCCTTCTGGTTCCACTCTGCTCCTGCCTCGACGTTCCATACCCCCCCGCCGACACCCCGCGCTCCTCGCCCATCGCCAAAATGGCAAGTGTACATGAAATCCCAGATGAGGGTGCTTTCGCCTCCACCATATCTTCGATCCCACAATCAACACTCGCAGTCATCTACTTCCACGCACCATGGGCCGCTCCGTGCAAACAAATGTCAACAGTCCTTTCTGCACTCGCCAGCACCTATTCCACAGATGCTCCCATCGCCTTCCTCTCCCTCAATGCTGAAGAGCTCCCAGAAATCTCGGAGCAATATGACGTTACAGCAGTTCCCTACATAGTCCTCCAGAAAGATGGAAGCGTACAGGAGACGGTCTCGGGTTCAGACGCAGCGAAAGTCCGAGCGGCAGTTGAGCGATATGCAGGAGCCGGCAATAAATCCAGTCTACCACCAGCGCAAACCGTTACGAAGCCAGCCCAGCAAGCTGCTATGAATGGCGCGGCAAATGGCTCAGGATCCCTTGCGCCCACAGCCGGCGATTCCAGCACCGCACCCGAGGCCGGCGAGACCAGCCAAGAGGAGCTGTTCAAGAGGCTCGGGGAACTCGTCAAGGCGGCACCAGTCATGCTTTTCATGAAGGGAACGCCTAGCCAGCCACAATGCGGATTCAGCAGGAAGACAGTTGGACTACTTCGAGAAAAGGGAATTCGATATGGTTTCTTCAACATCTTGGCCGACGACGAGGTGAGACAGGGTCTCAAGGAATTTGCGGAGTGGCCCACTTTCCCCCAAGTCTGGGTCAATGGCGAACTCGTTGGCGGATTAGATATTGTAAGTCCAATCATGACTGTGATTGTTTCGACGCTAACAGCAAGCAGGTCACTGAGGAGTTTGAGAATGACCCAGACTTCTTGCGTGAATATTCTGTTAATGGCCAGGCTGCTGCTGCTTAGATAGCATGAGATGCTACGGGACAGAATTATAACGGCAGACTTATATCTTCTAGAGAGAGACGCTCTGCATCCGTGGATCTTGAGCAAAAGCCGGATGGCTGGGCTTTCGGGAGTTATGTCTGGGAATACCAATGAGCCATGAATACAAATCTTTCTTCTATATCGACGTATCAAAGAAGTTACGACAGCTATGACGGCGACAGGATTTCCAACCTCATCAAGTCGCCGATTATATGATACAAAAATCTTTGACCTATGTAGGACAATAATTAAATAACGATGATATTCTCCAAAGGTTTATTGTAAATTATTGAATCGCCGAACCCTTCTTGCCCGTACATGAATCTCGAAATCAAAGACATGAAACATATCTGTAATTCTTCTTCTATGATATTTCTTGGATATTAGGAACACTACGGTTGGTCCTTCCAGAACCATTTCCTACTCCGCACGCGACACCTACAGAGCCAATGACGCTCCAGGATGGAGACTCCGACCAACCACGATCGTTACATTCCCGATACCTCTAAAACTCCTCCACTATCCACACCTACCTTCCTTTCCCATCCTCTCCATCTATCAATTCCCCCCAACCCCTAAACTCAAAGTACCAAATCGAATAGAAAGAAAAGGAAGTCAAAACTCAAAAATAAAAGAGATAGTGAAAATGGCACAACGCCCCAACGAAAACGTCTACTTCGCCCGCTCACCCATCTGCGACGCCGCCTCCTCCGGCAGCGGCAAAGGCCTATTCGCCAACCGCGCTTTCGCTCCCGGCGACGCGATAAGCGTGATCGAAAGACCGCTCGGGACATCGCTGGACGTCTCACGGTTGGAAGATACGTGTTCGAATTGCTTCCTGTGGACGACGATGCCGCATGCCGACCACGGCGAGGCGCTCGGGGCGAGGCTTTATGTGCCCGAGGATGCGAGGGTGGATGTGTGCACGGGGTGTCGGAGTGTGAGGTATTGTGGGAAGGTGAGTTTGAGTTTAGTTGTTGTTGTTTTGGGAGGGTGGTGAGAGTTGTTGCTACTGCCATGTTTCCAATTTTATTATTTATCATTTATCAAGTTTCAATTCCCAATCCTCAATTCTCAATTCCCTAGTTCTATAATTCCTGGGAATAAAGGGTTTTAATGATTTTAACAAATAGAAATGCCAAACTGCCGCCTGGAAAAGAGGTCACAAGTACGAATGCAAGGTACTGAAGTCAATCAACAGCATGCCCGGGAGGTCACTTCCCAAGGCCGTATTCGCGATCATCGACATGCTGAGCAGGCGGAAGAACGGCCTCATTGACGATCGGACGTGGGCGATGCTGTGTGAGCTCGATGGGCACGTGGACCATTTCAGGATGTCGGAGGTGTGGAGTGATATCGAGCTCATGGCGACGGGGGCGCTGCATTACTCGGGGACTGGGAACACGTTTGACAGAGATTTTGTGATTAGCATGCTTGGGAGGGTCAGTATTCGAGAATCTCCGGCTTGTATGAGTGCTTGATGGCTGATGTGGGAGAGCAGGTGCTGGCGAATAGTTTGACGATTATCACGCCCTCGCTGGATCCTATGGGAATCATGATCGATCCACACCTGTGCCGGATCAACCATTCGTGCGACCCCAATGCATTCATCATGATGGACGGCCCGCAGGTTTCGATCCGCCCGCTCCGAGAGATCAAAAAGGACGAGGAAGTCTTGATTTCATATTGCGATACTACGCTCCCTTACGCACGCCGTCAGCTGGATCTTCAGACTAGATGGTTTTTCACCTGCAAATGTAGCAAGTGTAAATTGGGCACGACAGCGCCAGAAGACGAATGGAAAACACCACCCAAGGACCTGGCTCCGGAATGGAAGGCGAAAGCGAAAGAAATGAGCGGGAGGCAAGCTCTGCTCGACGACCCTGCGAACTACGTCGGGCCATCGGCGGACGAGAAGCATGTTGCGGTGCTCCAGGGGAAGGCCTTCGAGTGCCACCGAGAAGCACAATTGCAAGAAAGATTTCCAGATTCTCTGCGGATTCTGAAAGAAGGCATGTCGATCTGTAGCCAGACCAAACTCTGGCCAATCCATCGTCAACCGTATCCCTCGCTACGAGATGACTGCATCTACGCTTTGCTCGAGCTGCAGAAGTATCGAGAAGCGTTTACGCAGTCTTTCGTGCGTTATCGATATGTCATGCCTAAGCTTCAACGGACGAGTTTTCATCCCGCTCGCGTGACGCAGACGTGGAGTACGGCCATGCTTGCGTTTTATTTTTCACAGGAGGCGCCGATCATACCTGGCGTGGAGATGCCTCTGGTTGCACTCATGCTCATGCGGGAGACCGCTGGGCTGTGTGAGAAAAGTCATGGTGGGAAGAATACTTTCACGATCAGTGTAAAGAAGAAGCTTAGGGAGGTGGAAAGCGCATTGTGTGCAGTACTTGGTGTGGATGATCCGACAATCATAACCACGGAGGGATCTGAGCAAATGGACATTCTCGAGGAGAAGATTCCGTTTAATGATGATCTGGATGTTGGACTAGAGGCGATTGTTCGGTGAGAGTGACATCGGTCATCGACCGCTCGAACGAAGATGGCTCGCATTGATGAGCTTCGGTAGCTGGTGAAAATGAGGGTGAAAGTGAGAGAGCGCTGCGATTCACATGCAGTACATTAGTTCAAACACTTCGTTCTTCGATGCACTTCCAACGAACTCACACTCTTGCTTATGCTTTCACGTTCACCGTGCAGGACTCATCATTTCGTCATTCAAGCCTCGCCTCTCCATGCCCATTGAACTTCGCGCGGTCATACCTGTTCACCTTTCCAGGCTCTTTGGGCTTCACACGGGCATACCCGTTCACCTTTTTTCAGGCTTACGATTCATCATCACCACTGCTCTCTCACTTTGAGGCGAACCCGTCCTCGTACGTCTATAAAGAGCGCCCATCTGTTCCACCTCTTCTTCAACTCAACACTCCACTTCGCAACAACCCTTCCTGTCTCGTTGACGCTCAATCACTTCCATCTCTGCATAACACCCAATTGTCCAGTCTTCAGACCACAAAGCTCCCCACTTGCCATTCAACCATCAGCCATCACAACCACTATCAGACGCAAGTCTCACCCGACAAAATCCTCAACGATCAAAATGCCCCGCCCCGCCAACAACGCCAACGTCGCCGCGGGCAAGTCGACCAGAATGTTCAGCCTGGACATGGTCGCTGCGCTCTTGATGTCCTGCTCCGTGACCACTCTCACTCACAAGCAGTACGAGTTGATGAGCGCGCTGGACGGCCAGAAGACGGTGTCGGCACTCCAGCATGACTTCCGGGCCGTCATGGCGAAGGCCAAGGAGCTCAAAGAGAGAATCGACGGCGGTGAGGAATTCGTGCCTGTCGCTGCGAAGAAGAGACGTATGTTTTTCCTTGTTTCACTTCCATCCATCCCATGTCTCCTTCACTTGTCCTGTGATTGGCATTTGACTGATTCATTGTTGCGTACAGCTGCTTCTTCGATGAAGGGCGATGGCCCACCAACGAAGAAGGCGAAGACCACCAAGGCTGGAAGAGCTACACCCAAGCCTCGTGGAGGAAAGAACATGGGCAAGCCAAAGGACATCGACACGCCCCCCAGCTCTCCGCCTTCGCTCGACAATGACTTCGCCGACGCCGAAGATGATGGTATCGACAAGACCAAGCTTGATGCGTTTGACAGTGATACCTCAGTCAACGCATTCATCAAGCAGGAGATGAATTGGGTCTAGGGAGTGAGGGCGGATACGTGGCACACTCGTTCTTTTGTCTTCTGAGGACGTGTGGCGGTATGGAGTTGGGAGCGACCGCTTGGGACGTCTTGTGAAGCAAAGGGTACCAGACGATAATAGTTCAAGCTCTAACATATGAGGAGTTTTTCGGATTTCCGTTTCTGGAGTCAAGTCATGAGAGTCGTCTAAACCGAATTCATGAGATGCATGATTGCGTCACAAAACCACAAGAAGACAACGATTACTTCATAGGCTCACATTCTGCAGGGCAAAAACGTCCTGGAAGGCTATAGTGCAGTTAGCTAGGTACACAATTCACAAATCATGTCTCCAGAAAAGATGAAAGACAATTGCATGATCCGAACGTCATTTATCGTGGTGGGAATAAATGAAAAGCACATGGTGTATAATACCGAGTCCATATGTGATGCGAATATATGTGTTACATGTTCCGATATGTTCAAGAAAGCCGTGTAAATGCAACATAGGAGAATCAAGATATGGAATTTAGTATTGACGTGTTAGCAGTCGGATGATTGAAGATATGTGAATTTACACTCTTCGCCATTTTGACTGGGAGCACTGAGTAAGCATGGATTGGTGGTCGCAGGTTAATGCAGGTACCGTGCGAGGCATTGTGGGTCCTGAATCGCGCGCGGAGGTGATCGGGAACTTGTTATCATCGTATCTATTGTGCATCGTATCGTAAAAGTAGCATGAGCTCGGGTGACGCAGTGCTCTAGGCAAAGGTAGAAGCACAACAGCTCCAGAAACCTGAGGCCGGGGAGACAGCGTTACATACTCTTCTCCTCTTACACGTGCTGACGGGAGCCTCGCTGCCACAATGCCATAGCTACAGCTTCTGGGCTTGATCGCGTCAACTACGGGCGGATTGATGTGCGTCGTTTGCCGAGATTGGTTTTCTATTCATCTGAGCTAGCGCGGCGGGTGGGCTCGCGAAATAAAATGACTTCGGCGCCGATCTATTAAGAGCCGGAATGAAATCAAGGTGCAACGCCGCGAACCAGAAGGCGGTTATTTCCGCTCGGTCTAGGAAAGGGAAAAGAAAAGGAAAAAGGAACTTTGGCCGTGATCTAAGAAACGATTCGACGGCGTTGCAGGCCCTCGCCTTGAGTCATTGATTGGAACACAGGATTCACCAAGTAGCGACGCGCGGCTTTTTAGAAGCATAGCGGTTACGATTAGAGGAAGGGTGTGGAGAGGCGTCTAGAAAGGATGGAACTGGTTGGGTGACTGCACAGTACGGAGTACTCCATACGCAGCTGTTCTTTGAATAGATATTCATACTCGTAGCTGCATGATTATTGTCGACGACTACTGAGCTGGATGTAGAGTTTGTGGTAGGGCGGCCGGCGATACCCGATCGAGATGGACGGAGGCATCTAGATTATTGTTGGCTCGCAGCGGTTCGCAGCCTCGTAAGTCGCAGCGCAGCCTCGTAGGTGGCGAACTCAGTTCTTATGCAAGCTGATCCCCGTATGAGGTTTGGTGCTGTCAGACAGCTATAGGCTACAGGGATGAAGCTTTGAAAAGGCAAACACATTCGAGAATTGTATTGTATTGGTCTGGTGATGACGGGAAGAGAGGGTTGTGTTCCGCGGGGTTTCAAGTTTCAACTACCGACGTCATTGAAAGGCTGCGCATGTCAATCAGAGTTTGGAGTTTGTGCGATGGTAATCTTGGTGAAACGAGGCGGAAGGCTTGGACACTGGTGGATGCTGAGGAAAAGGTGACAGGGAGACGAGAGAAGTGAAGAGAGGGAGAGAGAGAGGAATACAAGGAAAGGAGCCCCTGAACCTCTGAATTTCCCCGGATTATTGATTGAGAGCAATAATCGACAGGGGTTACCACTGGGCCGATTGAAAAGGGTTTGGTCGAGCCGTTGTCGCGATCAGATCCGGTCAAGCGCTGAGAGAAGGGTGACAGGGGTCCGATGCCAACGGGATGCAGCGAGGCGTTACGTGAATGCGAAGTGAATCAATAATATCTAATGCTTTTTTGTCCTGCCATCCAGACCACCCCCGATCGGACCTTGGAGAGCTTGTCGCGTCTTCGAGGAGCTGAGACACTGCCCCCGTGGCGCGCTCTATGATGTGTCGAGGCTGCCTGCATCTGTAGAGTTTCATAGTCTGGACGCGCCGCCCGTAGTTAGAGGCGAGGAAGAGTAAGACGTGAAGGAGCATAGAGGGGAGGGAAGGCGCGGAAGGTTAGGTATACTACACTACTACCAGGTTGTCGTAGAATAAACATGGGTGGTGAACAAGGATAAAAGTCATAGCAGCACTGCAACGACGGCAGCGAGGGACAATTATGATGATGACGATACACAGTTGGGATAACTAGTAATAATACATACGGAGTAATAATAATGTGAGTTGCGTTGCCTGCCTATGGAGTGAAAGGAACGACAATGGAAAAATCGGGTAAAGAATAGGGGGGGCGGAAGGGATAATGAGAAGAGACGAAAGCAATTAGGCGATTGGTCGATGGCTTACCGTTCTAGCCTGATGTGGGAATGCAATTTAGAGACATTCCTGAGCCAACGACGCCCACCGACGAACTAACAGAGTCTACACCGTCCACATCGTCCACATCGTCAACAATAGAATCATCCGTCTTGCACAACTTTGCGCCCACTGTTCCACTCCGTTGCTCAACCCCCCCGTTAGTTGGAAGAGTAGCGGTATTTGCGCCTTTTCTGCTTGTTTACCGCGTATGGTATTCAGGGTGGACAATTAGGTAGATTACCAGACAGGGCATGCATCACGGCTTCTTTGGCTTACCTACCATACTTTGCCTCGCTGTATTATGCCAGGATGAGACGATATGGGGGCCAACGGGCGACTTTGCGCTTTGCCGTCTGGGTGCACTTTGACCGGTCCGCGATTGATTGATTGCTTGATGTGATCGATGGATGGATCAACTAAATCTGTTCGGTGATGACTTGGGTTGGTTGGATCGTCAAGCTTAGACTTCAGGAGGCACACACCACCACCACCACCAGACCAGACCAGACCAGGTCCACCACCACCACCACCCCAGCCCAGGACCTCCTCCTCCTCCTCCTCCCGCTTGCGTTGGGAGGGACTTCCGGGATCAAGCTCCTCCTTTCTGTCTCTCATCCCTCCGTAGAAAACTCAGCTGCGCCGCCTTCGTCTGTCTTCTTCTTTCTCTCCTCTTTTCCTCACCCATCCACTCGCTCTATCATAAAGCCAACCCCAGCCTCGAGCTACTCCACACTCTTTCACTCCTTACATCTTCGACCTACTCCCTTTGTAATACCATACAACTTAATTCAACCACCCAATTCAATTCACCTCCTCCAACAACAAACAAACAATCAACATGCGTTTCTTCAGCACCCTCCTCGCCGGAGCCGCCATCGTCGCAGGCGTCCTTGCCCAGAAGCCTACCATCGACAAGTACCCCAAGTCCGTCAAGGCTGGCGAGTCTGTCGAGATCACCTACAGCCCGGCCACTGCTACTGCCAAATTCGTCCTCCGCAAGGGATCCCCAGGAAACCTCGCAACCCTCGCAACCTTGACCGGTACGTTGTTCCTACCAAGAGATCCATTCATACCTTCTTTGCATGTGTACTAATTGATTCGAAACAGAGAACGCCACTGGCGGAAAGTACACCTGGAACGTCCCTGAGGACCTCGCAAACGCTAGCGACTACGCTCTCCAGATCGTCGTCAACGGCGAGGACAACTACACTGGTCTGATCTCCCTCTCTGGTGGTTCCTCGGCCTCTTCCTCTTCCTCTGCTTCTGCCTCTTCCGGATCTGCTACCTCGTCTCCTTCCCCTACCTCATCTGGCACCAAGTCTGTCTCTGCTTCCATCACTAGCAGCTCCGTCTCTGGCTCCATCACCTCCTCTGCTCACCAGAACTCCACCGTCACCTCTGCTACCCTCTCCACCGCCAGGAGCACTGGTTCCAGCCAGTCCTCTGCCACCACTACCGGCTCCAGCCCACCTGAGAGCACTGGCGCTGCCTCTATGCTCAGCTCCAGCCCCTTGGCTCTCATCTTCGGCGCTGTCGCCGCCATGGCCTACCTCAACTAGATTGACCATATCCAATGATTTACAATTATTGCTTCCTGTGTTTTTCTTAATCTTTCAACGATACCTTGGTAATGGCTTTAAAGTATAAATTCGAGCGGAGGCGGCGCGTCTAAAAACGTTGCGTTCTATTTTCCTTCTACGTAGTGCATATTGACAATCTCTTCATCTGAACTGTTTTCTGTATGATATCATTTGACCACGGCATGAAGAAGAAAAAGAGCCTGCGTGACAGGGGAGGTCGAGGTCAGTTAGAAGACAGGCCAGGCGGAGTCGCGCGCGGTGGCTTTCACCAAACGCTCTCGGATCTGGCTTGCACCTTGTTCGCCATTATAGACAACAATCGAACAAAGTTCAAACCATTCACCATTCCCCGCATCCAAAGTGACCAATATCGCATCGTATGTTCCCACAATGCCTTGACCTTGAACACTCTGTTCGCCGCATGTGGGTTTGTGGGTACATTGAGCAGTGTGGGCATGTCGTGAGCACCAGTCGCAAGTCCCCCCTTCGCCTGTTTGCCCGTTCCAGACATCAATCACCAACATCACATCAGCCCTACCTTGCCTGACGCAACGCCCTCGGCTTTTTGCCCTGCTCCACATGAAACATCCCCTGCTGCATCCTTCCATCCTACGCGCTGCGACGCGATGATGCGATGCGAACGTGAGAACAGTCTGGAACCGCGATAGTGCATCAATCAAACAATAGGAATTTAACATAGCCTATGCGCCGTTCCCGCGCATGGCGCCGCATCCTGCGGATAGCCACGATGGATGGGGATGTACCCGAGGCATAAGCAGTTAATTCAGTGGTACCACGGTTCGTGCGGTTTCCCCATGCAGCATGTATGTAGTTATGTAGGACACGAGTACCTACCCATCCCATCGAGGCTGCGTCCATCCATTACGGAGTACATCCAGGCTCCAGCATACACAGAACCAGCGTATGGTTATGCGTAGAGATCACGCACTATTACATCCTACATGTAGAAATACTGACAATCTCTTCCGACCAACAATTTACCGTTGTTTTCGTCAGGGTCTATTATTTGTTTGTTTGGTGGTTGGGTGTTGCGTTACTCGGTCGCATTCCATTCGTACATACATGCATGCGTGCATGCGTCATCTCTAGCATCCCTTGCATTGTCTCCTTTGGGGAAGTGACCTATCGGTGGTGGTTGATTGTAATGCAATGGGTTTGCTAGGACACCTACACTATTATTACCTGAGTTACCTGCCTCGTTTGTTGCGGTGTGCATATTGGCAGACAGGGATCACATGCGGTTCATCTTGACGTACGATTCCGTTTTTGTGGATTTCGTTATGTCTGGGAGATCACTCGATGTGAAGATGATGGTCGAGCAGACCTTCAAGTGGGGAGTACGTGGTACGGAGTATAGAATATATTATGTAGTGTCACGACTTCCGCGGGGTAGGAGTAGTTATGATTTGTGCCGCATAGTTGGTAGTACATACGTTCATTATTCGACTCGACCCTCGACTACGGAGTACCTCTCATAAAAACGATTTGTCGTGAAACGTAAATGCTATACGGCATAGACCGGGACACTCCAACAACGCACCAGGAAGACACGAGAAAGTGGCCAGAATCAGACCTTTTTGGTGATACATGCTGTTTTAACAAGTAACGAGCCCGAATATTTACGCTTATGAAACAATGAAGTGTTTGTGCACTTGGTCGAAGAGAAAGATACATCATAACTTTTGATGACCAACCTAACGCCTTGTTCGCCTTCCGCGAGGAGAAATTTTACTTCGATGGGCATGACCTGGAGAGAACCCGGGCTCACTGCTTCTTGTTTTGAGCATAGATGAAGTTCGCTCCTGCGTGTCTATCAGTGGACATGTCTCGATAAGTTCTGTTGCTGAGTCCACTTACCAATGGGCACGAGTCCATTCTCCGCGGCCCACTGCCTGACACCCTTCCTTTCTTCCCCAGTCCCCCAATGCTGACGATCTTTCGGCTTCGTCAAGTTCAACGGCGATGTTGTCCCGTTCCTAGGCCCGAATACCAGGAACACGTATCTGTGCTTGCCTGTCTTTGGCGGCGGACCAGGAGGTTTGTACGGGACCAACTCATCAAGATGGTGACCCTTGCCCTTATTGTTGGCAATCTCCTCCTCAAGACCGAAGTAAGGAACGGGAAGAATTGACACCGTCTTCTCTGACAACGACACATTCGTAGCTATCCAGTGGCACATCTCCGACCACTTTGGGTCATCACGGGAAGGTGCGTCAGGATCGGTAAGAGCAACAATGAACGTCATGTCTGTAGCCGTACGGCCATCGGGGTGTCTGTCTTCATGGAGAGAAATCGCTGGTTGGTCTTGCAGCTTTTTGGGCTTCAAGGTGTTGCCCAGGGATGCTTTGTTCTTCTTGTCCCAGGTGACTGATAGTTCAATCAGAGGGAGGAAGTCATCAATAACTGTCTACTGTTAATTGGATAGATTCAGGAAGCATCAATCAAGGTAATCCGATATGTACCCGTTGGAATGATTTCGGCACGAAAGAGCCTGCACGACGGTTAACCAAATGAGCAATGCATCGCATAGATAGAAGCGAAGTCATTGGTGGAGAGCATAGTCGTAAGACGTACTGAGCTCTAACATTCAAAAGACCATCAGGGACCGAATCTTGCAAAGGTTGTTGATCAGTGGGCAGTGATTGAGCGAGAGCAAAGAGGTGGAGCAAGAACGCTGCCGCATTGCGGAATAGCATGTTGCTTGCTTGCAAGTTCACGTATAATTAAGAGTATGATCAAAGTCAAGAACAATCAAAGTTCATTGAGAGATTTAAGAGTGCAGCTCGATTCGATGTGCTCAATTGGAAACTATAGCGGCGCCCTATACGACAGAGTCGTTGTCGCGTGAGGTGCATGTCCATTGGCTTTTTGTGTTGGAGTTGTCGTCCCCGCGCATTGTCGTCATTCGTACCTCACCCTGCCGATCAGTTGTTGTGTCAGCAACCAGATCAAGATCTAGCTTCCAGATTCGGTAGCTTCGACTTGATTGGCGCAATTTTTGTTATTGCCAGATCTGGAGAAGTATCAAAAAGTAACAAAAACATTCTTGCGCTGTGAAGGTATCATAGATAGATCAGCGGTTGTACGATTGCAGCTAGACTTGCTAGACTTGCTCAGCAGACGGTGGAGCATGAGATGTATCTCTTGTGATCTTCTCTGCTGATAGCTACCCGAGCTAATAGTCGAAGATTGTAGAGCTTTATCGTCTTGTTCTAAACACAAGAAACATTCTTATGGCCAAACGGTATGGTGGGTCCTTCAATCGAAAGCAATGCCGACGAGAACATTTGAAGCTCTAGCAAACCCCACCTATACTGTACAACTCAGTCGGCCACTGTGGATGCTTACGCGCTGAGGCATAGTCATGGATATCTGATGTTTCGCCTCGGGTGGAGCGAACTTGCGGCCGAGAGTATCCGCTACTCCCAGGCAAGTGTTAGCGGTACTTGTAGATAATACTCCCGAATGCCATAACGAGCAACAGCCAGAGGGCGGAGATGCGTAAGAATGAGCGATAAAGATGTGTACCTAGGCGACTACGTGTCTGGCGGGACTGACAGCATCTCCTTTATGCAAATTTTAGAATGTCATGGAAGTGTTGAGTTTGTAAAATTAAGGAGATGGGTCCTGATACCTTACGGTGTGCGCTGGCCCAAAGCACGTGACTATGCACCAGGCCCTAGCTCGCCGCGGAATCTTGCTCGTGAAGAACGTTGAACACCATGACGACGAGCTTCTACGATTGTAATCTATCTTCGCGTTGCTGTCTCATCGCAGCCTGATCGCGCTGACGCATCCAACAAATTTCTCTCATCCGATTCTACCACCTCGATCTATCTCTCCCCGCTCGCCCGACTCCAGATCGCCATCTAGGAGACGACATTTGTTTACCGCTCCTGGGTGAAACCAGGTCCATCGAGACAACTGCACAATTCATCCACCCAACATCTGATCCGCAATGGCATCCTTTGGAGAGGAGCTCCTCACCACCGTAAATAGGTTGCAAGACTTGGTCTTCAACACTATAGGGAATGATTCCCTGGATTTACCACAGATTGTATGTTTGCCCCACTCCTTTTTTTTTGCGGAAGAGGTTTGGTACATATATCTAACTCCAAAACAGGTCGTTGTTGGATCACAGTCATCAGGAAAGTCCTCAGTACTTGAGAACATCGTCGGCAGAGATTTTCTCCCCCGTGGAAGCGGCATCGTCACCAGACGGCCTCTTATCCTCCAGCTCATCAATCTTCCCAGCGACAGAGACGACAAGCCCGAAAACGATGAAGTCCACGTACCACACACTCCTGCAAGCGTAGCTGGACAGCAAGAATGGGGAGAGTTCCTTCACCTCGGCGGAAAGAGGATCTACGATTTTGCGGAGGTGAAGCGTGAAATCGAAGCAGAGACAGCAAGGATAGCAGGAAACAACAAGGGCATCTCCAGGCAACCTATCAACCTGAAGATCTACTCGCCGCATGTCCTAAGTCTTACTTTGGTCGACTTGCCAGGTTTGACGAAGGTTCGTAGCCACCTATAATTCACTGAGGGCGAAGCTAACATACGAAGGTACCCATTGGAGATCAACCGACAGATATCGAGAAGCAGACCCGTAACCTCATTTCCGAATATATCGCAAAGCCCAACAGTATCATTCTGGCCGTCTCCCCAGCCAACGTCGATCTAGTCAACTCGGAGGCTCTCAAACTCGCTCGGCAAGTCGATCCAATGGGCAAGCGAACCATCGGTGTTCTTACAAAGCTTGATCTGATGGATCACGGAACGAATGCTATGGATATTCTCTCTGGACGCGTTTACCCTCTCAAACTTGGTTTCATCGGCATCGTGAATCGATCGCAGCACGATATTCAGGAACGAAAACCCTTGGCAGATGCATTAGATGCGGAACGAGATTTCTTTAGACATCACCCCGCCTATAGAAATATGGCAAACCGATGTGGCACACAGTTTTTGGCAAAGAGTTTGAACCAGACGCTCATGGCGCATATTCGAGACCGCTTACCCGACATCAAAGCTCGTTTGAACACTCTTATGGGACAGACACAACAAGAGTTGGCAAGCTATGGGGACGTTGCATTCACTGGAAAGGAGCATCGAGGCTCATTAATTCTGCAACTCATGACTCGATTTGCCTCCTCCTTCATTTCTTCCATCGATGGTACTTCGGCTGAAATATCCACAAAAGAGCTGTGCGGTGGTGCTAGGATTTATTACATCTTCAACTCAGTCTTTGGTAACGCCCTTGAACAAGTTGATCCTACTCAGAACCTATCGGTTCTCGATATTCGAACGGCCATCCGGAATTCCACTGGACCTCGGGCTAGCTTGTTCGTGCCAGAACTTGCATTTGACTTGCTGGTGAAACCCCAGATCAAGCTATTGGAAATGCCTAGTCAGCGATGTGTAGAGCTCGTCTATGAAGAGCTTATCAAGATCTGTCATACTTGCGGTTCTAATGAACTCAGCCGTTATCCACGCCTTCAAGCGAAGCTTATCGAAGTTGTCTCTGACCTTCTTCGAGAACAACTCGGACCTTGCGCCTCGTATGTTGCATCTCTGATCGAGATCCAAAGAGCATACGTCAACACCAATCACCCTAACTTCTTGGGTGCAGCAGCTGCCATGTCTTCGGTCATTGCTGATAAGCAGGAGCGAGAGAAGAGAATTGCCCTCGAAGCAGAGCGAAAGAAACGAGAGAAACGACGGATCAAGGAGTTCAGTGCCCTTAACAATGCAGAGAACCCTGAGATTGACGAAGATGCTGAAGTATCTGGGGAGAAGCCTCACCCTATTCGAAAGCATCAAAGCCAGGCCAGCCGAAGCATGTCGCCAGCAGTCGGCCGCTTGATGAATGGCTCTCACGGTACCCTAGGAGCATTAAACGGCGCTCGAGCTCGATCGCCGGCGCCTCATGGCGGAGCCGCGGGAGCCGCTGGGGGCCCACGTGATAGCTTCCTTAACTACTTCTTCGGCAAGGAGGGAAATTCCCCAGCCGCCTCTCCGGTTGCTACAACTTTTGACAATCGACCTGGAAGCCGTCATGTCAGCCAAAACATCGAGCCAAGCATTGCACAGAGCATTCGCCGGAGCGAAAGCAGACCACCTGCGCATGTCCTGGAAATGGTACCCGACGATGATATGCCCCTTAGTCCCACCAAGGAGTATGAAGGCGGTTTCGTAAGTCATGCCCGTAACCTTTCATTTGCATTTGTACTAATCTGTGCCTAGCCATCGGAAGCGGAAGCTGCTCCTGCTTTGACTGAGCGTGAGGCTCTAGAGACGGAGCTGATCCGGCGCCTAATCTCCTCATACTTCAACATTGTTCGTGAGACCACTGCAGACCAGGTTCCCAAGGCTGTTATGCACTTGCTCGTGAACCACTCGAAAGACGTTGTTCAGAACCGACTCGTCAGCGAACTTTACAAGGAGAGTCTCTTTGAAGAGTTATTGTATGAGGACGATACCATCAAGGCGGAGCGGGAGAAGTGCGAGAAGCTGCTCAAGACGTACAAGGAGGCAGCTAAAATTGTAGGAGAAGTGATATAACATGATATTTATTTTGTACTCTCCATGTAGGTCTAAGGCTTGTGTAAGAGTTATTATTAGGTTCGGGCGATCGATAAAGAGTCGAGTAACATCTCGCTCTACGTCGCTCAACGGCGGATTGAAAAATAGGCAGGCCACGCGCTTTGTTGATAGGGTCGGCCGCTTCCGCGAATTTCTACTCTTCTGATGCTCTGATACAGGGTAGCAGGGCGTTCATGGGCTCCACTTCTGATATTTCGACACCTGTAGAGGGATAATGGATTGTAACATAGACCATGGAGGAGGAATTACACGACGCGTGTATGTAAATATTTCCGCTAGTGCATTGTTTGGTGTTTTCACTGCGAAAAATACTCAAAAACTGCGAGTGTCTCTTGACAATGTTCCATTTGTCCGAATTTTCAAGAAAATGGATGAGAAGATGATGAGCATAGTTGTTCCAAAAAATTTTGTTGGGTAAGGATGTATATTGAACGTGAACGTTGACCAACCACCAGCGTCTATATTGTACAGATACAATGCACACAGTACAAGAGAGTTGATTCCGGCATCACACCGTGATTCTACCTTTATCTCTCCCCTACATTTCGAAAGTTGTCTTCCCCTGAGTGGGCTGACCTTCTTCCAATTATCGCCATGCTTACATAGGAAAATTGACTGTTTTTTCGAGCTTAATTCTTATCCGTGATTCCGAGCAAAGTGTTGAGATCCGCGTTGGGGTCCTTGGTAGGATCCGCAGACTTGTCTGATCCTTTCGTTAGCGATCCATTTCTACAAAACGACGTTTTTTCTGCCCCTGCTATGCCATTGCAGACAGCTGTGACCGGAAAAACAGGTGATTCTTTTGCAGGAGTGTAAATCCATACCTGAAGATGAGCTGGCAGCTCCGGCGTTTTGTGACTTGGCAAACTCAGCCTTGGCTTGCGAGATCAATGATTCCTTGTGCTTCCACTCTGCTTCAGCCTTCGAAGCCCTGTCACGGGCGGATATGGAGGTCTGGTGGTAGATGCCGTAGAAAACACCCAAGCCCAGGGCGGACCATCGGAGAACCTGGATTCCATCGCTGTTAGCTATTTGTATACACCCAATTTGACGTATGACAGGTCGGAGATATCATTCCATCGGATTTGATAGCTGAATGGGCGCCATTGAACGTACATTAACGCCAACGGAGGTAGACATCGTTAAGGTCGTGCGAGGTGTGGTAGCGGCGACTCTCGGGCTCTGCTGTGTCCAATGGCAAAGTACTCGGATCTGCGACGACGATGATCGGTTCTTCCGCGTCGATAGCGGACGATGCGCGGTGCTGGGGTTGGCAGGAGGTTGGTCGAAAGAGAGCTGTTGAAGTCGAAGTTCTGCACGGCGGTTCATCCCGAAATCTCGCGCAAGGACTGGGCGAAGAACAGCCGAGGAATCGCCGGTGCCAGTACGTCCCTGCTTGGCGCGATTTTGTGGAGAGAGATTCAAACAAACAGTTGTACCTAATTCTTGACCACAGCTCCTTATTGTTTTCAGGTTCTAAAGGTCTAGGGCTATCATTAACGTGTCGCAGTCACCCCTCGACCCCGTTCTGCCTCGAGCCATACGAATACTTCAATCGAGTCGAAAAGGAGCTCCGCTCTCCAATATACCTCCGCAATGGACAGCACCATACAGCAACGGCGAGATGAGATCCTTGCCAAAAAGGCCAAACTCGCAGAGTTGAAGCGGCAGCGCGAGCTTCGAAAGGAAGCCTCAGCGAGACAATCCCTTGCTGGCAGCCCCAGCCCAGACGTAAGCTATCTAATTTACATACTACATAGGGAGCTCACTGACCTGGACCCTTCCTGCGCAGATAGCCCAGCCCTCACCAAGCCGCTCCGACCAAAGACGCGACCTCGAATCTCTCATATCTGGCCTCGTCGGAGACAGGCCCTCCTCTACTCGCCCAGACTCTCCCGCTCAGCGAGTGACACGACCGCACTCGGTCATCAGTTCTGGACAATTAAGCAGTGACAATGAAGCACCAATACAGTACGTGCCAATCACAGGAGTCGACCAAGGAATGCAAACGCTATCCATTGCGCCCCTTGCCACAGTCTTCGAATTCGATGCTGCACTCAAGCAACAAAAGGAACAGGAAGTGATCACGTACAGCAAAGGAGTACAGGCAAATATCGATGATTGGCAACCACAAAGGTCCAGGGGGGTAGGAGATAGTGATTCCGAAGGCGACCAGAGCCCCACCAGTTCACCTCGGAGCAAGAGATTAAGCCGCCGCCAAAAGGAGAGGGAAGATGAGATTCGTGCCAACCTCAGGAAAGAGATCGAGGAGGAGCTTAAAGCGGTCCAGCAGCCAGCTCCTGAAGGTGGTGAAGTTGATGGAAAAGAGAATTTCCCATTCAAGACGCTTTCGAATGAGGAGTTGAATGCTGTGGAGAATTCCGACGAATTTATCGGTTTCGTCGAAAGGAGCACCAAGGTGTTGGAGAGGGCATTGGATCAACAACTCGGATACGACATTCTGGCCGACTATGCGCTGGGCGGCGAGAATGTGGACGAGGAGGACGAAGGCTACGGCTCGAGTGGAGGCAAGAAGGGCAGGCGCGTAAAAGAGATCGCACAATTTTGGGATGAGCGATGGAGCAAAAAGAGGATGATATCAGATCTCGGATTCTCCTCAAAGGTATGGACCTTCGGACATTTTACTGATGTCAAGATTGGATACTGACTATTTTATAGTTCCCGGAACTTGTCCTTGCATCCTATACTAAGAATCCCTCGGCGCCACACGACCCTGATGGCCTCATTCAGGTCTGGAATCTTCATATGCACGATCGGCCCGAGTATATTTTCCATGCGCAGTCCGATATCCTCACCGCAAAGTTTTCCCCATTCCACCCTAATCTCATCATCGGTGGAGCATACTCAGGCCAAGTTCTGTTATGGGACACCCGCGCCAAGTCAGCACCGGTTCAGAAAACACCACTCACAGGATCCGGTCATACCCATCCAGTCTACTCCTTGGACATTGTCGGAACCCAGAACGCAAACAACATCATCTCATGCTCGACAGATGGTGTTGTATGCGGCTGGACAGTCGACATGCTCTCCCAGCCACAAGAATTCCTCGAATTGACGTCTCCACCACCAGCAAAGACAGAAGACATGGCCGTAACGAGCATTGCCTTCCCTCAGTCCGATCCAACTTACTTCCTCGCTGGTACAGAGGAGGGCTCCATTTACCCTTGCCATCGTTACGACCGCGCCGGAGCAAAGGCGGGTGTGGATAGCAGAGTGAAATATTCTGGACACGCAGCTCCGGTCATGAGCTTAGATTTCCACCCTGCTAAAGGACAGATCGATCTCGGAGACCTGGTGTTATCCGCCAGTGTCGACTGGAGTGTCAAGCTCTGGAAAGTGCGCCCCCCGGCAGCGACGGGTCCGGCCAATGCTGCTGCGCCAGGTGCGACGCAAGTGGTTTCCCCGATCCTTGATATTGCGAGGGAGGACCTTGTCTATGACGTTCGTTGGTCACCTGTGAAACCGTCCGTCTTTGCGCTTGTTGATGGCGCCGGAAGCCTCGAGGTATGGGACATCAACGTCGATGTCGAGGTACCTGTGCAAAAGGTATCACCTAGTGATAACAAGCGTGGTGCCTTTGCCACCATGCCAAGTGGCTTAGGTTATATGAACAGAAGCCTCAACAAGTTGGCATGGGAGAGGAACGAAGGCAAGAGAGTCGCTGTTGGTGGCATGGATGGCGTGGTCACAGTATTTGAGGTCGGCCAAGATCTCGGTGGCGTAGAGACAAGGAGCGAAGAATGGAGTGGAGTCAAGAGGCTCGTCTCAAGACTCGAAGGCGTTGGCGAAGGGGTGAATGGGAAATAGATTTCTCATTTATCGATTAGCTAGCGAAAGAGGGAGGCATCTTGTAAGGAGGGAAGGTTTTGAAGCTATGTGAGCGCTCGATTACGGCGAGATGCGCATCATTTTATTGGAGTTGTGGATACATCGCGGCATACCCCCTCATGTACGTTTAATATGTTTGTTTATTGAGAAGATGCGCTGGGCAGGTCTTGCCGCCAGTACTGCCCTGATTATCATTCTCTTCCAAAACAAATCAAGACTTCTTGTCCATGATATTCATCTTCCCCAAAGCCAACCTCCCATATCACTCCACAACAAATATAACGTCCTAACACATTACAACAACACACTCATCCCATGGTCCAACCAACTAACCCACCACCGCCACGGCGCCAACCGCCCCAGCAATCAATCCAACAACGCCTACATTTCGATACACAATCGGCGCCGCCCCGGGACTCTCACTCGGTATGGAGATGGAGAACGTCGAAGTCGCGTTACCCGTCACTCCCGCCGTTGTCGTTGAATTGACCTACCAGCCGTTAGTAAACATCTCTCCCTCCTACCCTCCTTCTCTCCACCAGAGCAACATATCAGAGGAGACTAAGAACGAAATCAAACGAACCTGCAACGACACCGACACCGTTCCCGATGTCACCACAGGGGTTGAGGACACGGCCTCACTGCTACTAACACCACTCGATCCGCCGGAAGGAGAAGGAGAAGGGGGTACAACGGTTGGAGTGACGGAATCTTGCAATGTCGGTGCGGTGGCAGGTGGCACGGAACTTGGACCGTCGACCGTGAAGGGTTCGCCCCATGATGATGTGGTTTGCGAGTTGGCGAGGGTGAGGAGGAGGGAGAGGGAGAGGGATATGGGGAGGAGCATGGCGTATTGTTGCTCGGTTGGTGAATGTTGTCTGGGGCCTCAGAGGAAGTGGACGTTCAGTTCGTTGATTCTCCGTATCTTTTGGCGATGGAAAGTGTCTCCCAGTCGAATAATCCGAGCTGTTGAGGTCAAGATCGAGCGAGATGGACGATCGTTTATTGGGTTCCTGCGTATAAATATCTCCGATGGTTCCAGTATCGTAGTTTTGCCCGTATATCTATGTCTCCCAGAAATGCTAAGCCAATTAAACCACCATTGATATTTATATAGTCAAGGGAGAAAAGAGTAGGAATAGAAGCAACAGAAAACCTGGAATTCCAGTATTTATTCAAATACTCTTCGTCTACACACCGCCACCCAAACGCGCGTATGATGAATGCACCTAAATCCAAGTAACTATGGAAACCCCAAGCACGACGTACGTCTGTCTGTCGAGCCATCGTCCACAACGATCGACGTGCATGCGAGTGCCAACCATAGACAACCGCAAAGGTACTACGTCGTGAGCTGCCACGACTGAAACACTTGCGTATGCCATTGTTATGGTTGGCGGGTTATGTGTTGATCCGGGGGGAGGTGAGCGTAGGGTGGGTTTCGGGTCTCCTCACACCGAAGCCCGGGCATGCATCGTGATGTACACAGTGCACACGACGAGTCGAAGACGCATATTGAGACACGTCAAGTGGGTCCTTTGATGTTTTTGGGCTTCTCACGCTATTGGGACTGGACGGTGGTTATTTGGTTGCTTTGAGGATGCGGAGTTGTTCACTAGTTATGCGTGTGTAACGAGCCATACTCATGCACCTAAACGAACATATCTTCCCAATGAGCAAGGTGCACATGCAGATGTGGATACGCTATAAAATGTATTTGAGCGTTCTGGTTCTACTTTCGTTTAGATCTCGTTTAAGTAAACAATGTAGTCGTAAGCAACAATCAGATAGTCCACCCTTCAAGTGTCATGCCGACCATCTATGCTATCCTCAGCATCCTGACCAGGCTGACCTTGGGCCCGACCACGTATTGACGCGTTTACCACTGGCAGAGAGCTACTTGTATGTTGGTATTGTGACTGCTAATCACATATGCCCGTGCCTGATCATTGTTCAGGCTTACTCTGGCGATGGCCGTGAGGTCGAAACACCACACGTTCTTGAGGACCACTTCAGTCGTCATCTCCTACTTCATCAACCAGTAGCCATGCATTTCTACACTTGACGGCCGCATACCGAACCTCGCGTTTGCTATCGTCCAAAGCGGCTGTCAGCTTCTTGACGACCTGTCGTCTATATGGCAGCACAATGTCTACCCTGAATTGTGTGGGAAGAGACTCAAGACCTCGTAACGCCGCTGCCCGTACCCTCGGGGGAGTTGTGGGTGTTGCTCCAATCCGTTTTCCTGAAATTGTCGAGTTATCAAGCAAACGATTGATCAAGCTGCCTGTATGCTGCTCCAGGGTATTGGGTCGTTCCTTAAGTATTGACGTAAGCGTAGCGATCGCAGCTTCCTTGACCAGGTCCTCGCCCTTCAGATCAAGACTTTGTAAGAGTGGCAGGACCAACTGTGCGACCTCTTCGACAACGATCTCGAACGGCATCCACCTGAGTATTCCGCTCAGGGCGATGAGATAGTTCGGCTTCGTATCAGGAGTGGCATCCTTGAATGCTTGCGTGATGCTCGGCACAAGCAAAGCAAAAGTCTTTTGCTTGTGCAGTCCGGAGATCTGGCAGTAATTCGCTTTGGTGAGAAGATCATCTGGTTGGAGAAGTGTTGTGAACCCATGTGCCACCATGCTACCATATGTTGGATGCGATAGGAAGGAGAGTAGGCGAGGATATAATTTCGATAGTGCAGTGCTATTCCGTAGCACTAGAGCCTTCAGGCAGGCGAAGGTGATTCTGATTCTTGAAGCATCTAGTTTCTCGATGTTGAACAGATCGACAGGGGAGTCAATAAGTGGATCCATACATGTTTTGAGGCCCGGCGTGGTGATGTATTTGTTAATTAGTAGGGATATCTGCCTTAAAGAAGCAGAGCGCACAGGTCCTGACAGGTTCGGTTGCTGAGAGAAATCCACGAGAGAAGAGATCAAAAGATCGACCTCGCAGGGTAACGCGGCCTCTCTGCGGAATGAAGCCAAGAGATGCGTGGAGACGATCATTGTCCTTGACTGCTCAATTGTGAGAGTTTTGCTGAATGGTGGCAGCTCATTCTGTGGTGTGCCTCTGAACAAAGTGTACAACTCCTTGGAAGTTTGATTTTGCTGCTCCACTGATTGCGATCTGATAATGATCCCGCAAATGCGGCCCACTAGGTCCAGGGTCTTATCCTTATCGAAGGCTTTTGGATGTGATACATCTGGACTCGCTGTGCGTTCGAGTAGGGGAAGAACGATATCCTGATAATAGGGAGATGTTTCTGGGCTTTCCTCAAGTTTGGACGATCCTCGGTTGAGAGCATAGAGCATCGCGGAGAGAAGTGCAACAATGTAGGCTGACGAGGCACCTTGCGCTACAGCCGCACTGAATTTGTTCTTCAGGCGTAAAATGACAGTGTCAAAAACTTTCTCCTCGCCGGCAAGCTTTGCAAAAGCCTCTAGAACCTGGATATAGCTTGCATCTTGACCGTTGTCGAAATCAGGAAGTTTGGCTAAGAACGCGGGGAAGGCTTTATCGATGACCACTTGGGGTTTCTGGTGCGCAATCTCCACCAGTCCGTTGGTTGCAGCATCCTTGACCTCATCTTTGCCATATGCCTCCTCTTGGATGATAATTGTATGGAATAACTGAATAATCCGTCCGATATCTTCGTCGGTGAGTAATTGGCGGGTTTTGGACAGTTGCAGTAAGCCATCTAAGCACACAAGGCGGAAGGATACCTCTTTTATAGGCGCATTCTCGAGGCCAGTGAGCATGATTTCCAGAGCCTGCTCTCGGAATTGAGCAAGCGCATTGGGTGGAGGTTGCTCCCCGGCTCCACCGATTGACCGCCAGTCGCCGTACACGTCAATGTTTGCGCTGATGAGTTGGACGAGGACTTCCAATAATCCTCGCTTCTTGGCCATCGTTTCGGCTGTCTGAAAGAGCAGGAATAGATTCGGAAGGATACCGGCTAAGAGAGTATTAGTGACATCAGCAGAAACATCCGCAATTTTGTTTAATATCCGCGCCGATGCCTGTGATTGCTTCGTTGGGGCATCTTCAAGATGCTCGTTGCATTCTTTGATAATGGGCCGAAGGTATGCGTTCAATGGACCACTTGTTCCTTGCGAAAGTGTGCGCGCGATCGCAGCAAGTCCGACCAGTGCCTCTTCGGCTAGATCCTCCTCCTGTACGTTGAGAATTTCGAACTTAAGTGCATCCCAAAGTGTGATCGAGTACAGCGAGACAGTCCTCGGTCCGTATTCGGTGACAGCCGCTGTGATAGTCTGAAGAACATCACGCTTCGTGTTCATAGATGTTGAGTCCAGCTTGTCCAACAAGGAAGGGAATGCGTAGGGTGCAAAGTCTGCTGTTGATGATATACAGTCCCGTAGACGATTTTTTAGATCCTGTGCCGTGATACCGTAGGGGTCGTCCGGAGGCGGTCTGAATGTGATGGGGAAGTAATTGAACACCGCGTCGAAAAGCTGTTGAGCGTCTGCGCCTATCTGCCATTCTGTCATGGGAACCTTAAGAATCGAAAATACGACCATGAGATTTCGGGGGTCCTTCTCTCCATCGAAATATAGAATGAAACGCGAAAGGAAGTCGGGAGTTTCGTCGTGGTGTACCCTCAACGCGTCTCTGTACTTGGCAATCAGGGTGTCAATCAAGTGTAGGACGGGGTATCGCTCGCTTTGCTGCTTGTACTGGCGGAGAGGGTGTGTGTGAGTGAGGAATCTGTTGGTTCTTAGCACTCAGTGTGTCTTGCCAGGCTGGTGTATTCGAACATACGCTTCCAAGATTGCAACAACGCGGTCTTGATCCCACTTGCCCCGTTCTTCGAGTGCGGACAATGCCTTTGCGCAAAAGCCCAAGCCCTCACTGTCCTCGATTCTGGATAGTACGAAGTCGCACAGCAAGTTCCCTACATTATCTCAGTTCCATGCTTCCTTATTCAATAGATGTGGGCTATGCAACCATAACCGTTGGGGAGAGGCACGTACGTTGTTGGAGGGACAAGACCTTCTGTGGGACCGACGATAAGACTTCGGCAAGGTAAGACATGGCTGTATTTCAAGTGTTAGCAGTCCGTCTTCCAAACCTTCAAGAACATGTTAGAAAACATACCTCTTGACCTGGTAGTGCCATCCTCGCTGTTGAAGAACTCCCCCAGCTCCTCAATGAGTCTCAAGAGCTTCAAATCATTATTTTGTAGCCCTATTTTCCAATTAATACATGCTGATTTGCGACAAAAGATTTGCCCTCAGCATCGAGAGGTCGAGGTATATCGTACGTGTGGCAGAGCGTTGAGCCGTCGCTGTAGCTTCCTTCCTATTCTTATCGAAGTCCAGCAGGTATTGCTGAATATCTGTTGACATGTTTGCTTGATTGATAGATCTCCACCCGCACCGCACCGCGCACTAATAGCTACCGAATGAACCGTGAGGGGGTTTGCTCGAGGATGCGGTTCGGGGGAATTTTGTGCGATCAGATATGAGCAGGGTAGGCGGCGGGGGAGATATGGCAGGCTAGGTGTTCGTGGTGGCTGTCTGGTCGGGAAAGACAGTGAGGAGGCATAGACGGGTGGTAGTATAATAGTTGTAGTGGGAGTGTAACAGCGGAGATTGTGGTGGTCGTGGTCGTGGAAGTGGTGGTGGTGTTGTGTAGATAATCATTAGTATTCCTCCGATCTGCCTCGCACGCCAGAATCCATGGAAGGCAGTCGGAGGGGTGGTATTTTGGTGGGTATGACGCCGCGGAAACGGTTGGATGCTGATTGGCCCGAGATCGGAGGTGGGGCCTGGCGCGCCATAGAAAAAGTTTAAAGAGAGCGGGATTGGCGGGGCACATGAAAGATATGTCAAGAGGATCCAATTAATTAATTCATATGTCTTTTTTCCTTTTCTTTAGGTTCTGATTCAGAGGCTCTCCTTTACTATATAATTGGAACATATCCGATCAGAAAGCCACAGTGCTCCTATCCCATTCCACTCGTCAATCGTGACCGTGACGAACCACTCACCTTCCGTCTACCTGCTACCTACACTCAACCTGCGAAACACATCCACCGCAATGGCCGACGACAAACCCAATTGCAAAGTTGTCCTCGCCAACAACATCGCAAAAGGTCTCCTCGAAGAGGTCCACGAGGGTCTGAAAAAGATCAATCGGAAACCCCTCCTCGTTGGCTTCCTCTCCTCCGCCGATCCCGCCGCGCGCGTCTATGCAGAATGGACGGGCAAGACTTGCAATGAAAAGTGAGCATGCGCACATTCCTGTTCTACTATCTTCTCCAGGGAAACAAAGATAAAGACAAAGGATATGAGAAGGAGAGATAGAAGAGGAGAAGAGCGCAACATGGCTGATTACAAGACAGTGGCTTTGCCTTCGAGCTCCGCGAAGTTGACCGCGATGCCCTGGAAGACGCCCTCATCGACGCGAACAACGACGCCTCGGTCGACGGCATAATAGTTTACTACCCAATCTTCAACAACCGCCAGGACCAATACCTGCAACAGATTGTGTCCATCGACAAGGACGTTGAGGGCCTCTCTCATCAGTACATCTTCAACATGTACCAGAACGTCCGATTCCTTGACCCGGCCAGCACCAAGAAATCCATCCTGCCGTGCACACCGCTCGCTGTTATCAAGATCCTCGAGTATTTGAGGATTTACAATACAATTCTGCCGTATGGAAATAGGCTCCATGGCAGGACGATCACAGTGATCAATAGGAGTGAAGTCGTAGGAAGGCCGCTTGCAGCGCTGCTTGCCAATGACGGAGCTTGCGTCTATAGCGTTGATGTCAATGATGTTCAGCAGTTCCATCGTGGTGAGGGTTTGCGTAAGAGACGCCACGAGGTGGAGGAGAAGCCCGGATGGACACTGGAGAACGCCTTGCCCCTGAGCGATGTGGTCATTAGTGGTGTGCCAGGAGATAAGTACAAGGTCCCGTTGCATCTTTTGAGACCAGGTGCCGTGTGTATCAACTTCTCGAGCGAGAGGAACTTCAGCCCCGAGGTCAAGGAGAAGGCTAGTATCTATGTGCCCGCCATCGGCAAGGTGACCATCGTCGTTCTGCTGAGAAATTTGTTGGTAAGTATACTCACCCTGTACTCCTTATCAAGTGCGGCATGCTAATAGATGGCACAGCGAATCGTTCAGAATAAGCTCGAGGCGGAAGCTCAATCTGCTAAGCAAACCGAGGAGGCTGCTGTTCCGCAGATTGCCTCTTGAAAAGCAATTACCTCCAATTCATTATGTACCCAAACGTGACTTTGATACCCTTAGATAGAAGAAAAGAATTTGCTTTGAGATAAGATGAAAAAAGGCTATAGCCGCGATAGGGTTGAGGACAATGTTACTTCACAAGACATACTTTGTGCTAGCCATTCAACATAGTGTCATGGAGAGGTTGATTTACGTCTCGAATGCAACACGATCATCTATTCACAACGTTAAAGCAAGGATCCACTTCAATTGAAGGACGTATTGGATATATTGCGGGATACTGCGAAATAAGGGCGTTGGGAAATCGACAGAGGGGCCCGCTCATGGAAAGAAAAACGAACCCTGAGAATATTGCTAGACGCCTGCGATGAGTCCATCCAACAATGAACCTAGCAGCAATAAGGGCACAGGAAGTAAAGTGAAGCCTGTGCAACTTCAACGGGCATTCCATGTAAATGCTGCAAAGGAGCCTCCCAAGAATTCCAACGCCGGGCATCTCTTCGTAGCAGGTCGGTACAAGTACAGCATTAAATAAACGCCTTTCATAGGAAAAAAAAGTATGAGAAAACGTGGGTATGATCGAAAACAAAATGACAACAAAAGAAAAACGGACTAGACAAGTGCAATGTCTTCGTTATTACCCAACAGCGTTGAATGAGCTGTTGAGATCCAGTAAGGTGTATTTAAGGTTTTTCCGCAGTTGCAGGTGCGGTTTCCAATTGGATCTCCGGTGGAGCGGCATCATACAGAGCCTCCGTCTCCTGTTCAAATGCCGGTCTCCGGCTCACTGGCGGCCGCTCTTCATAGTATACGTATTCTCGAGCTGGCTCGTCATACCGCCGTGGTGGGGGTCGTCCGTAAGAAACGTATCGGAGGTGTTCAGGTTCATCTTCAGGGTGGTATCTGGAGGGGTCTGCTACGTATGTCCCACGCCCTGACCGTGGGTCTCGAGGAACACGGATGACTTCCAGTGGTTGGCCATACTCGTCAACATATACTGGAGATGGGCCGAGAGTGATGTCGGGGTGTCTCGCGAAACGGCCTCGCGGGGGAGAGTATGGATGAGCACGATCTTGTAAAGGTACATAATCGCGCGGTGCTAGGCGAGCCGAGGTGGCATTATCGTCCTGAGGCCCCTGATCTACGCTTTGGTCTCTCGAGTAGGGAGGGTCGTAATCTCGTTCAGCCTGAGGCTGTGGTGTTTCTTGTTCGTGTATGCGCCGACGTTGCTCTTCATACCGCTCATACCGTCTCCTGTGGTTCCGACCAACACTTGGCCCACGAGCATACGGCTCATCACGCCCGACGCTCAAGTATCTATAATAACGAGATGGGACATAATCCTGATGCCTGTCCCTCCTACGCTGGGGACCGATCCTGGTAGGGCCGCCAGCTGAGTCGGGTGTAGGAATTTGGCGGGCTGGGGGGCCGAACTCCTCATATCGAGAGCCATTGGACACAGTGGAAGGAGCAGTACGCTGAGTATTAGTCAAAGGACGGCCCCTCTCGGTCACATCTCCAGAGCTAGATTGATTTGGAGGTGGAGGGGTATATCGAGAACCATCATCCATGTCTGAGTCTCCGGCTACTGGTCTTCTCGAAGCCTGCAAGTTATTTTCAGGCTCCTGGGGTCTATTACTAGCCAGGGAGCTACCAAGTTCGTCCAAGAAGCGGTCTGCTGCTGCACGCGTTCCAGAATTACTTGACTCCGGGGGATCCTCTCTAAGTCGAGCTCCTTGTCGGCCTTCCTCGGCATAATGGTCCTCGGAATATTGGTATGGGTCGTATACACGTGAAATCGTGCTTTCTCGCGGCGGGGGCGGCGCATAAAGTATCTCGTCGTGGCCAGGTGGGTATCTTTCTTCATCATGATATATCGGGCGCCTTTCAGGGTAATCTGCGTATGTAGGTCCGGAATTTCGACATCTTCTTATTGGAGGAACTTGCATGTATTCTCTGGCTTCTGAGAAACTATCGTCGTCAAGAGCATCCCGGGACAACTGACGAAGGTCTTGATTAGCCCTGTCGACACTGGAACCTAGAGCCTGCCGGCTACCTACATAATAACGTGGTTCAGAGCCACTATAGCCACGTCTATGAGTAAGAGGCGGACTAGTTCGAGACAGTCGTACCCTGGGAGCATTACGGATTGATGGATCGCCCTGTACGAGAAGGGATGGCCGTTGGGGGTCGTATTCTTCTTCACTAAACCTTGTCGGCCTAGGCGAGTCATGGTATGGGGAAGCTAGAGATGAAGGCCCTGATTTCTCGGCGGAGAGTCCTGGTGTGCCACCCGTCCTGGCGGAGTCCTTAAGGAGCTTGGAGTCTGTATTAGCCAAAGATTCGACGCCGTTGTTATCAATGACTCCGATCCGTGGCAATGGTGTCGGGAAAAGCTTGGGAAAAACAGTAGCGATCATAAGCAGCTTATCATCGTCCATACCGGGTGCGTGGATGAGGCCAGATATGAAGCGATCGCCGGGTAGTTCGATCATATCTTCTTTCCAGTCCAATGGTAGGGCAGAAGGGCCTTGTCCAAAGTCCTGGTGCTGTGGAGCGGTATGCTGAGATTGGAAATGAAAGAATAGATTGAGCGCGGTATAAGTCTTCCTTTCCTCAGGCCGGGACGAGTATGAAGCTGGCCGAGACGAGGATTCCTCTTGACATGACTTACATGAGAGCCCTGGTGCATTTTTCAGAGCTTTGGATATTTGATGATTTGAAAAGGCATCAATGAGATGATTGAGGCCAGGTTCGTGATTGAACTCTATCTGGAACTTGGAAATAACACGCTGCAACAAAACGTATATCCGGAGGCTGTTGGGCAGGTCCTTGATTCCCGATGTTTGTTTCCAGATATCCTGGGCTGCCTCGATAACGGTACTCACTTGCTTATCGAACAGGCTTGAACGATATTCCACGCTGCTGGATTCAGCGACGCCCTGTGCAGCTGGCTGGGGAGCAATAGTAGGACGCGACATTGCAGGGGAGGTACTATAAGCACTATGCTGTGGCATGTTGCCATACCCTGGAGGTCCCATTGGTTGGTAGGAGGCGTATGCATCCAGCGGAGGGCCATATGTCTGAGGATACTCATAGCCTGGCTGCGCCTGTGGCGGCGCGAACGGTCCACTGTATTGACCCCCATAGTGGTATGGTCCAGGGCTTACCTGAGGAAGATGTGGCTGCATGTGAGGTGTGGCTGTCCCAGCTCGTGAATACGCACCGTAATAAGATCCATAGCCGCTGTTTGCACCAGTAGGTCCAGACGCTTGGTAGTTATGCTTCACGGAATTGGGATCGGGATGGAAGGGAGTCTCCTCGGGCCACTCAGCTTCTCTCCAGGCGACAACGATATTGCCCACACTGAAAGTATTAGTATGCTTAGCTCCGAAGTGCTGTATAACACCTTCAAAGCCATAGAACCTAGTATTGCTTTCGCAACCATTGCCGTAGCAGAGGAAGAGCTCCTTACGAAACTGTTCAGTCAGAGGCTTTAGCTTGTTGTCGTACACCCATTTCATATTTTCAAGGACCAGTTTGGGCTTCAGTGCATCGGGTTCCCCTGTAGCATCGTTGGCTGTGTCCTCCAACCCGGGTATCGCAATTCCATCCTCGAGCTCCGCGTAGAATCTGCGACGAACATGCATGAGAAGGTCAACGGCAAATTTAGGACTGGTGTCGTGTGTGACGGCCCGACCGTGATCCCACTGTTGGGCAATGAATTCATCGGCCATAATGCTGAGTCTGTCTCGGATCGGTCGTTGCGACTCGTCCCATTCTCGATCCTGAATCTCTTTAACCTCCTTGGAGTTGGCTTCTTGCTGACGTCGATCCGCAGCGCGAGCGCTCATAGATGTGACTCGTGACGCATGTTCAATCTCGACTTGTTGAGCAGCAGATACTTGGCTCCTTAGGCGAGGCTCAAGCATATTCCAGGCGCTGTCATTCATCGGTTGGGGGATTTGTATTGCAGCTTTGAAAGACTCCATGTGGCGCAACACATTGGGTGGGATGGGCGGATCAAGCTGCTGACACCGACGCTCGATGTCTAATTTGCGATTTGCCTTTGCTTCATTGGCGTCATGTAGATTCCTCTCCGAACGTGGCGGCGGGGCGATCGCATTCGATCCTCCTTGCGGTGTGTATGTCTGTGGCGGTCCGGTGGGAGGTCTATGTTGAGAGTAGTACACGCCAGGGGTGGTCTGTTGAGGCATGGCAGCTACGTTTGTCAGGGGATTTGGGGAAGAAAAAGGCATGTGAACTTCGCTGGAAGCCAGTAATCGGTGCTCTTCTGACTGCGCCAACTGAATAGAGCGATACTTACTCGCTGGTACCGGAGCGTGTAATATGGGAGATGGGGCGGTTCGCGCCGGGGACATTGTCTTTTGTCGTTGATTTGAGATGGTGGATGAGGGGGCATTTGAGACGGCACGCCTTGCTTCCTGGTGTTCTTTCCACCATATGTATTTCACCTCCCAACGCTCCCAGTTTTCAGCGATCCTCATTCGTTCCTTTCCGCGCGAATCCAAGCCCTTCGACCACTCTTCTGCGGCAGCAGGGCCAAGACCGAGAGCTCCTTCTAGCTCGCTCGTGAGTTCCTCAACATGCTCTTTGAAGTAGTATTTCACGATCTCGACGTTCGCAGGAGTTGTCGCTGCCTGCAGAGTGTATGCGGGAATATAATGTTGGTCGCTGGTGACGAGCGCGAAGGGCAGGGCAGGGCGTGCAGCGGACACGGTGGAAAAGAGGAGACTTGAATCCTAACCAACAATAAGTAAACTTGATCACATCTTGAGAGTAAGCTTTCGGCACGCATACAGTTTGACACCTCTGTAGAAGGCATGGACCACATGAGCGGACTCCAAATGGCCATATAATGCGAACTCCCTTCATACCAGGGCCCTTCTGCCAGATCTTCTCGCCCGGAGTGAAAGTGCTTTCTCGATTACAAAACTGACAGCGCTGATTGGAAATTAGTTGCCACATTTGCATTTCGCTGAAGCCAGGAAATGGTTTCGGTGGCTTTGTCGCATGCAGGTTGCGAGCAGACGCCCAAATAGAATCAGACTTAAGGAGACGCAGAAAACCAAAAGCTGGTTTTGCAGTTGAGGCATGCCGGGCTTCTGCGAGATAGGAATGAAAAGATCGATTGACTTGAAGCAATTGACCAAGCGCTTCAAGAGAACAGAAAAGGAATATGTGCTGCCATATTTCTGGCGTAAGACCAGCACATGGCTTCAGGGTCGAAGGCGGCGTCGAGGACTCGAGTCTTGGCTTCTTTTCGCGAAACTGCTCAAGCTCCTCGGGCTTGCGCTTCAAGGGAGAAGTGACGAGAGAGAGACCAAGGTCATTCTGTCCATCTCTTGCAGGTGTGGCTGGCTTCCTATCTGAATCGTAGAAGTCTACTGAGGAAGCAACACTGCCCTCTCGATCTTCCATGACTTGGAGCCACGAGATGTTGAATATTAAAGCAAGCTCGCGGTGGGAGCTTCACCATTTACACGCGACAGATAGAAGACATAGAGGACGACGTGTACGGTTGCTTGCCAATGCGTGGTGGAGGAAGGAAGTAGGAAGGAGAAAGGTGTGGAGACAGCGATGACCTTGGAAACGGTCGGGGCTAGGTTCAAGGTGGTGTGGTAGAAGGCAGGTGACGGGGATGACGAGGGGATATATAGTGGAGATAAGAATGAACGGGGTCCCAAGGCTGGAGTAGTTCGAAGAACAAGAGGGCGTAGAATGAATACAGTAGAGCTGATGAGGAGGATGAGAAGAAGAGGGAAGAGGAATCTTGTGATGTATGGTGTGGGTGGAATAACAGGAAGTTGAAGAGGAAGGAAGCTGTGAGTTGTGAGCCAATCCTCCGAAAATGAGGCGAACGATGGCCTAGGCCGCGGACCAATTGCATCAATCAGCCTGATACTCTGCCGCTGCGTTCTGTGCATCTGCCATCTACACAGTAACTACACAGTAAACAATACACAGTATATTATATGTAACTATCTACCAGGTATTTGCTGGAGTATAATAAGTCTGCTCTTCTCATCTCATCTCATCTGATCTGTATGCACTGTATATGCGCCCACGCCCAACCATTTTCAACTTTTAACCCATACTACTATTCGAGTCCGGCCCTCGACCTTATAGACGGACGAGAACTTGAATATTTTGGGCAGAATCAATGCTTGCTAAGGGAGCCTCCCATCATCATTGCAAGCGTCAGGAGAAGTGAGGGCATTGATGTGTATTAAGTCTACCTCCTCAGGTGGATACCTACCTCTTAAGTACTCCGTACCTGGGTCCTGTCCGGTGACTGAGGGTAATGAGGCTAGGCCCACTCCCATACATACGTATACGATGCAGTACTCATCCACCTACCACCTACTGTGGACATATACGCATACGCATACGCTTACCCCTAGGCAGCACTGTGGGGAAGTATTGACCAGCACAACTACAGATCCACAGGCAAGGGTTTGTACCCAGTAGAAGTATATAGTTGGTGGTCTCTCGCATTTGACAACTTATTCTGTGCATTGCGTGGGTACCTGCTTAGGCAGCTTGTCTAGAACGTCCCTCTTCATATTGTATGTGCTAGCAGCCATGCGTGGACAATTACTATGGTGCGTTGTATCTTTGGCCTAGGAATGGCGATGTCACGGCCGAGCCAGTGGGACGGAGCATCATGTGCAGATTGTTGATGAACCTGTAGTCGAAGAACATGTCGGATGCACATGAACAATATAACTACATGCAGTCAGCTGTGTATCTAGGAAATGGCATTATGTACAGAGTAGCGGTAGGAAGCTGAAGCTACCAACTACCCCATCTGCCTGTATACAAAACTTTACCATTGACCATAAAACGGGCCGAGAGGGAGTATACCATACATGTAGGTACTGTACGCAGCCTTCATAGGGAGTAAGAATTGTTGGTTATTGGCCTAGTTAGCTACCTCGTAGGGAGTTAGTTGTAAGCTATTACATACATAGTAGCATTCGGGTATGTTCCATACCAATACCTAGGTACAAAGTAGTGTGGGTAGAAGTCATTAGACAAGTAATGGGCGATGACGAAGGGCATCTTGGCGGGCCCTCGATGCAGGCTGTGTTGTTACGGAGTACTTGGGTGTGTGCTGTCTGACCTAGCACTGGGCAGGTATCCTTACTCACTAACTACTCATAACTAAGTATACCCAAACTACCTTGTACCTCTCTACCCAGCCTTCCTTGTACATGTACATACTCCGTACACACTGTACGTACATACGCATTCACATCCACGAATAATACGCATACTCTTCTCCCTCCATTCCTCCATCCTTCATCACCATCACCACCACCACCACCTCCTCCCCCTCCCTCTCTCCCCTTCCCCCAGAGAAGGCACGTCTTGCGGTGACCTGTCACTACGCAATCTCTCCTTCGCCTGAAAGAGAGCTCATCGCTCTGCTTTCCTTCGCTCACCCTGCCAACCCCCGGCTATCACCCCGCCCCAGTTTCCAGCTTCTAAGTCTCGAGCCCCAGTCAATATGGCTTCCTTAAACACCTCCAGCAATGGCCCAAACATCACGAGAAGCTATCAAAATATCGTAAACGCTCCGGCGCCTTCCGGTCCCCAAGCCAGCTCCCCCACCTACGGTCAATGGGCTGTCTTCACCGTTGCCGCCCCGCTGGTCAGCGCGTTCCAGCAGGATGGAGGGAAAGAAAGTGTCTTGAAGGTTCAGACTACTGGCGGTACGCATCTGACAGCTAGATTCTGCACACGGTCATGTTCAGAGAGCTAATTGAGTCTTAGAGGGTGAGCTTGTCGACCTCATCGATGAGTTCTCGGACGGCCGTATCCAGTTCGCATTTGTCAAAGTCAAGGACCCGAACACCTCGCTTCCCAAGAACGTCTTGATCGCATGGGTATGATGTGCTTGTCCTTCATAACCTCTGTATGCTTGCTAACATCTTCACAGTGTGGCGAGGGCGTGCCCGAACGTACCAAGGGCTATTTCGGAAGCCATCTCGGTGTCGTTTCCAAGCTTCTTCACGTATGTGCCATTCCCCTCTCTGCTTCCCAATCCGAAATATTGACATCCTCAGGGTTATCATGTGCAAGTCACCGCTCGTTCCGATGCAGATCTCACACCGGAGAGAATCGTACAAAAGGTCTCCGATGCCTCGGGCGCAAAATATGGAGGGGGCCCCGAGATCCCATCTTCACGCGGACCGCCTCCCGTTGCTTCCAAGAAGCCTGTATTCACACCCACACAAGTAGGAGGAGGAGGCTCTGGGTTCAATCCTCTCGGCTCAAGATCGAGGGCCCCTGCGGCCAGTGGCGCTACCGATGAGGATGGATGGGGTGCAGATGCCCCCCAAGTCTCGCGCTCCCAATTGGAGAAGGTTGAATCGGCTTACAAGCCCACAAAAGTCAATCTGGCCGAGCTCACATCAAAGCCGCAAGAGCCCTCGAGGTTCCAAACGCCACAGAGGGAGGAAGCCTCTTCGGACGTGGTCAAGGGCGGATATCAGCCAATTGGAAAGGTTGACATTGCAGCAATCCGCGCGCAGGCAAAACAATCGGGCCAGGATGACAGACCAACGGTCGTCAAGGGTGCCTACGAACCGGTCGGTAAAGTCGACATTGCGGCGATCAAGGCTAAAGCGCAAGCCGCTCCTCCAAGCGCAGCCCCTCGTGGCAACGCCGATGATGAGGAAGAAGCACCCAAATCACTAGCAGAAAGGTCGGCGGCTTTCAGCAAGCAGCCTGAACGCCTTACGAGCCTTCCAAAGCCCAAGGTTGCGAATAAGTTCGGCGGTGGGGGTGCTTTCACGGGAACCAAAGCTCCCACACCCTCCGGGTTCGGTGCGAAGCCTTTGGCCGCTGCCGCACCTGTTGGCACAGCAAGCAAAACATTCGCAGACGAAGGCGGCAAGACACCTGCGCAGATTTGGGCGGAAAAGAAGGCTGCACGTGGTGAGGCAGTACCTTCTGTTGGAGGACCGACCTCTCCTTTGCCTACTCAACAGAGTGGCGAGGGCGGCTGGAAGAGTGGCTACACTGGAAAGTCTTGGGCAGCTGTTCAGACTACTCGCACTGGACAGTCGGCCACCAGCAACATCAGCGAACAGCGCACCGGAGGTGCTCAAGAGCAACATCAGGAGGAGCCTAGCTCCCCAGCTGGTGGTGTCGCCTCTCTGAAGGATCGGTTTGCTGGAGCTGCTCCTATGGGCGCCCCAACCTCTCGCCCTGTTCCAGAGCCTCGCGATGCTCCTGCTCCTCCCCCTATGGATATGTCTAGCAAACCAAACGCTGGAGCTCGAGGTGTGCCTATGCCAGGTCTACCAAGCCGCCCTGCCGAACCCGAGGACGAGGACGATGTCCCAGCTACGCAGCACCAACGTCTTCCTTCTCCCCCACCACAGCCACCACGCAGTCCGTCTCCCGAGCCGTCTGGCTCCCCAGTACGCATTGCTATGCCTGTTGCACGAGGACGTGAGCCTGAAGAACTGTCCCCCGCCGAAGAAAGGGCGCCACCCATGCCAACTCGTTCCCTTGACCAAGCTGCCAGTCACGCACGGGATCTGTCTCCCGAACCCAGAGTGGAGGCGAAGGACCCGGCCCGCGGAGCAGGCGTTGCAGTCGCTGCCGCCACCTTTGGAGCCGCCGCCGTTGCTGGTGCGGGCGTCGCCGCAGCTGCAGGAGCAGGAGGAGATTCTGAAGGTGGTTCTGGTCAACGCGCCGTCATCCAATACGACTATGAGAAGGCCGAGGACAACGAAATCGAGCTCCGAGAAGGCGAGTACGTTACCAACATTGAGCAAGTCGATGAGGACTGGTGGATGGGTACCAACTCGCAGGGCGAGACCGGACTATTCCCCTCGAACTACGTCGAGCTCGTTGAGGACGATGACTCTGGCGCAGGTGCCGCTGCTGCTCCACCACAGCTGCCAGCTCACCCCTCTGCTGCCGAAGAGGAGCCAGAGGAGCCAGCCCCACGTGCCAGTGCTTCCGGTCCTACGGCCACCGCCCTTTACGACTATGAGGCCGCCGAGGATAACGAGCTCAGCTTCCCCGAGAACGCAACTATCACCAATGTGGTATGTATAGGTAACCCCACCGATATCTACTTTTTTAACTAATCGTTATCTAGGAATTCCCCGACGAAGATTGGTGGCTTGGTTCCTTCAATGGAAAGTCAGGACTCTTCCCTGCGAACTATGTCCAGTTGGACGAGTAAGCTCGATCTTCTCGTTGTCGTTGTCAAGACACTGAGGAACGCAACTATTGGGAGGGCCTGTGACTTTTGCGGTATTTAACGCATAAGAGCGAGTATGTTTAAACTCTGTGAGTAACAGATAAAATCAGTGGTGGCGATGCAAGTACGTATTTTCGACCATGCCAAAATGAATGTTAGTTATTGAATGAAGATTGACAGCATTGTTTGGGTACTGATTAAAGTGATAAGAACTTATCCCCTTAAGGAGGGACTGAAACAACTCAGAAATCGACATGTCTATTTTCCTCGCATCTTGCACCAATACTCAACCATATCTCCCAACATCAAAACAATCGACACGAAATTTCTGCACAATTTTAATTTCAATATTACAAAAACACCGTCATATATTAAGAATCTAAACAAATAGATAGAAGGCTCCATCCACACTAGATTTCGTCAAATCACCCACTACTTTTTATTCCTATGCAAACCCCCGTGGTCCCCAGTATCATGAATCGCATTCGGCAACGCCCTCTCCAGCTTCTCAGGCACAGCCTTCTGCAGTCCCAAAGGCACGATCGATGCGTCGCCGTCGTCCTTGGCGTGCGTTTGACGGCCTGTGCCGGAGCCTGTGTCGTGGACCTGAAATTTTTGCGTGTTAGTGGACGCGATTCCTTTCTTGTTTGTTTCGCTCTTCCCTCGTGTCGTCAAATTACCAATTGAGTGAGGCGGGGAAAACGAACTTTGTTTGGAAGAGACTCCTCGAGGCCTTGCGGGGCCTTCTTTTGTACTGTCTCCGGGACTTTAGAGTCGCCTGTCGCGTGGGAGATGCCTTGGCCGCGTTCGTTTTGCATGTTGCTGCTACTTTTTCAATATCGATTTTGATTAATTTAATTTTAAGGTATTGGTATGGTGACCGTTGATGTTGTGTCAGAATGAGGTTGCTAGGAAGTGATCTGTTGTGTATTGATAGTAGACGAATGACTGGACAACACGGCTTTCAACGTTTGTTTATATATCAATCCCCCGTGTCGAAGCGGTTACGCTTCTCTACTACTCGCAACTGTGCATGTACTTGTATTGTCGTCATACATTACGATGCCATTGAGCGCGTGAGAAGGCTGTGCATTTCATTTCCTCCACGCTACAAACCATCATCATCATCACACCTCGTACATCACCTGAAGAATACTAACGATCGATCAATCCACACGTCATAATCTCACACCCTACCGTTAGGCGAATGCGAGCCGAAGCCCCCTTCAACGGATCGCCCCGGACTGCGGACCAAGCACGCAGGAGACCTATCTAGATCGAAGGGCGGGCGAAAGATAATGCCGTCGCTGCTGCGGATCGGACGAAAGATTGTTGCTCCCTCCCGAAGGGGGAGGAACGATTGATTGATGGGAGAGGGAAAAGTCATGACGTTGGATGGGGAGGTTGCCACTAGTGAGGTACGAATATCTACCTAGCTAGCTTCTTTGAGTAGATTTTGCGCGCAATGACGGTGAATGGAGCCGAGAGAATGGTAGGGCTGCTATTTTTGTGTTGAGAAACACGTGGGATTGATCGTTGGGGGTTGGAAGTGGTGATGAATGGATATTAGATGAGCTTCACGGGTGGTAATTGAGGCTGGATTTACTTGTCCAAGCCTGGGTATGCTTCAGGATGGAGGTGTCTATTTGGCAAAGAGTGGGCGCGGAGAAGGAAGTCAGAACACTGGAGTAAATGAAGGGTTTATTTAGTAGGAAATGATGACCTCCTACGGGGCTCTATGTATGTGCTAATTAACAATGATGTTCATATAGGAAATATGTATGGCGAATGAATGTGTCCTAGCCATGTGGGAACTATCTCCTATTCACATCTGACAGCTCCTGCGCATCTGCTACTGCCGATAACTCGAACAAAGTCGGCGGTTCCAAGGAGCCATCTGCAACACCCGGTGGTGGAGAAATCATGGGCTGTAACAAGGGAGATGTCGAGTTTCCAAGTGGCGGCGACACAGACAAGTGCGCAGTTTTTGTTTTCTCGTGATGCGGATCTCCATGTGCTTGGCCAAATACCGTAGGATCCATCGAAATCCGCGGATCGTTGAGATAGGTCTGTGCCGAGATATAAGATGCTGAACGGTGGTGAGCCTGGGACAAGTCTCCAGATGATGTGTCTCCGTCTTTGGGAGTGTGTGCACGCCGTTTCCGCAGATATAGGATAACCCCCACTCCCAGTAATCCTCCAATCCCAAAGAATGCCCCCAAAGCTATTCCAACCTTAGCTCCGACTCCAAGTCCGGACGATGAGTCTTGTCCGTCTGTTTTGATAATGCTCCCGTTCGTGTTTACTGGAGGGGCCTCGTTTGTTTGGCTAACATCCCCCATGGTCGCAGTGATCTTTTGTGTTACGATCACAGTGACAAGTCTCTGCGTAGTAGCGAGACTCTTCCCGAGATGGGATTCGCAATCATCATGATCGCCATTCTAGGAAACGTTAGTCAAGGTACACCAGAAGGATACAGGAGATGCAGACATCCGCGCAGCAGAATCCATCGTTATTCACGTCATAGGCGCAGTGGTAGCCATACATACATGCAGCTTTGAATCGTTAGAAAAATGGTCTTTACACTTGTTTCTAATGATACTCACTGCCACTGTTATCCTTACAACATGTCTCTCCTAGGTATGGTTTCTGGACGGGTCAGCATAACATCTAAAGAAGCGTGACTTCCTCGGCAATATTGATGGTTGTGTGTCACACTTACAAAACAGGAATTGTGGAGAGTATGGCCATCACAGGGTTCAGGTACAGAGCCGTTGTAACCAAGACAATTCCCACAAGAGCCATTCCCACATGCTTCCAGGAGAGGTTGGTACCCAAGATCAAACTTATCGAGATCACCCTCGCCCCAGTAGCTCCACGAATATAGCTCGTTTGATGATTTCGTCGTCTGTGTCGTGGATGGAATAGCAATCGACAAGATAGTCAACAAAACCAGCGTCATGTCGAGATGCCCGACCATTGATTCACTTTCGAGGTAGCTTCGCGGGTAACACGACGGGGGGAAGCTTCTGCAATATAATGGATATGCAAGATGGCGCCGCAGGACCACATTAAGGCTAACCCGCAAGTGTGGTTGTTGGGTTTGTCCGTACTGACAGACTTTGCAGGTCCGGGAGGCCGGGGTCATCATAATGTACTTCGATACCGCCCATTCATGCAGTACATATCTGAGCCAATTGGACTTCGTTCGGACTGTGCGCGACGTCACATACTGTTAGTCTCGATGTTGCTGCTCTGTAATGGACAAGCCAGGCCGCCTATGTGAAACCTTTGATACTGATGTGAAGGCGTGGTTTCCTGGAAACTAGTTTCTATGGGATGTTCAAAATCAAAGGCAACTGAATTCAAGCGCCTAGGGAAGGCATCGCGGTCCATTGTTCGTCGTGTCGTCGAATCATGGAGAGGGATGCATGTGACAAGTGAGGCGAGACACGGCAAATTTGGTGTTAGGGGGCGGCGTAGCATACGGACGACATACCCTGTAAAAAGACATTGAATAACGAGTTCGCTATAGCGTATGAATGGTTTCGAGAGAGTTTAAGGTTTCTTGAAAACAAGGCAGACTTAAAATTTTAACGAGTATTTCTGACTGTCAAAGTAAATTTCGCTTTGATTTTCTGTTGTTAAAATGCGAGGGTAATATCAACACGATGTCAATAATGTATCCTGGGTTTATGGAAGGAATCTTCTTAAGAAATGCGCAACAACCAACATCAAACTGTTTCAAGCTTAGATCACTCTTCAAAGTACAAGGACAAGATCGACTTGACAGTGGGCTCTTGATTTGCAAGCTCTTTCTGCTGGAACACTCACAGCCAATCTGCAACCATGCGTGTATCTCTACATCATGCTATTACCTAGAACAGCTCAAGGCAAAAAAGCATCCAAGATAGCGACAGGAGAACCACCTATGCGTATGCCACCGCCTGGAATGTACACGCGATTTCCCACTCCGACAGCAGAGGTTCCGTGTCGTGCTACCTTCATGGGCGGAAGCTTTTTCCATGAACCATCAGACGTATCATACACTTCAGTATTGTTGAACACACCAGACTCAACTTCTGAGTTTCCTTCACCGCCAAAAGTGTACACTTTCCTGCCTATCGTTCCAGCTGCAAGACCGCCACGAGGTGTCGGCATCCTCCCGGGTTTTGTCACCCATCCTCTCTGAACATTGTTCAAGTCAAGAGCGAAAACCGTATCTTTGACGTTGAACTGACCGTGGTCTCTTCCACCAAGGATGTAAAATACATCCTTCACCACAGCTGCGCCTGAATGGTCTCGTCCCTCTGGAATATTCTTTGCGGCATTAGGCACCGTAATCCATTCGTCAAGAGTAGTATCGTAGATAGAGACGACAGAAACCGTATCCTGCAAGCCATCTTGACCGAGAATCAAAGCCTTCATTCCTCCGGCCAGGTAGATCTTATTGCCATGAACCCCTACCGCGGCGCTACCTCTTGCTTCATCGGCAGGCAATGGCGCGATGCTTGTCCACTGATCTGTTCGTGGATCGTATACCCATGATTCGGGACTTGCGCGCCAGGCTGGAGGAGTTTCTCCTTCGGATTCAACTAGCCCACCGAGTACGTAGATTTTACCACAGCTGACGGCGACGTTGACATGGTTCAATGGGACTGGAAGGGGGGCTTTGACTGTCCACGTGTTTTCGGGTATGGAGTAGAACTGCATGAGATTGCTTGTGGGTGGAGGGAACTCGATGCTAGCTATGCCTCCAAGGATGGCCAGAGTAGAAGGGGGTAGGAAGACTGTTGTGTGTTCTTGTCGTGGAGCAATCGTAATGTTTGCTAACGAGGTCCATGTCGGATGTATTTGGTTCGGGTAAGCAAGAGCAGACGAAGCAATAAGCAATGCCTGGAGTAGTAGCATGGTGAGAGAATACCGAATGTAACCACGATCGGATATCATGTTTGATGAGAAGTATTTGGTTCAGTTGACGTGCATCCCATCTCAATTATATAGTTATCACCATCATCAGGCGTGCACACATGACCGCACGAGTATCGCGGACGAAAAGAATAAGGATTCTACGAAATGATTATTTAGGAATAGACGCAGACTTGTCAAGGCTTGAGAAAAGGTTCATGTTGGTTATATATTTCGTACAAGATGATCCATAGTCGGACCTGGGCGGAGATCAGCATCTACTCCGCCTCTGTTGTACGCGACGTAAACCGACCTATGCTCCCATTGGCCCTGTGGAGTCTTGTGTGCTGACGCCTGTTGTACACTACCTTGGTACATTCTAGTAATATTCGTCCGCGTCAATTTAAGAAAATGCATTTCCGCTAATGCGTATGTTTGGCACGGAGCCAAGTAGATTTATCTTCCTTCGAAATGCTCAATGATGATGGAGAGACCATGTCGACTGCACAGATGGTTGGGTTTACTTCCACGTCCCAAGACATCATACTGTCCGGACCACTCGAATTCCTGCCTCGGACGCGACATCATAAATACAGCTCACAATAGGTTCGACATCAGAGCCCTTGATTGCGATTCTATGCGCACCATCCCATTCGATGAGCCTTGTGCTTCCCTTATCACAATACTCATCTAGTAGCCTTCTGTGTAGCGCAAGTCCTGGATCCGCTAATCCATGGACGTGAATGGTAGGATTCCTCAGTATTGCTTCATCATCCACCTCCTTCACAAACTCGAACGACTCAGCAACATTTGCAGCCGGAACCAACGCCGCACTCTTCTGGACATCCGGATTCAAGTTGATGAGGGGAGCTCTTCCAGCAAGCAGGACACCAAATCGCCAGTCCAGGCCAGGAATACCGATGGGACCTGTATCAGTGCCCGCCTTGCGCTCCCTCACAGCCTTGTCTTCTCTCGCCTGCTGCTCGAGAAGCAGACTTGCGCTCAGCTTAGCACCCTGACTGAACCCCATGAGTCCCACCCACTGCCCTGTTCCACCCGCGCGGTCGTCCTCTTCCATGGCGGTCCGGAGCGAGTATCCTATTTCCTCTATGCAGCTCTCCGAGTCAATCTCTGAATGTTGGTCCAGCCATCGCACCCATCTGCGGAACGGTCCGTAGGTTCCGTACACACGTATGACATCGGGGTGAGGGTCGCAGAAGAATGGAGCCTCGGCCCAAACGAGGCGGAAGGAATGTTGGAGATGCCGTATCAGGGAACGTGACTGTGCCTCGAAGATCGTTGCGTTCACACCACCGCCATGCAAACATAGTATTCGAGGTAGATTTGTGGAGTCGGGTATCTTTTCTGGAATCTTGGACGTGGACTTGCGTCCATTGGGTGGGGAGATCGATGCGGGCATTGCCACGAGCGGGAGGGCGCCAGGACCTGGTGAATCCTAGTTGGAGGAGTAATTGAAGGTTTGGAAAGCGAGAGAGAAAAGATTTAAGGACAAGTGAGGTCGGGGTACTTGATATAACAAATTATTGAAACAATTCTACATGCCGATGCAAGGTTGTCTGTCAGTGATTGGCGCAAGGACAAGGAAAGCCGTTGTTCCTTATCGGAGTCCGACCTGTACGTAGACCTGATCTGTATACCTTCTCTGTTTTCGCTCATCATTTTCTTCTATAAACATTATTCGAGACCATTCTGGATATTTATTCGCATTTCTGTTCGTGTTAATCTGACCTAGACGGTTGCTGCTCTTTAAAAATGGAGGAAACTTCTCGCTATGTTGACATCGGGAAGCTGAAGGAGAGTGGGGTGCCGAAGAACACGAGAGGGCTGCAGCTGAGAATAGCAACTAGAAGATAACTGATGAATTGCCATGAATTCACTATCGGAAGAAGGGGTCCATCACGAATCAATTCGACACCAGTTATTTCAAAACGAACATCCTACAACGCAGTCAAGGGCACAACAAATGGTTCCTGGAGAAACTTCCCGAATAACGTCGCTCACTTCGCGGCATCGACGTCGAAGTATAATTGAAGAATCGAAGCGTAATTGAAGAATAACAGCTTACACTACCAATATATCGCGTGAAATGCCTTGTATATATGATCTTCACGGATGTGAAGTGGCTCATGACCTTGTTGGAGGATGTTGTTGCCTGAGGTTACAAGTCCAACAAAGATGGCCGAGTGGATAAGGCGTCAGGTTCGGGATGCCGCAGTCTTCGACATATTTTGCAACAACATACCGCATTAGGCATGTTGAAATACGGCTGCCCAAGGCTGAGCGATCCGGATACAGCTCAAACATGACACCGAGGCCACTGGCTCTCACATTGCGGGAGCACATAAAGACATTTTCGGAGGTTGAGATGTTTTCTCCACGGTAAACACGCCTACTGGATTTGATTGGAGGCCATTGTAGGAACATGGCCATGAGCGGTCGTATAGGAAATTGCTGCGTTCGATGGAAAATGTGCAAACTTACCGCATCGGGCGCGTGCGAGCTATACAGCCTTCATGATTGAATGCCAAAGTGCTACCAACACATGAATTGACCTTAAGCGCACCTCTATCGCAAAGAACATAAGAACAGTACTGAGTAGTAGCTCGATCCTGTGCAGTCTGTAATACTTGTCTAAACTTGCACGTATGTATGCAGCAGATATTCTACAATAGACCACGCCCCGTCTCCGTGTGCCAAATAAGTACCAAACCTTCACATACCGTCCCGTACCGTACCGAGCTGCATTTCCAAGGCTCTCTTGGACAACAGTAAGCAGTGTACTCCGTGGTCTCTGTGAGTGAGTACTCCGTACAGTAAATACTATACACGAGAATTATCTTGTACCCTGCTCATAGCCAAGTCCATATAGTGAGAAAGTAGCTGCTTAACGAGGCAGTACAAAAAGTCCCTCAAATAGTCTCGTCACTACGCAAATTAGCACCATTTTGGCCCCTCTGTTCGTTCCATAGATTGTGTCAATTTCTTTTTCTTCAATTTATCGTTTTGCTGTCTATGGGTCGGGGCGGAGTTGGTTTTCAGCATGCGGGGCACTCAGAAGTGCAAGCCTCTCAATTAAATGGGCAATATACCCTCACGATATTCACGAGTCGAGTCTGCGGTCATCTTCGCCCGACGCGATTACAGTGCTTACATGCTATTGTGCGAACCGTAAGCAGAGAAGACAGGGTGGGCATGCAAGAACGCCCTGCGGTTTATTGCGTCGGCTGGATTGGGAATACTGAGGCGAATTGGGATAGTGTGATTAGAGGGGTACCTCGACGTAAAGTACATGCATACATGTACATCGACACCGGGCGATGCTAGCCACGAATGCACTGTGTAGAGTGCTTCTAGATTGAATCGTGCTATCTTCGTCTCGCTCGCGTCAGTCGTGCTCGAAGGGTATTCAATGTTGCGATATGCGATGTTTCTGTAAACTGATGAGGAACCGCTATGCATCGTTTGTCTATCCTATCTATTATAAACTCATTTAAATGTTTGTTTCATTTCTTCGATGATCAATTTTTGCAGACACTATTAGACGTCTAGAGCTTCCCCCTACGTGCATTCACTGCCTCCCGCAATTTCAGGATGACTTCTCCTGGGTCTGCAGCGCCGAAGACAGCGCTTCCAGCTACAATGACGTTGGCTCCGGCGTCTGCTGCTTGGTCAATAGTCTTTTCGGACAGACCACCGTCTACCTCGATGTGCAACTCAGGGTATTTCTTGCGCAATGCGGTGACCTTGGGTAGTTCGGATGCCATGAATGATTGGCCACCGAAGCCGGGTTCTACTGTCATGATAAGGACCATCTGCAAACAGTTAGTTACCATTCCGTGAGGGTTCATGCCGTCGGAGAAAAGGGCGCGTGTTGGTGGCAAAAGCGTGAACGTGGTTGGTACATTTCAGAAAGTCTTGGGTGGAAGAGTGTGACAGGGCAATGAAGGTCGCTGGCTTTAGCGCCTGTATTGCCAGCCGCCCCCAACCTGCCAGCCCTACGACCCAACTTCATGTGACCATGGCCTAGGCCTGCCCGGACCGTACCGAGGGGTTATGGCGCTTCTCCAATCTCTTTCGATTGCCTGGGTATATGCCGAATATTTGGCTGATAGGGCGAAAGATCCACTTACATCTGGGACCTCTTCCTTCACAGGGTTCTCCAGAATCTCCCATAAGACGTCTACTGATGTGCTTGGTTTTATAGCAATGCCAGCCTGCATACCGCTCTCATGGATGTAACGAATGAGCTCTTTTGGGGAAGTCTTCTCGTCAGAAGTGCCCGAGGGAGTAACTGCGGCGGTCGAGTTTACGGCGGCCTCGTAGTGGAAGCAGTAGAGGTCACAGCCGGCTTTCTTGAAGTCTTGAACCCATCGTTTAGGCTAGTTCAAATGGTAAGCATTCAAGAATTGAAGCCAAATTATGAAAGGAAGTGCCCGTTCTCAGAAACGAGATCAGATGAATGGCATACCTCTGCAATCATCATATGGCAGTCGAAAGTACCCTTTCCATATGCCTCTGTGGGTGGATTGACATGAGATCGGATCTTGGTCACAACTGGAGCGCCAAAGGTCATGTTGGGCACAAAGTGACCATCCATGATGTCGACCTTGAACGCGTTAGATGCATGTCGACGCGTTTGGTGATGAGAGGAAAGCGTACATGAAGCCAGTCAGCGCCCTGGCCAATGGTGTGCGAACAGGCCCTGCCCAGCTCTGCGAAATCAGCAGAGAGGATCGAGGGAGCGATGATGGCTGGGGGAGACATGGCTGCGATGAGAGTAGGACAGCTCTGCTGGGCCCTTAGATTATGGAGATATGGGGATGCGGGCGGAGGCGGAGGCGGAGGATTGACCAACGCAGCGGAAAGATTGATGGCGTTGGGTGAGCTCGGATTAGGGGGCGAATATTGCGATGCGACTTGACAATGTACGAGGCTTCGTGGTGTTCAGCGTAACGCTGTTAAGACTCTTTTTTTGTTGGTGTAGGTAGATGGTAGGGTATCAGGTAGTGAATTAATTAGTAGTGGGGGAAATGGAGAGGGGAGGGGAGGAAGATCAAACGCCGACGTCAATGCGACCAGCACCAACCCGACCACCAACTAATCATTAGATACTAGATACTAATTACTGGAGCTAACTCACATTACTCTGATTACCATACCCTAACAAATAATGACCACTACTGTCTCGACGACAATGATGATACTACGGAGTACATGCTGACAACACATCAGAGAGAGATTGTTGCCAATGCCAGGATATACGACACCATACACAGTAGCTACCCCGCCTTGGCAACGTCAAGTCGTCTCTTCCAGTCTTCTTATTCATGCGAACACTATCTATTCGACCATCTCCCAGCGACTCACCATCCTGCATTACATCTGGTCGCCTACACTGCTGTTTCTCTTGATGTTTGGCTTGCCGATGTTCCAATGCCATGGCGTGTGACGCATATTCCTGGGCTGTTCTTCCCATGGACAGTATGGGCCTTCGACGCCACCCAACTGGCTGGCCTGGCCTCGTTTCGATTCCATCTTACCCCAATAATTCTCCTTCCAGGGCGAGGTTGAACATCCATCGAATACCAAAATTTCCGTGAACGTCAGCCGAACCACGGAGATTTCCAGAAAGCTTCGACGTGCACATGGCTTCACCTGGCCAGGTCCCACCAAAGGAACCAACTCCGCGTGGCAGAAACACAGCCGCAGTCTTACTTGTAACTAACTACACCACAAACCTACATCTCCTCGCGAGTCGTGTGCGCACCCCACGCCTCTGCAATACAGAACGGCAAATAAGACAATAATCAATCGCCCAAAGATAGGGCGGTCGTTCCAACCGATCTGCCAGCATGTTTATTGGGGATGGGTTGGCGAGTATGCTGTGCTCGGCCATTCTGCACAGCGATTGGCTGGCTTTGCATCCTCGAAGCGCTGAGAATAGACCAGGCTGGCATGCCCGGGCGCTTCTATCCCCATCACCCAATCCTCGATCACGGTAGAACAATTTGTCCATTCCTCTGGATGCGCCCTCTCCCCAAAAGCGATCAATCCAAAGAAACATCTGTATGCCATCTCTGCTGTCCCGCCAATCAGGGCCACATGATCCTGGTTGCCATGTCGTGGCCGCCTTCGTGCCGCTATCGTCTCCCCACTTCCTCTTTGACGGCTTTTGCTAATGGATGAGATCGCATCCATCGCAGCCTCTTCAGTGCCACCGTAGCACTAGGACACCATGTAGGTCGAGAATGACGGCGTCTATGGTTGGTATATCCTTCCACTTGCCCTCCCCGCGTGGCCTTTCTCTTGCTATTCACTTCTGCTTCCCTCACGGGTCTTTCAATCTTTACCCTTTTTTTATCTCTTCGTTGATCGAAGCAGTCTTATAATTATCTGTTTTCTTACGAGAGAGCTGTTGAACGGCTTAGGGTTATTGCCCCGTTAATATCAAATCTCCAATCTCAGTCATTGTTCTTCCAATTTTGGGGTGTTTCTCCCAATCCTAGTATTACCCAGCCTCGTTAAACCGACCCCCAGCAAGTTCAGTCGATTTTGCGTACCGAGTCATAATAATAGCACGAGGCGAAGCTCACCTCAGCTCAATATACCACAATGCCTGAGATACTTTCTGCGACAGTATACAATCCTTCCACCTCCCTTGGCGTGCAGCACATTCAAGATGCCGTGCTCCCGCTGGCCGATAGACACGCTCTTCACACGCCAGGTGTCGATACTGAAGACGAAGGTACAATCCCCCGTTACTACTTTACGCCAAGGTACTCGACTGCCTCAACCTATATGCCTGCTGCCATCTCACCACGGACGATCGAGGACTTCCCCACCCCAAAGGCACGTGGTTTCAACATGTCGAAGCAGGCTGGTCAACCTTCGCCCTGCCTTGACACCTTCCCCGCCGACGCCATGGTGCAGAGCGACAGCGACTTCGACTCTCTGTACGATGTGACCGACGATGAGGCCGAGGTCCCTCTCAAGTGCTCTGCATCCGTGAAGAAGACTGCACGCTCTGTTCACAGCCGATACCCATCCGTCGTGATCCCCTCCCCGTCCACCTGGCCCACCATAGAGAAGCTTCGAAGTGCACAGAACGCAGCACCTCCAACACCTCCAACGCTTCTTACTCCTTCTCGACAGGCTCTGTCAATGATCCAGTCCCACAACCTTCTCGTACCAGCTCGCTCTACCACCCCTTCCCTTGATGGAAGCTTGACCTCCGAAGAGATGGATAAATTGAGCTGCCCCTCCACCCCTGACACGCACAAGCGTCGATCGAACTTGAACGTAGATGAATGGGGCCCTGTTCAGCTTGACTTACAGGCCCTACAGACACTTCAACATCTCAGCTCAATGGACTTTGGCATTGAGCAACAGGAACAGAACCACAGGCAAGGCGAGATGCAAGAAGTTGCCAGGCCGTCCCTAAACCTTAGCATTCCCTCTGCACAGCTGCCCAGCACATGTGGCAACACCCCCATCTCTGCCCTTTCCGTCCCTTCTCCCGGGGGATTTTTCTCTTCGCTCAAGCTCTCTGCCCGCCATACCTGGAGCATTCCCAAGAAAGAGGAGTCAGCCCCAAACACCTCCACCGCCGAACACTTTTATGGTGTACCTTGGGGAAACCGTAGAAAAACACTGGGTCAGAGCATCATCAAGGAGCAGACTGCCACTCTCGCCGGTTCTACGCTAGATGGCTTTAGCGACTCAGGCATGCCAACCGCCCGCCCCGTCATCCAGGACGACGAGGAGGCCTTCGAGGTCAAGGAGATCAACCCTAGCAAGACCATCTTCCAATACAACGAGAAATACGACGCAGAGGTGCAGAAGCTCTCAACTCTCAACCTCGAGCGGACCAGCCATTGGCTTGAGGAGCAGGATGAGCTTCAGGCCGCACTTCGAGATATGAGCTCCATTGCCTCGCCGAGCTCTCCAAGTGGCAGCCACAGCCGTGGCAGCTCTCTAGACAAGAGCACCAAGAAGTCGGTCACGTTTGCCGAAGAGCCCCAGAAATCGCAAGCCGAGCCTGGATCGCCTAAGCAGACTACCACCTATATCCAGGGATTTGAGTTCATTCGCAACCAAAGCCGTAAGCAAGATCCCTACATTCACCGACAGACCCGCGCCGAAGCCATGCACCTCCGCCGAAGGTGTATGCCCCAAGCCCATAGGGATCAGCTACTTGGCAAGTTCGAGCTCACTGACCCCGTGCGACCTTCACCTCCACGACCGGTGTCCGAGTTCTACATGAACGATCCCACCGTTCTCAAGGAGAGGATTGCTCGTGCCCAATCCGAACGACAAGCGCTTGACCAGATGCTACCAAGCACCTGGGTCCTTCAGGCACAAAAACAGCTGAACGGCGGCAAGCTACTCAGCAAGCCCGCAGCACGACTTATCTCGCGCGCGCGGGAGCCACGCATCCTAGATGTTGGGGGCATTCCTACCAATGACTGGGCCTGGCAAGTAGCTTATGACTACACCTATGCTACTGTCACCACAATTTACACTGCTGGAGCCAACCTCACAAGCAACGTCAGTGGACCCGAGAACCATAAGCATATGACCGTCCCAAACCTTTGGACATTTCCATTCCCTAGCGAACACTTCGATGTCATTTCTGCTCGCACTCTTTACGAACTGCTCAAGACTGACAAGCCCCTTGGTCGCTCCAAGGACGAGTATGATCTATGCATCAAGGAGTGCTTCCGCGTGCTCAAGACTGGAGGCATCATTGACTTCTCACTCATCGACTCTGACATCATTCAAGCCGGAAGCAGTGCCCAAGCCAAGAGTGTTGAGTTTGGATTCAATTTGAAAACCCGAGGCTACGACGCCGCCCCCACCAAGGCATTCCTACCACGTCTTCACAAGGCTGGATTCAAAGACGTGCAAAGAATGTGGATGGTGCTTCCAATGGGCAGGACTTCTGCCAATTGGAAGGATGTCCTCCCTGTTGGTGCCAACAACAACGAGCAAGAAAGGAGCATTGGTCCGGACGGCCAGGTACAGGTTAGCGAGGCACCAGTCTTCGGCTCAACCGCAGATGCTGCCATGATGACCGGTATTGTAGGAAGTTGGTTGTGGGAGAAGTGGATGCTGCGATTGCAGGTTGAGATGGGCAAGGAGGATGAGAAGCTTCTCGAAGGCGTTGTACAGGTCTTGGAGGAGGGTGTTCGTGAGGGCTCCGGATGGAGGTATCTTACTGGATATGCCAGAAAATAGGTACTCTCGTGTAGATTGCTCCTTTTAATATGGTGTGCTTCAGATCGGCATTAGCGTGGTGTTCAGGACTCGTGGTTTGCATGAGTGGGCGTTTCTTTTAAGATTGATACCATTTGACAGGGTCTATATAGTCATTGAATGCGAAATTGTGTCAATACTTATCCAAGATACCACTAGATTGAAATGAGTTACCGTTGAGACTGAGGCTTCTCTTCATGTTGATGGCAGAGAAGAGATGCATTGAGTGAATGGTTAATCACGTGTGTCGTCGGCTAAACCACGGCAGCCCCGCTAAGCTTTCGCAACCTCCGAAGCTGCATCATACCGCACGTCTCTCTATGCGCGACGGCAGCTACAACATCTGTACACCTCAGAACCAACCACATACCCCAAAAGCTCTTGGAATACGTCCGCCTTTACCGAATTTCGATCACCATGCTTTTCTTCAGGTTTGTCACCACTATCATTATTACCTACTTGATCTCGCGCTCGCCTTCAACCCGATTTTGAACGACTTGTCCACCCGTGGATTTGACTGCGGCTCCCGATATAATGTATACAATCTTTATATGTGAAGGACTCAGAGGAGACGATCTCAGTTACGGATCATAGGCACGCACCAGCCAATCGCTTTCGCCGTTGTATTTCTTCTTACAACGCCCTCACATATAACGATTGTTTACTACACAATCTCGGTTGTCCAATTGCTGGAGGATATGCATACAAGAAGGCTGTGCCTGTTCTGAATTAATGCTTACATATACTTCAATAGTTTCTTCAAGACACTGGTCGACCATGAGATTACCGTGGAGCTCAAGAACGAAGTGTGCATCCGTGGTACACTGAAAAGCGTCGACCAATACCTGAACATCAAGCTCGATAATGCTGAAGCAACCGACGAAGCAAGGTGGCCGCATCTGGTATATTTACCCTCTCGACTTATAACTCGTCTCGACTTATACCGTGCATTGTTGCTCTATCGGATTGCTGACGATCTTTACTAGTGTTCGACGCGCGACATGTTCATTCGTGGATCCGTTGTCCGATATGTACATCTACCTGGTGGGGCTGTCGATACAACACTTTTGGAGGATGCCACAAGGAGAGAAGCGGAAGCTGCGAAGAACAAGGCGAAATGAGCGGCTGCGTTGAGATGTAGTGAAGTTCAAAATCAGTAGCCCAATTCACGTGGACGTTGCCAAGCCGGCCGCCACGTGTGTAGCACATGGAATAAGCTCGACGGGCTGAAGCAAGATCATGACCCGTAACGACATGCATAAATGCAAGTCGGCCAATCGTCTAAAAGGGTGGAGATCGAGACGCCAAAATATGAGATCACGAGGCAATTGGATGCAGGAATATACCCTCCACGAATAAGTTTCCATTTCACAATGTCAAAAATACCATAATGTTTCGCAATCTGTGTCTGATCACTCTTAAATATGCGGTTTCTGTTCTGATGTTGTTTAAAAGAGCGGAAGCTTGTCCCGGTCTTTCGAAGTGCGTTGTATTATCTGCATAGGCACAGGTCGAACGAAAAGCTTGGTAATGTTTTGCTTGAAGCATTCGAGAATTGACATGAGTGGTTGTAAAGTATTCATAAGTCCAAGCGTTTTGGTGCTATTTCGACTGCTTATGAGTCGCATTCAGCTTTCAATTTCACCTTGAAGCACATCTTTGCATGGGCCAGCGTTCCCCTCATTCTCTTCAGGGCCACTGCTCTCTCACTTGACGAGCAGCATCTCAACTTACAGATTCAACTTAACATCATCTTTCCTTCACCTTCACCGGAATAACCTCTCTGCCGCTGCCAAGCTAGTGTCTTGAACGGGGCCATTGACCACTCTGCCTTCACCAATACCACCTCACCTGCTCCTCGCCCTCTCTTTTCCTCTTCACCATCGACAACAGTTCCTAAAACCTCCAGCTTGGGGCATGATTGGTATCTTCAGTCCTACAACATGCGTATCACTAAGCTATTCCCTGTCATCGCCAGTGCGATGATTACCATGCCAGCAGCTGTCGGATTCATGATCCCAACTGGCGTGAGTGCGGGCGGCACCACCTTGACAACGAAGCTGCGGGCTCGGTCCCTCGTCTGCCCAGGTGGAACACCTACCGCCAGATCTGACCATAAAATGCCTTTGGTGACGCAGGAGAATGGTAAGTATGATCTCCCTTAACCTTCATAGTAATTGTTTTACCAGTTGTACTTTCACTCTGGGGACTGTCAGGTGCTACCACCCGCGGTCCAAACCATCACTCACCTTTAGCTTGACGACAGTGTCGTCAAGGGTTTTCATCATTCCTACAGTGTAAAAGCCCTTACTGACCAGTCGACAGTTGTCACCCACACCGGGGCCTTCAAAGCTAATGCGACTGGTCATGCTGCAAACACCACGCACTGGCCCACCTTTTCCGAGAGCATGTACATTGCCAAAGTGACTTCGACCACTCGCAATAAAGAGCTCACAATGAAACGCGGTTCGGCAGATGAAGTGCCGATCCCTTGCCTCGACCCCGACGACGAGCACCTCACTCGGCTTCTTCCCTCAGAGATCTTGAGCGCCTTGTTTTCCCCTGATCTAGAAACCACGTACCCACCCGACCCCGTCGCCACCGGCGAGAATCCTTTCGACCCTTCTCCCATACCAGAAGATGACTCGGAAATGAAACAACAGCGAAAGATCATACTCCGCGGCTCCATCGCCTTGGCCGTCATTCTCGGTCTGTGTCTGCTAGGCTTTTGGCTATGGTGGATTATCTGGTACATCCCTCTGACACGTCGCAGGAGGGAGGCGGCTCAGCAACGAGAGATGGGGCTTGCGCAGATGGAGCGTGATCGAGAGCAGGCGCGCATGCGGGCTGCAGAAAGCGAAATGGGTCCTGACGGAATCTTGGTGCCGCGGATCAGGTTCAACGCGCACAAGGGCAACAAGGACCCTTACGACATTGAGTCCATCATGAACATGGAGGAGGGTGAGAAGTCTCGTTCTATCTGTGAACGCCCAGACGAAGGAAATACGCCCGCCAATTATGAGAACAAAATGAAGGAGAAGATCGAGAATGAGACGATTTCTGAACGCAAGGACAGTCTTGTGCCGGATCCTGTCGTCGCAAACCCAGCCATGCCAGCAAGCGTTGAGGATCCTGACGCGATCACTCCCGCACCTCCTCGTTGAACACACAGTGTGCGAGTGTGGTGAGCTCAATGTTGTCCCTTGAATATCTGGTGTCGGTCAATGTTTTCAGGAGACTGGGTGAGCAGTGGGCTTTTGTTCGACGTTCGAGTGGTCATAAATCAGGTTCACAAGTATTACATTGGCAGGTCCTAAGGTAACAGATTTGAATGTGCAATGGGAAGGTTACAAAAATTGATCAAATGCATTACGAGACCTAGTATCCAATAATGATATCTAACATGGGTGGTTCCCGTGAATATTGATTTTAGTGTATGGCCAGTCAATTACGCTAGGTATACATGTACAGTATATGTACATGTATCAAGGATAAGCGTATCCGCAACTGAATACAAGTCTCCCTTCCCACGGGTGCCGATGAGCTACAATAAAGATGTCGGTAGTACATGTTAGATAGAATCGGAATACGACGAAACGAAACGAAACGAAAAAGCAAATCCCCAGGTTTGGCCCCAGTTTGATCATCGTTCAAACACGTACACCACTGTGCTGGTACAGGTGTAGACAAGTCCTAAGCCTCTACTAGACATCGCCATCCCCGGGGTAGTGTTTCCGAAAGCTTAATTGGACCTACTCGTATGTAGCTAATCGTACCTCTAACTAAAGGTCCGGTATCAAGACAGCGGCGATATTTCTTAACTGGAATACGGAGGCCGATCTTGTCAGATAAGGCTCTGGAATGTCCGAGCGACATCGGTCTTTTGCGACGAACTTGTTCTCTAGGTCCGCAACTTGGAGGACCCAACAAATTTCTACATGCAACACAAGTTCAATAACTTTGCACAGAAGTGACAATAGATACTACAAAGGGATCTGCAATTGTTTTCCGTCACAGCAGGCGCTCATTTTATCCGCAACAGTTAAAATTGGCTCTCCCCCGCGTTGAAACGTCCGGATAAGTCGGCAAAGTGCGCTTTTGGAACCTAACTACACCCATTTCAGGAAGATCGTAGGTTTAGCTGCAGTGGAGCGATAGGACGCATTGCGATTAAAGCACGATCTTTTCCCGCTCATCCCTCACTTGCACTTCATTGAAGCATTTCATTTTCTATTCTTATTCCATTTGCTGCAGCTTCTGCAATGATCTATCTTTCACGATGGGTAATACACAGAAAGAGTACCAGGACAGAGTCAAGGATGACTCCTCGGTCGAAGCTCTCCCTACGCTGACCAGTCCGATAAACCAGCCAGACCCAGACGTAGAGAAAATTGGAAATGGCGCAACTCTCAACCGAGAGGTATCAGGGCCTCCTTATTCTGCCTTCAGCAATGGGATGAAATGGTGGATCATATTCCTTGTCTCTATTTCTGCATTAATCTCACCTTTTGCGGCTACTCTGTACTATCCCGCATTAAATGTCATGTCGGACGTGTTGCATATTTCTCCAACGATGACCAACGTTTCTTTGACTACTTATATGGTAAAGAATCTATCTACGCGAGAAAGATGTACATTAGCTGATTTGATTTGGATAGATTGCTCAGGCAATAGCACCTGCGATCATTGGTAATCTCTCCGATAACAGCGGTCGTCGCATTGCTTTCCTCGTTAGCTATGTGATCTTCATCCTAGCAAATATCGGTCTAGCTTTACAGACCAATTATGCTGCCCTTCTCATTCTGCGTATGGTCCAGGCGGTCGGAGCCTCTGCCTCTATTGCACTCACCGTGGCTGTAACCGCAGATATCGCCACATCCGCGGAACGTGGCACCTACAATGGATACGCCTCTGCCGGCATTCTGTTCGGACCTGCCTTTGGCCCTATGATCGGAGGAGTTCTTGCACAGTATCTTGGATGGCGATCTATATTCTGGTTCCTGGCCATTTACGGCGTAGTACTACTCATCGTCTTCCTCGTCTTCTTGCCAGAAACATGTCGGAACGTTGTAGGCAATGGTTCCATTCCCGCCACGGGACTCAACCAATCAGTAATTGGCTACATCCAGCAACGCAAGAATCGAAACTCAGGAGGAGAGACTGAAAGCACCATCACACCTGCGGAGAAACGCAAATTCGTAATGCCAAACCCATTGTTGACGCTGAAGATCCTCGGAGAGAAGGAATCATGCATTGTGCTGCTGTACAATGGCCTCTTCTTCACGGGACTCATGGTCACTACCGCATCAATCCCGGATCTATTCAAAACCAACTATGGCTTAGACGAACTTAAAGTCGGCCTTTGTTATATCGCATCTGGCACAGGCGCTCTATTTTCCGCATTGTCAACCGGCCACATCCTCGACTGGAACTTCCGCCGACACGCCGCTCTTCTCAACATCCCAATCACTAAAGGCAAACAGCAAGATCTCCGCAACTTCCCCATCGAAAAGGCGCGCCTGCAGGTCGCAGTACCAGGCCACATCATTGGCACAGCTGCGTTAGTCGCATTCGGCTGGACAGTGAAATTTCAAACACATATCGCTTGGCCCGAGATTGCACTCTTCTTTCTAGGCTTCGGCATCACCACAGCATTCGGCGTCACGAACAACTTGCTGGTCGACTTCCATCGCGATAAACCCGCCACTGCAACAGCCGCGGTCAATTTCGTCAGATGTCTCATGTCTGCTGGTGGGAGTGTGGCGATTATTCCAATGTGCCGCGCGATGAATCCTGGGTGGGCGTTTACGTTGATAGCATTGATATATACGGTATTGATAGCCGTGGTCTTCTGGATCATGCGTAATGGAATGAAGTGGAGGGAAGAGTTGGAGGCGAAGAAGGCGGCGCTGGCAGCTGTTACGACGGCGTAGGTGCGGTTAGATGACTTAATATGTATATACATACGTCTTTTTAATGAGATATGATTCAACTTCAATTCTTTCCCCTAACAATTTTTTGAAATTTCGGCATAGATCATGTTACCGTGTCGGTTTAATAGGCTTCATGCATTTATGACATAGGCTTTTATTAATATCGTCTATGTGAATGAAAACTCAATGAGAAAAGCATATACAAGAACATTACTCTACAGAATCATCATCTCCATGAAAGAATCGTAACACAGCTTTAGCCACAATCAATCCATCGTGCATCCAGTCCGCCCTCTCGGCGGCCTCATCCGCATCCTCTAGCTTAACCGATCCAGCCTCAACACGCATCTCCAATTGCCTCTTTACCATCTTTTCGTCGAACTCCATGTGTCCTTGCGTGGAGAACAATCGACACTGGATATATAACCCCTGGACTCCGGTGTGTTCACTCTGCCCCCAAACGTGCACCTTGGTCCCGGACTTGATGAGTTCGTTGCCCTCTGAGGACGGCGGATCAACAACGTGATCCAAGTGCATCTGATGCAGGTAAATGTATTTTTCCGTGGAGGGGAGATTGAAAAGCGACCTTCCGACATCGGTAAGGGTTATAGCTGTGTGTGACAACTCCCATTCCCCGTCTGCGTTTGGTTCGACTGTTCCCCCCAATGTCCGGGCGAGGATCTGGTGACCAAAACATATGCCAGTAAATCTGATATCGGGACGGTTAATCCATAAATCTGATGTGGTTTATTAGCATACAAGAAAGTGGGAAATGCCATCATCAATTTCACATACACTTGATAAGATCCATCAACTTCATAACCCACTCATCGTCACCATGCGCATCGTACACGCTTCCCGTGATCAAAATCGCATGTACATCGTCCCCAATCTCTTCCTTCTTCGGGATCTTGCCACCATCCGGTTCGACGACATATTGCATTACCGTCTCAATACCGAGTTTAGGGTCGTGTTCCTCTCCGGCCTTCACGAAGAGCTCGTTGAGCACGTCGCCGAAAGATCCTTTCTCTCTCTGTGTATCCGGGTGCGGCTCGTCTGTTTCGAGAACAAGCATGCGCACTTTCTCGGGGTGGTCATTGGGGATGAGGCGAGCCTCAGGAGGAGCCATGTTTCGGACTGTGTAGCAGAAGAATCGCTGGTGATTGTAGGTGTTGTTGGTGGTACAGTTGCGGTGGGTGGTAGGCTTAGGTGCTAGTCTTTGTAGTTGAAATGCAATGCTGCGTACCCGCGAGAACATCAAGGTATTATTAAGGACAGTTGCTGTCGGTTCCAAGATATGGAAATCTTGGAATCAAGCTGTTGAGAGTCCAATGGGTCTCTAGGGTTGACATTCAGCCACGGTGTGGCGTTCTTGTATGCCTAGCCTCTTCTCTGGGGTATATTTTCTCTCTTCATGGGGAAAAGAATCCATGACGAAAGTTGTTGTACCTGCATCATCGACGTATGTCAAGCGGCGAGTTGAACGTTGTAAACCTGGAAAAGTGTGGGTTTGTAGTCGGAATGAATGGGTTCTATAACGTAATAGAAGGTCTTGGAAAGCTTGTTCGTTCCGAAAGGTCCGACGGTTCCGATTCTTAAACACGACGGCGCCTTGCTGCTGCACAACATGAGTTGCTGCTTCGGATTTGGCAGCGCTACGTCATAGCTAATTTGTATTGACAGAATCATATCTTCAACGCGATGTTTGATGGCAGTATTTTGCTCGGTTTGTCCGCCAAAGGCACCATCTTATCAATTTGCGACTTCCGCAGGCCATTCCATGAGCATACATTAACATTTCCTCAATTCATAAGCAAGTCTAATACAGGCTGTGCGGTAATCTGATTATTAGACTTCATACTCACAATCTATGCCCATTATAGTATGAGCGGTCATAGATACCAGACTCCAATCGATCCCTCTCTTTGACTCGTCAAAGCAAGAATAGAAACCATGCCGGGAATTCGTCCAATTTACCGTAGGTCAAAGCAGGGATTCTCTTCAACTGCTGATTAGATTGCATACCTAGTCTTACCCCGGATTCATTTGAACTACCGGGTCTTTGCTAACATCTTCCGCTGGGTTAGCCTACTCAACCAGGACTTGCAGAGGCATGGATATGGGCGATTCCGAGTCTTCCCCATCCTATCGCCGAGCGTATCGATGCAAACATACACACCTGGGAAACAGCCAACCCAGTCACATTATTCTGCATATTACTTCCAAGAGAAGTAGAAGACAGCTACATTGAACAATTTCCAAAGTGTCACGTATCATTGGTACCTACAATGGCCCTCGGGTAATTTATACATAACCCTGGCGAGTTCAAATCACATAGGTATCTTTCGGCTTTGAATACGGCACTTTTCCCAATAGAGCTGAGGAGACAGCTTCAAATAGGTAATGATATTACTTGGCCTTCAAGCAATGTGCAAGGTTCTCCGCACGGCATTTCACCAAATTCCACGAAAGAAAGAATTGTTGCTAAAGGCAATGGAAATATAAAATCTCAGCAAACTCTCATACTCATGATGGGACACAGCAAATACTTTTCAAGTTTAACATTGCAAATACACATCTCAAACTCAGAATGAAGATCACTACTTGGTATACGGTGCTATCCTCAATGGTTGCAGGAGCATTCTCTGCACCAACGGCTGGGTGTGGAAAAGCCCCAACCAGTATCAAAGCCGGCATCAATACCATGACAGTCAACAACAAACGTCGCGAATGGATCCTTTCTCTTCCCGACAACTACGACAATACAAAACCTTACCGCTTCATTTTCGGACTCCACTGGCTCACCGGCACTATGAACGATGTCGCGAATGGCGGACAAATCCAGCCATATTACGGCCTCCCAGCGTTCACCAACGGCTCCGCGATCTATGTTTCTCCAAATGGGCTGGTGGATCAGATGGGCTCTGGCTGGGCAAACCAAGGAAACGAGGACATTGATTTCTTGACCAAGATCATGGAGACAACCAACAATGAGTTGTGCATTGAGGACAATCTTCGTTTCTCGATGGGCTTTAGCTACGGGGCTGGCATGTCGCATTCACTCGCATGCTCTTTGGGTGGCAAGCTCCGAGCAGTTGCCGCCTTCTCTGGCGCATTGCTGAGTGGGTGCGCCAACGGAGACGCACCGGTAGCCTTTTATGGACAACACGGCAACAATGATAATGTTCTGCCCATAGCTAGTGGAAGACAGATCAGGGACACTTGGGTTCAACGGAATGGCTGTGCGGCTCAGTCCCCAGAGGAACCAGCCCGCGGGAGTCGCAAACATATCTTGACCAAGTACACTGGATGTAAGGAAGATAAGCCACTTTGGTGGACGGCATTCGATGGAGGTCACAGTCCTATACCTACGGACAGTGGCACGAGTAAGGATACTACGTTCACTGCTGAGTATGTCTGGGAGTTCTTTTCCCAATTCAAGTAGATAAAAGGTGTTATAAATTTTATGGAAGCGGACTCTTCATTTATCTACTGGAAAAGTCTGTGGCTGTGTTTGCTTAAAGGCGTACTTGTGGAATTGATGGCCAAGGTATTACAACGCCTGCTCATAGGTTATTGGATTTGGAGACTAGTTAGTGCCAATCCTACTAACTTAAGAGTCTGCCTTCTTGAACTACGCCTATGATTTAAGGATGCTCTCTGAATATGTATGTAGGAGGGTAGAACTTCGTGATAAGCATGTAGGCAGAAGCACTGCCACAGCCAACATGAGCGAATCACAGACCTCCTCTAACCGCCGCATCTGCGTATAAACCTTTCAGCCTTCCTCGTGATGTCTAGTCAAAAGAATGTTTATGCATGATCTTTCGTCATTTGGGATTGAGAGAACTGTCACCAACCGTCCCATGTAGTACATTGAGGCCATTATTCTTTACCCAGTACCGTTCTTTTGTCACCTGAAACAATATGCGTTTACTCAATGTAGACACACTGGAATTCGAGTTCTTCACTGACATTAGGCGAATACCAGACTATGTCATATTGTCACACACTTGGGGGTCCGAGGAGGTTAGCTACCAAGAAATGTGCTGGCTTCAACGGCTTCGAATACTATCGCCAGATGTCAAAGCAAATCCCCTTTTTTCAACCTTGTTGAGCATTAGTGCGGGTCCACAGATGCCAGTCGCCGAAGAGGACATCAAGAGACGCAAAGGCTATATCAAGATTGTTGATACTGCCACCTTGGCCCGCTCAATGGGTGTCCAACACATATGGGTCGACACTTGCTGCATCGATAAAACGAGTAGCTCGGAGCTTCAGGAAGCTATTAATTCTATGTATGCATGGTATAAAAGGGCCTTCAAATGTGTCGTTTTCCTCGAGGATGTACACCTACACCCATCGATAACTTCGCGCAACAACACTGGAGACCCGGATATTCAAGAGACTAGAAATTTCCTGGACGCTTCGATCCTTAAAGCCAGATGGTTCTACAGAGGATGGACGCTACAGGAGTTAATCGCTCCCAAGGAGGTCTTGTTCTACGATGGAAACTGGCACTTCATCGCGTCGAAGAAACACACTCTCTCCCATCTAAGTATCGCTACCAAAATCCATCAACATGTACTGGCCACTGGTGACGTGAGCCAGTGTTGCGTCGCTCAAATCATGTCTTGGGCAGCTAGACGACAAACAACGAGGGAAGAAGACATGGCGTATTGTTTATTGGGACTTTTCGGGATTCATATGCCAATGCTGTACGGCGAGGGAAGCGCAGCCTTCTTGAGGCTACAACTCGAAATATTAAAGACACACCCGGACGATTCCATTTTTGCATGGTTCAACGATTCTGCCGATAATTACACCTATTCTGGTTTACTAGCACCTTCGCCTCGCGAATTTGCACGGTCGTCACAACTATGGATGGGATCACCTATTGCATGTGCAGAGAGCACAAGCCTTGGCATCCAGTTAACAAAAAAACTGAAATGCTCCTCGAAACATCCTGGCTTGTATGTCTTTCGTCTAAACACAACGGCGCAGGACGGACGTCCAATACGAATCATGGTACGCTCACTGGATTCGTCGGAGATAGCAGAAGACGGTGTGCATCAGTTCGCTAGGGTTGACCTATCAGCCACAATGAACATCAGTTCTTTCACCACAATGCAGCCAACTCAACAAATATATGTACGACAGAAGCCCATCATATCGAGTATGTTTCGCACTTCAGATATGCATGCGTTTCACCTGCGTCCATATAGACGAGTAAACGAGGATGCCTTCACACGAATTGTTCAAATTCTGCCGAAAGATCCGTGGCGGAGGTCTTCATTGTATTGCATTCCTATGGAGGGAGATGCCACTAATAGACTCATTTATGTCGTTGTTCTAAAGTGGTACTGTCCAAAACCGACGGGAATACCGGACACGACAAAAGATGCGTGCGATTGCCCCTTTGTGTATCTTGGACTTGGATATGATAAGAAACGTATGCGATCATGGTGTTACCTCAGAAATGCTTGGAGCGATGGACCTAAGTTCGCTTTGCTCATGAATGGCGAGAATTCTACAGACTCGACATTGCTCCTTGAATCCCTGTTCCCCAATCTAGGCCAATACAACAACTCGGCGAAGCTCATCAAATCAAATTGTCGGAATTCCAGTGAGTTGACCTCTATTATCGTTGGGATAAGCGCTGCTCTCGTTGAGAATAGGATATCATTGATTGTAAGCATTGAAGGGCTGTCTGTTTCACCTTGAGATCTCGCGTCTTGATCTATGGAAGCCTGCGTGTGTATTCATCTCCTAATGTAGACGAGGCAAAATCATGTAATGAGGGCTTGTCGGCTCTTATTAGAGGTCCAGACTAGAGACTATTTGGCACTGATAGAGATAAATTTTCGAGCTACAATGGATCGACTATACGTAGTCCGTGGTGGGAAATTGCAGTGAGTGATCATGCTAATTAAAAAGTATTACTATGATGGGCTACTATCCAATAGCGAGCCATATGCCTATGATACGATAGGGAGCTTTTCTCTTCTACGTCTTTCTCTAAGATGACCAAGCAATAACGCCGTACTGATGCAATGCCCTCTCTATCAGGTATATAATGAAGTCAAGGAAAGGTCGTAACAGGTATACACAGGGCCATGTACAGCTAGCTCATGTATCCCGCATGAACTTCTCATAATACTGGTCCATCCAACGCACGGCTTCAAGCCCGCTCTCTCGCGTTCCGTCTCTCCAACGGCCGAGGGTACCAACGTACCCATCGGGTCTGACATTCACCACCGCCACCTCGTTCTCAGCGATACCACCAAACCATTTATCCATGCAGGTTTGTTTGCGAGTGTCAAGATGCGGGACGTCGTCAAGATAAATAGTCCATCGCGAATCGCGCATTACCAAAGGCAGGTCTTCTATCTCGATGTCTTGGCGTGGCATATCTGTGACCAGCGCGTACGTGAAGATCCCACTGACAGGTGTATATCGCTCCGGACAGACGAATTGGTCGTGGGGTGCAGCAAGCGGCGGCTGCATAGTATATGATGCATTTCCAGCTGTCGTAACACGGCCAACGTATGAGGAAGTGGAAGTATGTGCGTTGCAAACCGTGTCGATGAAAGGCATGGCAGCAAAGACATTACGAGTGAAGAAATAAATCCTGAACTGGCCCAGGGCGGGAATATCGGTCTGTATGTCGACAGAATTGCAGTCAATGAATCTTGTGACCTTGGCTGGAGGCAGAAGGTACCCAGGTTTTAACAACCCACGGCCAACCGACTTCGTCGACATATTTAGCACGTTCAAGTTGTAGGTCACACCATAGCCCGACATGAAGGCGGTGTTCTTCGTGAAATTCTCCACAATCCCCTCGGGATTGCCTGCCGTGAACGCACTAGCATGCTCCGAGTCGAAATCAACAAGATCTTGCGCGATTTTCTTGCGCTCCTCCTCATATGTCTGCAGGAGCGCTGGTTTCGCAAGGCCACGAACAGCAAAATTGAGCTTCCAGGCTAGGTTCCATGAGTCGTGAATGGAGGTGTTCATACCCTGTGACGCCTTAGGGGAATGCGTGTGGCTTGCATCGCCCGCAATGAAGACAGTATGATTGGGATCAGTGAAGTGCGAAGCGACTCTCTGGCCGATGACATAGCGGCCGAACCATTCAACATTCCTCCATCTCAGTCGGTAAGGTTGCATGATCTCCTGCGCCCGCATCTGGACGAACTCTTGAGTGGCTCTCTCTTTCATCGTGACTTCCATGGAGCCTGGCTTGAGCTCAATGTACAAACGTGTCATATTGCGCTCACGAGGACACATGAGTATGGTACCTAGCTCCTCCGATTGAACAACGACTTTGCTCCAGATGTCAGGGAAGTCAGTGTCTAGAACGCCGTCGATAACTCCCCAAACCGCATCAGTAGAAGAACCAATTGGGACCGAGTTAGGAAGAGCCTTGCGCACTCTTGAATGTGCGCCATCACAACCAACGATGTATCGTGTTCTGTATGTCCTTCGCATCTGTTCAACATCCTGGTGGCAAGTCACTGCCATGGGTCGAAGACTAGCAGGCGTGGACTCGTAGCCAACAAACGCCGTATTCCGGGCGACCTCGACACCACGCTCTCGAAGATCTTTGATAAGAAGATCTTCAATCATTCCTTGGTGGCAAAGCAGGACATAAGGGTCTAGAAGATCAACGTCTGGGGGATAATGAACCTCGCGACCTTTCCTATGCAATGTTTTGCCAGCAGTGGAGCTCTGAGCAAAGTTAGTATCCCTGCATAGCATAACCCATCCGACCTCTCTATAACACGTACCCAAAAAGCAATGTCGTATACTTTCACTCCTTTCCTGAGGACAGGATCAGCCAGTCGCATTTGGCGCAATGTCTCAATCGTCTTTGGTTGGATTCCGTCTGCACGTCCCGTGGATGTTGCGTCCGGTCTGTTGTCGACTACTTGCGTCTTGATACCATATCGTACAAGGTTGTCGCTACCATAATGTTAACTCTTAATTATGTGTTGGTGAAATGTCTGGACGTACGCAAGCATAAGCCCGGATGGACCCGCACCCACAACAACGACATCGCTGAGGAAGTTCTGGTAGCTACTCTCGTTTGATTTGCCCGAAGTATGAGAAATGATATCGAAGCTATTTGACCTGGTGGTCAAATTCGAGTCGACGGTGAGACCAGGTGCCATTTTTGGCTTTTGAAGCTTATTTTGAGTAGGCCCGTAAGATGAACTATGGGATGAACTGGGTGGCGATTGGGATTGAGGCCGTTTCATGAACGGCCAGGCGATTGAAGGCATTTTGAATTAGGTATGTCGTATTGACGTTCTCGACCAGACTGTATACGTACGGACGAGAGGTCGTGTTTGGGAATTCCAGCGGAAGAGTCGAACGAGATGTCTGGCCATTTTGAGGACATAAAGCACCTCCGCCTTTTACCCCTGCTTCCATGGAGTATCATCATCGTGCACATACGTAGGCGAGCAGACACGTCAATTTTTTTTTCTTTTCGAAATAATGGGTATGGGGTGATTCGAGTCCAGGGTAAATGTGTATGGATAAGCGGGTACCGAACACCCGTAAGAACAGTAACAACAGCCCATGTACTGTGTAGTCGAGGAGCCATGTATAATTAGAGGACAAAGCGCATGGCGTCTAACAAAGAAACCCCTGTTGCCATGCGCAAATCCAAGCTGACTGTTCACAACTATCGATTATAATTTCCATGTGCATCGTTTTTCGATTACCCGTTTCGGCTTTGTACATAAATGGGGCAGCCGTTCCAAAACTTGAGAATGGCGGAGAGACTTAGTAGCGTAAGAGGTTGCTACAGTAGTGTGCACAAGGCCCCCAACCAGGCCAGACCTCATTTCGCTCCATTACGCTCGGTATCAACTCCTGTCCATATCACAGGCGCGTATGCCGTATCACGGGCATAGGTACCGCGGTACCCCTACTGTATTGAGGTAGAGTTCTTCAAGTTGGAACCATATTGAAAGTGGCCTGACCTGACCTGCCACACGCACGCCCGGTCCCGGCAGCTTTCGGCCATTTACATGGACCCTCTTATGGTACATACACTTGCACTGGGCATGCACTACCTTATGCCGACTGAATAATATACGATTACGGAGTACGTTCGTGCTTCACTTCCAAAGGCGCGATTATAGCATCTGATTATCAACATACAATATGTACGGATTAGTGAATTCAAAGATGGACCTAATTACCGTTGGTACCGTTCCGAGTAGCTCTTCCGAGTTTGTTCCCGTGAGCGCCTAGCGTATGATAACGGCCCACTGTATCTTCAATTCTTCATCATCATTGCACTCTAATAATATTCAACTCCTTCACATACCCTATTAACTTGTTCCTCGCTTTTTCTCTCTTCGTTTCTAATCCCATTCAATAAGCGCCACATATAACACTCGGCCTGTGCAAAAGCATGGACGAAACTAAGGACACCTCGTGGCAGCAGACTGTCCAGCAGAAACGCCAGCAACGTGACGAAACCATCAACAGAATTTCGCAGGCACTTTCGGTAAGGAGACAGAATACGAAGCGATTGGACCCTTTTCTCTCATGGACTGAGTCGTCAAGACCGTGAGAATGGTAAGGTTGGCCAATGCTGAACGAGATTGCAGATTTCCCGCACCGACGACCAAGACTCTAGTAAGAACAACAATAATAACAACAACTAACTAAGAGAGAGACGAGAAAACAAATGCCTTACAAGATGAGACAGGTCCGACCTTGATCGACCACGTTGACCGTATTCAACTAGCCCTCTCCTCGCGTGCAGTGACCGCTTCAGAGCTTTGCGCCGCCTATATAACCCGGTAATGCGTATTTCTGATTCGCTCCGTCCATTTTTAAATTGAGTCACGAATAAATTCTCACGCCATGTTTCCCACAGGGCTATAGATGCACACCGAAAGGTAATTTCTCCTGAGACGCCATGTTCTCCAGTTTTTCGGTCTCTTGGGTTAACTAAATTCTTTAGACAAATTGGCACGTAACGGCCCGCAATTGAGTTTACCAAGTTGGTGGCTAAACTTTTACAGCCTTACTGAAGTTTTGTTCGACGAAGCCTTGGAGAGAGCCAAGGAGCTCGACGAATTCTTCGAGAAAAATGGCCGCCTCGTGGGTCCTTTGCATGGCGTCCCCATGACTCTGAAAGATCAATTCGATGTGAAAGGTCACGACAGTACACTAGGATATGTTGGTCGCGCATTCAAGCCGGCTGCCGAAGACTCTGTACTGGTAACACAATTGAGACAGCTCGGTGCGGTTATCATTGCTAAAACGAACCTTCCCCAGAGTATATTGGTACGTCACGTCACTTTATAATTCCTTCTTTGGAATTCCTTCCTTGCGGCATTCCGGCGACGCACGCGACTGACATCTCCGTAGTGGTGTGAAACTGAAAATCCCCTGTGGGGCCTAACAGTTCACCCGAAGAATCCCGAATTCACATCTGGGGGCTCATCTGGAGGAGAAGGCACCGTTCTGTATTCGAAAGGTTCTGTAGTTGGGTGGGGAACCGACATTGGTGGCAGCATTCGCATCCCGTCCCATATGCTAGGCTTGTATGGCTTGAAGCCCAGTGTGAGTAGCTCGCTTTAGTCATTCATGGCAAGAACCTGTTCCTATGCAGTAGTTCTATCCGACTTTCTCCAATGAGGCCTCGGCTCTTCGGCGAAGGGCAAATCTGCTCTCCAGGCTGACAACGTTGCGCTAACTGTCTGTAGAGCACTCGTTTGCCGTACCTGGGTGTTCAGGTATCTACCGACGGCCAGGAGCATGCGCCTTCGGTTATTGGTCCCATGAGCAGGAACATCGAATCACTGATTGCCGCAACCAAAGCCGTCATCAATGCAGCACCTTGGAATCTCGATCCCAAGTGTTGTCCCCTCCTATGGAGAAGTGGCCCCTATATTGAATGTCAAACAAGGCCCCTGGTGATAGGTATCATGCATGACGATGGTGTCGTTAAGCCTCATCCACCTGTAGCTCGAGTTTTGGATGAAGTGGTAGCAAAGCTTGAGGCTGCTGGACATGAGATCGTACCCTGGAACCCAGGAAACCTACATCAAGAGTGCATTGATATCATGGTATGTTCATTCTCCCGTCTTGCATTCGTGCATTGCTTACTGATGTAGGATAAATTCTACACTGTCGATGGTGGCGAAGACATTCGAAAGGATGTGGAGGCCGGGGGTGAACCGTTCGTACCACATGTGGAGGCGCTTGTTAACCGGGGAGAGGCCATCTCGGTCTATTCGTACTGGCAATTGAACAAAGAGAAGATCGCAGCACAGAAGAAATTCCTTGATTTGTGGAATTCAACCGTTTCTCCGAAGACGGGAAATAGGATCGACGTACTCTTGACACCGGTCATGCCGCACGCAGCAGTTCCTCACCGCAAGTGTCGGTGGGTCGGATATACTAAGGTTTTCAATCTTGTCGACTACCCAGCGGTTGTAATTCCAGCCGGCAAGGTGTCGAAAGACCTTGATAGCACCAGTAGCGCTTCTTGGGGCTCGTACGAGCCGCGCAACGCGAAAGACGAATTTAACCATGGGCTTTACGACTTGGACAGCATGGACGGCATGCCTATAGGCGTGCAGGTAGTCGCTCGGAGGCTAGAGGAGGAAAAGGTTTTGGGCGCTGCCAAACTTATCGATGCATTGCTGCACGATGCCTAGAATTACACGTAGTTGTCGGTCATGATTCTTAATTGTCACGCTTTGCACTTTAGTACACACACCTTTTCATTTGAACTTTCTCGTTGCTAGGCTCCAATGTTCTTGCCTAAGGCATACGTTTGAACTCTGTGGAAACAAACACTTGCATGGGATCTACACGATACACGTGCAAAAGATCCTTCTGCTCCACACCGCAAACACCAGGACCAGGAGGATCTGGACTCATCATATCCCACATTTACAATCCCGAAGCCTGGGGGGTTTCCACGTGTGGATGAGCTTCATCCAACGAAGGACGGCCATGGAAACCGACGGGCTGGATCTATGGCAATGAACGAGTAATGGCCCCGCCAATAACCGGCCTTCCCGCGCTTCGGGATGCTACACCCCAGATGGAGTCTGGCGCTTTTCAACCTCTAATGCAACGACGTCACTGTTTTATGTGTAGATTTATTGAGTGCTGGTTTACCGACTGTGTCTTTGGTAGTTGGTAGATAATAGATCATCAGATTACTGATCTCGTCTGCACTTGAGAATATTCCACCCTTGAGAGTATTTGTGCCACTATCTGCAATTGTACAAAGAGCCTTGCGGTTTACTAATTTTCCATTACTCGTATACCTTACTACAAAAGGGTTCTAGGCAACTGAATTTCATAAAATAAAATTGGGCAAGAACGGCTTTTCGTGTCAGTCACCATATCGATAATGACGCCATTGCTTGTTGGTTTGATCATACGATGTAGAATACTCGACTAGCGATTATAACAGAGCAGAGGACAATTACGGTCAGGAAATGTGCTTGATGCATGAGAGGCATATTCATTCCGTAACCTTTTACATTAAGACTGCCATAGAATCTGCCAGGGTCATAAAGTACATCATTGCGAGCAACGATGTTGAATGCGTCACGAATGCGAAGTTGGGTGATGAGTTCACGGCGAGGAACAAATCACCTACAAATTTAGAGATAGCAGTCAGCTCTGATAGGAGATATTCTCAGGTAGAAGCAGGGTATGAGATAATCTCGCAGTTATTATAATTTTTTCTCCTCAATCATCAAGAATATTGATTTTTACCGTCGAGCGTACATTTATAGAAACACTGAATCTTGAATCGTTTGAAATTTCCTGTTTCTTAATACCGTGGAGAATGGCTATTCCATCATCCGATTTGTGTATCAAATGTACCGAGAACGACAAAGATGTATCTAGGAAATAAATGTATAGAAGAAAATACAAAGAATAAACGGTCCTTGGCCACCGTTCCCACCACCAAGTCTTCAAAATCTCTATTAGCCCCTATCAACTGCCTCTACAACATCTTGGAAGATGGGGCTAAAACTGTGGTAATATTCGTCTTTCTGGCTAATGTCTGTTAAGAACAACCAATCCGCGCTGTCTTCCACTTGCTCGACCACGAAGTCCAACACTGTGTTACTCAAGTTAGGTATCGAATGCAGTATCACGGCGAGTTTGTCGCGCTTGATTTTGTGTGATCGGAGCGAGTCGAAAGTGGTCGCATCAAGCCATTTGGTAAATGTTTCCTCAAAAAGCACGGTTATGTCGGTCAAATTCAAGTACGATGTTTGAAAAGGCGTTGGAGTTGTCAATAAGGTCTTGGGGAGAAGGCCGGGATTGTGAACTGTGCAATTGATATTATTATCTATTTTCCGAAGACCACGGCATACCAACTTACCTACGAATCGATCTCTAAATGCCGTTCCATTCTTGACTTTCTGGCTCGCAACTTTCAAATATTCGTACTTCTCTCGCACAAATTCGCTGGGCGTCTCGTCGAAAAAGATGCCATCAACCTTTAGCTTGGTATTATTCGCTGTTTTCGGCCAATTCGCATATGTATCAATCTCTGAGAGAACCTGGCTGAGGTCTTTTGTCGTGTAGTTGGTCGCGACGTAACCTAAAGTGCGGATGTTTTCGAAGGTACGAAGCTTCGGAATTTCAGAGAGATATGTAGCATCTGGGAGGGAGCCATTGCAAGGGCCAGAGCAAGGATTCACGACAACCGTAAACTCGACATCGGGATGAGCCTTTGCACTGAAGGATCTGTCAGCTGAAGCACGATAGGTTCGGGCAACAAGATCGAAAAAATTGAAGTGGATCTTCAACTCACGCTATGTAAAGCGGGTTCCATGCGCCTGCCTGTGGATAAACGTAAAGCGGTAGAAGGATGGACATAATTCACATAAGATCACAGCTTGCGTTTAGAATGTAGGCAACGTTTGTATGTATGTAAAAGTATTCTGGAATTCACAAATAGTAGTCCCACACAAGTTGTGGTCGAAATGACGTTGATCCCCACGACCTGGAGTTAGCTGCCGAGTCCGACTTGTTTAATCTGGGTCTCATATCGCAATTGATGAATTTGCGTGTTGTGCTTGCGCGGCACAATCCGATTCGGGCCCAATGGGTTTCTATAGCCGGGTCAATGGACATTCTGATAATATAACTGCCGGGAGCAGGATTAGAGAAGCAAGGATCCTACAAATAACCGAAAGATTGTTGAGCGAAGATGGTTTCACATGAGAACCGACACTATCGGGCGGTACAATCGTCCCGGCTTTTTCTCCACAACGATGTGAGATGTTTTCCAAGGCGAATGTGTACTAGACTCAGTAGGGCAGAATCGAGAGTATAAATGTCAAGCTCCCAGGCTTACCAATCCAACAAAAAGCGATCTGTTACGTCCAAATTAAGGTCATTTAGTATTTATGTTATCGATTTCGTTGCCATGTAAACTCTCTCCGTCCTCAATGTACATTATTCTCGCGATGAATTCGAGATATCACGAGGTTTGAGTTGCGCTGGTTTTACAACGAAATGTTCCAGACTCTGCTGCTAGATAATGATTGGTGAGATTTCTTTCTAGCACATTGGCCTTTTGTCGTTGTCATGCATTTTCATCACAGAAGCAAGTAGGTTTCGAAGAACAGGAAGAAATTCGGAACGCACAGACCATCTTTAAATGGATGTCATGACACCCACAATACAGCTCTTTCTGCTCACCCTTTACTTACACATGGATTGAACAACTAGTGCGTACCGAGTACATAACAATTATCCATGCATCCAAGGATCTATCTGCAAAGATCAATACTCCATACACGAACAAATACTCCATCTTTGCACGAGTCGAGGTCATACCGACGCAATTGGAACCACCCAGGCGAACCCGGTCCTTACCAAATATTTTTAAATAGCCTAGCTAGGACTCAAAGAAAAAGATATGTATCTTCAGGGCCAATCATTGACATATGGACACGAGATGTGGAATCGCCAGAAATCGGCGATCATGATGGGGAGATGAAATCCACGGGCGCGCATCCGGTGACACCGCCAAAACACAGCAGCGAAAAAGATGAAGTGGCCGTTCAGGATAAGGAACCTATTCCTGCTACTGGGCTCAACGTTTCAAAGGCTTCTCCCGCAAAGCCATCGGCCTCAAATCCGAAAAGCAACGAAAGATCAGCGAGAGAACTTGCACGTGCCAGACGCGTGAAATCTACATCCACTCAATCCGACACCGAGCATCCTCCTGGGAATAGTTTCGATTGGAATTTTGACAAGATCGTCGTGTCACAACTTGGAGAAGTAGTAAAGCTACGTCGCGTAATGTTTTCGGTGCTTGCGTCTTCCTTGTTGTCCAAGGAAGAGATCAAAAGGAGAAGAGAAATCAATAATGCAGCACTGAATAATGCGCAAACTTGGGCCAGGCTGTTGTGCTTTCGAAATAACATCGATCCCTCATCTTTGTCAGAATCTTCCTCCCTCCGAGAGATTCCGAATCGTGCCAATTACTTCAGATCCGGTAAAAGCTACGAGGGAGCCCTCCTCGATTTCTATCGCTTCTACATCAGGATGAGATTAAAATGGCATGCCGACACTGAAATATGGAAAACCAAGCGCCCCAAAGCTATGGGAAAGGTCCAATCGAAATTAGTAGAGCTAGAGGGAATGATGTTACTGGACCAGATTGTGGATTCTGCAAAGGAACTAATCAAAAGATCTGGCCTAGTCGAAAGCATGGTTGAAGCAGCTCTTGACTCAGAGCCTCCTCCCAATGAGGTGAATATCGATGGGGAAAGATCTTTGAGAGACAGTGTCAAAATCCTTGTCAAAAACGAACTGGGAGTGACTGAATCCGCCCGATCCACGAAGCCTCAAATCAGAGCATCTCCTTACGGCTCGGCAGTGGTTCAAGAACTCCCGGAACTCATCCAGAAAACCGCCACAAATGACCAGGGCCCACCAATTTCCCCAATTGAGATGGACTTTCCATCGCGACACTACATGTTCCGTAATATAGTGGACAACTTCAAAATTCTCTTCTACGAGTTCGGCATAGATCACCTCCCCACGATCATGAAAGAGCTTAGGTGGGACTCGCCAGAGGCAGTCAGCATAGGTGAATTCACTGCAATTCTAGACATCAGGTTGGTCAGAGTGCATAGGCTTTCAAATCGCTCAAAGCGCATTCTGTGGGATCACTTTCGCCCGTATAACGACGACATTAAGGCTTTGCTACAGATACGCAATCTCTACGCTCATGAGGAGACAAGCAGCGGGATAGATGAAGTAGAGAATTACCTGAAGAAAATAGAGCACCTAGCCCGACATGCATTCCGAGATGAAAATCTTCCTCTTGGTAAAAGATCTCCGACTCTTCCACTCCTCAGCGAAAGAGTGGCCGGGCATATTAACATGTTCCGTGTGGAGCTGAAGAATTTTAAAGAGGAGTATGTTCGTCGGAAGGAGCAGCTTACGGCGTCGCTTGAAACGGACCTCGCATCGATACAGAAGCAAAGAGAAAAGTTAGATCTACAGGAAAGGGTCATTCGAGATCAATATTTGCAGAAGGAACAGGCCATCCGCAAAAGAAACCCGAGTAATGAGAGGATTCTAGCGTTGTCGAGAAAGAGGATTCAAAATACGGTACCAAGATCTTTGCGGCAATCAAGGTTGCTCTCGGCCCAGCAGGGTGACAAAAAGGCTGTACAGGTCGAGGAAGAGAATATCGTACGAAAGCAGGATGCAGAGGATTCTCTCAAAGAGCAGAAAACCAAGGATTCCTCAAGCATGCAGATAGCCAATGAGCTCAAAGATAAACTTGAAGTACCTCAAGAAAAAGGAAAGGAAGAAGGCGACGCTTCACAGAACCACGACATTGATCCAGATCCGGGATCATCAGGGAAAGGATAGCATGTCCCTCGTCAGTTGCCCTTGAATCGACAGCGAAACCCGTCGAAATAACTACGTTTCCGGCTCCGGGGGCTTCTTGTCCAGCGTGCGGGAGTCACCATTGAAATAGGTGACTGGATCTTATTGTAGGATCATCTCATAATGTACCATCGCACCGTTTTAGAGCGACTTATTTAACATCATTCATTCAAGGTACAGCCATCGTGTTGTAGTAATCGTATTACTGGCAGACGTATTCTTGATAACATTTTACTTTCTCCAAACACTTACATTCGAACTACTGAGGCAACCCTGCCACAAAATGCAGTCCACTTAGACTGTAGCCACCACCTTCTCATCCTCCTTTTTCCTAACTCCCTCATAAAACTCCCTCTCTTCATAAACCTTAATATCATCACCAGCGAACACCTTGCCCTCTCTCTCCGCCTTCCTCCTCAGCCTCCTAATCCGTCGGACATCCCACTCCAGATTCCTCGTCAGCCACCACGTCCACACATTCGCAAGGAGACCGAGACCCATGGCGGCCGCACTGATCGCAAAACTCGTCTTGTACCCATTGTAAGCGTACTTTGCCTGGAACAGCTGCGGCGCGATGACACCGCCGACCTGGCCAATGCAGCTCTGGAATGCGAGGGAGAACGCTGTGCCGGTCGTGCCTTTCAGGCTTGAAGACCGCCAGGCCCAGAAGGGAATGAAGTATACGGAGTAGAATGTCGTGCCGAGAACGACTGCGACGTAGGTTACGGCATTGGAGACAGTGCAGGCGAGGAGGATGAAGAATGTCAGCGCGGCGATCATGATTAAGATGATGAAGAAGGGCCGCGTGATGTAAGCCTGCTTCAGAAACCAACCGGCAAATATGATGGACAGGACGGTGGCGGCTGCAGGAGGGATGTTGAGGAGCTGGTTACGAGGGAGACCAGCGTAACCCAGGGAGGTCGTAACGGTCGGTAGTTGCCAGCCGAGAGCGTAGCCGCCGAAATTGACGAGGAACTGGGAGAGCATAAAGGAGTAGTTGCGGATGTCCTTGAGACCTGCAATGACTTCTGACTTGTCGAAGTTTTTGTCCGAGGTCACGGGTGCGTTCTCAGACAGGCGGGCTTCGAGATACTCCTGTTCACGGGGCGTGAGCCACTTCTCAGACCTAGGCGATTTAGGCCAGTCTGGGAGCCAGATGAATACAACGATAGAGAATAGCATGGTGAAAATCCCTTCTAGAAGGTAGAGCCAGCGCCAGGCGGACAGTCCACCTAAGCCGTCCATGTAGCTCACTCCATAGGCAATTAGGCTTCCCCAGATACCACTCGTGTTTTGGAAAGCGAACAGCCACATCACCGGCTTTCCGATTTCATCTGAGCGATACCAGCCAGATAGTTGAGCCATGAGACCAGGGAACATTCCAGCTTCCATTGCTCCGAGGAAGAATCTTGCGGCATAATAACCTCCCGCGTTCTGGACTGCGGCATGGCAGGCAAGCACGATGCCCCACGAGAGCATGATGCGCGATTGCCATATCCGAGGCGTCATCCTTTTCAGTAGTAGGTTGGATGGAACTTCAAATATAATATATGCGATCTAAATTCGGGCAACGTTAGCATACATAATTGGTAGTACTGGAAGATGGAACATACAAAATAGATCGACTGCACCCAATTATACTGATTGGGGGTCATCTTGAGCTCAACCATGATGTTGCTCTTCTGGCCAACGTGAAGCACCTTCGCCGAGGCGGCATTTTGATAATCGATCTAGGAAATGTAAGTTTTCATGGACAACGAACGAAGAGCAGAGCTGAGCAACAACGGCCCACGTACATTCTTAATAACATACATCATACCAATGATGAACAGAAATCGACGATCAACCTTCCTCATGATGGCCTTATTCTCTGCCTGCGTGAACGAAGACAGAAACTCGGCTTTGGACTGGCTGATTCCAGATGCCGTCTCCGATGTCGTAGCATCACGGACACCAGCGTCCACTTCCTTAGGAGCGATCTCTGCAGCCATGATGAGAGGGACGAGAAACTCAAAGCTATGACTGGCTCGGCTGCAGAGGGAAGTAACTTGTGAGGAGCGATTCTCCTGTTTATATACTCGTACCAATCTCTCTACGGAAATAATCGACCTGGCAGTCTAAGGGGCGATACCGGGAATGTCCCCAGTCGCAAAAGGCAAAATCACCATGCCCTTTGCATAATTCGAATCGCATGTACTTGTAATCAGTGGGCCTTAAACAAGCTCTAGCGAAGAGGATTGGAAGATTCCTTGCCCGTTACATTGGCGTTCAACGTATTTTCCGACTACCTGACTCTGCGTTTGTCTGCACTTTCTCTCGGTTTTGGGTATCCTGATGGAATTGCGTGCCAGTTGCCATGCTTGACGTTTACTTTGCCCAATAAGATGCATTCCTTTGGGCTTGGTTCGTGCTGATAAGAGTCGCGCTTGTTAGGGCTTGGGGTAGGTGGTGGACGGCCGTGGTGATCTCGTCACGTCAGTCTGGCCCTGCAGCACGACACTGCGTCCAGCCGAGACGTTGATAATTGTGGAGAAGAGCGCGTTCGCGGCGGAAATAGCCACAGTTAAGAAATGACCATATGTTGATTGATGCGATTTTGAATTACCATTGCCTGGAATTGTGTCTACGAATAGAGATGGTGATGTTGAAAAGGTTGGATTGGATATACAGGAGTCGGTATTACCCAATTGGGACACATGTCTCCAGCGATGAACTTGTCACCTTCTTTTTGATTTTCTTGTATTAACAACTCCTGCGGAACCATACACCATGCTGCCTCATTGGCTCGGGTTCAAGGACTCCATCCGCCGGATCGTGCCTAGCCTATGGAAATTCATTGGCTGACAATTCGGAAGCAATGTGCCGCGCTCACAATTGGAAGCATAAGTCGAGTAGGAATTTTAAGGCAGGAAAAACATAAGGTGTAAACAGAATTAGTCTTAAGCGGTATAGTCTGATGTATATATCCATGTCAATATAGTACTATTGTCAATCCGAAGCAGGAGATAAGCTGTTTCACCATTTGGCTACGAATAATTGGCTGTACTTTGTCGTGAAGGCATTACTACGTATACAGACGAAGGAAAGCTCTTCCGGTTAGTGCAATTTCAGACTTGGTATTGTAATCGAGTGCGCGCACTTGTGAAATGCGTCGTGAGGGTTATGGTCACTTTCTATGATAGATGTGTTGGTAAGGCGTACTTGATGCAGGGAAATAAACCTTGATGCAAATGGAACAGGCACAATGATGTTTTGAAGATGTTTTGGACATTCAGATCTATTGTCATATATAGAATACAGAAATTGGTATAGTGTGGCTACAAAAATGGACTCGCTAACCTCGTAAATGCGTGCTTTTTATATACAAAAGGAAATAGGAAAGATACTGGATACTACATCTAGTGTACCATTGTCTTTCCGATCTCGCTCTCCCAGTTCTCTGCTCGTTCGAATCCGTTGGAGAATGATTGATAGTCCATCATTGCTTGGACGACCTGGTCCCTAGTGTTCAAAACGAAGGGTCCGTACTGGACCACAGGCTGATCTAGTGGGAGACCAGCGACAAGGATGAATCTCGACTCTTTTTCGGCTCCTGCCTCGACGGTAGCTTCAATGCTGTCGCCCTCCTTCTCGAAAACCACATTGTGGTATTGCTCGACGGGGCGCGACACTCCGTCAGAGGAGAAGATTGTGGAACCGCTCAGGGTGTAGGCGAATGCATTCCAGCCCTTTGGTAACGATTGCTTGACAACACCACCTGGCTGAACTGTGAAATCGAGAAGCCAGACGGGAGTGTAGGCAAGCTCTTGAACGGAGTCGGTGTCGTAGGCGCGGCCGCTGATGATCTTGACCTTAACCTTGCCGTTGTCAGTCACCACTTCGGGAATTTCCTTCGCCCTCAAATCGCGGTAACGGGGCTCGCAGAACTTCAATTCTTTTGGCAGATCGACCCAAAGCTGCATTCCGACGTTTGGTGTTCCGTCCTCGTTCTGCCTCGGCATCTCGGCGTGGACAATTCCCCGGCCGGCTGTCATGAACTGCAAATCGCCGGCTTCGATCGAACCCTTGTGGCCTGCGAAATCTTCATGATCCACAGCACCAGAAAGAAGATAAGTCACGGTCTCTTGTCCGCGGTGGGGGTGGTCAGGAAAGCCTGCACCTGGAGGAATGCTGAAGTGGTCGAGCATGAGGAAGGGAGAGAAGTTGCGAAGTTGTGGGGTGCCGATGGAGCGTCTGACGCGTGCGCCAGCGCCCTCGGACTGCTCAATAGCAAGGAACGACTTCTGAATCTTGCGCGGCGATTGAACAGTCAGTGTCTCATTTGGTGGGATCACTGGTAGTCCCCGGAAGGTGGTTGGTGTTGCTGCGTTGCTGGACATTGTTTGTGTGATGTTGTTTTGGTTGTTGTGAAGGATGGTGTTGGGGGATGTTGCGAGTTTAATTGTTTGAGATAGTTGGTTGATAGTCGAAAGTAGGTGTTCTTGATTGTAGATTGCAATTGCTATGATGCAAAAGAAGATGGATAGAATTGTCTTCATGGGGGGTGGCGTTGATACTTATAGTTGGAGATGGGATGGGCTACAATCGAGAATGTTCGAAGACTAGCGTGGGATGATTGGAATCAAGCAGGATATAGACATTACAATGATGTTTGTAGCGCGTGGTAATACTAATACTCGTTACAGATGATAGGGCCGTTTGGAGATTTGTCGATCCTGACCAAGCATGCGAAATCCATTTCAAGCCAGAGTTCTTACACGTTTCGGTAATCGTCTTCGGCTAGGACCCTGAACCGGACCCGGATGGACCCACTTCCCTACGCCAAGCCTCACAGCTTCTGTAAGCAATTAGCAACCAACGCCTTCCCCCTTTTGGCATCCCTTATTGCAGGTTCAAGCCAAAATGACATCATTCTCATCCCTCAACAACGAGCTTACACAACATGCCAGCGTCCTACTAGACAAGGCTGAAGCACTACTGTGTACTGCGGACGATACTATTCGTAAAAGGTACGAGTGTAGTAGAGCTGTCCTTTAAGATTTTATCAGTGATGTCAGAGGGTCACAGTAAGCGCCAGCCACCCTCACAACTCGTCTTTCTTCTTTAGCTGTAAAGGTTTGCTTCGTACCGCTACGTTATAACGATCGCGATTACAACGTCAAGAAGCTACGAGTAGCAACAGAAGATTAACTAAATTCAGAGCGTTCAAACTTGTACAAAACTACTAAATCCGTACTACTTGACCAAACCTGGAAACGGAAAGCAATACAAGATTAACATATTGCAGCACACGAAGTGCCGGCTTCTTATGAACAACTTTAGTAACAAGACAGGCGCTTCAAAATAGTCGCAGGAGTACTTCGCCCAAGGAACTTTCGAAACGAAGGCTAGGCAGTAATAGGAAAGGCAAGGAAGCACTTGTGGATCCCAAGTGAGCTGCTGCAGGTGTTCGTGTCGATATTTGCGAGTTCGGATTAGTGTTTTGCGGGGAGCGCAACATATGCAGTTGACTGGCCCTGCTGCCTGAACGAGTATATAAACAACTACCAAAATGGGTAAATACATATAGAGAGAGAACCAGTGCCTAAATACGAGGTAGGTTGGGGCCAGGCTGGGGTACTAGATACGGTTACAATAGTACGTCTGATAGGGTGGCTAGTATAGATGAGGAAGGCGAAACTGCTCTAAGAAAAGCATCAATCTGATCTGGCATATACGAGTATGATTCCCACGATCCATCTTTAAGTATCATTACATACATGAGAGAAAACGGACGATGCTCAAACACTTTATTGGTTGCATGTGATTTGCTGACATCAACAAGCGGGGCACATCACAACCACGGTTTGGATCCCAACATACTCATGTCTGACGACGAGTACACACATCATTGCCTAATATTAGCCAAACCTCTCGATACTCCCATGAATAGCATCCATGTTCAAAATGCAAACAGAAAAGTCGATGTTTTCAGTCCTGCCCACTGAGCTTTTCCTCAGCGTCCTAGACGAGCTGATTCGAACGCGGTCAGGCAAACATCCAGTGGCCTTTCCCCCCTCCGATCAAGTCACGAAGACTCTACGCGCATTGACACTCACATCAAAGGACATATATCCCATTGCTTCGGAATACTTATATACACATTGTGTCTGGCTGGGAAACAATAAAACGTTGGAACTATTCGCGAGGACTCTCGGCATAGATCTCCCCGCATCCTCAACCGGTCGACTCTGTTATGGCAGCTTGGGACACAGTTCATTCTTTCGAGAGACCAAGGTCTTCAGCCATATCACATCGATGTACCTATCCCCATTTAGGCCTCATTTGAAAAACATAGGCGTGCGCATTAGCCATTTCTCTACTATCGTCGACCTACTCAGAGCAGTCAGCTCCACCATAAAGACGCTATACATTGATTTCCAGCCTGATTCTGCATCTTATGGGGGGCTAGGGCCGGCCAAAACATATCCAAAAAGTAGTGTACTCCGGGAGATGCATAATCTGGAAGAACTAGTCATCTCATGGGACTACGAGGAGTGGTTCTCCTGCCCTCCACCGAACGTCAAGCGCCTGGCAATATCAACCAGAAACCTTGTAGATGGCTGGGTTGACTGGTTAGATTCAACACCCCGTCTAGAGATCCTCGTTGGGCTGTCCGCACCGGGACTGTCTGACGATGCAGTCAAGAATGCGTTCGCAAAATGTTCGTCCGACCGGCGAGCGCCACTCGACATCGTTTTTGCCGGCATCTCGTGGTTCCACTCACCCGTGAAAGGTGATATTGACTGGAAAGACACCGACCCAATAAGGTATTGGGAGGTTGACATTCCTGTAAGCTACTACGGTGATGAAAAAACATCAGCTATGTGTGAACGATGGATCTGGGAGAATGGCCTTCGAGGTTCTCTATTCAATAGTGACAAATCACTTATGATGACCGAAAATCAAGAGAGGAGAGTTGATGATGCGATATACTCTGCTGGTTTCGTATAGTACGGAGTTGTTGGCCGATGTCTAGGTTCAGGTTTTCGAGCGATTCACGTTGACGGGATAGGAGTAATCGACTGGTCTGCAAGGCGACATTATACACCCTTTCGCCTGTTAGGTAGAATGAGATGCATGAGTTCGATTTTTCATCTAGTGGATTAGCTCATATCATTCGCATATAATTAGCTATATCTAGAGGTATTTGTATTAATTTGCCAGCCTTTTGTCGCGCTTCCCAATAATTGAACTCCAAACCATCACATCACACCAAATGCCTGCTAAAGGTCATTCCATATTATTCCTTGCCTCCTCGGAAATCATTTGCTTAACAGGGCATCGTTGGCCGAAGTGAGCCTCTTATCGCGCACCTCAGTCTTTTATATCATCCTTGTCCTGGTCTGCTTCATCTTCGCTATACAATTCATTAGCTCTGTGAGAATAATATCCACTAATCGAACCATACCTATCGCACGTTATCATTCGCTTTGAAAAGCGAAGATTTGACTTTCGAAGATCGCTCGCCCTAGCTTCACCAGATACCTTTCGAGATCGAGCAATATGAGAATGGCTTGGATCCTCTGGTAATCTCGCCATACTCAGCATTGGATTTCGGATGGGAAACTTGTGGTTGGCGGAGGAAGCGTTTGAACCACTAGTGGGTTTGGTGACTCGGCCGTCCTTCACGTAAGTGGCGGGCGCCCGTAGTTCATTTTTCCGTTGAAGTATGGATCTCAATGTTGACAGTACAGGCCGTTGACCGTTTATGGTGCCAGGGATGGTTTCTCTTCGAGGCGGAACCTGAGTGGTGACTATGACTTGATGTAAGTTGTTAGAATTGCATGCATGAGTGGAATCAATACTTGAGCCATCTTTCATTCCAGAACCTTCAGGTGGACCAGACTTCATCTTCAACTTCAGCTTCAGATCCTCAATCTCACCCTCGAGAGCTTTATTCCTCTTCTGCAGTACCGCCTCGCTCTGGCGTGTGATCGCAAGTTGGCGATCCAACTTCTTCACCATGATTTCGTATCCGGTGATTGCCTGTCGCTGTCTAGTCTCCCTAACGAGCAGCTCAGATAATTCTTTTGGCGCATGCTCGTCCGGCTCGCCAGGTTCGACTCCAAGAGGATCGACGAAAAATCCATCTTCATCCAGGTACGAGCAGCGCCATCCTTTCCGGGACTTGTGTCGTCCATCGATATCTTCATCTCCGCCACCTCGCCGTCGGGCGCGGGCCATGAAGTCACGGTTGAGGATGCTGACATCCTCGGGCGCGGGACGGACGGGGAAAGAATCAGAATCACTGTCGGAGTCGGACTCGCGACCGTTATGAAAGTGGGTATTTTGACCTGATTGGGCCATTTTGAGTGAGGGGTACTAGAGGTTTTGGTAAAGCTGTTGACGTTTTGAGGTGAGATGAGGTTAGGGTTTTGTGGTGGGGGTATGCGTATCAGTGACTGTAATGTTGAGGTGAGGGCGCTCAAAGAGAAACCAAGAGCTGGCGTGAATATCACTAATGGATCGGAAGCTAAGTAAGCTGAAGCTATTAGCCAGGAGCGCTGCCTACGTTGGCTTCAAGCTGGTTGAAGTGAAAGCTTGGTTTGTTTGCTTATCTCCTTGATTCAGTCAAACAATGATGTGCAGCCAACAATTGACAAATCCTCGGAAGAGTGAGTTGGGGTAAAGAACAACAAGAAAGAGAAAGCGAGGGTTCGTCGATGGAAGAGACTATTTATGTTATGACGAACATTCTACATGGACTATTTGATCAGGTCCCACCTGGACTTAAATTCTTGCTGTCTTGAGCTCTATAGCGAGAATTCTCTATCGCTGATGGGAACGAAGGCTCATGTTCACTGAAACCGTTGGTAGTTTCCATCTTCATTTGCCCTGAAGTTCCCCCGTTCACAGCCATCATTGTGAACAGAGTCGCAGATTGAATACTCCATTCACCTCATCACTTACCGATCGTACCTTCGATACCATGCAATAGATTCACCGTTTGAACTGCCGAAGAGAATAGCTATGTATAAAATTCCCATCTACCAACTAACCAACAAATGTTCACGTACAAGCTGAAGTTAACGATGATCTTGCACCTCGTATGCTAAGCAGAGCCTTGCCATATTGATGCTATGTGTTATAGACTTAGGTAACCTTTCCAACTCGATCAAATGAGTGGAGAGGGGAGTACACGACCTAAAAGAATCGAAAAGTATAGTAAACTTGGTAAAAATTTTGTGAAGTTTGCATGCGGTTTGGATATTAGTCTTTTAACCTACATAGATAGACGTGAGATATTATGGTTGGTTACCCAGGTACGTAATATTCCGTGCTACTACTAAACATGGGTGTTGACTTCGTAATGACTTGAGAACAGAAGCACCAGTTATCGACAGATGGGTCAAACCCTTTTCAAAACACACTCAGATACAGCGACTCGGCTAACAAGAGACTCGGTCTCATAAATTTCCCCGTCATAACGTCTTTTTCTATATATTAGTTGCTTTTTGGATGCTATTTGGATGCCTAATACTTCAGGTCATGAATGGGGTTGACTATCATGCCCATTTAGGCTAGCGCCGACCGGATTGCCATGTGTCGCCGCGCCGCATAATCATCGCAAAAGTATTTTGAGGTTTCTATCAGTAACACCTCAGACGATTTTTTCGAAACTGTTTGGTTCGGGAACCCTATCAAAGGAAGATTGAGGACTTTTGCTTGTCGCACTGTAGTCAACACAATGGCGAGAATGCTTGACAGCCTTGTGAAGAAACAACTCGAGCGAGTTATGATACCACAACCACTACATGTCTTTTCCCAAGGCAAGTGGTTATCTAAAACTGGCCCATGGCCATCCACAACGACCCAGAGCTTGAAGACGGAATACCTGGATCAGCTACACCTCATATCTTGGAACATCGACTTCCAAACTCCATATCCCCGAGCTCGGATGGCCTCAGCCTTGAAATACATCGAAGGCCTTGTAGCCCAGGTGCCATCTTCGTCTGCTATTTGTATATTCTTTCAAGAGATGAGGGAGGTGACTGGGAACCGAGAACCGGACATCGAACAGCAGGCAAATGATTTAAGCCAGATCGCCAACGCGTCCTGGGTCCAAGAGAGATTCCACATGACGGATCTGGACCTCTCTAACTGGGCCTCTCACTACGGTCAAGTGACCTTGATTGACCGAAGGCTCAGCGTGGCTCAGGTATCACGTGTAGAGCTTGTCAGCGAGTTCCGACGAGATGCTTTGCTCGTTGATATCCGGCTCGGCGAAGGAGAAGACGTTCTCCGCCTTTGTAATGTTCACTTGGATTCTCTTACTGGGAATTTAAGACCTGTTCAGTGGAAAGGGCTGGCGAAATTACTTCAAGATAAGGAAGGAGGAGTTGCTGGAAGTCTGTTGGCAGGAGACTGTAATGCAACCCAAACACGTGATAGGACCGAACCGCAGCAAAACGGCTTCAAAGACGCTTACCTCGAATTAGGCGGCGAAGAAGGTGACGAGAACGGTGCAACTTGGGGGTTTCAAAGTCGTTCCGGGAAGCGGTTCGGACGCCAACGCCTCGACAAAGTCGCTACATGGGGCGTTGTACAAGCAAGAGGGTTAGAAAGAATTGGTGCAGGCGTATGTGTGGAAGATGAGGTTTTCGCAAAGGCTCTTATAGAAGATACTGGCTTCCCCTTCGTCACAGATCACTATGGGTTGATGTGTACTGTTGACGTGCACGGTGGAATGAAGTCGACGGGGAGCTTGCCTTGAATGGAAAATATCCTGTGGATGATTAGGACACTGCAGATCTAATTCCAAGAGATAAAGTCCAGAACCATTCGGTACAATTGAAGTCGCAGTTTAACAGCTGTATTATAATGAGTCTGACGTTGATCAAAGTGCATCAAGGCCTGACTCGGCAAAAGCTAATCTATCAGACCATTTGTCAAGCATACACACTGCCTACAATGATGCTCGAAATACCTCACCAGTGGCTTGATTGACCTATATAGTCGTATCAAGAGCAGTTAGGTGCTTCTTATCCTTTGCTGGGGGAATAGCCTGAGTAAAATGGAATTGGATTGCAGAGCCCCCTTACTGCATCAAGTGTCTCCTAGCTAGATAGTATTTTCTTCATAGACTTGGTTTCTCTATTGTTCATGTTTCTACGCTTTTGGTACGGAGCGTGATCATGCAATAATGCGACTTGAATAAGGGACAACAAGGAACTCGATGGCAGCATTGTCTGCCCATGGGCATTGCTCGTCGATCTCACCCGTTGAACTTCATGGAATCAATGCACAGGCGGAAAGTTTCTTAAGACCATCCTTTCTCTATTATGGTTCGAACATTTCAAAAGATGATACGTCAAGCCTTGTCCCTGGCAGTTTCACGACGTAGTCTGTAGCGAGAAGAGAGCGGGAGCCCTTTACGGTTTGCGAATGCATCCCTACCATTGCTCCAGGCCTAGACGAAGACAAGACGGCCTAGGGGGCTTATGTTCAAATTCCATTATATTAACTGACAGTTCCTGGTCCCGCACTCATGTTTCCTTATTTTTGTAATACCAGGTCGAGAACTGTGAGTTCTTCCGGTAACCCGGGGTAATGCTGGTAGCTGAGCAGAAAATTAAATGATGGCATCAACGCACGAACCAGATGTATGCCTAATGCAGGCATATATGTCGACGAGTTGAGAATAAGGGGTTAGCATTTCAGTCATAACAATCAAGACATCTGCCCGATAACCGAGCTTTTCGTCATGTTTTGGCGATGCAGATGCCTGCTACCTTGCTGAAGGATTGAAATTTGTGTCTGCATTGGGCGAATAGCAGTCATCTTTTTGGGTAGGACAGGGCTGACGCATTGACAACCGAGATGATCCGCAGGAAAAGGTGGGAAACCCTTGTCGATATGTCCAGACGACCAGACAAATCTCATCAACCTCCTTGCGTTGTGGTACAGTCGCACATCCGAAGTCTAATGTTGTGTGATTGTCAATTAAAGCCTTGTGCAGTTGTTGTTGGGTTGTCGTCGCGATCAACATTCGACATATCTTTGCGAGCCATGTTTTTGCACTGGTGAAGATCAGCAACGTATCCTCTCTCTCATTATTGCAGAGAAATAGAGTTAAAGTCCGTCCGGCTCTGTCTTACTTCTAACTTGCCCAGACTGGCTGAAGTGCGCCATGACGTCTCAGTTGAATTAGTGCTCAAGTTGTTGATCTGCTAGAGGGCCGTAGATGCGTACTGTATAGGGCTGTTGGCGCGCGGCCACCCCTGACTCGGACAAATCAGATTGTCGTGTCGGTCACCCACCACTCTGACCTCAAACAGACGACCCTCATGCCTTCGATAACTCATAACATGATCTCAATACATACACGCACACTTGAGTTAACGGCTGCTCAATTGTCAGCTCTGCTTATCTTCAACACAATGCGGCTAAAATCTGCTAAAATCTGCATTTTGGTGGCATAAATGAAGTCTTTAATTGAAGCCAGCATATGGTAGACATAATGAGAGCTGAACCCTCCCCTGTCGGACTTCGTCTGGTGAAGCACCCAAAAGTCCGCAGGGCCCTCCATGCGCAATACCCTGAGACCGTGACAAGATTATTGATCAAGCTGGGATACCGCAGCCCCGTTTTACGTCTATGTTTCAGATGGAGCGGGTATGCACGTCTTTTGTGGCGCCCAAAGTACAAGACAGTCGCACAGAAAGCTTTGGAGCCCACACCACCGCGTCTGAGCTCTCGAGGATGAGGGGACAAGTCGAGGTCCGCGTTCCCCACGCCTCATTACACAGTAAATAGAAACGCGAGGAACTATTATTATGCGGCGTAGGCGCCGGATCTTTTTGCATGTTGTACATCTTTCCATTTCCAACTCTCTCTCCTTCACTTTTGCTATATCGCTCCCTTTTAGCGCTTACGACACGGCCTCTATATTCGATCCTACTTCCTTCTTTATATCGGTTTACTGTTTAATTTCTTATTAATTCCTCCAAAAATGGCCAGACTTTCACACCTCCTATCTCTTCTACTATTCTCTTCTAGAATTGTATCAGCAGCAGAGCAGAAATGCTATGGCCTCAACGGTCAACCGCAAGAGGAGGGATTCGGACCATGCAAGACCGGTACGCGTCACAGTGGCTGTTGTGCGATCAACAGACCAGCGGGCTCTGTTGATATTTGCCTCGACAATGGACTGTGCATGGCCACAGGCGAAGGCTATATGGGTACGATATGGCAGTCTGGATGTACAGATCCGACTGGCCAAGATCCTGCCTGTCCAAAACTATGTCCCGATGGTGAGCCCAAATCAATTGATATCAATCAGATCTTTCTTCAGTCCTAATACTGATCGTGTAACAGTGAGAGACAACTTCGGAGGCCTTAAGAAAGTCTTTGCCTGGAATATCCAAACCTGCGATTTCGGCAAATACTGCTGCCGCGAAGTGGGCGACTCCAGGAATTGTTGCAACAATGCAACTGCACCACAGATCGAAACAAACTTCATCGGCGCCTTCCAATTTCCTACTTCTACCGCTGGTATCCCTTCTTCATCATCGATATCATTAGCTACAACGACTTCAGCTAAACTGTCTGCGACGCCAACGCCGGACGCAACACGGACCTCCGAGATTGTCGGAGAAGCCGTATCAACAGGCACGCCATTCGCCCAGGAAAGCACTACCTCTCAGCCACAAACGACCTGCAAGCCTGACAAAAGCGCGGTTGTTGGGGGCGCAGTGGGTGGCATACTAGGTGCCGCTCTTCTCGGCATGATGGGAGTCATCATGTGGATGCACAGGAAGGAGAAGAGACAGCGAAGGCTTAAAGAGCATTACGAAGAGCAGTTCGGCCAAAACTTTGCGTACAAGAGGACGGTCGTTGTGGATACAGAGTCGAGCGAGCTCTTGCAGCTTCCTACAAGTCCAACGAGCGAGAAGCCAATCATCATAGAACAACAGGGTAGGGCTGGGTAACGTCCATAGCTATGGGGTATTTTTATGTGTACTTTTACTTTTGTCTGTCGATTTAGCGTAAAAATATTATTAGCGGGATAAAGGGGGGATGGATGGTAATTGTTGCCAGGAGTTAAAGGATGATATCGCATGCTTGAATTTATGTTTTGCTATGCGGTAACTCGACGACCTTTGCCCGCCTTTGCTTCTATGACGAGACTAATTGCTCACATAGACCTTCGTCATGAACGGTTTATTGCTGCACTGTGATTGGCACACGTCTCTTTGCTCAAACTCGCCCTAGTTCTCCAAGCTTACCCATCAACAGTGCTTCAACTTTGTCGCCCTTCTTTGCACTCTGTTCTCCAGCGGGCATGCACAGCAATGCATTTGCCCCTTTGAAAGACCCAATGCGTGAGCTGCGCTGACCACCCGTGCTACTGGCATACAAGATCCCATCGTTCTTGATAGCCACGATAGCACGGTGATACTCTGGCCTCTGTCGATCGAGACGTATATCCTCCTCGAGGACAGCCTTGACCCTTGTCAAACCAGCGGGGGATATTCCACTCGCCTGGTGTAAACTTGGCAGGACGAACAGATGGAACGTCACCACTGCGGATGCGGGGTTACCTGGGAGGGAAAAGATGACTTTGTCGGTGCGAGCTCCGGATGCATCTTTGATGGGCACTGTGGCAAACGTAGCGGGTTTTCCAGGTTTCATATTTACTCGTCCGAAGTGGATTGTGCCACCCAGGGAACGCTCGATCGTCGGTTTTAGTAGATCGAGCTCGCCCATGGAAACACCACCAGAGGTTATAATGACATCAACCTTCCGCATAGCTTCGCGAAGGGTTTGCTCCAGAGAACCGGGCCTGTGTTACTGTTAGTGTTGCAATTGTGGTTGGCACAGAATACTGACTTGTCTGATGCTATGCCGAGGTCAATTGCCTCGAAACCATGGCTTTTCACAGCCGTGAGCAATGTTGGCCTGTTTGTATCGCGAACTTCGCCCAGCTTTAGAGCACCAGGTCTATCATGCGGGATGATCTCGTCGCCTGTGCTCAAAACACCGACAATGGGTTTCTTGTACACAGACACCTCAGAAGTGCCCACAGATGCGAGTAAACCGAATTCACCACCGAAGATGGTGATTCCTTCGCCCTTCTTCATGATAATGTCATCCACTTTGACATCACTGCCAACTTCACGGACGTTCTCGCTGGACTTGATGTCATCAGTCAGAATCTCAATCTCTTTCTCTTCCTTCCCATCTTCCGTCTGGGATTTCAGGGCGGTGTCTTCAACCATGATGACAGCATCCGCGCCGGGAGGGAGTGGAGCGCCCGTGGTGATTCGAGCAATTTCCCCTTCCTTTAGTTCCGGAACCTCTCCAGCTTGGGCGTGGGAGATAAGCGCGACAGGATAAACGCCTTTAACAAACTTCCCAGATGGGGGGATCTTCACTGCGTAGCCATCTACAATACTTGCTCTGAAGGCTGGAACAGATTCCTCTGCTTTGACATCCTCAGCTAGGACGTGCCCACCTATATCCAGGTTGACAGGAACCTTGTGGACAATTGGGGCAGGAGTATGCTGTGCAATCAGCTTGAGCGCATCGTCTACTGGGATCATCGGGTAAGGTGAGCTTCGATATCGACGTGTGGGTCCTGCATTTGGGTCGTTGGATTGTGGTCGTTCATCTGGATGAGTATGAGCCCTTGGAACGGCGTGCCCGCCGTGGCCGTGTGAATGGCCATGGCCATGATGATGGTGGTGGTTATGGCCGCAGCCTCCAGTATGAGATGCTATAACATCTTAGTGCATTCCTGATTGAATGTGCAATTTCACCCATGAGTACCTTGAGCTGAAGATTTAGAGCTAACCCCCGCGTCCTTTTCGAGCTTCTCAACACCTCCAGTGTGCAAGGGACGTGACTCTGCCCCAGCTACCTGGATACAGGCATGAGGTAGAAGCTTGAGAACAGCCTCTAAATTCTCTTTGGCACCCTTTAGGGATCCCGGAAGTGTCAAAATGAGCGATGACTTCCGAGTGCCAGCCACCGGCCTCGCCATTAATGCAACTGCTTAGTGTGAGTACCCCGCTAGAACGATGTGAAGGAATACATACAAGGCGTCACAGACAGCGAAGATGCGAGCATGCCATGCCTGACCCTTTTTAGTATCATTTGTTTGTATAATGAGAACTAGGAACATACACTAATCCGGGGGCTTGTTTATCCAGGAGCATTGAGACAGCCTGAACCAACACGTCAGATCTTGTAACACATAACATGGACTCGGCGCTAACCTCTGGGGTGACATCTTTCACTGCGAAACCGGTACCACCACTGGTAACGATGAGGTTAATAGGGTTTTCACTGTCTGACCAAGCTTTAATTGTCTTCTGGATGTCTATGATGCTGTCTGGCACAATTGCAGTGCTAGCAACATTCCATTGATCGTTACCAAGATTTTGAAATACCTCCTTCAGGATAGGAATACATTTGTCGGTGGAGGAATCCTTGGACGCTGTCTCTGAGACGATGAGAATAGCAGCCTTCAATTTGGAGTCGGTCATGTTGCGAGTGGTTGACAATGTTGTGTTCCGGAGCATGCGGGACGGCACGTCTGAGATACATATGCTATCTTGATCGGTCATAGTTCGGCCTAGCTAGAGCTTCGGATTTGGTACGGATTGTGGTTGTCTGTCATCATAAAAGGCAATGTTTAAATGTTCTATTTTCCCTATGCGCCGCTGCTGAATGATGAACCCTACTATCCCGCTCATGATACATGGATATTACAAAAATCCCTATGTACATCGTACAATCTCCACACGAACTCTTTGCGACCGCGATCAAATCTGCGTCTGAGCGCGTTTTCTCCCTTCGTACACCTTATTGACCAGCCCATCATACCTGGGCGTCTGGGGCGACATTGTATTGCTAGATATTTCAGTCGCATTTGGCCACCTATTCGAAATCTGGTGCATTGCTTTGAACCAGCAGACCAATGATCAATCCGAACAAGCCAAGAATAGAGCTAAAGATTTCGATAACCAAGATTTTCACGAATCTAAAGCGCGTTAGCATAGACAACACTGACGAATTGATCCAGTCCTTACAGAGCAGGGTCTGCGGCGTCAGCCAAAGCCGCGCTGCTTCCGTTGATTCCTACAGATACACCGCAAATCAAGTTGCACATGCCCACCGTTATTCCGGCCCAGAACAGAGCGTAACCAGTGTAGTAGTTTCGGGGCGAGTACAACTGCTCGGGATCGGCGATGTTGTTGAGCTTCGAAGAGAAGATGATGGCCATGATGACACCGTAGATGGCGACGACCTCGCAAAAGATAATGGAAATAAGGTTCTTCGTCCGAATCCTAGGGGCCTTGACACCACCACCGACGATAGAGACTCCAGTCGTGAAGATTCCCCTGCTGATCGTTAGTTCCGAAGCTTGACGCCATCGTACAATAGGCATACCATGCTGAACCAACAACTGAAAGGCCGATGCAAAGGCCTATGCCCAAACTCGCCCAGGTATAAGGTGAAACGGACTCCAGAAATTGGCCGACCTATTTCAGTCAGTACTAGACAATCGTTACGGGCGCGTGATGAGGTTATGTACGTTGAAAGCTTCGCCCTCGCCATTGAACAGCATGTCTGTTGTCAGGGTCAGTAACTGCTTGCACCGTGAATTAGTGCCTACTCACACAAGCCGACAACTCCCAGCGCAGCAGCCGCACCACCAGTACCATATGTGAGAGACATGATCAACGAAAAAGCTTGGGAAGCAGATGGACGGCGAAAGTGGCGTTTCGGGAGCTCTACTTGGGAGATGGAAGCATGGGAAGCTGATGATGACTTCGCCAAGCAATTGAGCCGCTAGCGCGATTCCCTCTTAGTCACCTCCCCGCCGCGACCTCGTAACACCGAACGCCTCCATTGCGTATCGCACGTACACCAACATCGGATCTGTTCACATCAAACACTTCGACGACCTTCACCATGGCTGACGCAAAGTACTATGAGCTCTACCGCCGAAGCAGGTACTATTTTACCTCGCCCCAGATCAGAGTATAATGAGCTTCGGCTAACTCCAACAGCTTGGGCGGTGCTCTTACGGATACCCTGGACAACTTGATCACTGAACGTCGCATAGAGCCGCAACTTGCTATGAAGATTCTAGCAAACTTCGATAAGGCTGTGGCAGAGGTTTTGGCAGACAAGGTCAAGAGCCGGTTGACTTTCAAGGTTGGTCCTTCCATTTCTTTGATCACTGTTGCCTTCCGACGCCGCCATTGCTAATACCAGTATTAAGGGTCACCTCGATACTTACCGATTCTGCGACGATGTCTGGACTTTCATTATTAAGGATATCAACTTCAAGCTTGACAACACCAACACTATTCATGCCGACAGAGTCAAGATCGTCAGTTGTAGCTCGAAGGAACAGCAAGCGCGGATGTAAGCACAGCGGCTGGTGGACAGAATGTTTGAGGGAGAGAAAGAGATTGGTGGAAAGTCTTGCAATTACCCAGAGTTGGCACTGTGCCCCGATGGCTTTTGAAGCGCCAAAAGAACAACGGACCGTCTACAAGCGCGATAGTACGGAGCGATACGAAGGATACCTTTTGGAAAGGCCTCCAATGGAATCAAATGGGAAAACGGCTGTGCAAGTGGAAGACCCGTCCGAATTTTTATGGTTGGCGTAAGGAGTATGTTATTCAGGTTCATGGATACCTCAGGCATGGCAAAGGCGTTCAGGGCTTGACTTGATGGACTTTCAATCTTTGAATTAGAATTTCCATATTCAGACCAGCATTCATGATTTGATCATGATTTTTGATAAGCTGTGGATGCGTATCTCAGGAATTATACTGTCTGTTGAACGTAGATGCACCCGCATTCGAACACGCGATTCACTAGTACCGTGTTTTCATATGAAAAAATGAAATAGTGCATTCATATACTTTGAGATCGTTGTATCGCTCCTTGGGAAGTCACTATTCAATGTCAAAAGAACTCCGCATGTACGAGTAGAACTGAGTGTTCCAATGACATCCTCGTACATGCTTTCTAACTAGTGGACGGCGGAGTTGGGAGATCCGACCAGGTACCCGTTGCACGTCGAGCGGCAAGAGCCGAGAGCTGCAGGGTAACCTCACACCTCACATGTCGATTGACATCCTTTTGTCCTTGCAAGCTCCAACTTCACAACAGATATTCAGACCTGTTATGTCTACCACAAGGTCACAGCCTACGTGGCTGATTCTAGCAGTGGCTAGTGGAGGGTGTGCGGCGTTCAATGGCGTCTTTGCGAAACTGTAAGAACATTCTCCTGAACTTCCCCTTGAGCCCGCTGACGACATGGCAGAACAACAACTGAGCTCACGGCTTCGTGGGCGGGCGCCATAGCGAAGGCATTCTCCCTCGATGCAGATAACAAAGTCGTTGAATACGCCATCCGTGCTGTAAGTCAACGCTCAGGCTCGCTCATACCCTGGCATTGCCATTGACATCGCCCAGCTGTTCTTCGCCCTGAACCTCGTCTTCAACGCAGTGATGTGGGGATTATTTACACGGGCTCTTACCCTAGCATCTTCCACTGTGCGTGTGAGTGTGATAAATACCTCAGCGAACTTCATGATTACCGCGGTCCTTGGAGCCCTCATCTTTTCCGAGACGTTACCAGGCTTATGGTGGGTTGGCGCCTCACTCCTGGTTGCTGGCAGTGTTATCATCGGAAGAAGAGAGGAGGGTAACAAAGCTGGTGGGGAAGCTACTACAGTGACCGAGCCGTTGATTGAGGGGACCAACGATGCAGATTCTAGGTTCAAAGACGAGGATGAGCCGGACAATCATAATGGACTGGAGCTCAACACTGTCAATGATCCCGACGGCGAAAGATCAACGGATGACGAGGATGCCACCTTGAAATAATCAATCGAATCGTCTTGCGACCGACAGATGTTTTGTGTATGACTGGACCAAACCTTGCACTATGTGATCATGCTGAAATTGGTTGTGATGACGATTGCTCATCCTAGTCGAAACTGATCTTGCGTGACAGTGAGTAGACTTGCTCTTGGAAAGAATATTCGAAATGCTTAATGAAGCTCTTGCAATGCCAGAGATTGTGTTGGGCTTTTCAATTGTCAAGAGGTGTGGCAAGCACCGTCCCAACGCCTGGAGAGGATTTACCACCTACGTTTGAAATACCATCACTTCATTTCCATCTTTGCTCCTCTGCTGCAGTTTCATCGGTTGCTATCGTCAATGTTGCGGCACCAACGGAGGGACTGAGTTATCTACAGAGCATCACCGTATCCTCATCGTCAATCCCACGAGAAGTGCAAATGCGGTTGCATGACTTCTTTGGTCATTTGAATAAACTCTGTAGTGAAGCGCAGTCAAGCTACCACCTTCGATTGTGTTCTACCACAACCTACTTTACCAGACTTTACCTCTCGCGCAATCTCTCGCGCCCGCTCTCTCCACCTTCACCTACCCTCGCTCCCTCGTCTCCCTCTATTTAAAGTCCCGCCCCCTCCCCTCCTACCTATCCTCTCTTCCTACACCTCCAACGCGCAACCTTTTCAACAACCCTTTCGTCTTTGCGACGTTGCCATTGAAACAGCCTTCCACGCTGATATTCGGTATCAAAAGCCGATACCACGGAAACCGCTTGTTGTAGGCGGCTTTCGCTCACTCACTTGAGTCTTCGCTCGCTTCAGAGTAGGTACAACTTCACTTCATTCTGCCATCCCCTTCCCAGTAACTAAACCCCGAGACATAGTTCTCATTCAAACATAACTTGTCCTACATTCACATAACAGCATCACCTGTAGCGTTGCGGACATAAGGTGGAGCTGCCTCGCCGCAATGTCTGTCGCGTCCGCACCTGAGTTGGGCCGCGGCAGGTCTCCAAGCAGCGTCCTCACTTCCGAGGCTTTCTACTCTGCTTCTAGTCCCGAATCCCAACACTCTGGGCTCAGTGACGGACGGCTCAGTGACGGACACGTCGAGCCTGATAATGTCACCGACGATATGGAAGAAGAGTTTGCTGCAGCTCTCACCACACTCAGCATCGCCAACGCGGGTGTGGACGCACGTAACACACATCGCATGATAGTGGCAGGCAATGTGAACTTCGACAAAGAGGTGTCTTATGACCCGCAAGAGAAAATCATCATTCTCAACTATGATACGAGAAAGACTCACGATTCTGCATTCGCGCACGAGCAGATCCAGCGTTTCAGCATTAGGCGTTCTCAATCTCTGAAAGTCCAGCTTAACATCTTCGCTGGACCGCGCCTCCCACTCTTGCTCATGGTGAAGGATTGGATTGCTGAGTCACTGGGAGATCACATGGGCACTGTTAAGCACTTGCAACTTGTGATTGTACGCTCCGGCGAATTCATCAATGGTCAGTGGCGAATCCCGGACATGGACCTTGAGCACTTCCCACCCCTGGTCCACTTCGTCCGTTCGATCCTAGAGGTCCTGCCAAACTACTTGAAAATCGAATGGGGTTGTACCTCCGCCTACGAGCGTGCTCTGCGCACATACTACCATTCCAGGGCTGATCTCAATGCCACCATTGCCTATGAAGTCAACTGGAACGACGGCATCCAGGCCTTTTCTAAGGTGGTGGATAGGGAAACCTTATGGAGAATTGAGAAAGAATGTCGTTCACAGAGAGAGGATGCCCTGGGCATGAACCCCACGGCCGTTTCCTTTCAGCCTCGTCCATACATGAGGCGTCTTGGCTATTATCAAGCTCACCCATCTGAGCCCTTGAACTCCTTCCATGGGCAGCTGCATGAGGTTGATCGGCGTCGCGGCAGCTGGAATGGACATGGGGGTGACTATGTGTATGTACCTTTCGTCAACCATTCAGCTTCAGCAATGGTTGAACCCCATGTCCCAGGCTTCGCGCCCCCCATCCCACCGCCCCAAACGCAGCACGGCTACGGCGTCCCTCTTCAATCGGTCCCTAATGATCGGTTCAACGTACAACATGTCGGCCAACCAGCCCCGCCTCATCGAGGTGCTTACCCGATTTATTACCTCAACCAAGAGCAACGTCCACATGGAATGAGGGGCAGAACTGCAGCATATCCGACTGGAGAACCAAGCAGCCATCCCCAGAACTACAGGAGAGCTACTAGGAACAGCCGTAGAGGCTCAACCCTTCTGGATGATACCCTCCAGGGCGGTCACCGGAATGGTCAAAACGGTCAACAGCATGGCCCTCGGAATGGTCGCCAGAATGGTCACCAAATCGGCTATCAGAGTAGCCGCCGCATGGGATATCAGAATGGTCGCAACAACATGTATCAGAATGGCCCACCGAACGTTTACCAGAGTGGCTATCAGAATGGCTATTGGCACGGGCCACAGAATGGCTATCAGAATGGCTATCAGAATGACAATCGTAACGGTCCACGAAATGGCTACGAGAATGGCCGCCGAAGTGATATGAGCGATGGCGGATTTCGAAACCCTGGATACCCAATCGACCATCACGGTCGCGAACCCTTCGCCAAGTCTCCCTTTGGAAATGTAAACATGATGCCCAGCAATGCCAGCTACACCCCCACCGAACTCTACAAGCTCGCGACTTTTAGCAATCCCCTCAGCCACGACAACCCCTTCTACGATGCCTACGCCGATTTCTACGCGATGGGACATGCTTATGCGACCGGCAATAATCTTCACCAGCGACGCACTGAAGCTCCATCTTTGTATGATGCACCAGCCCATTACCTTGATCCAGCCTTTCAACTAGGACAAACCCCCCGGCCCGGTTCTCATCGTGAAGGTCAGTCACTTGACGCTGGCGCACCTCACCCGCCAGATGACCTCTCCTTCCCAGGCTTAGGTGATGCTCCCGCCGGCCCCATGGAGACGGGCAGGCCTAAGAAATACAAGAACAGGAAGAGCAGGAAGGACCTGCACATTGATACTTCTGCAACGGTTCCCATTCGCGACCAGTCAGAGGATAGTTCTATTCAGAGTGGACCTCTCGGTAGTCCTTTCGTGACCCCGCCTGAATACAATTACAGCTCCGGATCCCAAGGCCCTTCTCGCTTTTATGACACCGAACCATCGCCTCGCACGCCGGAGTCAACGCAAGCGGACCCGAACGCCCTCGAGCAATTTCCCGACTTCGACCCCAACGTGCAGTTCTAGATTTGTCGATGTGTGTGTGTGGAGTGAGACACGACCTTCATGAGTGCCACGACCATCATCTTGCCGTCCCCAGGCTTTTTTCTCTTCGAATTCACTGTGCTTTCCGGAGTTCGTATTTGAGGTTTGTAGCATGAATTTTCTTTTCTTCTTTCTCCTTTTTCCCTTCTCCCTTTTTCTCCCTTTTCTCTTTTTCTCTCTCCCCTTTTCTGCCATCCCCTACTTGCATTACATACTTATACCCACAATCATGTTTTATGACCTGGAGGAGTTGAAGGGGTGACAGGGTGGGCTGGAGTTGAGGATTGGAGGTTGGAGGATATTGAATGGGGGGATACGGGGGGCTTGGTGGAGTTTGCAAGTTGGAAGTTGATGATTGGGGGTGGGGGACGACAATCGAGTGAGGATGGCAAGGTTTCTGGTGTGTTTTGATAAGTTGTGGAAGATAAAATCGCGAAAACCGAGAAAACCGAGAAAAAATGGAAAGGTCTTGTAAAATTCTATTCACTATGCACTCGTGATATGCCTATCAAACAGATCCGGCCGTTTTCACCTCAGTGTAATCTCCGTAAGCCTTCCACTATACCCCTCACCTCCTCCAGATCAACCCCCAAGCCGTCTATGGCTTGCTTCTGCACTTCCTCGCTCTCGTCCAGGAATCTTTCAATTAGCTCTCCATCGACAAAACGCTCCGGCTCCTCTGCCTCTCTGACTTGGTTCTTGTATGCGCGATATTTCATGAATTCGACTTGGCCCGGACCCTGTACAAGTTCCGCAAGCCGTGCTTGCAGTTGCATGAGAAGGTTCTGGTAGGAAGGTGAAATGAGGCCAAACAAGTATAAAGAACCCTCAACCTAGATAGGTGCGTTAGCAGTGCAAGCGAGAGCAGGGTAGAAACGTCGATCTTAACTTACAGTCGCCATGAAAGCTCTCGGAACGACGACAGCACCTGGCGGAGCTACTACGTCGATTCTCCGTATCCTGTTCACCATTTCACCGAGCAGCATCTCAGATGTCCTCATCAGTCGCCGCCTGTGGTCATCAATTTCTGCATTGGGATCTCTGCTGAGTACGAGAAGGTTGCCTTCAGCATCGCTTTCGAGATAGGTATCATCATCCACTTCAGCGACGGCAGTGGCCCATGTGGTTTGGAAGTGCCTAGCGACTTCTGTGATGCGATCGGAGAGTCCACTTTCACCGCGTTCGTATTGGACTACCACGATAGATTTCATGAGATCGGCGATTGTGATTAAAGTACCATTGACGATGAGGTCGATAGGGGCAGTAGAACAGCGGAAGGATGCAGCTTTTACGAGCTCTGGTCGGCCTTCACTACGATACTCGACATCATAGATAACGACCGTCTTGATGAGTGCTGCAACGATCTTGCCTTCACACATAGCCAGGCATCTGCAGCCCCCTTTGACCGCGAGCTCGGTGACCAGTTTGAGCACGCGATCTTCAGTGACTTCGAGGATAAGGATTCGCCCGCGTTCTGCAACGGCACTTTGATCATCCAAATACGCGGTTCCGACGACGAAACGCTCACTTGTCGATCCAGATCCATCTGGTAACTCGCAACGCATGACACTCTCGACAAGCTCCTGTTCTTTGAGCATGAATGTGTCCAGCTCCTTGAATTGAATCTCGTCAACAAGTTTGAAGTGGCTAATCAAGATCTCTTCGCCGCCCTTGAGAACTCTCTTGATTGTCCCGAGACCAAAAGCTTTCGATGTGCCGGAGTATGCAATTCTTCGGACAGTCTCGTCGACTTTGAGTGTCTGTACGTGGGTGGTTCTTTCGGTGTCAACGAGAGCAATACGCAGATCGCTAGTCGTAGCTATGGCGACAGAGCCGGGATAGGCTTCCGAATCAAATGGACAGACGGTCGTTGCCTTCTCAGCGGTTACGGCAGAGTACACCAAGCGTCCCTCTGAGCCGTATATGAGTGAGGGATGCTCACATGTAGCGAAAACATTAAACAAGCCATCGCCACGCGGTAGTGCCCGGAAATTCGCCTGTTGTGTTCCCAGAATGATGCTTTTGCGTCCAGAGAGCTGATTGTTCTTAGGATTGAAGGAGTATGTAACGACATTTCCATCGGCCATTGCGACAAACAACGTCGGGGATTGTAGATCAAAGATCTGAGCAAGAAGAATTGATCGGGGAACCGAATCTTCAGAGATATGAATATCTTTGACCGATTCTAGAGTATCTATCGCGGCAACTGATAATCTCGAATTGTGCCAGAACCCCAAGAAGCACACGGCGCTTGAGCCGGGAGCCAAAGCTACGCATGCTACCTGGCTATCAGCACCGAAAGCTTTTTCTTTGATCACAGTTAAGCCCCCCTCAATGTCAAGGACTACCACCGTAACACCGCCCAAAGAGATGAGCACATGGGTATCGTTCGAAGCGGCGGCGGTGATACTTTGGCCGTTCGGGGCAGGCCACTCCGCTACGACCATGCCACCGTCCAAGTCGGTTATTTGGACGCGGGAGCCTGTAACCTGTACAATGCGACCTTGGGAGACATTTGCTGCAGCAAGTGTGGTTTCCATCAACTGTAGCCCAGCGAATTCGTCTATCTCTTCAACATCCCCCTGTCCATCGAACCGGAAAACGCGTGTTTCTGTCACGAATGTGACCAACAGAACGTCGTCATGGCTGGACAATGAGCTTGACCTCAGATTGAACAGATTTGTGATGTGATCCATCTCTCCAAGCACCCCGAGGTCCTCAAGACCTACGCCGCTGCGAACACTTCTGAGGCTACCGTCTTGGTATGCTCCACTTCCTGTGACTATTCGAGCCTGCCCAGATGAATACTCATTGGCCTGGCCCTCTCCAGATCGATTACCCATGTCCATTATAGCAAAGTCGAGAATTGGTGCGATGTTTGAAATGGTTTGTACAACATCTACCGACTTGTCGCCGATTCTCAGCACTTGGGAATCGCCTTGGTGGGAACCGACGAAGACTAGCCCTGCGTCAAGGTAGATCAAAACCGATGCTCTTGATGTTTGACCAATTGCATCCAGCTTCCACGACTGAACTTGATCGCGGCTATCCAATAGCACCATGAAAAGATATAAACGCCCATAGTCGTCTGCGAAGAGGAAACGTTGGCTATCAATGCGTTCCCAGGCTACGAAAATTGTGGCATCCTCTAGAGGCTCTGTTATCATTTCGCCTGTCGTGTCATTGTAGTAACTGATCGATGTTTCACCAAGGATGATCAGGCCAGCTGTATGATATCAATGAGCTGTCAAGCTAGCTGGGGACTGGCGTAACTTACAAGCAGGAGCGTCAATGGGTATTACATGACTAGCACCAAGTTCCAGTTCCCCTTTGTAGTTTTCGCCTTCATCCAGCTCGATAGAGTCGGGCCCCGCAAATGAGAGCTCTCGAAGCTTCAATTGAACGCGAGAATGGGTGTCCTCGTATAACAATGCCAGCTTCGGCTTATCATCTTGACTTCTCGGCCGCACAAATCCGGATGACCGCACAAACATCTCAGACACTCTAGAGGGAACGGGCTCCCCCACATGTTCTGATTCCTGTTTCCTCTTTTTACCCCGCTGGACTAATGGAATAACGGTGATAATGCCCTCGTAAACTTCTAGCGTCAAGAATCGCCCCGAAGGATCGACATGGCACCTCTCTCCAGTCTGTGATTCTCGAGCCGCATTATCAGCTACGCTTCCAAAGGTCTTTTCCGTCTGAAGTTGCTTCTTATCTGCATTCCAGGAAAGGGTAAAGTACATAAATCGGTCGGTACCGACGAAGAGGTGATCGGTAGGGGATAGCGCCGGTCGAAGCTTCTGAAGCATAGTCACTCTGCCATATATAGACTTAGAGTGCTGAAGAGCCAGTCCATCGGGACTGTGGGTATAGAATTCGAGCCGGTTGGCCTTGCTTGGTAATGTCAGTATCCGCTTGAAATAATAGCACCCTAGCTAACTTACGCAACCACAAGACAGTCCTCATCTGGTGCTAGGAAATTTAATTTGAGAGCATTTCTGACGCTGCTAGGTCGATGGATCGGTGCTATATAAGCCATGATGCTGTCGTGAACTTGGTGGTTGAACGAAGCTCGGAGGAGGTACGAGAGCTCCGCAAGTTGGCGTGCTTTCGGTGTTAAGCGGAGTTTCAAGGAAGGTGTTCAACCTCTGGAAAGAAAGCTTGTCCAAAACTTGACAGAAAACAACTCAAAGTCTATTGCCAGGCTCGTTTAATAACCAATTCATGAAAGCACCCGTCTGGCATGCATACGTCAAGACCTCCGCCGGCGAGCAATGGCTTGCTAGCCGCTTCACGTGAGTTTCGCGTTACGCCAAGGCGCTAGATCTTCGACGTCAACGCGACCGCGGGGTAGCTCGAATAATTTTTGTTAACTTCATATCCGGCCAACTTCTTATTAAAGATAGTCTCGCATTCTTCCAGGACATCCGATTCTTCATTTCAATTTCTAGTTCCACAAAGTCAAGCGTGTTAGGATACATTTGAGACCTATCGGATGTTCTCTCTGACTGTCATTATCTGTGCAAATTCGTCGAAAACCTTTTCTCCCATTTCTTGAACAAAACTGTTCCTCACCATCTTTGGAGCAAAGAGAACTCACATTCGCACTACTTATTACTTAAAATTGTCTAATTCTCTACATGGCTGAATCTTCAAGTAAGGACACAACTGTGCAAATACATGCTTTCCTTCAGCTAACACCATCCAAAATAGCCCATCCCAACCGCACCGGCGGTGAAGATCTCCTGCCCGATGTCCACGAACAGACCGCCAGTGCTTCCACTAGCCAAACTATTGATGTAGACAGCATTGTTGGTCATAATGATGAGGCCCATGAGAAGGAGATAAAAGATGACGACAATAGCGACACGGAGGACCCTTACCAGGACGACCCTATCGTGGCCGAGTACAAGATGTTCTTGGTCCAGCCGAAGTACCCAACGTATGTTCTTCAATATATCGACCGCCCTGCGGATCAGCCTGTCGGTGAAAAATATGGCGCCAAGGTTATCGAGATGCGCGTCAAACCAACTACTGGGTTCTTCGAGGTTGATGTTGCCCTGGACATCCATCATAAATTTGATCGTGTGAAGGCGGTCAGATTTGGCGAGGCTTTGAGGAAGACAAAGGCGTTAGGGCAGCAAGGTTATGGAATGGCTGTTGGATTTGGGCGCGTTATGCCTCGACCTAAACGTCGTGGAGCCGCCGCCGCCGAGGACGAGGAGGACGAAGACGAAGAAGGGGAGGATGGTGCTGCCAGCGCTGGCGCTACAATCGTTGATGACGCAGACATGGATAAGTACGTTAACGATTTCGAGGACGCCAACGACAAGGGCCATGTCCTTAACTACATCACCTACGGCGGTCGCGCTCAAACTCAAGAGGCTGGAAAGCCCGTCTACATGTGTGGTGTTTTCCGCGGCGACGAGTGCCACCTACACAAGATCACGGGCTTCGTCCGGCTCTCAACCGAATACCATCACTTTGATGCGATCGACCACCTAGACATCGTCGATAAGCGCAAGCAAGCAGGCGGGACCACTGCGCAAGCTCAAGAGCCCAAGGCTGTTGTCGAACAACCCCTAACTGGCGGACCCATTCTTGATGAGGAGGAGTCTTTCACTCAGTTTATGAAGAGGGCGACTGCCGAACCATGGGAGCGTCTCCAATACAACGACCAAGACTCGCCAGAGGCATGGCACGCTTTCAGCGAGCGAATGTTTTTGCACGACACCGAAAACGCCGTGAAGCTGGTCTCGCCCATGACCAACGAACAGTACGTGGAATCCCTCAGCGCCGTCAAAGGTACCCGGCAACACACTTTGGAAGAAGACGAGCAAGATTTCGGTCCCGAAGAGGAGGAGGATGAATCGAACAAGAAGAAGAAACATGTGCCTAGCCATGGTGATCTGGAACACCCAATCGTGGGTCCATTCTAAGCCCCAGAAATCCCATTTCGAACTGCAAAAATCTTAGAAACGATGATATGTAAATAGGGCAAAGTAGGTAGAAAAGTTAGTAGGTGGTGTTTGCATACCCCGGAGTTTAGGTTTGGTAGATACCCTTCATGAATACTAGATATCAGGATTCTTTATATTCGTTACATTCTGGCACGACGGTATGTATTTACGTGTATCAGTTAGTCCGACAACGACCTACAATCGGGCCTGCCCCGCAAGATTCGTGCGACGACGCCTCCCCTTCGCCTTTGCCACCTGCACTGCGGTCTCCTCCTCCCCACCGCCCATATCCGCAACAGCATCCTCCCAAAGCGGTGCACCAACAACATCCGCCAAGTGCAGCACCCTATGAATCACCGTAGCTCCATCTCTCCGATTCTTGCCCTCCCTCCGACTAAGACTGATTTTCTCAGCGAACGCCCAGAGAGGACCAGACCCTATGATCCCAGCCGTCCTCGAACTACGCTCGGGGATCCATTCATCCGCCAATTTGATCGTAGGCGGAGCCTTCGCATCTTTCGAGACGGGCTTCGTGACGAGCACAACGCCGTCCTCTTCGAATCGAGTGTATGCGTTCTTCAACGTCTCCTTGTTCACGGCTTCGAAGTAGCTCAAGTCACCTTGGTGGTATAGCGTCTTGCCGAATAGTTGCGCCTTATCTTGCACCTTCTTCATTTCCAACCACTTCTCCTTGTCTCCGGATCCCAGTGGGGGCGTGAGCATTAGTAGAGAGACAGCGCCTAGCCATGCGGATTCGATGAACGGCCAGATGAGGAAGCAGTAGAAGTCGAAGTTCTCGCGGCCGCTTTCTCGCTCGGCGTCGCTGAGCTCGACGAAGGTTACTTGGTCTTTGTCGCGGCTCACTTTGATCACGTTGTCGTTTTCGAGGATGGCGATGGTGCGGGACAGGTTCGTGTCGAGGCCTTCGGTTGGGAAGATGAATTCGCCGCGGAAGAGCTGGGGCTTTGTCAGTACGAGGACGTAAAGGATCTGGATGGGTATTCTGGGGCTTCATACCTGAGAAAGGAAATGTGTCTGATCGCGCAGATCGTCGTATGATATCCTCTGAACCTCAGGTCCGCCGCCAAGTTTGACTTTGGTGTACATGGCGGCTGAAACCAGAGCTTGTAGGATGAACAAGTGAATGGTCATGTTCCGATAGAACGATAGCTGGAATCTGTACAATGTTAGCAAAGACCTTGCCTTGTTGATCCGGGCTCAAAGCAACATACCTATCCACGGCGTAGTATGTATCCTCTGGTAAACCAGGCACAAGTCCTACGAGCTCTGAACCCAAGACTTCGAGTGCACGCTCTACGACGACGCTTGTCGGCAATCCAGCGAAATGGGCTACGCGACCACCTTGAGCCCTCACCCTTTCACTGAGCCATTCCACCCTCCGAACTAGCTCAGTCTTTCCAACTCCTCTTCCTCTGAGCGTTAGCAAAATCGTTCCGACAAGCGCTGTAGGCATGACCACTGAAACGTCATTGATCTCCGAAAGAACCTTGTATCCCATGGTCCGGAGGATCCTCAGCCGCTCATCCTTGAGGTCAAGCTTCTGTGGAAGCTGGTTGAAGCGATCACGTTGGTCGGTGATGAAGGAACGGAGACTCCATGGCTCGTGGAACCGAACGTCGACTCTACCAAGCTTCAAAGAAAGTACGGAAGAGGCAGATAGGAAGTCCATGAGATTCTCTTTCGGCTTCGGCTGGCCCAAAAGTTCGCTAATGTACGAGCTATATTCTGTTAGCAGTTGTGAGGATTTCGAGGTGGGAGACATGCTCGACTTCAATGACCTTGTCATACTGGGTTGACACAGGGCATATGATAGCATCATCAACTCTCCCCGATGCTACGCTATCTAGCATGTAAGAAAGAATACCGAACTTCGGGGGCAGAAGCTTCCCAGTTCTGCTTCGGCCTCCCTCTATGAAGCATTCTAGATTGTAACCTTGTTGGAGCAGCGTGTCAATATAGGCTTGCACAAGCGTAGTGTACAACTGATCATCTCCAAAGCTCCTCCGAATCCACATTGCACCACAATGCTGTAGGAATGATCCGACCACAGGGAAGTTGAGGTTGTCACCTGCCACCACTGTCGGCAGAGCCAGTCCGAGTCTGTAGCATATGATTTGTAGTGACACGTAGTCTACATGAGACCTATGACAGGGCAAGAATATGATAGATTGGTTCTTCCTCGCCGCTTGCTCGGCGACAGAACGGAGTCGCAAGACCTCCTCACTCGATACGTGCACGCCTATACCCTTCTGTAAGCTGTCGGGGCCACAATATCTGGTCCCACGATTCACTACTCACCTTGATGGTATGCCCGCGTCAAAAGTTGTGTGGCTAGATAGTATGCGCCGCGCAGATACCTCTTGCTCTCCATCTTGCAGATCATCTGGTCGGTCAAAGTATCCGCGACCTCCATGAGACTCTCTTCAATCTGCACTCTCCTCTTCGCCTTGCGATCCTTCTCGCCAACCTGATTCCCATCTCTTGCCGCACCGCCCAGCAACCCTTCCTGCGCCTCCACTTCCACCCGTTTCGCCGCAAGGTCCCTAACTTTCGCGACCAGCATCTTGTTGCTCAACACGCGGTTCTTCATCTGCTCCGAGAAGCCGGAGTAGAACACGGGCTGGCCAACCACGTCGTCATAGGAGCGCCATCCCGTGCCAGAGACGTGCATCGAGACCTCTCGGATGAAGTCCAGCGGCGACGAGCGAAAGCGCGCCATGCTGTGGACCAGGCTGCGCTCAGGGGATTCATTGTATCCGGAGGCGTGGAGGTGTACTTCGTCGTCCGCGGTTATGCTGAGGTCTGGGGCTTGCTCCGATGGCTGCGGGCGCGCTGCGTTGCGCTTGGGCGGCGCGTTCGAGGACGGCATGGTGGAGTTGCGCTCGGGGTGGTGTGTGGTCGGGAGGGGGTCAGGATAGGTCGTGAGCCATGAGATGGGTGGATTTTTCGATCAATTCCGTGGGATAGATGGTGGTATACAAAGGCTGTTGTTTGAGTCGCTCACATTGTATAGCCAAGGTGTGTATGCTCGACGTTGATGCGCCGGATTGTGCTCCGACGACTGGGGAAGCTCCCCTGTTTGGGGTGATGCATGTGCATCTATCTGATCCGAGGCACATTTTGCGGGGAGGTGGCGTCCGATCTCCGATGTTGCCAATTGCGAGGCGCGATCAGCCTTTTGTACCCCTGAACTCGAATCCATCTTGAAAATAATCATTAGTAGGAAGATGGTATCAATTGGCAAGATCTGGAGGTCCTAGAAGGTTCGACACTGAAAACATTGACCGGTATGGAGATCTCTACATTACTTCTTCGTCTTGATCTCTTCTCCGTCCCAAATCCATGTGGTACTGCCAAACATGAAATAACATAACTGTACGTATCATCCAGATTCCAGACATCCCCAAAAGTATACTATCTGGCCAATTTCAATCCACGAATATCAATGCACCCCGTAATACTTTCGAGAAAAGATAAAGCAGGAGAAATGCTCCAATACGCCAAATCTATACACTCACAACTTTAACCTCACTAGCCAATCAACATACATCATGCATTGTATATGATATATGAATACCCTTTGTAAAATGCTATCAAAACCTACCTCAACCTCATCTCCTCTTCCACTTTACGTACAATATTTCGCCTTATCTACCAGAATACTACACGTGATCCAATTGCTTTTCCTACCAACTGCCATACCAACATCAATTCAAAAAGCCACTCAAATTGACCTCAAGAACACCGAAAAGGAAACCCATACTCCAAAACAAAACCCATCCTAATCCATTCCATACCTTTACTAACCTCCCCCCTCACCCTCGTCCTAACTCCCTAGGTAATAGAAATTTACTACACACCCCATACTTTATATAACGCACTTTCCATACCATCCTTCTAAACCACTCCACACTTCACAACACTACCTACCTCCTACTATTCTATACCTCACTTACAATGAGAAATACATCATTGGATTACACCATATCCGGACCTCTACCATACCAGACTAAACAATACCCCCTGCACCCGTCCCCACGCCGACGAAATCGCAATGCCGATACGCATGCCGACGCGCTCGTCATATCGGCATTGCGCCATCGCTGGGGATGCCGACGCCTAGGACGGAATGAGCGCCTGTAATGTAAGATGGATAGTCTGGTTTGTGGATTAGAGGGACTGGGGTGTATTTTATTTCGGGGTGGGAGGCTGGTGGGTACGTTGGTGTGGGTGGAGTGGCTGTTTGGTACGGGGTGGCGATGGTGGGTTGGTTGAGGCTCTTTCGGCGGGTCGTGTTATTGTGGGGTTGGAATGGTTGTAGATATGTGATTTGTGTTGTGAGGATTATGATTGTATAAGTTTTTGGATGTTGATGTTGATATTGGTTGGAAAGTTTGTTCTCTTGCTTGGGGTTTCAAGTGTTGATATTGTATCTATATGTCATCTAGTTATGCTTTTTGATGCTCTAAACAGCCCATCATTCAAATCTACTTCTGCTCCGGCCAGTTCCAAATCTCATTCCACCTCTTATAGCTCAACTCGACCGGCCCATCGAACCTCCCAAACCTAGGTTCCCCACTCCCCGGCTCAGGCAGACATATCCACTCCCTAACGCAGCCAGGCACTTCCTGTCTACTATGGCTAACACATAATAGTGCCTGGTGGTCCTGCAAGCCGGGCACGACGGGGCTCTCGACGTCACTCTTTACCGGCTTGGGACCAGTTGGAGAGTAGTGCAGGGCCATGGACTCGCCTTTGCTGAGGAAGAGGAGGCATTTGTCGCGGACGAGGTCGTCCATGCCGCTGAAGGCTTCGTCAAGGATGACGATTTCGGGGTTCCGGATCGTGGCGCGGAGGAAGAGGAGGACGCGCTGCGCGGAGAAGGAGACTTCGCCGAACGTGGAGTTGGATGCCCAGTCGAGGGAGGACGAGGGGTGGGAGTCATCGTGGTTGGGGTTGAGTTCGCTGGCGAACCAGCGGAGGCTGGCTTCTATGCGGGCTGAGGCTTCGGGGGTGAGCTTGGGGTTCGTGATGGGTGTGTCGCTCCATGCGGATTCGAGGGTGCTTTTGATGGTGAGGCGTTTGGGGAAGAGGGCGTGGACTTCCGGGGAGGCATGGCCCATGCGGGACTGGATGTCGAAGATCGTGATGCCGGGTACACCGGGGGAGGGAAGGCGTGAGCGCTGGAAGATCCTGATGGGCACGGAATAGGTCTGTGGATGGTCTGATGTCACCAAGCTGAGGAGCGTGGTCTTTCCGGATCCGTTCGCTCCAAAGACACCCCATCGTTGTCCACGATGGACGTTCCACCAGAGTCCGTCCTTTGGCGATCCGTCTACGGTTTGTTGCCAGTCTCCGAGGACAGAGTTGCTGCCATACTTGACGCGGGCGCCGTCTATCTGGACGACGGGCTCGCCAATCGTAGCGGGTGTAGTATCGAACTTCTCATATCCGTCTCTGCTCAACGCCGTCCCATTTGACGATTCCCCATCCTCCTCGATTCCATTTGCTTCGAAGTCGCCCCGTTCAGAAAGGTGTCGTCCGACTTCTCGGATCTCCACTAACTTAGGGTCCAGGTCTCCATCATTGGCTGGGACAGAGCGTTCAGCAGTCTGATACTGCTCTTGCAGGTACCTGAATACTTCATCCTTGGGACCGAGCGCATCGACTTTGCCATCTTCTCCCGCGTAGACGATATGCGTGATCCACTCTGGAATCACGTCCTGCGGCCTCAGCGAAAGCACTATCCTGGGGGAATTCGCCTCTGCAAGGCGATGCAGCACCTTCGAGATATGCTGAGACACGAAAGGATCCAAACCGACTGCAAACCCAACATTAGCATAATCCCAGGTAAACAGATATCACACCAAGCAACACAACATCAAAAGGAGAAAACTCACTAAACGGCGCATCCAAGCACAGCACCTCCGGCCTCGTCAACAACGCCTTCCCGATCCTCGCCCTCCTACTCTGCCCATTACTCAACGTACTAACAGGCTTCTCGAAGAACCTCTCCAGCTCCAGATCCTTAACCACTCTTTGCATGACCTCATGGTCCGGCGTCTTCTCCCTGATAACCTCCTCGCCCGGGTTCAACCCCACGATACCCGTGAGATACCTCTCGAGCGTGAAGTCGGTCTCCTCGACGCGGCTCTCGTACCTCGCGCTTAGGTACGCGCCGCCGAAGTCCTTGCGCTCGACGTCGAAGCCCACATACTCGATCGCCCGCTCGGGGAACCGGAGGTCCGGGTTCTTTGAAGTAATCTCCTCGGAGAGCAGGTGCGGGAAGGAGCGGGAGGTTGGCGGGATGCAGATCAACTGGCCTCTGAGGACTTGGAGGAAGGCGGTGCGGATGGTGGATGAGGGACTCAGGATGGCCCAATGCTGATTGGGGGTTGCGTGGGATGGAAGGGAGAGGGTGAGGTCGGGGAAGAGGGGTGGGTTGGTTTGTGATGACGCTGTATCGTGGGTTTGACTCAATGGAGTGCTGGATGGTGATGACGATAATGTGGCTGGGTGTTGGCGGTAGAAGGTGCCATTTGTTATTCTTATTATAGGCGCCGCTGTTGTTGTCGAGGAAAGTCTACGTGAAGGGTATAATCGTGCACATCTCGCCGCAGCGAAGGACCGCCTGGCCACTACTCTCTGCATGTCGAGAAGAATAGGAAAACCCTCAATTGCCCAAAACTATCTCTTAAGGATGACGTGACGTTGAATTGGACATATCTGAAGTTAGGTTTGACAGTCCGAACTGCGGAGATGGCTCGTCTCGCTCACCGTACGCGAGACAGCAGAAGAGTCACTACCAATGGCACTCGTATGTAATTGGATAAAATGGGGTCTCGCTATGAAATTGTCTTGCGGAAAGAATGCCGTCTCCGCAGTCACGTTTTGGTGCGTTTGCGTTTCTCGAGTCGCCGCACAGACACAAGGCCATGGTCTCCTCTCCACTCTCTCTCTCTCCGCGATGGGAAACCAGACATGACGTCGGCCGTCTGAGCCGAGGTTCCACTCTTATTATTCTTATTAAATGATAGGTAGACGACTACTCGTAGTTACTTTGACTTGAGCATTATTGCATGTGTTGTTCATTATATCAAGCTTCCCTCCGCATATTCATACCCATATACCTACATGAAATACTAGACTACCTCCCCTTCGCAACCATTCTGCGCATCCAACCTCTCTTCTAACAGAGAGAAAAGAGAATCAAACAGCTATCCATCAAGCATGCTCCCCGCGCTCCAACCCTCGCGCCCAAAGGTATCGTAGCTCCCCCATTCATTCACATCCACATCCACATTCCCATCTCCCTCCCCACCCCATCCCTTCTCCGTAAGTCCTACATACCTACGTATAAACCCTCCACCTCCACACTCCTCTAACACCAAACCCACAGATCCAACCCCCCTCCCGCCCCATCACCCTCCCGCACCAACAAATCCGCAACACACACGACCTCCCCCTCCCCCTCCCCACACCCCCCAAACAAAACAGCCCTCCTCCCCAGCAAAACCCTACCACGAGACCGCGCAACCAAATCGAAGCAATGCCCCCCTACGCCCACCACCACACATCACACCAGCAGCAGCGACAAGCGCAGGCGCAAGCGTACGACCCTGCGAAACGGCACCCGGTGTTCTTCACAGAGCGGCTGCGGAAGCCGCCGTTCAGGGTGCCGGACGTCGTGGGGAGCGGGTATAGTCCTGTCGCGAGTGGGTATATCGTGGAGAGGGTTTTGGGGGTGAAGGGGGAGGGCGGGGGGAGGACGAAGCTGTGAGGGTTGCGTTTGTTTGAGGGGGGTGTTTTGATATCCAGTGAGATTTTTTTGAGAGCGATGAGAGCTATAAGAGGCTACCGGTAGCTGCATGTGAGGATATCTTTTGTCAGGGGTTTTTCCTGGAAAAGACCCATAATGAATGGGTGATTAATGATCTTGAATGAATCTTTATATTATTTTCTTTACTATCTTTTCTTGTCTTTTTCTTGGTTTGTGTAGGGCTGGGTAAAAAATATGAGGATGATGATGTGGTCTATCGATGATGGTATGTGCTAAGAACGAGTATGAATGTTCGCAATTATCCACATGTTGATCCAAACGCCCTTCGATGCTGCCGCTGCTGCTAGTACTGCCTCAAGATATACAAATCGCCTCTCCCCCCAAAATCCATCCTCTAAATCTGCGTCGTTAAATGTACAGTAAATCGCGTCGTGACCGGACTTCTGCGTGTCTGGCCGTCTACCTGTCTCTCCCCAGGCGCTCCTCGTAGTCGTCAACGAGCTCGTATGCAGGGCGGAATTTGACGGGTCGCGAGCCGTTGACCGCGCCGCCGTTGGAGGAGTCGAGCGTCGGGACTTCCGAGGTGGAGATCTGGCGGGCGAGCGCGGGGTTCGGATGCGTGTCCGTCGTGCCGCCGAGGGAGGTGTAGCCTCGGTCGTAGAGGACGCAGTAGGGGATGTTGATGTGTCGTATGAACTGCGGTTTTGTAAGTAATGTGTATAGATTGAGGGGGCGAGGTAGTTGTTGGGGGCCGGACTTACGGTCCAAATGTCGACGTAATGCCAGTCTATCACGGGATGGATGCGCACGAACGTCGGCCAGCCGTGGTCGGTCGGATCGAAGTGTTTGAGGTGCTCGCCGTGGGGATCGGTCCGGCGAGTGCCAACGAAGATGGCCTTGACTTGCGGTTGGTCGTGGAGGTAGTTCGCGAAGGCGGCTTTCATGGGCGGCGGGTATTTCAGTAAGGACAGCGAGTATTGTTTGACGCTCAGGGCGACGAATTCCTCCACCTCTTCGAAGGGGTGCTCCGACTGGATGTATACGCTCTGGATGGGCTCATGAGTATCGGTGGATGTGGATTTGGTGGTGAGACCTTTTCGGTGTAGGGCGCAATGGTAGAGGACGAGGAGAACGAGGCAGTCTTTGCCTCCATTGTATGCTAATGACACTTCTTTGAGACTACGATACTGTCAGTCGTTGTTGCGATTTCCAAAGGTGGTGCGCGCCACTTGTATCATTATTGGTCAAGAGCTTGTTGAAGTAGCACCTTGATGGATAGGTACGTGACAAGCGATACAAGATGTATCATAGCAATGTTGATGGGATATATGGTACCTACCTATATCGATCCAATGCATCGGAAATGACTCCCAGCGCAATGCGTGTCTGCTCCTGTACAGCCTTTATCCTGGGCGAAGGGTCCGGTAGCTCTAGGAAGGTCGTCACCCGGTCATTGATGCTTGCGCATAGCTCGGACAACGGTAGCGGGGTATCGGTAACGAGGGGCGAGGTACGATCAATGGCGTTGACTAGGTCGCCTGCAGCTGGAGCGGTCATTGCGGTGTGATGATAGGAGGAACAACGTCGACATGGGATGGAGACGATGGCGGGGTGGGGAGGACTGGCTGGTGTTGGTGGTGGTGGTGGTATAGGTCAGCAAACCGTAGCAGCAGCAACAGCGACAGCAGCGGGCCAAGTCAGGACGATGGTTCTCGAAGTGTCTCCACCCTGGAGGGAGCGGGAGCGAAGCACCCGTCACGGCGGGAAACCAGCGTGACAGTGCAGATGGGAGGCTGCGAATGCGGAGGGTGTGGGTGGAGAGTAGGTAGAGAGTGGAGGGTAATGTATGAGTAGAATGTGGGTAGGAATGCAATAAGGTAATGGCAGTATCAAATAATGAAAAGAGTGTAGGTAAGTAATGGCAAGGCAAGGCAAGGCAAGGCAAGGCAGTGGAGGTGACAGGTATGGTGGGATAACTCGTATAGCCGGATGGAGGAGGGAGGGTGTCTGGTGTCTGGTGTGGTTATCGATATCGGCGGATGCGGCCCTCGGTCGAAACAGTCACTGACCCCGCTAGATTGGTCGAGGACGGACTCGCTGATGTCTACACGGTATTACATGGTTGAATGTATCCATGTATAGCTTCTGTCAGTATTTAGCAAGATGTCGTAGGGACACACATCTAGTTGTATAGCAATTGAATGGTCCATACAATCTACGTTGTCCTCATACAGTAGATGCTTTCTGGTAGAATTTCCTATCCTCCGTTGTTCGCAGGCCAGTACTCCGTAGTTCATTCGGTAGTCCGGTCTAGCTCGTGGACCCCAAGTTCTTGCTCGTGCTCGTGCTCGTGCTCGTGCTCGTGTCCGTGCCTGCCACTGCCCACGCGGGATGGATGAGACTCACGAGGAGAGCCATTGACTGAACTGGCAGTGACTGGGTGACTACCTAGGTAGAACTGGACTGACTGGACCCTCGCCGAGCAAAGTGCGAGTAGGAAGCGAGCAAAAGATTAATAAAGGGAGATGAAGTGAACCGCATCACATGATCTGCACATCTTCACCATCGTTGTTTCTCAGCCAATCAGGAGCTTCAGGTATCATTCTCGAAAGTATGCTGTGCTCAAATCTGTATTTTATTAGACAACGAACCACCACAGAATGACAGCCCCACAAAGTCAGGGTCCTATCCTGTTTTACCTCGTACAGAACACAGCAGGCAAGCAAAGAGTGAAGAGTATGAGTATGGCAAGTCCCTGTACTGTATTGTGCCCTCGAGACGAAGGTACTGGGTAAGTATAGAAACGAAAGCGGCATGGTGGGGGGAAAGGGTCTGCAGACAAGGCGAGGCGAGACGCATCTGGGCTGGCAGGTAATGTAATCATAAAGAGCATTAGTTGGCTAGAGGACGGAAAAGAAACATACCATCAGATAAAGTATAGTATAGTACAGAAAGACCAAGGTATCTCGCAGAGATTCATGGAATGATTTGCCAACTACCTATGCCGAGCACCACCATGCCGATCATCTGAAGCCATAGAGAGAGAGAAGAGAGTGCCACCTCAATCTACTTATTCCACCATTCTCAGAACATGTCATGAATAATAGGATCAGGCGCCCACCTTTTCTCAGCGGCATCTGCGTGCGCGTGAAATCAATGAGTAACCGCCGAAACCTGTTGACATAGAGATGAGGAATAAATAGTACTTGTTGTAAGGTACAATTGTACTCGATTACTAGGAGTCGTAGCCCTGACTAAACTGAGGGATTTGACTGGACGGTGAAGTGGCCGATGCCCCAGCATTTTCACGCCCCATGTCACGCTAGTCGATGATGTGATTTTCGGTCTATGAAATTCCAGCGTCGGCAGCATATCGGAGCTGCATCTCTTGCTTGTATCTTGTACCTACCTATCTACTGTATGGCTGAATGACCTTTAAGAAAAAAAGTCTCCCTCTTGCCGATACATTTTACTTATTCTAAACTACGGAGTACTACTACTACTTCCACTACTACTAACCTATGTAATATATCTTTCTTTATTTCCATCTAGATTACTCCTCCTCCTCCTCCTCCTCCTCCTCCTCTCCTTCTTCTTCCTCTCCATCCTCTTTCTACCACCTCTCTCCTTCCTCTTCCCCTCCCTCTCACAACTTCCGCCGTGGGCTCTTCTTCTCCCCAAAAGCCCTCTGCTCCATTGTTGCAGCTCTCCATACCCCTCGAGTCTGCAACTATGGCTTCCATCTCAAATGCTGGAGAGGCCGGTTAGTTCCCCTCCCCCAATTGCTCCTTCCTCCGCACATCGCGTGCCATTTGCCTCAATACAATCTTCCTCCAGATTGCGCCTAGCAATTTATCCCCTCCGTCCTTCCCTGCCCTGCAATGACAATAGCAATTCACTAACTCGCCATCCTCAGTTGCCCGCATCGCATATCTCTCCAGCGATGTAGTGGTATCCGTCCAACCCACTCTTGCCTCCGACTCCGAATTCTCGGCCGCTCTCCGCTCCCTCAGCCAGGGCAAGGCCTCAGGAGTTGTTTCCAAGCAGCAACCAGAGGTAATTGCACCCCAGGTCTACTCCTCTTTCTTTTGTAACATTCAACTAATTCTCTTCCATAGATCCTCACCGTTCGCGAGAATGCGGATCCGCTTCTCTCCGTCTTCCAGCCCATTCGCGCAGGAAAGCTCACCTCCGTCACATCTACTTCCTCGATTCTCGTTAAATCGATACCCCATCTTTACAAGCTCGCCCAATACCCCGTGGTCCTCCATGTTGCCGTTCACCCCAATGGATTCCCAGATTTCTCCGACATCACCTCCATCAGGCAGTCTGGATTCACATTCCTCCAGTCCGAGACTCTGCAGCAGACGCAGGATATCGCATTGACTGCCCATGCATTGGCAATCAAGTCTGGCAAGGGTGTCATCCATTTCTTCGACTCTGGCTCTGTTGCCATGAGCAAGCAGATTCCCGTTGAGGACCAAGACCTCGTCAGGCGCGTCATTGACTTGGATGCCGCCGCTGCATACCAGCGCTCGACCGCGAGCGAGACTGGTCTCTACGCAGACGATGGCAGAACCGCCACCCTTTCGGTGGCACGCAGCCAAGCTAGCGCTTCCAACGAAGCAACTACAGGTCCCACAAATCCAATTTCCGAGAATGGAAAGTCTCTCCCTATATCTAGCCGGACTAGCGCAAGAGCTTCCTCTACCTCTGGTTCGTCACAGCGAGAGTCTAGCACCAGCGGCGCATCCGTCTCCTCTGCCACTACCGTAGAGTCTCTCCTCTCCAAGACTGTCTCGTCGGAGGATATCTACCGCTTCGCTGCTCAGATCTGGGCTGACATCAAGGAAGCCACCGGGCGTTCCTATGATGCTTTCGAGTACACGGGTGGTGACAACACTGAGACTGCCCTCTTCTTGTTCGGCGCAGACACTGCCCTTTTCGCTGGCGCCATCGACGAGGCCAGCGACTCAGAGCTATATGCAGATATCGGTCTCATCACCGTCAGGTTGTACCGACCTTGGCTGGGCGCATCGTTGGCTCCTCTGCTCCCCAAATCCATCAAGAAGATCGCAGTCCTCGAACAAGTCCGCCGGAAGACCACAAAATGGGGTCCTCTCCTTCTGGACATTCTTATGTCATTGAAGTCAGCAGGTGGAAGCTCGCCCACCATTGTCGGCTACCAATTGGGTTACATCAACGAACAGACCGTTCACCAAGCTCTGAGGGGCGTTTTCCAGAACCTCACCAGCGAGTCCCCCGTGCAGAACTTGCAGATTGGCAGCCTCGACGGCCCGACAACGGACAGTCAGACGGTAAAGCTTGAGCAGCCTGGTTTGGAGAATGCGTACACAAAGATTCTGAACCAGGTATTTGGCGAGAGACTGCATATTGCCAACCAGTTGGGTTCCCAGAACGCCGGTGTTGCTAACAATATCGCCTCTAGTCCTGAGTACGGCTTTGGCTCCCTGGTCGCTCGCAAGGAGCACCGTGGCCGTTTCATCGACGAGGTCGCTACTGCTTCCAAGAGCAACGATTTCATCACCAAGGCACCCCTCGAGTGGCTGTCCAAGTGGGCATTGGATGCAGGCAACGGAGACAAGGCCAATTCAATCGCTCCGGAGGTCATCTCTCGACTCAGCACCGATGGCTCACCGGCCGCTCAGCGACTTCTCTCCTCCAAGGGCTTGTTCTTCCGCGAGTCACCCTGGTTGGTCGGCTCCGATGCATGGGCCTATGATCTCGGCAACTCTGGTGTTCACCATGTTCTTGCCTCTGGTGAGAACGTTAACATGCTCATCATCGACTCTCAGCCCTACTCCGAGCGCGCTGCCGCCGATGCAGCAAGGAGAAAGAAGGACATTGGTCTTTACGCCATGAACTTTGGCAATGCCTATGTCGCATCCGTTGCTGTTTACAGCTCGTACACCCAAGTTTTGGAGGCAATGATCGAGGCCGACAAGTTTGACGGTCCCTCAGTCGTGCTTGCCTATTTGCCTTATGAAAAGGAGAATGACTCGCCTTTGACTGTCCTGCAAGAGACCAAGAAGGCCGTTGACCTTGGTTACTGGCCCCTGTACAGATGGGATCCTCGAGGCGAAGAGAAGGGTGAGCCCAACTTCCAACTTGACTCCGAGCGCATCAAGAAGGAGTTGGAGGACTTCCTTAGCCGCGACAACTACATCTCCCAAGTCATGAAGAGGCACCCCGAGTTCTCCGCCAATCTTTCTTCGTCCTACGGCACCGAGGTCAGGCAATTGCAGAAGAGGAAGGCCAAGGACGCCTACAGCTCTCTGCTCGATGGCCTTGCTGGCGATCCCCTGACTGTCCTGTTCGCTTCCGACAATGGTAACGCTGAGAACCTTGCTAAGCGTCTGGCCAACCGTGGCAAGGCCAGAGGATTGAAGACCATGCTCATGGCAATGGACGATTTCCCTATCGAGGATCTCCCTAACGAGCAGAATGTTGTTCTCATTCCTAGTACCGCCGGTCAGGGAGAATTCCCCCAGAACGGAAGGCAATTCTGGGATGCTGTCAGGGACTCTACCGATCTCGACCTTGCTACTGTCAATTTCTCCACTTTCGCTTTGGGTGACAGCCATTACTGGCCTCGCAAGGAAGACAAGATCTACTACAACAAGCCTGGTAAAGACATCCACGCACGCTTCCTTGCCCTCGGAGCCAAGCCCTTGGTTGACATCGGTCTGGGAGACGACCAAGATCCCGACGCATACCAGACCGGTTATGCTGAGTGGGAGCCCAAGCTCTGGCAAGCTCTTGGTGTCGACAATGTCGAAGGCCTTCCTGACGAGCCCCCGCCATTGACCAACGAAGACATGAAGATCCAGTCCAACTTCCTCCGTGGTACCATTGAGCAAGGGCTCAACGACACTAGCACCGGCGCTATCTCTGCCAGTGACCAGCAGCTCACCAAGTTCCACGGCACCTACATGCAGGACGATCGTGATTTGCGTGACGAGCGCAAGGCACAAGGACTCGAGCCCGCTTACTCCTTCATGATTCGATGCCGCCTCCCAGGTGGTGTCGCTACGCCCAAGCAGTGGCTCCAAATGGATGAGATCAGCTCCACGCTCGGAAACGAGACCATGAAGCTCACCACTCGACAAACCTTCCAGTTCCATGGCATCGTGAAGGGTAAGCTCAAGCCCGCCATGCAGGCTATCAACAAGTCACTTATGACCACAATCGCCGCCTGCGGAGATGTCAACCGTAACGTCATGTGCAGCTCGCTGCCCCAGCAATCACGATACCACCGCGAGGTATACGCAGTTTCGCAGAAGATCAGTGACCACTTGCTGCCCTCCACCACTGCTTATCACGAGATTTGGCTTGAGGACGATGAGACGAAGCAGAAGAGGAAGGTTGCAGGCGACGCTATTGTCGACCACGAGCCTCTCTATGGACCCACCTATCTTCCTCGAAAGTTCAAGATAACCATCGCCATTCCTCCTTACAACGACACCGACGTCTACGCGCACGATATCGGTCTCATTGCCATCAAGGGTGCTGACGGCTCCCTGGAGGGCTTCAATCTTCTTGCTGGTGGTGGTATGGGTGTCACTCACAACAACAAGAAGACTTATCCCCGAACTGGTAGCATGTTTGGTTACGTTTCCGCTGCTGAGGCCCACATCGCTTGCGAGAAGATCATGCTTGTCCAGCGCGATCACGGCGACCGCAAGAACAGGAAGCATGCTCGTCTAAAGTACACCATCGATGACATGGGTGTCGACGTCTTCCGAGGCAAGGTCGAGGAGCTCTGGGGCCAGAAATTCGCCGAACCCAGGCCATTCAAGTTTGATAGCAATGTCGACACCTTTGGCTGGCAGAAGGATGAGAATGGCCTCAATCACTTCACTTTCTTCATTGAGAACGGTCGTATCGAGGATACCGCCGAGTTCCCGATGAAGACAGGTCTCATCGAGGTTGCCAAGGTCCACAAGGGCGAGTTCAGGTTGACTGGTAACCAGCATCTGATCTTGTCAAACGTTGCCGATGAGGACCTTCCGGCGATGAAGGAATTGATGAAGAAGTGGAAGCTCGATAACACAAACTTCTCCGCTTTGAGACTTTCCAGCTCCGCCTGCGTTGCCTTCCCCACTTGCGGTCTCGCCATGGCAGAGTCTGAGCGTTACCTTCCCGTACTCATCTCCAAGCTTGAGTCTACCATCGAGGAAGCCGGTCTTCGACAAGATTCAATTGTTATGCGTATGACTGGTTGCCCCAACGGTTGCGCTCGTCCCTGGTTGGCTGAAGTGGCTTTTGTCGGAAAGGCCTATGGTGCATACAACATGTATCTCGGTGGCGGATACCACGGCAACCGTTTGAACAAGTTGTACAGGAGCTCTATCAAGGAGGAGGAGATCTTGGACATCCTCAAGCCCATGATCAAGCAGTATGCTGTCGAGAGGAACGAGGGTGAGAGGTTTGGTGACTTCGTCATCCGCAAGGGTTACATCACCGAGACCACTCACGGCACCAACTTCCACGATAACGTAAGTTGATCCAAATCCACATTGCCCGGTATCAAAGCTAACATTGTAACCAGACTGCCGAAGACGAATCAGACGGAGAGTAGAATTTTGTTCGATATAGGGGGTATTACGAGTAGTAGATGGCTGTAAATATGTTGTAACTGGAGGCTCTCTTGTGCCTTTTGTGTCGGTACACGGAATTTTTGTTTTTCGTTTCTGCATGTGAGACGTTACGACTCTCATTGGCGTTCAAAAGAGATAAATGAAGTAAAATTGAATGTTGAAAATGTCATATCAATGTTAAATCTACTTGGTCTTGTCCACCTACTCTGTCCCCAAAGTCACTAATTTAGATCTGATTCCTCACGCATGCAGATGTGATGTCTCCACGAGATGATCTCCCGCCCTTCCATGCTATAATATTACTTTCGATTAACTGCCCAATCGTATTACTCAGGTGCCTTCAATAGATGCGATTATCTTCTTCGCTCCCTGTTTCCCTTTTTTTCCCTTTTGGTCGTTATGTAAAATATGTCAGACCATTGATTGGAATGTTTAGATGATTTATATTCGCATACATGTATATACGCAGCTTAGTATTTCAAATTTAGATATACTCCGTACATATCCAAATGTTGCTTTTAGCAGACAGGCCGAGTTGGAAATCCCCGACATCGGGTCAAATCATATATAGATCTCATATCTCCACAATAGCACGAGGAGTATGAGCATCAGCATCAGCATCAGTAGCAGGGGCAGTCTCATCCTTCTTCGGGCCCTTGCCCTTCCTCCACACGCGGACGTCCCTAGGATCAAAGCCGCCATTACCCCAAAGCGCCCACTCAGGCGTCTCGTCGCCGATATAATCCTCCGGCCTCCACCCGACGACCTTCTCCTCGCCCGTGACCTCGTCCTTCTCCACTCTCGTACCCTGTGTCTTCCCCTCGCACAGATCGAAGAACTTGTCGTACCCGATGCGCGTATGCCACCTCCCGTCACGCATGAACCGCGTACGGTCAGCCAGCAACACGCAGCAGGAGTGCGCATGCTCAGCCGCGATACCGTACGCAAGACCCCTACGCGCCAACTCGGCGTCAAGCTCGCGCACGAAGTCGGCAACCTCGTCGTAGAACGGGACGTTCTGCATCGTGAGGCCGGCAGACCCCGCCGCGCTGGTACCGCAGTACGTCACGCCCTTGACCTCCACGAAGGACGGCAGCGCGCGCTCGACGAGGTCGGCGTACCCCCGGACCTCCTCGGCCATGTTGAACCCTTTCACGAGGGTGAGGCGGAAGACGGTGCGCTGCTCGAAGCGGCGGTTGCGCAGGATGTCGAGGCACGCGCAGAAGCGCTCCCAGAAGTCGCGGTGCAGCGGGCGGTCGATCTTGCGGAGCGAGTCCTTGTTCGACGCGTCGATGGAGACGTAGAGCTGGGTGACGGGCACGAGGGAGGCGAGCTGCGCCGGGTGCTGCGCGTTGCAGACGAGGAAGGTGGAGATGCGGTGCGAGTGCATGATGGTGAGGAGGTCGTTGATGTGCGGGTAGAAGATGGGTTCGCCGACGAGGGAGAGCGCGCAGTGTCGAATGCGCATCGCTTCGGCGAAGCGCTCCGCGCGCACGCCGGGTACGCCTTTCATCATGCGGATCTTTTTGTAGTGTGCGGTCGTGATGCCGTCGAAGATTGTGTCGGGTGCGTCGGTGATCCAGCGCCAGGTTGTGCCGACGGGGTTGGTGCCGTGGCGCCAGCAGAAGACGCATTTGTTGCTGCAGGAGAGGGACGGGGTCGCCTCCATGCACAGGTGCGACTGGATGCCGTAGAAGGAGTACTTGTAGCAGGAGCCGCGGCCGCGAAGGGCGGATTTGGTCCATCGGCAGATCTTGACGCCAGAGTGCGAACCGATGATCGAGTAGCCCTGCTTCGTGAGGGCGGCGTAGGTGGGTGATGTCGTGGGTACCATTTCCTTTGGCGTCGGTGCAGGGGCGGGTTTCGATTTCGACTTGTAGGTTGTGAAGTCGATGGCGAGGGGCGTTTCGGAGGAAGATGGGGAGGAGGTGTTGTTGTTGTTGCTGCTGTTGACCATGGATCCGAGGTCTTCGACATCGTCGATTCTTGAGGATTTCTTGCTCTTTGGCTTCAGCTTTTGTGTCTCTACCTCGACATCGCTGTCCTCTGCGACGTCGATATCTTCCTCTTCGTCACTCTCTGCGGCATCTCCACTGCCAGGAACTCCCTCGCCCAGGCCCTTGCCTTGCGCAATGTCACCCAATGCTTCCTGAACACCAAGCCGCCACTCTTCCAATCGCATATCTACGTCGTCCTTCACATCACCCATGCCTAGCGGATATGCTCGTTTCCTGCCCGTCAAGCGTGCCATCCACTTGTCCACCTCTTTCGCCTGGCTGCAGAATCCCTCCTCTTCAGTGGGCCAACCTTCCTTGTCTCCGAATCCGAACACTGAGTAACCCAGGAGTCCACTCAGAGGCGCAGTGTCGATCCTGAAGTCGTTATGGGTCTCGCGAAGGCTTTCTAGGAAGATATCAAGGACGGTGTCGATATTGTACGTCGGCATTAGGATGATGTAGAAGTATTTTGTGTTGTCAGCGGACTTTGGAGGAGTGATGAAGTAGTCGTCATATTCGATGTAAGAGATGTCGTGCACCTGGGGTGGAAGAATCGTCGCCGCGGAGTCCTGGCCACTGATCCAGGTGGAGAATATCTTCTCGAAGCTTGATGCATGGCGCTCGGTGGTTCCGGACAGTGATTGGAAGAATATCAAAGGTTGTATCTTATCTGTCGCATGGTTGAAAACAGCCTCCGGAACAGGTTTTTTGCTCGGAGTCTTGCGTCCTTTCACAGTCTTGGGGCCCTTTCTGGCCTTAACCAGCGGTGCAACTGCGGCGACCGAATCCTCCGCATGGTCATCTACAGTCAAAGCGGACACGTCCAGTGTTGTGTTCTCAGGAAGCCATTCGGGCTTGATCTCCACGACCTTCTTCTCTGTAGGTGATCCGGGAACAGGCGAGGCGGACACCTTCTCGCGCTTGGTGCGCAAGTGTACCGTGAGGCGGACGAGCACAAGAATCGTCAGTGCAGAGAGGAGGATGGCGATGCGGTGTTGGTGCCAGAGGAAAATCAATTCTGCGATTCCATTAGAATTCATGATCAAGTTGATAGATTCGATGTCAAAGATGTCTTACCCTCTGGCAACTGCTCGAGCAATTCTGGCGCGGACATGGTCAGGTTCGCGATGCTGCAATTGACGATGTCGCGGAAACTTTTTGAAAGTTTGACGAGCACGCAAGTTGTCGACTTGAGTCGCTTGTGTGGGGTTGGTTCATCGGCGGGCGGACAGTGGCGGGGAGCAGGATGCCAAGCACGAATCAGATGCAAGCTGATTGTGATAGTAGTGCCTATAGCCCTACATGGCGGACGTCCTTCTTGCACAATGCTCAAAGATACGGAGAAACTATTTCCATTGTTATAGGGGTTCTTTGATCCTTTGATATATGTCTTTAATGGTGCATATATAAAACCGTCTGTCTTGAATGATCAATCTCTTCCTAGACAAATATCGTTATAGAACTTGACTAGGGTTTATTCCTGACACATTGTCACAATATTTACCATAGTCGCTCAACAAACTCTGGATCGTTCTCATCTGGATCGGATGCAAGATGTTTGCTCTGTGGCGAATCAATGATTCTTCAAGGCTAATAATAATCTATGGACTTTGTCGATGCTCATATTTGACTACCTAGGTAGTCAAAGACACTATAAAAATACCCGAGAACTAACTGACCCATGCAAGAACGGATTCCTTATGAATACGACTTACTGTATCTGAAATATGTTTCTATCCGGTTTTTGGCAAGTGGAGATTTATAGAAAGTCCGTCAGATCTTTTACAATTCGGCTTCAAGCAGGAGACTAGCTGGTTGGATAACGAAGCGCAATGCCCACGATCGATTCCCACACCATCTGAACATCACACTTGCCGATGTTGAAACACGTTGAACAGTTGGTTCTCTAATGAGTATGTGTCGAATGGAAGCTATTTTTGCCTGGCCTGATATTTGCATGCTATCGAAATCAACAATTCAGCTCATATTTCACACCCGAACATTGGTCATAGAAAACTCCTTTTCCTGCTCAACTGACCACCTGGCCTTGCACCTTCCACAGTCATAGCAGAAAGAGAAGTATTTAAGTAGGAATCTTCAAGTTGTTCAAAAGATAAGGAAGCAGCCGTCCACTCGAATCTAATGAATAATCTGGATCACTGCTAGGAGCACCGCACTCAGAGTTTGATAACGCAAGCGCGAACTTGATGTTGGTGGTTACTCAGATGACGGGGAAGGTATAAGTGAGTTTTTGGTACGGACGATATTAAAGTAGAGCGTTGCGTCTCTCACACTGCTTGTACATCCAACCTCGTGCCTGCTTTCCACTTCCCCGCCACCATTCCACGCGGTAGCCACCACCACTATTGCCAGCCTTACCTACGACTCTGCCAAGTCTTGTGCACCTCATGAATCCGTTCACAAGTTTGCAGCACCAGTAGCAAATTGATCAACAGCAGGATCAACGCTGCGGTAATTTATGTATCAGAAGTCACTTCCTAGAAGATGAATAGCTAAACAATCAATATTGTTAAACTCTATTTCGAGCGTCTTGTGGCTCCTACCGTACGTACACAAATGGATCAGTTGATTCTCTTATCTCACACCTTCCATAACTGCACTGTATAACTCGGCAAGTAATTACCTTGACACCATTCTAGCCGCTGCTTTAGCCTACCTGTATGATTTGGTCTCCAACTGTTTGCATCGGATCTAGTCTGGAGGAGATAATGCTAAGCAAGCATGGCGCGCGTCTCGAGAGGTCTCGGGACACCGCCAAAGCCCGAGACTTGCCGCTCATATCGCCTCGAAGACATTAAACCAAGAACAGGGCGAATATTGCTGCCTCATTCAGACGAAATAGTAGTTGTCCTTCCGTCAAATCTCATACGTTCCTGGAGTTGATGATCGTAAAGTGCAGATGAGGTCCGTGGCAGTCATTGATTCGATGCTAGATCTTCAAATACAGCCCGCAGGCTGCATGTCGACGAGAAAAAAACCCAGAACAAGAGATTACAAAGTCAGATCACTCGCATCAGTAGTTCCAACTGGCTTCGCGATACGAAGAGATTGACGAGGGGGGGATATCTACGTGCTGCTCATTGACTGGCTGATTAAGATTGATAATGTAACACAGCATTATCACCTTGCGTAACCATAGCAGGCACTACCTATCATATTGTGTTACTGCTTCTACCTTGTAGAAGAGGCTTTTCTTTAGCAGCTGCATCGTGTGTTTTGTTGCGCAGTGTCCACTTTCGTTAAAGATATCACAACAGATCTGTACGCACTCTTCACGTTGCTCCTTAACGTCCACTACCTACCTCTTGCATCAGTATCTATCTAGTGATTATCCTGCACTAGGTCATTGAGAACAAACTGCACGGTAAGAGCTCAGGGCTCCGAACACTTAATTTAACAGAACAATCAGTGACACAAACAATAGATCAACTTAAAACCTTCAATATCTCAAGGAGATGTTCGTAAAGTCATTCCATTCATGTTACAGTCCACCAAACTAACCTTAAAAGCTCCAAAACGTCAAGATGGATCCTGTGGCGTATGTGGAATGGGTCGAACTGCAACACTTGATAAGGGAGCGTTATCCGGACCTACCCTTAGATGAGGCGTACCTCAACGTTCTCCATGACGCGTTCGTCAAGTTGCCCAAAGACTGCATGGAGAGAATGAAACCGATGTTACCACACCTTGTGCAACAGTCGCCTGAAATTTTGGAGTCGATCAGTATTTACGGTGGCCATCCGCTGATGAGGTTCTTCTCCCAGTTGGCTGGTATAACCAGAAACGCAAGATCAAAATCAATAGCAAGCAACACCGACACAAGATCCTCAGTATTGGCTGAGGCTGCTTCTAATTCAGTGCCTGTTAGCGCCGAGGCAGTGTCAGCAAGTGCCAAGCTTGCAGCTGATAACATGAAAGGGGCTACCGATTCAGCAGACTGTGCGGTCCGGCAAGTCTGCGACATCCACGTGATTGGAAAGTCGCTCGTCGATCGGATCGACTATTACAGACGTTGGATGCAAATCGCCTCAGCAATTCAAATTGCTCAGGGGCACAAGGCAATCCAGGCGCTGACCGAAATAAGAGATCATCTTGGTGAGAGCAACAGCATCACCGTATCAGGTAGCGGAGGCCCTGACGGTTTTGCTCAGCATGTCTACGATTTTGTCAAAGAAGGAACTGATAACATCGATGAGGCTGAGGGGAACAAGCATCGTTTCTTTGTGTATAATCCTGACACAGACTGGTACGGAGCATTCCGTCGACTGATTGGGCAAAATCCTCTTCCACCCACGTTTTGTGCCAAGTCAGATAACTTGGATACTTTATGTCAGTACATGCAATGCGTCAGGGCACAATGTGGACAAGGTATTATCTTCCACCTATTAATCCCCACCTGGTACTCCATCTCCATCAAGGAGCCCTTACATTTCCCGGACTGCCTTCAGCCATTTCAGGTGGAAGGAAGGAAGCACAAGGGCAAGCCGTTAGTTGAGTTTAATCTTCCAGCAGCGCATACTGGACTTTTGCACGGTGTTGCGAATATTATCGACCCTAACTGCTCGAACGCAATCGCAGAGGGAGTTTCGGTCGCCGTAACCGGGCCAACAGTGGGCTGGGGTATCAATGGTATTTGTCTTGCTCTTGGAACGGGCTTAGGTGTCGTCACAGGATTGGGGCCATTGATCGCCATTCCGGTCTGGGTCGGAACTGGAATACCGGCTATGAGTTACATAGGACCAGCTATGAAAGATGCTATCTATGATAGTCTTTGTGAAGTAGCACCGAGGATTTTGGGGTCTCATCAACGCTTAGGAATGACTCCATAACTGGTGCTTGATGGAAGTTTGGTGTTCTTAGGTGAAGGCAACATTGGGAAACCGTACGCATCGCGAATCTTTTATGTTCTAACAAGGCTTGACTAAACCATCGCAGGTCTAGAAGCAATCATTTGTAAGCAGGATACAGATGAAGCAGGTACTTCGGGGGTACGCAATCTTGCCATTCCTGCCCTGACCTTGCGCCGGAGGCGATGGGCTGATCATCTGGCACTTCAAGCAAGCGGACTTAGAAGCATGACAGCCTCTCGAGCCCAAGCACGGTACTCGGGATAAGATGATGATATAGTAGGCTGGAAGTTGACGGACTTTTGAAAAGATGTATGAGCTTTCAACGCACCTACTGCTACCCAAAGCGAGGCGGTCGCGTGACGCTCATACTAAATTGTCGTATTGCACGGTAAGCAGAGCTTATTTCTAGAAGATACTTGGAGAAAATAGACTTTATCGCTTAATAATGTTATTCCGAGAGTATCTATTTCTTCATCCTGCTGCTGAGTTTGTTATGTTATGGAGTGTCTGAAGCGTCTCGCTACTCAGGGATGCACGCTAATTTTACCTCCACTCGTATGTGTCGAGCAGCATTTGCCCAAAAGTCTGAACGATTAAATTCACTGACAAAGTCCTTTGAGATCCTCCCTGATATCGGGGTCAGTCATTCCTCGGAGAATCCAGTATTGAACTTGCCTTTCTATTCTGTAGCTCTTGGCCTCCTGTCTTCGCTACGACGTCCTTCCCTCAAGTCAAGCGGCCAGCCGTACCAGCTCTACGCTGTTCTTACTGCGATGGTAGATTGTTTCTCCTTCCCATCCTGGGTCTCTGCTTTCCCGTCCCAGACTCGCCCTTGCGAGAATCTCCTGAACTTAAGTCTATAAGAGGGTCCTCTCGACTCCTTTTCGACCCTCCTCCTTTCACTCCACAATCACAACACCTCGTCCGTCTTCCCACATCTTCTTTTTCCCATTTCCATCTCATCCTCATCTTGTCTATGAACACTTGCCCCTGCACACCATTCTGGATTCTTTGTTAGCTTTCTTTGGAACCTTTGTCACTCACCACTGCTCCGCTCCCCGACCGTTTCGTGTCCTTGTAGTGTTCGATGCAACCACCTGTCAACCCGTCTTCCGCGAATCGGCCTCAGAAATATTATCATCACTGGCCGATTTCGATTCCCATTTGGATCATTTCCCCTTTCTTTTTCAAAGGCAGGTGGAGTGATATCCAAGTTACGACTTCTGAGGCATTTGCCCTGAGCATTTTCCGATGATGAAGACAACGTATTGACCATAAAAGACCCTTTTATAGGTTTCGTTGCCATCCATTCCCTCGGTCCATCTCTGAGTCACACTCATCCTCGATCGATCCGCCCTCTTCATGCCTTTCCCTCGGGGCTCGGACAAACGGTCGGAGAGATGGAAGGACAAGTTAATTGGGTACCAGGAAGTGGTTTAGGCGGAGACAGACTGTTGAAAAATGGAATAGAGCAGACCATAGGGTTATGGATTTTTTTCTTCCCGTCTATTGATTTTCTCTCTACATGACTTGCGCAAGTGATTTGATTTGTTACTTTGAAAACAATTGGCATTGACCCAAGTTTCAACGTCTTGGTGACTCAAGGGCTGAGATAGTGGTTGAGTTGTTGGGAACCAACAGCTAGCGACAAAGAAACGTATGCTCGGGTAGGCCCAGATTAATCGTTTGTTGAACCCCTAAGTAATGAGATATCGTTTTGTCTGGAAGATTGGTTTTGGATTTTGCGCGTAGTAGACACCCATTGTTGACTTGCCAATAATCGAATGTGATGACGATGGACAAGTAGGCTGGCAGAGAAGGCGCCCAAACACTCTAGCACCAACTAAGGTGGCATAGGAGTATTATTCCAGCGCAACTCTGATATAGCGCCATTGTTGTGAGAGGGACTACATATTGAAGAATAATGAGACACCTGTCAAGCATTCATGAGTCTTATCTCTAGAAGTGACGTGGTTCCATGGCTGTCTCAGAATATGGTCGCTCCATGATTTGGTGGTTCTATTGATCACACGGTGGTTTTATTTTTTTTCTTTCGAGATTGATCCGATGTTCAATATATTGCTTCACCCAGTTTGGACAATAGTTGAGGGAGTCAGGATGGTATAGTCATTGCACAATGCGGGCTTGGTCTTTTTTGTACTCTAAATCTCCGCCACCCTCTCATGACTACTGTACTCTCATCCCACAACTACTGCTTCCTCGTCCAACAACTACTACTCTCTTCCAACAACACAAATATCACGACTACAGTATTCGATCATTGTTCCCTTACCTGGAAAAACACATCTCGACGCCTCTTCTTGTAACCATGCGAGTTACAGAACGCAGTTCGCTTATGCGACTTATCCAAGACGTACCACTTTGGAGTTCCCGAATCGGGGACCTTGCAACCCTTCAACAGAATCATTCAGAGTCTTTCCTGGTAGCCCTGGATATTGAGAGATCGAGTCAACCCGCCGAAGCCGAGGGATCTCGAAAGCGTTGCGGAGACATTAGCGAAATTGGAATAGCAGTCCAACGTTTGAACGGTCCAATCACTCAACCATACACGGGCATCAAGCAGCTATATGATGAACGCGGTGCAGACGCATTCACTGTCCGGATCCGAGAAAGAACCAAGTTACCAAAAGAGAAGGCGATTGGAGAGGTTATTGAGAGTAACCCTAACAACGTTGCAACTGCAATCAAGGGCATTCTTTCGAAATATAATGGGGACCGAATACTTGTTGGATTCGACCTTCATCACGAGTTCAAATGGATAGTAGAAGACTGCCCGTCTATTATTCCCTACTTCACAGCGTGGTTAGACGTACAAGAAATGGCGTCTCAGCGATGCAAAGAATTCGAGCCAGCTAAGCTGCCCCCGTCTGTACCTGGACTTTCGAATGTCTTGAAGGCTATGAACATACAAGACGAACGCTGCCACATGCGCACTCATTATGCCGCAAATGATGCATTACGATCTCTGATAGTACTGTGTGGTCTGGCATCTGATCCTTCTCTGCTTTCCGACATGTATTCAAAACCAGACACTGGTAATGTCTCACGGTATTCACAACTCATATGCAGCACTAAAGGCACCTACCACCCATTTATGGCCAGCATTAGTTCTATCGATGGCGAAAAGCTTCCTCCATGGTCACCCAGAGCCGTTTCCCAGCATTTTGCAACGTACTCTGGACTAAAGGCCGTTGGGTTAAATTGGAGGAGGGAAGTAGATAAGATGTTAGGCGTGAGATTCTGGCAGCTGTCATTTCATAATATCGAATCTCTGAATGAGTTCATTGCTGAGGTTAACGGGTCAACCATCGATGGAACTAAGCTTTTGGTCACCCAAGTTCGAAGAGCGCGGAGAGCGGACAGGCAGATGCATAAAGGTTGACATATGAAATGAAGTTATGTGTTCTTCAATCTTTACCTAAGCCATAAGCACCTACTTCATCTAATGACCTTTTGTGCTCCTGAGTAAGCGACTTTTCATTGCCTCTCCCGTGGATCTTTAAGTGAGAAGTATGTGAAAGAATGGGATGTTGTGGCATTGATATACCTCCCAATGTCTTGCTTTCACAGTTTGCTGGAGGCACTAGGTATCAATAGAAAGGTGATTTATGTAGGTAGTTGCTATCTATAGTTATACCGTACACATTCTTGCTTGTAGGTATAGAGTCGGTGTTGGTAAGGCTGATCACATCCTAAAAGTACCACAGGTCTATGATGCGTTTAGGCATCAACCAAAGGTCTATGAGAGAACAAAAAAAAGTCTCGATGGAGAAACGAGAAAATAATGATCGCGATAAGAAATAGATTAATCGATCCTCCGCCTCCGACTCTTCAATATCGCGCGTCTACCACTCCGCCCTACCACCTCGTGAGACTTATTTGATGGCGATATCTATTCTTGAATCATATAGCGGTGTTTTGTGAACCTTTCGTACCTTCTCCAAACGACCACATACATTGTAGTCTCTGTAGCAGGGTCCACGATCGGTATGTATCGTGACTTTTCTTTTGGAGGGGGGGCATTGTGGCGGTGGGTGACCAGGAGTCTGTGGCCGGCGGAGGGAGATCCGACCATACCAAATCAAACCGGTACGCCTTCCAACGCTGCTACGGCCTTGGTAGCTTCATTGCGTATCGGATCCACATCCAGGACACTGGCGATCCCTTTATCGATATTGCTGCACGATAATCGTTGACTCAGTCCGGGTATTGGGGTAAACCTAATTTTTCCTCCGGTTGACGCAAGACAATTAGGTAGCGAGAATCGTCGTCCTGTGCGTGGCCTTCTGACAGGAAGACGTTACTGGAATAGAATACTTCAATATAAAGAGCATGCAACATGTAAGCAGCTAGAAAAAGATATCTAATCTGCTAATATAATTTTTGGCTTTCCACAAAAAGGATAGGTGGTACATGGGTCGGTCAGCCGGGCACTTGAGGCACATCAGTGAGATCCTTACACAACACGTGGAATCATTTTGTGACAACCCAGGACTTCCTTTGTGTCCCAAATTAATATCCGCCTCCTCGAAAGGCTAGAGGATCCCTGTGTTCTATCGTTACTACAATGTAAGTGAGCGTTTGTTGAGGAAGATCATCGGACAATTTCAAGCGGAAGGACGCAGGAGTAACCGGATGCTGGGGAGCACAACATAACATCCCCCCAGCTGATCTCCTTGCCTTTTGATGAAGGGACCCAGAAGGAGACACCAGCGCCGCAGTGGCAGGCTTTGGCCAAATGAGCCATGATCGGATGCACGCTATCGACGCCCCGGGGACCATCTAGATACATGCCAAGCGGGCGCTGTAATTTGCGAGAGCTAGCACTTCCGTCACGATGCAGCTCGAGCGTAGGAGACACCTAATCTTATCGAGAAGAGGCGTGCAAAAATACGGAAAGACGGATGGGTGCGGGGTCCGAAGCCACGAAGAGGAAATTACGAAAATCAGCAAGCCTGCGAGGTGGCGCCCGCGATGCGTACGTACAAACGCTCACATTCGAGTCAGCGAGGTGGATCCCTACGAAGTCTACGTGCGCTTGCTGAGGGGGATGCAGGGGGTGAAGAGCATCACCATCGCAAGAATGTCAAAGGAGGGGCAGACGATCACTGGAGAGTAGTCATTCCTGGGTGCTGCGAGACGCCCTGCGAATGTTTTAGGTGATGAGAAGGTGGATGTCGCTGATGGACGATGATGGACCAGACCAGGATGATGAGAGTTAGGAGAGTCAGGAGAGTAGGAAGAGTAGGAGGAGAGGAAGTAGGGAAGACGATAAGGGATAAATTAAGAGATGGCCCAGGACCCGTACCTGCATCTCACATGTTTGGGAACACGCCACAAGCGTCTAAACTTGGCCTAACCTGTTCCTACCTAGGCCTGAATCGGGACTAGCCCCTTCGTTAGACATCGCCAGCCATCGCCGCAATCGATTTCGTTTATGTTTCGTGTTTCCAACTGGTGACTGGGCAACATCAATGATTGGACTGGACCCGGTTAAGGCTGACTTCGGCCAACAAACATACTTCTGGACTCAATGATTTTGGCTGCCTGAGCGTTAATTATCCCGAGGATCAGTTGCAAGGAACATTGTGCACTGGCAGGGGGGTCCGGCCCTTTACCAGAAATCCACAATACACATTCATCTTTCACTATGCAGGGGTTACTCCCGGCCATTGTGCCTGTCAGCGGGTTCTGAATGACCAGTCAAAACCTCATCATCCCCCCATCGAACTCTGCTCTTGTTCTCTACCCTTCAGCTGGTGCTTTCTCGACCTGAATACCAACCTTTGTCTTTCCTTTCGGCCTTTGCCAAAGTCACTCCTTCACACGTCGCTAGTCGACCCATCCATTCATTTGCAAAAGTTATATTCACGGTCCCAGTGACTCTGTCCGTTCCTGTTCCATACTCAATCACCTTTCACCACACAACACAGCAAATCTTTCGAATCGCTACAAGAAAACCAATCCGACAAAATGAAGACCCAGTCTATGCTCGTTGCTTTAGCCGCTGCGCCTTCAGCCCTCGCCCATACCGTCTTCACCAACTTTTTCATCGACGGAGTCTCCCAGGTACGCTAGTACGGATAAACAAACATGAAGGTTGCGCTAACATAGTCGTAGGGTGATGGAGTCGCCATTCGCATGAACACCAATTTGGTGGAAGCCTCTAACCCCATCGCCAGCTTGGAGAGCAATGACTTGGCTTGCAGTAAGTCTTACCACTTTTTCAAGTGTACAGCACACTCGGAGATCTAACAATACAATTACAGACGTTGGCGGTAGCAAGGGTGTCTCTCGCGTTGCACCTATCCAGGACGGATCCACTTTGACATTTGAGATTCGTGCCTGGCCCGATGATGCTTCCAAGGAGCGCCTCGACCGTGGCCACAAGGGCCCATGTGCTGTTTACCTGAAGAAGGTAGACTCCGCAATCAACGACCAAGGTACGTGTAGTATGATTCAAGATTTTCCAAGATGGCCTTCTAACTATAGGAACAGGCCACGGTGATGGTTGGTTCAAGATTTTCGATCACGGATATGACAAGGATGCGGATGCCTGGTGTACCGACAAGATCATCGACAACGACGGAAAACTTTCAGTCGTTCTTCCCAAGGGTCTCGAGAGTGGATACTACTTGGCCCGACCTGAGATTCTCGCTCTTCACAAGGCTCTCGAAAACGATCCTCAGTTCTACACGGGCTGTGCTCAGCTCTTCCTCGAGGGCGGCGGTAACCTTGGTCCCGCAGAGACCGTCAGCATTCCCGGATACGTCAAGTATGGACAGGAGAGCACCAACTGGAACATCTACTATGGCACCAAGCCCGAGGACTACCCACTCCCAGGACCTCAGATCGCCAAGCTTGTGTCAAAGTCTGCATCTGCAAATGCTGGCGAGACTAGTCAGACCGAGGGTCTCAAGCCCGCTGGATGCATCGTCGAGAACGCCAACTGGTGTGGAAAGGAAGTCCCCGACTACTCTGACGAGAAGGGCTGCTGGGCATCTACCGAGAACTGCTGGGACCAGGCCGATGTCTGCTTCAAGTCTGCTGGTCCTACTGGCCACAAGGGCTGCACGACCATGCAGGAGAAGTGCCAGGCCCAGAGCGACCTCTGCAAATCCGGAGACTTCAACGGCCCTAAGAACAAGGGCAAGGTCCTCACCCCCAAGCCCGCCGCCGTCGACGTTGGTGAGCTTCTGGCGACTGAGGGTGGCGGTGCTCCCGTCGTCGACACCCCTAAGACAGAGGCCACCCAGCCCAAGCCTACTTCTGCTGCTGCTCCCGCTAAGACTTCAGCTTTCGAAACTGTCGCGGCACCTTCGAAGACCCCGGTTGCCGATGTTGAGAAGCCTGTGCCTGAGGCTGAGTACCCGACCGTCACCTCGAAGCCCACTGTCAAGGTCCCTGCCTCTGAGGCCGGCCCCGCCCCCACTGCTCCAGTTTGCCCTGAGGGATACAAGTGTGTCACCGTTTACGAGACTGTCGTCAAGACGGAGGTCGTGTACTCTACTGTCTACAACGACTACCGGAGGAGGAGCGTCCAGAACAGGCGTCGCGTTTGAGCTTGATTAGAGCTGGAACAAGGAAAAAACTACAGGGAAATTTCAATTCTGCAATGGCGTAACTGGATGTTAGCATTGCGAGTCCATGGACTCATTTACTCACAGATTCTTCCATCCCGAATGGGCACTTTGGCATTGGAATATGCATTATGAAAACAACAATTTCACATTTTGATGTCGCGCACATTTTGCTTTGGTCATTGTGACACTATGCGACAAATGAAAATATACTTTATGATGATTCAATCAAAGATCTCTTTACCAATCAAATGAAGTTCGATGTAATTGTGCGAGTTCCACATTGACTCTTCTGTTGATCTGTTTGACAGTCCCCACCATGCTCCCACAACTGACTCGTATCGATAGGAATATGTACGGCCGATGCATTCCTTCACCTAGCCCGTAAATCATCACCCGTTAATTAGCTGTTGCAACTTTCCGTCGTATGTAAATCTCGTGTTTGATGACAAACAAGGATTGTTTAGTTCTCCCGCAATTAGCCTCTACCAAACCTTGAAAGCGATCACCTGCACAGCATCTTGCGGATCACACGTGACGTCGCGAATCGAACTCGCACGTCCAACGTCTCTCGCCCACTCACTCAGCTGAAGCTGGACTCTTTCCCCGCTACACCACCACAGCAACTCAACACAGGCAATAGAGGATACGGGACCGTATGAAGTGCACTCTGTCACTGATGAGGGCAGTATCCAAACACTTCGAAGACGAAGGGTTACAGCCCAACGAGCACCCGTGGCACCCATGAGTCCGACTACCAGATCGTCGGCAGCTAAAGCTGAATTGCTCGCCGCGACCAATGACTATCCTTCCGGGCCATCGCTCTGCAACCTTCCAACTGAGATACGCCTGGAGATATTTAATCACCTTCTGAATGTCAGCCATGTCCCATCGTCGTATGGATACACGGGCCCCGCACGAGTTTCAACCCGCACCCTTGCGAGACCAAAACCAACAACCGTCAGACATGGAATGGTCTTCGTGTCCAAAACCCTAGGCGCAGAGTACCGCCAGGCGTACTACGAGCGAACGCGCTTCTTCCTCCGGATCGACAGCCAAAACTGCTTCACAGCCGTGCCCGCGCTCATCAACAGTAGCAGCAGCAGCGGCGGCACGACGTCCCCCACCGCGGTCGCACAACCATCCGGGCCGGGCGCTCACGAGCCACAGCAGCAGCCGCAGCAGCAGCAGCAGTACCAAGACGGGGTACCGAACTTCTGGAACGCGCCGCTCGCCCTGCTGTCAAGTCTCAGACACTGCACGCTGTACATCGAGCTGGGCGACATCGCATCGTCGCCGCGGTCGAGCCACTCGCTCTCGCAGGTCGTGCGCTCCCACCGCGACATCTTCGAGGCGCGCCGCGTGCGCGAGGAAATGAAGACGTTCTCGTCGTTCGACGACCTGAAGGCCGGGGACGCCGAGTTCGACTCCACGCTCATGGCCGCCGTGCAGAGGCTCCTGGACCAGATGGCGCAGCTTAGGAGCATCCAGCTCGTCTGGGAGACGTCGGTGCCCGTGCGGGCGAGGTTCACGACGGCGTGTGCGACGAATTGGATGTGGGTGAGCCTTGGGCAGCCGTTCGTCGAGGGGCTGCGGAGGAGAGCCAATCTCAGGGGATTGCAGGTCAAGTTGGGGGACTCGTTTGGCGACACGGTGTATGTTGCGCAAAGAGGGAAGGAGGGGAAGTGGGAGGGAGGGTTGAAGGATGATCATAGGAGGTAGACAGGTTGGTAGTACGGTGGTGGATCCGGAGGTAGAATTTCCTTGCTTGGGTTTCATGTTTGAGGGAGAGATATTGGTGGGAGATCTGTTACAAGTGGAAAAAAGGAGTTTTGTTTCTTGGGAATGGTTTGATATGATACCGCAAGCATGGTACAGCAGAATGCAGTGACGAATTTCTTCATGTTTCATGATTTGTTCAGTTTGCCAACAGGGAGGGCATATACTTTTCTTCTTCTTGGAATTGAGATCTAAAGTGGATACATGGTCGAACATACAACAAAATGGGCCAGAACAGCAGTACCTCTAGCTTACTACTGTGCCTTTAGCACCTCAACACTTCCGTCCTGCATACCGAAGTATACTGCGACAGGCTTCTGTCCACCAATGATGACCTTAACATTGTTGCTGCCACCCTTAGCTGCCGATGCCTCCGCCTCGACACCGTTAAGACCGGAGAAAATGCCGACCTCTAGCACGCCGGTGAGTTCCTTGATAGCCTGGCTGAGGTTGTTAACCTCCCATGATCCATCACTACCGTCGCCCTTGCCCTTTCCGGCCTTGACATCGTCAGATGTGAGGAGCGTTGGGAAAGGCGCGTCAACGATGAAAAAGTCCTGATCGGTCTTAAGGGGTCCGGACTTCTCGAGGAGGGTGGTTCGGAGCTTGGGCTCTGAGGATCCGAGAGAGCGGAGGGATTGGAGCACAGTGGGCACGGCAATGGGTGCGACCTCGATGGGGATGGTGGGCCAGTTCGTCAGGAGACGATTCTGCTTCTTGCGGTAGTCTGGTAAGGCTCTGTATTAGTATGCTATGTTTGACAAGAATTGATACTGCTGTGTTTACCTGCTACGCAAACGAACTTCCTGGCGCGCTCAGCGACCAACTTCTCCTGGAACAGGCAGGCGCCGCCACCCTTTATGCAGTTGAGCTGGTCGTCGACCTCGTCTGCGCCATCAAAGGCAATGTCTAACCTGACGTTGTCTGGTAGACTGTCGAATGCAATCGGGGTGAGGCCTGCCTTTACAATGACTTGTCTTGATTGGTATCCGGTAGGGACGAAGAGGATGTTGGGGTTCGTGCTCTTCTCTTTTATAGCCTCGACGACGTAGACGATGGTGGTTCCTGAGCCGATACCGACGTGGGTTGCAGCAGGGTCGAAGTTCTCCTCGACGGCCTGGATGGCAGCGGCGCGTTTGGCGGATTCGATGGTTGACTCTGCCATTGCGGTTGAATGTCTTCGAGGTCCAATTGGGTGAGGGCTGGTCCGCGAGGATGATATACGGCTCAGTTGACGGAGAGCGGATTCCGAGGATGTGATGCGTGTGTTGGAGGAGGACGAGAGGACGTTCGCAACTGGATTCAATTGGGATTTAAGGTGCAGACACTGGGGCTTTTGATGACGGAAAGAGCTAATATGCTTAGTGATGCTATGTAGCTTGCGCCGTGGGGTATTGTATAATAGGCGCATCAACTGTCTTGGGAGAGAGTACTGGAAGTAGTTGAGAAAAGATTACAGGAACACTAGTCACGGTCAATGTTCAATGATGACGGAATGTGAGACGAATCGGAATTGTGATCCCGTATGAGGAAGTATGTAACTGATGTAAGTCGTAAAACGCTCCGACCTTCCAGAGTCAGTGATGGATGAATGAGGGGCTGGAGGGGACCCCGTCCGATTCTTCGGAGGGAGGATGGACCAATCGCGTGCAACTTGTACCCCGCCATGTCCGCTCCAGCGCGTGGGTGTATAACAAAGGCGGTAATGGACGGCAGTATCAGCGTCACAACCATTACCGCCTGGAGCTCTAAACATTAACATCGCACGACCTTCATCGCCATATCTGTGGAATCATATTGGCTTCCGTTCGTTACCCTTTCACATCCAGCGACAAGCTCAATATGGCCGACCTGCCCCCTCCCGTCCAAGGACCTACCGCTAAAGAGAAGAAGTATGACATTGGTAGCTTCCGCAAGCTTACCTACTGCTACATACAACTACTAATACCGGTGCAATAGATATGACCGCCAGCTGCGGCTCTGGGGAGCAACGGGTCAACAAGCCCTCGAAAACTCCCACATCCTTCTCATGAACTCAGGACCAGGCGTTACAGGTCTCGAGACACTCAAGAACCTGGTGTTGCCGGGAATTGGCCAATTCACAATTCAAGACTCAGCTGTGGTGTCGGAGGCAGATTTGGGCGTAAGCTTCTTTCTGGAGGAGGAACACGTCGGAGGATTTCGAGCAGAACATTCGTGCAATCTACTGAAAGAGCTGAACCCGGACGTCGAAGGACATTATATCACAGAGGTGTGCGCTCATACTGACTAATTGATCGTCACGCTGACTCCTCGCCCCTAGCCTATCGAGACATTCGCAACCCAGCCAGATGCCTTCAAACCATACACACTCATTCTCGTGACCGCACCTGTCCGCCCCGAGATTCTTGCCAAACTCTCCGCACACGCAGATGCATCCCTCGTGCCGCTCTTCTACATCCACTCCGTCGGATTCTACTCACACTTCTCAATACATCTTCCTCCCGCATATCCTATTGTAGACACGCATCCTAGCCCCGAGACCACGACCGATCTTCGACTTTTGAAGCCATGGCCGGAGCTGCTGCAGTTTGCGGAAGAGAAGACGAGCAACCTTGACGCCATGGCTCATGACGACCATGGCCACATCCCATACATTGCTATCCTGCTATACTATCTCGAACAGTGGAAGAAAGAGCATGGCGGAAACCCACCACAGAACTACAAGGAGAAGACTGCATTCAGAGACATCGTGACAAAAGCTGCCCGGACCAATAATCCAGAAGGTGGAGAAGAGAACTTCGACGAGGCAGTGGGTGCAGTACTGAAATCATTAAATCCGCCGGAACCAAGCAGCTCAGTGAAAGACTTGTTCAAAGAGAAGGAATGCGTTGTGATAAAACAAGACTCGCCCAGCTTCTGGGTCATTGCGCATGCCATCGGTCTGTTCTACACCAAGTACGGAGTGCTGCCCGTTCCAGGGTCAGTTCCCGACATGAAAGCTCGCTCCGCAGATTATGTTCAGTTACAAAACGTCTATAAGAGCAAGGCCCGGAAAGATTTCGCAGAAGTGCTGGAGAGCGTGCGATTCGTAGAGCGAACTGCGAATAGAAGTACCCAAATCGAGGAGAAGGACGTGGAGGCATTTTGCAAGAATGCTGCACACATCAAGTTGGTGCGTGGTCGACCGTTCCACGTTGTTCAACCAAACGAGTCGATCAAATGGGCGGACAGGGCAAAGGCTATTGGTAAGATGATACAATCTTTGGCGCATTCTAGCAGCCTCTGACAAACAGACAGTCCAGAACTTGACGTTCCCGGACTCGCTTGTCCCACTATATATCGCGTTCCTTGCCTGGGACAAGTTCGCAGCAACTCACGACCAGGACGGACTTGTAGGCGCTCAGCAGGTACCTGGAGAAACCGACGCAGAAACCGACGCAGGAAAGGTGACGGGCATCGCTCTCAAGATCACCGACGACCTCATCAAAGAAGCTGTTGCCACGCTTGAAGAAGACGAACTAGAAACCATCAAGTCGCAGGTCAGAGAATTTGTAGAGGAGCTGTAAGTTACCTACTGTATTCTGCGAAGATTGAGGCAAGTACTAATTGCAGTATCAGTGTCCGAGCCGGTGGCGGTGAGCTACACAATATTGCTGCTTTGACCGGCGGTTTGGTCTCACAGGAGGTTATCAAGGTCATTACGGAGCAGTATGTACCAGTTGACAACACCTGCATATTCGACGGCGTGAAGAGCAAAACGGCTGTCATTCGTGTCTGAGAGTATGAAAGAACCAATCAGGCTTGATTCACCTCACCGCCAGTAGTAGATCCATTTGGCGGAGAACCATTGGCCTCATCCCTACGAGCATTATATCCAAAAGTCATGCATGTAAAGACACAGCTAGAACAATTTCATGAAAGCAACCACGTAGCACCTGCATGCAGTGGGTCAGATTCACTTTCTCGTGCACTTTGCACTCCAAAACGAAATGCAGCTGCAACACTAGATAGAGGAAATGATTTCCAAGTAGTTGTGAGAATCATCGACAACCTCACACACTAAACTCAGACTCTTACTAGTAGTTTGAACTTCCGATATATGATGTGAATTCATAAAAGTTCTTAAAATATGCCACGCCAAAGCAAGCTTACTTTCCATCCCCTTTCTGCTGACAAAGGACCGGATTTAGCAAGACCATCTTCATCACGTGATCACGTCTACGCGACGATCGCGTCAGGCGTCTCGACCGCGCCTTTCACGCCTCCAGCATCGCAGCAGAGGTCAGCGACGTCGAAACCGCCCGCCGCGCCCACGATGGACCCGTCATTCACCCTTCCAGACTCCACCGACTGGATAAGCACGTCGCTCCCCGCCTTCGAGCCGCTCGAAGCTGCCTTGCGCTGTGAGGTCTGCAAAGAATTCTACGAGAATCCCGTCATTACATCATGCTCGCATACTTTCTGCTCGCTGTGCATACGGCGGTGCATCACTAGCGACGGAAAGTGCCCTACGTGTCGGGCGGCGAACCAGGCGGACAAATTGGTGCCGAATAATGCGCTGCGCGAAGTCGTGCAGAGATTCCAGGATGCTCGTCCGAAGGCATTGGAGCTGGCACGAATAGACACACCCAGCAGTACTGCTGTCAATGACCCGGGGAAGAAGAGGAAACTGGATGATACCGATATCGAAGAGCCGGAAAATGTCAGGCAGACACGGTCGCGGCAAGCCAGGAGCAAAACCAAGCCACAGTATGGTTTCGCAGATGCACCTATCGAGGTTCCGGATAGCGAAGATGAGGAAGAGTATATACCAGACGGAATGGTCAAGTGTCCGGTTTGCGGGAAGCCTATGAAGGAGGCGTTGGTCTTTTCGCATTTGGATACCTGCACTGGGTCAGAGGAGCCTGCGGGAGCACGGAGCACGCGATCAAGGTTCGTTCTACATGAGGTATGCCTCCTAAGTCCTTTACTTACTCCGAAGCTTTAGAAACAATACTGCGTTCCATAAAGTTCAGAGACCACAAAGGGATCCCTCGCCTGCTCCGACCCGATTACCAGGCCTAAACTACGCTATGATGAACGAGAAGAACCTAAAGAAAAAGTTTCAAGAGTTAGGGATACCTACATGGGGGAACAAAACGCTTCTGATCAAAAGGCACACAGAGTGGTTACACCTGTGGAATTCTAATTGTGATGCCTCGGAAAATCGAAGAAAATCAAAACGGGACCTACTCAAAGAGTTGGACACATGGGAGAGGACTCAAGGCGGGCATGCGCATGTGAAAGAGTCTGAGTTTATGAAGAAGGATTTCGATGGTTTCGGCCATGCGAACACGCACAAAAACCAGTTTGACGATCTGATTCGAAATGCAAGGCGTAAGGCAAAGGCACCAAAGGCTGCGGACGAGCAAAACGATGCGGAAGGCGATAGTACGACACAGGCTATTAGCTCTCCAATACCGCCACCCCCAGATGCTTTGCCTAGCCATGGAACGCAATCCAGCGTTGACCCACTTCGCCCATACGAGGACAATGAGGCTGCACTTGCTAGCATCCGAGCGGAAGTTGAAACGGCAAATCGCCCACAGGAACAACAGTTACCATACGTCAATGGTGAACACGGAGGGACGAGCGAGCAGGCACACCTGTCAGAGGTGGGAATACGTAATCCCTTCGGATCGCCCACAAGAAAGCTTCCCATGTTCGAAGTACCAAAGAGTCCCGTTGTCGATGTTGAACATTCGACAAATTCCTGCTGACGACCATGGCATTGCCTTGGCCGATACCTAGACCTCTTCGCACAGGCATTGAGCGAAAACTTGCGGGTTGGCATCTTTATATCCCCTAATAGCGGCATTATGTTACTGATGAATCACATCCTGGATAGCAACAGAACATATCAGGAATATATGAATGGTGAAAATGAATAATCTCGCCTACTCTATCATCGCCTTCTCTGATTGCAATGCCCCCCTTCGAACATTGAATGCCTTAGGATGGTGCAGACGACTTATCCGAGCTCATCACCTCTTGCACGGTTAAGGTTACATCCCATATTCAACCTTTTCAATCAATATTGCTCAACCAAAGCCCATTCGAGCAATCTTTTGCTAGTGTGATCTTTCACTATAGGTATCGACTATATTAGTGATTCTCATTTCAATCATCATCAACCAGGTCTCATCGACCTTGGTAGCCAGTGATATGTTTCTCTCAACAAGTTTCCCTGGTATTGGGGTATTGAGTACCATACTATGGGTGCAGAGTGCAACATTATTCTCGACCGCATTGTGTATAAAATCACCACAATCCGGCCCTTCACTCTCACTCCTCACCTTCAGACTTCCCTCCCATCATCAGTAATCACTACGTGTGAGCTGAAGATATCCCTCTGGGAAAAGAAAAACCAACATCGCAACCCCAACACCACCATCAAGCATCAAACCACCACCACCAACAAAAACATCAAAACACCATCAGGCATATCATCACCCCATCACAACCCCAAACCCTCGCCTCAAACACCACAAATACAACAATGGCGGACAACACGTCGAACAATGCTGCCTCATCCCTCCGCATCCCCCACAAGGACTTTCTCTACCCCCTCACAACGACGCGCACTCCCGTTCCCACCAGAGCCAACTCCCGGGCGGCGCGGAAAGAGAGAGAACGATACAACTTCTTCGAGAAGCGATCAGCCATGGACAGGGACGAATACTGGCCTCTGAACGGAGTCTTCGAGCAGGGACCGCGGGTCCACAAGGAGTGGAAGTTCGGGATGTCGGACACCAACTTCCTCTCCTCATCTTCTCAAGGCCCTCAACAACAACAACGACCATCCAATACCCAACAACCACAAACCGCCGCCGCCGCCGACGACAACCATGTTGCCGGAGACGGTGGGAACGGCGACGACGACAACGACGACGACGCGGCCCTCGCCCGCGCCATCAACGCCGCCGCTCTCGTCAAGGCCTTCAGGAAAACCACCGTGCCCATCACTGGCACCGTCCCCGTCCCCGTCACTGACACCCCCCTCATCCCCTCCTGGCGCCAATGCGGTCCCCAATATCCCATCTTCTCACCACCACAACCACCACAACCACCACAGCCCACGAGGCCCCGACCCACGGACCCTCCTCTCATCACCGAAGCTCACTTCTGGCGCATGCCCTTGACGCCTGTGCCCCGCGTGTCCCGCATCCCAAGCGTGCACTGCTGGACGTTCTCGGCACCTCCCGCAGCCGACACGGGGGTCTCGCCGTCCCCGCGGGCGTCGTCGTCGTCGGAGACTGTGGTCGCGACGGGGGGTGAGGGGAGCGTGGAGGAGGTGGTGTCGCGAGGGCAGCAGCCAGCGCAGCCAGCGCGGCGGACGCATCCGGTCTTTCGGGAGAGGTTTGATTTGGATGGGGAGGGGTTGTATGCTGCTGCGGCGAGGGAGCAGGAGCAGGAGCAGGAGGAGGGGGTGAGGGAGAGGGGGAGGACCGACTCGGGGGCTGCGGGAGTTGGTGAGGCTGGGGAGTGGGTCGTCGCTGAGGGCGAGGGCCAGGGAGGTGAGGCGAAGGTGAAGCTCGGAAGGAGGGCGGCGGTCGCGCGGTGGGTTATGGGGTTGTTGGGGTTCAGGAAGTAGGGTGTCGGTAGGATTGGGGGATACTGTGATTTTGGAATACTGGTTCCGCGGGTGCGTTTTGGATTATTGATGGATTGAGAATCTGGTATCTGTCTGTCCATCGACCTGTGGTTGAATCTATTGATATACGGCGTCAATCGTGGAACATATCAGTTTTGGTCTATGGCATTTGTGGAATTTTAGGAGTAAGGACTGGTTGGGCGTTTGGTTGGGATCTTGGTTTTGTTAAGTCATCGTTACTGTATAGTTCTGTGGATGTGTTGACTATTTTCATCCATCTATCGAACAGTATATCAATCAGTCTGTCTTTTAATCAGTTTGGTAATCAATTTGTCATTCAATCTAGATTCGCGGAGGAAAGTTCAAGTGAATAAATCGGGCATATATACTTACTTGGAAAGAACTTCCCATCCCACAGTGACATGTCGTGCATGTATCATCATCTCCAAATCAACACACGTACACACGCTCCATCTCGTCTCCTCAACCAAACGAACAAGACATACATCGTTCACTTGTCATCCAACATCCGTGCCTCATCTCCCTCGCCCATCCCACGAGAAAAGAATCACTTATCAGTGCGATCAAAAAGCAAGCAAGAAATTCGAACAGAGTGCCGAGGAAAACGCCAAACTTTGGCAAGTATAAGAATACCATTTCCCATCCTCGACCATCACCTCTAACTCTCTTGGTTCGTCGCGAGTAGGCGTTAAGTGGTAAGTAGTTACACGAAATCGTCATCCTATGTAAGAAAAATGGACACGACGAGAAAAGGTGGCTCAAAATAGACAGAAAGAACGCCAGGATGCTCATACACATTCAAGGTATGATATGGTATAAAAGGTGTAACGAGTCGCGGTCCCCACCCTCTCCCTTTTTTTGTTTTCACAGTCATCATCATTATCATTGTCGTCATCCCCTGCCAACGTTTCTATGGCAGGGTATCAGGTAACGATAAGCCCTCAACATGTTGACGCCATCAATGATACATATATGGAGTAGATGATCATTCATACTCTTCAATCCATTCGCAAGTGTACGAGGGTAGCAGAGATCATTGATACCACTCATTCTCATTGTAGGTGTTCATCACGCCGCCATAGCCGTTGAACCCATTCATGTTGTTCGGTTGGGGGTTACTATTGCCATTGGCGACAGGTCCACCGTTCATCATGTCGCCATTGCCCACCACAGAATTGGCGGTGAAACTACCCGGGCTGCCGACGGCGCCTGTGTTGCTCGTGAGCCAGGCAATCTCGTCAGGGTTTAGGTTCCAGTTGTCGAAACCAACGGCGAGCTGGGACTGGTCTCTCAACCACCAGTCTTGGCCCTCGCGGACGAGTTGTTCGACACCACCAAAGAGTTGCGAGGGCGAGTTGTGTGTGGAATTTACACTATTGTCAATTCCGGCAGTACTGGCAGGGGTCGAGGGGTTGATATCACGCTGTCCACGAGGGTAAGCGAATGCAGAAGCGTCGTTGGGGGGAAGGGAACGTGCCTCGGAAGCGTGACGCAGTGCTTCGGATGTGAGAGACTGCATGGGTTGTCCATGTTTCTCGAAGAATGTGGTTGTGCTGGTTGTTGTCGCTAGGGGTATGCTGTATGGTTGTAAAGCCGGTGACGTCTCTGGCTGCTGCTGTTGCTGCTGCTGCTGATGGACGGCAGGGGTGCCTACATCCTGCGCAGTAGTACTAGACCTGGGTGAGAGGACTTCGCCATAGGGACCGAACTTAGCATCAGTACGAGCGAGGACCGTTGCGGCTTCTTCGGGAAGCTCGACCTTCCAGTTCTTAGCAAGCACGCTAAGAATGCCCAGTGTTCGGCGGGCGCATAGCCAACTCTCGGCAATTTCCTCGAGATGCTTGACACCGTGGATGATGTCTCTCTTCGCATTCTTCTCAGGCAGATTCAATAGATGAATCGTGCAGGCCGAATGTGCAATGTAGACAGCAATGTTACAGATCTGTCGGAGGCCGTGTGATCGCTTGTAAAGGCGGAGAAGCTTGGAAATCATCTGTGCCGCCTGAGTGCACAACTTCCGCGGAGATACATGAGACGGGAGTGGCGAGTTGTTGGGATTGTATTTCAAGAAGGGCCGGAAAAGATGGATGAAAAGGAGCTGGAAGAACATGCTACGCCGGGATTAGGATACCTGAATGGTCAAAATAATTGGGGAACTTACTGCATGACAAGCATACTAGGGAGGCCGCCCTCCTTTGGCTCGAGTTCCTTTGGCAATTCCCGTCGCCATGTCTCAAGCCGCTGGTGTATCTCGCTGAGCTTCTTGAGTTCGGCCTGTTTGCCTTTGGTCTTGTCCATATCGATGGGGTTGTAGAAGAAGTTTATGAGGTCGCTAGAGATCTCGCATAATTTGGATATCTGCAGGGCAACCGCGCGTGTGCGCGAGGGTTGCGCATGGGCCTGGCTGAAGCCGGAATCGGTGTAGGCAGACCAAGTGTCTGAGTCTTCGACGGGAAAGACTTCGAACTTCTGGGCAGTAATGGAGGCGTTCGGTAGCTGCGGTAGTCGGCCCAGATAGTTGGACCAGCACTTGTCGAACAGGAAGCAACCCCAGAACGTTATTCGGCGCGCGTCTTCCTCCGTCTCGTCGATGGCACCTCTATTCCCTTGCATGCCTCCCGAGTTGAGGTTGAGTCCCAGATCGCAAGCCATGCGGAAGCTCATGCCACTATAGACCCAGCCCTTTGCTTCTCTCCCACAACCAGCCTCTCGTACAGACATCAGCGCCAGCGCTTGCACAGTCGTCAGGGCGGGGACCTCGTGCAAGTCGCCCTCGAGGATCAACCGTTTCGCTTCCTTGAAGAAGTGGTCTCCGGCGGTGGCGGCATCGTCGCGCACCGCTCTCGCAGTAGGCCAGGACGTGAAGTGACATCCCAGGGCCAACATGGCGTTGACCAGCAGTGGTGTGCAGTATTCCATCTTCCGTCGCGATCCAGGTGGTGGCTTGCCCAAGAGAAAATCCCGGTAGAATAGGTTCTTAGATAGCGTCGTGAAGAAGGTATAATGCCAGCAAAAGTACATGTTGATCAAGTGCAAGACGAGCTCCGGGTCGGATGTGACGGTGGTCCATGAGGTCAAAGGGTTCTCCTGCTGCTGGTACTGGTCCGAGTTGGACAGAGCATTCGACTGGTCGGTATCCTCGGTGCCCGCGCCGAGATATATGAGATGTGATGTGCCTCCAATGTATCGCGTCGAGCCATCCTCCAGCCTCAGCTCTCCCATCTTGCCTGACAGTTGCGACTCGAATGTGAGCGGTGCGCCAGCGGAGGCAGGGGCCGGGACGGTGTAAGGCACCACCTGTTCCTCTTCCTCCTCTTCCTCTCCATTTTCCCTAGCTATGATACCTTCAGCGACGGCATCCAAGCTTTCGCAGGTGCGTATCTGCTGGACGAGGGCTGCGACATCTTCTTCCGGATAGTTGAGGATGGCCTGGATCAGGGTCTGCAGGGTGGAGTTGCGGGTCTTGAGGTTGTCGATGTCTTTTTTGTAGACGCCCTTGCGGCGGTGATCTGAATTGGGATCGTAGATGCACTCGGTGTTATATACGGCGGCGCAGGCAGAGCAGGCGGGTGTTGTGCCGTCGCACTGTGTGGTCATAGAAGAGGGCTGCTGTCAGCGGAGTTCTTCTCCGGAGATTGGAGGTTCTGGGAGGACTTGGGCTGCAGGGCAACGCGTCTACCTACCTTTGACTTCCTCTTCCGACAGGGCACACAGGCGCTGGAAATGCACCGTCTTTTTTTGGAGCCTTCGTCGTTTAAGACATCCTTCTTCCCTTTTCTGCGAGGTTTCGGGTTTTGGTCGGTGTGCGCAGCGTCCGGTGCGCTGATGGATGAAGAGTCCATGGCCGGAAGAGAGTGGTGTATGATAGGTGGGAGATGCGGAGGCGGGGAAAGAACATTTGATGGTGAACACACGGACGGACAGGGACGGCAAAGGTGACCTTGGAAGGTGACAACGGCGATGGCGGCGACGAGTTGTTGTATTGCACCTAGATGTACAGATAGGTGCAAAACCTGACGCAGCGACAGGAAGAATCGCAGTCGCAGTCGCAGTCAGGTCAGGAATTAATGGTAATGGTAGTGATGGAAGAGCTGCCGCAATCGCACTGGGAGTCGCACCAACACCCACGCAGGCACCCACTCCAGAGACAAAACCCTGAACCAATATTACTCAGTAGTGTGAACTGTGAACCAGGATGAGATTATTGGGAAGGAGAAAATAGAGGAGACTAGAGCCAAATAATAGCAGCTCCCGTACATGGAAAAGAGCGAAGAGGAGACTGGAGTAGGGTACGAGTACGAGGTAGTGATGATTAACGAGGAATGCTATTGGGCAGGGCGAGTCCGAGACCAATTCCCTTGAATCCCTACACAGTACTCGTACTAAGTAGAGCGGGGGGGTGGGAACTGGCGATGGGGGGGAGATGGGGGATGGTTCCACTTCTATGTACTTGTAGTTATGCGATCATCTCCCGTTATTAGCTTCATAGGTATACGATGTATACACATACTCACATTACAAGTTACAATCATCATAACTCCAACAACTAATCACAACCACAGTCATTCCCATATCAACAGCTATCCAAATCCATATCTCACATCCAACTACATCATAGCACATATATGCATACTCCTCATCACTTCTCACTCCCCTTCATCCTCCCTCTTATCTCCCACCAACGAAACCCCTCCCATTCCCAATCCTTATCAACCACCCCCTCTTTGGATATATCCCCATTCCCTCCTTTCCCTTTCCTTTCTTTTTCTTGTGGAACTAAAAGATAATGCAGCTCCAGATAACCGAACGTCCTAGAACGATGCAGAGATGATGGTGGTGGTGATGATCAAGAGAAATGACGCAATCTTCAGACTAGATCCAACACGTCTGTCCCTCGTTTGTTAAGTAAATCGCGTGCAGTTTTATCTGTGATGGAGAGAGGTAAGAGAAGAGAAGAGGAGAAAAGAAAAACGAGAGAGAACATAGAGCTGGAGACGACCTATCTCCTCGGGAGTGCACTAGAAATCCTGGGGGTGAATGGCTAGGAGACGGACCTCCCGACGAACACGACGCAGCTCCTGTTCTTTTGGACGAATAATATTACATGGATCAGAGTGGAACAGATCAGATCTCGATTCGATTTGTTCCTGGTTTCTTTTCTTTTTCTCTTTTCGTCGTCTTCTTATCTCTTTCCAGCTTGCAATGCATCCAGCCTTGTAGGTCTAAGCAAAGGACGACCAATAATTATAGTTATGCTACAGACGAAAGCAGCACAATGATGGTCCGGGGCGATTATACCAAGAGGATAACTGTATGGAAACAAAACATGCTTTGTGGTATTACTCTTCAATCATGCCTAACAAACCCCAAAATTTATATACTGATATCCCAACAAAACACACACCACACTCAACCCCTTCTCGAACCCTTTTTCAATGTTGTTCAAGTACCAATCTGCATCCATACACTCGCTCTCTAAACATTACCTACAAGTCTCCTACCTCTCAAACCTCACGATCCCAGGAAGAAACAACAAAATCCCCATATGAAATCCTTCCCGCCGGTACATGGCGGATAGCCACCCTTCCAAACAAACGTAATTAGTAGTGCCAACAATGGCACCACCCATCACATCATGCACTCAAATGCGTCTATTTTTCAAATTCCAGTCTCCAAAACAAGAAAGAGAGCGACGGGGAGACCATTCTGATGCCGGGATTGTGAAGTAGGCTTAGATACAAGCACCAGGATTGCTCACGATCTCATTTCAATGGTCAAGCAATATCGGTAGGTGCCGAACGTACCTAGTACTATGTAATATGGCCACCGGTAGTTGTTACTTAGATCAATACATGTCGAGTCAGACACTAAAGCACCCATATTTCCTTCAAGATGGCCCCCTGCAGATATTAATCGACTTGGATCGTCATTGTGCATTCACGCTCCACTCTAACGAGTATACGCTATGTACGATACAGCGCTCACTAAGGTATGACTGCACGCCTACAATAGATGTTACGTTTCTCGCTTGTCTAGTACTAGGAAATATTGCTTCATTTGGCCTGATAGATGCTTGTAACTAAATAATGCCTGAGAGCTATGGTATCGGGAGATACCGACCAGGCAAACCATTCCTCCATAAAACCATTCCTTTCTCGAGCCAATTTGGTGCAAGCTTTTCGGGCCGTAAATCCCCCAGCTAGAAAGATGTAAATCGCAAGATATGGCATCCGTAAAACTCCTAATGAAAGCATATGCAGTGATCAAGTCCCGTTCTTGCCACGGCTGACGATCTCCATCGTTGTGTTTCCAGAAGCGTGATGCATAGGCTGATCGTTAGCCCGGATCCTCCCACTCCACTTCACTCCATTCATCTGCCTCGCACTCCACATTTCGCAAGTACCTCCAGATGAGCAATGTCGCTAAAGATTGTGCCGAAGTAGGAATCTGAGCCATCAGAATCGCGCGAAGGAATGGAGCATACAAATTAGGCCTCCGAATTCCTTTTGCAGCTTAGATTCCCTCAAAGGTCATCCGCATATCCTTCATGGTCGTTGTCTGCCCTGAACCCTCCGCGAGAGTGAGGATTGTCCACCAAGATGAATGGTCTGCCATTGCTGTCCTCGGTCACAGTTCCAAAGAGACGCATGAGCGCAGCCAGGTCCAATCTATGATGCCGCATTAGATATCTGGCCAAATCTTGCGCTTTCGTTTCACTCACTTTTTCACTGTTCGTCCCCCATCCTCCATGACTGTGTCGATTTCCTTCTGCTTCCGTTCCTGCATGGCCAGGATCCGTTCGTCCACCGTATTTCTCACACAGAACCGGGTCATGAACGTTGTATCCTGTTGCCCGATTCGGTATATACGGCAGAATGCCTGCTGCTCGGCTGCATTGTTCCACCATGGATCTACTACGATGACTCTCGAAGCCATGGTTAGATTCAATCCCACTTCGCCCTTGATCAGCACGAGTCAAATATCAATCGTAGGCATGATCACTTACAGCCTCCACACCGAAGTGATGAAAGTAAAATGTTGGTATCTTCTTCCTCTGCGAAGCTATGGATAGCCTTGTCTCGGGACTGGAACGTCATCTCTCCGTGATACTGGCACAAACATTAGCTTTATCAAAGCATGCCGAAATTGCGAATGCCAAATGATGTCAATAATATCAAATCAACCTCCTGTAGAGCTCTCCCAAGGTTGAGCCTATCGAATCCATAATACTTACCTGTTCACATCCCCAATGCTCCTCCTCGCAGATCTTCTTCAGTATTCGAATCCTGGCAATGTTAGTGGATTGATACAATATGTTCCGCAGTGTCTTACATTGCTAGGAACTGCGTATATATAATGATTTTGACGCTTGGATTCTCTTTTCGCCAATTCAGTATTTGAGCCTTGATAGCGATGGTCTTCGCAGACGGCAGAACACCATCAGGACTGATTGTAAGCCAGTCCTTGTCAATATTCTCGCGCTCCAGCCGTACAGTATTATTTTTCGAGGCGTTTTTGCCCTTCGTCTTCGACCTGGTCGCTGGCGCGGCGTAGATAAACGGGTCCTCGGGCTCGCCATCCGCGTCACATGCATGCGCAAATTGGAAGGGATTCTTGCACTTATGGCATGCTACAATCCTCTCATGCCCTTGTTCTGCTGCCTGTATTGTTGCGCTCTCGTAGCAGGCTTGACAATAGATGTGATGGCACGATGTGATCCATGGAGCTACCGGTTTATCGTAACATACACAGCACCGGCTCTTCTTTCTGGCGTTTTCCCAGCCTTCACCTGACGTGAGGGTTTTGAGGTAAGGCTCAAATTTGTAGCTTTTTCCAAATGTCCCTCCAGATCCGGATCCAAGGGGCTCGTGGTCTTCGGATAGCGCATCGTCGTCGGCGGTGTGTAAATGTGGTTCTTCCACATCATGATCAACCAGTTTTGGTGGCTGCATATCGGGATCCACGCCCTTCTTCAGGGCCCTTGCTCTCTGCTGCTCTAATTTAGCAGTGCGTTTAATTTCCAGTTTCGCATGGTGATCGAGTTGCGCCCTAAGTGCAGTGATCGTCTTCGCCGATGAGCCGTCTTTAGCATGATTCTTGACCACATCGCGGATCTTTTCGATGTCTTCACGCTCAAGAAGATCCTTCATGACATATTGCAGCATTAGAACGTGCGCGGTTAGCTGGCGTAGACGGAGAAGCATGACTAGAATGTTGCTGTATGACTTCTCCAGTGTACCAGCCACAGCCATTGAGTTGATTCTCTCTGCGAAACGCTTGCTTACGATTGCGTAGATATTTCGCTCGACCATGTTGAATTCGCACCAGTGTGTCGTGTGATCAGCTTTTGGCAATTTAAGGATAGGCGCCCCGAACATGATACTGCAACTTGTTAAGCAAACTTGTTTTGAGTTTCCATGGTAAACTTACTCCTTATGGGTCCTCCTGATCATGAACTGGTTGAGTTGAACTAGAAGTCGTTGTGTATGTGTCGCATCCTTTGGGTCGCAATAGTTGGACTTGAATATGTGGAAGCTTCCGGTATGCGGGACGTTGAGAAATTTGAAGTAAGGATACAATTCCTTGAGATTGTTCTGAATTGGTGTCCCTGTGATACACCAACGCATATCTGCCATGATAGCACGACACGCAATTGAGGTTCTGGTGGCATGGTTTTTGATGGCCTGGGCTTCATCAAGTACGACACGGTAGAACTGCATCTTATGTAAGATCCCTCGATATCTTTCAAAGGTCTTTCGCCACCATAACTCCTTTTGTTCCACTGTCTGACAGCTAACGGGTGGGTCATGCTTCGGGTATGAATTCATGACCTCAGTGTACGTGGTGAGAACGATGTCAACTCCGCCCAAGATGCTCAAACTATCATTGGATTCGAGGCGATTGCCGGAACCGTATCTCATAACCTTCAAGTTGCAATTGCTGTGTGTTGCGATTTCATTGGCCCATTGCGTGAGTAGACTCGGGCTGGCAACAATGAGCGTTGTCTTGCGATGGCCTGAGGGTGGTCTGCCGTTGACAATATTGGCTGCTGCCGTTAGCTATTGAATCTTATTATCCGGACAACCCCTTACCAAGCATCATAAGAGTCTTGCCTAGACCCATTTGGTCTGCCATGAGTCCACCACGAGGATCCTGTGGCTCATGTTCACGCCGTCTCATGAAAGCAGTTCCCAAAATTTGATAAGGTTTGAGTGAGGTTTTCATCCCTTTCACAAGCCATAAACCGGTGCCGTCCGATTTCACACTTCCGTGACCATCAAAGTCTTTGGTTGCCGCCAAAAGAGTGTTCATGTCCCCTTTCGCTTCTTTCTGATTATCGATGGGGACACTCGCAATCAGCTCTTTCAAGGCATGGTTTTTGTTTCTTGATGTGAACGTAGGTTGATCCGCAGCGTCCTGAGCAGCTTGATCTCTGAAGACATCTCCAGAGAAGAGTGAACTCACTTGGCGTAGAGCGTCTTGATGGGCACGCTTCTGCTTTACCGTCATCCGCGGACCCTTGGGACCCTTCTTCTGGTTGGTCGCAGCTTTCGAATTTCTGGAAGTAGACTTCTGAACTCTGCTCTTGCCCTTTGTCTTGCCCGCGGTGCGTCCGTTTTTATCTGGTTGACCTTCCTCATTTTTCCTCTTTTTCTTCGGTAGGTCTCCGCTGGCCTCTAGGGCGACTCGCATACTCAGTATCTCAGCATCTTGCAAACTCTGCAACTTGTGATCCCTCTGAGACAGGCTTGGAGTTTGCCTTTGGCGCAGGGTACCGTCGTCACCATAGTTGAAGTCTTCTGCGTCGCTATTGGGACCTATCTCATCATCATCGCCCGGAAGACTTGAAGCTGTATGACCACCGTTCTCATCTTGATCCCTGAGTAGTTGCATTGCCAACCTATTCCTGCGAATTGTTTCATCCTTTTGCACCTTCGTCCATTCAAGATCCTGCACAAACGTGAGGGACCCTCCGTTCTTTCTCTTTAGGTTTTCAAAATGCCGCTTTTTTCTCTTATATTCGGCATCCTCTCCGTCACCGAGACTGTCATCACCATCATCATTTTGAGCAGTCCGTGGATGACTTGGAGGGTTCTCAGTCCGACTCAGGAGGCCTTCAACGTAGGTCGCATGACCCGACCGCACTTTAGTGTCATTAATAAGGGGCAGAGATCCATCGTTTCTTGTTTTGGACTTTCCAATTCGGCTTTGCAGGGAACGAATCTTCGCAAATGTCGACAAACCCTCTAGGGGCACGGCAGTGGACACGTGTTCCGAGTTAGTCGTTGAATTCGTAGGAAGAGCGGTGGAGGGTGGAATTCCTATTGCTGGTGCAGGTAAACTTGTTTGTACTAGTGAATCGTCCTGATCTTCCGTAGAAAACGGTTGTTGTGGAGGGCTGTTTGCTCTAACGAACAGAGGCAAATCGTCCCTATTTTTTCCACCGAGCCTTTCCAGACCCATCGTTTCTGTATTGTGGCCTGAATCGAGCCACGGAAGCGAACTCTGTGGGACCTCAGTGCTTTCTGCAATATCCTCTTGTAGTTCTGCAGCGGGCTCATGTGGCACCATTTCCGGGGGTCCAATTGTGGCCGCAGAGTCGTTTTCGTCCACAGAGTCTCTCACATTGAGAGATTCGAGCGGAGATTTGCTCGCGGAAGCACTCAATTTGGAAACCTCCCCGTTGTTCTGGCAGCCATCACCTTGTTCTTCCGCCGTAATCTCCATAGCGTCTTCGACTTCACCTCTGGACAGATGAGGCTCGTCTTCCTTGTCGCAAATTGGAGGGTTCACACGAGCATCATTCGTCTCTATCCCCTCCATAGCTTCGCCTGCTATGGGATCTTGGCAAGGCTCCTCCATCGTTGTGGGAACACTGATGGTGAAGACGTGAAAGTGTTGAGGAGATATGAGTCAACCAAGTTCGGAGATCTGCGAGCTGGGGCAGCAATGGAGCGGTAGAATGGAAATTGTAGAATCAGAAAATTGGACGACCAGAAATAGTGGAGGAGTAGAAAGAGTTCGGCTTTGAGCTATCGAAGTGAAGTAAAGCCCATGCGACTTGAAGGTAGAGAAGAATGGAGTTGATGATAAAGGTCCATAGGGTTGCGTTGGTAGGTGAGTCGGATGATTGTAAGAAGTGGAAGTGTGAGGCTTGGGGAGAACTTAGAACAAAAAGGTATGAGGTTGGTGGAGGAGTATAGAAGAGAAGGACTGACGATCTAACTTATATAGTGAGATCAATCAATGATGAGAGAGGCATGTGAAAGAGAGAGAGAGAGAGAGAGAGAGGAAGAGGAAATGGAAGGAAGGAAGCTTCGAAGTAGCATGAGGCGCTTAAATACCATGGGCCTCTTAGAGAGAAGAAAGTGGCGATTGTAAGATGAAGGAAGGACGAAGGTGACCGAGAAGGTTCAACTGAATACTCACCAAAGAGGCAGTCACGGACACATCCGAATAGGAAAGAACATCTGCTGTACGCCCACCTCTACGACACATATGACCACAATGACTCAATAGTTGCTGGACATCTCGACAATTCCTCACTGCTAGCCTCACCTCGACGAACAAGAAGAATCTCCTCTAAGAAATGTAATACGTATTGTTAGACAGTCTACTTGTACATGCAGTGGTGCAAAACCAACCAATTTCAAGGATTTCATCAAGGTGACCAATTTCAAAGCCGTCGTAAAGATTCCAGACCGCCCGAACATAAGAGATAGAGCAAACTATTTTAGACTTCGCCATCCCCGAGCGCGTGTACTTGATCTGGGAGGTGGGTATCGAGACATAAAGGAAACAGACAATATTAAAGGGAAGGAAAGCACGCATGTATGCGCCTGGTGTGGTCATTCAACAGCGGGAAATCAGGTATTACAAAAACAATAGCTGGATGGAAGGAAGTAACAGTGAAGAGAAGTTCATAGGAGAGTAGGAAGAGGTTTATGGTTTACGACAGGTATGCTTGCGGGGGAAGACACACAAGGCCTCGGGAGCAACGTCGGGTCTAGCACTCTGTCTCCTTGATGTTCGGGTAGAACCAAGCCGCAAGTGCAATGATAAGATATGAGGACATGAGAAGTACGCCTTCAAGCCAATCTGCGGGTATGTTAGTCGAGACTCATTTCACGTTACGGGCAGTACTTACGAGATTTGCCATCTTGGATGAGGTAATTGACCAGCAGAACTGATACAAAGAGCAAGGCGATCTGGAAAGTGTCGAAGTACAAGGTCATGCAGTCTTTGCCCAAGATCCAACCAAGGACGACGACAAATGGAAGCACGAGCAGTGCGATCTGCATGCTGGATCCTACGGCGACACCAATCGACAGGTCCATCTTGTCCTTGATGGCGACAGTGACGGCGGTAGCGTGCTCGGCAGCATTTCCGACGATGGGCAGGAGGATGAGACCGACGAAGGTAGTAGAGACCGTGCCGCTCTTCGTCACACCTTCGATACTAGACACCATGAATTCGGAGCAGAAAGCCACCAGCGTGGTAGAAATAGCAAGAGTTATGAGTGCGCCGATGACCGAAAGCGAAGGCTCTTCAAATTCGTCGTCTTCCTCGTCGTCCGAATCACTCTCTTTGAAGATGCGATCGCTGTGGATCATGCCTCCGGTTGCTGCTGCAGTGCCGGCTCCAATCGCCGCGATTCCACGCGAGGCGCTACCCTCTTCGACTTTAAACGATTTGTTCTTAGGCGTCTTCTGGCTAGGTGCGTTGTACATGGTGACGTGAGACTTCAACTGGAAGACCAGGTAGCAGCCATAAACAAACAGCAAGATGATCGCCGTTCCACGAGAGAGCGACTGGTTCTTGTTTCCGTCAGGGCCGGCATCCTCCAGAAGCATTTCGTGGAAAACAGTTGGGATGATCAAACTGGCGATGCAGAGAGCAAGCAAACTGGCTGCAGTTTGCGCCACGGTCACGTTGAAGTGCTGTTCGATTCTATTGACACCACCGCAGAAGAAAGCCATTCCCAGGACCAATAGCAAGTTCGACAGCATACTGCCGATAAGCGAGGTTTTGACGATGACGATTTCATCTTTGATGAGCGCCTGGATTGACACGATCAATTCGACTGCGTTTCCGAATGTCGCATTGAGAAGTCCACCGAACGTCTCCCCCACTCTAAGTGCCAGTTCTTCGGTCGCGTAACTCAGCATCGCAGCCAAGGGAATAATGGCAATGAAGTTAATGATGAAAACCGGGACATCGCCGTTCTTGATATGTGCATAGTAAAGCGCGAAGCCGACGGGAACGAACAGAAGCAGGACGTTGATCCAGGAAGAGAAAAGGACCGCTCGAATTTGGCTGCCAACGGGGATTTTCCTCTTAAGTGCTCGATGTTTCCTCTCTTCAACAGAGAGTCCAGGTGTTTCGGCACGTTCCAACTCATTCCCCTCGTCCTTGCCACCCTTCTTGAAAGCGTTCTTGAACCTCGCGCGTTTCTGGACAGCTGGTGCTCCATTTGTTTCGATATAAGTCTTGTCGCTGTTATTTGTCGAGAAGTTGCTTTCCTCTGGGTTACCCGCATTAACCTCTCGCTCCTCGACAGGTCCTGGTAAGTTATGTGACATGGCAGTCGAAGTAGGCGACGCGGTTGGTGCAGTGTCGGCGTGCCTGGGGGGACCAAACTCTTTCTCTGTCTGCCGGCTTTCAAGGCGTCGCTCCTCTTCCACGGTGGGCCGTATGTGGTTTTCCGAGCGTGTGTGATAAATCTGGTTCTCAGTGTCGCTCAGTGTTCTGGAGTGTGATCTTGCGAATGGATTGAAGTTGGACTCGCTACCACCACGAGAGGCGATCCTGTGGGCTTTTCTACGAACTTGATCTGTGTAGTTGAAAGAGTTATTGTTAGTCTCGAGTACAGAATGTGAGCTGTGAAAGAGAAGTATTACAACATAGAATGTTTGCAAGGAATACATGGACAAACTTACGCATTGTTATGAGTCGGTTGTTGTTCTAGTCACACTCTTTGAGGTGGGGTTGCCTGAATAGCTATCTCACCCAGTCCAGGACTTGAGATGTCCAACGAGCTGCGAGCCTTTGGTAGCTGATTCAATAAGTTTGAAAGTGTTTGCGACACGTTATGTTCGCTACAAAGGCACCTCGAGTATATGCCTCAACCGCAGTTCCACAGACGCGATTCCACAGCAACAAATACACAAGTAGATGGCTGAACGAACCCCAAAATACGATAGAAGAGGTTCTCGAAAGATTAGAAGAAAGAAAGGATGAATGAATAGGATCCAGGAGAAAGTGGGGAGACTGGAGATTAAAGAGCGCAGAGCAGGGGGTGGCCACGACAACAATGATCTAGGGCGGGCGTCGCCGTGTGCGTGTGCTGTATGGTCTGTTCTGGGGATAAACACACAAACGTAAAGGTACCTAGGCCGACTGTAGTAGCGGTCAGGTTTGGATTGCGTTGTCAGGGAGGCGGCGTAGGGCTATGTAAAAGCTAAGTGCAATTGCGATTCTTCTTCTCACGATGCAGCTTTTTTGTTTTTGCAAGTCTTTGACAGGAATATTTATCAGTCAAGTCTTGATGCAAGTACCCGACCATGCTTCTCCCTCGTACGTCACTATACTTAAGCTTAAGTTAAGATTAAGCGCAAATCTTGATTCTGCGCGCGTGGAACCCCAAGTTGCCCAAGCCTTTTTGGCGACGGCTTAACACCCCTTGGCTAGCATGCCGCGTCGTGCTCCCCGTTCATTGGCCTGCCCATACTCAAACCCCCCTAGCAGTCATTACGACCAACTCACCGTCAACCATGTTGCAACAGGCCGTTGTCTTCTAGAGTTTCTCCGGGGATATTTCATTGGCTGATCTTATTTCGATGAGGAGGGAAAAGGTTCCACAAGGAGGCGTAGCCTATTCGTCACCAGTTGGGCTTGTACCTTGACGGTGGAGCAAGGAAATCGCCGCCGGTCCAGGTCTGAAACGAAGGCTCTTTGGACGACATCATGCTACGCTTCTTAGCGACGGGAATAATAGGGTTAGAGCCTTTTTTCATCGATCGTAGGCATCCATTTCCCCATAGGAATAGATCGAACCAGCAGTTGTTGAAACTAGTAACAGTCAGGGAGACTGTTGAAAATGATCAACGAGCAAATTGGTCAAATAGAAACCCTTCCAGAGACCCTTTTAAAGCTTATGCCCCCTTTGGCGTACAACGCGAACGTTCAGGGCTTCCAATTCTTCTAAGGGATAGATGACAACCATGTGCGGACGACCGCAACGACATTGTACTGATGCGCTCACGCACTCCAATAAGCATCCATTTATTCAATCACAGCATCCCCCCTCATCATCTAACAAGAAGAATCTCACGCATCGAAACACGTACACTCTAAATCATAAAATGTCCATTTTCAGAAACGACAGTAGATATAATGCTTTCTCTGTTTGCCAGATGGGGGATAGAAGTACAAATACAAAACAAACGACCCAAGTAAAAACAACTAGAGCATAATCATTCACTCTCATGCTTTCACTACCTAGGATTCGAGAGTGACGATGATGAGAAGAAGGAAACAAAGAGGTATAGCGAAGAGGGGAAGAAAAACTCCTATCGGCACCGATGATAAAGTACTTGAAGACAACTTGTCCATAGCAAAAAGTGAGCACTGTAATTATTTGCACACTTTGAAAACTTCCCTCCTTTCCTGCTGCTGCATGTGTCGCCGTACAAAACGTGTAGTGTAGTTTAATGATGATGACTCCAACACCATACACCCACACGCCCAGTGTTCACTCCTTCACCCCGACACTTTCCTGTCCCTTTCCTGTCCCCTCTTCGCCTTCGCTCCCGGGACGACGATAGCTATGATTCCGTTCGAGAAAGTACTCTATGGATGTTGAATCTTGTTGTCCCCCTTGATGACATCCGCGTAAGTAGGCGGCGGCCCAGCAGGCTGCCCACTGCTTCCCTCTCCACCGAGCTCTGCGCCAGCGACGCCGTGCTGAGGCTGCGCGCTGCTCTGCTTGGTGGGGCCCGGGAACGCATTCGTCGTGCCGGTCTGCTGCTGGCCTGGGAACTGGCCGGCGGCGGGTTGGCTTCCCAGGGTGCCGTAGCTCTGGGGTAGCTGTTGCGGTTGCGGCTGTTGTTGTTGTTGTCCTCCCCGCGCGACGTAGTAGTATGTTACGGAGCCGTCGCCGGCGCGCTCGCCGTCTTGCAGGCCTTCGTAGTCGTAGGGGTCGGGGTTTTGCAGGATGATGTACCAGGCGTGGAGGAGGCCGGGGAGGAAACCGAGGCAGCAGAGGGCGATGTTGATGAGGGAGTCTGCGCTGCAGACGCCGCGCTTCACCCAGACTGTAGGTGATGGTTAGCTATGTTTCTTTTGTGGGATATCGGAAGAGTGGTGGAGGTTGCGCATTGTGCTGCCTGGCCGTCTGTCACTTGTGTGGGGGCAACGTACCTCCAATGGGTGGGAAGAGCACCGACAGGAGCATCAAAAAGCAGTCGGTTCCGCACATGTTGACGGTTGTTGTAGATTCAAGAAGATGGTAGAGGGTTTTCACAGTGCGAGAGAGTCGAGTGAAGAAGCATACGACTGGTATGGGCGGCGATGAGGACAGGATGAAGATGTCACTTGAGAGTTCGTCGTATGACGCGTGGTGTGGCGGGGTGGCTGTGCTAGCCCTTGATCAGGAACGACCCTTTTTGGACACGTTGGATCGGCAATGAGGACGAGGGAAACGTAACTGGATACATGGCAAATTGTAATCATCTAAATTCATTTGGTATTGATTGTAGAGCACTGTAAAGATTTGGCCAGCTATTCTTTACCGCCCAGGTGCCTATATACAACTGAAAAGTCCCGACCTTTGCAGTTTTCGGCTGCCTCAACCTCGTCATAGAATGCCTTCGCTTGGTCTCCCAGCGCAAGCTTAATTCCAGATTCCTTAGCTGACTTGATGGCGAGCTTGAGGTCCTTGTTGGCGAGGCTAACGCCAAAGCCACCCTCGTAGCCTCTTGAAGCAGGCGATCCTTCAACGACGCCTGGAACGGGATTGTTGACTTCACTCGGCCAGCACTTGCCAGTACTGATGTTGATCATTCCAGCAAGAGCTTTAGGATCCAGGCCCCACTGAATTCCCATATTCATGGCCTCTGCGGTAGCAATGTTGTTGAGGGCAAGCAGGTAATTGTTGGCAAGCTTTCCGTGCAAGCCAGAACCTTGTTCGCCCAGATGCAGCACTCTTCGGCCCATCATGGACAGAACAGCAGTGGCACGCTCAACTACTTCAGGAGCCGCTCCAATCATGAAGGTAAGGGTCCCGGCCTGAGCACCTACTACACCACCGGACATCGGTGCATCGATAAACCTGCCCTGCCCGGACGAGTGAGCGGCATCTGCCACAGACTTAGAGGTCATTGGATCAATTGTGGAGCAATCAATGAACAATCTCTCGGTGGTCACAAAGCCATCGGTCAAAAGACTTGGTGGCTCTAGCATCTGTTTATAGACACCAGCAACATGATGCGGCTCTGGCAAAGAAGTGATGATGGTTTCCTTTCGACTGGTCAGCGAACAATCTCCCTCAGATGTACGAATAACAATAGAAGATTGGAAGAAGCATCAGAGGATTGGCTATTGATTTGTGTAATCAGAATAAGGGTCACAAGTGACCCCCAACTTAGATCATAGAGAAAATTATATGTTCATCACGCAAGTACGGAGAAGAAGAAGATGTTGTAGACTTACCGCCTTTTCTGCAACCTCGCGGACATTGTCGGCCACTCGGACTCCTTCAGGGTGCTCTTCCAGGAATTTCGAAGTGGCCGCTGTGTTCACATCATGCACAAACAAGGTGTCTTCAGCGGGGAGTTTTGCCCTCAGGTTCTTAGCCATCGGGAATCCTAGAATGGGTCAGCCCGGCTTGGATATCATGTGAGGATGATGACTTACCCATACGTCCAAGCCCAATGAATCCCCATGTTGCTTGGAGATTCTTTGAGCTGGAGAAGCAGCGCCTGGATCCCTGACGCACCGTCATGGGTGCCATACGCCTCAAAGGCGACGCTATCGCCGAAACTGCCCGCATATTGTTCTTGAGGATTGTAGAGTCGTCAGAACTGAGCACGGGGAGAGTTAAAGAAGGCGAGCTGTGCTGCTAGGTGCGATTGGAGCGATCTCCGCATTCTTGGGGTTGGGTCAACCGAGGTCGGTCACGGAGCCATGGAAGAGCCGCTCGAAAGCGCTCATGGTCTGGCATGCACAGCCGCCAATCGATACCATGTTGGAAAACATGTCGGTAGGATGCGTAGCGCAGGCATCTGGAGGTTAGACCTGCCAATTGTCTTCCAGAGGAAGATGTGGATTGTGGAGAGAAGAAAACGAAGTGTGCGCTGCACCCGAGGGAAAAGAATTCCGACCTGGTACGTGCATGGGCTAACTAGCTAGATTTAGGAAGGCGCTGTTACTCCTGGAGATACGCATTCACGCATTCAGAGATGCCCCTCCTCTCGTATCAAGCAATTGCTTATTCCAGTTCTGGTTGACAGCTTGACACTTTGGAGAAATATTTTATTCAATAGAATGTGGGATCATTGTTTCTTAGAAGACCTCCCATAAGCTAACCTTCCCATCCTTCGCGCCCGCAACAACCCAATGCTTCGCCTGTATCTGCTCCTCTCGTTTGTTCTGCAAACGAGTCAATCCAGATGATTCTTGCTGGACATTGAGAAGCTCGTTAGAGGTGTCCGGGGAATCCGAAGGTCCGCCAGCTTTATGTGCATCAACTTGATGTTCTGGACTATTCTTGGGTTTGTGCTCTAAAAGGACACTAAAATGCGTTGCATAGATGCCTTCCTTATGCCATTTGAGTACAGCCATCTCTTTGAGTGTCTTGGTGCTGTATACTCGTACTCGACTGTCCCAACCCGCTGTGACTAGCAGACGGCCATCGGAGCGGACGTTCAATGACTGTTGGCCTGCATGTTTTGTCTGGACTGTCTTGTACGCAGGCTGGACGGTGATATTGGGCCTAAATGCAGGCTTGGGTTTAATGCCAGATTGAGGTCCTGCCGTTGCGAGGAGGGATGAGAGTCCTGAAGGCCTTTTGTCATGCGTCAAGGATGATTTGGCCGTGGGTTGGGTGGATGCATTCGCGAGATGTGTTGAAGTTATGGGTTTCTTGGAAAAGTCAAGAGGTCCAGTCGACTCTGCCTCCGGGGCCTTTACTGTTTCAACGTGTGCTTCGGATGACGTTGGAATGCCTTCAGTTGTTGGCTCTGTTGGATCTTGCTGCGCTGGATGTTGCATGGTGACTGATGCATCCCCTACAACATTGTTGAGATCTAAAACTGGCTGCACATCTGCTTGCGAACTCTCAACATAATTGTTGTGAGGAAGTCCGCCAATATTGCTATGGCTATTCGGTAGATCCGAGATGGTATGTTTTGCAATAATGGCGTCTGCTGAAGAAGTAAAATAAGAAGTACCGTCTGGTGGGCCGTCTAGAGATAGAACGGGCTGGGAATGTGGTTTACTGAGGTATACAAGCTGCGCACGCTCGAGAATCGACGAGGTCTCTGTTTCTGAAGAGGCATTGGGGCTGAATTTGAGAAGATGCACAGCGGTGTATCCGCCCTCATACCCAGCGAGAACGATGAGGTTGTTTGAAGGCTGATGGTGTGCAAGTTTCACAGCCATAACCATACCTATCAATCGTCAGTGGAAGTAGTTCTACGCTACATAGCACAAAGTGCAAAGATAATGCGGCCTTCGATGAACAATGGCGTTATGTTTCATTCAGCAAAAAAATGTACGAACCTGTATCAGGAGACTGGACTCTCGGCACGACATACGCCAGCTTTTCCTCTGGAAACTGGTAGATCTCGATCTTATGATCATCGCGTGCAGGCACCGCTACGAGTATGGACCCCTCGGCCCGTACTGATCGTGATGACGCTCGGTTTTCGAGTGTAGGCCAACGGGCAATCGCGGAGAATGCGCAGAAATTAAGAGTGTTTGCTGGGAGTTTGTGCAGCAACCAAGGCTTGGGACGATGCACAGAAGCATTGTCGATGGGCAGAACTGTAGAAAGGTCGGTTGTGGTGGTGGGCGATATTTGCCATATTCTAAGTGAATTGTCACGACCGTGGCTGGAATGAGACGAATATTAGCGGACGATGAATCACTAATGAAATTTCGAGGACGACTATCTGATTGTCGGAACAGCAACAAATTCTTAGTTTTAGAAGTTCGCTCAAAACACTCTCCTAATTATGGCAAGATCAGATACTCACGTTATGATTCTATCAGGACCCCATTCAGCTGTACCCAGGATTGCACCTTCGTGGGCTTTCCACACGGCTACAGGTCGTTTGGATTCTAACTTCCACAGCACTATCCAGCCATCGGCATCGCCCGTAAGTAATTGGCGATTGTCGCGTACGATCTGTACGCTGTGAATCTGCGCGGTATGGCCGCGGAAGATGTAACTAGGCTGAGCAGGTGGAAGGGCAGAGGTCTGGCGTTCGACGGCCATTGTGTGAAACGGCCGCCACAAGCAGCAGCAGGACAGGTTCGGGCTGATGTTGATGAACGAGGCAATCCGGAGCGAGAAGGATGATCGACGACATGGGAACCACGTCTTGGGGGCGGATGCACACAATCTGTTCTGTTGTGCTTGGGATGCAGTTCACGGTGCAGACACTGCCCTTTGCGCAGCACCCTTCGTGATCTTACACAGTAGAGAGGGCTGATCAGGACTGCTGTAGATGCGCAATTCTGTAGGTTAAGCTATGAATAGGGAGAGCTGATGCCACAAAAGGCATCGGAGATTATTGACTACAGTTGAAGCTGAGCAAACCGCTCGGCAGCTGCCCGTATTTGAGGGCGTTGATATTGCGAAGCCTCGTGATTATTGCACAGACAGAGTTGGGATTGAATTGAATCGTGTTGGTCGAATTGGTAAAACATGGGCTGGCACCTTTCCGTCGGATCAGGGACGCTGCGAATCAAGACCGACGGCCAGGGAAAGCAGTGAATGGCTTCGGGGATGCGACTAGGTATCCAGCATAATCAATACCCAGGAATCCAGATCAGTTGATTGCATGCGCCTGGGCAATGGACGCGGCGACGCGGGGGGTGGAAAGTGGATGAGTGGATGAGGTGCGGTCTAGAGATGGAGCAAAGATTGCCGAAGCTGCCAGCCCGTCTATTTTAGGGGCGCGAGCTTATTTGCCAAAACGGACAAGATTAGACGTCATCGTCAATAGATGATGGGCATCCGAATGCTAGTTACTCGAAGGACGCGGGAAAGGGCTGGAAGCCTGGACCAGTGACAGCCAGCCTCATGCATTGCTTCCTGTACGTGTTCCTTGATTTGGGTTGAAAGTGTTCGCTCAAGGCTGTCGTGTCTATTATGTTGTGACACTATATGGAGAACGCCACGCGCTGGGGAGGATCAAGGATCATCCAAATGCATTCAGCGATGGCGGGCGGAGACAGTTGAATGGCGGCATTGGATTGTGCCGCTTTGTACCCAGTAGGATTCAGATAACGACTATTACCTTGACCTGGTAATTACCTATGTACTTGTAGACGGAGTGGAGACCGAGAGAAGATACTGTTAGGGGGGAGGACTCTGTTCGTATACAGGATGGGGATCTGGATCTGTAACTGGTGGGTCTTCGTATGTACTATGTATACACTAGGTATGAATGGAATTATAGGTCAAGATGATACGATATCATACTTGCAATCGACAATCATATAATAACTGACTTGCCTCTCTCGATACGCCTAGAGTCTTTTTGTTTACTGCATTGTCAACTACGAGCATCACAGCTGAAGCGCTGTGGGGGGGTATATAATCCAGGCGCAGGTCCCGATCGACACGACGGCGCATTGAGGACGGCGACATCAGCGACAATCGTCTCAATACAGTATCTACACTACACTACACTACACATCTTGTCTGCTTGTGTATTTCATACAAGTACGTAGACCATCGTTGCACTTGGGCCTAGTGCGTCTGCTTGAACGCCGTTCAACGCGCGCCTTGAAGCCGTTCCCTTCCCCCTTCGTCTCCATCTCCGTCTCCGGCTCCGCCTTTGCTTCGCCTTCGCCTTCGCCTGTCTCCTTAAGAATTCCATCCCTATCAACTGTACTGTTGTATGCATGGAGAATACTACTTGCGAGCATGTTAACTACCCGCCATTTCAAACTCCACTACTGTCATAAAATTCCCTCTTCCTAACTCCCGCTGTCAGAAGTATTTCGCTCCCTACATTCCACCGTTATTCCCTCAGGAGTTCGGCATCGATAGTTGATACTAGCCAACTAGTCGCTTCTGTCGTCGCGAGTACCAGCCCAACCCAGGTCCAAATCTCGCTTCAAGACTTCGCGATCCCTCCACGTCCGGCTGGACTTGCCCTCCTTCCTCAACCTAGTGAACATCATCCATATCTACATTCCCATCTAACATCGTGAACTCCATACCTCCGTATAGGTCTCCGATCCTTTAGCAGAGCTGCCCGAAGGTACTCCTACCCACTGCGACACACATCGCCCTTTCTTACCCCGAAAGGACTCGACACGCCTCCCTCAGCCGCATCAGCCGCATCAGCAGAAACCCTCTGCATTCGACCCCCCCTCGGCGCATTTCGTACCTCGCACGTAATACCCTCACCCATGCAGTTTTTATCACTGCTTGCTATCATCTGAAGCGGCCGCTTCCAGCTATATCTGTCGCCTTCTTACTCCTCTCTACAAGCATATACGCACCAAGCGAATCGCTCTCTCTCTCTTGTAGGATCTCGCTGTGACTGTCATCGTGGCGGTCGATATCAACGCCTCAGTCGGTTCGAGTACTTTTTACCCCCCGAATACTGTCGATTCGTACGTTGGAGCGGCTGTCGGCGAGTTACCACGGAAGCGGAGGCGAATCGGTTCTATTCCAAGCCCGCGGCTGGCAGAGCTGCACGATTACGCCGGCCAAATCTTCCCGAACGCAGCTGGTGAACAACAGAAGGGAGGACAGAAACAACAGGCGCACGCCATGGACAGCAGCGATGGCGCTGCCGATACTCCAGGCTCGACGGGGAGGGCTGCCGCCCCAGAGACAAAGCCTAAGAGGACGCGCAGTGGGTGTTTGACATGCAGAGAGCGGCACTTGAAATGCGACGAGGGTAAACCTGTCTGCAACAACTGCAAAAGATCGAATCGCCAATGCAAGACCGGACTGAGGATCAATTGGATATACACCGAAAAGGCGACGCTGCCCTATGAACCTCCGCGACCGCGCGAATGGCAGGTCGCCTTTCAGGACGATTCGAGGGAGATTGCTAGCGAATACAAAGGTGGCCAACAGAAGTACGATGACTACGATGCGGCGCATGGAAATTTCGGAGCGATAGGCAACCAGGCATACATGAATGCGCATAATAACAACATGGGCCCCCCATCGTCGTCAATCGCACAGAAACCTCTTCCTTCTGTTTCCAGTATGCTGCCCGATCCGTATCAAACAGACGCCCACAATGCGGGATATGAGCCTCGCCACAACCGAGCGCCCTCCCACCATCATTCGAATTCATACCCTAATGGCGCGTTTCCAGAATCCACCGTTTCCGGTGCAAACACCACCTACTCTGCGTTGGAACGGTCAGTATCGCCATGTGAAAGTCGTCGCGACTATCTTAACAGCCAAGACGAAGTCCTCTTCATGCAAGTGTTCGTTGAAGAAGTAGGGTTATGGATGGACAGCATGGATCCACAGAAGCATGTGAGTCTTGCTGCCACTCGATCATAATGATCTCCCTTCTAATTATGGTAATAGTTCTCACGGCTACTTCCCTTTCAAAGTCTTAGCGAGCCAATGCTCCTGCACGCTTTCCTAGCTTGTGGTGCACGACATATGGCCTTGGTCAACCCCAAATACAGCGAGGATCAAGCGTTACATTACTACGATACGGCTACTCGCTACCTACTTGACTCTTTACAAAACCCCGATCGAAACACTGTGATATGTGCGACCACGGCGGTCATCCTCAACGTGTATGAGATCATGTGTGAGCGAGCACTCCAGCGAATGAACCATATCGCAGGCGCACGAGCGCTCATCAAGGAATGCGGCTGGAACGCAAAATCAACGGGCATCGGTGCTGCGTGCTTCTGGCTTAATGTCGGCATGGAACTCCTCAGCTGTCTCCACTTCAACTGGCAAGTCGCTTGGGATCCGGATGATTGGGGCCTCGACATGGACCTTCGTCGCAACGACGCCCGTGAAGATGAGCCTGGGAACGAAGAGCTCTGGACGTATCGCATAGTCTATGTCGTTGCGAAGGTGGCTAACTTCCGCGCCACTATTCCTCGAAACCATGACCCGAACAATGCGCAAGACCAAATGCGCGCCGCTGGGCGAGTCCAACAGTGGGAGACTCTAAAAGCCATGGCAGACAGATGGAACAAAAACACACCGCGGAAGATGCATCCTCTAGGGATATTACCGATCGGCCAAACCCTATCGGGATCCTCCTTCCCGGACGTATGGCTGGTGAAACGAGCCTCGATAGTAGCCCGACTCTTCTTCCATACATGCATGTGCCTCCTTGCCCAGATCCATCCTTTCAAATCCCCTCATGAAGGAGAGATGCGGAATATGCTTGAGAACAACTCACTTCTCATCTGTGGTATCGTCGCACACGTCAAAGACCGCGGGGTCGCAAGTGTAGCACTCCGCTCTCTCGCCATTGCCGCCGAATGTCTGACCAGCCGGCGCCAACAGGAAGAAGTCCTCCAGATCTTCACCAAGATCCGCCAGGAGACAGGGTGGCGAGTGGGCTTCCTCAACGACGAGCTCAAGCAGAAATGGGGTTGGAACGAACAACAGGACGACCAGAATGTCGCCGCAGCCGCAGCCGCCGCCGCACAACTCCAGCAACACCAGCAAAACGAGCAACTCAGCCATCAACAACAGATCCCCGCGCCCCAAGTCACCGTCCCACCGCCTGCGCCGCCAGGCCACGCGCCCCCGTTGTTCCCGCCCGGACTCATGAACCCCCTCCTCGCGACCGCAGACTTCAACCACTCGAACCACCCGTACCCGGCGCACTACGTTCCCCCGAATCCAGCATACCAACCAGCCGTCCAGCACGTCCAGGCTCCCAGCTATCCGAACCACCTTGATCAAGCGGCCGCGGCGGCGGGATTCGCGGCACAGAGCCAGGTTCAGCAGCACTTTGCGGCCCAGCAGAACGCGAGTGCCGCTGCGAACTACTACGCGCAGCAATGATGATGTTACGCTCGCGCCATGTTTACTTGTCTTCCTCCTCACATCTACACCGCAACGCATATGAAGTTTCCCGGGGACGCAGCCCTTCCCCGCCTCTTTCTAATTCTCCATCGATACCCCTACACCCACCGGACACACGAACGTACACGTAACGATTCCTCAAGCCACAACACACCTTCAAAGAACACACACTTAACCAGTACCCAACCTTCAAAACCATAATTCCCACACGTACATACCTTACACTAATAATACCACCCCCTTCATACGAAACGGGCGGGCGGGCGGGCGTGGGGACGGACGGACGGCAGCGATATCCTTTCCATCTTGTAACCATCCATTTCTTTCCCCATTTTGAAAATCTTCTTGTATTTTTTGGTTTTCTTGTTAAAGAGCAGATGGGCGGCGGGGAGCGGGGGATAAAAAGATACCATGGGTTTATGTATAGTTCAGATACACGCGCGCATATATATACATGTACGGTACGATACGATACGTACGAGTACAGAGTTAATTCGAGATATATGAGAGCCATTTGAAAGTGAAAAATGTGAGATGATATGCATGGATGCTACATCGTCCTTCGTCCTAGAGATTCGCAGGTTCCTAACCCAAGTCACATACGCACATGTCAAAGCTCGTGACCGATCTCACATCATTTAACTTGTTCAATTTTATTCAATTTATGTCGATTTCTTTGTTCTCTCATTCCTCTCCTCTTTTCACGTACTGGCTGACTGTATGTACTGTTACATACGTAATTTTGTATACATGCATTGATTGTCTGTTTCCGATCGTTCTCAACAACAACCACAAAAAAGGGGAGGTAGAAATATGGCAGAGTTCAACAAACACCAACAATTTCGGCAATGTCAGTGATGTTTTTAACAACAAAATGCGACGTATCAAATATGCATTTCGATCGGGAGGGGGCAAACAAAAACATAAACAAAAAACAATGATCCCACGTTAGGAACATGGATGCACTATCCAAGACCTAGTTTCCCATAACAAAGAAAAATGACCCAATGCAATGACATGACAAGACACCCTGGAGACACCCGAGCCTGAGTATGCGCCGATATACGCAAAAATAGATAAGAAGAGCAAAACAAGTGGTGTTCGGTAGGAATGACAGAGAGATCCGTGGACGGAATACTTTTGTTGACCCTGCACCGAGGTTTGCTCGAAACGACACTTCGTGAGGACGTTGGTGGATGATGCTCGCTTGCAACGCCGAATTGTAAAAGCAATGAAGAAAGGGGCGTCAGGCCTGGTGAATATGATGTATAGACAAGAAAAATGTGATCTTTGCGAAGACCTGATTCCGGGGAAATGGTAAATGTTGTGGGGGAAATGGTACCGATGTCGGCTTGACAAGACCATGGCCGTCATTCTTGCATGCTTCTGCATGCAATACCGAATGGAGATCGCTTGGCAGTAATCAAAGTCGTGCCTTCCAAGAAACGGGGTCCAAACTATAGAGATCCAATGTGGGGATTAGAAGTCAACGCTCCACCGCAATCTCGGATCTCTCCCCGCCGGCCCCAAAGAATCGAACGGCACGGGACCGTTCATATGCCCACTCCATTCCCGGTCGGATCCAAAGCGACTTCCCGCCCAATCCTCATCGTCATCCGAAGTCAAGGTTCGTTCTTCGTCTGCACTAGACGGGGGTAACTTGATCCGGGCTTCGATCAGTGGTGCGGAGACGAATCGGTTGTTGAGCAGGGCACGTGGAGGAACAAGGTCTTGTAAAGCGTTGAGAGAAGAGACGTCAGAGGAAGTAAGAGGGACCCGGTGCTTCATCAAGTACGGACTCGAGTCTGGTTGCTGTGTTGACGCCCATTTGATCCGCCGATTGCCAATCCGGTTTCCGGGGGCTGTAAGAAAGTCATTGTTAGAGGACCGTGCCTCTCCGCTGGAGAAGACGGTAGAGAGACGTTGTCTGCTACTACGGATCTGGACGATGTCCATGTTGGACACCTCATTTTCTTTCGGTGAAAAGATGTGGCTCGGGTGATGTTTCGTACTAACATCTTTCGTGGTCTGCGCCCTTTTTGGTCGGGCGATTGTATCAGATGAGGAGTTGCCTGCCGATGACATCCCGTGGTCTGGACGAACAGACCATGCAGTGTCTCGTCGTTGCTTTCTCCGTGAACTGGTTGCCGACGGTGGTCGCGCATTAGGTGACAATAACGCCGCAGACCTATTGTTGTACGAGTTTGTCCTTGATATAGGGGAGATCTCTGCAGCCGCACCGTATTCCAACCTGTGTCTTGCGTTGCGCGCGCTTGCCTGCCGTTGTAGGCTCAATTCAACTCTACTGCTCGCACTGCTTCCACTGCGACTCCGTGTTGCCCTCTCTTTGCCACTCATGACACTAGCTTTGGGTGGAGGTTGGAGCATCCATTGATTGCCTTCAGGATTCGGAGAGGGCAAGCTGACAACGGGAGGGTGAAGATCGTTCACTGGGGGGACACGGGCGGTATAATAGCTCTTGGTAGAACCCAAGGAGCTGCTCGGCCGACTGACGCCAGAAATACCGATGGATGAGGCCCGGGTCGTGGCAGAACGAATAGCAAGGATCGGCCCGTCCAGGCCCCAGAGATATTCATCTTCCCTTTGGTAGCGCTTGCGGTTCCAATTGTCGTCGTCCAGTGTATCCTCGCTTAGCCTCACATGGTCGTTGACATCGGTGCTGCTCGACCCTTGGCTGGCTATGGTGCTGTGAGTTCCAGCTCTTACTATGCCCCTCTGGCTGCTGGATTTCTTCCCCCGGCGAGGCGGAGGACCTGGCCCCAGAGTTATCTCTTCCTGCCAGAATGGATTGGTACCCGTGGGTTCTGGATGTGAGTATACGCCTGGCTGTTCCTTTTCTAATTGCATCCTTGCCTCTCTATCCACTTTTGCCTGTTTCCGCCTCTTCTTCTGACTTGCATATTGTATGCAAGGGGCGCACGAGACGTAGTGGAAGACGGCCGACTGGACTCCTCTCAGGAACCACGCCATGGCGACGGAGCGGTATGGGAGAGCGTAGGACTAGGGTTTGTATGTGTGTTGAAGTGTTGAAATATCTGCCCGTTCAAGTTCGGCGATTTCGATTCGGAGGAGTTGGACGGGGGTATCTGGGTGCAGCGACGTGCTCGTCATAAACTTATAGGGACGTGAGAGACGTCTTGTCATTGTACGAGTCACGCCTGCTGTGGTTCTGGATCCATTGCCTTCCCTTGGGTCTGTAACGGAAGGGAGGTAACGAGCGAGGAGGGAATCGCGGTGGTTGAGAGCAGGTAACGGCGGACCCGGGCAGACCCGCTTACTTGTTGGTAGTCGACTGTGATGGTGGTGCGGAGCAAAGGCGGAGAAAAGTGTGGGTTGGCAATGACGACTGGCGAAGAGGCGAAGACACCGACCGCCCGGCGAATGGCTTGGGGCCTTGTTAGCGGAGGGGCGGGCCTCTTAGACTTGGGAAACCAAAATGTGCTCAAGAACGTTCGCGGGCCTGTTTTCCTGGGTAATCCTCTGGAATGCGCTGGCGCTCTTGGTGTTTACAATCGGCGTCGGCGTGGTTGTAGTATGGTAGACAAGCAATTGGGTCCTCGGGGGGATTGGGATGTTTGCGACCGGGTGGAAGGCGGAGATATGGAGGAGGAAACGGAAGCGGCGAACGAGGGGAGGTGCAACAGGAATGCAAATTGGGTCGTAAAGAGAAGAGGAAGAGTGAAGAAGAAGTCGAAGAAGAAGACAGGAGAGTGGGAGGGAAATGAAGAGTGGTCTCGGAGACGGAGGAGAGGGTGGAGAGTACGAGTAGGGAGTCGACGATTAGAATGGGACCAGAAGATACGACGAGACGAGACGAAACAGACAGAGAGGGACTAGTGGATACCCTACTAGCATGTTCGGTAACTAGAGACACAACGACGACGACAACGACGACGACGATGGAGGAAGAGGACAGGATAGGTTAGGTATTAGGTAGTATCCTACTCGTAACCTAGAGGAAGGGTTGAAGAGTGAAGAGGAGCGAGAGGGACCGGCCCAGACTCTCTACAAGTCCACGACAGACGAATGATAATCCCTCATCTATCGTATCCTTCACCCTTCACCTCTTCACCCTCCATTCATCCTTCTCGTCCGTCTTCCTCTAGTCATCTCTGTCTCTTGTCTATGTCTCTTAAACTGCGTTAACTGTCACTGTCACTGTCACTGTCGATGTTATCCTGACCATTACCCTTGATCTTACTCTTACTGTACTGTTACTAGACTGATACACCTTTCTTCCCCACTACAAACTGCCGGGCTCACCCATCGATCTATGCTATCTACGGGCCCTTCGCTATTGTTAGCATCACCTTTAATCTCTGGCAAAGAATTGAATTGACGACGACGATCTCCATGTACCTGTTGCATGTGTTTGTGCGGGTGTTTAGTGTTTACTATGCGTTTACTCTGCCCGCGCTTGGCTCTCAATGCTGTCTCGAAACGACTGTTGCCTTTTTGTCATGCTGATATTGCGAGACACCACCCGGCGACGAATCAGTCATCAATCCTCTTTCTCTTTCAATCTACGAGGCATTATATCCGTACGGAAGAGTAGATACAGCGCATCGACCTCCGTGCGTACAAGAGTGCTGTATGTAATGTACGACAGAACAACATACAGCAGACACCGCCTGATTATCGATTCGCAAAGCACTATCGCGCTTTCGAGAGAATATAACGCATCAATTCGTGCATCGCGTCTCTCCTCTACGGAGTTATACAGTACATACACAGTGCAATTCATACTCTGTTCTGCCTCACCCCATACAATACGAAGTCCAGCAACGCGGCCGCGGCACACACGCACACCCCGGCCTTCTCTTCTTCCTTCTGTACAACTTGTACCTGTCGTCCCTCTCTCTTTTCCTCCAATGATGATTCAAGGCTGACTAGCCCTGCATGCGTGGATGTTGGTGGTTGCTGGGTGGTGCTGCATACTTGGCTCGTACTTGCAGACGTTCCACTTCGAGTTAACTGGCGAGCGTCCTCCACCCACAATCCCCCCATCGCTTACCACGTCGACCTTCCAGACATGGGCAAGCCAGCCCTGCCTGGGGCCTTGCACCGATTCCACATCTGCATTCCCAACCTCTCCGCTTCTCGACGACCTCGAAGGAGCAGTTTCGCTTATGGGCCTCGCGACTAACAAGGACAAGTGCGAGTGCGAGTGCGAGTTTGTCCGGGCATGAGGACGGAAACCACAGCACGACACGAAGTCCAGCTCACTCCCGTATACAGAGAATGCGATTCACCACCAAGCCCGGATATGAAGAAAAGAGAAAAAGTCCGCCGCACGCATATTAACTAACCAACCAACCAACTCTACCCTCCGAAACGCAAACCCAGATGCGCAAATCGCAATACGCGGTGCCTAACACACGCACATACGCCTGGTCCGGGGAGGTGGGCTGAATTACTCCCTTCCCGTCCAGCGCCCATCCATTGGCATCACCCGCAGACTTGGACGACAGACCGGGGGCGATTAATGGTTCGATTGCGATGCCTGCCTGCCTAGCCAAGGTTACTCTCAATATGCAGCTCATCGTGTTGGGGCGGCGGGGGCCTACATAGTGCACTGTAGGTACAGCACAGAGCAGAGCAGTACAGTAGTCATGGTAGGTAAACGGTACTTTATCCCCGATCGGATCAAGGAGCCGCAACGGGGCAACGCAACCGCAACGTGTCTGACCTCCACACAGTGGCACACACCTCTCACCTCATGCCATGCCATGCATCTCACGAGTTTCTTACCTCACTTCCTTCTGTCCATTCAGCTGTAGATGCTCACCCGGCCGAGAATTCAGCTTCTAAACCAATCGGAATCCTGCATTGAAAAGAAACTGAGTTTCCGACCATGCTCTTCAGTGCCAAGCATTGGCGGAAAAGGGTTTAGCCCTCAGACTGTAGTACGGTAGATGGAGAAGTGGATGTGAGATATCATATTATGTCGAAACCACATTATTGGTAAACGCTTACGGAGCATGAAAGACTACGGAGTACTATTTGCAAAACGTGATTGAGAAGACTGCAATTTTCTGAATAGGGTAAGCCTTCTAAAGTCGGTCTAGGTAGTTGGGTAGGTAGGTATAGGTATTGAGTCTATAGAACTCGTTATTTCGATTATTGTGGTTGACTGGCTTTCCTTTTCCTCCTCACTTTTTCTTACAAATAACTACGGCTTCTCTCTTAATCTCGAGGGTGAGAGAAGAAGAGAGAAGATGCCTCAAACCAGGCCAGCCAAAGCAGACAGCCGGACTCAAACGCCAAACATAATGCCCGATAAGCTAGAATACAAATCCTCGCGGCTCCCCCTTTACCACAACCATCTGCTCCTCCTCGCCATCGACGATCTCAATAATCTAATCCTCCCATAATAGAGTACGGGATCATGCCATTGCGCGTGCAGATGTGACGAATCCTAATTCCTCACGTTGAGATCCCAGAGCTTGAGCGTCTCGCCCCTGTTGCCCCTCTTCTTCGTGACCGTCTTCTTCTTCTTCGAGTCTTCGTGCTCGCCGAGCGTCAACATCGCGCGGCTGACCAGCGCCAAAGTTTCCACGAGCTCCGACATCCTGCCCGTCTTCATCAGTACATCCTGTAGCCAGTACTGGTCTGCGTCCGCAACGACAGTGGCGACGTCCATGGCCTTGACGACAAACTCGCGCGAGGTGAAGAAGGCGGCGGCTTGGATGGTGCTGAGGTAGGCAATGAGGAGTTCGGGGAGATAGGCCGCCTGGATGGCAATGAATTTCGGATCGGTGTTGACCGAAGGGTTGGCGAAGAGGTCTTCGAGGAGGAGGGTGTCCATGGTGGCCTGTATTTGGCCAAAGATGTCTTTGGCTTGCTTCGTGTTGACTTTGCCGTCACCGCTTGTGCGCAATCTGGGAGTCTGTTAGATATTTGGGGCTTGGAACGGAAAGGAGGATAGAGGAAAGAGATTCAACTTACTCCATGAGCTTCGCTTCTTCATCGCGCCACTCGCGGAACAGAACGATAGCACGAACAATCTGGTGGAGCGCATAGTATGTACGGCTTATGGCTCGGAGATCAATCACAATATCGCGATGCTGTTCCCTCGTGGGTATCTCGGAGGGTCGAATAGAGGCACGTCCTGAACTCGAAGCATTCTTGCCGACAGCACGTGTGATATCTGGGTCTTGTTCCTCGGAGCCCGGCTCCATGAAGTTGAAGGCGTACCCACAGAAGGCTTGGGTTTTGATCTGTGAGACCGTCTCGAGGCTCAGATTGTCGCATATTTGGATGGCGGCGCCGACTCGGCCGTTGACTATACAGACAGACGTCAGCATGGTGAAATATATGTAGGACTGGTTTACTTACCCAAGAGGTTTTTCATTGCCGTTGTGAGATACTCAAATGTATCGACCATGTCCTTTTCAAGATGCAAGTACCACCGCAACGACTCGATCAAGGACTCTTCCTCTGTGCTGATGTCTAAACCCGGAAAATCGCGCATGATACACTGCCCTGGCCAGAGATAATGGTCCATGGGTCTCAGAATGGTATATCTTGAGATGCGCTTGTCGGCATACCGTTTGCGAATACGATTTATGGTGAGGACGACATTTTGAGAAATGACCAGACTTTCATCGATGCGATACTGTCGCATCAAGCCGATCATGCGCTCTCTCTCCTCGGGATTGTTGATGTCTGGCAATACGCGTGCCAAACAATGTATCGCTCGACCTTCGCTGAGCTGTGCTGCGTACAGTGGTATCAGGGAGATCCTTTTTGTAACCCGCAAGAATTCAATGTAAGTTGCAATGGTATTGTCCATTATGTCCCATCGATCCGTGCCATCCTCTTCGAATAAACGGAGGCCTTTTCTGAAAACGATGAAGACATGGACAAGAGTCCGGAAGGCATGAGGATCGTTAGCTAGAGCGGCAAAATGCTTCACGAAGAAGAGGTTTTTGGCAGTTTCCGGAATCATCAATAGAGTTGTTGGACGTTTATCTTGCTTGAGCATCACGGTAAAGGCTGCGCCCACGTGGAAGACGAGTTCCTCGACGGCATTGCTGATGATGTGGCCTTGTATAAGCTTCATTGGAGATAGCGACTGGGATGCTGTGGCTTTTTGTTGACCGAGAAGTTGGATTACGCGGGTGGTAGAGGACTCCCAGCTTCCAACGTCTGTAAGTGCGCTCTTGAAGGTGAACTTGTTGCCCAGGGTGGGAGGAACCTTATTCGAATGGTTCTTCAGGAGGTATTCGTCAAACCTAGACAGCAGGAGCGCATTGAAGCGCGCATAGAGGTGGTCATCCCAACCTCTACACACAGGCTCTACTTCTTTGAGGTCTCCACAGAGCAGGCCATATACGGCAGCTTCGTAAGGCGAGGGAGCCCCCCTGGAAGCATACAGGCACATTCGCCGGAATAAGTAACCAACCGTAGGTCCGGAAAGGTTTGGTGCTCCCTCTGGGTGCGATTCATAGGCTGCACCGATGCTTACGCCTCGCCAGGCTTCATTTCTGTCCCTGCACCACTCGCAGATCTCAGACCAAGGCACACCGCGGCGAACCATCTCGTACAAGACCATCCAAAGTGCACGTTCGTAGTACTCGTCGGACCTTTCTAGCTTCCTGCTGTCTCTTACTGGAGCATCCGGATCCAGTCGCGTGAGTAGCGGGAGACCCTCGGAATTACGAAGGGGGGTATCCTTGGGCAAAAGCTGGTCCGATATTTGCGATCGCTTCGCTTGTTTGACCTTGGACTTTGTATCAAGCCAGCCACTGGTCCATGTATTGGTTCCCTTGCCTGACTCTGCCTCCAGCTGCGCGGTGATGGATCCAATATCGCTTTCGCTGTCCTTTGCGGTCTGCTCCAACCATTTCAAGATCAACTGCTTCTCCTTGGCCTGATCATCTTCAAGAAGGAATCGATCCCATATCTCACTATTTGGACTGTATCGGTGGGTTGCTTCGAGACCTTCTAACCGTTCCTGTTTGACAACTTTTGGATCAGTACCAGGTTCTGGATAGTTGTGCTCAATGATGAGACTCAGGAGTTTCCAGGTCGCGACCTCAGCCTGCCATTGGCGCAGCTCCTGAACGTCGGACGAGTTGGCGATGGCATTGGAAGACTCAACAGAGGGCAAGACGGATTGGAACACCCCATCGTCATCCCCACCCTTCTCTCTAGATGCTGCAGTGGCCATGGTCTGTATTCGGCGTCTCACGCTCTGGTCCAAGTCTCCTTTATTGTCGGCATCACTCTGCTTCTTCAGGTCCTTCACTGTAGCCTCCGCAAGATCTTTGAATTTCCCAACCATGCGTAGAGTTGTCTGATATTTCGCCTTTGCATCGTCGTTGCCGTGCGTATGCCAATGGTCTACTCGCTCCGCGAACTTCTCCACCTCTTTGCCCACTCGGTCGGCCATCGTTCGGAGAGGTTGCAGGGGATCCTCCTTCTGGGGTTGGGTCAAAGCCATGCTGCTTTGTGCTGCGGCGAACGACATCGTAGTCTGGGGTTCACGGACAGCGTAGAGATTATCGATGCAGCATTCGTGGTGATAGGGATGGGAGCTCGAGAGGCCTCAAAGAGGTGTTTATGCGAGAAGGGGTCAGTCGTAGGAGCGCCTATTCACACTCGTTCAGGTGTTCGAAGAATAAAGGCTGTTCCCGCACCGAGACTCGTGCAGAGAAGAGACGACTGGATTGCGGCACGAGGTTATTCTGTTCAAGCGGGAGTGCATCACTTTCAGTCGCAAAACAATGCAATCGCGACAAGCTGCCCTGACGCGCTAGAAGCACGGGCCCTCCTTGGCGGAGGATACAAAACTTCGCAGATTTCGCGGCTGGGAAGTTTTCTTTTCTTCTTTTTTCTCCATAATGTCTTTATAGGCAGTCATTAGAGTCTCGGTTCAAGCTGCTCAGTGTTTGTACAGGTCCTTGAGGCCTCTTGCGTGCTCACGACCGTCTTATATCAAAGTATTTCCCATAACCTGGCCGGACTTCCTTGCGGAGGTTGAAGGCTTAGATCCAAGGGGAGGTGCAACATATGGAGTTTAAATTTTGCTTTGGATTTCTAGTATCCAGAATTGCATGCGCAGATTTCGCGATGTCTAAGCTGTATCTGTATCAAGAACAGGGTACTCCTCTGCTTCGTCTATCGTACAATGCTTGTGATTCATGCCATGCCGCAACGCTGTCTATACATTTCAGGATTGGCCGAGGGTTGGGTCCTATGAGGATTCCTGGCTTCTCTGCTTCATCTTCAATCTGCGTCTCTTAGTCATCATAAATCGTGAAAGGATTGAGAGCGCAACCCCCGTCCATACACAGTACATACCTGAGAAGTGATGGCTTGGGACAGCTCACGGTGCTTGCATTGTCTCCATTCTTTTCATAGAATGCATTGCAGCATTCATACAAGGCATCAACCTGCATCTATTAGTATGATTGCTGGTTTGTATATCAATCAATTGCTCATGGGAACAAACTTGGCTCCTGCACTTCTCCTCGTTGTAATTGTTCTTCTGTATGCAATCTGACATCTTTTATCAGTACTGGGCTGGGCAGCTCCTTGGGGTAGTCATACTTTGGATTGCACACGCCCGTGGATGGCAGGGCGGATCAGTCCTCAAGTCTTCCTTCAAACCCTTTCTCACCAGTAAGCCTCAGGTTCTTGCTCTTAGTTGAAGTGACATCACAACTTGCCATGACGAATTGTTCCTGCAATGTATGTATCGATTGCTGCGCGAGGCTTGAAAGCCGATAGTAAAGTTTGGATGAGACAGAAAGACAAACGAGGTTGTGAATGAAATCCGGTAGTTAGAGAGATGGTCCTGGCTCGGTTGGACGTCTCTTCACTACTCTTACTCGTACAGACACAGACTCTCACAGTCTCACTCTTTCTCTTTCTTTCAGTGGCCAACCAAACCCCACTAGCGGCTCCCACGTCAACTCACAATCACCTCCACCGGATTGTCCTGGCCTCTGCCCTCTCACTACTCTGGACTACTCGTTGCCACCCGCGCATATAAACACCCTTCACCGCGTACCCGCGCTTGCTAAACCCTTCTTCTCCATCTCTCCACTGCCTTCCCTCTTACAGCGCGAACGGAATTACCTTACATCCGGGCCCAGCATATATTCGAAGCAACCCCAGCGCTTCTGTTAGTCTCACACCACATCCTCTAATTCTTCGCATACACTGACCAAGTCTCTGTCCAGGCCTTTCATCGGTACATCTACAGAGTCAATAGAGTCGTTTATACCACTCACGATACCCCACAACCAACACCATGTCTGAGAACGGCTCCCCGAACAATTTCCAGCAGAAGCCAGAGGACGCAGGCCCATCCGAGCACCTCAATATCAAGGTCACGGACAACAACAATGAGGTCTTCTTCAAGATCAAGCGAACCACCCAGCTGAAGAAACTGATGGATGCGTTCTGCGACCGCCAGGGCAAGAACATCCAGAGCGTGCGATTCCTGTTCGACGGCCAACGGGTGCAGCCCACCGACAACCCAGAGAGCGTACGTCCAGTCCCCTTCACTCCCCGCAGCGATCAATATCCAACTCGATCGGAACGTGCACATTGGCTAACATTGAAGCAGTTGGATATGCAGGACGGAGACACACTCGAGGTGCACCAGGAGCAGATCGGAGGTGGCTGCTAACGCGCGAGCCCTTTCTCCACTACCAACATGCTTTCCCCCCGCATGCATCACCTGTGGGCATCCGCTCGGCTCTGCGTTCGCGCGCGCGTGCTCTCTCTCGAGTGTTCCATGTTCTTTCCCCCGCCCACACCCCACCGAGTGTCGATAACGACTCTTTTCTTCCCCTTTTCACGACTGCGACGAGTGAATATATTTAGCGGACGGTAATAGGAAAGAATTCGGGCTTGTTCTTGCTTTTTTCCTCCTCCCCCCTTTTCTATCTCTCCTGGAATTGGGGGGTTTTTCAGGATCTTTCTTTCTGGCGTCCGTGGTGTCAAAGGGCTTTGGTGTCGCGACAGCAACATGCATGCCTCTTTTTCTCAAATACTTTCAATGTTAACCTTTCCGACGCCGACGATTTCGTGGGGCGGTTACCGTTCCTCGGAGTTCGAGATCTTGCATACGACTGTAGTGGCCCTTCACAATGATAGTGACTTTCTCAATCATGGCAACCTTCCCAAACTGCAGTGACTTTCCTTGTTCCCCGCTCAGTGTCCCATTACGACGATCATGTTCCGTGTGCCATTCTTCGTGAATATATGGTATTTCCTACTTTCTCTTCCACTATGTACGTGTTTCTAGCCCACGTATAACCAGCACGACGAATATGTGGGGCCCACGTCGAGCTCTATGCAAACACAAAAACTATAAATACACCCCTCTCCAAAAGAAACACAGAAAAGTACAAAATGATTCTCGTGAGCGTTCATCAGCAACGACAAGATCCCCGCCGCCATCATAACCCAAACACCTTCCCTTCCCAACCCCCAGAATCAGCGATCACCGCAAGTAAGATCAGGGCCAGGAGAGAGAGAGAGAGAGAGAGAGAGAGGTAGAGTAAGCAGGTAATCAGTCCTCCCAAATCGCCCGCTTCCTCTCCTCCGCGACCTCCCTCTCCCTCTTCTCCCTCCCCCTCTCCTCATCCCTCCTCTTCCTCTCCTTCTCCCTCATCGCCTTGTCGAACTCCCTCTCCTCCTCCGTCCGCCGTGGGGCCCGCACCCCCAGCGCCCCCGCGATCAACCGCCCCGCCACCGCCGTCGTCTTCTCAGGCCTCTTCATCGGACCACCATTGCCCCCGCCCCCGCCCCCGCGACTCGACGCCTGGCTCCCGAAGGGCGTGTTATCCGGATACTCGAAAGGTTTTGGCGTCGGCGAGGCGGGCGTGGGCGGCGGTGGACCCGGGGTTTCGACCGATGTGGACGTATTTATGGCGGACAGGCCGGTGTCTTTGGAGTTGGAGGATGTGGAGGTGGTGGTGGTGGTACTTAAGCCGGGGGGGTTCGCCGCCTCGGTCTCGGTGTCGCTGCCGGACGAGACGTCGTCGTCCCAGCTGTCGGCTACGGGCTTGGATTTCGGCTTCGCTTTCGGCTTGGAGTTGGGGGATATTTTGAGGGAGGAGAGGGTCGAGACGACTTCTGTTGGGGGAAGAAGAGGTTTCGGTGAGCTTTTGTGGATGGTGGTTTGGGGGTTGGGTTTGGCAGGGGAGGGGAGGGGGGTTTGGCATGGGGAATTGCGGGATTGATGTTGGTTTGTTTGATTGTGGGAGCTTACCTGCTTCTGAAGGCGTTGCGTGTGCCATTGTGATATTAATGATTGTTCGTTGCTCGGTAGGTAGATACCCGTAGGTATGTTGTATACGGGGTGGAGGGAGTTCGGATTTTGCGGGGTAGTTCAAGGGTAGGTTGATGGAGCTTCGAATCTCCAACTTTTTGTTCAAAGAGCGGCGAAAGCTATGCGCTAGGCAGGGCTGAAAGAAACAGTAGAGTTCTTTTCAAAGATGTAGCGTAAAACGAGGGGGCTGGTATATTTATGATTTTCAAACGAGAGAAAGTTTGGTTGTTGGGAATTGAGAAGGATGGGTTGGGAAGCTGTAGTGTGTGCTTATGGTTGGTCAACGCGAAGGTCTCTCTGTTTAAGTATTACGAGGTAGACAACTCGTAATGTTTAGGTATGGAATCTTACTCGTCGTCAAATTATCTTCGCTTTATTATGGAGTGGATCGATTTATTCGAGCAAGGGGCCCTGTCCCACTATATATACACGTTGTGAAAAAGGACTAGAACACCAATAGTCTTTAAGGTATAGCACTATTCAAGAAGATCAGGAAGATCAAGAAGACAGATCAGTCTCTAAATTGGGAGGGTATCCATCCATCATTGACCATGTAGGTGTAAGTGGTGGTGGTAATTAGCGGATGGATGATGTGGGGGAACGGACGTTGAAACCAAGACGTCACCGTCACTGTCCGCTCTCAGCTCAAGACCTGCATTCGACTACTCTCCACAAGACAATTCGTACGGCCGACCTTCTATTCCAGGGTCAAGGTCCTTTCCCCCTTTTTTGCGTGCACACGTATGCGGAATTCTAGAATGTCTTTATAGATAGAAATCTGTGGGGATGGGTGACGCAAACTACTAGTAGCTGTTCAACACTTTGACCAGGGAATGGCGAGATCTTGCGGGCCCCCAGTCAATTACATTGGAGCCAACAATACAAAAGAACTTATTATGTGTACAATAACTAACACGGTGGATATACTCCCTCTGCGTACCTGGTACATAAGTTAGTTAGTTGTGTATTCTAATTCCGTTCGGCGAAAGAAGGATAGCCAAGCCAGGTCTCCCGAGGTCGGATGCGTCTGTCTTTAGGAGCAATCGATTTTAATAAGTAAAATGCATAGCCTAGGGTAAATTAAATTACAATGGAGTCACGAGGAGCACGATTGATTACTATTCACTTGTGGGAAAAGCAGTTGTTACTGTGTAGCTGACCTATTTTCCTATGGTGAGTAGGCGGGTATGTGTAGGTGGAGGGAGGGAGAGGGGTACGTTCGGTTACTTGCCATAGCTCGAGTCGGCTGTTTACTTTGGACCTGCTGAGACACAAAACCATGACAACTGCCCGGTCTCATTGCCATTATTGAGCTCCTAGATATCTATATTTCGCATGTACCTTTGGAATTTCTCGTACATAAAGTCAATTGGGTGACTTCGAAGCTCTGGAAGCTGTTTGAAGTCCATGGTACGATACGAATCAGCTTGTGTATAGACCAATAGACCTCGTCGTTTCCTACTCCCACCCCACAGTAGGGTCGTTACTTCACGAAGATATACTTCACAATGCTTCCTCATCGCTCGCGGTGTCTGAGCAAGAAACTTCGCTACCCATGTCCCAACTCCCGACTCACCTACGCCCCATTCTCCTCTTCCGCCAGGCGCAATGGCTACGACGACACAATAGCCAACCTCAAGATCGGCAAAGACACACGTGTGATATTCCAAGGCTTCACCGGCAAGCTCGCCACAGCCAACGCAAAAGAGTCGATAGAATGGGGCACCAACGTGGTGGGCGGCGTCAAGCCAGGAGGCTCGGGCGAACATCTCGGTCTGCCCGTCTTGCCTTCGGTTCGAGCAGCAATGGAGCAATTGAAGCCAGACGCGACGGGTATCTATGTTGCAGCACACCAGGCACCCGCGGCCATTGAGGAAGCAATCGAGGCGGAAGTCCCGCTTATCGTTGCTGTAGCGGAGCATATCCCAATACATGATATCATGAGGGTGAGCAAATCGGACCATTGACTTATACCTAGACATGATGATTAAGTCCTAGGACAGATACACTCCATGCTTCAGACACAGTCAAAGTCTCGATTGGTTGGGGCAAACGCTCCTGGCATCATCTCCGCCATTGGCCGCTGCAGAATCGGATTCCAACCTCTGCCCACATTCTCGCCAGGCCATGTTGGAATTGTAGCGAAGTCAGGAACACTTTCCTACGAGACAGTGGGCTCTCTGACACGTTCGGGCGTGGGTCAGAGCTTGTGTATCGCAGTGGGAGGCGATGTGATTGCAGGGACCAGTTTCGTCGATGCATTGAAGGTCTTCGAGCATGACACTGACACAGAGGGCATAATCATTGTTGGAGAGCTTGGTGGTACATCAGAAGAGGAGGCGGCAGATTGGATCAGGGATTATAAGAAGAGAACCAAGGACCCGAAGTAAGTCTTCCCTATGGCATTAATCATCTCGGAGCGAGACTGACTCTTCCAGACCCATAGCTGCAGTCATAGGCGGCTTCCAAGCAGCACCAGGTCGGGTCATGGGCCACGCAGGTGCATGGACAGGACTTGGAGAGGGTACTTCGGAGTCGAAGTGGAAGGCTTTGTCGGACGCGGGAGTCACGATGGTTGACCACCCGGCCAAGTTTGGCGGAGTAATGAAGGAGATCCTGGCTCAATCTGGCCGAGATGTCAGGAAGATTGTAGGAGATCACTCTCAAACTTGTAGCACCATGCGACATACTGATATGATCCAGGAACGGTCCGCAGCTCAGGCTCAACAACGTCGCTCATATCATACTTCACGCAGTGCATCACGACCCACTGTCCCACCATCTTCCAGTATCTCCACCACCTACCATCAGAAACGTTCCCTACATCTATCACCCGAACAGTCCAAAGAACTCCTAAAATCATACAACATCGAGCTTACCGCACCGCCAGCGGACACAGAAAACACACACTTTGTCGGCATAGACGTAGCCCGCGGCGCCCGCTCCCCAAGCATCATCGCGGCGCCCACATCCTCTCCATCCCAACTCTCCCACCGCGTACGCCGCTTCCCCTTCGACTACCGCACCGGTCCGACCCAAGAAACCATCTCCGCAGCGATATCGTACCTCCAACTCGACGCGGCAGCCCCAAAGACCAAAGCCCAAACCGCCTCACTGATCACCAACCTCTGGACCCTCTACACCGCCAAAGAAGCCATCACCGCGACCGTCTCCCTCGCCCCCTCCCCCTCACAAGACACCCTCCAGATCTGGAACCCCTACCTCTTCTTCGACGACGCGGCCTTCAAATCCAACAACCGGCACGCCGACCTCCACGCCCTCCGCGACACCTCCACCCTGCACCCCACCTCCCTCGAAGCCGAAGCCTCCGGCATCGTCTTCATCCCGCTCGCCTCCCCCAGCACCACCACCGCCTCCTCCCCACCGCGCAACAACCTCATCGGCACCCTCGTCAACGGCGCGGGCCTCGCAATGAACACCAACGACGTGCTGTCCCTCCGCCTCTCCCCCACCACCACCTCCGCAAACTTCCTCGACACCGGCGGAAAAGCGACATCCCAAACCATCTCGACCTCCTTCAAGCTGATCCTGCAGGACCCGCGCGTCGCCGTCGTGTTCGTTAACATCTTCGGCGGCCTCACGCTCGGCGACATGATCGCCGAGGGCATCATCCTCGCGTTCAAGGAGGTCGGCGTCGACAAGCCGGTCGTCGTGAGGATCAAGGGGACGAACGAGGAGGAGGGTAGGAGGATTCTGCAGGAGGCGAGGCTCCCGATTGTGGCGTTTGATGACTTTGAGGAGGCGGTGAGGGAGGTGGGGAGGTTGGCGGGTGTTGCTAGTGATGGGAAGGAGATATGATGGGAAGATGTGTGTGGAGGGTATATCGCGTTGGGGTGGGAGGTTGTTATCACATAGCATTCATTGATAGAATATCGAGACTATATCACTATATCACTACATCAGCTTTACCTGGCATCATGCACAGGTCATATCCACCTGAAAACAACAACGCCCCATGTGTAAAAGACCACCACATTCGTCTTGTCTCGCCTTCCAAAGAGGGTTGAAGATACGATTCCGATCGCACAAACGAACGGTTATGAAACTCTGACATTACTGTTAAGCACTAACAACGTACTATCCATCCCCTACCCCCTGAGCTCCCGGCCAGACCAAAAGAAGAGAAGAGAAGATTAAGAAAGAGTAGAAGAGAAGTAAAAGCGGTCTCGAAAGTCCGTGGACTCAAGGTTGAAAGGTTGGTTAAACGAATAGAAGTTTAAGATACTGGAGAATACGGATGGATGAGAGTTTCTGTGATCATGATAGTAGTGATGATGTAGTGCGTGGTTGTAGTGTTGTGAAGGTGGTGGATAGATGATGACGGGGATGGAAGGGATTGGAATTAAATATCTACTTTCGTGTTTCCGAGATGGATTTTTTGGTGATATGGGTAATGGCAGGGTTTCATGAGAAGTGATAGTGCACGTTTGGTTCGCAAGACGGAGGACGGGATGGGAACGAGGTCAAAAAGGGTGTGGTAAGGTAAGGTAGTAAGGTGACCAGGCAAAACAAGTGCTATTTCATAAACGCCATTTGGGAGGGGTGGGGATGGAATGATTTTAGAGAGGAAATGGAAGATACAAAAAAACCACAATCCATTGCGCCGTATACCTAGGCGGATGTAAATGGAGGGAGGTCAAGATCGTAAGATCGAAATAAAAGGTGTAGTGGTATCGGTTAAAAGACAGAAAAGAGGGGGAAATGTATCCAGTGACGAGCCGCATAAGAGAAAAAGAGACATTTCAGATCATAGAAGCGTACGAGCGTTGTTATCGGCTCTTTGCGCTTATATGAAGTATTGAACAGCGGCACTAAACAGAGTTAGCAAATTGCGATGCCATCGTTAAAGAATCATCTAACTTACCCAATGGCGGTCATGACTCCTAGTCCAATAAAAGCCTTGACTGTCACCTTTTCTTTCTTCAATCGCTGCTCTGTTGTGTACGTCCTGGCCTGCTTTGCCGGTCGGTCCTCAGCGGCCTCTTCTGTCTCGTTGTCATCCTTCGAGAGATCCTTGGCCTTCCTCTTGCTCGATTTAATAGGCTCCACGCCAGAGCTCTGTGCATCGAGCTCTCGTGCTTCCTCAACCATGCGCTTAGCCTCCTCGATCATTTTGGCAGGGTCTTCCGGAGTGGAAAGCTCGGGATGATCAGCGGGAACATCGATCTTGACATTGGTCGTTGTGGTCTCCACGTCGCCATCCTGCTCAACCGTCTCTTGAATCTCGATTCGGACCGTCTCAGGCTCTCTGGCCTCGATGTCCTTGACCTCGCCCTCCTTAGCCACATCCTCGTTGACCGACTCAGACGCAGTGGACTCGGCAGGCGCGGTACCGTTTTCGATGACCCTCTGGAGGGCGCTCGTTGCGGATAGTGCTTTTGCAGTCTCGAGAATCTCCTCCCCATTGACCGACTCCGGCTTCGCGGCACTTCGTGTGGTGCGCGCCTTGCGAGGACTTGCGATCTTGCGACCAGGCGTGGCAATCTTGCTGGGGGAAGCCGATCGCGTAGACCTTGCGCGGGTAGAACGAAGGGCGGAGCTTGGAGGAAGAACAACGGGATGGACGGCCTTTTCGATGTCGAACCTCGGCGGGACCTGGATGTGGGTGTTATCACGGTCCTTGGATCCCTTCTCGATGGTGCTTGGATCTAGCAGTGCGACAATCCAACGGCGCATGCCATAGTCTTCGGACAACGCGAGTGCTTCAAGAAATACGACGTTAGCCTGGTTCGATGCGAATGGAAGTCGTTGGCAAATTTACCTTCTTCTGGAGCAATCCAGACGCTACCCGCAACCTCCTCATCTCCTGCGGAAGGAAATGTTTTCTGGAACTTGCGCTCCGCCTCCTCTTCTGCTAGGGAAGCCCACGGGAAGGCGGCTTTGAACATGCCTGTCGCGCTGATGTAACCATCGCTGCTCCGTCGCTGTGTCGCGTCAGTCGATTCAATGTCTTGCGAAATCGCCACGATTCAATTGCGTACCATCAGGAAGTAAGACTCGGGATATGAGGTCGCGTTCTTCAGTGTAAAGATGCCGGAGCCGCCCAAGTCCTTGGGGAGGGGCACTCGGAGATGGGCATAGTCGAACGTACCCAAGTGCTCTGACTTGGTCGCGTTGGAAACCCCGACAGCGCCGGATTTGACGGCCAGGTTTGTCTGTCCCAGTCGGCGTCTCTCGACGAGTATTTCATCTGAAAAGAAATGTCAGCGGGTGCGCGCTCTCGATGACGGATGCTCATAGCTGCCTCGCGTCGCGGCTAGCTGATGCGCGCGGTGGTACGTACGGGAAGGCGAATGCTCGGCTTCGACGAGGTCGTTGTGCCTCTCGGGGAGCGGTCTTTTCGCAACCATATTGAGAACGTGACTGTATTATTAAGACGAAGTACAACAATTAGATAGAGATGAAGCGCGCAGCGCAAAGGGAGGATGCAAGATGGATGGCGACGGGAATGTGGCTTCGAGCGCGCAGTTAGGTAGTACCAGAGGGTAAGCTCCGATTGTGGTTTCGCGCCGTGGAGCGGATTGGCAACTTGGAACACACAGCGAAGTGGAAGTTGCGAGAGTAGAGGAGGGATGTGTTGATGCGACGATGCAGATGATTGCGCAGAACACACAAGAGCGCGACTGGAATGTCGTGAAGATGGAGGGGGAGGAAGTTTAAGTGGTGGTAAAGAGAGGAGGAGGTGGACAGGGCAAAGTTCGCGCGCGCAGCTGGCCTGGGGACCATGGACTATGTACCCTACCCTACCCTACCCTACAGTACCCTACAGGCCACACCTGGTAACGCTCCGTACCTATGAACTATGACCTATGGCCTATCCGACTAATTATGGGACTTAGTACATACTACACAGGTAATTAATCTTAAATCTTTACTCGACACTTGTAGTAATAAGTAATACTAATTGATTACTGTACAAGTAAGTTTGCTCGAGAGTGCCACGGGGGGAAGGATTGCTCTTCTCATCTCTTCCTCCTCCTATCCAACGAGGGCACGGGATGGGGTACCGTAACGCCCGCCGTAACCCGTACAAGTAACTTGCAGGGCTCACCACCACGCCAAGACGTACACGGTATTCGGATGGCTGACTTCCCCAGATCCCTTTTCCTGCTCTCGAGAGAATCCCTTCCAGTAAGCGGAATTAACGACATTACCCTTTCGGGCTTTCATTCAATATCAGTACCGTTCGTGATTCGTCAACCTCAGTCTGGGTTTTCTTTTTTTTTCTTCTCCATCCTTTTCGCCAGCGCAGAACTGTCCAAGAACAACAGTTCTGATGCCGGGATATCCAAAGCGGTTAGTGCACTTCGCGCCCATTGCACGCGAAAAGAGTACCCCGTCACCCCGTCCATCCCTCTCCTACTCATGGCCCCCTTGCGCAGCGCGTCCGATAATGCAGTGCGAACATCGATCAGTGACATCGGGTCAAGGTTTTCATCAAATGTCTTGACAGCCTTCTACAAATCCACATCCACTCCGCATGATGAGAAGAGTGCAAGTAAACAAGGTGACATGCCTCTACCTGTCTGTAACTGGGTACACAGTACATGCGACAAAGTATAGGGACTACTTCAGGGGCAAACCCGCACTCTACCAGATACCTATTAGCTAGGTACCTAGGTAGCTTTCCTTCAGTACTAAGTGCCAAATGGAATTAGGCGAGAGACTTTTTTATCAACCGGTAAATCGGACCTAAACAATAATTGTTCGAGCGCGCTTCCTACTCGTACAAAAAGGAAGCTGGTTTGTTTATGTATTTTATGCTTGGTAGATGAACACTGCTGGTATGTAACTTGTACTTGTACTTGTACTGCGGGGCTCGGTCAATATTCGGCATCTCCATCTCCATCTCCAATAATTTGTAGGTAGTTACAGTTCAAAGCAGGTTCTCCAAACACCCTCGAGGCCTCGAACATGCAGCAAAACACCTTTTAGAATCTTTTAGTAGCCTCTAGCATCATTAATTAATTGGCTTTCATAGTAATAGTGGCAAGGGGCCAGCGGGTGACGTGGATCATGCTATCCCAAAATGGCTGCCCTCAAGTGCCTTTTCGAATCGTGGAAGGGAAGCGGGCTCTAACACATTCCGTCTCAGGAACTCACCAATCAGGCACCGTCACGCTATGGAGGGGCGGTGAATGGATCCCATTGCCCCGCCGTCGTACTGCTGCTGACCTGCTTCCTGCTGCTTTACTTCTCAATTCCTTTGACAACTTCTTTCTCTCAATCTTTATTACCCATTTCTGATATTGTCAATCAATCAAAATCACCTCTGCACTTCCAGAGGTTCTTGATATCCATATCCAATATACCTTTCCTGCACCATTACCCCACAAACCTTCACGTAGTCCAACATGTCTGGCGCCGCTCACCCTGATGATGAGCTCACCCCCGAGCAGACCGCCGGATTCAAGGTCGGCGAGAAGAAGACAATCGACGAGTATCAGCAGCTTGGTAAGTCAATCTCTTCAGTACCATCGTTTCTGCCAAACACGTCGCTACCTTCACTACCATATCGTCCATGTCCTTCACCATGTAATTGACCTCCACCCTGTAGACCAGAACGATGAGTCCCTCCGCAAGTGGAAAGAGTCACTCGGCCTCGGAACTGGAAAGAGCATTTCCGACCCCAACGACCCCCGCAAATGCATCATCGAATCGCTCGGCTTGGAGGTTGAGGGACGACCGGATATCATAATCGACTTGAAGTCGCCCGGCGCAGTCGAAACACTCAAGGACAAGCCATTCGTGATCAAGGAGGGCGCGGAGTTCCGCATGAAGGTCCATTTCAAGGTCCAGCACCAGATCTTGTCTGGATTGAAGTACCTCCAGGTCGTCAAGCGTGGTCCCATAAGCAGCAAGCACCAGGAGATGCTTGTAAGTGCACCGTACTTTAGCAATTGCGTCTGGCCATGTTGCTAACACTTCAAAGGGTTCATATGGTCCCAGCACAGAGGAGAAGCCTTTCTACGAGAAGAAGTGTAAGGAGAACTATACAATTTTTTGGATATACCGAAACTGACCTTCACAGTCGAACCCGATACTGCCCCATCCGGCATGCTCGCACGTGGTCACTACAACGCTACATCCAAGTTCGTCGACGACGACAACGAGACGCATCTCAAGTTCGAATGGTCGTTCGACATCAAGAAGGACTGGAAATAGATGGCAGCGGTGTGAACGGTGAGAGACAGACGAGGGTTATCATAACCGGGGGAAGCATATGATTGATTCAAAAAGCTTGGAGACAGCACGAATAGAACGCAAGGAAACGGCCTGAAAATGACGAACTGGACAGCTGCCAAATGGCAGAATGACATGATGTGTAGGTTTTCACCTCACAATACTTGATTGGAATCTGAATTCTTTTCTTCCACCCATCACCTGAACGTGCACCATCTTCTACGCTTCGTTTCCATTTCTTTCTCATGCGAGTTTCTGCTGAAATCGAAACCACCTTGCTGCGACCCGCTTGACTTTTACCGTCCGACCCGCCCAGAGACGCTCACTTCCACCCGAGCCGAACCGTCTTGCTGACACGTTGAGGATCGGTACTTCCTCTTCCCATGGATCATGATTGTCACGCGTAAAAGAACTTTGCTCCGTGCCTTCTTCCACCGTAGCAAGCGATTCTAACCCTTCCATCTGGTCCATCTCATCATCTCCATGCATTCGAATACACTCCACCACCAACAGCTTCGCAACGCCTTCTCTGGAAGCTGCTTCAGCGGCAGCAGCAAAAGTCCTAGACAATCCCTGCGCGGAATACAACGGCGTGTGAATGTGCAAAGTCAATGGATTCACAACTATGATTCTCGCATTTGCCCCCGTGCTCTCAGGCCGGAAAACTCCTCTGCCTTCTTCAAGTTGCAGTCCTGTCAAGTATGCTAGCAGATGTTGCACAGTGGCACAGAAAACGACTTTGATATGTTTGGCGGTGAGAAGATTTTGCAGTGTAGGTACCGTCAGCCGTCGAAGTGCTTCTATTTCTTTTGCTTCTTCGGGTTGCTGCTCCGTCAATGCTTGGGAAAGTGTGCCTAGGAAAGCTTCCCGAGTGGAACATATGATCAGGATCGTGACGCCGGAGTCAGGCTGGGTATCGGCAACATGACACAGGAATTCAGGTAGAGTCAATGGAGGAAGTATGATGTTCTTGGTGGACATTTGGGAGTTTTTTGGATGTTGATGGGTTCCATATGGAGAGTAGGTGCATATAAGATCCTGCCTGGTATGATTTCCGCGCGATACTTTTGGACGGTTGATCTGATCGTTCAGTAATGTCGGTAGGGCGAAGGTGTATTCCGTACAGTCACATGCATTTGAGATGTGTATGATGGTATAGATGTCGACAATTAGTTGAATGAAGGACGAGTACAAGTAAGCTCCTCGCGTGCTAGCTAGCTCTCGGGCCAGGTTCCCCGTTCGTAGGCAAAGGCAGAACTACCCCACCAGGGCCACCAGTAACCACACCCATCAACGCCCAAACCCACAACAGGCACACCGAAGCATCATGCATGTTCAGCACAAATCGTCTTCCCAACCTTGATCAGACTCTGCATAATCCAAAAGCCCGCTTGCAAGCTCCTTCCCGTACCCGAGTGCCCCCCGGGACCACCACCGGCTCACCATGGAGTCGATATCTCGCATTTCTAGCATGCTTGAATCCGGTACGCATAGCATCGTCATCCTCGCCGCGATCCCTCTATTGAGTCTCTACGGCCGCTCTGTCTGCCCCTTGGAGCGCTCACTTCCCTCCTCTCCCTCTGCTATCCTTTCCCACAATGCATCCTAGTAATTATGCTCATTGGAGTCTCACCACAGCGCGCGACCTGACCCTCGAAGCCGCCCGCGATGCCAGCGCCGCTAGACGAACATCCACAAAGATCCTGCCTTCGGGCCAGCTCAAGAAGCTGCTCGACAGCCGTTCGGAACGCGATGTTTTGGAAGGACTCAAAAGGGTTGTGACGGTATGACATCGGCTCCCCAAAATACAATTGGGCTACATGCTCGTGCTTCTGCGCTCTGCGCACACCTGGCGCATCAATTAGCATATTCGTGCAAGACCTGGAGCAGTACTGATACCCCGACAGATGTCATATCGACAGCCTCCTTCCCAGACTCTACCATTCTTCACCCACGTAATCAAGAATATTGCGTCGCCATCTTTACCTATCAAGAAGCTCGTTTACATATATCTCCTCCAACATGCGGAACACGAACCCGATACCGCCCTACTCTCGATCAACACCATCCAGAAGTCTCTCACCGACTCTAATCCGCAATTGCGTGCGCTCGCACTTCGCGTCATGTCTGGGATCCGAGTACCCGTCATCAGTCAGATTGTCAGTTTGGGCATAAAGCGAGGGGCAGGCGACATGTCGCCATATGTAAGAAGAGCAGCAGCGTTGGCTATACCGAAGTGCTACAGTTTGGACCCCACCACAGAACCTCAACTATTGGAATACCTCTCCACGCTTCTTGGGGATAAACAATACTTTGTGACCGGGGCAGCGGTGGCTGCTTTCTTGGAGATATGCCCCGATCGATTGGACCTTATACATCCTCATTATCGATCACTTGTGCGGAAATTGGTCGACATGGATGAGTGGGGGCAGTTGGCTACTCTTCGACTTATGATGGTTTATGCACGGAAATGTTTCCCCAGGCGGACGAAGAAGGTTAAGAAGACGGCAGCCAACAACACTGGAGCCAAAACGACGAAGACTACGAAAGGATTTTACGACACCGATAGCGATTCAGATGAACCCCAGGATCAGGAGTTTGAGGAAATTTTGGTACTGGATCCGGACCTTGAATTACTCCTGAAATCGTGTCAATCGTTACTTCAGTCAAGGAATGCTGCCGTCATTATCGCCGTTGCAAGAGCATATCTTTACCTTGGAAACGAAGCCTACTTGCAGACCGCGATTGGACCTCTTATCTCCTTGTTGCGGTCCGCTGCCGACGTCCAACATATAGCCCTTTACAACATCGTCCAGGTGTGCCTTTCGTACCCAGCATCGTTTGTGAACTATTATACCCATTTCCTCGTGCGATCTACCGACGCTCCGCATATATGGCGTCTGAAACTGGAACTTCTTACCCTCATTTTCCCCTTCGCTCCGCCGCGCGTGCAAAGTCTTATTCTAGCCGAGCTGAGCCACTTTTCGCATTCTGGGAGTCTGGATATCGGATTGGTAAAAGAGGCCGTTCGAGCAATTGGACGATGCTCCCAGAGCAGTGCCACGAGCCCTCAAACTTCTGCTAGATGCTTGAGGCTGCTACTCGCACACATTGGATCTGCAGACGCACACTTGGTCGCAGAGAGCTTGGAAGTGATACGGCATCTCATCCAGCGAGACCCGGACAACCACCGCACGACAGTCGTGCGCTTGGCAAAGCATTTGGACGCTGCCACCAGCCCCCAGGCTCGAGCCAGCATAATCTGGTTGGTAGGAGAATTCGCCGGCATCGACCCTGAGAACAACATCGCCGCCGACGTGCTACGCATTCTCGTCAAGGGCTTCGCCGACGAAGCCGAGCCCGCAAAACTTCAAATCGTCCTCCTCGCCGCAAAAGTGTACATCCACCACCTGAACGCCAACCCGCCCCCCGAAGCGCCCTCCAAACCCCAACAGACCTCCACCACCACCCCATCCTCCCTGCTAGAAGGTTACGAAGAAGACTCAGGCGGCTTCCGCGACTCCCACCTCGACTCTCAACCACCACCACCCGAGGACCCCTCCCCCGAAACCCCCCACCCAATCGAATCCCTCTACCGCTACGTCCTCCTCCTAACCCGCTACGACACATCCTACGACATCCGCGACCGCGCGCGCGTCTACAAAGCCCTGCTCGCAACGCCGTCCTCCACGCAACTCGCCTCGCTCCTCCTCCTCGCGCCCAAACCCGTCCCGCACGCCCCGAGCCCCTCCGAAGCGAGAAAGGGCTTCGTGCTCGGCAGCTCGAGCCTGGTGATCGGCGACGAAGGCGGCGTCGGCGGGCTCAGGGGCTACGAAGACCTACCCGCTTGGGTGAAGGACGGAAGCGAACCCGATCCCCGGCTCAGGGAGGAGAGTAAGGCGTCCTCGTCGTCCTCGTCATTGTACGAAGGCGGTGGTGGGGGGAGGACGCTCACGGCGGCGGAGCAACTCGATGCCGCGAGGAGTGGGAGGACGCCTGAGTTGTCGCCTACGCCTCCCCCTGCGACGGCGTCCGGTGGAAGGGGGTTGAATGGTGCGGGAGCCGCGCCGGCGGCAGGGAATGGGAAGGAGAAGACGTTGGATGAGTGGTTGGCTGAGGAGAGTGCGGAGGAGAGCAGTGAAGAGGAAGAGACGGATGATGAGGAGGAGTATGAGACTGATAGCGAGGAAGAGGAGGAGACGGACAGTGATGACGGAGATGAGAATCAGAGGCTTGTTAGGTAGATACACTCGGTTCTCATGATGTGAAATGAAATGAAATGAACAAAATTGATGGGGTTGTATGATCATATGTTGATATTTATAGCTCGTGTACCAACTATGTCACATCTGCAGATATCACACACATGTTCACACCCATGTGTGGATAACGAATGAACCCGGAAATCAATACAACTACGCTCAATGTTACCATTACCCAACGCCGAACTATGCCTCACCATGTAGTCTACGCTCATGGAATATAATATATGAAAGTGTACATCATAATACGCAAATCGAACCAACAAACCCCGGCGAGACCCACCAAGTAAAGAGAAAAGAAAACCAAGACCTACGTGCTTAGGATTATTTTTTGGGACACAGGATGTTTGCATCGTTGATCAGAGGCTGGGGGTGATGTGGCCACGGTCGAGATGACGCGGAAGCTGAGATTGTAGGTACAGATCGTCGAGTGTGATGAGTGATCGCGTGGTGTTCGATGGGGCTGGGAATCACGCAAATGAGAGAGAAAAGGAGAAAGAAAGAGGGAATGTGAAGGTGAGACGATAGTGGCTGGCGACGTAGAAGAGCCATAGACTGTGAAATGACGAATGTAGCAATAGAAATTGATATGTATTCAAATTGATATAGCAAATAGAAAGAAGTTGTCCATAGCAGATGGAAAGAAAATTGCCATGCCAGAGCCAGAGAAAGAATCGTAAGGCTAATAAAACGAAAAATATGGAAAAATTGTGCATCATATAATGTTCACAATTAAATATTCCGACTGCAATAATTGGATGATATGACCTCCATATCCGTATGAAATACCGTACCCATAACGCCTTGGAAATCAATTCTGATGATATATCGCTAAATTGTTAAGATTGGTGGCTGAACCCTGAAAATTGGTAGATAGGAAACATGTTGGATCTCCTCACTTTGTAAATGTTGAAAATAATGTTATGTCTCTCGATGCTGGCAGACCCAACTCGCTAGCACTACGACAATCAGCGGCGGCCATAAGCAGCATCGATCGGAGATCGCCTCTTGCGCTTGAAGGTCTCATCTTGCTGGCGTATACCCTCGTCGTTGGTATCGGACTCATAGCTTCGCTTTCTGGAGATTGGGGTATCGTTTCGCACAGTTTGTGATGCTGCAGCTGAGGATTTTGAACCCTCGATCTGCGGACTATCACTGGAATTTGAACTAGCCAATGTTACATCACTACGCTCTAATCTTGCCGAGCCGTTTGGATGCTCGTGCACGCTCTCAGCCGCCCCAGGACCAGAATTTCCCAGTCTTTGAGGGTGCCCTTGATCTGATGATGGGGTTGCAGAAGGGGGAGCGGGAAGAGCTGTATGCTCGGTTTTAACAACGGCTCTGTACGCTTGTAAGCCAAATCCTATGAGGGCCTACGATGCACTTACTGTTGAGAGGGAGATATTTGAGATGTCTCTTCGGAGACAATGGTGCTGTTCTGCACAAGAGGGAAAGGGAATGCTTTATGTTCGTCTGTAATTGGCTTGGGGGAGCCTGTGACACCAAGCATCGCGAGAATATCTTCTTGTTTCTGGCTTCGCAATGATTCTGACTGCATAGCAAGCCGAGGCTTGGATTGGCTTCCTCGACTGGTTAGCATTTGTTCGAGATTATCCATGACGTTCCATGTCGAATCTTGCATGATCTCGTCATTCCCGCTTGTACCCTCGTCAAGAGCTTCGTCCATCCGATCGCATTGAGCAATGCACGCATCCACAGTAATCAGTTTCATATCTTTGCTGTCGGGGAATACCACAAAAACTGGATCATCTTTGATCTCGTTCCAGTAGTCCGTCTGTCGGATGTTCAAGAATGCTTCATGAGAATTTTCAATCGTGAAATAGATGGAGACCGACTCCCCATTATCAAGCTTCTCGGCAGGGGGTTTCAGAGCTTGCTCTTCAGCTTCTTCAAAAGTTGCTGGCAGAGCGCGTGTAACTTGTTTTGCAGGTCTCCAGATTATAACCCCAAGACTTAAACTTGGATCGACTGGTTCATTGCTTTTTGGCCAAATGGCGCCGTCGAAATCGAAGTCCCAATCGTCCCATGCAAGATAGAGCTGAGGCTTTTCATTCTCTTCGTTTGAGCCACTAGTTGGTTGAGCTTGCACAGGGGAACTATGAGACGTATTGGGTTGTGACGTTACTAGCGTAGTTGCAGTTTGGGAATCTTTTCTTTTTGCAGGCGCTGCTTGGTTGCCATACGCATTAAATTGGTCATGAGGTCCCTGCCCATAAGATACTTGGTTATTGTTGTTCCAATTCTGATGTGCACCATACGGAGGCTGGCTGCCAGACTGGTGTGCATATCCAGAATAGCCGTTCTGGGATGGAGAATACCCTTGGCTTCCTTGGTAACTGTAGCCATGCGGGTAGCCTTGCGTAGGATAGCCTTGTTGGCTGTTTTGATGGGACTGTACCTGTGGAGCCACCGATTGAGGATAGGCAGAATGCTGCGAATAGTTTTGCTGTGGACCGGAACTTTGGGAATGATAGCTTGGGCCAGATATATGGTTAGAAGGTGGATAGCCTTGATATGGATGACCAGGGGGAGGTGGCAGTGGCGGAGTCCCGTTAATATGACCATACGACTGCTGAGGTTGCTGGAATTGATTCTGATGCCGAGATCCATAAGACCGTTGTGGCTGATTCGGCCCACGATAACCAGGCGGGGGTGGATATTTGGTTATGACAGGATTGCCTTTCTTCTTGGGGGGCCTGCTCGCTCATTAGTATACTTGAGACGAATCATACCCATTATAATGCACTAGTTAGACCCAGAGACGTACCGTCTTTCTGATGGTCTGTATTGGGGAGGGCCATGCTGGAATTGCATGGGGTGTTGGCCATGGTTTGATGGCTGGCCATGATGTGGATGTGAATGGGGTTGATACGGCTGTCCTTGGGCATACGGATGTGTTTGATATGGCGCGACTCCTGTGGACGGTCCACTCCACGACATGTCAACTTATTGTCGGTTCAATCGATAGTCCATGCATCCAGTCCTAAGACCGCTGACGTGGTCGGAGCAATACAATATCAGCACGATTTATTCCTACCGGAGGTGTAGCTGATGGGTTGGCTTCTTTGGTGGATCCTAGGTAATACTCCTTGGTGGTGTATTGAAGACTTCTTAGTTGAAGTTAAATTATGTCTTCATTTGTCCTTTTGGTTTGGCGGTTGAATCTTTTCAAATAACAGAGCAAATAACAAAAGAAATCAGATGTATGACTGGAAATAGAGACGGAGGAAAACCAGATGAATCGAGACAGGGTCGATGGGCGGGCTTAGATGCGCTGGTGCTGATATGAGGGGGAAGCAGCCATGCAACTTATTGAAGAAGAGACTTGATGGAACAAGAGGCTAGGAAAAAGGGCTAGCAAGAGATGACAATGAACTTTGAAGCTTCAGTAGCGAACAGGCTGCTGAGAGACGTTAATCGAAGATTGAGAACATTCGAGTGGATAGAATGAGTGAGGTTTAGAAGTCATCTGAAGACTGATGTTGAACCCTGAGAGGAGACAATGCGGCGTGGGCGGCTAGCCACATAAGCGCTAGCCTAGGCCAAGCTTACCGGGATGGCACACGAGCTTGACAGCATGCCGCACCTCTACCTCAACCTCGACCGCATTCACGCCCTCCTCGCGCCACCACCGACTCTGCGCTCGCCTTCATGAACCACCGAGGATGATTGTGAGGTATTCGAGCCCGTCGCCCACCAACCTAGACCCCTTACCCTGAGCTCCGACGCGGATGCAGCAGTATCCATCGCCCACTCACATCTCCTACCATGCCAGGGCTTCCGTGTATGCTCTGATCTAGCCCTGCTACCTCTCGCTCTTGCTGACTGCCCCGCACCAGCCACCGTGGACCTTGATGAGTGCATATCAAGATTGTACAAAAAGGAATTATTGGCCGAGTCCGTCATTGAGGCAATATGCGCCAAAACGAAAGAGCTCCTTATGAAGGAGAGCAACGTAGTGCACATCAAGGCGCCAGTTACCGTGGTTGGTGACATCCATGGCCAATTCTTCGACATGATCGAGATATTCAAGATCGGCGGACCATGCCCGGACACGAACTATCTATTTCTCGGTATGCGAATACTATTCTGGCAGCATAGCTCACTTACTAAATAATACTAGGCGACTACGTAGACCGCGGTCTCTTTTCCGTAGAAACGATCTCCCTTCTGGTCTGCCTCAAGCTGCGTTACCCACATCGAGTTCACCTCATTCGCGGTAATCACGAGTCGCGCGGAGTCACACAGTCCTATGGGTTCTATACTGAGTGCTCGCGAAAATATGGCAATGCGAATGTCTGGCACTATTTCACTGACATGTTCGATTTCCTCACACTTTCCGTGGTTATAAATGATCAAATTTTCTGCGTCCACGGTGGTCTATCACCTTCCATACATTCTATCGATCAGATCAAGATCATCGACCGCTTCAGAGAGATACCCCACGAAGGACCCATGGCTGATCTAGTTTGGAGCGACCCGGATCCAGACAGAGACGAATTTTCTTTGAGCCCAAGAGGCGCAGGATATACTTTTGGAGCTCAGGTGGTTAAAAAGTTCTTAGAGGTCAATGCTATGTCTCACATATTGCGGGCGCACCAGCTGTGCCAAGAGGGATATCAAGTATTGTTTGATGATAGATTGAGCACAGTTTGGAGTGCGCCAAATTACTGCTACCGATGTGGAAACATGGCCAGCGTACTGGAAGTCAGCGATACAGGCGAACGCTTCTTCAACGTTTTCGACGCGAGCCCTGAAAATGATCAGCATCGTATTGATCAGCAGAACCAGCAAGGCAAAGAAGTAACAACTGAGTATTTCTTATGAGATACTTGGTTGTTGTATGATAATAAACGATATGGGTCGGTGTTTGGCTTAGAGGCGTTTGGAACTGCTCTAGATTACGGATATCCTGCATGCTAAGTTTCAGTGTTGTGGTTTTTGTTCTCCGGTTATACATTGCTTTATAAGCATATGAAGTGGATGATGCAGATCGAAAGCAATGATGCAAAGTCCATATGTAACTAACAAACTTTGTGACGTTTGATATGCATCGTTGGTTGCCGGGCGCTATGCCACCTCATAGCTCTCGTGGATTCGAGCACTCCATATCCACAGTTCAATGAAGCTCCCCTCTTTCGAAAGTTCATGATATATATTTCAACATCCTAAATACCTCGTTTCTACCCATCGTTCCTCCATGTCATCTCCCATACGGGCAATAACCACCCTTACATCCGGGAAGACGTTCAACACCCTATTGACCCCAACTCGTCCCGCCAAGTATGTAACGAAGACTATCTTATCCTCTGCAACCCCGTGATCTACGAGCACCTTCACGGCCATGAGAGCAGCACCACCGCTGGACATCTGCGGGTCCAGTAACAGGACCAATCCATCCTCATTGATGGTGCTTGGTAGGGATCTGTAATGAAGTTCTGGCTCGCCTGTCCTATAATTGGACTGAATCAGGATTCTACCCGTGCGACAGTCTGGAATAGTCCGGCGAAGGCCAGTCTCGAATGCACTACCGCCACGTAAGATTACTACGGCGCTCATATCTGCAGTCTTCCGAAGACCCATATATACGTTCTCCTGAGGAGTGACGACCTGCTGTGGTTCAAACGGAAGGAAGTCAACAGCTTTTTCAATGAGCATTGCGCACAACCTGTCGAAGTAGAAGATGTAGTCTTCTTTGTCAGTGTTGGGGTTCATGAGCAGCGTATGAATGCCCTTGACCTGGTTCGTCTGTGGTAATATCAGCGCATTTGGCGATAACGGCGCCTCTTCTGCAATCTTCCCCAAGCGTTGCAGCTCCAACTGATGCTCGGCTGATTTGTGTGCGAGTGTTCGTTGTATCTGGCTAGATACCATTGAGATGGCGACCTTGTTCTCAATACCTCGGGGTATAATGATGTCTGCGATCTCTCGCTGAGGGGCTACATATTTGTAGAAGTTGGGCTTGACAAAGCCAAACCATTGCTTGATGCAACCTTCTATCTCACGCCCGCGCTCTTTAACGTCCCGGACCACTTTCTAGGTCAGCTTCAATTGTATTTGTGCAGGGTATAGAATCCGTACATCTTCTCGACAGGCACAAATCTGCATCAGCCTCTGCAAATATCTTGAGATCAAGCAACTCAAGCACTCGGGGATCATGTAAAGCAAATATCCCTTCCAGGATAAGAACATGAGGCGAGTAGATAGTAGTAGTGTGTTCAAGTCGGGCGTGCTTTTCAAATGAATACACTGGCACTTCCGCAACTTTGCTGGCGTTTGTGTCAGATATCTACTTTCGAATGCAGCAAGGGTGGCTCACCCTTGCTTAAGATCTCGGAGGCGATCTACCAGCACATCGAAATCAATAGCTTCGGGCGAATCGAAGTCGAATTCATTGCGGAAAGCAGCTGCGGATTGCTCAGGGTTAAGTGGCTTGTAGAAAGAATCCTGTTGATGTGAATATAGAAGCACGTGACATGGTGTAACGGCTTTTGGATAGCTCACCATAGATAGAATGACAACCCATGGAAGGTTTAAAGAAGCTACCATGGCAAGGGCCAGAGAAGTTTTTCCGGATCCAGAGCTTCCAGCTACTCCAATGATGCTGGCATTTCCCCAAGGCGGGGAATAACGAGCCCGGGTACTCGTCATGATGTGGAACGAGTTTCAAAATGCAAGAAAAATGGCTATTCGAGGAACAACAACTTCACAACATGGAATAGAGCTTTTTTGATCTTCCAATCGATTGAAAGCTTTCCAATAAATCCGTGGTTACACAGACTGAGACGGTAAATGGTCGTTCAACGCATCATTTGGTGGTGATTTGGGTGTCGATAGCCCGCGGAATGAAGAGATGTAAGGATAGATAAGAGGTTAAGACGGCGCTACCCTGCAACCAATCGCCCAGATATTAAATGCTGCAAAATACCGCCCAGTGTGATTTTCAAGGTCTATGGAGTGGAGACAATGCCACTATGCCTCGGAAAGAAGAGGCTCATGGATGACTAAGCTTCTCGCTAAAGGATCTGCGACTTCTTAGAGCTTTCATCTTCCGCAGAGCTTGCTTTCACCTTCCTCCCACTTGCAAAACTCTTCCAAGGGCTCAACGCAACTTGGACACGGTCGAGCAAACAGTTCTCATCTTCCGATGGACATCCGTTGATAACACAGCGGTCGTCATGGTACGCTTGCCTATCGGTGCTGAATAGCTCTTTGAGCTTTCGGGCTGACGCAATGCAGAGCTCTTCCTCCGTGTCTGTGTCGGCCACGACGCCGACTCAGCACCCCTTCCAAAGGAAGGTCAATGAGATCAAACCCTCCAAATCGTAAGTCGCGATCCCCTCAATGTCGCCCAGCTCGACGCGTCGAGCTTTTCCATATGATGTGTCGAAAATCAAGTTGGGAATCTCTCCGAAACAACGTGTGGAGAATATGTTAACTTGTATCTCTGATTGAAGCAATCAATGTTGCTTCATCAATGACTCTACCTGTCATTACCATCACCAATGAATACAACGCGCTGACCGCCTCATTCAACAGAGACATCAACTTCGTGATCATGGATTACCTCATCAGCGAAGGCTATCCTCGAGCTGCTGAAAAGTTTGCTAAAGAGGCCAACCTGACTCTCCCTCTCGAGGAAGATTCAATCCAGTCGAGAGTGGAGATCCGCAGGGCCATTTACGCTGGCGACATTGATACTGCTATCAACAAGATCAATGACTTGAACCCCCAAGTAAGTCTACATCTTGCGGCGCTCCCACCCCTCCTCTTATGATTAGAAAGTGTTTTTCATGCACCACGCATAGTCTCCGGGCTTTGATGAAACACCAAACCTTCAGTCCTCAGTATGATTTTTAAAGAGATTTACAACTTCTGTTTACACAAGCTTTTGGCCGAGCTTTGCTAATAAACATTCAGATCCTTGACACAGATCCCTCTCTTCATTTCGCCCTTCTTCGTCTGCAGCTGATAGAACTGATTCGTACGTGCACTTCGTCTCCCTCTGCCGACATCACTCCGGCTCTCGCCTTCGCCTCCGCTCAACTCGCTCCCCGTGCGGCTACCAACAATGATTTCTTGAAAGACCTTGAACTCACCATGTCCCTACTCATCTTCCTTCCAACCGACAGCACTTTACAGCCCCAGTTCGCTGAACTTCTGGAACCATCCCTTCGTCGGGACGTCGCGAAGCGCGTGAATGAAGCTATCTTGACCCACATGGGTGCAAGAGGTGAATCTCGACTTCGTAGCTTGGTGCGCTTACGCGTCTGGGCTGAGCAAAAAGCCAGAGCATCTGGCAAAAATTTGCCACCCGTGCTCCCGTACACTCTGCAAGATCCTGATGACACTCACGGAATTGATAATGATACTTCAGACTTCATGGTCACTTGAAATTAGGTGACTTGTCTTCGGGATGAAGAATTTTTCACGAACAACATGGTTAATGATATCTTGATCGGGTGGTTCTTTGGTATCCCACTGTGTCCTGTTATCTTTGTAAGGCGTTTGGTCCGCTGGCATCATCTCTTTGCCATGGCGTTATAGTATGGATTGTTATTGATACCTACCTGAATATGAACCATTGCGCAACCTTAGGGTACGCTGCTAATTTGAAAATTTTGATTTTGGTATATTTTCTTGGTGAAACAGTGACCTCGCCTATGTGATTAAAGTTTGCACCTCTTTCAATGTGCACGGGCTTAATTGCGTTCTACTGTTCGTAAAAGCTTGTTGTAGCTATGTCTATCTCAGCTAACGTGATAACTATACTCTCGCTATGATCCTTTATAACCGATGTATGCCTTTCTGTGATCAGATCGAACGCCAATTCCTCATCCCTCCAATGCTTCGTAAGCTTTGTACATTTGCATGACATGCTAATAGTTGTAATACGCTAAACAATATCCTCCACTGGACAGCTAGGGTGTAGAACGTAGACAGTCCTGCCCTCTTGAGCGCCCTGGCCTTGTTCATCTGCAAGACCTTCGCCGCGAATCTGCATAAGGTATGAATCCTAGTAAGGACTGTCAGTAACCACGTTTTACACGATAATAGGATCCATGAACTCACCTTGACCAGTCTCCTTAAGACCTTCTTCGCAAGCAACCTCTCCTTCTCGAGGTCTTCCTGCGTCTCCATCTCTGATTCTTTCTGTTCGAGATACCAAACCAGGAGCTCTTCTTCTTCAACACCGTCCTCTGTAGATGTCTGATCTTCGTTGACGCGCTTGACAAGGAGATTGCGCATGGCAATGTATTTGTCGTGCGTAATCTTCGTCTTCTCGCGCGGTGGCGCTGGTGTTCGGCTTGCGGTTCGCGCCCTCGATGCATCAGCTTCCTCATTAGTATCTGCCATGTTGGCATCTTCGCCTTGCTCTTCTGCCTCAGCAGCTGCGGCTGCGGCTAACATAGCCTCATCATCCTCATCCTCAACCTCAACGTCATCCTTCTCGACGCTGATGATGGATTGGCGGAGAAGATTGTACGCTTCTTTGACGAAATCCGTAGTGATTTCGCTGACACAGTTTGCTTTTGCAATGGCCTCAGAGAGACGGATCATACTCTCAAGCTGACGAACAGTGATTCGGTAGCTGTTTCGGCCAATTCCTCCCTGTGCATCATCTGCCCTCAGCTCTTTGTACTTCTCGACGAGAGTCACCTTGGCTTCCTCCGTGAACTCGGGTCGGAATGTCCTAGCGAATCGGATGTATCGCTGCAGTTGCTCGGTGCTGAACTCAGGCTCCACGGCATCATCCCTGTCTTTGTGGATGCCGACAATGTGCTCGGCAAGGTGGCGATCGATCGCCTCGTCGCATTCGTCCAAAACAACGAAGAAGAGATCGAAACGGGACATGATGGGAGCCGACATATTCACGTTCGCGCGGAGAGTAGTTTTACGGTTATACCGACCGCCAACCGGATTTGCAGCCGCGAGAATGGACGTTCGTGCATTCAATGTTGCCTGGATGCCGGCCTTCGCGATAGAGATGGTCTGCTGTTCCATAGCCTCATGGATAGCAACTTGGTCAGCAATATCCATCTTGTCGAATTCATCAATTGCGCAGATACCATTGTCTGCAAGCATAAGTGCACCTGCTTCAATAGTAAACTCTCCAGTCTCTTCATCCTTGACCACGGCTGCTGTGAGACCAGCAGCGGATGAGGCCTTTCCGGATGTGTAAACCGCCCGAGGCAAAAAGCTGCAAATGTACTTTAAGAATTGTGACTTGGATGTTGAGGGATCGCCAACGATGCAAATGTTGATGTCACCACGAAGAGCCATTCCTTCGGGCGTCTCTTTTGGCACACCTCCCATTAGCTGGAGTAGTAAGCCTTTCTTGATAACTTGATGTCCATAGACCATAGGAGCAATCGAGTCCACAAGGCGCATGAAGATGTTGGGACGATGGACCATATCCTTGAGATCCTGGATTTCAGCGCCAGTAAGAGTGCCTAGGTACTCTGCCTGTGCCTCTTCGCCTGTCGCTGTGGTCTCCATTGCCTGTGCTTGGTTTAGGGACGCTAATATGTTCCCGGCCTGTCCTTGCATGTGGTGGTTCGTTGTTTGTCCTGGGGTTGAAGTATCAGGGCTGACCATGCAGGCTAGGAAGGACATCCGGTAGGTCAAATCACGAACACCAAGGGCCTTCAAGCCACTGACGCCAGATCCGCCAGCATCATTTCCTCGAGCTACGTTTGATGTATCTCTTGTCGCCTGTGGCCGTACGCCAGGTACCCTGAATTGACTGACATCCGGGATAACAATGATAGTACCCGTGAATATGCATTTCTCTCCAGCCTTTGCACGATCGACCATCTCTCCGCGGAGAATGACGTCCATGGTTCGAGGCATGCTACCTGTAGGAATTTCGGAACTGTTTTCCTGAATTCGAACCTTTTGCCAATCGACGAAAGTAGATTGCCGGATATCAAGCCGCCAGCCCTCTCGGTTCATGCACACGGCGTTGGGACATTGCGTCGGCTCAGTGTACTTGAAGGTCTGCTCAATATTTGGCAATACAGTATTGCAACCCTCACATATGAAAGTTGCCATCGAGAGTTCGGGCCGGACTTCAGACGTACGTGTGACGGTGCCGGAGATGGAGAGAAGGCTTCCGATAGACGACGTTCGGAGCTGGCGAATGCGCGAAACAAGCGGCAAATTGTAGAACGCAAGAGTAAAAATCTTATCCGTTTGCTGATTCGCGGTCTGACCAATGACACTTTCATTCTGACTTGTAGCGTTTCCGGCATTCGAGGGTGCGGAAACGGAAGTTGTGGAAGGCGGCTGACGATGTTGTTGGAAATATTTGGGCTCGTATCTTGCAATCAGATTGTGTAGAGCACGAATCATGTGCGGAAGAAAGCGGTAGTATTCGCTAGCAATAGCGGCAGCCAGCACACCGTCTTCATGTCTGAGCAAGTGTGTGTAATCGACGTATAGTGTAGAGAGTCCGTATAAACGCAGTCCGCCGATTTGAGCAATATAGTACTTATCCGTCGTGGGAACACTGGATTGCGGCGCCGCTACTGATGATGTAGGATCTTCTGTGTAACTGTACAAATCAGAATCGTGGAAAATGAACCCTTATGTGCGTATCATACCTCTCGAGGAACTCCTGAAATCGCAAAGAGAGTGTCTCTCCCGTCACATCAACGACCTTAGGGATATCCGTCCTGGGGCCATTCGTTCTTCTACCAGGTATTTTCTCGACCACATCGTCGTCTGCGTAACCTTCAATGTCACTGTTTGCGCCCGCGCTGTCTGAGGGGGGTGCGCGAGGTCTCGAAGAGGATCGAACTCGAGATTGACGTTGCCCAGCACCTATATCGCTGGATGGCGTAGGTGCGGCATCTGAGTTAAGAGCAGCGTCGAGAAGGGACGACATGGTGGTCGGAGGTTGTGTATACTCGCAGTAGTGGGGTGTCTACACTTTGTGTAGAGTTGAGGGAAAAAGAGGGGGGACACCAGCGGAGGACGCGTCGCGCACGCGAAGTCTCAATTAAGCGCCCGATTAGGAATAGCCGCGAATGCCCATCCACCTATGAAAGCATCACAAACAACTCCTGTGGAGAACTCTGTCTATGAGGTATGTCGTTGATGACTAGTTGTGTGCTTACTTGGATGCACTCAGTGGCGGCTGAAGGATATCGCTGTAGAACAATGTTTAACTTTCTTCTTTTTTATCTTAAGCAGAGAAACGTCGAAGGGGGTAATTGGGAAAAGATCGTTTGGATCTGGGCTACCTAAGTACCTGTTATCAAAGGAATCATCCTGTGTTCTTAAAGTCGTTCAACAGCAAGCTACGCTCAAATGGCCTTTCGTCTTCCGATTTCACAGTTAGGCATCACGGTAGCGATAATTTGACACGACATGAGTACTCGCAGCCATTACTTCATGGCATTTCGTCTATTAGCTTACTCCGTACACCACGACACCTTATCGTGGGTTCTAAGTGTCATGGCTGACACATAAACCATGGCATACCAAGCCGCGCGGCGCAATACGTTCACAATACTGTTTTTCTGTGCTCATTGCACATATCGACGCTCTACAAGACAAAGGGCTCATCGCTCATGTACACATTGGGGCCTGCCTGTTTGAAGCCAATGGTAATCGTTACATAGGTATAAGAAGACCCCAATCAAAGGGCGTTGATAGGCTGAGATTATATACAGTCTACCAGTCTTAGCAAGGGAGCTGGGGGCGCCGGTAATGCTGTCTAGAGGAAGTAATCGGGGGTCCTGCGCGACACCATCGGTTCGCCAGCTCGTGGGCATGGGTCGAACTGCAAGCTATCGGACTCGTTAGAGCGACTACATTGAGGGATGTTGATGGACTTACAAGGTATATTTCAGGTGCTCGTCAATCTCCATGATCGCGGCCTGGTTGCCGCATCTGTAACAGTAATTTGGTGCTGGCCGTTATTAGTTTATGTTACTCCAGAACCACATAAACAACATACCAGAGAAAATAGTCACAACATTCCTGTCTTGGGACCAATTGTAACCCTCCATCACAAGCTGATGTGCTCTTGCTACCAGGGTCAAACCATTGTTATGGTTAAACGCCTCCGATATATCCTGTCCGAAGGTGTAGCCCGCACCTCGGGGAGATATACCCCAACCACACCTGTCATCGGGATCGGACCAGAGAAGATCACACATGGGTCCTTCATGAGGAACCTCCTGTATTCTGTCCAAAGCACGGATGTTATCCAGGGTGTCAATACTGGGAGAAAGTCCTCCATGAAGGCAGAATATTTGGTTGTCGATCAGAGCGGTGAGCGGAAGATAGTCAAACAAATCGGTGAAGTATTTCCAAACATTGGCGTTGCCGTACTTTCGAAGACATTCGTCATAGAAACCATACACCTGCGTAATCTGACGGGACTCGTGGTTTCCACGAAGGATAGTAATACGTTGTGGGTAGCGGATCTTGAGAGCTACAAGCAACGTCACCGTCTCCACAGAGAAATATCCACGATCAACGTAGTCACCTATATGGCTATGTTAGTTTGATCTCAAATGAATGCCTAGTGGTCTTACCCATGAAAAGGTAGTTAGTGTCTGGGTTGGGTCCACCAATCTTGAAGAGCTCCATCAAGTCATGGAACTGACCGTGGATATCACCGCACACCGTGACTGGGCATTTCTACACTTTGTGAGTAAGGGGTTTCATGCCAGAAGGTTCTTGCCACTTACCACTGGTTGAACATTGGATTCCTCTTGGAGGACTTCTCGAGCCTGGGTAAGAGAAGTCGTTAGTAACCGATCGCATGATGGTTCCGAGCCGGAGCGCATCCGATGATTCGTACCTTATCACATAGCCTCTGCACATCGCTTTCTGCCAACTGCTTGCAGCTCATCAAGCTTTCAATCCAGCCATCGAGTGTGGGGATCGTAGCCGGCTCTGTGCTAGGGACGGACGACATCTGTATGGCTTCTGGCATCTTCACATCCTCCATGTTGGTATCCATGTTTGCCGGAGATACCGATGGCGAAAGTTCGAAGGTCGGTAGGTGTGGATGTTATGAGGGGGGTATCGCTTGTTTTGGTGTGCAGCTTGCGAGGGGCTTCTGGTGTCAAACCTTGCGATGACGTGCGTTGTTAACAAAGAGCGCGGTCAGTAGACAGTACTCTTTCGAATCAAATATCTCGTTCAGATTACTTCTGCGACAGGAAGGGTAAACGTAGGCGGGGTATGTTTGAGAATAATAGGGAGAGTGAACTGAGTGATGCACTTGGGGCGGGTTGCCGCTTCCCATCCTCGAGTGCTTGGCGTCGGAGATACCTTTATCCGCACGATAGACGTCTGCGCTGGTGGCCAAGATGTCAAGAGGCATTACCAGTTATGCAGATAAAAACGTAATCACTATACTTTGATCATTTGCGAAAATGGCATGTTCAAGAAATCGATTCTCTAATCTAAAAGCAATCTAAAAGCTCTTTTTTCATTCGACGAAAAGTCTTCCAGGATAGCGGCATCTAAACTGCCTTGGAGGAGTAATAGATATGACGTGTGTGCCAAAGGAAAAGCATAGTTAGTGCCCTTGGGATTATTCATTAATGCTGCAAGCACACTTCTCAGTACCACCATGAATGACTGGTGGAAATGTGAGCAGGGCGAGCTGCTCGTACCTCGTAACGATCAAACACCACAGCAAAAACACCACATCTGCTTGTAGCCTTCTTCCTTTCCGTTGACAACGAGAAAGAGCGATGTAGTGTGGTGGGCGTCTCCTCTTGTGTGTATTTCGAGTAAAGAACTTGTCATCAGGGCCGCACAATGCCCTTGGGCAATCACAGACTCAACTTAATCATCCGTGATAGATCTTATCTCAAAGATGACGAATAGCCTTCCCAAGGTTTACAAATGCTGTTTCGAACATATCTGTCTCTGTTTTGCCTTCCAGCTCTGTTTGAGTCCTACCGTTGTAACTTTTTGTTGTCGCTTAGATCGACCTTGAATAAGTCGGGGTCTGGACCAAAAGCAATTGAAGTAGAAGCATTCTAGGTGGACCGGAAATCTCGGAGCTCGTGGAAATGCAGGAGCTCGAATGAAGGGTTTTGCATATTTGCGTCAGACAGTACGGAGTACCATTAACATTTCTCTACATCCAAAGTTTGGTAAATACCTACTACTTGGGTTATTTGTTTATGTTCATCCACAAACGTTAGCACGAACCATGGTTGGTGGTATCGATTGCGCAATCGGAGGTTACACAATGGTCGGAGGTCGGAGCTCTTGGCGTCCCAACCTCCGACTTTGAGCTACAAGAGCTCTTCCCTTGACCTCACCTTCCATCCTTCCTATACAACAAACACACCCCACATCAACGAGCAACAAACTGCCAACAACCAGCAACTTTGGCAAGAAAGCTCACGATGTCTAAGCGCAGCCTTCCAGAGGCTTTCATCCACGACGATTACAGCAACATGGCTGACGCTTCCTTTTCCTCTGCTTCGGCTCATTTCCCCAACTCGCGCGCGCTCTCCCAGGCAAGTGGCATTCACTACAGTTGTTTGGCGCGCACTAACAAAGGAATCAGATCGCACTCCCTGCGATGCCTGGTCAATGGGACACCATCTACGTGCCAGAAAACTCACTCGATGAGCTCTCCTCCAATACCCTCTTCACTACAACTTCCAAGCTTGCACCGATCGTCACCAACATAGCTTCTCTCATCACTGCCGCAGTGCGCATTGTGAACAAATACACCCGACGCCAGGTCATCCAGGCCGTACCTGTAGTGCGCGAAGATGGATCCAGGAAGAAAGTCCTACTGGACGTAGGCACACTCGATGAACCTCGCCGCTCCCCTCAGAGTATAATAAACAACACGAAGAGCCAGAATGGCTGGACACCTACGCAGCGATTCAGGCAGCAACCTGGCCTTTCCAGTCCCATTACAACAAATGACATCACAAACAATTACGCCACCGTAAACAACGCTAATACTCTCAACACTTTCGACACTATCAACACTCCTAACCGTGGTTGGAACCGAGGGAATAATTTCCCAAATCCGTCACCCTCAATAACTAGATCTGCGCGCTCTGATAATATCACTCCAGGAAGTAGCAGCCTGCAGTTTAACAACCACTCAGTCATCGATAACATCGATTTGAGCTTCGAAAATTGCCTCCACAGCACCCCGCCGCCATCACCTTCACCCATTGGTCGCGCTGCACCAGCCCGCTTCACTATCGAGCCTTCCGGCTCTCAACAATTCTTGTCCCCAGCCGCAGGTCGATTCAGTCTTAATCGGCCACTTCAACACTCGCGCATTCGCGACCTTGCAAGACCTGTTGCGAACCATACAGATCGCAACCGGCCTAAATTTCTGCACTCGACACGCGATACTCCCATCCAGCAACCGAGCAAGAACATAAGCTCTAACTTCGCAAAGTTCATTGCTGGCTGCGAGTCGGAGGGATTAGCCATAACAGAAAACCTGGAAGCAGAACACTCAGCCAGCAAACAAGACAACCTTCAGTACCATGTGGCCTTTGCCAGGGAGGACTCGCCATTCAACGAGATCGCCCATAGAGAGAGCTCTCCATTCGATAAGGACGTTGGAGTAGAAGACTCGCATCTCCATGGGATTGACGCTAGAGAAAGTTCTCCCTTCGAGGAGAACGTTGAATTGGGAAATCCGCTACCACAGATTCATGTTTCCGAAGCAACTTCGCCACTGCATGATGGTATCGCTGGTGAAGGTACCACAATCGCTGAGCATGTGGCCCCTGAGATCAATTCAGTCGACTATGACATTGAAGATGAATTTGATCCATACACTCCAGACGGCTTAGGAAAACTCGGCGAAATACAGAGCTTCCTCCATTCCTCCTTCCTTTCTCCGATTGCCGAAGAAGAAGATGATGAGCCGCAAGAAGATGATGAGCTGCCTGTTGCACCAGACTACGCAAATGACTTGTCATTCTTGCCTGATGCGCCTGAACTACTACCAAAGAAGACTGTCCGAATCCGTAGATCTGGACGTTCCAAACCTTTCTTCAAGGACGAAGCTCCATGCGACCTTCTTGACTCTTCCCTCGAGTACATCGTCACCTCTCCTCACAAGCGTCCTGATCTTTTCGGAGAGGCAGTCGATGAGTCGGCATTGTCTCTTGAAGTAATCGAAGACTTTGAGAAGACATTAGAACTCTCAGAACAAGAGCGATCATCATCTCCATTCGATGAAAATCCCCCACCGCTAGTGAGGCCCCTCAATGAATCACAGGAGTTGCAGCTCGCCGAGGCAGTGAGCATGACCAATGGCGGATTGGACCATATCGATTTAGCCGATGGCATTCTCACAACCCATGATTTCAAGACCTTGCTACCCACCCTCTTCAACGGCAATCCCGTGGCCTGGGTGAATGACAACATTGTCAACGAATACCTCAAACTTCTCACCGATCATGTGAAGGCGAAGGCTGGTTATACACACATCAAGAACGGCCCGGCCCCTCCTGTACACGCATTCCCATCGCAATGGTACGTAACCATCACTAAGTGCGCTAAGAACGTCGCGCGGTGGGCTGGACGTGTGCAACTCGGTGGCAAGCAGTTGCTCGATGCAAAGTTACTCCTTATTCCTATCTGCGACAACGGCCATTGGAGATTGTTATCAATCAAGCCTCAAGACAGGACTATCCAATACATCGACTCTCTGTTTATGAGGCAAGACGATTTTACCAAGATGGCCAGAGATTGGGTCAAGAACGAACTCGGTCCCCTTTACGTCGAGTCGGAATGGCAGGTTCTCGACGATCATACCAGCGAACGCCAGATGAATGGCAGCGACTGTGGAGTGTTCGTTTGTTTGAATGCACTCGCTCTGCTCCGCGAAGAGGGACTGTTCCGTGTCATTCCTGACGATGGCATGGATGCCGCTCGAAAGAGAATCGCGGTCAGCTTGCTCAACAAATCACTCACTGGCGAAATGGATTAGTCTCGCCACACAAAATTCACTTTCGGATGCCACCCATCTTCCTAATGGATACTACGTTCCAAAGCAGCGTCCTATGTCTTCAAATGTTCGACAGGCAAGGAAAACGACGTAGACGTCTCTTTCACAACTTTTTCTTCCTTGTTTGTTTTCTTGTTTCGGTTTCTGTCTGTGTTTCTTTTTTCTTTCTCGTCTTCTATAGGGGTCAGCCTCTGTATCATGAATAACGGTGGTTTTTTGCCCTTCGGTTTCAATTGGCAATGGGTGGTTTTATGTTTATGGGTACTGGGTGGGTTTCATACGTCTGCTTCGGAGTCTTGGTTTCGGCTTTTCTTTAATTCATTGGGAGGTACTTGTGGGGTTTGATGGGTTTATGTCGGAGTTTTGCTTTTGCTTTTTGTTCTTTCGCTTTGTATTCTCTCAGTCTTGTTTATTTCTTTTCTTTTCTTTACTTTTCTCTGGTGCTCTGGTTAGTTGGTCTTGATTGTGATCTTGACCCTACTTTGCCATGAACATGCACCCTTACCCCTCAACTCCTGTCCTTCTTTTTCTTCTCATCTTCTTTGTACTGCCCATTTTCCGGACGTTCACCAACCTACGGAATAAGGGACGACGCAAAGGCGCATACGCGGACACACCCTCGACGGCGGAACAAACAATTGTTCTCGACCACCTTCTCTCTCGACCACCTTTTCTCTCGACCACCTTTTCTCTCGACCACCTTTTCTCTCGACCACCTTTTCTCTCGACCACCTTTTTTCTCGACCACCTTTTCTCTCGACCACCTTTTCTCTCGACCACCTTTTCTCTCGACCACCTTTTCTCTCGACCACCTTTTTTACTTCTCTCTCGCGCGGACTTGCATTGCATGATGGCAGCGAATGATATCCACTCTACGAGCTTGGAACGGATTTTTTTTCCGGCTCTTCTTTTTTCCTTTTTTTGCTCTCGGACAGGAAAAGCGAATGATACCCCCTCTCATATAAAACCATGACCGGAACAATTGGCTGTTCCAGGGTCTGGTTTTCTTTTTCCTACCTGTTTCTGTTTTGTAAGATACCCGCCTTTATATGGCATCGATGAAAATTTGCATCGAAATGGCCCTGGACCTTGGGAGGTCTAACGGAGATGCATGGGCTTGAAATTATAGGTTTTAACAGCGACGAATTATCTGTCGCGTGAGAGATTCAGATCGATTAGTTTAATCGACTGTGGCGCCTGTCTCTTTTGAGATGGGCTGCTACTTCTACAGAATCTCACACATTACACATTCATCTTTTTATTGCTTCCCATGCTTGTGATTATGTGGCAGTTGATGTTTTTAACAATTTGGTGTGATTGGTCAAGTTCTAGCTGCTGACGTACAATTATCTTCACAGGAAAACCACAAAGACAGATGACAACCACATGGCACGCAATAACAACCTTGATAGAATAACGCCGCTCAGTGTATATTGTATATATTCTTGAATCTAACGAGTTCTCTCGTGCATGCGAAGAACTTAGGTAAAAAGGTATCTCATGTTTGTCAATCAAAGAGTTTCAGTTCCACGGCCTACCCTCGTCCGTCTCTACTCGGCGGCGATCCTGAGGGTCAGCTTTCCGAAGTGGTTCTGGTCCCACATGTACTGGTAAGCCTCCTTGAGGCTGGCGAGGTCGAAGACCTTCTCGTCGATGACGGGGTGGATGTCGTTGGCCTCGATGGCGCGGTTCATGTCCTCGAACTGGGCGCGGGATCCGACGAGGAGGCCGCGGACGGTGAGGAGGTTTGTCTGTGGGCGGGGAGGTCAGTATGTTTGATATTGATACCGAAGGAAGGGAAACTTGACATACCAAGCAGTCGAGGAAAGTAGGCTGGTCCTTTCCGAAGCCGCCAATGAAACCAATGATGGAGATAACACCATCGATCTTCGCGGCCTTGATCGACTGTGCCATAGTGGTAGGACCACCGACCTCGACGACGTGGTTGACGCCGACCCCGCCGGGAGTCAGCTTCTTCGCCTCCTCGCCCCAGTTGGGGGTGTCCTTGTAGTTGATGACATAGTCTGCGCCGTGCTTCTTGAGGACCTTGGCCTTCTCTGCGGAAGAGGTGGTCGCGATGACGGTTGCGCCCGCCGCCTTTGCGAACTGCACTGCGAAGATACTGACGCCGCCGGTTCCCTGCGTCAACACGACCTCACCCTGCTTGAGGGCCTTGCTCTCGAGGCCGTAGAGCGCATTCCATGCGGTGAGTGCGGCGCAAGAGAGAGTGGAAGCCTCGAGGGCGTTGAGGTTCTTGGGCTGGTGCACGAGTCCCGTCTCCTCGAATGCGCCGTACTCCCTGAAGGTACCGTCGACGGCGCCTCCGAGTCCAGTGGCTAGAGAGGCATTATCGAGAGATCCGGCTTGGTGGCCTTGAGAGAAAAGAGTGACGACCTTGTCGCCGGGCTTGAAGCGCGTCACGCGTGGGCCGACGGCCTCGACTGTGCCTGCGCCGTCGGAACCAGGGACGACGTTGTCGACTATCGGGAATGGGTATTTGCCCTGTCGGGTTTTGTTAGTCCCGGGAACTTCCAAAGTTGGTGATGTCAGGATGAGGAGGGAGAATACTTACCTTGGGAATGATGAGGTCACGGTAGTTGAGGGAAGCAGCGTGGACTGTTTTCCTAATTAGTATCTCGGTCCTATTATCGAGTCTTCGTATGCAGCATGTATGTACCGAGTACATCGATGACGAATGGGGAAGGTGTCGAGTGACGTACTCTTGACCAGGACATCATGGTCGCCCAATGCTTTGATCTCGGCCTTCTCGTTGAATTTCAAGGAGTCGAAGCCATTCTGGCCTTCAACGGTCCATTGCCTGGTGGTTGTGGGTGCCATTGCTTGGATTGGGTGGTCGAGATATTGGGTACAAGTCGGGAATGGAAAATGTGTATGGATGTACTCCGTATGTATGTAAGTGCGTAGGTGGGGAGGGTATGGAAATATTCGAATTGGATCCACAAACGGCGCGCTAGAGTTGTACAGAGATGTGGAAGTAATATGGACAAGGCGAGATGTGGGTAGTAGATAGATGAAGTTTTAATCAATTGAGGTGGAAGTAGTGTGTATCTTTATACCGAAGTCAACTACCATTCATGAATTGTATGTACCCTTCATCACGACATTTGCAAGCAACAATAAAGACCTGCCCCGCCACCAGATTCGGTGAAATAACTGATGATGCCCATGCCCATGTCGATTAATAAGTTGGTGACGCAAATGTGGAGTTGCCAATTCAGTCCATTTCCTCTCCCGCGAGTCAATTCCGAGATATCTCCTGGTGATCGTCTACCACAACGCATGAGATTTATAACAGAATTCTCCATATTGTCCGTTCAACAAACAAAACAACAGCAAATTGATCATTATTCAATTAGTGAACAAGTAAGATCAGATTACCAACATATCTGCTTACAAACTAACAAACTACCTAAACCGACTGCACAGATACATTTGACTGGATCTGACGAGGCTGTCTGCATGGGTGTCCCTGGGGCCACATGGTGAACCACATCTGAGACCCCACAGGTTCTGGACAACATGACCGAGTATCCTTACCCGTTTACGCAACATCTAGGTGCTCAACTACAGTTCCAGAAACGAATCCTACAAAAGGTAAGGGGGTCGTTTTCTCCTAGCTAGAGCCTAGAGGTAACGTTTTCTCAACGGTCAGAGTGTGTCTAGTCGTTAGAGATGAATCTGAGAAATGCAGCCACCTCCCTCCCTGCACAGCGACTATACTTATTACTGGGCGTCTACCAACCGAGGTTTAGAATCGGAAACCAGGCTGGTGAAGCGCCGTTAAAAGCTTGCTGAAATATCATTGGGCCACCCGCAAGTTAAAGCATGTGGCTGGCTTTGGGGAACTGGTGGTACAGTGTGTGTATGTATATACGAGGTAGTCATAGTACCTGCACTCTGACAGGTGCAGCCTAACAAATACGTTGTAACTATATGTTGTACGTTGTACCTACAAATAGAGGTGTAAGCCAACACCAACCCCAATGCCCACGTTACCCGTAACGAACTACTTCTTAGTTGTGACTACCATCACCCGAACCATCCGTGAATAAAATTACCAGTCAGACAAAATGAGGCGTAGTTGATCGAAGAGTGTAATATCAAGATAATAATATACCTACACAATAGTTCTCGTACTAGTATTTACCTTGGTAGAGTTCAAGATCGGGAACCCGAAGGAAGCAACCGGTTTCAGACATGCCATTCCCTGACCTGCATAGATTCAGGTCCCCTGGTCTGACAACGGTTGACCTCGCTGTTAGAAATCGGGGGCGGCTCTGCCTGTCGTGCCTGTACCTGTGCCTGTACCTTTCTGTTGTGCTTGTGCTTGTGCCTGTGCTGTGCCTGTGCCTTGTATCTGCCGTTCCAAAGTCCAGATCTTCGGAACTCATGCCTCAGGTTTGCGGGGCAACTCTACACTCCACTCCACCTCCAACTCTCCTACACTCATGCTTCATCCCCATCTTCCTTTCCTCATCTCCATTCCCCTCTATGACTACAATTGCATCATCGTTCATCAGAAATTGGCCCCATATCAGCAACTCGATACACATCGTAGGATGGCGTCGAATATGCCTACGCCTTGCTCGCAGACTAAGAGTTCCCAATATACGCGCCGCGACGCTTCTCCGGCTAGTAGTAAATGATTCAAAATAGTATGCGGATATCTTCAACGATGGGATTTACTACTAGCATAGTTTGTGAAATCAAGCGATACAATGCTAGAGAAACGATCGCAAGGAAGAAAACAACTTGATTGCTGGACTTGAAAACGAGCGCAACCGCCTGACAATTATTCCGATGAATCGCATTAATGGACTATCCTTTATTCAATTCACCAACAACGCCCATAGTCCGCATTCGTGATGACAATCATGCGCCAACCTACTCGATAACCCAGCCCGCTGAACATTAATCCTCCACCTGTATGAGAAAAAAGTAGCGAGGCACATTTGTAACAGGCAAGCTCCGCCACCAAGATAATGTGCCGTGGGAGCTCTTGTCCCCAGGTTCCTTCGCTAAAAGAGGCGGTTTCACAATCCAGTACATTGTCCGATACATGACCTCTCATGCCTGCTCTCTGCAGCTACCCCTCCTCTCAATTGTATTGATCTGCATTTCGAGCTTCCTAGCTGCGCTGGAGGTACGATTTTGTTGTCGTACCATCAATCACCTTCCGTTGCGATGATTAACGTGCCTTCGCCATCGCATTTCGTGGAGAACTTCGACGAGCGCAGATATGGGCTGGTCTCCCCAATTGACTCCTACAACCTGACTCCCATCGGTATTCCCAGTCCAGCATTTCGCGATGTATTCCAATACAATCAAGATGCGCCTTCACCAAGACCAATTCCCGAGCGGTCTCAAACGCAAACTTCATTGCAATCGGTACCATCAATGACTAGTTACAAGAGCATGGACGTAAAGATTCAGGCATTGTGCGATCGAAGAGCTGGCGAAATTGCGAAATGGCACATTCATTGGGTTACGCCGGCTGTCATCACCATACTTCTCCTCGCCGGCACGAGTGCAGCACTGGCGCATCATTTTTTCTACGATTACCTGCACGGTAGACCCGCGGAAGAGCAGCTTAAGATGATTCGTTATGGAACTGCCATGGCATTCTTTGTGAAAAGTACTTTGGTTGGAGCAGTTATTATGTCATATCGACAACGTATATGGCGTACTTTCAGGACCAAGGCAATGACAATCAGAGGCATTGACGGGCTCTTCGCAGCTACTGAAGACCCAACACAATTCTTCTATAACATCGAGATGCTACGTAACGGGAAGCTTGCGACATTAATGGCAGCAACTAGTTGGTAAGTCATCTTTCGTCCGGCCAATTGAGTGTAGAAAATACTAATCATTGCTCAGGCTCATCCCTTTGGCCTCAGTCCTGTCGCCAGCTGCCTTGACCACTGAAATGAAGACTTCTCTCAACTACACCACCTGCGCATCGGTGGCTACTCTAAACTTCAGCCATGAGGCCCAATATGACTTCCGAGATAAAAACTTCTTGCCGGGCTCTTCACTAGCTTTCTATAACACTACCGATAGAGTAGGCAAAGCGGAAGGATGGTTCGATTACTACGCCGAACCCTCAAAGAACGCAAGAAGACTGGCCGTTACAAGCGCATACCTCAAAAAGCCCGCATCTCACGCAAATGCTTCATTCAATGCCTGCGGCGAAGGCTGGAATTGCACATACAGTATTACCTTCGAAGGACCAGGGTACAAATGCGAGGAGACATCCGAAGGAGCCCCATTCAACAGGACTGCATTCGCGCCCGAGGGTGACAGCTTGTACAAAGCATCTGTCGATACTGCAGATTACCGGTCCCCTCAAATCGACACGACCGACGGCGTTCCCACGCAACCACCTCCTTACCCAGATTCACTCGGTGTCTTCGAGTCTGAGCCAGTGCTATGGATCGGCTACGCCAGAGATACGGGGCGACCTTACGACGACTTATCGCCATTTAAGAAGGTGTGGGGCACTGTTCACGAATCAAAGATCTTCAAGTGCGTCGCGTACCATACGAATTACACCTTCGAGATGAGTTACAACGATACCGTTCAGGTTGCGAAGAGGAAAGAGCGCGTCTTTCTCAAGCCAATCGTCGACACCACAGTCACGGGACCCCCTGGAAGACTCGTCGCGAACCCGCGGCAGAACTACATCAGCCCTCGAACAGACAAAGGCATGTATAAGGTTACTGCTGTATACCACTCGATGAACACGTTATTGCGCAACTTCCTCCGTGGCGACATTCGATTCACCGGCACCTACATTACTAGCTCCGACCTTTCCGAGACCCGGCTCGTGGACGCGAGAACGTCGTATCCAATCGGCAATCTCATGGAAGAGATCCAAAATACGTACGAGGAGATGCTAATCACCTTGATGAGCGAACCGTTGCTAGTCGTCGCCGACAACACAAGCGTCCCGTGCGAGAAATCACGCACCATGAACACCTTCGTATACCACGAGCGGGCTCTTTGGCTGGGTTATGCAATGGCTGTCTTTGCAACTCTCACCACCATTCTCATTGGGCTGTGCTCCATGTGGCAGAACGGCGTTGCCTCTGACACGAAGTTCAGCCGTATCCTTGTGACAACGAGAAATCCCACGATCGACTGGCTGAGCGTCGGCGCATGCCTAGGAGGCGACCCGTTCCCCAAGGAACTCAGAGAGACGAAGTTGAGGTTTGGCGTCCTGCTGGAGGAGGAGCCGTGGGAGGGTCCGCTGGGTAAAGTCGAACACTGCACCTTCGGCACTGCGGGCGAGACGAAAGACATCGTCAAATACGGCTTGTACGCTGGACTAAGGAGGTCGAGGCGAGAAGCCGAGAGGGAGAAAGGCTCTGAAGAAGAAAAGGAAGCACTGCTGTCCCATAGTGATAGCGAGGACAGTTGATCGGGGATCGCGTTTTGTTCTTCTTTCTTTGTCCATTTCCATTCTCACGAGGGACTGTGCCACCATCCTACTTGCGATACCCCAATTTTTCCTTTGCATGTCATAGACTATTGTTTTCCAAACGGTATATAGCAGCACCTACATACTAATTCCACACTGTACAATCTTCGCATCACATCAACATCCATCCACATGCACAACAAACGTACTACATGCACCCCAAGACACTCACCTCACCTCAACCTAATACCCCAAACCCACTCCCATACATCTCACACAAAAAGCCCGACCCCATCAATGCCGAAAATCCTCCCCTCAAAAACCCTCAACATCGAAATCCGCCCCCATCTGCCCCCCACAGTACCACCATCCACCACTTGCTACGCCGCACGCACGCACACACGCACGCACACACGCACGCCGCACCGCATAACCAATACCACGCACGCACATATAGCCGCCCGCCCGCCGTCTCACACAGTACGTACACCCAATCGCACACATACATACACATGCATAACACAGTACCAGTGCAATCCGACGGCGAGGCGCCGATCCGTCCTCGAACACGACACGACATGATATGCATGCATGTATGTACATGTATGGGGGAGATATAAGCTTCTGACACGATACCGCGACAAAGGGTACCGCATGTACTTGTGTGTTGCGGACTCTTCCTCGCCTGAGGCATAGGTATGGAGGGGGTAGAGGAGTTTGGGATGAGATGAAGGGGACGTTGGGGATGGTAGGGTGCTGGGTCGAGAAGAGAGGGACGGGGAGGTATCAGTGGTGTGTTAATCGTATCGTATTCTTTGGGGCCAGGTATGATCTATGAATGAATGTTCGTTCGTTGGGGCGAGCGATGGGGTTGTGATACTTTGGGGGTTGGGGTTGGGTGTATCTGTACCCGTATGCGTTGGGACTGAATGTATCATTGAACACGCGAGATGAGAGACAGCTATCGTGTCTTGTTTCGGTCGTCGTCTCTATCATTTTGAGAAAATGTACGCGATACGTTGGTCTGGACTGCTCATCGTGGAATGGGGATAGAAGAAGAAAGGACGTGTATTCAGTGGCTAGAGGACTGGACGTAGGTTTTCATGACATCTACCTTGATATGGGAGAGGAGGTGATAGCGAGACTTACTTGCCGTCGTTCAGTTTTCCCCACCTTTTGCCTATCTTATGTTGGTGTGTTGTCATTTCATGGGGGCCGCTTGTGTAAGAGATCTATGTGAAGTACCGCTGCATTGATATGTGCGTGTGACGCACGGCGTCGAGGATGAGAAGTAGTTGACTTTGTACTTTTCACATATCCTCAATGCCGCTGCGTGCGTGGTGGAATTATACATCGAGTGCTGATATCGTTCATTCTCAAAGATTTTGGCAGTTCAATTAGATAGATACCGAGATGCCAGAGGGTCTAGCCGCTGTACATACAATCCGTACCCAATTAACCTATCTGGCGAGGATGATAATAGTACAAGAAGTATATACAAAGCTAGACTCTACGCAGTATGATGTACCTACCATGTACGTAGCTCACACACGCGCTCAGGCCCAGAGCACATAAGAGAGACCAATTTCCACCCGTCTCAGTTAGGCCCTGATGTATTGTAGTAAGCTGATATCTAGCATCTTCAACGGCTACAGCAACGCCTCGTACCAATTGGTAGAATTGCATCAATTGCCAAATCCTACCCTCGAGCAAACCACACAGCACGTAGATCATCCCTCCATAAGAAAAGACCAGTGTGTATTAGCAACAGTCGGGTTAATCTTATCTATTCCGCGCGTCGCCGCCGCCGCTGTAAGCAAGTACGCGCTCCCCAAAGCAGACTCCAGATAAAGTCAGACAGTCAGTCTTAGGTGCAATTCCAAGCTAGATACGTATCCATATCTCCAATCTCGTCCCACTCGAACCTGAAGACTAGTTAGCTCACTGCGTATAACTCTTCCTACGTGCCTTTTTTATCACTACAAAAGTCGGGACGTCGTTAAATCCTTCCTGAACAAGTAAGTGGCAGGGTACGATATCATAGTGTAGCACAGTACACACAACCCACGGCTATCACGGCCGGAACACGAGGCACCTAATCCATGCCCACCAAGCCGGTTGAGCCAAGAAACAACAGCGTACGGCGTACTCGTTCACACTTTTTTTTTCAGCCCCATGGGACGGATGCTGGGCTTTCTGCACGTCGTCATTACATTTCTCGTCGTGCGGGCTTGGGTTCCGTTGCTTTTACGAGGTGCTTGTTTGTACGTTAGGGTGGTCGGTGGGGTTAGGGTAGGTGTATATATATATGGGGAGGTGGTGCGCCACACATGCTGCCATTTTTCCCTCTCGCGACGACTCCCTTCGCATTTTTGGACTCGAACACTGGACTGGCTGGCACACACCTGTTATATTGATTTACGCGCACTCGGATTTACTGGACGATATAAACATGCACGCACACCCACACGATAGGACAACTGGTTGTAGGAAAGGAACTTGATTTTTGTTGGGAAAATGTGGAATTGCTACTTCCTAGGACCTCATCACCATCCCGATCCGCCCGGATTTCTGATTCTAATTCCTCCTTGATTTCAACTCCGTGGGGGTGTGATTACCCAAATATGATCGATCAGTCGACTGGCACGCTCGCTCGCCTTCTCGCAAAAACACCATTGCCCCCCATATGACGCAATGAAACAAAGGACCAAGAAAAGAGAAAGCTCGGGATGATGCTTCTCACTGTCCAAGACATGATCCGCCCACGACACCCAGGAACAAAAAAAGACTAAATAATACAGGAACAAGAGAGCGGCCAGCAGCAGACGCCGCTCAATTGGAAAACGAAAGAGAGACGCACATTGTGTTGGTGGTGGTCGTTGGTAGTTTACAGACGGATATTATTTCGACGGCAGAATAGACTAAACCGCCTCCACGTTGTCGCTCATCCCGCGACATGGGATACTCCAATGAACGCCATGCAATGCCAATGTTGGGGGATTACGCAAAGTGGTGTAGAGGAGCACTGAAAAAGGAAATGAACAAAAGAGATGGAGAAACATCGCACCCCGGACTCAAAGTACGGTCACACCATGGAACAGCATCATGGAGATTGCGCCTTCTTATCCTCATCTAGCTTCGGATCTCCCGCGAAAGGACCAACTCCGAAATTCGGTGTGGTTTCCACGTTCTGGCTTGGTGGCCCATTATGGGTATACTCCGATGGTCCAGGAGCTAGGATAGGGTCATTTGGCTTCGTGTCAGGGTGAACTTCGATGCCCTCCTGAGCCTCCAAATCCGATTTACTCCTAGTGCGACCGAACTTGAGAGACTCGTTCTCCCCACCATGGCGATCGATCGGTGACCAGCCGGCAACACTGCCGGCGACAATACCGGCCATGACGGCGGCAGGCCCGAATGCCGAGTTGGAACGAGACCTGCCGCGACGGCGACCTCTCGACTCGGGAGTGGGAGGAGCGGGGGAACCGTCCTGATCATTAGATGGACCATTGTTAGGAGTTCCTGGTAGGGAGTAACTGGACCTGGATCTCGAGAAGATCTCCTTTGGATGCTGAACGGCAAACTTCAAATGGCTGAGTCGTCCACCGCGGACCTTCTTGATAAAGGCGAGTTCTTCTCGGATCTCGAGCAGTCCTTGGTTCCACTGGTACTCGTCCGATACAACCACCTCCGGTGTACGCTTCCTCTTCATGAAGGCGGGAATGCATCGGCGGATCAAGTCGTCGGGTATCAATCGAATGATCATGCCAACTGGTAGTGAGAGAGCACCGAGGACGATTGAGTATGCCCATTGAGCGCCATTAATACGTGTGACGTCGAAAGCAGCACCACCGACGAAAACAATCATCGTCTGGCCTCCGATCATGATGAACATGATGATGATGAAGAAGACATTGCGATGGATTCCTTCGAAAACATTGAAGTGATTATCCAAGCGACGGTTGTTGAGAGCGTTGAAAATTTGCATCCACACAAAGGTGTTGAACACAAGGGTCGGCATGCGTTCTTTCTCCTCAGTAGATTCATATGAGAGTATGGACTCTCCAGCAAAGTACAGAATGAAGGTAACAGTAAGCTGGTAGATGGATTGGCCGATGATCATCTTCCACATGCGTAGTGTGATGAGCGGTGCAGATTTGGGATCGGGCTTCCTCTCCAGCAAGGTGCGCGTAGGAGGGTCAGTAGCAAGCGCAAGCGCAGCGAAAGTATCCATGATAAGATTGACCCAGAGAAGTTGGACGGCGTTAAGGACTGATTCCTGTGAACCACTGGAAACGGCCGAGACAAAGGTGAGCAATACAGCTGTGATGTTGACGGTGATCTGGAACTGCAGGAACTTCTTGACGGCATCGTTGACAGCACGGCCCCAAAGCAAAGCCTTGACGATGGATGAGAAGTTGTCATCCATCAAAATGATGGCGGAGGCCTCCTTTGCGACTTCTGTTCCAGCAATACCCATGGAGAAACCAACATCGGCCGTCTTCAAAGCAGGAGCATCGTTGGTACCATCTCCAGTGACAGCGACAGTTTCTCCGAGTTCTTTGAGCCTCTTAACCAGCTTACGTTTATCTTCAGGGCTGGAGCGAGCAAGAACGCAGAGCTTAGGAATGACAGCGTCCATATCTTTCTTGGAGAGCTTTCTGAATGTAGGTCCTTCCATGACAACTCCGCCAGGGACAAGGATACCGCAACTTTCAGCAATTGCCTTGGCTGTAAGAGGATTATCACCAGTGACCATGCGGACAAAGACACCAGCCATTTGACAGTCCTGAACAGCCTCGCGCACACCGTCGCGAAGAGGATCCTGAATGCCAACAATAGCCAAGAAAACCATTTTGTCAAAGATGTCCTCAAACACGGCCATGGTGGGATCGTCCTCGTTCTTGCGGGATTCCCGAGGAGGCCAGCTTTCAAAGTCACGATAGACGATTCCGATAGTTCTGAGTGACCGAGATGCGTATGTGGTGATTACACGTTCGAGGGTATCGCGGTTGTCGTCGGAAATCGGGATATCAGAAATCTCTTTGGTGGCATCAGAGATGATCTTGTCGCAGTGAGATAAGAGAATCTCGGATGCTCCCTTTACGTAGAGTCGGTACCGTCCATCGTTCAGCTTTACAACCACTCCCGAGCATTTGATAGCAGAGTCGAAGGGTATGATTTGAGTGATGTTAGCATTCGCTCGTTCAGTGCTGACAGGGCCCATTCCAAGGTGGTCGCGTGCAAAGCTGAGCAAGGCTGTCTCAGTCTTAGAACCGATAAAGGGGTCAGGGCCATTTTGATCGCCTTCGAAAGCAGTAGTGTTCAAAACAATAGACTGTTCAAGCAACTCCTTGACCTCTTTGCTGAGTGTGGAAACGAACTCAGCGGGGGATACATCATCCGGGTGGTCGACAGGTGAATCCACGGACTGTTTGCCCTTTGTTCCATCATCGAGGACAGGTGCTACTGGGGCCTTGAGCTTTCGGTCGCCGAACCTAAGGGCGGTCCCAAGGGTTCCTGAGACGACGGTCATCTTATTCGTCGTTAGGGTACCTGTTTTGTCGGAGCAAATGACTGTAGCATTGCCCATAGTCTCGCAGGATCGAAGCAAACGGACGAGATTGTTGTCCTTAAGCATTTGTCTGGTAGCAAAGGCCAAGGCGAGGGTAACAGCAAGTGGCAAACCTTCTGGAACAGCAACAACTACGACCGTGATGGCCACAATCAAGATGTTCAAGAAGTTCTGTCCTTTCTCGGCGGGGGAGGCGTCGTTGGTTCGGAGGTGGACTAAGAATTCTATGAAGAGAACGATGAAAAGCAAGAGGGCTGATGCACCACCAAGCTTTGCAATATATTCCGCCAAGTTGTTCAACTTCGCCTGGAGCGGAGTGACCTCGCTGTCCTCGCGGAGGGACATGAGCGTCTTTCCATAGGTAGAGTTAATGCCAGTTGCTGTAACCATAAAAGATCCAACACCTTCGGAGACCTTGGCGCCAGAGAGGATGAAAGGATCCATCTTCTTGAGGGGTTCGTGGTTTTCGATGGCACGGAACACTTCAGCTCCGCTAGTCTTCTTAAGAAGGTCGGATTCGCCTGTAGCAGAGGACTCGTCGCATTTGATACCGTGGCCCTGAATGAGGATACCGTCCACAGGGACCAAATCTCCGGGTTCCAGGTTGACGACGTCTCCGACAAGGATGTCATGAACTGAAACCTCACGAATATTTCCGGACCGAACACATTTTACGAAGCGGTCTTCCTTCTTCTTGTTGAGTCTAACGAACTGACGCTCTTTCTCCCAATCATTAAGTGCACCGACAATGACGACTACAAGGATGGCCACAATAATGGCCACGCCTTCGATCCATTCCACCTTTGGCTCACCGGGCTTGTGCTTAACACCAAAGGTTTGGTATAAACCTAGAGCGAGCGAGATAGCCGCAGCGCCGGAAAGCAAAAGGAGCACTTTGTCGTTGTAAGCCATCCACGCCAATTGGAGAATGCTCTTTGGCTTTCGTTCGGGCAGCCTGTTGTCGCTAAAAACACGCTTGCGATCCGAGAAGCCATCTTTTCCTCCCTCGGCATGAGGAGGTGTATCATTTCGTGCAAGATCGGCGCCTTTTGTAGGTGTCTGTGCAGAGTTGGGGGTGGTCGCTTCTTCGAAGGAGATGCTGTCGTGCCAACGGTCTTCGTCGACGCTCAAGCCTGACTTCCTGTCCGTTCTTAATCCTTTCTCAATGCCATCCAAACCGCCCAAGGCATGGAAAGCCGCCAGGTTTTTAGGATTGAGAAGTTTGGAGAGCTGCCCAGGCGAGAAGGCAAATTTGTTATCCTCCACTTGGAAATCGGCCTCGGTACCGGGATCTGGAGTAAGCGCATCCTTGTCATTGATCAAATCGTGAGCCGCGACCTCTCCATGCAGAGTATCTCCTTGCGAGGAAGCGAGGTAAGTTCCAGTCGATGCTGATTCGCCGTTCTCTGTTGTTGAATCGAGCGAGTTACCGCGAGAGCGTGCTCCTGGGACGGATAGAAAGTTTTGTGGGTTTCCGCTGGTTGACTTCGGGGAAGAGACGTTGTGGGGTGATGTTGGCCTGCTCTCCTTGCTATCGAAGGAATTGGTTCCTCTCAGCTCGGTAGGCGGGTTTTTGGTTTGCGGCGACAGGTCTGCATTGTCGTCATGTTGTTGTGATGGACGATTGTCATCTAAATCTCCAAGGGGAACAGACTCTCCCATATTCGGGTCGTTCGGGTTGACAGCCGAAGTGTCAATGGTGATGGTAGGAGCCCTTTGCCTTCGAGGACCAGGAGACGGTGTGTCCCGCTCTCCCGCGTCTTTATGATCCGACATGATGGGTGCCTTGCTGATGAGACTCCCTGTGTGGGGAGGGCTTAGGTTTTGTGGGTGGCTGAGTTCGCCCGGGAAGGATGAATGTGATTAGAAGAATGTGCTAAGGCGACACGCCGGTGTGATGCATGCAGTCGGGCATGCAGTACGGGGTCGAAGTAATAAAGGGTGGGCGAAGGCGACTTGACAAGGCTGTGCTTTCGCAATAGACGTTTCCCTTCTTCTGTAGCGTGCCTTCCAAGAAGTCGCTACCGGTGGTATCAAGAATGATGCCCGGAGACTACGAGAGGCGACTAGGACAGCCGGTAGTCAGTCAAAGCGATCCCAAAGACGTGTACGCAACCAAGGCACAGCCACAGCCAGTAAAGCTGAGAGACGTGGTTTTGGTGTGTCTCTGAGGGCCAGACACTGCGTCTAACACAAACGAAAGCGGCAAACGTTGCTAGCTCACCTTTTTGAGCTCGAGGAGGTACGTGGAGCAGGGGCGCACGTTTGAATGAAGAATGAATGAGTGAATGGGAGCTGTCAAGCAATGATTGTTTTAGGGATAGCTGAAAGAGGTCGACCCTGTGATTGAGCGGGTGTTGAGGAAAACAAGGTCGTTGAATTGTTGACTGGATGAACCTATGACTGGACCGGAGCAAGCAATTGTGATGAGGCAATGTTGTGGCAGTGTTGATGACAACCACTCATGATCATGCAGTTTGAGAGCTTTCAATGGAGCATTGCCTGTAGCTATGAGATGGATTGCGTAGAGTGTAGGTAGGCGAAAGAAGTATTGATCGGAAAGGAAGGCTGGCCAGGGAGAGGTAGAGAAGAATCGAGACTTGCTATGGATGGACGAAAGGAGCGAACCAGGGATTTTTGAGAATTGAAGTAATTAGTACTACGTGCAGAACCAGGGAAAAAAGTTTCGAAGTTGCCCCCTTCACACGCACACAAGAAAAGAGCTCAGTTCAATCGGGGGCGGCGATATTGGGGGGAAGAAAGACGTCGATTGGGATTCATGATGGGGACTCTTGGGGATTGATGTCTACACAGCCCCCGGGACCATTCCGGATCCGGTATGGTGGTCTTGGGGACCAAGCCTAGGCAGACCGGAAGGAGCTATTCAGGTCGCTTTCCTGTTTTGATGTTAGTATGGAGTCGTGTGCATGTCCACTAGAATCCACTCCCGTCCCTCCTCGTCGTCTAATTCAACCATTCAACGGCCATCAAGCATCATCAATGTCAACACCCCATCCAACCTATCAACAACCCATCAAGCTTCAATATGCAGACATATTCTCGTACATGGTGAAGCATATGGTGGATTGATTGAACTGTCCTCCTTCTCCTCCTCCGTCATCCTCTCTTCCTCTACCTTGCTGCCCTCCGTTCTGCATGCATGCCTAGGTACAACAATAGTTTACGGAGCAATCTATTCAACCCATGTCTACCATGATCAAGAAAAATCTCCGTTCGCTTGATTGTATACATTACGATAATACGCGTAAAGACATGCAATAGTCTGTGACAGAACCACAATGCCTATGTACCTACTCTACTTGCCTGCCCTGCTTAACCTTCTTCTTTATCCTCGAAACGCTGGCAGTTCTGATCTGGCAGTTTCAACTAACAAATCTCGGTTCTCGTGTTCTCCTTCTCCGCCACGCTAAACCTATCTCGGGACCTGCCGTACCCCTTCGCCCGCTAACCAAAAGATGCACATCATCTTCATCGTCCTCATTCATCAACATCATGTACACTACGGAGTACAGTACGAGTATCTTCATAAGTTCACTACTACATACATCTTCACCTCCTTTCCCGCTCTGATTTGTCGCGAACATCGTCGTCGTTGTCGTGCACCGTTGATTAAATCCTCTGCCTTGCTCTCCTCGCGCCCTCACGCCCTCATGTCGGCCAAGAGCCTATGCAGCAGCCCGCCGAAGGTCAGCGAGCAGTAACTTGCCGCGTGTTTAGCAAGTCGCAACGTCAGATCTGTGCCCGACTCCTTCTCGCGCCCTGTCCTGCCTTGCCTTCCCTGGCCCTATCCCCGTCCCCGAGGACAGAGATTGTGCGCGATAAATCATGGTCGATTAATTACATAGGTAGGCACGGGGTAAATAACGTCAGTCCTCTGTCCTGTGTCCTCCACCCCTAAACCCGAAGCTCAATCTACCTATTCGTTGGCCTTGGATTGTTCGCCTCGCTCTAATAGTCCATTTGGCGGACCGAATGCTCTGTCGGCCATATCCTCCGATGTTGCCCTTCCGTTGTTGTTGTTGGTCGACTTTGCCGCCAGCATAGCCTCGCCAAATGCTTCGTCCCATCTAGCAACCCACCAGCGTGATCTAGACGTGATACTATCACCACCACCACCATTCATCGCAGTCCCTGATAGTGCCAAACTACCACCCTGTCGATCTTCAGACTTTGCTTTCTGCCAAAACAAGACGTAGCGCCATGTTCAAGTCAGACGTTCAGCGAAGCCAAGCGCGCGACAACTTGGAATCTCATTTGGCCACCCGTGTTGTGTTGTCGTGTTGGCCTTCCCGCAGCTGCATCTGTATCTGCCGCCGGGAAGCCAATTGCTCCCCATGTCCCGATGGGTGCGCGATGGCGTAAGGGGCGTGAAACTGCAAATCAACCGTCCAAGAACCACACGGTTGCCCATCGTGATGCTTGGTACTACGAGAAACCACGCAAATGCCATGCTTCTTGGTTTCGTGACATAGCCTCAATGCTGAGAACACACAAGACCTGAAACCGGAAGCTCGTCGAGCAAAGGCTGTCGTCGAAAAGGAGCCGCTGAGACGGGACTCAAGAACTCAATCTGGCGTATAGTGCATTGTACTCCGCATCTAAGGTTGAGCTGCTCAATAATCAGCGGGAGACCATGGCTGTCGCCGCTGCGGGTGCAGCAGGCACATGCAGGTCGCAACCAGGTCTGTCTCGACTCTTGACTAGTCTCATGGACTAGCCTGATCTCTCTGGAATGTATCTCATGTGAGCATCATGCTGTTGTGTTTTTTACCAAACAGGATTTTCCAACGCCGAAAGGATATCTGGTGTACATTGGCGATCACATCGCAGAGCAAAGCAGCTCGTCTCTATCGGTGAAGAGTAGATGATGTAGGTCTTGTCCCGAATTGAACGCTTCCACTAGATCTCCGACAAAGCAAAAACAACGTTGGTGGGCCCAAGTGCAACCGCGATCGACCTTGATATCAGCCAGCCATTGGTCTTCTCGCTTACCTTGGTGTCGACAGATGAACACAATCACTCGGTCATCATCGGTGTTGACTTGAATGGCGCATCTCGACTTACTGGACCTCATTGAACAAAAACTAGAACTCTCATCAATGACAATGGAGTAGGATACCAGCCCAGGGATGCACATGGAACGTTTCGGTGGTCTGCCCCACAGAACATTTTAGTGTTCAAAATCAAGAACGCATTGGTGCCGGCTAGCATGCAGCTTAAACTTTTGTCCTCTTCCAGACTTGCGAGCCAATCAATGAAGTCTTCACGAGCCTGCCTGTCGGTGCACCTCGGCCTACCAATCACAGTCCAGGGCGCTAAGCGACCTCGCCTATTCGAACCATGCCAAAGGTTGAATGACCATATTTTGCTCTCATGATGACAATCTTTTAATATGAAATGATCACCAATATTGTTCACCAGTTCAGTATTCGTCACTATTGGCCAACTATCTAGGAGGTAACACATACATTGGTTGGTTCCTACCTTATCATAATCCAGATCGAAAACAAAGAAAAGTCATGATAATACTCTGTACATACGTATCATCTAAACCATACACAGTACATTCCTCGAAATTCTGACGTCGCCTATCTCTCTCAAATACCTATTGATTTTCATGAAATGCCATACTTCATGTAATGCTGACTCAAAAGTTTGATCTACGCATCTATACACTGGTGAACGATCCTCAAGTCTCGTGGGCGAACCATTTCACTTTGGCCCCCATTGGGATATGTTTCTGATAAGGCATGAATCTGACCGCGTACCTGCATATAGTTGGCCCCCAAAGCGTTCACTCTCTTGTTCGCATAACCCAAAAACAGATCTACATTCGTTTGCTGGAGTAATCCTTCCACTGCCCTGGATTTCTCGCAATCTCTTTCTTTGCAGAAATAGCTCGTAACAAATGAATACCGGGGTTCTATCAACTATTTATATGTATATATTGATCTATTGGATGAGACTCGTGGTGTCTAATTCCAGAATAATCCAGCGCGTTCGTTCTGCTGGGTCGTGTTTGAAGTATTTCAAACACTCAAGTAATGTCACACTAGTGGTCGAGTGTATTTTGATATCAGACTTCCAATCGATTGGGTTTGACCACTTATACCACAAAACAATCGACGTCGGCCGTTGGAATTACCGAGACATCACTCTAATACAAAACATAAATTATTGCACAACACAACATCGTCGCTCGTATGTAGGTACAGTCTTACGGAGTACATTCGCTGCGCATCGTACACCCTATCCATCTACGATTGCGCTCCCACGTCCCTGTCAAGCTCACGGAGGCAACCATCGCGTCGCTTGAGCTTGTCCATTCAATTCTACTCGACGACGCTGTGCGACGTCATACCGTGGTTTCCAGGCCAATTATGCGTCCGTCACGAGGTTGTATCACGACCCTGAGGCCGGTGTGTCTCGTATCCCGAATTTACACGGTCGACGTCACGACTAACAACATCAAAAATAATCTAGACAAGGCAGCAAGCACCTCCGAACATTACCGCCTAGAATGAAAATCTCAGGCACAACTGAACTTCCTGTGCCATGAACCAATAAGCACATATCAATCAACAACGATATGATTCCCAGGATGAAATCAACCTTGCCATTTGCCTCCCCTCTTACTGTGTACATACATAGTCCATACATACGAATACGTTCCCATCATGACTGTCGATCGGTCAGACTTCAATTTGCCCTTGCTTACCATACCTCGTCTACTACAGTTCACGCACATCTTGCAGATCACACCCATCCATCCCGTACTCGTACATGTAACAACATCTATTCATCAAGCACGCCTGGGAAGGCCTGCACTAACCAGCTTCAGGCAGTTTCACACGCGCTCTCGCAGCCTTTCGCATCCGCGGTCGGGACCCACAGTTACCTGCACACAGCCTCCACTGCCAACCCAACCCCGATACCAACCAAGTACTTGTATCTCTCTCTTCGTTTAAAAATCAAGTAAGGTGTACGATGAGCAACCGACCGGCTTCTCAATTAGGTATGTAGTTACCTGACCTTCGGCTAGTTGATTATGCGGTTTTCTTCGGCGTGATTATCTTGGCTCTTCTCGCAGCGAGCGGCGTCGGAGGCCGGGATGCGCCAAGAAATGAAATGCTCCATCGACGTTATTGATGCGAATGGCATACATACTACGGTTATCGATATGCAACTTCATACCGGAGAGGCACCGAAGGACTACACCCGATGATTCTTTTCCCTTCTTCGATATTTCTTCGCCTTCGGGAGAGATTAATCGAATTAAGCCAGAAGTGCTAGGCATTGTAGATTTCCTTGGCTGAGGGAGGCTGTGCAAAAAACCCCTCCAGAACGAACTTCTCAACAGAGGTACTCCGTAAGAGCGATTTCTCTTCTTCCTGAGCAATAGTCAATAATGAATGAATAATCTCAGATCACGGAGAATTCTTCTTTCCACGCCTCGAAGAAAATCCACCTCCCCCTGAGATAGTGGGCGCAAGTTCATTGTCCTCCTTTATTTTGTCTCGGTTCTTGTCTTGTCGTTGATTATTGCATACAGTAAGCTCTACTTTACGGTACTTGGTACATGCTGCGCCGCCCCCTCGCATCATGCGAACGGATGCACATTTCAGGCGCGCGAAAGAGAAGGCATTGTCTCAGATCGTTGCGTTTTGGATATTCTTCCCGAGATCTTGGGTCAACGACCTGTCACCTACCTACGGGTGTCTCGTGCGAGATGATTGACTGCAGGGTGGTTCTGAAACGTGACGAATTGCATAGGTATTTCGTCGTGGGATGGATTGGATGGGAAAGGTGGGCGTAGATGTCACCGACTCTACTTGGCGGTAATTTCTCTTGTATAATTTCTGTAGTCTTGTACATATGTGGTTGTGAGGCACTGTACATACACTGTAAGATTGTATAACTCAAGTCCTTGATGACTGCCATTCAGGAGGCACGTTTACGCCCATGTCTACATAATTCTTCACACCGCCAAAACATATTTCCCAAACAAGCAAGCTAATTACACATGCGAGGCCCAGCATAGAGGGCAAAAGGTACCAATAGTGAATCCTTCGCGGAATGCACATCCTCTTCCCTATTCAGGAACCCTCTTCACGAGCCGTAAGCTAGCGCTCGTACGCAGTGTTCTACGATGGAGCCTCGAGGCTTTGCGCTTCTCGCTGAATGCGCGGCTCTCTTATCGCCTCATCTGGTTTCTGGCATGTCCGTCCGTCTAGACGTACGTAGACACCTTGTGTCGCGATGACGAGAGCTTCCCTTCGCCCTCGTCTTCAAGATCACAAGGCTTGATATCCGCCTCGAAGCTAGCCAGCCTCAAGGACTGCCACGAAACGGGCGTCCACGCGGCGTAATCAAGAGACACCGACATTGACGCCGTTAATTCATTCATCCATAATCGAAGGTAAAGAATCGCAGTGTGGGATTGTAGCACTGAGCCTCAATTCCATAGCATAGCCCGTTTCAATCCTGTAATCCCCTTGATGTCCGTCTCAAAGCTAAAGACATCAGGGCTGACGCCAGCGGCGAGATGATTGAGCCTCGTGATACCCCCCCGTCCCTCATGATGTGCATTGAAAGATTGTTACGAATATCAAAGACGTCACGTACCATGAGGCAACTAAATTATCTTTGCCGAGCGGAGTGCCGTGGTTGAGGAGGTTGGGTTTGAGAAATGTGGCGTGTGGCGGTGCATCAATGAATGTGGCGCAGACGCAGGCGCTCGCGTTTTGTGTATGATGTATGGCGTTTCGGGGGGTCCGGTGAATTTTTTGCCGCGCCGAGGTTGATTGGGAGGGTTTGAAGCTTAGGATTTTCAGGTGCTTTGTTCGCATTATTGCACATCATGGGTTTCTGATGTGTTAGAGGGTTCTATGAGGCCAAGTCGTGGACCGGTGTCCGCTGATTTCAGCTAATGTCTCATGAGCTGATGAACGACAACCGTAAACTACTGGTGGTTAGGCGTTAGGAATGAACTTGACTGAAAATGATAGTTGCCTTGCGTGCTGACTATGGTAGGCAATTGTCAGAAAGTCAAGTATTAGGCTCTGAGATTATAGCAAACGCTGAACGAGGTCGACTCTCAAACTATGGTGGTTCAAATTTCAACCATCGTTTTCCTATAATCTACCAGTACCCAGATATGCCGCCAGAAAGCAGTTATAAAATAAACAAATTCTCAGAGTCGTAGCAGAGAAACAGATAGACCTGAGCTTCGAAGTCAAGTTGGGCCAGTTGTACGCGGGTCTAGCGAATGTCCGCTAATCTCAATATATTCTAGATTGATAGAATAATGCACACTGAGACGCACATTTAACCAAACAAAGGACAATTGCGTTCTGGCCGGCCCTTGTGCCCCACCGCACACTTTTGAATCCCCGTGTCCAGATTGTGTGCATCTACGTCCTCTGATTCTTCTGTCTTTGAATGTGAATGATTTAACTTCACAGATTAGTCATCTACGAATAGAACTGATCGTTTGATCGTTTCTTCTTCATTCACTGGCCGCATGGCGCAACGGTAGCGCGTCAGATTCCAGTATCCTTGGAGATTCCTGAAGGCTTCCTGTTCGAATCAGGATGTGGTCATTTTTTTGCCAATTCTTTGGACGATGTGAATGAATCGGGGTAGTGGGTTGAAGTGGAAGGGGTACGGGTAATTGGTGAATTAGACGTGATGATACGAGGCCCTGAGTGGGAACCATGTGGGGATCGATTCATTGTCTGGACAAACTAGTACCAAGACGACCTTGCAGTAAAAAATGGAGTATGGTCGAATATTGCATTCCTTTGTTATCTTTTTCGATCAGCATCGGCATGAGACATATTCGCTCATGGTGATAGTCTGTCTGTACACTGTTACAAGTGCTAATATGCGTGCACTGCCTTCCCGCAGGAAGCCGTTGTCACTTTTTTATTTCCCCACAACAATAACGCATTTCGCATGGATTCCACAACCGGGTACGAAATCGATAATGCATTGCGTCTTCTAGAGACCCATTGGCCAGATAGTCTCTAGGGTCGATCCACTTTATTCCTCGTCACCACTTGACGTGTTCGTGTTCTGCGCTTGGTGTGATTGTCTCTCCTCCGCCTCCTTGTTCTTAAGATTTGGAAGGCGAACGGGGATTAACAGCGCATTGACTATCACGAAAACAGCAATGGCCGAGATGAATGTAATCTTCAGACTTCGCGAGTATGCATCGATGACTAGTAGGATTCATGCCATTAGTTTTGGGGGCTGTGTACTAGGTAGGGAGGGCAGAACATGTGTGAGGAACGAAGGGTTTCTGTTTCTTCTTGGAACGTACCTTGGCTTCGTGTCTTGGGTTCAAGGGCGATAATAGAGCGGACCGATTGTCGTACACGGAGTATGATCTGCATGAGAAAAATGCGGTTAGAGATGAATGCTGCGGCGAGTTCGAAAACGAAAAATCCAAGGTAGTACGTACCTCGTCCTTGTCGGGACCGGTGACGAGGTCGTGAAGATAGGCTGTCAAGGCATTTTGGAGAATCAGGCTGCTTAGTGAAACGCCCATCACGATACCCAGGCTTCGCCAGAGAATCAGAGTACTCGTCATGACTGCCTGATCGGCTTGCGTGCTCGTCGCGAGGACGGCGATGGAGGACGCTGGAAAGGAGAGTCCCTGGCCAATACTCGGTGGGAAGAGGAAGAGGGTAGCTACCCATTCTGGTATGCCATCCCACATTACGGACATACAAATTCCTCCCAACAGCATGCCCAACGAACCGACAACGATGAGCCATCGTGTCTTGCCGGTTGCTGTCATGATGAACCCAGCAGACACTCCACAGATTGTCAAACCTACTGACGGACCAGCAAGACGAAATCCAGATAGAGAGGCGGACTCGAGCTTGACGGCTTGGAAGTACAGAGGTGCGTTGAAGATGATTGTGTTTATGCCAACTTGTGCGAAGAAATTGTTGAAGACCAAGTTGCCTCGCGGCCTGCTGAAAAGCATGGCCAGAGGCATGACAGGTCTTGAAGCCTTCGATTCGGCATAGATGAGAGCTCCACCAGCAAGGACGGCAAGAATAAGGGCTGTGATTACGAGAGGATGTTTCCAAGGATAGACATTTCCACCCAGATTGAGACCCAAGATCAAAAATGCAACTGAGCTTGTTAGAAGAAAAGATCCAGCGAAGTCAAAGTCCTTCAATGCCTCCCGCAAGCCTTTTCCAGAACGCTTCGCCAGCTGTGGGCCGAGATTCGATGGTGTAGTGAACACAGCATTCAGGAAGATAACAAGCAGCAGGGGAATTTGAAGAGCAAAGGTCATACGCCATCCCAGTTTATCGCAAAGGAAACCTCCAAAGGCGGCACCTGCAGCAGATCCGCCGCCATAGAATAAGTTGATATAAGCTTGGTAAGTGCCTCGGACTTGAATGCTGACCAGGTCGTTCGTCATGATATTCCCTTAGAATCTATTAATCCAAAGCACAACGAGAGTCAACATCTGAACCTACCCATCGCTAGAACTCCCGCAGCACCGAAACCACAAAATGCTCTTGCGGCAATGAAACTTCCAATGCTTTGCGCCAAAGCACACCAAGCGGTCGTTGCTGCCAGCCATGCAATGCCCATGAGATACAGTGGACGGCGACCAATGGTGTCCGAGACGCGACCGAAAAGTGGTTGGAGAGATGTTGAGGTGAGTAGAAACGAAGTAGATAACCATGAAGCCGAATTAGAGGCATTGAAATAGGAAGTAATGACTGGATGACTTGATGCCATAAGTGTAGAGTCGAACATGGCCACCTATCAAGGAATTAGTAGCATTCATCGACCAATATAAACTACTCACCAGGTAACCCAGCAGGATGCCTCCAAAAATGAATCGGAACTTGGTTCTTGAAAGATTCGCGATTAATCCATTCTCCCCAAACTCTGCGACGAATTCGGGTTCAGGTCGACCACTTGCATCTTCGTCTGGCGCAAGCCAATGGCTATGTGAGTAACTCCGTGTCCTTCCACCGTCCGGAAAGACCCCTGGTTGAAGAGCTCCTTGACTGTGAGATTCTACTGTTTGTATCGCGTTCTCCTCAATGGCAGAGCCATCTAACAGCTCGGGATCGGGGTGCAATAGCGGCGTCCTCTCCGATGGCTGACTTCCATTGTTGCTTTTCTTCCCCATTATATCTCGTCAACGTACTCCGTACTCAGAAAGAAACTGGGAGAAAAGATCAAAGTTCATGTTGAAAAGATGACAAAGATGACGGGATAGCTGCCGTGACTCGCCTCAGCATGCCGACGGTTCTAGCCGTATTAGGCTAGCCATATCCCCTACTCTATGATTGCATCTCCATTGTTACACGGATTTATCGCTACGAATTCGATTTTTTTTTCTTTTGCGGGGTCGCTGCAGCTGGTGAAATGGTGATACCGCAATTTCGAATTGTTGAGTCAAAATTGCTGCTGTGCACTTACATTCGAAAGCCACAATAGCAAAACCCACCGAAAATGGTACCAATCAACGATAGATACCGAACTCACCGAGGTTGCCTTCCCACTAGAATAGATAAATACGCCCCTGATATGATATTGTAGCAACGCTTGACAACAATTGCTCGGAGTCCCGTAACAATATGCACGGAGAAACTCGTATGGGATTGGTATGATTGATGACTGAATGCTTCGTCAAGACCATCACTTACTTGAACAACGTAAATTTGAAGAATAGAGAGAGCGTCGGTATTAAGTAGATAATTAAGAATTGATCGAATATGAAACCTTTCATGAAAGCTGTTTCGCCTATCTTGACTTCGTGTAACATGCAGAAAACACACAGAGTCAGTGTATGCGGGGGTACATTTATAGCGCGACTTTGCGCGCTTCTGAAGCCTGCATCCTCTCCTCTTCAACGCGCATCGGAATCTACTTATACTGTGAATTTCCACAGAGGGGCTCTCAATCAGAGGACTTTCTACCCACCTCGCCGCTCAAAATTCTCATCATGTCTTTTCTTCAACTCAGCCCAGAACTTGTTCTAGAAATTGCAGGATACTTGGAACAGATCGATTTACTAAATGTGTCGCTGGTCTGTAAGGGTCTACGCGAAACGACGAAATCATCTCTCCACCGAGAATACAACAATGTCCATATCATGGGAAATTCATTTGTCGATGTTATCAACAGAATCATAGATGGTGAAATTGATGGGAGATCCATCAAAACCGTACGCTTGCGACCTTGGTTTTCCCTGTCAAGGCTTCTCGACGAGGATCCAGATGACCGTCGACGACGAGAACGCATGATGACGAAAGACCAATACCAGAAACTCACAGAATGTGCAAAGGCCCAAGGATTGATCACTGACATCCTGTCCTTCAAAGAAAGAAGTCCTATACTGAAAATAATGAAAGATTTCGAAGGAATGTTGTCGAGGTCGGACGAATTGGTTTTGCCTCCAAATGTTTACGACGACGATATGAAGGATGGGGATGTGCCGTTAGATCGCAGGTTCTGTGATCACATTCGACTAGGACTAGAAGACGCCTTGATCATTCTTCTCTTATCGCTCTCGCCAAATCTACAAGCTATCAGGCTCGATGGGGTGTCCCCAGATCCCCTTTCTTTGGGCTGGGATCTAGATGGCTTCGACTTTCCTGAACTGCGTAGACTGACTGTTTCGGGTGACAGTGGCCTAATCCCCTTTCATATTGCTACCTTGGAACGCCAACTGCTGAGCAAAAAGCTGCAGACACTCGAAATGAACGTGGCATCGTGCAGCGTGGTGAACGGACCCATTATACCTCTGTATCTACCCCCTCGATCGTTGTTCCTGAGCACAATCCGATTGGAGTACAGCGCAATCCCATATCCCGATATGGAGACCTTGCTCAGAGCCTGTTGCGCTTTGAGATCATTCTTCATGTCCTTGGGTCGCAAGCTTGTGTGCCTCGAGTGTGTGAACCCAGCACAGCTTGTCGAATCTTTAAGCCGTCACAGGAAAACCTTGGAATATTTTGGACTCCGACAATACCAAAGCGACCACCCGGGCATGCAAGTGGATATCCCATCACTGGCTGAATTCACGGCGCTGAAGAAAATTGAAGTGGATGCAGATGACTTCAAGTTCGTCGAAGCAAATGAGAGCAACTACGACTACCCGGACGAAAAGAAACTTCGCAATGTACTACCGCCTTCTTTGGAGCAATTGGACATACTTTTCGGGGCAGGATGCGACGGAGTCTCGCTCGCCGATTTTCAAGACTTTTTAACTGTTCGCGAGAAAACATGTCCGGCTCTGAAAAGTGTCCGGATCGTCACTGCCCACCCGAACAAGGTTCGGCGACGTAAGGCTATACCAGAAAAGCTCACAGAATCGCTGCGGGTGGAATATGTTGGAATCGATTCGTTCATGCGTGGTGAGAGTTGTTTCGTAGATGCCGAAGGCTACTTTGACACACCTCAAAAGGAGACTCGATGGAATGGCACGCAATATGTTCAGGTACCTGTGGACTATACTCGAAGATTCGAAATGGAGAAAGCCATTAGAGATGGTTATGATGGTCTCAGTGATGATTCCTCTGAGTACGAACGTAATTTCGAGTGGGGATCTTGGGAGGAAAGCGGAGTCGATGACGACGATGAGGAGGATGAAGATGACGAACATGGAGGAGCAGAAGCAGAGGGAGACGATGACATCGATGATGATGAAGACGAAAATGATCAAGGAGGGTCGTCACCTGATGATAGCTCAAGCGATGGTCATTGAAGGATTTTAAGACTTTCCTGGCGATGGTCTCAATGGTACCGAATGCTAGATCTTCTCTATCAAATCCTTTAGAGTGCTATAGCTCTAGTTCCTGCATCCTTCACCGTTGGTAAAGGCCTATTGGGAAAACGGCAACAACTCCTCATTATGGCGAGCCTAACATTTTTATTTGGAACACGTGGAGAGATTTTCCTCATTGGAATGGAGGACTAGTTACGAGGTAGCAGATGACAAGATGTTTCTATTTAAAACGTATAGAACATATGATGGCGAGATGGCTCAGACGATTATTCTCTTTAAGGAAATCCGGGGTTTAGTATGGCTTCAAGTCTCCAGAAATGATGAAAGCTCGTATTACAAGCAAGGACCTGTCCAATAATGAACTATGTGTCGCAGCAATAATGTGCATGAACAGTATTTACTCGTAGTTAGGTCTCAAGTATTGGCAAATCAAGACAACAGCTATGAGGGGAGTAGAGCACAGTTTCCCAGAAGCGACGATGGTTGGTGGGCATTTCGTTAGCGGACAATTGGCATGATCAACATTGGGTGACGCGGACCGGAGACTGGGTTGTTTCGAGAAGTGGCCAATCCAAAAGCGGCGAGTCCAATCTTCATGTGCGACTCTCTATCTAACTTATCAGCTCTCCAACACAACTTTGCCTTTTCTCGCTCACTAACGATTATCCCTTCTTCTACTTCTTCTACCCCTTGCGTCGCCTCACGTTAAATCACATATTTCGCTTAGTACTCGACAGCTTTCGCTGCATGCCTCATCTTTCGTAGCCTCAGGCATCGCCCTCTCCAATGGGAAAGTGTACGCAATCACCTTCACGCTCGCGCAAACTCGTATTTCAGGCGCTATACTGACAATCGCTGTTTCACAGGGAGATATGGTGTCATCTTGGATGCTGGGTCCTCCGTATGTCCCCCCGATGACGATCTTCTCGAATCGCAAGCCAAATACTGACAAGAAGTTTAGGGGACACGGGTCCATATTTATCGATGGCTGAACAGCGACAAAGCACGCTCCAAAGCGAGCGAAGAGGAGCTTCAAAGCTTACCCGAAATCGAAACCGATAAGAAGTGGACGAAGAAAATACATCCTGGTGCGCAAACTTTGTTGGAACTTTGTTGGAGGTGGATAGCGAGCAAGACCTGACTCTGGAATAGGCATATCTACATTCGGCGAGACCCCCCATAATGTTGGTCCGGACCATCTCGATGAGCTGCTTAGCCATGCGCTTAAATACGTACCGCTGGAAGAGGTTCCGAATACACCTCTGTTCCTACTTGCGACAGCGGGAATGCGCATACTTCCCCCAGGCCAGAGGAAGGCCGTTCTACAGGAAGTGTGCGATTTCGCGAAGAAAACCACGAAGTTCCAGCTTCCAGATTGCAATCTACACGTTCAGGTCATACCCGGTGAAACAGAGGGTCTATATGGGTGGATAGCGGCCAATTATCTCCTGGGCGGTTTCGATTCCCCCAAGGACCACGATCACGGGAAGGGACATCATACATATGGATTTCTTGATATGGGAGGAGCATCAGCTCAGATTGCGTTTGCTCCAAACGCCACAGAAGCGAAGAAACACGCAGATGATTTGACGTTGCTGCGCCTACGAACAGTGGGGGGAACCGCACTCGAATACAGAGTCTTCGTGACTACATGGTTAGGATTCGGTGTCAATCAGGCAAGACAACGATATGTCACGGCACTCCTGGAATCTAGCACAACCACCAAGGAATTCCCGGATCCTTGTTTACCCTCTGGGTTGCGAGTTACAAAGGATGGCAAACCTATCGATTCCGACGAAAAGCAAGAAGACGACCGAGAACTTGTTGGAACTGGCAAATTCTCGGAATGTTTGCACCAAACGTACCCCTTGTTAGAGAAAGAGAAGGAATGCCTTGACGAGCCGTGCCTACTGAATGGACAACATGTACCAGCTATCGATTTCGATGTAAACCATTTCGTTGGTGTCTCGGAATACTGGCACACAACACACGAAATATTCGAGATGGGACACAAAGACAAAGCCTATGATTTCAAGACTTACCAAGAGCGAGTGGAGGAATTCTGCAGCCGGAGCTGGAAGGACATTGAGAAAGGCATCTCCAAAAAGAAGTGGGGAAAGAAGGTCGACGAAACAACTGCCTTGGAAGTATGTTTCAAGGCTTCATGGCTTATCAATGTGCTTCACGACGGCATTGGTGTTCCACGCGTAGGCCTCGAGGAGCTTCAAGGCGACCAAAACACAACCAAGGCTGTTATTGATGGAGCTAAAGAGAAAGGGTTCCTCAATCCCTTCCAGGCTGTCAATAAGATCAATGACGTTGAAGTGAGTTGGACGCTGGGTAAGATGGTCCTGTATGCCGCAAGCGAGGTCCCACCTCCCTCAGAAAACGATTTGGCAGTGGGATTTGGCAGCAACGAGGATGGCATTCCCGAAAATTTCCAGTACCCCGGCGGCGCATATCTTCCATACCCGGACACGGACGACGATCATCTTCTCGCAGACAACTCCCGAAGGATTCCGGGGCTCATAATATTTGTTCTCATTATTTTTGTGATCATATTTACTGCATGTGGACGAGAACGGAGACAGTCTGCAGGAAAGAAGTTGGGCCAGCTGTTCGGACGAGGTAGCGGTCGCCATGGCTCTTCACGGCGACGGCGGGGTTTAGCAGGCAAGCTCTTTGGCTCCAGTGCACCATCATATGAACGTGTCCTCGAAAGTGGAGAGGGTGCCGACGACTTTGAACTGGGATCAGTGGACTCAAATTCTGATCACGAACAGTCAGATTCGAGCGATGGAAGTCGACTTGGGCGCACGTCTGGATGGGCAACTCCGCAGATCAAAGCTACCCAGGCCACACCAGGGACACCGGGCGTGGATTCCGACAATATTGTAAGTCAGGGTGGAAACTTAGGGTTGGGTCCTCCCGCCTATGCCAATGCAATAGACAGAGGGGGGCTGATGAGTCGGACAGAAAGCAGAGAGAGATTAGCGAGAAGCCGACCTAGCTCTCCTGGCCGATTGAGGAGCGGAAGGACGAACCTGAGGGAGTGATTTACATTCAACAATGTGATCAGTCTCTCAACGTCGGCTTCATGTTTATGTTATAGACGAAATTCGCTTCAATGGGTCATGAGTGTCTACAGGCAGACGGCGTCTTACCTTGATATTGTGGGATGGAGTAACCATATACGGATTTTTAGGCCTGGGGCTTCGTCTATTCTAGCGTTGATATTACCTTTATACCTTTATACCTATATCTTTAACTTCTCCATATCATGAATCTGGACTATCAATTGACCAGAACTGTGGTAATCAGAGTGTCCGTGGGTATTGGAATAATCTAAAAGAGTGTAACTTTAGCCTTGCTCAGTGACGTCGTTTGTCAACACACCTATGCTGCTTATCGATAAGGTTTTGGGGAACCAAATTTCTCGAACTCATCACAACCCCACCATCGCGAACATTCACAATGGCATTCCGCAAGCGCAATGTAGCCCTAACCCGTAGTGATCCGTCCAGTGATACGGTATCATCCCCTACGTCCCCTCAAGCGGCAAATGTTCCTCAGCCATCACCAGGCGTGCGACCCTCCCCAATTGACGGGCGACCTACCACATCCACAGGAACGCCATCGCTCGACGCAGTACTTGCCGGCCACGCAGGATTAGCCCTTGGGAACTCCCTATTGATCGGAGAATCTGGAACTACTGATTATGCGGGAGCATTGCTGAGATTCTATGCCTCGGAGGGCGTGCTACAGGGCCATGTAGTGCACGTTGTGGGGTTGGGTGAGGTATGGGGAAGGGAGCTGCCTGGGATAGCGGAAAGCAGAGATGAGGAAAAGAGAAGGCAAAGGAGTGAACGGGAAGAAAAAATGAAGATTGCCTGGCGATACGAAAGTTTGGGGGAGTTTGGTGGCAGGAGTACGTGCTGTGCATTTCCTATCATTTTACGCAGCAAACTACGTGTGCTTTCACGCAAATACTTTTGCTAACTACTGTCGTGTATAGATGCGAACAGAGTCCCCACACAAACCAAGACTGATGGAGCTGAGGCGGAGTCAATATTTTGCCATACGTTTGACCTCGCAAAACGGCTCTCTCTACCGTCTAACACATCCATCAACTACATTCAAATACCACGAACCGCACCTCAAGCCTCACCGTTCACAGGGATAATACAAAACCTCCAACAGAAGCTCGAAACGTCACCACCTAGTTCGATCCACCGTCTCATCATTCCTTCCATCCTGTCACCTGCCTATTATCCTCCTTCATCATCCCAGCCTCAACATGTCCTCCAATTCCTCCACGCCTTACGAGCCCTCCTGAGACAATATCCGACACGCCTAACAGCCATATCCACCATACCCCTATCTTTATACCCCCGTAGTACTGGTCTAATTCGTTGGATGGAACACCTATCGGACGGTGTCTTCGAACTTTCACCATTCCCCTACTCCGCCTCCCAAGCACTCTCCACCTCCTCCGCTGCCACCAAGGAAGAGGAAAGGCCACAGGGCATGTTCGCAGTACACAAGTTACCTGTGTGGAGTGACAAAGGAGGAGGTGGTGCGGTCGAGGGTCTAGGCGAGGATCTAGCCTTCACGTTAAGCAGGAGGAAGTTCACCATTGCGAAGTTCAGTCTGCCGCCGATGGAGGGAGATCAGGAGGCTCAGGAGGAAGCGATGAGGGATGTTGCGGGAGAGAGAGGGAAGACGATGCCGAGTAAAGCAGAACTTGAGTTCTAAGTATCGGGTTGATATAGTTAGTTATCTAGGGCAGGATATTAAAGATACCATTTATTATTTGGAAGGAGCGATTGAATTGGGGTTCATCACAATCGGAAATCTTGTACCGGAAATGAAATGATGTGATGAAGAATATTGATTTAAAATACAAAGGTCGTTAATCATCGCTTGGAGACATATTAATACATAAAATGACACATGGCCATCAGAAAGAATCAGAAAGAACCCTGCCTTTCCACTTTTCGTTTCGTTCCCATCACGTCACGATTCTACGTCGCCGCGGCGACCGTCTTGACGTCCTGGTTGTACTTATCGATCGTCACCATCACCAATCCAAAGGTGAGCAGCAGATCCATTCCGGGAGTCACATCGATATTGTCTCTCCTGCTCCGGAAAGACAAGCCGTTGGGATGCTTCTGCGTCGCGACAGGTTGGCCATCGGCCGTGATAGTCATCCAGCTCTGGTGCCTATCGACCTCGATGTTTTGCGTCGTTGGAGTTTGCATTTCTACCAGTCCCCACATGTCAGCAAATAGGTCCCACTAGGACTCAAGGTGTAAAGACATCATACGTACCGAACTTAGTCTTCGTAAATCCGTCCTTCAGCTTAGTGTGAAAGATCTGACGGCCGCCAGGCGCGATAGCAACGTACTCTGGCTTCGACGTCCAGCAGCCGGTCGTCTTTTGCAGCTTCAACACCACCCTTCCATTCTGCTTGAAGTCCCAGTTCTTCCTGTTTTGCTGCTCGATCTCGAGGAATGTCTCGCCTGGCTCGCCGTTGGGGAGGCGGAATGCGGCGATGTAGCTGTTCTTGGACCAGCCTTGCTTCTCTTTCATAACGAATTGCTCGGGCCGTTTGGCTGTGAAGCCCTGGCAGAGGACGATGCCTGGTGGTGGGAGGGGGTTCATTTTGAGATGTGGTTGTGGTGGTTTTGTGATTGTATGGATATTGGTGTGCTTATCCTCTTTGGTTGGATGTTGTATAGTTGATGTATCCTCGGATTTGATGCTTTAGAGGGATATTGTTTTTTTTTTTTCAGTGGATAGTGATTTGATATATTCCAAAGAAGTAGGATGCAGCGAACCTTAAGTATCTTTGCATTCAACGATGCATAATCAGACATCATGGCTGTAACTCTATCGCAACCGCAATCTCATGATCTACACACACACCTACGTCGACGCTCACCCACCCCATCCCTAACGTTTCCAAAATTATTCCAGCAAAGGCACCAAGCCGCGAGGTCTCAGCCCCCGAAATGGTCGATCGGCGGGCCAATCGGTCGCGATTCCCTATCTCTTGGCCTTCTCCATTGCCTCTACGGGTTAAGAGCAGGCGACCCGCTTTCGCAGCGTGAGATCAGAGGCTGAGTTGTGATCCCGGGGTGCAAGGCTTATAGGATCTAAGGTTTTGCCGTTTGGGGATAATAGAGTGGTGATCGGCCAGGGCTATGACGTTGGATGGGTTCGAGCTTGGCGGACAACAACACGAAATGCTTCAATGTTGGAGCGTAGGAATATTTTGCATGAGAAGTGTAGGGCGTATCCAGGGTCTATTGGTGAAATGTATCATGTTCCAAGATCTTTGAATCTTCTTCTGTGTTCTCCTTTTACCGTGTGAGAACGATACGAGGTAGCAGTTTGTTTGTCTAGCATTTAGTACTCGAGGAATTGACACAAAACATCACGCTTATCGGTCTATCAAGATATTGACATATCAATGAAATTCGTTCCTGAAATAATAATTATACTAATGATTGTCCGCGCATTTCATATTGCACGGTAAAGAAAATGCAATTGTCGCCGCTTCCAGTATCTCGGCAAAAAAGAACTCCGAAGAGTTATGAATATAAAACCCTCAAAAGGAACGGTTGCATACACCGCTAAATGTGTAGTAGATAGATTACGATGTCTCCAGAGTCGGCCTCTTCGCCGAGGATTCTGGACCATCATGCTCGGACTTCCTCTTGAGCACCCTTTCTGCTTTCCTAGATGTAGCGGGCCAGAACCGGTGTGCGGGTGGATTGTCCAGATCAGCAATTTCGCTGTCCAAGATCTCTCTACCTTCGAGCTGCTCAGATGTGAGATTTGGAGCGTTGAGATGCAGCTCTTGTGTGTCTTCTCGGAAGAATACTCTTCGTACAAACTCCATGCAGTGGCGCTTCCTGACAAAGCTGAACTTCTGGAAGGTGATCGGATAGGTCCTCGACATTATGTCGGTGACAGGTGCACTTTGGTCATCGAGTGTCAGCATCTCCCAGCCTTTGTCGGCCAGCAGCTCCGCAAATTCCTGCGACTGTACCCAATCGTTGTATAACTCAAGCGGCACGGTGACGGTCAATTTTTTGAGGTTCTTGAACTTGAGAGCGTATCGCTTCCAGAAGCGGCGCCATCCAACCTTTTCTCGATCGATGAGCTGCTTTTCGGCGTCGCTTGCTCGCTTGGAGCGATTCCATGTTGCTACACCAGGTACGTCATAGGGGTAACTGATGGTCAGCTCATCAACGAGCTCCGCTACACCGGACAGATTGCATCGTGCTTGTGTGGGCGCTAGAACTTCCCTTCTGCCTTCACCCTCACCCTCGAAACTCTTGTAATCTCCAAAGAAGAGACAAACCTCGGGCGCATTGTAGTCTCTGCGGCTACCAATGAGCAACCTGATAGGAATGTCGATGGATTTGAGTATTCGCATCATCGCTTCGATCCTCGCAATAAGATCTACCTTTGGGAGGAGATATCTCGAGTCCAAATTTTCTGGGTACACATCGCACATCAAGGACTCCCAAGACAATGCTGGTTTCCAACCACACGTTTGAGCCAGCCAGCGTAAAGCATCCTGTACATCTGGACTGGAAATGGGATCGGCGGGCGGCGGTAGCACCAGGACCGGAGTCGCGGCAACATGCCTACGCCTATGACTGGCATTGATGAGTTGGAGGGGCTGATACTCCATACTACGGCGGAAGCTCATGGGTGTGACCTTGATGTTGGAAAACTTCTGAGTACTAGTCCGAAGATTCTGAAGAACATCAATGAAAGATGCGTTCACACCCGACACAACCTGTTTTCCTACTTCCATGTGATTTCGCCCACACGTTTCGAATGTTTTGTCGTCAAAGACCTCTTCATCCTCTCGGCGATGATCACCAGGCATTATGCGGTAGGGTATAGGTGCGAATAGCTCACGCGGACCTCGGCCACCATCTAGCCAGTCATACAGGCTAATCTCGATGTCATGTAGCCTTCCCCAGCTGGTAACATCTGTGCAGAACAGTGACCTGTACGGTCCGAAATCATATACGCGAAGTTTTGTCAAGGTTGGCGGGCAATTCTCTTCGATTCCGTTCACCAGCAAGCAAACTCTTTGGTGAACTTCGAACTCATCCCAACTATGGTATCCAGAGTACTTTTCGCGGATCGAAAGTGTCTTCAGCGTGGTGCAGATGGGGAAGAGTATCTTGGCCACGGAACCACCGCCCTGACGCCGTGAGAGTCTGAACTTCGTCTTGAACCTGTAGTCCTCGTATGAATAAGCGTAAGAAATGCGTGAGTGATTGGTGTAATCAGCCCAGTTTGCCACCTCGAGCTCCTCGAGCCGGCCAAAGAGCTTGGGGCAGGCGTTCGCAAGCTCCGTCCATGTCCATGTCTCTTCCGGAGTCCAAACAAAGTCTTTGATACTTGAAATATCTAAGCATGTGAGGCTGGGGAGATTCTCCTCGATCCACCGAAAGTCTTGTATGCTGCTCCAGTGAGACATGGAAAGCCTATGCACATAATTCCTGTTGCTATCGTCGATGGACTCTTGGAAAGCCTCCCATCGTTGTTGTCCTGTAGGTCCATACTTCCAATCTCTTAGACAGAGGTCGCTAACATCGTTCCACTGCAAGGGGTATTTGTATAATAGCTCGTTCACCAATTTGGACTGCGACATGCCCTTACACAGGCGCTTGAGGGACCATGCGGAGTCTCGGTCGAGGTAATCGGAGATACACTTGAAGATATCGACTGGAAGCCTTAGGAATGGCGAGTCTTGTACTATGGGCTCAGACATCGTAATATCTCCGTCGCGCTGGGTGCCATTGGGTCTTGCGGCGTCTGGGCTGGTTTCGCGGCTGACGGAGGTGCTGGAATCGGTATCAGCATCCATGATTCTTTGCTGCAGCAGTCTTTGTCCTTCACTCGCGTCAACAGAGTCCAATTAGTCCTGGCAGTTGGTATCACATGCGGTTGTATTGGAGTGCTGCGTATCGCCTTGTGAACAGCATGGGAAGCAGAGCTCAGCCTAGTCGCGACAGCTCTGGGTGGAGTTGGAGAGCAGCTATGCTTCGTTCTCAGAGGGAGAGAGGGTTTGAGTAAGATTTAAACGCAAGCGAAGTGAAGGAGCCGCAACGATTAATATTGTAGCCTTCACTTCGGTTAGGTGAAAGGCACGAATGATTGTGCCGCAAGAGTTGCGACGATAGTGAATGCGGGCGCTCGTACATGATGTCGGAGGTCGGTAGTCGGCGTTTTGGGTGGCTGCTCCTTGGGAATGCTGGATGATTTATCACGCGATTGGGATTCACAAACGCTCAATAGTTTGATGACCACAAGCAAGTAAGATTATATCTACGCAGTTTCATGTACTCCAGGTCCATGAATTCTACTATTAGACCACTGGACTGGACTCAGAGCGAACAAAGCTGGCATGATAAAGACAAGACAGTTCCTGAAAGGGCATAGCCTCTGTATTTCTTGGCACAGTGCTGGGAAGATTTGTCGATTTCTCTTTCATAGAGCTTCACTATCGAGCTTGCATACTCACAACCCCGCCATTCGCAATCACAACCGTCAGACCTCTCAAATCGCATTTCAAGAGAAAACAATCGAACCAGACCAACTAGACTGCACGATACATTATCGCGACTGCACCTTTATCCTCCAGTTTGTGAATATACCATCGCAATGGCCGACGCTACCGTCCTCGAAGACACCTTCAGCATAACCTCGGTGGATCAAAAGAAATATGACCGAGTCTCTCGTCTCTATGGAACTTCCATCGACAATACCATGACCATGCAGCTCGACATCAACCATGAGCTCTTCCCCTGCGCGGTCGGCGACCAATTGCAGTTCAACATCGCGACGACACTGAACCTGGACGGCACAAAGGACGAGAGGGGTTGGAGGCAGAACCAGGGCGACCGTGCGACGCTGGCTGATATGTACGACTACGTCTGCCACGGAAAGGTCTATCGTTTTGAGGATTCGGCTGAGGCGGAGACTGCGTAAGTAGCCTTTTGAAGGTTCTTCCAGTGGAAAATGCTAATAAGATATACAGAAAGGTGTACATCTCTTTCGGAGGACTTCTTCTCTACATCGAAGGCCCATACAAGAAGCTCACTGGCTTGAGGATCGAGTATGTCTACCTCTTGGTCAAGAAATGAAGGACATGAATGGCAGAGACGACTGAAAGCATGCATGGATGGCGTTTTTGGAGGAGGTAAAAAAGTGTGGACTTTTATCTCTAGAGATTTTTTGTTTGTTTGGTATATCTCTGGAAAAGAACCTTTTGTTTCAATCGGCAAACATGGCGCGCCCGGATACCCAACCCCAGACTGGCGTCCAAAGATAGCCCAGCCCTCTATAGAGTAGGAAACTCCAATTTCCGATGCAACCTCGACACAATTTCAATGTAGTCCTTCTCATTCTCACACGTCAGGATGCCGTGCCTGACGAAGAAGTCCAGGACCACGAGCGCGCAATTGGGCTTGAACTCCCCCTTCCTCATCGCCTCCTGCACCTCCTCCACCGACCACAGATAGAACTCCTCCACCTCGTCGTCGCCCGGTTTGGGTATCACATCCTTCGGAAGCTCCAGATCCCAAATGTACTGACACTCCGGCTGCAACAACTTCGTCTCGCCGCCCGCCTTCTCCGTCCGAATGTGATGATACGTGACCGTCCCGCAAGCCTTCGCACCCTTCCTCACCAGCTCCTCTCCCAGCGACGCCTCCTCCGCACACTCCCTAACCATACTCTCGAACGGATCCTCCCCGGACGCAATCCCCCCCGCGACAGCATTATCCAGCATGCCCCCATACGTCTGCTTCGTCCTCGCCCTCCTCGGCGTCCAAATCTTGATCTCCCCCTCCTTCGTCCGCACATACGCCGTCAAATGAACCCCATACATCACCACCCCGAACAGCGGCCCCGCGCTCCTCTCCACATTGAACAACAATTCCTTGTTGCGCCCATACACCGCATACAACTCGTCCCGCCACTTATCCAGCACCTTGAAGTGCCCTGTCGCACGTAGCGCCAGCAGCGTCTGCTCGACGGCCGCCGACCGCTCCGCCGCCGTGTCGCCGGCTTCTAGCGTGAGTATGCGGTCCGCGTCGTTGAGGTCCCAGTTGGGGACCCCGCGGAACACCTCGGCGACGGAGGGGAGCAGGTATCCGATGCCGTAGGCGTGGTTGCGCACGCGGAGCTCGTAGTAGGTTGATATGCTCGCGGCGTAGAGGTCCGGATCGACTTGGTAGTAAGGGAAGCTGGTGCGGCGTGTGAGTGAGTAGGCGGTATGGCGCTTTTGTGGAGGAGGGGACTTACGAATCGCACTCGTCCACCAGGTCGAGGTTGGAGTAGTTCGTCTTTTGTGCTGCGGGCTCCATTGTCGATTTGCCTTGGACTTTGTCCGTTCTGTTGATAGATACAGCTCTTAGTCTAAAACCTTTGACTTTTGCTCAATTGCCACCACTGGAATGAAATTTAGCAATCCCTTTCTTTATATATAATAAAAGTAGATTATAGCAATTGAGAAAAAGGAAGTTCAGCGTACGTCATGCCCTCGAGACCCTCCAGTTTCTTTATACCTAAACCGCCAAAGTGGGGGGCGGGGCTAAAAACCGGGGACCGACCCTTAGCTGTTTCGTGAATTGAATGTTCATCACCGTCTGATTAAGCTACCCTACCCTAAGTTACCTGGATTATTTTGTAAACACAGGCACGTCTCTCGCTCCTCTACAGCCGCCACCGCCGCAACTACTGAACAAACCTACCATTGAAATCCCCTCAAACTGGGACGAACGAACACAATGTCACACAACCGCAGCGTCTCGATATCCAACAACACCACCGGCGGCGCCGCATCCGCGCTCGCCAGCGGGGCTGAGAAAACCTACTTCGAGCAGCAGCGCGAGATCCTCGTCGGCGAAATCGCACAGGTACGCCTCCCTCCTGTCCCCCCTCTCCTCTTCCCATGCATTTGTCTAACGCATATCCACAGAGCCTAGAGCACGTCCTACAAAACATGAACAAGCTCAACCGGTCGCTGGAGGAAGTCATAGCCGTGGGCAAGGAGTTCAGCCCCGTCGAGGCGCTGTGGAGCCAGTTTGAGAACGTGATGGCGAAGGATAATGGGGAGGAGGGGGAGGAAGGGGGAGGTGCGGAGAATGGGGAGGGGGAGACGGAGGGAGAGGGGGAGACGGAGGTGGAGGGGAGGGGGAAGTGAGGAGCCTTTTTCTGTTCATTGCGGAAGTGTGGATGGGAGGAAGAGGAGGAGATGTGGTTGCGTCACTGTGTGTGGTGGCGATATATGATACCCAAGTTTTTGTAAGGGGAAGAGGAAGTTGTGTTAGGGTTGAAATGCCCTGTACTATGGAGAGCTGGCCGAATTGGCCGTTGACATTCGAGGGCTGCGGAGAGTGCACATCGTGAAATATTGCTGTTAGGGCGATTGTCGATCACGATACACGTCGAGGCAATGGAAAATTCGTTTCAAATTCACTTCTTTTACACGGCGGGAAGCTCCTCGGACAACCCCGTTCAGATACCAGATACCAGAATACAAACAAGAGAAAAGGAAAGGAAATTTGGATGTGCAGAAGAGGAGGGCGCTGCAGACTAACTCCTCCGATTTGTGTATGACAGATCCCGAACGCCAATGTGGTTCCCCCCAGTAGCCGCTATACCACGACTAGGATGCTCGAAAAGGGTGCGAAGAAAGGTAAATATGTCCATGATACGGTCATTAAGCATCTCGATCGTGTCGTCCAGCGTCGTGAATCTTGATAATCCTACCGAAGGCGGCGGGTTGGGGTTGCTCAGTACCACGGACTCTACAAGAAACGAAAGAGAAATGCTTAGAGGACTTTGCAGCTCCGCTTCTTAGGCTTCTTACCACCTGTGAATGCAGAACGCGGCACGCCCGTCTCCTCTGGCTCCTTGTACTCCTCTCCTACCGCTGTTGTCACGGCCATGTCGAAGATCTCCTCGACACCGTCTTGCTCCTTACTACTGCACTCCATATAGTGCGCGCCCATCTTCTTTGCTACTGCCCTGCCCTGCTCGGGCGTCACTGGTGTGAGGCCTTGTGTCTTGAGTAGTTCAATGCATGACCTCTTGTTGCGAAGATCTGATTTGAGGCCGAGAAGCATGATTGGGGTGGTTGGGCAGAAGTGAAGAACTTCGGGGTACCACTGCTAACGTTAGTATACGTGTGTATCCACGAGCAATCACTATCAACTTACTTTGTCCATGACGTTCTCGAGCGAGTTGGGGCAATCAATGGCGAAGCAGACGAACAAGATATCTGTCTCGGGGTAAGAGAGCGGCCTCAATCGATCGTACTCCTCTTGACCGGCAGTATCCCAGAGAGCAAGCTCAACCATCTTTCCGGTAGGAGGATGTGGTGTGTGAGTGATGTAGTTCTCGAAGACAGTTGGTACATATTTCTGTTCGCCGTTAGTAAATTGATCAATGTATGAAGCTGGAGCGAGTGAATTGGTCATACCTCAGGGAAGTTGCCGGTGCTATAGCTGATGAGAAGACATGTCTTTCCGCAGCCGCCATCTCCAACAACGACGAGCTTCTTGGAGTAGGTAGGGGGCTCTGTGATGTTGGTCTCCCGGGTGTTGGCAGTGTCGTAGGAGCTCACAGTGCCATTGCTGTTGCGCTCGCTGGGTGTGCGGACAGGCTTGCGAACGGGAGCCACTGATGATACAGGCGCCTTGACGGACTGCTTGCGGCGCAGGTAGTCGTAGTTGGCGGTGGTGCCTGTCTGCGCCGACATTGTAGTTGTATTTGGATGTGTATGTGTCCGTATGAGGGTATGTATCGTGTTCTGTTGCCGGAGGACAGCAAAGTCGTCGAACAGATCTGAATATGCGGTATCAATATATGAACAGCGAAGTGGAAGGAAATGTCGAAACGTTGGGGGGAGAGTGGAAGAGTGGGATTGACGTTTTGATGAGGAACGAGAGAGAGTGGTGAAAGTGAAGGGCAATGTTTAATTAATCAAGTTTTTCCTTGGTCGAAGGTAAGTGAAGTGGGTTGGTTGCCAGTGTTTGTTTCGAGGGCGGCGGCTGCCCTGGCAACAATCCCTCCCGCACACCCACGCACCCACTGGGCCACCCACTGACCTACTGGGCCACTCCGCACTCGAGTCGCCCACTCCTCAAGGCTCAAGGCTCACCAAATGCACCCACCCAACCAACCAGCACAGCAGATCAGCCCGCCCCCAGCCAGTCCAGCCAGTCCAGCCAGTCCAGCCAGGCCGTTCACCTGCCAGTGCCCGCTTCAACGCGCGTGCGCCATCGTCCCCTCCCGTCCCTAGCCTTGCCTTGCTGTTACAGAGGAATTAATATAGTCACATAACAGCACAAGTAGTTATAATTGCACCGAGTACGGAGTATGTTTGCGCGAATCCCACCTACGAGTACTTTCGAGTACCAATTATGCAATGATGCATCTGTCGCACTCAACAAAGACAATAGCTACCTTAGCTTTCTCTCATATGTCTCGATCGTACGTCCAATGAAATGTAATTCAAAGCGTGTGTGACGTGACACACTAGGTAAGTCGGCTTTCTACTTCTTACTCATACAAGTCACGACACACAGTATCTTATCGACCCATAAATGCGCAGACGGATAGTCAAGTGACGTCGTTACAGTTCCCAATATACAATACAGTATCAATCTAATTAATTGTCTTGTCTCTTCATCTCCTCTCCATTCTATTCTTGTCTCGATGCTCACCCGTACTATGCACTAGCTGAACAGAGTTACTTAAGCGACCATCCTTCTCCTGCCTCTCCAACATAGCAGCCCCCAACATCATCAATCTCCTCCATGTTGTCCCTACCCCGCCCTGAATGGCCATGATAGCTCCTCGGAATTCTATTCTAGGACTTACTCATGGCTCTCCACTATGAGGCCTCGACCTCCTCTTCCTCCTCCTCCTCCACCCACGCGACAATGACTAAGGTGGATCCCCTCTCCAACGCGCAGAACGAGCCTCGGCTCGACGCAGGCAATAAACATCACGATCACTGTGCGCCTTTGCCCTTCCCCTATGGCCCATTGTCTCAGACATTCCACTAATACAATGTACTACAGATGCAAATGCTCTTCCCAAATGGCGAAACGAAATCCGCAAAAAGTTGATTCCCATCGTACGATGGGAGACCCCATACCTCGCGCTGATGCAGGATGCGCTGCGAACTCCTGCGCTCGACTCCTATTTCGCCTTTACAGCTAATCTCGGAACGCATACTTTCTACATGGTCTTTCTTCCCATCCTGTTCTGGTGCGGATACACAAACTTTGGCCGAGCGTAGGTCCTGCGTCTGAGATCATATCGCTACCGAATACTGATCCAATCTAGGATGGTCCACATGCTCGCTGCAGGCATCTTCGTGAGCGGGTTTCTCAAGGACATGCTCTGTCTGCCCAGACCACTGTCTCCCCCGCTTGCGCGTATTACCATGTCAGGATCGGCAGCGCTCGAATATGGCTTTCCTTCCTCTCACTCTACCAATGCCGTTTCCGTAGCCCTATACGCCATTTACATGATACGAAGTGCTCCAGAGCAGTACCATCCTCAGGTTTTTGTCGCGGTTCAGGCCCTCTTCTGGTGGTATGCCATCTCCATCATCTTCGGCAGGCTGTACTGCGGAATGCATGGCTTTCTGGACGTTGTCATTGGAAGCATTCTCGGGGCTATTATCGGGGTCGGCCAATTAGCATATGGGGACTTCCTGGACACGTGGATTCCCGACGGCCCTATTGGCAACCTGATAATCTCGATATTGGTCGTTTTGGTTCTTGTTCGGATTCATCCCGAACCCGCAGACGATTGCCCTTGCTTCGATGACAGCGTCTCATTTGCTGGCGTAGTGCTCGGAATCCAAGTCGGAGCCTGGCAGTATGCTCGATGTGCCTTCTCCACTAACGACCCAATCTCATCTACCGTTCCATTCAGCATAGAAAGCATTGGGTGGGTACGAGCTGTACTTCGGGTCATTTTGGGTGTGGTAATGATCTTCATCTGGAGGGCATCAACGAAACCTGCGCTATTCAAAATTCTGCCCCCACTCTTCCGTGTCCTCGAAAGAGTTCGCTGGAACCTTCCGCGTGCTTTCTTTCTGAACGCTTCGTAGGTTACCTGCTCCGAGCGCTAGATCTTAACACTTACATTGCACAGGAAATATACCAGTATTCCAACATTACGAGGCGATGACAATGTCATCCCTACTGCATCAGAATTGCCGCATATGCTTAAGAATCTCGCGCACCCCCGCAGAAGATCGGTATCGGTTGGGCCACAGTCCGCAGCGGATGCTTACGAAACGCTTGCATATCGCAATAGGCGTCGTCGAGAAAGCATAAACTCCTTAGATGGAAAGATGCCCGAGGACTCGGCCTGGGTGCCTCAAACTAAGGAGGATGGCACCCAAGCTTCCCCACAACAGTCCCAAGAAAAGGTACCGTTAGGTGCAAATATGCTTCCTACTCCAATGGCATCGCGGGTACATTCCTATGAGCAAATGATGGGAACAGGGAATGCAGCTGTCACGACTGCAACACCTCCAGAGCGGAATCAAAATTTTATGGGCGAAGATGCCGTTCAGAGTCCTACCGAAGAAGAAAACGAGAAACGGGAAATATTCATGAAGATCACCAAGCCCCGTGTGAGGTACGATGTGGAGGTTGTAACGAAATTAATTGTCTATGCAGGTAAGAAGCACTCCATTCGAATTTGCGCACATCTGCTGATATGATTAGGCATTGGCTGGTTGGCGGTTTCAGGAAACCCAATGTTGTTTCAAATAGTTGGTTTGGGAATGGGTGTGGCTCTTGTCCAGTGAGCGGAGACTTCTGTTGTATACATTTCAGACATGGTGGCTGTTGATTTTCTTCTACTCCTGTGGACGTTGGGTCATGATTTCAGACTAGACGTATTTTAGATACCCCACTACTTGAACATCCTGACTTTTGCCTTGACCTCGTAGTTTGGGCCCACTTAACTCTATCATTCTTCTCGACCACAACACAACATCGAATGAATTGATGATATTGTACTTACAGAGGAACCATGGAGCCCCGCATTATATTTCTTGTTCCTCGCCTTCATGTCAAGAGGGTGAAGACGGTTCTCGAGCAACATGATTTGCTAGATCGAAAAACAAAAATTGCAGCCGTTGCTGCAGATGAAGAGCAGGGACAACCGCGAGATTCGCGAATGGCATTATTTACGACAATAAATCCAACTCAATCGGAAATACAAGACATGTTTCTAGATGACGAACGGAAATCCACCCTCACAGGGGACCTCGCTCTGGACGACTTGAAAGAAGAAATAGATATCATCCTACAGAACAGTGAATCGACCGGAGCCACTACAACTCGCAATCCATTCACTGCCGCCATAATAGAAGCACTCAACAAACTCCCGCCATCATTACTCGAAGTCATCCACATCAGCCACGCGGACTTGATCAACGAAGCACCAACAACATACTCGATATACAAACCCATGCTCCTCCTCCCACCCAACGCATTCGACTCCCCTCCCTGGAAAACCCTCTTCTCCGCCCACGGAGCCAACCACCAAGACCTCCAACCCCTCTGGACAACCATCGCCTCCTCAATGAACGTAACGCACATAGCCATCAACGCCGGAATCCCGCTCTCCAAAGCCCAACCCACCACCACCAAACCCCAAGAAGTCGAAAACATCCTCCGCAGCCCCCTAAACCTCACCCCCCTCCACGGCGCCTTCCACCCCCTCCCGACCCCCCAAACCCTCACCTCCCCAACCCCCTCCGACCTCTCCTCCACCCTCTGGGTCTCCACAAGCCAAAACGGCATCGTCCAGGTCTGGGCACCGCTATACACCATGTTCTCCCGCGGCAACATCCGCGAGAAAACACGGCTGCTCACTCTCCCCTCCGTCACCGCCGCCGTCACGCAAGGGGCGGAAGAGGAGCAGGGTTGCACGGCCGTGGACCTCTACGCCGGCATCGGGTACTTCTCCTTCTCGTACCGGCGCGCCGGCGTCGCGAAGGTGCTGTGCTGGGAGTTGAATCCCTGGAGCGTGGAGGGTCTGCGTCGCGGGGCGGAGAGGAACCGCTGGAAGACTGCTATCTTCCACGACGCTGCTTCGTCGTCCCCGTCTGCTGTGGTTAGTACGTTACGCGAGTTAGATGAAGAGGGGGTGGATTTCGCGGTCTTCCAGCAGAGCAACGAGTTCGCGGCGCCGGTTGTGCGTGCGCTGAGGGAGGGGGGCGTGGTGCCGCGGGTCAGACATGTGAATTTGGGGTTTTTGCCTTCGTCGCGGGGCGCATGGAGGACGGCGGTGAGGGTTGTGGATGCGGAGGTTGGGGGGTGGGTTCATGTGCATGAGAATGTTGGGGTTGGGGAGATTGAGGGGAGGGCGGGGGAGGTCGTGGAGGCTATGCAGGGGTTTTTAGATGAGTGGGATGGGGAGTTGGGGAGGAGAGATGGAGGGAGGAGGAGGGTGGTGTGGGAGCATACGGAGAGGATTAAGACGTATGCGCCTGGGGTGTGGCATGTGGTTTTTGATGTTAGGGTTGAGGGGTGGAGGGATGTGGAGGGATGATTTGATGGCGGTGGGTGTTTGTTGTAGGTAATTTGCCTTTGATGGCGATGGTTTATTCCAGACCGTTTCTACATATATACTACGCAAGCCGTTACTTATTCGTGTTCACAGTTCTTGCGCGTTTCGATGGATGGCCTCGAGTCCATCTCTTTCTACTCGAACGCCTAACGCCACACCCAATGGACATAAGATATATCTTTCACATCGGATTATGTTCAATTGATCCTGAACTTGGCGGGTATATTCCTCTCCACCACGCCCTTCCACTCCATCTTCTCCCACTCCTCCCGCCTCCGATCCATCTCGTCATGCTTAGCAAAATGCTCAATGTCCTCCGGGTGATTCAAATCCTCTTCCTTGACGTCATCCCCGCTGTGATACTTCTCCCAATGGTGGATCTCATACTCGTACTCGTCGTCTCCGTGGTGCCCAGGACCCATGCCGAAGTCGGGCAACTTCTCGCCAGCATCCCATTTGGAAACGAACTCCTCACTCGTGATCTCGCCGTCCTTGTTGGCGTCGTAGATGCCGAGCACGGTGTCAACTACGCCCTGCTTCTTGAGCTCGGAGATGTGCGCACTGGACGGGTCTCTCAGGCCGTACGTCCGTCGGATGTCTTCTGTCGTCCAGACGCCAGTGGAGTCGTAGTCGTGAAGCCTGAAGAATGAAAGGGCGTCGAATGTTGAAATGTGATGTTCCTCTGTAACCACCATGTAAGCACGTTGTCTTAGAGAAAGCCAATTTGAAAAGGTGAAACATACCAGCCATATGTTTCGTCGCCCAGTCCGCGTTATCGTCCAGTACGATCTGCTCATGGGCGCCGCCACCATGCGCCGAGGCATTGAGCGCGCACGACAGCACAACGAGCACGCCGAGGGGTATCCGTAGTAATCTGCTCATGATTTATGTGGTCTTGTAGCTATAGCGCGACAACTGTTGGGAAAAAAGTAGATGGTAATCGATAGGGGGCATGCGGCTGACGGGGTGCGGCGAAACTTTGTTGCGGGTCGAGATGCACCTCGGCGCGACGCGATGACGTATGCAATATGGAGATAGAAAGCAAATGAGCCTGCAATTGCAACTTCTCTTTGACGTGAAGGGATCAGATGATTTGTGCTGGTAGTTTGCGTTGTTGGGTTCTGCGAGACGGGATGGGAGTTGATATCTGAGGAGCTTCCCCTAGGAGCTCTGACCCACTTGATATCGCGAAGACGCTCACTCCGAATCCGAATGGGAATCGTCCCCAAGCATGTCCTCCATTTCGATCTGTTCCCAGCCTGCTTGTCCTGCTCCCGAGCCCATTCCACGGGCGTAGAAGCGGCCAAAGGATGTGTTTCGAGGGCTGAAGGTCATGCCGGCTATTCTTGCGCGGAAATTCTCGCCCATGCAGGACGACAATGCGAGGAACGCGATGAAGAAAAGTATGGGGAACAGGAGTAGAAATCCGAGAATTGCGAGTACCTTCATGATGAACGGGAAAGGATATGGAGGCCTGTTTGCTGTGCTGTAGAAATTGGCAATGATACTAATAGATTTATGGCCAAAATCAGATCTTCGATAGCTGCAGTAATTATATAGAAATAAAGATACAATATTTGGTATTGACTCTGTCCAGGAGAAAGGAAGTAACAAACAGCTGCAATAATTTCTACGCACATGTATGCACCTAGTCAATTGCGCTTCCTACAGCTGGTTGACATATCACCCAATCCCGACTAGCCCACCAATAGCGCGTCTTGGCACTCGAAACAAAAATTGAGAACTCGAACTTCCTCTGTTCATCTTCTTCACTCTTCTGGTCCTTCGCCATGATACCATACAAGTGAAAAGGTATGTCAACACAACTAATTTCCTATCTCTGGGTTTATATGATTATTCCAAATTTCAATCTGTCAATCTTCTGTATCCTACGGGAACTGATGACCCCAAATTTTTGTATTCACACTATGATTCACAACCAGAGCTCAGCTTCTTATTTCTTACGCAATTTCTTCGCGTCTCCTTGCTGACAAGTCTTCGGTATAGTAGTTTACAATGGCTCCGGTCACAGAGCCCTTCCCCATTTCTCGCATCGCAAGTCGTTACTTGCTATTTGATGTCGACATCATCAGCCATGTGCGCCGCAACCATAATATGTGCGGCCTCCTAGTCGGCACCATTCCCAATCTCTCACAGCAGAATGTCTTTCTCGGCATTCCGCTTGAGCTTATGCCTGAGGAAGCACGCGTCCTGGTAGAACAGGGCGCTGCATATATTGTCGATGATGCGCAGGCTCATCGACAAGGCTTCATGGAGATGAGTCGAGAAGACCGATTGAAGTTCTTACAATATATGGACCAGCAAGGCCATGAGAAGGCCATGGAGTCGAAACGTATGACCGAGCAGAGGACGGCAAAAGCACTCAGTGCGAAGGGTTTGAAGCCAAAGGAAGAAGAAAACCCTCCAGTGGATCCTGAACTAGTGCCGGAGCCGTACCGTGATGTGACCATGCCGCAATTCAGGCCAAACTCATTGGCATCAGTCAAACCTGTTGAAGTAAAGGAAGAGTCGCTCTTCGACTCGGAACCTGCTGCTACGGCCGTTTCTGCTCCTGAGAACAAGATCGTTCCTCATTTCATCACACCCACCACTTCTCACCCTCCACTACCAAAGCCAGCTATAGACCATTCGATACCGCTACCCGTGGTTCCAAAGAGCTATTCACTGTACAGATATGTGCAGTCGAAAGGCTACTTCACAATGCCTGGACTGCGCTTCGGCTGTAATTACTCAATCTATCCTGGCGACCCGCTTAGATTCCACAGCCACTTCCTCGGGACTGGTCTCGGATGGGATGAAGAGTTTGATCTACTCGACGTCATTGGCGGAGGTCGGTTAGCGAATAGAAACAAGAAAGCATATCTGATCGGAGGCGAGGATCCACAGGTGCCAAAAGAGAGTGTGACATCCACAGAGGGAATGCGTGTGTTTTCGATTGAGTGGGTGGCAATGTAAACATTGTTGGTTTGCCTCGTCGAGCTACACAAAAGTAAAGAACGAAGACATTGAACAAACCGAATGATATTCTGTTCATTCTACCACAAATATACCCTATTATCACAACTACATGATGCTGTCCATAATGCACCCTAATCCAGAGTGATGTTACTATACCCCTTTTTCCACCAACCAAAGGACACTCATGAGACCTCATCAAGCTTCCTGAGCAACACCTTCTCGATAGCTCTCAAATCGTCTCGTTTGCTCGTCATACTTGCCATCAAATACAACACATTACCCAATACCCGAGAGTGGATCCTGATGTCCTCGTCGCCTCCACTCAAAAGATCATCGCGAAGCGACAACGCAGCCGTCGATGTATAACCTATTCACCCAAGATCAGCAAACCCATCATCGTCCGAGAAAAGCAAGCAAAAGGACACTCACCAGAACCAGCCAGATCCTTCAACGTGACAGCGAGCACCGACCCCAGCGCAATAACACCCTCCACACGAGCATGGTTCGAAAGCTCCGTCACAGTGTCCTTCGACCACATACTCCAGGACGCCGCCTCACGCTCGCTCCCAGAATTCACTCGTCCGTCACGCTCAACTCCCGCCTCCCTTCCCCACGCCTCCTTATAAGCCCGCCACTCAGCACCCCGATGCAGATTATCCATCTCGCTCAGACTCGTATTAGCGACATGGCACCCAATCGCATGCGCCGTGTAACTATGACCATGCAACAGCGCATCCGACTTCTCGTCTCCCCAGAACGCCTCGAAGATAGAACTGCTCGCGACGGTGACGCTGAGGGGAAGCAACCCGCCGGTCAGGAGTTTAGCGTTGCATGTGATGTCCGGGTGGACGTCGAGGAAGGACGCCGCGGTGTAGCGGCCCAGGCGGTACAGGCCGGTGAATACCTCGTCGAAAACGACGGGGAGGCCGGTCCATGTGGCTTGGTCTTCTGGGATGGGGGAGGAGGTGGGGGAGAAGGTGTACTTGCGGACTACATCTACGAGAGTGCGCTGGAAGAGGGGGTCCCTGGTTTGGTATTGAGTTAGTTGTAATGTTGATGGGAAGGGGGAGTTAGACGTACACGAAGAGCATGCCTCCGGCGCCGAGGATGATGGGCTCCATGAGGAGGGTACCGAACTTCCTTCCTTGGGTTCCGACCAGATCGTCTAGTACGCTGGTGATGTATTGCTCATACTTCTGCCGCGATGTCCTCGACTGGAAATCGAAGACTTCATCGAGCGAGTCGAAGCTCTGCGCCGATCCAAAATCGTTCTCCATTCCTGCTGGCGGCTCGACAACCCATCGTCCCTGGGTCATCTTGACAGTCGGGAAATCAAACCAGTATCCGCGGCCCCGGTACCAGTCGACCTTCTTGTTATACACGCATGGCTCGGAGGCGTCCATGGCACCGATCGTGTCCCCGTGGTAGCTACCCTTCAACCCCAGGACGCCGATGTTCTCCTGCGATCCGTCCCAGTCATATCTCTTACATGCTGCCCTCAGGCCCATCTTGATGCCGACCTCGAGTGCGGTGCTTCCGTTGTCAGTGTAGAAGACCTTTGTTAAGCGGGGATTTCCAATGTCTTTCAACAGGCGTTCCGCGAGAGTCAGAGCGGGCTCGTGGGTGGCGCCAGCAAACATGACGTGTCCGTATCTCCCAGCAGCATACGCAGCCGCGAGAGACAATTGCGGATTTCCATGTCCCAAACCTTGCGTCCACCACGACGCAGAGCCGTCGAAGGCCGGGTACAAGAGAGATCCATCCTCACTATGTTGAGGAGTCTTTTCGACGGACTTCGCGGTATGCTTTGCTTGGAAGAAATCACCATACGCAGAGTCGAAGACTAAAATATCATCCGCCTTCTCGATGTGCTTGTGCTGCGTGAAAGGGTGCCACACTGCGCTTTGCGTGCGGCTGGCCATGGTGCTCATGTTCTTCAGACGGTCCATGTGGCGGTTGATGATGCGGTCGCCGAGAAGGGAGGCGCCTTCTTGTCTGCTGTTCGTGTCGTAGTACTGCTTCATCTTGTGCGTCTCTTCCTCGCGCGAGACGCCCTCGAGCTTGGGGATCCAGGGGAGTTGGAACGCGCCGACGCCGAGTTTGTCGAAGTATTGCTGGAGGTACTGTGCGTTTTCGAATGTCGAGTCGTCGTTGAAGCAGACTACGGCGTCGATGTCGTAGCCTCGCATCAGGAGCGATTCGGCTGCTGATATCGTGGACGCGATGCCTCCCAGTCGATGGTCGCCGATGAGGACAACGGGCAGTCGAAGGGGTCGGTATATATCGGCCTGGGGAGTTCCAGACGGTCCAGGGCTCAGGACTCCGCCTGCGGTTTCGACGAACGTTATGTCCTTGAAACCTTGTTGCTTGGGGGTTGCATGGGCAATCTTGTCGAGTTCGGCGTTCAGCCGTGCCAGAACGGCACCATCAGTGGGCTGTGATAAAGTCAATTGACATGCGTAGATGAATTGAGGGAGAGAATGCAAACCACATGACCGAACCTCCTCGCCGCAACATGCGGGCTCACAGGATCATCGAATTGGAAGAGCGTCGACACAGTCGGCTGTCTCGCGTACAGCTTCACATAGCTGTTCACACATCAGCGTTCATCTTCCCCACTTCCCAATTGCGTATGTAAAATAGCAATTGTCGTCTAACGAGGCTTACTTATCATCTCGATCACTGTTCGGCCCCGTAGATACAGGCTTGATGTAATGAATGTTGTACTTTGTCGACTTCTTCCTATTGGCAAAGTGTGCTCCCAACAATGTGGAAGCGACCGTCTTCCCCACGCCGGTGTTGGCGCCGTATATCTGGATGGCAATCAGGTTCCTCCACAGACCACCCGACAATTCAGACATTGTGAATTCCTTTCGACCAACTCCACGTCCAATTGGAAAGAAAGAAAAAGGAATGCTGAACTAGATGACAACAATCCCGCAGCTGACGTCGCCCCAGGCTTTAACATTCAATTCATCCTAAAGTATCCGAGGTGTATTATACGATGTGGGCGCTAAACCGCACCAGGCTAGTCGTCAACACCGGTTTGGACATCGTTTCTGCATCCTGCTCCTCCTCCCCCAAGAGAGTCATCATTCGCAATTGAAAGTTTTATCCCGACGATATCCAGCTGAAAAAGAAAATTACTTAAAATCCCGCATTACCCTAAGCTCCGAAGACGCTCCCCCAAGTCTCCGAATTTCAATTGCTCGTTCCCCGCGTTATTACATTGGATCATCGCTCGCTCTGCCCCCTGGTGTGAATGTTGAGTCGTACTAGCTTCATCCCTACAAAGCTTCTTGCCTACAAACCAAAACACCTCGTATTCCGCCTTTGGAAATTTATATAAAACCCAAACATCCCAAATTCCAATTCCCCAACACCCCCAAAGGAAGAAGTCAAAAAGAAAAACCCCCCCCTCATCCAAGGCCCCCAACCAACCCCCCTCAAAAATGCCCTCCCCAATCCCCCCACCCCCCAGCAATCGCAAAGAAACCCCCCTCGAGCACCAGCACCGCCAATCCCTTCACCGGCGCCTCACCAACTCCACCCTCCGCACCCTGACCCTGCCCCAAACACACATGACCGACTTCTCCTCCAACGACTTCCTCTCCCTCTCCCACAACCCGCGCCTCAAATCCCTCTACCTCGCCGAGCTCTCCTCCTCCGCCGCCACGCAGCCACACCTGCCGCTGGGCAGCGGCGGCTCGCGGCTCCTCGACGGCAACTCGGCGTACGCGGAGGCGCTGGAGCGCGACGTCGCGGCGTTCCATGGCGCGGAGGCGGGGCTGCTGTTTAATTCGGGGTTTGATGCGAATGCCGGGTTCTTTGCGTGCGTGCCGCAGGGGGGAGGGTTCGTGGTGTATGATGAGTTGATCCATGCGAGTGTGCATGATGGGATGAGGATGAGTCGGGTGGGGAGGGGCCGGTGTCGCAAGTTTAGGCATAATTGCGTGGAGAGTTTGAGGGAGGTGTTGGAGGGGTGTCTGGCGGAGGGGGAGGAGTTGAGGGAGGGGAGGGGGAGCGTGGTGGTTGCGGTCGAGGCCGTGTATAGTATGGATGGGGATGTTGCGAAGTTGAGGGAGATTGTGGAGATGGTGGAGAGGACGCTGCCGAGGGGGACGGGGCATGTGGTTGTTGATGAGGCGCATTCGACGGGTGTGTTGGGGCCGCAGGGTAGGGGGTTGGTTTGTGAGTTGGGTCTGGAGGATCGTGTGTTTGCGAGGCTTCACACGTTTGGGAAGGCGTTGGCGTGTAATGGAGGTGAGTTCGATTCCATCCCCCTATCCCCTTTCCTTCGTGGTCATGAGACGAAAGGACATAACTCATATGCGTTCGAAAACACAGCGATAATCCTCTGCTCACCACTCCTCCGACACTACCTCATCAACTACGCCCGCCCCTTGATCTACACGACATCTCTCTCCTATCCAGCCCTCGCAGCCATCCGCACATCCTACAGGCTCCTTCCACTCCTCGGCCAACAGGAGGGAGAAGAAGACCCAAGGACCCACCTCTTCAATCTCATTTCCCAGCTCTTTACCTCTTTGACTGCCCTCGTGGACACTGACTCCAGCTCCAATGCCGACGGGGACATACGGACTCTGATCCAGGTACCGAAAACATGCCCCTCATCACCCATCTTCGCAGTCCAAACGCCCGAACCGAGGCAATTGGCGGCGTTCCTGCAGGCGCGGGGCATGATGGTAAGGGCGGTCGTGGCGCCGACGGTAGCGGAGGGGACGGAGAGAGTGAGGGTGTGTCTTCATGCTGGGAACACGAAGGGGGAGGTTGAGACGCTGGTGGATGGGATTGGGGAGTGGGCTCGGGGGAGGGCGAAGGCGAGAGCGAGACTTTAGTAAGTAGATTTGTGGAGGGTTGGGTGTGTATAGAAAGATAGACAGGTGAAAAAGTAGATAGATAGACTTGGTTGAGAAGATGGAAATGAAAAGAGAAGACGCCTCTATGGATGGAAATATCCAAGGTATATACACGGCGGGGGTATCTTGAGCTCCCCCAACATCCAGTTCATCATGTGCCAACCGACCGTGAGCGGACCTGATCTAACGCCAAGGGGATAGGGAAAATCCAATGAAACCGTGGGAGAAACAAGGCTGTTTCTTTTTACTGGAGGCTCTGGTCCATCTCAGTGATGTACAGCTTGATGTGGCTCTCCATCTTCCTGTACTCGTCGTGTGCGGCGTGGACCTCGTTCTCAATGTTGTCTTTGAGCTCGGCCATCTAGAAAGACACTCTGTTAGCTGCTTGCTAATTTTTCTACTTTCGGAGCGAACTTGGGTCATTTCCTTACCTTTTTCTCAGTCTGCTCGATGCGTACTCTACGTCTCTCCATCTCTCGTCCTTTATCAGCCCTTTCTTCGGCGAGACTGGCGTGTGTCTCCCTCAGTTCCTCCATACGTCCACGGGCGCGTTCGGCTTCTTCATCCGCCTTGTTCTTGAGCTTCTCTGTTCGTGCGTTCACGTTGCTGAGCTGCTTCTGGAGAAGTTTCTCCTGGCGCTCCACTTCACGGACATTGTTGCTCTTGTCGGCCAGAGCATCCCGGTGCCGCGAAGCCTTTCCAAGCTCTTCCTCCTCCCTTGCTAGATCCGCTTGCACGTCTGTCAGCAACCGAGTGCAAGCAGTCACGTCTGATGCCACAACTGCGAAGGAGTCGGTCGAAGTTTGAAGGGCGCGTGCTCGACGATCCAGAGAATCAATCTGTGCCTTGTCTGCAGCCAGCTTGTCGTTCAAGCTGCGGAGAGAGTCCTCCAACGCCGCCGGGCTCTGCTGAGTATAGGGCTTGAGCTTGATGACTTCCCTCTGGACATTCTCTTTCGCCTCAGTCTTCTCGATCAACAGATCCTTCAGCCTCTTCTGTTCTTCCTTGGCACGTTCCAGTTTCACAGAAACAGCTTCTTGACCCTTCTTCAGTTCTAGAAGCTTGCTCTTCAACTCGCTGTTCCTCTTCTCCCGTTCGGCCATGACTCTCTGTGTAGCCACACGGTTGCGCTCCAGCTCAGCGACCTGCATCTCCTTATTCTGCTTGTCGTTGTAAAGCTGCTCGATGCGCAGCTTGGTGCGCTCCGCCTTGTTGAAGTGCTCGTCGATGACCGAAGTCTGCGACTCGCGGAATCGAATGAAGTTGATCATGTACGAGAAAATCTTGACGAGACGCGGGTGCGATGGCTTATAGATGTCCTGGAAAGTGAAGTCATGGATTCCGCACTGCGATACTGTCAGCTTCATGATTCAATAAACACCCCACGCGTACGTCAACCTTACCTCTCCCAGCAGCTTCTTGAGGATGACGAAGAAGGCCATCAGATCTCTTGTGTCGCTCGTGAAGATACGCTCAGCGTCTCCACCGCAGATATCCTCTGCAGCCGCCCTCATGGCCGGTGCGATCACCTCCCGCGTCGTGTTCATCAACAGTTCGGCCAGCCATTCGAATACCTTCTGGATGATCTGCGGGTTGGGTTTCTGGAGGTCTTGGACGGTGAAGTTGATTCCGATGTCTGTGATGCATCCTGCGATCTCGGAGTCGGGCTGTGTTTACATATCAGTAACGCTTGCGGTGCAGTGTTTTGAGTTTGTTGACATACTAGAGTCATGAAGGCATCTTCATCTTGCGGTTTTGTGCGCTGGTTGTAGGAGGATGTGACGCGCGCAGTGCTCATGCGCGGATTGTAAGACATCTTCAGATTGTGTTGTAACTGCTTGTTCGATATGTGGTTTTTAATGCTCGTTCACATGCGATTGAGTTGGTTTTCCTTTCGATTTCGAGTGTTGACGCTTGCGATGCCGTGTTGGATTTGTTTGTTGACATGGTCTGTGCGCAACTAACACCCTGGCAGCCGGCGCTGATCCCCTCATTACTTGGCAGCCCTACGACAATGTTGGATAGATCATAGATGTGGCGTCCTAGACATTAAACTTTCGAGCCTGAAGTGATCATTTATATGCAAAATAGCTGTCCGAATATTCTTCTCTCATGAGATTGATTCATTACCAACCTCTACTATATCAATCGCAATGCTGTCGCCATGTAACGCTGTTGTACTGTCTACAATGAACATGCTTATCGTAATGGTGAAATTCAGTTCAATATCCCCTTATTGCCATTGTTCCATTATTTACCTAGTCACAATAATTCGATCAGAGAGAGACACATTCCATTAACTACCTAAGTACCCCGTAATTAGATAGGAACTGCAATCTGATAGCAAAATCAGAAACGCCATAGAGGAATATGGTAGCGGTCGCCATCAACATGGATCCAAAGTCTAGACTACGGTCAATGAGTGTAATGATCAGTAGTATTAGTTCTCTCACGGAAAGTCATGATTTTTGTTCGGAGTTGCGGGATGGCTTCAACCAAAATTGCAGGCAAAGACGGCGGTGTAGCCGAAATCAACTGCGCATGACCACCAATCGCGATCCTATCTTATACGTTATCTCGTTGAAATCTGCATCGACGATCACCATCACGATCAGTAGCCCGAGGTGGTGCCCAATCCGTGAACCGTGACTATTGTTGTCGAGCCAAGTATTGGGGTCGGATCACGCTCTCGTGATTTCTGCAACCCTTTTGGTTGAACCATGGTACTTCTAAGGATCAGATGACGTCGTGATCTCGCGATATGCGTGTAAACCAGCAAGGAGACAATACGAAAACCATTGAGTTTCTGTTTGTTTTCCAGGCTTGCATCGACTAATTGCCTCAAAACAGTCAACGATCTCAGTACGGAGTGAACTGCGCGGTTCTCGTACTGCATACATGCAGAAGGTACACGATCGGTCACGGCTGAGATATCCAAACACAAGGCCATCGCATAGAACACCCGATCTCACGCAGCCACCAATCGACAGGTCGCTACACCATCTCAATGTTACGCAGAACCGTTCAACGCTTTGGTGGACGTATCGATGGGAAAGGTCGAGGTTAGTAGACATGTCAAGAGTCTGGAATCCAAGGACCTGTATTGTCGCTAGGAACGTATACATGCTATCCCGTTACTCTGGCATATGTGGTGTTAGTACGACCTGAGAAAGCGCCGTCGCTGGCTCGAGAGACGTTACGCGCATTGGAGGAGGTTGTACTGCATTTTATTGATCGCTCTGCATATCCCAATCGGGAGAACCTTGGCTATATGTGCGAACTGAAGTACCTAGAGTTATCGGATTGGTTGTCTTGACTGCTTGCCTGTGTTGTGCCGCGCTGCCAGAGAGATCGAGTTGCTGCCATGGAACCTACGCGTAGGCAAAGGTGTTTGGGGGTCTGTTTACTCCACGATTGATGCGGGGAACTGAACATAGGAAGGGATCCTCTCCATTCCTCGTCGGAAGTAGCTCTGGGGTGTAGCGCGCACATCGTTGCCCTTAGATAAACTTTGAGCTATGAATCTGGCGGTCACTAGTTGACGATATACTCCGAACCTAAATCCACAGACACTCGAGTGGACGAGAAAAAATCATGATGATTTGGTAGAGAGAAGATCAGCAAGGGATACTAAGAGACAGTATGAGTACTCCGTAATTGCGGCCTGCTGAAAGACGTGTTGTCGTCGCTGATACTCGTCGTGCTTTGAGAAAGTCAACACAATCCGACCAATGCTAGCGCAACAGACTCGGTCCCATACAACTACGACTGATGGCTTTCTGGAGTTGGTTTAAGGAAAGTGGCGCGCGCAAAGCTGCAGTCAAGAACACAGCTGCAATTTGAGACATTATATGGATGCCATGCCATGCCATGCCATGTCCTCGCGCATTGCACGACGTTCAACATGAAGCCAGTAACTGCTTCGTACGGAGGGAGTATTGAGTTCCATTTTGCCTACATGCGAAGTACAGCATCTGTCTGTGTCCCTGCGATACTTCGAAGCGGCTTACGCCATACTGATATCGGAAGTTACAGGGTGCGGAGAATGCAGCAAGTGTAGCGAATCGAAGTCGCGCGGTAGCATTGGGCGGTACTATTCGATCACAGCATGCCTAGAAGCATTCCAGGGAGTTGTCGAAGATCGTACCTGGGTTTGCACGCTTTGCAAGCAGACAGCAGCAAGACGGACAAGATACTTTTGCTGGTAAGGTGCAGTAAGGTGCAGGGCAGAGATAGGCGTTCTTGGTAGCCGATTGGAACAGAGAGAAGGATTCTGAGGGGATCCTCCCGTCGTCGCGTCTATGTACCGTTGGCCGCCGCTGCAGGACCGACGTGGCTCCGCCTGAGTCCGCTCCAGGTCCCGCGAGCTTCCTCCAGGGTGTCGCGGCGGTCGCAAGCTACCAACCCTGCCACCCTGCGTACAAGTCACTACGATTCGCGTGGCTGCACGCTGTCTGTCGACGGTGTCCCTTGAATACGCAGCACTGACCAGAAACGATGCCTCGCGAGCTAAAGATATCTTCTCGACTGGTAGGTGCTGTACGTGCGCTGGACGTTTGCGCAGGATCAGTGCAAGCTACACTACACAGTCGGCCATGACGGGTATGACGGGATTCCGAGTTGGAAGCATTGTAGACTGACCAACTCGTACTCGTAGCTCGCTGAGTTTGTTGCTGGGGAGAAAATGTGGCACGGGGTTTGGAGAGAGCAAGGCAAATTACTCCTACGTACTTGCCGACGAGTGAGTGCCTGGCCACATGTAGGGGAAAGATTGTGATTGGTGATCAGCACTACTGATGAGCGTTGATGAGCGTTTGATGGGCGCTGATGGGCGCCGAAGATGGTCGCGGGTGTGGGAATTGAGTAGTTCAGCCCAGCTCGTGGTGAAGATGGGCACTTCCCTTGCACTGAAAAGGCGTGGGCAGTCACTGGACTGGCCATTGGCGTCGGTAGCCACCGAGCAAACGGCAGGGATGACATTGCAGGGTCATTTTTTTGGTGACCGAAACGCCACAGAGGCCCAGCCATCCAGCAAGATCCATGCTTGCTTCGAGACGAGAACAGACCTAGACAGGCCTGACAGACCAGGCAGACCAGATCATGGCATGGCCATGGCCACTACTGCTGTTAACAAAATAGACCTAGCAATTAGCTAGCTTGTTCAAGTCGGTGGAAGGTTTGCCACCACGAGCGGAACGGTTAGTGATCGGCGGGTAGCTGTCACGGGTACAAGGCATGGTTCTGGTTCTGGCGTACCACACTTTGGTAATTTTAGTAGTGTGGTGTGTTCTGGGGAGAAGGCGAGGGCGAAAAGAATGGTTCTCAGAGCAGAGGTGGGGGAGAGCTTGATAGGTGAGACAGGTGAGATGGGTGAGATTAGATCTTTGGTAGAGGGGAGATGAGGTTGAGAAGGATGGGATAGGATGGGATAGGATGGGATAGGATAGGGCAGGGTAATTAGTAGGGCCGTAAGATGGGACTCATGGGAGATGGGAGATGGGAGAGGCGCACGGAAAGAGAGGGAAAGGGAAAGGGAAAAAGGGAAAGCGGCACCCACGGGTCATCCGTGAGTCTGTCTCCGTCTGGCTGGCTGTCATCAACCGCCTACGAGACGAAGACTTCTACTACGAGGGTTACTAGAATAATGAATCAACCTTCAGCCAAGTCCAGCCACCATATCCATCTCTGACCAACCATCGACCTCATAACAATCATCTGCCATCCTCCATCCTCGATGATATGCATGTTCCATCCTTCTACAGGTGTAAGCGGAATAATTACTGTGCGGTACCATATCATCCTGCTGCATAATTACTCTGGAGTCTGGAGTACGGAGTAGTAGGTCAGTAAATGCGTGTAGGAGTGATACAATAGAGGTAAGCTATAACTAGGGGAGTGGTTAGATGTGGACGAGACTGACTGACTGACAAAGAGTCACTGACTAGTTAGAGCTGAACGTTAGAGCAACGACTGACTGATTGACTACTACCTTTAGGTATCTTTAGGTATCGCCTATTGACTATTTGCAGGTACCTAAGGTGACGGTGCAAAAGTCCTACCAGCACCTGACGAGATGATTATTAGACAGGACAGACACGGTCTATTAAGTCATGTGAAACAAAAAAGGAATAATTGGGAAGAAAAGAAGGTGGTGAACCTATTTTTAACGAGCGGCGATATCCACCTCGTACCTCGTATGAACTGAGAAGAGCTCCGTACTCCGTAGAGATGTCAGTCAATGTAAATGATAATGTCGGAAATACAGTGTCGATTATTGGACTTGGATGGACGTGTGTGTGTGACTGAATTCAGGACATTCTTCTTGAGATCAGCGGTTCTACATGCTGAAGAGAGAAACAATAAAAGGTACCTAACAATTAGACTGTAGGTAAGTCAAGTAATAACTAGTTAGTTACAATAGTAGGTAACTGCATAGTACCAGTCCAGTAACTACCGTACGTGTGTAAGTGATAGTCCAGACTTCCAGACAAATCCTGTTGTTCGCCCTTGCTCCTTCCTTCCAGTGTGACGTCGAATGGACCGTCGTTCCTTCCCTTCCTTTTTCCTTCCTTCCTGCCCTGCCCTTCCTTCCCTTGTCACTAATTGCCCTACTAGAGTCATATTCCATCCACCCATCCACCCATCCACCATTCATCTATTTGGACCTCTGGACGCCCACTCACCACTCACACTCACCCACCCACCTGCATCCCCGTTCAACCTCCATTCTAATAATCCATTCATCTTCTTCTCTCTCTCTCCACCCTCACTCACTCACTCTTAAACCCACCTACCTAACTCTCCTCCGTGCTCCATTATTATATTCCCTGGTCCTTTCACTACAACAAACCAGTCGCAAAACCACACACTACTCTCACCTTAGCCACACTATACGCAGCGCACACGCACACGCACACACCTCACCTCCCTCTGCCAACTCACTCACTCTTTACGGCTTGCTCCGTATTCTTACCCAATTCCATCATCCCGACTCCACCACGTCCCTGTCTGCTCTGCCACTCCACTCCACTTCACTCTATTCTATTCTACTTTTACCCTCTTCTCTTCTTCCAAACTCTCTTCTCCCTGTCTTTACACTCACACTCGTTCGCGCACACACTCACGCTCAAATTTCACTCGCTGTCGCCTCGTCACGTCTCGTCCAACACACACTCGCTCACATCTCATCGCCAAAGTCAGTGCGCGCGCGCCGGCCCATGTCAGCCCACAATGCCTACTTCCACCAGGTCCATCGATGTTAGATAGCCCTTGTCTGCCCGCCACACACGCACACAGACGATAAGATACCTACCATCTTTCCTGCCCTAGGCCCTACAGCGACACACAACCACGCACACCCGTCCAGGACAACGTAGCGCGTCACACATTGCGATACCTTTCGCACGCCCGCCCAGCGGCGGCAGCGCCATGCCCAAAATATCATGGCCCTTTGGGGCAAGAAGAGCAAAAACCGCTAAATTAAAACAGGAGGGCAGACCCACTCCCGTTACACCTACTGCTGGAGGGAACATCCCGCCCACAGGAACCTCCGGCCCTGTGCCACCAAGCAACGATGCCCTGCAAAACAACCCAAGCAGACGCAGCGCTCGCCGAAAGAGAAGACCCTCGCGCTCCAGTACTACATCCTCGCGCGACCCAGAGAAACATCTCTCCGACCTCCCTCCCGTCAATCCCCCCTTCGCTTCCAGGCGATATCAACACTCCTCAGAGGACATCACCGCACTGCCTGCCACCAAGCGTCTCTCCCAAAGTCCTCACCTTCGACCCGTCACCCAAGACCACAGCATTCCATACAGTTTCCACGCAGGCTCACATCCCAGTCTCTCGGCGGCGCGTGAGCGGGGGAAATTACAACGACCCCAGTCCCTACGCAAATCCGTCAATGAGTCGTCACTTGTTCGCCGCAAGTCTAGTAAGCGGAAGCAGCACGATTCCCTGCGCGAGGAGGAGATCCGGGCGATGAGTATGCCTCTACCACAGAAGCGCCCAGCAGGGAATTCGGGAGGCATGCTGCGCCGTGACAGCAAGAAAGTCAAAGCAGGACTCAACCGCCATTTCGATCGACCCACCTCCAACATCTCCCTTCCACTCCAGGACTCTATACACTCCTCCATGTCTGGCAGCTCCGAGACCCGCGGCTGGCGCGTCAGCGCCCTCGATGTATTCTCCCCACGACCGACTGTCCGGTGTTCGACGGGCTCCCAATACTACTACACAGGAGCAGGACCATCCCCGAAGAGCGACACGAAGAGAGAGCAGAGAGCCTCGACCAGCCGGGAAGGCAAACACGAAAGCAGAAGCAAGACTATCGATGATTTAGCAGACACCCTCGATGCCGGTGCTCTGAGGGAAATCCTCGAGAGGGACCAGCGGCGGAGAGAGAAAAAGAGGAGGGCGGACGACGAACGTCTGCGTAGAAGGCTCGAGCGGCGCGCAGAAAAACAGAAAGCCCAAGACAAGGTCATGGAACCAAGCGGAACACCTGCGACGCCCGGAAACGCAGCACAAGGAGCTGTAGGATTGGGAATCGGCAAGGACGAAGCCACTCCCATGGAGGACGTCCGATCCGCAACACCGCCGCCAGAGCCGCAACCTCATGCCATAGATACCTCGGCGACACCAAAGCTCGAGGAAAACAGCCAGCTCCCGACGCCGCTGGACAGCCCGACCGAAGAACCCGTTGTAGCCGATGCGCAGGCCGTCAGATATTCGCGCGCAAGCATGTCACCTACTCCAACCCCACACGGCCACACCCGTGGACCTTCCAACGTTTCGCAGATGCCAGAGCTCCTCTCCGAGATGACAGCACGTGAAACAGCCCTCCAATCTGTGGAACCCACCCACGAGGACCCAAATGCCAGTGGATCGCTTCATCCTGTGATCTCCACAGACACTGCCGCAACGTCAAAGAAAGAGTCCTGGGCTCGCCGACGCAGCTCAGAGGGCAGACGCATGGGCGTGTTTGCCTCGTTCTTCCGCCGTGGAAAGCGAAGTTCCCAAGACCAGGCTCGCGCCACGCCATCGGAGGCATCCTTTTCAAACACTTCGCGAGAATCGATGTCCCGCCAGCCACTACCCGCACATCTTGTCGGCCCTACTCAGCCTATCCAGATCAAACGGCCGTCCAGCGTTCCGCGCCGCACTATGTCCAAATTCCGGGAGGACCTACCGGAGTTTCCGATATCTCCCCCAGACTCCCGAGTTCAGTCACCGGAGGTCACGGGAAGTGCCATCGCCACCCGACGTGGAAACAACCCTCCACAAGATATTCGAGTCAATGCCAGCAGCCCAGTTGGTGGCCGAACCGACTCCCCAGTGAGCCCTGGTGTGCCAGTTGCCGGCGCCATGTCGCAGAGCTTAGCTTCTGTAGACTCGGAGGGGTCTTGGCTATCTGGCAAACCGATGAAGCGAAGATCGAACAACACGCATCTCCGGTCAAGCGTGGGTTCATCGGGAATCTTGAAGCCCAATGAAGAGTTCAACGCCTCTTACGAAGAACTTGGCATTCCGGATGATGAGTATTTCAGACGATTAACTCCCCAACCCGATGAGAAGCGCCGCTCTGCACACTCGGCCGACCTGCTTGCCCGAAAGGCTAGCAGCACGGCAATGGCAGCTCTGGACATTGCAGAATCCGAAGATGAAGAAGACACCACCAGGCCCGCTAATGGAGGGGAAGAACTTGTTCATGTTGGTGTCGGTCGCCAGCCTACTATTGTGCACCGCAATGCCCGTGTCAAGTCCACAGAGGCGCTGGTCAGCTTCTTCCAGACGGACAAGACATCCCCCGAGGAAAGGCCATCGGCTGAGGATGCCAGGGAACAGGAATCGCCGATATCAGAAACAGAAACACCCATGGTCCAGCGCGCACGTAGCGTGGATCTGGGTAACTACCATACGAGACAACTCAGCGCTGGCTCGGCGAAATTGCTAGACATCCCGGCAAAACGGTCTTCGGTTGATCCAAAACGGGCCAGCACAACCTCCCAAAACACATTGCCACACGAGTAGGTCCCTTCCTTGCAGTCAAAGGAATGAATCAAGAGGAATCAACCAACATCTGCCACATCACGCCATTCGTTTTGTACTTTCCTTTGTATCCGTCAGTCATTACCAGACAACCCAACTATTGTCGCTCTTTCTTTGAATATTTCCTTATCTGTCCAATTTTCGTTTTTTTTTTCGTCCTTTTCGATTGGCATATGGCGTGGTTCCTCTGGTCTTCCTTCCGGCGCTTGGAATGGTTGCCTTCCCGAAGAAGCATGAGTTGAGACGGAGTGTTGGAGCGTCTGAACGAAACACATTGAATTTTCTCAGTACTGCTGAGCAAGGCGTTGGTGGTTAACCTACCCGGATTTACTATTTTTTTTTCTTTGGTTCAAGGGTCTCAGATATCCAGTTTGTACTGTACACCAGCTGTGTGGCGATTGGGCCCGGCAATTTTTATTTTGGATTCCACAGTCTTGTTACACTCTTCCGACTTCATCTGGTCCCGAGACACAGCTTTTTGGGGCCTGGCATTATAGAAGGGCACATACCACGTTGGAATTGATGGGACGGCGTCTGTATTGTCAGTCCTGGAACCATGGAAGAAGAAGAAAGAATCTTCTCTTCCTTTTCTACCCCTTCCCAATGCACGAGCATTGAGTGGTTAGGAAGGGCTACAGGATATTCTCTCCTTCATCCCCCGACCTTGATGGAAACGGGGATATTTTGTCTTTGTCGCCGTCGCATCGTGCAATGGTGCACGGATCGACAGCAGCCATCTTACCTCTTTTTTTGTAGGAGGCTGTATATGTAGTTTCAGATAACAAAGGAAATGCCAAATCAAATATTTGGTTCATGAACCATGTATGGAAAACATTGCCAACAAACTCTTGCTATTGCCAGTGTATGTACTCTGAGAATGTGTTGCACATGGGAATGTGGTGGAGGATACATGGGGTGCATCGTATCTCCCATCTATCTAAATAGATAAATTCCCCTTCCGAGAGGAGCATGATGGTGGGGGCGAGTAGACAAATGGTGGAGGGAGGAGCCGGACATTATCGGTAGAGGATGAATTGGATGATGGGTGAGTAGGTGTGTATGTACATATATACCTATAGAGACGACAAGCATCGAATAAGAGAATCATGATGTCTTTTCAAGATGAAGTATGGAGTTGTTATCATAATTGAGGCCAAGATATAATGGTTATCTATGATTAGATAGAAGGTTGATGAAGAGAGTAGAGAGAGAGATTGCCCCACCAGCAGGTTGGTTGCCGAATCGGGTAAGCGTGGTGTGTCTTGCATCATATCTGCATTTGTCATGAATTGACTGACTCTGCCCCTCCCCTTCATCATCATTTATTGCTTCGTCCTCTTTCTTTTTCTACTCCATACACATCAACAACAAACATCACCTCTGTACAGGACAATAGTACTGTTGTAAGTTCTTCTCTTTTCCCTTTCTTGAAAACTCCATCTCCATCTCCATCTCCATCTCCATCTACATCTACACATACATCCACCAGCGTTGTAAATGCGCCGTTCGTTTCCCATGCATCGCTGCCCATGCCCCTCCACGGTTATGGGTTTTTTGCGCAAGGGGACTTCGGAGCCGGTTGCCGACTCTCTTTCGCTGTCTCTCTCCCTCCCTAGTTACTGTCTCTGCCTCTGTCTCTCTGACTCTCTGACTCTCCCCCAACCGCAAACTCAAATCCCTCCATCCTCCATCAAAACTAAAATAAGCGCGTCATTATTCAACATCGCTTGCATTGAATTGTAATCCAGCGGCGAACGTTGTCCAGCTCATTCTATCGCCGCTATTCTTTATAATCCGTTTTTTCTTTCATCATCATCATCATCATCACCCCTGTCCTTCCTTCTCTCTAAGCAGTACTCTTCCTGCCCTGTTTCCTTCGGCTCCCCTTGTACATATACCGTCGTCCATCTACCCTTTGATCATGTTCGCTACATCAACCATCTTCCGAAGAACTCTGCTTACCACCGCCCGTTCGCCCAAAACAGCACCCACCTACTCAAACTCCACCGCAACTCTATTCCAATACCGTCCTATCCTATCCGCGGCTCCCCGTTTCTTCTCCTACACAAGCAGCAAAATGACATCCGAAGGTGGCGTACACAACTTGGCTGCGTAAGTCCCTGTCCCTTGCATCTCCCGCCAATATTTCATTTCCGACTACGTGATGCCCCATCCATTCCCACATCATTGCCGCCCACGAATTGAATCGGTAGCTAACGTAATGCAACATACAGCAAGGCCGAATGGGACTCTGCTCTCGAGGCTAAGGACACTCTCATCGTCCTCGACTGCTTCGCTACATGGTGCGGACCTTGCAAGGTCATTGCTCCTCAAGTCTTAAAGTGCGTAAAATCTTTCTTCCCCCGGCAGCGCCCGCGCGCCCGTTCCAAATCCCACAAAAAAAACAATGACATTCTAACAATTACCAAAGGTACTCCAAGGCCTACCCCGAGGCCCGATTCTACAAGCTCGACGTCGACGAGGTCCCAGATGTTGCACAAGAACTCGGCATCCGCGCCATGCCCACCTTCCTCCTCTTCAAGAACGGTGACAAGGTCGGCGAGGTCGTCGGCGCAAACCCCAAGGCCCTCGAGGCCGCCATCAAGTCCGGTCTTGAGCAGGCCGAGTAGACAAAAACATTAGATATCCAGACAAGAAGCGGTTTTTTTTTTGTACGAAAGGAAGGCCTCTTGCCTACACGACCCGAGAGCTTGTTATTCCGACTAGGTTCTTGGGAAGAAACATACATACAATGCATGAATTATGGATACACCCACGAGAGAGAGAAGAGATGTTTCGAAGGAAGGCTCTTATGAGAGATAATTGGAAAGGACTTGGTTACCTTGCCTTACCTCACTAGGATACACTTCTTCTCCAGAAATAAATGAATGATACACAACACTGTCCTTTCTCCAATAATCATGATTTGAAGGTGCTTGCCATGGATTTGATTACGCCCATTTATTCCCTATCTACTTATCGGCCCATCTACGATATCTTCAACCGTCAATACATGAACCCCCTCCAACATCAACAAATCAATCAATAACCCACTACCCAAACCCATCACACGGCGATCGATAGCAATACCGTAGTAATTCGCAATTCCAATTCCCTCGGTAACGTACTCCGTAGTTACAAGTACATACGTATGTATGTGCAACATTACTAATTAAAGCAAAATGACGCCCGCCCCGCCGATGTTCGGCGCTCCCTCGGAGGCCCGTCGGGGGTCGTCGGGTCCTCTTCTGATCCATGTACCTTGTACCTTGTGTGGTATGGGTGGGTACGTAAGCCAACTTGACCAGGTACCGATTTGGAATGACGACGACGATGACAGTGAACTGATTACATCTCTCTGGACGGGGGGGAGCTTTCAATGGGGAGGAGAGGTGAGTGGAGTGGAGGGTAGATGTGAGGGTGGGTGTTTGGTGATTTGTTGGTTTGATGGATTGTATGAGATGATGTTGAGCGTTCTTATGGAAAGGGTGGAAGGTGTACTGTGCAGGGGAGTGTACTTCGTCCCATGTGTCTCAAGGGTAGGTAGGGTGTTGATGGTTTGGATACTCTGATAGCTTTGATAAATAGAGATATGGATTCTTAAGGTCATGGAGATAATATTTCTTTCGAAGAAGTCGTGAGAGGTTTCGTTCCGCCAGTCATTGTTCTCTGCCTCTTCTCGCCTGGGAAGAGGGACGACGGGGGAGAGGGCTGTATGAGGAGGACATTGCATTACTACGTAGGTACCTATGTGTGGTGGTGTTCGTTGGGTTAGTTGTGTGAGATCTGCCTTGGTGTCTAGATTAATAATTGAAGTATGGCTTCAGTTGTTTGACGCCTGTGTCGCTATGTCTTGTTGGAGTAACACTTTTTCCAAGGGGTCTGTTCAAATTCGGTCAAATGGTCATACTATAATTCTCTCCTAGAAGGAGAAGGGAAGTGGAGATTTTGTGGCCTTTGAAATCGGGGTCCTTGAGGCTGGGTTGGGCTACTCTGTGTGCTTCAGAAAGATGAGAACATCAACGTGTCGTGTATTAGTTTTGTTAGTTGTGGAGGAGGAGGGATGGTATCAAAAATATCAGATATAATGTGTCTTCATTATACTAAGACTTGCGCAGATAGATGTCAGTGTCATCACTTTCGTTCGTCACAAATTTCACACCAAAAGGGGAAGTTATTGCTTGAAAAGGACGTAGTGATGATTGAACACACTCTCGTCTTAATCAATTTTTCATTTTTATGCCATGTATGATGAGTACATGCCGTATACAGGTGGCTTGCTGCCACCGATGTCCGAGATTCCACCCCCCGGGTTAGTGGTAAGGACAGTGAATGCCAATGCATGGAAACGAGGGGATCCGAACGGTATCGATCCAGCCCGAGGATAAAATGCCCGCATCCGCATCGTTTCCCAAAAAAAACACAAAAAGGAGAGACACAATAGTTGGAAAACTTCCCCCCCCCCAACAACGCACCCAACCACGGACCCGTGTCTATTGGAAAGGACAGAAACCTCCCAACGACCCCCAAAGGAGCAAGGAAAAGAGCGGGAAAAAAATGACCTGAGAAGGGGAAGGAATCGATACAACCACCACCCACTCAACGACTCGACCTCCCGGACTCAACTCAACTCGCTCGCTCGATCCCGCTCACATGACGTTGCAGCTGCAACATCCTTCCTCCTTCTTGCGTATCTCCTCTTCTATCTTCTGCTGCCTTATCCACGTCTCGTAATCCATCGCGCGCTTCCCATGGTATTTCCCGATCCGTGGGAGGGTGTAGGCTGTGGAGGTTGTCTCTCTCTGCCTGTTGGTCCAATCTATGGGGATTGAGGGGTTAGTCGATGTTTGCAATAGGAGAGAGGGGAAGGTGGGAGAGATGGATGTGGGTAAGTTGGTCGAAGCAGAAGAAGTGTAGCTGGGAATGGGGATCGAACTAACCGCCAAATGGCTGGAGAGCCATTTGTTGGCTGCTGCTGCCATTGCCTTTCCGGCTTTCGCTGTGGTGGCTGCCACTGCCATTGGCTTTGCTGCCCTCGCTGTGGTGACTGCCACTGTGACGACTGCCACTGTGACGACTGCCACTGTGGTGACTGCCGCTACCATTGCCTTGGCTACTGCCGCCCTGAGAACTCCGTTTCGAGTGGTGGGAGGATGACATTGTCAAGACTTGGCTGATTGAAAGTCGGTAACTTTGTGTGAGTGATGATAGACGACGATGATGATATCTGATGAAATTTTTTGATAGGGAACCGAAGTGAATGAGGAGTCTGTCTTTGCGACATCGACTCGACTTTTGTATACAAAAAGCTCCCCCCATCCTTTCGAAATGTTGCACTGACGATCTGTACAATTTTTATCGTTGGGGTGATTCAATGTAAGTGTACAGTGGTTGTCATATCTCATTTGAGATTCCTACCACTCTCCTTGGTGAGGTCGGAAGGGATTCAAAGAGACTTTGCTGCTCAAGTGATCAGGTACCACTGGACATCCAATGTATTGCTTCTAGTTTGGTCGTTTCGATGGAGTTATGTACCGAAAATGCTTATAGGTCAATAAAATTTCTTCCATTTTGGTCTTTTCAGTCGAGTATTGCACCCAATATGCCTACTATTCAATAGAATATTTGCAACATTTCCCATTTTGGTCTTTTCGTTAGGGACATGTACCGAGGATGCTTACGGTTCAATACGATTTCTTTCATTTTGGTTGTTTCAGTCGACTATTGCACCAAATATGCCTACACTTCAATACAAATTTTGCAACATTTCCCACTTTGGTTTTTTCGATGGAGTTACGTACCAAGGATGCTTGCAATTCAACATAATCTCTTCTACTTTGGTCTTTTCGTTGGGGTAATACCGAACATGCCTCTAACTCAATGAGACATCTTCCACTTTGGTCTGTTCCATTGAGTAATCTACCAAAAAAACTCACGATCCTACCCAAGGACCTAACTTCTAATATATGCATTCGGTCATGGGACAGCCGCGTAATGTCACTCAACAAATGGTCCCCCGGAAACCGAACAGCCGACAGGGCCCCTCAATCTCTCGATTTCACATCAAAATTTTTGATTCCAACTGAATAAAGGTGGACTCCTCCCTGGTAATTCTTCCTGATCCCTCCCAATCTGCTGAAACCCCTCAGAAAATCACCACAATCTTCCCACAAGCAGAACGAAAACCTCATATCTGAGGCCACCCCTTCCCCTTTACAAGGTGCTTTGCTTTGACAAGCATCTTGAATACAGGTCAAGATGCCTACTAAGAGCATCAAAGCCTTGTCCGTCGTGCTCGTTAGCACTGGCGTGGCCAACGGCTGTAAGTTCTATCCTCTTTCCAATATCAATGTGATATTTTCCTTGAGGCTCTTACCATGGGCCATTCATCCCATCATAAAGCATAGTGAAGACTCACACTGACTGAACGTAGTTGCAATCAACTATCGAGCGGTGACCTCTACTTCTGAGTCAATTGGCGCTCCGAATCCCACCGTCTCCAGCGCTGCTGTCGATGGAGTCTGTCCACAGCTCGATTCGACTGTGACAAACACCACCGCCGGGGAGAAACAGTATCTCATCAGATGCGGCATCGACTACTTCGGTGGCGACATCGGCGCCCCTCGCTATGCGGACAACTTCAATGCCTGCATTGAGCTCTGCGACGAGACGCCAACTTGTCAGGCCGTCGCTTTCCGTGGCGAAGATCCTGCTCCTGCTCCTTGCTATCTCAAGTCTGAGGTCTTGGATCCTCAGCCGCTTGCGTCAATCTGGGGTGCAGTAAGGGTCCCAGTGGCATCTGCTGCTCCTGCGGTATCCGCTGCACCTCTTGTATCTGCTGCACCTAATGTAACTACGGCACCCGCTCTTAATACGAGCGTGCCCTTCGCCTTCTTCACCAACACAACCACTCTTCCAGTAGTGGCCGAGTCTACTGCTGTGGCGTTCAACGTGGTCAATGGCACAAATTCCACCCTAATCGTCCCACAGGCCATTGTTAACATTGAAATCCCTACTGTCACGGTCACCATTCACACCACAGCTGATCAAACCCCAATTCCAACTTCAACAACAACTCCAACTCCATCTTCAACACTAATATCAACACCAACACCAACGCTCACAGCCATTGCTGAGGATGAAGTTGAAATTGCAACGACGACTTCTTCAAGCGGCGGCGGCCCGATCATTGAGGTGCAGTTTTCCGACTCGACTGTGGTCATCCATCCCCAAACTGCGACCGAGTTGCCATCAGGAGTGACACTCCCGGGACATATAGTCGCCAGGCCAGGCTTCTTTGGACTACGCAATGCCTCCGCTTCTGAATCGGCTAAAGTTGAGATCATCTCAATTACCGGTGCGGACGGTACTGTGGCGCCAGCGACACTCACTCCCATCGCAGAAGCAGTGGCAGCCTCACCGGTGACAGAACCAGAGTTCGGCCCGCCAGTGACAAGGACAATAACAGTCAGGCCGTCAGCAGTGACAGCAGTGACAGCAGAAGAAGCAGTGACAGCAGAAGAAGCAGTGACAGCAGCAGAAGCAACGTTGGACTCAGCGCCCCCACGTCACACTGTGTTTTTGCATGATCCTCTCACAGCCATCGATCCCGATGACACCGGCGCAACAGTGGTAATCACACGATACATACAAACAGCAACCCCAACCGAAGATCTGTTATGGCAAGATGCAACTTCGACCCCATCGCGTGCCGAGGGCTACTGGACTGTAGAACAAGGACCAACCGCCATCCCTACGGAGACAGGGCCCCTCGTGCCCGTTATAAAGCCAGTGTTTAACCACAACTCGCTGAAATGGGATGAAGACGCCGAAGTCACATTTGATGATGACACCGTGACGATCCCCGTCAAGCCGGGCCAAGAATATTACATTCTCCCGCAGGATATTGGCGACAGAAAAATCCTCTTCGCGGGACCAGAGGGCACGGAGCCGGTTCCCATGTATGATGATGCCGTCGAAGAGACCCGTCAGAGGTTGAGCATCGCGGTGAATCCTCCCCCTAAGAATGCAACCGAAGAAGCAGACCGTCGCTCTCTTGCAGAACGTGACGACCCAATGCTGTCTGATTACTGGGCATACTATATACGCAAGGGGGACGGCGAAGTCCCAGACGAGCGACGCAACTCCCTCGGTGAAGATGGCGAGTACCAGGGAAAGCCCACCGCAACGCATCCACCAGCTCTGCCGAGTTCCCACAAAGTGAACGATTGGGCCTCTAATCCAGAGGACTCGGCCGTCCATGAACAAGGAGAGAAGATCAAGACGAGCCCTGATGGCTCTTGCGGTGGTTACAAGGGATACAGCTGCATTGGATTCGCTGCTGGTTCATGTTGCTCCCAAGCCGGATGGTGTGGAAAATCCATTGATCATTGCGGTGCAGGGTGCAATTCTCAGTACGGTTATTGCGAGTCGTTCTCCGTCTCGTCAAAGCCTGCTGCTTCGATCCCGCATAAGCCATCTGCTTCCAGTTCCTCCCACGCAAAGGCAACATCGTCAAAGCATATTCCAGGAACCCTGATCCCGTGGTCGTCGACATCTACCAAGTCAGAGCATTTGCCTACTCCCTGGGAGTATTCTGAGGAATCTAGTTATGCTCCCTCTAAGACGGTTGGACAAAGCTCTCATCATGGTGCCCCTACAAAGGCCCCCCATGTCACACCGGCCCCTGAGGTAGAAGAGTCCAATGAGTTTGAAAGCTTGATCCACTCTTTGTACAAGACAGTATCTTCGTCCACATGGTCAGAGGACGTCCCGGAAGCCACTCCAGGGCCTGCTGAGTACGGGTATGGTCCTGAAGAGGGTGATTTCGAGGAAGTCGAGTACGCAGCTGAGGAGGAATCGTGGGAGTCTTACGGTGAGGGGTATAATCATGCCTCCGAGCTCCCCAAGCCATCTTCCAGTGCTCCATCTTGGAGTAAGACGACGGAAGTTGTACCCACCCCTACTACCCCTGCGGTCGAGTATTACCCAGAATATGAGGCCGAAACTTCATGGAGCGAGTCAAGCACGACGTATACTGCGCCGGCCTCTACCACGCCTGCGTTCGAACACCATTACCCGGAGTATGAAGCAGAGACTTCTTCGAGCAAGGCGAGCCAGTCAAGCACGTCGTGTACGTCAAGCGAGGCGGGACCGACATCTACCACTCCTGCCGCAGAATACTACCCAGGATATGGAGCTGAAACTTCATCAAGCAAGACAAGTAAGACGAAAGAAGTTGCGCCGACTACTACACCACCAGTCGAATACGACACGGTGTATAGCACAACGTATAGCACAACAGTCGTCACGGAATACGTAGATGAAATCTCGTCGAGTAAGTCAAATGAGAAAGCGTTTATGTTTACTGAGCCGGAAGCTAAATCCACCGCAGCAGTCGCCCCAACAGCCAAGCCGACTCCAGAATATGATGAAAACTTTTGGGGTGCTTGGGTCGAGGATGCCACGGGAAAGCACAAGCCAATTCACTACCAGAAGAGAGCGGCCCCATCAGGCTTCTTGTCGATTACAAAACCTTCGACAAAGTCCGTAGCGAGCGCAACCAGCAAGATCGCCACCCCTACCCCCACCCCAACTGCTTGCGGAGAGATTGATGCCAAAACCTTCTTCCGCATCCTTCCGCATGGTGACGAAAAGGACTACCTCCTTTGCACCAACCCTTGCTCTGGACACGTCCCAGAGTACCGTAATGCGAGTGAAGGTATCCCAGAGCCCGTTTTGGAGAAGTTCAACAACGGAAGCATCAACTACTATCGCGTCGAGGGCGATGATGTTTACTATGTTAAGCTCGCCAACGAGACTGTCATCACGCCAGTTCTCTTCAAGAGCGGAGAGTTCATCGACAAACTGGCTGGCTCCAACGACACCACAGTTAAGAAGATCAAGATCAAGCAGAACAAGTTCCTCGACCTGATCCAGTACTCCGCCAAGCGCATCTACCTTGGAGATGTGGAGTACGAAATCATCATACCGGCGTCTGTCGATGACATTGAGTCTCAAGACACTTCGGGCTGGAAGCAGGTTCTGAACGCATTGAAACATCTTGGTGCCAACGCTACAACTCCAACGAGCACCAAGGCACCTACACACGGCAAATCTAAACGCGAACATTTCGGGGACGTTCTGCGGGACTCTTTTGAGAAGCTTCTCAGGGACATCGGTTTGGATCCCACCGATCCAGACAACCCTGAAGCCAGCTACCTCCCAAACGCATATCTAGCGGAAGACCCGGGAAAGCGATCTGTCGTCCCCCGTAATGAGGATGATAATTCCCATAGTAGTTCGGAGGACGAGATCCCTCTCTCTGAATTTCCCTTCCAGATCGTGATTGACGAACCACCAAGTGCATATCTCGCCCCGCGTCATGAAGAAAGTAGTTCGGACGAGGAGAGAGTCATCGACCGGTTGGAACCCAGCTGGTACATCAGATTGGAAGCGCCAGAAATCACAAAGAGGTCTATCGCCCGCCGTGATAGTGTTGATAGTATTAGCAGTTCAGATGACGAAACCGTCCCGAACCCTGATCTCGCAGTGGTATTGGAACCCGTACTGGAAGAACCACTTATAAAGAGAGCCGTACCGGAACCATATTGGCCATCTATCCTCGGGCCTGATGATAGTTTGAGTAGTACGGATGAGGATATCATCGCGGCTCCCGATTTCTACATCGCAATGGAAGCACCAGTAAAGAGATCTGGGGTCCGGAGTGATGACAGTCTCGATTTGGGGGATGAGGAAACCTTCTCGACAACCAGTGACTGGATGGCATTGGAAAATTTACCACCAACAAAGAGATCTTTCTTCAAGCGGGAGACTAGCACTTCCAGTAGTTCCGACGAGAAAGAGCCCGAGCCGGAAATCATTATCTTGACAGACTCAGGAAAGAGATCTGTCTCCGAAAGATCTGCCTCCAGGAGGTCCGCCTCCAGGACATCTGCCTCCCAGCGATCTCTCTTAAAGCACCAATGGGTTCAAACCGATACTGACACTGATAGTAGTTCGTTCGACTTAGCCGTGTACCCCCCGTCCTTCAGTGTGGTGCCAGACCCAGGAAGAAAGAGGTCTCGCATCCCCGAGCTCGGGGGGATTGAGGATCCTGAACATACGTACCCATTGCCCACTTGGCCACTAGACGAGTCACTTCAGAGAAGGGATGTTGAAAAGCCAGCCGAAAAGCCAGTCGAAAATCCATCCGAAAAGCCCGTCGAAAAGCAACTCGAAAAGCGCATGCACGGTTACGATCTGATCAAATACGCCGCCAAGCAATGGCTCCAAGGCATGGGTTTTGCCTTCTTGGGCGATGAGGAGCCTCCGTGGCACCAAAAATATCACTTGGTAGATCCCGACGTAGATGAAGGGATGGTATCCCTCGTCGCCCGGGAAAACCTCGTAGAACGGGAAGCGGGTGACAATCAATTCCTGCAGGGTTTGGACGATACTTTAGATTGGCTCATGATACCTTGGAGTATCCTAGGGAAGAGATCTCTCGCCCGTCGAGACGATAAAACAGGTATCATGGACGTATGGGATACAATCGTCAATTTCACGAGTGATTTCGTGGAGGATTATAATGTTTACACGAAGAGGGGCGACAAACTCAGCCCGAGAAATTGGCACGATTTCCAACTATTTTTGGGGGAATTTTTCTCGAGATCTGCGGCACCAGAGAAAGAGGATCTCAGTAAGAAGCCCAGCAAGGCTCCCAGCAAGATTCACAGCAGGGATCTCGGCAAGCGAGAAGAAGGGTACGTCGAATATCCCGGAGGCCCCCCAGAGAAAACAGAGGCTGACTTGTTGCTGGAAAAGGATATCCAAAAGATCCTAGAAGTGTGGGAGTCTGCAGGTAGTCTAGTCCGAGGAGGAGTCATCTTCTCTAACGCTCGTTTCGAAGTCTTGGACGGCATCAATCCACTCATCGTCACCAAGACGACGCATCCACGCTCGCGCGCGACGTCCGTTGGGAGTTGGACAAATTTCAAACTCCCGGTCTGGGGTCCCAAGCATCCATCGGAGGATCAGATAAGGTACTAGAATCTGCTTGGTTGCAGATAAAAATTGTCAATGTAGCCTGTAGCCGATAGATCTTTAGTGTCACACATGTTTCCGTATTTGAATCGCACATCAGAATGTGAAGTGATGAAAAAGAAAATCGTGATCCGTTAATTAGAGGCTGAGAAGAGTTGGTCTCATCTAGGATGGCCGTGATTAAAAATGCTAACTTCTTCATACCCCTTTCTTTTATTCCCTTATATAAAATATGACCCTTGGACGAACAAAGGAACAACAATCGAAACGTCTAGATGTAATGTCATGATACAAATGTTTCCACACTCACTCACAATCAGCACCCACCGCTATCCAAACAATACCTCTCCTCCACCGCCTACCATGTCAACCCCATCTAAGCGACATACCTGCGCATGCGACGCTCAGCAACGGGAGCAGCGGTAGGCTCGGGGGCAGCAGGGTTCTCCTCCGCAAGAATCGTGACGGCGGGAGGGGCAGCCTCAGCAACAGCCGTACCCGTGGCAGCGGCGCCCTCGGGGGGAACAATACCCTGCTGCTGCTGTTGCTGGTGCTCAAGCTCCTTCGCATCGGCCGCCTTCTTCGCCTCCTCGTTCTTCGCCTGCTCCTGCGCGACGTGCATGGCCTCCATCTCCTGTGCCGCCTTGAGGTGCTCGGCGTTCTTCTTCTCCTCCTCAGCCACGTGCATGGCTTCCATCTCCTTTGCCTTCTTCTGGTGCTCGAGGTCCGCGGCTTGGGCTTTAGCGACGTGCTCGGCCTCCATCTTTGCGGCTGCTTCCTGAGAGGCCTTTGCTTCGGCTTCCGCGTTGGCTACGTGCATGGCTTCCATGGCTTCGGCGGCTGCTTTGTGCTCGGCGGCTGGGGTATGTTAGTTTCGGGGTACTTGAATGTGGGAGGGTAATTAAGGGGAACTTACCGGCCTTGTCGGCGGCGGCCTTGTGCTCAGCAGCTGCTTTCTTCTCGGCATCCCATTCTGGAGTCACTCTGTTAGACTTTGTACTTCGCTAGGATGCTGTGTATGGAGAGAAACTTACTGGCCATTTCCTCAGGGGTAGGACCCGCTGCGGGAGGAGGAGGTGGTGGTGGCGGGGGAGCGGCGGCTGCAGGGGGAGGAGTGACCTCTGCTGCAGGAGGCGTGGTGTGCTCCGGCGGTGGTGGAGGGGCCTCAGCGACGACAGTGTGCTCAGGTGGTGGGGGAGCCTCTGCAACTGGGTGGACGGGTGGAGGTGGAGGAGCTGCTGCTGGGACCTCGTGCTTCGGGGGTGGTGGAGGAGCCTCTGCTACGACAGTGTGCTCAGGAGGCGGTGGTGGAGGAGCAGCCTGTTCCGGTTCGTGCTTTGCTGCTGGAGGGGGCGGTGGAGGAGCAGCCTCTGCTACCATCGTATGCTCAGGAGGTGGTGGGGGAGGAGCAGCCTGCTCCACTTCATGCTTCGGAGCAGGTGGAGGTGCTTCTGCTACCACTGTATGCTCAGGAGGTGGAGGTGCGGCCTCTTCCACTTTGTGCTCTGGGGGAGGTGGGGGAGCAGCCTGTTCGACCTTATGCTCAGGAGGCGGGGGAGCAGCCTGTTCGACCTTATGCTCAGGAGGAGGAGCAGCCTCTTCTACCTTGTGCTCCGGGGGAGGCGGAGGAGCCGCCTGTTCCACTTTGTGCTCTGGAGGAGGTGGAGGAGCTGCTGCCACTGGATGAGCTGGTGGAGGAGCAGCGGCCTCAGGAGGTGCGGTTTGTTCAGGGACAGCGATAGTCGTCGAGTTCTCGGCCTTGTTTTCCTCAACGAGTGGTGCTCCCCCAGCGACTAGATATGTGGGTTCCGGTTCCGCTACGACTGCAGCCTCTGGTGCCTTCTCAGTCCGTCCCTCCAATCGTACATTAAGTATATCATTAGACAGTCCACGGCGGGAGGGAGCGTTGCCATTGATGGGCACGGGTCCGGCAGCCACGAGAGCCGCGGTCAAGAGTGTGATCAGAGAATAGGAGGCCCTCATTATGGTTGTTGGTTCTTTTCCTTGTAAGTCGGGAGGTTCGATTGAAATTCGAGGGAATTGGGGCGAACGGCAGAAGATTGATCGATGATCAAATGAAAGTAATCGAGCACAGCTCAAGGCAAGAAAGTAAGTAAGAAGAAACAAAAAGATAAAGAAAGGTTCGTGCACGGCACTGAGCAGAAGTGGACAAGATTAAAAGGTTGCTTGTTAGAGGAAAAGATGAGCAGAGGAGGAGAGCATATTAGAGATATATACCGTCCCTGTAGCTTTGACCACTTGACGTTCTGGAAGACGGCACACAGTCTTTGGAGGACTGTTTTGCCCAATCCCGAATACCATCGTAAGCCTGGTCTACGGCGAGTAAGTCCCCTGCAGATCAGGCTTCAAGGAGACGTTGACAAGAAGTGGTTACCCCCACATGGATCAAGCGTAGACGTCTGCCACCTCAGGTAGCAGCTGTAGACAGGTCCCTCAGAAAGAAGGAATAGCAAAAGTAGGTGAAGATAGGGTTTGCTGAAAGGTCCATGGGCCAATCAGGGATGGACGTTAATGGTCGGATGGACGAAAGAGGAAGTGTGTTGTGCACATTCGGCCAATTGAAACTCTTGGCCTAACGTCTTTCGTTAGAGACAGTGTAGCAGAATCCCCACCACCAGGGGCAGAAATCAGTTCATAAAGACTCAAGAGATTTTTGGGGAACGCTCGCTAGGGAACGAGCCGAGTTTCAGAACGACGGCAAGGGTTGGCAATACCACGAGTAAAATCATTTTGTTTTTCTCGTCACCTCCTCCTCGAGGAAATCCTGTTGTTTGCAGCGACGTGATAGGTAGACGGTGGGACCCGACCCATGACGGCATCGGACTCCCGTATGTGCATGGTTTCAATCGAGGCCCGTCTTATGGCTGCGACAGTCCGCCCGTAGCACTGAGGCTCAGCACGCCTAATCCTTGATGATCTTCGCGGGCAGGTCGCTTCCGGGATTGCCTAGGGCAGTCGTTAATTGATTATTGACCTACCTATCTGAAATCCCATTATCGTGCATAACCACTCTCATCATGACCTAAAAGCCGACCCACTGGTGTTGCAGAAGCAAACCCACAACTTCATGGCATCTTTCGACGGTGACGTACAACATTGCAGACCATTTCGATTGTTGTTTTTAATTCGGTTAATACGGCACAGAGAGAATCTGAGCGATTCGTGGTCCAAACGGAGCCTCTGAGGTATATTGGCCGTGCAATAATGGTTTTGCTGTTCTCGAACAGACCGAAGGCCGAACCCCTTCAGCTGCAGGAGAGGTGCCTTGCATCCTCGCCAACCTGGAACGAAACATGAGCTTCCGCATATGAGCCGCGGCAACGTTTGGACGATGTATCGATGAATTTCTACATGGTTGAATAAATAAACAATCAATTGACACAAAATGTACCATCCATTGGGGAGTCCGGACCAATACAGTGCTCTCCAAAGCAATCGCGATGGTCAGCATACAGCAAATTAATTGGAGTACGAGTGCGCAAAGCAATAATGAGCTCCAATAACAAGTTCAGCAACTACTAAGTAATTAATTAATAAGACAGCCTTCTATCGTATAATCTTGGCCAACCCAAGATGCTAATATGCATACGATTTCCAGTAGATGTACAATTATTTGCAGAAACAAAGAATGAAAACAGCGGAAGATCCAAAATCAGCGATCAATTCATCGCATTATTGTTCTGATGCTATTGAGTTAATGTAACCTATAACAAGATACCACAACAATAACCAACATCCCCAACCCAACAACCGTAACGGCCAATGGTCTTAAGTTTCTAGGGACAAGCTTGCAAGTAAAATGAGTCGGGCACCCCCATCCATGCGCAATCCCCCAAGCTTTTTACAACACGCTCAGCTTATGTCAACGTATCAGACTCGTGCATCAGACCGAATTGAGGGGTAGACAATCTGACACATGGTAATGCTCTAGTCAGGTAGGTAGTCGTTCGCGTCATCGAGCTGTCGCAGCTGTAGAGTGTAGACTAGCAATACACATGGCCCACCATACTAGCTACGAGTAACAGCACCCAAGAAGATCTGGAACGACGATCGAGATACATGGCGTATTCTCAGGTTCGATTCACCCCACCTCTACTTCACTTGCGAGCGTGTTTATGTAGTATCTAATTTATTCTGAGATATTTCGCAAAGTTATCGCAGCGCTGCTTGAAGAAAGATTCCATAGTTTGCAATATGTCTCCGATCAGATCGTAGTCGCGCACGATAAGACTACATCAACTTCACAAGTTCAATCCGCGAAAATCACCCCAACAACTACGCGCGAAATACTCGTAAAACCGTCGAGCAGCACCACTTTCCACACACGACCTAGTCGATCAAAATTTGTTTTGTTCTCGAATCATGTTGCGAAACCGTTGCTACCAGGGGATCGACCAACCTGCGACTGTCGTCTCGTCATAGGCAGCCTGAGACCACCACCCCCTCGACATCCCGAGCCTCTGGATCCCGGTTCCTGGGTCACACAGATATTCCGGCTGTATGCAGCTCTTTGCTATTTTGGAAAACCGACTACACAGAAGCCTTTATGGCTCCGAATAGGTGGGCGGAAGAGAAAGCATGTGGGCAAAGTTTGCTTTTCGACGTGCGTGATGTCTAGGGCTCGAGATGGGAGTACGATACAGTAGGAAAAGAAAGTAAAGTGTGGATCGATTGTAACGGTTGGTATAGTGAATACGCCCGAAACAACCATATTGTGAGAGGATGAGATACTCGTCTGTTACTGCGGCACATTGCGACACTGGGGACATGATAACGGATAATCGAACGCTGTTGGTCCATTTCCAGTTGCAGCTTACATGCTGGAGAAAGCTGATACCAGACTGTCCGCATCTGGAAGCTGGACAATATAGAATATTATGGACAACTAGCAAGACTCGAAGAGAACGTTCTTTATTACCGAATACTGGGATCGACTGCAACGTTTAGGGCATAACATACGATCAAAATTTGGTCAATGTGAATCTTCAGGGACTTCATGCTGTTTGGGCTGTCCTTTCGTCTCAAGATCCTAACTATCATGTTCAACATCTCGAATTGGACTTGGAGGTCAGCTCAATAGTTTTCGTCTTCAACCACAGCATGCTCGGATATGACCAAAGCTCAGCAAAGACATAGATAACCCCCCTCCAGGAGCAGACGAAAATGGAGAGTCTTTCACATTCCGTATCGTCTCCGTAGTCTTTCTATGTATGGATACTGAGGAAATCAAGGTCCTATACTTCGCTCGGGGCCTTTGATTCGCATCATTCGAGACAGAACTCTTTGATATTCCTCCAACAGGTATAGGGTAGGACTGATGAGGAGCAACTACTCGTAGGATGATGACGGTACAGTGCAAGCTGACTGCGAATCTGAAACTCGCATCCGACACCCAAACTCCCCTTCCTCTTTCGTATATGATTGTATACATCGATTAATCATTCTCCCAGAGTTGTTGAAAACTTTCGAGGTGATGGCGCGCTGGTTACGACTACAGCAGTGAGCTTTTCGTGGGGTTGGATCGAAACTCCGTCGCATCGCCATCGTCTGCAGTGGCTTTCCGACGCCCTGATTTTTCCGTCAGCAATGTCAGCACTTTGAGTTAGCGGTCGTTCTGGCCGGCGATTTCCAACGACCGCGTGCGTGAGGTATCCCATGACCTCGCGAGGTACCGCAGACAGCCTAGGTTTTCAATGACAGGAGCTTGGAGAGCACGACTAGTGACACTATGAGGCGGCAAAAATCATCCAAGGCACGAGAACTTGGTAGTGTAAGTTGGGCGTACGTGAGAATCCTCCGCCGTACAGACCAGACTGACAGTTGAGATTCCTGAGGACCGACTCTTCTGGTGCTTTTGGATGTGCTAGCTCATGGCCTGCCACGGTAAATTGGTAAGTCTCTCTTTGCCGCCTTGTCGGATGGATGGAGTGCATTGGATGCTGTAACCCGGGGTTGATAATCTGCTTGTCAGCATCCACGAACTACTAGTTACGCCCGTTCGCCATGGGAAAGACATGACAAAGGTTACATATCAGGAAACCTGCCACTCCCTCCCAGAACGACCAGACCAGTAGTTAAAGACCGCCAAAAAACAAGCCCGAAAGACAAGTCAAACCTACAACACCACAAACTCACCGCCATGCCCCTTCAATCCGGAAGCACATCCCGAATTCAACATAGACACGGCGAGCCAGCAAACAAGTCTCCAACCCCATCCCATCCCACAAGTTTCCAAGGACGCGGACGGTCTTAATACGAAGAAGTCGCAGGAACGAACCTTTCCCCCCCACACTAACGCCCCAACGCTTTTCGCGAGCCCGGGGAAAAGTTCCTAGGAAAGCATTAGCTTCCTCCGTCGTTGTCTTGCTCGACTGTCGCCCTACGATGTAACTATGAAATACGAGATCGCGTATGCCTATGGTTACCACTGCATCGGCTTGGCGAAGGGCTTTTGGGAAACTAGTACTGTTTGGAGCCGTGTTTTGGTATCGTCATTTTTGGCGTCGGTTTTCTTATAGGGAGGTAGGCTAGGTTAAGATAGGTCGTACGTATGATAGCTACATAGCGATACTGCTTCATTCAGACAGAGTAAGATTTAGAACTGACGACCTGGGGCTACAGTACATACAACATAGGCGAGCATCCCAACGCGATACGGCGTGTTTATTCTTGCGAACTCGAACTACCGTGCATGGACGTACATACACAGTACATACACTCTCAAACCATCCACCACAAGCCAAGGTACCATCGTACATACATACAAACATACACATACAATATATACAAGGCAGACTCCCAGACATTCACATCAAGAGCAAGCACCTGATCCCCCATCCCCGCTCCCCTCCGCTCCCCACAATCCGCGGAGATTCCTTGCGAAGGAAACATGTCGCGAGCTCGCCAGGTTGTGTTTTAATGAACCAGTTTTCGTCTTTTTGGTTAACTACATACTGTGTATATTTGTTCACATTGCGGCGGCGCTCACATGCGGGGGGCCCGGCGGGACGCCTGGGGTGGAATATATATATACATGTCAATTTGAAGGTGTTGGCGTTGGCGTTGGGTTTAAGTAAGTTATGTGGTGATTGAGGCACGGGTTTTGGCTGGATATTAGGGGGTCTAATATGTTATTGTTGGAAGGATTGAGGGGATGTGTGTGTTGTTTGCACGGCAGGTGTTTGGATGATTGTCAAAGCACAACTATCTGTATGTATGTATGGTATGTACGCACACAGTAAAGAATCACGATTCACGAAGCGCTGGTGCATTTCGAGTCTTTGCCGGCGGTACATCGCCGCCGTCGTCGTCGCCGTCGTCGGAGATGCAAATTCGCACCAAAGCCCACAATGCCAATGTCACAAGCAAGCAGCCAAGGAGAAACGAAGCAAAGTAGTCCGATTACACACGCAATCTACCCAGTACAGTGGCCAACATAGCGGACATCGACCCAAAAACCCCAGAGGTCACATGCACAGACATACACGGTGTAGGTAAGACCGTACCGTGTAGGCAGAAGTAGAATCAGATAGAGAGGCAATAGGGGTCTGGGCTTTCCAGTCCATCATAGGTAGATTCATGGTAGGGTGTGTGTGTGGCATAAAAACGAACCTTGGCATGGCGAATCCCAAGGAACTTGCGGATATATCTTCGCGTGGTTCCGAAATGATTGACACCTCTCTCTCCCGCACTAGCGCAGGAAGAGAAAGAGTGTGTGGGCGTGCAAGCAGGAGGAGGAATTCCCATAGGGTTGCTTTGGGTAAGGTTGTCATTCGCTTTCTCAGCTGCTTTTAGTTTTGACTGGGGATACGGTCGTGTTGCTTTTGCTTGGTTTGCTGTTGCTGACGCCCCGCGGTAAGACGAGACGGGGTGTGTCCGAGTTGAGCGGCGCTTTCGGACGGAGCGACGGCAGGATTGCTGGAAATCAAATTGTCCCACCTGCTAAATCGCTTCGGAAGGATCATGAAAGCCACGCCTCAAAGACGTGAGCCGCGCGAATCATCGCTGGTCTATCTTGGCCGAGTTAGGTGCGTAATCGGAGAGAACTTTCTTGTGGAGGAGGATGTGATGATTGCTGTGACGGATTGACTGACGTCCAAGTATGCAACATACTAGCATCGCTAAAGTCCTGACTACCCAACCAACCTAGCAGCATGATAGCCAGCTACGGTGATTGACCCCACTCTCAACTCGTACCTCCTGCTGGGGATCATGGAGAAAAGATACGATATCTACCTATCTACGGTAGCTACCTAGTGTCTCCCTCGCGTGGTTGACCAGCGCATGGGGGGCGAAAAAAGGGCCTGCTCTGCATAAGATGTACATACTCCGTACATTCGGTAGTTTTGAATGCCTTCTTCTTTTGGTCTTTTTGAGCATGTTCCTGTTCCTCCATGCCATGCTCGGGTCTTCATGACGAGGGTACAGACCAATGAGGTTGCTTTCCTTCTAGGTGACAACATTTTTTTGATATCCAGACGCTCTTCAGCATCCCCCGTGACAAGAGACAAAAAGGCAAACGGTACTTTATTCTACCGAACTTGTCGTTTCTTACCCAATCTTGCTTTGAACTATAACCACTGCCGCCGAACACCCGTCCGATACGTAGCTTGCTTGTCCGTCCAAATCGCAAGACTCGAAAGACCATGGTGATGATGCGTGAAACGTACCGACCAAAACGTCAATCACTCACCGCACACCCAACAACAACCACCTCACCTCAACACGAAGAATGCCTCGCTGCAAGCAAAAAAAAAAAAAAACAAGGTACACATCTTGCTTGCTTTCTTACACAACGCAAAAAAGAGGATCGCCCGCGTCGCACACACATATACGAAATGTATGTACACCCATCCAGCCATACCCAAACCCACACACACACACACACACCTCCCAGAGCCCCATACCATACCATACCATACGCAAACCACGCGCATGCGGGTCCCTCCTCCCTCCCTCGCTCCCTCCTCATATAAACTCCCAAAAACCCACGACACAATCCCCCTCCCCCTCGAGCCATGTACATAGTCACGAACGGGCCTGGCTGTTGGAACCCCCCAATTCCAATCCCATCTGTAGACTCTCGACCCACCCTCGCGCAGCGTGATCGCTCCGCGCCTGGGAGGCGAGCGAGGGGAGCGATGGGGAGCCGCCAATGGGTATTGGCTGCGGCTCAATAGTCTTAATTGTTTTCTTGTGGGGCTTGATGCATCGCAGACAGAGCGTAGCGTAGCTAGACCCGGGACATTGCAAAGCTGGGCTGGATGCGCTGCTCTGCATTGCCGGGGGATGGGGAAGGGGAGGGGAGGGGGAGGGTAAACCCAGTGGGTTGGGGCTTGGCTCCCTTGTTACTCTGTTGTTCAGTTCTTGCAAAAGGTGCAATCATTGCCTTATACTGCGGCGTAGTCTACTCAACTCGATGTTAGGCGAGGAGGGGAGCTGGGGGAGGGAGGGAGATGGGACCGATTTGGGAATACCCTCGTCGGTTTCGTGGGTACGTCTGGCCGATGACCCGGTACCGCTTCGTGTGAGTCGTGACAGGTTTACAGGTTTTACAGGTTTAGCACGGGCACCAAGCATACACGCACAGCAAGCACAGCACAACGTGGTGGCCGGTCGGTGGTGGTGGTGGGCATGGTGGGCACCCAGTCCAGGTGTGCATTTTCGAGAAGGACCACGGAAGCGGATCCACGGGCAGATGGGTGTTGGGGAACGGCTATATTGCTGGTAAACATGGAAGATTGGGGGGGATGGGATGGGGTAATAGGTTGGTGGGTGGGTTAGGCGGGTGGGTATGTAAGACTAGGTACCTAAGACATCAGATCGCACATACATGTAGGTAAGGTACTGTACAGTAATGGTAGATTTGGAGTTCATTGTTTAGCTGTAGGCGTACTCGGGAGGCGAAGGTGGTCGATCGAGGCGCGCCTTAAGCGGCTCTATGGAAAGTTAAACAAGACGGCCCATTTGGTTAAGTTATTCATTGTCTTGCAAAAAAAGGTCACGAAGCACACTTTTTGCCTTCTTTTCCCATCGAGCGGTCTCGTCGACGAGTCTACGAGAGACGGCTCGCCCTTCGCTTGAAGGATTTCATGGGGTGCGGACAGGGGTCAGGCTATATTGATTGGGGAGGGACAGGGTAAATTGTTGGGCTAACCCTCCGTGCACATATATCAGAGACACGAGGTCAATCAAAAGGTGCAAGACCGCCATGGCGGGTGTGGTCTCTTCGAGATGACTGCAGGTCATTAAGAGTGCTTGGCTCGCATCTGGGGTTTGCTTTGCAGCAGAGCTAACGAGGCATTTCTGGGAGGCCGGACGGCATGATATTGAACCCTGGTGGGATATATACCTGCGCGCCGGTCGGCGAAAAACATTTGGGAAGCAGACTCGAACGAGATTTCTTTCTCTCCCCTACCTGAAAGGTCCAAAGTCAAGTCTCTCTGACAATCCGATACCTATCGTCGTAATCATGGGTGGTGCTGGAGCAACTGGTGTGGCCGATCCGGTCCTGACCCGCCTCGTCGCCGAGGACAAGGTGCGCTGGTACAAGAAACCGAACCTACGCATCCTATACGTCCTGTTGTTCTTCTCTTGTATGGGTATCGAACTTACCTCCGGATTCGATTCTCAATTGATCAACGCTCTTCAAATTGTGCCATCATGGATCGATTGTAAGATTTTAGACCATGAATGCAATCGTCTCGAAGCAAAACTAATGCGCTGTAGACTTTGGCGACCCTCAAGGCTCTTTGAAGGGAATAATCAGCGCCGCCTACTCGCTCGGTGCCATTCTCTCGCTACCTCTCGTCCCGATCGTCAATGAAAGGTTCGGTCGACGTGGTTCCATCTTCGCTGGATCTTGGGTCATGGTCATTGGTGCCATCATCCAAGGATGTGCCCAGAACGGTAAGGACATGTTGAAATAGAAATGGTGAATGCTCAATTCTGACGACATGACTACAGCTGGCATGTACATTGTTGCACGTATGATTCTCGGTTTCGGTATCCCTACTTGCATTGTCTCCGGTTCGTCCTTGATCGGAGAGTTGGGTTACCCCAAGGAGCGTCCAGTCCTGACCTCGCTCTTCAACGTCGCCTACTTTGTCGGCCAGATCATGGCTGCTGGTATTGCTTTCGGCACCAACAACCTGGCCGGCAACTGGGGCTGGAGGATTCCCTCGTTCCTACAGGCCGCTCCCTCTTTGGTCCAGATCATCGTCATCTACATGCTCCCCGAATCGCCGCGTTACTTGATCAGCAAGGACCGTGCCGAGGAGGCCGAAGCCATCTTCATCAAGTACCACGCTGAGGGCGACCGTGACTCTGAGTTTGTCAAGGCAGAAATGCTCCAGATCCGCACCACCCTCGAGCTCGAGAACGAGGCTGCCAGGCACTCCTGGATGGATCTCGTCGCCACTGCCGGTATGCGTCGTCGTCTATTGATCACCTCCGCCCTCGGACTGTTCACCCAGTGGTCTGGAAACACCCTCATCTCGTAAGTCTCTGCAAAACCCATCTCGTCTCTTTCCCCCAGGGAGCGTAAGGCTAACGGTTGGACCAGCTACTACTTCGGAGATCTGCTCAAGATGGTCGGCATCACCAGCTCCATCCTCAAGCAGAAGCTCAATCTCGCCAATGCATGCTGGGCTCTCATCAACGCCTTCACCATCTCCATGTTCGTCACCCGTTTCAACCGCCGAACGCTCTACCTCACTTGCACCATCTCCCTGCTCTGCTGCTACACTGCATGGACCATTAGCATGCAGAAGGCGAACGCGGCCAAGGATGCAGGCACCGTCAACAGGGCTGCCTCTATCGCCACCATCTTCTTCATCTACGGTAAGCCACATCGAAAAATCCATCGTCGACTGCCAGATAGCTAACGTGAACCAGCCTACTCCCCATGCTACAACATCGGCTACAACGCCCTCACCTACAGTAAGTCCCTTTGCATTACTGCCCCTCCAAGGACACCCACTAACAATGTTTCCCAACAGCCTACATGGTTGAGGTCTGGCCCTACATGGAGCGTTCCCGCGGTATCGCCATCTTCCAGCTCTTCGGCCGTCTCGCCGCCTTCTTCACCACCTTCGTCAACCCCATCGGTCTCAACAACATCAAGTGGAAGTGGCTCATCGTCTACTGCTGCTGGCTCTGCTTCGAGATCGTCTTCGTGTACTTCCTGTTCCCCGAGACGGCGAACCGCACCCTCGAGGAGTTGGCTTTCTGTAAGTTCCACCTACCTGTTGCCCTTAGGCATGTGGGTCGGATTTGGCTAATTGTGACGAAACAGTGTTCGAAGACAAGGCGTTGGCTGAGAAGGCTAACGAGGCTGTTGAGGATGTCGTGCATATCGGACACGATGAGAAGAACGCTGTTATGACGAGCGAGAAGCCTGCTCACCAGTAGGTTTCCGGCCTCTGACGTTTTGTGATTGGAAGGGGGGGGGGACCTGTTGTGGAAGATGTCCGAAATAGGCAGTTTGGAAAGGGGGGGGTTAGTAGCATATAATCTTCTCGCCTAATAGTCAATTTATTCTCTGTGGAAGAGCGAAAAAGCAAATTTGAGCCGTACGATTTTTGATCAATCTGCCGTTTTGGTTTGATATTACTTTGAAACGTTTTTATATTGCGGTTCATCACTGGGGATAAGACAAGAAATGTAGTGGCGCATCCATCAGGCGCCCAAGGCCGCCGCAGGCTTTGCTCCCGCACTTGGCTCTTCCAGAAGGCTTGGATCTACCTCGATTTCAGCCGCTGCAGCTACCGCAGCCTCTTGCTGGCCTTGCATCGTCTCGTGGCTTTCCATTGGCCTCAGTCCCCATCGTTGGAACATCTCCTTGTCTTCGTCCCATCCGTTGCAGGCTGTGGTCAGCATCTTCTCGCCGGTGAATACGGCGTTGGCGCCGGCCATGAAGCACATGATTTGCTTCTCCTCGCGCATGGTGTGTCGGCCTGCGGCGAGTCGGATGATGGTAGACGGAAGGACGAGGCGAGCAGTAGCGATAGTACGCAGGATAGCATCGAATTTAATGGTCTTGCTCTCTCCGAGTGGCGTTCCCTTGATGGGGACAAGAGCGTTCACGGGGAACGACTCTGGATGGACGGGAAGCGTCGAGACGGTGTGAATCAGCCCGACATGGTCCTTAGGCTTCTCTCCGAGTCCAAGGATTCCTCCCGTGCAGACATGAATGCCGGCGTTGCTCACGTTCTTGATCGTAGCTAACCGCTCGTCGTACGTGCGTGTTGTAATGACGCTGGGATAATGTTCCCTCGAAGTATCGACGTTGTGATTGTATGCCGTCAACCCAGCGTCCTTGAGCTCCTTTGCTTGCTCGGCATCGATCATACCAAGTGTGACACAGGCCTCCATGCCTAGGGCCCTGACACCCTTGACCATCTCTTTGACGTTCTTCAGGTTCGTCTTGCGGCCCCTCATGTCCCTCCAGGCGGCTCCCATGCAGAAACGAGAGCTACCGTTCTCTTTAGCTATCCGAGCAGCTTCAAGGACCGATTCGACATTGACCATCTTTGAAGCTTTGAGACCGGTGTTGTAGCGGGATGATTGGGCACAGTAACTGCAATCTTCACTGCAACCTCCAGTCTTGATGTTCATGAGAGTGCACATTTGGACTGCTCCTGGGTTGTGGAATCTCCGATGGACAGTGGCCTGGTGAGTAGCATGTGGTCAGCCAATGGTAGAGCAGGGCAGTATGGGATGTACGCACGGAAGCATATGTGAGCTCCATGAGTGAGGTGTTGTAAATTTCCGAGATTTCCTCTCGAGTCCAATTGTTCCTCGGGCTAGTTGCGTTGACGGCATCTTCGAAGATGGATGATTTGGGAGCTGCTGGTGGCACATTGCCAGATGAGGGGGAGATGGGAGCGTCGATGACTGTGCTGAACCGTCGGAGGTATTGTGAGGAACGGGCGGTTTGTTTTGAGAAGCCGATTGGGCGTATGAGGGCTCGTGTAGCCATGGTGGGCGGGAAGATGAATAGGGATTAGAATTGACAAAAGCAAAAAAAAAAAAAACCCGTGCGAGGCAACCAAGGTGATCTCGTATACAATTGATGGCAAGAAGGACGATGGAATGAAGTGGGAGGTGAGTAAGATGTGAATCCAGGATTGTTGAACTCGGGCGGGGGGGGGGGAAGTGTTCCTGACCAGTTCCCCCCGCTTGCAATCGGCTTTGACATCATTGGCTGGAGGAAGAGGATAGACGAGGAAATGTGTGTGTGTGTGTGTGTATGTTGATGAGGTGGCTGCTCACCGGCAGCTCCATTGTTATTATTCAATTAGATTAGGTAGGGCCTCCAGCTCCAACTCCAACCCCGATGGTGTCAATCTACTTGTGCATGTGTTAGAGGGGAGGGGATGCCACTCATCTCTTCCATCCTGTCTTCAAAACATCTGCAGTACTCTGTGCTCCGTACTTGAATAAAATAAAAAAATCACCAGGCACCGGGCAGTCACGACAGTCACGTCAGGTCAGGAACATTTTCTGCGGGAAGCTATAATTAACTAGCTACGGGAGAGGGTCAGAGGGATGAGGGGGACCCTCCACACCTCGTATCCGTCTATCTGGACAATACGAGTCACGACAGAACTTGTATCACAGCCTTACACAGTCACCAGTCCACACAGTACATTTTCCCTGATTTCGTTCCGGTCCCGTGACTGCGCGACTCTTGTGCCTTCAAGCCTTCGTGACTTCGTGATCTCGCGTTCCTTTCCACTCCACTCCACTCCCCCACCTCTGGCCACTCCGCCTACGCATCCCCCGCAATACGCGCCTTGTGGAAATGCGACGCGTCTCCCAATGTGCCGTTTTGAACTCTTGAGCGTCTGCCTGTCCTTTGCTCAAAGACACAACCCCCGGAGGCCCCATCCCCCCACCCAGAGCGCCATCATTGTCGACACTCCGTCCCCGCCATCCCCGCGACTATGCTACACGAAATCCTCCTCTCGCTGTCCGGACACCCCTCGGCGCTCTTCGATGCCCCCAGCTCAGACCGGGCCTCCCAAAAATCCTCCCACGTGACCAATTCCACCTCTCCTCTGGCATTGCTATCAGCTCCCGAGGCAGAGCTTCTCTCGTCACTTGCACATCTTTCCCGGCTCCATCGGAGGATACGAGATCATGTCGCCAAGATCGCAGCATCCCACCCCTCCACTGTATGTCGGGCTGTGGCCACCGCAATAACGTCCCACCACCTGGAGAACTTCCAACGCAAAGTCCTGGATGTTGAGTCCAGGATTCTTACTCAAGATGCATCCGCTGTTGGTGCATACAACATTGTCCCACTGGCGGCGATCGTGGCCGAGTTCTCTGAATTCACCAGACCCATGGAATGGCTGTGGGAGATGAGCGTCTTCATGCTGGACGCGGATGATTCAAGTCGAAAATACGACACAGAAAGAGTTAATGGAAAGACTGCTTCCGGCGCTGAGATCATGAACAAGCTGCGAAGCGAAGCCCAGACGGGGTATCCAGATATCGAAGAGACTGCCTTGCACCTGGGGAAAGTAGCAGAGACCTCCTGGTTACGACAGCTATCGACATGGCTTCTATACGGTCGACTACCTTCGTTCGGTGCCACGGACTTCTTCATCAGCGCAGAGAACGAGGACGACTTAGTCTTCGTCATCAATCACAAGCTCTTGCCGAAATTCGTCACTCGCCAGACAGCTTCATCCATGCTGTTCATCGGCAAGTCTCTCAATCAGATTCGATCGCTCCCTGCCTCTTCCAAGACGTCGACCATGGCTTCTTCCATGACTTCCGAGCTCGACCTTCTCCCCACACATGTTGGCTACCTATCAGAGATCACCGCCCCCATCTCTTCAGCAAAGATGTCCTCAGCAGTGACAAACATCCGCTTATCCCTCTCCCGAAACCTGCTGCAACACCTGTTACCGCGGGAGAGGATCGTCGAGATACTGACCCTCCTCTACCAATTCTTCCTCCTCGGACGGGGCGAGTTCGCCACAGTGCTGATCGCAGAAGCAGACGAGAAGCTGCAAAGCCGACATCGTGCCCCCGCCCCCGGGAAACCCGGCCACGGAATCCAAGGCGTCCTACTGAAAGAAAACGAAATCAACAACACGCTCTCCCGCGCATGGTCCGTCCTGGCCTCACTCGGCGGCGAAGACGACCACACGGACGACATCCTCGACCTCGCCATGGACATCGTCCACCTCAACGTCCAACCCACCTCCGCCCACCGCCCCGGCACGCCCGGCCGCGCGCGAGAATCAAACACCTCCCTCCCGACTCTCAGCCCCGTCGTCTTCAGCGACCTCCTCCTCTCCGTCCCGACATCCCTCACCTTCTCCCTCCAACCCCCCCTCGACCTCTTCATGACCAAACACGACCTGGACGTCTACTCCACCATCAACGCCTACCTCCTCGCGTGCCGCCGCGCCCACCTCCACCTCACCCACCTCTGGAAGCAATCATCCATCCGACGCGAGCACCCCGCCCCGCCAAACCACACCTACACCAACACCCCCTACGGGCGCGCCATCCTCGCCAAACGCCGCACCCGCTTCGACACCCGCACGCGGGAGATGCGAAAAGTATGGGCGACCTGCTCGGCCGCAATCTTCTTCCTCTCGGAGAGCGAAGCCTACTTCGCCGGCGAAGTCATCCGCGAATCATTCAACCACTTCCTCGCCTGGGTCTCGGGCCCTACCTCCACCCCCAACCCTCCACCAAACCCACAACCATCAAACCAGAAGCAACAGCAACAACACGACCCAGAATCCCTAACCCGCGCCCACCGGCTCTTCCTGACCTCCATCACGACATCCCTCCTCCTAACCGACACACCCTTCACGACGACCCTCCGGTCCTTCCTGGCACACGCGTCAGAGCTCACGGCGTTGATATCGCGGCTGCAGGTCGTGCGCGCGTCGCTCGACCTCGCAGACGACGACGGTGTCGAAGACGACGTCGACCTCGCGACGAATTTAGTGAAGGAGGAGGGGGAGGTGAGGGTGCAGTTGGATCGGGCGCGGAGGAGGCTGGACGGGGATATGAAGGCGCTTGTTGGGCGGTTGAGGGACATCGACGCCGAGAGAGTCGGCGGAGATGTCTCGTCTGTTGTGGGGAAGGGGAATGCGGGTGGTGGTGCAGGGGAGGGTGGGGAGGAGGGGATGGTGTATAAGCCGCTGCGGATTGGGGGCGTGGATCGCTTGCTTATGAAGTTGGATTGGGGTGCTGTTGATGACGAGGGGGATGGCGATGATGATGACGAGGTGGGGAGGAGGGACTTGGTTTGATATCACTGAGCAGACACACGTCGTTCAATTCAAATTCAATTCAATTCGATATTGATTCCATTTTGATCCTCATCCTCATCCTCATCCTCATCCCCTCCTAACAGAATCGTGGAAATCCCATCGTGAGGTGCAGGTGCATGTGAGGCATATAGATAGGCGGGTAGGTGCTAAATAAGGGGGTATATTAATCTTTTTAAAACAAAGACGACGACCGAAAAAAACGAAATAGAAAAAAAGTGAACAAGGCAGGTATAGATATAAGAACAGATATTCGCTCGCTTTTTACTCCCGAAAAAAGGTTTCCCTTGTCATTTCTCCAAAGTGGCCCAAGAATGTCGCAGAATGTGTCAGTTTCCCTATTTTCCTCCTCGTGGATATTAGTGTTGTGGTGAGTGTGGTGGGGGGGAGGAGGGGGAAAGAGAGAAGATGGTGGTGGTGGTGGTGGTGATGATGCCTCCCAAGGATGAAAATAAAGCCTAGGAATAGAACCAGTAAAGATGATGATAAGGTGACGATGTTGACGATGATGACGGCCCAAACATTTTCTCCCCAGTCGAGTTCGAGATTCTCCTTCTTTTCGCGCCGAGTCCTTTCCCCTAAAGTAAGAGACGATATAAAACGAAATTCCAGAAAAGATCCAATGCTAAACTTCAAGGTCAAAGAGGAAGAATGATCAAACGGGATCGGAGAAGGCCGCGGATCGAATCGGAAGGGGAGGGGAAATACGATCCCTTGCTGTGAGGAAGGGTGTTGCTGGAGAGCTCCGTTCAATATCATGACTGACTCCAGTCCCCTCCTAGACGCCTTCCCGTGTTGATATTAAAGAAAAAGGAAAAGCGTAAACATTCGATGATAACTGTGCTTGCCAGTCGTGCTAGCCGTTGGAAGTCGGACGGATACCCCGATAGTCGTGACAAGAGATGGAAGGGGTGGTTTGTCTACCAAGACCCACCCCCCGTCAACGCCAGGAACCGATCCACGAGGTTGACCCAGTCCTGTCCGTTGAGCGTCCCCGCCTGCCTCTTCTCCCAGATCCCGACGACGAGCTTCGACAGCTGGAACCTCGCCAGTTCGCCCGATGCAGCCGTCCCGTCGTTGCGGAGGAGCTCCACCCGCCCGCCGGCCCACTTCTCGCTGAGGTCGATGCGGAAGGATGCGTCGCCGTCTGGAGGGGAGTATGGGTGTGGCGTAGCCTGTGTGACAGGCGGAACGGGTGGGAGTAAGGGTGATGCGATCATGGAGGTGTTGGACGGGAGGATTGTCATGGGCCCTGCTGGTCCTGCACCTGCTGCCGTCGAGGCGCTGCCGGTGCCGAGTGCCATGTTTATGGCCGTTGCTTGGTTTGAGGGGAGTATGGTTTGTTGTTGTTGCTGGTTTCCTACGCTGATCAAATTACTGCCACGGCCGTGCCGGGTCCACGGCTTGAACATCCTCCCTCGTACGGCTATGATGACTACTCTCAAATCTCGTGCACTGTCGCCTAGTCTGCATATCCATTCCTGGAATGCATCGTACATGATCTTAAACTCCAGTTTGATGGTCCAGATGTTGTACGTGTAGAAGATGGCCAGGGCCTCGGCGCGGATCTGTGAGGAGACGGAAGCCAAGGGATGGGACTTCTTGTTGGCGAATGTGGAGAGGCAGTAGATGAGCGGATGCGGGAGGACGAGGTCGGGGAGGTGGAGGTAGATCTGGTGACGGATTTCGGGCGGAAGGGTCAGGAATGTCGGATGTTGTATGTCCATCTCACATGGGGTGAAAGCCAAGGGTGGGCTCGGTATCGTGGATGTCGGCAACGCTGTAGCTGAGTCGCTCGGTGAGATCGCGTGGTCACACTCGCAATCACAATCTGCGGGGGAGCTCGTGCTGGAAGGGGAGATTGAGAGGAAATCCTGGTCCATGTTCATGATGTCGTCTTCCACCCACTCACGCTCGTCAGGCAGAGGGTCGGTGACGCAGCTCTCTTCTCCTCCGCTGAGATCCATATCATCCTGGTCGAGGCCTAATCTGGCAATCTTGGTTGGGAGCTCCTGTGGTGCGGGCGTGTTGGGCGAGGGTAATTGCATGGCGGAGCGTTTCGCAGAAGTTCGTACTGCTATTGTAACTCGTTGTTAGTCCCTGTTGTTTCCGCGTCTTCACCTGCGTACCGAATTGCACAAAACACAAGTGAAAATCACTTTGCCTTGACATGCAACAGGTGAAAGGAGGCAGGGCAGTCCTCGGGATTCACTCACCATTCTCTCCTGCACCTCCGCTGCTGCTGGAGTCACATAGGCCGCAACTCGGAGACTGCACGTTTGTATCCAGTGCCTGCAGCGGTGACTTGACAGATCCCAGGTCTTCTAGCGGTGTCTTGCCGGAAATCGAGTATCGTCGTTGTAGCGGAGGAATAACGGGGGTGTTTGGGGGTATAGCGGCGACCATGATGTCTGCGTTGTTCTGGTATCCTGACCTCACTTGGTGGTGATGTCTGGGTCTTCCTTCTCTTTTTCCTTCTTCTTGTTTGTGGTGATGATGGTATTCGGGTGTCGAGGGACGAGAAGTTATTGAGTGTCGGCGGTTGGGAGGGTGTTGATACGTGTAGTTGTCGGAGAATTGGTGTATAGATGTTACGACGGGTTTCAGCACGTGCGTGTTTGGGGGGTGATGCTAGTGAGGAGTGCGCCCCGACAGGAGGAATACGACGGCGACGGCGACAGAGAAGTCGAGGGCGAATGCGGCGTGGTTGCTGATTATGATGTGCTGGCGGCCTGCCTTGAGACGGCAAAGTAGGAAGAATAATGGGGAGGGATGTGGCAGGGAGAGGGAGAGGGAGATAGGTAGGTAATTAGATGAGAAGAGGGATTTACGTAGTTGGGGTGCAGGAAAGGAATAGGACAGACAGGACAAGGACAGAGCAGGACAGGACAGGACAGGACAGAACAGGACAGGACAAGAACAAGATGGATCAAGACGCAGGACACGGGAATGGCGATGCGCAAGTATTTGATTAGATTTGTGAGAAAGGTTAGAGAGTGAATGCGAGAGAGAGCTGAGAGGGAGTTTGTTGTGGAAGTGATGTGTAGTGTTGTGGTGTGTTAGTTGTTGATTTGATCAGGGGCGGGCGGAAGAAATGAGTGGGGAGGGGGAGGGATGGTAGGCAGGGAGGGAGAAGAGTAGAGGCAGAGACAGAGGAGGGGGTGGCAGTAATAATTATTGTTGCAGTTCTGCGTATGTTCCAACAGCCCTGACCTATCTCCTGGAAACCTGTGACTGGTCTGTAGCCTGTATGGTCTCTATCCTGTGCCCTGTTGAAGAATAGTAGTACTCCGTGGCAAGGGATGGATAGGCAAAGTATGAAGTGAAGCAGTACTTCGTATAGAATAAAATAAATATAATTAACTAAATGACGATAGTTGATGATGAGTGAATGGGAGTGGTACTGTGGTAGTGTAGGTAGTGAGTGAGTGGATATTGGGCGGGGCCCTAAAGCGCAAGAGTGCGGGAGAGCGGCAGTACCAATGCATTTCCCATTTTAGTCCCGTCCCTACCCTTATCGATTAAGCACAAGTAATCGTCAAGTACCCATCACTAACAAAACCACCTACGAGGTACCTATCAACTACACATGTACGTCCGAGTATCTAATCTACGAAGAGAAAAAAGCAAACAAGAAAAAAGAAAAGAAAAAACAGGCAACACTAACACGCTCCCACTCAAGAGAACACACCGGACACATTCATCAAATGACTAAACAATCAAGCATCCGTGTCTGCAAGATTGTTGAAACGGTGGGAGATTAAGGTATTCTGATTCGGGGGGCTCCGTTTCATGCTGTGGCTACCTATCCATTTGCCTTTTTGCTGCGCCTACTTTGCCCCCGTATCACCGTGCCATCTTGTGTCGTGTACTATACTTGTACTACGTAATTAACAAGTCGAGGATCAACTTTCTGACGAAGACTGCTCGCTGAAGACGAAAACGCGAAAAAGTAAACAAAGTCAATCCATTTCCCCATACGACCCCCCAGCATCCCCGCTAGCCCAGCATAAACTCGCTGCCAACCGCCATTTAATTAAAATCAAGATCTACCCAGAGAGCTAAGAGCTGCTGTGTAGCATTTACCTCCTTGAGGTAACAATCGATCATCCCCAACAATTGACACCGGTGAAACCATCGTGATTCATGATCTCCCCAAACGTAAGCTTTCAATAATGTCATGAAAGCTGGGACTGGACTCCACGCATGGATAGATCACAGATGGATACATTTCGCACGCAAGAATTGAAGTACCATGTTAATCATCAGTGTCAATCAATTCAAATAGCAACTGTAAACGAATGTTAAGCTTATAAAGTCAAGTCGCATAAAAGAAAGAACAAAACTACGCCTTCCGACTGAGCCATCTGTTGAAGAATTCTCATCGGATCTTCCAATGACAATTTCACCCGCAAGAGCACTGTTGAATCGCGTTCTTGATCATTTCATCCGTCCGTCTCTCCCTTATAACGCACGCTCAGTGCTTGTCCTCGCTGCTGGTGGGCTCCCGCACCATGATATCAAGCGAGACATTCTTCTTCCCGCGCTGCAGATGGATCGTACGGCGATCCTCGAAGCCAAACTTGCGATAGATGGCCGGGTTGACGTCGTTGCTCGACTCCAGATAGCACACATGGCCATCACGGTCTGCCTGTCTCGTCACATGCTCGATCAGCTTGCGGCAGTACCCATGGCCTCGTGCGCTTGGTTTGGTTCCAATGTACACGAGGTACCAGCTCGTTTCATCGTGCTCTCCCAGAGTAGCGTGCTTCGTGTCGTGGAGGAGAGGGAGGAACTCATTGAAGAATCGTCGTTTTCCTTCCGCAGACAGTCTGTAATTAAGCCGCCACATACCGCTGCGAAGGACGGTCCACAGATCATCCATGTCTTGCCCAGGAGGCATCCTAATTGCATACATCAGTCTCCACGATGCATTTCCATAGCTGTCAATTACGAGGGAAACCTACCACAGCGCAACAGCCTTGAACTCATCAACTGTAGTCACAAGGCCTTTCAAGATGTGAGCATACGTCACATACTCCATGATCTCGACATGAAGATTCCATTTCTCTTCCGCCGTCCAATGGTCGCGATCAGGCACGTCAATGAAGTAGCGAGCCACATCGTCCTCTGCAAAGGCTTCCGCCAGACAGGCTGCCGCCTCTTTGTATTCGGCGGCAGTGACAACACGGACGCCCTCATAGGGAGGGGGAACGAATGCACTGGTCTGCGGCACTGCCTCGACAGCACTTTGAACAATCTTAACGACACGGCTCGTGGGCTTCAGGGTTGGAGCCGGCTGTTTAAAGTTAAGAGCGACGGCTGGGAGGATCTTCGCCATGATTGCGATTTCGCTGAGTCTCTACTAGTATTGAGATGGGATCTGCCGCTTCTTTTTATTATTGGGACAGTCGTATATCGAGCCAGCGTGAAGACTTAGATTAGAACAGAAGGCTCAAGCGGCCAAAAGGTACTATGTCACTTGAACGTAGCTTTCTCAATAGGGAAATACCTTCTGTTCAAATACCACGACTATGTTGCAATTAGTCTGATTGCGGTCCATTGTTGGCAAGCGGGTTCAGGTGGGATTCGCCGCAGTCCACACTCTGCAATAGTATACCTTTTTCTGTTAGCTGTCGACGGTTATGTATCTGCTGGACGATTACTATCTCCTGTATGTACTCTTGATAATTGAGATCTTGAGACGGATTCCACTCTAGAGGGGAATCGCAGCGAAGTAAATGCGTTACGACAATCAACCGACATCAATAGGCGGACTATGCTAGTTGCCCTTGTGTGGTGGCAGGTCAAGATGGAGAGGGTAATTGGCTGATCGGGGTTGACAGGTAGGTCGTATGTTTGTCAGTAGGTTGAGGAAGGACGGGTGAGGTCGCAGAAATATGGGTTGGGTATGCGTTTATGTTTACAGATGGACGAGCGTAGTCCAAGCCCTTTCGTTGCTGTCTTTCTTTCTTTCCGTCTTTCCAGTTGGCTGGGACTTGGTCACGAGACGTCCACGATAACAGAGGGTACTGGCTGGCCTCCTTCTATGCGTTGCTGATGTGGTGAGAATGTGGCAAGCCCGTAGGACCTAGAACGATTGCAGTGATAATGCGTGGGTCGTGGGGGAAGTACAGATAATGGTTGGTGCAGAGCTGTTGGATGATGACGAGTTGTGCAGCGTAGTACTGGGTGATTCACAGGAGTTCCTTGAAGATGGAAGGAAGATGCAGGCTTGATATACGTTCCGCCCACACCCTTGCAACGTCCACTAGCCCACAGCGTGAAGGTGGAGGCCATTGTTTGTCCCGGGCGGGATCTTGGCTGTTGTTGATTAGCTGTTACCATTCCTCAAGGGCGCCGCGGGTGTAGCCGTGGATCAGCTTCAATAATCTTAGAGCATCATCTTGGGGATACTGCCGCCGCCATCGTGAGGCTTAGAGCAACCAGCTGTATCGTATCAAAGCTGAACACACTCAGCCTTGTTAGCGATAAGATAGTAAAGAGTGGAGGCATTGTCCCTCCATCGTGAACACTAAGAACGAGATACGAGACGACATCGTCAGGAAGTGTGGGGTGGTGGATGGAGAGTTGCAGGTTGTTGACCAGTAGTCGGTAGTACTTGCTGCAACTAGCTAGAGGAATGCGTGACGGGCAATGCTCCTGCACAGCACACGTTATCAATTGCTAAACCGCTTCAAGAAAACAATTACTGTGAATAGCAAGTACGAGGTATGGTACATTGCAGCATTCAACAGTCTTCCGCCTTGATGCATAAGGTAATCACAAACGCATTGGATAGGGCGGGATCTCCTCTCCGTTCTACGAGGACTATGTCTGAGAAGAGTATGCGTTCGCTGCGGGGAATGCAGATCGCTTGCCACGTCGTTCGGTCATTCACAGATAGTGATAGGAGAGAGCCGACTGGTCACGCACGACAGATAAAGCCACCCACTGCATTCCTCGGGATCAATGCTGCATGAAAGGAACGTCATTTGTCAGGGTGTGTAGTTTGTATCATTTTCGCCGTACTCGTATGGTATCTATTGAAATCAGGTCCTGCAGACCGTTCGGATGTGTCTCAGACTCTCAGCAGCGCACCAATGGCACTGTTTCCTTTATGCAAGTTTTCGGTCCATTACTCGTAATCCCCTCTGTCAGCCCGCGCGCTCTGACACTACATTCGGCGGATCTCCTTCTCGCCCAAGTACTTCTCCAGACCAGAGTCAAGATGGTCCCACCACTCATACAGCATGCTCTCGCAAATGAGTTTGAACCACGGTGTGAATTTCAATGACTTGTCCTGGAACATGGTCCTCAAATCCTCCTGAGAAACGAAACGCGAGTCTCGAACCTCGTTAGGGTTGATGTCGGTGTCGACATCAGCCTTGATGAACAGAATGTAGTCGACTGTAATATGTGAGCAATTGACTCCAATGTATGCAGCAATTTACTCACTCTCGTGCTCGCCCCACTTGCCGTCACTGGGAGACTTGTAGTGTATCCTCGTGAGGAACTTGAAATCGTCAATTGGGACTTGCTCGGCCTTGATACCCAATTCCTGATCCAGTTTGCGCACTGCGGCGCGTCGAACACCTTGTACGGAGGAATCAAGCCCAACGCCAGTCTCTCCGGGAATACCTAGAGGGTGGGAGCAGCAGGTGTTGGTCCACATATCGGGGAAGGTGATCTTCTCGGTGGCGCGCTGTTGTAGGAGGAGGCGGTTCTGAGAGTCGAAGAGGAAAACGGAGAATGCGCGGTGGAGCAATCCTCGATCGATGTTCTCCATCAAGTGGCCTGTACAAAGAACTATCAGCTTGACCGTCCCACCTAGCTGAGGACTGTATGGATAGCTTACAAACTTTCTTGCTTGCGCTGCCAATGGGGATGTCGTCCTCGTCAAGGACAATGCAGACCTCATCCATCAACTTGATCTGCTCCTCATCGTACCCCTCCATGTCGTTGTCATTGCGGGCGGAGTTGTGCGATCCGCCAATGATCGCTGTATTGACTTCTGGGAAGAGGCGTTGGACGTTTTCCGCCGTGATAGTGGGAGCCTGCGTGATTGTGGCGGTAGTACTCATGGTGGCGACTGTCAAAGTGTTTCGTTTGTAGTCTTCTGAAAGGAGATTGAGGAGAGGAGTATCTGGAGGGGAGAGGCAATAATAAGTTTAAACGAAAGTTCGGTCCCGCAGGCCCAGGACTAGGACAAGGAGTAGGAGGACCCTGCAGGGATCAGGATAACTAGCTTAGCCGGAATTGCTCACGTGGTCTGGTTTGGTGCTACACCGACTCCCCCGAAGATCGAGACTCGAGTCCCCGAGTCCCGAATGAGTAAGACTACATAGGAGTTACTTGATTGACTGGAATTGAGTCTCAATGTCAAGCTAGAATCCACAAGTAATGCATCACATTATTGCAATGTAGGCACCAGATTGGGAAATAAAATACACTGTGTTCTTTTGACTATCGACGTCAAAGCGTATTAGCTTTTTGATATGTCAGGATATATGAACATCGCCCGTTCATAGCGAGGTATCTAAACAGGGAACTTTTCCGTAACCGGATGCTAGAAATGCCCAAACATGGCCCCAGGAAATGAAAATTTAGGTTCACAAAACTCCGAAAGACTCTGACCGCTGGTCCTGAATCCTCTATGCAACTGCGGCCGATCTTGTCTTCTTAGCAGCCGGCACTTCAGCCTCCGCATCCGCGGTCTGGTCCAACTGGCGCTTCTCAGGGACTCCGCCCAAGCTCTTCTCTGCCTCTTGGAACTTCTGCTCCTCCTCTGCGGAGAGACCCTCAAGCAAAGGCTTCTCTACCTCGCTGTGAAGGTTCTGGTGGTAGGTACGGATGATCGAATCTGTGTCATCGAGACCGATCTTGCGGACATCGGCGAGAGCCTTGATCTTGGCTGTGCACTCCTTGTATTGAGCATCGGTCATGTTCAAACCTAGCTGATCGGCACGGCTCTTGATGGCATTCCAGCCAGTGAGTCTGCTAGCGAAGTGGACGTATCGGGACATTCCAAAATCGGCGGGGTTGATGATCTCATAAGTTGAGGGGTTGTTAAGGATAGCCTTAGCGTGAATACCAGCTTTGCTAGATGGTTGTGAGTACATAATTCTTCTGCGGCGCATCGGTGAACTTACTGGGTGAAGGCACAGAAACCGGTGATGTAGTTGTTGAAGGGAATGTTGACCTCAACAAGATCGGCAACCAAATCCTCAACCTCCTTGAGCTTGTGAAGCTTGTACTTGGACAAAACGTAGTCGCGATCGGCAACAATCATGCGAGCCATCAAACCGCCCAAAGGAGTGATACCGTTACGCTCGCCAATACCGAGAACGGAGGTGTCGATGTGGGTGGCACCGGCCTCCAAAGCGCAGTATGCGTTGGCAACGGCGCATCCGGTGTCGTTCTGAGATGCTGTTAGCGGGATCCTCTGATGGGCTATTTTCTATTGACTTACGTGGAAATGGGTCTCAATGTCGCAGCTCACAACACCCCTCAAAGTCCTGATCAGGTCGTAAACCTGCCTTGGGGAAGCGCATCCAACGGTATCAGCGATACCAACACGGTTGACGCCGACCTTGTCGACAGCAGAGTAGATTGAGAGCAAGTCGACCAAATCGGATCGGAAGGAGTCCTCGGAGGAGAATCGAATCTCCTTGCCCTTGGACTTGACGTATTCGATGACCTCAATGGCAGTGTTCTTGATGTATGTCATATCCTTTCCGTGGGAGTGCTCGCGGAGGTAGCTGCTGGTTCCAATGACGACATCGAGGCCGTCAACACCAGTCTCGACGGCGATCTTGGCATCTTCGAGATGGCATCGGACGTGGGTAAGGATCTTGGCCTTCAATCCGAGCTTGCAGATGGCCTCGCAGTCCAAGCGGGACTGCTCCGAAGCAGCAGGGCTGGTGAGCTCGATGTAATCGACGCCAAACTCGTCCAGCGCTTTGGCGATCTTGATCTTGGCTTCGAGGTCAAAGTATGCGTTGCTAAATTGCTCGCCTTCTCTGAGGGCTGTGAATGTTGTTAACACATGTCTTCATTGGCGGGAGGGTCGTCCGACGGCTTCGGACTCGCCCCGAATAGATTGCAATGTCGATGAGAAACGGCAATCTCCGGAGGTAAGGCAGACAGCACGCGACAGCTTGGAAGATGGAAACGTACTGGACTCAATGATCTTGAAGTTGGAGACATTGCTCAAGAAGTCGCCGACAGGCTGGTACGGGCTCTTGTGATTGGAATGGGGGTTGTGCGAGGACTGGATGGCACGGAAGCCTGGGTGGTCGCCGTTGGTACCATTGGAGCCGTTTGCTTGACCGTTGGTGCCATTGACAGGCGTATCTTCGACGGGAGGGCACATGATGTGGGAATGTGAGATGAGATTTGGGATTGAAGGTTGAAGGATGGAAGGGAGGATTGATGGGGGTATTTGAATGGTAGGGGAGATTGGTGAATGGGTTGATTGATAGTAGAGGTGACTCAAGATCAGAGGAAGAAATTCTTTTCGCACGCACACCCGGACGACGGATTGGACTGGCTGGTTTTGATGATGAAAGAGAGGCCGCGATCGGCTAGGCTTAACTTAGCGCGGGTGGCACATTGCGGCCATTGGCACCCTTGCCCTCACCTTTCGCCTGCCATCTTTTCCCCACCTCCTCCTGCTCCTCCTCCTGCAGCACTACTCTAGTCTCTACCTACTACAGTATAGGTGGTTTAACGCACCTCGCTCCCCCAGCCAGACAATTTTTTCCTCCCTTGCCGTAGGCCAATTAACAATCCATGTTTTTAACAATCTTGGGGGTTCTGAAGTCATGTCATACTGCGGTTCCTTGCCCCCGCAAATTCCGCTAACTAGGTATATACCTAGGTCATCGATCATAGGTACTCTGTTCCTTTTGATCGCCCTGCGATTCATAGCTCATAAGCTACGAGGTAGGATAAGTTATGGAAAAATCCAATATCAGCATAGATCCCATGTTGAGTCACGATACACCGTTCTTCTACGGAGCACCAGACAGTTCATTGAACCCGAGCCTCCGCAATCCATATATTATCTGCAACTGCACTTCCATTATCCCCCTGCGATTCCCTGCAGCTGCCCATGCCATCTCCAGTCTGGACCATACCTCTACCAAGCAATCCAAAGTACTGTACATGCTTGTGAAGCGAGCGGCACCCGTTCCGGACGGCGGTGGATTCCCATTTCAGATCTCGTTGCGTTCAGGATACTGCTGTGTATCGTTCTTTGAGTCACACAAGTTTGCGCTCTTCTCTTCAATTGTTTTCCCAGCTCCACCGTGACTAAACATAGCTCCAAAGATCACCTCTCTAGTTCAATCGCATTGAGACAAACAGAGTGGAGAGTGTGGCCAATTCGTTTCGATGGAGATGGTACGGAAGACACTACATAGGAGTCATCAAGTATGCTACTTTCGCTCTGGCGGCTTCTCTGTAAACGCCTTGCCACCCTCTCTCCCCAGTAGATATTTTGGTCCAGGGAAATCATCTGTTACCCCCGGAATCGCGTTCTCCACATAAATGTGGTACTTTGGGTAACAAAGTTCCTTTCCTACACCTCCAACCCTTGGCACATGACGACCATACCCGTCCTCCCATGCATTTGCCTCGTCTCGCCGTCCACAAAGTACTTCCTCATCGAATGCTCCAATATTGATTTCGATCGTATTGGATCCATGCTCGTCAAACGTCAAAGCGCTTCCACAGGTGCTACAGAAACCCCGTGAGCAATGTGTGGACGACTGATATTTCTTATAGGTAGCATTTGCCTCCAAAGGCGGTGACACGTTTGACCTGGGGAAGGCTACATTCTGCGGTAATACGCTTCCTCCGTGTTTGCGGCACATTGTACATTGGCAGACGCCGTTCTGGTCTTCGTTAGCAAGCCTACGAGCATTGGGATGGACTGCAACGTACGCCCTGTGGAGGCCAATCCTCCTCCTGCGGAAATGTGACCTTGAATCTAATTGCTCCACAAAGGCAACCTCCCTCTATGCTCTCTGGGCGTGCCATGTCTTCGAACTTGGGGTTTTGATGATTCAACTTATCTGAGATTGAAGAATAATTTGGTACCACTTGAGCTCACTTTTAAATCGTACATGGTGATAAATGATCAAAGGGCGCGTCAGATTGGCACGTGAGCCTGAAATGCAGATCAATCTCAACTGTAACTGGCTGCTCAGAATTTAACGGTTGCTCTCGAAATGGCCAATAATGAGTAAACCCTAGGAAAAGGCTATCTTTCACATGCGTCTGTAAAAGACGACTGACTGTCAACCAGCCGTAGGCGAAAAGTAGGGGGAAAGTTACAAATTACAATTCGTTATGACTCCCATGAGATAGATTCCTCACATCATTACACGCCTTTTTTTTGAAGCAAATATCAAAGGCAGGCCAGACTTCGGAAACCTTAACCGAATGTCTCTTTGCCCGCGTTTTCAGGACGCGGAGTGAAGCTACCTAAAATAGACTAGCGTGGGTTGCGACTCCAGGAGTTTCGTCCGCCTATCGGATATGACGATAGATGAGGTCGCAACTTCATGACTGCCACCGCATCACTCTCCGCAACCATCTTTTGGATGGAAAACAGTTGGTGAGATGCATATGCACAGATAGTCGAGTCGCGAAGGTCTTCCTATCGCCACTTCACATGCGACTGACTTGAGTTACTGGCGAATCTTTGTCCCCTGACACCATGGAACGGCCGCCATCCTCGTTCGCAAACGCGACCTCGTACCTACCCTCACCGGCGGATCTTCTCCTCGTCTTCCCACGCCTACTCGCTAAAGCCGGTATATATGCGGAGAATCTTGACATGGGCAAGATGTTGTCGGGCGGTAGCATAATTGCGGAACCAACATCCGTCAACATTACGAACAGTACCGCCGCCATGACGGGAAGCACATTCGTTCAGCAGTCGGCGGCAGCTGCAGCAAGTGCCGTTGCAAGCTCCCAGGATGAGTCGGGACTTTTCCAATCCTTGAAAAACATTGGAACTGTATTCACCTACATTACATCGAAGTGGGCGATAACTACGTTTGCAACAGTGAGTTTCAAGAAAAGCAAGTGTCTGTGTTCGCGATTGGTTACTGACATGTAATGTTAGGCTATCTTGCTGAATCGAACCCATTTCTACGCATCTAGCCGTGTCCCACTCTCGTTCAACCGTATCTATCTCCGGTTCGCCTTATACATTCTACCTACGCTGTTGTTTGTGTACCGGATTCAAAGTCTCCTCCGGGCGATTCACTGTCAAACATCGCCCGACTGGTCGATAATGCAGTACGGAGCTACCGGGAGACGATTAGACACTGATTTTGCGGGGGAAGGGGGGTTCCTGTGGTGGGCAAGCTCTCTCTTGCTATTTGGAGAAGACCCTGCGATCTCCTGCAAGGCTGTGAATATGTTCCCCCTGGACGCAGGCTCAACACGCACTGCAGGATCTTTGGCCCTTCTCTGGCCGCTGTTTCTGTCGCTGGGCTTCAGTCAGTTCATCGAGACGCTTGCCTGTGCATTGCAGGGTCGCCAGCCCTTGCCTGAAGTCGGCATGACCATTTTCGAACATTCTCTTGCATTTGCAGAGGCCGAGGCGGTTGTCACAAAGCCTTTTGCTTTAGATACTGCTCGATTCTGGAAGCCAAAGCCCGTCTTCACTCCAGATGGGACTTCACTCACAGTCTCACGTGCTACTCTCTCTTCTTTCGCGAATGTCCCGCCTGAGGTACTACTGATTTCTGTCATATCCAGTTTCAGTCACCTTACAAGCAATGTCCTTGCAATTGCTGGCCTAAGGGCACGTTTTCGCCTTGTGACCACTGGCATCTGGGGCATCGCATACATGTCAGCATTCCTCTGGAGCTTCTTGCGATTTGCCATGTTAGACTCGCAACATGGTGCTGCGATCGGTATTCTGAGGTTTCCGACTGTATGCATTGTGGGCTTCATCCCGCATCTTCTCATCATAATCGGCATAGTTGCGTGTGGAACCATATATTCTTTGGCATTTGCACTAACCGTCCTCTCTCCACCTCCCAATCAGCCTGCCTCGTTGACGTGGCGAGAAAGGTTTTCAGTTGCATACGAGAATCTACATGCCAACATTCATCTGTCCGCAATTACTCCTCTAACGATCAACTGGCATGAGGACTTCTACACTGCCATTCTGAAAGTCGGCTTCACTGTGCTGACAGCTGCAAGCGAGGCTGTCTATCTGAACGAAGGGACAAGGGTGAATGTGAATTCCATGACTTGGCTAGAGAAGAAGAGGCTTCAAGAGCTGATTGCACGGCAACGGACGTTCCGACAGAGCCTCACCAACATTCCTCGTGAATTGCATGGAGATGCAATGGCTGAAGGTATCGAGGTTTTGGACAAGGCCAGCAGCGATGTCTCCCAATCTGCATCCGGCTACGCTCGAGAAAGAAAAACCAAAAGTGCAACTGCAGTGTCCGATGCCACTCGTGCCGCTGGCAGAGATAATGGGGTCGGATTACAACAGCGCCGAGGTCGCTGGACCTTGGCCTACCATTTCCTGAGAAGCATATCCCGTCTTCTCATGGCTATCCATGCCCGAGTCATCATATCGGTCTTGCGAACGGTGCGGATCACGTATTGCCCTAGGTGGCTTCGCCAGATCGCTGGCAATGTGTCAGTGGAGAAACGACAAGGCCATGCCTCCCGCAATGCCCCTGCTAGGTTTGCTACTCCTACAGAGCCGTGGTTGTACGTCGATGAGAATACACGTTTCAAGCCCGCTCTGACAGCAGATCTGGAGAACGTTGTTCGCGAAAAACTTCGCGAAAACGGCGTCTATGAAGAAATGGGAACTCCCATGGTGGAGGAACACATTACTGACTATCTGTATAACTGGTGGAAACGCGGAGGCCGTTGGAGTGAGGTCGATATGAGTGGCGACTACGTCCCACCACTTGACGACGATACAACAAGTGTCGTATCACTGGATACTGCCGCCACAGAAGACGAGTGGTCAGATGTTAGTGATGATGGCCAACGAACGCCTACGCAAAACTGGCCCTATGACAATGAGCGGGAGTCATCAGTTCAGCCGGAAAGCACAATTGATTTGGCACGTTTGTCGCATCTTCTAGACCCAAAGACCGATGAAGATCGGCAGGAAGCACGACTATTGGCCCGTCATCTCCAGGAACCTGGAATCATGACACGCTCTCGTTATCGTCAATTGATCGAGCGCGAGGAAGCTAGAGTCCTAACTTCGTCGCGATTGCCAATCACGCTAGCAGGTGGCAGTAATATGACTTCGGAAGAAGAGGAACAGGTCTTGGAAGAGTTCATCCTCAACAAACGAAAGATCGATGAGCAGGGCACGAGCAAAGCCGGCACCTGGGATAGTGGTGCCGAGGGAATGGGGTCTGAAGGTCCTCAATGCGTTGTTTGCCAATTGAGCCCACGTACAGTTCTGGTCTGGCCATGTGGGTGTTTGTCATTATGCGACGAGTGTAGAGTTGGGTTGGCGTCTAAGAACTATACAACCTGTGTTTGCTGCAGGACCAATGTCCAGGCTTATTCACGGCTGTATGTGCCATGATAGCCTTCGGGTCCATTGGCGTTTTCTATTCTGTACATACTCTTCCTTTTTCTAGTACAATTTTGGCAATGTCCACGAGGAACATAGTAAGATCCAATGATATATCATCACTGCTGCACGGGTATAGACGATTAGAGAATAGACATAGTGTAATTAAGAGTGAACCGCTCGTCGCCGAGAACCGGTGCCGAAAGTGACGCGGATTGTTCAGGGCTTCTCTCGAGATCCCATTCGGGTAAAGCCAAAGGACGAACACCAGAGCTTAGTCACCTATCCAAAACCTTTCTTCTGAGCCTTCAACTTCGTCATCATAGACAACCAAAAACTCTCGATTACCAGCAGCCACTGACTCCTTAATTCACGACTGAGCAACACGAACCAGCTCGGTCAATTGCGAATAACTCTTTAACCTATTTCAATTTTTATGCAACCAGACCCGTCCACCGCATTCAAGAACGATTTGCCCCCCGAACCACCCCTCGATAACAGCTCTACAATTTCCCAGCATGGAATTCTCCACTTCGATGATCGCCCAACGTCCCTGCCTCCTCAGCATGAGGAGCAGAGAGACTCGTGGCGACTCTCAAATGGAAGCCGCACCAGTTCATTTACGCGTTCCCCTGAACGCGTTCTTGCGGATGAGTCCGCGCGACTGAACGGCAATTTCACCCCACTCCGGGAGCCCCGCGATCGAATTTCGGAATATGAGAATGCCTTGACTTCATCTGTCAAGAAACGCTCGGAAGGTCCGATCTTTGAGGTTATTAAGAAGCCTAGGAAGCCTGGCGACATGGCTTCCCCAATTACTGATTTGCCAAATGGTGAGTTACCGCGACTGTCCATTCACTTCCCAATGCTAACCTGACTCTAGAAATCCTAACGCATGCTCTATCCCATCTTTCTCCAAATGACCTCGCTGCTGTCTCTCTCGTATCGCGCCGATTCAATTCTCTCGTCACCACCCCGCATGCGTGGCAAGTTGCCTTTGCTCGCTACTTCCCTGGACCTGAAGCTCTTATTGATCCTGAGGTGCGACTGGGTGCCGAGGATGCTGGGGACTACGTCCGATCGGAGAAGCGATCATTCGCCAGACTAATGGCATTGACTTCGTGGAGGACCGAATACATAGTCCGTACGAGATCACTGCGCTCCATGGCAAGAGGCAAACCTATTCAAGCACCATCCACCGTCACCTCAGCGCGTTTGGGCCACACTCAGACTCCAGCTCCCATTATCATGTACAACGCAGAGACATTTGCCACTATAAACCACCTGCATGCTACATTTGGTGCTGGGTTGAACAAGCGACTTCCTCGATTCGTTCACGGTGCTGATGACGTTGGATTGGTCACCAGCAGCGACCCGACTAGTGGAAAAGTAGATCCATGGGGTCGCAGTGATCCCAACTTCTACAGCCAGTTCTCTGAGCGCTTCCCCGGAGTTGCCGAGTGGGGTCTGGGCGCAGGTGAAATCGTTGGACGGCCAAACGTCATGGATATCTCGCAGCCGTACGGAATGATATATGGTCAGGGCTGCCCTGAGGGCTCCTGCTACTACCGATCAGTAGAAGAATTGCGTGGTCGCTTCATCGCACAACCTACCGACCTTTCTATGCCAGAAGCAGGGGTTCCCAAGCTTGGCGTTGATGGTGGTTCTATCTGCAGCGTCTGGCTTGCAAAATCAAGTACTATTCCGTCATTATCCGAAGGCCTTATCGGCATGATGATGGGATCCGCTGCAGGCGTTGTGACGGCCTGCTCTGTTGGTACTGATGGGCTTCGTGGTCAACGGCTCCAGCGCGGCGAACTCACGGCACGCTGGGTGCTAAGCCCCGGTGTGCCGGTTGTGTCAATTGTCGTCGATGAGAATTACTCCCTTAAGAGGCAAGCGCAGAACCGGATCTGGGCCGTTGCCCTGAACGCCTTGGGCGAGCTCTTCTATCTGACCAAGTTTCCTATCCGCAATACCGCCCCCCAAAGTCAAGAAATAGAGCATTTAGAACATCACGCCTGGACTACGGGTCGAACGGCCTACTGGAATCTCATTGAGCCTAGTAGGCGTACAGCGCGGCCCGACCCTTACAATGATAGCGAGACCGATGGCAGCTACTCGCCTCGAACTTCCTGGGATAGCATGTGCTTGAGTAAAGACCAAGTTGCGGCAGAAACGAAAGAGATCCGGTCATTTATTCGAAAGCAACCCAAGGATTTCCGTGCTTCCTGCCTTGGCTGGGATATGCGCCGACGCCTTGAGGTAGATTTTGCGGGTGACGACGGACACTATGCCGGAGAAGCTATGGTCGTCTTCCAGTGTGGGCTTGGGCAAGATGAGACGGCGGAGATCAAGAGGTATACACGATGGAAATCAGTGGAAAAGAACAGGAGCTTCCCTATTCCGAATGGCGTTGCCGCACGACACAACGCATCGATTTTTGGCGGTTCGGCGACGCCAATCTCATCTCACGTAGCATCTACGGAACGTATAAGGAGCGACTCGTCCATATCTACATCCAGCTCACCTGAAAGGGAGAACTTGGTAGAGGAATGGCGATGCTCTCTACTTAGTTTCGGGGGTCTCAAAATGGTTCGCATTTCCGCGACCACACTGGACATTTCGACATTCGCCACCATGACAATGTCAGAAGATCCGGCCCTTGGCTTTTCGACTACATCCACTGCATCGTCGCCGTACGCTTCCCCTATGTCAGTGGCTAGCCAGCCGGCTTCACCTGCAGATATTCCAGGACAACGCGGCCGCTTCATTGCTGCTGGAACTCTGAATGGTGTTGTCCTTCTCTGGGACGTACGTGCCCCCTTTTCTCGTAGCGTGGATTACGTGAATAGCATCGACCCAATCCGCATTATCTATACCGAATCGCCTGAGATATCATGTCTTGGTCTCACCGCATTGCACCTCATACACGGAGGCAACGACGGCCTAGTTCAAGCTTGGGATCCGTTGGCGTCTAGCATGCAACCGATCAAGACACTGAACTCCCGCTTCTCGTCCCGAGCCCGCAGACGGCTTGTCCAAGCTCAAGCTTCGGTACACGGGGTGGGAATCAACATGTATGCTGCTGGAGCCATATGCGTGGATCCCGATCCGACAACATTACGTGGTGCGGTTTCCCTTGGTAATCAGATCCGATACTGGAGCTACAGCTCCTCTGCAGCGGATCAGTTCAAGAGCAACAAGCGCAGACTCCGACACTCGGAACGAGGTAGCAACACTGCTGTAGAACGGTTCTCGGGCACCGGCAGGACGAACCTCAAAGACTACATCGCGAACGAGCAGTACGAACTTGAACGAGAGAAAGTCGAGCGAGACCGGCAGGCGGAGCGCTTGGCTGGGCGGTTCGGCGTCGATTTACTTGCTGACGAAGACGAGGCGCTCGCGTATGCTGCTATGTTGTCCCAGGAGAGCCTGGAGAACGAGAAGAAGAAACGGCAAGAAAGCGAAACCAGCAGCGCTCTGTCAAGCACGACAATCACACCGGAGCCAAGTGTCTCTGGACAAGCTTCCTCGCCTACTCTGGTGGGCGATCAAGAGCTCGATGCTGACATCGCTGAAGCCATCCGCCTCAGCTTGCAAGAGAACTCGTCTGACTCTTACGGTTACGATGATTCCGCTAATGACCTTGGCCTTGATATCCCGATCAAGTATGCCAAAGGCCGCAAGTCACCACCGCGCTCGAAGGCCAGCCCAACTGGAGGAGCGCGCGCCAACGGGGGATCGAGCAAAGAGAGCGAGTTGTCTGATCTAGAGTTCGCTCTCCAATTAAGCCTCGCAGAAGAGCAAAGCAGGAAGGATGCTGAGGATTCTTTCCCACCTCTGAGTCCCGTGAATGGTTCCTCTGGAGGGAAAGGCAAAGGGAAAATGCGTTGGTAGGAGATGACGTCCTTGCGCCTTTGCTTCACATTTCCTCTCTACCGCCCGCATCCAATGATTGTGCGATAGTATTGTGCTAGATTTTGCTTCTTCATCCTTTTCTTTTAATGGTTCTTCTGTAATCACCGATTCAGCCTTTCTTGAACGCGGCGGATCTCCGAGGTTCGAAAGTACATGCGGGATGGTGATACACAATTCATCATTGCCAATATTCAATTCTCACTATAGCACACATTGTTCAATATAATATTTTCCTGGTTTCTTTAACACATTGCTGTCATTTTCCCTCGTCCATTAGAAACACCAATAAACTTTCGCAAGCGTCGCTAGTTTCTCGCGCATACCTTCCCTCACCTTCCCTCACTGATACTGACGAGCATGATCGTATGCTAACTGCAACGCATTATCCTAAACCGCCATCGAATGTTCACCAAGGTCTTCTACTTATCATATGCAATCACTACCCGACACCAAGACCCATCCATTTGAAGAAAGCTGTTCGAAACAGTACATACCGGAGAGCGTGACCAAGCACCGTACCATTCCCTTCGCTCATGCCGTATCATCGTGAATCAGAAAGCTACCCCGCATTGCTAGGAACGAGTTGTGGCGTAGATTTGAATTTAAGAGATCTAAGAACGGCGTAAACTATCAATCAGATCGTGTTCCAATTTACGGCCTTGTTGCAACTCGGGTGGCGCAGATGACTGGGTAAATGAGCTGTAGACTGTTATTCCTCAAACTGTCGTTGGTCCAATTTCCGCGAGAGTCCTGAAGGTTTCACGAACATCGTGTCGGCTCTCTGCAGAAAACCACGAAAGTCCAATTTGGTACAACGACATCTGAATGGACAGACACACTGGTTTCACTTGAGCGATGCGTGCTTAGAAAGAAATCTAATTACCCATTACCTATCTAAGAAACTTGATAAATCAAACATCCCGCCCTTCCTAAGAAACAACACTCCCTCTATATGCCCCCATACCTTTCAAAGTTCTTGATCCACCACATAGCACCGAGGCTATTGTCCAACGAACACCCCATACCACTAGGCTCTGGAAAGAACCCAGCCCCGTGTATGCCGCATGTCGTACCACCACGTTGTCCAACCTGATGAGCCAGGCCTCATCGCAACTCGCGACAACCACAAACAGCCTTGATACCCAGGACGTGTTTTGGAGCCACTCTGTATGTCCAGAAATTAAGCCGAATTGACCTTGCGACGCTTTGCTTGGTGTTCATCGAGTTGGTCTGAGGGTTTCCGCGATGGTGTCGACTGATCTTCCAAAGCTTCCATTACTCGCTCACGGACGGGAGTGATCTCTTTATCCTGGACGGGAGTGGTCCCTTCATCCTGGACGGGAGTGGCCCCTTCATCCTGGACAGGAGTGGCAGGGGGTGGATTACCTGAAGACTCAACCTGTAGATCCTCAATTGCCACACCTTCCGCTTCAGCCCTCTCGATCCTTCGGACCCTGTCATTCGCTCGACGGATTGCATCGTTTCTAAGCTCTTCTGCATAGTCCCGCAGATTTCTGAACGCCCTCGCTCCCTGACGGAATTGTTCCGCACCACCTACCATCGCGTACGCTTGGATGAAGTTCATGTGGTACTCAGGACGGCCGCCGTGATCACTAGACTGGGCAGAATGTATTGAGTACAATCTGAGCAGGCCATTATGGTATGTCGCCGTAATAGTATGGGCGTTGTCGTCAAATACTGTCCCACCTTGTATCCAAGACTCTAAACTGATTTGGCCTCGTTCTCCTAGTGTGCCGTCGTACAATGCTTGCGATTTAGCCACAGGGAACATGCCGAGTGGACCCTTCACGTGAAGGAAGAAGTTTGGCGCAATGGGAAGACTAGTTAAAGTTGAAGGTATGATCAGGTCGCAAAGATCATCTCGAACCCTTTTATTAAGTTGCTCCGGACGAGCACCGTAGTATAGGTCCGGATTTCCAGGAACAAACATATCGTCCGTCAGTTGTCTTAGATTCGTCAAAGGGATTTTTCCCGAAGCACAATCTTCGTCCCGGATTTCGCCTGCAATGATGGGAATCACGGATGTTGTGAGTTGGTGTTCGTGCTTCGCATTTTCAGTGATCTGTAGGAACTTCGCATATGCTGCATCCGAAAAAGTTGATGATGATAGCGATTCCCGGCGTTGCGATGCCCTTTCATTGATCAGAGCCCAGTTTCCCGGTTTTGGTTTAACCTGACCATCAGGGAAGCGATACTGATCGTGGAATATGCCACCATCCGTAAGAGCCTGTTCAAAGTTCCTATCGTAGGGTCCTATGCTTTTAATAAAGCTTGTGGTAGTTTTCGGATCCTTTGCTTGCGAGCGATCTTTGGTGCCATGTGTGCGGCGACTGCGAGAGCGATCTTTGGTGCCATGTGTGCGGCGACTGCGAGAGCTATCTTTATTGCAACCCATTGTACGGTGTCTCGGTTCTGGATACTAAACGGGTGTTAGCTTTGTAGGCCCAAGGAAGTGAGCGCATACGCCTCTGAGATCAGACAGGTCTGGCCCCCCTTTGCGAGAAAACCGTCTAATTGTTGCGGGGAAACTTCGAGTGACTGGTCGGTGTGATTGAGGAGGCGGTAACCGCTTCTCTTGCTGCTCGTTCCTTCGCTTCAGTTCTCTCAAAGCGTTTTTGGTGAGCCAGATCTTGGAGAGGTTATCCCAAAACTGTGGCGGCAATTGGTATGTAGGGTATTCGTTAGATATTGTTGTTTCCGACCGCTCCGTCCGGACCTGGTGAGGTGAACCCAGATCCGCACGTTCGCGGTTGTGTGAAGTGTTCGATTTGGGCATGTGGAATCTAGTAAAGTGATATCTGAAGAAAGTTTGAGAAGTTGGGAAGCGATGTTTTCCATCTTTTCGAGCAATCAAGTGGATAAAGAACGGGATGTATAATCAGCCATGACTTTGGGACAGCCGACAAAGAGAGATGCCAAAACGTCAAACCTCAAGCCAGGGCAATAGTCACGCATTAAACTTCGCTACCGGGACCACAATAAAGTGGGGAGCAAGAAATGACAATCTAGAGACTGCCGTATCAAACCCCTTACATTAAGACTGTATGAAGAGAGACTTGTGCTGCAATGACACGACATTGGTATGATTGACCTGGTAGCCTAAAATTAGCGACAACAAGGGTAGTGTTTGCTTGGAGACAAACAATGACCTCAGGTTAGCAGAGCATCACCAAACTTTACATTTCGGCACGTCGGCTCTCTATCATTTGCTTTCGATGATAGCACAGAAGTTCGCAACTAGGATGTTGCTCGCTTCTGCGCTGTTTTTGCTGTCTAAACTAATATTGGTTCAATGATGAAAGAACACTCGTTTGAGCGCTTTCTTCTCGGTCGCTCAAGAACAAGGTTTAGACATGAGTTCTCGAAATTCTTTGTTCCTTTTCATATCGTCATTGCCAAAGCACAACATAGACAGGCTAATAATGCCTACATGAAACTTGATAGGAGTAAGCTTCGTGATGGATCTCATGTTAATTGGGATCACCCCTTGTTTTGCTTCGGATCTCCATCACTATCCTGTTCGTAATATTCGGACTCTCCTGTCTCCGTATTGTACGAATAGAATGATTTGAACTCTTGACTCCAGTACACTTTGAACGGTTCTTTCAGATCGATCGGTCTGATGTAGATCGTAGACTGATTCACTTCAGTATGTTCCCAACACACCTCCCCAGTCTTATCTGTCGTCTACTTCCAACCCCGTGCCAGCGGACGGTATAATACAATTTGTTTTTTGGCATCCCACTCCTGAGGTTTGTTAGTTCGTCTTGGGTGTCTAACTCGGTAGAGTGGATGCGTGATAAAAATACCGACCTTCTGGTGATCTTCCTTCATTTCTTTGATTACGTCGAGAATCGCCTGGTGTTTTTGACGCTTGACATCCTGATGGTGTTGTTTTCTTTCTTGGTAGTATTCTTCCGACGACATGTTTTGGCGAATTGCAGAGATTTAGAAGTATCGTGTGCACAAGATTAGGTAGAAATAATTCAAGGCAGGAGCAAACTTGGTGTGGTTTAATGTAAGAAGATTCCTTACTGCATAATGTTGCTTTATAGTCTTTCATAGAGATTCTGACTGTGATGTCTTTAACTCTAAGGTGTAATGACTGTCTTTGGCGGTGCTACGGTAAGTGTTGTCATTGTTGATGACTCTAGTGAGGAGTCAAAAGTTGGCGCCTTTGTGGTCTATGTGATTTGTTTCAATGAAGCTTGCGAGCAAAGAAGATGGCTTTGCCGACTTTACTATGTTTGAATGTTTTTTCACATTACATATATAGTATGGCGCGAAATTTGTATGTATCATAGGAATATTATTTCCTTCTATGTGAAAATTGAAAGCTACCTTAGGATATGAGTAAAATCTTGCAGCTAAATGTATCATAAGTCTCTGGACTTTGAGTATGCTTTGCATGCATCGTCGTTCCAAACGTTCAATGTAAAAATGCTAGGAAAACTGAGGTGGTACCTATGAAGTAATGACTAGCACTAATTAAGACTCACAATTTCACCAACGTATTTATTAATTAAAAGAACCCGGAGTTTGCAATACTTCAACCTAGCCGACCTTGTTACTTACCACTATGACCTCGAGAAATGAAACATATTGTCTTGCAGTCTTTTTGGATTGTTGGATTGAGATACAATGAATGTTGCTGGTGAGGTTCTGACGACCCGAAAGTAGTTAGATTAGGAATTAGATAAGCCTGCTGGTACGTGCCCAGGTGGATTGCCATTCGTGTGGACGTGTGACCTTTCATCACGAACTTCTTTACTTTCGCACTGTGCATCACTATATCTTTTGGATGGTGTTTTGGAATGCCAATCTGGAACTTGGGGCTTGTATTTGAACTCATTGCTGGTTGCGCAACCTCTTGCGCAGCCTGAGTAAGAGTACCATTGATACAACATACCACGGCTATGCGATCGTCATAATAAATCTGGGGATCAAGTGCTACTATGAAAGTGCTCAACCTAAGGCGCTTGTAAGCCTAAATCATCAATCGAAGATGTCCAAAACTAGCCTGGATCCCAAGCAGGCCAGGGTGCAAAAGGTGTGCACCTTATGGACGCACGGGGATAACTTTTCTCGCGACGATGTCATCTTCAATATAGAGAAATTTCCCGAGCTACCAGCGAGCCACGGATCTCTAATACAAGTACTCGCTCTCACGCAGTCTGTCGCTGTTCGAGACTTCCAGGTACCGGCGAAAAGCAATGTCAAGGACACAAGCTCTTCAAAGGCCGATGACATTGGCAAGGACACTGCATCGACGCATCACTCCAAAAGAAGCCGTAGAGGTTCCGTTAGGATCACGCTCGATGAAAATGGGTCTGTCATCAATGAAAGGCGCGACGTAGATCTGCAGAAATCATACGTCTTCGTAGCGAAGCCTATGTCTCCGGAGCTGAAGAGCAAGCACCCCAATTTGCAGGTATTTTTGAACTATGCTCCGCGCCTATGTCTAACGTTTTACTGATTGAATACAACAGGTTTCTATTTCGGAAACGATTGCAAGAGAATTTGGCCTTAGAAACCGCATGCAAGTTGTAGTAACAGAGGTAAGCTCGACTCATCCTCTCTGCTGTGCTATGTGTTAACGGTAAATAGGCCGACGAGGAAAGGCATTCGGCGTCACACGTCGAGATTACCTTTCGAGATGAATATCTAGCCCGCGCTGATATGTGGCGCATGGCCTCATCTGAACTGAGCAATCGAACTGTTTATCGCGGACAAAAGCTGCTTTTCATGAGCACCATAAAAGCTACCGTCAAGAACGTCTTTATCAATGGCCAATCAACGCACTCCGGATACTTTTCGTCTCTCACCAAACCAGTGTTCCGCAGCGAGTCCGCACGATTTGTCTTGTTTATCCAAATGTCAAAGGAGATGTGGAACTTCGATGCGGAAGGCGCCGGGGAAATCATGTTCAACAAAGTGGTGAATGGCTTCCTGCCTGATCTCTTCAAGCGATGGTTGAAAATCAATGCACGCCATCTGGTCACTATCATTTTGTTCACGCGTATGCGATACGACGAGAATAGTCCGAATCATCCCGCTATCAATAGCAGCTCGAGTTTTAATAACCGCTGTGGCAACTATCGAGACTATTACCGTGTAGTCGTCAGTGACATGGCAAGCCAAGACTGGATAAGGATTCTGTACCAGCTGAAGAAAGAATTTAGATCGTTTCTAAAAGATGTATCATTGGTACCCAAGGCAAATGATACTCTCGCCACCGACGCTCAGTCATCAAACAATGCCGAGACAGAATTGGTGATATCAGGCAAGCCATCGACTGCATCCACCGGCAACATTCTTGAGGCCATCAATCTGGCAGCAACTCAGTTCGCAAAAGACTATATCGATCGCGATTTGGTACGTACGGGAATCTCCATAGTTGTCATCACTGCAGGCACAGGTGTATTCGAGGTCGACTATAATATGCTGAAATTGACAACTGATACCCTTGTGGGCTCTGGAATCGGGATTGATCTGGTGTGTCTTTCTCCGATGCCACTTCATTCAGTGCCTCTCTTTAAATACCGAAGCCCGCGGTCAATATCTTCGTTAGGTTTTGGTACAACCGGAAATAAAAAGAGTGCGCCTTCTCCAGATCCATTCACCGAGCAGGATGATAAAACACCACGGCAACACCAAGCCAACTTTGGATCCATACGATTTGCACACCCCGTGCTTCCAGCAACAACCCACATAGAGGACCCGATCCAAAGGGGACAATCTGCCGTGGACGACTGGAGGTATGCTATGCCACATTGGCTTGATATTTCCTTCTGGTCCGGGACCACAGAGGAAATTATTCAACTATCAAAGCCCACAAAGGCCAAGACGTCGATTGAGAAAGCCACTAAACGGAAAAGGACATTTGCTCTAAGATGCCGCATGTATGAGATGCAGATGATGGGCGTCATGGAGAACGAGCTTGGTGACATCTCAATTCCGTATCTAGAAGAAGATCCATTCTATCCGCATAACCTGAAGCAACTAGCAGAGGGTCTTCAAGGTAAAGAGCCGGGAACGGTCGCAAAACGGGGTTCTGTTTTCAACACAATCGATGCAGAGCTTTCTAGAGCGTCAGGATCACCGCTAAACGAAGAGGCAACCAATCCTCGAGCCGTCTGCCAAGCATGGATGGATACTTACGATGACAACGTATTTCGTCCACTGAATGAGGAGGTGCCCCAAATACGTTTCAACACTCCTAGCAACAACAACGGGATTCTTGAGAAGACCATTTCTCCAGGGCAATCAATCGATAATTCATTGCTGCCAAGTTCTATTGGCAGAAATGGGACTTCGCCGTCCAAGGACACGCGATATATCGAGAACGGGAGATTCTTGGCTCAACATAGATCAAAGGGGGGGTACAGTTCATCGCCATCAGGTGGCACTCTTCAGCCAGGTGATTATGGTGGTCCAGGTGCCCCCCGCGCGGACGTTCTATACAGGCAGATGGCGGCCTCTAGAAATCAGGAAGATAAACGTCCCCAACAACATCGTCGAGGAAATTCTGGTGATTCGAACAATCCTCACCACTCGGTGATGTCGACACCAAATGATTCCCCAATAGTGAGCAGAAACAACACTCCACCAAAACGGAGTGGATTGCCAATTCGTCCCGGAGCATTGACCCCTTCCACCCAGTCAGAAAAGCCAACCAGTTGGTTTCTTCGACAAATTAGCTTTGGTGCAAAGCGCGGTGCAACAGCAGCACCGACAACAAGTGTTGCTACTGTCGACTCTACCCCGGTGAAAGTGACGGCTACAAATCTCAGTGCCGAAAACAACCAGAAAGATGTCATTGCTGCGAAGTTGGCGAGCACAAAGCCTTCACAACCGATCAACATACGCTCAGGTTCCCGCGCCGGATTATCATCCGATGGTTCACCGTCTTCAGAAAGTGTCTCCCAGTCGGTTGAAACCGTCAGGAACTCCCGCATCTCAAGAACGGCTACAACTTCACAGGCAAGTTCGGTGACAAAAGACCCTGGATCGACGTTCTTGATTGCAGGGTCAAGAGCTTTAGGAGATGCGGTCGGTCCCAAGTTAGATTTGTCAACGAGTGGCGGCACAAAAGAAGTCCCACGAACAATATCTCCGACCAGTGCGATCGCGCCATGGGCAGTCCTGGTCAACCCATGTAATCCGAAAAAGAATCAGCAAAACGTTGCCGCTCAATTCCGACGGTGGCAGCATATATTTCCCAAGCGTCTGAAAACTTCCTCGGTGAAGTGGAAATCATTATGCTCCCCGGCGGCTGTCCCGTTGACGAACGAGTATTTTCCAACCGCAGAGCAATTGGCAACTGAGTACAACGAAAGCCCATACAAGATCACACAAAACGATGATGAAGACGTGCTGGAAGCACCCAAGTCCAGAGAATCCCTGGTTCGCGAGCTCATTGCGTTTCGACTATCGCACGGGTTTCAAATCATCATTGGTTCCGCTGTTGCAGAATTTGCAGGCGGACGTGAGCGGGATCTGTCGAGCATCTTTGATCCCAACTATATGGCGCAAGATGGAGATACCGTATTCATGTTTGTTGGAAATACCATACACCAGCTTGTCTGTGCCGCCGGTGGCGAGGTAGAGGTCAAGCGGTATAACCGTAAACCTACTACGGCGTTGCAGACTTCAGCGGGGGTAGATACGCCATTTGCGTATAAGCCATTCATCAAAACCGCGCTGGAGCCAAATTACGAGCCTAGAGACGTCGTGCTGCGACCTCCACGGAAGGAGTACAATTGGAATTTCATTGACACATTCCTTGCTGGCTATCAGGACGAATTCTCCGACGTCTTGCGATTCTGGAGAGCACGTTTTGTGCTCATTCCTGTAGCACTGCCGACTGTGAATCGCCGGCCGCTACACCTACTGACAGAAGACTCAGAGGAAGAAATACGGCTGGAGGGTATTCGAAAGCTGACACAGGTGTGGCAAAGATATCGATACGTGCCGCCGGAGGAAAGGGGAACCCAGTCATCTGCCGCCAATCTGCAAAAAGACCCCAATCCTCTTGCTATAGAGTATAGGACGCGGGACCCTTCCTCGATTGTGGCCGCCGGCCCTGACAGTACGATACTAACAGATGCGGAGAACGAGCTCCAGATGTCGCTTTTCTCCGAGACCGAACAGTATGCAACCGCTAACATCGACATCAAGAAGTTGGCAGATGATCTTCAAGGAGATAAAGGTATTCATATGATGGACCGTCGCTGGCACTGGAAGCTGCATTACAACTGCTTCCTTGGGTTCGACCTAACGAGCTGGTTGCTGTCTCGGTTCAAAGAAATCCACACCCGCGAAGAAGCCGTGGATCTTGGGAACCAACTAATGGAAAAGGGCCTGTTCAATCATGTCCAAAAGCGTCATCAGTTCCGTGACGGCAATTTCTTCTACCAGATTGCCAATGAATATAGGGCACCCCGCCCAGAATCTCGGGCTGGGTGGTTTGGAATGCGGAGGACCGACCGATCAGTTCCGTCGACGCCTCTCACCGAGGGCCCAAGGACGTCTCCTTTGGCACCTCGGACTAACACAAAGTTCCGCGATTCGTCAAGTGCTTCTGAATCCTCACGCGATGGGGAGAAAACGCCCACTCGAGATGGTACTCCAAAGCGCAAAGTCGTACTATCTCGCGTCATGCGCTACGACGTCGACCCTCGCAGACGCTCCTATCGTCCAGAGATAATCTCGCTGCATTACGATCGACTTCACAACCCGGACAACTGCTACCACGTAAGGATCGATTGGATGAACGTGACCGCGAAACTGATCGAAGACGCGATCGTGACCTGGGCCACCATGGTAGAAAAGTACGGCCTCAAGCTCGTCGAAGTACCCATCGGCGAGGCCTGCAACATCGCTACCCACCACCCATTCCGCTCTCCCTACATCATCAAGCTCGCGCGCCAACCTCCCCAGCAACAGCCAGAAGTGGCCTGGGACACCTCACACTTCACACCACAGTTCAAGACCGAAAGCTTCCCTTACCACAAAGCGCTCCTCCGGCGCCTAGACTTCGTCCTCGACATGGAAGCCGCGTCCGCATTCCCCTCAGACGTCGAGGTCTCCTATTCCTGGGGCAACCCGGACTACAAATACACGCAATTCATCCACCGCACGGGAGTGCTCCTCGCGCAGATCACCGCGGACGGCGACTTCCTCCTGCTCGCCAACCGCCTCGCCCACAACCGCGGCAAAGACACCACGAGCCGGCTGCGCCCAACCGCGACCACCGGCGCCGGCGGAGGCGGCAGTCACTACGACCACAAGCTCTCGCGAACGACGTCAACCGCACCACCCACTCCAGCCGAGCGCGCAAACCCGCACCGCTCCCCCTTCTCCTCCCCCCTCGCCCGCCCCGTCCAACCACAGGACCCCTCCCTCCTGCACCTCTCCCTCGCCGAGAAGCCCCAGCTCTCCTCCACCAACTCCACAACCTCACACCCCGTCCTCTCGTCCCTCCCCCACCAACCACTCACCTCCCGCACCCCCGAGCAGATCAAAGACGACATGGAAGCCTTCTGCCACGACGCCCCCGCCCTCCAGAAATTCTACGACGAGGCCTTCCGCCAGGCCCCTAGCCCGAGCCCCCAGCTCCTCCCCGTCCTCGACGACAAGATCCCGAGCCTCGGTCTCCCACCCGCCATCAGCATCCGCGAGGCGAGCCCTGCGCAGAGTTCCGGGTGGGGTGGCGGCGGCCTCAGTCTGGCGTCTTCTGCGGGAGGCGGCGGCGGCGGCGGCGGTGGTGGTGCTGGGTCCGCGGGCTACATCGGCACGCCTAGGATGCCGAATGCGGCTGCGGCTGCGACGGTCGCGGGCATCATGGGGAGGAGGCAGGGGAGCGATGGAAGTGGGAGTGGAATTGGGATTCCGGGAAGTGCGGGTGGGAATGGGAGTGCAGGGAGTGGAAGCGGTGGAAGCGGTGGGAATGGGGGAGCGCCGAGGAGACAGGACTCGCAGGGTAGTGCCGGGACGGGCGTGTGATGAGGGTTGTTGGAATCATGTATTGTTTGTTTGCTGTTACTTGTACGGATTGCATGTATACTTGACTTTTGTCTTTTGCATGGAGTTGGATCTTTGGGTTTAACTGGTAGGGGAACCGCTGGCTTTTTGGGCTATCTATCTACAGCTATTCTTTCCAGAGGGGATTGAGAGAGCAGAGAGCGATGAGGAGTTCAATTCAATAAGGATAGCCATGTTATAGTACATTATTCACATTAATCCAATAGTAAATCCAACGCACGGTATTCTGATATCAATTTTTCCCACTCTACCTACCTACTGAATGCTCACTTAGAGTTACCTTATCTACTACGCAACGCGCGGAAACAAAAATCGACTTCGGAAGGGCCACACGAGTATTTGAATGAACTTTATTATGTTCGGGTTTACATGGCGCCGCACATTGGTATGGTCACTATGGTGTCGTCTATCTGGCAAGCCGCGTGGTTGACGGGGTATTTTTGTGCTACGGTCGTACGCACAAACTACAAAACTCAAATAAATACTGTGTAAACAAACAAGTGAGTGCAGATACGAGACCACGACACAAATATTATTTTCCTGAGCTGTGACGTTGTGCTCCGTACTTCAATTACCGTATTACATATTCTCCACCTCCTATCCCTTTCCCTTTCTTGTAGGGGGAAGGGTGCCTACGTCACACACTCTCCCTACCTTTCCATCTAAGAAAAGGCACGGAACAGAAATGTATCATCTATCATCACCAACACCAGTCTCACAAATCCCCCCCGCCCCGGAATTAATTCCCCTCTTCGAAATCAATGTCTACGGAAACGTGAAGAGTGTCCGGACGGATTTCATAAATTATCCGTCCGAAGCAGATGCAAAGAAACGGAAGAAAAGAATCATGTTATGCTCGCCTCGCTCGGTCAGCTTCGGCGGGTGATGTTCCGTTTCTAGGTTGGTAAGGTAAGGTAAGGTGAGACGATCGTTTCTTTTGTTTCTCCGTGCGTGAGTGCTGTGGGAAGGGGAGGGAAGGAAAGGGAAATGTAGTCAACACGGGACGAGAGAAGATCGAAATAAGAGGTTGTGAAGATCGCTGGGGGCGATGACGGAGGGGACTTGGATATCTTGGAAGGTTCTGTTTTTTCGGTTGTGGCACGGCACGGTGGAGTGAAGTGGAAGTGGGTACGGTACATACGCTGGGCTGGTGCAGGTGTGAGGCGAGGGAGGGAGTTTTTCGATCGATCGATTGATTGATTGATGGAGTGGTTGTGAGGTTCGATGGGGGAGATGGGGGAGATGGGGGAGATCGAATATGACGTAATGTGTGTAGTTTCTTTCCTAGAAGAGAAAGAGAAGGACGATTACGAAGGGTTGATCGGTTTGATCGGTGAGGGCGAAATGTGAGTCGAAGAGGTGGATGGAGGGCATGATTGTCTGATGATGTGGCATCGACTGATTTCGCGTTCCTAGAAATGACTGGTTATGCTAGGCGACTGAAATGTACAGAGTTGCATATTGTTAATCATCAGTACCGAATAGAAGTCGCTCACGTGGCTATTTACTGGCCATGCGAGAAGACTTCCCGGGCGAGGGAACCGTTCGCATGCACACGTTCAACGGCGAACCGTTGTTGTCGCCATGAGACTCACAGATTGCAGCTGTTTCCAATTGGCCAATGCCTACCAAGAACTATCACAATCAGGATATTGCGGCTCCGTATGCAGACAATACGGGGCTTTTTTCGCTTGGAAAATTGTAAGCGGTAGAATGATCCGTAGATGCCCAGAACTGGACGAAAGGGGCCTCGAACTTCCAACGGTCGGGTGAACCCTTTCGACCCATTCAGGACCGTTTTCCCTTCGAGATGCAATATATTTCCTCGTTGGCTCCACCCGGTACGGCAAAGGCGATCACCCGGATGACGTGGGTCCCTGCGAAATTGGGTTACGATAGCGCCGGACGTGATGACTTGAAAGGTCGTGGCATCGCCGTCACTGATATGGACGCTATCATGAGGACGATGGACGAGAGTTTAGGCTTAAGACGGATGTTAAGGATTGCCTGTTTCCCCAACGCTCGTCGGCCTGGTAGAGCAGGCAGAATTCAGTCAGTCTGGGGTGCAGAAGCGAGAATGGATCCCAGCAGTTGTAGAAGTCGTTAGCAAAATCCCGAAGCGGGGTGCGTCATGTCCATGGCAGTAATCGATCAGTCTTAAGAACCGGGTTTGACGTTTGTTTGAGCGATGCTTTTGGTGAATCAGGCATACCCGTAGTTACACACCAACATGTGATCCTGCCGTCTGATTTGCTGGATGTGGTGGGTTTCGGTAATGGTCGCTACGATTTGGATTTAAGCTCTGCCCTTGTTTGACCACATTTGAGGGTCGACCACCATGCATATCTGTGATGCCGGGCCGGTATCGGGAGTGATAATGGAATAATGGACTTCCTAATGGGGAGAGAGAGACATGCGCTGTGGTGCCAGGGAAATGACCTGTTCGCACAGAGTACGCGGCATCCTGAGTGGACGACAGTCGTGATGCGAACCATTTGGCGCTGCCTCACTCATGTCAGCCTGCGCGTGGGAAGATGAGACAAGTCGATATGCTTTTGGAAAGAGTACAATATATTTGCGCAGCCTTGGACGCCATAGGTGACTGTTTCGGCTCGGGTACTCCGATGCGCCAATGCCTCCCGATATCAGGTTTCCCTCTCTGGACCCTTTCGAACAGCCTATCGAACATCACGGATTGTCAGTTCATAGAGTGGAACGGGGATCGTTGAATATAATCACGGGCGTTGGGTCGCAATGTTGGCAGCACTGTGACCATTCCAAGCCTCATGTTCCACACCGCTGGGTACAGATCAGCCTGTGGCGCGTACTGCGACCGGGCTTATCTATAGAAAACCGATGCGTATCATGTTTGCGTAGTCCTGCGAGTCAAATGTGTTAATGAGGCTGCTGAAGCGCTTTATGTTGTTGCGCATTGTTCATGATGTATTGGTCATGTTTAAGCTGATGGTAAGCGGTGCTGTCAGCGCGGATGTCGTAGAGGGTGCCATTGTGGAAATCCGAGGGAGTGGGAAGCATGCATGTTCGTCGTACAGATCGTTGACCAACGAAGCCTCCATGGACAACGCGTGCTCTTCCAATGACAGTGGCTCGTGTTTCACAGCGTCCGGGTACAGAGAGCTGTCGTGGTAGTCTAGCCCTTGGAGCTGCACGGAGTCTGACGTGCTGTGATGCAAATAGCCGTTGTTGTTGATAACTTGCCGTGAGCAACGGGACGGTAGGGAGGATGTTGCAGATTTCCAGGCTGGCCGTTGGTGGAGGATTGCGTCTGCTACATTGCTATCTACATGTCGTGATCGAATGCGTCTGCCTACGCGCATCCCATGAAAGAATGCAACGGTGACTGGCTGCAAAGGGTGTGACGGAACAAGCTGTGCCTACTGTCGCCTGCCGGAATGGAATGGCTTGAAGAAAATGTCACGGATGGATAGGCATCATCTGGGGTCACCCCTGACTGGCGATCTGCGCGTGGTGTAAGTGTATGCACGAAGGATTGCCGAACAGTCATAGGTAGCGAACAGCGGCGACAGCCATTGGGAGAGACGGCGATAGTAAGAAGCAACGCAACAAAGGAGGAGGGCGTGTTCGTCCGGACTCGTAGTATCGGCCGAAGACACCAGACGAGGAAGAGAATCTGTGCACAGTACTCTGTACTCTCCGTGTTATCGAAGGAGTGATTGATATTGTGTTGTCGTCGTTATCGCTGACCACCTGTCGATGGTTACGAGTCATCATGCTCCTCTCCTATCAAATTAGATACTTAATGGTCATTATATATTATCGATAGGGGAATTAATCCTCTCGTAAGAGAGTGTGAGGTGGGTGGAGTATGGGAGCAGCCGCTATCGTCCCGTAGCGTCTGAGTGGCTTTTTTTTTATTTTTGCTTTCTGCCTCATCCTTCTCCGTAGCCGAGTAGATTTATCATCAGGAATGTTTGTTGGTAAGGAAGTGATTAACAGACTAAGCATGATGTTGGGAGAGTACGAGTAGTCAGTTAAGTTGGAGGAGTATGGGTATGGTTGCCGGAGGCCTGGCCCGTGGAGCGGAAGTGGAGAGCAGAGGGATCGTGTTGAATGAACATGGATTAAGGGGATGATTGTCAAGGGTATGGAAAGTCTGGAGGAGATAACTATGGAGGAGGAGGGGTGGAGAGGTATGGATGTGATGTATCATGTATGAATTGAATGTAAGTGTGTGCTCATAGATACTGTAATGGTAGGGGGGGTAACTGGAAGGAGGCGGCCAGTGACATGCTCCGGAAGACGGCGAGCCCTACACCGCCATTGTTGTCAACTCCCATCTCGTATCCCACTTCCACTTCCCACTGACACTGCAACTACTACTACTACTACTCTCTCATGTGTTACACGGTATCTCATTGTACTGCAACTATATCTAATGATGAGATCCACAACGCCTCATGCCTTACAATGCTTCACCCAGCCCGTAATTCTCCTAGCCCTTCGCCTACTCCTAGATCACTCACACTTTCCTCAAATCGATCTTGACGATTCTCCATAGTTTCGCCGTTACCACCACTACTTACTACTACTCCTACTACTCCTACCACTACCACCACTAGCCTCCACAAGTCCCATCTCCTCTCCTCCCACCGTCCAATCCAAAACTTCGACCATTATTCAACTTCTTCCCTCGTACTCTTTCAACCCACGATACTCCACTCACTTTACGCCCTTGTTCTACTCTGCTTTGCTCTCTTTTCCTTCCTCCCCCTCCTCTCTGCTCTCCCCGCCTTCCACTGTTCTACAAGACACGCGACAATTCATCCTTGTCTACGCCCTAGACCACCTACCCTACGCCTCCCGCCTCACAATACGCCTCGCTTTGTCTTCACGATAGCAAACACCCTTCTCCGACATCCATAGACCGCGGTCCATAGATAGAACAGACTCTTCACCCTACCCTCGAGCGACGACCGGTTTCCCGCAGCGCGGCTCCTTCCAATACCTACGTCGAACAATAGACTGTCATGGGCTGCCCACGCCCGACCCGTCTTCCAGTTCGCGTCCGACAAACCTGCGACTGTGGCTCCTTCCATAATTGCTAAGGTCTCCCACCTTACCTGGACGAGTTGTGTGTACAATTGTTATTACAGTAGACGTCATGCTCGGTCAATTCTTTGGCGGTCGGAAGGCTACCGGCGCGACCCATCCCTCGCCGACCACCCCTCTGGAATCTGCGACAGAAGAGTCTCACACGCGACACCTGCTCTATCCCGAATTGAACAGCAACTACCCACACGATGGTCAACACTATCCACTACCGACGCCAACCCTCCCCTTGGGAAACGGCTATGATGGTCCTCAGCCCGAGATTGATCTCGAGTTCCCCAGGGACTGTAGGATCATAATTGCCCAGGACGAAATCAATGCTATGCCGAGAACCGTCCTCTATGATTCCAAACCCGGCTCACCTCGAGCAGAATCGCCCACACAGCAGAATGCACGGTCAAGGCCCTTTGGCTCGACCGCAGGCGCCAATACTGCGGGCCCCTCCTTTGGAGGTGTACATGCACGGCGATCCTCCCTTGTCACGGAGCCAACACCAAGATCGCCAACCGTTGCTGCGTTCTCGCGCACGCGAGCACGGGGCGGTTCGATTTCCTCCATGCCAAACATAGACGAACACACACAAACCCATGCTCAGTTCCAGGCCAAACCAACGGAGTCCTTCGACGTTGTGAAAACATGTCTGGATTGCATGTTTGGAAACACTACCATGAGCTATAGGGGCAATTCCAACAAACTACATATCGTCCCCCTCGACTCTAGGCCCGCTGATCTCACCCCTGCAGCAGCAAGTTTACACGAAGCGTCCGGTTCCCTAGGCAGGTCAGAAGGGCTCCGTCGAAGAAGTAATTTAGCAAAGTCATTCACGCCATCTAACTTCCCAATTGATATGCCTCAAACGGATACTCCTGGAAACTCCTCAAAAGAGTCCCGCAGACGAACCATTCTCATCACTAGAATGTTCTCGGTTGCGTTGCCAGACGAGGAACGTGATTCCTCCGACCCTCGTACTCCAACCCCTCAAAGCTCCCTAGGGAAAGGTAACGGCTTTCCTTTTCCTCGCACAGGAAATAAGGCGGGAGTTGGAGCTACTCGACCGCCACAGCCATCTCAGTCGCGGCGGACTCCAATGTACGCCATCACTATTATACTCCATTTGCCATTGTCTTCTTCGTCCCCTACCATGCGACCACCCTCTAGGCCGGGCCACTCTGCCGCCAGAGGTACGGCTCACTTATCCACTTCTGCTCCTGGCCAGGACTCTCTTGGATCATCCCTAGACTCCGATCGTCGCGCTGGTTGGACAACCATCGATCCCAATTTCGGCGTGGAATCGCTCTTGTCGATGTCCCTGAGTAGCGATGTCGATGACCGCGTTGATGTCATTGGACAGCACTGGGATGTCATCACAAGGACTCTTACAAGTCTTCAGTATGTAGTGCGCGAACGGATATTAGCCCATTTCCGAATGAACGATGCCCGTTCTCCAACAGTCTCACCGCTACCACGTGGTCAGCCATCTCGATATGCCACACGAGAACCTCTTCCCCAAGTAGGCCGTCGGTTCTGGAGGCTGCAACCAAACGAGCTCGCAATAGACCCACTCATCCGCCAGGCAGTCGAGGTTGCAGGCAACCGCGTAGTGAGCGGAATGAGAATCCCTCGAGTCGTCACCGGTCAAGGGAAATGGGGTGTTTGGCGTGAAGAAGCAAGGTGGCTCGGCCGGTGGGCGAATCGACGAGAAGAGAACTTTTTCTTCTTCAATCTACTTACGGCCTTCCTGGGGCATCATACCGAATGGTTAAATATCTTGGGGCCGAAATGGCATCGAAAGCGTCACCGGGAGCAGCAAAAGTCACTTTCTGGGGACAATCTTACTATCCCGAACAGGACTGTCATTGTGTCCCCTGATAAGATGGCTGCGAGAAGGCTAATATTCTTGCTCGCTGCGTTCTTGCCGTCTGGCACTTCGGTGCTTTACGATGGCGCGTCTCCAATGAGACCTGGCACTTCCGCATCGTTCCGGGCATACTCACAATCCCCACCTACAAATCTACCTCCATCGAGAAAACATTCTCTGCGACGTCAGATCAACCGCCGTCCCCGGGGTAAACCAAGTCTTACAAATATGCGCCCACAGCATGGGGGCAGTTCCAGCAACGGCTCGACGTTTGAATCTTCTAACATTCGCGTTGATTCGGGTGTCGCTGAGTTTCAGGATGCGTCTAAGCAGCACTCCTGTCGGTCTTCTGTAAATTCAATCCAGAACAGCTTGGTTCTTCCCCCTATGTCGGATAGTGCAGCTAGTAAGAGTGGTTCCGCAACCACTTCGACAGCAACGCCTGAAAATAACATACCTGTTGCTCACTTCGCACTTCCCCGCACAAAGTCTTCTGGGCCACCAGCTGAGAATAGGCCAGAGAGCAGCGACAGCCTCGCTTCTGCGAATCTGATGAACACGCTCCAACGAAGCAACACCGGACATATCAGTAACCGTAGCACTGATTCGGGTAACACAAGCCGGTGGAGCGGCTTCATGAGCTTCTGGAACGGGGGCAGGCGCGAATCATCTACAGATCACAGCGACTTCCTACAATCTACAGATGACGGCTTGGGCGTTCCCCACTTCGGCTTCGCGGGTGAAAGGCGACGGTCGCAGCTCGAACAAATGGTGCACGAGCTGTCCATGGACCAAGAAACATTTGATGAATCTGATGCATTCGATTCTTCCAACCTGGACAACAGTACCACAGCCGACGGATCTCCGGAAACATACCCGATGGGCGGCTCCAGTGGTATGCCAGCATCAGCTGCGAGGCCGATACCCGAACGTCCCAAAACGTTCGACTCCACCCTCAAGCTCTCGATCAATGAGAAAGACGGAGTCATTGATGTGGACATACCACTTCCAGATTTCGGGTCGCCGCTTCAATCGCCATTGCTCGGCGGATATGGATCAGCATCGAGCCAGCAAGGCTCGAGCTTTGGCGAAACATCGATACTATCAATGCCATACTGTGAACCCGATCAGCCTGTCAATGCTGCCGGCTGGCTCAAGCAGTTCCATCCCGATTTCGCTATTCAAGCCATCAAACCGTACGCCGATCTCGAGCGAGACATCAAGCAAGCCATGAGTGCTGAGCCAACTCCTGTCACATCGGCGGCGACTCCAACACTTGAGCAAGGGCCCCAGGAACGGTGGGTAGACGTCTGCTCTGCTCTCGTGTCCGATACTCGTAACTTCACCATCAAACGTATACGTCTCAGGCGACTGGTGAAGATCACACCATTGCCGACATATCACCAAGCAGCCCTGACGCCCAGTGTAACTGGTGTGCCTGGCCGTTCACAGTATGGTAATCCGTACAGCGCCAGTACCGTCGGGCCGACAATGACCGAACAGCATCTTACTGAGGAGTTTAGTGAGGAGACCATCATGGATTTCGATGCCACTCTCATCGACGCTGTCGATCGTGTTCTCGCACAATCCGGGCAAGGTTCTCGTGTCCAGTCCACTAGTTCTTCGAGGTCTAGTTCCCGGCGAGGAAGGCGAGACACCAGGACGAGTTTCGACGCCGGCCACGGACCAGCCGAGATCTCCCAAGGCGATTACAAGGGCATAATCTTCGACGCTCTCGAATCAGTAGTGAGGGACGTGACATCTGAGCGCACCGGGAAAGAACAATCAACGAAAGACAAAGCTCTTGTCACCGACAAGAAGGTTCAACAAGACGCCCCCGCGAGCACGGCAACAGACTCATCTCTCAAAGAGGGCATTCGACGCTGGCTTACTGAAGTAGAGTAGTCATCATCACAACTGCTCTCTTCCTCCTCTTTCCCTCACCCTCTTCCCCCCTAATACCTCTTTTGCGTCAGACGGATCAAAGTGTATATCGATAAGGAATGTAACGGGGCGGGTCTTTGTTTTCTCACGGCCTGCTTGCCCGAGTTCACATGTAGAGAGACTCTTCTTTTTTCTTCTCTGCAGAGCAAGCTACTTAAGTAGCGGTTTTTTCTTTCTTTTCTCCTTGCGTGCTTTCATGGCGCGACGATACCCAACCAGCACGTCACCTTTTTTTCGGATGACGATGAGAGAAACTAGACTAAGATATGATACGATAACGATGATAATACTACTTTTATATCCTGAAGAAACTTTTGATCTATATGCATATACTATGGTGTGATGCACTCTTATCTTCCACAGATCTACACGTCTACATTAAATATCCACCTAGCTATCTAATGAACTCCCCTTATATGAAAACCAATAGGCACCTTAGCTTTAAATCATTCTTTCCACCACAGTAAATATACCCATATATATACTCTCACGCATTGTACCACTACATTGTATCTCAACCCTGACCTTCCCCAGGCACGAAACAAACGCAGGAACGCGGTATATTTCATTGCCTGTTTCGCAGCCTCACGGTGCTTGGCTATTACCTACGTCTCCTCCCCTCAACCTTTTCATCGTGGACCGAGATTCTTTTTCACGAGTCTCCTCAAATCTTGCTTCTGCTGATTTTATCTTGCACCCTGCGTTCGTGTGAATTCATGAGTTGGTGGTCAAGTCTGCAACCGCGTTGTCACAGTCATCGGTTCGTTTGCTTTACTTTTGTTTGAATTCATGTTCTTTTTGAAATAGAAACGGCGGCCGTTTATTTCGTGGTAAATGTTATGTTATATACAATAAATAGATTCATATCCACCAGATCAGAAACTTCTCTGTTATTCCTTCCAGTTTTGCTTCACCCGACTTTCATTTCGCCCCTAGAAAAGAAAAAGGCCGTGATAAAGAAGTTGCATACCCCCTTACTTCCTCAGCGCCGCAAGCGCCGCCTTAACAGCCTCAACCTCCTCCTCCTTCCCCAGAATATCCGGCACGGGTCCCACAGGCGGGATACTAAACGGATTAATCTGGCGATGGCTCTTCGTATAATGCAGCTTGATGTGCTCGAACTGCGTGGTGTCCTTGAACGCGGGGATGTCCCAGTAGAGGTGGCGGACCCAGCGGTGGATGTGCGGGAACCCGGACCGGATGTCCCGGATGTTGCACTTGAAGTGCTGGACGTAGACGGGGTCGAAGCGGATGATGGTGGTGTAGAGGCGGACGTCGGCTTCGGTGGGGGCGGGCGCGGAGAGGAGGTACGGGGTGGTGGAGGAGGCGAGGTGGGATTCGATCTTTTGGAGGGAGGAGAAGAGGGTGGTTACGGCGGTTGTGTAGGCTTCTTCGGAGCTGGAGGGGGATTGTTAGTTTTGATTGTGGGTTTTTGTAGAGGGGGTTGTGGAAGGGGGAAGGAAATGGGATGGAAGGGAGAAAGGGACGTACGTAGCGAAACCGGAGCGGTAGACGCCGTTGTTGATGTCGTTGTAGACCCACTCGTTGAGCGCGTCGATCTCCTTCTCGAGGTTCTTGGGCAGAAGCTCGACCTTCTTGTACTCGTCTGCGATGATGTCGTCGAACGCCGTGTAGAACATGCGGATGATCTCGCTGCTCTCGTTGCTCACGATGCGGTTCTGCTTCTTGTCGTACAGGGTGGGCACGGTGAAGCGGCCCTCGTAGTCGGGGTTCTGCTCGAAGTAGATGTCGCGGAGGTGCGTGAAGTTGGGGTGAAGAGGGTCGGGGGTCACGTTCTCGCCGGGAAGCTTCTCGTCAGGGGTCGAGAAGCGCCATCCCTTCTCGCCCAGGTGCCAGTGGACGGATGTGTAGGGGATGATTTCTTCGAGGCCCTTGAGCTGGCGGACGAGGAGCGTTCGGTGCGCCCATGGGCAGGCGTAGGAGACGTAGAGGTGGTAGCGGCCCTTTTCAGCTGGGAACTCGGCGTCCGGCTTGTTCTCGATCCAGTTGCGGAAGACGGAGACTTGACGCTTGAACTCGCCAGAGTTGTCGCCGGGCTTCACCCAGTTGAGGATGGAGTCTTTTGTGGACTGTGAGGATTGTTAGTAGATGGACGAGTAATTGAGCAAGATGTGTATGAATAGAGACGAGTGACACATACCATTGTGGAAGAAAAAGGTCTAGTGGTGGAGTGAATAGATGTAATTCTTGGGATTTGGGATGAAAGAGCTCGGAGTCTGGTCAGAGCTATAGACATATACAATTGGGAGGGAAAGTGTGGAAGAGTGATGTAAGAAGAGGAATAACTTTTCTCGAGGCTGGAGATGTGGCTTTTATCATAATTTACTCAGTAGTAGTGACGATAGATTGAATGTCCCTCGTAGAGCTGCATTATGGATGAAGCGGGGTGAATTGGCGCTAGGAATGTCCCGCTTTCGTCATGAAGGTTGATGATTGACAGGGTCTTCTCGACTTCTGTAGGGCCAACATCCCTGCACTTGGCGGTTAATCAGCATTACAATAGCTTAACAAATTGACAATGTTGAGTAAGACCTTAGCTAAACACAGTTCCAGCTCTCGCGCCGCTCAATTCACTCTGTACTCTTAGTTTATCCTAATCCAATCCAATATACACTTTTCAGCATGGGACACTGTCATTAGTCCATAGAACTACCTTCCTTACTCTATGGACTACAGCCTCGTTTTGGACATGTATCCCTAAACCCCCCAATAATTGGTCTGTGTAAAGGCTACCACTACAGCTTTGATTACTGTACACCAACATTCCACTTCTCCTTCGAATCTACTCCACTATGTTCCATGGAATAATCATGACGGTGAGTAACAATAGAACAACTTGGTCACCGTCCGCGGCTTTGAGTGGGAATGAAAGTGCAATGTGTTTCTATTGACTCTATCTACGTCATTACTCCTAGCTTTACAGACCCCCTTCCACCATCATAGAGACGCAGCATTGTTACTTTCCAGCATCATTGCACCAAAGCTATGTCCTATGCCGACACAGACTGGACTGGGGAAGCCTATTCTGCATTTTTCTTGCTGTCAATGAAGATCCTGCTGAGACCATTGCGTTGACAGGCAAATTGGTCTCAAATTCTCAGATCTAGCCTCGCTCAAAATACATTCATCATTCCCATCCAAACCACCAATCCAATACCACGCACCCAGTATCACCCTTTCCATAAGCCAGCCTACAGAGAGATTGCAACCAAAGACCGAACACCCCAAGAACCGTAACACGTGTGCAATCACACACATACACGAAGCGATTGCGCCTCGCCCCCAGACAGCTTACTCCCAATCTCTCCACCCACACGCGAACTTACGCGAGTCTCATCTGACCAAGTCTCCCCAATCTCCCTCCCTCTCCTCCTCCCTTCCCTTTTCCCCATCAGAGATTGCGAAGTGATATGTATGAGATGACACGCACACACACAGACATATGCTGGATCTCCAGCTCGCCTGACCGAACTGAGACAATCAACGGCATTTAACAAGCAAACGCCACGCCACGATCAAGGCTGGCGCGCACTGGTTCTGTTCTTACGATCGCCGAGGAGCGAGAAGAGGCAGGTATTGTGTCTTTGAGACAATCGCACACCCATACCCGTCCACACGTACGCGTGCATCCTTGTAATCATACTCATTCTGCAGTACTTGTGTGTACGCGGTGTACGCAGAGCCTCATTCACAATACCCAGCCCATCCCCCATCCCCGAAAAGTAAAGGAATTTATAATCGATCGATCGATCGATCATTAATTGATTATTTACCTCCACGCAATGGAAATTGATTGGACGCGGCGATAATCGCTGCTGAGGATTATCGAATTTCTGGCTGAGCGATTACGCCTGACGAGTGAGTTTGGTATTGACCCCTGTCAGCCCTATGTATCCTCGTACAAAGGTGACAGGGTTGGGGTGGAGCGGGTAAGTGATTGAGGCTCTGTGTCTGCTCTCTGCCTCTACTTGTCGCCTTTGCGAGCTTGTAAGACCACTACGGGATGTTGCTGGTGAATAGTGTAGTTCCTTGCTCTGGATTGGAAATGGTGCCATGCTCTTTTCAACGTGGTTTGGTATGGTTCTCCTTTTGAAAGAGAGGTATGACGTCAATGTCTAGATCGGCTCTCGCGGTTTGTTTTGTACCTTAGAATGATGAGTTTCAATGTAAGTTTTGCCGTTCACATTTGCTACATTTGAGATATGACCAATTGCGCACAATTCGTAATGCCATTGCCAGTCTGACACGTTCATGTTGTCTACTCAAAGATGTCTTACAAAATTACCCCATAGACATATGGTCCGCGCTTGGTGCACTTTTACTCCAACGTCCATTGTCCCCACCGAACGCCTATTATGCTGGAAAATCTTATCTGGCCGTCCTAACCGTCGCTGAGTCTTGGTCTCGGTTCATTTTACAAGAGGTATAGGGTATATTATGAACTCCCACTCAGCCACGCACGTTCGCTTGCAGATAAGGGGGCCAGTTGTCGTATTCGTTGAATGATGCTTTCGGACACAGCCGCCCCAACTATTGGTGATCGATCAATAATAGATTCACGAGTTCTCGCGGGAGAGTGATTCTGAAGAACGTTGCTCATCTGATATCAAGGGTATCTACCGTGGTTTTGTATGTACCAGGATGTGCATGAAGAAATCTGATCGGGAAGAGGGAATGAGGAAAAGAATTGAAGCAATAACACGCCACGTTCAGGGAAGATGCGTGTCCATGGTCCGGGACACCCTGATGTACATGTACATCCTAGCTCGTTGCTGCAGTGAGACGAGCCGCTGCATCCTGCTCCCAACGTCTCGCATCGCGACTTATGCACCCCCGACACCGCCTAGCGTTTGCTGATTGACCATGTCTCTTGTCTGTCCGACTTTCTTTGCTGCATCGAGGATCGCGCCCTCGATGGCCTTCATCGCCTCCACAAGTTCCTTGCGCTGATCACGAGCTCCGTTGCGGCTACCTGTCAGTTGCTGTGCTTTCTCCACTGTGCCTGCCTCCATGGTTCGCAGATGAGCCTCAATTTCGCGGATCTGGTGCTGATACACATCAAGCGTCCGCCCCAGGTCTTCTGTGCGCCTCGAGAAGTAGCTAACCAGATCGACGGGCTTATTCGGGTCATCCTCATCTAGGGAGTTGTTCGCTGCCGGCTTTGCACTCGACGCATTGAGGTTCGTGCGGTTGCCGTAGTGGAATTGTGCAGGGAGTTTATGGTTCTCGATGGCACGGAAGCTAAGCAAGGCTTCTTCCGCATCCTTCTTGATCACCTCTTTCAGCTTGGCAATGTTCGTGGAGTCGTTCACGAGGCCAGTCTCTATAGTAGCTAAGAACTCTTCAACGTAGACGACGTCTGGGGCGACAGTGGCAACTTCTTGCTCCGATTTAAGCATTGCCTCGCGCAGTTTGATGGAGTTGCTTATGTGGTATTGAAATGTGTCGTCCAGTTTCTGTATCTCGGCCTGGAGATCTGGGTGCAATTCGTGCAATCGGTGGGTTCCTTTGATGTTATCAAGAGTGCGGTATTGAACAGCCTGCTGGTTGTTACCTAGACCAGTCGTTGAGTTTCCGAGGCCCCCAAGAGGCTTGTTTTGTGAGGCCATGCCGCCAAAGAGTGAGCTCTGTTGCTGTTGCTGCTGAGGTTGATTCTGTTGTGTGGCACCAAATAAGGATGGGGTGGTTGTTTGATTTTGTTGGGTGTTTGCGTTCCCGCCAACGAACAAAGAAGATGTTGCTGCAGGTTGCGCTGTTGACGAGCCACTAGAACACGTTATTCTCCGCGTAACACCATCGACGTCTCTCTTGCTTACAACAATGATGGCTTGGAGCCAAGCAATCCTCCCGTCTGGGTATTCTGAGTCTGATTTTGATTCTGTGCATTCCCTCCCAGAGCGCCCCCAAACAGGCCCCCGGCTGCCTGGGGTTGAGATGCAGTTGTTGAAGACCCGAACAGGCCAGTGCTGGCTCCTGTTCCCGCTGTTGCTGGTTTGTTCAGATTCCCGAATAGGCCGGCCGATTGTGGTTGTGATGCCTGTTGTGTGGCCCCGAAGAGTCCCCCGGATTGGGGTGGCTGTGAGGCTGCTGCCGACGCACCGCCGAACAATCCTCCTGACTGAGGCTGGGACGTCGATCCGAAAAGCCCTCCGGCTGTTGCAGGCTGGGATGTTGCATTAGTAGAGCCAAAAAGCCCTGCACTCTGCTGTCCTTGACTGGTATTGGTGTTATTTCCACTGTCCAGCTGTTAGATCGTGTGAAACTAGGCAAGTACAGTGATAAAATCGCCCCCCGAATGCGAATCATATCGAAGCATAAGACAGGTTCAATCTGCTTTTCGTATATAAACTTACAAGAGCGACCCGCTGGTGTTGATACTCAGCGAGTTGGAGCGACCAAAGCCTGTCATTTTGTCGGATAGCAGCAGTGTCCCAATATTTCAGGATATTCAACCCAGTTTATTGTATGCTTCCTGAAAAGGAGAGCACTCGATTTCGATTGTATCAATTGCAGGTTCCGTGTGTTTTGGACGGCGCGAACGGAAGTCGATGCAGGTCCGGTCACTCCCTGCGGAGATGCCTGTGTCGGAAGAGCGATCCGCAAGTCGGAGGGTGGTGGAGGCGCGACGCGAGGCCGAGATGAAGAAGATAAAGGAGAAGTTGGATAGTGGCGAGAGCGTGGTTACGGCAGTTTGCCGACTTGAGAGAGTCAGCGCGTGAGTATTCTTGTGCAACGACCGGTGTGATGGTGTTTTGGCTCGAAAACCAGAGCTCTCCGCGAAATGCAGGCGCTTGGGCCACCCGCTGATCTTCTTCGATCTTAGTGACAGCCAAACAATCAGGTACGGCTTGAAGAGAGGGAAGCTCGTGTACTTGTTCAAGTATCCCAACCACGACGTCGAGGGCGACAAGCAGCGGAACATCATCAAACGCGCGCGTTTTATTCAAAAAGGTCTTGAAGAGGCAGGATATCACTTGATTCCCTGGGATTTCAAGAAGGGCAAACCACCAACATTCTGGGAAGAGGAAGGAACAATGGAAGAAGAAGACGATGATCTCTATGGTCCTTCGGAGTCGAGCGCGGCTGTGGACGCAAAGAAAGACGTGTCCAGAGAAGAGGAGGATGGCGAACAGGGCGATGAATCTATGGACGAAGGCGAAGAGTCAGGCGAAGAGTCGGACGAAAGTGACTCGGTACATTGAATCGAGATCGCCACGCGCAACGCATAGCTAACGGATTGTAGGACCTCGAGATCATCATCGACAAGCCTCAGACAGCCCCAAAGCCTATTTCGTGAGTTTCTTAAAGGTCTCAATACGCTATACAAAGCTAATTCCTTCACCAGACAAGCTCCGCAAGAGTCAAAAGCAATCAAAATAGAAGCACCCCAGCAACCATCCTCAACACCAACAGCAAAGTCGGCTTCGGCTGTCCCTCAGATACCTTCCCAACCTGGAACGGCATATCCCGCCGTGCGGACATCGACAATAGATGTGAACGCCGATCCCATTTATCCCCCAGCAGGGAAACCCGTGTCACAACTTGATATGGATGCAGGTGGGTACCATCCATGGCCAGGCAGTAAAATTGTGAATACGCCTACTAATGCACGGCATAGATCTTGCTGAATCCACAAAACCGTGGCGACTTCCCGGCGCCGACCAGTCGGATTATTTCAACTACGGCTTTGATGAGTTCACATGGGAAATGTACAGGCAGCGTCAAACGGACATGTCGAACAATCTTTCCAGGCAAAAGGCCGAGACGGCCCAGTTCCAGCAAATGTTTATGGGCGGTCCTTCTCCAGCACCAGGAGCTGGGAATGCGGGCCCAGGTCCTATGCCTGGTGCGCCAACTGGACCATCAGCTCAAAATAGCGGTGGGGGTGGTATGCCCCCAATGCCACCAGGAATGGGAATGAACGAAGAGCAAATGATGCAGACTATGATGCAGATGCAGGCATCAGGTATGGATGTCGGCAACATGGACATCAGTCAATTCATGCAGATGGTCGGTGGCGGCATGCCGGGCATGGGTGGCGGTGGTGGAGGAGGGTTTGGCGGACAGCAGCAAGGCAATCAAGGTGGAGGCGGAAGAGGGCAAGGCAGGAGAGGTAGAGGGTGGTAGTGTGTGGGGAAAGCCTTTATCTTCTACCCTTCTGGGAATCTGCATTTCAATATGACTGCCAAGGTAGGCACGGTCACGGTTTGGTTGCACGGTCTGGCGTTTTATGTACGATACCAGGACAAAGCCATGGAAAAGATTTTGATATTTCGTCCATCCAATGCTCCATTTGAACGCCAAGGGGGTAGTCATCCCAATAATCGTGCTATCATGATGCGCCAATACTTGTTCTCTATCCTTCGTCCATGTTTTGAAACGTCAAAGTCTATAGTTCCATGGGCTCGCCACCTTCAAGTACGTATGCTGGTATACGGCCCTCTGAGAAGTCCTTCTCTAATCTGGCCATCTCTGCCAAGCTCTTCGCGTTCTGAATTGCGGCCCTCATCTTATTCTTTTCCTCGTCGGTCCAGATTCGCTCCTTGACGTGGTCGTTGCTAGAAGAAAGAGAGGCCACTACGAAGCCCTTGGACTTCACGCCCATGATCTAGATGATTATCAGTCTACATGGCTCGAATGTCCATTCGGTATAGTACTTACCTGTGTGGCAAGCTCGGTGGGCTCCTCCGCAGTACCAAACAGTTCTTCAGCCTTTTGCTTTTCAGCCTGTCGGACCTTCGCGAAGTCAAGGTAACGGACAGAAGGGCACCTCCATATCACCCAGTATCGGTAATTCTATGAGCATGTCAGCTGTGCTGCCTTAAAGTGTGTGGCCAAGCTCGGTCTAGTATCTCTCTGTCGACCACGGTCGCAACGCAGTCTAGAACCCTCACTTGCGCTTGATACAGGGACTCCGAGCACGAAGTTAAGGGAGGTTGACTTACCTCCTTGTTTGCGACCGGATTTCCCATCAACGACAAGTATACCAGCTTCTTGAAGCCACTCAAAGGGTCCAAGTCCGCCAATTCAGCTAACCGGTTCTTTGTAAGGACGATTGTCGTGAGTGAGGGTATCGAAGAGGAGAGGTTGGACTGGATGTTTGATATGCGGTTTTGGGCGAGGAAAAGCGTTCGCAAGCGGGGGTTCAGTGGGAAGTTTCCAAGCAAAGCGATGTCGTTGTCCGTAAGGTCGATGGCATCGTTGTCCTAGCAATCTTCGTTAGCAAGCTGTCGCGTGTGGGCTTGAAGGTATGACTCACGCGCGCAGCACCCATGTTCTCGATCGCCGAGATTTTGTGTCCTAAATTGCAAAAGAATTGAGATCAATGCAGCTCAAACAAGTGTAGTATCTGTTCCTTTCAACGTACCTCGTAAATCGAGTTCACGCTCTGTTAACGGATTGATATAGGAGAGGGAATGTTGGATCAGGTCCGTTGTCAACCTCATGATTGCGACCAATATCTTATTATTTGTTCCTAGTTAAATGGTTCGAATCGGGTGGTAGGCGTTAGTACACAAAAGAATGGGATGTGAAGTGGGATGGAGCTATTTACGAAATTAGTAGCTTGATGCCAAGATTTTGGACATAGGCCACTGCGGGCGGCTTATGTAAGACATTGTGTGAGCAGGGCAAAGTGAACATGATCATTTACCTAGGTGCCTAGCTATTTCACCTTGCATTATTCTGACCAATTTTCGTTGTTTTGGACCTTTGCCTTTCCTAAAAACCGCAATTATATAGTAGCAGTCAGCTTTGATTTTTGTGCATCTCATCAGATATCAGTGTTCTTAATCCTGTGAACAATGAATCGCAAGAAGACCGGACACTATAATAGAGTATTTTGTAGACAAATAGTAAGATACTGCTATGTTAGATACGCTGAATACTGAGTTTAGCTCCAATTTTCTCGTTTCAAAGCATAGTAATCTGTTTTCTTGACATTTGTTGTAGGCACGAACTTTCCATCTTCATCTTTCGAATTAATAAGAAGGTGCATAACTATCTTAAATTTATGGAACGATAGTCTTAAATATCCACCGTGGCCAACGTTTGGCTGTAAGAGAAATCGGATTTGGGCAAAACATTTTAGACAATATTGACCTCCTTCGCTTGAAATGAACAATCAACGAACTGAGTAACCACAACCGTATCGTGAATGAAACTTAACGTAGAATGGATCTGAACAAAATCAAAAGGAAACCATAAGCCCGTACCCTCAAAGGTGAAACTCCCTGACATGATTTTCCACCACTCCAGTCTTCCACCCGCCTTCCTTTCTGTACACGCTCCCGCATCCCTTTACGAAACATCTATCATGTCGACATCTCGTACCATGGAAACTCTCCTCGTCCCTGGTGAAGCACATATTGTGCACTTCACACCCGGAAGGCAGCTCCCACATATGGTTCCTCAGTTTCTCGTGATCAGGGAACCATTTCTTGCATGTGGAACACTGTTCACGGTCTTTGTTTGCCGAAACATTGACGGACTTTGTACCGTTTGGTGCCATGGAGAAACTCATATGGTTAATTGAGTAGTTCGCAGTGAGGCGAGTAAAGGTGCTTGCTGCGGCAGCGAGGATGGGATGGCTTTGACTGTTTGAGGTTTGATAGTTGTAATTGTAATTATTGAATGGCTGGAGAGCAGTCTGATCGTTGTATTGAATCAGTGCTGAGTCGCTGGGCGCGACCAAGTCTAGGGAGTTATCGTATCTGCCAAGCACATCATACGTATCGTAGTCTTTGAGCTTATGAGATGTATGGTGAGTGTGTGGGTGATGAAGATGATGTTGCTGCTGATGGTGGCGATGATGGTTGTGACCATGACTTCCTTGTCCCGTACGGTACTTGATGCTGGGGAACCCATCGAAGTCAAGCTTGTTGTACCCAAAACTATGCTTGGTGGAGTACGGATCATGATAGAGGCAGTAGGAGCCGGGACCCTCAAACATCTCCCCGCAGGTATTACAGAATGACATGGTGTCAGATGACAAGGTATCGAGGGGGATGTGGGGTGCAAGGGTATTATGTATGTGGTAAGAAATTTTGTTGAAACACTGTTTAGTTGGAGCAACTTTGAGTTCGGCGTTGATGTAGACAAATCTTGGAACTCTCTGCTACTTCCTGAGTGCGGGTAGAAACAGTGAAGTCGCTGTGTTGTTTCCGTCTTATGCCTCGACCAAATCGCTTTTGATGAAAAGATTTAGGCGCGACGGGGAAGGGTTCAGCCCTTTGAAGAAATACGTCGTCTAAATATGAAGTTCGTTGATACAGCAGGCTGCCTGTATGCTTATGCATACCAGGTGCTGCACACTTGATTGCGTTCACCGGTCGTTCAAGCCACCAAATGCAACCCGATAAAGAGCCCGCCGGTACTCACAGAAATGCCAAAATTAATTACCGAGCGATCGATGATCATTACGTATTATATGCAGCCTGCTTGTTAGTGAATTCTGAAACCCCAGTTGATCGTTGCGTTCCTCCATCAGAAAATGACCTGGTTCGACGTATGGTGCATTAGCTTGGTTTGTGAAGCACGAGACAAGGATAGCACATGAACATGTGGAGGCTTTAGAGTGCTTTCGAATAGGCTCTAGGAATATGCGACTTGTTTGGAAGCTAGAATGTACACCGGTCTGTCCCTACATGAAAAGATAAATGATCCCGCTCCGGTCAACCGAGATCACCATCCCATAAGGTTGTTCTATCATCGCCACATCGAGCACTGTGTCCATATGGCTTCGGAGAAGATTATGCTGCTGCAAGCTAATCAGGCCGGAGCGAGAGCTTTTAGGCGCGGTTCGCTTAGCTGAGGTGTTGGAGCTTCTGCTCTCTCTTCCCGTGGCCACGGAAGGCTGAGGCTGAGACAGCCGCTCAGTGACCACTAGCGTGTCTGGACTGAGCTGGCTGTTGCCATACTGAGGTTTTAGTTCGTCGGCATCTAGGCCACTTACTACGAGCGACGCTTCTGGACGACTGGTATCCCAGTATCTAACTTTCCAGTCTGGACCAACAGTGAGGATGAACGTGTGTTTGGGGTCACCTTTGTCATCAATGGCTTGCGAATTCACGGCCAAGGAGCGGATTCCACGATCAGCTATCGAGTTGGCCGTGGGCTCCAGGTTCGTTGCGAAACGCCCTAGCATACCCCCAGGCTTTTCCTCGTCAAGGTCGATTAATGTGGTACTCCTCGATCCAATGTCTTTACTGTTACCAGTCCGATATACCTCTTTACACGTAAGCTTTTCGAAGTCCCAGACAGTAACTTCGCCCTGGCCTGTTCCTCCGGCGATATAAAGACGCGCTTTTTTTACCCTCGGGAGTGTGAGCCGATGAATTGGTGAAGCGCCCTGGAAAGTCCATGCCTTCAGTCGCAGTCTAAATCTCAGATCCCACATGTCAAGAACGCCATGTGAGGTACCAAGCAGTATCCACTGATGTTTCCGGTCGACACAGAAACACGTTGGCGTCCCGTGCTCAACAGGGTTCTGTAGAGTGAATAGCTCGGTCATGGAGAGTAGATCCAACGCAACAACCCGTGAGGTGTTTGTTGCTAGAAGTAGAACAGACTTATTCTCTTCTCTGTAATGTTCAGACCAGACTGCGAATTCCCCCTCGTCAAGTTGATGTTCACGAAGCGACGAGAGTTTTCCAAATCGATTTCCGCCATCATTGCCTGGGTAATAATTGACACGTATCACGTGTATACTTCCATCACTGCCGGTAACAACGAAGCAATACGTTTGCTCAACAAAAACAAGACTGGTCACCTTGGCCTGGTTGCTAAGTTTATATGTCTGGCGAGATCTTCGGCTTACATTGCGCTCGAGACGTGATGTATCCCACACTTTGACAGTCCCATCATCTGATCCAGTTATGAAAAAGCTCTGGTCTGGCGCGACAAGAACCCGATTCACCGCCGCAGTGTGTTCGCTGAATGTAGCCACAAGCATACCTTCAGGTCGCCAAGGAACACCTGCTGGAGTGACATTGCTGTCTTTGTGCTTTATAGGTTGTTTGCGCAGATTGGGCTGGACCCGAGGACCGAATTCGAGTTCGTCGGATGGTAATCTCTCGAGCATCATAGAGTCCAAGAGCTTCAGCACGGCAGGGTCATTGCCTCGATAATTATGTGCATCCCTGAACCTGGCCTGAGAAGGACTCGGTTGGCGATTCTCTGAAGTGGGGAAGGATGTAGATGGTCGTGAGCGAGAGATCTCGCGACCAGTAAGACCGTCCACACGGCCAAAAGCATTGGTAGATGTTGTTCCTGTTTCAGCTATAGCCTTGCCTTCTCCTCTGTTCAAGAGACTCAGTGCACTGTTCCTGTGTCGCAAAGGATGCAAATGATCACCCGCTCCAAGAGAGCCGATCGGCGACTGTGTGCTGGGAGAATCTCGCGGAATCTGTAGAGAGCTCCTTCTGTTATCAACATCGGATGAGGGCGAGTCCAAACCAACGTGGAGCTCGCTTGGGGACAAAGGCTTTGGACGTGCTGGAAGGTTGAGTCTGTGAGTACCCGCTTCTGCGCGGACCAATCTGTCTGCTTGGGTATCAGGGGTGTGAACTGGGGACATAACAGGTGCGTCGTTATCGGTGGTAGAAGCATCGAGTAGCGCATCTCTTATAGTGCGAGGTTGGTTGTAGGGTTCACCTTCGTTGTTTGGTCTCTGCCCATCATCGACTAATTGCCGTGCAGCATTCGGCTCGAAAAGGACAATTTCTGGTACGATGTTCAGGTCCTTCAGCGATACAATGTTTTTGAACTTCGAAGAGGCGGCATTACTGTCATCTCCACGTCGACGATGGGTGCTTCGCCAGATGAATTCTCGCAAAGCTACGAGTTTGAACTCATCGTCGGACGACATGCCAGCATTTCGTAACTTGCGTAACCACTGTTCATCTTCGTCATTTTTTGGAATCTTTTGAAGGATCTTGGGATCTGCTTCGCGCCCAGAGATTGTTGGAAGAGTGTCATCCGCAGAGCTGAATGTAAAGGTCTGTTGTTGCTTTGCAGGAACCCAGAATAAGCCCTTTTGTGATTGTGTCGCCCAGTTGGAGGCCATATCCATGACTAGTCTAGGTAAAGGCTTCCTTAAGGAATCTAGGAGGCGTAGTGTACTGAAGTCAGAGGGAACTATCTTCAGATACGGCTTGATGAGATTCACAAGGATGCTATGGGTATCTGCAATGGAGAGATATTTCGAAGCGGTGGAAATGAACTGGGCAGCAGCCTCTCGTATCCACACGTTGGGATGCATGGTGAGCCGGGCAACGATATCGACCAATTCCCACGTTTTAGATCGTTGGAATAGTCCGAGTTCGGCCATGGAGGAAAAAGCTCTGATCACCTTTTCGACAACGAACTCTTCGGGATCGGTTAGGGCCTGAACCATCAGCGGCAAGATATAGCCCTCGAGCCCAGCACCGCCTATAAAAACCGCAACACCCACGATCGAATCGAAGAAAGCGCACTTAAGTAGCCAGTCGGGATCGTTGAGATATGTGTTGAGATGACTGAGAACGACATCGTTGGCCCTGGGACTCCCAAAGAAGACGCAAAGGTCAGACACGGATTTGAGAATGGCGCGACGGACGGACGGCTCGGGGTCGGTGAGAAGCGCTGTGCTGTGCTTCTCAAAGGCGTCCAATAGATTGTACCGATCCAGATCGAACTGGTTCCGGCGAAGTGAGGATGTCAACTCGTCTTCACCGCCCGCGCCTGTTGTTGGAAGGGATCCTTCTGCCCGAAGGGCCTGGATCATGTCCATGTATCTTGCTGCAGTCGTGGCCAAGGTGCCAATACACCAGGCATAATGCATTCGGACTAGAGAGCTCGGTCGTTCCAGTGAGGAGTCCGGAAGATAGGGCTCGAGGCGTTGAAGAATATACACAGGGAAAATGTATGCGTTCACAGGAGAAACGACTTGCACCATGGCAAGAATCTGTGTCAAGGTTCGCAACGCCCCTATCTTAACCAGCTCAGATTTGTCCGTCAAGAGATTCGTTACGTAAGGTATGACACGATCAAGTTTGGCCTCGTCTGTAAGTCTTTCGGCGAAGGCTAATAGTAGCTCAAGGCCCCTGAGCCGGGCGGATGCTCTAGCTGTACCTCGAATGCAGGAGACAACTATTGTCAAGAATATTAAATTGCCATCATCGACGGAGAGACTTGGCGTCGCAGACGCTTGATGTTGGTAATTTGGAATATCGACTGTCAGTGGAAAGAGCCTATCATTCGGTTTTGGGGGTGAGTGGCTGGGTTTGGTGTGTTCTTGTCCATCGTTCCCAGCCAGAAGAACAGATATCTTATCGAAATCATTGTAGATCTGTTCGATTCTTTCATCAGGCTCCCCAAGGTGTTCATTGGCGGTCGTTACTGGTTTCCTTCCGGAAGTCGGATCTGTGATGGAATGCATGTACTGCTGAAGGAATCCGTAGAAGTAGCTCGGAAAAACCTTGTCTTGCCAGTATTTAAGGTAATCGTCGGCAGACAAGCGCATATTTGGGTCGAGCTGGATCATATGCGTGACCAGTTCTCGGACGTGAGGATCGTTTATTTTACTAATCTGTAGCCGTGCTGGGTCGTACTCGTGTTGCCGGTATTTGAAGAGCTGGCTGAGGGAAAATATAGGTGACTCGAGAAATAGTTCAGCAATGACGCACCCAACGCTGAATATGTCCATGGCCCAAGTAATCACGCCTTCACCTTCGGGTTGTTCGCCAGGAGGTAGGAACCGTTCAGGGGCCAGATAACAAGTTCGGCGGCCTGACATGTCGAAATAGAAGGAGAAATCGGCGGGGTTATCTTCGGGGAGGTATGCTGGCTTATACGCAGAGGAGAAGTCTGTGAGATAGAGCCAGTTCCAGGAGGTGACCAGGACGTTCTCCGTCTTGATATCTCCATGATAGATGTTTCGAGAATGACAATCCCGGACAGCGCTTAACAACTGGAATGAAAGCCATTTCTTCTCAATCTCTTCAAGAAACGGTCGCGTGCTTGTATCGATCAGCTGCCAGAGCATTTTATGGCGAAATTCAAGTAAATATACATACCTTAGACGATCATATAGGGAACTGTGAATATACTGACGGACGAGATACCCACCGATTTCATCTTCTAGGATGCGATGGTAGGCCAAGGCATTAGGAACATCAGCAAGCGCCGCCCGTTCCCCTGATAAGATAGATCAGTACGGTCCTTTTAACATAGAAAAGCATCTGTTGGGGCTTACTTAGAAGACGTTTAACATAGATATCCAGATTCAGCTGGGCATACGGTTTAGCAACTACTCGAGCAACTACCAGCCCATCCTTATGTCGCGCTCGGACCGTTTTCATGAAACGAGCTGCTCCGAGACTCTTTTCATATTGAATATCGGCCAGCTGAGGCACATCAATCCCAGCCGAGCCAGCCGAAAGCGTTGTGAGAGAGAATCCTTGGCCCATAGTTGGAGTGATTTGATTGTTGACTTTAGGGCTTAGAGACACGGCGCTGTTGCCTTTCCGCCCACATATTGTCGTGAGATGTTTTCCGATAAACTGCGTTGACTAGAGCTCTGATCCTGTATCAAACACGCAATATGCACCTCTCCAGCTACACGTAGATCAAATTTGGCGTGGGGATATTGCAACGGAAGCGTCATGTGCATATCGCTGGAGGTCGGTGTAGGTCATCTCACGTCGGCGGAGGCATCACAAACTATTCCAAAAGGGGAAAGGTCATTTGCCGGAGGTCTACCATCTGGAAACACCACGTTTACCGTGTACGAGGCTGCTTCAAGCACCACACATGGCCACCAAACCACAGAACATTGTGTTCTTCCATCCGGATCTGGGCATAGGAGGGGCTGAGCGGCTTGTGGTGGACGCTGCAGTGGGCCTACAGAAGAGGGGGCATACTGTCACCATCTACACATCGCACTGTGATCACGACCATTGCTTCGACGAAGCCCGCGATGGTGAGTAGCATATTATACTTCACAGTCCCTTTCCACTTATACCTGCATGAAGGTCGCTGAGATATCGTCTTTCACCAAAAGGTACCCTCAAGGTCTTAGTGCGCGGAAATTCGATCGTACCTACCACCGTCTTCGGTCGCTTCGCTATCCTATGTGCTATACTGCGCCAGTTGCATCTGATAGTCCAAATTGCATGGTTCAGCTCCGAGCTTCAAGAACTCAACCCTTCCGCGTTTTTCATCGATCAGCTTAGTGCTGGAATACCTCTCCTCCGAATACTTTTCCCATCTGTGCGAGTACTATTTTATTGCCACTTCCCAGACAAACTTCTCGCAAAAGAAGGAGGCACCTTGAAATCTTTATATCGTGCACCCTTTGATTGGGTAGAGAGCTGGAGTACAGGCTGCAGTGACAAGATTGTGGTCAATAGCAAGTTCACGAAAGGCATTTTCCGATCGGCGTTCCCTAGCTTAAAGCACCGCGAACCTGGTGTAGTCTATCCATGCGTGGACATAAATACTGGGGATGCGACTGACAAGGTACTGCCCGTGTGGAAGAATAAGAAGGTTGTTCTAAGCATCAACCGGTTTGAAAAGAAGAAGGACGTTGCTCTAGCGATTAAGGCATATGCTGGTTTAACTCATGCAGAGCGGAATGACACGAGACTTGCCATTGCGGGCGGCTACGATCCTCGGGTAGCAGAGAATGTGAATACATATAAGGAGCTATGCGACCTGGCGGACGCGCTGAAACTCAAGCATGCGACTGCAAGGACTATTGTGACAGCACAGGGCGTTTCCGACGATGTTGACATCGTGTTCCTCCACTCCGTACCCAGCGCACTTAAGACCGTACTGCTTAAAACATCTCGCCTGCTGGTATATACTCCTCTTCATGAGCATTTTGGCATTGTCCCTCTGGAAGCTATGCTAGCTGGCACACCCGTACTTGCCGCCAATGAGGGAGGCCCGACGGAAACTGTAGTGAGTGGACAAACAGGGTGGCTGCGCGACGTCACGAAGGTTCAAGATTGGACGGAGGTCATGCGTATCGCCCTAGAAGATGGTGAGGGCGAGGCGAGACGGAAAGAGATGGGCAAGTGGGGGAAAGAGAGGGTGGTCGCAGAGTTCTCCCAAGAGAGGATGGCAGAGACGCTGGAAGGAGAAATCCAAAGCATGATGAAGCCTGGACGGCCACGGCCGCCCATAGTTGGCATACCTCCAGTCATACTTGCGGTCGGCTTGATGCCGATATTGGTCATGCTCAGCTTCTGGTTTTCCAATATGATAGACAGTGGTAAACAATAGATACTCTCGAGAAGGTGTGCTTATAAATCGAATCGCGATGAAGATACCCAATTGTCGCTACTTATCTAAACATAACAAGGCTTTCTTAGACGATTTTAAGGTAAAATAATGGATCAACCGACAACACGACTTTCTAGATCGAGGCTGTGGGTCGTTGAACTTCATTTTCAAGTGCACAATATGCTAGCCAGCAAGTCGTAACAATTACAGCCCTGCCCCTTATTTTTATCTGCACTGTTCCATGTTGTTTGTGCTTAGCTTGGCACATGAGGAAATAAACCAAAATTCACTTGACACCATCTTGCACATCACTCTAACAGTATCACGGGTCTAACCAGCTATGCTTTATATTACATTATTGTTATTCGATGAATGGGAAACTCACGTCTCCTTGGCCTTGAGACATCTATGACTCGTTGTGGTGAGTCGCCTTGAGCGAAATGCGTGTCATGACGTATAGCGCCTTCTTAGCGGATGGAGGGGCCCACCACCCCTATCCGCCAAGCAAAATTTTCAGCTTCTCGCTTCTCCTCACAATGTGTCTCTTCAGAGCGATTGCTTTGAAGAGAGGTTTTTACGGGGCTCATAATAATAATGATTCATCGAATTTCCATCAACAAGCGCATCAAACAGTTGATTCGGTCATATAGTGTAGCGGTTATCACTCCGGATTTTGACTTGATCAAACAACAACTTCCGGTAACCCCAGTTCGAATCTGGGTATGACCTCTCTTTTTGACTTTTTTTGCTCCCGTAAAAAGACACCGACTCTAAATACTCTCCTAGCCCTGCTATCTGTCTATCACCACGGCTACCCTATCAAACAATGTAAGGGTTTGATCACAAATTTTGACACACTTTGTGTTTTCTTTTTTAGTGCAATAAAGAAAGAACCTTTCTTTATACTGAGTACAATATCTATCATATTTCTATAATTATAAAGGTTGAAAATTTCATTAAGTGAAACGGGTAGAAATCGATATTTATCTATTTCCCTTTCATTCCCCTGTTCATGATGTTTCGCTCATGTCATTTACTGTATCTACTTCACGTAGCCACCACATACAAGTCTCGTTGTACCAATAATTATGTTTATCAGATAATACTGGTAGTAGATGTTGATACAGATTTGACGGACGTATATTGACTCCTTCATTTCCTATTGTCATAATGTTGGGTATTTGGCTCATTGTGTGTGACACATTGATCGCATTGACTGCTCTTTGACCTGTCACGACACTTTCAGTCTTACAGTAATACCAGTCATTCGGACTCAGTAATCAGTACATATTTGAGCACTCTATCTTCAACTTGCTATATGCTTCCTGTTACTCTCTTTCACTTTGCCCAATACCAACAGCCTTTCGAAGTAATCACAGAGTAGGATCCTACCCACAACTTAGTGATATTATTTTCAGCCAAATCGAAAAGACGATGCCTCGCCCGATGAGTAAAAGACCTTCCCAGCCAGAGAAACACAGACATGAATCTTCCCGAAAGAACCACCCAATTGCCTACTCCAGCTCAGAAAGCAGATATTATTCCGATGAGGAGGAGGAGTTTTACTATTCGCGGTCTCTCCAGAGAGAGCAACACCAACAGAAACCTTCCCGAAAGAGCGCCTTAGATGACCATCCAAGCTCAGAAAGCAGACATTATCACAAGGAGTCAAACGATCCACTAAGCGCCCATCTGAGCAAATTGTCTCTCAGGCGAGAGGAACACCGACATGAATCTACCCGGTTGAAAAGGGAAGATGAGTGGTCTGGCTCAGAACCCGAAGACCATCCTCATTTGTTGAAGGAAAAAGAGCAAAGATATTACAATCCTCGGTCCTCAACCAATGGTACTTATGGTGGGCAGCCAAATGACAGCCCGTTGCTACACAACCCTGGCCGCCAAAGAGAAATGCCATGTTACTCGACCAGAAGTGATAAATTCGACCAGCGAAGGCCACAACCGGCATACGTACCTATGGATTCTTCGCACTACAATCAACATAACTATAGCAACTTTCCGGGGCACTATGATGCGCAACAACACGGGCCAGGATACACGCAAACGCCAGGCTATTCATACAATCAGCCTACCTGTCCAGACCCGGGGTTCTACCATGCACATTCCGGACCAGCATTTACGCAGATGCCGGGTCAAATGCACCATCAGTATGGCTATCCTTGTGATCCGGCTGCATTCTATCAAAAGCAACAGCGCTCGGCGGATATGGCTGACGCAAAAGAATGGCCTACGAGACCTGTTGTTCCCAAAGAGATTCCGAAGGAAGATAAGTTGAAGATGTACAAGTACACTGATAATGACAAAGGGAAATTCGCCTACATTAGCATGAAAGTCTATTCGGTCTCCGACAGCGAAGATTCCGAGATAGGGTACCACCCTTCCAATGGAGTAATCAAGAAAACGCAAGCGACAGAACAACTAATCGAGTTTATGAGAGATTTGGAACCGGATGTGGTTGTCGATGACAATCCACCTGATCACCGGGTTAAAGAGGCTTTAGAAAAGTACCCATACGTGGAAGAGCGGAGGAGCGAAGATGGCAAAATTTATGCATACCAGTGCACGAGTAATGGTGAGTGGCCTTGTTTATCACTTCGAATTTGCAGCTGATACAACCAGTGCTGGAACGATATATTGGAGCAATAGCGGAGGAAAATCGGAGGCAAGAGCTGCATGAACGATACAGCGAAGAGCCCCAATTGCTATTGGTGGATAAGGCGACATACGAGAACGAACAGATCAAGCTTCGAGAGCGTGAGGATAAAGGAAACAGCAAATCTCGTTAAATCCCAATCAAGGTGCCAAAATCCCGAAGACGCTTAGTGATGTCGATGGCTTCAATGCTGGTCACTTTTTGAGCGCAAGAATTGGTAATTTGAGTCTCGACGATAGGAAGAGCACGGCTTTAGGTATGCGATGATGTGGTTTGCGACCAGTAACTGGGGATGCATCTCTCAGATAGTACTCTGGAAATTTTCTTTCTATTCTTCCCTTTTTCATTGATTTCTTATGTATTCACCAGTTCTCAGTAGTATCAAATTCCCCCATTTCTTTCTTAAACCCTCACTGGGACCATTACAAATTCGCAACCCTCTCCTTCTGACCCTCTAAATCCTCTCCCTCAACCGCATCACTACCATCCCTAACATACTTCCTCACAGCCTCCACAGGCGCATCCTCTCCATCCAAGATATCCAACCACCCCTTCGTCCCCTCAACCTCCAATGCCGCAACAACCGCCTGCGCAACTGCCTCCCTACTAATCTTCCCCTCAGATCCAATCCTCCCCGCCTTGATCCCCCCCGCCGCCTCATCCGTCAACGTTCCAGGCCTCAAACTGATCCCGGCAAACCGCTCTGCAGCAGGCACCCCACTCTCCTCCTCTTTCTTGACCCGCTCGTTCGAGAGCACGGTTAGCACCTCGTCGGCCGCAACCTTGGCCTTGAAATAATGCGGGAGGATCTCGTTGTTGACTTTCTGCCCGTAAGCCCAGTCTTTGTCGGTCCACCATGACGGCTTGTTGCGCCGCGAGCTGATGTACGATACTGTGAGGAACTTCTTCACGCTCGGAGTGTGGATACTGGCTTTCGTGAATGCGATCGCCGCGTCCTGGTCTACCGCGTACGTGCAGTCTGGACCGCCTTTCCCGCCGGCTCCTAATAGTTGCATTTAGTATCATTCTCCACATCATTATCAAAGGGAAATGGGATTTCTACTGTGGAGTTTTCATCACGTGATACATCCGCCCTCTTCCAGAGACAGAAAAATAGTGCGAAAGACCAACATACCAGCGCTCCAAATAACCCACTCCGGTCCGACTTTCTCCAGCACCTTCTTCGCATCGCTTTCGCTTCTAACATCCTCAACACTACTAACCAGCACGTCTAGCTTGCCCGGCTGGCCCTTCCCAAGCGCCTCGATCGTAGGCACCTGGTCTGGAGAGCGGATCACGCTGGTCACGTTCCATGACTTGGCGAGAAGGAGAGGCGTCAGTAGCTGCGAGACCTTGCCGTGGCCGCCGATTAGGAGGATGGATTTCGGTGGCATTTTTGGGGATTGATGATGATGATGGGTGGGTGATGATGGAGTTGAGTTTGAGGATAGGTTTGAGTAACTTCCAAATGAACGAGGTTTTATTTATATTGCTACGAGAAAGGTAGTGGAAAGAGGAATGGGTTAGCACGCAATTTAAGGTTTCTTATTGGGGTTTTGGTTGTTTGATTGGTAATAATAATACTGCACGACTTTCCTGGCTATTGACGTCAAGGTTAGGGTGCTCGACGTTGCGGATCGGACCGAGGCGGGGAGGGGGAAGGGATGACGCGATGGATGGGCGTTGTCAGCTAACGACGAGTGTTCCGTAGACACTCCTACATCGAGTGTCGAATCCATCATGCCATTTTTATATAGATGAACGCGAAACGATTCATGAGATGGCTGAATGAATTAATGAGTTTGATCTACTCTTGACACCTCCATAGCGTGGAATCTTGTTCGAAACATTGATCCCCACATCATGTCCCTCCATGCCGATTATCACACACAGACACACAAAACAAAAAGTCCTTCATCATGATGTTTTAGAAAAACAGCATAGTAATATTATTATATTAGGACCTTATCTGCCGATGCGGTGAACGTTGTTGTCAGCGCAGCGTCAAACCCCCTCTGGCTCTAGAGCACAAGTGATGGCCCGCCTAGAGAGCGATGCACCATAATGAATAAAAGTAGAACGGAGGAGACAGCAATGCCAACAGCGTGCCCCACTGTTAGAAACACGCGCAAGGCGCCAGCTATACTCTGTTACAATGACACCTTAGCCGAACAATTTATGATTATTTTACCCTCTCCGTATGCTCCACTACAAGTGACTACAAGTGACTAACGCAATGAAGGATGAAGGAAGGACCAGACAGAGATGTAACGACAGTCAAGGGATTTTCTAAGGCTGAGTTTATGATCTTGTTTGACCAAACAAACTTGTTTTTCATGTACTTGTCGACCCCTTTTAATCGAGAAACCTGTTCCTAAAACAAGTCGCTCCAAGTGAACCCAGTAGGTTGCGTCCATGGAGGGGTTAAAGTACCAATGCAGCCATCTGAGCAGCCTAGGGGGCCTACGAATGAAGCACAATGCAGTAACGGTGATAAGAAATGGCAAGAGACGAACTTATATCACTAGACGCGGCAGTTTGAGAGATGCACCGCGAAAGACTTTTTATCCTACCACAATTCTGCAAATATGATTGAGCATCTGCAGCGCAGGAAGCCGATAATCGTCTTATAGGTAACTAATATGCTTCTGATGACTACCCGCATGGTGCCATGAAGACAAAGCGTGCTCGGTCGGTACCCAGGAGCAGACTGTAGTAATTAAGCATTCTCCCACTTGTGAAAAGTTTGATCCCGTGCTTGTGGACTGGCTGATATTGGATCATATCTACATAGCTCTCTTAGCAAGAATGATGACTATAGTCCTTATCTTAGTTAGCGCGCTGCCTCTTCATGTGCATGAGTCTACTTCCGCATGGCGCACAAATTTGGACACTATATGTATATATTGGAGCGTTCGTTCCATGAGTCTGCAAAGAGTCGAAACTCCTGCCAAACACAAAAAGCTCACTGACCATTCTGCTGCATCTCTTCTTGTTTCACATCCCTTATCGCCGTGTATACTGGCGCCGTCCTTATCATGCGCCTACGATAGAAAATGCTCGACTGACATGCGCCACATCATGACCATAGTGCCCGAGAGTAGTACTACTAAAACCTTTCGATCCATTGCATCATACCAAATTTTCTCCATCTATCTTAGTCTATTCTTGCGGGATTATCTAATGAATTCAATCGCAGAAGTGTCGTGATCAAGTTGGCGATGTTGCTTGGAGTTGGCTCCTTGCTCTGTGAAAACCTCCAAATCGTTGCCTTACTGCTCCTGTATCGTGTCATCCACAGATTGCGCAGTCTTGTGTACTCCAAAAATTGCGGTGCGGAGGTCTTTTTGCGCTGCCTATGCGCCGTACTGGAATCCTTAGTCTCGCAGCGAGTCCAAGTTACTAGATGCTTTTCTCATTATTGTTGCAATTAAAACGGCATAGAGTCTTCCTATTGGTATTTTGAGAAGAGATCATCGCTGGGTGAGTAAACCCCGGCATACTCCGCATTCAGTCCTTAAACTAGCGTGTTACTATATTGCTGGAATCCTGTTTGAACGTTCTTTTATACGTTCTACTCGGGTTCTCATATGCAACGCAAGCGAAATTCAAGACAGAGTTCGTTGTCCTACCAAGCTAACAGAATTGGATATCTTCGCCGTCGTTTTGTTCATCTGCACTATGGTTTGCTTGTTCGTGGGTTTGAGTATCACAGCCGATCTGTATGAATCGACAAACTGGCGGGTGATATAACTTCTTGAAATTGGCGCGCGTTCACTTCAGCTGCCTGTCAGAGAATCAGTCTTACCAGGGCACTCTGGTCGTCTATAGCCTGGAACAATGTTGGTTGCGGACCGATACTAGACTTGAGTCTGCTCCAGAACATTGATGGGGTAGCCACAGTTGAAGGCGCATCCTTCCTCGGCGCATTGGTGAGTTTACTATTGATGATCGAAAGACTCTCTTCTGATATAGTCCTAGATGCACTCGTTGCTGTTCTTTCTGACCTTGGTCTGCGTGACGGATCGCAGACCTCACTTTAAACTATGTGTTATGCTTCATGGAGGAAGATTCCTCACGCTTCGAGGATTAGGAGGTTTACGTTCTTACTCGTTCTCACACGCCGAGGAGTGTGAACTTAACATGAGTCCTAACTGGTAGGCCGTTCAATTATAGATCAACCCCAATGTTGACACTGATAAGGGGTGTTTATTGGCGAGAACGCATCCGTTTGTGACGGTTCGTAACCTATGTAACTGATTGGTCCCATGCTGAGTGTTGGTGTGAACTTGACCTGCATTAATGACAGTGCTGGTGAGAGGCTCAGAGATCAGATTGGCTATGGTGCGAGAACTTTTACGAATTACACCGTAATTTTGAGATCACACATCTAAAATCGATCAGTCGTCCCTATATGTGCGAAACTGAAGGGCAAAGAAGACATGATTATACAGCCAGCCCTAAGCCATGGGATTACACGTTTTCATGCGCTTTCGCGTTCTCGAGAACTTGCCCAGATCTTGTAGGCAATCTGGCCTCCTGACATGGGAACACACCAGCTAGAACATCATAATCTCACGAGTATGCCTTGGTATCGTCTCCGTGCTTCTTGCTATTGATTTGCGTCTAACTATCCGTCGTCGCCTGGCTGTAGTACGTAGTGATGATAACACACAAGACCTCATTGATTAATAACTCATACTGGAATTTATCGATGGTCGCTGGCCAAACGAATCATATATGACCACTTGTAACCTGTTAAAGCCACACTACTGAAAAGAAGACTACCAAAGTTGAAGGTTGTTTTGCAAACACCTCAAGCAGTTCTCATGCAGCCGTATCGTCAATTCATTCCTCTTCGAAGAGCATTGATATCGGCTCGTACCTTTCTCCGCATCACCTCCGGTGTAATGACCCCAGAATTCATGATCTGAGTCTTGTATATCTCGCCAGGAGTGTGGTTCGAATTGCCCTTCCTATACAAAGTCAGAGCAGCCACTCCCGCAAACGCTGAAATGATCGAGAACGCAAATGCGACCATTATCTCAGCCGTGAAGCTTTATTAAGGTATCTAATCTGCTTGCCGGTCTTTGCCGCACAGGTCTAGGAGATCATTTGTATTTCGAGTAGCATTCCCTGCATATGGGACGCCAGTGGCCTTGCAAGCTGCAATATGGTCATCAGTGATGGTCAAGTTCAATTTCATTTGGGAAGGAGCTTCAATGAACAAAGAAGCATCACCTTGAGATATGTGCCAGGCAATATGGCCATCTAAGATGAGGATGTCAGTGTGCTGATTTCAAAAGATGGATCCAAAAAATGCTCCCAGAAGATCCACATGGCAGGGCTATCTGACCTTTAAAGGACTTGGGAGTTATGCCCGTGCAGATGGAACGGAGTGCCTGGGCCAGTTGAGTATAATTAGTAACCATTTGGATATAGATATATCAGATTATGCATTCTACCCGAATGGTTGTTGTTCAAAGTAATATCGATGACGTCTATGTGATCAAAGAGGAAAGGATTGGTGTTGACACCTTAAGTCTCACGTACGTGGTCTAGTTAAAGAACGCGTACAGAAGCCCGTTGTCTAGTTTTTGCATGACGACTTCGAGTTCAATGTTAAGACGGGTTCAGAGAACAGCTCCTCATGATCAGGCGGTACGAGTGACAAGTCATAGAAAAAGAAAAAGGCAGGGCATTTAAAACGTCAAATGTATGGTTAATCGCCTTCGGCGGCGCAAGATTAGTGTACAAGAGCCAATTGCTGCTGTTCAGCTATAGATCGCTTGGGTGATATCGAGCTGACTTTGGTTGGTGATGTTTTCCATGGTAAGTAGGATAGCATAACGCTGAGCAACAGCAATGTATAAGGTGTTGGCGTTTTGTGACTTGGTGTAAACGCCGATTCTTAATATAGAAGTACTGAGCCTCGATCGCGGCTGTATGGATTAAGCGAAATAAATATGTTTTGCCCGGATCGATTGGGATTGTAGGTTTCATGGTGTCGTTGAACAAAAAGGACTTTGGCACTGGTTCAGCGCCTGTAGGATTGGATTTGGTGAGGAATGAGGGCTTAATATATTGAGCGAGGTCATGATACTCATTAATTAGAGTGATGACAATCTCATCATCGTACTTATTGTTTAACAAGGCATCAGGACGTTGTACAACAAGAGCCTCAGGATACCTATTAAGACAGTAGTCATTAACGTGGCAATGGTACTAGTATGTACCATTTTAGTCGAGCTTTTAATTATAGACAGAAATGAATATATGAGGAATTCGACATTGTGTTACCATAATCGCACCGTTCAGGTGTTTAGTACAGTATTAAATCATGCTGTGAAGTAGATACTAGAGTCTTGAGGAAGACAGTTCACGACGTTGACAATAAGGTAGCCACCTCTAACGACCTCGATGACTAGTAAAGACCATGTAATTTTGACAACAACAACCCTCCGTTCAGTAGAATCATTAAAATTGGCCAATGACCTATGTGAGGGTAAAGTTGCATGTCACTGTCGTGACCACGCATTGGATGATGAACAGGGTAAATGCAAATGGGGAACCCATTGTAGTCAAGGGAACAGAGGAAGGGACTTACAACAGATTATTCGACGCACTTCAGTGGCCTCAAACAAGATCACACTTATTACTTAACCGAGAGCGGATGGTGATAGCTAAGTCCAGACAGAACATGCCCGAACAAGTTACTAGTTTAGCGTGAAGAAACCTGGATGGGCGCAAGAAAATCGAATAACGGAAGATTATCTTCCATCATATAGCTTTGAACTTGACGCTGATCTACCAACCATGATAGTTTTGACCCGGCTCATGGCTGGTTTTAATTCGGTTGCACCTTTGCTGTCGCCTGCCAAATTTGCGCTCTATTCGGACCGGCTCCCCACGGTATATGAGTCTGATGGTTCATTATTCCCTCTAACACACAACATAGACCTTCTGTATCAAGCAGTGAGCCTGAAATTAATAACCAAGGATAATCATAGGACATGGCGTAAATCTAGAGCCTAGACTACAGTTTTGCTCAGAACTATCACCAGCACTTTTGGAGCGCAAAAAGATTAGCGCGATGCTATAAGTATAGTTACCAGAAAGGAAGCAGGTCGGGTCGTATACCTGCTAGCGATTTTAGCCGATACAAGGTATAGTATGTGTATTTACAGCCTCTTATCTGCTGTAAAGCAGCTGAACAAGTTTAGAGCGCACATGATACTAGCAGGTGGATGAACCGACGTACTGTAACTATCCTCTCCGTGCATTGGCGTGTTCAGGCTGCAGGTTGCCATAGTGCTCCTCACTGCGCTTATCAGATGGGCATCAGGACCCACCTGCGCTATCCAAGTACTGCATAGAAAATTTGATAGCCTTAAATGTTCCACCGAACGAGACTCGTTCACCCCAGCTTGTCCTCAAGCTCCGTGCAACCCCTGCTTCTAGCATGACGCTACATCTGATATGACACCATTGTAATATGACACCACTGGGAGCTTGGTATAGCTTGGACAGCGACAAGCTTCGGGGTAATATCTTGTCCGCGATCATGGAGAGGTTTTCTATGTCCACGCTTTGAATTTCGATAATTCTTTGAGTCGAAGCGGTGGCAGTAGATATATGTCTAGCCTTAATTCAACGGGATGTGTGATCCGCCATTGCCCACACCTATGTGAAATTGTGGCCTGGAGCGCTCAGTTCCTGCGATATAAGGCATATGCATGTCGGGTCGATTTCCTACCTTTAGTTCCGTAGACCTTCTTTAAGTCCGCAGTCGGCTGGCTAGTGAGCCTCGTAAGTGCCAGTCCGTAGTAACCCGCTACTAGCTGGCCGTCGAATGTGCTTACAGTATTATCAGATCGTGCGACCCGCTTAATCTGATCAAAGTTTAGCAGGTCCCATCCATAGTACTCTCATACCGTTGGCCCTTGAATGCACGTGGGAAGTAAGTCAGTCATGTCAACACAAATCCAGTCCTCAATCTTCCTCGGTGGTATGTCGGCTCTGGTATTGGGCTATGCGTAAGATGCTCCACCAAGCAATTGTACGACCAGCATGCGGACCAGGAATAATAGTAGCACGCTAAATGCGATCATACGCAGCCAAATCTAGTACAGGACTCGCGAAGCGGATGCCCCGTACGCTGTGTCTGCGAAGGATTTTCACTCAAAGGCCACTTTATGTGCACCAGTACCGACGTCGGTAATTCGATAAACTTGACAGATGCTCTGATATAAAGCAACAGCTCAAGGCACCATCTTTTCTTCAACTCGACATCTTTGCTTATCGTTTACACGCAATCAGAATGAAATCATTCTTCTATTCGTTTCTCATATTGGCTGTTACATGGCCGTTCGCGGCAAGTACAGCACTCTGTCCATCAGCTTGTGAAAGTGCACTGTCCTATGTTGTCTTTTCTGGTAATGCCACAAAACAACAATGTACAAACCAATTACACATAGTCTCGTACTATTCTTGCTTGAGGCAGTACTGTCCTGGAGAAGCAGTTGAAGCGTATACGGCTCTGAAAAAGACTTGTAAAAGTACGGCTGCAATTCCGACCATAGCAAACGTCACAGTAGACGTAGATGGTCTGGCAAAGATAACAGCCAAGGACCTCTATAAGAAAGCACCTGTCAAGCAACCTGTTACCCTAGAGGAATCGTTGTACTTGCTCTCGGTGCGCACAATCGTGAGTTGTAGTCCGAAGACAAACCAAAAGTTACACTGATATCTTTCTGTCTTAGACAAGTGCAGCAGCTCAGGACGAGATCAACGTCCGCTACGGGTTAGTCATAGACTTCGTTCGATCTTTTTGGCAAGCGACTAAATGTAGTAGACACGCAATGTACGGGTTTTGGGCTCTCACTATCTTAGTATCCAGCCTTATGAAGCTGTGGGAATTCCTGACCACGAAATATCCCCGCGTTGCTCAGAAAGGATGGGTAAATAAGGCCTCCACGAAGCTGAGGCAACATGTGACCATTCCTGCACTTGCTGGTAAGCGTACTGCGGAGAACATTGGTTGGTGTACAGTTCCACCCCGACTTCAGTCCCTCGTCATCATTGCGTTCATTGCCTTGAATTTAGCTCTGTGCGTGAGCGGCTACGATGTTTTCCCAGGCAATCTGAAGTGAGTCCAAGTAACCCAAACAACAAATACAATGGAATTGATTGTATCCAGACGCCCGAGTATTCCCAATCAAGTTTCACGTCTGATTGGGCGCCGTACAGGAGTGCTGATCATGGCAAATTTGCCGCTTATGTGGACGTTTGCCATGAGGAACAACATATTGTCCTGGATAAGCGGCTGGACTTTTGCTACTTTCAGTTCTTTTCACCGGTGGATAGCTCGTGTGGTAATGGCGGAGCTGGTCGCTCACGCAGTTGCATACAGTCTCTCCGACTACTACTGTATGTATACCCTACGAGAGCCACAGTACTGGGGAGAGTTCAAACTGACTCGAAATAGCCGGAGGATTAAAGAAGTACTATGCTCAGTGGCCACAAGAGTACTGGTGGTGGGGCGTTGTGGTAAATCCCACATCCCTTCCCACTAAGATGAAGCATTTCTAACAACACTTTATGGCTAGTCTATCATTGCAGGGTCCTTTGCTACTGCTAGTGCAATCTATCCGATCCGCCAAAGGTTCTATGATGCATTTCTGCTGGGTCACATTGTTTTAGCAATGCTATTCCTGGTTGGAACGTGGTTGTAAGGTCTTCCGATAATGCTTATGCCACATACAAACCACTGACGAACATCGCGAAGCCATATCAAGAAACAAGATAATGAATTCGACATGTATTTCTGGCCATGTGTAGCAGTATGGGCGTTTGATCGCGCCTTGCGCTTAGGCCGAGTACTCGTCCTGAACTGGTCTGTGACCCAGGCCGAAGTTGTATACAATCCTTCTTCAGACATGCTTCATCTCAACGTCATGACAGGATCGATTGTACAACCAGCCGCCGGCACATACTACTACGTATACGTCCTCCATGGCCTTAAATTCTGGGAAAGCCACCCATTCACCTTGCATTCGTGGGAAAGACAGGCTGGTGGTACTGGGGGCCGAACAACTCTCAAATTCCTGGTCCGACCCCTTGACGGCTTTACCGGCAGACTCAGAGATCTAGCCATTAAAAAGGTCGATACTGAATACGGATCGGACGCACTGCAGAAGCGCTCCGTCCTCGCTTTAGTGGAGGGTCCTTATGGTCACACTAGTGATACAAGCTCACACAGTTCGGCGTTGTTTGTGGTGGGAGGATCGGGCATAACCGTTGCAATCTCCCACCTGCGGAGCCTGGACGCAATGCTTGAAAAGGGTCATGTAGTCGCAACCCGCAGAGCTCACATTGTGTGGGCTGTTCGTCACGCTGAGCTTGCATCAGGTGTATTGAAGGACGATATAATGCCTTGGCTTTCCCAAAGCAAGATCGGATCAAGGATGGACATCAGATTCGATATTTACACGACCAAAGAGACCGCACAGATTGCTCCATATACAGTAAAGACGGGAATTGATTCTGCGCTCAACAGTTCTGGCGAGGACCTTGAATCGCCCAAAGGCTTGGATGAAGGCGGTGTGTCCGTGACGGACGTCAAGAAGGATCACAAAAAGAAGTCTGAGGGAGAAGTTGAAGTGGGTGTTCAGTTCTACACCGGGAGGCCGCTTCTAGAAGATATCTGCCTCAGTTACGCTGACCAAACTTCACACGACGACGGAAAGGCAGCTCTCATCTGTTGTGGACCGCCATCCATGGCTGATACTGTAAGAGCAATAGTTGTCAGAGCGCTTCAGGCAGGCTCTTACAACCTGGATTTCTTCCCGGAGTCGTTTTCATGGTAACCATTGATGCAAAGACTGTGTTCACCTGGATGAGAAATCTTTATATCTATTCGCCTTCTCTTCGAGTTGTTAGGTTGAAAGAGTGTGGACTGGACAAATGCGCCGACTTCGCAGTTGTAGTGCTTGCCTCCAGGAGAACAGAACTGCCATTCACCATATTACGTACATAAAGAAATCCAGCACGCAGCCATAATCCAAAAAAACCATTTTCAAACAGAACGTGTGTATGTGTTTGTGTGGTAGTCAACCCAGTTGGAGGGGCCTGCACAATTGCAGTTCTATGTGGCCGGTCTGAGAGTCAACAGCCGACGCGCAGTTACCCAGCTTCGTCTCCTCCGAGCCTACTGCCACTTGCATCGCGCTCTTCTAAATTTGCGGTGCACACAAACCGGCAACGAATCCGAAGATAACGAGCAGAAGTGCATATTTCGGCTCTATTTAGCCTAGCTGTTCCACTCAATGGGCACTCCACTAAAGCCCCTCCGCAAGTGCACAATCACAAGGCTCGGGAACCATCGGCTGATATAGATCACGCAGGAATACCACTTGTCTCTTTATTAATAGTCTCGTATACTTATCCGATTGCCCACGAAGCCGTTCGAAATTCAAAAAAGGATGTCGCCACCAAGCACACTGCTTCTCCCAGGCTCACTTCTGTTTACCAACCCCTTCTCATAGAGCTCTGCTAGCAGGGAGAATAGCATACCGTCGCAACCTTTCCGCGCTATTAAATCCACGGTCACAGGCAAGTATTCTGTATGCGACGTTATATTAGACCGGTATGCCACCTCTCCAATGGGTACTACCATCTCCGGCACGTCCGCAAGTGGGGAGATCCTGCTTGTTGAAAAGGCCGCCGGAGGCGTAACGCCTGCAAGATATGTGTTGCGGTACTTAGGCGTAGGCCTTCTTGGAACGTACACAAGCAAGTGTTTCGAGCAAGTCTGGGGGTCAGCGGGGAGAATATAAGAGCTGACCCAATCACGGAATTGAGACTTGGCCTCAAGGGCATTCTCTAGTGTATTTGGAGACATATCTGCAACAGCCCAACGGGCGAGAGGGCTCGGGTTCACAAACGGCGTTCTGCTGTCGAACTTGGCTGCATAGTCGGCGTAGAATGGGTCTCTCACTAGTTGAGCCTGTCGATGCGAGGTAATGATGTCGTATGTGTCATTAAGATAAGTAGACAGAGGAGGCATTTCCGGTCTGTTCGCTTCCCAAGTTTTCTGTATATCGAATACAGTTGTATTGGATGATAGGAAGTCGGTCAAACTCGATAGGAAATCCACTAAGATGCGATTCAGCTCCCCAGTAGTGTTATCTGGAAATCCTACTGCGAGAATGTTAGAAGGATAACTATTTAACATGCTAATCCTGTCTTTGTAGAATGCTTGAGCTGCCGTTTTGAACAGTATCGGATCACGTGCAAAGAAACCTGCCGTGTCAAGCTCGGGGGCAATGGGCGTTACGTTGTCCAGCGAGACTAATCCGTGTGCTGTAACGTGAGTCAGCCGTGATTAATACTGCCCGCGCGCCCATATCTACTTACTGGGCCTATGTCCGAAGACCCCTTGGATCTGCGCAGGGCTTCGTATGCTACCTCCAGTATCGGTGCCAACGGTTAGATCCAGCCAAGGATACGCAGCTGCATTAAAATAATCGTCAATATTTACCGCCAGCCTCAAAGTAAGATTGTTACTAACCTTCTCCTGCTGCGGAACCCGCAGAGGAAGAGGACGGATCTTGATAGCCATCTCCACGAGGATTGAATGGCGCATGTACATCAACCCAATCTGCGGTGGCTGTTTCTCCAATGGCAAATTGGCTAGTTTTCATCTTACCAACGATCACCGCTCCAGCTTCGATTAGATTTTGAACCGCTGGGGACGTGATGTTGGCTGCAGGATACAGATCGTACCAGGCACGATTACCATTTGCTGATCTAAGGCCTTTGATGCTGTAGATATCTTTGATGCCGATCCTCACACCTGATAGAGGCTTGCTCGCTGTTTTGGTAAAGTACAATCGAGACGGGACCGCCACAGCCAAAGCCTGTCCCGGAATATTAGCTGGAAGAACTGAAAAGCTTCCATCGGTGTTAGCGATGGCTGTTTCGACAAAAGCACCCTGTGTGTCTGCGTAGAGGCGGTAGGCCTGATACAAGGAACCGTCAGGAGACATGAAATACGGCCCGCTTGGCAGCGATAGATCGCAACCCAAATCGAATATGGAACTGTTACCAACAGATCCGGGGAAAACGGCGCTGCGATTCCATGATCCTGGGTACTGGAGGTAGATTGCTGATCGAGTCAGTAGTGTCGGGTGAGACAGGGTGTGCAGGTAATAATCACATTGCAGAAAACCATTTTGAAAGACGTCATCGTGTTCTGTAAAGTTGTGTCGTAGCGAATCCAGGTCGTTGAGGTCAAAATGGCCGGCAGCTACAGTGGCGATGGTAATCGGTGACAGCCCAAGCGTATGCGTAATCGAAGAACGCACTACCGTGTCTGGTATCTTTCCTACCGAGTAAGGCGGCACAAAGTATGGAATGCCATCGAATGTCAGTGTGGTACCAGTCAGGACTAATGCGTTTGCGTGGACAATCCGTAACCATAGAAAAGAAAAGCCAATAACATAGCGTGTCGACTGCATGATGAAATGATATCGAACAAGTTCTATTCCCGATCGCACACAGCGCAAGAGATAGTAGATACTCCCGTGGAACTGTTTGTAGCCAACATTGCGCAGGCTCTTATATCATACAAGACCATTCTTTCAAGACTACTCGTGGGGCTCGGAGATGTCGCAAAAGCTATCTAAATCGACTACATGCGGTCTCTAGGCCGTTCTTGCGGATTGACAAGTTTTTCCAGATCATCACCTTGGCGGTGGAGATTTACTGACGTTGGTAAAGTTGAAAAACCTGATCCTGCACCTGATTCAACCAACTAAGGCCCTGGCATATTGCAGAGGTGGACGGTGCGATCGTGCATATAAATATGTGTTGGGCTTGCTAAGACACTAGACATGAGAGATGAGGTCTAACGCTGATCAACAGAAGGTCGCCACAAGGGCAAGGGCAAGGATCTGATAAGCGATATGGCCAGGATCTGATAATTTAGAGTTCTCAACCTTGCATCAAGCCTCCGGAAGCTAAGAGCCTATACCTGCTAGTGGCTCGTGGGCGGGCATTCTTCGCTAGCGCATCGTGACGTTTGGCCAGGTACCCCCCTGGCTCAATGAAATGTGGGGAACGTGGGGGACCCATGCGTACCTGGATGCATGATATGATGCTTTTGCTCATTTTGGATTTTGCTGCCAATATAACTTGTGATTTCCATGCCTTTCAAAGTGATGCGATCATTGACTCTAAGCCGACCATGGCGATTCACGCTATTCTTTTGTCTGCTCTGGCGACGTTCCAATTGTCTTACGCCCGCGTGGTATCACCTCATACAGAAAGAAGCATACAGAATGCAAGGCCTCTCCTACGAGACTTTGATGCTCTGGGTGCTTGGTACGACGGCGTCGCGGGTATCAAGCAGAGTGCAATCCCTCGTCAGCCTAATGTCACCATTGCTATCGTTGGGGCTGGCATCTCTGGTTTGACTACAGCACTGATGCTTGATAGTGTCGGCGTACACAACTGGGAGATCGTTGAGGCCAGCGATCGCGTTGGTGGACGTTTCAGAACGAAATTCTTCGCGGACACTCAGGAGTGGGTAGAAATGGGACCTATGCGCCTCCCTTACACCATAACATACGACAGCGACAATTCAACACATGAGTATACGGACCACCGAATGGTCTTCCAACTGGCTGAATGGCTGAATGAACTCAATCATCACGACCCACGGTGGGAGGTGGAATTCATTCCATGGATCCAGCACCATCCAAATGAGCTGATGGCGCGCGGGGGCAAGAAGACTTCTGATGGCCGGATTCCAACACGGGCAGACATTGCTGCCAATGCAGAGCTTCAGTCTGCACCGCCACTTCTTACCGCTGATTACAACAGCACCAAAGAGAAGATGAACGCCATCCTGAAGAACGAAACAACTCTCCGGGCTATACAGAAAGATGTCTGGCGTGCGCATCGAGCAGCAATGGATAGGGGTCTTGATGACATCAGTCAACAAGCCATGATGCGCAACGTCTTCAACGCAAGCGAGAACACTACTGACGCTATATGGACTGCGTCTGATTACGATCTGTTCTGGGACGAGATGGTCCATAATTCCAACCTAGCCCAGGATGGTAGCTCGGGCACGTTAGGAGAGACAGAGTGGAAGTGCATCGACAAAGGATTCAACAAGCTTTCCGATGCTTTCATACCGTTGATAAGTGATCGAATTGTGTTGAATCGCAAGATCACCAAGCTGGAAGCTGTGAATGGATCTTCGGGTTTGCCCAGGACTCGTCTCTCATGGCATACTGGTGGCAAAGACCGAGGTTTGTCTCACAAAGATTACGATTTCACCATCATCACTGCACCATTCACTGTCACCCGGTTCATGGATCTTCCGAAGTTCTCATCTGTACTTGGGCGTGCTATTAGCGAAGCTGGTCTACGATTCAAATCTGCATGCAAGGTCGCCCTACTCTTCCGGGAGCGTTTCTGGGAGAAAGGAGAACGCCCGATCTTTGGCGGCTACTCTCAGCCCCTTAGTGTTGCTGTTGGTGCCCTTTACTATCCTGTCTATGGTCACAACGAGACTGGGCGCCCAGGGGCGATTATTCATTACCGTGGAGGTGACTGGAGCGATCGTTACATGAGCTTTTCCGACGAACAGCATGTAGAACAGGTTCTTGATGCAATTGTCAGCCTGCATGGCGAGCAGGCGAGGGAGCTATACACAGGCCAATTTGAGCGTCTCTGCTGGCTAGAGGATGAGCACTCAGCTACGTCCTGGTGCAGACCAGACGTTCAGCAGCATGCACTATACATTCCTGCGTATCATGCCACAGAGCACAACACAATTTTCATCGGCGAGCATACCGCTCCGACGCATGCGTGGGTTAGCTCGTCAATTCATTCTTCTGTTAGAGGGGCTATACAGCTTTTGTTGGAGATAGGTATGGTAGCTGAGGCCAAAGCCCTCAATGCTAGATGGATGGGACGGTGGATCGATTTTGGTGTATAAATGGAAAGCCGGAAATGTATGCAGATGCAGCTGTCAACTATGCAGATGGGAATATGTATGTTCGTAAACAGGGTGCTTCAAGTTATCACCCTCTCGTTATTAAACTCTTGAAGAAGAATCATACCCGTTCCAAAGGCTCTTGCGAAGAAAAGCCATTGAAGCCACATCTGCCACATCACTTCACGCGTCCTGTTTCGTTTCCGAGACCTACCATACCCTACGCAGATTCGAATTGTGCTCCCTTCTCCCGTGCCGAGACTAGGAAGCCGATCCTACTAGAATGTTGAAGCATTGCTCTGGGAGAGTACTAGCACCTCTACTTGCTAAGGTCACTCCTCTTTCTCGATTGGATCATCATGGTGCTCTCCGTAGTGCTCGATCCCTGGCGGAGGCACCCCAACGTGATGCGGGCACGCAGGCTTGCAGATATGGGATCACGATCGGCGTGCACGACGGATAATTACATCATTGGTTTCACCAATTTCATTAATTAGCTTGGTAAACGCGGTTGAAAATCAATTAGATTTGGGATTCAGACCTCGGACATCGTCGGACATCGTCGGACTTCCACCTTCTCCGACTTTGGACTTGTCCAGCCTCAGCTGCATGTAACCTAAGCTTGCCAATGCCCACGCCAGCATCGAGCTCCAGGAATTATCCATTCTTTTAGCAGCTGGTTCAAGACTATCGTTATCCATGTCTTCCACGAACGATTCGAGCATACCTAGGCGTGTGGCCATCATCGGCGGTGCGTTCCAAAGCCACTTACAACACGAAGGCGCGTTGACATACTAACACAATTCTTGCCAGCGGGTGTTTTCGGTCTCTCACTAGCCTTAACTCTACGAAGAAAAGGTAGGTCCTTCACGCACGGCTACCCGTCGCTGGACGCTTACACCAACTGCTGCGGAATAGGTCATTGCGTGGCGGTTTTTGACCAGAACGCCTACCATGAGACAGGGTACCGCCCATCAGAGTACTCATCCGAGCTCGCAGCTTCAGTGGACCACAACAAAATTGTAAGTTCTCCACGTTACTTGCACTAACAAGGAAGTGCATATTGACACACTTGAAGTTCCGCGCATCGTACGGGAAGCGAGCCGACTATCAGCGACTCGCACTCGAAAGCAGGAAGCAATGGCTTTCCCTCAACAGCAGTCAAGACATAGGCCACGATCTATTTGTGCCTTGTTGCATGCTTCGCGTGCAGCCGAGCTCATCCCTTGGCGCGCTTGAAATGGAGACCCTGGCAAGCATGGAGCGGGACGGAGTGAGAGATACTCAATTTGTCAAAGGTGATCCCAAGGATTGTCGACGCGCCGCTGACCGGGGACTGCAGCACAAGCTGCTCGATTATTTCATACCTGACGACCCGGAGCACCTCCCTTTTGAGGCGGTATTGGATTCTCTGGCAGGCTTCACGAGATGTGCTGACGGATGCAACTATTTCCGAAGGGTGGCTGAGCGTGAGGGTGTGGTCTTTTCACTAGGCCCTGAGCAGGGACGCTTTGCATCCTTGATCGAAGAAACCCTCAACAGTGGCAAGAAGAGAGCAATTGGCTTCATGACAGCTGATCAACGATCGCACTACGTCGATACGGTTGTAGTTGCTGGTAAGAGCTGTCTGTGATCTGCACGTAGTGTTGTACTCATCGTGCTACAGCTGGGTCCTTTTCGACGCAGATACTACCTACGTTGTCCTATCACATGGAATCATCAGCCGGTACAATCGTCTTCTTCAAAATTGACCCACAGGACAAGGCCTTGTGGGAGAAGTACTCGCCCGAGAATTTCCCAGTCATTACATGGAAGAGCGCCCCGAGAGGTAAAGACGGCAAAGACATAGGTAGTGTCTATGTCTTGCCCAGAACTCCAGAAGGTTTTGTTAAGATCGGGTATCGGGGAATCAAAGTGAGTCCTGCCGCATCCATCCATGCTAAGAAACCGCTAAAACAAGCCCTTTCTCGTCAGTTCACCAATTTCCAACCGGCCCCTGATGGCGCACGTTTCACTCAGGATGGGAAATGGTCCATCCCGCTCCCGTCTGAGCAGTGCCACAACATTCCATCAGGAGCAGCAGAGGCCATTCGAAACTTTGTATCTATCTTTATGCCCGATTTCAATAATGAACCGTTCTTTTCCACAAAGCTCTGTTGGTACACAGATACCTTGGATAATTCATTTCTAGTAAGCACTTTAGCCTACGTGTTCTCGTCCCGTTGCTTATCTACATTTGAGGTGGACTATGTTCCCATGTATGAGGACGATTCAGTCTTCGTCTGCACCGGTGGTAGCGGGCATGGAGCCAAGTTCATGCCAGTTCTTGGGGAGGTAAGCTTACACCTTGCTCCAGTAGGATAAAACTGCGCAAATCGGATGTACTGACAATACAAGCACGCAGCTGATATATTTGAAAACAAGGAAGAAAGTAGCACGCCCATGCGTCAGCACTGGCGCTGGCGGGAGGATGCGCCGCGGAAGAACGGGCTTGAAGACGGGCCTGGTAGCCTACGAGATCTTAGCACATTGAATAGTCTTAGATGAATTAAGCTCGAAATACAGAGATCAAGCACCATTTGTCAATTTTATTAGATAAATACTAGAGAGAGAAAAAGTGTTCATTGTAAACTAGTGCGATACACTTATTGCTCAGTAGCTTGAATTCCCATCGAGGCCCCAATACCTTGCTTTGCTTCCAGCTCTACAATGTACTGGAATTTAACCTCTTTCTCTCCTTATTCAAATCCAGCTAGTGGACTGTCGGCTCGGTCTGTGACTGTGGGCAGATCCATGCAGGCTTGAGCGCCCCCTTTGATGGACCAAGCTATCATTCCGTTGCCACGTAAGATGCTTACTGCCATTCGAGCGGTGTCTCCTCCATAGCAGACCACAACAACAACTTTGCCCTTCACTAAATCAAAGTACTTCGCCGTCGGCACCGTTTTGCGATCAAAGTACTGCGACAACTCCGTCCACTGCTCCACCAGTATTTTGCTGTCGTAAAATGGACTGGTTTGGTGCTCTCGCAACGTTGCCATAGGAATCCGAAGCGTGTCTCCCGCCCTCGTGCCGGAGAAGCAATCGCTTGCACCGAGTGCGCGGAGGTCAACGAACATCGTGTTCTCCTCGAGGCGAATTCTGGCAAAAATGTCGCTTTGGATATCGAGCTCCCAGCTGTCGTCGTAACGATATATGTCTACATTGGCCAGGTTCGAGTCCTGGATAGGATGGAACTCACTTGAGGGGACCTTGTGGAAATACTCGTCTAGGTATTGGTAGGGGAGGTCGCAACAGAGAAACACGCAGTCAATCTGGGTTGACCCATTGCGTAGCTCCTCGAGCGTCCCCTCATCCTTTCGCCTCTGAAGATACCGCGTGAGGCCCACAAGATTGAAGCCAGAGGATGGCCCGCAGACGATGCCGGTTCGAGTCAATTTTAAAGAGGCACTGAATGCATCTTCAGACCCGCATTCGACAATACTGTCCACACAGTCCTTCCATGGGAATTCGACGGGTGCAAGGAGAGCATGACTTCGAGGGCCTGGGACGCGATCTCCAGGTGAAGTACAAACCCCAACAGTCGTGACAGAAGGCTTCGTGCGCTTCATATACGTAGCAGTTCCTGTCAAGGTCCCCGCCGTACCCATACCCGCACAGAGCACAGATAGTGTCGGCATCTGCGCTAAGATCTGTGGGCCAGTCCATCGCATATGTGCTCCCCAATTCAGATTATTCTCGTACTGGTTCAGATTCTCGAGTGTTTCATCCGCAGTAGCATCGCAGCGTGCCCGCTGAATACCGCCGCGCTCATCCCTCGGCTCTGGCTGTGACGGGCCTCCAAAGAGGCGTAGATTGAGACCGAAGAATTGCAAGAGTCTAAGCTTGCTTTCGCTGGTCTTATTGCTGACATAGGCACGGGTGTCGGTAATGTTGTGCAGGATCCGAGCAACGATACCCATTGAGATGACTGTCGAGCCGGAAGAGTACTCAACAACGGATGTGGTCTTGGGGGAGACCTGTGAGGATGACAACATGGCCAAGGCTGGGAGCTCTTTGACATTATGGGCAGGAAGAAATGTCATCATCTTAGCGTACATGCGAACGCCGTCGTCATAAAGGGGGTTGAGATGGCGAGGAACCTCAACAAGAGGCAGGAGTGGATTCTTGTCAGGATCATAGTAGTCCTTCAAGGCACTCTCCCCGCTGAAGACATTTTTATTTTTCTGAGTCGCCATACCGAAGGGAGTCTTGGAAAATAGATAGATAAAATGTTGGTAGTATAAAGTACTTGCTAGAGGATGATGGTATCGACTTGATCTTTTATGTGAGTATATCTGGGAGTACTGTCGTGATCAATTTATATCAATCTACTTCAATGAGGTGGGAGGCAGAAAAGACAATATCAGAGATACTATCTTCCCACGTTCACGGCTATAATCACGGTATTCTCAGGACGTATTCTCTTCTTCTTCGGGCACCTATTTCATGTGATGGTTGCATTTCGCATCAATATTCGTCATGCTGCAGGCTTGGCTCAACCTTACAAGACCTTGGCTTTACCTGGGTTAAGCTTCGCTATTGACTTGATGATCTTTTGATTTAATCAAAAGATCTGATAGACTTCCGTATCAGACGATCTGATAGTAGTCCATCAGCCTGCACTGTGACGTACTGGGCTTCAATGTTGCTCCAATCTCTGATCTGTGAGTCTTCTTGGTCTCCACTGAATGCATCTACTCCAACTATGACCCCAGCCTTCGAACCCGGCCGCTTGCCACTACAGTTACACGGATGTAGTGCTACGCCGGAAATCACAGATTCGACTGTAGAGACTGTGTCATAATCGTAACTGCAGACCGGCCTCGGGAGGACCCCTCCTCTTGCTCATGGGTACATAAGATCTGCATATGCGAGGGGGTTTTGTGCCAGTCTCGACAGCATTCATTGAGAGAAAACCGCCTTTGATTACTTCCATCGTCATGCAAGCTGCATCGAGTACACACGCCACCTTAGGGTCATCGGGAAAAGTACCTACACTTGACCCTTCTACTTCAGTAGATGTCCCAGCGACATTGCCGGCCATGGCCAGCAGTAACGAGACAGACGAGCCGAGCAGCCTTACAGATCAGACTGGATACGTTAAGCCGAGTAGAATTGTTATGGTGAGGGTCCCTGGCTGTTGCATCGAACGGCGACATCTGACAAACATGAAGATTTTTCTCACCTGCGCAAGCGTTGACCTGGTCGCACTCATGGACCAGACCACCTTGGCTGCAAGCTTGTCATCGGTGTCTCGAGCCTTAGGGTCTCAAGGAGACAATGCATGGATTGCGGGCGCCTATTTTCTGCAAGTATACCCCTGCAGAAGACTAGTCTGGAAACTAACCTTTCCGAAGAACTTCGACTAGCTTTCAACTTCTCTACGGCCGATTATCAGACATCTGGTCACGAAAGACAGTCCTGTTGTGCTGCATGTTTCTGTTCTTCATCGGGTCTCTCGCGGCGTCCTTAGCGCAAACCACGACGCAACTAATCGCTTTCCGGGCGATCACTGGCGTGGGAGGAGGCGGACTGATGACGCTGGCTCAGACGATCGTCTCTGATGTTGTCTCTCTCCGTGAAAGGGGAAAGTACCAAGGGATCTTGGTATGACTGGATGCCATCCCGCACCACCCAAACCATTACTCACACCAAATAGGGGGCCGTGGTTGCGCTAGCTAACGGTATTGGGCCCATCATTGGTGCCTCGCTAACGTCAATTAGTCCTGAGTCTTGGTCAGTTCCGCTTCGGAATTGTCCCCCACAGTATGACAACTAATGCCAAGCATAGGAGATGGATCTTTCGACTGAACTTGCCATTGACGGCTGTTTCGACAGTGGCGATAGTCTACATGATGCCGTTGAAGCGAGTGCAAGGATCCTGGATTTTCAAGCTCAAGGCCATTGATTTTGCAGGTGCATTACTTACACTGACTGCTTCAACGTGCCTCGTGGTTCGTATTCTTGCCACGCCCACTACTATGGAGCAACATCTGATCAGTACTCTGTATAGTTGTCACTTACCTGGGCCGGGATTGACCATCCGTGGCATTCGGCGGCGGTCATTACGCCGTTAATTCTTGGAGTGGTCCTCTTGGCCGCTTTCGTTATTTGGGAAGGAATAGGTCCAAAGTACCCGCTCATGCCATGTAAGTCCGGCGGTCGCTACGCTGCAACAAGTGAACCACCGTCACTGATCACACCTCCAGTGCATATTTTTCGTAACCCCCTAGTGATCGGGATATGCACAACCATGTTCATAAACGGTTGGCTCTTTGTCACTCAGATCTACTACATTCCGGCTTTCTTTCAGTTAGCATATGGTCTCTCTCCCATGAAATCCGGGGCTCTTCTTCTCCCAATAACTCTGATGCAAACCGTTTCCAGCACTTTCTCCGGGTTGATCGTGCATTGGACCGGCCGATACCGGGAGAGCATCATCATAGGTTGGGTCTCTTGGACTGTAGGCCTTGGTCTGTACTCCACTCTTGACACCACACATTTTGACTTAGGCAAAGCTATCGGTTACGGTCTTCTCACTGGATTTGGTGTTGGCCAAACTCTGCAACCGTCCTTGATCGCCATACAGGCAGGCGTCGCCCGACAGGATATGGCCGTGATTACGTGCACACGCAATTTTGTACGTAACCTGGGGTCCACCTTAGGTCTTGCTGTGGCTGCTACCCTCATTTCCTCCAGTCTGCAGTCTCGGGTGACCGGCCAGAACGCTGCTCAAGTCATTGACGATCCTGAGGCATACCTGTCAATGATTCCCGAAGGCGCACGGCAGGCGGCACAAGAAATGGTCCTGTCTGCTTACTCGCAGGGCTTTCGACACGTCTTCTACCTGAATGCTGCACTGAGCGCTTTGGCCGCTCTGCTTGCATGGACAATGATCTCCCACATCAACTTAGACCGGCCAGATGACGCCGCGTTGAATGAGCAAAGAGATCTTGAGACCGCCAAGAAAAGCGACGTCCAGTAAGAAAGTATTGATAGCATTCGGAATATTATCTGTGCCATTCCAAGAACATGGATCAGGTGTTCATCAAGGAACTGGCGAAAGGGTACTACATAAGTCTCACGGGAAACTTTTGTATGAAATCACGGGGACGGGATTGTTGGCTCATCCTCTTCAGGTCGCATGAATGTATATGGTGCTGACCAATGTGTGCGTACCATGCGTGCCACGACACCTCTCGTTAATCATGTATTTACTGGCATTTTTCCTGATCTGTAGGGATCGGTGCATTACAGGAAAAGAATTTCTTGAAAGCCTGGTCGTGCATCTTCAGCCCTCGTAAAGTTTCCTAAATGACCAACGGATATTGTTGTGCGAATTGCCATCAAATTAAGCTATGAAGCTAAGGAGGTGGGGCCGTAAATACCTGGGCCTTACCTAACCATTGCGTGGGGTACGCATTGAAGCCCGCGCCAATCGGCTTCTTTACAACAATACAATACAAATTTCAACAGCACGAGCCAGCGTCGAATTGCGACTGAGAGCTTCATTCGTGTGAGTGTGCGGACAAGGTACCAAGTGTTCTTGACACTATCGAACAAGCAGTTTCTTCCGAGGCTAAGCTGTTCGAGGCAGCATCCTTACCAGGCTTGCATTACGGTGGACTAAGGCAATGCATACTGCACGCCAGCGTTCCGCACTCGTACTGACGTGATAACTTCGTGCATGACATGGATCCTTCGTATTCTTCACCATCCCCGACCGACATGCATTCCATCCGATGTATGCTTGGCAAAGGAATATGCGGCGCAATCTCCTCCATGCGAGGTTACATCTTATCTGATTCACTCGTCTGATAATCTCTTACCTTTTTGAGCCATCTACATCGCCACCATTGATCCTTGGGTTGGGATCTTCGAGCAGACATGCTGCTTGTTTGCTTTTTTCTCATACATGGGGTGGCCCTAATCACGTGCGACACGTCTGTGCATTCTCTCATAGGAATTTGTCGATTTCTACGTAAAAGATGCACAGACCTATCCAGCTCATTTATTATACCCCTTGTAAAACCTTCTCTCACTCTTCATTCTTGAGTTTATCTGCATTCACTTTGTGCCATTCTGTTTGTACCACTCATCATGGACTCCACGATCAATGTGCGCAACCCGGTATCAACTAAGGATATGCATAATCCTGAGGCGAACCATCAATTATCACAAGATGAAACTTTGAAGAAGTTCGAGACGGAGAATCTCACTAGACTTGACGACGAGCGTGCAGAAGATCGACAACTGCTATCGCACGAAGAAGAAAAGAAGTTGTTACGCCGGGTAGACTTGCGTCTTATGGTACTATGTGCAGTTATCTTCATGATTAAGAATGTCGATGCCAACAACGTACAATATATACCCTACCTCTCATACCTAGAAGCCAAAGCACTAATTACCGTCGCAACAGGCTGCAAACGCTCGCATCATGAACAAGGGCACACCTCGGAATATTCTGACTCAGCTCGAGATGACTGGCGACGAGTACAATTTCGTGAACACTATTTACTTTGTTTGTTACCTTGGAATCGTGGAATCATCAAACTGCAAGCATTATTGACGCTGTCACAGATACCCTTCATCGTGTTCGAAATCCCGTCAAATCTGATTGTGAAGAAAATGCTTCCTTCGAGGTTCCAGTCTAGGATAATGGTAAGCTGAAATCGTTCTTGTCAATTACATGTTCTGACCTAATCGCGAAGGTAACTTGGGGCATTGCGCTAGCATGTCATGCCGCTGTTACAACAAAGGGAGGGCTCTACACCGCACGATTTTTCCTCGGACTCGTAAGTATACCTGAGACAGAGGTCATAAATACGCTGACGATATTTCAGTGCGAGGCTGGAATGTTCCCAGGAATCGTCCTTCAAATGACATACTGGTACCGTGCGGATGAAATGACTTGGCGCTTTTTGATTTTCTGTGAGTACCAAATTTGGCATTCAGAAATCTCAAGTGCAAAAAATATATATTAATTGGCCACAGATTCATTCGAATTTTTTGCCAACGTTGTTAGTGCTTTGCTTGCGTTCGGTTTCGACCATATGAATGGCATGAAAGGATTATCTGGATGGCAATGGTAAGTTGCTCCTTGATGCTCTATATTAATTCTGGTTGCTAAACAGCCCCCAACAGGTTTTTCTTGCTGGAGGGAGTATTTACAGTTGCATTTGGAATTTTGATATGGTTTATTTTACCCGACTGTGAGTGATTTCGTCGAGCGAACAATTCAATTTCAGCTGATTATGGTGTGCACTTTCCAGTCCCTGATCAAGCCAAATGGCTTACTGAGAAGGAAAAAGCCTTCCTCAAGGCTCGACTTCCCGCAAACGCTCCACGTTCAGACGAGGTGAACTTCAATTGGAAAGAGATCGTTGAAACCTTGAAAGACCAACGTCTCTGGCTGTTCACACTAATGTGGGCGACCAAGACCGTTGGCTCTTCTGGTCTTTCATTTTATCTTCCTGAGATTGTGTCTACGCTGAAACTTACGTATGCTCTCTCCTCTGTCACTTGATTCACAATGCTAATTCACTGAATCGCAGGTCAATTGCCCAGAGCCAGCTCCTGACTATTCCTTCTTCAGTACTCCCGATACTGCTGATCGCTGGGCAAACCTTCTTGACATGGAAGCGGAATGTACCATATCCAATCATTCCTTTTGTATACATGTCCATTACGCTGATTTGCTACGCGGTTCTCTACACGTATCCAAATGTCGGAGGGGTGTATGCTGCCACAGTCATCGCTGCTTCGGTATCGTTGGCATGGTTCTCTTCAGCATGGCCATGGCGACTTCAAACGACTTCGAAAGCCACGGGCTCCGCCTTCGCCATCGCCTTCTCTAATTCTCTCGGTCAGATTGGGTCAGTTGTCGGGCCACAGATTTTCCGTGTCAAATATGCTCCAAGATACTCAACTTCCTTCGGCATTGCTATGGGTTTCACCGTCATTTGCCTCGTCACGATTGCCTACACCTGGTGGGTAACGAGAGAGACAGAGAGACAGACACGATACATACAGAAGCAAAGGATCGCCGCGGCACGAAACGGTGGATTTATCACACAAGACGTAGATATCAACGCGGACTTTCGAAATCGGAAGGACGGAGCGGCCTAGTTATGCGGACTCGAGCGATATGTTCGGATGCTTTTGTATCGCAAAGAAGATGAGTCAGTCGATAGCTTTTGGGCGAAGCTTTTTGCTTTAGTACTACAGGGGAAGAGTGTGATAGGGGCAACATCTAATAAATGTAAGTAAATACGCGTAAAGATATTGTACATCATACTTAGAACTTCTATAAAGGAATGCTGCAAATTAAAAATCAAGATACCCTGGTTAGGGAGTGCTTTCACAAGGAGCTTCATGGGCTTAGTAAACTTGTGCAGTATCGTGGCCAGGGCACTGTTTCGTGCCAAGACTGATGCAAATCGGCACACCGCTCCCTCAAAAAATAATACATAGTTACACCAGGGTATGTTATACATTGGCAATGTTGCAATATCGAAATATTATCATAATTTACATTTGTAACTGAGAACAGCGTAATCCAGTCTAACGCTTTTGCTATATGTTCTATTATTATTTCAGGATTTCTCTATGATGTCGACATTCTGCTTCTTCTTTTTCGCTCTTCGCCTCCAGATTACAATGGCCAGAGCAACAACTGCTGCAATCGCACCTTCATAAAGGTCAGTATCCTAGGAAGAGACAAAGGAAAACTACTTACCGAGAACACTAATAACAATGAGTGGTACTTTAGCATTTGATGGTATTATTTGCACGGGCGGATTGCCTTTGCTGTCGGCCTGAGCTGTTACTTGGGGTGCGGCGACAGTCACTGTGACGCGTTGCGAAATAAAAACTATTTCGTCCGCCTCAGGCGTTTCCGGCTCCGCTCCAGGGGCACTGAACGATTGAGTGACAGTGACAACTGTCGTGACGGTCGGTGAGTCTTTTCGGGTTGTGCTCGGTGTTAGAAGTGATTGCGGTATACGTAAGGTCGTCGTCTGTAACGACGTTGGGGTAGTTATTGTCGAGGAAGGGCGAAGCGAGGTTCGTGGTAGAAGTGTCCCTTGGACATTCGAAGGGTGATCTGAGGCTGGTGCTCCTCTTGTGAAGGATTCGCTCTGCGTATGAGATGAGGTAGCCTGAACTGCTGGTGAAAGAGGAGGTGTTTTCTCAGCAGCCTGCACGACATTTTCGCGCTCTTGTCTTCCTACAAGCTTAGGAACTTGGATAGGGCAAGGGCGTGGTTTTCGGCGGGATTCAATCATGGCCTTTACCAGCCACGATAGTTTGAAGGAGAAAACAAAGACTAAATAAGTGGTATGCGGAGACTGGAATGTTGGACAGCAATTAAGTGAGCTGACGCGTACGCTATGTATGTACAAGTCGAATCGGGACATAAAGGACATAAAACAAAGTAAGGTCACCATTATCTGTGTTCTACAAACATCAGTGACACGTACGAAGCTTTTGGACCGTTTCACACTATATAACCGCCCGAGCAGATCCCTAGCCAATCAGAGGGTCCACCGATGTAACACGTTCAACTCTGACGAATCTTATGGTCCTCCTTATGTGCAAGCATACGTTTGATGATGATGTTTCCGGTGCGGCTCCTGCTCTTTGTGATACAATTCGGCTCCTTGCATTGTTGAGGTAGGGTTAAATGGCCGATATCTACGGGGCCGAACGTTGCGGTTTCACCTACTCTATTAGTCTTCTCTATCGGTCTCTTGAGATATACTTCATTGAAATAAGTTCTAACCTCCACAAGCACTCATTTATTCACAATCAGTTTCCTATCTTCGTGCGCATCTACAACATGTCTCGCAATCGTTCTTCCTTGTCAGGTCTCCCAACCAAAATAACGAGGCGTTTCACCACTTTAGAAGGGTTCCGGGAGATTGGAGACCTTTATGTTGCGGGATCCAATGTGCGCGTTTTCTCTGTTCAAAATCAATTCGACTCGGAGTTGTATGAAGACGACAGAACCACGAGAAGTTCATTCAGCCTACCAAGCCAAAGACGCTCTGATATAGTGCTTGGACTTGAAGAAAACAAACGAAATCCTGATGACAACGAGGCTGTGACGACTCCTCAGGACACCAAACCTCTTCCCGAAGCGCCCTATCATGTCTTTTCCAATAAAGAAAGATGGGTAGTCGTGGTTCTGATTGGAAGTGCAGGACTCTTCTCAGGCCTCTCGTCAAACATCTACTTCCCAGCTCTGGATGCAATCGCACAGGTATGCCTCTCCTGTCTTCACATGGGTTGGGACTAATCATTTCTTTAGGACCTAAACATCAGTCTGAATTCGGTGTCTCTCACAATCACATCTTACCTGATCATTCAAGGTATCTCTCCATTACTTTGGGGCACCCTCTCAGACACTATTGGGAGGAGGCAAATATACATTTACTCATTTCTGGTGTACATACTGGCGAATATCGGCCTATCTTTCTCCCCAACCTTTACAGTACTATTCATATTTCGCGGACTTCAAGCTGCTGGAAGTGCTTCGACGGTCAGCATTGGTACGTACTTAACATCATTCCCAGCATGAGTGATCCGCTGAACAATCAGGAAATGGCGTTATCCAAGACATCATCCCACCAGCTGAAAGGGGAGGTTTCATCAGCTTCTATCAAGCGAGTGAGTGTCAACTCCGCCCTCGATACTGAAATCATCTTCTCATATGGACTTTAGTTCGAAATCTCAGCATTGCCGTTGGCCCAGTGCTTGGTGGTATACTCAATAATTTCTTCGGCTTCAGGTATTATTTTCTCATCCCCAGAAGAATACCTGGCAATGTCATTGACATTCAACAGATCGATCTTTATCTTTCTTCTCATACTTTCAACCCTTACGCTCGTTGCAATTCTCCTATTTCTGCCCGAAACCCTTCGTAGCATTGCAGGAGATGGCAGTGTGCGGCTCCATGGCATTCACAGACCGTTCATCCGTAGAAGAACAAAGGAATCCCTTTACGACGATCCTAGCACTGCCGATGTTGCACACAATCGCCCCAATGTAACGGCCAGAACTTTCGTTGAGCCCTTACTGCTGCTGAAGGAAAAGGACATCTTGCTCAGTTTGTTATTTGGCGGTACTGTTTATGCAGTCTGGAGTATGGTGACAGCCAGTACTACTGGGATCTTCAAGAGAAGTTTCCACTTAAGCAACCTGCTTCTCGGACTTTCATTCATTCCAAATGGTTAGTCTACTTTCCCTTGCTAAATCCTATGAATGTCTTGAGCCATTATGCTGACTGCCAGTGGCACAGGCCTAGGAACAATCGTTGGCTCGACCATAGTTGGCAACCTAATGAACCAGTCATACGTTCAAGCGGAGGCAGCGTACAAGGAACGACGTGGCCTCGCGCCTACGTTCGTTTTGTCCAAAAAGGCCATACCGCTCGATTTCCCGATTGAACATGCACGTCTGCAGCACATCGGTTGGATAACCGTGGCTTTTATCCTCAGCACTGCTGCTTACGGCTTCTCGGTCGCCTTTGACAACTTGACATCTAGGCCAGGATGGATTGCCTTGCCACTTGTCCTACAGTTCCTGATTGCTGCGACCTCGAATGCGATATTTGCAATCAACCAGACTATGGTATCGGATTTGTGTCCGGGTAGAGGTGCATCGAGCACAGCAATCAACAACCTCGTAAGGTGTAGTCTAGGCGCTATTGGCGTTGCTTTCGTCGAGAAGATGATAGAAAACTTGAGCGTTGCTGGAGCTTTCCTGGGATTGTCGTTGATCACCTTGGGGACCGTTCCGATGGTGGTGATACAGTGGTATTGGGGAAGAGATTGGAGAAGGGAAAGGGGCGAGCGAGGGGCGCGAGATAAAATGTAGAATACGACCACGTGTTTAGAATCTATTTCAAAATCAAATAAATCAAGAATTCAATGAAGCGCTGTTCAAGGAAGTGCTTGTGCAAGAATACCGTCGACCTTCGTAGATCTGCTCCATTATTGAGGCTCAGACAGGTGCTCCATTGAGACGCGTCATCGCTACCTATATACAAGTATCCCTCAGTGGCTTGGTAAATCCGCTAGCCAAGTAAAAGATACCCCGTCCGCTTTTGTCTCCTTCAGCGCACTTGTTTCCTTCATCGCTCTTATCTCTTCGTCTCTCTCGTCCTCAGGAGCCATTATACCTTAACCACAATGGCGTTGCTCGATCGCGCTGCGTTGTCCTATGTGGCAGACTGGATCATCATCGTTGTGTTCTTGGGCATTGCCGGCGCATTTACCATCCTGGAGCCAGTCAAACGCGACTTTTCATTGACAAATGATGCTATCTCCTACCCTTATCGCGAAGATACGATTTCGATACCGCTTCTTTTTATCATTGCCGTGGTTGCTCCTGCCATCATCATCGCCATCGTTTGCGCTGCCCTTGTGCGCATACCACCTCGACCAGGCATAGAGCCATCGACTAAGGCGCATTGGAAGCGCAAGTTGTGGGAATTGCATGCTACATGGCTGGGTCTCGCGTTCTCCCTCACGCTTTCGCTCTTCCTGACCCAGACCATGAAGAACATGTTCGGAAAACATCGTCCGGATTTCCTGGCGCGCTGCAATCCGGATATTGTAAACATGGATAAATATCTCGTGGGCGGTTACACCAGTGAAGCACTCGAGGGCACTTCGCAATTAGTGAATTGGCAGATATGTCGCAGCAAGGATGGAACTGGGGTCGGGAAATCAGAATTCATTGATGGATTTAGGAGCTTTCCAAGTGGGCATTGCACGGGTTTGTTTGTCTCTATCATTTGAAATCTGTAAAATTGTATAGCTAACAACATCGTCTCAGTCGCCTTTGCAGGTCTGACCTATCTCACTCTCTTTTTGGCTGCTAAGTTTTCCACCAACGTCCCATTTTTGAGGTCTGCGCCCGGTAGAGAACCGAGCCACTTCCCATATGCGGATGAGAGAAAGGCATCTGCAGCACCTCCACTGTATCTGTGGGTAATAGTGTTCATTCCCTTTGGGGCCGCCATCTACATTGCTTCGACGCGCTTCACAGATTACAAGCATGCAGGTTTCGACGTCCTATCTGGGTCCTTAGAGGGTGCTGTAGTTGCTTGGTTCGCTTTCCGAGTGTATCATCTCCCCGTTCGTCGCGGAGCTGGTTGGGCTTGGGCACCCCGCCACCGAAACGCAGCATGGGGGATAGGAGTTGGAATGGGCAGCTATGGCATACTCAGCCATTCCAAAACCAATATGCACAGACAGGCTGACGCTGAGCGGGCGGGCGCAGATGGACGGCACACCGCATCAGTCGAACTGCGTGATCTTCGTGCCACCGAAACGGCAGATGGAAGCTACGACAGCCATCGTGCCTTGGTATGATGATACAGTACATGGCAACTGTGAGCACATGTGCTTGAAAGAATGATTCCAATTGGTCGAGGCACTGTTCAGTAAGGCCAAAAACGACGCGTATGGTCGCTTAAGATCAACAACTATTTATGGGAAGAAGGATGATCGATGAACCCCACTGTCGGTAGGAGAGGGATTTGCAAGTGTATACTAGTAAATAGTACAAAATACAAACACACATTTACAGGCGTAGCCTTATCTGGTAGTCAGTAGCATGCTCGTTACAGCGTGACGTCGGATTAGAGTTGATTGGTAGTCCTTGAACAAGGTTAGGCTCCTTATCCGTGCCCTGCCTAAAACCATTTGTTGACGATCTAGACCGAATTTTGCAAACCGAGTACGAATCCGAATACCTACATGCAGCTACAACACGCTTTGACCAAGTGAATAGCAAGGGGGCGTGCGGACAAAACAAAACCGCGCCGCCATCTCCGCCATCTCCGTCATGTCCGGCTGATCAATTAAGCCTGCCAAGAAGATGCTTAGCCCATTCTAGCTTGGTTTAGCCTAGCTGAAGATATGGTAGGCTTCACAACCCTGGAATGACACATCGATCCACATCAACACAGGCCAGCAGGATTGAAAACACCGACTTTTTGATAAGCAACAACTTGTTCGAGGCCCGGAGGACTTACTAGGAGAAGCCGTCGATTACGGTTTTGCGGAGACAACAGAGCTGGAACACGCCTCCTGAGTTCCACAGAATCGAGTTCAGTCAATCTATTTAGATAAGGCACGGACTACAAGTGAATTGCCATTTAACCTTTGGTATTGTGGTATGATATTTCGGGTCAAGAATCTCCCGCGAGGTCTCCCAGATAAAAATACAGTGAAGAGAGGTTTCACCTAGTCATCTAGGTTGTTGTTCTTGACACAAACATGAAGCAGAGGTAGAATGCTCAATTCAATTGACTCCGTACTTGATTTGAATCTACAGGCTGCGTCTCATGCTGCTCGGTGGATCCATCTAAACCGACTTGGCTTTGATTGGTGCTACTCCATACCATGCAACAACGCCGACGCCCACAAAGGCCGCCACGCAGCTAAAGACCAACGCTACGATGCCTCTGGGTGTGAACCCCGCCGGCAATGGTCCTGGGGCTTTGTTCTCTCCTGCCAGATCGAATAAGTCGACTGTATTACCAGCAGCATTACCTGCCGTGGGAACACGCGATGATTTGCAAACGTCCAAGTGATTTTCTGGTATGCCATCCGCGAGCTGCTTCTGAAGTGACAGCGGCGACTCAATCATCGTGGCAACAAGTCCGGATGCCACGTGCCATTCGATGTGGCAGTGGAACAGCCAGATTCCAGGGTTGTTAGCACGGAATCGTAGGACGATATTCCCATTGGGATTTACCAACACCGTATCACGCCTCATTGGGCTCGCGGGAAATGTGCCATCCGTAATCTGACTGGCATCATAAGGACCGGCTTCTTCCTCCGAACGATAGGCAACTTGGAAGGCGTGGCCATGTAAATGGAATGGATGTCTACATAGATGTAAGTGAACAGGATCCATTGTTATTCTGACTGAAGAACGGCTGTCGGGCATGTGGAAGAACTTACTTTCCTGGATCGTTATTGTTAAGTATGATTTCGATAACTTCGTTTTCAGAGAGAACGAATTGATTTGTATATGATCCGTAGATCTCCGGATTGGAAGCATTGGCTCCAGTCGAGAGGGCGGTATACAGAGTCGGAACTTTTGGTGCAACGTATGTCTTATCATTAAAGAAGGCACTGATTATAGGCTATTAGCATAATTCTCCAGGCGTACAACCCCATACAGTCACATGCGGTGATTGTATGAGACAGTAACAGTCGACATGAACGAGCTAACTTACTAGTTCGCGCCATCGATCAGATTGTCCATCTTCATATCCAATGTGATCGACCTGTCAACATGCTGGAGCAGCGGCTCACTATCCTGAGGTACGAGTGTGAAATCGTCGAAGGGCGCGAATTCCGAAATCTCTTTGGCTGCGGGTTTTTCTTTGGTGCTGTCATAAACGAGCCAACCAGTGACATTCGGATTCAGGCCGTCTGGTACGACATCGAACAAGTCCTAATTGAACCGTTATTGTAAGTTCCTCGAATTGTTTGGATTGATGCCAAATGATCTCTCCAAAAAGCACTAAAAGGGCAACGCAGGTGGAAATCGAGACAATCATACCTGATCCATACTCCCAACGAAGGCAAAGTTGCCAGCCGTCGAATTTTTGGTTGTAATCAGTACGCTGTACCTTTGCGCAGCTGTCATGTAGATCATGCTTGCTTCCGTTGGTTCAGTGTATATGCCATCTACCTCAACGATTCTCATAGTGTGATCCTCGAACCACACATACTGGGCTGCGAACGCCCCCATATTCACCATCCTCACAAGATATGTTTTTCCTGGTTCTACGGCCACAGAGAGATCTCTCGTTTCATTAACAAGAGAAGACTGAGGCACAGGCTCAGCGCCAGAAGGATTGCTGATGGATAAAAACGAGTTAAGGAGCGGGTTCATCAGGCTGTGATACCAGTCGGAGAATGTGAGAACAATCTCGGCATCATAGAGATTTTTATGAGGAGATTCAGGATCGTGAATTATGAGCGCTCCGCGTAGTCCGTCTGGATATTGGCCTCTACTATGCGAGTGGTACCAATATGTACCTGGCTGATCGACCTATAGGAATGTGTTACTCAGAATTTCGTCGCTAGTATCAACAGTTTGGACTCACTGTAAAATTGTACACAAAGCTGCTTCCTGGTGGGATATCGCACTGGGTGACGGCGACAGGCCCATCCATATGGGTTGATCCATTCTGATAAATGCCGTGAAAATGTAGACTGGTTGATTCGTTGTGCAGGGAGTTGGTCACATTAATGATAAGGCGATCCCCTTTGTCTGCTGTTATTGTCGGAATAGGCCACTGTCCATTGATGCCGATGACTGGGCGATTTTGGAGACCGTCAGGGTTGGCATAGACCCAGCCAACGTCGAAGTTGTGGTTGATGGTGCTCGCGTGCGCGAACCCCACGAGAGAGTACAAAAGAAATGATGATGTTCTGAAGTATGGGAGCATGTTGCACAAGACAGTGAAAGTATGTCCTCAGAACGTTCGTAGGGTCTCACAACCTGTTGCAAGTAGATCAAAACCCAGGTGTCACCGAGTCTTATCGAACGAGACAAATTACCGTAGATCGAACACTTGGGCCCCCAGTTTTGTTCCAGAGGGGTCAGCAACATCCAACTGGTGTCGCTCGAACGAGGCGGAGAACTATCGGATCATCTGATAAGCCACAGATAAACATGCAGCTTCATTGAGAGCAACCATTCGCCAGACCATGCCGTGTGACACGAAGATCGAGGACAATAATGGACTTTAATGGGATCTAGACCCACGTGTTGAAAGCTCTGCCGTAGAATTACGTGAAATTATTAGTCGCCATTGAGCCGACCTGCGGAAGCTCCTAAGTCAGGACCAGGGAAGGAACATATCATGAGCGAGTTGAGCCGATCTTTCGTCAACGAGCGTTTCTCACAAATTCTTCCACTTGTTCACCACATCTCAAAACAATCCATTGGCCATCAACACGACCTTTTCAAACAATGCCTAACGTCTTTGCTGTTCCAGGTAGGAATGTTCGCGTCTTGGAAACATTCTATGATAAAGCTGACCTTCCCCATTCTTCTTCATTTGCTTTCGCGAGAGCCTCGAGACGAGCATTATTGTCTCAGTCCTTCTGTCATTTCTTAAGCAGACTCTGAGTCTTGAAAATGATGCTGCAATTCAAAGAAAGTTGATAAAGCAGGTAAATTTAGGTCAATGCCCACACAAATTTAGATTCTGACAATCGTTAGATCTGGCTTGGTGTTGGCCTAGGAGTGATCATATGTCTCATTATTGGCGCGGGTTTAATCGCTGCGTTCTATACTGCGGGTAAAAGAGCCTTTGATGCCGCAGAATATCTCTGGGAGGGAGTCTTTGCCATCGTCGCCTCCATTATCATTACAATCATGGGAGCTGCCCTGCTACGGATAAACAAGCTACAAGAGAGATGGAATGCTAAACTCAAAAAGATTTTCGAACAAGACGATACGTCAAAGCTTCCGGTATCTAGTCGATTTAAGAAGTGGTCGGAAAAGAATGCGATGTTTTTACTTCCGTTCGTCACGGTTCTTAGAGAGGGCATCGAAGCCGTCCTGTAAGCAAAACCACAATTCTATAGTGGAAAGACACTGACGGATCATAGTTTCATTGCTGGCGTTGGAGTTGGTATGCCAGCAACATCGTTTCCCTTGGCAGTGTTCTGTGGGCTCGGAGCTGGTATTCTCGTCGGAGTCCTGATTTACAAGTAAGTTGGCTGTAGGAAACAAATTCAAGCTTTGCATACAACTCACATCACCAGGGGCGGAAATAGAACCTCTCTCCAGATATTCCTTGTCGCTTCTACATGCTTTCTCTACCTTGTAGCTGCTGGTCTTTTCTCGAAGGGTGTTTGGGACTTTGAAACCCATCAGGTTTGTCTATCGATACCATAATATTACCTTGGTCCTAACGATCCCAGTGGGTCAAAGTTGCCGGTGAAGGCGCTGTCGAGGCTGGAAATGGCCCAGGGTCATACGATATCCGCAAGAGCGTTTGGCATGTAAATGTGAGGGTTCTCCTTGACTCGATGTTTACTCTGAGCTAAAAAAATTATAGTGCTGCAGCCCAGCAAGCTACGGAGAAGGCGGATGGGGAGTCTTCAACTCCCTGTTTGGTTGGGAGAATTCTGCGACCTATGGGTCTGTCATTTCCTACAACCTATACTGGCTGGTTGTAATCATCTACTTTTTCTGTCAAGGATTCAAGGAAAGGAAGGGCCACTGGCCACTGCAAAAGGCTCCTCAGCAAAATGAGGATGCTGCTAGCGAGCCTGTTGTCGTACACGAAACGCCAGTCACGAAGCCATAAGGATGGGGAGATCGAGCTGCGGTTTGAATGTTGCATTCAGCTCAGCTCGTCACAAGCTTGGAGACAATTGTCGGATCCAGATCAGAACGTTGATCAAAAAGTGATACACATTTATGCATACAGAAACACATGTAGTTTCATAGTTGGCTCTTGCAAACTTGCTAGCACTTCTCAGTGTTAATGATAAATACTACATTCATTCAATGTATATACTCGTATCTGACGAGGAAATACAACTTTCAGCAAGTGATAATGTTTTCCTTTGGCGCTTTCTCTCATTGCTGGATTAGCCTTCAAAAAGTTGTCCAGCTTCTATTCTGTATTATGAATCAACTTTGGTGAGTAAAAGTGCTCATGGAAATGTCCTTGATCGGAGCCTTCTGTGAACCCGACAAAAGCACCTCATTCCTTCTCGGGGTCATAGGTACTCATGCTTCCAACCTCCTCACATTGCGCGGCCCATTAGGCCCTTCCTCAAGTCTACTTCCTCGAAACATGTGCTCTTCCTAGCACTAAAGCCGACGCATAGGCGTTGTGCCGTTTTCTGAATTCCGAAAATTATCACCTGCATGCTAGGGAGCTAGTAGTATGAATCTAATGCATGAACAAGGGTTCTGAGTTTATCAGATGTTTTGTGGTGAGGTGGACCTCAGAGTTGCCATCCGTACCCAACATGGAAACGAGCGCCACCAAGTCTCCATTCACTATGACAAGCACCAGCGCTAGTAATAAGCTTCTTCATCAAGCATCGGCATGCTGGATCACCCTTGCAAATAGAAAAAAATAATCTTCCCTGCAAACACTAATGCAACTATCGCTAATATGCGAGGTTGCGGGTCTAGCTCGACATGAAAGAGAGTTGCTTGCTATCAAGTATCGTGCGATTGAATTGATGTCGGGCATTAAGGCAGTATCCGCTTGAACTATGAACAACACATCTAGTATACTTTTGGTACCGTTTATTCGAGGTTCACTGCCGCGGAATTTAAAACTCAGGCGATATCGCTGTGACATTTGGGCGAATTGGCTGATCCTGCTGCAAGCTCGCCGACCGGCCTCTTCGCGCGATTCTTCCCAAAAAGGGTTTTAGATCCGGCGCAACATCAGATAAATCCAAACGCTCTACGGCCTTCTGCAGAGTCAGTCAGGATGTGGACCCCCAGTGCCTAAGGATATGAAAAGTTCAAGCTCGTGGAGGTGTGGAGAGATACTGGTTCGGATCTAACCCCAACTCGGGGTCACTTTCCAACAAACTCTAATCCTGACATGTTCCAACACCATCGGCATGCTTCTGTGTGAGTAATCTGTCACTTTCAATTTTGTGAAGGCGCTCAAATGCACAAGACCTACCCGGGCGCTGTGCACGCAGTTTATGCATTATCAGGGTAGTCAAGATGATCAAGTCGACAATCTACGGAGCGGGTACTTTCATGTCGCGTATGAGACATTTTACCATGTTTAATTTTGGTCTTATTATGATTTTTTCTATCTATTGTTTCGATAGAAACACCATGGATGGACTAATCACCTTGTCTCTATTTCCAATGCCATTATAGTTTGAGACCATCTGGTATGATGGGTGTCTGCTCACGGTAGTGAAAGGTAGGTCAAGTTCAGTTCCTGTTAAACATGAGTGCGGAAAACCCAAGATACTCTTGTCTTTCGAAAAAAACATTCTTGATAGCCATTTCAATATTATCTATTGGGTAAATACCGTCTTTGAAATAAGAGTAAAGATTTTCTATTGCAATAAATAGAATCGGTTCATGAGAGAACAATCCTCCCTTGAAGACGAGCCCTATTACCATCGAAAACATGGAAATCGACTCATCCAGCGGACGACCATTGATTTAATGATCAAAGGCAATGGTAGCATCTGCCTTGAGAAAAGCCGCAGCCTTTTGCTACAAAAGTAGCCGACAATTCTCACCAATTCTGACGTCCAGAGTGACTTTGACCGAGCGTTACAATGGGTCCGCAAACCAATGCTGCTCTGAATACCTTTCATGAGCATTTACATCATGAATCCACATGAAAGCCCCCTCTCCGTACAAAACACCCCGACTTGAGCTGTAGATAGATGTTTTCTCACGATGATTCCATGCTCTGTGGCCTGTTCACTCAGAAGACCGTGAATTATGTAGAAGGAGAGGACATCATCACTCGCACAGCCAAACAGAACCACCCATTTCTCGCAGGAGCTTCATCCGCGCAGAAGTCGATAATGCTGTCTTCTTCATTCACAACAAAGAAAGGTGTCATTACTTTTGACTTCTTCCCGCTGGCCTCTATGCTTGCCGATATTGGATTTTGTGAATTATCTACGGCAAGAGGCTTGCTTGCATAGAGATGCTTGATAACCGAACGAAACCAGCCTTCAATCATTGTGACAAAATCGCTTCCAAACTTGATTCGTTCGAGCTACTTTCGAGCGCTTCTTTATAAAGTGCGTCGAACACCATAGCTGTGGAGAATCCTGTATTTGCATCAACTTGTTATTTCCAAGCACAAGATCACAGATATGACACACTGTGAGATTCATGCGGATGACGATCTAGAAGTGAGCCCGACGCAATGACGGTGGTTCGAAACTCAGTCCGTTCAAATGGTGACTTGGTTTACTTTAGAAATGCCTCAAAATGTTCATGTCAATTGAGAAAGTCTTATACACGCGAGGTTCCTTTATACAATCATAAGACTGGCATGAAGATCTATTAAAATGAGAACTGGTGATGATGAAGAAAGTAGTCGTGTGCGTGGTTGTAAAGGACACTTGTGATCTTGATAAGGGTTGTAGTTATAAGATTTGATATTCAGTCGATATTCTCGGAGGTAAGGGTCAGATACCTAGATGAAAGTCCCCTTGATCTACTCTTCATATATGAAATTGCCATGCCGTGAACAATTGTCCACGACTTCGATCACCTCCTACACATCATACACATCCCTCCACTCCAATCTATCTTCACAATCGTATGCATAAAACCCATCACACACAGACACACAGTCCAGTCCCAACAGTCATTCATCAAACACATTTACAAAGAGTCTCTCATGATAGTCTTTTCCAGAAATAAAACAGCATTACAATCTTCCTCATAACTATTTGGTATCACGCGCAAAAAGCGAAGGAGCGTCATGGTATCTGGCTAAGGTTCCAACTCCCACACACCACTCCGTTTACATACACCCAAAACCCCTGCAACCCCCATAAAAGTCGAAAGATGAAAGTCAAACATAATAACATGAGATTTAGAAAGAGAATGGAAAGAAAAGAAAGCACCCAGGAGATCCCAACAACATCTAGTATAAATCGGGGGCCTCACGAGAGGGGGATGAAATCCCAGTCGCTGCCCATATTGTGAAGGTGAAGTGATGCATGCCATCCGACGTTGAATCCACTCATTCCGGGACGGAAAACTACATTGCAAGGAGACCATACATGCCATCATCGTTTGTACAATACAATCGTTAACGAACCAACAACTGATCATCAGTAGAAGATCACGGGTCTGCACTTTTGGGGTTCACCAGGTAGATGTCTGGCACCTTTGGCACTTGCGGAGATTTCTGCAGCGCTTGTTTGATGGCCTCGCGGCTCTTTTCCCTCTCCTTCGGGTCGCCTCCTCCGCCTGTTAGCCTGCGCATGCCGCTTCGGAAGCGGCTGCGGGTGTCTTCTCTGATGGGCTTCATCACGTTTTCCAGACTGAAAGTCTTGTCTGTGGCGGTGCCTGCGCTGTTGCTGCGTCCCGTGGTTATCTCGTCATCGGAAAAGGGCTCACCCATTTCGTCCAAGGTTGATGATAGACCTGGCGAGAGCCGTTGAGGTTGATTGGAAGCAGAGGGTGAGGTGATGGAACGGGAATGGAGGCCAGGGCGAGCAGGTGCTGTGAGAGGGGGTTTGGCGTTCGCAAGAACCGAAGGCGCGGAGGTGAAAGAGGTGAAGGCTCCTGGGGTCATGACTCCAGGGTCCCTAGATGAGGAGAGCTTATGATCGGTGAACCCGCCCTGGAACGAAGTGACGCTAGCATTTCGAGTCAAGGATTTGTGCAGGATCGGGGCTGTCTGCTGGTCATAGAGATTCTCCCGCGTGTTGAGATTTCCTGGCAGCGTGGAGAATGAACCGTTACCATAGCGGCTGTTGCCAAAGACCGAGCTGTCGGGCAGATCCGTAAGCGTTTCAGTATCGTCATCGTCTTCGAAGAAATCATCGAGACTGTCCAATTTCATCACCAGCTCTCCAATGTGGCTGTCACCACGGGTATCCTCGGACGTCATCGTAGCCGTGCGGTAATCCGACATGGGGCTGAACGGGAATTCGTCCTGTCGGAACTCGATCTTCGGAGTGGCAGCGGTGTCTACATCTATGTTCTCTGCGTTTGCGCACGTATAGAATACGGCGTGGACGTTGGATCGTGTTGATTGCGAATGATGCGCAGGAATTGGTATCGACCAGCCGCTCGCTTCCGGGATGCCGTATAATGACTGCGTCTTCTCGTATTGTTTCTTGAAAGCACGGCTACTGTGAGAGCCAGCCATGCTCATGCGCAGATGTTGACGCTCGAGAGGGGTGGGAGCGCTAGTGAAATTCATGACGCAATCCAGGACGGCCAAAGCCTGGGGACAGAAATCGGTTTGTAGAAGTCGGAGAAGGGGCGATATTAGATCTGCCCCCTTTGTAGCAATCTCTGGTTTCCGCATGTCTATCTCCGGAATGATAACACAGAGGACTTCCATGGTGTTGATCTTCATCCAGTCCAACTTGTTGCTGAGTAAACTAAGCAAGAATACCAGGCTCGTGAATTCCAGCTCGGGGAAGAAGGACGACCGGATCGCAGAGATGACCTGTGCCACAAAATCCTTCTCCGCTCTGTATCTCTTGTTTGCGAATGCAGTCAATGCCTGTGATAGATCGACGCAGTCGTATGACTCGGCTACCTGTGACAAAACTTCGGCATGGGCAGTCACGAAAGGGTCCTTGGTGGCCTCGTCAAACGAGCGCAAGAACCTGGGCATATTGGCGAGAACAGTATAGACAAGGCGGGTATCGTCGCCAACGATGCGGCTGGGGGGAAGGATTACCAGTCTCTCGAGAAGGCGCAGACTTCGATCTAGACAGACACTTGATCGTAAACCTTTGTATATGAGAGGGGCAAGACCTTCAAATTGTCCCTCCCATTTTGGAGGACAATTGATTTCCAGAATCTCAAGTAGGGCGGGGTTTCCTAGATCGATCTTATCCATGAATTTGTCTAACATGCGCATGCTCTCCATAAACTCTCCTTCATGTATGGTGTCTAAGCATGCGCATGTTGTCCAGAAGAGCTGAGGGTATTGAATGAGGTCATCTGGTGTCAGTGCCTCGATAATGACTCTGAGAGTTGTCAAAATCTCCATCGAGAAGAATTGAATATCACTTTCGTCATCCGAAATTGTATTGGAAAGTCTCGCCAACATGTCGGAGAGCATCGGCTGGTCAAGTGTACTCAGTATGCAACGGAACAATTGGAACGATCGACAAGCGAGATGTCGCACTGGACAGGAGGTCGCCCATTTCAGCGTGATCTTCCCCCATTTCTCCCTCAGACCTGGACAAGCATATTCCATAATCCTGAGGACTTCCGTTGCGACATAGGCCATGGCCTCGGGGACCTTTGCGCCCGAATCCTCTGAGTCTTTGCCGTTCTTGTCGTCGTAATTCCAAACGACCTTGGGATCGTGCCGCCTCACACTCTCGATGAAGTCCTCAACGGACCGTTTCTCATCCGAATCTTCCTCAAGCGAAGATATGACTAGCCCATGAATGAGGTGGATTACCATCTCTCGAGCTTGATCTTGAACAACCCCTGTGTAATGGTCCCACAATACCAAAACGACCTGGAGCAAAAGTGGCACGTGTTCGGCAGAAAGCTGTAATGGAGGAATGACGAGATCAACCAGTAGGATGAGACATATCTGTCCCAAGGCGAAGCCAGATTGTTTATTGCTGGTGGGGAGGAGCGCATTCAGGTCTGCGAGATAAGGCACGTTGCCAGCGTCGGCGGGCGGTGGAACAGGTTCGCGCTTCTCGGCCACCATGTTGCGTGGATTGATCTGGAGCAGCAGGAACTCGATGACCTTTTGTCCTGATATCGTGCCCGACAAATGGACGACAATCTGTTTGGAATAATCAACAAAGTTTTGTTCCCGCTTGTCCAAGCAGAGCTTTATTATGAAGTCGAGTATCGTCTGCACATTCCCGCCATAGGGTCCGTTGGCGAGGGCTTGCCACAATGCTTGAATCTCGTTATGTAATGCGTTACTACACCGCACAGTGATCTCAAAGAGATTGACGAGCAGCATGTACGAGTTGGCAGTGGGCCCTCCTTCAGGAAATACTTGTAGCTCAATGGATTGAACCCAGGGAAGCATTGCTGCGACCATGTTGCGCTGGTGATCTGGCTGCAATTCCTTGAAGTAGTACGAGAATTGGGAGAACACCAGGAAAGCTAGCTCAGAATGTTCTTTTGCAAGCCTGCAGGACATCTCGAACTGTGCGGCTTTGTAGACTGCTATTGTCTTATCCGAAATACTGATGTCGAGATCTTGTAGTTTCGAATTTTTCTGTTCCCGGGCTTCTAGCACTCTCAGCAAGCGCGCAGACTTCATCCGCAACTCGTTGTTTTCGTGTCCCAATGTGTATAGCCCCGCGCTGAGCACCTTCCAGTAAGGTAGTGCATGGTCTTCTCGTTCAGTGAGGACTTGGGTAACGACTTCAAAATAGCTTTCTAGAGATTTGGCGAATTTCGAAAGGTAACACATCTCTATCGCCCGTTCGAGAAGATAGGTGTGTTCCCTGTTGTGGATAATGAGGTTCTTTAGTGCGCGTCGGCCGATTGCATGAGTGCGATCACTTGCATTCTCAAAGATGCTATCGATCCAAGACAGCATGCGACGGACGTCGAATTGGAGATGCACCTTGCTGTCCGTGGTGATGCTGACTGGCCCACCGCATAGTGCAGCCATGGCGCTAAGGGCCGCAGTCCGGAGATCGCGCTTTTCGATCTCCATGGCAGCTGTGGCTATGCCTTTGTTTCCCATCTCTGCCTCTCTGTCCAGCATGGAGCGTCTCATGTGTTCTTCGCGCTGACGTATTTCGGGTTGATTGGCAGAATAACCGCACCAGTCTTCCATCAACGTGAAGGCAGCTTTTCGTGCTTGGAATGGCATCCACTGAAGCGGATCCTGTGTTTTGTTGATCCCTTCGAACAATACCTCTACGAGGCCACAATAGTGGGTCCGCAGCTTTTGGAAGTTCCATTCATTCTGGACGTCTGTGTCGCTGAGGAATATGCGCAAGTCTTTTGTGTAGTTCATGAGATTATTAAGGATCCACTCGTCATTGTAGGCTTCCGGTTCCTTGAGAAAATGGGAGGTGAGCTTGTACACATGAGTGATCTCGGTGCGGAGATGATCGGTACGACGATTTCGACGCGGACTACTGATGGTTCTTGTGTGCATGCCTAGACGTGACTTTGCTTCCTCTGCACACGCTGCTGCGTGACCTTGAAGAGATTCCAAGAGCGTCCGGTACAGATTCATGTTGATCGATCCTAGCCCCACAACAGCAGCGTCTCGTACTGCTAAGTTATCGGTTGACAGGAATGGGAGCACCTTGGCAAACAATTCTGAAGCGGTGTATACCTTATTGGAGCTCTTCTGCGAGGACTTGGAGCTTTTCCGGGAATGCGCCACCGGGCTATGGAGTGCGACTTGGTTGCTTTGCCCTAGGTTGGTGAGGGTAGTGAAAGCAAAGATGAGATAGAGCTTCCATTGCTCGACTATCATCTCGGGGGACGTAGTTGCGAGACGACTGCTGTATCTTCCACCATTGGAATCGAATGCGGAATATGGACCAGTGCGGTGTCCTTCAATTAACGTTACCAGAGTTTTATGCATCTGAGCAAGGCGTGCGCAGACTATATCGCGAGTAAGGGTGACGGCGAACGGGCAGCCTTCGAAACTGAGTCGTATAAGATTTGGGAAAATCTTGAACCAAAGGGTGGAGTCGTAAGGGACGTCGCTGCTGCACAATTCGACTAGAGTACTTTGAACATTGCTCTTCCTCATTCCTCGCTGTAAACGACTCCGTTCGGCGAGCGACAGTTTTTCGAGGCTGATATCCAAAACCTTCTGTGGACTGTCTTCCATGACCCGAATCACTCTCGAGCTACTGCCTCCAAGGGCGATATCAAATTCGGTGACAAGGCGAAGGACCGTAACAGCGTAGGACCGGACGCGACGAGATGGGGAACACAGGAAGAACAGGCCATGCGACTCGACCTCGTCCACATGGGCCCAGACAGAGGAGAGATCGAGATGCACTCCCCTATGGCCCGAGGTACCATCATCAGGAGTGTCGAGCGCCGCTTTTCTTGTCTTCTGTTTTATTTCCTCAATCCAAACTTGGAGCAGTTCCACGTAAAGTTTTAGTGTACTCTCTATGTGACCCGGTCCCAGCATTCCACCGTCAGACATGGTAGCATAGCGGTCATCAAAATTGAATATGAATCTGGCAAAGCCTATGGTCACTTGCTGTGCATGCGATTGCCTTGCAATGGATTTTAAGGACTGTGCTGATGACAGGGCGATGTTTTTTTGCACGTGGGCAGTCCCCGTACACAAAAGATTGATAAGCGAGTTGAATGGGATATGAGGAGACAAGCATCGCGGCAATGCCTGTACCGCAACATGCAAGAGATCATAAAAGCTCTGGCGAGGGTCGGCGGATACCTGATGATCGTCGCGTCGGGCGAAATTAAAGGCATCGGACATTGGAGTTTTTGGAGTTGCGAGTGAAAACTTCTCGTCGAGAACGGCCTGTCCGCCAAAGGCATTGTCGCAAATGATAGTAATCTCTCCCAGAATCTTGCAGAAACGCACGTAGTACTCCTTGGCAACCTCAGCAAAGCCGGTGAAGTTGACAGGTCTGGAGAGTCGCTCATCCTTGAGCAGAGAAGATTTAAGTTGCAAGTGTTGCATTGGCTTTGAATGGGAAGGCAGCGCGGGAAGACCGGTGGAGTCTAAAGATGGATCCGAGTCGAAGGAGACAGGAAATGGTGGCTGTGCGGTGTTCTCCAAATCCGACACGATTGCAAGGAAAGACCGTATGCCTATAACCATGCGGTCAGGTTCGAGGTTCTCGGCACGCAGGTTGTGCCCAGACAAGAAGACATCAGCGTTCAGTAGAGGAAAAATCAGCGTCTTGAAACAAAGATCTTGGAACTTGTACCCAATGATACGCGTAAGTTGAATCAGTGGCTCTGCGATTGTGGGCTCTGTAGACAGGTATGACCTCTTCCCTGGCTGGAACACCATCCGGATTATTTCCTCGAGTTTGCGTGCAGCGATGTTGGGCGAATCAGTGTTCGTTCGATAGAGGTATGACCACACTAGCTGGCACAATCCCCGAAGAGCAAGAGCCCTCGTGGCACGCTCTTTAAGCCTGGGCTGTGTAGACAAAGCAAGAGCCGACCACTGAGTGGTGATGTTCTCGGGAGGTGAGGCACTGAGCAGGGCGCACATCAGCGGAAACGCCTCTTGCCAGTGTTTTGGTTTGCCAAGCAGAAGGGACACTCTTGGTTTCATAGTCTCAATCACTGCTCTCCATTTTTGACAGCTGAGGTTCTCCGCTGGTGTGTTCGCGGCAATGCGTATAAGCAGCTCCCGGAGAACCTGGCAATATGCGTACTTGATAGTCTGGCCGTGTACGGTCGAAAACAGTCTGGCTAGTGAAAGCATGTAATCGCAAGTGCGGTCCCAGGCATCCTCTGGATGGGACCTGACTTTCATGTACCGCATGGAGCGAACAAGAAGGGCCCCCTTCGTCTCTAGCTCTCGGCTGAATTGGGTTTTTACGGCAAATTGGCTATCGATGGTTTTAAGTTCCCCGATGTACTTGTCGCGAACATTGTCGAAGACGAGCTCGCTCAAAGCACCCAAGAGCTGGCCATAAATAACCCAGTTGGCATGGCACAGTGGTGATTCCTCAACTAGTTCAGGTTCGACGCTGATGAGCTGTCCGTAGAAAAGCCCAAGAAGACGGTCTGCCATTTCCACCGTCAAAGACTGCAAGTCCGTTTGGGTTATGATTTCGATAAGAACACGGCAAAGTATATATGTTGAGACAGTTGAACGTTGCTCTGCTTGGGCAAGCACTTGTTGTAGGACAAGGATATTTTCGGGGCTTGAAGAGATTGATCCCGAGCTCGCATGGTCTCCTACACTTTGAACAGGTTCGGTATTGCGGCGAGGAAGAACCGTTGGGGGAAGGGAAGCACCTTGTCTTGCCTGCCTTGAGAATTAGTAACAATCACTGTCGTAGAATATGTGTACTCACGCTGGCGAGCTTCAGCCTCTGGGAGTTTGCTTCGTCGCTTTTTGCCTTCCGCCAGTGCATTATCGTATCGATGAGAGGTTTTGGTTTGTGGCGAGCAATATGGCCCAGGGCGGAAATGAGTTGATCGAAACTCGGATCCACGCCTGGACCGCAAACCTTTTCAACATTCACCTCTGGTTGTCCACGATCCGTCATGCACTGTTCTATCATCTTTGAAGTCTGGTCCATGAACTACGGCAAACACTGTGTTAGCACCTCAACCGATGGAGGAAACTTATCCGGATCGACTTACCGAGTTGAAAAGATGATGCAGGGCATATTCGCTCACTGTCTTTGTCTCGTGGGGATGCTGGTGGTGCCGAGATTGCGACCGGTGGTGGTGATGTCCCTTCCGCGACGAACGACTGAGGCCCCGCTCTGGCTTGCGTACGGTTGAAGTCTGATTCCCGGTGCCATCGTGGGCACTTACAGGAGATGCCACGCCTCCTCCTGAGTGGCCATTGGGCGGTGCCGACACGTTCTGTAAGCCGTTGGCCATGGAGGCCTCGGTGATGTTCTCCTCCGCCATTACTGGTCCATCGAGAGAGCCAGCGCCGCTGGCGGCAATGATCTGCGGACTCAGCGGGCTGGTGGCAGGAGAATTGACGAAGCTGGTGTTGCGGGAGTGTTGAATGCCATGTACGATGGAGGTATTACGGTGGTGATTGTAGGGAAGGGAGGGTTTCCGTTCGAGGCCCCGGTCAGGGCTCGAATTGCTACCGGGTATCAAGACGACAGGCGTTTGCGAACGCGGCGATATTGTACGGCCGGAGGTGGTCAGCGCCCGCCCTCGTGTGACAGAAGATTCTCGGGAGGGAGCCGATGGACCAAAGGAAGCGTCAGTATGGTGCGACGTATTTCGAGCCTGCTGGGCGGGCTGCGCCAGTGGGGAGGACGCTGCTGCAGCGAGTCACAGGGGTCAGCTCAATACAAATACGGAGTGGGAAAGTTTCAACGTCCAGACAAGCTCGGCGGCGAACACGGGAGAGGGGCGGATATGCACAGATGGTTGTTGACAAACAGTGCACTCCTTCGAGCCGTGCCTAGGGATGGCGGCGGTTTTGGAGATTCGACATATGAAGCTGTTTCTGAGGGAGGGGGCTTTTTGGACTGGGATGCGGATATGGGGGCGTGTTGGAGAAGAAGAAGGGGTTACTCACACATGTTGCCGGCATCTCACTTGTCATATGCGCGCAGCAGAGTTGACAAGGAACAGCAAGAGGTATGATATGTTCAACCGGTCGTCATGATGGTGATGCGGAGGGGGGGTTAGATTTCTCGGAGGGAGCGGAGGTGCGAATATGTAATGATGTCTAGGTCGGTCGTCTTTTAGTTTTCAACAATCGACCCTTGCGGCTTCCAGGTCGGTTCCTGGCACTAGACCGCTTTCATAGGTCATGATCGCTGTTTGGTGGTGGGCGTAAGGCTATGGCGGGCAATCCAACCGGAAGATCTGGGCTGACGGTCATACCTATAGTGTATACATATAACATCCTCGTGAGACTTCATCAGCTTACCATAGTCAAGTAAATAATGTTAAATGTGATATGATGTATGTTATAGTAAAATTACTGCGGGTAGATCTAGGGCCATGGCAATGTCGGCTACTGATTACCTCATGTGCTTGTACCCTCTCACGCTCTGCTCATATCCTCTGTGTATGTACAAAGAAGGAGGAGCACCACAATGGCCGACATCATTGGCCGAACATTGAAATCAGGGTAGATATAGAGAGAGAACAGTAAGATCAAAGGAAAATAAAGTAGATAAGATTGATTGATAAGAACGTTCAATGCTGAAACAGTAACGATGCACGCGAGTGGGATACCCGGCACCTGGTAGTAGTAGCAGTAATTTAGGAGATACTCCACAGTCCCCTCCACTATACGATGGATTGCTTTAGTAAATCCTCCGATCCGATCATCTTAGAGTAAAGGCTGGAGATCACCTGCAAATTATCGCCCGTATTGCTTTTCCTATTAATCTTACAATGTTTTGTGAAAGCCAGGCTTTGATGTGAATATGCCCAGTCGTGATTGATTATGTTCACCACAACCCTATAGATACCTACCGATATCAACACAATAATCCCTCGTAACCCGAGCCTTGCCACCAACATTCCCAAAAGGTTTCGAAGTTACTACTATGAATGCGCGCAATAATGGCACGTCTACTAGGTAGCTCGGCTTACTGCAGACCCAGACTGGGAGACCACAGCCTCAAACGAGCCTGAGGTGATCTTTTACTGTAGAGTCCCGAGTCGGCAATGAAGAAAGGTATATTACTTGAATGATGAGCCCGAGGTATATAAACCCGGACCGGATACTACTCGTGTGTTTGCATTGTATCTACATTTTTTCCTTGAGGAAACGATCAAGAGGTCTCTTTAGTACAATCTCTCATTTCCTTTTTCTTCATCGTGTATTATACCAGGACCATCATTTGGGAGAGTGGAAAGATTTGCGGATTCGAAAGGGTACATGAAATAGTAAGTCCATCCCATACAAATTACAAGTACCTACCTGAATACCGCCCCTCACTGCTCCCGTTCTCTTCTCCACCACTGCCGATAGAAGTCTCCGTCCAGGCTAACCGCGGCTAAGTTGTCTTACAGCCTCGTTGCAGTCGTGCGAGCTTCTGATTCCCCTCATTATTCCGCACTTCGATCCAACGTCTAGGGAACCTACACTACCACCGTGGTCCGCTTCGGCGCTCGCACGAGGCTTTTACACGCTACCTGGTCCTGGATACCCCACACGGCATTGAATAGCTGTGATTTCGGTTACGTAGCATTCACCTCCAAGTCCTTCGGCGTACCCTCGTAGGTATTCGTAGGCTTGTAGGAGAACTACCGGTAGCAAATCGTCTCAGTAATCGGTGCCTGGGGTCCTGCGGAAAGATTTGCGATTCCCAAACAGGAACTGCGGAATCACAAGCGCATGCTCTATCCCCTCCACCAAGACGCTGGTTGTTCTACGCAGTTCTGTGTACTACGTCCCGCATCCATCACACGCTACCCATCACCCTTTCCGGAGACATCTTTTTTGTCTCCCTATACTCTCTACAGTTTTCTCACGGACGCGGAATAGCGGCGATCCGATCACCTCCGAGTTCTGTCCGATTCCCACTGCCTCTACCAACTGCCACCAGCCGGTTTTCTCTACTACTACTCTATACAACAATAGGTACTTCGTGCACTACCTCGTACTGTACATAGAGAGAGTTGCAGTCTACCTACGGACAATAGCAGCTAATATCTTCCGCTGTATCTGCTCTGTCCCGTAACCCTTCATTCTGCTTCATTCTTCTTCACCTTTCATTCATCACCGCTATTACCGGTGCTACTGGAACCCACCATCTCTCTACCGCTTCACGCACGTGCGCCACCCCAAGGTGGTGACAACATTAATTACAAGTACAAGCAGCATCGCCACCCGAGACAGCTGCATCCTGCATACATACGATTCCTTTCCTCCTAGCACATGTGAGAGAGTTAATTCTCCTTGCAAATCTCCTCCTTTTCCTTTTCTCCTTTTTTCTTCTCGTCAAAAGTTATACTTGTTCATTCTACGAGTCTCCACCTATTCGTACCCATATTCGCTTGTTACGAGGGGCCTCACCCACCTCACCTCATCCCCACCTGAGCATCCAGCTCCCAATCCATCGCCCAGCACGGCTCCACGGCCACCGCCGATAAAGGCAACGCTTGAGATATCGGACACTAACAAACCGATTTCCGCCCCGAACCACCACCACCTCCCACTTTCCACCGCGCCCCATTCCAATTCCTAGGTGACCCTCCGTGTGTCTACCTCGCTCTCTCTCTCTCTCGCTCCTTTGACCGCTTGTCCTCTTCCGGTCCTGATCTTCCCAACGTGTCCTGTAAGAATTTCCAACTCTCGCATCCTTCTGCCATGTTCTTCTTTTGCTAATCATCGGGACAAACAGCACAATGGCGCAACTCGACACGCTCGACATCATCGTCCTCGCCGCACTCCTTCTCGGAACGGTTGCCTATTTCACCAAAGGCACCTACTGGGCCGTCTATGGTGACCCCTACGGCAATTCGCTGGCCGCCAGCAATGGCGCAGCGAAGGCGGGCAAGTCACGAAACATACTAGAGCGCATGGAGGAGCAGGACAAGAACTGCGTTGTATTCTATGGCAGCCAAACTGGTACCGCCGAGGACTATGCTTCGAGATTGGCCAAGGAGGGGCACTCGAGGTTTGGTCTCAGCACCATGGTGGCCGACCTAGAGGACTACGACTTCGACAACCTAGACAAATTCCCCGATGACAAACTTGCAGTCTTCGTCCTTGCTACCTATGGCGAAGGTGAACCCACGGATAACGCTGTCGAATTTTACGAGTTCATTGGCTCTGAGGATGTTGCATTCAGTGAGGGCGGGTCCATTGACGACAAGCCCCTCGGTAGCATGAAGTACGTCGCATTCGGTCTCGGCAACAACACCTACGAACATTACAACTCCATGGTCCGCAACGTCGACAAGTATCTCACCAAGCTTGGTGCTACCAGGCTCGGAGCTGCTGGTGAGGGTGACGATGGCGCTGGCACCATGGAGGAAGACTTCTTGGCCTGGAAAGAGCCCATGTGGGCTGCTGTCACCGAGTCCATGGGTCTCGAGGAGCGCGAAGCCGTTTACGAGCCAAACTTCGAGATTACCGAGAAGTCAGACGTCGACGCCGAGTCCACAGAGGTCTACTTGGGCGAGCCTAACAAGAACCACTTGGAGGGGTCGCAGAAGGGACCCTACAACGCCAACAACCCGTTCATCGCACCCATCGCCGAATCCACCGAACTCTTCACCGCCAAGGACAGGAATTGCTTGCACATGGAAATCGATGTCTCTGGCTCCAACCTATCGTACACTACGGGAGATCATATCGCTGTGTGGCCCACAAATTCTGGAAAGGAGGTTGATCGCTTCTTGAACATCCTCGGTCTTGCCTCCAAGCGCCACACGGTCATTGCCGTTAAGAGTCTTGATGCTACTGCTAAGGTGCCTTTCCCATCCCCGACCACCTACGATGCTGCCGTTCGATACCACATCGAGATCGGCGCCCCCGTCTCCCGTCAATTCGTCTCCACCATCGCGCAATTCGCCCCCAACGACGAGCTCCGTGCCGAACTCGCTAAGCTTGGAGGTGACAAGGATTATTTCCATGAGAAGATTTCCGATCGTCAACTCAACATTGCCCAGTTCCTTGAGATCGCGTCTGGTGGCAAGCCTTGGGAGCAGATCCCATTCTCTCTCATGATCGAAGGATTGCTCAAGATCCAGCCCCGCTACTACTCCATCTCCTCGTCGTCTCTAGTCCAGAAAAACAAGATCTCGATCACCGCGGTTGTTGAATCGTTGGAGAAGCCAGGTTCACCACACATTCTGAAGGGTGTCACCACCAACTATCTCTTGGCTCTGAAGCAGAAGCAGCACGGCGATCCCAACCCCGATCCCCATGGACTCAACTACGCAATCAATGGTCCCCGTAACAAGTACGATGGTATCCACGTCCCCGTCCATGTCCGCCACTCGAACTTCAAGCTTCCCTCGGATCCATCCAAGCCCATCATTATGGTTGGTCCCGGTACCGGTGTCGCTCCCTTCCGAGCCTTCGTGCAGGAGCGCGCCGCACAGGCCAAGGCTGGACAAAACGTTGGAAAGACGATCCTTTTCTTCGGTTGCCGGAGAAAGGACGAGGATTACATCTACCAAAATGAGTGGAAGGTTAGTATACGCGCATCGCTACCAACACACGTTCGGTTCACTAACAGTATCACAGGAATACAAGGAAGCTCTTGGCGATAACTTCGTTCTCCACGTTGCTTTCTCACGTGACGGCCCAAAGAAGGTTTACGTGCAGCACCAGATGGCCAACTATGCCGACGAGCTCAACCAGCTTCTCGACCAGAAGGCCTACTTCTACGTTTGCGGTGACGCAGCCAACATGGCTCGCGAAGTCAACACGCTCCTCGGCAAGATGATCGCAAAACACCGCAACGTGTCTGAGCAGAAGGGAGAGGAAATCGTCAAGGCGATGAGGGCCTCGAACCAATACCAGGAAGACGTCTGGTCATGATTTGTAACGTCCATCTTCATAGCATTTCCGGTCGTCAGGGATTAGATTGGAGTGGTTTGGCGTTTGAACGCATAGCCTTCGATGGAATAAATAATTGCGAGGGCGGCATGTGATTGTTGGAATAACTCTCTAGATGCACCATTGGTCTCATCTCTTTTTTTATTCATTGACTACCCATAGCCTAGTACATAAACTTCTGCGATATGACAATCTAATAAGCGAAGCGCACAGTACGCATTTTCTGTTATCTTATTTTATTTTAGACATCATGTACGTACTCTGTGTGCTGCAGGCTAATGCTGTGATTGATGCCAAGGAGGGCGAGCTAACTCTTGGGAAAAGTACCACTTCCCATCTCCACGTCGCTTAATGAACTCTAAACTCAGAACTAACAAAACTGGCATCAAGCATCTACGCCTGCCGCCAGGATAGGTCTCACTTTATCACTGCGTCGCTTATTTCTAGAGGCTTCCGGCAGATGTGGACCCGCTGCAGCACGGCGGCGACATGTAATTTCTGCAGTCCTTCCATCTTTCTAGAACGAACTGGTCAAATGCGTATAGATGCAGCCTCCGCAAAAGCAAACATGGACACCCACACAGAGCATTGTCCATTTCGTCTCAGTTAGATGCACGACATTTTGTTTATACTATCCATGAGAGATCCCATGCATGTGGCTTTCCAGCCGGCATCTAGAATAGGGCACTCTTACAAATCGTCGAGCAATCCGAGGCATTCCTAACAGTGAGCTGCCCATGGGGAAGGTCATATGCAGAGTCCCTTAGCGATTGGGCCAACCATCCAATCTGAAGAGACATGTTCTTGAATACTAATGACCCGAACAAGCAAGACACTCGAGCCTGGCGTGCGCCGGAATTACGTCTTGTGCTACCTTGACATGAAAATGGTTAGAAGCGTCGCCTTCGACCCCTTTCTTGGACACCTTTCCTGAGTGCGTGGACCCGAAGGCCAGGTATGAGGCTGGTACTCGTAACGTTGGATGGAGAAACTCTGGACATGTCGGGCAGTTCCAAGGAAGTCAACTTGAGAAGTTTGCTGGCCAAGGTCGAAGATATCTCATCGACGCACGACATCTAACACGCCAGCGGCTACGATCACACCTGGCGTAAACATACCATGTGATCAGAGCCTGGGATAAAACGGGAAACAACATCGTCATTACACCGCCTACTATATCACCGAGATGCAAGACAGTCCTCAAACATCCAATCTCTATGCTTACTCGTGGGGCCAATTCGGCACCAGGCCATTTCTGGACTTACAATATCCAAGCAGCTGCTGCATTTAAACGTTTCAGACGGCTACCGGTGGTCGGGTAACCACATAGCGAATTTCTGCAACGCGGTGTTGCCGCAGTTGCGCCCACACCGCACGCTCAGAAGCAATTCGAGCTCTGTTCAGCCAGACAGGTCACACGGGCCCCTCCTGGCTCGCGGACGAGAAGTCATTGATCGCACGACCTGTGGAAGGTAGCAGATACTGAATTTCGTTAGGCACAGAGTGATGCGACTCTCTATCTCATCTATTCTGACGGAGCAGGGTCCACAGCGCGCGGGAGCAACCGAAGAAGCCGATCTACCCTAACCTTTTCAATGTCTGTAGCGCACAGAGGGGAAGTCCCCACCTCGGTGTCCTTGATCATCTGCACCGTTTCTTGGATTCTCTTGCCTTCAACCTCGAATGGAAGAGAATCGATGAGTCCTGATAATCTCGGAATGTACCCTTGCTTTCCGTCCCCCCGCGGGCACGCGGCAGCATCTAGCCGGAGATTTGAAGTTGCAGCCGGAATAAATCTACGAGATGGGCCATTGCACCATGTTAATGGCACCTACTGGTCTGTGGCGTATCGTCTGCCAGGATGCAGATCCAATGATTCGCGAGTGCACTGCACAGAATACGCAACCGTCCTCGAGATACCAACCGCCGAACCGTTCCAAGGTGCAATTGTCCAACGCCACTTGCAACGGCCGGGTCCGCCGCAGCAAAGTCGATCTGTTGTGGATGTCTTATAGGTTACAGAGAGTTAAGTCGTGCGCACGCTATTTGGAGATCTTTACAGATGTCCACTTACGGAGTACTCCAGGTGGGATTCGATTCTGGCTGCGTGATATCTTCCCTGTCCGTGTAGCCATGCTAACGTGCTGCAAGCAGACCTGATGTCAAATGCAAATAGATGCACGTCGTAGCAACGATTATTCAGGCAAGTGATTGTCGGTACACAAAGCCTTGCCGGGGGGGGAGGACCCAAAAGTGACAGGTCGAATCTGCATCGGGAGTGGCTCGCCAAAACGATGGCATTCGTCCATGTACTATCATACTCATGCAAGAGGATTGTTCCCTATTTGGGGAGAGTTTTCTCTCGGGTTTGTTCAGCCTTGCTGCAAGGGCAATGCATTACTTCTCGCTATGGCTGGGAAATGCCCGCTGTATGTAGAGTCCGACTACGAATGATGGCGCTCCAGTACGGGATAGGGAGTACAAAGTCATCCTGGAGGGGAATGGCTGGATCCATCAGCGGAAGCGGATAGTGTGCACGACTTGATGTGACCCTCGCAGTGTCTCCACCAGGACGTTGAGTTGCAGATTCATAGACGAACATCCCTGAAGCATGGTTCTCGTACAGTGCACCCATTCTGTGACCGCACTATTAAAGCAGTGACCCTCCCATTGTGGCGGTTAGGCAAACATACGCACTGCATCGCACTTATATACCTATACTCTCTCTATCTATCTATCTGTCCGCCAGCCCTGGGAGGCATACATATACATTGATAAAGGAGCAGCATTTCCGAAATATTTTACTTGCTTACGATAACCGACCTACCAACCTTTCTTCTGACGTCGCATATGTTCGTATGAAAGAAGGAGAGCAGAAGGATATCTCAGAACCACATCGAGTCATATCTAACCACCCAAAGATTGGGATTAAAGTGTCCCCAATTGTTCCCCTTGTTGCCGTTCGTAATATCTTTGGTCTTCGTCGTTACTTCACTGGTCCTTGTTGTTACTTCACCTATCAGCCACTACTTCCTACCTCGTTGTTTACTATACCGGTATCTTCGTGAGAACGAGGTAAGCTCCTGCTTCGCTTCATTCTGTTCATCCATCTGAATTGGATATTGCGCAAATTTTCGAGGCCATAGGTGGAAGGAGAGGTTCGTGCACTGTTGATGGCCTTCCGACCGTGTCCAGTCCTCTTCAACACTACTACCACTGCTCCTTCCCTCATTTACACGGATCTACCACGGCCCGTATATTGACATCTTCTGTTTCCAATCGGCCTTTTCCCTTCATCTTTCTTTTCTTCTCTTTCTCTACCACACTTCTTTTCTCACCAGTACGCTTCAGTGGCCACATTCTTTGTAGCTTTTCTCTCAGGTCAGTGCTTGAACCAGGCATCGTGCTCACCCACCGACTCCCCCAGTTCTGCCCCGTTCTGGTGTCACGTCACACTTCACGATCGAGCACCACTCTAACAGTGAACAGCTTTGGAAGCACTACAAGCCTCGCACATTGCAGAATTTGACATTTTCGACACTGTAGGTTTCACTCTCAACCTTTCACCGAAGCCTTCACTCGGGGCTACTTGACTCTTCGCGTTCATGGTTGCCATGTCGCCGGAGTTAGTGCCTCAGTGAAAGCTAGTCCACTCCAATCCCAACCTCTCGCTCTATCTCTCTCACCTTCTATTTATTCTCTCTTTTCCCTCCCTCCACCGAACAATACACGACAATTCGCACCGATTGCAAAAAAAGCAATCGAATTTGGCTGACGGTTCTGCAGAGTACCTTCTTCTTTTGATCGTACATCACTTTTAGAACAACCAAACATTGCTGCTTTCCCTATCGACTCGCTCTTGTCGAAAAGCTGCTCGCCAATCACTCAGCAGCCTTCGTCCGCACTGCACTCAGCCGCCTCGGTCTCTCTCTCTCGATTCAATTGCTTCGTCATCCAGCAAATCTCAAGCTTGGTACGTTCACTCCTGCTTTTCAATTGACTCAAGTTCCAAGCTGACTTTACGTTCTTTACTCAGACAATTCCAATGGCTACCGACAGACGTCAAAACGGCTACGGCACTTCTGGCTTCAAAGGCCAGAACATGATGAACCACTATGCCCAAGCTCACGGCGGAGCCCAGTACCTTCCTCGCGGGCTCCCGATATCGTCCCACATAGGTGACAACCCTCTCCAGAACTTGACGAACAATATGAGTGGTCTGAACTTGCATGCCTCCTATGGCTCCTCCGGCACTAACAAATCCGGTGCATCCATGATGTCTTCCACCTCGTCAGATTACAATGGTCTTCAGGGTCAGGGTCTATGGGTCCCCAATCAGCATGTTCTGAACTCCATGTACCAAGTCCTGCCTGGAGCTGGTCAACAGCAAGCTTCGCCTGGCATGTACAACCATGCAGGTGCTTTCGTCCCTGCCTATCAGTATAGCCAGGGCATTGCTGAGAACCCCGCAATGGCTGCTAACTGGAGCGGTCGTATCTCCTCAGCCGAGATGCCATCGCTGATGACACCTAGACGTGACTCCATCTCTTCGAACGAGAATGACATCCCCGGTACGCCCTACAATGGCAGCGGCCCTTACCGCTATGGACCTTCGGCGGCCATCATTGATCGTTCCCCCAATGGAGTCTACGCGAACAGTGCAACCCCTTCACCTTCCCAGTTGGCTCATGGGTATCAGCTCGTTGCCCCACTCCATAAGGCCCAGAGCATGCCAACACTCTCACCTCGTCTGCTGGCGCTGGTCAACAAGGAGCCGTCAATCCCTCGGGCCATTCCTGCTCCTAACTCCCCCGCAAAGCCACTCGACCGCAGCCTTGAGAATAAGTCTGGCGAGACAAACGTCTACATCCGTGGCTTGCTTCCGGAGACCACCGATGAGATGTTGCATTCCTGGGGCGCGCGCTTCGGAGACATTCAGAGCTCCAAGTCGATCATCGATAACAAGACTGAACTGTGCAAAGGGTACGTGCTATCCGATACTTCTTGTTCATTTGCTGACTAGTACCTTCCAGTTTCGGATTCATCAAATATCATAACTTCGAAGACGCCGAGAACTGCATTCGTGGCTTCCACTATCTTGGATACGAAGTCAGCTTCGCACGGGAGTCGTTCTATTCCAAGCTCAAGAAATTCTCCGACGAGCAGAACACGAATCTTTACATCTCCACCTTGCCAAAGAATTTCAACGAACACGAGCTCAGTGCCATCTTTGCACCTCACAAAGTCTGCTCCAGCCGTATCCTTCGTGATGCAGCCGGGACTCCTCGTGGTGTTGGATTCGCTCGCATGGAGTCTCGTGATGTCTGCGAAGAGATCATCAAGAAGTTCAACAACACCCCCGTCTCCAAGCCCGGAACGGAGGAGCATATCATTCAGATTCGCTATGCCGACACCCATGAGCAGAAGCTTCTCAAGCAGCAGACAGCTGCTGGACGAGTCTTCCGTGCTCATGAGTATGAGGTCGGCGTCGCTCAGGCTCGCGCATTGAGTGCCCCGGACAGGTTCCTCTCCATCTCCCCGGAACAGCATAGTAGTGTCAACGAGTTCGAAATGTTCCTCCAGCGTCAGTCAAATGGGGCTCCATTCGTCCCCAACCAGCGTTATCGCCAGCCGTATGCCCCCGCTGTCCCATCGACTCTGGGCACCGCCCGTCCAACGATGCCTCCCATGCTGCTCTCAGCTGCCCAAGTTCCTGGCAAGGCTGGTCGTGACGGTTCTGACGATGAGGGTGTCGAGAACAAACCCAGTCCTGCTACTCCCGCGAAGACTGCAGCCTCCTCTAGCTCTCCTGCTCGTGAGTCTGGACGCGAGGAGTAAGGTCGATCCCCCACTGGCTCTCCTCGCATGCACCTGCAGGCTTTGAAGCTCATCTCGTCGCTCCAATCGTATCAGCGGCGCCTGCTCTTTATTCATCTCAACACTTCAAAGTCAATTCATGGAGAGTTTTTGGGCATTCATTCCCTATCCTGGTATCTCAGACAAGCACATCGCCATGAAGCCTGTTATGTCAACTGTTACCCCCAGGCGGCCCCTTACAGTTACATCTCATCTTCTCTTCTTCCTTCCGGCCACGCACCTTGCTGTCGATGCCCATGCGTCTACTCTATTGCTCTCTTACGTAACTGTCCTTATTCACTTGATACTTTTGGACCCACCTGCGTCGCTTCCCTGGTGACTGCCACTCGTTATCGACATTGGCCGGCGTTCATGTTTTATCGCCGAAAAGGGCATGCACTTCTTCTTCCGCCGGCTGTGTTTTGCTACACCAGCTGAGTATGTTTTACTATTTTGCAAGCAAGGAACATCTTCGAACGCGAACAGCAAGTGAGCTTGCATTCTTGATCAAGTATCTACACACTAGTGGAGGCACATGATATGGGGTTCTATGGGAGGCATTGATCATAGATTATAATAATGTTAGCATGCTCAAAAAATCAATCAAAGTCAGATTAATGATCGTGTGCGTTTTCATCGTGAAAGATGCCCATTCCCAGGCTTTGAACCTTCAAATACGTTCAAGCATATGCTCATACAGTAGTCATTTTGTCAAATGCCTTGTTATCATCTATGGTAGACTACATTCAGAATTAGGCGAAAACCTTGGTAACGGTACGTTCGATTGCAATCGTTGTCTACGTGTACTAAACTTTTGGAGCAACTGCTCGTGGGGTATCATGGATAGAAATGGGAATGAAGATAGAGCCGAGGACATTGTGAAGCTCAGATGGACCACCCAGCCTTTGCCTTAGCAGCTTTAGTAGATATGCTTGGTGTTGGTGCGGACTTCTTGATCTCACTGAGATCGGGAAGTGGATCGTTGTCTCGAATATCAAGGATGGTCATCTGCGCTGGAAGGGCCGACGATTGTTCGTCATCCTTCACAGCGGCGCTGCTGATATCGTCGGAAAGCCCAGTCGATCCATCCAATGTCACACCGCCGTCTTCGCTATCACGGTCACTAGCTCCGTCCTCCTCGTCATCCTCGTCTTCGTCCTCTTCCGCCTTTTCAATGTCCCCTGCGTCGCCGTCCACGCCATGCTCCTTCATGTAATTGTCCAGCTCCTTAGCCATCTTCTTGCTGAAACCCGAGGCTTCGACCTCCACATCAATACGTTTGGTGATCGTCTTGATGGCGTCCTTGAAGAACGGGCCAGGTTCGTCGCTGGTGAAGCCAAAACGCCGTGAGAAGTACCTCTTGATGCATTGCACATCTCTGTCGAAATAGTACTCCGCATTCATATGATCGATGGAGATCATCTGAGGGAAGTCAATGACCGTCGGAATGAGCGTGACCTCTCCCGACTCCTCATCCACCTTCTCCTCAATCAAGATGTTAAACTCGTTGAAATCCCCATGAATCAACCCATGCTGCGCGAGCTGCACAATAAGCGACAACAGTTCCGCGTACAGCGCCGCGGGTTCCGCGACCGCCGAGATCTGCCTCATAGGAAACGCATCAATCAAGCTCATGATAACCGTATGCCTATTCTGCGCCACGGGCTCCGGCACAGGGAACCCTGCGTCCCGCAGCGCCTTCATGAACTCGAACTCCTTCGTCGCCGCCAACCTCGACATGTACATCCACGACGCCGACGAGCGGTTCCGCAGGTAATCTCTATTCGCCTTGACCGTCCGGAACGAGATCCTGCCCAGCCGGTGGATCTTCAGCACCAATTGCTTGCCCGTCTCCGACGCGCACACGAAGATGTCGGACTCCTTGCCCACGCCGATCTGGTTGCCCACGGAGTAGACAGTGGAAGCCTTGGTGTGCGTGTGCAGGGCGAGGTAGTCAAGCCCGCCGTAAGTTAGGCGGTAGCCGTCGTACTTTGCGTTCTTGACCTTCGCGATCAGCCCGATCTTTGCGAGGTTGGAGATGCAGCGGGGGATGCCGCCGGCGCGGAGGGAGGCGAGTTGAGAGATTAGGGGCGTGGGGACGACTTCGTGGTTTCGACTGCCCATCTCGGTCTGTTCACGTAAAAAAGTCAGTAAAGTTTTGGGAAAGGTATGGGGGAAAGAATTTACGTACGGCTGTGAGGACTCGCCAGTCGTCTCCGCTGAGGTAGCGGATGTTTTTGACGTTCAATTTCATGGTTGCGGTTTCGAATTCTCAAAGGTAAATTTGTGGTGTGGCCGTATGTGAATTCTTTTGTCGAAGTACAAGACGAATACTCTTGAAGACGATATTAATGGATTTGGGAAATTTTGGAGGGGCACTTGGTAAATTCCGACGTCTGAGCTTTCTTACGGTGGATCGGCGGGCAAGTATGCTCTTGGCACCGACGCCGCCGTGATGGATGGAGCTCTGTGGAACTTCACCGACAACAATCTCATCAATACAACACCGTTCCCCCTACCAAACTACCCTCTCGCACTCCCTCGATCCACCCCATACCTATCTTCGAGACACGCGGATACGGTCCCCGATAATTCGCGTACCAGCGCATCTGCAACCCCCGGGAAACGAGAACGTGATACGCTTTGCCGCCTTGCCCTAAGCTACCCGTTTGTAATCCATCATGGCAAAGGAAGATGAGAAGAAGCCCACGGCCGCCGACAAGGGCAAGGGAAAGGCCGTGAACGGCGAGGCTGAGAAGGAGGTCAAGAAGGACAAGGATGGCAAACCGATACAGGACGACAAGAAGGGCGTGCAGCAGGCTGGTGCGTTCTAGATGTTTAGCCATGTTGGCATTTCCGCGTATACTGACGGCGATGTGTAGAGGAGCTTAGCGAAGAGGACCAGCAGCTCAAGAGCGAACTCGATATGCTTGTCGAGAGGTTACTGGTACGTCAGTCCGGCAGTACATCGCGGCGTCCGCTGTTGATGCGTCCGCTTCTGGGGTTTGAACATGCGCTGACATATATTGCCTGTGATTGTAGGAGCCAGATACGAGTCTGTACCCACCCGCGCTCGAGAACATCAAGAACTTCATCAAGACGTCAACGAGCTCGATGACGGCTGTCCCCAAGCCCCTCAAGTTTCTGAGGCCGCACTACCAGAACCTGGAGAAGGCTTACGACTCGTGGCCGGAGGGCGACAACAAGGTATGATTGTCTGGATTCCGCGCGTACAGGGCAAAGGAAAGCTCATTGTTCTGCAGAAATCGTTCGCCGATGTGTTGTCCGTACTCGGAATGACATATTCCGATGAAGATCGCCTCGACTGCCTCAAATACCGCCTGCAAGCGCCCTCGACGGATCTCGGCTCCTGGGGCCACGAATACATGCGACATCTCGCACTTGAAATCGGAAGGGAGTTCCAGAACAGACTGAACGATGATAAGTCGACTGATGATATCACCGATCTTGCCCTCACCCTTGTTCCGTTCTTCCTCAAGCACAACGCCGAGGCCGACGCGGTGGATATCCTCTCGGAGCTAGAGATGATTGACCAGATCGAACAGTATTTGGACGAGAACACCTACGCAAGAGTGTGCTTGTACATGGTTAGGTAAGTGTTGTGGGAATTCAGGATGTTCTGGGCAATACTGACTGACGGCTTCAGCACCGTGCCTCTTCTCACATACCCCGACAACGACAAGTTCCTCCGCACAGCACACCAGGTTTACCGGAAATACAAGCAATACACACAGGCGGTGGCTCTGGCGATACGGTTGAACGACCACGACCTCATCGAGGAGACGTTCAACTCGACCGAAGACAAGGCCGTGAGGCGACAATTGGCGTTCCTCTGCGCCCGACAACGTATATGGTTCGATGTTTCGGATGACGAGGACCCAGAGCTCCAGGAGTGCTTAAACAACACCAAATTGCCCGATCACTTCAAGGCTTTGGGCAAGGAACTCAACATCCTTGATCCCAAGACCCCCGATGACATCTACAAGACCCATCTTGAAAGCAGCCGGACAGCGGGCCTGACCAACACCGACTCTGCCAGACACAACCTTGCCTCTTCTTTCGTGAATGCCTTCGTGAACGCAGGATACAGCAACGACAAGCTCATGCTCGGCCAGGACCAAAGGACTAGCTGGGTCTGGAAGACAAAGGACGAGGGAATGATGTCTACGGCCGCCTCTCTTGGTATGCTCATGCTTTGGGATGTGGAGGGTGGTCTTGACAAGATTGACCGCTACACCACTGCTGATGACGACATGGTCAAGGCCGGTGCTATGCTTGCCACTGGTATCATCAACTCAGGCGTGAGGAACGAGTCGGATCCTGCTCTGGCTCTTCTCAGCGACGAGGACAACCTGGCGCACAAGAATCTCAACATCCGCATGGCTTCCATCATGGGTCTTGGTCTGGCTTATGCTGGATCGAACAAGGAGGAGCTTCTGGAGTTCCTTCTACCCATCGTTGCTGATACCAACATTGAGATGCAACTCTCTGCCATGGCAGCATTGTCTCTCGGACTCATCTTCGTTGGCTCGGCCAATGGTGAGGTCACTGACGCTTTGATGAACACACTCTTGGACGAGGACCGGACGAAGCAGCTCACTGATAAGTGGACTCGCTTCATGGCTCTCGGTCTTGCTCTCCTTTTCTTCGGCCAGCAAGAAGAGGTCGAGGTCATTCTGGAGACTCTCAAGGCTCTCGACCACCCCATGTCCAAGCCAACTTCGGTCCTTGCCGAAGTCTGCGCCTGGGCAGGTACTGGTGCCGTGCTCAAGATCCAGCAGCTTCTCCACATCTGCAATGAGCACATCGAGGATGACAGTGACGAGAAGAAGGGCGATGAGCTGCTTCAGTCATATGCTGTCATCGGTCTTTCATTGGTCGCAATGGGCGAAGACGTTGGCCAGGACATGATCCTCCGAACCTTCGGCCACTTGATGCACTACGGCGAGGCGAACATCCGAAAGGCTGTCCCGCTTGCCATGGGTCTCATCAGCGCCAGCAACCCGCAAATGAAGGTGTACGACACTCTGTCACGATACTCCCACGACAACGACAACGACGTTGCTGTCAACGCCATCTTTGCCATGGGTCTTTGCGGTGCCGGTACCAACAACGCCCGTCTTGCACAATTGCTCCGACAGCTTGCCAGCTACTACCATAGAGATGCGAATGCCCTCTTCATGGTTCGCGTGGCCCAGGGTCTTCTCCACATGGGCAAGGGCACGCTATCCTCAAGTCCGTTCCACACCGACCGACAGGTCCTTTCCCGCGTGGCCGCCGCAGGCCTGCTCACCGTCCTCGTTTCCATGATCGACGCTAAGCAGTTCATTCTCGGAGATTCACATTACCTGCTCTACTTCTTAGCAACTTCCATTCACCCACGTTTCCTCATCACACTCGACGAGGAATTGAAGCCACTCACAGTCAATGTGCGCGTCGGTCAAGCCGTCGATGTCGTTGGCCAGGCCGGTAAGCCCAAGACTATCACAGGCTGGCAGACACAGAGCACGCCGGTGCTGCTCGCACATGGCGAGAGGGCAGAGCTGGAAGATGAGAAGTACATTCCATTGAGCAGTATTCTGGAGGGTGTGGTGATTCTCAGAAAGGTATGTCCCCCAATGTCACCTATGCCTCTACAGGGGACCCAGCAATATTGAATGGCATTACTAACACATCTGCAGAACCCTGAATGGGAGGATTGAACGTAACAACACTTGTGTGGAAACTAGCATAAATTCACTAGGTAATCGAACGCATTCAATAAATCAATCAATGAAAAACCACCACCCGGAATGTTATTGAGGATTAACAAGAAGACTTTCGAATCTTCTTCCCCCACCTCAATTGTCTCTGTTGGGGGGATCCAAAGTCTAATTAGAAGACCGCAATGATACATACCCGCGAGTTGCTCTCCTGAAGTGAACGAATGAGGAAGAAGGGCTTGTGTAGGGTATTTATCGTTGTGTATATATAGATTAGCGCGCGCTATGATAAGAGAGAATGGAATGAAAGTATTGAATATTACGTTGGGCTGCTTTACGTGATGTACTTAGACTCAGATAGGGATTGTGTTCTGATGAATGATCTCATGGTGAAATTTCCAAATATGTTGCATCAATTGCTGCCTTTCCATGTTGGCCATTGACGATTGAATGTTCTAAGCAGCGTCTTCTCGCCATGTTACATAAATTGCTCCAAAGACAATGGCATCCTTTCCCTCCCCCTTTCCACAACGCCATACGCAGCCAATGTACGGTATAGTCTCGACATCGGATTCAAAGTGTCACTGCTTAATCCATCGTTAGCAACTCCAATCCACCACTCAAACCCCATCTCTCCCACAGTCCAGATACTTCTCCCCAGTTCTTCGGGATCACTGGCTGACCACGTATCGCTCGAGCCTTTGCTGGGACGTCAACTCCATCTCAATCGATCAATATCTCCCACCATTCCAAGGATCAAGACTTCACGTTTCTGGGTTGTATAAATGCGAGATGTAGTCTCTCGTCGTCATGTTCTCACCTTTTCCCTTTAGTTTTGCTATCTAAAGCGTCCTGCGCATGTCAGTTAATCAGTCAGTCAGTCAGTCAGTCAGTCAATACCCCTTTTCTATCCAAAAGATACCAGTTCCTCAAAGACGAATATCACAACCCAGAGTCCCCCCCCCTCTAAAAACAAACACAAGGTACCCTCTCAACCAAAAGTCAAGAATGCCATTCCTAATCCACCACCCCGTCGCGCCCGGCCGCCCCTACCTGACCTTCTCCACGCCCATTGCGTCCGACTTCGCGCGCTGGCGCTTCCGCGTCGACGTCCTCGACCCGTTCGACCCGCGCATCGCGGAGATCCAGGCCCGCGGCGAGGCGTCGTTCGACAACTGGGAGGGCAGGCCGCATCTGGCGGAGGTGTGGAGGAGGGAGTGGGCGAGTAGGTGTACGAGGGAGGAGATGGAGAGGTTGATGGCGGCGTATGGGGTGAGGTGGGAGGATGAGAGGTAGGGTGTAAGGTTTTGGGCGGTGTTGGGGGTATTGTGGAAGGTGGTGTTGAGAATGGTGTTGAAGATAATGATGAAGATTCTATTGAAGATGTTGGTGGAGATGCTAATAGGATAAGATGTAGTATGTTGACAGAGTTGGGTGAGTTGGTGTATTATCATACAGTAAGTGGTTGTTCTATTTTTCTGCATCTTCATCAATGTTGGAGATATGAAAGCAGTTTATTTATTCGATCATAGCAAAGCATCATACCTGAATCGAGGCATTCTTTTTTCAGTGCACTTGAAAACAAACAGATCCTAGCAAGTTTAATGAGAGAAACTGTCCCAGTTCTTCTTCTTCTTCACGTTGGCATTCAAGTGTAGTGTATCGTATATGTACCATTGACGTTGGCCGAGAGTGAAGGAGTACTAAAAGCAGTGGGAACAATAACGCAGCTGTGATTATATTTGCTACCACTAATATTGAAGTTCATCATTTTGAAAAGAGAAAAGGATGATATTTCTATGAAGATTAAAAAATGTAATGGGAGAAGTTGAACAATTATATGCGATATAGGTATGATGATGTTACATGAACGTCCATATAGAAGAGACTATGTTTACGAAAATGAGGGATTTGAACAAGACAAGGAGAAGTATGTCATACCTCCAAAACTGTTCCTATGAAAGTGTATCCCGAATATTAAAAATATTTGATAGCTAAGTAGTTATTGCAAACTCTCTTTGATATGATAGACAAGAGACTTTTTTGCTTGCTCGTCCCCTAGGAGGCTAGGATAGTTGATGCCAATTTCCAGAATCTACACAGCAACAATAATACGACGTAAAAATAAAACATACGTTCAAGGCGAAGTACTGGACTTGTTACCTAGATTCCGATGATAGATATTGTTGCCTAATGCTACATGTTCCATGTTCTAACACATCTCAATGGATGATGGGCAAAAGACAACCGCAGTTGCGTGTTCCGGTGACGTAGGCGACCCCCTAGTAGCGACCAGCGAATGAGAAGCGTTGGTTCTGGTCTGGGGGAACTGAGCTTGGGGGAGGAACAGCGACGGCGCAAGGTTCGAAACGGAACCCCCGTCTCGGTCCTCCTGTGGTGGCCGTTGCGCAACCTCCAACGCGAAACCTCACCACTGTGTTCACTTTCTCTGCTATTTCCCTGCGCACCACCCAGAAATTCCACCCATCCATCTAAACCCTCATCACGCCGATCTGCCTCGGTTTATAGTCCAATTCTTTTCCTCGTAGAACCAAACACATACGCCTCGCGCTCGCCACGATGGATTTCTCCGATATCTTGTAAGTTCCAGCAGTAGGCATCTGCCATCGAAGGCAGGCAGGGAGGAAGGAGAAGGGGAAGCTTCCTGCACAGGCCTTCGGTATTAGCTTTAGATGAAATTTACTAATTCGAACCTTTGCCAGTCGCATTGTGAACTTCGCCGTCGCCGTGTTTATGGTCCTCGGTGGCATCTCGAAGTTCTTCGGATTCAATGACTTGTGAGTTTGCCCTGGCGCAAAGCGTGCTCGCCATCTACCTTCTACCACCGCCGCCGTTGTCATCGTCGCGATCGCCGTATATAATGCAATTGTCATGAAGCTTGTTGCTCTTGATACTGCAGGATAGGAGCTCTTGGGGATGGATGGGAGGGGTGGATCAATATGGCCGATGAACTTGGCTTGTATGGGACCACATCTCATCAAGCTATATAGTTGGCATGGTCTCTCCCGTCCGACCATCTACATTCCATACCGGGATTTTACATCAGTCTCCAAGAGTCTGGGGAGAAGCTCAAGGCTCTTGCGATTCGCACGATGATGGGCAACGCGGTAGCGGTCGTAGCACCAGACTTCGGATGCGACACGCGCGTATCAACATGGACAAAGTGGACAATGGCACTGACAAGGAAATTGTAGCTCAGATATCATTCTCGGTGTTTACCTCGTCCTCTTCGGTGCTGGTAAGATAGCTCGCTCTAAGGCATCGCCAAGCTCTCTGGAAATCGTGCTAATGACTCTCTAGGAACTGCCCTCCTTGGTGCGTATTTGTCATGTCCCTTCGTATAAACAAACTTTAGGCTCTGCGATAGTTGAGTTTCGGTGGACAGAGTCATGCTGTCGGCGCCGTCTCACCTTCCCAGCTCAATGTCTGTCTGGTAGTATGCACTAGTTACTGACGATCCGGAACAGAGATCCAGATCCCACCGCAAGTTGCGCGTTATGCGTCTTTCATGTTCTCGTTCCTCGGACGTGGAGTCTGTACGTATATCTATCTTCTATTATTTATTTCTACTGTGCGCGGACAAGGCTAACGTATGATGCAGTCTACATTTTCATTGGCTCCGTGATTGTCGGCCCGGGATGGTTCCGATGGCTTCCCGGCACGATCGTCGGTGTCATTGGCATCGGCTATGCCGTGCTCGAGTACATCCCGTCGATTGAGCCCCCGGCCAATATGCGGTAAGCAATACATCATAACCAGCCAAATCTGACGGCCGAAGCCGAACAATACCCTGACCGATCACAGTGATGCGGACGCTGGCTGGGGCGCCGAACAGGTCTAACCGTGACCACTCGCCCACCTGGTCTCATCCCAGCCCAAGCTCACGCCCAAGCCCAGGCCCAGGGGGGCCACGCGGTCGAGGATGGCGTTTGTATGATTCCTCCTGCAGATCCGGCTGGGGGACTTGAAAGAGAGGGGGCGGGAGGGGGTGACTTGGGGGGTACCTGCGTGGTACCTGCCGAGTAGTCAAACTTAACGTCAAGTCAAGAAAAGGGACGCAGGTGTACAGAGTCGATGGCCGGTTGGATGTATGTATGTTTGTGCGGAAATCGATATGACGACACTAGGGGGGAATTGCTGTGCGATTAGAACGGACGGAGGGGGTCGTCAGTCGCTATTGAACGTTGTCCATGTTCATTGAAAGATGGGAGGGATGTCCCTCAAGAGAAGGGAAGGGGAAGGGGAGGGAGGGGATCAAAGGGGGGGGGTTATTTCCGCTGAAGTGGTATCCGGGATCCTTTATTCCCTCCACGATGCAGCTATCCTGGCATCCATCATCGTCGTTTATCAACTGTTGTTTTGTGTCGTCGATCTCTCTAAGGTTGTAGATTTATAGATCTTGATTGATTGATTGGTTCATTCATTCCCTTCCCTCCCTTGCCCCTTTCCTTCCTTTTTCCGCTAGATGTTCCGGGAGGGCGAACAAGGCGGCCGCGGCGACAGTCCGAACGAGTAACAATCGATGAAAACGTACCACATCATGCAAGCCCACGTCTCTTTCTCTTCCCCTCCCTCTCTTATCTGATCTCTGAGATGATCGGGAAGGGAAGGCAAGGGAAGTTTGGAAACTTTATTTATGGTTTGGGTGGTGTGCATATGCCATGAAGGGGTCGTCCATCTGGTCGGTGTATATACATGGGTTGTGAATACCCGCTGATTGGATGAATGGGTTCGGGATGGCGCTCGGGATGGTCGGCATGTTCGGGAGGGGAGAGGGTGGGTGGATGGGTATGGGTAAGGGTGTGGGTGTGGGTGTGGATGTTTGCGGTGGTGATGTAATGTATATACCCTGTAGACATAGAGTAGTTACCTGGGTGGTGACTATATGGGAATAACTCGGGGGGGGCCAATTGCTCTCATTTATTTTATATAACTACTGTGTACTTCGCCGAGGGAGGGTAGGCTGATTATTGCATGTAAGCCGAGAGGGAAGTAGAGCGTGACTACGTTGTATGTACTGGAGAAGTAGTCTGTGTATCTGCGAGTACATACACAGTACCGTGTACAAGTAGAGGGAGGGGAGGCAAGCCGAGAACCGATCTGGCGGAATAAACGCTGTGCATTAGCATTGCTAGGATGGCCTGGGGCAAATTAATTTCAACGAAGGGAAAAAAAACTTTTCAAGTTTCTCTGTTGATTTTTTTTCTTCATTTGTCTTTTACTAGATACGATGGTGTTCAGGTACAGCGGAGTACAGTAATGTACTACGGAGGAGATACTTGGAGTGGGTAGTTCACCAAATCGGACACACGTGGGCAGCGACGGGCAACAAAGCCGCCTATGACAGACGTTTGTCTGCCAGATGGACGAGTACGAGTAGCTTGATACTAGTCACGCCTATCTAATTGGGTCAATGGCAGCTGAACCAAGGCCTAGCACGCCTGGCTGGAGGGTTACGAGGCCATTACGAGAGAGAGAAGAGGATGGGACCGGACTTGGCTTTCAGTCGTCCGACATGTCCGACCACGCATCTCGTGCGCCAATCGCACAATTTGATAGGGATAGACAGAAAAACAAATTATCATTAACGAGGAGGTCTTTACAATGTTTGTATTATTTTGTTGAACGTTTATTACTACAGAACGTTGTGTTCTGATGATAATTGTAGTAGAGGGTAAGGTAGGCATAGATTCGTGGAGACTCGAGGGACTTTGGATTTGTTGCTTAGAATCAGAAGTGACGTGATTCGTCCGCGTGCAGACTTCCGTTCACCGATATTTTGATAGTCGATAGTCGATACCTGTTCACTTCTTTTCTTTCTCTTCAACAAACACTAACAGACGATAGTATCGTTAGTAGTTATTGCGACCTATTACCATTACCACTGTTAACCGTAGTCTATTCAAGTAATTAATCAGACACTTTCCTACTTATCGCAAATAATACGAGTAATCAATTAGGTAGCCATCTTACGAGTAGTCGTAGTCCACATCATCGCCATCGCCAGTTAGTCATTCCGTCCTGTCTGCCGGTGGTCGCAATGTCATCCATATGTCTGCCCTGAATATCCTCTCCAGCTCTCCAGCTCTCCTTTTGTCATTCGTGTCTGCACACCTACACACCTGCACTCTGCACTCTGCACTCTAACTCTGCACTCCTCTGCAACCTGCACGCCTCACACGCTGCCTTGTTCCCATACATTCACCCTTCCCTTCCCTTCCCTTCCCCTACCTACCCTACCGCCTACCCTACCCTACCCCCCTCCCTTCCCCCCCCACTTTATTAATCGTCCGTTACTCTTCATCTCCATTCTATTTTCTACCCATTCGAGTAACCTCACGGAGCATCTAACCACTACTCGACTACACGATACTACACACTTAACCAGACTTACTCATTCCCAATTTACCCAGTCTAGTCTGGCCTATTTCCAATCCTCTCCTCACAGTCCAATTACCCGTCTCGCATTACTACAACAAAAGCACCGTCCATCACTTCCACATCCCACTTCACGTATTCCCTTCGCAATGACGAAATTTCTATCTCTCAAATTGTCTGACATCTAAACTCCCCCGTCACCGCCACTATCCGTTATAACAAAATCCATTCCTCCCATCTACCACTACCTCCTTACGAATACCTCTACTACCATTACTACTCGTACTACTCTTCTACTTCCACTACCACACACACTACCGCTACATCTTCTTCTCCATCTCGTTCGTCCGGCGTTGCACCCCTTCCAAGACCAGTCAAGATCTGGCCACCCGCAGCCTCACACACCTAAACGCCTCCGACCACTACGCCAACGCCTACGTTCCTCACTACTTCCACCACTACCGGTAGTTTACTAGGATTACTAGTAGTACTACGAGCACGATTACTACCACCATCTACCATCATCTATCTACTACTCCGTACTTCTACTATTACTATACCACCACGACAACCTGCTCTCGCATACCTACCTACTCACGCAACAAACCCCATATCTCCCCCTCGCTCACTCCCTCATCCTCTCACTTGACACTCACATCACTCACTCCTTTGTTCGCTGGATCACGCTGTACCGCCACACGCGTCGCCGTCCATCAGGTGCCTTGCCTCCTACTTACCCACAAATCCACACCCCCCTACCCTACCCTACCCACGAGACGTTCCCTCCACTCGCTCCATCTTGACTTTCGTTGTCCCTCACGCTACTTCTGTACCCACGTTTCGGGAACTCTTATTAGTCTCCCCATACGCACTTAACGGGCCGACTATCTGGATATCCAATCCCCAAGTCCACGTTCCTATCTTCTTACACTTCCCCCCTTTGCCGCACTTGCTGGTGCTGGACGGCACTTTGCAGTCCTCTTCGCCACCTTTCACTCCTTTATCGTGATATGGCGCATGGTTCTGGGAGCGGAGGCACGTCCTTGGCTCCTACCCCTACCCATCCTCATCACCTATCTAGAGAACACAGCAAGGAGGACATCGAAATGGCGGAGAACCTCAGTCTCCTAAATAACTCACAAGAACATCACTCTCGAAAACCCGAACTCAGCCCTCAGCTCCCACAGCAGCAGCAGCCCCAGAAGCCGCTGTCTCCGCAGGCTGCCGTATCACCGCCACCCCAGCAGCAACAGCAACCGCAACACCAACAAAGCCAAAGCCCGCACGTCTACCACTCCCTCCAGGATACCGTACCGCTGCAGACAGCCGAACAGCCAGAAGACGCACCCACGCCTGCCACGATAGCCTCGACAACAAGAAGCACCGCTCCGCTAGGGAATGCGCCAGTGACTGGCCAGACTTGCAGGTACGTCTCCCATAATCCAATCATGCTGTAGGCGCGCCTTTGTGCGCTGTCGCCAGACACACGATCACTTATCTCTTGAAATCTTTGAAGCTGATGGGAATGCAGTAATTGCGGGACGACGAGAACGCCCCTGTGGCGCCGCTCACCGACTGGAGAGACCATCTGCAATGCATGCGGCCTGTATCTCAAGGCGCGCAACCAATCGCGACCGACCAATCTAAAGCGCAACACCGGCCCGCACCCCATAGATCAAGGCCATCAAAGCCCTACGCCTGGCCAGAGTTTCGACCGAACTGGCTCACCCACAAACTCTGCCGGTCCATCCAGAGGCCAAACGTATGTCAGCGCTGAGCACGTCGCTTCTGGGACTTGCCCGGGTGGGGGCAGATGCAACGGCACGGGAGGTCAGCAAGGCTGCAATGGCTGCCCGGCGTTCAACAACCGAGTTTCCAAGACCGCCCAGTTTGCGTTGGCACAAGCAAACGCCACTGCAGGATCCAGCGACGGACCGAGTGGGGGCGAGGGAAGTGCTCAGTCGGCCGTTGCAGGGACAGCCGCCATTCCAGCTTGTCAGAATTGTGGGACGACGATCACGCCGTTGTGGAGGAGAGACGAGGCTGGGCATACAATATGCAATGCTTGTGGTAGGTGGAATGGTTGCTTGCCATGTCTTTCATGAAGGTTTTGCGTTGTTGAATGTGCAGACGATACTGACAAGTCAATGCAGGGCTATACTACAAACTTCATGGCGCACACCGCCCGGTCGCGATGAAGAAACAGGAAATCAAACGCCGCAAACGTGTGGTACCCGCAATTGGAGATGCTACCGCCTCGTCCATAGCAAGCACCTCTCCACGACAACGTGCCGCCGAGACCCCACGATTCGAGCACTCCGTCTCGCCAGACCCCACCACCGCCATCGAATCCAGCGAGAGCTACGCGCCGTCTCCGGAACCTCCTAGGGGTCCTATCGCCGTCGACTTCACAAACTACAACACCAGAAATAACCCGTCCGTTACCTCCCACCCGCAGGGTCCTGCAACACCGTCCGGCATGGTCCCTGGTGCGCCTTCGCCTCGAAAACGGAGCCTCAGTGCCCATCTCGAAGACGACAAGCCATCGACGCCCGTAAACCCTATTCCTCACCGCCCGAACGCCATCTCCTCGATCCTGAATCATCCCACGGATGCACCCGAAACAAACATCGATCCATCACTTTCACACTCGCACCCTGCCCGCACACACTCCGCCGCAAACTCGAACGCTTCGAGAACCAGTCCCGCCTCGCAGGAGGACAAGTTCGCAAGGAGAGATAGGCTGAGGCGCGAAGCCGAGGCCATGAGAGAGGAACTAGCAAGGAGGGAGAGGGAATTGGAACAAATGGGGGATTGATTTCGCCAAAACGGGGGGCACGCATTACAGTTTTTTCTCCGACACGAACAACAGCAGGCCAAAAAAAAGTAACATGACCAAAAAAGGTGTATTGGGAACTTTTCAAAAAACCAACTTTTAGCGTGCACAATCCGGAGTAGACTGGGATCAACAAAACTTTTTCTTCTTCTTCTTGCTTTGGCTAGATGTAGACAATGGGGGGGGATGCCTGTCGTTGTCCTGCCAGACTGTATGTCTCTCTTCTCATGTCTTTACTTTTTTGTCTCCAGTCCGTTTTTTTTTCTTTTGCTTTGCTTTCTCATGGGTCACGATAACTACTACGGGGGCTACTCTTCTTTTCTTCTTCGGAAACTCTTTTTTTTAAGCACGGGAAATCAACGACGTTATGAATTTGGGAAATTAGGTTCAATGACAGACAGGGACGGGATCTTAACTCGGGTCAAAGGATAGGGTCTATCTAATTGATTTATATTTGTCGGTGCGTCCGACTTTGTCGCTATTTGTTCCACTCTTTGTTTTTTTGGAGGTGAAGATGATGTTAGTGAATGAATGAACCCACATGCGACTGTTTCACTCGGATTACGGAGGGAGGGGTGGGGGAGTGGCTGCTTGTTGTTGGTAGATGGCATGTTTCTCCGTTGACTACGAGGAGGTATGTGAGAAGGGTACATAACTCACTCAAGACAAAAGTATTCCACTGCATCTCCACCATTGAGTGGTTTTGGTCTTTGGACCACGGGTACATTCTGTCTCTTCTACCTCTTTTTCCAGCCCTCAAGCCGATCTCCACTTTGACAATCCATGGACAGCATTTCCTTTCCAGACATTCACGTATTGGTGTGCGTATACACACAGAGATTTGAAGTAGGCATGAAAGCATTGCACGGTCCATCGCCATTTCACTCGCTCTGTTTTAGTCGAGTGGGTAGAGGGGAATGGGCGTAAGTCAGTGTAGCGATGAGAGGTTTGCTCGCGGTCCTGTACATGTATGTTCGGTTGAGCCGATGAGAGAGGGAAGTTTCCACACACTTGTTTGCATCCCAGGAGATGAATTTGCTCGATGGTGTATACTACAGAATTCCTCTGTGTGCATGTGAGAGAAAGAGGCACTCAGTATCCAAATCGCATCTCTAACACATCAGACTATCCTCCGAATCCATAGTGACAACCTCGATACTTACATTCAAAGCACTAAGAAAAGTGACCCTTCTACCACGTACAACAAATACAGACACAGTGCCTTAGATTTTCCATGAAGTTTTTCACGGAAAACTCATCTCAAAACTCATCTCATCTCCTCCCCTCCCCCCCACCACTCAAATTCACCGCCCTGATTGGCCCATATCACGCACGTGACCTTTCTCTCTCAGTGAACCCCTTATCAGATCCCCGGCTCCCTTCACGGCCACCGCAATCCACACTTCTCCCTAAACCTTCCTAATCAGGCAACTTGCTTCTTATCAGATCGACTTTTAGGACCTCTGGTGAACCCTTTCACTTGGCCGACGGTGAAGTGAAAGGCCTCGCGATCGACACTTTTTCGTTTTACCTACCGCATTAGGAAGGTCGAGTCACATGATCCTGACTAAGTAAGCATAGAGCTGCCGGATTAGGAAGGTTTTAAAAAAGTGTGGATGGCTGGGCCTGAGTTCACCGTACCCAGGGAACGTGGGAAAAGGTGAACAACCTGCCTAATGCGGTAATTTAACGGATTTGCCGTCGATTACGTTGGCCCATCTGCTCACCGCGCCAAGGGATCTGATAATGTGTTCACTGCTTTTTATGTAGGTGAACATGCGTGATGTAGAAGGGTTAAGGGTGTATGTCCACGTTTGTTAGGGTGAGGGAAAAGGGCTTGCTGTGTTTAATGGGGATTTAGGGAGTTTCCTGGTGGGGAAGGTTAGGTTGTGGTGGTGGAGATGGGATGGATGGGATGAGATGGTGGGTAGCGGAGACGGAGGCGTAGATAGGTGTCGCGTGTAGGGTTGGTTGGAGGATGTGAAGGTGTATGTACGGACTCGTCGTTTAGTATCTTGAATGCGAGATGATCTGCGGAAGTAATGGTTGAAATGTTAATTAGTTTCCTGTGTCTCTTGTTGTACGCCGGCGGCACGGTACGACTTGTAGAGTTAAGGACCCTTTTTGTACGCATCACGATCTTCCACCTCTTTTACTCCATCACACCAACAAGACATGATACATATCATACAATCAGACAGCCACATCCAAACTCACGCGCCATCAACCTCACTCTCTCCACCCACCAAACCAGCACCTCCAAAATCCTCGGCTAGATTAGGGGGCACGTCAACCCTTCTCGGCGCTGGGCCTTCCCCATCCGGCATAGCCTACATAATCTCCATCGTATCTTTTCCCTCCGCCATCCAAACATGATCAGAAAAAAGTCTTGGGGCTAAGATATCCTAAGTCCCTCGGCTGCTTAATAAAAACGAAATGTCGTTCGCCTCGCGCATCCGCCCCCCTCCCCCTATGGTTGCTGACGCGCTGTGTTGCGAGCAAAGACACACGGCCATGAGTCGGTTTCTGAGTGCCAGCGGCTGCTGTGCGAGGCTGCGATAAGGGATTGCGAAGAGACGGAATTATCGTGTTAGTTTGTTTGATTCGGTTTGGGTGTCGGTGGGTTATCGCGGGTGCTAAAGAGGTGGTATTATCGCATCGCAGCGCATCACTGCTTGAGCGTGGGAGAGAGCCCGGGAAGATTCGACGAGCAGGCAGTCCATCGATGGGCTTGCTATATTATACCCTTCACGCATTTCGAATTCATATTCAGTCTTTCCAAGCAACGAGGATACCCGGAAGCTGGAAATATCATAATCGCAAACCAAATAAGTCGACATCCAAAACGGATCTCACGACGACAACAAACAACTATATAATGTATTCTAAACAACACAAACCCAGGCGGATACCTTGGTTGGACATCACAGGCATATCGCTCATCACCCTGGTCTTCATAATCCTTTGCGCCACGCTGCTACCATGGAAGAAGACGACATCAACCACCATAGGAAAGCCCAACATCTGTCCGAATCGACCACCAAGTCCCGCCTTCGTACCGAACACCCAAGGACGGTATAACTGGAGAGATTACCCAGCCAAGTATCCAGTCGAGTCGTACGCTTCTCTGCCTACAGACGAGCCGGCGCCCATTCCAAGGATCCAGTTCAAGTTCGGACGGTCGACGCCTGCAGAACAGAAAAAGAGACTTGAACGACAGGAGGCCGTCAAGGCGACTTTCAAGCGATGCTGGCAAGCATACAAAGACTTCGCGTGGACGAAAGACGAACTGATGCCAATGTCGGGTGGCTCGAGAGAAACCTTTGGCGGTTGGGGAGCCACTCTTATCGACAGCCTCGACACGCTCTGGATCATGGGACTGCAGGAGGAATTTGCAGAAGCTGTCGAGGCGGCCGTCATGGTTGACTTCTCGCCCAAGGGTGGAGAGATCAACATGTTCGAGGTCATCATCCGCTACCTTGGAGGCTTCATCGGCGCATACGACGTCTCCGGCTGCTTTGACCAGCGCCTGCTGAACAAAGCCGTTGAGGTCGCAGATATGGCGTATGCTACGTACGACACGCACAACCGGATGCCAGTGACTCGATGGGACCCGCAGAAAGCCGTCGACGGCGAGGAACAGCTCCCCCCGTACTCTGGATCCATCGCCGAGCTGGCATCCGCCAGCCTGGAGTTCACACGCCTCTCGCAGCTCACTGGCGACATGCGGTACTTCGACGCGGCGAAGCGCATCACGGACGTTCTCCACGCGCAGCAGAACCTCACTCGTCTACCGGGCATGTGGCCCAAGGACATCGATCAGCGGATGCCGAACCTGAAAGTCGGCGTCGAGTACACGCTCGGCTCGATGGCGGACTCAGCCTACGAGTACCTCCCCAAGATGTACCAACTCCTCTCTGGCCGCGGCGACGAAGCGAACCGATATCTCGACATGTACACCTACGCCATGTCCACCGCCATCAACGCAACGCTCTTCCGCCCAATGCTGCACGACAACGCGGACATCCTCTTCGCAGGCACCCTCGACAAAGGCAAACGCCTCAACATCGGCATGCACCTCTCCTGCTTCGTCGGCGGGATGCTGCTCCTCGGCGGACGCCTCTCCTCAAACACCACGCACGAGTCCCTCGGCCTTAAAGTCACCGACGGCTGCGTCTACACCTACCACTCCACGCCCTCTGGCATCATGCCCGAAGAATTCTCCATGACCGCCTGCCCCTCCCTCTCCGCCTGCCCCGTCACCGGCATCCCGTCCTCCTCCTCCCCCTTCGACCAAGTCCTCGACCCCCGCTACATCCTCCGCCCTGAGGCCATCGAAGCCGTCTTCTACGCCTACCGCGTCACAGGCGACACGGCCTACCAGGACGTCGCGTGGGCGATGTTCGAAGCCATCGACACGCACACGCGGACGAGCATCGCGAACGGCGCGGTCGCGGACGTGATGAGTGAGAGTCCGGGGACGGAGGATAGCATGGAGAGCTTTTGGCTCGCGGAGACGTTGAAGTATTTTTATTTGGTGTTTGCGGGCGAGGAGGTGTTGGGGTTGGATGAGTGGGTTTTTAATACTGAGGCGCATGCTTTTAGGATACCTGGGGGAGGTGGGGAGACGTGATGGGTTTTTCTCCTGTGGATATGATATGTAAATGGAATTTAAGATTTGTTTGTATTTGAATGGCGTAGGGTGTCGAGATGGTGGTGTTGGTGCCATTGTGATATGAGTAGAGGTCTATGTGTGCAACCATGTTGATATTCAATGCTGTAAAAGCTTCCTGTGGCCGTAGTTTTGGTCACTTGTCTTTATCTGTGGGAAGTGTGCGTCGTTACGCATTACTGCGATGGGATTACATAGTGCACTGTTCATTGGTAGATGTCTAGCAAGAGATGTCGTTGAGATATTCTACGTCGAATGGCAATAATGGATATCTACTCTCTACGTACCCACTCATCAAAACAAACCACCAGCAGTACTGACCATACATTTAACCTACTACACAATGCTCAAGAATAATCTCTTCGAAATTTCCATGTTGTCGTCGAGGAGTCGGTCACCAGCCTCGCACGCCACAAACACACATCCAATGCCTGCCCTTCCCTACTCCTCCTCCTTCTACCACCACCACCACCATCACCACCAATAGATCCCCCAGGAAACAGTGCAGCACCCGCACCACATTCCCTCCCCCGCAACCTCTACCGTCCCAATCCAATCCCCAAACTCTCCCATCGCCCGCCAAGCCTTTCCCTTTCCCGCCGTCGATCGCGCGGACACTACGAGACAAAGAACCCCCCCGCCTCAACCGTTTCCTAGTCATATACTTTTCAAAGAGAACACTAAATGGTACTTCCCCGGCATCCAATAGCTGGGTGAGGTTAGTCGAAGGTATCCGTGGCGCATTGCTGAACGGCTGGTGCGCTAAGGAGCGAAAGGGAGAGCTAACCCCCGCATTTCTTTTGTTGGTGTGAGATGCTGGGACCGGGCGGTTGGTGGTGTAGATCGATCGCGGTTTAAGAGATCTTGGGGTTCGTGCGTTTGGTGCTGGGTGGTGGTGCTATGTGGTACGAGGTGCTGTGTGGGATGAGGTGCTGGTCAAACGAGGTAGCGGCTATTGGAAAGGGATTTGAGGCTGATAGATTGGTTGGCCGGGTGGAGTAGTTGTTTCTGGTTTGCTGGTTGCAGGTATGTCTGTATGTTTGGATGGGACTTCGACGGTGGAGTGAGTCTGAGATTATCTTTCTGTGTTATCTCGGACTTCGTTGATCTTTGATACACGTTCAGGTTATTCATATTGCTTGGGTACGAAGATCAAAGTAAGATATGCTGGGTATAGGTCGTCAAGGATGTCTGCCTGTTGTGACGACCCAATGACAACGAAGACGTGTTGTGGTATTGTTTACAAGTGGTAAAGTTTGCATAGAAGTGCTGTCACGTCGGCTTGTTTACATTTCTGTTCGGTGATGTTGCTTATGTCTGATATGCCCCAGAGCAGTTGAAGAGAATCTTGACTGTATTGCCATATGTCAGGTCGAAGGGTGTGCTGAGAAGGGAGGAATCTGGATATATCAACTGTGTGAAATGATGACTGTAAATTTGATAGTGTGTATAGATGGGTACGATTCTCTTTAAATGCGAATATTGTCCCCTAAATTTTCATACTCCGTACTGTTCTTCGTGTAGTCTTGTGCTGATCTCGCTACTGTTATCAGGGCTGGTGAACTTTCGCTGTTGGACATCTGTATGCTGTCATGTCTTCTTACTTTGTGTGGTGTTAGCATACAGAAAGAGATATCTACTTGGCCTTATGATTAGTTTGTATTGCTTTTTGAGACACATGTGGGAGAGTCATATCGCTGTCTTCTGTTGATGTCCGGCATCTTTCTCCGAATTGCAAAGAACCGAGCTGTCGCAGATCAGTTTGGCACTATCATGGCAGCGACCACGGAGTCATGGCACCGACGAACACAGAACTCCAACAGTGTCATACTCCAATACGGCGATACTGGGAAAAGTCAAGACGACGATAGCGTAGACGCGGTCCTTGGGTGAGACTGTGGTAAGTTTTATTTCCCTTTCGATGTGGGTTCTTCTTTCTCGCATTTCCTGGCTCTGTGCTTCAAAGCCTACAATTGAATACTTGGAAAACTTCGGGCCTGTGGAAACTCCCATTGGTGCTGCAGTGTCGAAACATACAGAGCTTGAAACTATTCTCAGCTAAGCTTTTCCAGCCCCGGCTGCTGTGACATCGATGCCGCGCGGGACCTCAGACGTGGCTAGTTCCAGGTGACCCGAACTTCCGAACACGGAGATGCACGTCGTGGATGACGACCATCGCGACGTCGATTTGCGAGCAACCAGGCGAGAATGTAGTTCGAGAACCTTTCGTTACGAACGGGCACTACGACGATGCCGAGGCGAGCGCTGGAACGTCCCATGATGCACCGAGTGGGTCTGTACGGGCGACTTCGCCGTGATCACAGCAGGCAAAGTCTACGGCGGATGCCGCGAAAGAGAAGCTGGTTAAGTACAAGGGCGTGCATGAAGCACCCGCAGAAGTGAAAAATCACCTGATGGTACATGAAGATATATTGGATGCGGCTCTTGTCGGCCTACCTGGCGAGGTGCCAAGGGCATATCTGATCCTGAGAAGACCTGCCGCATTGAGCAAGGTCGACGCGAAGCTGTGTGTCAAATTCCAGACTAGAAATCGAGAGAACAAGCGGAGGCAGAAGAAGAGGCGAAATCGACTCTGCGAGGCCTAATATAGATGTATGCATACACGATAGGTTAGATAATCGTTCATTGCTGATCACCCGCCGAGTCTGTTGGAATAGTAATGGCATTTAGGTTTCCTCGTATGAGATTGCGATAAAGGTGTTATCGTGCTCATTAAATCAGCCCTGTAGACCCGCGGGATGACAGCCTAATGCAAGTAATGAGCGGCCAGACTTTCGGAGCCGCCTACCCAACGCCTATTCAGTGCAAGTCGAGATGGTTATATCCGAGCGAGGAGGCCAGTCGCTTGCATCTTAGCGTAATTGTATTTAGAAACAATAATTTGATAACGTTGGTATTGGTGCGAGATTCGAGAATAGTATCCTGGGGCAAATCATTGCGATTACTACGATGAGAACCCACAAGTATGTACCCGTGAACGAAAATCCATGAGCCAGTGACTCAATGACTTTCGTGTGCTGGGGAACACTCGGTCTTTAGAAGTATATATCCCGAATTCTATTTTTGAAGCAGCATCACCGGGTCGCAGGAAAATGTGAGCAATGTCGTGATTAACTAGAGCAGGGTAAGCGCTTGCTTTGGACGTCAATTGTTCATCAAGTCCATCTTCTTTCTCCGTGCTCCGTGGGACGGAGGAACGATTTGGACCGAAGCGAACGAACGACGACAATTGTGGACGATTGCATGCAAGGAAACGTAACGTAACTGCAAGGCAGCAGGGGAAAACGCCGACACACCGACAGGCCCGAAGCGTGAAAGGGAAGGATGATTTTTACTTGATCGCGGAGGTGTACGATGTACGAGCACATACGATTACTGAACTAAGGAGTAGAAGACCACTGGTGGTTTAGCAACGTAACAAGTAACTAAGAGCGGACGAAGTGTGTAGGTAATGGATGGTCGGCGCGGCGATAACTAATACCCCAGCACGCTAACTAGTGCTAACGCCGACACACAAGGACGAACCCAACAAGTTACAACGACAATCATTATTGAGTCAACCACCAACCATCGTCCATCATCCACCGACCGGTCATTGATCATTAGTCCGTTATTTCGAATAATTCAGCCGCGAGCAGTTAACAGTCTTGTCCACCTGTCCCAATGAGGATGCCAGTCAACTTGGAACATCTCCATCCTCATTCAACCCCATAGAGAGACACCACGTTGTCACAAGTCACAAACACAGCCTTATGTTTGAGATGCAGATGGAAGTCGGTCCAAGGTCTGGCATCAATGGGGCAATGGGTATGGAGTCTATGGAACAAGCATCCTCGCCTCCAGGATTCATTGTTGAACCTCGACTATTGCCTCTGACAGGGTAACAGTCCCCCAACCCTTGGCTGTATCACCCCAGCCTTGGCCGAAAGCGGAAGCATAATCTGGTGATCGGGTCTGGAATTTCTTTGAATGCGATCGAAGGCAACCACCAATACGGACCCATTACCACCACTTGGCCGACCGCTGTGCAGTTATCTGCGAGACCTAACGAGAGACTCCTCTTCCTCCCCGGACGCCCGAGCTAAACCCATGTGAGATGCCCAGTCACACATCCTGGCCATGAAGGCGGACGGCTAGACCGGAACCTCAAAAGGCCTTAAGACCGTTAAGAGACTTAGCCGCTTGGCCCGTTCTTAGTGATTCGTAAGTGCTCGCAAGTGCTGGAGGGATGAGTTATCGTCATGCAGCCAAGTCGTGGTCCCATCGAACGGTCAATTGGTCCATCGAGGTGGGGATAATGGACTTTACCAGGGTCCGTCCCCCTTAAGGGCGACTATCAACGAATAACAGCGTTTAACCGCGAGATATCGCGATTACGAGTAGCGGACATGGGGTTAGGGTTTTGGATGCTGTCTTGTGCGTTTGTTCTCCTTCTTGGGTGAGGCCACGACCGATTCCCCAACTCATGTCTATATAGTTGGGTGGATCCCCCGGAGTTCACGATGTTCGTTCGTCATATACTCACGACATCTTACTTCAACCTTCATCAGTCCTCAAGATTGATTTGATCCTTGACCTCTACATCACCAATTGGTATACCATCCTACTACACACTATCACCATCATCAATCGACTGTACCTCCCTCCTCACTAAACAACAACCACAATGTCTTCCCCATCAATCCAATACGTCTACATCCCCAACCTCGTCGGTCGACAGGTTCTCCGCGTTCCCGTCCTTCCTTGCGAAGATCAGACGCTCACGACATCTCCCGGTCTCTCGCTTTCCATGGATGATGCAGCCCCAATGACCACCAGGGCATCCCCACTCCCGCAGCTCAAGCGAAGAGACTCGGTCTATTCCCGCGAGTCCTCCCCATCTCCTAGCGAGGAGAGCGTCGATGAGGAAGAATGAGCGTTTACACCATTGCCGGAGTACAAAAGTGGATTCCGAATCTGATCAATTGAACAATTGTCGGAATCATGATCTGGAGAAAGATAAACTACAACCACGGGCGATTATCGATCTGTCCTAGCTTTCTTCCCCACAATCTTCGGAAATTGCGAGAATGACGCCGAGCAAATGCATGCTTGCATCATAAGCCCGCCCGCCAACGAAAGAAAAGGCAACACGAGAAATTGCATGAATCGTACAGCAGCCAGCACGCGAGACGAGCCACGAGCAACCTTTTGGAACGACCGAGAATCTTCCCCCTCCCCTCTCCACTGGACAAGAAAAGCGGAAATTGATCGCACGACTCTTGGGTTCATTGCCCAGACACGGGAGGGAGAAAACACAACTAATAGCCTCACAACCTACGTCAAAAGTAGGCAGGTGGAGCCTGAGGCAGGCGAGCGGAGCAGCGGAGCACGTTCCAGCCCAGCCAGCCAGCCAGCCAAAATTTTCCTCTCTTTCTTCTTTCTGCTTTCGCCGAGTCCGGGCGGAGAAGCTTGGGACTTGGGTGTTCTTGGGGATTTTTTTCCAAGCACCAAGCGCCAATGCATGGGCGGAGACGTGGTCCTTGTCCAGCCAAGAGAGCCCCTCCTCGTTGCATCGGAGATGAGGTGCATACCAATTAATCACCTTATATTTTTTCCTCTTCATGCCATGAAGAAGGATGAATGGGAAGATCGTCGTCATCACGTGGGGGATCGGGAAAAGAAAAAGTTCTTTTCGAAAGGATCATCGAAAAAGGTTTCTTGGTTGCGGGTTTCATACTACACATCGAGTATCATAATAACCTTCTTGTCAATATTTAACTACATATATCTTAACCACAACCTCTTAATACATACTATCTACATACATCCTATACAAATCGTTCTTCTGCTCACAGTGACATATCTTCCCAAATCCCCCATCCCATCTCCACCGTTCATCCCACCCGCATGCAATCATCACCACATCACCTCTTCAATCCTCCCCTCCTACCCCCACCGATCATCACCCACCACAAATCGTTCTCCCCGAAGTTAAAAAAGAAAAAGGAAACACAAAAAATAGCAAAGCACGTCATCACACCTCCTACCCACTAACCAACCAACCAACACCTCACCTCACCTCCCCCCACATTCCGTCCCCACACACGTTACCCACTGGCTCGCACCATGTCTTTCGAATGCATACTGCGTAGTGAGTAGCACATTGCTACGCATGTACACTGCAGCGTACATACAAACAACGCATAACAGCATAAACCACAGCCGTATGCATAGATCATAAGCACATAAACTTTCCCACACCGTCAACCACACATCGTCCATGTCGTGCGCCCCCTTCCCCCCTCATCCCAATCCCTATCACCCTCCCTATCACACTCCCGATCCCACGATCCCACAACCCCACGATCGCACAACAGACAGACAGACGGGACGAGCTTGATACGATATCGGCGTCCCCGCCCCCGTACACAGTATTCGTGAGTCGGAGGGTTCATGTGAAGCGAAAGGAAGGGCAGGATCAGGGTGTGACTTCGATCCTTTCGTTGGCCTGCCTGCCTTTTTGGGGTTGGAGTTGTCGTGCGTAAGGTAATTTTGTACGTGAGGAGAGGAATAGTGTAGGTGAGGGAGTGGTTTCGATGTCTTTTAAAATGTCTTCGTTGTAGTTGGCATTAATGGAGGGCGATGGAGATAAGGAAGGGACCCAATCCACGAGGTCGTCTGATTCCGCTCTTCAATAACAAGAATCATGGTAATAGTATCAATGATATCTATATTCGCAAGATTATATTAACTATCTTGTTGTGTAATCGTTCGTAATATGTCGTTCGTCCATACATAGGTATGTATGTAAGTATGTGTGTTCTATATACTCCGATTCCTGTTCCCTTTCCCTTGACCCTTGAAAATATTCCATTACATATTCCATCCTGCCTTTCCCTTTCCCCCCATCGCGCCTCCGTACGAACAGTTGAATTAACCCTGGGGCGGGGGTGTGGCAGGATACCTGGTTCCGATTCCTGATTCCTATATCGGGAATTTGAGTAAGATAGACAGAGAGAGAGAGAGTTTGTGAGAGAGATAAGAGGAACATGAAAAAAGAAAACGGTCTAATGCATATGGAGTAACGCCTGCGCCATGCATGTGAAACAAACAGATTTTGAGAAAGTTGCTGAAAAACAATGGCGAGTGAGAGGATGCGAAGGAGTCACGCTCTTTTATGCGGTCAGGAAGAACCCTGCGACGATGGTGAGCGTAGCGGTCGTCCACACGATAGTGCTTGCTCCCGTGCTGATGCGGATGGCGGCCGAGGCCTTGTTTCCCTTGAACTTGGAGCCGTCTCCGTTGATGACCTCCGTGCTGCCCAATAGCCATTCGATGTTGGCGACCACAGCTTCAGAATCGCGCACTGGGATCGAGATGGCTCCCGTCGAGGACGTTCGGATGGGGGCTGGGTCTTCATTGGCCCTCGAAGCCAGGCCGTCTGTGTCAGAGTACTTCATTGCGTTGAAGGTAGTGGTATCGAGGGATTCGGCACCGTCTGCCGTAAGGTAGGATATGAATACGTCCCTGTCTTGATAGTCGCTTCCCAAGTCGAGGTTGAATGTGAAGCTCCCCTTGGACTCGGAGGAGTTGGCCATTTTGGAGTTGATCAGGACCAAAGACCGGAGTACACCTTGCGCGTAGGAGGCATACGCCCTAATGCGGCCTTTGTAATCGCCGCTGCCGCTGGCCTTGACCGATGCAATCTGTGTGGTACCGTTGCCATTCCCGATGATTTGTGCGATCGCGGCGTGGGCGTAATATTGGGGTCGCACGTGTTGGGGGTTTCCGTACCATACTTGCGGTTGCCAGGCTGAAGCATTCGAGTCTACGGTCATGTGCATCTGTACGGATGAGATGCCAAGACTGGCAGCGTAGAGGAAGAAGTTGAGAGTCCATAGAGATGCACCGTGAGTGTCACTAATTCCATGGTATCCGATAGGACCGATCGAGCACATCTCGCGCAGCACAAATGGGAGGCCCGTCTTCAAGCCGATAGCGGTCTGCTTCTCCCAGTAGAGGAACTGCGTATTGGTTTGGTCCAGGTCCATGAGGTCGTCAAGTGTTATTGGTTTGGGTGTCACCTCGAAAACTAAGACACAGTTAGTACGACGACCCTGCATGTACTACACCCGAGACCTCAACTGGGCTCGATAGAACTCACAGTAGAAGTAGTCGTGCTGGTTCCAAGCCGACACGTATTTGTTCCCGTTCACTTCGTCCAGCATCCCGTCATCAATCAGCATGTTAATCTCAAAGGTGGTTCCAATGGTACTGGCCGTGGCCTGGGCCTCGAAGAAGTTCGCAGGCAATCCGGCAGGCTTCAGTACGCGCTGATAGATGGCATCCGCTCGAGCTAGGAATTCCTGGGTGTACACCTTCCCGTCCCAGGGTGCAGTTCGGAACAGGTTCTTCAACCATAGATCGGGCTCGTTTCCAATTTCGAAAGAGTACAATTTAACATTGTTCAGGTTATCGACCGCCGCCTGGGCCATGGTGGAAATGCGCTCGAGGTAGTCTGCTCCGCTGTAGGCCATGTTCAATCCGACGGTGACTGGAGTGTCCTTGGGGAATCTTTCCACCGCCTCGAAGTATCCCGGCCCGACGATGATCGAATCCGCGGCGTATGTCCCCTGAGCGCTGGACGCAGCGTTCGGCTTCCACGCAACCTTCTTATAAGTCTCATCGTATATCAAGTAGTCCTGCGCGTTTCCTCCTAAGCGAATGTGAGGGGGCTTTCCGGAGTAGTCTGCCAGGTTCTGCATCAATTGGATGGAGAAATTATTCGGGGTTTCGTCGCCAGTGAATGTGAACAGATTGGACGGCTCGATACCAAAGCCAGCGAAGGACGGGTCCAGGGCGTCAGAAACAGATGTATCGGTAGCCTTTGGGGCGATCGACAAGGATATGGACTGAGCGAGGGACTGGGTCGCAAACGACAGTAAGAGCCCGGAAGGGCATAACGAACGCAGCATGTTTGCTAGAGCGCCGACAACGCGCGCAAACAGATACAGTGGAAATCAGAATGCACGCAAGACAGACGAAGAGCGAGTGAGGTATGTGTAGGGGGAAGAGGAAAAAAACGAGAGAGAGCAAGAGCGAGTGAAAACAAGTATGGGGAACGAGAGAGAGGGAGAGAGAGCAAGAGGGAAGGTCGATGATAGAAGAGGGTAGATGGATGATGGAGGCTCCGGAAGTCGAGACCCACCAGGGTAAGTGCAAGTGTATATACAAGTAATTGGTAAGTATATTTACCTGTATTGGAAGATGTGCTGCCTTGTTATTACAAGTATTAGTCTATCCGCACCCACACCTACAATACAAACATCCACCCACCCGCTATGACTTTTGAGCAGGGCAGGTAAACGGCCGTAAACCTGTCAAGCAACATGGGATGGGATAAGGATGCGTCACGACGGGGGGGGCTTAGTGAATGGATTGGGGAAGGCGGCGCCGGGGGCGCGAAACCTCGAAACCTCCTTGTGCGGCCGGAGCGCTCGGGGCTCCAGTATTATTTGTTGAAGCCGCGGTGGCGTTTGAGAAAATATCGCAAAGAGAAAAAGACTTGACATCATCCATAATGCGATTTGAAACATCGGTGAGGTAGGAGTCAATGATGCACAAAAACCTGAGGCGGATGCATATCGATTGATTCACTAATGCTGGCGGGCCCTTTGTCCCTTTCGTGTTCCCCTTCCCACGAGGGAATAATGGATCATGGGGGTACAAAAGGATCTTCCTCTAGGAGTAATTAGGGAAGTTTGGCCTGAGCCCAGTGCAGTCACTGCAGTGCGGGAGAAGATCAAATCGGGAATGTCAACAACAACGCGTCAGCTCAAACAAGAGAAAGATGCGCTGACGGGATGAGTGGGATGAGATTGGCAGATTGGCATGGGCATGAACAGGAGCGAGCGACGGGATTTGCGTTACAGCTTCAGCCGATCGAAGAAAACCATCAAGAGCCGCGTCCAGTTAATAGTTTAGTGGGTAAGTATCTAGTAATATCCAGTAGTCTACACCGTCCACATAGAGGCTGCAATGACGCTGAGAAGACGCAAAGCCACGTGCTAAATCGAGGTTCCCCTATTTAATTATGCCATGATCTGCCTAGGTCGATATGTCGCTCTCTCTTGGGCATACGCAGACTGCGATTTGATGAGCATCACCAATTATTTAGATGGACACGGCACAGTGCCGCCACATTCGTATAGTCGTTCGCACGGAATCGCTTATCTCTTCAGCCTACACATGACATTAACTAACACTACATATTTAATATTACAACTTGCATTCAATCAAACCAGCCCGACATGGCGTTTTGTTTTCCCGTCATCCTCGCATGGATAAAAAGTGCTTGACTCTGATTGGGGGAGATTCATCATCAATCTCTCCCTGATCATCAACATCATCCGTATTACGCTTGCCTTGCGCACCATTTGCTTCTACAAGTATTGTATTTGCAACAGGTATTCCGTACCAAGAATCAAAAACAGGTAATAGGCACACAATCATCAATCATGCTCAAAGGAATCATCAGGCAGTCTATGTACTAGTGGCTATGCCGGGAAGATTCTTGGAAGACATCAACATCGAACGCGGACTTTGACCCGTGAAGACTCTGATTGGCTCGCTTAACCCCAAAGGATCTCATCCAATACTTCAGCATCTTGTTCTTTCACTGCGCTACTCCGTATTCTCTCCGTCTATAATTAGTGAATCTTTGCCATCTTCACCTTCATTGGGCACCGCTTCCATGCCCAGATGCTCGTATGCGCATGGCGATATTGGCATTATTGTTTTGTTTGGAATATGATGGTAATACAGTGTCCGAGTGAGACAGAGCTTTGTTTCCGCCCTCTCTGAGACTGCACTGTCCAAGTATCTACTCCGTTGGAAAGAAGGTTCACGGCGTATTCAAATACGGCCCCCCTCAACCAATCAGTAACTGTAGCTCTTGCTATGTGTATGTGTCGAGATTGAGGGAGAGCTCTTCTCAACTTTTCGTGATGGGCGGAGGCATATCATTCATTGGCTTCCTCTAGACTCGTATGATATGGCATTTTCTATCAAATCGCATAGAAGGACGAACAATTGCCCATACATGTCGGTGTTGCTTGTAACAACGTCGTTGGTGTAGCGATGGCCAATCGTTCTGTGCCTTGCAGATGCATGACTAATCATCATCCACATGTAAATCTTGGCAATGACTCAATTTCGAATGTGTCCAACAATCGCAGATGTGCCGACCAAAAAAGTGTAAAGCTTCTTCTATACCAGCGTGAGGTGTCGATATCTGCTCGAAGAAAATCAATTACATATTTACATATTGCACGCTTTCATCCCGGAAATCCAGAGCAGATCAGCTGTCCTATTAAGCGGACGATATTGCGATATTCAACCCCACTGGACCCCTCCTCCACTCTAAGAATCGAATCTCTGCATAGCAGAAGACAGCTCAAACACCGCAAAAATGGACCTTCGGACGCCCACAACGGAGAAGACCTCCTTTCCAGCCTTCGATATTGTCTCTACCTACAGGACTATTCTCGCCTCCGACCCCGATCTCACCATGCCTGTTGCCGCTATCGAAGCTCTCGTGGAAGCCATCGCCAACAGCACCGTAAACACCGTCGCAGAAACTCTCGACCTACTCACATACCACACCGAGATTCTCAAATCCTCCATACCGAATCCCATCTCACTCTCCGCCGGTACCGATCTCTTCCAGCGATATCTTGTCACAACCCTAAACCGACCGGCAAGTCTGAATCTGGGACCCGAGGATGATTTCCGCGCCATTCGCAACCACTTGCTATCGAACGGACGACTTTTCGTGGAGAGGGCAAAGGCTAGCAGGGAGAAGATTGCGAGCTTCGGAAAACACTTCATTCGAGATGGTGCGACGGTGCTGACGAACGGTGGATCTAGAGTGGTGGGCGCACTTTTGCGAAGGGCTGCCGACTCGAGCACGATGAGGTTCAAGGTTATCTATGTGACTTCACCAGAGGACTGCTCGGATGCACAGGGAGGCAACAAAATCGTAGCTGATCTGAGGGCACACAATGTCCCTGTCGCTACCATTCCAGATTCTGCGGTGGCTTACTCTTTGGGCAAGGTTGATATGGTTATTGTGGGCGCTGAAGGTGTAGTGGAGAACGGCGGTATCATCTCGCGGTTGGGTACCTACCAGATGGGTCTTCTTGCAAAGAGCAAAGGAAAGCCATTCTACGTCGTTGCCGAGAGCCACAAGTTCGTTAGGCTGTATCCGCTGAGCCAGTTTGATCTCCCTATCGACCAAAAGGTTCTGGATTTCAAGGTGGCAGAAGACGTGAAGAAGCCCAACGCTGAAAAGCTTACTGAGGACGAAGGCGTTGCAGATCTGAATACATTCACGACTACCCATCTGCGTGCGGCAGATGCTGTAGATTTCACGGTTAGTGCATTGCGTCTCCCATCTCCGCCATTGTTTCACTGCTGACATCAAATAGCCTCCTGATTTAATCTCTGGTATCATCACTGAATCTGGTGTTTTGACACCGTCTGCCGTCTCTGAAGAGCTCATCAAGATCTGGTTCTAGACGCCTTTACCGTTAGCTCACGAATGATGACATGCTTCTGGCTTCGCGGCGCCGCCTCTTTCACTACATATGATCAAGACCCCGGATACATCTTGACAATCTGGAAAGGTCTCCCTTCAGTAGCAGTCTCGCCTAAACTCTAGCCGCCAGTCGCAAGCATATTGCAGCGACAAGTTGGCCATGTCTCACGACTCACGCAAGGAATGATGATGATGAGTGTGTAAGAGGACCCGGAGGCACCTTCTTCATTTATATATTCATATCGAGTCAAGATATGGGCCACTGCGCCTAAAGACACGATCAGGGACTGAGCAGACGCAATGGCCGGGTAGTGTCTACTGCACACAAGCGTAGCCGATAGGCATGACCTGTGGCGAGCTCTATCTAATTGGCTGTGAAGCACCTTGAGTGAAGCTACTGAATGGAGATATTGATGCATTATATATGGAGAAGTAAAGCTTATACCCACAAATGGACGGTTCGAACATGATCCTCCAGTTTCAGTCTCTTTCTATTCTTGCAACCTAGAATTCCGTGAAGTTCTATGATATTATCATCGCTACCAGTGCGGAAATTCTTTACTCGTATGGAGATTGTCGTTTTCTCTGAAAGGCTCTCCATGAACTCTGCGCCGAAGATTACTTCTTACTATGATATCGTGTATCCAACAAGATAAACGACTATATTACCTCTTGCTAGAGCTCGAGATTTAGCTTGAAGTATTTACTATTACCTCAAATAACAAGTATTCCTCGTATTCTTTAGAAACATCACTCTACGGCTACCTCCATCCAACATTGTTGGCCGTTGAACCCACGACCACGCTAACGCCAATGGAAGCTAGCGACCTTGATACCCTGGTCCAAAATTTCGAGGTCCCGCCGAAAACCTTCAGCGCGACGCAAGCATTGCAAAACCTACAACTGAGAGATGAGGTGAAAATGGGAAAACGACTGGCCCCCGAGGCCGACTCCAAACCGTCCTACGAAGCGCATCACCAAAAAAGACAGCGCGTCGAAAATTCCGCAGAGAGGAACTCACCACGGCCCGCACCTCAGGTCGAAGAAATCACCTCCGCATACCAGTTGCAGAAGGCGCTGGCGAGCAACCCTTCTGGATACCGCAATGGTAAGATAGCGCGGTTTACAATTTCACAACACTGCTAACATAATTAGGCTTGCAAACCCTGAAGAAGTTCTTGGACTCCATTCTTTACACAAACGACGAAGAGAGCTTGCCGCGCAAACGAGCCATTCTCCGCGAATACCTTGACACCCAGAAAAAAGAGGGACGTGAGGACAAGGATACTACTTTTCTACCTTTCATATTCCAGGCCTGGGATTATGCTGTCGAGACAGATCTGGAGAGCTTGCAGACGCAAGTGCCTGCTGTTCTGGCGCTGCTGCTGAAAGTTTTCTCCAGCCACGAGGACTTGCAGAGCTATGGCACACTTCTCTGCAAAGTGACCTTGAGATCGACTCTGATCAAGCGTCTTAATCGAAGCCTTTCGGCTCCACAATCGAAGGAAGCTATCATCTCGCCGGTACTTCGACTGCTCACCGAGCTCACCAAGTTCAATGAAGGTGCATACGCCAGGGCGGTATATGCGAAGAGAGATTTCACTCTGGAGTACAAGACGCTGGGCAGGAACATTGGACTTTGGAAAGACATGAAAGAAGACAACGAACCCGCTATTAGGAAGCCGTCAATCCGCGTGAACGCGGTTCGTTATCTTCTCGCGCATCTCAAATACCAAGATGAGATTGCTAAGACGGAGATTCTGTCCAACTCGATAATCATACGGCCACTGTTTGATTATCTCCAGTTCGACCACCCCTCGTTGATATTCGAGATTCTGGATGTCATGAAGACCCATGTCTTCCAGGACAAGACGATCCCACGCCATACTAAGAACCGCATTCTCACCGGCAAAGTCTTGTCGCATATTGCCAACCTCTATAGATACAAACATGCGGAAGGTTCTCTACCAGAAGGCCATAAAGCGCCGGATGAGCTCGGTCATGACTTCTTGTGCTTGGTATGCACTTCACCCGCGTTCGGCGTAATGTTGCCTTCGCCCGGCTTTTATCCTCCCGCCAACCAGGACGAAGATGGTGATCAGGTTATGGACGATGCCATTGACCTACCGGGAGAGCTGGGACTCGACCAATACGATGCTACCCACGGCAAAGCTCAAGTCCGCAACGTTGTCCTCGCAGATTTCATCCGGACATTGAAGCCTCATTCCAACAAGTTGCAACAGGATCTTATGCTTGCAATCTTCAATGCCTGCCCAGAACTAGTAGCCAACTATTTCACGCATAAAGAAGCTTTCCCATATGATCCGAAGCTCACGTCTACCTGGATTGGATTTTCGTCTTTCCTTTATCAGACAATCGAGCTGCCCGTGCCGTCATATCTTGGAGGTAAACGCGGCTATCGTGAATATGCCCCAGCCATCTCGACGGTCATCCAGAGTATTCTGCCTCAACCTCTAACACAGCAAGTGTTGACGACCTGCTTGAACATGAAGTCCGATTTGGTCAATTTCTTCGCCGTCCGTGTGATGACTGTTGCGTTCTACAAGCTCAGAGCGGTCCTCCGGGAGTTCAGTCAGGCGTCGCAAATGAAGACCTCCAAAACCTGGGTGCAGTCTCAAAGCCGTTTGGTGACCGAGTTCAGCCAGCGATGCCCCTTGATGCGGACAGTCATTCTGGCTTTCAAACGGCCGAATTTCCAGAAGGGAATGATGCGTGAGGCCATCACGCGATTACTAAGACTATACTATGAAGTCACACCCCAAGTTGCGCTGCAGGAGAAGTTCGACATCTCAGTCTCACTTTGTAATGCGCTTCTTCAGGCCGAGCAGCCTTCGGAGACACCAGAGGATAAAGCTTTTCGTGTGATGGAACTTGAGCATTGGATACAGATGGCAAGACAGTCTTCCACAATCCGATGGTGGTCAAAAGACAGTAAGTAGTTTCCCGTAACATGATGTTTTCTCGACGCTAACCGTAGCAGAATCACTACAACACTCGCCCTTTATAACTTTGTTGAATCTAGTCGCCAAGTCGTCGGAGAACGAGTTGTACACGGGAATCAAGAGCTTGTTGGTTGCGATCTTGCAGGATCACGAGATGCTTCAGATGAATACTCATCCGGACGCCCTCGACGCCCTCATTGCTAGTCTGGGCGCAACATACGGCTCTTCGGGGTCATCGGCTCAGATCTTGGATTTCCTTGACAATTCCTTTGCAATGTTCGTCAAGAAGCCTATCAAGTATTTTGATGACCTCGATGCAATGAAGGCTCGCCTTACGGATCCTCCCTTGCCAGCCGGACATTTCAGTCCTCTACTCATGACCTTGGTGGAACAATGGCCCTTCAAGGGTGGCAAGCCGGAGAAGGGCAATCCAGCCGAACCGCTAGCACAATGGCTTTCCAAGCTGTTGTATCTACTGAAGCTAATTGGCGAAGATGAGGCTCTGTTAGTCGCGGTCCGTGATGCCCTAGTTGCATCGGCGGACAAGGCCTATCAAGAAGTCCTCAAGGATTCATTCCAGTGGAAGCTAGGCAAGGAGCAGGCAAAACAGGCATTGAAGCTTGCCACGGGTGTCGATTTCAGTGGCTCTGAGCGCTCAAGCACGTCTCCAATTCCTATCGAGAAGAAAAAGGCGAAGCCAGAGCCATTACAAGAAATCAACCTTGAGCTACCACCTGAGGAAGACGAGAAGCATGCTGGTCTCAATCGCTGGAGAAAGAAAGACATTGACGAGGCTGTTGAAGATGGCGACATTGGCGAGCTATTGTTGTGCCTCTGCTCCAAGCATACTGAAATCCGCATTCAAGCTGTGAGCAGCATTCGCCAATTAATCGCCCATATCACTGTAAGTTCACTTAAACAGAAGTATCAAAGGCAAGGCTAACGTTTCTTTGTAGGCTAGCAATGATGCCGACTTTCTGCAGCTCAGGATTCTCCTTGGTGCTGCAGTCGAAACGGCTCAATCAGTCATTTCATCTGAGCCGTTCCCTTACATCGGAGGCGTTTTCGCTGCACGAGCTGTTCGCGTCATAGCTGACCCAACTCATTTTATGTTTGGAAAGATCAACAACTTCCTACTGAAGGGACCGAATTGGACAGTGGCCAACCTGCCGCGCTACTTTGGAAGAGTCACCATCAACAGCGAACCGGACGTCGATGGCTCGTATCATACCGAAGTCGATTGGTACCTGGACTACCTGATCGACGCTCTCCGAACTGAACAGGACATGGAAATCCTCAGGACGAAGAACGTATTCGAAAGACTTCTCTCATACTACCTATCGGCGTCTTGCGCCGTGTCAGCTAAGGAGAAGATTGTGCGACTATTGCTACGAGCAGTCTCTGTCGGTGGGAGTACCACTCTCATTAAGCGCTGTGGTGTAGTGAGCTGGATTCAGATGCGGCTGCAGAACAATGATCACCGACAAAGATCATTGAAGATTTTGGCAACTCGTATTTGGGAGAATTGCGACCAAGAACAGGTGGAGCAATGGAGTAGCAAGACGTTGCAGCCCGCGTTGGCATTGATGGTTAAGGCGAATTAGTACCGCCGAAGTAGATATTCGATAGTTCGGAGGAATTGGGCAGCATGTGTCTCACGGACAATTGGCCGCATTGAACATCGTATATAATAAGAATTTTGCTCATTTGAACGTTCTGGTTATTCTACCGTCTTCGATATCCCATGATAAAGGTGCACATGATATTAATTAATGCGCAGTACTGCCTGGCAGGCATCGATGCATGCTGGAGTGACGTCCACCGGTCAAACCCTTTTTCCGCTGTCGCCGTTGGCTCGTGCTGGTCCACTACTGGACGTGCATAACGAAGCCGACCGACAAGCTGGAGAACCAAACACACACCCCCCGCGCAACCTCACTTACTCAGTAGAATCATATTGCCCTAACACACAGAGCTATCGAACATCCTACTACCAATCGAACGAATTCTTACAGCTCATCCAAACATCACAATATCCTCATCGCATGCGTAACTCGCTTCGCATCTGCCCGCCTTTTGCACGCCGCCCGCAGGGGTGCTCCAAGTACGTCTTCACTCCATGGACTCACCTTACTTGTTATACGTCAACACGATTTACGTCGTCCAAGCAATTGCTGTTTACATACTAAGACTATTCAGATATACAAGACATACACATATACTCCATCTCTGCTCTCGCTCATCGCACACTGATCGCATCACCATTGATATTCGAACAAGGACAACAACGTAGGAATTGCTCAGTGGCCTGCATTTCGAATCATTACATCTGAGCCGGCCATCGGGCATCTGCCGCCGCTGCCCTTTGTGGGCTAATAACACCCACCAAACATCGCCACTCCGACACCCAAACAACCCACGATCGAAACCCCCTCCCCCGCCTCACCGCCTTCTATCACTACCCAAAGGCCACAAGAATGGCCGGGCCAACCTACACAGTAGAGCAACTAGAATATCTACGGGATTCTCCGCTCGTTCAGAAGCCCGATGGACTTCCTTCGATCGAGCAATGGATGGAATTGCCAGCCGATCAGAACAATAACAACACCAACACGAACCGCCGTCCGCGCTCAGGCAATCATGGCGATTCCAACGCGGCGGGCGAGCACCGTGCAGAGCGACCGCCACTGGTGAACACGGGATCGATGGGACACTTTGGCCGCCGCGCTAGCATGCGTGAGTCTTCACGGCAAACAGCCCTCATATCCTCTATTAATTCTCTCCTTCTAGAACCCGACGACACAGTCCTCGGACCTCCCAAACTCTCCTTCACGTCTGCGCGCCGCGATGCAAAGACCACCGATAGCCAAGAGAAGCGCGGCATAATCTCAATTGACGGTGACCATCTCGGCGATCGCTTCCCGAGCAGCAACCGGCAGCGAGGAGAACGGTGGGGAAGGGATCGTGAAGGTGATAATCCTCGCGACAAAGCCACCTTTGCGAACGGACGACGTACAAGGGAGGAAGGTGAAGGTTGGACCAACGTCAAGGGTCGGAAGAGCCTGGGCCAGGAAGACTTCGATCGTGGGTTCGGACGCAACGGTGATCGTGAGAAGAGTCACAAAGAGGGTGATGCTGATGGTGGCGAAACTACTACCCGACGTGCTGGCACCGGCCGCGACAAGTTCGAACGCTGGGGTCGACGAGATGACAATCCAACAAAAGATTCCGAAGGCACCAAGTTAGGAATGACAACTGGCGGCTGGCGAGACCGTGAGCGCGAGCGTGAGAAGGATCGAGACTGGCATAGAGGTGCTACTACGAAGGCGGAAGAGGATCCGGAATGGATGGATACTCCGCGATTGCCAAAGGAGAAGAAACAGGCGCATACGCAAGAAGAGTTCCAGCGCTGGAAAGAACTCATGAAGGCCAAAGATGCACCGCCAGCGGAGAAGGAGGAGACGAAAGCAGACACTCCAGCACCCCTTGAGGCTGCCCCGGTTGCCAACCCACCAAAGACCGTGGCCTCACCAGGAGTGTCTGAAATGCAGGCTGGAAACCTGTTCGGTAATTGGGGCAAGGGTCAATTGTCTGAGCCGGCCGCCCCAGCTGCAGAAACAGCTCCCGCAAAGGCAAAGCCGACCAAGAAGTCTCGTTTCATGAACATGTTTGACAAACCCGAAGAGCCAGCCCTGCTTGCAGCTCCTGTGCAACCCTCGGCTAGTGCCAGCGCGTCACCAGCTCCCCAGCTTGGTGCCGACGAAGACAAGCAAGGCTTTCAGCGCATCCTGCAAATGCTTGGTGGAGTCAACATTGCCGCGCCACAAGGCGCCCCTCCAGGTATTGGAATGCCAAACAACGCGGCAGGACAAGGCGGCGTCCCCCTGGATTTCAATCCAGCTTCGCCTCCAGATGATCGTATGTTGAACATGCAGCAGCAACGGCAGGAGCAGCAACGGCAGGACGAGCAACGTTCGATGGAGCAGAAAGCCCTTCTGAAGAACATCCTAGCTCCCAGGCCTTCTGTCCCGGAAAGCCGGCCGTCACAGGGTAACTTCTCCTCCATGTCTCCCGATAACAGTTTACTCGAGCGATACGGCATTCCCCGGCCTGAATCAAACCGTCCAATTGATGATTTCCCCATCCAACAGCCTCCATCTAGGAACAGCAGCGCCCAGGATGCTCACTTACATGCTCTGCTCAACTCCCGTGCCCGGGAGGAAACCAACCGCGACCCACAAGTGAAGCAGCGTGAGCGCGACTTCCTTCTCACGCTTATGCAGCAACCTTCTCGCGCCACACCTCCACAGATGCATCACCAAGGCCTCCCTCGTCCACCCTCGGAGAACCATAACATGCAGTTCTTCGATCAAGGGCCTCAGCGACCCCAGAATCAAGGGAAAGGTCGAGGCGGACCACCACCCGGTTTCATGGAGGATCCCCGATTCATGGCCGAACAACGCCTTCGTGAACATGCACAGCAGCAGCAGCAGCAGCAACAGCAACAGCAACAGCAACAAGAAGCCATGCGTGCTAAGGAGCGCGGAATGCCTATGGGCTTCAACCCTATGAACGAAGACCCAATGTTGCAACGCCGGAACACTGCCGGTGAGATACCTCGACAGATGACCAATATGGGTATACCCTCTCAGCCCATCCCTGACATGCAGTTCATGGGCGGCAGGCAGCCAGGAATGCCCCCGACGCCTAATGAGCGTCAAAACATTGCTCCGCCCCCAGGCTTCGGAGGACCTGGCGGCATGAGACAGCCACCACCTGGCCTTGTTGGCCCAGGTGGCCCCCCACAGATGCCTCCCTTCTCTGGCGGAAACACACCTCTTCACCCGCCTGGATTTGGCCCGCCATCTGCCGGCATGAGAGGCCCCGGAGGCCCAGGAGGCATGTTTCCCGGCGGCCCTGGGCCCAACCAGATGCCCCCAGTCCCTCCTCAGGGATACTTCCCGCCCCAGGGCTTTGGTGGTCCCCCCGACCCCCGTATGATGATGGGCCGTCCCGACTTCGAGCAGTTCGGCGGACCCGGCCCACGCCAGGGCGGTCGCCCTCCAAACATGTACTAAAAAACACACCTAGAGCATACGAAACATTCGCAAAAACCAATGGTATCACCCTTTTCCACTTAATCATCAAAGAAAAAAAAGGAAAGGGGGGAGGGATGGATGGGGTGCCACGCTACACTTTTTTTCCGCTGTCTTTCTCCGTTCAACGTCCAAAACCAACACATATTACTCGGGGCTATGCTAGCGTGGAGTCTTGGGGAAAACATATTCTTGGTGTATTAACTCATATTCTCTCCTTCTCTCTCTCTCTCTCTCGCTCGTCTCTCTCTTCGTCTTTCGGTCCGCTCAGACAAGACGGTCGATTATGGATTACTACTACAACTACTACTCTACTACTCTACTACACTTACCACTTACTGCTACTACTACTATACCATTCAACGGCTGTTTCGGTTCAAAAGGGGAGGACGGCGGGGCAATCCCTTTTCGTGCATGCATACGGGGGGGGCTATCGGTTGGCGGACTGGCTGGCTGGCTGGCGGGCAGGCGGGACGGCAATAAGGAAATAAAAAACGGCGGCGGTGGTTTTCGAATTGCATTCCCCGGTCATGGTTTCCCTTCTATGCGACGAAAGCAAGCATAAGTTAGGGATGTAGCTCACTCAGCATGCATGCGTGGATCTGTCTGCTCTTTTTTTATGTACATGGATATTGGGGGCGGGGCGGAGGGGGACAATGGTGGGACGGGGGGGGTTATGGTATGAGCAGGGGATAGGCATACAAATAAAATAAGACAATACGCTGCATATATGCGAATGAGATGAGTGAAGTGATAGTGAGGGGCTATGAGGTAGTGATGCAGTGATTCAGTCCTGGTTTCTCCCCTTCGCCCACTATAATACATGATCTTCTTCTTGGCCCAAGGGGGGATGGTATAAGATGTGTGTATCTGTTGGGCTTGAGGTACAATCAAACAGCGGAAAAGAGAAACACAATACGATGGGATCTGTTGAAGAAGAAGAACATGTCAGTTAAGGAAGAGGGAATTTGAAATCGATGGAATAAAATAGCTAGAAAAGGAGAGAGGAAACACCACTGGCATGAGACGGATGAGGAGGTTCAACACAAGAGAATCAAAAGAGGTTGTGAATGTGGCAGTTATTGGATCGGATCATCAAGGTATGAGCGTGAGGTCTTTCAGTGAATTTCAAGAGGAAACGGTACTACTCTACTCGGAGAAAAAAGCAACGAAATAGTTTGCCAAAGAGACGTGATGCATGTCCTTAAATATCGTAACTTTTTATTTTGTGTCCTTGTATAAATAAGATATCAAAAAGGGGACACAAGATGGTAACGCCAGATATGATGCAACCCAACACGCCACTCCAATGCCGTTAAACGACATCATCTCATCTATTCTTGCATCGTCATATCCTCGAAATCGTCCAGCAGCTGATCCATCGGGATCTCCAGCCCCTCATCCTCATCACCAGCATCACTCTCCTCCACATCCATCGCATCGCCACCGTCCTGCAACCTCTGCTGCTCAGCTTTGTACAGTGCAACACCAGCGCGCAAGTCGGAGTCCTCCTCGACGTCGCGCAAGAACATTTCGAAGTCGCGCTCCATGCGCTCCTGGTCCTGCTTGCGGGGCAGCATCTCGGACTCCTCCTTCGCCATGCGCTTGACGCGCCAGTTGCGGCTCTTGCCCTTCTTCTTGCGGGCGTAGTGCTTCTTGACGAGCACGACGTCCGGGAGCTTGGAAGCGTACTTGGACTCCTCGAGTGCGTCGAACAAGGGGTTGTTGAAATTGGTGCCGGTGAACGAGTATCCCATCACGGAATCGCCGACGTTCAGGATTCCGCCGAGATGTGTGCGCGTGTAGAAGGTTTGGTCGTTGGCGCCCATGTCGGCGGCGCGGGCGACGGTCGCTTCGGCGAGGAAGAGGCGCCCCCGCGACGGGCCGAGCGGCTCGATGTCGAGGATGATGAATTCTGTTAGGTCTTGCACGTCGGCGAGGGGCTTGAAGGGGGCGCGCCAGTAGATTTCGGTGGAGACGTCGGCAGTTTGAAGGGTGATGGGGTCGATGAGGTTGATGGAGGTTCCGATACGGTGGCAGAGGGTTAGAGGGCTGATGTTTCCGAGCTTTTTGGCCATGGGGATGGGGAGAGCGACCAAGTCGTCCTTGCAGATGGGGACGAGTTCCACCGAGTAGGAGAATTTGTATGACTTCGTGCTGGTGTGTACGTCCATGGAGATGAGCTCTTGGGATTTCTTGACGTTGACAGGCACGACGGCCTTGAGGAAGTCGACGAATGCGTCGGCCTGATTACGCTGTGCGAAGTAGAAATCGATACCCTCGTGGACTTCCTTGATGTTGATAGTGTCTTTGTGGGCCGAATGCTTGAGGATAAGCTGCTCGAGGAAAAGGAACGTTCTCTTGTGCGGGACATGCTGGCGGACCTGTACACTGGCTCTCCATGTGTTGGGTGTGAAACTCTTTTGGCAATCCGGGCACTGCTGGTAATTTTGGACGAATTCCACCTCGAAAGTCTGTTGGAAAATGGCTCCCTCCTGAGATCCCAGTTCACTCTGCACGGTAATCTTCATCTTTATCCTCCTCGAGTGAGGCTCCGTCCAGATAAAGCTCGCATCGATGATCCGGAGCTTGTTGAGGCCACGAAGTTTGCGGAGGCAGAGGGCGAGGAGTTCGCGGGACTCGAGGGATGCGACGACCCATGTGTTCGGGGGAGATAGCCATCGGTCACAATCTCTGCACATGTGAAGGGTTCCCTCTCTTTGAATGCCGGATGTGACATCGGTCTTGAGTTTTATGCAGTCTATGCAGAAAGCTCCAGAGATTGTTCCATCGACAGGTGCACCACAGTCTGCGCACAAAATGGTGGCGGCGGTCCGAGGGGCAGGAGTGAAGACCTCCATGGTTGATGAGGGAAGGAAAACGGAAATTCAAAAGAAAAGAAGAGAAGGATGTATGGGGTATCTCAAAGTTATCAGAGCGGTTGTATATGAGGAATGAAGCCCCAGATGAGGAGTCAGAGGTCAGTAATTGGTTTGTAAGGCTCTTGGGAGGCAAATTGAGATTTAACCCCACCACCAGAACTTTCTCAAAAGTTGATTATTTATCGATAAGCTAAATTCATTATTCGACCAATCATAGTCAGGCGGAATCCGCGGGCTCAGCCCTACCGAGCGTCGGCATTTTCTCTCGCCGACCATCTCGAAACTTTGCGACCAGCCATCGTAACTTCGTACATTTACTCAGTCTTTCGACTCTACGGCTTCCATTGCTCTTTGACAATGCCATTAATACGGGCGTTACCTGCATCTTTACGATGCCATGGCTGTAGAAGCGCCATTGTTCGCTCTTTCATAAGCCCCACCACGAGCAATGCATCTCCCTCACATGTCTCCCTCGTAGTGGCAAGCCATCGCCTACCTCAATCACGAGCATTCGCTTCAGGCCGAAGACTCAATAACGAGCAAGATGCCTTGACCACATCACAGAAAGAGGATTCTGCGAGCACAACAACGGATACCGTCGTGGAATCAGCATCACCCGCTGCCGCACCATTACCCTGGTACCTTCAGAACCAGTTCCAACCTAAGAAAGGCCGCGATGAAATCGACGACCGACACCGTCAAGCTATTCCTGAGCTACCACACAACCCACCGCCGCTACTACAAGCCATATTAGAATACGTCTCGATCACCGCGGGTCTAGATGACCTCAACCTACTTGACCTCCGACACCTCGACCCTCCTCCCGCCCTCGGCCCGAAACTCATAATGATTGTTGGCACGGCACGTTCAGAGAAGCATCTTCACGTTTCTGCGGACAGATTTTGTCGTTGGCTTAGGCGTGAGCACAACTTGAAGGCAAATGCAGCCGGACTGCTGGGCCGTAATGAGCTAAAGATCAAGCTACGGAGAAAGATGAAGAGGATGAAGATGCTGGCAAATGTTGGAGGAAAGGAGCCGGAAGGGATGATCGATGACGGAATTAGGACTGGTTGGATCTGCTGTACGATTGGGAAAATCGAGGCTCATCCAGAGGACACGGAGATGCCAGGAGACGATGTGGACAACTTTGTGGGGTTCAGAGACGTCAAGCCTGGCGTGAACGTCGTCGTTCAGATGTTTACAGAAGAGAAGCGAGACGAAATAGATTTGGAGACACTATGGGGTGGTGTTCTAAGGACACACGATCGCAAGATCACAGAAGCAGAGGAAAAGCTACTAAAGGAGCAAGAAGAGGAAGGCGAGGGAGAGGAGAGCGACATCCAGTCTGATGTGTCTCCACCGAAACCACATCTTTCCAATTCTGCATCGTCACGACCACCAAGCGACCCATTCCCATCAATTGAACCTTCGACCCGTCAATGGCATCGACCAGCACCAACAAAAGGCGATCCATTTCCAGAAGCTCCGATTCGTAATTCGGGCCAGCAATATCGACGCTTACACACGGTTGGCCTGAGGTCAAACGCACTATCATGATCCCGAAACATTGTACAAATACTGTAATGAATAAAGACAAACTTTCGTAGTCGCCGATGTAAAACAGTTTTGTTCATCATTGGCTTGCAAATATGATGTAACAATATCGATTCTCATTCAAGCGTGCAAATATGCATCAGCGCAGTGAAACCTCATATGGACACCGGTCAAGATTTGCCACTGTCTGACTGTGCTTCCAATATCATCACGAGATTTATCCACCCTCTTTTCCACTCAATGACTCTACTCCTACCACGCCGTAGCCGTCGAAGTGATCCATTGCGTCGCACACTCGCCATGGCACCGTCCACGGCATGTCCTAAACTGCACTGACGTCGGCGTAATCGGACACCCCTCCACTGGCCCCGGCGGTACCGTCCTCGTGCTCAAATAGATACAATCAGGCGGTGGGCAACCCATCAGATCCTCAGGGCAGACCTGCGTCGCTGACACTGTCTCCGTGTAACATGGGGAAGACCGTGGCGGCTGTGACGGAGGCGGTGTGATCGTAGGCTTCGGTGGCTTCCAGGACGTCAGGAGGGATGATGGGGGAGGCAGGGTTGGTGCTGGAGGCGGGCAGGCGACCGAGTCGGTGATTGTCTGCGTGGATGTTGGACAGCCTTTTGGACAGGCAGTTTGGCATGGCAGGCGGGAGGTGATTGTTGGGGTGATGGGGCAATGTTTATTCGGTCCAGGGATGGTGGTGAATCTTGAGGAATTGTGAGAGAGGAACGGTTTAGAGCGAGCGGGGAGAATACTTACGCAAGCTTGAGACAGAGAGGGATAATGCATAGTGAGGTTGGCTGGAATGGCGCGCATTGTTTGTCTTCAGCCCAGGTTGTCGCAGTGTAGCAAGGGCATGGTGTGATGCCAGCAAGATCTTGAGCGACGACCGTCGAGCTACGAGATAACAATCAGCTGGATACTGGCTTGATTGAGAGCACAAACTACCTAAAGGACAGAGCTGTAAGAGCAATGATCTTGAAAAGTCCGACCATGTTGGCTATGTTTTGGAGTAGGGTCTACAGACGTTGCCGTTCTAAGTCATTATATATGAGCATAATCTGATGAAATTCTGCAATGTCAGTTCTAGTGTACGGGAGCCTCTGATTTTCCGGCATGTATGGTGGATGTACCTTGCATGAGCCGTTAATGTACCCCGGATCTTTACTCGCCATTCGGTCGCCTAAGCCGCTCAATGTGGCTGCTTGCCTTTCGTAACAATGCAAGTATTGATTGAAAGCAAAGTTTGACCCCGCAGATACGATGGATAAAGTGACACGAGGTATATCTAATAAACCTATCAGAGTTTGACAGCTTTGGAGGCAAAAGCGAGATATGCGAAATATACGAATCAGAAAAGATGGAACGATGGAGGCATACGTGACTAGTCGTACGAAGACTGCTGTTGGTGTATAAGTCTTCCCCTTTAGGTCATACTTGCCGTGGAGTAACATGGAGTGTATAAGGCCAACGAGCTGAATAGCCGTGTGGCACTTCCACATTCTTGGCTGAATTTCCCCATGTGCATGGCATTTCTTTATTTAGATACTCTGTATGCATTGTACATTGTTCGCTTATAATTGCCTCCACATCGGAGAAAGAAGAAGTGTGTCTCCTGATATGTACAAAACCTCGTGCATGTCACCATGTGGAAGGATCACAGAAGACTTTACGAATGTTTTAGATATATTGGATTCAATTTACAAATTCTGCATAATTTCCAAACGCAGGTCCTATATGTTGAATAGTAGGACCACCTTCCCTTGCAATTTAGTTCTGTAGAGCTCGTCTCCTTACTTGCATTTATAGTGGGGTGATGGTAGGCCTTGCCGTGGAGCAAGTCTTGCTTACAACAGTCCAACTTGTTGCACATCCCGTTGGACAGCGTGTAGGACACCCTGCGAATACTGTATCAGTTGCGGTTCTTGTACCTAAATGAAATGTCAGCTTGAACTTGATAGTCTCGACAATGTCTGGGGCCGTGGTACGAACAGCAGGAATCTGTGATACACGGTTGAGTAATTGTTCGTATATTCAGACAAAGCAGACGTGTACAAGTCTCGGCGTTGAAGGAACAGGATGACCATGGCGCAGGTGTATCAACCCGGGTGATGAACGTTGGGCAACGACGCTCGCGCAGAGTAGTCGTGGTAACTGTCATGACGACGGTCACAGGAGTAGAAGCCGGGCATGTCGTCGAGGGGAGGGGTGTGAACGGTGGGATTGGAACGAGGGAGGTTGCTGAGATTATTGTGGGCCGAATATCTTCTGCTGGGAGAGCAGCGACCGAAGCACTGGTACTGGAATGAATCCTTGGAAGAACTGAGGGTCCAGTGCAAGAACTTACCAAATGCTCAGAAGTAGAGTTGCAAAAAACAATTTCATGGTGATTGCAATGGATACTGATCTCAAGGAGTTGTAGTAGTAGTTACAAGTCGATACATTCTAGCTTTATAGACAGCTCCGTTGTCCCCAATATCATGATCCGACCCGTGGCGCTGTAGGAAGAGACAGACGAAGGATCACAAGGTCGAGTGGGAGGGGCTAAGAAGTACAACGTTCGTATCGCACCCTTGTTCTTCAAGTGTTTTATTGATCTGCAAGCCATATGATTGATTTTTCCTTGCTTAAGCTTGGCCGATGTGGATTTCGGACGCATGCAACGTCATGGAAGTATGTACTTGGCGGAGAATTGACGTTGCTATTCTTAAACAGAGTTCGGGTAGTATTTCTTTACAAAGGAAAGTGCTACAGCTCAAGCATTTGCAAATATGACATTCTCATACTCCTAGCCCGAAGGTCCTTTCGACACAGTCCTGGATGTTTCAAGCGTGCAGAAGACAAATGACAGCACATTTGGAGAGAGTGGCCATGCATGTTCTCCATGATTTTCCAACTTTTCTCAATGCTACCTCGTAAAGTATTCATTGCTTCGGTACATGAAGCCATTCGTCGAGTGCGTCCCAGGTTCTTGCATAACCAATCGGCCTGAGATTCCGGATAGGCTTCTTTCTAAAGCTCAAACGCCGCCTATGCTAAGTAAATATGGTACAGAAAACTACAGGTTCATACAATGGCTTGCTTAAGCGGTCTGCTTGGGTTTCTTCGTTCCGTATTTCGATCTTGCTGTGATACGATTTCCAACACCACCCTTTTTTAATTAGTATCTGTTGATGGCCAATAAATCTGGATGGACCTACCAAATCCAGAGCGCCTCGCACCAAGTGATATTTCACACCAGGGCAATCCTGCGCTCGACCTCCACGTACCATAACGACCGAATGCTGCTGCACATTATGACCTAGCTGCACATCAACAGCTGTTTCCAATTATCAAACGGCTATACTCAAACGTACCCTCTCCAGGAATATAAGCTGTAACGATCTTTCCGCTGCTCAATCTCACTCTTGCAATCTTCCTCTCTCCAGAGTTGGGCTTCTTAGGTTTCGTCGTTCCAACCTTCAAACAGACACCCTTCATTTCTGGCCTGTTCGCCAGCGCCGGAGATCGCAGTTTTCGGGCTTTTCGATCATTGCGACCCTTCGTCCTCACTTGTATCAAGGTACATTTGGGTCGTGGGGCAGATGCTGTAAAAGTTCGGATTGGCAGGGCGGATCGTGTGATCGAGGGGGCAATTGACGGTCTCGCGGGTCGGGGAAGATATGCGCAGGGGTTTTGGAGGAGAATTGGCCTGGCTAGGCGGCGGAGAAGTTGGATAGGCATGATGTGTCGTGATGTGCAAATGAGTGCTAACTGGGGAAAAGTTTGGGAGCTGGAGATGCAGATGTCTTGGCAGGCCCGTGCACAATCACTACACATACATTGTATAACTAGTTACAATACTCACCATGACATCTTCCCCTTGTCTGATCTGATTTACTACCACAATCTTGTATATGCACAATGGACAATAGTGAAACTGCTGTAGCGGGTATAAGGGGTATAAAAGACCCGTTACTATGCGTTCTTCCCTAGGCAAAATCAGCGCTAACAATTACAACCTACGTCCATAACAACCAATCCTCTGTCTCTACATTATCGACAGTTGGACGCTGTCGTTCCCCTCTTCTCATGAGTCTTACTCCAGGTCATACGATGGAGGATAATTCATCCGAGGCACTCATTCATTCACTCGTCCGTATTCCTCGAGAGATTCGCGATCTCATTTACCCACTCGTTGTCGCTGAAGACGACCCTATTCCTCTGAAGGAAATCAAAGCCCAGCCTTTCGACAATGAAATTCTCTCGAATCCTGTGTTCCTGTACGAGGCTCTCGAAACGTACTATCGAATCAACACTTTCATATTGGTTATGACACATCTGCCCATTGCTGGCGATAAGCACGACAAGTCCTATGGCCCTCACCAAGATTTTGCCAAAAGGCATATTCGTCATCTCATAGTTCCTGTCAACGAAGCTGAACCATTCCAATGGCCAAACTCCAGTACTGCTAGGGTTGAAGAAGTCTACAGGTCCTGTTTCTCCCGTATCAAATGGTATGCACTTTTCAAGTTCAAGCGACTCAGAAGCCTGACTGTGCAGATGCAAAAGACCAATTATGAATCACTGTGGTGGAAGGATTTCGGCCCTATTCTGTGCGATCTGCAGACCAGGAAGCCAAAATTATCTATTCGCTTCTTGATTTCATTCGATGATTTGTTCCTTAGGCGGTTGGAGATGGCAACCTTCTTGAAAGCCCATATGGATGGCCCTTATAAGCCTATGGGATTTATCGATATCACGTACTATTTTGTGACACGAGATTGGGCTCATGAAGGGAGAGCAGTCTTTGGCCAGGCCAGCGAGGATGATAAAAAGCATGTTGATCGGTATATACCGGACAAGATCATGCCACCACCAATGGAATTCGACCCAAGGTTTCCAGGTACTCACGTAGAGAGGTTCGATCGGTATGTAACACAATTCGGACCTAATGAGAATCGGATTACGATGGAAGGCTATGTGACTAAAGAACCGCAGTTATTCAGGGTGCTTATGGAGGAGCAGTTCAAGGAGTATGAACTTAGGGGGAAGGTTCTTGAATGAGTGTGACTACATCTCATGTTGTCTGGCTGAACTGTGGGGGAGGAGTTGCAATCCGGAACATCAAACCCACAACTTGAAAGACGCAACATGAATCCGCAATATAGAATCCTAAGGCTTTTGATCAATACCACCTCTAGATGTTGAAAATTCTGCTTGAATTCGTGATTTTGAAGTTCATTCATCGCTTCGTCGAAGTATTTGAATAAATCGTGTACTGTACAGATATCTACATTCTGGGTATATCCTCCACATGCATATTTTCTAAGGCGTGTAATAAAAAGATATGATCAGAGCCAAGGAGACATTGAACCATTGATCAGACATTGTCTGCCGGCGCCTCTTTCGATGGCCCGACCGAAAACTTGCCCTTCAACTCCTTGTTCATATCGAACTTTTTGATGAACACACTAGCAAGCAACCCGGTCGCTGTCATTCCTACCATAAAGATCCAGATACCGCGAAAGCCCGTCACATAAGCGTCGATAATGAGGGCACGCTTAGGATCAGCAGGGTCCATTGCTTGGAGTACGTGAACATAACGCTCAGAGTCATGTGCAATCGCAGTAGGAAGGTTAAGTGTTTCAAGGCGCGTGGACATGACGTTCTGGAAAATGGTTCCGGCAAGCTATGATCTGTTAGTCGAGAAGATTTGAACCAGTCGCTTGTAGCCACTTACAATGACACCAATTGGCATACCTAGGCTTCGGAAGAAGCCATACATGCTAGCAGCCATTGCTGCGTCTTCTACGTGAGCGATGGCCTGGATGGCAACATTCACGCTGGTGAGAACCATTCCAGCACCGACACCAAAGACCGCAAGCGCAACGGCCCAAACTGCAGTCTTGACGTCTTCATCAAGCAAGATCCAAAGCCCGCTGCCGAGGGTCATGATGGCCCATCCCACCCAGAGAGCCCAACGGAAACGGCCCAATCGAGTGGTGAGGGTGGCAACGATGATGGAGCCAGGGAGGAAAAGAACAAGAGCCGGCAATAGGTCAACCCCAGATTTGATAGCTGACACTCCGCGCGCGCTCATACTGTAGAAGGGGAAGTAGTACAATCCCATAAAGATCTGGAGTACCATAGTCAGTATCGGCCTGAGAAGAACTGCGTCTTTGATGGATCGAGGGAAAATACTCACCACTAAACCATTGACAAATGCGCAGTAGAATGCCGCGAATGCAGATGGACAGTAGAACAACGATAACGGAAGCAATGGGTGTGAAGCTGCCATCTTTTGCCACACAACGAAACCAACAAGGCCAGCAAAGCCGACTATGACTGGGCAGAGTGTTTGAACAGAAGTCCAGGAGTATTGGATGCCCGCCCATGACAGACCAATGAGAATAGAAGTCAACCCGCCAACGAACAAAAACGCACCAAGGAAGTCAGTATGCTTCAGCTTTTGCGCAAACGTCATCTTCGCGACTGCGTTGAGTCTGATGAAGAAGACTGCGAGGATGATGCCGACACCACAGAATGGCAGATTGATCCAGAAGACCCATCGCCACGAAGTATTTTCCGCAAGAGCACCGCCCAGCATTGGACCAACAAGCGTTCCAAGACTCCATGAGCTGAGGACGATAGCGAAGTACTTTGGCCTTAGGCGTAGTGGGACAATGTCGCAAAAGATCACCTAGATGAAGGTCAAAGAGGGATTTGGCATAAGGATAGCTTATCACACTTACCTGGTTCATTGTGATGATGCCACCTCCTCCAATACCTTTAATGCTGCGACCAGCAAGTAGAACAGTGAAGTCGTTGGCTGCGCCACACATGATTGTGCCGACGGTGAAGAACACCAAGGAGAAGAGAAGAAGCTGTTGTCGTCCAAAAACCTCAGAAATTGAAGCGATGACAGGCTGGAAAACAGCACTTGTAAGAAGGTATGATGTACCTGCCCAGAAGGCATCGATTGATGTGCCATGTAGAGCCCCTGCAATGGTCTAGAAGGGATATTGTTAGCTGCTATCGTGAAGGCTTATCGGATGGCGTACTTACTGGAAGGACCGTGACTAAGATGGTAGAATCGAGAGATACCATGAAAGATATGAAGGACAGACTGATCATGATGAACCATTCTTTCTTCTGAGGTTTCCAGTTCAGATCGTCCCTAGATGATTTCGCCTCGATAGATCCCAAGGTCGACTCATCAGAACTATCGTACACTGTGGTCGATGAGGGTGTACGGAACGCATCTGGTGACGCCGTCACGGCAACATTTCGTTGAGCATAATTCTCGACAAAAGCAACCCTTGCTGGGTTGCTACCCAAAGGTTGAGGTCTATAGCTCTCCATAGGAGCTACTAAATACATTGAGACTGAGTTTTCTAATCAATTAAAAAGTAAGACGAAAATTGACGCTCAGAAGGGCTTTACGGAGGGAATGATTCAGATATATCTAGGGTACAGGGAGACCTAGATAGCGCTCATTGACGATGAAACTGTATGGATTCTATTTCCATACAACGATGCTGCGTTTAAGTATACATGTACATGATATAACCCAGGACGTCCCTCTGTAGGGCACAGCCGTTTACTATCCCACTTTAAGTCTTGATAGACAGACCAGCGCAGCAAAGATGATGTATTGTGTCCCTCAGCTTAAGTGAGAATACCGCGCGAATGTAGATCAAAGGCCATGTATGCATGTGGTGATATGTGCCAGCCAGTGTCGTGGCGATCGCATGGGTGGCTTACCGGGGAGAAAGATCCTTGTGCTGTATTGTTCTACCCGGCTCGCGGCATGCAAGAAGAAGCGAAAAATTCCCTGAAGGGTTTCAAGTGGCACATTTGGATGAACGATTGGCAGAAATCGTCCAGACATGAACCCATGGTCCGTCTGAACTTTCCTCCGCAGGTGTAATCGATAGAGATATCTGACCTCATAGGGCGTTACAGTGGGCCCTTGGGGGTCCTTGACTGTGAGGCGCTCAGCCCCCATCCGATGTGTAAGTCTAAACGCTCCCATGTCAGCCCCACGGGAACAGGGCCCGGATCGGATCTTAACCATACTGAATTGAGCAAATGCGAATGCTGGCTGGTACGAGATCTTTTATAAGAAAAGTGTCCCCAGCCTGCGGGAATGGCGCTAGCTGTTGCGAGTCTAACTTTATCGATACCTGTTCGACGAAACGCTAACGCTCTATTTTGAGGTGGACGATGTTCAAGCGAGATTCGTCGCCATGAAGTTAGAACCACGGCGTCAACGAGGCCATTAGAAAATCTAAGAAGTTCTCTTACAATATAATGGTATTGTCTTGACTGTACGGATTGTTGCAATAAAATGACTATCTCTGGTAAGCATATACAGTAACTTGTCCCCGAACTAGACATTTCCCGTTGTAAATAGCCCATTTGGATAGTGAATATTATGTTGGAAAGCTATGATACCAAGATGAGTTGAGAAATGGAGTGACGTAGCAATAGAGTGGGCCCCATAGCCATGCTCATGTAATGAAGATCTGGAACGGTTTGCGCATTCGGTGATTATTGCGGTTATCGAAACCCAGCCAAGTGAAATCATTCAAGGCAAAAATAACAGAAATCCATGTGCCTCTATTTCAGTATCACTTCGCGCGAATCCCAATCTTGAGCGGCGCAACATGTCAGAGCAGAGGGGATCATAAATGGGGGAAAGTCCCTCAGGTATCAGCACCCCAGAAATCATTATTCTGCAATTTCAAGGTTATTCTTATCTACCGCTCTGCTTTCGAAAACAGGTCTTTCTCTTCTCATATATTTTTGCCTATTCTTGGCACCCTGATCATATCCATAAGGCTGTGAGGCCTCCAATCGATTCCCCCGTCCGTTCACTGCATATATCACAAATATTACAGTGACGACATGGTGAAAGATCGATACGACTCAATCCCAGGTTTCTCTTCCATAGGACCTGGTATCTGGGAGTATGCACGCCATACCCCGACACAGTTATCTGGAAAGAGTGAAGAGCAATGTCCCGACCTGATTTTCATCTTCTCATGGACAGGCGCTGGAGGACGACACATTCTGAAATACACACAAAATTATCAAATCTTGTTCCCATCAAGTCGAATACTTGTCGTCACTACATCGATTAAAGACATGGCCCTACGGACATCAAAGAGACGACAACGTCGACTTCGGCCTGCCATCGACCATATTCTCCAATACAAGGCGAATGATATACTCATCCACGCATTCTCAGAAGGTGGTACAAATAAGGCTGTGGAGTTTGCAGAGGCTTACTACAACGAGACGGGGCAACGGTTGCCAGCCACTACAGTATGTATTGACTCGGCACCAGGTAAGCCCCGATTCATGCCGTTGGTCAATGCTGTAAGGAAGAGCCTTCCGCCACACCCTATTCTCCGATTTGGAGGTCTGGCCATCAGTTGGATTTGGTTTTCCTTGGTGTGGGCCATTTACATCATCAATGGAGGCAAGAAAACTAGTCCCATCGCGAAGACAAGGCGTCGCTTACTTGATGACCGATTGTGGGACTTCGAAGCACCAAGGTGTTATCTTTATTCGAGAGCTGATGATTTGATAATGTGGCCCGACATTCAAGAGCATGCAATCGAGTCTCGAGAAAAAGGAATACCAGTCACGGAGGCTTTCTTCGAAAAAAGTGCTCATTGCCGACATATGGCGGATGATCCAGCAATGTATTGGGATGCGGTGATAGCGACTTGGAGACAATCGAAACGCTGCCTACAAGAGAAATCGACACCATCTTCATCGCTGAAGCATGAGAGGTCGACCGATACTTTGCGCAGTGCTGCCGATTCAGAGCGGACACTTACAGGATGATTGCTATTGTTTGAAATATTCAGTTGTATTCTTAACATGTACATGCATTTCGATTATGTTCATACTTTACGTTGTAGCGAATTATACCCTGAATTACGCGCGAAATATACCTACACTTTTAAATCCACGGTCATAAAAGACAAGGAATTTTTGTCTTTCATAGACAAGTAAGTATCCAGAGAGGGTGTGGCAAGTTCTCCGAAACCAGATACGTTGGGTATTTCGTCCTTCAGCCACGCTGGACCTGTAGGTGAACCGTTGTAGGCACAAGTCGGAAACCGACAAGCGGCACGGTACAAGTGGCGACTATCAGGCCTTCAAACACCCAACCTCATTCTTTGTACATGCGGGACGAAATGGATGCTTTGCCCAAGGACCGCATCAAAGCGGTCAAACGGGTGTTGATCCGCAGCAAAGGTACCCATACGCTTATGGTGTATGGATCAGTCCGAAGCTTATCCAGGAAGGGAAATTTGGGCTTATGTCTCGCAACAACAAAACCAATTCGGAGGCGGCCTAGAATAGCACCGCCCATCTTACGATGTGATTCGTAACGTGAAGAGCAGCTACGTCTTTTTTGAAGGCGTGATCCTCTCGCGCGTCTTATAAAGTGGATCGCATACACCATACCTGTTATCTCTTTGTTTTTTGAATGCACGCATCGTCATTCTCATCTTGTATGGAGTGATGTACTTGTTTGCGTTCCATTAGGCGCTTCGATCTCACCTGGGTCGTCAGCTCTCCTTCCTTCAAACGTTACGCAATTTGCCATATGTGTTTGAAGTTGATGAGTGTGAGTGTATTATTGGGGCTACAATGCAGCAATTCACGCATACGCGTGCTGAAATGTTCGCACCACATACTTTGTGTCTGCACACTGTAATCACCAATCGCGCTCATTGGACTATAAATACAATACCATTTCGGGCCTTTATGCCTGTTTACTTGATACCACAACCTGTCTTATCCCAAGCGAATAAATTTTATAAGTATGCCCCGTGATACAGAAATAAACCCTTAAAACTTCGGCATCGTATCCAGCTGCTGGTTGATTCAATTTGTCATCGCCGCCCCCGTACCAGATGCAGATTCGACGATCGCGAAACAAAGATGCAAGCAGCTCATCTGCCCAACCGCTATCTATAGCAAAGAGAACCCTTCACCATTTGAGTGCCCGTATACTAATGCGTGCCGTCAAATCTTCTTTTGACTCCTGCGTGGCTTGACGAACTTGCTGCAGTATGAACTGGGATATTGGATGGCCCAGGGAGCGGCGAGTGATAGCCCTGAGGACCTGATACACTAGCTGGTGGTTGAAGGGGCCCCGAAAGTTGCCCGTGAGGATTACTTTGAGCCTCCTGTTCCATGGTGGGACCTGGTTGTGAGATAGATGCATTGTCCAACCTGTCGAAAAGCGCCTGAACATACGATGCCCCAAGAACCTTCAACCCAAAGGGATTCACTAGGCTGGTAAGGCGCTCACGTAACCTGTCAACCTCCGTGATCCACCGTGTCTGTAGCTCCCGATACCTTCCGTCAGTTTTTGTGACTATGAACCTGTGAGGCTTAAAGTCTTTATCCGTGACACATTCACAGTATTGGCCATTTAGCTTGAACTCTATGTGTTTACGAGCCTGCATTGGATAGCCGAATATTGCTTGCGGTTGCACCGGGTCACCGAGAAAATGATTCAGATCTCGGCATTGCAGGCAGGACCCGCTACATGGATACACTTGTCCGCGGCTCCAGTCCACTGGCGGACGCGGGCGCTTGAGAGCAAGGCTTTCGACGCAATTAGCGAATGATGTCCTGGAATAATACGCTGCAGCCATATTGAGAGGCTCATAGTCGTATTGTTCCATCACATGAAACAGTCCCTTCTGGATGTCAAAGATCGTCGTCCAATCCGACCATATCGGGGATTTCAAATCTGGTACGTCCGAAAATGCAACTTCCATGAGTAGTCTTGCTTCCGACTGTAGCTTCAGGTGGAGTGTTGTCCGCAAGATTTCGATCAGACGTGTCACGTAAGTCCGTGATGATATGGTGGTGTTGCCTGTCACATGGACGTTTTGATCTTTAAGATCGGCATGTCGTGCTTTTAAAGTAGTCATAGAGGTTTCCAGTAACGACTTGAAAGTAGCTTGGACAGTTGGCCGCCAATGCTCGTCGACAGATTTACACCCAAACCTCTCCAAGAAAAGAGAAAGTGCTGCGCGATTTCCTCTGGCAAGTGTTGGTATCACCCTGGAATTGCGTTAGTGCTGTGTATCAGGATACTGATTGTAACATACACGTCATAGTATACCCTTGGAGGCACCGCACGACTATCTATCAAAGATAGAATTGCGTTGACATCAGACTCGGAATAGTCTTGGATATTACGCAAGAGGTCTGTCAACTTCCGCTCACGAAACTCTTGATGGGAAACGCTTGACGTGGTGGGTATCTGCTGTGCGACTTGATCCAGAAACGTTCGAATGTTATTGACATCCACGAATGTGCGCACATCTGGTAAATACGAGAACCTGAACTTGCGTTAACCAATTTGCTGTTACGATGATAACAGGACCATTTACCATGCATCGAAAACGCCCGCCCCCCGCTTGACAAAATCGATGTATATCTGCTCTTTGATGACTTTTGCGAGGGGGTTTGACAAGGAAGCCCAAAAGACTGGATTTCGAAGAGCAGGAGCCAAAATGGAACAGATGGCTTCACTTCGTCCGACTAGTGCAGAATGTTTTATCGAGCCGACAATGACCTGTTTCATTTCTGAAATAGCTCGGTCCTCATGGACCAGTCCGTTATGGTCCATAACAGATAACACTCCCTTCAGCGCCTTGAAAAGCATTTCGATAGCAGCCTGTAAAAATGTCTGCATCAGGGATTCGCGCAACTCGAGCGGTACAAGCTCGTTGTTGCAAATTTTGAAGTAGGAGAGCAACGAGGCAGAATTGGTACAGTCCAGAATCCTTTCCTTCTGCAACAATTTAGCTCTGTCCACCAGGACCAGTACTTGTTCAATTCATTAACTCGTTTCTCAGAACTGAAGAGTATACCAACATTGTCATGGTGTTGAATCGTCAACTTTCTCGGCATGTCATATTCGAAGTCTGATCCGACTTCATTGTCTGATTGCCGCCCTCGGTACAAGTCCTCTGTCACGATGTGTGAAATATCAATAATTCTACTCAACTCCACCGCCTCTCCAAGAGGAGTGACCACCTGGTGAAGTGAGTGCTTCATGGGAATATCAGGCTCCTCATCGATTACAGTTTCTGTTCGAGTCAAGCGGCCAAGAAACCAAAGGAAACCATTCGACTTGCAAACATGATCCAGGTATCTCGCTTTGGCAGCATCGCCACCTTGCAATGACTGCAAGGCAAGGTCGGTGTATTTTCGCTTAAGAGGATATAGAAGGATATCGGGGAAATTTGGGGCATCCTGCCATTGCTGCAAGATTTGCTGTAGCTCATTGTGTCTTGTTGAAAGTGATGTAGCTGTTTGTTCGGGTCCTTCTGATACATTTCGTACGAGATCATATTCAAGAGCCAAGCGATAGCCCGAGGTAATTCTTTGTACTTTGGAGGAAACATCAGAATGCCACGCCAACACAGTTAATCCAAAAGCTGATGTAGCTGAAGTCGCGAAATTGCACCTTTCGTCATGGTGGCTAACTTCAATATTACCACCAGTATGCTCCGACGGCAGGCATATCAGTAGTGTACCACATTTACCGCGCGTCTCGGTATTATCTGGTAGTTCACCGTTCGCGAATGCGTTCACTCCGCAGAGAAGTGTTCTTCGTGGTACGGCCCAAATCGATCGCGCGAAACCCAGCAGTTCGACTGTTCTGTTGATGTAGGTATCGAGTTGCGCTTCCCATTCAGGGTTTTTGCATTCGAATCCAACTTCCCAGATATCATCCATGGGAAGGGGCCCAGAATTTGAGGACAGGCATGCTTGTTTGATGGCCTCTGCATCGCGAATGCTCAAGGGCAAGCCAACTGACCCAAGTGCATCTAAGAAGAGACCAGGAGGGGTGTAGGACTGATAATGATGAATGGCGGAAAAGGTTCCTTCGTGCTCTATTCGGTCCAAGCAGCCTCGTAACTGTGATTTGAAAGAGCGTAGGTTGGGAGCAGCTACTACTTCTGGAGATTGATTACGACGTCTGAATTCATAATCAGGTTCGCTATCATCATCCTCGCGGTCAAAGTCTTCGCTGTCATATTCTTCGTCGCTCATTGCTGGAAGAATAAGATGTTTTCTTAAGGCGTCCGTTCGACTTGTGAGCACGCTCGTCCAAGTCTTCGTTAACTGAGAATGTCATAAGTGAACGTTTGACATTCCACCAATTCATCGAAGTGGCTAGATTGGGCTAAAAAAGCGCCGATCAGGGGAACGCGAGACGCTAGCACACGAAACTGGCGCGGAACGTCGTGGGGCCCCGTGACTGTGACTTGCACCCTGACCTCTTTATTCCCTGATAACGAAGTAGTGGCACCCGCAGGAAGAACAATTGAGGTCGTTGTGGTTTTTTGGAGCCTATGCCCCACCTGATGGTTTCATTCGCTGTGATCACTATAATATTGCGCTAGCTGCTCGCTGGGCGAGAGATGTTCGCTGGCCTAACGAAATACATAACCATTGATCGATGTAATATCTGCACCAAATTTCAGTATATGTCCCACACGGTCGGTAGGCAAATAAATCTAAAAACATTGTGATTCGCTATTGCCAGGGTGGTGAAGATTCTATTCTTTGTTTGAAGTTTGAAGTATGGTTATTTAGTATACCACTTTGCGCCATTCAGGGAAACGGTAGAAGGACAATCAGATGGGGGCCTGGTCAGAAATTAATTCCCCGTGATTTTGATGATGCCTTAGCATCCACGAGCTTGGGAAGTGGGAGAACCTTCCTTCATGACCTTCTCCTGGATCTCCTCCTGATCCTTCCTTATTTTTTCAAGGAGCTCATCTATGCGATTCTCACGAAAGCACGGGCGTATCGTTTTTACCAGATTCTCCCACACTACCATACGTTAGCTCAAAGTCTGATATGCAAAGAATGCAGAAGACAGTCTAAAACTCACAGCCTAGTTGTACCACAGCGTTTGGATTGCGACCCGTCTCGTTGGGTTTATTGTCATCGAGTGGATCAATCCATTTGCACATTCGCTTGGAGCCATTTCCGTCTTCCTGGCTCAGTCGATGCTTTCTTTCTGCAAGCTCCTTGTAGGTCTTGTATTCCTCACAACCTCCGCATTTCCATCCCCATTCGTCGACGCATAATTGCCTAATAGCCTTCGAAGTAGTAAATCCCAAAGTGGCAACTGGCTCGCTTTGGTACACTTTTCCTTTCAGGTGAAAGAACTCCACGGAGTAGAGAACATGGGGGTCTTGACCGCTACTGCTGTTGGCCATCGTTGATAAGATTCGATGATCTGTAAACGAAATGTTTCGTTGAAGTGTGCCAAAGTCCGAGAGTTGCAGGCGAGGTTTTGAGGATGATGAAGGACACTCTTGGATCATGGAACCTTATGTACTGGAACTTTCATCTTGAACGTCTTTGCTGAATGCAATGACTTGCTCTTGATGTGACTCCAAGTAGTAGATCCTTGCGTATGATTCTTGATTATATGAGCAGCTATATCATGCGTCATGGCTCCAGTCCTTTTCACCTACCTCTCTTTCACTGTGCAGCTAAGTTTCATCGTCAAACTGGAATCGCGCCATTCTCATTTATAGAACACGGTGCTTTCGGCGTAAAAAAGCACGGTAGGTGATCGTAAGGAACGACATTCTGTGCGGAGTTCTGACGACATGTGCAGCAGGAAATAGATGATCTGCGGGCTGTCATCAATACATAGAGTCATATTGTGTTGACACGCTGATGAGTGAAAGAGGGATACGCGTTTTGGATGACAAAGGAATCAATGATAGTTAAGTATTTTGTGATTCTTATGAAATATTGATTACTGAGTAACTAACATGAATTCATAATAGTGGTTCTTTGGCTCACTAATAAATGCATTCTTAGTTCCCGATCATCAGGAACGAAAAGTACAGTGGCATTGCTATTATGCGCTATGTTCGAGCTGCACCCTAATTTGGCACACACTGGCTGTAGTATTCACCAGATGCCTTGCAAACACCTTCAGCGCATGCCGTTGGTCCAGTCCAAGTGTTACCACCACACTGACCGTAGAGCGGAGCGGTCGCACCCCCCGCGCCATTTCCTGGGACAGGCGGAGTCACCTCAGGAGTCTGACCTCCCGATCCACTATCGGCACCACAGACAAGAGGAGCTGGTCCTGGGATCTGGTATGGCTTTCCTCCCATGTATGGTTGGCCAGTGGTATCGTAGATGGACAACAAGATGCCAGGGTCGTTACTCTTGTACGCTCCTGGGAATGAAACGAAGTTTGAGCCCTTGCTAGTACCGCTGCCTGTAATCTTGATTTGAGCGCACTCCATGTAAAACTGAGCCTGTCCAGATTGGCCCGCGCTGTGAAGGGCGAGGAGCTCGACTCGGAGAAGATATTCTCCTGGGGCAATGCAGGATGGCATCGTGAAGTAATGCCAGCCTTGATTCGCAATCATGTTATCGACGGCCCACTTGCCGTTGGAAAGTCCCTCATGGGCCACCTTGAACCACTGAAGACCTGTTGTGCCAGTGTTTGCGGCGCTGTCCACCTTTGCAAGCCAGTAGCTGATAGGTCCTGTCGCGTCTTAGAAACAACTTTACACCAAGAAGATGACTACTAACCCTTATGTGACTTCGCGATTGGGTGATCTGGATCATTTGCTCCCTGTGCTCCGCCTATCACGTGACCCCACCATCCGCCTGATCGGTCAGTTGTGTGTCTGTGTACTCACTATTACTCCGTACCTATTTTGGCTCCAGCTGGTATGTTGATGACAGTGTTGTCCTTGTGCTTGATGTCTTTGTTACAAGCGAAGCTAGCGTCGTTGACGTTCTGGATGGGGTAGTCGCTATCGGGGGCACGGACACCCTTCAACTGGCCCTGATCCGCACCATTCACGGAGATCTTCTGGAGGATAGTGTGGGCCGAGACATTGGATGCAGCAAGAACAGCCGCGCTGATGAGGGACTGGATCTTCATAGCTTGTATTCTAGTTTGGAGTGTTTCTTGGATGGCTTGCAGGTCGAGGCTTTTGTCTGGCAGCAGTGGCCGTTTTATAGACGAGACTGATCTGCACGCTACACGAGCCTTGATGCTAGGAAGCCTTACTATCAAATCTTATCATGTTCTCAAAATCTTGTCTGTCGGGTCGAAGTGTGGTAGTTTAGATTGCCCAGCGCTAGGATTAGATGGAGTGCAATCCGCTATTGATTTCGATCCACGTAAGACATCGTGGCTAGAAGCCATTTAGAAGCGGATCTCGATTGGTGCCGGAGAAAACGGAGGCAGTGAAGCGCTTGAGAAGTGGAAATTGAAACAACAGCCCTGCCATGTGAGCAAAGGTTGGGCATCGTGTAATTTATCAAGTGACTGTTCGATTGGACGCGAACAGTGGGGGACGAGAAATTGCCATACCCCAGATTTTGGACATGCTATCGGCTCCCAGGATCGCAACACTCGAACAGGCAGCTGCCGGCATCCGATAGTACCTTGTTGAAGCACATGGCCAGGAGGCTCCGCGTTCGATTTCACCATATAAATAATAGAGTAGATGGTCGTTTGGGAGTCTCCCTTCGGTCCGTCTGGTCCGTGCCGAAATTGGTAGGGGGTTATATTGCATTCTATATGAAGCGACCCTAGGCTGCACATTGCAAAAACACCAGAAATAATGTACAATTATTCAATACATTGTACAATGTATAGGCAATACCATTCATGACATCAGATAACATTTTTCGGAGCGGAGTGGAAGCTAAGCAATGTTTAGAACGACGCTGTCGAGTTGGAAAAAACATGCGTTTGCACTCTGTCACAAAGACTTCACCCAATCGAGCACCTCTTCTGCTCCCCGTTCCCAACCAACGTGGTTTTGAAGGTGGTGTCCCAATTCCGGGACAACCTTGAAAGATACACCGCTTGTTTCATCGAGATCTCGTTCAGAGATCCCATCTACCTTTTTCCTCTGGACCATATCGCGGAATGCGGCTCGATATCGTTGGGTTGCATCTTCCAACAATGAAGGCGTACATAATACATCTTTCTCCGCTGCTATCACGAGGAATCTGTTGCTCAGCTTGGAGGCGGAAGAGTTGCTTTTTTGCAAACGCCACCCTGTGATCGACGACAGCACATCTGCACCCGTGACGAATCGGAATAGAGCCTGCATCGGCCAAAGCATGCTCTCATAGGGCGACAATAATCGTTCTAACGATTTGACAACCGAAGTTGGCGTAGATGGAGAAAAAAATGCATCATGCACCTGTTGCGTGTTTGCCAGAATGTACCGTGGATGGTAAAGGCGATACGGGAAGTGAAAGGGCGCTGTCAGAGCCCAGAACTTGTATGCACTCCATCTAGAGGAAACATCAGTTTTAATACTCCTGAGATCTGCGGAGAATTGACTTACGATCCGAATCCAGGTACGGCTGCAAACATGCAGAATCCCTGCACTTTGACCAGCCCTCTGCTGAGAATGTACTGGCTGAGTGCACCGCCAGCCGAATGAGCGATCAAAATGACCTTTACATTCTCTTGCACTTTTCGTCGCGCCTTTTCAAGCTTCTCGACGTGCTCGATCCCTGCGACGAGATCACTGCCCATGGTCCCGCGACTCGTGAAATACATTCTCCATAAGCCTGGATACCAGGAGTTACCGTGGCCACGATAGCTTATAGAGTAACATGGGTAGCCCTGAGAAGAGAAATACTGCAAATATGGAATCCACATTTCAGCACAACCAAACCCACCGTGCGCAAAGAAGAGAGGTGGTTTAGAGTCTGACGTTGAATCGGGAATGGCAGAAAGTAGTTCCAGCGGGCCAGAAGTCGTGGTCACATATGTACGTTTGATACCCGCTGGCGGCGGCGGTGGTCTTGGAGGGTTGGGAGATGGTGCTCGCCATTGGAGAACGAACGGGCCGAACATGGGAACTTGACGATAGAGGGCACTTTATTTGTCCAGAAATCCACAATTGCTAAGTGGACGATGAAGTTCTTGAATGAAATTGAGATGGAAGGAATTCGGGTGCTTGTACAGGCTACAATTAGATATCATGTAGAATCAAGAAGAATGACTGAGTGACTGTACTGGCTACGAGCCCTCATATATTCTTTGGTTTGTACCACCAAAAATTCGGGCGTGTCCGGGTGGTCTCATTGGTAGTCGGAGCCCCGACTTACCTTTCGAGGCTGGAAGAGGAATGCAGAGGCGGAGAGGCTGATCAGCCACACCATACTTCGGCAAGAGATACTTCATGACGCGCCGCGGCTAAACTCGATTAGTTGTACACTTTCAGCTTCATCATAGAATGGCATTGATGAATGCAGAGTGGACTGTACGGTCTTGTCAATTTCAAATGACTGTTGTCCTCTATCTCACAGTAGCAAATCCTCAACGAGAAGGCCTACCGCAGTCTCCGACAAATTCTCTCCTTCTCCTAAACAGAAGATAAAGAAGGCGCAGGTGGACCCACAGAGAGATCCAGCTCAATGATCTCGACATATCCAGGCACTGGGTCTTCCACTCCGGACAGCTTTATTCGGGTAACGGGTCTCAGACGTGAAAATGGTAGCCAAATAATTAAAACTTCTCCTGCGCTAGGTCGTCTATATCGGTCAGATCCACATGGGGAGCCCCCCAAAATGAGATTGGTGACCAAATAATACAACGCGGGTCAAAAGTCCTCGGGTGCGGGGTTTCGTTGCGAAATGTGTTTGTAGCTAAGAGAACATATTAGTCAAGTGTGAGACGCGTCTACTTGAAGAGTAGTACGTACCTCGTTGTTTTGTGGAAAAGTTGGTGAAGTTGGCGAAGTTGATGAAACCAGAAGGACGAGTGAAGTAATTCGAAGTGATGGAGAGGCTTCGACCTTGTCGCTAACCATGATTGGACAAGAGTAATTCTAGGAAGTGATCCGAATGGTTCAACTCTTGGTGGTCTTTATTCATGATCTGTGCCCATCTTCCCAAAAGCCAAGTACTTGAATTGAAGCCTGCGCAAGTGTCGGACATGAGGATGTAACTTCTCATCCATTTCTCAGTAGGTATGCACAAATGCCAATTGTCTCCGTAATCGCCCGACGAAGTGTCCTTTCGATCAGGTCCCGAGCCATCTCTTAACCGTTTGGGCTGGCCATTGATGCAAATCTGAGGGGATTGCACAATCACATATTGTCTCTCAACACTGCGGACTCGATGATGGCTTAGGCAAAGGAAATAGTATTCATACTTGGTAGGAGTACTTATGGGCAATTCCCAGTATCGTGATACACTAATCCAAGATTGGCTGTTGGTCATTTGGCAATCTGTACTTGACATTAGAGAAGTTCGTAGTTGTACAAATGACATCACTCCGCCTGATTAGACTTTCTCCTCATACACCACACTGCCCTTCTCCTCCGCTACAACCACTCGCGCATTCCGGACATCTTCATAATTTTGCCTCGCCTTCGTGGCAACGATCGAGACGTCACGCCCGAACAATAGATCCATATCCTCGAGCTGAACACCCTTCGTCTCTGGCACAAACAACCAAGCGAAACCAATCGCAAGCACTGTGCATGCTCCGAAGAAGAGAAATGTACCATGTTTGATGCCAATGACCATATGTGGTAAAGAGTACACAACGACGAATTGTGTCAGCCACTGTATACACACGCAGAATGCCATACCAGCAGTCCGAACGCGCGTGGGTAGGACCTCCGAGCAGAATAACCAGGGTATTCCATTCCAGCTGAGGCCGTAGAAGAGGGCATAAATGTACACCATGGCGACGGCTGCGCGGGCACCAGAGTCGAGCGGCGGCGTGCGCTCAAACGAGCCCGATATTTGGGAATAACCGGCTAGGTAGAACATGCTGATGCCTGCTCCCGCGCCACCGATCAGCAACAGGTTACGACGGCCTACCTTGTCGACAAGGAAACCAGCATATAGCATGGTAGCCACCATCTTGACGATGCCAAAGATACCCGTTGCAAGGAGGCCATTGGAAGTTCCGGTGAAACCAATGGAAGTAAATATCGTTGGAGAGTAGTAGTTGATTGCGTTGATACTGTAGCAGAAGTTCAGTCATGGACATTATCAGGCCATAGATGCGAAGCTTACCCAGTGAAGTTCTGGAATATCATCATCATGAACGAGATAATGATACGCCCTCTCACACCGGCTGAAAACAACTCTCGTCCTATTTGTTTCCATGTGCGCGGGGAACCAGCCACTTCGGATTCTATTGCATTTTCAACCACTGAAAGCTCATGTATGATCCAGGGGTGGTCTTCTGGCAAGTGCCTTACCCATGACAGAGCTTTGGCTGCCTCCTGCTTTCTACCCTTCGACATGAGCCATCGAGGACTCTCTATCATGGGTATCATGGTCAAGACTAGCAATCCAGCCGGGATGAATTGCACTGCAACCGGTATGTGCCACTGCTTTGATGTCGTCGCGGGGATGTTCTTGTTCACGCCATAATTGACCCAGAATCCGAACACAAGTGCGACCTGAAGCATGATCTCAAACACCCCCACCAATCGCCCACGAATCAATGCAGGAGAGCATTCTGACACGTAGATGGGTAGAATCATTGCACTGGCTCCAACGCCCCATCCCGTGAACACTCGACCCGCGTAAAGTAGATCCAGGCGACCTATCATTTGCAATATAGCCCCAACCGTGAAGATGACGGCGGATGCCATGATGGTAGCTTTACGACCGAAGCGCTCGGCCATGAAGAACCCAGCGGCGCAACCGAAGAATGCGCCGCCCTGGAAAGTGGAAACAATATTCGAGGATAAGTCTGCCTTTGCTCGCTTACTGGCGTCTGCAAGGCCGAATGTTCTCTGGAACGAGGGCAGGTTGAGAGTGCCGCCAATGAAGGCGGAATCATATCCATACATCGCAGATGCCTACAGCAATCTATGCGTTAGTCAAAGTTTGCTACAACAGTCTACTGAGGGGTTACAGAAGGGGCTTTTACCCATGATGCGGAAAATGCGAGAGCGTAGGGCCTCCATCCGTACACTTCTTGCGGAACCTCCTCACCTGGTCTCTCCCTCAGTTTGAGAATGTTTCGCATAGTCGTCGTGGTTCGGGTTGAGCACCTGAGGGCCTTGTCTGGGAGTTACTTGACGCTCCAATATTGGAGAATGGTATCAAATATTAATTACTACAATCGAAGAAGGTCATCTACCGTATAGTAAACAGAACCACATACTTATACCGGCATGCCGTAAGAGCAAGACTGTTCTATGCTCGGCAATGGTAACCGAGGACTGTCTGAGTATTTAACCATGGCAAATAAACCATAGCAGAATTAGTATAGCGAACATGGAGATCAGCACTGCGGGGGAAACGCGGAGAGCGGAGTGGACGACATGTTCAGTGATGTTCTGTTTGTCTACTCGTCATTCGCCTCTTTTCGCGGAGACTTGAGTCATGACCCGTCTCATCCAATCGCCTGGAAGAAGTCATATCCGAATATCAAGGCACAACACGCTTTGGCTGGTTCAACCCCAGTTTTTCGTGTCTGAAGATTCGGTTCTGCATTTCCATGGAAGATAGTTTCTCTGATTGAGTATGCCGACAGAGGCAGGCTCGCATGAGTACCGTTCGGCATCGTTGATCCACTCATTGGTAACAACCCGGGGTACCAGCCGCAAACAACGTGTCGCACGCATCTTCTTCACATTACAACACCTCATAAGAACCGCAACTTAGAATTTGGAACTCGTTGCAATGCTGTCGCAGGACTCACCTACCATCCCTTCATTTGATGATCTCCCACTTGACAAGAATGGCCCGCCAGGCAACGCGTGGGGTTTATGGGGTGAACACGACGAGCTTGGCATGCTCAATCGCATCACACCCCAAGTTGTAGCTGCCGCCGCCAGAGAGATTCAAAATGGACACCGTATATCACTGGACTGGCCCCTGGACAAGCCATCTCATCCTGCTTTCGATCGACGCCGCTTCCATCATGAGATCTTGAACAAAGCCCCAATGACAATGAACGATGATGCCATCTATATCAATACCCAAAGTAGTACGCAGTGGGATGGATTCCGGCATTATGGTTATCAGCGGACGAAGCAGTTCTACCGAGGGCATCGACAAGAGGATTTTGTGCCGGGCCAGGGGCCGCTCAGTATAGACGGTAGCATCAACGCCTAGATTCGCGATTTGACTGTATTCTGACATTTTCAACAGTGTTCGCTCGTCATGGTGGAATCACTGGCCGGGGTGTGCTGCTTGATTGGTACTCGTGGGCGCAGAAGAATGGCATTCATCGGTCTCCATTCGAGACAGGTGCTGTGGAGTTGTCGCATCTGAAAGCAATACTGCAAGAGAAATCCATCGAACTCCGTCCTGCAGATATCTTGTTCATTCGAGTCGGGTTCACGGCCGAGTACGACAAGCTCTCCATCGAGCAACAGCAAAACTTTCCAAATCGGCAACCAGGTGGACTTTTAGGCCTTGAAGCCAGCCGCGATAGCCTTCGCTGGTTATGGGTGAATCAGTTCGCTGCTATTGCGTCCGATGCGGCAGGTTTCGAGCGTGGGCCCGCGACTGGTTCTTATAACGATCCCGATGTTAGCATTCACCAGTGGTGTCTCGCAGGATGGGGTCTACCTCTAGGTGAACTGTTTAATTTGGATGAGCTGGCACAGTATTGCCAAAAGCACGGCCGGTGGACATTCTTTGTTCAGAGCATGCCGTTGAAGGTATGTGGCTCAAGGTACTGGACTATCGCCTTATCTTCGTATGCTAAATTGATGATAGATTCCTGGGGGAGTCGCGAGCCCCGCCAATGCCGTGGCAATATTCTGATCCTATCATGAAGACTCAACAAAGGACATGTGGTAAAAGAATTTGGCGCCTGAGTTCTTTTATCATAGCTATTTCTGCATGATAAAGAGTAGTATAGGAGGAAGTAGGGCCCGCTTTGCTTGTTCGTCGGCTAGGGCACTGTAAGCATGATGGGCTGTGGGGATAAGCCTCAACGTATTGTAGTGCGCAAAACCAATTATCAATCTCCTGGTATGGTTCTGGCCGAGATTGGCCCTTTATGATATTAGATTGAGAGATGTCAACCGAATTGCCGCCTGTAATGGTGATCAATATAAACCGAGTTTCCACCCACAATATCCATAGAATCGATTGGATCTCTACCTACCGCAGTGATTAACGTCGATTGTATTTTCCGAATGTTACTCAGAATCAATTCAATTCTTGTCTATAACATTATCTGATCAACCACCGATAACAGTGACCAATTTTCATCAACTACCAACTGATATGATCCCTGAAGGGACTTAAAGTATAGTATGGAGAATAGAGCGATCGATCGACTATCTACCCAGATAGGCTACCGAGGTTGGTAACACCTAGTCAGAGTCTCCTGAGTGAGCAAATGCCTAGGAAGGCCATTGAAAGTTGTAGGGCGTAATCGTGATATCCTTTCCTGTCAAAAAGGTTACTGCCTGTGGTAGTATCTTACAATTAATGCAAATTCAAAATAGTCTGTAAGCTGTAAATGATCTCAAGAGGAGCTTACGCCTGGCTTCCAACCTACCCGTTATTGTTATTCAATTTCCACCTACTTTCAATTGGTTTTGATCTAATTCTACCTACAATAATGTCTAAAATTGAATCAGGCTTCATCTGCGGCGGAAGCAATCAATCAACTACCTTCCCTGTAACACGAACTTTAGAGTCTCTGATCCACGTTATGCTAAGAGATTTTATGGCTACCTCAATTAGCATTGGATTTATTACTTCCTCCACGTGAATTCTCTTTTTCATTATGGACGGTACATGAGTGACCATGCTTATGATTGCTGGGAACGCTCAAAAAATCGACATCATGCGATATCCGTTATAGGTAGAAAATATGATAATACATTGCTAAGAATGATTGTTTCAGAATTAATGTTACTCTTCTAGTAGACGTTTCTGCAACTAACTTTGTTGTTGTTAGACCTATTTGCAGCGCGCAAGGAGACAGGCTTCTTCTTAGCGACGACGTTGCTGTTCGTAGAGATAGCACTGTCCTTGGAGGCGGCTTTGTTTAACCACCCCAATCTACTATCTACAACAGTGATCAATCAACGACCTGTAGTAATGGTTAAAATTGATCAAATAGCCACCTACAGAAGGAAAGGTGGAGAGAGGATAGCCATATTTACACCATTTATCGCATTTCAACATGCTAGACAAGAATAATCAATTAATTGACAAGCAGGGTACTCTAAAAGAAATGCGCACCATGCGAAACTAAGAACATAAGAATCTCCGCTCCAAGTTACGCCCAAGATTGGTTCTAACCAACTGGATTTTTTCCTACGTGAGCCTTTATTCTTTCCTAACGGCTAAGCAGTGATATTGACGAAGCAATCCACGTAGGCTAATTTAAATGCCAGTAGCAAGCCAGCAAACTAAGGGTTCTACTATGGGCTAAGTACCTAATCAAGCATTATACTCCTCTCTGTAAGAAAAATCACATTTCTACCTACACTAGTGCAATTGGTCGAATCTTTACCTATAACCGCGATCGTAACGATGACCTTTCCGACTCTCATTGTAGCTAGAATCGACCGAACGTTGGACTAACAGTCACGAAAAACAAACGTTCACCTACAGCAGGAAGATGACAGAGAACAGCCAGTCAGAATAGAATCTATGTCCAATCTTGTAGTCTAGCAGAATAGGTGATACTGACCAAAGGTAACATGTACGTAAAGAACCATTAGGCTGAACATAGATAGATCAGGGCAGCCGAGAGATTGACGCGTCGTCCCACTACCTCCGGAGACCGATTGACAAAGGCGAATATTTGCCTACTCTACCAAGTCATCGATTACGGATTGCCCTTCCGATGCTCCTTACTATCGAGGTTTCACTACGCAGAAATAAATATTTAGGAATGAAAGCAGACGAAGACGCATGTTATTTATACAAAGGGTAAGCAGGTTTAGTTGTACGGCTGACAGTATCATGTCTACTTAAGAACCTCGATCAGCTACCTTACAGTTGATATATGACTTAGGTAAACGCATTACTTGAACTATATACTAAGAGCATTACTAGGTAGGCAACCCGATGGCCTATCATCGTACACTAGGATACACTGAATAATGCCTCCTTAGTAGGTGGTTAGAATCTGCAATACTCTACCATACAATCATTTCTAATCGTGACAGTTAAGTAGGCACAGAAGTTTATCAGGTAATAAATGCAAAAAGGCGTTCTTTGGAGAATGTATCTATCAAATAAACCCAAATTGTACTATAATGAGCCACTGTACTCTGGTAGACTCTTTGGTAAGAAAATCAATTTTCCTTCCTTTCTGTGACCATGAACAACTAAACAGTGGCGACATAGGGTTGATGTATATTTCTGATCATCAAGCGAGACTGCAAGCAAACTCCAGTTAGATAACGCATCATTGCGTCGGGAAAACGCGTATCAAGTATCGATACTTTCGTAGAAAGGCAATCGAAGATGTAATTGATAAAATGAAGAAAAAATTAAGAAGTAGTAAAGTAATGAAGCAATTTCTAGAGTAACAAAGCAAGCCATAAAGTGGTTGAAGCTGCAAAGCAGCAATTATAGTTTCCCAGAGTATGCAGTCTTGGGTAGAAAAGCATCCTTTGTTCTAATTAGAATCGAATGTAATTTTTTTTTTCAAACATTAACTACGTCAGAAATTGCATTGCTACACGCTATACAAGCTTGTTGCGATGAACATTCAGGTAGACAAACGCTTGATTTAATTGTGAAGTGTAGAAAATGTGAACATGAAGTACTAAAGTCTGATGTCTTATTAATTTGTTGCATATTACAACATCTGTGTAGTTCTATCTATGGCTCTGAAGGCTGTAATTAGATGGTTCATGCTCTAGAAATGACAACATTTAAGTGCGCTGTAGAAAGTCAAATATGCTAGCTTGCCGCATCACCTTTGGATGCTTGACCTCCTTCTCCTCCTCGTCCTCAACATAAGCCCGCTTTGCGGGGACACTCGGGGACAACACATTTTCTTTATTGTTGGCATCACTCTGTTCAACACTATAGTAATAAATTAGCTGGTGTCTTGAACAAATCTTAGACAAACACAAAAAGCACAAAGAAGGAGGAGAACATAAGAGAAAACATGAAGGAGAACAACTATTTCTCAAGGCACATAAATTGAGGAAGTAAATGCATTACAAAACCAAGGAGACATGACGAAAGATGCATATACTTGACAGAAGCTGAATGTGAAGATCAAGAAAGGGAAGCAAAAGTGCATAAGGATAAAGAGCAAGTCATGAAAAGATTTGATAAATATGTCAGACAAATGCACTTACATTTGTTTTGACGGCTCCGCGCTTCGACTAATCGTCGTCGTCGTCGTCGTCGTCTTCATCGTCGTCGTCTTCTTCTTCGTCGTCGTTGTCGTCGTCGTCGTCGTCTTCGTCTTTCTCTTTCCTGTCAACTTCATAGTTGACGTCCTTGTAGGCACTATAGGCTTCTATATGCATTAGTATTCTAGTATGTGAGACAAAGAAGGGGGAAACGATAAAGCCTACGACGGTCTCCGACGGTTCCTCCACTTCTTCCTCAGCGGAAGACAACGAAGGTGCGGGAGACGCCGCAGCAACAAGATCGAGCTCGACGACCTCGATATGATCGGGTGGGGGGCCCTCAACCCCGGAGAGCCTCACGCGAGGGAGGATCGAAAAAACGCCGTCGTCGTCGAAAAACGTATCGGTAAAACTACAACATATGTCAGCAAATTGCACAATCAGTCAATTACGCGACCAGTCAATGACTGATCAGTCAATCACTGATCAGTGAATTGCAGGATCAGTGAAGCGCAGGATCCATCAGAGCAGTACATACCTCATCTTGATTTCTGTAAAACTTGGAGAACTTAGGATGAAGGAAGCAATCCATCTTAATAAAGCCCAGATGGGGCGAGCATCGACCATCTGTGATCTCGCTAACATGAGTGGCGACCAGACGTGATTGGCCACGACCCCTGTTCGAAAGTGATCTGAATGGTTCACTCGTCCTGATCCCATCAGTGATCCGTGTCCCACCACCTGATGCCCACCCACATCCTTGGAAAGCGCAATTTCTACCGGCAACTACCGAAGCCCTACGCGAAGGTAGACGGGAGCCTCATGGTGGAACAGAAACCCTAAGTGAGAGAAGAACATGCTTCCTATCATATCTCCTTATCACAACACCTGATCAATTGTAGTATCTTGATATTATATCTTGACGTATCTCTTCTTCTAATCTGTATAATTTTTATTAAAAAGGTCTTCAGAAACGCCTTTGCGTAAGAAAGAAGCAGTTGAGTATTGCTATAGTGAACTTGCACCATCTGTCAGAATTGGAGCTTGAATTAGCAACACACCAATCATGACATGCCTGCACCATGCGATTATACGCATTCTATCCTCATACCTGATTGTGACATATCACATAATTGAACACAGAAGTTGATATGACTGTGACTCTGGCTGACTATAATTGTTTATTGCCTTTTCAGTTGTTTCATTCTTCATTTCTTCAATGCTCCGCCGATTGCCCCATGAGTAGAATATCTATACTTGATGCGGCTTGTTCAATAGAGAATGTGTATTCATTTCATTGGAGTTGGCTTCTAGTCTTCCACGTACTGTGATAAAACCCCTAATGAGGTGCCGAATTCTCGATAAAAGCCAATGTTCATCCTAAACTGGAAGAAAACCTTCTCCATAGCATGGTGACCCCCAAGGCCGTTCATTCCTTCATTTCCTCAAGTGTTGATGAATTTCACCTTGCCTCAATCTAAATGTTCTTCCCAATTGTCCCTCGCTCAGTAATTACTTCTGAGGGAAAGGACAGTCTGGCCACACTGTCGCCTTCCTCATCTTGCGGGAGAAGTCCATCCAATTTTCATCGTTCTGCGTCAATTGGTACGTGATGTATGCATCAATTGCATCGTCCCACATTACGGCATATTTCCTCGCGTTGTCTGCTCCTAGGACGATGGCACTCAGCTGGGTCCAGTCCAAGTCCGGCCCGCTATACTTCCTGTCCTTGTCAAAGACGAAGTCAGAGCGCTTGCGGGCTTGAAAGCAGAGTTTCATGTGGTCAAGGTGCTGTTGGATCCAGTTGCCGAATATTGGCTCGCCTCTGTCGTTCTTAGGAAAGACATACGTGTCCATAACATATTGGCGATGTGCGCCAACGATGGTCCAGTGGAGGTGTGAGGGCTTCATGATTCTAGTATCGACGCGGATACCCTGGAGACAAGGTAGGTTGAGACTGTCGAGCTTCCTGTCGTAATATTAGTAAACATTAGTCTTCACGAGAGAGATACTTACGTGTTGAGGTTTTTGTTCCAGTCGATTCCAAATGATCCCAGAGGTTCGAGCGTGTACCACAACGCCTCTCTGGTATTCCATTCGTACCAGACTGGGAGACAACCAAGTACGATGGGCTTGGATGTGCCCTGAGGGCCAGTAGACCATCGGGCATACATCTTGGGACGTTCTTCCTCGTCCCAGAACTGGTTCCATCTCTGGGCGTTATTTGGTATCTCAGGCGTTACGATGATGAGACTACGCCCTCCCATTTCTCGGACCACGGAAGCACAGCGAGCCTCATGTTGGTACACAACGGTGCGGCGATCAGATGGGTGATACGGACAGTCATCGACCTTGTTGGCCTTCTACAGTTCCTCTCCCGCATCCAGTATATCCTTTGGCGTGGGGGCATTTTTCCCGACCGAACATCCGGAGGAGGCGAGAGCGGCCGCGGCAGCGTCAGCCCAGGTCTTGTGAAATTTCCATTTCCAATCCTTCGTATTGTAGTTGAAAGGAGCCTGAATAGCTCCAACAACGGCGACTGGCTGGTATCCTTCCTCTGCAATACGAAATCCTAATCGCCGGTTGTTTGGGCTGCAAGGATGCTCTGACGTCTTCCTCTTTGAAGTCTTCTCTGTGTACCTCGCTGCATAGATTTTGCCTTCAGGTCTCTTGTAGTCATTTCGACTAACAGAATAGTTGGAGGGGACGGGTCCGTGTGCCTTGACGTCGGTGACCTTGCCAGTGTCTTTGGCGGACACATAATGCCGCTCGTATCTTCCAGCCATGTTGTAGACGATACGAAGTTTGATTCGTATCGTTCAGACAACTGCTTAGTTCACAGAACTGATTTTTTGAGAGAACTGGTATATGCAGGGGACTGGTTTATGCAGAGGACTGGGCTTTTCGGATTGAAAGAGGTCCTGAGGTGATAGTTAGATTAGATCAACAGTACATTTGAATGTGGGGAGCTCACCAAAGTAAGGAAGTGAAGAATTGAAGCCCTCAAGGTGTGCTCTGGGTTGATAACTTGTAGGTGGTGTAAGAGCTGCCAACAGGTTGATGAAACGGCGAAGGTTGTGCTCGCCACAAGGTCAATATATAGGCCCTGATAACCCACCTTCACCTTCACGCAAGCACGTCCTGTCCTCTTGCGCAAACATCCGTTTGTCAGCATAATTACTGCACACAAACACCAAAGTATCATATGGCAGATTTGCGGTAAGCATCGAGACCAGCTACCAAATGTAATTGGCCCACAATACTTACAATCGGAACCCTATGGTGATATTCACTTCAGGATTGCTGCCTGCATTCTCACATGAGAAAATTACGGTGACCAACAGTACGAACCGTTGACACAATTGGCCCATCAACTAGAGTTTTACGGTAGTATTCACTTCAATATCGCTGCCTGAGCTTCCACGTGGAGAATGGCGGTGACCAAAAGAACGAGCTGCTGAGACAATTGGCCCACGAGTTCACGTGAGGTTACAATCAGAGCGCTCCAGTCATATTGACTTCAATTTTGCTGCCTGAGTTTCCCCGTGGAGAAGCGGCGGTGACCAACGGTAGAGACTGTTGAGGCGATTGGCTGCTTAGATCCTACTTTTACGATATAAAAGCCCACACTCTTCCCTCTCTTGATCTCATTCTCTATTCCTCCAAGTCTTTACTTCTCACACCTTCTGCTTGTTCACCCTACCTCCAACACCTCCGATCGACCCTCTATTACTTTTACCACATCAGTATCGGATCACACTCCTTTCATACCTCGCATATCTTCCTCCATAACCACCCACGTCTCCCCTCGGGGACTTCAATCGCCATGCCGGGAGCACGTCCAATTCCGTCCCCCGTTTTCCTCGATGGAACTCAAGGTTTATTCTTGCGCCAATTTAACTCAACTGAAGCCCCTCAGCTGAACCAGTCTGCCCATGCTCAGGCTCAGCGATTGGGCCCTGTCGGCTGCAGGGTCACCTCAAATATCGTGGTTGGAAATCTGAATTTGAGGACCGATATGAACGGCATTGCCCTCCTTCAGAAGGGCGATAAGGCATTAATCAGTATCCCATGAATCACGAAAGAAAACGTGTGGGTGCCGGTTCGATACCTCCAGATCGGTAGTGTCCCGTACATCGACGACTTCCTGAAGTGGAACATAACGACCGATTTTCAGTTACAATCGGTCCCAGGCTTAGGCAACCTGTCTGCCTCCGGTGACGTGCTATCGCGCACAATCTCATTGCTGGTTCAATATTTCGTTAGAGATCCCCCGGCTCACCTTGACACGAGCATCATTACGAATTTAGGATCACCCGATGCTCTGGCCGGGATGATAATGGGCGCGATTACAGCCGCCAATATGCACCAAGTTCTAAATAAGCCGGATTTCTCCATCCATGGACTTGTCGATGCCAAAAAGTATCGAATTAACGAGTACACGCCTAAAGGCAGAGGAGGCATTTATGTACGGCTCTACCTTTCGGGAAAAAACGCCACTTTCTGGACTCCGGGGAAAAATCATCTATATTTCGGCCATACGATCGAGTTCTGCTCACGCTACACCTCTCATCAGACAAAGAGTACTGCAAAACATAGTCTTCTCAAAGAAACGGCCGAGAGAATGATTATGTTTCCAGTAGCCATATTTGAACACGAGAACAAGACTGTCTATTTGCTGATTGAGCAAATTTTCGTCTGCTTGCTCCAGACATGGCGGCGAGATGTTTTTGCTATCCGACCAGGTGGCTCTGGCGCAAAATTGCTCGCAGAGAGGCCTACAGCCGCTGCGGCGGTCGACGCGGCACACTACTATAAGATGGCTATCGACTTGGTTGCAGCTAAGACTGGTTGGCCAGGAGGGGTTCTACGTGAGAGCTTCCAGGTTCCTTTCGGTGTGAACTTCAGCTCACCACTCCAAGAAATCGTATTTACGGAGCGGCCACTTCTGTTACGAAAGGATACTTGGATAATGAATAAGCAAACAGGAGAGCCTTACCAGATTGCCGAATTCCGTCGTGCCAAGTCAAAGCTGGCAAGCTGGAGGGAACGAAAAAGCGCCACTGGGAAATCGACCAACTTTGGTACGCATGTTTTCTCGGGTGCGTCCCTCAAAGATGGAGGCTCCTTTTCATTCGAGATGTTCTGTACCGAGACGCCGAATGGCATCAATGGACCTCTTCCGGGAAGTCGATTTTATGTTACGATCGATGTTCGACTGGATTGGAAACCCCACTCGAAGTCCTGGGCTTGCCTGCCTGAAATCGGGCCATACGAAGATTGGGACCGCGCAAATAGCTGGGCTATTCGCGCGAATTGGGAGCATCCCCCTGCTTCTGGCCAGTGGAGACACCGGTGGATTCAGTATTTCACTCCGAGTGTTCTCATCGCAACAAATGTGCCTGGTGGGTTCAATGCGTATGCCCAAGGCATACGTATGATCCATTGGTTATTCGGAGAAACTCCAACCCACAAACATAGTTGGATACCGGATGCCTATGGTGCGGCCTTTGTCAAGCAGATGAAGTGGGATTTCCTTACCATGACCATCGATTTCGCGACACCTGTTCGCCTACCGCCGCCAATCTCAGCTGCAAGGCGATCCGCTGCTTCCATAAAGGCACAAATGAAGCAGCCGCAATACTTACTCGAAGGTGTCGATGGGCCTTTCCAAGAAAAGGTCGGGCATCGTGGCATCGTTTGCGACACTTGCAGACTGATGGCATTTGACAATACCCCATGTATCCAGGTCGCTGATAGACGAGTCTGCAAGAATTGTCTCGAGATATACGGAAGACCATGTTGTTCGTGGACACCTACGCTGAGGAACAGGTCAACACAAGAAGACAAAATGTCTCCCGACCAGATTGTTCAACGAAATACCATCCGATCGGCACTGATCTGTCGACCTGCCGCCCCACGCGATAGTACCCCCATCAGCACGAGAATTCGATTCATAGCTGACAGGCCCGCTCAGGACTCGCTCATGGCAGATGAGGATGAAGTTCCTCGATTTGAGATCCCAGATTCAGAGGACGACGAGTCTGATCTAGATTGACGGAGCATTCATTGCTTCTGATCACTTTAGGGAATTCGTTCCTCCCAAGCACATGTATTAGATTGCTAGTTTTCATTTTTCTCTCATCAACAGTTCCATGAAGAGGAATGGATAAGAATGGATAGGACCCTTGGTGCGATACTTTCTCCACTCCACTCTTCATTACATTAGTATTTCGATTTCAGTTCAATCAATGATATCATATGATAAATCTCTTCCACTCGACCATCTGTGATAATCTTGTTGCACAGTCTGTGGAAAAGGTTCTATTGTATATTACCTTGCCTAACACCAGTTACTTTCCTGGAAATATTGGTATTTCGACAAAATTCACGTATTATCGTCTCAACACGAAGGGCTTTGTAAGTTGCCCAAAAGCTATTGGCAGAGTGATAATACTACGTAGCTCTCTATTTTGACTTTCAAACGCCTGGCAGTGCGCTGACGATGCAACATGACGTTCAATAATCTTAGGATGGACGGCGTATTGATTGAAAACCTAGCAATACTTTATAATCTAGATAGTGTAATAGTGAACAGCATGATCATTAGCAGCAGTAACTTTTGAGTCAGAGTATATAGGTAGGAGACAGAGAGGAAATAACCAGCTGGAGTAAAATTGATGATCACTCTCCAACTGCAATTATGATCTAAAATGGCCAATTCTCCAGGGGGTTATATTGAATGTATACCTGCCATAGGGATAAAACAATAGATCACGATCGATCGAATCTTTACCTACAATATCCGTTCCAAGACCTTGAGTTTCCGGTCCGCAACAGTGCGAATAGACGCGTTTATAGTGGGGAGCATTACAAGCATCACTGACATGACCTGCAATCAGTAGATGGGTAGGGTATTAAATATTCGCTTTTGTCAATCGGCCTCCGAAGGTAGTGTACGATGTCTTAATTCTCTCGGCTGGCCTGATCTATCTATGCATGCTCAACCTGATGCTTCCCCACCGCGTGATCCCCGGAATGCCTCACCTATCCAGCTACCCTGCCTGCATTATCCATTAACGACTATTGCAATGCATCCTAGACTGCCTCAGAATTTCTCGCACCCGACTGCGTCCACGTCGTTTGCCGTCGTCTTCATTCCATCTCCTCGATCGTCTTCGTCGTCGTCTTTGTAGTCGTCGTCGTCTTTGTGGTTGTGGTAGTGGTCGTGACGGTGGTGGTGCCGGCGATCACGGTCACGGTCACGGCCATGGTCGTGGCCGTGGTGATCTTTGTCTTCTTTGATGCCGTTATTGTTGTAGTCGTGGATGGGGTCTTCCTCTTCTTGGTTGGCTTCATATGCATGCGTAAGTAAAGATGAGACACAGATAAGAGAGACGGGAGAGCTTACTACGCTTTCAACAAATTCTACTGTGTTCTTAAAATACAAGAAATAAGTTTTGGTAGCCATTGAGGAATTAGGTTCAAGAACGTTTTTGATGAAGGCGGACGGAGGACCTTTGATGCCAGAGAGCTTGACAGGAGGCAAAAGACTCTAGACACTAGTCTTGTCGCGGAATGAGTCTGTAGAGCTAAAGGGAAAATGTTAAAAAGTTGCATAATCGAACGAAACAGCACATACCTTATTTGCCTTTGGCGAAAACTTGGGGAAGTTCAAAAAGGAAGAGAGCCAGTCTTAGAACAGAACGGATGGGGATGGCACTAGTTGTCTAACTAACCATGATAGGCATTAGTGCGCTGTCGCCATTGGATACACCCCTGCTCGGAAGCGATCCGAATGGTCCTCTCACCTTCACTTCAAAAGAGTACAATCGCTTGAAGCCTAAGCAACCATTTATATATAGATGGTGTAGAAAGATTATCTCACCAGCCAAACGCTTCTTTGGCGGGCTTATTAGAGCGCTATATTGTTGATTAGTAAGGATCAGAGCCCTGGCAACGCGTCTAAGGGAAATATGTGCGCGTTTTGCTATACTGTAGAATGAATTACGCTATAGGACAAAAATTAAGTACATAAGGCGTAACAACAACGTTTGAAGGCAACAGAAACGCGTTAGTAATCTATTATGTTCATAGGTCTCTACACAAGCATACAGTTCTATTACTATTATATCAATATTCTTAGTAGTAGTAGAGACTAAGTAAGGTAAAAGTAGCTATATTCGAATCAAATCCTGACCAAAACAGCCGTAGACTTGTGGTAAGAAATCGGCTTGTACGCTTACTGATTGGCTGCTAGTTTTGTACAAGGGATCTCGCACTGCTTAGCAGGAGCCGATCTCTCCGTCATGAGTCTCATTAGTGATAATAGCAAGGTAGGTGAGGCTGTTTAGGGATCACGTGTATGGGGAAGGCACTAAGCAGAGCATAGACATCGTCTACTTGCCTGCGGAGGCCCATCGATAATGTCCAATATTTACCCATCCATCGATTGCAAGTCGCGTCCGTGATCATGTCTGATATTGAGGCGTGTATGCATGACAATGTCAAGCAAACAAAAGCAAGGACATGCAATTGCCCCTACTTTCATTCTACTTGATCGGTCACTGTTCGATGTCGCTACGTTCTGAGTGATCTGCAATTGTCTATTGCTCACCCTGACACTATTGGCGCAATGATGGTATGTAGGAAGTGAAAAGCATGCGGAATTGCTGTTGCTACAGTCATACCTAAGTCTTACAATGTTGGTAAACATCCAAGACCGAGGTAAGGGCACCTATCGTGTAAGCATACTGCATAGTAGTTGGGGCCAGCTCCTGATAAGCCACTAAACGGCCATTGTACCGCTGAACAGGCTAGATATTCAGATAATAGAAGTATTAATTGACACATACTATACAGGAGAGGTTGTGTACGCGTGATGAGCTATGGAGGCCTTCAGAAGGCGTAAACCTACAAATTGTTCCTTTGAATCGCTGTATCGAAGTCTATCTCGCCGAGTGATTTGCGGCCACCTATATCACGCGATTCGCATCAGAAAAGAGTGGGATGCATACCTTGAAGAGCTCAAGGGTTGTTCGGATTAGTTCAAAGTAAGCGAATTTGGGCGCAGGGCAGATAGCAATACTAGAAGATGGAATCCGGTAACGTAACAACAGCGATAGGGTTGCTGCAAAATTTAGCCGCTGGACATTCATACCAGTCGACCGCAGGGAAATGTTCAAAGTCCCTACATATGCATCACTGGAGACTAGAAAGTAAAACCAGGGCGCTGGGGACGGTAAGCATGTGGCATCGCCTATCCGTCCCGGTATTCGGAAACACGGATCGCTACTTGACCTATCAATGGCGGGCGCTCATCACCTACCGTCCGAAACAGGTAACACCATAAAGACGACACAGGCGCCCAACCCAAAGATAAAGATGTTGATCAATGATTGATAGAGAACGAAGAGCATAAAATTAGTAGGGGCTTGTCTATCAATACCGGGCGTGCAGCGAGATTGTTTGACACATGGGATTTGCCAGCCCCAACCGACTGGAACCAATCAGAGTGAATTCCGTTCAACTGTTATCATCCACGTTGCGCCACACTATCCCAGTTCGGGACTATGGCAGAGACGACCTTATCTACAACACCAAGACCCCTTATACCGAGTCAATCCATCCATTTCGTTGATAGAGACTCCCAGGGCGCCTTGGCTGTATTCGAACAGCGGATCCGACAAGCCTCTCTTTTCATCATCCTTAGTGACCCACCAATGCCGCTTCGATGCTGGGGAATGGGGAATGGGGAATAGTAAGTTGTCGGCGGCGTGGTACATCTCTCTCGGCTGTTAGGCATGGTTGACAACATGGTTCTTATCAGCGCCAAGTCGCTCGTGTTCACGAAGTATGGGGGTGCCGTGGTGGATATTGTGTGCCATGTATCTGGGCACTGATTGTCGGATGCCTATGTTCGGTATTTGAGCCGTGTTGGAAGGATGCCCTATATAGACTCCTGCTATTCCCCCTGACAAGGGATTTTCCCTTGAGATTCTCCAAATTATCTTCTTAATTCAATCTTGATCCTAAGTCGTGACGAAGTCTTGTAACCGACAAAATGGACAGGACGCTGTTCGCCAGACATGACAATCCGACGCCGGTAGGAAATATCCCTATTCTAGTTTCAAACGCACCTTTAACATTGATATAGGAGTATGACCCGGCCATGCCTAATGGCGGAAACTCTTTGGATGTAGATGTAAATGCACAATATGCCGGCTACGAATTCCACTATGTCTACCTCGTCATTTGCGGCTTTTTTGTCTGGATGATCGTTCCTGGTATTTTTGTCATCTCACATCATCTTTACGGTAAAACTAATATTTGGAAAGGTATCGCTCTGCTTTACAGTGGTCTTGCCCGACGAAAGTCTTCGCTGTCTCTATTGTTCCAATGCTTCATGGTCTTCGGCGTGTTAGTAAAAACGTCTACACTTGAGATTGAAATTCACTGACACCGTTCCAGTGTCAGTTTCACTTGGATGTTCTGGGGCTACTCGCTGGCTTTCTCCCGAACTGGGAACGCATTCATTGGAAATTTGGAATATTTTGGACTGAGGCATATCATGTCTGCGCCCTCTCCAGGATCGGCCCTGATTCCCGAAATCGTATTCGTCTACTATCAGCAGCTGTTCTGTACCTGTACCGTCATGCTCGTCATCGGAGGCTCTTTTGAGCGAGGTCGTATCCTTCCATCAGCAATTTTCGCATTCCTTTGGACAACCATTGTCTATTGTCCCATCGCATGCTGGGTCTGGAACTCCAACGGCTGGCTGTACAATCTCCCATCGCTTGGTAAGCAGTGCGCATTTTGTCGATTGCAAGGTCCCTAGCTTACTCTGAAAAATAGATTTTGCTGGAGGCTCGGTCGTACACATCAGTTCTGGATCTTCTGGTAAGTCAATACTATGCTGGATTGGTTGTGGTGCTTGCAGATGAATGGATAGTGCAAGGCAGTGCGGACCTCACTTTTCCAACGTCCCCCCTCCCTCTCACCACCACATGACCCCAAAACAATTCGAGAATGGGTCTAACATACTTAATAGCGCTTGCCTATGCATTTGTTCTCGGAAAGCGTAAGCATAAGGGTGATAAGATTCATGGGAAGCCGCACAACACCACGTTGGTGTTTCTTGGCACAGCTTTGATCTGTAAGTTACAACTCCTACAACTCTGGAATCGCTTCCTGTGCTGATTTTCGCGGTCCTGGGCTGGATGGGCTTCAATGGCGGTAGTGCGCTTAATGCAACGATGCGATCAATGATTGCTGTGTACAATACGCAGACTGCGGGATCATTTGGTGTGCTGGGGTGGGTCATCGTGGATTACGTCCGCACCAAGGGACATTTTAGCGTAGTCGGAGCTTGCTCTGGCGCTATTGCCGGTCTAGTTGGTATTACTCCTGCTGCTGGTTATGTATCGCTCTGGATTGCTGCGTTGATCGGCTTCCTCACCGGCGTTGTGTGCGCCCTCTGCCATAACATCGACAAGTGGCTCCACATCGACGAAGGAATGGATGTTTTCAAGCTCCACGGAATCGGTGGAATGGTGGGCTCATTCCTTACTGGTATCTTCGCTCAGAAGTGGGTGTCGTCTCTTGATGGGTCCTCGATCTATGAGGGAGCTCTCGATGGCGTCGGTGTTCAAGTTGGCCGTCAACTCGCAGAGATTTGCGCCGTTGCGTCCTATGCCTTTGTCGTATCTTGCATCTTACTCTACGGCCTCAAGTTCATTCCTTTCATGCACCTCCGTGTTAGCGAGGAGGCTGAAATGATTGGTCTTGACCTTGACCAGTTTGTCGACGAGCAGATTGGTGACTGGAGCATGATGGAACAACACACATACGAGGGGCAAGTTGGAGCACAGTCCAGCAGCCATAGCAGCGTCAAGGCAACCCCTGAGGATGCTGCTGCTAAGCAGGCATAAGTTGGATGTGAGAACGTGTGTGGAAAGACGTAGTGGTGCACGTGACAGGCACAATGCGCCGGAGACGGAGGACTTCAGACGTTGTTCATACTAGAATGAGCTTTAATATGAGACCAATTTTAATTTGATATATTTGTTGAGCATTTTTCGTTACAATATACCCTCCCTGTTCGACTGTCGCATGGGCATCGGAAGGCCAACGGTACCCCCCATAAAGATAATTTCGGAAGACGCCTGTCCACAGCCTATCTTTTGTATTATCTACTCCGGCTAGAAGATTACTGTTGGCAATAGTCATGCCGCCCATTATTAAAATATCTAAATAACAAAGTATTGCAAGGTCTCTTTTGAGCCTATAATAAGCAATGTATGTACGTCCAGCTGCCAGTTGGCATGCAACAGTGAAGTGATGGATACTAATATGATTTTGTCCATAATCTACTGAGGGGGCCCAAAAGCTGTTATGATCTCCTGGACGTAGTATCTCACTGTTCTATCTGCGTCCTTTTTTCCAAGTGGCTGGAGCAACCCTGCAAATGATCATTTCTCTTAGGTCTTATCGTTGCATCGAGGTTGCCAGGCTGCAGCATTTCCATGTTTTCTACAAAGGTACCATTAGCCAGGATCGAAACCAGTGCATAGGCTTCTTACCATAATATGCCTCCAGGAACGTCATTATCGGCAAAACCAGTAGAACCAAAGGTACAATCTGCCCGAATCCGTACTCATTTTCAATCGTCCACTGCTCATCTGACATCCACCGTGACCCCTCCTTCTTGTCTTCGATCAGCCAGTAAAGGTTTGCCGTGTACCATCCGAGCATGGTGAGTAATTCCATGGCATCAGAGTACACATACATCCTCCACGCGTATGCAATAGTCTTCAGCCCATGAAAGAGTTTCAGCAAGATAGACGACCGCGCGATACGTCTTGTAACCTTGTCATCGACTGATGACCACTTCGCGATTATCCATCGTCGCACAGTCTTGTTACGGTCAACAAGAGCTTCACCTAATTGCAAGGCGTAGAAAGTGTATCCAGTGAACAGGAGGTATGTGATAGCAATCGCCCAGCCGAGTGGCTGCCCCCCGAAGTCCTTTACATTATGCGATGCGCACTTCACGGGACATCCGAATTCATTATCCCAGTCCCTGTCGGCACCCATCCAGGTAACAGTGAGGAACAAGACGAAGAATGCAAAGAAGCAAACAAGCCTCCATTTGGTCGAGAAAGCCAATGGGATCCGTCGATATCTTCCGGTTGTCCTATAGCGCTTGCGGTCGCTGGAGAGGTAGGCCCAGAGCGATATGAGTGAGAGCAGGTGTGCATTCGAGCTGAAGAATGCTAGCTCACGTACGACGGAGAAGTGATAGATGCTGATATGGTTTTCTGCTAAAAGTTTGAGACCGGCGATCATAATGGCGATACCGGTTACGACTTGTTGATCACTCAGCGTCAGGGTGACACGGAAAAAACAGTCCGCGAAGACATCTGGGTTCTTTACGTGTGATCGAACCCAATTTCCGAGGTGCGCTGTTACGAATTGGTCGATTGTATTTGTGCGCCGAGGTTTTGGGTAATGAGAGAGGATGAGGTGGGCAAACGTGGTTATCCAGGCCAACAGTGCGGAAACAGCAAAGGCGATAACAACCTGTGGTCAAGTTAATCAACATAGAGAAATGATGAAGCTAGAGAGCCTACACCAGTTCCGGCAATATCAGCATCAGCCTATTTTGTATCAGATGAGGTTTCAACCAATTGTATCCTGCAAGGTACTGCATACTTTCAACGGTGGACAACCACAAACGCTCCTTATAGAGCAATCAAAGTCCTTGAAGTCCAGACAATATGGAACGGACGCATTGCAATATAGCTGGTTGCTGCTACACACCAGACTCATCACGAGCACATTTGTTTTCTTTTGTAAGTTGCATTGAGAAAGTGAAGGGTTGTTGAGGTACGGCGGGGTGGGAGATGGGCTTTGTTCATAATCTCGACCCTGTCCGCCCATGGTTCCCGTCTTCCGATAATCTTAGTAGGACAGTTAGCCCATCGACTCTGGTTCGCTAGTTGACATTCGTCCCTTTATGGTAGTTACTCGCGTCTACTAAATCTAGACTTTACATATAGTCGAACAATTGCACTGATCACGGCCTCACTTGTTTTAGTCTTATGGCATTCAAGCACGCCCTTTTGGAAATGTATCACATTTGCTTCGAGGCATATTTACAGTTGATAGATAGATACAGGTTCCAGCCCAACAAGATTGCTTCCACTAGTGAAACTTATGACTTAAGACAAGTAGGATGTATCCACCCAACTGGTGTAGCCACTTCCCAACACCGTAGCGATTGCTACAGGAGAAGACAATTTCTTGGAGAAGCTGGCCCTTGTTCCCGAAGCTCCATCTCCTGAGTTTGCGTACTCTCCATAATAGACATTGTCCGTCCTTGCATCTCCCGTGTTCCAGATTACCCACCCGGCACTGTTGATCACATTCGACAACTTGGTGTTCTGGAAGACGACTCTCGAATAGTTTCGCCATGGCCTGCCGAGATAATAAGCTCCCTTAGTCACACTGTTACCCGAAGCAGCGGCAACATTGCTCTTGTTGATGACATAGAATGAGGGATTGGAAGAAGAGTCGCGTCCATTGGCGGTGATATATCCGACTGATGCAGCAAGCACGCGAATGTCAGATCCATCGAACCAGGCAGTTGCCGTTTGACCGAAGATGAAATCCGTTGCGCCCTCAATGTAGCATTTGGCGTAGACTTGAGCACCCTTATTTGCAAGGATGGTATCCTGGTATCCTTTGAATTGGACGCCATAATAGCCTTGCTTGTCGGCTTGGGCACTGACGGCCAAAGCTTGAGATCCCTTGCCGCGAGTGTTGACCAAGTTGATGTTGTACACCTTGAAGTTGGGCGACCAAGCTCGGAGCGTTGCGGTCAAGTCGTTGCCCGAGACATCGTCCTGGCTGAGCTTTTGAGTGATTGTGACAGTGTTGCCAGCATATCCAGAGGTGTCGGTTGTGTAACCATAAATGGTCAAAGGACCTTTGAGAGCCTGGATGTAGACCTGCTCATTGTAGGTTCCCTGGTAAAGGAAGATACATTGCGACGATGTGCTGGATGTGCTCAGAGCATTGACAGCAGACTGGAAGGTACTGTACTGTCCTGAGCTGGCTGATTTGCTGACCACCAAGCATCCTGAGGGAGGTGAGGTACGGCCAGCAGCCAGAACCGCAGATGCAAAGGGAATCAGAGAGAAAAGCGAACGCATATTGGAGTAGTGAAGATGATCTGATACTGCAAAATAAAACTTAAGAATTGGACAATGTATTTATACTTACATCTTGATTCCATGCCCCGCAATATACCGAGTAATTGCTGTTTCTCATCTATATTTTTCCGGCTGAATTCTAATTTCGTTTCCCTGAACAAGGAAACTTTAGGAATGGCCCCATCACGTAGATTTGCACTACATGGTCGAAACAAAATGCGTTCACGTTGTACATTGCCATGGGAAGACAAGGTTGGTAGCGAAATTGTCCGGATGGGGGATCCATCTGGAAATCCGGGGTAAATAGTGTGTCCTCGTTGGTGGAATCTCGATCGTCTGTGCGGAGGAGTAGCGGCATCATTTTGATTGAGGTGTGTCACCTATGGCGCCCTTGCGGAGAAACATTTATCTAATTCGCGGAATTGATGGATGCACGACGGCTATCAGGCGGAGATGATCGTGGGTAGCAGAATTGAGGGTTCGTTGGCTAGAAATGTTCATATCGGAGACAATCATGAGGACGAGCGGGTCGACCCGGACAGCAACTCAAAGGAAGACAATAAACAGACCATTGATCTAATTGCCTACCGCTCTGACATATTATTATCTGTCTACTCCATATTTCACAAAGCTTAAATTTTCTCAAGCATGCGTAAGATGTGAAGCTTGTATATCGTGAAAACGTCTACAGTACATACATATTCTGTCGATCCAAACAACGTGCAACAGCTCTGTAGATACTACCCGCAAAACAATAACAGGATTTGAAGTTTCTTCTCAGAACTTCTCTTCAGATTTCCAGAATATTGGGTAAAATTAGTTAATTCGAATGAAAGCATTCTGGTCAAGAACATGAATTTGACTTGTGATAGGGTGACTAAGCAACCTTCCGAGTCATTTCCGGCATCTGCCTCGGCCCAGCACGTTCATAGACCGACGTCGCGAATCTCTCCTCCCAGCGGTCATTCCTACGCGCAATGCACCGCAGTTTGCGGCCCATCTCTCCATTCAACACAACACCATCATGGAGTATCTTCCAAGCCTGCAGTCGCAGGTTGATGACTTGAAGCCATCACTTTTCGAACTTCTCTCCGAACAACAACTGGCCGCGCTCCTTCCACCATCAATCCGTTATCTCCTTGCCATCTCCACCCATCGATACCCGCGATACCTACTCCCCGTCCTCAATTCATTCGATGAAGTCTACGCGCTGGTCATGCTCCTGGTGGAGCGACATTTCCTGCGTACATATGGAGGTTCATTCACAGAGAACTTCTATGGCATGAAACGAGCCCGTGTGCTGCGTACAAAAGGAGGAGAGATACCCAGAGCACAGCTCGGAGCCTCAGACAGCGTGCGCGACGCCGTGAAACTACGAAACAGTGATGTTTGGAAGAACTTGGCGGTGATGGTGGCATTGCCTTGGTTGAAGAGGAAGTTGGACGAGAGTTACGACATCCACGCCGCCCATTCCGATATATTGGGCTCTGGATACAATCGCGAACGCGATGCGTTACCCCCGGGCGCAAGCATGAAGCAGCGATTGATGTTTTTCTACAAGTGGTTCTTGAGGAAGGTGTATCCAAGCGTGAATGCAGCATACTATTTCAGTCTGCTTGTGTTTAACATGGCATACCTCTTTGATGGGTCGAAATACCATTCGCCTTTCCTCTGGATGATAGGGACAAGGATACGAAGATTAGGACCAGCAGATTACCAAGCTATCGAAATAGCTACACAACCAGCAAAGATCCTACCAGGCCGACCAGGAGAGGGAGGCTCCCTATTCAGCCCAAGGGTCATGGCGCGAGCAGTCGGTCCCAAATTAATGGGATCTATGAGGATACTTTTACCCACAAGTATCTTCGCCCTGAAATTCCTAGAATGGTGGCACGCATCAGACTTCGCACGTCAGCTGTCAAGGAGAGCAGCGGAAAACATTGAACTGCCTCCTCCAGTCTTGCCAAATCTATTGTCAAGGCCCCCGAAACAGTCTAAAACAGAAGCTGGGGAGAAGCCAGCATCAGAAAAGCGCCCTGGCTCTTCCTCTTCCGATAAGCAGAAGCGGATAGACCCTCCGATCTCCTCAAAGACACTCCTTCCAATCCTCACTGTTGCGCACCCAATACCCGAGACATCTCATCTCTGCCCAATTTGCAGCCAGCCGATAGTCACACCGACAGCCTCGCCCACCGGCTTTGTCTACTGCTACACGTGCATACACCGATGGGTTGAGGGAACCCACGACCGCCAGGTCGCATTCATGGAGGGTTCCGCGGGTTTCAAATCGGGCTCGCCGGAAGACGAAGACGAAGAGGATGACGATTGGTCCAAAGAAGAGGGCAGCCGAGAGGGACGATGGGAATCAGGAAAGGGCAGAGACGCAATCACCGGCCGACGTATCCTCGGCGGAACAGAGGTCTTGCGAAGAGTCGTTGTGTAGAGCCTTCGGGATTGCTGTTGTATTAGTATTTGGTTTGCATATCAGAGAGGACTGCATCATGCATGTTATTATACGGAGGAGATATTGGACGGCCAAGTCAAAATCTTGAGCTTATTTGAATCTAGCGCGCAGCAGAGTTATATATCTATTATACCATCTCATTCAACCCACTTACTCCGTTTCTGACCTCCCATTCCCCAAAAGCGGAGTCCTCTCACTATCCCCCGCAACCGCACCCCCATTACTCCCCTCCGCACTCTCCCCCCTCACAGCCTTCCTATCCCTCCACAAGAACCCCAGACTCATCGCCAACAAGCACCCCTGCAAACACCCCGTCAAAATAAACAACCCCCAAGCACTCCACCCTCCCGGCCCCAACCTTACCGCCAACGATGCCGCAAACACGAAGCTCCCGGGTGTCTGAATGCACATCATCGGCACGCTCAGGCTCCCCACCGCCTGCAGCCGCCACGTCGTGATGATCTGCGGGATGTACTGTATCGCCGCGAGCACGGTGCCCAGTAGGCCGAGGAAGTTGGCCCACCCGCGGATGTACTGCGGCGCCGCGTTGGCGAAGACGATGGAGCCGAACAGCGCGATCACGAAGAATGTGAGGGAGGCCGCGAGCACGAGGATGGCTTCTTTCCAGGTTGGGAGGTTGGTGTCTTCGTCGATGTCCGAGGGGTCTTCGGAGGAGAGGGAGCTTCGCGGGAAGAAGATGAGGAAGAGAAGCATTCTGGGGGTTAGGTTAGTATATTGAAGTTCTGCTTCGGATGTGGGAGGAAGGACTTACATGAAGAAGAAGCATGTCCACTGCACGCCGATCTGGGCGATTCCGAGAAGCGCTGCTGCGCATGGATACGAGCCAATCTCCTTGCAACATCGCATGTCCCGCGTGCTTTCAGGGAGAGTGAGGATGTTCGCTATGCTGGCTGTGCCGGATATGGTGCCTAATAGAACGAAAAGAGGGCTCAATCCTCGTGAGGATCGTCGTGATATGATCTTGTAGTGTTGCGGCAGGTACGAAACGAGGATGCCTACGACGATGAAGCTGTGGAGGATTAGCGCTGGGGAATTGTATAGGAGGAAGTTTGGGATGATAAACGTACACTGAGACGGAGAACTGGAAGACATCGGGATGGGAGAGCTCCCGACATCGTTCGGAAAGATGGTCCTTCATGGTTGTTGTTGTTGGTATGTTGATGTGGTTGACGCGCGAACGATGAGACGGAGCTTAGGGAGCTATGAGCGTGTGACGTCGGGTGGTACAAGGTCTAGGCCGCTGGACCGCGGTTGTTTCATATTGGCCAATCATATCTCACTATCGACCTCATGGTCGATGTTTACTTCATCTCCATATAAGGTATCAATAAAAAGTAGAGCAAAAAGGCCAGAAAACAATCTCGTTATCAGATTTAACAGAATGGAGGGTATCTTCTCTATGTAAATAATTTGGTAAATCCCACGTCGCTGTTGCGCAGTAAAATTCCATCCAAAGTCATAAAGTCCCAGACGCCTTCGCTGCTCAAAACCCTATCCACTTCTGGTATCCCACACCCCGTACTGATAGAACAAGCCAAACCCCGCAACGAAACTTGGGAGACTTCTCAAATCGCGTCGATTAAATGAAATTTAACCCAGCTGGTTCCGTCGCTCGGCAGCATGAACTGCTTTTTGCCAGTTCACCTTTAAAATGAAGATAGTCTCTATGAGAGAGACGATGCCGAGAGCGATGGCAGGACCCTACGTAGTTGATTAGTTGAAATTCTCCTCTCATCTTGGATCGTAGACTTACAGCCCATAACCCGTACAAGCCCCATCCTGCACCAAAACCTAAGCCGAAACTGATGGGAACACCAATTACATAGTAACTGAACAAAGCCACGTATCCGCCGAACTCTTGCCTTCCTAGACCCCTCAGAATACCATTACAGGTGGCTGCGGTTGCATCGAAGACTTGGAAAGCCGCACACAAGGGTAGAAGTGCGGCCACCAATTCGATAACCTCCTCATCTGGAGTAAAAAGTCTCGGGATGGAGTTTCGGAAACCATATAACAACAGCAGATTGGCTACACCGATTATGACGGAGAACACAGCTGCAACCTTGGCAGTCACCTTTGCTGGTTCAGCAAGCGTTGCGCCAATTAGATTTGCGATTCGGGTCGATGCTGCGACGCTCATGGGGAATGGAATCTGCCAGGTTATGCCAGTGATGGATCCTAGAACACTCTGGGCCGCAAGGGGAGTGGTTCCCATCCAGGACGAGGACAGTGCAATAATCTCAAATGCAATCAACTCTGCCAGAACCATGACCAGACCAGGGAGAGCCAGTTTGACCATTGGCATCCAGTTCTTGAGTGCTCGTCGATCGAAGCCACCCCAGCACTTAGAACCATCGATGAAGTAAACATACAGAAAGAGCAAAATTGGCATGATAGTCTCCGTAATTGATACGGCGATTGGTGCGCCAACGAAGCCCCATTTCAACTTCCAGACGAACATCCAATTGAGATAAGCGTTTAGTGGCGCACATATCAGTAGAACGTACATAGTGGCGCTGAATATACCTTGGGCCTGAACATATCGTTTTCCTGCTTCGAACGCAGCGTATCCGGGAGCACCAGCAATTAGCACTTTGAGATAGAGTCCTGCAAACTCTGCAGTCTCCCTTTCTGGGACAATGACGGCCAGTATCTGAGTACCAAAAGACCATACAGTCGCAATAGGAATTATCATAAGCCAAAGGAAGTACACCATTCGCTGTAGTTGTAATCCAACTAGGCGGGGATTTACGGGATATGCCTGGGCGCAAAGTGTATCCAGGGAGGTGGAGAGCCCGTGAATGACCGCATATCCGGTGATTGAAGCAGTCATACTAGCAAGGCTGACTGCTCCTAATTCGATCTTTCCAATATGTCCTACGGTAAAAATGCTAGCAACTGGTAGTGAGTATTGCAGCAAAAACGTAAGAATCATTGGCGCCGACGTCCTCAACAGGACCTTCGTCTCTCGCTGCCAAGTTGTCGAGATCTTTCCGGCAGCAACAGCTTCGTCCCATCTCTTGTTTATGGTCTTTGGCGAATCCAAACCTCCGTATGGAAGACTCGGGTCACCATCTAGCAGCGCAGTCTGCTCAGATGGCGAGCCATCAGGGTAGAGGGCCTCCTCATCCGCCTCGCTTCGAACCTTTCTGAGGCCCGAGGTGGATATTCTCCGCCCAAGGCTCGAAAGGACTCCCTCACTTCCTCGGCGCGGGTGCTTGGGTGGTAAGAGGTGGTTATCGCGGAGTAAACTCCGCTCCTCGCTTCTCACAGCTTCCCGCTCTTTCTTAGATAAGTACCCATGATCTGGCATGCTGGAAGAGAAAATTGCGGGCGACCTGGCTGCAGGATTCGCACATGACGGTCGACGATAGGAATTTATCATTGAGTATTGTCGGATAGTGGAATCATCTGAATCATCATCTTCTGAATTCGAATTCGCTTCCTCTGGTTCTTCTTCAAGATCTCGGGCAATGGCTTCTTCTGCAATTGGAGCCGAAGTAGAAAGGGAATCCATCTGTGCAGCTATCTCATTGGCGATACCACTGATAGAGCTGCCTCCAGCCTGCTCCGCCCGTTGAGCCATTGTTGCTGACAGCCTCTTAGCTGCAGTACAGAGTGAGAGTTGTGAAAGTAATTGATCGGGCGAGAGGTGGATCTCCAATCTTGAAAAAGATATTAGAGATAGAGTGGGAAATTGTGTTCCTGAGGAACGGGACAAGTGAGTCGACAAATAATGCCTTCCAAAAGGTCTTTAAAAGAGCTGGAGATCAAAAAGCGGGGATGACGGATGGCATGTCAATCGTTCCAGTGGCACGAGTAGTAGTGGGTATCGATAATGCGGGCTACTATCATCGTCTGGACCAATCGGGAAGCTCTAAGCGGTGAACGTTCGTTCACAGTCATCCTGCACTACTACGCCCTTCAAGCCTGACGCTTGACACTTGACAATTGACACATCCCGTGGGACAATTGTGACTCAGGCATCAACTTGGCGGAAAGATTTTCTATATTTTATTATAACTTTCTGATGCACCCCCAGTTGGAAGCTGAGTTGAACATGTCGATTCAATAATTAATGCTTAGTTTTGTGAGGTGCAATGACTCACATTCATCTACTGCAGAAGGGCGCTGCTGATACCATCTTAGCTAGAGATAGAGATCCCGCCTCTTCTCGATGATCATCTTAGATCGATTATCTACCAATTAGAGGGAGATCGTTGGTTTCGCAACTCGTTTTCATTCGATTCAGAAGATCAGCCCTTTAACCTGCAGCTCTTGATGAACATTGACCGAGATAAGCTAGGCTAGCTGCAAAGTTGTGTGATAGCAGCTACAGGCGCATGTCGCGATGCAATGCAATGCTACCCCGTACACCCTCGGACTTTTTCTCGAACAACTGTTGCCACAATCACGACACACTCGATTGCTTTTCAACCGTTCCAAAGTCTGCCGTAAACAACAGTTATTTCCCTATCCTGTTCGCACTCAATCACACTTGAGATATGCCATTCCACGCCGGAAATCCATGAATGATGGGTTGATCTCTTTAATCAAAAGAATTCCTTTCGAGAAAGTTGAACTCGACTTCAAATTATTTCATGCGGGTTTTCTCGTTCGAACTGAATCTGAACCAAGAGCATGAAGACAATGCCACAACGTCTGTAGCTGAAGCGTATATCAGATGCACTGAGCGAACTATGAGAAGTATTATGGCTGCGGTTCAAGACAGATGGTGAAGAGAGTATTAAAGTATGACTGCAAGTTGCGTCCGGGACCAGCGACTCCAAAGCGTATCGGATATGAAGACGGATGAAACATGGCATGCTCAAATGTTTTCCATCAAGGGTTTCCTGCGGATTAGAGATGTGAGCCATGGTAGAATTTCCTTTGCTCTCATGGTCCAGCCATCCGCCCGGTACAAATTCTCAGGCCATGGAGAACGTGTTGTCTTTGATACGAATCGCACTCCCAGCTTCATGACTAGTCTTCTCTGCCTTCTATTTGAAGTTCTGCAGGGGCTTCCCGGAGCACATACAGCTTTACAGGTAGGAGGTCGCAGCTACATACTAGCAGAGGAAAGCAGCTATGAAAGTTGATTCGAGGAGCCCTTGTATCGGGACCTGAGGGACCAGATCTATAACCATAATTTCAAACGGTTCTAGACGAAACTGAACAATCTTTATTTGCGATGGCATACTAGGTTTAAACTATTGCAACCTTGCTTATGAACAGCCTCAAGATCATTAGCCAGGGGAAGATTTGAGTTCCCAATTTGATGCAAGACTCCTCGATACAAGTTCTATCCGTATCATCATTGAGAACTTGGCCAACCTTGATCTCAAAGAAGTCATCGATGATGTCTCTTTCTTGTTGCCGCCATTCTTCTGTAGTTATACCCATCACCTCTTTCTAATTCTAGCTATTGGTAAATTGGGCAGTCTAGATGCAACGAAGGTCTTGTTTAAGGAACTCTGCGACCAAAGCCAAATTTTAAGGCCAACTTGCACTTTAGGATGTGCGGCGAAGCGATGTGCTCAGTACTCATAGGATTGTAATGTTTGCCCCGCTTATGTCGCACAAGAACATCTAGGTAGAGTCGCACCTCTCGTCGAGAACGATATCGGGCGAGAAGTCAACGCCCTAGGAAGGAGGAAATGCAAAGCTATTCCGAGGTAGCAAAACAAAACCACGTGTACCAAAGATCATACTAAAAAAATATACCAAATGCGAAGTTCGCAGACCTGAGCGGGGGTTTCTTTGGAGGTTTCTTTATTGTGGCCCGGCTTTAGAGTTCCCATTCGCTTGTGGCGGTGGCTCAGTCACGAGCATGCTGCATTGTAGGCAAGGCAGCAGGCATTCGCACGTGGGAGTAGTTTGCTGGAACTTATTCTCACCCTATTGTTGGTACTCGTTACAATGTGAAACAATAGCTTATCAGGAAATCGATCGGGGCCATCCGCTTAAGGGAACATTTTGCGCGTGGGAAGAAATAAGCTCGGACTTCAATCATGAATGTTACTACCCGGAGAAGTGTTGTCCTTAAGGCTGAAGCATCACCATCTGTTCGGACGAAATATTTCGATCGATAAATCTGGTCGAGACAAGTATCGTAAATCGGATCCCCATGAGGCTGGTTATGTAGTGAGTGGCAAGAATGCACATCCCAACTGAAGGTTTAGTAATGATCAATTATTAGAAGATCAAGAAGGAGTTTACCGGTGAACAACGAGGATCCCGTTAGACTTACAAATTTAGAGCGTCGCGCATTGCTCCAAAAAGAAACCTCCGATGAATATCAAATGCGCTTGGACCAGTCGTTATAGCCCAGCGGACACACAGGTCTCCGAATTAGGATGAGCGACCAACCCTAATGTGTTACTGATCTAGCGAAGCCAGGGCGCAGTCAGCAATGGAATGTGTGACTGTGGTCGGTGTGGTTGGTCGTGGCAGTTGACATGCTGCTGATCATTGGTCTTTGGAGATCGGCCCCCAACTGTGCGCATGTCAGCGCAGGTAGGCGGCCTGATGGAGGCTCAATGCTTTGTGCAGCCCTATACAGATGTTATACACAATGTCAGGTTGAGCATGTACAGACAGTTGGATTACTCATTGTGTGACTGAAAATTAGTAGAAATAGATACGATCCCGCATCGGATCCTTATAACTGAACAGAAGAATTCTATTCATCATCATTAGGCACTGAAGCCGATATCATATCAAAAGTATCCCTTATACATATCATACTTGAACAATAAACATATTGAAATCATCATATCGAACCACCATGGCCAAGTCATCGCCAACCCCACCTCCTCCCTACGAATCGATATCATCAAGCTCAAATCAAAACCCAGCCTTACCCTCAACATCACATCAAGCAAACACTGCAACACCAGGGTCCCAACCAACACCCATCAACCCTCAAAACCTCACACCCCAACAAATCGCAGACTTCAACCGACTATATCGGCAAGTAGTCCGCCGCACAACCCGCAACTCCCTCGGCGTAGCCACATCAACCTCCATGGCCACCGTCTTCCCATACATGCTAGGCCCAGCAGCTGCATCGGGCTACGGACTCTACAAAGCCCGCAAGGCTCGACATGACCTCGAAGAACTCGAGAAGCTTGGGTTCAAAATCCGGAAGCGAGATCTCGCGAACGGGGTGGCTGTTGGCGCACTGCAGAAGCTTCCACTGACCTTTCTTCTGTGGGGGCACGACGAAGTGCTCTTCGCATTAGGGTCACTCGTGGAGGAGTTCCCTGGGTCTGAATCGTTGCTCAGTGGGGCGATCGACACAGTCAACGCCCATACTGAAGCCCTAGATGTTCCGGTTCTGGGCGATCTGAATGGGCTCGCGGAAGTGCCTGTGGATGCGGTGCATGATATGCTGGGCATCGACGGAGCACAGGAAAGGATAGATGCTATAGAAGCCGGCGGCGAAGATACTGGAGGTTGGCATGATAGTGCGGGACACATTGCACAGGATGTCTTTCTGGTGGCTCCTGTTGCTGCGGTGGTCGACCAGGTGGCTGATTACCCGGCCGAGAGGTACGATAGGAGGAGGGTAGGACAGATGCCTGGGTCTTATCCCTCTGGAGAGCAGACACCTCCGCCATTGCCCCCTCGACCGAAGCGTACTTGAAATGTACTGTCTACCCCAGGAGATGCGGTATAGGAATGGCGGACTTGGCTCAAGGCGTTAGAAATGGTTCAGGGCGTTTGCATAGTTTCAAGGAGTCGGAAATGGCCACAAGGCTGAAGGCGTTCATTCACTCAAGGCGTTGCATACCGGTATACCCACTCAATTATTAGTTAGCTCAGTTATCGTTCACAAATACCTTCATCACACATTAGCAAGATGTGCTGTCATCTTCCCTCATCAGTTGTGCTTAATTCATGACTGATTCATTTCCTTAATTTCGTAGTCTAAACTGAGACAAAGAGCGCCTGAGCAACGCCGCCGTTGCGCGCGTGCAACGATTTCCCCTGGGTATCCTAATTATATTGTCAAACACCTTCTACGACAGTGACCTCTCTACAAGAAGTAATCGGCAACTGGCTTTTTGGCTGGCATTCCACGTGAATCTTGTGGCGCAGCCTCGAAGACGCGGTACCTTCTTCCTGGTCCATCTCTGGTTCGTTGCATATTGTCTCCGAGAACTGAACTCAGTCTCCGATCGTTCCCATTGCCGACCATGTTGGAGGAACTCCCGTCGTTGGATCCTAGAATCCATCCACCACCGCCACCGCCTTGATCCCCGTTCGATCGTCGCTGGTAACCTGCATTGGAGCCGTCTTCTCCCAGCTCGAGGATTGCAGCGACGTTGCCGCATCGGTAACAATAATTTGGCGCAGACCAAACGGTAACAATGGTGGATTCGAACATTTCCTTGAAGCCTTCCATGACGAGCTGATGGGCTCTTGCAATCAAGCTCAGGTCATTCTTGTAATTGAAACACTTGACGATATCGGCACCAAACAGGAAGCCAGCGCCACGGGGAGATAATCCCCAACCCTCAATTTCGTCAGGGTCAGACCATAGCAAATCACACATGGCACCTTCATGAGGCACCTCTTGTTTACGATCCAGCAATCGGATCTTGTCGATTGTGTCGATCAAGGGCGACAATCCACCGTGAACGCAAAGAATTGCTCCAGTGTCGTTCTTCACAGACCCGTTCGCGGAACTGGTGGCGCCGGTACCTGCAGGGCCTACACGAGAAGGTGTAGGTGCAATGGGAGATGAAGAAGCGGGGTTGGAGTTCGGCTGTGATGATTGAGAGTCCGAGTTTCGGGCGTACCGGTACATGATTTCTCCATTGGCATTCAGCGTTTCGATCTCAATGTCTGCATCGGAATCAGGGAAATTATCCAGGTTCGTGTTTTCTGCCATTGGGCCATCTGTAGGAACAAGAGATGTTGCAGCCCCGGATACGAGTGCACCCAAAGCAAGGTAGTCGAATACTTCGCAGCAGTATCTAAGAGTGCGTTAGCTCAAGTTATCCAAACAGTAGTATTTGACTGATGTACCTCCAAACATTGGCGCTCCCATACTTTCGCAAGCACTCGTCGTAAAAGCCGTACACCGTGGTGATCTGACGCGATTCGTGGTTACCACGAATGAGAGTTATCCTATCAGGATATCGAACTTTCAAACATAGGAGGAGCAGGAATGATTCAAGCGAGTAGAAGCCTCGATCGACGAAGTCGCCTAGGGTAGATTAGTATTTCGAACAGTCGCACAAGCTCAGGAGTACACACCCATGAATAGATAGTTCGTATCCGGCACATCTCCACCAACACGAAAGAGCTCCATGAGATCATGGAACTGTCCATGGATATCTCCGCATATCTGATATGGCCATTAGTCCCAGGTTCTGGATGCGCGACTGAATGACGTACCGTTACGGGCGCGTCGACACCGACAACATTACCCTCTTCTATAAGGAGCTCACGCGCTTTATGGCATAGTTCGCGGACTTGGTTCTCGGGAATTGGTCGACATGCGCGCAATTGTTGGATGGCCCTACATAGAGTCAGCCCGGCTTCGGAGCAGTGAGATATTGGGGGGTGTACTTGTCCAGATCGCAGCCACCGGAGCTCATATTTGTGATTTGGGGTAGGTACCCAGAGAATAAATGCCGGCTTAAGCTTGATCGCTGTGGTTGGCGATGTTGTTATAGAATAAGGTCTTGAAGATAATGGACGTGTAGGAGAGTTCTCTCAGAGAGGTGGCGTCGCGTGCCAAAAATGGACTTTAAAAGCTTCAGGCGTCTGATCGGCGACTACTAGAATAGACGTTAGTATTGCAAAACTCCACAGTACAGCTCGAATGTTTGAAGCGATTTGCGGAGAGAATGCGGATATAAGCTGGTGGGCGGGATGGTGTTGAAGTTCGAGATGCTTTCCCAGGAAGAGCTGCAGGGATGTAATCGATAAAGTCTTGGCGAGATTCCGCGCTAGTAGCCAACTCGACCCTACATCCAAAAGTCCATCATGCTACTCACCCCCACCCACCTCACCTCACCCACGGTCACACTCGTTCGAGGCATCTCAATCGGGTCGGTATGATATACTCAATATCTTGCGGTACCGAGAGCACCAATTGACTCCTCAGCAGAACTCAGAGATGCCTATCATCATCGCCTAGGAGCTTCTAGTCCAATCAAATCTTCTCCGATTATGCCACCACATCTTCACCCGCGGTCGCGGATGACCATGTCGCTATTCACCACGACTTTAGCGATATGTTTCATAGTCGTTGCGACGCCGCATCTTCTGCCATGTCCAGTCGATAACCGCGCATTTGCCGATTCAGCCGACCCACAAGCACTGCAACGACGACGGAGGCGACGGAGAGCCCAGGAGGAAGCTTGCAACGATACCATGAGGGAGGATAGGAAGATCCAGATTGTCACTGATGATTGGGCGAGGCCAAAGAGGGAGTGCCCTGTACCAAAGCCAGGTGGATTGATCGGCCAGGTTCTCGGAATCAAGAGCGAGAACGAGGATGAGATGGACTTTTCCATCCTGGAAGAAGTGAACAAGCAAAGAATACGACAGAAGGCTAGCGACGAATGATCGGACCAACATCGAAGTCGCGATCGGATGATTTTGATATCGGAGCAGACCTACAACAATTTACCACAGAGGAAAGTGGAAAGGACGACGATGTGTATACCAAATGTACTCCAAGTACTCAGCACCACTACGAAGGTTGCTATCAAACTATGTAAATCATAGAGCGTTTTAGAATTCTATTACACGATTAAATACTCTAAACTGATGACTCGAAATTTGGATTCACGGCACGGCCTCGTCTAGCACGGTGCGACAAACTCTCAAAGTATCAAAATTCAGCCATAAAAACAACAAAACAGTGTCAAGAAGTTGTGCTTGTATTCTGCAATGTTACCTGCGAACTACAACGCGTCATAATCAGGGGAAGTCGCTCAATCGCGCGATACATAGGATGAATAAATATTTGGGATCATTCGACACCAGCTGAACCAATCAGAGCTAGGAAGAAACCAAGCGGACGACCATTTCAGACATCCCTGCAATCCGAAAATGAGAAACAATTTCCAATGTCGATGTCACTTCGTTGCAAATATCATTGGAATTTTCCTTCTACTGGTGGAGCTGAATTCAAGGTTACACGCAATCTCGATCTCCAATTGGCAGATATCCAGTCAATAAGCATAATCTCGTGGTTCAAGGCTCTCTCTTGACATACTTTCTAAATACCTGGTACCATCCACAACAATGTATTCAGGAAGACGTATATAGGAGGGTGATGTAGAATATCATTCATCCTAAGACAATGATATAGATGACCAGAATTCCATCTCTAATAACCATCCACTCAGTCTTCGCCATTGTCCTACGAATAGACTACGTCACTACATACACTAACCAATAACAGTAATTCCAATCCATAACCATCACTTCAAAACAACATCCATCCCCATACACATACTGTTCACCATAATTCCTCGATACAATTCCTGCTCACACATAATTCAAAATGCCTAAACCCCCTCCCCTCCCAGCCTCCCCACCCTCTTCGCACCCCAAACCCTCAAAATCCCACATGATGAGCTACCGCATCGGGCGAGGCGAAACCCTCGTCCTCACCTTCGAACCCTACAAGTCCTCCATTCTTCCGCTCTGGCGCTTTGCAAATCCCCCATTGGCCCGTCAGTCTTCATCTCTGATCTACGCGAAGTTCAAACAGTACGAGGCGGACGATGACTTTGTGGGCATGGACATGTGCAGGAAGTTCTTGCAGATGGGGATGACGAGGGCGAAGAGATATGCAAATCACAAGGGGGGTAGGAAGTACGATAGGGAGTCTGGGAGGGAATTGGAGAAGAGTAAGGGGCATAAAGGGAGAGAGGAGAAAGAGGAGGCAGCGGGGATTTTCAGGGAAATGTGGGAGAAGGCGAAGGCGGAGGAGGGATATAAGAGGATGAAAGAGATGTTCTTGGAGGAGCAAAAGGCCTGGGATAAGGACAAGAGAAGGGAATCGAAACAGACGTGAGGAATTACAGCACCAAGGAGATTATCAATCACTGGATGTATCAATGAAGAAGCTCACGTGCTTCCCACCAGAATTGGACTCGGAATCGAATCGACCAACAGTTCTAGCGGTACTTCTCAGACTTATGTCACTTAGGAGAAGGATCAATCGAGACTTTAATCTGCGTAACCAAACAGCCATTCGGGCCTTCCAGAAGCCTCAACAACCAAGGCACTCATCTCCGGCTCACGAAGCTACCCAACCAAATCGCCGGACCGCAAGTCCGAGACCTATAGACTCGTACCATGGACCAAAATACCAACCTCGCTAAGCACCGAGATTATAGTGCCTGGGACAAGACGACAAGAAAGACCATTAATAGCGTGCAGTAAACATGCATGCTCTCGCCTCAATCCGAGTTCCTGGAACATGGTTCCAATAATATATAAATCGTGCGGAAAAAATGACGCAACGGCTTGATATAGATCGCTTGGGAAAAACATCAATCAACTCCCTAATGTTTTCTCAAGGGGTCCAACTACAGTTTGTAGATTAAAAACCCTCATCCAGATATAATTCAGGATTCGGGGGTGTAAGCACTGCATCTACAATAAGACCGAGCGATGGGCCACCTTAAAGCAGCAGCGCAGACACAATGCGCGAGGCTGAGGCACAGTCCGTCATTCACAGTTACTTGGGAACGCGACGCGTATATCGATTAGAAGTCTGGTCCCCCAACCCCGTTACCGACAGTTCGTTGCAGACGCCGTGATCTTCCAGGGAAAAATACGTACGGATCCAATCGTCCTCGCAATGCACTGAACCCACATACTCACACATGTACTCGTATGTGCTATGCGTACATTGCAAACCTCTTCGACTCCATCGCCCCCCACCACACTCATAGTCTCACTCTCCGGACCTCACAAAGCAATTACCATCTCACCTCATCTGTCTCTCTCCATCACCACGTGAACCAAAAGCTCTTTCCCCTTCGAAATTCCCCCATTCAGCCCTACAGCAATCCGAGCCGAGCCGCTCACCTGGTCACATACCTTTCAGGACTGGCTTCGCCGAGAACGCCTCGTTGGAAAGAAGAAGGTCGGGCACAGTCGTCGCGAACCCTTACCCCGTGGCCCCCCTTCCCCTTCCCCGCTTACGTTGGACGAGAAACGGACGTGAGGGATCCTGGAGATCTCGCGTGGTCGCCACGGCCGTGGATTTGTACTTGTACTACATAACTACAAACCGCACGCACGACGGGGGCAGGGAGGGATGGACGGATGGATGGATGGATGTCTCTCGGTAACCATGCTGACTAGTGTATTGGTAATGGCAGCAGGGCGTAAAGGTTTTTCGCCTGTGATAGACAGAAGGCACACTCGAACGATTGCCACATGCGTGTGTGCTCGAGTGTCTAAGATTTGACGTTGGATCGGTTGATGGAGAGCTTGATTGGCCGTGGGGAGAAAAGGTTGGATTACGCCGCGAACGAGCATCTATACCAACCAAGGATGGTGGATAAGACTCTATTCACTCTATCTATCTTGTCACATTCCTTTCACGCGCCTTTTTGTCTCGCGTTTCGAGGCACGGCGAGTGGTGGTGATGGGCGCATTTCACCTGCATTTGTCTTGCCTGTGTTGAAGCGAGAGGCGGACAATCACATCACGTTCATGCGAGGCTCTGCGTGTGGGTCATGCATTCGGTGTATGGCATTGTGAGCGCTCGGTCGAGCCGAGTGAAAAAGTCCATCATCCATTGTAAGCGTATTGCGGCGAAGTGGAAAGGTGATGTATAGAGAGGTGTTGAATGTGTTTGTCTGATTCGCTGCTCTGTATATTTAGGCTAGCGAGCAGAGTTGGAATGCTTCTGGCCCCCGAAAGATATACTTCCCTTGCGTCTTCTCGAATGTGAACATGTGTTGCACCAACATTGCTATGTACCAAATATGTACCTGTGCGGCCAGCGATTACAGTAGCCACAGCAGTTGTTGAAATAATATAAGGAAAATAACAACTACTGATTGGACTAAATATTTACGTTTACATTTAGATTTCTACCCACATCCGTCCAATTCAGCCGTTCGTCCTGCATTGGTACTCCACCTAGCTTCCCCATTCCCGCCAGCCACAAGAAGATCCACCGAACCTCTACTCTACTCTATCACAAATAACGTCAAGCAGGGTTCAGGCCTTCCAACAGGAAAAAAGCGTGCAGTAGTTCTCAAGTACCGCCCCACAGCGCGTCTCAACGAATTCAAACCCTTCCAGGACACAAGAACGAAAAACCTGGGGTATTTCAACGTAGATTAGATGCATTATTCTACAATATTCCCGTTGTTAGTTTAGTCGTTATTACTCCGTAGAGACCACGAATTCTAACCAGCCACGCCGCAATCCCAACGAGAAGCATGCGGGGGAAGTTCTTCCGCATTGCACTCCGTACATATTAAAAACGTCCTGAGGCTTCTCCTACACATCGGCATGCAGGCGAAGAAATCAAAAAAGGGAAATCTATGCACACGACACACAACCAACGAACAGGACGCGCGCCGCTCCGCACACCCGCTCACATGTGCATGATGCGATGTCACCATCCACGTCCCGTCTCTCCACCCGTCACCACTCACCGTTCACCATGCCTGCAGCGAGCAGTGTCTGTCTCACTACTGCACTATGCCGCCTCACACAATAACTGTAGTTAGTCGTGTCGTTAGACCAGCCGTTTCCCGTTTCTTAGCTGTGCATCCATCGCATCACCACCAACCGACAAAACACCAATCACATCCCCTCACAATCCGTGCGTGAACCTGCACTTCCCTTCATCCCCAACTCTTCCTCTCCAATATGATCTGGATAAATACCATCAACAAGAATCGTAAACTGCAAGCACCGACACAACGGTTTGCTCGCTCGCTCGTTGGGAAAGAAAACGTTTCAGCATTCGCGCGATGCGGTGCGCACGGATGGGGAAAAATGCCAGCAATTCCCCACCTGCATTTCCCCTCAATATCCACACAAGATCCCAAGCACGCATGGAGATAGCAATCATGAGAAATGGAAATTGCCTGATAAGTAACCAATTGGAAATCGTAGAAGCCAAATTCGCTTTTCAATTAAAAAAAGGGGAGAAATTTTGATGGAACACCAATTTATCACCTATCAATGGTAATAAGTGTCGTCTAGATTTCAATGGGACGCGGGAATGGTGTATACACATTAGGTACATATGTACACATGTCTATACATATTCCTCTGTACTCCGTACACTTACCTGCCCCCAACCCCAAAACCAGCGGCCGCAGAAACGGTCCCCCTACCTCCCAAAAGCGGTATCTCGCACGCACGCAGTACACGCAAGGCTAACTCCACCACAGCGAGTGTGTGCGTGTGTGCTGCATGGGTATATAAAATAAGCACCGACCGATTCCCTCTTTTTTCCCTCCTCTCTCCCTCCATACCACATATCTCCTACATTTACTTTTCGCGCTGCTCGGATGCTGGCTGGTAGGAGTAGCAAAATATGTAATCCCTTCGAATGGCATTGCTGGCGAACAACCTGGCACTTCGGGAGGGGGACGATCGGGATTGCGTGTGTCTGGTTGGATGAGGTAGAGGAGCGTAATATGTATAGGCTAAATATGGGAGAGTGAGGCGGAAGATGGGCCAGTAGGGGGTCAAGTCGCCAGGTGCATCGTCGTGAATCTAGATATGATCTCTCCAGCGTGTCTCCTCTAGCAATCAATCAAACTAGTTGTTTAGATATCTCCAGTAATGCTTCTAGGTAGGGTAGGGAAGCCATCGCAAGCAAGCTCTGCAGAGACGCCGGAAGAAAGTGTAGATGGGATTTAGATAAGATCCTCTACGAGACAGCGATTCACCCCTACCGTACCTACCCTTTCGGAACAACCCAGTTTCTCCGATTGTTCTTTCACATGCGTTTCCACACCGTTGCGTTTGTCGTGAGAAATGAACCAAATAGTCCGAGACAACTACAGGGCAGGGTAGGGGCCAGTGCGGGTTTATTTCCGTTGGAGTTAGTTATGGATTCGACTCGTCGGGAAGAAGCTCGGCATGTGGAATGTTTCTCTCGCTGTGTCTCTCTCGCTCTCATGGGGTGAGATGGTAGGTACATACATAGAAGTCAAGCTCTCCTTCTTCCTCGGCTGAACGCATACTTCTCTGTATACCGGAGTAGTGACACCACATGACAATACCTTATTATATATATATTGCCAACCTCCAAGTATCTATATCTATCTGGTAATTACACGAAAAGGCAATGTCAAACAACGACAAGAGGAGGGAAGCAAGCTAACAACAATCACAAGCAAGCAAGCTATACAGCCAGGTTGATCATGATCGGCGGCGGTTGTTTCTCGGGCTGATGGACGGATACTGCTTTGGGGAAATTCTCGATGCGAGCACCACACCGCATCTAACACAAAGCACATGCCTAGGCACGAACATGGATTCCCCACGGATAGTGAACTATAAGTACCTAGGTTGTAACTAATGCAAGAGTAAAATGCGGGGGTAATAGGCGGACGACGGGCAGGGCTGCGTGCGCTTCCCTAGGAAAGAAAGCTGTTTGGTGTAGTTAGGAGAATTGGAAATGCTGCGCGCTATTAGAAGCTTTATTACTTTGCACGAGGGGATGGGCGTTTGGAATGGGATTGGGCTGATGGCGGTCGACAGCCCAGGAGGTGATGCATACATGCAGTAGGCGAAAGTCCAGCGCAGCAAGTAGTGGTAGGGGGTGGCGAGTGATGGACCAGGCACATTCAGCGAGAATTAATGAAATATATTGAGAAAAAAGATTTTGGACTCCAGAAATCCTCATGCCCCTATCCTAACCTGCGCGACCTTGTTGTGCTGGTTTGATGTGTGCATCGAAGCCATGTGACAAGGGGGAAACACAATTTACCACGATATGATATGCCATGAGGGGGGAAAAGAAGTCTAGAGAAACGGTAAGTAGGCCGGTAGCAGGATGACCTTCGAAAAAAAAGAGGAACAATGATGAGAATAGCTCCCAGTAAAGTAGAGGGAAGATGTATGAGTAACAACAAGCTTGCAACATATGGAACGTGCCCTCTGGTAGCGCAAAATAATCCGTGTTCAACACCGAGACCCTGAAGGTGAACCCCAAAAAGATTCAAAGAAGGGAAGGACGGTCGAAGGCTGACCACCAGCAAGTTAAAGTGACAGTACGTGCTAAAAGTATCGGGTTGTGTTTCCGCGATTGCTCCCTGGTAAAGGCGTTGAACATATGCGACCTCCGAGATGATGGCACCGGGCAAATGATAGGTATCTTATTTCCTTCCTCCCAACCAAAACGCGCGACAACGTCTCCAGTCTCCTACATCACCACGCATCCGCAGCATCCCTTCTTCTCCGAATCCTCCTCCACGCCCATCTTGTTGGAGATGCCGTTTGGTGCGCCGCCGCTGGGTGCGCCTGTGTATGATGACATCTCCTTGTTGTATCTGCGGATCTCTCGTACGATGTCGTAAAATGCGTTATCTACGTTGATGCGTGACTTGGCCGATGTCTCGATGAACTTGCAGCCGAACTGTCGTGCCAGATTTTGTCCCTCTGTAGGCGGAAAACGGTTAGCATGTCTTGGGATGGAATCTCTGGGCGTGGGACCTACCTTGCGTCGACACCTGCCTCTCTCCGTCAAGATCACACTTGTTGCCGACGACGATCATGGGGAAGTAGTCCTTGTCCTTGACTCGGAGGATTTGCTGTTGGAAGGTCATGATTTCCTCGAAGCTCTGGCGGTCGGTTATGGAATAGACGAGAAGGAAGCCTTCGCCGGTACGCATGTACTGCTCTCGCATGGCCGAGTACTCCTCCTGGCCGGCTGTATCGAGAACATCGAGGAGGGCAACCTCGTCGTCGATGACACACTGCTTGCGGTAGGAATCTGATCCAAGGTCAGCCACCATCCGGAGTCATGCGCAAGGAGTCAGGAAAACACTTACCCTCGATCGTCGGGTCATATTCATCTACGAAGTGGCTCTGAATCAACTGGATGGTTAAGCACGACTTTCCTACACCACCACCGCCGACTACGACGAGCTTATATTCTCGGAGGAACTGGAAGGTACGGTCAGTGAACATTCTTCTTTGAAGGGCCCGCGACCGTTGGACGGGGACAACGACGCCGCGCAGAAACACACCTTTGATGCCATTATGTATGTGTATATAAGAAGGACCAGCCGGGACGCGGTCTATTAGAAGAAGCAGAAGCAGAAACCGAAGCGCGGATGATGAGCGCTGCTCGGGGGTTGATCAAATTGGAGGAGGCGGGAAACGGGGAACGAGCGGAGCAGCAGGCTTTTGCGCTCACCGAGTGTCGACCACGAGGTACCAGAGGCGAACAGAGGATGAAGGCGGAGGGACAGAACGGTGGAGAGGCAATTGAAGATGCCGAGAGAACGGAATTGTGAGGAGGAAGGGGTGTGGTGGTGGGAGTGTGAAGGGATAAGGTATGAAGAGTTGAAAACCACCGTGAGAGAGGTAGGTTAGGTAGGTAGGTACTTGGTAGTGTAGGGTAGGTGTGGTAGGCGCGGTAGGTTAGGTGATTAGGGTAAGGGTAGGTACGAGTAGTGAGTAGTAGTGGTAGTGAGTAGTAAGGGAGTAGAGTAGGTTAGGTTGGCACTGGGACCGGGCAGAGTCCGTAGATAAAGTACTACAGCGCAGTGCCAGTAACAAGATGTAAAGGAGCTATGTCTCAGTGTCTCTCTCTGTAGACTACGGAGTATTATTCTCTCTGTCTTCTAATACTGACTGTTCTGTCTTTCTCTCTCTACTACAGTGTATTATCGGGAGATGGGTGGAAGATGAGTGGTGTTGGTAAACTGGACTTTCTGTTAGTGGAGAGTAGATGGGTCCAGATTGGGTTTAGCGCCATGGGAGCAATGGGCAGATTCCGCCTCTACGCCCGGCATCGTTGGCTCGTTCATCCTCCACCACCATAAACCATAAACCACCACCACTACTACCACCGCCATCACAGTGACAACCACCATACAATTAACGGCATCCACTGACACTGAACTGACTAAACTATTCATCCCACCCCACCCGCAAATTCCACTTCACCTCTGATTCGAGCAATCCCTCTTTGGGCTCCTTAGCGCTGTGCACAATGAGGTCTTCGCTTCCCACGACGCTTGCAAGCACTGCACAGTCCATCCCCTAAGGACAGGAAGGAAAGAGGGGATGGGATTGGGGATGGGATTGGGATACAGTAAGGTTAGGGATAGGGATAGGCAATAGGGAGAGGCTTCGTTTCTTCCTCGTCCTTTGCCCCCATTCGCCCAATCCTCGGTCCCCCGTCACCATTCGCCCCTCGCCGTCCATCCACTGAGCATATCCAACCGTCCGTCCAGTCCAGTCCAGAGTCTCCAGACGGCATTGTGTCAGGTAGTGGAACTTCAAGCGAGAAAGACCCTGCGGTGAACGATACTCGTTGTTGACCTGCATTATATTGCTGCACTACTACTGCTCCGTACATGCTCCGTAACTACTGGACATTCACATATCTTTGCATCAGGTCACACCATCAACCATTTCGACCCGGCCTCATCATCCCATACAGACGCATTGTCCAATCTCATCCACTCCCATCACTTCAATGTACTTTTCTTACACGCCTTTCCAAGAAATACAGAATGAGATCAGCGCATCCTTGCCCTCTCACTGTCTGCCTGCAGCCCGGCGCGCGCAAAAGAAACGCCCGCACAGGCGAATGGAATGGGCCACCCCGGACCGCCTTTGACTAGGACCTCACCCAGCGGTTAAAGCGGCGCGTTACTGGGATGACCTACTCGTCTGTCACCCTCCTCCGGCCCTCAACCCTCCTTCTCCCCTTCTAGGTACGCGATCCTGGGCCTTTGCAGTCCAGTCCTGTCCTTTTTCACAGGAAGGATCAAGAAGCCTAAGTCGGTGTGCGTGCGGGTTGCCGGCGGCCAACACCAACTGGGGTACCGGGCCAGCAACCAAACCATCGTTCCGAGAAGCACAGTGCTAACATGAAATAAAGCACCATTTCCGCTCTCTGGAGATATGCGTTCTAGCCCATGGACCGATGTATACGAAATACTCCATATCTTTTGTCCTCCCTAACTAGCAGTAGTAGTAGATTCTCAATCCTCACAAAAATCACGTAGTCGCGCTGTCACGTCGTCACGCTGAAGCTCAGCTCAGCTCATCTCAGCTCTTGTCCGGCATTGTCTTTTTCCCTCTGCACCAGTCACCATTTCACATGACGGTCCTTTGCATGCGGGCACGACGGCCTTACCTCCACGGCACCGCCTAGGAGGGTCGCACATGCACACAGGTACAGTTCTATTTGATGTATGGGTGGGGTGCGGGAAGATGCAGGCTCATGCTGAATGCCCTTTTGACCAACTGTTTGCCACGAGATGACACGCGAAACCTTGTATCCCGTCGTAGATGCAGAATCTACCCGACGTTGACGTTTTGTTCGCTATTCAACAACGAAGTCCCACTTCCACCTTGCATTATCACTGTACTTCACTCTATCACAGCGTTATCGCGTCCCGAAAACAAATATTGGCTCGGCGCACGTCCACCCTCCCTAGCCAGTTCACTGGCGATGCACACGGCTCGTCTAGCTCGCCTTCCACAGTTCTTCGAGAATTTGGCGTTGGCGTGTGCTCGAGGAGCAATGCCCCTGAGCCTTGCGCACTAGGGCACTCTATGTATCATTGCGCTGAGATTCGCATTGGCGGTCTGAGCGTCAATGGATACTACTGTGGTAATTATGTAGTCCGTATGTATTGGTGAGCTGACATTCATTTATTTGCAATGATTTATTTAAGGTCATGTCGAGCAACCTCGGTTTTCTATTTTGACAACGACATGTTTCCCTCTGATCCTGACCCAGCATCACTCTCCTATGTATGTACATACGCACAGCGGAGAGTGTCCAGACATCCGCTTAGCCGGACTTTAGTTTGCCCGCCTCTGTGTCAGACGATGGTTTATCGTCCTCCCCTTCGACCGCTACTCGATGGCCTTGGACAGCCTTTTCCACCTCGGCGACGAGTGAGTCCATGTATTCTACATCCCGACCGACAAGTGTGACTGTGTTGTTTTCCATGCCCCAGCGTGGGTAGCTACCTACTTTGACTCCCTTGGGTTCGGCCTTGCTCGCCAATTGCGTCAGGTACTCTGCAATTGCACTCTCAGCCATGGGAGTGGATATCAAAATCCGGTAAACGCCCTTTCCTTCTGGATCGGTCAATCTAGGTAGCAAGCGAGGTTTCAGCCCATCCAGCATGGACTCGAAGATTCTGGGAACACCAGGCAATATATGGATATTGCCATTCACAACACTGACAGGCACCCATAAATTGTCGTCTACGAACACGACCTGGTCCTCATAAGGTCTTGAGTCGTCCAGTGGCAGTTCGACCATACGCTTCTTCGCTGTCAGTGCGGCGGAAGGAGTGTCCCAACTAAAGTTGGGCTGTGATTTGTGAGGTTTTGATAGTCGTCTCATGCGCTCGTACGCCTCCTCGTGTAGTTTCAAAGGTAGCCCGAACGCTTTAGCTATCGATTGGTAAGTGATATCGTCGTGTCTGGAATAGCATGGTGATCAGTGACTGCACATCCTGCGACATGGGTGGTACGGCGCGACTCACGTAGGACCAATTCCTCCCGATGTGACTACAAAGTCATAGTTCTTGGACATGCGTTGCGCAGCTTCTATGATCTCGGCCTCGTCATCGGCAATCACTTCGATGCGCCGGAGGTTGATACCCAGTGAGAAGCAGAACTTGGCCAAGTATGCCTGGTCTGCATTAGCTGAGGCTGAAGTGAAGACATTGGGAATGATATTGGATGTCTTACCGAGTTTGTGTCCACTGTCTGGTGCGCACGCGCGCGCATTAGCCAACCCTGCGCTACACGAGACTCAGATCCCTGAATTGCATACCTTGCCGCCCAATACTTCGTCACCAATGATCAAACATGCCGCCGTATGTATGAGCGACTTCTGCTGTGTCGTCGTGACGCCGGCCATGGTCGATGACGTTATCGATGGAGATCGCGGATTGGCTGCGGAGAGGTGTGAAAAGTTTGGCAGGGGTCGCGTGAGGTGTCTGGCTACTTGGTTGAGCCTGCTGAACATTGATCTTCAGGGGACCTCAATCGCAATGGAGGATTGACTGAGTAGCTAGGTGCATGAAGTCAGAAGTCTTCGAGAAACAGCGTGGAAAGGAAGTCGTCCCGTGCTAGACGCCAACGTTTCGGAATTTGCCCCGCACTCCAGCGAACGACTCAGGGATCCTCCTCCGCCATTCACACTTCCTCAGCCCTATCCCACTTCCAGTCCCCTACGACACGTCTTCCAGAGTCCGTCTATCTTTAGCAGACCTTCCTTACAGTCACTATTTTACCTTCATAATGGTCAGTACCGCTCATTCGTGTCCTCCCGCTCAACGGACGTTTCATCGCTGAAGCCATGCTCCCCGCAGTCGTCCGAGTCAAGACTCTACACCTTCAGCGAGGAAACGAAACAGAAGCTGCGGAAGTTCCGCCTGGGCACATCGCGTGCCAAAGACCCCCAGGCCGTCATCTGTTAGTCAGGAGCCCTCCATTTCGCGTGCAACACCGGGGTGTTCATACATGGCATTTGCCATCTGCTACGGCCTACGTCGCGCCCATGCCTCCTCCTCGCGAAGTTAGAATCCTCCCAAGAACGGCGCTGATACCTAGTCGAGCCAGACGCAATCGACAAGAAGACGCTTGAGGTCAAGCAGGATGATGACGAGGTATACTCGGATCTGCAGAGCTTGGGCGACGAACTGCCAGACCATGCGCCCAGATTCGTACTCTTGAGCTATCCCATAACCCTCGTACGCAACTCGACACCTGCTCGAACGGATCCATGATTGATGAATTGACAGGACTCCGGCCGATTGTCGGTACCGTACGTCATGCTATACTACCTCCCAGTAACCTGCAACAACGAAGTAAAGATGCTTTACGCGGGCGCGAAGGAATTGATGCGGAATACGGCAGAGGTTGGCAGGATAATTGAGATCGACTCTGCGGAGGATCTGGAAGAGATCGAGGCCAAGCTCAAGGAACACTCATGAACAAAGCATAGCAACCATGGCATCATCGGGCGCAGAACTGGGCAAATTGGGTACTCCCAGAGGCACAGCAACGTCGAACGCATTGTTGGGTTGCCACGCGGATGCATACAACCTGCTGGGATTCATCTATAAGAAACTCAAGTCAAGATATCATGATATCCTAACCAGGACTTGACAACGTGGGTGGTCCCCCAGGCCTTCCATCATTTTATTCAACAGCATATTAGATCCATGACAATAATCCAACCTCACGCCGCTTCCAAGTTTCTTGCATCTTAGTTCCTGGGAACGTTCCTTGCACGTGTCGAAGATCTTCACAGGCTACCGTTTCAGATCCTTTCTCCCGGATCATTTCCTATCACATCACATCACATCACACCCCTATCATCACTCAATGATCTACACAGACAAACCCACCATCTCATCGTAACAAAACACATGTTTTATGCAATCATTGACTCCACCAGACCTATCGCCCACGCTAAGCAAAACCCGAGTGGATACACCCGCCACCGATGAAGCTGCAGATACACGGCGACGCCGTTCACGACTGCGAACACCCACCTACCCGATGTCACGATACCTACCTAGGTAGGTAGGTCAACAGTTTAGCCACGCACCGCACCCTTTCCCTCCCTATCTTTTACAAAAGCGAAACCAGCCCCTTTGAAATACCTCGCCTCACCTTCCCTTCCTTTATTTTCTTTTCCCTACCCTTCGAGTTCATTTCACATTTCGAAAATTACAACGCCGTTGTGTTATACGCCATGTATATAGGGTAGTTAGTAATTCTCCGAAAAAAACGGCCGTGTCGCGCAAGTCCGAATACCCCTCTCCCCTTGCCACCGCGCGATTCGAGGAAGGAGAGAAAAATATCACAGCATATAATAGGCTAGAATAGTGAAGGGATAATTTCCAGGGGGGGGGAAGAGGGTCGGCGTGGGGTGGGGTATATTTTTTCTCTTTGGCTGTCGAGTTGCTTGTGCTGGTGTAGTGCGTGCATATATGCGGAAGGCTTGTGTAATGCCTGGGTAGGTAGGTATTAGTTTACGAGTTTTCTTCTTAGGGGGGGATTGAGTTTTTGCGGTCGATCATTTGCATGAAGATATTATATTCGTTGAGTCTCTAGATGAAGTTTCGAATGGGTTTATTTTATTTATTTTTGAATCGAGGTATTGCTAGAACAGAACAAGGTAAGACTGTATGGACAAAGTCAAGATGGTTTCGAAATCTTTTCTGATTGTTGAATTTTGTAGATGCTAAAGATATCATTTGGTAAACAAGTAGGTAAGTAGGTTGAAGATTTTATTGATTATCATGGTGTCTTGAAGTATATGTGTATGTTGTATCTTACTCCTCTCTCCAGTTCTGAATGTCGAGGAATATGCCCAAAAAAATAAATCAAAAGATGCAGCCGGCAATCATATCGCTCAGCGAATCCCCCCTCAAGCCACGCTCTCCGTAAACTCATCAAAAATGACAATGTCCTCAAACCTGCCCGCGAGCGTATCGACATCCGCGTCGTTACCCGGCTCCGAGTTCCTATTCACCGAGAAGCCGCCACCCGGCGGCCCCCGCCGTTCGTCGTTGTCGTTGTATTCGGCCATCTTCTTGAACTGGGCGACCTCGGCTTGCTGGAGGACGTTGCGGTCGTAGCCCATTGCGAGGATGGACTCTCCGATCTTGCCGATGGATTGGACGGCCGGGCGATGCTTCAGGCCGCATTGGGCGTAGAAGAGGCAGTACATGCGGCGTTCGGGGTCGTGCTCGTCGTTGAGGACGGCGCTGGCGGCGTACTGTGGGATGTTAGTGGGGTTTGTTTGGGCACGGGGGGAGGTGACGGACGATGACTGCGACGTAGATGTAGATGTTCCATTGTGGTGCTGGGAACTGATGAGTGTATTCGAAGAGCAGACCTGGGAAGCTCGTGTTAGTTTGAGAGTGGGCAGCCTGGGCACAAAGGTCACTCGAATGTACTTTTGAGTTGCTCGACCGAGGCCGCGAATATGGTCGATGGTTGAGTACCGAGCGATAGATACTTCTTGTGGCTCTGTTGGATCTCGGGCGCCAGAAATGGACGGAACAGGTCCAGAATGATTGTGTGCAGGTGCATACTGGACGATATTTAGCGTGTGAGCATGCACCAACGGAGAGCTTTTATTTTGATGGGAATAGACGCCAATAAAGAGAAGGACAGGACGATTAGGGAAAACTGTGACTGACTAGAATACGAGTGCAGAGTTTGGTGTTCTCTCTCCCCGACGCATCCCATGGGGTAGAGTATCTGCTAAGTGCAGAAGATCGGAGAACTTCGAAAGCGCAAATGCCAGCGACGTTGTGCCATCGTTGTCAGGGCTTCGAAGCAGAAGCTGCACTTCGTTGATAATGACCCAGAGTCGGCAAAAAGCGCCTCTTGCCGAAGCATTACCGTCGACTCTTTCACTGATAGGTAGAGACCAAGCTTCCACGTTGTCGCGGGCTGGTGGACTCTCGACTGGATCTCCAGGCACCGGTAGAGCCGGCCGCACTTTGACGGGTTCTATCCACGAGTAGAAGCGGCTCTGGTGCCTTCAAACAATGGTAACCTTCTATAATCTCCGCAAAGCCGGTGAATGCTTACACGATCATGTTGAAGACGCCCCAGGCAGTCCCGCTTGTGGCCTCCAGTTGGTCTTTAGATTCCAACGATGAAACAAGCAACGAGTCCATTACGCCAAACAATTTCATTCTTTCTGCCATGGCCTTGGCCTTGATGAGACATGATGCTGCTGGTGTGAACTTCCCCTGGCCAGTCAAGTGTATAGACAGAAGCGCAAGGCCAGCAAGTGTCGAAAGACAATCATCTTCTGATACTGATCGAAGCAGCATTTCCGCTTCCCCGGCAAATTTCAAACTACGGCCCAAGGCCTCCCGGTCGACGAGAGCATGAGTTTGCTATGTCCAGTCAATATCAATCTTGTCAAGAGGAGTCACAATACCTACAAACGCAACAGCAAGCAGTGAGCTGACTAGAAATGAAGAACAGAAATCGAAACGGTGCTCGACAAGGTCACGCACAAACAGCGTTGCATCAAATACTCCCCAAACTGGATGCTGGAATTCCAGGAAAGCGGAGATGGCTTCTGCGGCTTGCGAATTGGATACCGGAACCGTAGTCCAAAAGTCTATGTGGAGGCTGGCAAGTCGTGAATCGAAGTACAAAGCCCCACTTGCTGCTCCCTCTTCTGGATGCTGGTTACGAGAAGGGTTATCAAACGTCTTTGGGAGTTGATCCGCTGGTGGCAGGCCAAGATCTCGGACTGGATTGACCAATGTCTTTCCGAGGGATTGAGCGCGAGGAGAGAGGTCTAATGCAGGGTACACTAGATAGAGAGTTGTGAGACATGTCTTTGCGTACAGATGTGTCATGTTTCCCTTCGTAACTTGGAAATTATCATACCTAGTGGGTGCCGTACCAGCAACTCCAATTCACCCTGGGAATGAACTGCAGCTGGGAGAGCAGCCCGAAATGTCCGTACCTGTGAAACAGTGGATCCCATATTTTTGCTTCTAAGGCTTCTGAGCAAGTTGGTCGGATCAGAACCATTTTGTAGCTGCCACATGGCGGATTGTGCAGCATCTGCTGGCATGTTTGCTATGAGCCCGATGATCTGTTGGTATGCGGTCACCTTCTCACGCAAAGCAATGTTCTCACGCCTTAGAACGGTTGGTCGCATCTCTCTATTGTCTTCTTCCACATAGATGCAGCTGACACTGTGCTGCTGACAGTGTCCACATATTGGGCGGTGGCCATCGCAACGAATCTTCCTGGTGCGACAGACGTTACATGCCAATCGTACTTTCTTTGTGCTATGATTTTCAGGCAGTACGGGCCTTACGCCTCCAATGGCTGGAAGAAGTGAGCGATAGCCTCGAGACGACGGTGTCGCACGGTTGGGGTTCGTAGACATGTTGGCGGTACAGTAACCATCATCCGAGACCCCCAGTCGTGTGGCACAGCAAACTGTAGTCTTCTGAGAAACGTTTCAACTGAGTGAACTTTACCACGCCTCACAGTTGCTGGTAGCTGGGTTAAGCTCTTGAGGCCGGATACCACACCCAACCAATGAGATGAGCCATTCGTTGTGCCCACCGCAGAGGTGTGGATCGTCTGCATGGGTACACAGTGGGAGATCAGGCAACACTCATAATAGTAGTAGGATGTATTGAGGTCAGAATCTCTTCCATTGTACAGGAGAGAACGGGAGCCTATGTAGAAAATGGTTTCACATATCATAATATCCTCTAGAGGTCACATCGAGAAGATGTTGGCTGAGTCAGTACAGTGTCTGTGGAGGCAGTGATTGGTTCGGGTGACTTAACCGCAGTCCCTCACGAGCAGCAGCTTGGGTTGCTTGTAGTATTATCGCGAGATCATCACCTGTACATTTGTATAATTTTTCGACGAAACAGAAATATGATCTTGAAAGCTCTACGGCGCAATCGTTGAGGGTCAAGCGCGGTGGGTATCTTAAGATCATTTAAGAGGGTCAGGCTTTTCATAATCCTAATTCTGCTATGACCACATAGAATAAGTATACATTTAGCACATAATGACAGCCTATGTCAAATTTTGATCACTTCTTAAGTAAAGCTAAGCAGAGTATGTATTACGAAAATTTTGGTGGAGATCAATCTTTCATTTCATTTATCGATGGACCTTAAAAAACTTCAAGTGTCATTTTGATATACATAGCCTTCCACGTTAATAATGAACCAAAGCAACTGTAGCATATTGCTCCTCTCCCTAACTCCATGCTTTCCTTGACAAATGGTATCCCTGAATCCCGACGTTGCCCGAGCCTGTTTCCAATACAAATAATACAAAACGAATCCTTTTCTACGTCCGCCTAAATGGAATTGTATTCCTATCTCGATAGGGAACTCTAATGACCAAATACGTAGATCACCAGAACATCCCCTACCAATTCCACGTTCGAGATGCAGCAGAAAAGACTGGTGGTTTCCAGATCAACTTCTCGGGATCCAGGGACCGCTTTCCCTTGATCTTTTCCTTCGCCTTCTGCCTTTCGCGCTGTTCGACAACGGCGTCCGTCAGCACAATGACGTGTTGGTTCTTATTGTAGCGAAGCATGTTCAAATTTTGCAACGTGTGTAATACGTCGTTTGTTGTCATGGCAGATGCGAAGCCGATCTCTTCGATGTTCGCCTCGACTTTTCCGTCAAGCAGGAGATCCACGATTGTCTCCTGCCAGTAAGCACGGTAACCCAGAAGACCCAAATCAGAGAGCGGTTTTTCGGGTGAACCGAGCTTCCCTTCTCGTTTTGATAGAATGTAGGAGAAGTCGATGAGCAGTTTACCGAATCCTTTACGTTGGTATTGGGGGAGTGTTAGAATACAGGCCACATTGTAGCCTTCGGCAGATTCTTTTTCTTTGCTGAAGTACCCGACCAAGTGGCAACCATGCTCGTCTCTTATACACATGCAGTAGAAGAGGAAAGGGTCGACATCGTAGTAGAGGGTTTTGTGGTCCAGGAATAGCTTAGAGAGGAGACAGAGGTTGCGGCACCATGTTCGCTGGCGGCGGCCGTCGATTTCAAAGAAGGATACAAAGTCGTCGCGATATATCTCGTTGCCTGGAGGATGGAGGAGTGTGCACTTCATGCGGTGTCTGTTGAAAGAGGTCTCTTCGCCAAAGTACGACAGGCAGAACTCGCAGATGTACACCATTTCGGCGTCCGTGGCGAAATCGATCGGGTATGGCGAGAAGTACCAAGGCTCGACCTCGTACTTGCCCATCTGTATCTTATCTAAATTTCGCACACGTGAGATTTCGGTCTGGTTCTGTGTCATAGAGCCTCCTGTTCGAAGTTTTTCTATCTCTTCTTCTCTCGAGAACACCTCCTCTGGCGCGGCTTTGGCAGCTGCAGCGGCATCTTGCACATCTACAAGGTCGATTTCCTCATCTTCGGGTTTTGGAGTCGTGCCATCTGTGACCTCGCTCGTGACAAGCACCTCCTTGTTCTCTTTTCCACTGGCTTTGGAAGGGCGTGATGCTTTGCCAGGAATGTTGACACTTGTCGACTCCGAAGGTGTCGCTGAAATCTCTCGATCCAATTTACTCCTCGATCTCTTTAGGTTCTTCGGATCTGCTTTTGAGGGGGCGTCCTTCTTTGAACTTGACGAAGCCTTCTTCTTCTCCGGCTTTTCCGGTGCGGGCCATTCGACCTCTCGGGTGAGATCAATACGTTCTGAGTCTATCCATTCATCGAGACGTTTGTTGAAGTCTTCGTAATGGACATAGAATTTCATTTTCCCACGGCGCATTTGCTTTGTGAGGATCTCGGCTTTACGAGTTTCGCCATCCTAATATTATTAGCATATATCTTTTCGAAACGAAGCATTTTGGAAACGTCTTGTAACTCCAGCGCCAGGAACTGATTTCAACGTTCTTATGTTCATGGGGATTAAGAGAACTCCAACGATCAGCCGCCTGATAGGCGCTAGTTGCTCAGCCTCTACTTCATGGGTACGCAGAACTTACCTTCTCAACGAAAGCCTTCACGCCAGGCCTGCACAAAATCATCAGTATTCATCTCAAAAAAGTACACATCGGTGTCGCGCATACCTTAGGGTCGCAAGAGTGGCAAATCCAGTTTCCAGCGGCACCGGCGTGCCTGAGGGCTCGTGAGAATTTTCACGAGGTGCCATGGTCTCTACGAACAAGCAGTCAGATTATCGCAAGCTGTAGATGGCGTTGTGAATTATTGTTGTCGTGAATGTTTGAAGCTCTCTTTGTCGCGCGACGAGGCGAAAGTGACGATGTCGCCGCCTGTTCGCGGACCTAAGGGCACGTGATCAGACGATTGGCCCGTGCGAGTTTTTTTGCGGCGACCAATGCAGGCGGGGAGCGGAGGAGAGAGTTCTGCATCAAACGCTTTCTACACAATTTTGTTTGCTTAAGTTTTATTTTCCACACCGCCATGCGCAACCGATGACCCAAGATGGCACCAATTGAACTCAAGAACCTTTCCAGCAACTGGAAGAAGCTACAGAAAACACTACAACCCTCCTCCAAATCCGCGTCCTCAAAACCGGAAGAGAAATCCGATCATACTTCCCTCAAACGCAAGAGGGCAACACAGCTCAATGGAGAGCATGAGAGGCCCTCTTCCACACATCTGAGAAAACACATCAAGCCCGAGAAGTCTTTCGCAACTCATAAACGCCAAAAGATGGAGGAGCCCAATTCAGTCGGCGCTTCCTCGAAACATAAGGACTCCCGCGCCCTCTCTCGAAGTATCTCGATGCCCTCGCTGAAACACCCTCCGCTTCTTTCCGACCCTAAGGCCGTCTCAAAATCCGCATCTGTGCTCGCGCCCTCTCCAGATCACCCTGATATCGAGAATGAGGGTGTATCCGAAACCGCTCTACCAGGGAAATACGTGGCCATAGATTGTGAGATGGTTGGCACAGGGCCCGAGCCTGACCGCGACTCTGCGCTGGCCAGAGTCAGTGTGGTGAACTTCCATGGGCATCAGGTGTACGACTCGTATGTACAGGTCAAAGTCCCCGTGACCGATTACAGGACAGCAGTGTCCGGCATTGAGCCTAAGCACCTACGGCGTGATTTTGCGCGGCCCTTCAAAGAAGTTCAGGAAGATATTCAGACTCTCTTATCGAATAGGATACTGGTCGGACACGGCGTCAAGAACGATCTTGACGTGCTCATTCTCAAACATGACAAGAGGTTCATTCGCGATACATCCAAATACTCCAAGTTCAGGGAAATCTCGCTGGTACCAGGCCGAACACCAGGATTGAAACATTTGGTCGAAAAGCGCTTGGGGGTGGAGATTCAGACTGGTGCACATAGTTCTGTCGAGGATGCAAGAGCCACGATGGCACTATTCAGGTTGGAGAAGGAAGGGTTCGAAGAGGAGATTACAAAACTATACGGGCTTACGAGGCTTCCAGGCAGGCAGGTCGCGGAACCGGACGCAGACGGTGAAGTGCGGAGGAAGAAGAACAAACCTAAGAAGAAAAAGAAGAAGCACTAGTGCAACACTTCATGATGGTTGTTGTGGAAATTCCGATATTTCTTGGTTTCTGTGGTAGGGATGACTGTCAACGGACTCCGGATTGTTGCATTTCAAATGGCGTTTCGAGGCTTCGACAATGAAGCAGAGACTTGGACAACTTTAAACATTTCTCACATGTGCATATATGGCAGGCATATTATTCAATATTCGACTACTAGCGATATACGATATTTGCATAACTGAATACATTACATTACAGTAGTTGACTGTTCAACCTGTGCGTCTCGCTGGTGATGACAAGCAATAGAGAAGACGCCGAGTTTTAAGATATGATACTGGCATCGTCGGAGTCTTGCCTTGTATGGTATGTAAAATTCGTATTGGTGATTTGTATCTCGACCGGGTGGTTACGTTGGTTTAAGTATTGTTTTCTGGATGAATCTACTGCTACAATTTATCTCTGGGTTCAAAGAAGCTATGATTGACATCACGTTGCTTATTGTGGGTCATTCCCAACATGACGGTTGCATGCGTGATACTCCGAAACAATTATATGTACAAAGTGCGCCATCGCGGATCTAGTTCCGCTACTAAAGTGTGGTTGTTGTCTCCCAATCAACGTTCCCTGGCATCATCGACTTCATTCTCAATTACCGAACTACTAACGCTACTCCATACCCGGAGACCCCACATCATGGACCCTTAAAGCATCTGTCTCAAACGTCATGCATAGTTGGACGTATGTACCGAGGAAAGAGAGAAACCACATAAAAGCCATCCAACCTGTCCAATACTGTCTTTCAATTATCAACCTCTGAACACCTCACTCCTAGAGCATATAGAGTCGACCCTCGAAGGCCTCGAAAAAGGATCTAATCAGCAACCATGTCTATCTTCGGCGAAATTCGCAAGCCAAAGTCTCTCCTCGAGTTCTCACGCGTACTGGCGCCGGTCGCTGGTGTTCGCGTTTCCCCATTATGCCTCGGGGCAATGAACTTTGGTGATGCTTGGTATGTTGTATAATCTCTATCACAACTGAGTTGTAGAAGCTAATAGATTCCGGAATTGAAGGGAGAGCGTCATGGGCAAGTGTGATAAGGAAACCACATTCGGAATTCTCGATTACTTCGTGGAACAAGGCGGCAATTTCATCGATACGTGAGTATATACTCTTTCTCTTCATGTCCATTTGCTTTTCCTGGCCGCCATCATGCCCTCCTAGCGGCCATCTCCAAATGCCTCACCCCTACCCCACATGCCCCACACATCGGCCCTTCAAGTATCAACGAGATTATGTGAACTACAGCATTTGAGCTACCAACTGACAAATCCCCCAGAGCCAACAACTACCAATCAGAAGAATCCGAGACATGGATTGGCGAATGGTTCGCCTCCCGCCAGAACCGCGACCAAATCGTGCTGGCAACAAAGTACACCATCTGCTACCCGGACCCTCGTAAACCCATGGGCACCAAGATCAACCATGCCGGAAATGCTACCAAATCTCTCAATGTGTCCGTCGAGGCCAGCTTGAAGAAGCTCCAGACGGACTACATAGACCTGCTCTACGTCCACTACTGGGACTTCACCACGAGCATCCCCGAGCTGATGCAGAGCCTCAACCATCTCGTGCAAAGGGGCAAGGTCCTGTACTTGGGCGTCAGTGACACCCCCGCCTGGGTCGTCAGCAAAGCAAACGAATGTAAGCTTCTTCCCTACTGCTCTCTACCCGTCCCAACCTGATACCGTCACGTAACATCCAACTAACACCCACCCACAGACGCCCGCAACCACGGTCTCCGCGGCTTCTCCGTCTACCAAGGCCGCTGGTCCGCCGCAGACCGCGACTTCGAGCGCGAAATCATCCCGATGGCGCGCGACGAAGGCATGGCCCTCGCGCCGTGGGGCGCCCTCGGCGGCGGAAGCTTCACCACGGAAGCCAAACGGCAAGCCAACGAGAAGGGCCGCAACATGCGGCCGCCGACCGAGAAGCAGATACAAGTCTCCAAGAAGCTCGAGGCTGTGGCGGAGAAGCACGGCACGCAAATCACGAGCGTGGCGCTCGCGTACATCCGGCATAAGTACCCGTATGTTTTTCCTATTGTTGGTGGGCGTAAGATCGAGCATTTGAAGGGGAATATTGAGGCGTTGGGGCTTAGGCTGTCGGATGAGGAGGTTGAGGATATTGATTCTGCGGCGGATTTCGAGATCGGGTTCCCAATGAGCTTTTTGTATGAGTTCTCCGGGAGTAAGTATAATTGGAAGATGAATAGTGAGGATGTTGGGTTGTTGAAGTTTGCGGGACACTTGCAGACTGTGCCAAATCAGTTCGGGGTGGAACCGAAGCAGTTGTAAGGGGGTTGGTGTAGTGATGTGATACCTCACTTACGTATATTCAGACGTCTCCCCGTAGACATCGAGATATAGTATGGTCAAGAAATACTAAATATGTCAAAAAACATGGCATGTTCCATCCTGACGGCGTTCTTGAGTCTGATTCATTACACTGATATCATTTCCCATTATCATCATTAAGTTTTATAGAAACCACCGGGAAAACCCCTTCAAAAAGGCCGTCTCCCAACAGAACGCCATACACCACCAACACTATAAATGGAATGAAATCGCTAAACATATCAACGCTCCTTTTCTCCACCACCCAATGCTTTCCCATTACCACCTCCACATCCCCCCGAACACCGCTCACCCACCCCTCCAACAACAACCAAAACAAACCCCATTCCACCTTACTCAGTCCTCTTCCTAATCCTCGGCATCCCAAGCCAGCACCCCAGCATACAAACATACAACCCAATACAAACCGGATGCAGCACCCAGGTCCCAACCGCCTGCGCCAAAATGCCCGTCGTGAACGGCGCCACCGCACCTCCAGAGCTCCCCGCCCCCGCGATGAACCCGATCGCCGTCGTCTGGGTCGAGCGCGGCATGAGGCGTGCGAAGATGGTCGAGGCGCACGGGTAGACGGGGCCGAGGAGGAGGCCGAGGATGGAGACGGCGACGGCGTTGGTGATGACGTTGGGGACGAGCCAGGCGAGGAGCTGGAAGGCCGTCGTGCCGAGGATGAGCAGGATGACGAAGCGGCGCTCGCCGATGCGGGGCGCGAGGTGCGTGAGGACGAAGCGGCCGAGGGTGATGCCGCCCTGGTTTCGTGCGTTAGTATGATGGGGATTGAAGTGGGAGATGTGGGAGGGGAGGAGGGGAAGGGGGTTTCTTACCCAGAATCCAGCGGTCACGTAGCCGACGCTTGAGGGATCTCCATCGCGGTAGTTGATCAGGAAGGAGATGACCCAGCCGGAGATGGACACTTCGGCACCTTGGTAGGCGAAGATGAAGAGGGCGCCGAAGATGGTGACGCGGCTCTTCAGGGCGACCTTGAGGTCGTGGAGTTTCGAGACGGCCTCTTCGCCAGCCATCTGTCGACTGGCGGTCCGTTCGAGCGCAGTTATCAGTGTCTGTGGGGTCTCTTCTTGGTAGTCCCAGAAGGCCCAGCCTGCGAAGGGCATGGCGACGATGGCAATGGCGAAGGGGACGAAGTAGAAGCGGGACCAGACGATGCCGTTGGAGACCATGAGGGTTGCGAGGATAGGTGCAAAGATGCCGCCTATGCCGTAGCTGCCATGGGCTGCGCCTAAGACAACGGTCGTTGGCTGCAGATTGGAGCAAAAGACATTGTTGAGGGCCAGAGTCATGGCCATGCCGTAACCTAGGAGAAAGAAACTATGTTTTGTCAATATTGTTCCGAGGTGAGCCAAACCGAGCGGACTTACGCAATGACTACAGCTGGAAAAGGTGGCGTGCAGACAAGAACAATGTACGATAGAATCAATATCAGTTCGGCGGTCATGAGCATCTTGGCTCTACCGATCTTGCTCAAGAGGAGGTTATTGAAGAATGCCGCAGTGACGAATCCCAAGGCCTGCCCGACGAAAATCAATGACATGATTGCATGTCCTTTTGCATAGTGATGTTCCATATAAGGGATGAGAGCGCCAGTTGCTGATTTTTGTCAGGATACTGCAATTGAACAAAAGGAAACTATCTTGAACGAAACTCGCTATTCCTTCACGATGGGACAGCGACATGGTGGGAATACATACCGCTATCATTGATGCCGTTTCCAAAGTAAATCAGACAACAACTCAAAACTCGCCACTTATTCTTCGGCGGGTCGTTCCAGCACTGCATGAGATTGGCAGCCTCCTCCATCTTCGGAGAGGGCGGTCTACTCATTTCCAATTCATTTGGAGTCTGAGGCAGGGTATTCTCCATTACGGATTCGGCGGCAGAAGGCGCCTCTCCTGGAGTTGGGGGACCAGAACGAAGCGGGCCATTGTATTTTTTGCCGAAGGTGTATTCGTCCAATTCAATATTTGAAGGGGCCTGGCGAGCATGACCTTTGGACTTCTGGAGAGTTGCTGCCGGGCTGGCGACTGGTTGGCTAGTAGAGTGTTGGATGTCGAAAAAGCCGTGAATGCCACCGGCCGTCGACATGATAAACAGAAAGCGATAAGGAGAAAAACTGATAGAAAATTGCTAATAATTTAGGGTATGATCTGTTAAAAGTGGCTACAATGCAATTGAGAGGTCTGGTCAATTCATTGATTGAGGATAGGAGAACGATAAAAATTTTTACGTTCATGCAATCCGAATTTTATATGAGCAGAGATAAGTCACGATGGCACAGCATAAGCTAGCGAGAAGAGGAGCATCGTGAACAGCATGGGCTGATTAATAGGTGCGGGGAGACAGTGGATGACTCTAAGGGGATCCACAGGACTCGCAACATATGCATTGTGCTTGGACCGACATCTAGCCAGTCGGAATCTGACATTGTTACGCGTGTATGCAACCATTAGGGACTGGATAAAACATTAGCAACCTTTGACGTTCTTTTTCCAATATTGTGGATTGGACTTGGGAAAATGTTTCGATAGCGGATTGGGACTTTGTGATTGGTCCAAGTGGGCTAAGACCTTGGGGGACTACGTCGAAATCGATTCGGAGACTTTGAGATCATGGGGCCGTGACTTTTGAATTTATCAGCACTTGACGTGGTGGGCTCAATTAACTATGAACATGAATTGTATCTTTTAGGTTATGACAGGCAATTGAGACGAGTCGGAGTATCTGCATCTGGATGGACAATCGGGAGAACGTCGGAGAAAGATCCACCGGCGCGCCTTACCGCCTTCGTCCACACCCCCCGCCGGGCAGAATTACTCTTCATGGTAGATATTCGTACTTGTTGGTTTACCGTCCATTATTTTTCCTGCCCCTCCAAAACAAACTTTTAATTCAAAAGTCGTTCAAATCCCCACGTCATTGCAATCATGCCCCGTCCGAAACGTAACATCCTCGCCACCGTCCAAGACACCCTCACCCCTCCCGACGAATTATCCGAGTCCCAAGCCATCGCCCGCGTCTCCAAAGCCGCCGGAAAGAACCTGTACATCGCTGAGCTGCCAGGTGGGAAGTCAATTCTCGTGGAACTTGTTGCGAAGTTTCGCTCCACGATATGGATTAAGCGCGGAGGCTATGTGGTCGTAGATGTGAAGGCGCTTGCGGATCGAGAGAACAAATTGGACGGCGAGATTGTCAACGTGGTGCGAGAGGAGAAGGAATGGCGTAAGATGAGTTATTGGTATGTACCTGATTCTAAACGCTATGGAGATGCTGGGGAGGTTTTTGGTATCATTGGGGAGGAATATATGCACGGGATACTGATATAAAAATACAGGCCGAAGGAATTCGAGAAGAAGCAGACGTACGTCGATAGCGACGAGGAAGAGTCCACTGTCGGCAAGATGCCACCTTCAGATTCGGAAGAGGATTGAGGGAAAAGAAAGCCGTCGTGGTCTATTCTGTATGCTCGTGCGGCTCGGTCACGCTGCCATTCTCTTGGACATTCTCAAACTCGTTCCTCGTGCCCCACCATGTGCTCAACAGGGTAATCGCCAGCACCCCGACTACGGTCGCAGAGCTCGCCGGTGTGCTTGGGTACACGTTCCATGCCCATTCCTGCGCAGCCCAGAGCGCATACTGGATGATTGGGTGGAGTCCGGCTTTCCATAAGAGGAACGGAGTTGCCCATGCGATATAGACGTAGAACTGGTAGTGGAGAGATCTGGCACATAGCATGCCAATGATGTTCGCAGTGAGAATAGTGGTCATTATGAAGCTCGGAGACACCCTTCGACTGATGGCCTCCTGATCTTCGGGCTCGTTGGTGATCAATTTGAGGACCCCGCGTAGCGAACGTCGGGAGGGCTTAATCCAACGTGTCGTTGCGAACCAGATGAGAAGGCCTGCATGTACAGCCAAAAGTCCGATCGCGAAGGGTTTGGAAAGGAACGTAGATTCATCCACAAATCGCCAGTTCACGGTCCATTTGTATAAGAACTGTCGTGTAAGTTCGAAAGCTCTTGCAAAGTATGATGGAGCACGCTTTCGGAATGGATATCCATAGCCAATCTACTGTCTGTCAATACCAGTACATACGAAAACGATGCACGTGATAATGTTTAAACTTACCGTGACCTGAACAATGATCATTCCTTGAGTGAGACCCTCCCTGCCTCCGAGAGCCTGAAGAGCCAGGAAACCAATAGCAGGGAGTGGTAGTAATAGGCTCATTTTGACATTCAGACCAGTCGTGTAAAAGAATGATCCGAGATGCCAGTTATTCCTCTGATAGAAGTAGATGGCAAGGAAAAGTCCCAAAACAGCAAAGCAATCGTTGAAAAGTCGCAGCATAAATATGCTATGTAGACGTTTGGACAAGATAAGCAATGGGAAAACATATGGCGGAACCTAACAGCATACGTCAACAACAAGTCCGAAGTAAATAGAGATGACATGGTTTACCTTTGCAGCGCGATAACATTGCATGACAATCGCCAACGTGAACAGATACACCAACGCAAAGAGGTACTGCGCCATCTGGATATCGCGGCCCTCATCCGTGAGCGAGTAGAGTAGCCTGTAGATGTAGACATGTGCGGCGGGATAAACCAAAGGGCCTGTCGAACCCTCAATCTTTCTATAATCTCTTTCTCCCTTCAAATAAATCTTGATGTGCTCCATGTACGTCGTCCAGTCAATTTCAGTATCTGTCGAGCATATTAGTTATCTTCCACGTGTTCGTCGCGTCGATTCTCGAGATGTCACGAACATGGGATTTTCTCAATGATCACGCCGCACAGCCCTGCGTCGGCGATGAGAAGTAATGGATATATCCATGACATGTGCTTTGGATTCGTAGCGATATCCAGTCCCTGTCGTATTAACTCCATGATGATTATTTTCTGTGAGGAAAGCGGTATTAGATGACTTCTTCCCCTCCGGGATAGAGGCCTGTGTTATAGGAGCAATGCGAGGTCACGTGAATGAGGTGAGCTTCAGGTTTCAGGTTTGCGCAGGAGGAGAACATTGTCAAACTCTTGCGTGTTTCATGGGGAGAGTTTGTTCGTACGATCCTTTAGAACATTGCTTCGTACACACGCCTGAAGGGTATTCCTGCCGATTCGGTGCCCGAATTCGTCAACGCTGGATGCCCCGATTATTCTACCTCGTACTCTTCTAAGCTAGATGGTCCATCCCAATCCAACAACTTTGCTCTAATACGATGGTGTAGAAGGAATCAGTCCACTTTCCATCCAATGAGTAGCCTGAATCGCTCCAAATCTATATAACTGCTTCTAGTACTAGCATCTAGCTCTCGCATGTCTTGTAGCCCCATGGTATTTATTATTACGTAGGGTTGTCGCACAGCATTGATCATTCCCATTCGGTACCTTTCAGCCGCTGCATTAGGTATTCGACTTCCACTTCCTTAGTCAAAGGAATGACCCAATCCTACAACATTGTCAGCATACTTAAGCACATCAACAAGATGCAATTCCTTCTCGTACCTTGTACATTGCGACCACAGCCTCAGCGTCGACCTTCGACGTACCAGCACCGCCAGAGTCTGGGTCAGTGCCGTAGGTGTTCGCCTTGAGTCTCAATCTCTCCAACACCTTCTTCTCGACTGCCGCATTCGTGATAGCCTCGTCAATTCCCTTCCGATCCTCGGCCTTGATCAACTTCACGAAGCGCTCCGTCTCGCTCTGGAATTTAGACTCGGCCACGAACTTTCCAAAATGTATCCGCCTGGAAAGCGCCTGTAGAAAAGTGATATCGCAAGTTGCGGACGACCCATAATTCTCCTGCTGCTCTCCCCTGTCCTCTCGGTCCGATTTCGCACACGCAGCGGGCAGGATGTGCTCGATGTAGGACTGCTTGAGCTTCTCGTTCACATTGACGTCGTTTTCGTGCAGGATCTTTGGGTATCGGAGGGGCTTGAGGATCGGCTTCTGCAGGACCTCTGGGAAGAAGGGGTATTCGTCTGGGGATTCGTAGCGGCGGATGATGGACTGTAGGCGCTCTTGCTCGCGCAGCACCCAGTCGAACAGGCTTAGGTCGCTTTCGGGGATGGGAACACCGCCGGCGATGTAGATGGTCTTATTCAATGGGAATTGTACGCGCTCGATGAGGTGGAAGGTGATTGTGTCTTCTAACCGTCTTTTGGGTGCTCAGTTAGTTCAAATGCTTCGCCGCATCGGGAAAATACTTGTTCTGGTAAGCATACATTAGTTGGAAGCGAATGTTGGAGAGGTCGAGTGCCTTGGAGGCATCGTATAGCTCTAATGCTGCATCCATCTTGCAAGGCTGAGGTTGTAGAGAGTCAATTGTAGCTGTTGATTGCGAGGAAGCCTGGGAGTTGTTCAGAGTTGGGGTTGTTGTTGCCATTGGTCACACTTATAAGCCCAGCCCTAGTATCGGGGTCGGCGATGCCAGCGAGTGTGAAAGGAGTCATCATAACTGTACGGAGCATGAGCAGCGCTGTCATGATGCCAGGCTGAGGATTAGAAACCCGACAATTGGCAAGGCTGCGGCTGCGGCTATCTACATATTTTATATCGCGGGCTGCGTTGCACAGGATAAATGTAAGATGGCATTTTGCAGGCATTGTCATCATTCATACGAGGAGCTGGATCTTTCGGATGACGTCCGGGCGCGTTTAGCAGCCTTGCATGTGCTTCTTTACCTTTACCGACTTCTTCGCCCAACACCAAACATCCGTCGTTACGACGCGACCCGCCCGCAACACACCCCAAAACCACCTGGTGATGGTTCCTGTGCCTCATTGATCTCGATAATGAAATAAGTCACCACTCGAAAGCTACCATCCGCCCTCGTAACCCGTTTTTCCGTTTCTGGACATGGCTACTCTATTGGGTGGCACTGGCTCGCCCTCAAGAGGCAGGTCACGTAGCCCACGGCCGGTGACACCGATGAGCGACGACGATTCTAGTATCGTAGATGGTCTTTCTGATGTACTTGGCCCTTGCTGTTCTAGCTCGAGTAGGTTTTGGAAGCTGATTTAGCCATCGCAGAGGAGAAATATCAAGGCATTCGGCCGCAAAGTCACCGCTACAGCTGGGCACCTTATCGGTGCGGAAGGCGTCAGTCAACACTATCACAATGCATTGGGGGAGCTTCATCGTGAGCTGAGGCGGCCCATGCTGCAACGTTCTGTCTTTTCTTTCGCCCAGACGACCCCACGCGAGCTTGTGCGTTCGAGAATTTCCGTGCCCGAGATCCAGCAAAGAGCTTTATCGTACCTCCCAGACGAGCTTCTAAGCAATATTCCGGAAGATAAGAGTGCTTATTCGCTTTTCGAAGGATTTCAAGCTTCTCTCCCCGAAGACCACGAAGTAAATTCGAAGGGTGGCAAACATAATGCAAAAGGGCAAAAGTTGATAGGCGGGGCAGTTGAGGAGGATGAGGATGCAAACCTTCCACCTTCGATGATAAAATTGAAGAATCAAAAGCGTAGTATGGGCCGTCGCTTGGACATGATGAGCGTCAGGAAGCACATGTGTGCGGCCGAGATCCACGAAATTGATAACAAGATTGCCAACCTCAATACGATGCGCAAGATGGTGTTAGATAGGCTCGCCGGGCTAGAAATGGAAGAGGCGGAACTTGAGCAAGACTTGTTGGAGGTAGAAAACAACATTGAGGACCTTGAGGAAGAGCTAGAAGACGCTGCCGCGTTGGCCCCCAAATCTCCCGACTCACCGTCAACGGTAGCCACGCACGATGGAGAAGATTTCATGTCGGAATCAATCTACCAGAAGATGGGCTCACCTAAATCCAAGCGGAGAAAGGCAAGGCAACGAAGGATATCAATTCCTATACTTCACGAACATTTGGAGCCTGGATCCAAGATCAAAGAATGGGAGGCCCACACCGATGCCATAACTGCGATGGATTTTGACGCACCCTGGGGAACTCTTGTAACTGCTGCTTTGGATGATACCGTCCGTGTCTGGGACATGAACGCTGGGCGTTGTATTGGTCTTCTCGAGGGACATCTCTCATCTGTGCGCTGCCTTCAGGTGGAGGACAACATCGTTGCCACTGGATCAATGGACGCCTCTATCCGCCTTTGGGATTTGAGCAAAGCGGAATATGCACCCATGGATAACCGAACACACAAAACTGATGACGATGAGGACGAGGACGACGGTCTAACCTTTGAGAATTCCGAGGACGCGCCGCCTCCACCACCACCTACTATCATGCAAGACTGTCCCATGTTCACCCTCGCCTCTCACGTGGACGAGGTCACTGCACTCCACTTCCGTGGAGACGTTTTGGTTTCTGGCTCTTCCGATAAAACTCTAAGGCAATGGGATTTGGTTAAAGGTCGATGTGTTCAGACCCTCGACGTTCTGTGGGCTGCTGCACAGGCCACGGCATCGAACAATGTTAATAATACGGATTCATGGCGACAGACAGGTCGGGCACCAGACCCTTCAGCGGATTTCGTTGGTGCTCTTCAGGTATTTGATGCTGCTCTGGCTTGCGGTACCGCCGACGGAATGGTTCGACTGTGGGATCTTCGCAGCGGTCAAGTTCACCGAAGCCTGGTCGGACATACGGGCCCTGTCACCTCTCTTCAATTTGACGACTTTCATTTGGTCACCGGAAGCATGGATAGAAGCGTTCGGGTAAGTCGAATACGCTGAAAATCTTAAAATGCCAATACTGACGATGATAGATATGGGATCTTCGAACAGGCTCGATTCATGACGCATACGCCTATGACAACGGTATCACCAGCATGATGTTTGATTCTCGCCGCATTGTCTCAGCAGCGGGTGAAGATGTTGTCAAGATCTACGACAAGGCAGAGAGCCGCCATTGGAACTGCGGCCCCGGTGTCGGAGTGGACGATTCGGATACCTCCGCTCTCTCCACGATCGACCGGGTGCGTATCAAGGAAGGCTTCATGGTGGAAGGCCGCAAGAACGGAATGATTGGTATCTGGTCCTGCTAGAACCTAACGAGCAACGAAAACATGACATTGTACATACTGAGTAGGGACATTATTGGTATAGATGAAGCGCCTGTAAAAGTACCAGCCAGTAACCTCGCAAGATACCTCTCCAGTAGCTGTATTAGATTTTTTGTTTCCTTATCGAAATCATCTTTTTATTTTTATTCTCTTCTTTTCTTATTTGCCTCATAAAAATGGGTCGAGATCCGTCACCTCCGTCCTTCCTCGGTGATAGATTAGTGGGAACGCTACAACGGGACGAACGGGTAGCTATTTTGACTTCAGATGCGAAAGAAATGCAAGCATCATCTAATCCTGATGGGTTCACGCGGAAGTGATGTCAGCACCTAATCGAAGTTTCATGGCTAGTGGTGGATCCGTCGTGTCGTCTTTTCCCAGTTGGAGATCGTTGGGTTCGGCTGCACGTCAAGCTTCGATCGGCCGCGCTACGTCACATCTTAGTACCTGCCCCTACCAGCAACTTCCTTCCTATCAACAAAACGATCTCCCTTGTCCCTACATTATTGTGTCTCCCTGCACATTGTTTTCATATCTACCTCACATGTCAATCAATCCCCGCAATTGACCTCGTAGGGATTTGAATCGTATCGCAGCATCGAATATTCTATCATCCTGTCAATTGATTGACTTGGCCGACTTGAAACCCTCCTCACCCTGCCACGACGCCGCCGCGCGCCTCGTACCTCAACATGATCCTCAGGCATGCTGGATCGCGTATCACGAACCTCTCGACGAGATCAACACTTCGCGCTTCAAGGCTCCCACGAGCTTCAGAGATCCGGTCGTATACACATCCAAGCCATGGCGGGGCGTCACCATTCACGAAGCGCCCTCAGCTGGCCACATCGTCCGCACTCCGCAACTTCCAGCTGAACAAGCATGCCTCGCCCATCCTGCGGAGCGCCTCGACAAAACCTATACCCACGCCTCGGAACGGATTTATTCGTGCAGTCTATAGGGGAGCCGCGTTACTGGGTACATTCGTTGGAATAAGTGGTATACTGGTGGTCGCCTTTTTCATATATGACGCATCTACGTACCGCGAAGAGCCGGAGGCAGAGGACGTGCCTGTGTCGGAACTCGCATTGAACCCTAGAAGAGGTGGACCCAAGAATTTGCCTATCGTCGACCACTTCATTGACGATGATGATTGCGCGCTGAACAAGGCAGTCAAGCACAAGCCCAAGTTGGTCATTTTGGGAACGGGGTGGGGAAGCGTGGCTATTCTGAAGCAACTCAACCCTGGAGACTACCATGTCACTGTCGTATCGCCATCGAACCATTTCCTGTTTACTCCAATGCTGCCCTCTGCTACCGTCGGAACGTTGGAATTGAGGTCGCTGGTCGAGCCCGTCCGAAGGATAGTCAAAAGGGTGCAAGGGCATTTCCTCAAAGGTTTCGCGGAGGACGTAGATTTCTCCGAGAAACTGGTCGAGGTATCTGCCATTGACTCGAGTGGCCAGAAGCAGCATTTCTACGTGCCTTACGACAAATTGGTCATCGGAACTGGTTCCGTCACCAACCCTCACGGTGTCAAGGGACTCGAACACTGCCACTTCTTGAAAGACATCAGCGATGCGCGCCTGATCCGTAATTCCATTGTCCGCAACCTCGAGAGTGCATGCTTGCCCACGACGTCTGACGAGGAGAGGAGACGGCTTCTGTCATTCGTCGTCAGTGGCGGCGGTCCAACTGGTGTGGAGTTTGCCGCAGAGCTGTTCGACATGTTGAACGAGGATTTGACCAAATTCTTCCCCAAGGTCCTCCGCAACGAGATCTCTGTTCACGTCATTCAATCCCGCAGCCACATCCTCAACACTTACGAAGAGGCGCTTTCGGAGTACGCAGAGAAGCGCTTCGCCCACGATGCCGTAGACGTCCTGACCAACTCTCGCGTCAAGGAAGTCCATGCAGACAAGATCATCTTCACGCAGAAGGACGAGAGCGGCAAAGTCGTCGAGAAGGAGATTCCTATGGGCTTCTGTCTCTGGTCTACTGGTCTCTCCCAGACCGACTTCTGCAAGCGCCTTGCAGCGAAACTCGACGGCCAGAACAACAAGCGCGCCCTCGAGACGGACTCACATCTGCGCGTGGTCGGTGCTCCCCTTGGTGATGTCTATGCGATTGGCGACTGTGCAACGGTACAGAACAATGTGTCCGACCACATCATATCCTTCCTCCGTACCCTTGCATGGGAGAAGGGTAAGGATCCGGAGAAGATGGCGCTTTCATACTCCGACTGGCGGGGTGTAGCCAAGCGCGTGAAGCAGCGATTCCCCCAGGCCTCCGACCACCTACGCCGCCTCGACAAGCTCTTCTCAGCCTACGACAAGGATAACTCGGGTACACTCGACTTCGGCGAGCTTCGAGAACTCCTCGCGCAGATCGACTCTAAGCTCACCTCCCTGCCGGCCACGGCCCAGCGCGCCCACCAACAGGGTCAATATCTTGGGCGCAAGTTCAGTAAGATCGCCCAGGCTGCGCCGGGAATGACGCTGAACCAGATGGACTACGGCGACCTCGACGACGCCGTGTACAAGGCGTTTGAGTACAAGCATCTGGGCAGTCTGGCGTACATTGGCAATGCCGCCATCTTCGACTTTGGCGGGATGAGCTTCTCGGGAGGTCTGGTAGCCGTGTACCTCTGGAGGAGCATCTACTTCGCCCAGAGCGTGAGTTTCAGGACGAGGTGTTTGCTTGCCATGGATTGGAGCAAGAGGGCGCTTTTCGGACGAGGTATGTCAAGAAATCACAAGATTGATTCTACTATAAGACGTTATAAACTGACTGTTTCTCCCAGATCTAATGAACTTCTAAAAGCGGGCAATTGAGCGGGCAAGTGTGCGAGCATGCAAGAACGGAAGCCATTCAATTCGAAACATCCTTTTTACTTTCTCACTTCTACATCATCATGATAGTAACCTTGAATTTCTTTTGTCGTCGATTCTGCTGCCGCACTCACAGCTTACGGTGTTGGATCGGCTGAGTGCAACCTGGGTCGGACTTTTGGAGCCGAAGTCCTGGGACGGTTGTTTGAAGCCGTCCTGTGAATTTATATAACAATACATCTACATAACTTCCAAAGACGTGTTCTATGCTCTATCATGATAGAAAAGTACAGCAAGCAAAATAGGATATCAAACGACTACCCACATTTGGACAATATCAATCCCAGACAGCCAACTACTCATACCACTCAATCGACCAATTCATTTTTATTCAACAACCCAAAGAGCAATTGAATCAATTCCTATTGCTGAACATTCTCTTCATCACACACACACATCAGCTCAAACACCCCAAAAACGTTATTCCGCGCTCCAAGTACGATTACCAATACCCCATCGGATAAACCCACATCCCCCATCGGATAAGCCCCGCCCTCCCTAAACTAACACCATCCCCCATCGAATGACGCAAGCGGGGCAGGCACATCACCTAACGTCGATCCGTCTCTCTCTACGGAAGACAACAAAACTAGGTACAAATCAACCTGAGTGACATTAGCAGATACCGAGGCCGGGGCGCGGACCTAAGACCTAAGACCTAAGACCGAAGGAGTGAGATCCGATATAGGGTTGTTGTATTTATCATCAACACGCCCTTCCCCGCAATATAAACATACACACTCGTACTTTATACACTTCCACACTCGCAACCTACGTCCCTTCAGCAATTGACATACGTGATTTTCGACGACAGCTGTTTCAATTGATTCAATCCGTCCGTCGCTCTTACAGGAAAACAACATAGAGACGACACCGTAACGATAAACTGTTGAACACAACGCACGCGTACGTACATCGAAGAGATCTTTAAGATCATCAATCCTAACACGCGAACAGTGGTTCTACCTCCTCTTTCCTCCTCACTTGGAATTGATACGGCGTATCGTTACATGCCCACCACGCTCCACCTCCTCTGGCGAACCTTCTTCCTCTCACCCACCACAACCAGGACCCTCACCAAGCCCATCACCACCCTCCGCCCACCAACCTTCCATCTCCACCCCCAATTCCAACCCTTCACAACCTCCCCCATCTCCACCAAAATGGCCCTCCCCAAAACGACACCCCAAGTCTCCATCTCCACCACAGGCCCCCCCTCCCTCCTAACCTACACCCCCTCCTCCCCGCTCCCCACCCCCCCAAAAGGCCACGCCCTCGTACGCAACGCATTCATAGGAATAAACTACATCGACACATACTTCCGCTCCGGGCTCTACCCCATCGCGTCCTTCCCCTTCGTCCCCGGTCGCGAGGCCTCCGGCGTCGTCGTCGCGTTCGGCCCTGACACTTCTCCCCCCTCCGCTACCAAAGATGGCAAAGGTGTGGTGGAGGTGGGAAGCAGAGTCGCATACTTGCACACCGCCACGTACGCGGGCCACACCGTCGTGCCCGTCGAGGCGCTCGTCCCGGTACCAGATGGCGTGGGGGATGAAGTCGCGGCCGCGTCGTTGCTGCAGGGACTTACGGCGCTGACGCTGATCCGCGAGGCGCATAGGGTGGAGAGGGGGGATTGGGTTCTTGTTACTGCGGCGGCGGGGGGCGTGGGAGGCTGGTTGTGTCAGTTGCTCAGGGCGGTGGGCGCGAGGACGATTGCGGTGGCGAGTAGTGAGGAGAAGAGGGGGTTGGCGAGGGAGAATGGCGCGGAGGTTGCGATTGGGTATGGGGAGGAGGATCGGGAGAAGTTTGTCGAGGAGGTGCTTGGGATTACGGGCGGGGAGGGGGTCGCGGCGGTGTTTGATAGTGTGGGGAAGGCGACGTTTGATAGCGTGCTGAAGGTTGTGAGGAGGAAGGGGAGTTTGATTAGTTTTGGGAATGCGAGTGGTGCGGTTGAGGGGTTTGCGCTGGGCAGGTTGGGCGCGAAGAATGTGAGGCTCATGAGGCCGACGCTGTTTAACTTCATCGCGACGAGGGAGGAGTTGCTGGGGTATGCGGAGGAGCTGTGGGGGTTCGTGGAGAGGGGCGAGGTCAAGGTGCACATTCACGAGATCTACCCCCTGGAGGACGTCGTTAGAGCTACTGTGGACATCGAGAGCAGGAAGACGACCGGAAAGCTGTTGCTCAAGCCGTGAGCGTTTGTAGGCAGAAAGAACAATCACATCCCTGTATCAGACATATCGCTCTTCTTGCAGGATTCACACACATTTCGATTCATCTAACATCGTACTGGAATCAGGTATATATATATGTGAGTATACATTACAGCTCCTACCACCAACCACTGCGCCCAGAGGCAAGGAATGAAGGAACGGAGAAAAACAAAGAGGTAAGCCATCAAGGCCAGCAATAGAATGGCATACGTAGTGGTGAAATGGGATATACAGAGAAGAAGAGCCGTCTTCAATCCTGGCGGTTGACTGACTGATTACTCCCCAAACTTCTTCGCTCAAGTCTATGATGTATCGGCGTAACGCTTCCATAAATGCAGAATCGCTCAATGTCCTCGGAAAAGGCAAAAACTATTCGAGATGATATATCAATCGACGGCCATCGCAAGGCAGGCCAGCGGTAGGAAGTGCAGGAAGAAAGAAGCCTCGAGGCGAGCACCGGCTCCGGGTTTCGTGGTGGTAGACGGAGAGACAACAGGAGCCGCGGCTGCAGCAGGATCACTGTCACCTTACATCATGGTCAGCGCAGCAACGACAGAGACAAGACCCATCACCCAAGCACTGCCGATACTCAACGTACTGGCCGCACCTGGCTTCTTGGTGTTCTGGGGAGTTCCTGAGGTGTTGTTGGACGAGCCAGGGGTGTTGGACTCGTTGTTGGCAAGGAGGTGGAGCTCGAGACCCTCAATCTTCTTGCCGTCGCTGCCAGTGACCTCCTGGGTGACCTTGGTCTCCTTGACCTCGTTGATCTTGCCGCGTACGTAGTCCTGGCTGACGCCGTTCTTGATGAGGTCGGCGGCGCCCTCGGGCTGCTTGGGGATCTTGAAGTCCTTGGAGAAACCGGAGTTGGAGATGAGGTTGGCGGAGCACTTGGGGGCGGTGATCTTGGTGGAGGAGGCATCGGTGGACTGGAGGAGCTGGAGGTCGAGCTTGGCGTACTGCTTCTTCAGGTTGTCGTAGTCGGTCTTGTACTTGACGTTGTCGCCATCGATCTCGACGAGGCCGTAGTCCGACTCCTCCTGGCTGTACTCGTAGACGAGACCACCGCTGAGGGAGGTCATCTTCTCGCCGTAGAGGGCGACGACCTCGTCGAAGACACGGGGGAGGACCTTGTTGCAGCCGTACTCGGAGAAGAAGACAGGAATAGCACTACTATTGAACATGTCGACGATGGTGTTGTAGCCGGCGGTCTCGAAGGTGGCGCTGCCGCCGCACCACGAGTACGAATTCAGGCCGAAGAAGTCGGAGCGCGATTCGTTGTTGTCGCCGTTGTCGCACTGGTAGTAGGCCCAGGTGTCCTCGAGGATCTCCCTGACGTCGGCGGCACTGTAGCCGACGGGGATGGTGCGGTCGGCGTGGTTCTTGATGTACTGCTTCAGGTCGCGCTGGACGGCCCTGATGTAGGGCGGGTTCTCCTTGGAGCTGGGGACGTCGTTCATGACCTCATTGCCGGCGAAGAAGGCGAGGGTGTTGGGGTAGGCCTTGAAGTTCTCGACCACACCGAAGATGCGGGCAAGATAGCCCTTGTGGTAGGAGCTTCCAGGGTCGCCACGGTTGATGCTCTCGCCGCCAAAGGGAGAGTTGACGTCAATGATCATGTAGATACCGACGGCGTTGAAGATGCTAGCACAATCGTCGTGGTTCAGGGTGGGATCAACATTGTAGACGCGGATGGTGTTGACCTGGTAGTTGGTTAGTTTTTGGTTATTCAATTAAGCGCAATTATTTGAGAGAGCTAGGATTGTGCGTACACCGAGTTGTTGCATGATGGCGGCATCACGACGACAGATGGTCGCGTCGGTGAGGGCATCCTTCTTCTCGGTGGGCTTGTAACCACCTTGACCTCCTGGCTGGTAGTCGACACCCACGATCATCAATCGCTTGTTAGAAACGGTATCGACAAAGTCCTGGCCGCGCACTTCGACGGGGTGGACGGCCGAAGTGAGGGCGCTGAGGAGCGCTACGGAGAGCGAGAGGGAGCGAACGAACTGGATGAGGGTGTCAGTTGAATTGTGTGGGAGACGATTGTTGTTCTTATAAAGAGATACATAGATGACGACTAGTTGGCCAGGGTAGGATGGATAGTACGTACGGGAATCATGATGAGCGAGTGTGATGCGTAACAGGACGCGCAAGCAAAGGTAGGAAGAATTAAAGGAAAAAGAGGGTAGGAGGTTAGCAGGTCGACGGACGGTGATAGATTATTTTGAAAGAGGAGCAAGAGGAGGAGGGTATCTTGGGCGTAATCTACCTTCTACCCTAATGTAAGGTGTAGACGGGTGGATAAGAATATCGACTGGGGGGGGACCCTGGCCAGTTCTGGAAGGGGAAGGCAACGAGAGAAAGAGGGAAAGAGTACAAGGAGAGAATAGAAAGGAATACGAGAAGGGGATTGGCGCAGAAGCCGACCAGCAGACAGTGACAAGTCGTAAGAGGACTAGAGAAGGGTATGTAACAGAATTAGTCTGTTACAGAGGCGGAACTCCTACTGTAGTCTGTAGGTAGACTGCAGTTACGAGAAGGGGGAGCCTGGTATACGAGGTTGAAGAGGTTGAACTAATTGGCGATGATTTATTATTATCGTTTGTTGGACGCGACTTGCAGGGGTCGATGCCGCTCGTAACGTACAAAGTGGCGGTTGGTAGCTTACCTAGAGGCTAGGTAGGTAACCTAGTGTGGATGTATTGGTGGCAAGCTGAATGCACTGGACTACCCGTAAGCGCGAGTCTCGTCAGGTCCTAGAGAGTGTTGAGGTGGCTATCGAATTGAAGATTGAATGGAAGATGTCATGACAGGAAGGAAGAAGGGGAGACGATCATTGATGAGTGAGTGAATGCATGACTCCATGTCGTAGTGAAAGTGAAGTGAACAAGTGAAGTGAGTGAATCGAATTGAAATGACGGACGGCGGAACACTACAGACGAGATGAAACGAGGAAAGAGCGAATGGCCATGGATACATCCGTTCTACCCACCAATGACAATACCCCATCCACCAATCTCTACCATTGCCACATTATCCCATCATCACTCATCATCCATAGGTACTCAATTCATGCGCAAAACCATGATGATACACAAGTCTGTAGAACGGAGTGAAGTTACAATCGATAAACCCACGGCCGTCGGGGATACGATACAAGCAAATACCAATCCCCCCAAGAACTGGCACAAGCAAAGGCCAACACGGAACAAGCACAACCACCAAGCCCTTTCCCAAGCTGTCCAAGCCCCAGGAACGGCCACTTCACTAATCTTCCTCCACCAAATAATCAATCAACGCCATACCAATAAATAGAAGGAAAAGAAATACACATAATTTACACATACTCATCATCCTCAATTGTCTCTGTTTATCTATCCATCAGGCCCAATCATCACCATCAACAAAAGGAAAAAAGAAAGAAGAAAGAAGCCTCGGCACCTAACTCTCCCACTCTCCTTAGCCCTAATCCCGATGCAGGCATCATCCAGGGGCTCGAAACATGCCATCTCATCCAATAGTAAATTGAGAATACGGGAGTGGGAGTATATCCTTTATTCCACATCACCTTACCCCGTGCTCTCCAATTCTCCGCTCCCTAAGGGATTTATCATTACCTCGATTAAACGCCCTACTCCACACTGCGTGTAAGGACTGTGTACTTGTAGTTATCGTTCTAAGTACAAGTAACCATCATACTTCAACATTGTCGCAGAGATGATACCCCCATATACCCCGACGAACAATACCCCAAATGGACATCTGAAAACCAACCAGTCCGGACATCAACCTAACCCGAACACCATCGTTCCATTCCTCCATCTTGGCTGACCGAATCATCTTTAATAATGGCGATTGAGGGAAGATTGATGCAAAAGTCCGTATCATGTCATACTGTCAGATGTTCTATACCGGCCATACTGTACTGGGTACTTACTGTACGAGAAAGACGACACGCGTGCGAATACCCGTGTAGAATCTCATACTGTCAACTTTGTACTTTGTACTTGTACTTCCGCTGTACTATAACGCGATGCTTGTCTACCTACCTAACCTAGATCCCTAAACCAAAAGATGCGATAATCACCTACCGACCTGGGTACACCGTAAATCACCCCCACGAAGAACGAAAAATGAAAAAGGCTAAGAGAAACGGGAGCAGGAGCACGTAGACGACCGCCAACATAGGTAGGGACGCCTGGGTGTCAATTGTTCGCATTTGGGCGATGAGCAGGGCTGATGTTGATGATGTGTGTACTGGGTATTTCGGTATATAGTGACGCATCTAATTGGATGTGAAAGATATTGTCATGCGATTGATTCCGTCCTGGACTGTACTATCATTGACAGCACTATATTGTTGTTCTGTTTTAACGTCACGTATGTCAAGAGTCAACGACACTTCGAGCTTGGTGACAAGAACAATCACAGCTCGAATTTCTTCATTCGTCGATTGATTTGATCAATTGATAAATGTTTGATTCATATACGTCGAAATCTTCTCTATTCTACTTTGATATTCTCCCTCTCTCCGTCTCCGTCTCTATCCCCATCTCTATCTCTGTCTCTTGTTCATGCATGCCTATCCCTTCATTCATAACACTCTCACCATCCACCCTTTGACCCCCTCAAGTCGAAGCCGCCGCCGCAGGCACTTCATCCCCACCCTCCACCTCCCCCTTCTCCTCCGCATCATCACTACCCTTCTCCAGAGCACCAGCATCCGCCTTAACATCCTCGCTCTCCTTCCCCTTCGCGACCTTCGCCGGGCGTTCCTTCCTCGGCTTCTTCGCCTCCTCGGGGAACAGCTCGGCGTAGAAGTCAGGGAGGAACCTGTTGATGCGCTTCCAAGTCTCGGTCCAGAGCTCCTCTTGCTCTGCCTTGTCGTCGTCGTCTCCGTCTTCGTTGCCGTCGGCGTCGTCGGAGGGTGGTGTGAGGTATCCTGCCGATGACATGACGAGCAGCATGTTTTTCAGGTTTTCGGAAACGGCTTCCTCCTGTGGGATGGCACGTTAGCGTTCGTTCCGTGAAAGGGCTGGAAGGGTAGGAAGGGGTGGGGGAAGAAAGGGGGGGAAACGTACCAAGTTGTCGCCCTGCCCACTGTTGATCAGCCTGTCCATGATCGTCACGATCTTCAGCCACAGGTCCATCAGGTCGTCGCCCTCGGCGAGCATGGTCAGGTAGTGCAGGAACACCTTTGACAGCAGCGTCGCGGCGCGGAGACGCGTCTCCGACATGCCCATTGGGTCTGATTGGTACACCTCCGGCTTGAGGAGCTGGTTGATGAGAGGGAAGAGGACTTCGGTGAAGATGGCTTCCCATTCTTTGTGCTCGGGCGATGCGAGTTCGTTGGATAGGAGCGTGCGTTGCAAAGCCCCGAACGCTTGTTGGCGGATCTCGCGGCAGGGGTTTAGGCATTGGTGCGTTAGGGTTTTGAGGATGGGCGACCAGTATGCTGTCCAGGCTAAATTTTCGGCGTTAGCTAAGTCATTTCATATGAAGGTTTTGGGGATTAGTCTTACCTTCGCTAGGTTCCAACTGGGACTGCTCGATGAAGTTGGGGACGCGATCAGACATCTGGAAAACAATCGTCATGGCCGTGCTTCCTCGCACCACGATCTCGTTGCTCCTAGATCTACATTAGTTGAAAACTCGGACTTTTCCACATGTATGTACTCACTCAGGCTTCTTGGTCTTGGCCGGCACTTTCCCCCTTCGTACAGCCTGATCATGCCTCTGCTCCAACGCTGCACCAACCTGTGCCGCAGTAGCAAACTCGCCTAGCAGTGCAATCGCTGCTTCGTAGTTATCCGCCGTGATGCCGGGCTGTGACGATGTGGTCAGCTCCTCGACCAGCTGGAACACATCACCTGCCGCCTCTGGCACGCGTTGAAGAGTGTTGAGGATAACCCAGAAGTCAGGCGAGCTGGCCAATTCGCTGCGGAGGCCGTTCGGTCCCTTACAGCAATCAGACAGGCCCTTCAACAACGGCGAAGCACACTCCTTCAAGAGCGACTCGTCGAACTTAGAGAATGTGTGCAGGAGCACTGGAGCGCGGATGAAGTCGAAGTCGTTGCTCGCCTTCAACAGGCTCAGGAGGTAGTACACCGACCGTGCAATCACCACGGGATGTAGTTTTGTGGCATCCCTGATTACGCTGGCGAGAGAGTCCGTGACGTCCTTGGCTAGTTCTCGGACAGTCTCCTCGTCTCGCAGGGCCAGCACCGTCGCGAGTTCGAGCACGAAGACGACACTGGGGTCGTAGATGGGGCGGTTCAATTTGGCCTTGTTGCCGTTGGGCCGCGGGCTTGGAGCGCTGGGTAAGTCTGGCTTCACCACTATGACTCTCGGTGAACCATCCTCGGGAATCTGCTCCAAGAGAGACATGAGCAACGACCGGAGGGACTCCACCGGAAGTTGGCTGATGTTTGCGAGGATGTCTTCAAAGTGGCATTCCTTCACGGTATCCACGGTACAGAGAGTGTACTCAATCTCTTGGTCTGAGGGCTCCGGGGGCTCGTCATTAGCGAAACTCGACACGTAGGACGTAAGTGCAGAGAAGATTCCGGTATCCGCAGGGCGCTCTGCCCGGTCGATGATTTGGGCGGGGCTTTGTAGTGGTATAGGGGGGAGGGCTAGCGTCTTCTGGAAGGATAGGAAGTAGGGTGGAATCAGGGAGTTAACAAAAAGGTTGACCATGATGTGGATAAGATGGTTCCATCCTTCGCGAATAGAAGCCTCATTGCCCTTGATGACCTGGAAAAGCACCACCGTCGCTAGTTGTGCCCTTCCATCTCGTCCGAATCGGACGGCAGTCTCACTGACCATGACGCTCTTCTTATCCGCCTGCACCTCCGTGTTCAGAGAGGTACTTGGTGGCACGTCAGGGGCCAGCGTACTGATGTACGACAAGCACGAGATGATCCGATCCAGCGCATCACTGTTCCCGTACTGTGCAGCAATCTGCGCACACTGGTCGAACCCAGTGACGACGCGGGAAAAGACCGCATCGTCCGTAGCCGACATGAACACGTAGGACAAGGTCGCGACGATGGGCTTCCAAGTCGCTGCGAACATGTCTGCATCGAAGATGTTGGTGTCACAGACGACGAGGTCGGTTGTAGACTTGATCTTGACGAGCAACTCCTTCCACGCGTGGTCGTACGCATGTCTGTTCTCGTGCTCCTCGGGCAGGATGATTTCTTTCGTTTTGATGGAGTCGTAGATAGACTTCAGGTACTCGGGGTCGAAGTCCTTGCCGTCGTTGACGCCGCGCAGGTTCTTGGAGAAGTCCTCCAGGGACATTCGCTTCGCGCCCTTCAGGTTCGGGTTGTGCTGATCGGTGTTCAGCATGATGACAGCGTACGACATGACGTATATCGCGTCTTTGTTCGCAATGTCTTCGGGCTCGGCGTTGTTGAAGTACTGGTCTGAGAACTCGGTCATGATACGCTCGATGAGCTGGGACTCGCCGGGCAGACGGAAGGAGTGTAGCAGCTGCCTCAATGCTTCGTCGATTCGTTGTCCTTTGAAGTCGAACAGGCCAATGAAAGCGCTCAGGATGCCCTCGTTCGACCGCTTCGAAATGAACTCTCCGAGAACCTTCTTGTCGACTCGCGTGGTTCCCTTGACGAATTCGGCTATGCACTTAGGGTCGTCGGGGTTGCTGATGATGCCCTGCGAGGCAAGGAAGGCGATGCCACCCTTCGGGTTCTCGTTGAATTTGGCAGCACCTTTGATGATGATCTTCTTTCGCGCTCGCTGTTCGCGTAGGGCATCCACATCTGGGAAGCCCTCAGTCACGGGATCGTCCTCTAGACGGTCCGCAATCGACTGTACGAAGCCAAGGAGTGCATCCAAGCATAGAGGGGGGACGTTCACCGTGCTCCAAGTAGCCGAGTCCGGGAATGCATTACGGGAGAGGAGGCCAACGATGTCCATGCACAAGTCGCCACGGTCAACCTCACAATCATAGTTGACGAAGAGCTCAGCCATGAACGACGGCACCCGGACGAGTCCACCTAGATTCTCAACCATGGCCTCTCGAGCATCAGGTTTGCGGGATCCGCCCTCGAGACCAAGCTTTTGCCTGTCTTTGACAGGAATGGGGGTCGATCGCCCGCTGCCGCTGCTCTGGCGCGAGGGAGAAGGCTTGATGATGCTCGGCGCTTGTGGTACGCCTTCGTACAGCGTTGGCTCGATCCCGGGCTCCTGCGGTATCTCCACTTGAGGGAAAAGGCACGCAACCAGATAGGATAGATAAAGCTCTTGCTGAAGCTTCAGAACATTTCGGCATGTTGCTAATAACGTTCCCGCCACTCGGAGAGACTCGTTGAGAATGGCCATGTTGTCCGACCGAACGAGTTGGAACAGATGTCGACAGAGTGTGTCCTTTGCCAAATTCGCCAGACTTGGGTGGCTGGCTATGGAGGGACCTGCCACCTCGAGCGCTACGTCCACGATCCTCAGAGCCATGACGCGCATGGTATCGGTGTGTTGCCTGTCATGTGGATCCAGGAGGTCCACCAATACTCGGAGCAATTCTCGAATCGAGGGAAGGGAATATGGCTTGATCTCGACGGGTTTCTCGGGCTCAGGGGCCGGTGCGGTCACGGTTAGATCCAGTGTGCTGCTCGTTGGGTTGGGAGCATTGCTGTCTGTGTCCTCTTGGTTCTTCTCAGAGTCGCCTGGTTGTTGCGGCTCCTCCACTTTGGTCGGAGATCCTTCTGTCTCTCCATTTGTGGTGGGATCCATTCTGACGGTGTCCTTGACATCCTCGTCTTCCAGTTCCTCATCCAATGCCTCCAGCTCTTCTGGTGCCTCGAGCTCCAATGTCTTCAGGCGCTTGAAAATGACCTGGCACATGGAGACCATGGCGATCTCCGCAGACCGGCGAAGCAGCTCCGATAACCTGGCCTGGCAGCACATGCTAAGTCCTGTCTCCATCATTTCGCAGACACTCTCGTCACCCAAGACCTCGCCTCCGGGTCCGGATATCATGCCCTCCATGAGCTTCAAAATACGGAGAAGGACGATCTCGTCCGCGGCGGAATCGCTAGCTTCGAAACGGCAATGCGTGATGGCAGATGAGAGCTGCTGCATGGCTTCTGGGAGCCGTGGGGAGTCATGGCCAATTATGTTATACGACAGGAACTTTGTAATAGCAATGAGCGCGAGCGACGTTATGGGCGCGGAGGTGGACGAAGAGCGAATGACCTGGAGGAAAGGATGTAGCATGGAAGGGGTATCGAAGTTCCTTATATCTGCCCTGCATTAGCATAAGAACCTCCCAGGCATATAACAAACATGTTTCCGTTTCGTTTTGTGCAGCCAAAAATAGCAAAAGAAAAAGACAGAACATACTCTTGCAACCCTTGAGTTCGCTGCGCAGACGCGCAAAAGCAGACATCAGCGGATTATCCTGCAAGCTCTTGCCCTTCTTCCCCCTCAAGCCCCATCGGCTGGGGACTGCCTCTTCCTGCTCGCCAGCTCCGCTCACGATGCCCTGGCCCGCGCGGTCGCGCTTCTGGATCGCCGGCGTCTTGTTCGAGGACCCGCCTAGGATGGCAGACACGGACGAGTGCGCCCAGCGGGCGTGCTTGCGCATCGCCGATGTGACGGTTATGCATTCTGTCACGACCAGAGCTACCGGATTGACTGCCACGGAGATGGGCCGGGGATCGAGTGTTGAGGTGATGGCATCTTGGAGGGTTTCTTGCGCCGTGGAAACGCTCCGCCCGTCGACTGACATTTCGTAAGTGGCGCCCCGAATGGATTGGAGGGGAAAACGGGAATTATGAGGGTGTTATTTTGGTAGTAGTTGTAGCGGAGGAGGTTGTGTTGTAGGTGTTGTTGTTTGGTTGCCTTGGTGGTTTTGCGGGTGGGGATGATGCTACATGTCCAGTTCAGCAAGCTCCGAGATGCATCATCATCATGAATGTGGTGGAATAGATAAAACGGCTGCCTGGAGGATGGGAGAAAATAGATTCGGATTCTTCCGGGATACCGATTGATATATATGTATTCCTCTATTGGGGATAGAAAAGTGGCAAAGTAACAAACTTAACGGGGAATCAATGGCGGTCTGTCTGGAGGTAGGTACGAAGTAGTACTTAGTAACTTAGTAGCTATCTGGACATTTTCCCATACGGGCGGCGATGCCAAGCAGCGGACATGTTTCGCTGGGGAGTGGGAGGGGAACACCCCTGGCCCTGGCACTACCTCCGCATCAGGTAGTAGAGTCCACCTTTTGTTACTATTCACTCTTCACTCTGATGTGCATCAACTACAACATAATGGCAAAGTATTCTCAAGGCGACCTGATCGTGAAAATTTAGAAAATCCCATGATACTGATACAACTCTTATCGCCCAACCTCATGAGAGAAAAGGAAAAAAAAGAACAGAATGAAGAGCACAACGCCCTTGAATGAATGCATCCATGCAAGAGCCTTCTCTAATATGATATATACATCCTCCCTCGACCTTCGACTCTCTCCCCTCCACCTCCCATCCGAAACATCGTCAAGCAAAGAAACGCCAACTGAAGTCCATAATTTTTGGGCTTTTGGAATCTAACAACCCATGCAAAACATTCAAATAGACCCCCAACTCAGCGGGTGCCAGTTTCTCCACTGTCTGTCCCTTTTAGATCCACAGAGCCAGAGTGTCTAGCAAGCGTATATCGCGGTTTCGACGTTGGAACACGGTCCAGCCAATGTGTGCCGCAGATTGATGTGCCATCTGCTTTGCCCCTTGGGGAACATTCATAGAAAGGTCGTGTAAAAAGATTTATTATTAGAGCCGATTCGAACACATACTAGGTAAATCGTTAGTATAAGACCATTGATACAAATTGAAAGGTCTTGGGAAGTCTTACAATATCGGCGGAACTGTAATTCATTTCCTCTACGCCCCCTTAAGAGTCACGGGCTTTCTTAGGAGCTTCCTGCCTCTCTTCGTTGACTTGCTCCGGCTTGTCCACTTTCTCCTCTTTGATCTCCGCTTGCTGGCCCTCCGGCTTCTCTTCGAACCTCTCCGCTGGGGTCTCCTTCTTGATCTCCGCTTCTTTCTTGGCCTCCTCCTCTTGCTTCTGCCTCTCGGCCTCATCGTTCTTCTCCTTCTGAACTGCGTCTTGGACCTTGGCCTTCTCCCTCTCCCAGTCGCTGGACTTGGAATCGAATTGGCTGTTGATCTTCTCCAGACGTGCCTTCTTGGCCTCCTCTTCAGCCTCCTTTGCCTTTCGCTCCTTCTCCATCTCTTCCATGTGGCGGATGTCGTCAACACTAGGCTCGTAAAGATGCCAAATGGTGTAATGCGGGAGACCAACAACGGAGAATTTCATGCGCTTGGCCATCTACAATTTGTTAGTGATCTATTTGACAAACATAATAGCAGTCGTAAGAATTCGTACCTTTCCGAAACCTTCGGTTTCTGCGTGCTTCTCGAAACTGAAAGCAGGGAAGTGAACGCCCGCGCGGAAGACCTTGGCTTTGGCGAGAATACTGACACCACCGACACCGTCAATCTCCATCTCCATATCAGGGTCACCATAGGGATCACGGAGGTAAGCCAAGTGGGGTCTCCAGGTGGCGTACTCTGCGTAACCTTCAACGATGACAGCATCCTCATCGAGGGTGTCGGCGAGGGCGAGGGCGGTCTCCGATTCTTGCCACGAGTTGAGATCGTAGGGTTGCTCTCCGCCTAGCCAATCGGGTAGGGGACGCCAAACGTCTGTATATAATGTTAGTTTACGGTACGCAATCATGAAAATGCGGTGACATACTGGGTACAATAACATCCTTGTTGTGTCGCATAAGATCCTCGAGAATCGTGAATGGCGCAGTCTCGACATCGACATCTCGCCAGTAGACCCAGCTGTGCGTTGGCCGGAGGGCAGCGCTGAGGAGCCAGTTGCGGGCCTGGGCCATGGACTTACGACGTCCAGCCTGCGCCGCAAAACCGTGTCGACTTTCTACGTCCTGGTTGACCTTTTGGCCGAAATCCTTCTGCATGATCGATATCTCTCCGAAGTGCTGTCTAGAATCCTCGTTGGCCTGAAGCTCCTTCAGGCTGTCCTCCAACAACTGAAGGGTGTTGTCCTTCGAATCTCCGACGAGGAAGGCGAGGTCAATGAGGTTGTGCGGGTAGGTCAGGTTCTTCAGATGAGAGAAGAACATGGGCAAATGCGGTGAAGCATCTCGCAGAGGGGCGCAAAGTAATATCCTCTCCTCCCGCTCCCAGCCCCTCGCTGTGCCTTGCACGTTGTTGAGGTCATAGTATCGAATAGTCTCGAGCTGACCATCATCGCTCGAGGTCAAGTAACTCAACGGGCCGGAGCCAAGATTCGGTCTCAGGTCAGGGAAGAAGAAAAAGAGAACAGTGAAGAAGACTCCGCCGACGAGGAGTATCCGCTGTATTAATTGCCTGCGCCGCCGCAAAGCTGGCTGTGATCGCGGCTGGAATCTGCAGTTACAATTGAGGTCAGCATCGTGGCGCCACGCATGGTGCTTGTGGATGATGGAGGAGAGGTCTTGCGCAAAAGAACCGCTGAACATGGTGGTAGCCAGACGTACTTGTGAGGTTGAATGGAGAAGGTACCGTTTCCTCCAGACGGATATGCCCCCGCCTGCCCATTCGAAAAGGCATTGCGATGCATCTTCCCTTTGGTAGCCGAGCTATGTAAGGGCAGCATCCAGGAGAGCAAGTCGTGAGACTTGGATTGCCCTCGAAAGTTTTTATCCCTTGAACACCCCCGAGCGCCGTCCACCCGCCAGAACGCGGTGTTGCGAAGATCTAGGCTAAGCTCCCAGAGCCAGTCGTACGGAGATGTAGATGTTGACGGCTTTGACGATGTTGTCCACGATGAGAGGAAGGCTCGAATGGGAGGGAGAGGAGGTATTAAGGAGGGTGGGTGGATGGATGGAGGGTAGTGAGTGGAAGTTGTTGCACTCCTAGGACAGGACTAGGAGTGGAGAGGGCGGACGTTGTACAGTACAGGTACAAGACCCCCGAGAAAGAGTTAGAGGCTTATTAGAGGGTACGGAGTAGAGTAAGAGCGCGCGAGAGAGACTTGGCCTGCGATTTATTTCGCTAAAGGCCACCGTTGACGTCTTGAGATAGGCCAGAGACGCACCCTGGTGGCGTATGCTTTTGTAGGTAGTGTGCTGTACTGTATACTTGTACAAGCATAGCACATCACAAGTTGGGAAAAAGGGAGGGAATAGTACTGTAATAATGATAATAGAAAGGACAATAAGGAAAAAGGGCGCGCGAGACAGAGAAAGGCTGGCTAGTGTGGACACGCAGCAATCTTGAGGGGGTGACGAGTAACGGGGTTGAGGGAGTTGCGCAATTGTCTACTTGTTCCGGAATGTAGGGTGAGGGACAAGTACAAGCCAACGTTTCAGAACCGGAGATCTTTCAAAAGGCGTAGCGGTGACTTGATGAGATGTTGAAATTGCATTAATCCTTTACTCTAGCTGTTGCTTGTCTTCTCATCTTTATTATCCTTATTCCGCCTCTAAATCTGATACAATTTCTCTGCCAATTAGTCCCTAATCCGAATCCCCCCTAAATACAGTAAGACTCTACTCGTACCTACAAAGTACCTACCTATGTACTATACAAGTACCTGTACCCTGACTCTGTTCATCCAATCATGGATCAGCAGTTTTCTTTCCACCATCTGCAATGATTTACGCAGTACCTTAGCTACCTTGGTACTTGGATATTTACTCCGTACAGTACAAGCACATCACGACCCACACCCCTTAAGCTGCAATATTTATGGAAATACTTGTCATGCATCCTGCCTGTCCTGCCTTGTTCCTGCAACGGGGATTTGTTGCATCAGCCACGATCCCATCTCTTAGGTACGCAACGTCACAGTCTACGGATTTGGTGATGACACCTCCGGACAGGCACCCGGGGCAATTTCAATACTCCGTCGCTGTCGAATGCCGACACAATAATCACGATTACATGACATGACTATCTACATCTACATTCAATCCATTGCTTTAAGCGATGCGACTATCACTTTGGAAATAGAAAGTATCCACAGAATTTGAGATCAATTTTGACATTATACACTATAATAACTAGTGGGGAGAATACGAAGAGATTGCGGTAGGGGCTGACTCGCGCTTAACGCGTTACTCTAAAAGAAACATACAACACGATCACGATGTATTGGACTGATAGAGCCAAGAGAAGAGAAAGTCTATTTTAGAGTCAGCATGTCTTCAACAATTTGAGAAGAAAAACTCTAAAGACTATTGGTCTTCTGCTCAGAACAGCCGTTGTAGTCATGCACCGCCGCCTGGCCTCCAGTCGAAGTAGCCCAAGACGGACCGCTCCAACCTTCAGCTCAAAGACCGCAATTACTCGCCGTCGGGGTAAACCTTCAGCAAAACTCCACAACTCGTCCTCCCAGCCGAAGCCAGTAGAGTGCGGGAGGGCGACCCGGAAGCCGAGCTCGTTGAATGGATATAACTGAAGTTTCATCTTGGCGAGACATGTAGGAAATATGTAAAACGTACCATAACAAGGTCGGTGTCTGCTAATGTGCTGAAACTGCGAATTTTATGCCTATCATTGCGAGTTAGTACAATTGCTTGAACAAGATACTCGAAAAATGCAACGAAGTTGAATAAAGTGATCAGACATGGTAAGCTTTGGTAGGGGTTGTCTTCAAGTGGTTCAGTAGCAGAACTGAAAAAAATATACACTCATCATAAAAATAGTATACGGGAAGTATACGGAATGTTCGGAAAATAAGGAGGATAGTACTTACTAGGATCATGGAGTCAATTATGCCGCAAACTGCTTATTAGTACCGAGGATGTATGCTGGAGCATGTCCGTGGGGTTTCATGTCCATTATCAACACTTAATATTCGCATGCATCGACATCTTGACCGACAATGGACATGAACTCCAGCCCATAGTACGCGTAACTACCGTCAAGCCATGCTCGTGAATGATATGAATGCAACCGGCCCAACCACAACGTGCCCTCGACAAGGGGTTGTATGGCAATCTCTTACGACGGCCAGCGTGGAACCTTCAGGATGAACAACGATGTGACGCGAATAGCTCCTGTTCACTGTTTTCTGCATAGAGTTAGCAAGTAATCTCCATACTGGACTGCGCAAATCTGCGGTGAAGAAGAGAAAGCATCAGATGGTGGTGCATTGTTCAATGGCTCATTGGTAATCACCAGAACATAATCAGAAAATATCATTCATGTAAAGAAGAGGAACAAGTCGAGAAAATGATGGATAAACATACCTATAGGACGGCGACAGCTCTGAATGTAGAGCTGAGGTTGAGAGAAAGAGGAAGATGGAGGAGCTCAAGCGAAAGGAAAAAATATGAGCGAGCAGGTCGCGAAATCTTGGCGGTCCGTGCACCTTGACGTCTTTCAGTTAGAAGCATCCTAACATTTTACAACGAAAAGCTTCAGCTCGAACAGACAATATGGCTGCGAATACGGATAGAAGGAGAATCAATGCGCCGAGTGGTGGCACATCTGCACCAATCTTTGCAAAGACTGTGAAGGATCCTCAGTATCAGCAATCTCTCCGGCCAACCCGTACCAGAGGTCCAGATGAGCTTCGCAAGATTTGTAAGTTGGAATAGTTACTATGGCTTAGGCAAGATAAATAAGGACTTAGTTGGCGCTATAGGTGTCAATTGAGTTTGCCTTATTACAATGAAGCTCGGAAGACATATCTTGCAAAATTCCCACTAACAACCACCAAGTCCTTCAAACCGGCATCATACCTTCTGCTTCTGGATCCGCATACCTTGAAATCCCAGGACAACCACGGTCATCCTCGACCTTGATCCCATCCTCTTCTTCTCTCAAGATCACAGCCTCCATTCAAGGACCCAAGCCGCTTCCACGAAGCGCACCTTTCTCTCCATCTCTTCTCCTCACCACCACAGTCAAATTCGCGCCATTTGCTACCCGGAACCGTCGAGGCTATATACGCGACTCTGTCGAGCGAGACCTAGGCGTCCATCTTGAGAGCGCACTTCGCGGCGTGATCATTGGAGAACGATGGCCGAAGAGCGGGGTCGAGATCGTGATTACCATATTAGAGGGAGATGAGGATGGCTGGTGGGGCGATAGCGCAGGAGAAGGCAGCGGATGGGGACTGTTGAATGTTCTTTCGGGCTGCATTACTGTCAGCAGTGCGGCGATCACAGATGCTGGGATCGATTGTGTGGATATGGTTTCTGGAGGAGTGGCTGCGCTTGTCCGAGAACCCTCACAGACAGGAAAAGAGGGCGCTCTCGTGAAGGTACTCGATCCTTGTCCTTCAGAGCATCAAGATATTATTGCTGCGTGCGCGGTGGGGTATCTTGCCGGAAGAGATGAGATTACGGAACTGTGGGTTAGGGGTAATGTGCAAGAGGATTCCGATCAACTAATTGAGGGCGCAACACATGCTGCCTTCGGTGGCTTAACGGTCATGAAGGAGGTCCTACTCGAATCTCTCGAGGCCAAATTCAAGGGCTTCACAGAGAAGTCCACGGATGCCAAGGGCGGCGATTCGGGGGGCGACATTGAAATGTCAGGATGATTGTTGTCTCCATTGAAGACTTGTTTGGAACCCTGTGTGTGCATAGCGATGGCGTTTGGATGAAAAAGCATGGAAATGGATATACCATAAATTTTATTTGGTGTTTGCCCACTTTCGGCATATCAACTACTTGAGAAAAGCCCTCAAAGGCATAAATCCACCCAGCAGAGCCATTTTCAAGAAGTTTCCTATTCAAATGCGTGAAGCACTGCTAGGTTCCTCGCCAGTGTCTCATTGACACTGAAGCCTGTCTCAAAGAACTGATACCATAAAACGCCTGCTCCGAAAATTGGGGATAGGCGAAGTAACATGAAGTTCCATCGGCCTAAACGTCTGAACATTCCCAAAAAACTCTCCATAGTATGTGAATACCCCAGTATCCAGTCATGTTCCGTAAAGTGAAACGCATCGACAACCATTCGCTCGAATATGTATGTTTGTGCGTTCAGATGTCGGTCTCTCTCGCGAGATCGCAGCTTTGCAACCAATCTCTGACGCCTAAACCACTAATCAGCCGTGAAGTCAGTTGATGAAGTAAAAGCGGTCGGGAGAATCATGACGTACGGGTCTGAGAAGCAGCAATGGTCTCATCCTCGGTACCGCTAAGAAGACTTGACTCTTCAGCGTCGAAGAACACCTCGTCGACATCTCCAACATCTCCACCCGCAGCATTCACAACGGCCTCTAGTTCAGCCATGAGCTCGGCATTGGTGGACGCATCGGCCACACTCTTGTCGACTTCCTTCTCGTGGTCGGAATCGTCTTCGGTCTTGACGTTCACCTCGGATTTCTTGGTCTTCTTGACTGTACGAGCACGCTTGGGCTTGGGCACTGTCTCAGACTTCTCGACCTTGGCCTTGGCCTTCGCAGCCTTTGGCTTTGGTGCTGGTGCCTGGTCCTCACCATCATTCTCACCATGCTCAGAAGCAGCCTCTTCTTTGACGACCTTGGCCTTGGGAGAAGTAGAGGCACGCTTGCGCTTGGTACCGGCGCCTCCAGCTGCCTTCGGTTCCTTCTTGGGAGTCTCAGGCATGGCCTCGCCCTTCTCGAAGGCGATCTTCATGCGGGAGTATCGCTTGGAGGCCGCGCCCACAGTGAGGTTGCATGCCTTAGCGATTGCCTCCCAGTTCAGAGTCTGTACTTGTGTAAGTAAAGTAAGCAGGCATGACTTCCTCTACGGATATGACAAGAACGTTACCTGGTGAGTGCTGTGCTTGACGCAGAGCCAGAGGAACGGGTAGGCCGAGTCGTTCGGAACTGTGCCAGCTTTCATGGCCTGCTTGAGGCGAGACCAGCGCTTGGTGACGGCTCCTATCTTCAGATCGAGTACTTCTCCGACTTTAGCAAAGTCGATCTGCAAAGTGAGTGAGTATACGTTCTTCTTTCAGTATCGCTCTTAGGAGCGAGCGAAGGAAGTTCGGATACTAACGGTGGGATTGCCGCCTTCGGTAAGGACCTGGTAGAGGTATTGGATGTTCTCTCCTTGGGAAGGCATGGTGATGGTAATTGCAGGTGTTGGATTGTTTGTGAAGACTGAAAAGATATGGTGATGGGTGTTGCAGTGGGTGAGTTGGATGAGAGTTGGATTGTCGGACGACGGACGGGACGGGGTCTTTATAGGTTGGACGTTCGTGAACCGTCCACTGTCAAGCTTACTTCAGTGAACAAGTGGGAAGGTGAGAGACGAGAGACGGTGAGAGGGTTGGTGAAGTAGTGAAGGTGAAGATCTCTCTAATATGAGTTTACCCAAGGAGAAGTCATTGCGGTGAGCGATCTTGGGGATACCACCGTGAAACCTCTGGATCAATTCTCATTACTGGCTATATTCTTAGATGTGTTGGTTTTGCTCACAAAAGTAGTGTCCGAATTAGGACGAATTATTTCAAATATTGCTGTTGTTATTTGTACAGTCTAGACAAGTTCCCTTTGGGAGTCGGGTTGGTGAAATTGCGAGCTCAACACAACCCTCAAACAGGAGGCGTTGTGCCATTCATGTTAGGTACATAGAGAAGTTTGCCATAATATAGTTGATTGGAATTCATGATTGACTTCGACAGTGTTGGAAGAGGACGAAGCAAGTTTGAGTTTACTAATACGCGAACCCCGTAAAGAGATGAACAAATCAGTGATGATATCAGGACATTTCATGAAATGATCGACGTATTCATAGAATTGTTTACTACACTAATCTCTCTCTTTAAGTGCTCACACCTAGTCCTACCGGCTTTGACTCTTTAGCTTCCTCATGCTCGAAGTTCCCGACCATATCCTTGAAATCCAAGCCAACCTCTGTCAGCATGCCAGCGTGTTCGTGTGCCAACTCCATGCACTCTGTCCAAACCTTGCCACCCTGCTCTACGCTGCTCAATTGACGTCCCAAGATGACGTTAAAGGCATCTACGTTCTCCTTTGCCCATTTGACGCACGCTGACATGAGGTGCTGTGGGAAGCATTTCTGATATATATCGACCGTATTCTTGATAATGGTAAAATAGATGAACGCGATTTGGAATATGTATTCGGGGAGATTACCCTCGAAAACGCATTGCCTTGGCCAATGTTAGCAGCGATCTCACGGGAGCTCCAATGACAACAACATACCGAGTCCGCAGTTTAATGACCTCACCTCTTGCCTGGAGGTACGCTTCTCTGGCCCGGTCCTCGAAGCCGAGGCGGACTATCCATGTAACGTGTTTTTTCACAGAGGATATCCAGTTGTTGTTCTCCACCATCTGCTTCATCAACACTGTTGCCAATTTTCCGGCTCGATCATTCAGTTTGAATGTCACAATTCCTTGGGACATAGGGTCGTTTCTAATGCCTCTAGCCACGGACTTTAGCTTTTCGACCTTTTTCACAGCTTCCTCGAAATTCTGAAGTGCAATGTCGATGTCGAGATCGTCCAATTGGCTCTCTACCCAACGGATGGGTTGCTGCTTTCCGTCAACATTGACGAAGATGCTTGCACGGTTGCTGTTGACCGTTTCTGAAATGCTGTCCATCAAATCTTGATTCTTCAAGATGTTCACATCGCGAGTGGCGAAATAGTTGACGGAATCCTGGGCACGCCCGCGTTCCTCAATTTCAGCTTCCGTGCTCTTTCGCAGATCTTCGAGAGACTTTCGGTACGTAGACAGGAAGGTTGATTTCTCACTCGCATCTCCTTGGTAGACTGCAAATGTGAATGACTCTGCCCCAACACGGATGTTAATCGCATTCGAGGCTCCTTGGTTTCCTGATTTGGACCGAGAGGAAAGGTCCGCAATTTGAACGTCTTGCAGTGGCCAGCATCGCTGCGCTACCCACTCCTTGCCCGCGCTCTTCTTGTCTCGAGGACCTTGTCCGGGAACATCAGCACGCTGTTTCTTTTCGGCAGCGACTAGCAAATGATCGTTCAGCAATATCAGATGCACTCGTCTTCTCGCTTTCCAGGTGGCGGCATTCAACTCGACCCACCTCCCGGATTCCCAAACAATATGTCGACCTGGAATGGCTGGAAGGTACTTCTGCGATCCCTCCACTCGCTTCCACAACTCCTGGAGATGAGAGCTCCAGAGCGCCTCCAGATTGGCAACCGAACTCCGGTTTGATGCTTTCCTCGCGGTAAGATTGTCGCCGCTGGCGCCTGCAGCAGACGTTGTTTGTCCCAGTGTACTTGTAAGCTCAGACATTAGCTGACGGAGCGTACGCATCTCCGTCTTGAGTTTCTCTGCCTCTTTACTGATCTTGATAAACTGCGTACGATTCTGATATACATTGTTTTGAAGGTCGGCAGAGGTCCGATGCTTGACTTTCCGGAGGTCATCCTGGAAGCGGCGAATGTCCTCCTCAGAGGCATCAGCTAATATCGTTGCCACATCTAGACACACTGTTAGATTAGGTATGTATGGCGGTAAGGAATGAACTACATTGCTCAGGTCTCAAGTTGGGATCCTGGAGTACTTTCGGATCAACGCGCACACGGCTCTCCGAGCTTCCAGCTGGTCTCCCGTCCCTAGGCGGCGGTCCATTCTTATACTGAGCCGGCATCTGCGGCATTGCTGGCATAGGGGCTCCATTTCCAAAATCGGCGGGCACCTGCGTGATCTTCTGCGAGTATCTCCTCTTGACCAAATCCGCCGTCCTGTCCGCTCGCTGCGGCCTTTCCCTTGGAGCATCTAGCTTTTTTGAAGCTGTGGATCTCGATGATTCTTGTGAAGGTCGCCGTGAACTTGATTGCGTAGCCGCGAGCCCAGCAGGCATAGGAGCACTGATCTGCCGCGGAGCACTGATTGTAGGCATCGGGCCCTTGGGCCGCGGCGTCCGCTTCTTGCGGAGCGAAATGCCTTTACTTTTCTCCTCAGACATCTTGACGGATACGACAGGATGTCGATAGAGGTCGGCGTAAAGGCAAGGCAGTAGAAAGCGAGGGGTATGTGTATGTTACTCGAGTCGCAGCAATACGTCGCACATACGCGCTCTCGTACCAGATGCACGGGATGAGCATGAAGCTCGGACCAGCCCTTTCCCGTGCTTTTCCCTACCCTCCAAAAAAGTTCGACATCACTTCCTCATCGCATCTCCAAACCACTATTCAAATCGCCTTGCTACACGTCTGCTGCCGTTTCCGACTACGCAAGCATCTAAGCTACATATTTCCAAATTGAAACCACCATGTCGCAGCAGTCGATACGGCCCGCCACCATCGCCGCCATCAGCGTCGGCACTGTCGTCACTGGACTCCTCGCATATGCCATCTGGTTCGATCACCGGAGACGAAACGATCCCGATTTCCGCAAGCAATTGAAGCGCGAGTCCAAGCGAACTGCTCGTGTTGCCAAAGAGGAAGCCGAGAGCGCAGGCAAGGAGCAGAAGAAGGCTATCCGGGAGGCGGTAGAGAAGGCGAATGAGGAGGGCTTCCCCAAGGACCCCGAGGAGGTCGAGGCATATTTCATGCAGGAGGTCGCCCAAGGAGAGGGTCTCTGCCAGCAGGGTATGCGAGGAATCAATGGCATATGATATGGCATCGCTAATTGTTCCCAGGTGCGGATAACATCGACGCGGCGCTGTGTTTCTACCGCGCATTGAAGGTTTACCCCAACCCAAGAGAGTTGATCAACATCTACGACAAGACTGTTCCTAAGGTATGAAGCCTCTACCCCTCAACAAATACGAGTATTTACTGATGTCCAATTTAGCCCGTTCTTGACATCCTCGCCGAGATGATCGCAGTCGACACCAGCATTCCCGTCGGCAGCAAAGAGGCCTCCGATGCCGATGCCGATTCCTCCACCGGTGGCGGAATTGACGAGTAGAACTCCCGACGACCTTAAAAGTTCGATTAGTACACGACAAAAGCGTTCTAGGACTCCTCTCCCACTCCCGGATTCGATATTGTAATATTCGTGTAAATGTAGAAGTACGCCCAGGTTTAGTGGCCAGACCAGGTGGAGTTCAAGGTATGACATAATGCATGGATGAAACTGGAATCGGGTGGCACATAGCATTCCAATGAAGAAGATATCTTCGAAAATGGACATTCGCAAATATCAAGAGTTCACGGCCTTGGTTCACGTCATTATCGTTCGATGCATCGTCAGGCACGTGCTTGATGAATGAATGCTTGAATATACTACAAATTACATGAGTCCCAAGAGGTCGTGCGCTCTGCAACCTGTGAGACCCCAATTCCCAGAACGCCTTGCTCAGAATGTTCATGTTCATCCTCATCCACTCTTGGCCGAATTCCGAATAATTACAACAATGTCTAGGGACGACGAACGGCGACGATGAAGAAACTGTAGACCATTCGTGGTAGATACCTTAGCACGCGCAGGAGTCGTTTTGTTCCGGTTTTGTTGGGTTGATGTTGACATCGATCACTGCAAACGATTAGCGGCCGTTGGTTGTGGCGAAGCCGAGCGGGCGTCAACGTACTCTGGCTCTGTCCCTGCTGCGACTCGCCCTCCATGCCAGGCAATGCCTGCGCGATCCTCTTGAACAGACTCTTGACATTGTGTCCCACTTTGGCACTTGTTTCAATGAACATGAGGTTATTCTTCTTCGCCTCCTCTTCTCCCTGCTGTGTGGTAACCTCCCGCTTGTCGTTCAAATCGGTCTTGTTGCCGACCAACACTATGATAACATCATTACCCCGTTCGCCCCGCACATCGTCAACCCACTTCCTCGTGTTCTCGAAAGTCTTCTTGTTGGTGATGTCATAAACGACGACGGCGACGCTGGAATCGCGGATGTATGAGGGGATCAAAGATCGAAATCGTTCCTGACCGGCAGTATCCCAAAGCTGTAGGCGGACTGTGCGATCCTCGAGGTACATAGTCTAAATCATGTTAGACGTGGTCTAGTCCGGCCTTCTCCTCCTCCTCCTGCATGCGCACCTTGGACAAAAAGTCGATACCAATCGTGGCTTGGTAGGTGTTATCGAACGAATCGTACATGAATCGTGTTATCAAAGACGTCTTGCCAACTGTCCTCATCGCATCAGTCATCGTGAATTGTGCAGTGCTTTCTAGTCGTTTTGAGTCGACATACCGCTTTGCTCGCCCAAGAACACAAGCCTGTGCTGCCGTGTTAGCAATCGAGGTGTTCCTCTCCGCGGGGGAACCATGCAACTGACTTGAACTTCTTCAAAGGGTTGGAATAACCTGACTGAGCCATTGTGGAAGGTGTGAAAAGGAAGACAATCCAACTAAATCAATGAGAGATTATGAAGTTTGAAAGAGAAAACGAGTTACTCCAAAGGCGCGGTGTGAACTGGAATAGGGAGGTAACGTTATAATAAGCTGGGCTTGTGGTCGATCTGGAAGCCTTGTCGGTCCAAACAGCATATCCGAGATCCAGGTTGCGCCAAGCCTTCAGGGACGTGGCCCGTGACTGGTCCGTGCACCTTTTGCGGGCGGGCGAAATTATCGATCTCCGTCGTCGAAAAAAAAGTCTCTATCTAGGTGGAAACAAACATCGAAAACACCCCAAGTCACCAACGTACTTTGGATTCCTGGGAATTCGCGCAGAAACGATGTCGACCTCAACGTCTGCGCCTGCGACTTATAAGCAGCCTTCTCGAAAAGGCAAGAAGGCCTGGAGAAAGAACATCGATGTCACCGAAGTACAAGAAGGTCTTGATGAAGTGCGAGAGCAAATCATTGACGGGTAATTTCCCTCCCTCTCAACCTCCCATAAAACTCAATTCGCTTCAAAAATACTAACCATCCACCCAGCGGTCTAATCTCCGAGAAAACCGCTGACCAACTTTTCGCAATCGACACCGTCGGCTCATCCGACCTCCAAAAAGCCCACAACAAGCGCCACAAGCCCCTCAAAGTCGACGAGATCCTCGCCCAGCGCTCTGCCGTGCCCGCAGTCTCCAACCTCAAGAAGCGTCTCTCCGACTTCGAAGCGCCCAAGACCAAGAAGCCGCGCATCTCGCACAAGGACTACGACAAACTCCGCGCAATCGCATATGGCGGCGATGCGGTCCAGAAGGATGTCGTGGAGACGGGTGGGACGGCCGACCACGATCCCTGGGCTGTGCAGGAGGTGAAGCAGGACCCGCGGTACTCGTTCTTGGAGAAGAAGAAGGCGACCAGAGAGCCTGCGACGCTTAAGCGTGCGCCTGTTTCCCTCGCAAAGAGCGGAAAGCAGATGCCCGCCGTCAAGAAACCCGAAGCTGGAAAGAGTTACAATCCCCTATTGGAAGACTGGGCGAACCTGCTCGAGAGGGAAGGCAACAAGGAAGTCGAGGCCGAGAAGCAGAGACTACAGGAGGCACGAGAGGAGGCGGCAATAATGGAGCGCGCCATGAAGGAGGACGAAGAGGCGGAAGCCAACGAGAGCACATGGGAGAGCGAGTGGGAAGGTTTCAGCGACGCCGAGGGTAACGAACTGAAAAAGAAGCGACCCGAGCGAAAGACGCCCACGCAGCGAAGCAAGATCAGGCGGAGAAAAGCAGCCGAAGCGGAGGCCAAGCACCAAGCTAGGATGAAGGAGCGAGAAAAGCAGGCCCAGCGCATCAAGGAACTCGTCAAGTCAATAGAAGCGAAGGAGAAAGCGAAGGCCAGCGCCATCGCCAAAGCTACCAACCAAAACGACGCCTCCTCCGACGAAGAGGAAGACGAAGTCCTACGAAAAAGGCGATTCGGAAAGTACCCGTAAGTCACCCCCACCCCCAACTCCCATGAACATATCTAACCACTCGCCCTGCAGTGTCCCCCAAGCACCTCTCGAAGTCGTTCTAGCCGACGAACTCCAAGACTCCCTCCGCCGCCTCAAGCCCGAAGGCAGCCTCCTCAACGACAGGATGCGAAGCATGCTCATCCGCGGCAGAGTCGAGTCCAGGAAGCAGACCCAGAAGAAACAGCGCAAGACGACCACCTCGGAGAAATGGTCCTACAAGGACTGGTCGCTCGACAAGCACGTTTGAAGTCTTGCCAACTTCAGCTACTAGACCTATTAAAATTAAACGTACGCTGCATTTGCATGGAGTTTCTTTGGATGTTCTTTGGTTCGATTCGTTTTTGAAAAGTTAAGACACTTTGCCACACAGAGGGACATGAGCACAGAGAGAGGAATGCAGGGGAACAAGCACATATAGAAGCCTCTATTTCCGCCGAAGTCATCAAAAAGCTAGCCCTCAATATATCATCATATCTCTGTCTCTCGATTGATCATTTCCTCTGTGATTCCCCATATCATCGTCCATCTCCACTAATCTCTTATATGCAATGTTCGCACAAACGAATGGACGGACAACATGAACAAGATGAACCAACGGACGAACGAACAGAATTGCAAACCCCTTCCCTAATTCCTCACTCAGCAATTTCTGAAAGACCAGTTCTGATAAACAAGTAGCAGTACCGGAATATACACGGGATATTCATACAGTATGACATTGTTGGTTTGTCTAAGGTGTGACTTAGATAAAATTAAAAAAACAAGAAAATAAATGTTATCACACAAACGCAAGAGCAAACATCAAAATAGCTCCACTCGGTGTTCTGTACACATCTTTAAATATAAAAAATCAATTGTTAATTCATTCATCTCTGAAAGAAGCATAGAAAATGATATACAAAATCCCCATCTCAATCCCTAGCAAAATAAAATGATGATACATTAAATCCAATTCATACACCAAATGATTCCAACCCCATAAAATGCATCCAAAACAAACCACAAAACATAAAAGGAAACACAATCATCACATCGTTGACATCTATATTCATTACAATAGATTTTCAAAGACTGGAGAGAGTCTGTCTGGGTATCAGATTTTCGATTGGGTAATCATTCTCGAGGTTCGCCTATGCAGATGCTTAGTATCTGTCGTTTCGTGGGTAATGCTGCTGCTCAGGGGGTGGTGCGGCGAAAGCTTGGTAGTTGTGGTTTTGTGGGGAAGCGTTGTGCTGTTGCTGCCCTCCCGGCGCGCTCATGGCAAGGGTATACTGTTGCTTATGGTTTTGCCATTGTCCCTGGTTCTCAAAGGGGTTTTGCTGGAGGTCGACGGGAGTGTATGGTCCATGGGCGAAATCTTCATATCCAGTGAGTGGCTGTAGGTTGACGAAGCGAGGTTCGTCGCCGCGTTGGTACGTCTCTTTTCCGCCGGATGATGGCGGTGGGGTGAAGGCTGAGTCGTAGCGCTTGTGTTCAGAATGGCTGGGACCGAATTCCTGGACTTGTTTGTGGGACGACTGAAGAGGTCGAGGGAGCATTGAGTAGTCGATTTGGTCATGATATGGATTGTCCTGAGATATAGGTGCAGCAGTTGGTGGCATAGGAGGAGTAATAACGCCTGTGTATGCTTTGTATTGCGAAGTTACAGCTGGGTGATAATAATTATTGACGGTATATCCGGCATATCGATTAGCATTAGTTTGTATCTGTTCTGATTCGGGCTGCTGAGAAGGCATTGCGTGGGAGATATAGTTCTGGGAAACGTTTTGTGAGCGACCAGCCATGAGGCTGGACGGAAAATCTACAATAGGTTCGGACTGAGTGCGAGGATGGTGTGGCCTAGTGGGCAGACATTCAGATGCTCCCGGATGATCAGCAGGTAGTTCAGCCACTATATCGTGCTGATGGACTGCGTCTTCCGCTGGGCGTGGTAGAGTTGCCTGTGGCTGCACGTGTGGGATAGATGCCTTACGTGGGGGAGCTGGGGCACCCTGATGCACCATCAACCCCTCGGGCAGCTTGACTGGCGTGGCGTCTGGTGACTGTAGCGGAGAGATATCGTAAGAACGCGACGAAGAAGGCGTTGAACCCGGGAGCTCAAATGCAAAGCCAGATTGGCTATGTATAATAGGAGGACTGATAGAAGTTTCAGCATGTTTAGGTGGTGGAGCTTGGATCTGAGCCTGCGCCGGAGGAGGAGTTGGCCGTGGCGGCTTCGGCTGTGCTGCGTATAGCCCGTCTGGACCAACCACCCTCAATCCGCTGGCCTTTGCTTCTTTGGGTTTCTCGGTTGAAGACGCTGTAGGACGATGTGCACCAGGGGAGTTGCGATGCGTGTGAGTCGAAGCTGCAGTAGGATGATTTGGAGAAGAAAATTGGGCGGGAATCGGGGGCACCGGGTGGATTCTTGGATCGGGAATTGGCACGGAATGCGCGAAGATCGGGACTGGGTTCTTGCCAGCTGGAACGCCATTGTTTGCTGAGGAGGTTTTATGCAATGGAGCACCTTTCAGAGCTTGCTGACCATTCATGACTCCCTCTACACCCCTAGCAACAGTGTTGGACACTGGTCCATTTGGTAGCCGAGACGGTGCCAGAGACTCCATTGATCGTGGCCTGGTTTGCGTATTTGAGCCTGTGGGAACAGCTTGCATGTTCGAGCTCGCGCTTCTAGAGTGACCTGGGGTGATCGGTGGGGCAGTTTGACGATATCTTGATCGAATCTCGCGGGGTTCAGTGCCGGCAGCTGTTGTGTTGGGGTTGGAGGTCGTGGCTTTCGGTAGCAGATTTGGCTCCTTCGGCGGAGGCTTTACAAGCTTCGCCCTTCCAGGCATAGGAGGCGTGAGCAGGCTGTTCACACTTGGCTTTCCAGCGCTTAATTGGGGAGTAGACTTTGATGGATGAAGAATGGGCCTTGTAGGTTGCGGTGGTATAACGTTGGGTAGTGTGGGTGCTTGATTAGTGGTCTCTGGTGGAGGAGTGATAGCCATCATAGGAGGAGGGGACCTGAGAAGTTCCTTGCCGAGTATAGGCACCGAGCACCTACGCTGGTCTGCTGGTGCCAATCTCGAATAGAAAAGAGTCGAGAAGAAATACTTCTCGAAAGCCTTGACATCCAATCTATGCCGGATAGCCTCCAACTCTTTTCCAAAATGGCAGCACAAGAAGTATAGGTCGTGCTTTGGGTCCCACATCAAGTCTTGCCGCTTGCAAAATTCCAGTGTTGTTTTCACGAGGTAGAGTATGTTCAAGCCCTTAAAGTTTTGCATCTTCCCGTCCATACTCAGCCGTAAAAGGTTTTGGTTCTTCCGGAGAACATCGTTTGGGGGTGTTCCTTGTGAGCCTGGGGGTCGTTAGTATGCTTGCTCTCCGATCTGAGACAGTAGAGGCTCACCTGGTGGGACTAAGTCAAGCTCCACCTCCATATCGTGGGTGCAACCGGCGTCTCTAAATTTTGGACCAGTACTGATCAAGATCTTCGAGGGGAATAATGGGTTCATATCGCGTGGTAACCTCACCCTACTTTCATCAGCTTGATCTCTTGTTGTCGATAAGTGTCTTTATTACCGTGGGTCTGCCTCAAGCTTCATCTTTATTTTGTTGTAGTCTCGATCTTCGTATACAATGTGAATGTCAGGCATTTCTCGTCGTGAACCAAGGCAAAGCATGGCGAGCCCGCCGATGGCGGCCCAGTTCATTTTCTTTCCATCGAGAAGGTTACGTATGTATGTTGCAGCGGCGAGGAAATTCGCTTTTGGGGGACTCCTGTAGTTTGCTCCGAGCTTCCTCTTCCAACTGTTGTACTCCTCTACACTGTAGTAGTTTCCTGTTTGGCCACCCATAGTTGTTTCGGCATTAATTGATACTGAGATGTACGGAAGTGAAGATCAGTTCTCCTACGGGTAAAGAGTTGCGTGGGATGTGTTGCTTTTGTGCTGGCCTCAAAGGATGCGATGGATCTGAGACGAGCGGGTACCTGATGCCAGCTTGGGATGGCCGCAGCATGCCAGATGGATTCTGACCTTGGGGCAAGTCTAGGGATAAGATGCTTTAAAGGCTCCGCACTGATGTAGGGCTGAGCAAAACAACTCGACCAAGGCTCGCTCCATAGTTCCTTTGATATTTACTCGATTTAGTTAACGTGAATGGGGTCCCACTAGAAAGCATTCCTCAGAGCTGAGAACCGAACACTAAACACGTTGGATCTTCCGGAATGGGGCCCACACTTGGAAGCATGTATGCTAGCTGACAAAAAGCACGGGTGTTTGTAGAGGTTGATTCGCGTAGCATTTCAACTGTGGCGTCTTCACCAATCCATTACACGAGATGAGACGAGACAGGTTACTGGGTAGAACCGTAGAAGTGCGTTGTAAAACAAGATGCGTGCAGCGTTGTCCCTGGTATCAACCATGGAAGAACCACCAGAGAGGCTGAGGTGTTATTAATAGCATAATGGTACTGGGCTAGCAGCATGGATATGATGGACCAATCCCGTCCCGTCCTTGGGGTGGGTTTGTCGGAAAGAGGCTGGGCTGGCTGAGGGTCCATGGTAAGCACCCAGGATAAAAGTGGGGTCGCATGGCCGCAGTCATCCATCACATTTGCTCCTGCGTTAGGTTGCCAGATATTCTGACCAAATCGTTCTTCTTCTTACCTATTCCGTGTAGAATGTCTGATACGGATACAAATCCTCCGTCCCGTAGTAGCGGGATTCCGGCATGCAGTGCTCACGTCGCGACCAAATGTCGCTTCTCGCCTTGGTGTTTACCCGCCCGTGGTCTGTAGGATTCTATGCAGGAGCCTGCACGACTCCCGCTCAGATCCTTGAACACGGCAACACTTAGGTTGGAATTGTGCCTCCAAGATATACCTTGTATTTCAAACGAGCAACAGGGTTCAGTGTTAAATGAGCATAGAAGGAACGATTTCGACCACTGCAAGTAATTTCGATGCATTGTAACCGGGTCATCATTCGTGACCCAATACGCTCATGATTTCATTGTATAAATTATGTGGAAAGACGCTGTTTAAATGATCGATCATCATGCCGCCGAATTCATTGCTGATATGCTCATAACGAAAGGTAGATGCGTATAATTCGTTGTTTCAACCACAGTCAACTTTCAGATCCCGCCACCTGCACAGTCAAAGTCAGCTTAAGGGTCCGAAACCATAAACACAGACGTCCGACGTCGGGACTGTTGGGTTGTTCTTCGTGAGCGAGATGAATTGGAGGGCTTAGAGCAGGACGTCAGATTTCTCGGGATCCGTCGATTCGTAGAATGCTTCTACAAAAGCAGCAACATCTCGCAATATTGCGAAACATGCTCTTCCGAAATGATCCGCCTCAGATAGGATCCTCCAGACAATCGATGTTCTCATGACTTTAGGAGTGCAAGCTGACCAAGCTTTTGGGTATAGATTGCGGATGATGTAGTTGTGGCGAGGGTCGTCACCGTCTATCCTTCTCATGCGGATGGTGTATGTTCATGTCGACCTACCGGATCTGTCTACAGACACACTGTAATCACCCGCTGTCCTATTGTCCTGCTTGACTGCTAGGGTCTTCGATTTGAGGATCATGTAGGTGCCGCCGAGGGAAATGACGGAGAGAAGGGCAAGATTGCGAGGACTGATCATCAGACCGTTAGCCTAGCTCTTACTCTGGGGTATTGTCGCGAAGCGGTGAGCACCGAGAAGCCTCGGTGGGACTTGATTGTAACATACCCGGCAATCCTTAGAGGAGGCATTGTGTTGAGAGATTGAGTGTGAAATTGAAGTAGGTTATTGAAGTGTATATGAAATGGAGTTGGAGAATGATCGAGTACCTCGGGGAGGCAAATGCTAGAGGGAGCAAGCAGGAATCTATGTATATGTTGGGAAAAGATGCGCTCACACGACCCATTTCCCCTCCCTTTGTTGTGACGCGACTACTTAGTATTGCCCCAGGAAAGTCCAGCCCCCGGCCACTAACAGCCGACGAATTGACCATTTACATTCGACCCAACGACGTATCTGGTTAGTCCTATCGATAGCCAGCCGAGCCCTTGGTAGATGCGCTAATGCAGCACGACTGGCAGAATTGTCTCACCGCCCGTGGATATTCGCCAAAATTTCTCGAAAGCTCAAGCTCGCTCATACGCCTATACAGACAGAAATCAACAACGATGCCTCTGCCCAAGCGACCTACGCTGCCTACCAAGGCAAAGTCCTCGGAAGAAGGCGCCAGGAAGAGTGAGTTCATCCAATTGCCAATTCTTCAATTGGAGAATATCAAGGTCGACCGTACTGACTGTTTGCGACAGAGGACACACGATTCTCCAACTTCCAGACCGACGCCAAGTTTCGACTTCCCTCGAAGAAGAACACCAAGACAAAACTCGACTCGCGATTTTCGAGGCTTCTCGATGATCCGGAATTCTACAACAAGGCATCTGTCGACCGCTATGGCCGAAAAGTAGGGAAGGACGCGGGCAAGAAAAAGCTCGAAAAGTTCTACCGACAGGATCAAGAGGAGGATGATGACGAGGATGATGATGAAGAGGAGGACGAGGAAGATCTGAAAGACGGAAAGGCTAGCAAGAGGGAGAAGAATGTGAAGAAGCAGCTCGCAAAAGCAGACATCCGCGGCCAGAACTACGACCCCATACGCGATGGCGGCCTATCCTCGTCTTCCGACGAAAGCTCCAGCGACGACGACTCGGAAGACGAAGAGGTGGAGGCAGAAGAGGAGGTTGAATTGGCTGGTGAGAATGAAGATATCCCTACTGGAGATGTCACATCACGATTGGCCGCGGTCAACCTCGACTGGGACAACATACGGGCTGCTGATATCGTGGCTGTCGCCGGCTCATTCGTTCCCTCCGATGGAAGGCTCCTGAGCGTAGTAATCTACCCCAGCGAGTTCGGCCGCGAGAGGATGGAGCGAGAGGAACTCGAAGGCCCGCCCAAAGAGATCTTCGCCGCAAGCTCCAAGTCCAAGGACGACACCACTCTGAACGACGACTCAGACTCCGACGCATCAGAAGACGACGAGCAGATCAAGAAGCAACTCCTCGAAGAGAGCACCGGCGACGAGTTCGATTCCAAAGCACTCCGCGCCTACCAGCTCGACCGTCTACGATACTACTACGCCGTAATCACCTGTTCGTCCCCCAACGTCGCAAAGTCTATCTACGACAACCTCGACGGCCGCGAGTACCTTTCCAGCGCCAACTTCTTCGACCTGCGCTTCATCCCCGACGACACCACATTCGACGAGGAACCGCACGACGAATGCAGCGAACTCCCCAGCGGCTACAAGCCCAACGAATTCACCACGGGCGCGCTCTCCCACTCCAAAGTCACGCTGACATGGGACGCCGACGACCGGCAGCGACAGGAGGCGCAGAAGCGCGCCTTCTCGCGCGACGAGCTGGACGAAAACGAACTCAAAGCGTACCTGGGCTCCGACGGCGACTCAGACGACGACGAAGAGGAAGACGCCCCGCGACCGGACAAGGCGGCGGCTTTGCGCAAAGCGCTCGGGCTCGGGTCCGCTGACGAGCCGTCCAAGGCCTCAAAGCGTGAGTCGAAGCATCCGGGCGGCGAAATGCAAGTCACGTTCTCGGCGGCACTGTCGACGAAAGGACAAGGCGGGTCGGTGTTCGAGAACGAACCCATCGTCGAAGAAACCACACTGGAGAGGTACAAAAGGAAGCAGAAGGAGAGGAAGCAGAGAGGCAAAGAGCGGGCCAAAGCTATCCGCGAAGGACGCGATCCCGACGCCGAAGCAAAGGAGGCCAAAAACGCCGTTGCATCGAAAGCCAACGACGACGGAGACGCAGCCGAAGACGACCCCTGGAACGACCCCTTCTTCGCGTCCGACCCAGAAGACGTCGAGGCCGCGGAGCGCAAATCGAAGAAGGCCGAAAAGGCACGCAAGCGCAAGGAGCAAGAACAAGACGAGGAGGCGGCAGCGGCGGAGAAGGCGAACCTGGAGCTCCTCATGGTGGACGATGAAGGCAACAAAGTCCAACACTTCGACATGAACGAGATAGCGAAGGCAGAGAAGGCGAAGAAGAAGGGCAAGAAGGGCAAGAAATCAAAGGACGCTGCTGCCGCTGCAGTGGTGGAAGACGATTTCGAGATGAACACTCAGGACCCCCGTTTCGCGAAGCTGTACGATAGCCACGAGTTCGCCATCGATCCTACGAACCCCAGGTTCAAGGGCACGCAGGGCATGAAGGCGCTTTTGGAGGAGGGCCGCAAAAAGCGGAGACACGATAGGGATGACGGGGAGGACTTGGAGTCGCAGCAATCGCGAGCGAAGAAGTCGAAGAAGGATGCTGGTGCTGGTGCTGGCGACAACGCAGACGACCTGAAGAAGCTGGCAGAAAGGGTGAAGGCGAAGAGTCGGCGGTAGAAAATGGCATCTAGACGGGATACCTTAGACGTACTCCGCACTGCATTGTAGTATATATTCATCAATGCATCTATTCACAGTTCACTCATCGCTCACATATCCACAATGCCAGTCATATACCTCGCATCATCTCCAACCCTCCCATCAAGAACAATCGCCATCAACACCCTCAACCCCAGTAAACCAAAAAAAAAACCCAATTAACCCATCACTTCACCACCAACCCCAATCCCTCATACAACCCCCCTCCCCTCCCGAACAAAATATACCAAACCCACCACCTCCTCTACCTTCATCTTCACCTCACATTCACCACCACCACCACCACTACTATTAATTCACCCACATCTCGATGCACCATACGCCCCCAAGATCATCGATGCCACCCCCTAACCGCACAACCGCGACCGTTAACGAACCTACTAGTCCACTAGTTTGCGGGGTAAACCATACCCATGCCCCTCTTATTGTCTAAACGGCACATAAGACGCACTTCCATTGGCTATATTACCATGCGATGCTAAAGAGTAATCGTGCTAAAGAGCAGGGATGGGGGTGTGCAGTAGTGTGTTGTGTGTGAATGGATTACCTTGTTGGATGGAAGGATTGGGATGGGTAAGTGGAGGGGTGGAGTGGGGAATCGAAGATGGGAGATGGAGATGGGTCCGTTGGTGTTCGCGTGCTCAGATTCGAGTAGCTTTAGCTAGATGACGAGTATTTACATGTAAGAGTAGGTAGGGGAGGTGAATTGGTGTATTACTTTCTGTTTTACTTCGTCGTTTCTTAATGTGTCTCTTAGGGAGACGTGAGTTGTGATACTTAACCCCCCCATCCCCCTCCCTACCCTCGTATATATGTACTTTCACAAGCGAAACAAAAAGACACAAAATAAAAGTAAAAGGAAGAATCTCAATGACGCTCAACATGATTCGACAAACCCTCATCTCACATATTCTCCTCTAACAGCTAGTCCCTCCTCTCTAGAGGCACGGCTAGCGTTGCGTTGTTCGGTCTAGGTTCTCGTCTAGTCGTTGTCTCCCCCTTCCCCTTCCCCTCTTCCCTCGTCTGGGCGGTTCGCTTGCTAGGTATGATGATGGTGTTAGGGTCTTTAGTAATTACTGTATGTATCTAGGTGGTTGTATGGGTAACTATGTGTATGTATGTAGGGGGGGATATGATGATGCGATGTGATGATGTGCTGAGACATCATCGCGATCCGATAAGCGTGTGGGTGTGTGCGCTGTAATCGATAATCGATAACATGTCCAGATAATACGAGTACCTAGGTAGTTACCCCTCCTTTTCTGGAAATGTTGTGTTGTGTTGTTCTGAAACAACAATGAATGAAAAGAGGGAGGAAAAGGACAAAAGATGGAGATGAGGTGGGAGGGAGGAGGACGAGGTAGGAGGACGAGGTAGGAGGACAAGGTAGGAGGACGAAGAGAGGGAGGAAAGGGAAAAGATAAGGGAATGATGCTGTCTTTGCCGGCGGGAATCGACTCAATCTAAGAATAGTTCCGAGGTAGGTCAACATACTCGTAATGGCTGGAGGAGTAACAAGTTCATGACTTCTTTTGAGGCTGGATACTCGTAGATATTCTGTGTCTCTTTGTGACTGCACGGAGTAGTTATTTGTGTGTGTGTGTATGGTTATGTGCAAGGGTGAGGATGAGGGTAAGGATGGCATTCCGCCGACGGCTGTTGTGTGATGCTTGCTTGAGTGTGTAACTATAGGTAGTGTATGTGTTTTATGCTGCTTCTACGGCTGCTGTATCACAACGAATCCATCCAACCACCATCCGTCCTCCTCACTTTCCCATCATTCCACCTGCATCTTCAGTCTGCGCCTGCATCTGCGCCCTGTACGAGTCTCCTTTCTCTTCCTCTCCCCTTCGTCGCATTCCTCAATCCCCTCCCATCTCTCTCTCTCTCTCTCTCCCCATCTCTTGTTTACACTTCTCCTCCTCTTCCTCCTTTCTACCTTCTACTCCCCGTTCAGCTAGACGTCACCTTACTTTAGTTAGCAGGCCTAGCCCTCTTATCCGTTCTATCTGATCTATCCGTCTATCTATTTCTCCACAATCTCCGCCATCAACACTACGAGTACTTAGTACTAATCATCAACCACCACCACCACCACCACCACCACCACCAACTACTCGTATCTACAGTAGACTCTAGAGTCCGTCTAGTTACCAGCACTCGTAACCCTACCCTACCCTACCCTATCTATCCCTCTTATCGCAATTGCAATCGCAATCGCAATCGCAATCGCGTCCCATCTCATCTCAACCCATCGCAGCGCAATGCTAGTCGTTGCGCACGCCGTCGCACCCTCCGTCGTCACCCTCTGAATAGAATACGCGACAATCCCCAAGACCGCCTCACCCCATCCTTATTGTTCGCTCCCAGCATTATTGAAACACACACCTTTATGCTCTTCGCTTGATCGCCATCCTCGGCCAGATCGACCCGTTTGGTACGCTACTCTTCCACTCCTCTCCCGCCTCTTTATCTTTATCTCTATCTCTATCTGTGTCTGTTCTGTCTGTACCTCACGGATCCGCGACTCCTTAGTCGAGTCGAGTCAAGCCAATATCTCCGCACACTCCCATCACTCCACCAAACACCTGATTGACCATCACCAATTATGGACGGCTCTATCCCTTACTAACTCAATTGCTTCTTCACGACAGAGCGTAACAACATTCTCCCCAGACTTCAACTTCCTCCTCCCAGCAAATCGTCCATTGCGCCGATCAGACTGCACGGCGCAACGCCCTGGCGATCCCCAATTGCCACTCCTCCCACATCGCGTGCTATCTGCCGCATACAGGCAGTCCAGAACCTCGTTTATCCAGCCATCCGCCTCCTCGTGCTAAACGGGCAGTCAGACAAATACAGTCCAGAACTACTGCTATATTCAGCACTACCACCGCGCGACTACTCACCATTCGTATCTCTCCATCTCACCTAAAGCCCACCGAAGCGCAAGTCCGCCAAAGTCAAAGCCAGCGCCAAAGCCACCATCAGCACCGCTAACGGCTTGATCCCCCTCCTCCTCCTCCACCCACTTGCATTCCCTTTGCATCGGGAAGGTTGCCGAAACCCCACCTATATCTCCACTTCCCTCCATCACAAGTTCACAACCCCGGCCTGAAGATACGATAGAGAGACCTGATATAATTATTATTCCTCCGAGCACAACCAGATACACTCGCGGATCCTTCGCTCTTTCTTTTTTCTTTTGACCAGAATCACGACAATCGTGGTGTGCCTTCAACACACACCACGTTCACCTCCCCATCCTCGTCATCGTCGCAATCGAAGTCAACCTTCTCCACCATGGCTGCCGTCCTCGCGCGCCCGCCTGCCATAACGAGTCGCTCCTCCACGCCTCCACCACACCACATCTCTCTAAATACTTCTACTCGTGGCACTCCTGCAGCCATTCCCAACAAACACATTCCAGTATGCCCGCCAGGTCCAATTCCTGCTCGTGGTCTTCAAACCCCACCTTCCTCGCCGCCAACCAAGAACAACATCATCGAGACCACCGCCGTGACCTATCCGCCGAACTTGCACTGCACCCAATACTCGCACGATCCTCCATTATGGACGATCGATGCGCAGAAGATGGCTGAGGCAATCGAGCATACTGCGACGCAGCCATTGCCCAACCCAGAGCAGGTATTCCCATGGCTGCACGGCTTGCACGCCGACAACCAGATCCAACTTGCCTTCTTCACCTCGCGACGGAAGAGCGTACGGAAGGTACCGCTATGCATTCGTAGCGTCACGCTCGTCAAGACTGGCGGAGACTTGACCTCGTCAAAATTGAAGGGTGCGATCTCCCCCGAGGAATTGTTGTGTCCCACCAAAGACTCCAACACTTTCATCGAGTGCGACCCCAAAGACGGCTTCTCCGTTCGTAACTTCCATATTCAGGCTTGCAAATTGGCCATGGTCTCCGACATCATCGTGTACGGCGATGACAAAACCCCTCTGCCCGACACAGTCGCCCTCGCAAAGCGCATCTCCAAGGCTCAGAGACAATACGAGGCAAGGAACGGGCTGCCTCGTGGGTTGTTCAATACGTTCATGCTCTCAGGTAGGATATCTCATATGTTACTATGATGCTAGTTGCTGACATCTCTAGATACCTTTGCCCATGTACAAGAAGCACATCCTGAACTAGTCGCCGTAGATGCCGCGGGCGGCATGACCGGACATGTCGCAGATTTCTGTAAGTATCTCAATTAAATCACATTGCAATTATGCAGAAATTAACGGACAAACAGTCTACTGGGAACGGTATGAGATGAGTTCCATGTCCAAGGCAGCCGAGATCAGTAACAATGTGTATCTTGGACCAACGCCCGACCCAACGCTGGACCCGAACACGACAGAAAGTGATTTCGATATCCTCATAGAGGCCAGTGACCTCGCACACATCCCGGACAGCAGATGTCTCACGGAGTGGCGGAACTCGATCCAAAGTGTGCAAGACGGTCCGATGCACATTGAGTTCCCTTCCTCCGGTAGTATCATGCCCCCAACCTGGTCTCATTCCGAAGTCGACGGACTCCTCGCCATGTGCAAATGGATCTATGATTTGGCCAATCCACACGCATCCGATATTCTGAAACGGAGAGATAGCAAGGAGGACGAAGCAATTGCACTGGACGACATCGTTCGATCTCGAAAGTTTCTCATCCACTGCACGGACGGCTATACAGAGACTACGATGTTGGCTCTGGCTTATTTCATGTATGCCGAGGGCCTCTCCGCTGACCAGGCATGGGTTCAGATGCATCGGGATAAGGGTCGTAACTTCTTTGCGTATCCCTCCGACGTTGCGCTGCTGACGCAAATTCAACCCCGAATCCTCCAAGCGTCGCCGAAATTCCAGGGAAACATCATCACCATGCAGGCGCCGAAGTGGATGTCGCGCATCGACGGCAGTCTGCCGAGCAGGATTCTTCCTTACATGTATTTGGGGAATCTCGGACACGCCAATAACCCAGAATTACTACGCGAACTAGGCATTACCAGAATTCTCAGTGTTGGCGAATCACTATCATGGACCGACGAGATGAAGAGAGATTTGGACTGGCCAGATGAGAATCTCATGCTCATCGACAGAGTCCAAGACAATGGCGTTGATCCGCTCTGGGATGATTTCGGGCGTTGTTTGAAGTTTATTGGTAAGAGTGCCCATAACGAATGTATATATTCATCACGCTAACCTCACGACAGAAGATGGGAAACTCGAAGGCGGAGCCACCCTCGTGCATTGTCGAGTGGGAGTCTCTCGATCCGCAACCATATGCATTGCCGAAGTCATGAACGAACTGGGTCTTTCGTTCCCCCGTGCCTAGTAAGTCAATTCCCGCCTCGGCGACGAACGACAAGACCGTTCGGTTTGCTCACCTGGCGTAGTTGCTTTGTTCGAGCGCGCCGACTGAATGTCATCATCCAACCACATCTCCGATTCACCTACGAACTCCTCAAATGGGAGGAGTACCAGCGTCTGCGACGCAACGAGCCTCTCCGCCGCGAGCTCGAATGGGCTACCGTCTCCAGGGAGATCGCCCTTATGAACAAACCTTATTCGAGGTGATTTCCCAGCCAACCCACCTGGGATTCTTTTTTTTTTTCTTCTTCTTCTGGTTCAGCATGACACGATTTAACGACGGTATGATATGGGTATTTGTCACGATTTTTTCTCTCTCTCCTGGCTGTGGGTGCTTATGTGCGTGCACATCTTCGCACATATCATCACAGCACTACTACCTTTGCACACGGCATTTAGGGACAGGTGTTTTCCCCACCAAAGGCCTTGCTTTTCTATCAGTTCTTTTTTTTCTCCAACCGCAAACTGAGGACACGATATGTTGTATGTCACGGGATCTTCCCTTTTCTTTCCCTTCATCAATGTCGTTTGTCAGGGATGGCGGTATTTTCCAAAGGCGCACAATCAATTCTATGGGGGTTGCAAGCAAATTACTTACTTACCTTCTCTTCCTCTTCTTCTTTCAACTTCAACTCCATTCTTCTTTGGTTGCCTGTTTTTATCAAATGGAGGAACTATGCAAACAGCACAGCAGCACACAGCATCACATGCGGAAATCAGCTTTTTTTTTCTTTCTTCTTCGCCAATTTTTCCGTTCGTATACTGGCATATGTAAGGTAACCTGCTCTTCTATTCTCCAAATTTGTAGATTCAAAGCTATCCTCGGGAATCTTGACGCAGAATGAGAGAACATGGGTTTCAATGGTACAATCGTGTCCAAAGAACGAACGAATAAGTGACTGAATGAATGAATGAATGAATGAATGAATGAATGAATGAATGATTGATTGAGCACAAGGATTCGGAAGTGTGCACCGTGCTGAACGGTGGTAAGCACTACGTTTCCCGAATCCCTCCCCCCCTGGTGTAGATCAGCGGGCCTTTCCTCCCGCCGTCATCACGCACGAAGGGTAGCGAGGGTCTACCTGCCGCCCGACGACGAGGAGGGCGGTATGAAAGGTTATTACTATATGAGTACCATGAGCAAAATAGGGTACAGACATCACAATCCCTTCCCCCCCCTCCTTCGACTTATGTCAAACTCCATGTCACTCGTCTGAGCTCTTCCCCAGCGCGTACAGTGACGCAGCGAACGCCGTGTCGTTTGTATTTGGCGCTGGCACGCTTTACATAGGTAGTTGTAGTTACGGTTAGGCTTAAGTGTTCGGTGCTTGGGATGTGTGTGGTCTTGTTCACGAAATACCACCCACCCTTTCCAACTACTGTGGACGGGTTGATCAAGCGTTGAAGTTTGTGTGTGTGTGTGTGTGTGTGTGTGTGTGTGTGTGTGTGTGTGTGTGTGTGTGTGTTTGGCGTTATCTTGCTTGGTTGGGAGGGTCGGGCTGAATTTCAATAGAAGCGATGAGTCTTGGTGAGAGAGGAAACGGGTTGTGATATGGCTGGTTTAGGTATGTTTGTGAGAATAGGAAGCTATGATGCGCCATGTCGAGATGTTGTAGGTATAGGTATAGGAGTAGGTATAGAAGAAGAAATGCGTTACGAGGTTTGATAGTAAATGACTCTGCTTATGTCGTCAAAAGGGTTAATTGTTGATAAGGATATGACTGGGGCACCAGCAATGTGTAAACGGGTACAAGACAAGAGAGGGATCAATATTATCTTCTTCTCATGTTCCTTGATCGTTGTAGGCGCTTGGCTTCGTAGGAAGCAGTGAGTAAGTAATACGGAGGTACATTGTCCCCGGCTTACCAGCTGGGGACTACGCCTTTTGCAAGCAGTTTCAAGATGGTAGAGGTATAGAAGAAGAAGCGTGTGGCAAGATATTGTAGGCATGTGACGAGTAATAAGTCAGACCGGTGCTGTGGCTGGGATGCCTGAGCGTCTTGTTCGCATCTTCCTCGATTACTGTAGCCCTTGATACTGCAAAAAGCGGTATGTAACAACCCCTTCCTAGGTTAGCTCGTCGGGTATACCCGACACCTTTTCTAAGCGAGCTATTGTAGCTGACTGTGTATCTCTATTCTGACTTCCCTTGATCTAGAGGTGCATGAAGGGGAAGCACCGTATGACCTGGTGTGAATGTCGTTCTCTTACCCTCGTAGGCCCAGTCTGGACTAGCAGCGGGTATTAAGAATACCAGTACCCTGTTACTGGTATATTTTAACCCGCGAGGTTGAATCTCAGGCTGCTTTTCTCGTCCAGTCAAAGTAAGAAAGCTGGAACTTGGCTTTGGACTAGGCATGGAAATTCAAGGAGTCTGTTGTCAAAGGGTGCTCTCGAGCTGCCACATGGCCAGCGTATGCAGCTAAAGACGTTGGTGGATGCGAACACTGCAGAGTAGATTTGCACGCACCTACTGGGCCCATGTCTGCAACTTGATCCCAGCAGTTCTCTTGCCTTACACAATTCATTAGAATTATTACTGTAACCTTTCCTCTTCCATGGCTCCTCAGCTACTCGTGGAACGCCCATCGAAACGCTCGGTCATCATCTTGAGTACAATTGCTTGGGCTAGGAAGGCAAAAGCCGCGGCAATAGGTCTCAGAGCCGTTCCATTCACACGGGTGCATATCAACATTGATCCTTCCCGGGACCCCGTTTACGCATGGCATGCCCCACGGCTCACATCACCAATTCCTTAGAATGTAATGTTCCTAACGGCATCTTTAATATTCCTGACCTATCATCGGGTGCATGTCTCTGAGACATGCACCCGAAGGATCTGCACCCGCTCCCTACATAGTCTACAACATCCATCGCCAGGCTTCCAGCGCCCACAGAGCGCACAGTGCACGGCCATTACACAGCTTCAACTGGGGAACCGTAACTAATGTCCGATTCATCTTACACGCTTCTACTGTAGCTCATATTTCCTATTCTGGTCCCAGTCTGATTGGTCCTGGCCTATCAGCATCGTGGAATCCCATAGTTATTATTTTCGTACATGCACCGTTGTATTGTATATGGGGACATTCGGGCGTATACACATGTTGAAATGCCTCTGACCGGACTGACTGACTGACTGACTGACTGACTAACTGTGTTTCTCTACTCTCATCTGACTGACAAATTGTTCCATCCCATCTGCCTATGTTCTCTTTCTCACAGGTCCGCGTAATCAGAGACCTGCATCCCATCTGCAGCCCTACGCACGAATACCATATGCAGCCCTATACGCGCTATTTCATCTGTGCGGCCACAGCTACACATGTCCATTCACACCCATGGCCCGCGGCCGAACACCCAGCAATCACCGCACACAAAAATTTCTCACGGTCTACCGTACCCGTCTTCCCCTTCTCCATTCTACTGTGCCCGTTGTAAACAGACGTGCACATACACTCTCGCTCATGCCAATTTGTATGCAAGTAGATAACTATATAAACCCCGGGTAGCAAACGAGAATGGCATCTCTACTTGACATCTCAAGCCTGCCTCACAAAAGGAACTTCATCATCAATCATTGTTATCAATCATTCAAAAGATCTCATCTTCGCTTGAAGTGTGCTCGAGCTACTGAAGTTGACTAGAGTTGTCTTTCGATGGAGGGCTGCTTTATTCTCAGACTGCTTCGGGGAGATGCGGAAGATAGGGGAGAGAGAATGTAGTCGAGACAAGTCATCTCTCTGTGAGGCCATCTACACACTGGCCTGCCTACCTGTCTGACTACCCCTCACTGTCATCGCTCATACCCCCCTGCTCGACCTGATCCTCCGCGGCTCCTCCCTCTTTTCCGTCAGTGGCGTCTTTAGCCTTCTGTGCCTCGAGCTCGAACATTCCTTTCTTGATGATCCTGAGCGCCTTGGGCTTGTTCATCATCCACAGCTCGTTGGGGAGCCACTTGTAGAAGGAACACATGATCTTCTGCACTTGGTCCAGGACCACGAAGCCGCCCGTGATGGTGTTGACGACGGCAGACATCTTCATGCCCTCGAAGCATCCGTCTAGGACTTTGTCCTCGATCCAGAACTCGATGACGTCGCCGGCATCCCGGGAAGGTTTCACTTGGACGCCGTCTGGCAGGTCGTATTGCTCGTTGCGGTTGATGGTGACGATTTGGCAGATCAGTTTTCCGAGGGGGTGGAGGACGAGCTTGTCTTTCCACTGCTTGTTCTGCTGGTCGTAGTACTTCTGGAACTCGGGGGTGGAGGCTTCTTTCCTCACTATCTGCAAGTTCAATTCCTCCGACTTGATGGTCTTGAAGTGTGCGAGGTCTTGACCGGAACGCTCAAGGAGGTCGAACTGCTCGTCGGTCCCGTAAATGGCTACGGCGGTTTTGAATGTGATGAGTGCCTGCTCTTTTCGCATGCCGCAGTCTGCGAAGCTCTCGCGTTCTTCCTCGGTTAGCCATTCTGCATTCCCGGCGTATGTGTTGGCATGGTGTCCTCCGAAAATGGTACTTGCGGCTTGATTGAATTCGCCGGGAAGGAGGAGTCCGGCTGCGTCAACCAACGGCAGCTCTTGTTCGGCCTTGTCGCAGATTGCGCGTGCAAGGAGGAGATCGTTTTGGTACTCTGGGCAGACTCGGTGGAAGAGGAGATACTGGAAGAATGACCGGAGGACTTGGCTAGCTGTCTTGATGCTCTTGCGATCGTAGCCAAAGTAGTCAGGATAGTAAGAAGACCTGGAAACTGTTAGTAGATGCATAGTCCATAGAGAAGCTGGCAATGTACAAGAATCCCTCGGCCACCCCAAGAAAGTCAACATCCCACTTGCTCTCGTCTGTACGATCCCAAGGTACCACGTATGTCGCCGTAGCTCGCGCAATCTCTTCAGCGTTCATGCTCTTCATTTCCTGTCTCGACAAACCGCCGAAAATTTTCGGATCGTTGTCCACCCCTCCAAACTTCATCCATTTTGCAAATACTTTGGCGTATATCTCGTGCATTCGGCGTTTCTGCTTGAAGCGCTGGATGGCAAGTTCGATGCGTTCAATGAACGGCTTACCGGGATCATACATCGCCTCCTCTTCTTCGGCTTCGGCTGGTGGGAGGGGCCCTTCGACGTAGCCATCTTCAAATCCCGTTGGCTTCAGCATGGCCTTACTTACACCGGGAGGGAGGCCCTTCTTAGCCTGCGAGATGAGGGGAACAGGGTGCTGAATAGGCCTCTTGGTCCGAGGATCGTACGCAATCTCATCGTCTTCTGAATCCTGGGAGTGGAAGTCTGGATCGAGGAGACACTTCCCGATGAGAGGGATCTTGCGCTTGATACCCTTTCCGTCCTCGGTCACTGTGAGAAAGGCGCTCTTTCGAAGCGCGTCGACTACCATCTTCTTGTTCTTGAACTGCCGCATCTTCTTGAAGCCTCTGATCCGGCTGATAGATACCGGGAGGTTCTCGCGACCTCCACAGCATTGGAGCAGGTGGAGATCAGTGGGGAGGTTCTCGTCGGAGAAATAATACTCGACCTATACGACTGTTAGGCTATCATGGTTGACAACGCTCTTGACTGTCAGTGTGTGTTCGTACCTGTTGTCGCACTCGTGGTGCATCGGGGTGCTCTGCTTCTGGCTCTCCATCGCCAGTTTTCACCATTGGCGGCTTCTCCATCTCCACTTCTGCTTTCTGCTCCAAAGCGGAAGGCGGGTGGTTTTCAACCTCCATTGAGTCTGGAGTGTCTGTCATTGCTATGGGTAGAGAGTCTATTCTAATCGGGTCGTGGTGATTCAGTGTAGGTTGTATGTGAAACGAAGGTGTTGTTGTTAAAATGAGAAGAGCCATGTTCACGGTGGAACTATATAGTGTTCGGGGGAAGAGCTGCTCTTACCAGCAGACCAGGTGATTGATTGTCAGCAGACAGTATAGGCGGTGTGAATTGTTTGCTTCTACTATTGTATGGCAAGTGAGTAAATGAGAGTTTGTTAGTGAAGTGAACAGGCAGTGAAGCGCGTGATCATCAATGTATAGTGAAGTTGTCTTTTCTTGGTAGACGTTGAATCACTCTGAAGTATGATTGAATACTCCGCCAGTGTGGGCATAACTCCTTTCTGAGTTTTGTATAGATCGAGGTTCACATAGAGTTGGAGCGAGATGGTTTATATAAACATGAACCCTTCATTCTTACCCGTTTGGGGAAGACGGTTGGAACGAGTGGGGGCTAAGGCGGGGGCATGTCAACAGCTCCCATTAAGTACCTGAGGCATAACCTACCCGCCCGCTCAGCTGTAACCGACAACAATCCTCAAACAACAAATCCTTCAGCTCGGAGTTTCTTCCCTTTTCGATTCTATCTTACTCTCATAGCTTGGCATATCCCGCTTTCTTTTCTCCAGGGCCGCAATTGTTCGCCCCGCCGCCACTTTCAGCCTTCGCTCCCCCAGTTTAGCCCCGACATCAACGCCTCACTTGTCGTCTGCTGCTACCAGCAATTGCTATAAAGTCCTACGAATTTCTACTTCAAGATCTAAATAAATTATATCTATACATAGTCCTGCTTCTATCATGGCCAAGAAAGAGTTCGACCCCTCCTCCCTCCAAGCATTCGGCAATGCCGCTGCAGGACAGTAAGTCGACCTCACCATCATGATTCCAGCGTCGCAACGTTGCTCAGACACTAACTACACCCTTCAGCGATGGCGTCCTCTCTGATGCCTCAGGCGCTGTCGTCGTGAAGCCCTGTACCCGACCTGAAGTCGACTTCTACGAGGCCGTCGCTGCAAACCACCCCGACCTCGCTCCTCATCTCCCAACCTTCATGGGCACTCTGTCCCTCTCTGGCGACAAGGCAGCAGATGCTGCCAATGATTCTGGATTTATACAGACAGCATCTGGAGCATTGGAGCGGTTGCACGGTAAAAAGCTGGATACCGATCTGCACATTGTGCTCGAGAACATTACGCACGGATTCAAGAAACCAAATGTCCTCGACCTCAAGCTCGGCGCACAACTGTGGGACGAGGGAGCTAGTGAAGATAAGAGGAGGCGATTAGATGAGGTTGCAGCGAAGACCACAAGTGGAAGCTTGAACTTCCGAATTGCGGGCATGAGAACGTATGTCGGCGAGAAGGCACCGGCCCTAAGTGATGATTTGAAGGAGTTCGCGGAAAATGACGGTAGTTTTACGGTCTACAACAAGATGTACGGACGAAAGTTCAACCAGGAGGATGTCAACGACGGCTTCTGGGCATACGTCTTGCCGCAGGGAAAGTCAAAGGCCGAGCTTGAGAGAGCCCGTGAGGTGCTTTCTTACTTCCTCGGCGAAGTCAAAGACATCCAGAAGGCTTTCGAGAAAAAGGAGAGCAGGATGTACTCCGCCAGTATCCTCTTGGTGTATGAGGGTGACTTGGAGGAATATGAGAAGACCAAGTTGTTCCTCACCAACCCGGATGCCGAACCGTCAGGCGAAGAGGACGACGAGGACGACCTGCCCAAGCTTGCCGCTGTCAAGATGATCGATTTCGCACATGCTTCGTTCCATCCTGGCAAGGGCCCTGATGAGAACGCCATCAAGGGAATTAGGAGCACTGCCACCATTTTGGAGGATCTGTTGAATAAAGTTGAGAAGGATCTTGAGTAGACATAGACGCGGAAGCTCGTAGCTTCGGATTGATCATATATTTGGCATAGCCTGAACATACCTAGCTATATACCCATTGAAATCAACTATGCATCTATAGACTGCACCCAGCCTAGATGGACACTACCACCCCCATACCCCGCAAGTGAATTCAATCAGCTCACAAGCCCAGGAACATCCTCCGGGAAAGACCCCAACAAAATCGCCGTCGAAGGCGTCTGCCCAGCCTGCGGCGACAACAACCTCACCTTCCTCTTCGCCTCATCCACATCCGCCACATAAATATACCCCTTCACGCTCGAATCTCTAATACTATCCTGCGGCTCGTTCGCCGACGCCGTCGTCACCGCCAACAGCGAATTCTGTATCGACGACGACGGCGTCACCCTCTCATATATCGACCCCACACCCGCCCCCGTCCCATAAATATCATACTCATCCCCTGCCGGCGCACTTGCCGTCGACTCTGCCGGATCAACGATCCTAAACAGATTCAAGTCTGCGAAGTCGGCCATGTGCGAATGGGGACCTAGGGTGTTGTCTCCCGTGCCGAAGAAGTACTCGCGGATCTGCGCCTGTCGGAGGGACTTCATGTAGGATTCGTCGCGCGCGACGGCGCCGCCAGTCTTGTCGAGGCGGATGACGTGGACGGGGTCGCTGGGGTCGCGGGCCGTGTATTTGCGTTGGAGGTCTGAGTAGAGGCGTTCGCTGCCAAGGACGAAGACGACGTTTACTGGAGGGGGGTTGTTAGCTTATGCGATTGTGAGGGGAGTGGTATGACGGTTTCGACCTGTGGGGAGGGGACATGGGAGGGTTGGGTCGAGGATATATAGAGGGTTGATAGGCGAAAGAAGGAAGGAATCGTCAACATCACACATACTTGAAAACTCAGACACTATATGCTCTATGTTCTCGTAAACGCCCGCCTTGCCTTGAGCAATGGAAGCCGGGGAATCTACAATGAAGCCAGCCTGTTTCGCCGTGCTGTCCTCCTCCAACCGACTCGTGACCGCGAGCGCCATCCTCGTCACCAACGGCCTGAACAGCTTCTGTCCAGCACCGTCCTCAGTGTTCGCCAGGCCGTAATGATATACGAGCGGCATCTTCACCGGAATCGGACTCGGGCCTGATATCGGCGAGCTGCCCCATCCCTCCTCAATGTCGATGATGCTGGAGAACGCTGCAGCTGAGAACGCACCAGGGACGCCGAGGAAGCCTTGCTTGGGATCGAGGTTCAGGACAATGGGCTGGTGTCCCATCTTGACCGCATACGCAGTCAATATCTTGACCACGCTCGTCTTCCCTGAGTTCTCAGGTCCAACCACCAGCACCCTCGGCCCGCCATGGAGGTCTGCGCTGCCGTTATGCGTCGCTGACATGGCCCTCTCCCTCAGCTCTTCCAGCGCGAAATGCGCATTCGCATAGCTCGTCATCTGCGTCTCCTCGGCGATGTATTCGCTCTCCACCTCACCCGTCACTTCGAGCTTGCAGCCGTGCCATGTGTATATCGCAGCCTTTGTGCCCGTGAACGTGTATGCTGAGGAGGGCGCGAGTTCGGTGCCGAAGAGCTCTGCTGTGCCGGTCACGAGCTTTATGCTCAGCGTCCGGTTGAAGGCGACTTCGAAGCGGTACTCAGTATTGGCGGGGAGGTCTTGTGGGCGCGCTAGAGTCGCGCTGGAGGTTGTGGTGGGTTCGGAGGAGGGTGCGGCTAGGTTGAGGCCTGGGAGCGACAACATGGTGGTGTTGTGGTTGTCTGGATGTGCGAAGCGGGAGAGCAGCTAGGAAGCGCTGCGCGCTGAGATTGCTTTGTGGATAGAAGTCACTGCTAACAGGAATTAGTATGGGAAATGTGAACTGTATGTTGTTCTGGTCTCGAGAAAATGAATGTTATGGCGGGGTTGAAGTGGGTGGTATGGAGGAGAAATGTTGTTTGCGATGAAGTTGAAAGAAGAAGCTCGGAGGTCTTGCACTGTGGTTGGTGCGGAGCTTCCTCGAACTGATCTGGATAGCAACGTCCACACAACCCCCAAGGGCCACGATAATCTTGTAATTTGAATGATAATAATCCCAATAGATGATGCTTTGAATACAAGCCAGTAGTTGCTTTCTATTCAATTCTCAATGTTGAGAATGGTTCCAGGTATCCCAGCTGATTACTGTTTTGGGCTAGCGTATGCGTACAGAGATCTTTCTTACATTTTTGGATATAATTCTGGCTCTTTCGGGGTTCTTCATCTCCTACTCTTATTTTGGCATGAGATAATAGTTCTCTGTAATTACTGGAAGACATGACTGATTGGTCACGTAAATCAAGAAAGGGAAAAGTTCATCATATTATTGCTCAGCAACATCAAGGTATGTAAACGAATGAAGCTTCCTCTGGATTTATAGAGACGGTTGATTCAATTTGCAAGAATGTTACATCTACAGCAAATCTAGCTCGCTTTCCAGACTAAAGTCATAGATGGCTAGGACTCGAAGGAGAATTATGAAGTCAGTGTATCACCCATTCCACATGTCTGAGATTCTTGAGAATTGCTGAAAGAGCATATACTCCTCCTTGTGGAATGAAGTCTTGGGTGCGAAGTCCCGGGGAAAATGAGAGTCTCATCAGAACACGATGATAGAATATGGTCTACGGACGAATTGTTTTGGTATTCGAACGCCATTTTCTTGTGTTTCTGAAATTCACGAGGATTTTTGGGCAAGTACTTGTACCCAAGAGAGACCTTCCATTTTGGGCATCTCAGTAAGGGTTTCCAGGTCAGCCAATACCCGGTGGAAACAGTCTACACGGAGACCCTTCCATGCCTTGGTATACTTTCCCAAGATCTTGGAGCACATCTCTCTCTGTGCGGTGAAGGGTGGAATGTGGTGGGTGTTACCACTGGTGGCTTTATAGCAGGACCCTGGTACCTGGTATTGACACTACCGTCAAACCCGCTATGAAAGTTGCAAAACATAATACATGGTATGCTGGGCTGGTACGGTTCGCGAGGAACCAAAGGCAGCATTAATCGCATAGAACCCAACACCTTATTATCTCATATTGAACGAATGAGTGTGTAACATGCAGAAGTCCGTTGATGGTAAAGCCACCTGTCGATCTCCCAGAGTGCGCTGCCGGAGCTAGGGCCACCACATCTTACCTCCAAGCTCGACCAACGGCAATACGAATGGATCAGCACCAACCTGTGAAACTTGTCTTTTCTCCTCAACATCTTATATGTTGCAAGCGTCGACCGCACCCACGGGTACTCACATGTACAGATGAGCAGAAGACATGCTAACGATCCTCCCTCGTTGAACCTACGTCTTTGCGCGACTTGACTGCCGCACATTCCTTACATCCATCGTTCCTCAGGCTATTTGATACCCCACACATTTATAAGAACATTTACAGACTCCTAAGGGCGACGCCCAGCGATTCTACTACGAGACCATGAAGTACAGATCTGAATCAATTGCCTGCCTGGGCCTCCTATCCGCTGTCCTCTCCTCTCTACCTACGCCCGCCCTTGCCCAGGTCGGTGATTGGCAAGAACCATTACCAGGACATATAGATCCTCTCAAATACAAGGCTGCATGTCCGGATTATACCCATTATGCTACGCGACCCCAGTAAGACAACTTAAAAGTTCATCCAGTGTTACCCTGCGTGCTAACACACCGAAGTCCTCCACTCAGCGATGGTCCCCTCGGACTTCCTTTCCAACGACCCCATAAGTATTGTCGGACATTCGAGTCGCCGCTCGTCGAGAAGGTGATAGAAGACTTCAACGAGAAGCTTCTGGACAAGGACCTCGCTCGTATATTCGAGAATGCATTCCCCAACACACTCGACACGACGGTCCGGTGGCACGTCGATGGCACAGAGAAGCAAAAGCCGAAGCACAAGATCAAGCAGACATGGAGCGAGGATGCTTGGAAGGGACCACAAAGTTTCATTGTCACTGGAGATATCAACGCAGAATGGCTGCGGGATTCCACGAACCAGCTCGCCCAGTACCAATCATTGGCAAAGCAAGACAAGGCCATTCACAACTTGATTCTTGGAGCGATCAACACACAGGCGGAGTACGTTATCGGCTCTCCGTATTGCAACGCCTTTCAACCTCCCGGACCCAGTGGCCTCCAGCCAACCTACCAGGGCGACGGAGACACCGTACATCCTGCGTACGAGAACTCGTTCGTCTTCGAATGCAAGTACGAACTAGATTCTCTTGCCCATTTCCTTCGACTTTCGAATGAATTCTACAATCACACCGGCTCTACCGAGTTCATCACTCACCGCTGGGGCAAAGCACTGAACACACTTATCGAGACGCTCTCCGAGCAGTCTCGACCTACTTTCGATCCAGAGACAGGTGCTTTGGACCACAACGAATACTCCTTCCAGCGCCAGACCAACGCGGGCACCGAGACACTCAGTCTAGGAGGACGAGGCAACCCCCTCAACGCCGGCACCGGCCTTGTCCGCAGTGCCTTCCGCCCCAGCGACGATGCCACCATCCTCGGCTTCTTCATCCCCGCCAACGCCATGATAAGCGTGGAACTCAAACGCTGCGCGGAAATCCTCCACAAATCCGGCAGCAAGAAACTCGCCTCAACCCTCCAAACCTGGGGCGAAACCATCGCAGCCGGCGTCTGGGAGCACGGCGTCGTGCAGCACAAGACCTACGGCAAAGTCTTCGCCTTCGAAGTCGATGGTTTCGGCTCCCACATCATCATGGACGACGCTAACTTGCCCTCGCTCCTCGCGCTCCCCCTCCTAGGCTTCGTCTCCACAGACAACGAAGTCTACCAGAACACCCGCAAGATGATCCTCGCGAAGAACGGAAACCCTTACTACCTCAAGGGCCCCGCCTTCCACGGCATCGGCGGCCCGCATATCGGGCTCCAGCACGCGTGGCCTATGAGCGTTCTCACGCAGGCTATGACTAGCGACAACGACGACGAGATCGCGAAGTGTCTGAACCTCGTTAAGAACGTGAGCAAGAATGGCTTGATTCATGAGAGTGTGAATGTGGACTACGGGAGGGACTACACGAGGAGTTGGTTCGCGTGGGCTAACTCTGTGTTTGCGCAGACGATACTAGATCTAGCGGCTAGGAAACCCCATCTGTTGTTCGGAGAGGGCGCAAAGCCGTATGTGCTTGGTTGATGATGTATGGGATTATGCTATGTGTTTGGCGGCATGTGTATGAGATAGATAGATGACCAATTTCAAGCTCAGTCATAGCAATGATTTGTGTCCGTGATATCCATCCATCCCCCTCTGATGATGGCGCAAGGCGCATCAGCGGATGGGAACTTGTTGTGCTGCTATTCTGTCCATGATTCTTCTTTGAATTCATTCTTCCTCCCACTTCTGCTTCTGCGTAGTTCGCTTTGTTGCGACTGGCTGCCAACGCTGGATTGCGTGTACCAAGATGGCTGTGTCGCCGGTACAGCGTCTTTCTATATATGGTATGACATCGGGCGAGACAGGCTTGACGCTATTAGGGTCAGGACAATTTCTTTCGTCGAACACGGTCCGCATATATCTAGCATGCGTTTTGCGGATACTGGGTGGCTGCTCTGAATGCGATATACGAAGTCCTGAGCTGGCTCAGCCTCAGTCCGTTGGGCGTTTTTCCAAGGAGCCAGGCACGCGTCTTGCGCGGCGCAAAGAACAAGAGCGAGATCGAACGCGCCGTCGAATGTTCAACGATCTGGCTGGTAATGCATCTTGTATTTCTTATTCGCTCGATCAGGCGCGCGGTTCTGGAATTGTTCGCCATTGATTTCGAAGACTAGTGGTCGGGGTGTTTCGACATTCTCTGCAGCTTCGAGAGGGATCTCCATCCGGTATATGGTGTGTTCTTTCGGTATTGCTTTTCATGGTCAGTAGTTGTTACCAACATGTGTGCACAGGAGAAAAACTTACTCTTCAAGACATTGCCTTTTGTAATGATCTCAAACACATGTTGTGAATCCCTCACCACAATACCCTTCAAGCCCACCCGACTGACACATCGACTCCTTACGACCTCCAGCATTGCGCCGTGCATATCGGCACTCCCAATCATTGCGCCGGCATGATCCACATGCACATGAGACTTCTTTTCCCCCGACGCTACCCCCTGCAGCCCAAGTATCTCTTTCATGTACCCTAGCCACAAGTTGTGTAGCGGCTCATATATTGCCCATTTCCGCTGTTCCTTCGGTATTTCGGATAGTCCCAGTTGTCTCTTCTTCGCAGCCGAGAGAGGACGCGGCTTCAGGTTCTTGCGCTTCTTCGCTTTCTCCTTCTTCTCGTTCAGAATGCGCCGGCGTGTCGCGCGCGCGGATGGCTCTGGTGACGTCGGTCGTAGGAACAAGGTTCGCCTGACCACGCGCTCTTCGTAATATCGGTCTGCAGCTTCTGGTGGAAGTGCGCGCTGCAAGAGTGCGTGGGCGAGGGGCTGTGTATCCGATGCCATGTGTGAAAGGATTCAACTATGGTAAACTCGGCTCCCAAGAAAGGTAGGATCTCTACGCTTTTATGATTTTCCGGTGAAGGACTGAAGCAGATGGTGACGCGACGTGAGCTAGCTTGATGGTGCTGTGTGATTCGGTGGATGATTGACGGTTGTTGTACTATAGGCAAGGCTGAAATGTTTGCGACTGAATGATCTGATGTTCTAGAGATCTGGAGGTCCGTGCCAGCGCTAATGCATTCACTGGTTTCCGAACCGAGCCATTCAGGATTGTACATGAAAGCCTCAATTAGGAAAGTATCAAGGCCAAGACTTTTATGGTGAATTCTTATTGGTAGAGATAAGACGCTACATCCTGGATGAACCCTGTCACTCATGTGGTCTACTACCCCAGCTTCATACACGAGATTGAGGCTTGCCGCAAGGCAGAAGTCAAAACCCCTATGTTCTTATACAAGACAATATGGGCTGTACGAGTGTAAATCGCTCTGCGTGTTCGCACTCCTCGTACTGGTATTTCCTGGGCAGTCTTTCAATCATCTAAACGGCTTTCGTACAACATATATCTGGAAGTCAAGGCTACATCTCCCGATATGATCAAGACCGCTGGTTCATAGAACACTCCGCGAATCAGTTGCTCTATTCTCCATCTTCCTTTTTTTGTCATTATGATTCTTCCCTTGTTACTTCGACAGATCTGGACTCTCGCATTCAAAGACATTCTCCTGGCATTGAACCAAAAAATCCGTGTCTTTACCATCATACGAGCATTTTCAATTCCCACCGTTTTCGTCATCTACATATCCTTCATCATCAGGGTATACTGGCCGCGCGAGATATATGGCATTGGGAACCCAGCAGCAGTTCGTCCCTTATCAGACGCCATAAGGGACGCGCCGGGAAGTCGACGCACGCTCGCTCTCTGTAATTATGGATCACAAGGCGGAGACATTGATGAAGTTATCGACCTTGTTGCAAGATCAGCCAGCGGCAACAATGGCCAGACCATACAGGTTCTCCATCATCCTGATGAACTCCTGACGCTTTGTAGGAGTACGTTGTCTGGAGTAACGAAATGTTTCGCAGCAGCGGAATTCCATTCATCACCAGACCAGGGCGGCAGCTGGAACTATACCCTTCGAGTTGATGGTGCCTTGGGTTATAAGATCGACGTAGAAAAGAACAAGAACGATGCTGAGATTTTTCTCATTCCATTACAGCATGCTGTTGATACTGCGATATCCAGTGTCAGCTCAGAATCTCGGAGCAGCTCAGTTCCACCAAAGGTTCATGCCTATCCATATACCTCGGAGACACAGAAAGAATGGAACTATAAGCTAGTGACGGGTATCCAGAATGCCATTGCCAAATACATCGCCGTGGTGTGGTACATTGCATTCATTGGCTTATGCTATCAGCTTGTGGGATTGATGGCTAGAGAGAGAGAACATGGCATGGCCGATCTGTTGGAGTCAATGATGCCGAACGTTTCCCGTTGGCAACCACAGATGGCAAGGTTGCTTGGACATTGGGTTGCCTTCACATTGGTAAGTCCCCTAATGCTTCGGAACATTGTTGGTCTCTGACACTAAGAAGATTTACTTTCCATCCTGGATAATCATTGCAATCGTTGCCAGGCTCGGATTGTACCCAAATACCAACCCGATCATCCCCATCATCTTCTTCGTATTGACTGGACTGTCATTGAACTCCTTCTCGATCCTTGGCGCATCACTCTTCAGGAGAGCTCAGCTCAGCGGTATAACGGTTGTAATTGTGGCACTGGGCCTAGGTGTTGCTGCGCAAGTAGCAGCTAAGTCTCTCTCCACCGCAGCTGTTGCAATACTAGGATTACTGTTTACACCAATGACCTTTGTCTTCCATATGATATGGATGGCTCATTACGAGCACAAGCGGATATCGCCCAACTTGATCAAGGCGTCACCGGGGGCATCATGGGAGATACCTGGTCTTGTATTCTGGATATGTATGCTGATTCAGATTGTTGCATACCCTGTTTTGGCGGCCCTAATTGAACGGAAGCTACACTATCCGACATCTCACGGAAGAACAATCATCTACGAGGATGACGATCAACCGATCGTATTGTCAGGATTCACCAAATATTACCAACCTAGTTGGTTCTTCCGGACCGTCGCCCCATTATTTGGGATTCACAAGCCCACCGTAAAGGCAGTCAATGATGTTTCTATCGCCCCTATGAAGGGTCAAATCATGGTATTGGTCGGTGCAAACGGATGTGGCAAGTCGACCACCCTGAATGCAATTGCAGGGCTGGGAGACGTTACAAGTGGTTCAATTGTGGTGAACGGGTCTGGCGGTATTGGTATCTGCCCGCAGAAAAACGTTCTCTGGGATTACCTTACCGTCTCTCAACACGCGAAAATCTTCAACCAGCTCAAGTCGGTCACTCAAGCTCCCAATCACCTGGCCGAACTGAGTCAGCTCGTATACGACTGTGGTCTCAGCCACAAGATGCAATCGTATGCTACCACTTTGTCTGGCGGTCAGAAACGAAAATTGCAGCTCGTGCTAATGCTCACTGGCGGGAGCCAAGTCTGCTGCGTTGATGAAGTTTCTGGAGGACTTGACCCGCTATCTCGAAGAAAGATTTGGGACATCTTGCTTGCCGAGCGAGGTAAACGGACCATCGTCCTCACAACTCATTTCTTGGACGAGGCAGAGTTTCTTGCGGACCACATGGTCGTGATGTCGAAAGGAAGTGTCAAAGCGGAGGGTTCGGTTTCTCAATTGAAGACTCAGCTTGGCGAAGGCTGTCGTTTTCATTTCCTTCATGGGACGGGCTACAGCAAACTTCCAGACGTCGAAGATTTGTTCGTCAACATACCGAAAGAACAACTATTTGACCAGACCATATACACGGTCCCTGATTTCCAACGATCCGCAAATATCATTCGGACTCTGGAGAGCCGGGGCATTATCGATTATCAAGTCAGTGGCCCGACTATTGAGGAAGTATTCATGAAAATCGCCGGAGAACCCAATTTTGTGCCAACTTCCGGTAAGCCGAAGTTGCTACTTGACGAGGACCAGCATTCATCTGTGCACGAGAATAAGGAGGGCAAACAAACCGTTGTACAAACAACTGAGTCCGCCAACGAACCTCTCATGACGGGCCGACCTGTTGGTCTCCCGAAGCAGACACTCGTCATGTTTAAGAAGCGCCTAACAGTTTTCCGAAGAAATTATCTTCCCCTGGTCTTAGCATTGCTCATCCCTATTCTTGCCACTGGTCTTGTGTCGATTCTTCTGAAGGACAAATCCTATGGTGGCTGCTCCCCCACACAGCAGGTTGATGAATCAAAGTTCACCACGCTTGAAGACGACAGTGACTACCGGCCCTTGCTAGTAATTGGTCCCAGCAGCGCATTTGCAAACGTGGACCTTTCCCTATTTCAATCACTGCTACCTAGCCAGTTCGGGAACGCACAGTCTAACACGAGCGATATATCGCAGTACATCAGCATTGTCGAAACTATCGATCAGTTCCATGAGTATATCGAGGCAAATTTCAGCTCGGTCTCACCTGGAGGATTTTTCCTGGGCGAAGAACCGACCTTCGCCTTCTATTCCAATCTTGGGTATCTGGGGCTGTACTCTTCCATCTTCATGCAGAATGCAGTGAATGTATTAATGACGAACACGACAATTACTACAAATCTCAGGTGAGTACTACTACTGTGGAATTGTAATGTACATGTCTGACAGTCCGCAGATCATTCAGTTATCCATGGCGAGACGATACAACCGATCAATATCAGTTCCTATTTTACTTCGGGTTGATTATGGCTTGTTACCCGGCATTTTTCGCCTTGTATCCAACGAAAGAAAGAGTTTTGAACATCAAGGCACTGCAGTATAGCAATGGTATGTCTCCGTTATTTTTTGAAATACTTCAAGACGCTAATATTATTTACTAGGTGTGCGACCTCTTTCGCTTTGGCTAGCCTATCTATCATTCGATTGGATCATTGTCCTTGTATCCAGTAGCATCATGACAATCATTCTAGCGACAGCGACTCCAGACAATTGGTGGAACATCGGCTACCTTTTCGTAGTTCTGTTCTTATATGGCCTGGCATCACTACTATGGTCATACACCATCTCCCTATTTGCCAAGTCGCAATTGGCTGCATTTGCTATTGCAGCTGGATCACAGGCGTAAGAACGTACACCCATTCAAACAAAACCCTCACTAATGCGCATCAGTTTTCTGATGTTGATGTACTTCACTGGATGGATGCAGATCCAATCCAACGTAGACGCGAGTGAAATCGACAGCACACTAACAATCTTCAACCTCACATTCACCATCATAACGCCCATCGGCAATCTCTTGAGGTCGCTGATCATCGCCATGAATCTCTTCTCGCCACTTTGCCGCGGAACCCCGCCGCGAATCGCAACATACGGGGGTGAATTCAAGCTTTACGGCGCCCCGATCTTATACCTATTATTCCAATCCGCATTCCTCTTTTTCATTCTCTTGTCAACAGATTACAAGTGGACAGCCCGGTGGTTCAAGACCAAAGCGCCCGCCAAAGACCCAGAAGACCAAGACACCTGCGAGCAGGAAGTACTGGACGAAATCAATCGGGTCGCTGAAGCCTCTGACGGCCTGCGTGTCCAGCACCTCACTCGGCACTACAAGTCCAAGACAAAGACTCGAGCTCCACTTACCGCAGTCGACGATCTCACATTCGGGGTCCAGAAAGGCGAGGTCTTTTCTATCATCGGCCCTAACGGTGCGGGTAAATCGACGACGATAAGTATGCTCCGCGGCGAGATTCCGCCTAGTCGGCCGGAAGCGGAAATTCACCTCGGCGATGTCGATGTGCTGAGAGAAAAGAGTGTCGCGAGGGCGAGATTCGGGATATGTCCTCAGTTCGATGCTATTGATCAGATGACGGTGCTTGAGCATCTCGTCTTCTATGCCGGGGTGAGGGGCGTGTCGGATCCGAAGCTTTGCGCAGAACAGGTCGTTAATGCTGTGGGATTGGATCAATTCAAGAATACCATGGGAAGTAAGCTGTCGGGTGGTAACAAGAGGAAGTTGAGCTTGGGTATCGCGTTGACTGGGAATCCTGAGTTGGTGTTGTTGGATGAGCCTAGTAGTGGGATGGATCCATTGGCAAAGCGGATCATGTGGAAGACACTGATCAAATTTGTGCCTGGGAGAAGCGTACTGCTGACCGTAAGTTTGGGTATTCCATTAAAGTATTTGACATTGGTCTGACTGATGTGCATAGACACATTCCATGGAAGAAGCAGTCCACTTGGCTGATCGCGTCGGTTTTTTGGCGAAGCGAATGCTCGATGTGGGAACAACTTCGCATCTTCGGAACAAACACGGTCATGGTTTCCACCTCCAACTCATATGCGCTTCCGCGCCCAATACGCCCGATGATCAAATCGAGAGTATCAAGCAATTTGTCGAGGAAAAGCTACCTGGTTCGAAGATTGAAGGCTTCGCCTACCATGGACAAATGCGATTCAGTGTCCCTGCCAAGGGATCCATCACCTCCTTCGAGACATCCTCTGAAGACAAGATAGAGGAGACTATACAAGAGAGTGAAGAAGATGTCACTGTTGGCAAATTATATGTGCTCCTCGAGGAGCACAGGGAGAGATTGGGACTGGAGTTCTACTCTGTTAGCCCGTCGACGTTTGATGAAGTATTCCTGAAGGTCATAGACAAACACAAGGTTGGTGAGGAGGATACCCCGAAGATAAAGATGAAGTGGTACGATTATTTGAAGATGTTTTTGCCTCTCCTCTTTGTGTAGGCAATGTAGAAGATTTGTAATATTTAATAGAACTTTTCAAGCGTACTGTGAGCTGCATTAAATATATGAACCATGTATGTAGCGCCAACAATGAGCTAGCATCACATCACCGGCCCGTACCGAGGCCTGTACACCTTTATCTGTGCTAGTACCGGGAGTTTATTCATTTCCATCAAGAGTGCAACATTGCGTATGAAATGAAAAGCTTGCCCCTTTTGGCTTACGTTATGTTGTTGTTCCTGGAGCACGCCACGCTAAAAGTGACCGTCAGATCTCGACGTCACCCCACTAGCTCCCGATCGCCGCACCAATTGCTGCCCCTCCGACGACTCATCTATAATTAATTCATCACCCCACGAAGAAATCCATAGAAGAACCCAAGAACCTGGAATTAGACATATAAAACCAATCAATTCTACTCTGATCGATGCTCACGCGCCGAACACTCCAATCCACTGGTGTAATCAAAAATTCACTTTCAACGTCCTTCCGAGTCATACCCTCACCATTCATCCATCTCAATCTATTCCGCGCTTCAACACCACAAACCGCAAAAATGTTACACTCCGCCAAACCCCCATCAATAGACCCTCAAATGCAGCCGGAAGGCCCCTCGACATCATCAAAACGCATCTTCGCGCCAACAGGCGGATCCACAGACCCAGGCCACGCAGTCCAATACGCCAAAGGTGCCCTCGACCGCGACGACCTGTCCCCTTCACCCACAGACCAATTCCACGCCTGGTTCAAACATGCCGTGGACTCCAAAGTGTACCAACCGGAAACCGTCACCTTATCTACTGCGTCACTACCGTCTGGAAAAGTTTCTGCTCGCACGGTGTTCATGAAAGAGCTAGATGACAAGGGATTCGTGATCTATTCGAACTGGGAGACGTCGAGGAAGGCGGCGGACGTGGCGAGTAACCCGCAGGCTGCGCTGACGTTTTGGTGGAGGGAGCTGGAGAGGCAAGTCCGTGTTGAGGGGCGTGTGGAAAGGTTGACCGCGGAGGAGAGCCAGGTGTATTATGATACGAGGATCCGGGCGAGTAGGATTGGGGCTTGGGCGAGTCCGCAGTCGAAGGTTCTGGATGGGAGGGAGGAATTGGAGAGGAGGGTTAAGGAGGTGGAGGAGAGGTTCGAGGGCCAGGAAAAGATTCCTGTGCCGGAATTCTGGGGTGGATTGAGGGTCATTCCTGAGGTTGTAGAGTTCTGGCAGGGGAGGCAGAGCAGGTTGCACGATCGGTTTAGGTATACGAAGCAGGAGGATGGAGAGTGGAATATTGAGAGGTTGGGTCCTTGATGCATGGAAGTGGATAGAGAGAGATCGTGTTTAACTATATCCCAACTCAAAACTTACATTATGTTCCGTATTGGCTTCAAAAATCAAGATAACTACAAGCACTTAGAAAAGTGTGTATACTATGGATGGTAATAAATGACGACGATGTGCCGTTCTGCAATCCTTCCACAAATTCAATAATCATACTTTCGAATATAATCCGTTCTTCTCATCAACCAATTGACGGCTATCAACGGAACAAGCCAACTTCTTCTATTTCCGGGGATTCACCAGCCTTTTCCGGTCAGATTCCGGATAATCTCTTCATGTTCAACGATGGAATCAAAGCCAAATAGTAATAAACGAAACAATATTCACCATTCTACCTATAATTCATCAAGTGCCCTACTAATAAACTAGATGGGACCAAATCACGTGTTGCACGAAACGGACCTTCAATGTCCGGTAGCACGTCATATAAACGGAAATGTCAGAATTGGTGACGATCTGGGACACTAGGGAATGACGAATAGAGCAATGCAATAGTGCTAGTAAACATATCAAAATTGATATATTTCTCTCAAGGGGATATCGAGATAGATCAATATATTGTGAACAAAAAGCTACGATCAATGATGAAGGATCAATTATCCATTACCCCAAATCCGCCTTCCCCAGTGGATGGCATGACTCGCGCAGGTGTAACCCCGCCTCTGGTCGGAATTAATCCGAGATATACCGAGTTGCAGCTCTCAAATACAACGGAAAGCTCCACCACTCGCGCAACGCCGACCTCGCAGAAATCTTGCATTAACAATAAACCGCTTATCTCTCTGAATCGTAACATATAAAACCTCTCCCATTCTTCCCTTCCCCCACGATCTCGAGACCGTACATGAATTCCCACCTCTCCCAAACCACCCGCAGCATCCTCCGCACGACCTCCGCCCTCGCCAGAGCAGCATCCCCGTTCCGATCCTCCAACACAGGGACAATACCCCACCAATTGCGCAATCTGCTCCACCGTCAACACGCCAACATGTCCTCCTCTGTCTCCCAGCGCCTCAAGGGCAAGACGATCTTGATCACGGGCGCGAGCTCCGGCATCGGAAAGGCGACCGCCCTCGAATTCGCCCGCACGAGCCCAGAAGACCTGAAGCTCATCCTCACCGCGCGGCGCATCGACACGCTCAAGGAGATCGCGGCCGAAATCGAGGGGTTCGCAAAGGGCGTCAAGGTGCTTCCCGTTAAGCTCGACGTTAGCAATCCTAAGGAGGTTGCCGGGCTCGTAGACGGCCTGCCCGCTGAGTTCAAGGAGGTCGATGTGCTGGTTAACAATGCGTGAGCACCCACAAACCCACCCCCTCGAACTCCGTCCAAATAACTGACAAAATGACCCAGCGGCCTCGTAAAAGGTGTAGCCCAAGCGCCCTCCATCGCCGCCGAAGACATTGACGTCATGTTCGCGACCAACGTCACCGGCCTCATCAACGTGACCCAAGCCATCCTCCCGATCTTCAAGAACCGCCCCGACGGCGGCCGCGGCGACATCATTAACATTGGCTCAATCGCAGGCCGCGAGCCCTACCAGGGAGGCTCCATCTACTGCGCGACAAAAGCCGCCGTGCGCTCGTTCACCGACGCGCTGCGCAGGGAACTCATTGCTTCCCGCATCCGCGTCATTGAGATCGATCCCGGACAGGTGGAGACGGAGTTCAGCGTCGTGAGGTTTTACGGTGATAAGGATAAGGCGAAGAAGGTTTACGAGGGTGTCGAGCCGTTGACGCCGGATGATATCGCGGAGGTGGTTGTGTTTACAGCGGGCAGGAGGGAGAACGTCGTCATTGCTGATACACTGATTTTCCCTAATCACCAGGTAAGTTGAGCTCCTGCGGTTTTTGATCGAATGGCGCTGATATGTGTGGTCTACAGGCCGCGGCAACCGTCATGCACAGGAAGACTCAGTAGAAGAGCTAACCGCCACAACAGGCTGGGGCGGGCACCGCTATGTATAGAAAGCCGGTATCGAAGTCGAACAAGCTATAGACGAGAAAAGAAGGGAATTGACACTAAACCTCAGTGCAATATCGAGAGAAGCCAGCATATGCATGATCTACACATCACATCACAACCACATAGAACAACATCTTAACAAGAAATGTAAAAAGACTCATCGAACATGGAAACTCGTTTCATTATTCCAGGTGGAATTCATGTCATAATACTAATAATACAACAGCGTACGCATCATGGTATCGTTATCATCTATTTCTTTCCCTTGTTGCGGAGGTACTCCTCCTCTTCTTCCCTGAGCTCCTGGTCGATCTTAGCGCCCCTGCTGGGCTCGTTGCCGTGTGCGCGTGCCTGTATACCGACGCATTAATTCAATTGCCCCCATGAATACATGAATGTTATTGGGAGGGCAGGTACTTACGGGAAGAGTAGCGTCCTCCTGTCCCAAGCGGGCCTCCTCACTGAGGTTGGCCTCCTCGCTGCGCTGCTCTTCGCGAGCGAGCTTGTTGGCGATGGAGCGCTCGTCCTCTGTAGGATCGGACGTTAGTTTCACCTCATGTGTGACCTGATGCTAGGGGAAAGACATACTGGAGTCAAGAGCGAGATGGCTGTTCTCCTTGCCCTCGTGGAACCTCTCGGGCTGGTTCTCTGATTGCTTGTAGTTGCGCTGGTCGCCCGCCTCGTAGACCGAGCTGTTTCCGACGCTGGAATTGCCTGACATTTTGGATTTGTTTTGGGAGTTGGAATTGAGGTATCAGAATACAAAAAAGTCAATTGAGAGGTAGTTTTTGATTATGGAGGTGAATTGAACAATGTCGAAAATCAAGGGCGTTGCGAGAAATTTATGTAGATAGCTCCCGATGTGAGAGCTATGATGATGAATGATGGAGCTCATGACGTAGTGATGAACGCACTGTGGGTCGGTTCCGATAAGTGTTGCAATGTGTGGGTGGGAGTGCAAATTTCATTCAGGTACAGTGTCTAGTGGGGGATCTAACGTTGGATGTCGCAATTCGTGCGGATCGGGCATGATTCTTTTGGTTCTTCGGGTGAGGCTGCGAGAAAGGATGCCCAGATGTTGGAGGATCTGTGTGGATGAATGCATGGGTGGCGTCACGTGATGGTACAACATCACGATTCGTTCCCGTTTTCTCAAGCATAACACTGTACACTCTGACTGATCATCTGAACCCATTATTTGTATCGCTTTATAATGTATCAATGCTTTATTGCATCTGAAAAAAAACAATCGCTATGAGGGGCCTGCTCCTACCAGCTCATATCTCTATCAAGCTGAGATCCTTGACCACTTCGTCCGCAGATGCGTAGTTGCCTCTCCAACAGTTCCGAACGATATCGCCCCCTAATGAGACATCTAGAGCAGGGAATTGGCCCTTTTGGTATAGTTCTCTAAACTTGGCTTCGTCGTTGATGGTGTGATACTGTGGGTATGGCCTGTGACCGGTAATGATATGGTAGATAGTAGACCCCAGAGCGAAGATGTCTGTCCTCACATCTGCAACTTTTCTATCTTCGCGAGGCATGAACGACTCTGCATTCTCTGAAGCTCCACCAGAAAGAAGGACCTCTCCATCAGCCCCCAACAATCGGCCCTGGAAGTCACAGAGTTTGATGTGAAGCTCGTGATCGAGCAACATGTTGCGAACATGAATGTCGCATATTAGCACGTTGCTCCGATGAACATGGGCAACGCCCTCCGCCGTTTCTCGGGCGAATCTGATCTTCTCTTTCATGGTGACGTTTGTGTTTTGTATATAATTTGCCAACGATCCGTTCGGTGCATACTCGAGAAGCAAACCGTCCTCATGCTCCCCTTTGAATTCAATGATGCGAGGATGTTTGCCGAGCTGTCGGAACATTGCAGTTTCGATATCAAGTGCGTTTGAGCCATCTTTGAAATGCGGATATTTCAGAATTGTTGTCTCGTTGACGAAACCAATGTAGTGGTCGCTACCAGTGGTAATGATGTATTGTACTCCTTTCGGAAAATAGGGAGTGACATAGATATCCCCATCCATTTTTTTGTTTGGGCCGCTGACATTGTATACTCACGTCGCGGTGAAAGGGATGAAGGTACGCGGATGATCTGAAGCAGTTATGTAAGCAAGGCTGAGCAACTCAAGGAAAGACACAGGTATGTGCGGAAGCCTATCAACAACCTGAAATATGTAGAGAGGTTGACCTGGCTCGTCCTGGTCCTATCATACTTACAATCATCACCTTCTATTGCTTTGAATGAGAAGATTTAGCGAATTTCAGTTCGCATATTTTGATAGGAACTGTGGAATATTGTTGTATATCATTAATGTATCTAGAGAGTAGAGCAACATCCCCGTCACTTCAAAGTCAGAAACGAACCTCCGGCCCAGAAATCAGAAATATGGACTTTCGGACTTTGAAATCACGTCCCAAAGTAGTGAATAATGATATTGTATTGGGTCCCACGTTTTTCGTCAACATTGTTGAGATTGAACGTTGTGCGGTATAGAACCACTGCACAATGGTAGAAACTTTGGGATGTTGAGGAGATTCGTATACTTTCACTGCAAGTGGAAATAATTGCAGCAAGGTCATTGAATGCCAACAATCATGGCACGAATGAAACATTTTCTCTCCGTCATTTATAAAGACTCTCTGCCATCTAGATCAGACTGCTTCGCTTTTGTAAACTCAACCCCTGACTCCCTCACACACACATCTCACCTTCATTGTACAGTGAGACATCTACGCTACATTGTTCATCCACCATTGCTGCTGTCATATATAACAGCAGTAACTCTTTACCCGAGAACGCAAAAGTCTTCATCTGCACCTTCTTGAACCTTTGTAAGGTCTCACACACCAACCGTCATGGCGTTTCCAATCTCCAATAACCCTGAATCCACAACCATCAAGATTTGGGTAGACGAAGAAGAAGAGGAATGGGATTACAACGAAATGCTCGACGATTACACCACCTGGGAAGAATCGAAAGACGCTATAACCACACCAATTCCCCAGTCGCCACCCGCATCGTCGTCGCCCACACCATCGGAAGGACCCTCAACAACTCAAGCACCCTCTTCATCCACGGAAGGAACCTCCATGACTCACGTATCGCGCTCACCCCTGAAAGAAATCCCAACAACCGAAGAGAAAACTTCCTTCCTATCATCAGATACTGCACTACCCCAATACTCCGAAGCCAGCGAATCACCCAGCGATGACTCGCACCTACAGTTCAATTACTACGCCTACTACGAGGTGAACCCCTCAACCGTGTACGTCGACCACCGGCTGGATGTCATCAATGGCTCCCTGACCCAGAAACGCGTGGATGAGAACTACACTCTACGATGGACTCACGACCGCAACCTCCATGTGGCTCAGAAACCGGCGTGGGAGCGCTACTCTGTGGTGATGCCGTCTCGTTTAGCCAAGGAGTGCCGTTTTGATGACAAGGACGAGTCATCGGACGCGAATGAGGAAGGTTCCTGGGAAAACTCGTCTTCGGAATCTGTTGGTACAGGCTCTCCTATGGATTGGGAGAGCCATGCGTACTCTGGAGGCTTTGCTGGCTTCTACTGTAGATGATGACTAGGAGGTGAAGGGTCGGAAGCCACTGGCTTTGCAGACTCGATCCATGCCCGGTACTGAGAACGTTTCAATACGCGAAGGCAATGGGGGAATTTGCAGGCCATCTTGAGGAGGTAGTGATGGCAGTATGATTTGTACAGACAACTAAGGGGCAGAGGGCGCATTTCACACTGGATGCCGCATGTAATTTGGACAATGGCATTGTTGAGATGCCCATGTATATCTTCTATAGAATGAGAAATTTAATCATCTAGAATATTTGTCTTATGAACTATGCTGTAACAGCGAACAATCTGAACTCCTTCCGCAAGCCTTCCACATTTCCCTAAGCCCCTTTCACTCATATACTGCCTTGTAACAGTGAATAATTACAACACCTTCTGAAAGAATTATATCATTTTACAACTATGATCTGTAACAGTCCTATTCTGAAGATTATTATCACTCTATGAAATTACCCCTAATTATGATATCTCGGAGCTTGCTCGGTGAAGTTACAAAACCCGCCTGTGAGGATCTATCACATGTGTCCAGTGACCAACGATCCCAACAGCTTTGGAGATGCCATGAGATGAATCAAATGACTGAACTGCAATGGAAAGAAGCGGTACGTCATGCATCGTGTGCCCATTATAGGAAATCCCAATTCGTGCTTGTTATCCCGACGTCGTTTCGTGGTTCACCACTGACACGAGACTTATAGTATGGAAATGCAACATTTTGATGCCGAACCTTGGAACCCATGAGATATCCAATATTTGAGCAAGTATTGAAGATACAGATTGTCGGGTCTCTGAATGAATATATAAGACTCAGAGTTCCTCAGCTACTACAATCCATTGTACTCAAGCATCTTCCAGCAGAATCAACTGTCAACCAGCTCAGTACACTATCACAACAAAACATCAACGGACACTATCATCACTATCCCAACTACCACAACCAGCCTCTATCAACGAACTGAATCGACTGTCACCGGTTCAGCACGCTGTCATCAACAAGCCATCTACCAACACTCTCAACCTCTCCCAACAACTTGAGCCCGCTGTCGCCGGTTCAATCCCCCATCCCATCAAAACCCCTTTATCAAGCACTCCCCCTAACCTCCCACCACCTCACCAACCCAAAATGTTTCTCTTCCAAGCCACCCACCGCATCATCAACACCTGCCTCCTCAACAGCCCCCTCCCCCAAGCACCCTCTCCTACAACCCCCCAGGAACCCTCTCCCATAATCCCCCAATCCCCCTCCCCCACTACACCCCAAGCACCCTCCCCCACAACCCCTAAAGCCCCCCGCCGTCGCACCACCCCCCCAAGCCCAACCGCCCAAAAATTGGGCAAGCAACTCACCCGCACGCTCGCCGAGCAGAAGCAGCAGCACCCAGGCGTGGAGCCCCACTGGCGGCCAACCCTCTACACGATATTGGGCGCCGAGCACGCGCAGCAAGCGGCCGTCAACCGACGCCTGGCCCCGGCGAGCTTCCGCGAGTACCTGGCGCAGGACTCTGCGAAGCACGGGGTGCGGCTGCACTCTGAGCAGCTGGAGGGAAAGCCGGCGGGGCGGCGGCTGGGGCGAGCCATTGGGCACGCGAAGGTGTGGCGGCGCGAGGAGTTGAAGAGGGATGGGAGGGCGTTGCTGCATGGGCAGAGTGGGTTGAGGGTTGTGGAGGCCGCCGTCGAGGAAGGGGAAGAAGCGGTGGAGGTAAGTTGCTGGTCCTGGTCCTTGATTGTGTCTAGATGATTGTGAGTGCTAACATATGGTGACAGGCACCGACGTACGAGAGGAAGATGTCGCATGCGGAGCTGTGCCGACCGTGCAAGAAGATGGTGGCGAAATGCAAAACCAAATCTGGGAAGAAAAAGGTGGTCATGAACTGCCAGATCCGGAACAGTGTAAGTACCACAGTTCCCTCCCCCTTTTCCTACCAAGCCACGGTTCAAACGACTAATTGTATTCCAGTTGGGCGAAGAATACATCGAATCGAGCACCCGACAGAAGCAGCCATGCCGCTGCGGGGTAGATCTAGAGGCGATAAAAAATGAGCATAATCGCGTACAGCACATCAACTTCTGCTGGACGAGGTTCGCTAAAGAAAGCGATGCTCGCAAGTTGAGCAAGAAGACGAGGAGGAAGTTCGAGTTGGGGGACATGACGAAGGCGCGTCATGACAGGACCTCGAACGACGACTACATCCTCTTCGCCATCATTGAAGGCGAGTATGATCCCGACAGCGTGGAGGCCCCTCGGCGTGCGGAGTCGGCTCCCAGTGTGCAGCCTGCTCCTTCTCGCCCTGTGGCGCCGGATCCCCTAACAGAGGAGGAGGAAGGAAAGAGGGACCAGGCCCCTGAAGGCCCACCCAGCACTCTTTCCCAACCTCCCCCTGTGGAGTCCGCTCCCCCCGTGGAGGCCTCCCCTCCCTCTCCCCCTCCTCCAGAGTCATCGCCGTCAGCCCCCTCTGAAGTCCCCCCGGGCAGTCTATGCCCACACTGCCAAACTGACCTCCAAGCCCTACGAGCAGAGTCACGGGAAATCCACGCCCTGCTCTGCCCTCTCAACAGCCTCCCCCTCTGCTGTCCAGGGTGCGGCGTGGCGCTACGGCAGGACGACAGTGCGGCGGCGAGACATGTAGTGCACTGCGTGCGGCAGGGGAAGAGGGCACGTGGTGTGGAGGCTGCTGGGAGAGTGAAGAGGACTAAGGTCGTGGTGGGGGAAGTGAGGCATTTTGGTATGAGGCATGGGGGGATTTTGATGCCTGGGGAGGGGTTGCCGAGGAGGGCACCGCTGGAGAGGAGGAGTCAGGTTAATGGGAAGGGGAGGCCGCTGATTAATTATGATCGGCTTTTGAGGTGGGTTTCGACGGAAGGTGATGGGTCGGAAGGGGTGAAATGAGGCTAGATTTACGGAGAGTTGTGGTATTGTTTGATGGGTTATGATTGTTATGATATGATCGTTACGAAACTAATAACCTGAATTTCAAAAGGAGTTTCACAATAAAATCCAAAATAAGGAACATAAATTCATATAAAGTGTAAAAGAGTGTTGGGTGCCTGCACTTCCACCTTTGATGTACGAAAAGAAATAAAAAGTGAAACCGAAAATGAAGAAAGAACGCAGGATTGAAAACGAATGTCCATGTTAACATAATGTATCGTCATCATAACATCCAAAAACTCATTCATACCAAGCAGTAGAGGAGCCTAAACCTTCTCGCTGCCTACCTCTTTGATCTCAGTTGGACCTATCTCAAGTGAGTCTGAGCCCTCAGTGCGGTCTAGAAGTGCCTCAGTGAGCGAAGTGTAGACTACGTTGGCTTTCAGACTGCCCCTCGTGGAGGTCGTCACACTTGCGGAGTCATATAGGACCCAGCCAAATCGCTCAAACCTCAAACGAACCTGCGTGTTGAGATTCACAAAGCGCAACTCAAGATCTTTGCCGCCGTATTTGGCTAGGTCGATGCTGAGGTCCTGAAGGGCGATCAACGCCGTGGTGTCGATGGTAGCGACTTTGGCGAAATCCAGTACGACGAAAGATATCTGATGGGGTTCGTCTACGATGCCCACCTTGGCGCGTAGCTGGCGAACTCGACGCTCGCCTGAGACGCTCCAGTTGCGGTTTGCCTGCTGTAGTTCGAGAGACACGACGGAGCCTGAGTTGTACGTCTGCACTACGTCGAAGCATCGGGACTTCAGGCGAAACGCGTTTGAGAAGATGACGCTTTGAGAGGGTTGGAATACTTGGGTGTCTAGGGGAATGCTCTTGATCGGATACTTCTCGACAACTTGGTTATTGTCTTCCACAGTGGTGACGTGAGTAATGTGCTGGAAGGCAGTGTACAGAATGTGGAATGCGAGATTGAAACCAACGGCAGAAGCAATGCCAATCTCAGTCGAAACGAAGAGTGTGACCCAGAAGGCAAGCATAGAAGCAATGAAGTCGACAAGGGAGGTCTTCCAGTACCCATAAAAGACTCTGGGTGGAAGGACGACGTGCCAGACGGCGGTAACAATGATGGCAGCAAGCGTGGCCTTGGGTATCCAGTAGAGAGCAGGAGTAAGCTCATAGATAGCGAGAATAACGAAGCCACCGGCAATGAAGCCGTACATTGGGGACTTGACGCCCGTGTCCGAGTTGACTGCAGTGCGCGACATGGCACCACCAACACCCATAGACGAGAAGAAGCTATTGAAGAAATTGGCGAATCCGAGATACACCAGCTCTTGGGCAGGGTCTATGACATAGTCATTCTTTCTTGCAAAGCCTTTGGCAATGGCGAGGTGCTCAATGGCAGCAGCAAGGAAGGGAGCGACGGAGCGAGCAAAGACCTTTTGTATGAGTATAGGCTGAGGCATAGCAGGATGGACGATTCCTGATGACTTGACCTTGCTCAGTTCCCACACCGGGTCGTCGTCTCGATTCTTGTTGATCCCATAGCTGATGCCAGTGAACAGAATCAGGACGATGGCACTGCGCGCAAGCGCGACGAACCATATAATCTTGTTCTTCTTGCCCCATCGTTGTCCCATCTTCTGCATGAGGACTAAAAGAAGAATGCCTCCTAGACCCACACCTACTGTGGGCCCTTTGAAGTCAGGTATCTGTGCAAATAGATCGTGAATGATCTTTGCTGTCCCCGTCCCGACTTTGACACCAAACAGTGACGGAATCTGGCCGAGCATGATGACAATACCGGCAGCAGAGATAAAACCGTGTAGGACCGGGATAGAGACAAACTCTAGCAGGAATCCCAGTTTGAATAAGCCGACGATCAAACAATAGATTCCCATCGACATAGCAACAGCAGATGCTATGGCCTCCGGGGCGAAGCCTTCAGATGCGATATCACGGATGATTTCAGCCGTCAGGAGACCAATGAGGGAGGTGGGGCCAGTGGACATATCTGTATAGTATTAGCCAGATACTGATGAGTGATACTTGTCCTACTTGCCTTTGGATGTACCCATGAAGAAGTACAGAAAGTTAGGAAGCCAGCTTGAGAAGAGGCCATGTTGCCCAGGGATAGTAGCAATCTTCGCGTAGGCCAATGATTGAGGTATCAAAAGGACACCGATGGTGATGCCCGCAAGTGCATCGTTGAGCAACCATCGAGGGTTGTATTTGGGTAGCCAGAAAATAACTGGCACTTTCTCGACCAGGTAATTGAGTGAAGCAGATGGTAGGGCTCGAGCAGCTCTGCCGCCGTAGTACCTAAAGCGTTGGGTGTTTTGATCCTCAGCGAACGCTGTACGGGCCTTGTTCCAATAACCCATGGTTCAAGAAAGTGAATGAGTGCTGGTAATGCAATAGACTGCTCTTATCAAAGAGTATTTGTATGCTCCTAGACATGAAAATGGCCTATCTGAAATGCTACGATATATAGGGGCATTGAGGCTCACTGACCTGCCAGACTTGAAAGGGCATCCTAGTATCTTGAAGTCACATCGTAACAGAGAATCCATGGTACTATCCAATCGATTGATAGACAGGTACCCGAGAGAGGAGAGACGACGGAGCATACGCAAATTGTACTAGAAGCCCTATCCTGATTTGCCAGCCCTCGGGCAGTTCTCGGAGTCTGCAAGAAACAGTGATACATTCATTTGAGGGGTAAGCCAGCTAACCAGGGTTGGACACCACCCTCAGCGAGTGACATAGAGGTACTTGACGACTATCGACGGCGACAGCGCATGGTTTCTCTATACATAAACACGGATACTGACGGAAAGTGGATGATCGTTCAATCTGAGAAGTGAAAGCTGCAGGTGACGAGATGAGGACGGGCATAGTGATAACAATGGTTTAGTCAGTCAGAGAGGCATCACTTGTTCTACCTGATCGAAGTAAATCATATAGACTGTGCGTGCTTGCAGTGACAACTTATCGAAGTCATGAAGGCATCAGTCTCTACCTTCACATACCTGAAGACAACCACCGGATTGCTCTACAACGCTTAATCTTGTCTGATGCGGTTGTGAATAGCCCCGCTTCTGCCAGGAATAGTAGCTGCGGCATTGTTCACTCGTGATGGTGCAGTGAGACCCGAAACAGTATAAGCTTCTACACAAGCTTCGACAAGACATTGGTTGGTAAAAAGCCCCTGTCAGTATCCATGGGATCACACGTCCTCGTTCTGTTTATTGGCGACATCAAGTGTAAGCAGGCTGCAGCTTGCGACACATATCAAGCATGAGCGGAAGAGGAAGAGGATAGCTGATAGGTGGAAATAGGATGATCGAAAGGACGGAAGCGGAACGGGCGCGAAGATCCCTGTGGTTTTCGAAGCAGGAATCGCGGGCCGGTGCACAGAAGAGGCCGAGGTGTCGTTGAATGTTTTGTTTCATGTCATGCCGACGATCAAAAGGAGCGGATCTTGATTACAAGACCCCGGCAGTGAGGATGGATTGGGTAATGTGGGAGGCTAAATAAAGAAAGGAGATGAGGTTGGACGAAGAAGTCGTGCTTGCTGGGTGATGGTGATGGTGACGAGGGTTCAGGATGATGATGTGCTGTTGGACTAGCCTGTTATAAGTAAAGCCCGGATAGAGTTATTGTTATGCGTTTCGATGAAGTGGATGTTACCCCACGAAATCGATCATCCACCAAGACTTTTATTCTCCGATATAATTACGGAGTACTGGCTCCATAATAACTCTGGCTGGGCGCGAGTTCAAGCCTTTCGCTGTTGATGCAGTGTAACGTTTGGCATATGCATACGGGGCTGCATCTGGTACGAAGAGTTGGGTTCAGTAATTTTGTTGATGTGTTTGTTCGTTTGTTTGTTTGTTCATGCCATTCAATGGTAGCGGCGTAGTGGTTGTGTGATCCCAAAAGGGCAGGAGGCATGAGTCGATCGTACACGATGGCAGTTATGAAGGATATTGATGTCGAATATTCTATCAAAGAGGCAATATGGAATGCAACATTCGAAGGGCCATTTGAATAACGATGAGACGGGAAAGGAAGTGGAGATGGGATTGTTATATGGGGATGGGAAAGTATGAAGAAGAGAGAGAGAAGACCAGGAGAGGAACTGATGGGGGATTTGCGACTAGTGGGAGCTAGAAGGAGCTAAGGGGAGCTCAAAACAGCTAGACCCGCTAAACCCAAAGGGGAGAGGAGAGAGAGACGTTACGAAATAATTTATGCCCTTTGGTTACTCCACTATGGACTCAATACCCATACCATTCACTCCTCCACAAAGATACATGCTCTAACATTAACATTAATAGTAACATTCTTTTTGTCGCATGCTCCTTCACTCCTTTGCACACTCGATGCAATGGCCAGGAAGAAGAATTCCCGGGTCGTCGACGAACCCAATGGCAACTCGATCCCTCCAAGCCCGTCCTCATGCGCATCATCCTCAAGTCCATTCGCCAACGTCAATGGCGCATCCTCATCCAAGAAGCCCGCCACAGGGCCTTCGACTTCTGCTCTCATAATATGTCGCAATAAGTAGGTCTCATGGGAGGCATGTTCTACAGACCGTTTTACGGCCGTTCCTCCCCAACGAAATCACCATACTGACTCTACCCCAACAGGCATTGGCGCTACATATCTTCCTTTCATGGCCCCTGGCTCCAGCTACCCCCAGAGGTCCTCGAATCACTTGCGCATAACAATTACCTCTCGCCACGTCCGCATCCCATAGACCCTGCCGTGTTCTACGATGTCGTCAAGATCCGAAAGGCCGTTGACGAGGCTACGAGTCTTGCTGTTCGAGCGACCAACGGGTTAACGTCCGCAGCTGTGACCAACTCACTAAACGCAGGGAATGGCATGCTAGGGAACGCCGCAGCGCTGGGGATAGGGTATGGGGGAGGTGGGGGAAATACAAAACTGAGTAGAGAGCGGAAACATCGCATGCGCGAAATGGCAACGGCGAAATTGAGCCAGGCCTATCACTTGGACGAGATTGCGGCCAGCGTCGCCACTATGCAATCGGCTTCTACGTTGGAAGATGTCGCCCATCTGGTGTTGCAGAGGAACCCCAATGACGTAGATGCCAAATATGTTCATTTTTTCCATGAGAAGATACCTTCCAGGATGATGGCGCGATTCACGCCGCTGGATACTCTGAATGAGATAATATCAGAAAGGCCGCATGACGGATCGCCGTGGAGGACGAGAGCGTTGACGCGCATATTCAAAGAGGACTTTCTAAATTCCGCGAAGGACCTGTCGGAAGGACTGGCGCTTGCTCGGTACCTCGCCGCGCAGCATCGCGCAGGCAAAGACCAATTAGTTCTGGCGAAGACCATGCAGGAACAACATGGTCGAGATTGGAAACAGCAGGTTAAAATACCCGAAGAAGATCAACCAAGTTCTCTTGAATCGCAGCTTTTGTTCCATCGCGCCGGTGTGTATTTCACGATCGCTTGTCAACATGTACATGATGCTTTAGATGGACTAAGGGAAGCCATGGAGGCGAAGGCTCGAAGAGACGCACAAACAGCTGCTGGAGAAGACCCAATACCAATAACGCTAGAGGAACTGAAAGATGATCAACGAAGGGCCGAGGCTCGAAAGCAGGTCCGGACGAATGCAAAGCGTGCCATCCGGGACTACGTTGGGTTCCTTTCTCACTTCGAATACACGCCAGGATTGTCTGCAGACGAAGCGGAAGAGTTTCTTCGCCGTGTTGGGAACTCGGCTAATGGCTACAGAAATCCAACACAAGGTACAGAAAAACCCTTAAACCGTCTTTTGGACTCTGCATCAAAACCTTCCTCCCCAGTATCAGAAGCACTGGTGCCACATCGCAAACCCAACACCCCCTATGGCGATCGACCAGCGTGGCCTAAGTTGCCACCACCAGAGATCTTTAAGTCGAGCCAGCTCTTCGACGCCTCTCCTCCCTCCTCTCTGCCTCCATACCCACCGCATCCATCTACCAATCCTGCCAGCTCCGCCAACTTAGCTGCTGCCGTCGCGCTCGCAGAGTACCACGAGCGCATAACCTACCACCCACTCCTCACTGACGCCCTACACTCCCTCCTTCTCTGTCACTCTCTTATTCAAACTCCACCCAAGGAGCTCCTCCGGCACGCCCACAATGCTGCCCGTCTTGCCCGCGTCTGCGACGGCTACCCCATCTTCCTCGCCGCTCGCTCTCCTGCCCGAGCAGACTGGATCGAAGTCCTCCGCCGCGCAGGAAACTGGATAGGTCTCTCCATGTCCTGGGAAACTCTATGTAGCCCAGCACCTCTCCCAGGCCACGCTGGCGGCAGTAGTAAATTGCCCAGCGACGCCCTTAGCACCCCCGCCTCCTCTACTTCCTCATCCTCCACCGCCACAACCTCAACAAAGCCTCCGCCGCCCCACCATCAAGAAGAAACTCCCGCCCAAAAGCGCGACCGCCAGAAGCACGAAGCCATCCTCGAAGCCCTCGCCGACGACCGGGTCGTCGACGAAGAATCCTTCCAGCGCGCCGTCGCCGCCCGCGAGCGCCGCTTCCAAGAAGACGAAGAAGCCGCCTCTTCATCCCCCACCGGCCCTTCACCACCCCCTACTTCCACATCACAGCAGAATCAAAACCCACAAGCCCCGAAGCGTTGGGCCCAAGAGGACGGCCGCGAATACCCGATCTCGACCGAGCGTGCGGAGGCCATATCACGCTGGGTGCGTGAGGCCCCCGCGCTCACATCAGTGAACAGCGGTATACCTGGCAAGAGGAAGAAGAGGGCAGGGAAGTCCGGGAAGAAAGCTACGAAACAAAGTATTGGTGACGGTGGTGACGGAACGGGATTGGAAGCTAACATCGAGACGTTGAGTTTGGCAGACGAAGAGGTGGAGTAAGGAGGGGTTTGACGGGTAATAGAGAGGAGTAGGGTTGGAGAGGGATAGATGTTTATGATTATTCGGGGCACTGTTGATGATATGATAGGTTTGTGGTTTGTCGTCAGGATTGAGAGATACATTCTGTTCTGGTAGAGGGTGGATTAAAGTAGGAAGTCAAGGCATGTACGGATGTATGAGTCTGGCCGGTTAGACGGACAGATAGTCAGTCGATTAATAAAGAAATTAAAATTCTGCCTACTGGCCTGCAATTATACACAACCTAAGTCAACCAAGAAGGGGAGAGTCGAAGAAAGTGGCATACACCACAGGTGGTAAGTAGCCAAACATAACAGCCAAATACTTCCATCGTATGCCCTTGTCACGATAGTAATTGGCACATCTACGAATCATTTTCATACATTTTGTTTTCATTCTTGTGTATTCTTAGAGAGCCTTGCTATCTTTTCCACTGCTCATACATGTTGAACGGGTGGAGCGATATCACGCTGATGTGTTGGTGTCTATTATACATTGGGTGGTAACACTGGTACTGTTCCACATATGAGTTTTCCTTCGTGCTCCAGGAGCTCAGACGCTGGGCGGTGGCGCACTTCGTAAAGCACATACCGTATGGGGAATAGGGAAATGGGCAATCGTGAGTATTAACCGTCACAAGGGATTCATCGTACACCGCAAAGGAAAAAAGCCCAATCACCAGAAGCCCAAACGCCTCACCACCAAACCGCACTCTTCCAATCGCCGTCATTACAATTCCGACCCGCCAACGACATGGTTCAAGAGCGTAGGCAGACCGGAGTGGTACCTCATAGCCTGCTCCTCGACGTTCCTCCAATTCCTCCTGGCCGTGTTGATAGTGACATCGATGCCCGTATTCTCCGGCACCTCCTCGTCGCTCAGGTCTTCCACACCCGTCGCAGACGGCGTCGTCTCCGTATTCGCCTTCTCCCTCACTTCTTTGTTTGTAGCGGTGGTCATTGCTGGCGGGGAAATAGCCGCACGGTTCAGCAGCGCACCAAGCGGCAGCATATTCGCCGCGAGCCAGTACGCGCGATGGAACCTCTTCTCATCCGCGCGCATGCTAACCCTCCACCTATACGCCTCCCTCACGCCGTTCTTCAACATGTCGATGATTTCGAGCTGCGCGCCGAACGACACGGTGAGCCACTGGATGCTGTCCTCGTCGGCGCCGTGGTAGTACCCGAAGGAGGTGGTGTTGAAGAGGTCCTTGTCGGAGAACGGGTTGCATGCGTTGTAAGCGACGACGAAGGAGGATTGGTTGCCGCCGCGGGCGATGAAGCCTTCGGTTACGTGGACGTGCCATTCGAAGGTGCGGCGGGTTTGCTCGAAGGAGAGGAAGTGCTGGAGTGTGTCGTAGGCTGTTTTTGCGGGGCCTCCTGTGGAGGGAGCGTCGACTTGGAGGAGGAGGACGGACCACTTGTAGCGGGAGTAGTCGCTGGTGATGGACTGGGGGAGGGTGTCTGGGTCGATGGCGGGTGGTTGTGGGGGGAGGGTTTCGTCACGGGTGGGGAGAGTGGGTTCGGCGAGGGATTTGCGCTTCCGGGGTTTGGCGGCGGGGTTTCGAGCGTTCTTGCGTTTGCGTTCGGGGGTTTCAGGTAGAGCGGGATCTTTGGTTGCCAGGGGGGGTTGTTCGGGGTTGGGGGATGCAGATGGCAAGACTGGGTTTCGTGCTGGCGCTGGAGCAAGCTGGCGACGGTCTCCATCTCTAAAAGGGTGGCCAAGGATTTCATCTCTAGCAGAATTATAGGAAATTGGGCGGAAGTATCCCGGGCGGAAAAGATGCTGCTGCCCGCGAGGATTCCTAGCTCTAGGATCTACAAGCGCAGCTTGACGTTCCTGTAGTATTCTTGGATGGATTCTGGCAGGTTCCCGTGCAGGAACTTCAAGCGGCCTGGGCTGTTGGCGACCAGACCCAACTGGACGAGGTGGAATCGGCGGTCCACTGGAAAGAGGACGGTTGTCCCTAGGTCGCTGGAGGTCGTGCTCAACTGTAGAAGGCGTAGTTGAGGTATCACGGAACTGCTCCCTGAAGAGAGGACCGTTCTCCCTGACCCGTTGGAGATCGTAGGTGATGGTTGAACCGGGGGTTTGGAATATTCCTCCTACATTCCGAATCGGAGGCAGTGTCAGCTGCGGATCACGCGGTGGGTGCTCATAATACGATCCAGTCCGCCGGAACCGTTCTGAGCTTTCGCGACAAAAGTCATTCAGACGTTCCATCTCCTCGAGCGCGAGCTGCGATGGCGTTCGCTCACTGGCTTGAGCTTGGGATCGCGAAGGAACGTTGGTGAATACATGTCTAGTGAGTTGGTTAGAGTAGTGTAAACAGCGAAGCTGGTGGGAAATGGTATGACAGCGTGAATATCAAATTTGGACTTGATGTTCGAACGGAAGACGAAAAAGACTTACTGTGAAGCATGACGAGGCGCTTGAGACTCAAGTCGCTGCCCCTGTCCGCGTGTTTCGGTTGAACTGCGAGGAGGGTACGAAGTTCGAAGAGTTCTAGTTCTCCCTCGATGCGGTTCAGTTGCTCGTGCTGGCGCGCGTTGACTTACAGGAGCAGTCTGCGAGACTGGAGGCCTCATACCATGATTATCCAATCTAGCAGGCATGAGCCCATACCAGGGACGACGCCCTCGCATAGCGATTGCACCCCTTGGCAGCGGAGGTTCGCTCTGATCAACCATATCCAAAAGTTGAAGATGGAAGACAAGAGTGATAAGAATTTCCAAAACACAACCGAGGCTAACCAAATACTGGCCTACTGCGTTAGCTGAGTGATCTCAATGACAAGGAAAATGCAACTATGGAGCGTGGGAGTGTTATGTTGGGGTTTAAGTAGTTGACGCAAAGGTGTAGGTCGTCAATCACTTTAGGAAAACGTGGTGGTCATGGCGGCGGCAGCGAGCAAGTGAAAGATTTGCCACCCTACAATCACTTTGACTCGATGGCGTGCCCATTGCTTTCAGCAGTGGGAGATGATGAGCTGCAACACATGTGATTTGTCAGTTGATGTTACGAAAAATGGCCAGGCCTCAGTTTGTGTAAACAAACAATTTTGAAAAAAAATTTGTGAAGAAGACTGCAAGTAATAAGTCGCACGCAACTGCTATGTAGGAGTGAGTCACTGTGAAGAGTACATTTAGGGATGCGGTGATTTCACTGAGGAAGAATAGCAACCGATGCATTGCTTGAGGTGAGCTTTCACTCGTAAACACTGCCTTTACTCCGTCCATGCCTGGTTTGCGGAAGCGTATGAACGCCTAAGCAGCAAACTGATGCAGCTGATTGGGTCCTGTGTATCAAGCCGCCTTATAAGATTGAAAATAATCGGACATAAGTGTACCATCACGGCAAATCGCTTAAACAACACGCTTAACCTGAGCTCTTGGTTAGTGAAATGGAACTGAAAATGCGTGATCAAGCAATGTCCAACCTCGAAAAACCTCTTCAACCACCAAACTTGGAAGACTCCATTGCCGATGAGAACAAACAGCTGGGCAACACTCCACCACTTCACTCGCGCGTTCGTGCTTTCGGCAGTGTTTCTGTGTGTTCTCTCGCGGACAATGATATAACCCTGCTCGTCCTTGACCTGCGAGACAAGCTCGGAAAGAGTTCGCACTGAAACCATCAGTATTCTGTCCATGTCACAACATCCATGTGTACATACCCTCCTTCTCCAAAGGATCTTGTGGAGCCTCAGATTCGGGAACGTATACTATTCCGTGCACGTTGAAGGACACCTCTTTTGTGTTTGCACCCCAATGCTCATTGTTGAAGCAGTATGTGTATGTTCCGTCCTCGGTTGCAGTGAAGGAATGGTCGCCGGAGGATACGCCGCGTTGATGAATCTGGTAGTTACGGGAGGGAGTCTCAATCTATCGCAATTGAATTAGCAAGTGGACAATTAAGGATACAGGGTAGTAAAGTACCCAGAAATCAATCTCAATGTTTCCGCTTCCTCCAAATTCCCTGTCACCAACTTGGAAAGTCACGGTCATCTTGTCGTCCTTGTGAAGCTGCTCGTGGAAGCATTCCCGCATGTACGCTTTCATCTGGATGTTGTGCGCCGCAGCTAGCGAGAACAAGCTGCTCGCCGCAGCGAGGACACCAAAAGAGGGGAGCAGCATCTTCAAAATTGTCGTCTTACAGTTGTAGAAAGTTCGATCGGGATTGTTGATGCTCCAAAACTATTGCCAAGATTGAGGTGATGCCAGCTTTCGAGATCAGTCGGGAAAACATCGGGCCGATATGCATAACATTCATACCCCTGGCATCAACCACGAGGTACCTATCCCAATCTGTATAGTCACACGCTTTTCTGTCATCAAAATTAAACGTCGAAAAGACATCATAAAGAACCTGTCACTCAGTCGTTACATATTCTGAGTCTTGTGTCACTGCGATGTAGAAGTGTTAAGATTACCTCACTCACTGAGCCAATAAGAAGCCAGGGTCACGCGACCACAGACGGGCCACTTCGCTATCAAGACGCCCTTCCAATGCCGAACGAGCAGTTGTATATGGCCATTGTTGAAATTTGAAAATCAATTCCGATGCTCCTCAAATCGGCTGGCTGTCAGATTGTAATTTTCATACACCAGGAATATATGAGAGTGCTACTTCCACGTTGTATACCTTAGATACCTAATTATACTATACTAAGGATGCCGACTACCTGTCCAGGTAGTGCTCGTAGGATACACTGCAGCCGATGTCTTGTGTATGCTTCAATTCTTGTATCCATAATAGTATAGAGAATTAATTTTTCCCGTCTCTTCTTCGATGTTTCCCAAATCTTGACTAAGTGATTGGGCATGGTCCTAGCATCGAAATGGTAACTCAGATAGACGTCTGTATTATAAACACTGGAGAGGCATTTGATCGAGGCGAAAATGCATTGCACGTGTATTCCAACGCGTATCTAGTGAGAAGTGATTGTTTGTTTTCATTATGAATGTTGTCATGTCTGCGAAATGGTCACTGTTGCCGTCGCCAAGACAACACAGGCCTCTGAAGTCAACACTCCCACTCTCTCACCTTTGCGGTTATTTTGCTTTCTACACAACCACAATTGCTTTGTTAAACCCTTGCGTTACTTCTCTGTTCTGAGGCAGACTCCTCTTTTAGTTTCCTGTTTCTACTTGAGGCGTCGTTCGGCGAAGTCACTCAATTGTCCGCTCCGTGCTGGCCTCCAAGGTGAAGGCGAAGTCCCGCCGCCATGGCCTCTCCAGAATGGCCTCCCAAGGAAATGAGAATCTCCAAAAGCTACCTCTTAGGCTGGAGCGAGAAACCTCTCAAACCCCGCACTCCACCCATACACAACCCCTACAAAGAAGTTGTCAGTTCCACCAGCCCTCCCCCACATTGTTCTCCTTCACTCACAACATTAAATAGGTCAGCTCACCTGGCGCAATGATTGAGTACGTCGCCAGTGATGGCCGTAAAGGCAAAGTTTCAGGTCTCCCTAACTCTTTCCCCCAAAGACTCCAGACTGCACAGCGTCTGCTCACTGCGAAGAACCTCGCCAAGTTACCATCTGAGGCCCTCCAGGGAAAGACCGCATCCACTGTGGCAAAGGCTGCAAAGAGCGAATCTAAGATTGGCATGTTAGGTGGCATGGGTGGCCTTTGGGATGAAGATCCCAAAGAGGATGCAGGCGGTTGGACCAAGAAGCAGGATGACGAACTTATGGAGCGGAAGAACGCAGGTGAACAGTGGGCAACGATCGAGAAAGCGATGGGGAAGAGCAAGGCAGACTTAACAAAGAGGTTCAAAGACATCAAGCCAGCGGACTGGAGGCCATCCCAAACCAACAAGGGCAGTAAAGGTCAGAAGCAAAAGAACAACAACAAGAATCAAGGCAAGCAGGAAAAACAGGATGGCGCGGAGAAGAAAAAGACTGAAGCCTCATCGTGGGAAACGGCCGATACTGGTAACAACCAGAGTGGAGATGCAGAGCCTTGGGGAAACACCTGGGACACAGAGGCGGCTGATGTAGGAAACAACAGTGGTGGCATGGGCGAAACATTCGAGGGAGCGAACAAATGGGAATCACCACAGGAGAACACTAACGACGATAACAATGGCGGTTTCGGCGGAGCTGCATCTTGGGATAATGCTGACAAGAAAGACGAAGATGTGCTCCCCAGTTGGCAGACCAATGATGAAGACAACAAGACCACCGACAACAAGAGTTCTAAAGACGATGCAAACGGAGAAGATCAGAGTAATGGCAATGGAGATTCAAATGGTGGCGGTACTTCGGATTGGAAGAATTCTTCAGGGGATACTGGAGGCGCACCCGCTGAAACTTTCGATTCAGGCTGGCCCCAAGATAAAAGCTCTAGCAGAAGCCAGAAAAGCTCCCGTGACTCTAAGTCTCGTTCTAAACATCATTCCAAATCCAGTCGTCCTTCGGCTTCCGCCAAAAAGAACAATGACTCTAGCTGGAATAATGAAGAATCGGTGGAGAAGAAATCCAGTCGTCGCTCGGACTCCACCAAAAAGGGCAATGACTCCTCTAGCTGGGGCAACGACAGTTCGTCTGAGAGCGAGTCCAACTCCAGTTGGAAAGATGATGACAAGAAGCGTGAGAGGCGCGACAAAAAGAAAGACGACAAGAAGAAGGACGATGATACGGAGTCCACGGCCTCAACCGTCTATCAGGAGCTCTACCCCGATGCAAATTTCTCCATGAAAGATTTGACTCTCGTTGCCAAGATTCTCAAGGATGACAATAAGATGTTGTGGCTCAGGATTGCAAGCCGATTCCGCGACAAGACTGGAAGGATCCTCGATCCAGATGTCTTCGAGCACAAGCTGACGGGAAAGGTAGCATCCAAAGGCAACTGAGGACGATTAACTGACGAGAACAATGGATCACGAATAATGGATTGACGAGAGATGAGAACATTGGCAATTGGGTATTTCTTATCACGTCCAGGATGGGATTTTGTTCTCGCATGTCAAATATGGTGATGGTCAAGGTAGATGTTTGGTCTCTTTCTGTCTCACTGTACGATTAAACCCTGGGATAGGCGTTTCTTGGAAGTATGTAGTCTAATAACCCTGGAATGGAATAATTTAAGCAATACCCAACAGACCCTCCCATGGCCTTAATTCAATGGTTCCAGATTTGTTCCTCGACGGTAGCTGCCTCTCATCATACGTGCCCGCAACCCACCTCTTCGCCTGATGCGAACCCAGTCCCTCCCACTGAACAGTCTCACCGGAGAAGTTGAGAACAACAAGGAAAGCCTTGTTACCATTCCACCTCCTGAAAGCGACAACCTTGTCGTGATCGGGATCAATGATCTCAAAATCTCCGTACACAAAGACATCCTTATGCTCCTTCCGCTTCTCGAGCCCGCGCTTCCAGAATGCGTGGACAGAGAGTTGGCCAGGGGCGGGTGTGGGATTCGCAAGTTGTGCCTCAGCGTTGACGGTAGGGTAATCGTCGTTCACGCGCATCCATGGCTTGGAATCCGGGGAAGTGAAACCTGCGTTGGGGGCAGATGTCCATTGAACTGGAGTGCGGGCATTGTCTCGCGATTTGCGCTGCAGGATATCACGGGCAACGGCGAATTTTTCCTCGTCGTTGGGGTACATCTGCCTGTATCTTTACGTATGTTAGTTCGGCTCTCAACAAATGGATTTTATTGTAAACTTACTTGTTGAAGAAGTTGATCGATTCGATATCCTTGTACTCCTCTGGATCCCAACTAGCAGGCACATTTCGCATACCAAGTTCCTCACCCTGGTAAACATATAGTGTCCCTGCAAGCGATGTTTGCATCAAGCAAAGCAGCTTTGCGCCGTATTCGCGCCACTCGTCGCTATCGTCGGTGTATCTCGACACGCTGCGGGGCTGGTCGTGGTTCTCTACAAAGACCGAGTTCCATCCGTCTCGCTCAAGCATCAGTCTCTGCAGTCGATTGATGATCTTCTTCATGTCTCGAGCATCCCATGGGTGTAGGGTGTATTTGAAGTCACCGGGGACATTGTCAATGTCGACAAGATCGAAAGCAAAGATCATGTTAAGTTCGCCTCTGGTTGCGCCTACGCCCTTGATGATTTCGTCTTCGTCGCGTACGAATGGCATCTCGCCGACGGTGAGTGTGTCATACTTGGACAAGACCTGCTTGTTGAGATCTTGAAGCCATTCGTGAAGACGGGGACCGTTGGCGTAGTGCTTGCAGCCAGGTTGGTATTTGTGGCCTTCTACAACGATATCCGCATCGGGGAAATCTTGGTTCTTCGAGATGAGGTTGATGACATCCATTCGGAAACCGCTGACCCCACGATCAAGCCAGAATCGAAGCACATTGTGAACAGCCTCGCGCACGTCTGGGTTCTCCCAATTCAGGTCAGGTTGCTCTGGTGTGAAATTGGCAAGGTAGTATTCTTGTGTAGTCTCGTCCCAGACCCATGCGCTGTTCGCTTCTCCAAGAATCTGCGCCCAATTGTTAGGCGGTTGTCGATTACCGTCGCTATCATAATTGGCGGGCTTCCAGATATACCAGTCACGTTTTGGTGAGGTTTTGGAAGAACGAGAATCCAGGAACCAGGCATGTTGATCGGAAGTGTGGTTTACGACAAGGTCCATGACAAGTTTGAGACCTCGTTTCTTGCACTCGGCGATTAGGTTGTCGACATCGGCCAGGGTTCCATAGCTGGGGTCAATATCTTCGTAGTCGGCGATGTCGTAGCCCATGTCCGCCTGAGGACTCTTGTAAACTACAACATATTAATTTACTGACTTGCAATACATTGTTTCAACCTTACTTGGGGATGTCCAAATTACATCGACGCCCAGGTCCTTAAGGTAGTCGAGCTTTTGCGTTATTCCAGGCACGTCTCCCCATCCATCATTATTGGTATCTAGGAATGATGCTGGATAGATCTATAGCATTATTAGCGAAAGTACAGGTAGCAATATTAATTCGAACAAACCTGATAGACCACAGCCTCTTTCCACCATTTGTGTTTGTCCACGCCGACATATAAGCCGGGAACTTGTTTTTTGACAGCATTGGCCACATCCGATATCTTAGAAGTTAGAGACATATCGCAGGATAAGAAAATAGGTCAATTGGGAAAGTAAAAGGAAAGTTAGGGAAGTAAGCGTCCCGCAGAAATCAGCGCCCGGGCTTTATAGGATTATGGAAGTATCGTGGCTTCTGCAGTGTGATGGCACGTCATGCAGTCATGGATTTAAGTGGAGTGCCTTGTATAACGCGCGGGGCATTCGGGGTTGACCAAAAGGCCCGAACTATAACCATTAAACACATTATATTTGATATTTATTAGCAGGAAGATTGGCTTGCGGGTCTACTCAAACTAAAACTTTTAGATCCGTGTTATCGCTCAAGGTATTTCTTTGCAGATATCAATTTGCCCTATTCACCTAATCTCACGCTGACCCAAAAGCTCGTATGCAATTGGCCGTAAGTAACTATCCGCCCAAGCCTCCAAGTAAGACGGCTTGGAGACTGTGACACGCGGTGGATTCTTTCTCCTAAATCCTTTCGTATCCTGCCGCTCCTTCATTGTTTCTCCATTTGCTTTCCCCATAATTCTCCGCCTCAACGATACGACTACAGTCAACACAGAGATGTCGGTCCGACATCGTCGCCAAGCAATGACGTAAAATAGAGCCCTCTTTGAGACACAAATGTGTACTCGTACTCAGAAGAGAATGAATTGAATATCAATAATGACTTCGACCTCAATTGTTTCAAGGCTCAATATTCACGAGATAATTAATCATGAATAACTGGAATGAAGGCTTTCCTAAGTCCGAACCTCTCAGGATGTTCTGTCCTATTCTCTAGCACAGTCCAAAGGCACGAGCACTATACAGACGGCCGACAGGCTGTCTTCGATATGTCGGATCTTACTCGTGTAATCCCTAATAAAGGGACAGAAACGTACGATGCAAATGGCGCCGCTCTACTGTGGAGATTCCATCGGCAGCTACAGCATTCAATCACGTGCTCGAGATAGTTCCACATCAAGGATAATCTAGTGTATCATTGCGTTACTTTCGAGAGGACGCAATGATTTTTATTATTCTGGACAGCGGCTTTTTGATTTACGTCTAAATCAAACTTTCATAGCGACCCAAGTGCTGCTAGCTCGGCAGGCTTTGGGTTGATCGCAGCCCCCGCGCGCTTACTCGTGCTCTCCCGAGGTACCTGGGACCATCATCAAAACACTCAGGTACCATCGAATGCACGTTCTTTTCATCATTTAAAACAACAACGCGTGTAGTAAAATCTTAATTTTTCCCTTGACTGCTGCACTGGAAAATGACGCCGAAGCCCTATTTCGACGAAAACCACCATGTTCTGCCTTTCGACAAGGTCATGGAACTCGAGAAGATTGACGACCGCACATTTCGATCAATTGTGAAGGCCTACTCTCCGACTGGTGGAGAGAATGGAACCTATGGAGGACACGTATATGCGCAAGCTGCATGGGCAGCAGCTCAAACGATCTCCGAGGGATTTCTACTCCATGTATGATCCGTAATTAGTGATCATGAATCTCTAACTGATCATACTCAGAACATCACGGGCTGGTTCATATTAGGTGGGAAGCCAAGCGAACACTTTGTTTATACTGTTCACAAGATCCGTGATGGCTATAATTATTGTACACGTTCTGTGACGGTAACCCAAGTCGCGGAAAAGGGGACCATGTTCACGTGTACTTGCTCGTTCAAACGCGATGAGCCATCATCTGTAGATGTCCAAGATACCGTCAAGATCGAAGAGCGCTTCAAGGAAGTGCTAGGAGGGAAAGAAAACGAGCCGATGGAACACCCAAATGCGCCGTCCCAGGATTCTGAGTGGTTTCGCGAGACGTATCTCCCTACACATCCCGAGCATTTCAATCCTGTGGCGGGGCTGCATCTTCGCAAAGTCGACATGAAAAAGTATAACGAAAACAAAGCGGCAATTGACCGGAGACAACTTATCTTGTACACATTGCGCGGAGCATTGCCACTACCCACGGCACCATATCCGCCGACCCTATCAGCAAACTTGACTGTCACAAGAGAAGCGAATTTACATGCCTGCGCCCATCTCTATGCGTCAGATAGGAACTCTCTGTTCATTATTCCCAACCACCTGAAGCGCAGCCGGGAATGGACACGCATGGCCTCTCTTTCGCATACTGTTATCTTTCACGTTGGCATAAGAGATCTGGTTCTCCCACCAGAGCCGCGAATCAGTCACCCCAATGCGGATCCAACATTGTTCGACGAGGGCTCAACTCCACTTTGTAATTTCGGTGACATTTCGCCTGATGAGAAGGACGGGGATGGTCGGAAATGGTACATGCAAGAATCTTGGGTGTCGAGAGCGGCTGGAGGGAGAGGATTGCATATGAGCCGCTTGTGGGACTACAAGAAAGGCACACACATCGCTAGTACGATACAAGATGGGCTGATTAGATTTGAATCTAAGACTAAGCTATGAACCATTAAACCTGAGAACTTTTCAAATATTGCACAAAACTCCTTACCTCTGTGTTCTGCATAATATGTGCTACTTCAGCGCAATCACAGGTGAAATTGTCAGTAGCATGGAATACTTTGCATCACCAGAAAGATCTCGTTGAGTGAATGTAGATGAATATAGTTAGGATAGGTCTCGAAGTGTTATTCTATGACATTTCACCGTCCCAATTTCCCAAAAGCGCTTGCAGATCATTACTTGAACAACCCAAAAAGGCTCCAACCTTTCTTTTGCGCCTTTTTGTTCGCATTCAATATAATGCCGGCGCCATCTTTCGACACTGGCAACAAAAACATAACCCACTCAAGCTGTGATCCAGCCACATCCCAAGCCACATTTTCGCCCTTATCAGTTCTCTGATAGCAAGTGTAGTTTGCGCCAGTCTTCTTGGCTTCAATATCGCCGGAGTCGTCTAGGACTCTGACGACCATGTGTCCGCTGCCGTCCGCACGCCTGTAGCCAGCACCATGGCGAGCTGGGAGTACGCTCATGTCCGGCGCAACAGACTTCCCAGCGACGGTGTACTTTTCCGCCCCACTTGCAGTCTTTTCGATCTCGTAGATCACGAACTGCAGGCCCTTTTTGTTCAAGAGTGTTTGTAGTTGCGCGAGGTTGGTGCCGTTGATGAAGCTTTGGTTGATCCCAGTATCTTTGGCTAGTTGGACAGTGGTCGTGTCCAGCAAGACAGCCACAGTCACCCAGACACAGTTCATGTCTCCGTTGTCTGGATTGAACTTTGACTTTGGCAACCAGTTCTGTTGATTTTGGAGGATGGAATGATCGACCTTGGCGGGGATATCCATGGCATATTGGCCATCTTCGCCGCCGATCTCAATAATAAAATGGTCGGATTTTTTGTCAACCATTGTGGCTTCGAAACAAGTTTTGCCGGATGGAATTGAGGAATTGAAAAGAGTTTTGAATTTGAGAAGATTGTAGTCTGGAGATGTCAACTACAAAATGCTATTTAATTTGGAATGAATAGAAGCTGTACGACTGTGTCAACGCCCTTTATATACCCAAAGATCCGTACAGAACGCTGGACCATCCCGCTCACGAAGGTACTTCTTCTTTGAATCCGGGTCTAGACAATTTCAGATGGTTACGTGTCGGGGAACCCGAGAATCTCTTCAATTCTCGCTCTGTCGAAGAAAACAATAGTTTGTCTGTAAACGAGAACCATCACACCTCAGACCATAGTTCGACCTTGGGACACTACTGCAGTATCCTATATTGAAATGATACGATAGTTCCAGACAAGCTCATCACAGCTGATCCCTTCCCGAAGCCATGTTGGTCCATCACATACATTTATGGAGGCGTCGTTATGCGGCACTACGGCACACGTTAGGTACCTGCCGCAGCCACACAAAAGCAACAAGCGGGTGGTAGCGAGACGGGTTATGCGGGGTGAGTAAACAAATTCCAATAGCCAGTGCAGCATATCTGAAATCGGTCACATCGTGCTCACAGGTACGAGAACTTCAGCTGAGCATTGACGTTTGTGGTGGCTGAAGGACCGGTCTCGATTATGCGGATGCGGGCCGCTAGAACGGCCGCCCACGCATGAATCCGATGGTAAAACACGTGGCTACCATGATCGGTATTTTGTTATCGCATTTGGAATGGTGGTTGCGAGATTCAACAATGTGCCAAACTGAGCTTTGACTAAAAGATGTTGCTTATCTTGGGCATGCTCAGTCTCTGTTCAGCAAGAGAATTATTTGGCTCAGCGTGAACACGTTCATGTGACGATCCACCTCATTTTATTTCAACTACGTGACTAAACAGAAACTCAATTGGGCAATGTATTGCTACTCAATCAACCGATTGTAAGTGCCAATGGCTGGGGAAGCTCTTTGCCATGTTTGCCCGCAGCAACAGCGCTGGCAACAGAATTGAGCAGCCCAGACACAGCGTCAACGCTCTTCCTCAGTTCCTTAGTCTCATCCAATTTCCAGTTATTCGCTTTCTCAACTTCAGACAAGATTTGGCGCAGCCAATTCAGAATGACAGGCCGGCCAGCGAAATATGCTCCTTGGTTGACGATTGCAACCACTCGCTCACTAAGGTTGCTACGCTCAGGTAGATAGCGCTGCATTTTGTCTTCCAGCAGACTAGCCTTATTTTTGAGGAAACCAGCGTGAGAGTGGCATGCTGTGAACGCTTCAAGGTCGTCCTCCATCTTATTCTGGGTTGACTCTGAATCTTTAGAAATGGCTGCCAACTCAGGTTGCAATCCTTTCAGAGCGTCGATCAGATGCTGCATCACATCAATGTAGTGCTCGCGTGTCGACTTCTCCTCGTCCATTTTCTTGAATGCATTATTGCTCTTGCAAGCTGTGGTCTTGTATCCGGGCAGAAGACCGGTCTTGATTTTGATGTTGTCTCTCTCTGCTTGTGCTTTCGATTCCATGACATTTTGCCTTCCCTGAAAGATGTCAGTGGCTGGATAAGGATACTGGTGCGTGAGTATATTGACTTACCAAATCAGCATAATAGTCGTTGTCGTCATCGAAGGTGAGTTGAGATTCAGAGGCCCACCCCTCGTACTTGTCTCTTTCTGACTTTGCGTGCTCTATCTCGGCTTCCGTATCGGTGATTTTCTTTGCATCAGCTTCTTTGAGTTGTTTGACGAAGTTGTATCCCTTCTTGCTGTCGCCGCCACCGGCGATAAAATCCTTCAGATTTTGATCAGAAGTATCGTGTTCGGTCTTTAGGAGATCGAGTATGTCCGCAGCTTCCTGAACATGTTTCGAGAGGTCATGTTCTTCGCTGGCAGCCTCATCGATGACTTTAGCTATTGCGGCCATCGCGGTCTTGCTCTCTTCGGATGCAGTTTTGAAATTCTCAACGATCTCATGTGCATCCTTCTGGAACATCTGGAGAGTCTTTTCCCAGGGGTTTGGATGCCCTGCAACAAGCTTTGCAATCGTCTTGAGCTCTTCCATGTACTTAGCATGGTTCTCAATTGGATCTTGGGTTCCAACAGAAGCTGTGAATTTACAAAGCTTCTCGAAGATAGTAGCGGGTGGAATTTCAGGCAGCTTCCTAGCAGCTTCCCATCTCTTGATCAATGCATTGTGTCCATCAAAGAACACTTTGATCTTGTTGATGAGATCGTTTGCTTGTTTGCCAACGCCAGTGTCCGTCATTGTTGCGAAGAGAAAAGTAGAGATCTGGTAAAGATGGAACAAGAATTTCGATGTGAATGTTTTGTGATAGGAAAGATGATAAGCTCAACCAGAGAGAAATGTTGGCCAACTCGATGCCTTTCATATGAATTGACACGGCTTCACTGTAAGTTCTTTTTTCTGTATCATTCCTAATTGAGAAGTCCTTCAAGTTTATGGATGTGATCGGCTTGCTTGCGAAGTGCATGATTCTATAGTGAGACCACCTCACACGCCGAGTAGCCACCACAGTCCATGTGAAGCTGAGAAAAAGCATGAAGCCATCTGGACCGTTGCGGGAGTCCCCGGTGACTTCTCTATGGATGAGGCGATACCCAAAACAAAGAAGCCAGTCTCTGGTGGCTGAACTCGTAAGCCAGCGATGCTCATGGCAATCGCAGCAGTGGGGCCGCGGCACCGTGTTCGAGACAGCTGAGTGTACGCTTGAAGCAGAGAAACTTTCGGTGAAGACTCTAGGGTAGGCGAACAACAATCCGAAATAGGTTCGTCGAAGGTTGCTAGATCTCGATTGAGCGATCTATGGTGCCGAGACGGGTAACGCGCGGGGGCGGCCCGTAACAGAGGGGCGCTGGGGCTCCCATCAGCCAGCCTAGAACTTCAACCCCTGTCACATCCCCGTGTCGATTCTCCTACATCCTGCAAACTCCATCACTGCTTCTGGACAACTGTCTATGGCCTCGTTCTGATGTCTTTCTAGACCGGAGCTATGGTAAATGGCGCGAGATCATTCATTCTAGCCATGGGAGGGCTTGCGCCCCAATAACCACGGTGACACCGAAGCCTTTCTTCACACCATTTCTTTAGTCGATATGGGCAATTGAAAGCTGAACTGCGTTTAATCGTTCGAAAGTCCCATACTAGTTATGCCGCCAAAAGATATATAAGACCTTGTTGGACCGTCAGTCGTGCTCTACAATCATCTTCACATTATACCACTCTCCTCTTTCACCTCTTTCCAGCGAAGCATACAGCTTCCCACACTCAGCGTTTATTTATCTTTTCTCCTCTCAAAGTATTCAAGTCATCAACATGAGCCAAGAGCTTACCGCAACCCACAAGCAGGCCCTCACGGTCCTTGCTAGGGAAGAGGAGAAGCGGGCTTTGAGCGCTCGACAGGTCATTGCAGATATGGCCAGTAGCGAGTTCTTCCGTCAGAATTGGGATGAGTTACTACTTGCTGCGCCTAACTGCCTTGAGCTCTTGGGAAATATCAATGCCATATCCTCCACGAAGCTGGCCTCTACAACTCCACTGAAGGCCCCTAAAGGTGGATTCGAGCATCTGAAGGAGTAAGCAGTGTCAATGTCTGGTAGACATTAGCAAGTAACTAACATAATCTACAGCTATGGTAACCTCAAAGGTGGTCTATCTCAGTTGACAAATCAAGGCAATGTCGCCTTCACAGATGCGCGAATCCAAATGGACAAGATTCACGGACTTGCAGGCTCAATTCCGGGTGAGGTATGTAAGACTAGAATGTTCAAGCTATGGTCTTTCTAACGAATATGGCAGATGAGAACCATCGTTGGAGCCCTTGCAGACCCAGATGTACCCATGTCTGTTGTTCTCATCTCTCTAGATACGATGAAGGAAACCGCAACGGAGTGTTACCAGTCAGCAAGTACCATCCAGAAGAGCATGCGGAAATGGTCCGACGTCTGTATGGAACTCGACGATGCCTGCAGTGCAGAGTCATCGTCGACGGAAGTGAAGGCACAAAAGGCTGCACTGAACCTGCAACTCGCTCAGGATGAATCCGACTTTAGGAAAGAACAAGAAACGGCAGTAAAGACCGAGTTGGACAAGATGAACACACATTTGAACGACGCCAAAACCAACTATCAAAAGGCCATTGATGCCATGCCGACAGGGTAAGCAAAACTCGACCTCGCATTTGTCTGTCGCTAACGAGTCTACAATAGCATGGACCTGGTTGGCCAGCAGGTCTTGATGTCGCTTGGAGAGGCGGCAAGTGGTGCTATCACCATCGGTGCAACAGCTGCTGCAACATATGTCAACCCCGTTGGCGGCGTGACTTCCGGAGTCAAGACGCTGACCGACGAAGTCCGGAAATTTAACCACGAAAGCAGCGGCCCTAAGCCGCCGCCGAGTGATCCTAAGTCCACGGATAAAAGCACTGATTCTAGCGAAAAGGGACCAGATCCAGAGAAAGCTAGTGCAAAGAAGTCTGCTATCCTTGCGAAGTTGACTACGACTTTCATTCGGAGGGCAAAACCCAAGGGTGAGAAGACCGAAGAGCCTGCCAAGGACGCTGAGAAGGAGACTTATTATGACTTGAGCGGCAAGTTTTACGCAGACGATAGCGCACTCATCATTGCGCCGGCCGTCAAGACAGCGACCGACGAGCTCAAGGCCATCATTGTCGGGTCACCGGAAGGAATCAGATGGGATTCCGTCTTGCCACCTAAGGATGAAACCCAAGGAAAGATCAGTGAAGTTGCCCGACTAAGCCATACTCTTGACCGCTTGCTCAAAGATATGAAGCCCAAGAAAGGCGGTCTTGCTTCTCAGCTCATGAATGCCATCGTCACAGAAGCTATCGGCGTTGCGGATGAGCTTGAGAAGGAGGCTGAGAACGCAAAGGATTTGTCAGGTTGGGTCAAGCCAGACAGGAAGTCACAGTTCTTCACCGACCTCGATACCCGCATCACGCGATGTGCATCTACTGCATTGGCTTTGGATACTGTCACCAAAAGCACCCCAGGAGGAGTTGGCGCAGGTAATGCATCTCTTATGGCTCCTTCCCAGACGCCAGAGGAAAAGATTGCCAGCATGAACTCCAAAGCAGCTGTCGCTGAGCAGGCTGTTAAGTCCGCAACTACGAAACTTCTCTCGACACAGCAGACGTATGCTGCAACGCTGGAAACCTACCAGAAACAAACAGAGCAAGTGCTCTTGGTTCAGGATAACCTGCTCAGAGCAAGGCAGCAGGTGACTGCATTAACCTCCGACAAATTGACGCTGGTATGTTGATGGTTGTCCATGTATTAGAAATCGGGTGCTCACTTTCTGAATAGGAAACCGTCCGAAAAGTCCTGATCGAGTGCATCAGCTATCTCACTGATCTCAAAGATAGAATTGGCAAATTGGTCATCTTCTTCTCTGGGCTAACCAACCTCATTGATGTCTGCATCAAGAGTCAAGTCCAGCCGTTCCAGAAACATCTAGACAGCTATGCCAAGAACAACCAAGATAAGGCTCTGATGTATGGAGATTTCTACAGAGATGTAAGCTTCACCCTGAATACAGTCGTCACATATTATTAACTTGTGTTATTAGCTCATTTTCCAACTGGCGCTGAAGATTGCTGCCAACTTCTCGCTTTATCGCGATGTCGCAAGCATGTACATGGAAGTTGATCGCAAATGCATTCAGGAGGGAATCATCCTTGTCGGAAAGCTCCACATCGCCAACGGAAATGACAAGGTCGACGACGACGATTATTTCCGTGAGAACAAGAAGAAGCTGTCTGAGTTCGTGACCCAAGCAGAAAAGAATGTCAAAGACATTGTCCAAGCCGTACGTATTTGAACACATCAGAATTCGCCAACTCGCACTAACACGTCTTCAGAAACAAAAAGAAATCATCTCCGGATTGCAGAATCGCATCAATGAAATTGGAAGCTCGATAGCCAAGTTCCCTACTGAGTTCCAACCTAGCGCCAAGGCCATTGAGGCTGTCAAGGATGGTGCGGCCATTACCCAGAGTTTGACAGAGACAGAGGCGGCTGCACCTAGTGCTATCTCCACGAACATTGCGAAGAAGCCACGCAAGACTGTTGTACGCTTTACCTCTCAATACGATACCAAAAATTTATATGCTGACAGAATGTAGGCGTGGTAAAAGATGCGTGTGAATGATATTGACTGAGAGAGCGTGAGGGATCGTATGGGGACGATCTGTACATACATTCCAGATCTAAATGAAATTATTGATCAATAATGGCAACTATCATCTATTGAATATGTCTTTGACCTTAAAGCCGTGTAATTGAATGAGTAGTAGTACCATCATTACTAAGTATTCCAATTTCCCAATGTTTACCCCTCCAAGATCTCACCAGAGCAGTTTGAACTGCGACAGTTGGTGGAGAATATCACGATTCCTTTTTGATAAGTAGAATCAACATGAGTTTCGGTCACGATATAAGCATTCTTCTACAAGATGCACCCCATTCACCAAGGGCATTAATGGAAAGATATACCTTACGACTATATCCGCTAGTAAATATTTCCACGCAGTTACAATGTAATTAGACTTCAACACTAGTTCAGCATTCCCTAGCTACGAGATCATTACGATGTTGATAGAATAGAGCAATGCGTAGAGTAGACTCTATCTCCTCATCTATATTTTAATGAACGATATTATATTATATTAAGGAGTGACTGTCCATAATTTTTCATCGAGTAATCGTAGTATCAGCGAATGACTTCGCGCCAAAAGAAACCTTCATTTTCCATTCCATTTCGTGTACCATAACTATTATCGTCTATCACATCATACCGAAGCCCAGAGCAAGGGCCATCAGACTGACTCCAAAGGTAGCCAAGACATCCTTCCCTCTGATCCCGGACGCAGCTCCCGTGAACTCTTCTGGAGTTTGGGTCGGGCTTGCGACTGGTGGAGGGGTCGTTGGTTCCGGCACGCCGTCAGGACAATGCCAATGCTGAGGAGAAGCGATGATTAGTCAACGGCAGTAGATAACTAGTTATGACTTGCGCATTGGGCACTTACATCGCCATGTGGAGTACACTCTTGTCCCGTGGCCTGGGCTGTTGCAGCTGGTGGTGTCGTCGGTTCTGGGACACCCTCTGGGCTGTCATAGAACGCGCGATTAGCGTTTATCTTTGGGGTTGGCTGGAATTAAAGACTTACCAGTGCCAGTGGTCACCGTGAGGCTCGCAAACCTCAGCAATTGGGGTAGTCTGGGGAGATACTGGTGGAGGGGTGGTTGGTTCAGGAACACCTTCCGGGCTTTTATTACAGTGTGGTTAGCGGAGGAGTTCATAACACAATTGTGGTTGTAATGAGGACTACACACCAATGCCAGTGGTCTCCATGGGGTTCACATTCTTGCGCCGGCGAGGTTGGTTGAGGAGTCGCTGCTGGTGATATTATAGGCTCAGGCACACCTTCAGGACTATGTGTGAAGTCTTACAGTTAGTCACTTGCATATATATACACGAGTTCAAACAATAGAACAACTCACCAGTGCCAATGGTCTCCGTGGGGTTCACACGTTTCCGCTGGGCTCGTTGGTTGGGGTGCGGTCGGTGGCGGCGTGGTTGGCTCCGGAACACCATCGGGGCTGTAGGAGAGGCTTGTTAGAAAGTTATATTCGTAGTTAAGTGTAAGGCATCTTGAAGCTGCCAATAGCGACGTACCAGTGCCAGTGGTCACCATGAGGTGTGCATTCTCCACCTGGCGCGGTGGGCTGAGGTTCAACAGCAGGCGGCGTTGTCGGCTCTGGAACGCCCTCCGGACTATTAAGGTTGTGTGAGTAATATATCGCTCACACTAGGTAAAGCTGAAGTTGTGACTTACCAGTGCCAGTGATCTCCATGTGGGGTGCATTCAGTGGCTGGTGCAGTTGGATGAGGCTCAGCAGGTGGTGGAGTGGTAGGCTCTGGAACGCCATCGGGACTATTTATGTCGCCATAAGTAAGTAACATATCTCACTCGATGATAGAACGTTCTTGGTGCTCTTACCAATGCCAGTGGTCTCCGTGCGGAGTGCAGACTTCTGACGGGGGTGTAGTTGGCTGCTCTGCCGGAGGCGGAGTCGATGGCTCGGGAACACCATCAGGGCTGCATAGAGTATAACGAGTTAGATACTGCAAAGAAGACATAAAGTTACAACATAGATACTTACCAGTGCCAATGATCTCCATGTGGAGTGCACTCCTCGGTAGGAGTTGTAGTTGGAGGTGGAGTTGGAGGCTCCGGTACGCCATCAGGACTGCCACAGCGATCTTTAATTAGAAAATTGTTCTCGTTTGACCAAGATGTTGGGGTACATACCAATGCCAGTGATCACCGTGTGGGGTACATTCTCCGGCAGGAGGAGAGGTTGGCTGTGGGTTCACGGGTGGTGGGCTTGTAGGCTCCGGCACTCCGTCTGGACTGTAAGAGACGGGGTCAGCATGCGTTCTCATTGTTGCAACTTCTTCCTTTCAATAAAAATCTTCTTACCAATGCCAATGATCTCCGTGAGGCTCACACTCCTGTGATGGTGCTGTCGGCTGAGGACTGGTTGTTGGAGGGTTTGGTGGTTCCGGTACGCCATCTGGGCTGTGAGTGGGCTTGTAAGTATAAGATGTAATCGATCTTCAGATATCTCTACGTACCAGTGCCAGTGGTCGCCATGAGGCTCACACTCTTGAGCAGGGGTTGTTGGCTGAGGATGCGTGGGCGGTGGACTCGAAGGCTCTGGAACTCCGTCTGGACTGTGAATGGGCTAATTAGCAAAAGACACACTCCATCCTCGAATGAGTTGCTTACCAGTGCCAGTGGTCACCGTGTGGTTCACACTCTTGAGGAGGGTTCGTTGGCTGAGGATTTGTAGGCGGTGGGCTCGAAGGTTCTGGTACACCATCTGGACTGCAAGATTGATATTTGATCAGTAAACCTCCAGAAGCAAGAGGGCTGCCGGGAAACGAAGCTTAGATTCACAAAACGTAAATAGAGACCCTTACCAATGCCAGTGATCGCCATGAGGCTCGCATTCTCCTGACGGAAAGGTAGGCTGAGGATTGAGAGTCGGCCGAGTAGGAAGAGGTTCGGTCGGAGGTGGAGTGGTTGGCTCCGGGACACCAGGTGGGCCTACAAGTTTTTAGTCTCATTCACGTTTGTAGATGCAGCGACCTACAGTGCCAATGATCCTATAAAAGTTAGTCAAGTTGTGTGTATGGAAAAGAACCATGACTTACGCCACGAGGCTCACACTCTCCGTCCACTGGAGCTGTCTGAGTTGGTTGGCTCGGCGGTGGAGTTGTCGGTTGTGGCTCCGAAGGTGGTGGCGTTGAAGGAGGCTCTACTCCTGGAGGACCTAAACCAATTAGTACTTCACTTGACAGCAACAATGGGCATCATACAATGCCAATGGTCCTGGATGCTGTGAGTATATGCTCTTATATTATAAGTCCAGGGAAATTGTTTGCTCACATCATGGGGTTCACATTCTCCTTCGCCTGGAGGTGGAGTCGCAGTCGGTAATGGTTCGCAATGCCTTCGCTGATGTTTAGCATAGAAACATTATTAGATACATTACAACTTACCAGTGATCACCATGGGGAGAACACGCTGAGCCAGTGGGGGACGGTGGAAGTTCCGTATGGGGATCCTCGCTCCCTGTTGCGGTCGGTAGAGGGTCGCAGTGCCTAGTTATTGTTAGCTAAATGATGATCGTCAAGAGTTCAGACTTACCAATGGTCTCCATGAGGTGAACAGATGGATCCTGTGGGGGAGGGTGGAAGAGTGGGCGTGGAGCAGGGAGCCGTGATGGTCGTCAAACCGGAGGTAACGGTATAGCCAGCGCTTGAAAGGATACTTGATCCGTAGAACCTGTAAGCTGTAATCCAACCTAGACCCGGGAAGTCGAAGGCAGTCGTGAATACTGGAACCTCGAGATCCGTGTCGGTTACCGTACTAGCTATAGGCCCAAGCCGACTGTCAAAATCATCAATATTGGTAACAGTTGTTGCAATTCCCCATGTCAGCGTTGTAGTGGTGCATAGAGGAGCTGCTGTGATGCCTTGCGGTAATGCGTTCACAGTTCCTATGCTCCTGTAGATCGCTAGAAGCGCTAGAGCTTGATGCCGAAGACTGGTCATTGTTGAGACGAACCGAATGGTATCTGCAAGCTCCACGTGTAGAATTCTTGCAAGGTGATACTGCATGTATTTATGATAAACTATCTGCGTGCTGTGCCGCATAGATCAACAACATCATCGTATTTGCAATTCACATTCACGAAATGTTGGCCACCTCCCCGGTAGGATCCAATAGTCAGGTAAACCCCAGAAGTGTTGAAGCCGTAACGCAACGAGCAGGTGGCTGATGATAGCGTGGGGTTTAATCGTTCATCACATTCCGAATCTGTTGGTTTTACCATTCGTTCAAGCGGGACATAAAAGGCCAAGAGGAGATCTCGGTAGTGATGCCCTAACTCGTGAGGATGGATCATATCATAGACCATATGATGAACGTCTAGATGTCTTGTCAGTAGACATCAAGGTACTGCCAAGGCACCACTGCAGGAACTCAACTCCAACATTGCGGAATGAGGCCAACAACAGCCAAGATTTCTGATGTTGTAACGATGACATTACCTGGAGAATTGATACGATTGGGTTTTCAACTGGACATCATGGTAGAGCGCAAACAAACTCGTAAAGACCTTGTATGTCCTCTCATGGCTTGGCGGCATGTAGAAATTCTGAAGAGGATAAGAGCAACAACATAATGCATAGGCACATAGTGCATAGGCTTATGTTTCCTGGACATGCAAAGTATCGCGGAACACCGAGAGAAACGCATACCCTCGATTGTGTCGGTATAGTTGACGGGGATCCTTCACTTGATTCTGTTGTTACAAACCCGTTCTTTCAACACACACAATATCGCCACATGCATGAGAATCAAGTCAAGAAAATTATAAAGTTGCACTGATTCCCGCATTCATTTCTTCTGTGCAGCCACTCAACCATTGATCAATTCACCACCACCTATTGCCGGAAAGCTCTATCGCAAACACTTCTCAATATGAAATATACTCTCATACCCTTTGTCGCTCTTGTTGCAGGTGTCATCGCCTCACCTACTCCTGTAGAGCTTGTTCCGCGCGCATGTTCTACGCCTTCCGGCTGTTCCACTTATGGTGCTGCTGCAAACTGTAACTTTTGTGTAAGTGCATAATTTTAATGAGGAAAAAAGATTCCAACAACAAAGATTTATTGATAGATGTTGCATCATGAGGATATATCGTTAAAGAATTGTGCTGATGTTAAGAGTAAAGTGCCCTTCCGCTCCCACATTGTCCGCATGTCACACCCACGGAGGCTTCTGTGGCAATACAGGATCTAACCAGCTCGTATACCACTGCGAACCACATTGATCATGCTCGGGAACAGTGCAGATGAAGCAGATATCTTCACTCAGATGCCGTCTTACATGAAATAATGACGCTATGTTTGATGTCGAAAGGATCGAAAAAGGAAGTTGGAATTGGTCGGTCGCTGTGGTCACGTTCGCTTACTATATTTTCCTTCAACTTCTCCATTTCCATATTCAACATGTGGAGGGATGATTAACTTTTATTTTTATATAACAAAATCCCACTATCTTTGACAAGCTTCCCATTTCAGAGTTCCAAGATATTGAAGGCGTTCGTAATAGGATGATATGCAACACCAAGCTCAGTGACAAGATATTTGAGTACCCAAGTGTCGGGATCACTGAAAACTCGGCAACAGGATTCACGATGAACATCCTCCGCTCGCTTCCTTTCTTTTTCCGTTCTCGAGTTCTCCAATACACTTGCTTGTGCAACACAATCTCTTTGCGACCGCCACCAACGCCACTGGTATAACTCTAATGAGGCTCGAGTCCAGCTTCGATGACCAGCTGCAATCTCAGTAAAGAGTGCAACCTCTCCAACAATAACCACTCCCAGCACTACGTTGAAGTTTCGCATTTCTAACTCTGCTCTTCGATCATGTGGCAGACACAAGGGATATAGCCCTGGATACACCTGAAATAAGGAATTGAGGACTCCATCAACCAAATCTACGCAACGATCATTGTAGGTATTGAAACAAACATGATGTGGCAACAGCCATGTGGGGTTTTGTTACTTATTTGACTCGCAATGAATGTATCGAGCCATTCATTGTAAAAAGGCATCACTAGCCGTACAGTGTCAACCGGTGCCATAGTTGACCATGTGACACTCCGTGCGGTGCCATTTGGCAATGGCGCACAATCGTACTATGACACAGAACCCGAATTGGTATCTTAAGCCCTAGATTCTCGTCCGAATGTCACGGTAAATTGACTTCCAGATTTTATGCCTGACGGGGCGTTTGGGCTCACCTTTAGGAAGTCTAAAAGAGCGCCGCTAAACTTGAATTCCGAATACATTGCACCCATTTCTTCGCAGGCAGACTGAACGAGCAAAGTACTAATGGAGTATTTATGAGGACCAAGAGACTCAGATTGGGAAACTAATTCCCTTGGAGTGATACCAAGTCCCCCTGTGAAGCCTTTCAAGGCATGTGTGATCTTTTTTCCTTTTTCCTCATTCGTTAACCAAAGCGCCATGTCTTGCATTCCAGCCACCACAGGGAGCAAGAAAAGTTGATATGAATATAAAATCAGCAACATATGCGCGTTTATGAGGAATTCATCTCTACCACTTTCATGGTAGATGTATGCTTTGTCGATAGTATTGTTCTAAATTTGTGGCGCAACAAAGTCATTGTGAATACGAGCAAAACTAAAGGTACGCCTGCATGACAACAAAGTAACATATCAGAACTGACATGAATGAAGCAGTAACATTAAATCAATATGGTCAACGTATTCTGCGTATTCGTGAGATACCAAGACACAAAATTCTATATTTAACCTAAATTTCTGATTAGTAAGCTAGTTGTTTGTGGGGTTTGCGGCCACGTACCTGGTTGAAGATGCCTCCACGAGAATTGCTAGAAGAATGGCAGTCGAGCCGCAGAACATAAACGCGACTGTCGCACAACCGCCTCAGTCGAAGCCAAAAGCCAATGTCCTTCTTCCATTGTATATCTATCCCGCTCCTGGCGCGTGGGACCCTCTCTACGGCGCGTACGTTTCTTGCCCCTTATTGCCCCTTGCATGAAGTATTCCGATTAACAAAATGCTTCTAGATTGTCCCTTCATCGCAGCGTGAAGTTTACAATCATTGTTAATCCGAGCAGCGGACCAGGGGCGCCACCATGGTGGCCGAATCCAGATTATGTTCGAGAGGTGCCTAGGCTCAATGCGCAGCCAAATGCAGAGACAGTTGGATATGTGAAAATTGATTACTGTCGAAGACCGCTTGCCGATGTGTACGCAGATATTGATGCGTATGCGAAGTGGTCGACAGATAGTCGGTACCCTGGACTTGGCGTGAAAGGAATTTTCTTCGACGAAACGCCGAATCGGTTTACACCAGAGGTGGCAGCGTATTTGAATACTATCACGCAGCGCGCGAAAGAAACAGCCGGGCTTGCAGGCAATCGTCTCGTACGTAATATGTGTAGTCTGAAGTGTATTTTTCGAAATGTTGACAATTGCCCTAGGTAATCCATAATCCTGGGACGGCCGTGGACGCTACACTTGCTCAACCGGGACCGGACCTTACGACAGTGGTGGAAGATTCGTTTGCTAATTATCGTACCGATGATTACCAGCGATGGCTCGCAACGTCGCCTTATAATCGAACGAGGTCCAGCTACATGGTCCATTCGGTTCCGAAGTGTGAGGTATCTGCTTTGACGCACGAACTTCGGGATCGTGCAGAGTATTTATTCGTGACGGATTTGACGCAAGCATTTTACGAAAGTTTTGGACCGAGTTGGGCGGAGTTTGTTGCGGCTGTGGCGCGCGAAGATACGCAGTGCAGTGCATGACAATCAATACCCCCCGAGCAGGTGCCTGCTAACGGATTGTTCTCGAGGCTTTTTTCGTGCATAGCTCCTCGATGAGTTTCCAGATACGGCAACGATCCAAAACCCGGGGGGAGGATCTAATCAAGACGTGGATCCAGACCAGAGACAGGAAAGTCCTTCCTCATCAATAGTTGAATAAGACTCTTCCAATATAGCTCATCCTGGCACTTTGATCTCCGATTTACTTCGAAAGACCAGAATTCACTAATAAATCGGAGTCAAGGCCCCACAAATGAAGAAATAGGATACCATCTGCGAAGTGATTTAAGCTCAGGTCATTGCTTTCTCGCTACACGAGCACGGCTCGAGGTAGTGGTGGCGACTTGAACGTGGCTTAACCATTTTTTTGAGGTTGGTTCCAAAAGGTTCCCCAATGCTCGCGAAACCTCCAGTTCTGCTCTTCGTGTTGCCAAATCTCTAAACGTGAAACGGGTGTTACAATCCTTGTGCGGGCACCGTGATTCAGAAACAAGCGAATTTTTTACGCAGCAATCTTCGTCTTTCCGTATCGGGGCATACATGAGATCAAAGAAGGCCTGACTTGAGGGAGTCAGATGCTGACAGAGATAGACCTTGATCTTAGATATACTAAGGCGCAAGGGCTCAGGGTTAAAGTAACTCCAATGTTGACAATGGAAATACACAGGGTTAATGAGAACCCACCTCTCAGCAGCCCTTGACTTGCGTAAGTGACGGGCTCCATCAAAGATACAGGGCCCTCCGGAGTCTCTGTAGTGATCTCGATGACTGCACAGATACTTTTCTCGCGCTTTAGCTGGGATAGCCTTTCTGACTTCTGTAAAAGTCATTTCGCGATGCTGGCATACTCGTAAGACGCCTGCTGCTCCTCGACAATCGCGGTTGAATGGGGATTCTAGAACAGCATTTAGACTAAAGAACTGAACTAGGTGAGGGGATAAACAGTAGCTGCAGAACAGATTTTCTAGGGATAGTAAAAGTCTAGTCGTCCTGCCCTCCTTATAACCTTCTAGTGCTTCTATTTCTGCCCGTGCAGCCTGCGAACATATGTCTCTTTTTATCCGTCGAAAGAATTTCCGCCGGTCAAAGGCATCGGAGATCTTGGTTGTTTCAGTCTGAAGCATATATCGGAAGTGGCGACAGGATGCTTCTAGGCTCAAGTAGTCGGCCGGTGAGAGGTAGGTGCCAATGTGCAAGACAAGTTCAGTGGGCATTCGATAGTGGTGAGGGAGTTGCGCCATGTTGGCTATGAGGAGATCAGACTTTCCAGTGCAGCGTGGTACTCTCATCATTCTGCTTGTGATGAGATGGATGATGGGGTGGGAAGGTCAAAGGAAGAAGGAAGGAGGACGAGAATCTTGGATTCGACAGCATTTATACGCCTTACCGGGCCAGAATTGTTGAGACGCATTATCGGATGCCGAGGGGGGTGCCGACTGCTCGCTCTTGCACAATTTATTCAGGTTCCAGCAACATGGCCGCCACTCGCCACTCGTCTGCTCTGTTCCTCGTCGATTCGATAAGAAGTGGAAGCGTGAAAAGGGTATTGGGTGAAAGATAAGGCCATAATTCAATGAGGGTATCATATACAGCAACTGGATTACGACTGGAACTCACGGAGGGGGTTCATATAAAGACATTTTGGATATATTGCCCAGAGGAGATCGTGAAGTAAAGATGTCGTTGTTGATATGGTGGTTTGTGGTCTGCAGGAGCACATTGCTACACTAACTGTTATCGGACACTAATGAGACACTAGACTGCTTATGAAATGGTGAGGGTATACAACATTCCCTTGGTTCAACACGAAACTTGTGAGAACCCTCGAATCCTAAGGAGGAAGCCGGAAATCGTCCTTGAAAGGCTCGTGAGGTTATTTATTTGACTACAGAGACATTATAGGGGGTAGAATAACTAAACATTAACGGCATTTCTTTAGTCTTCGCAACATTTCTACTATTTATAACTGTTAAGTCGTATAATATCATTTACTGGATACAAAGGTGTTTAGGTGGTGATCAAAAAGTTGAGAGAACCCTACTCGTATCATTTCAATTCTGTCGTGCATCTGGTTCCACGCTATGTTCGCCTTGACAAAGTGTCCACTTGCAGTGGTTCTAATATACATAACGCCATCCACGCTCCACCCCTGTATGCTCAGACCAACCCTCTGCTTCATCCAGCCTCTTATTGAGTCTGACCGCTCGCCATCTGATAAGTACAGCGGAGACAACACAAGCGACGCAGCCAAAAAGGATGAGGCCACCGCCCATCCGATAGAACGGCTCCTGGGATGTGGGAAAGAAGTATGGGCTGAACCAATGGCTGACCTGACTGATGCAATTTGCGATCGCGATCAGTGCCGCTTTCTTACTTCTCGGAGCCGGAACTAAGGTAGTCTCCCAGCTCAGTTGCAGATTGAGCCCAGAGTAGGTACCGCTGATGAGTAGAATGAGGCCAAAGTAGCGAGCACCCACATTCAAGGTCCCAATAAGCACGCTACATCCGACCGCACTGAACAGGATTGGTATGACGATATGGAGGCACGATTCTTGAAAGCGTCCTGAGGTGTATGCAAGACCGCATGCGACGGCGTAAGCGATTGCATAAGGAGGAGCTTGCACGAGATAGGTGGTAAGGGTGTCGAAATGGAAGGTTTTCATAATCTGCACATTATTTTAGCATTGTCGAAAATTCAATCGGGGGGGAGATTCCGCTTACTGATGGTAGGAAATCCTTGAAGCTCTGTGCCGTGACAAGGGCGAAGTGCATGAGGCAAAAGTACCACGTGAAAGGATCCTTTGCTGCTTCTTTGAGTCCATCCCATGTGCCTCCAAGCTCCTCTTCACGCCCACCATTCGAGACCTGCACACGATATTGAGCCATCTCAGTTTCCTCCTGAGACAACCACTTAGTGTTGTGTGGCCAAGATGGAAGCACAATGTATCCGACTAGTGCAACGAGAATGGATGCGGCTCCCTCTATAATGAAGAACCACTGCCAGGCGTGCAAACCAAGAACTTCGTCCATGTTGGTTAGGATGCCGGCAGCTAAAAAGCCAGAGAGTATATTCGACATTGTGTTACCGGCATGCCAAATTGCCATTCGCATTGGGTTCTCTTCCTTGGTGTACCATGAAGATGTCACTGCGTACTATTAGATCCTCGTCTAGGCCATAGTCATTTGGTGAACTTACTGAGCGTAATGCCTGGAAAGAATGGGGCTTCAGAAAGGCCAATGAAGAACCTGCACACGGCGAAGCCAGCGCCACTTGTCATGGCTGGCATGCAAATCGTTCCAATACTCCATGCCATCATCATAGATGGCAGAAGCCAGCGAGGATCTGCTTTAGCAAGCCACAAATTTCCTGGAAGCTGACCGATGAGATAGCCCACATAGAAGGTGGAGATACCGGTGTTCCACACAGTATCACTCATATGCAGATCCTTCTGCAGTCCCGCAAGGCGGGCATTGGATACGTTGATGCGGTCCAGATAACTGTTAGGTCAGTACAAAATTTCCGAGCAAGATACGGTGTAGTATACATACTTCATTAAAAACATGAGAGTGATACATGGCATGAGTCTCCAGTCGAGCTTCTTGACAAGCCTTTTGTTGAGATCTGCCATCTGCTCCTCAGTCAGATCCCGGAGCGTCTCAAAACGCGCCTGGATCTGCTGCGCTGTGATATTGCCACTTTCGGCTGCCACCTCCTTGAATTCGGCATTCTCTACATTCTTTTGATCGAGCGCCATGTCTTTCAATGCGCACTCGGTTTCGGAAAAGCTGAAATGATTCTTGATAAGTGGTGAGATGCGTTGAAGCTGTCTGTGCATGAGATCATGTTTCAATGCGGAAGAACGTTCAATATATATCAGACATCACAGAGTCTGGTCTGGTCTAGAGTCTTCATGTGGAATCTGCTAGCCAGAGAATGGCGTTTTCTGTGTGGTAAGCCACTAAAACGCGGGCCCCCAGATTCCCCGCAAACTGTTGGTCTCACGCATTGGGGGAGACGCCATCGAGGAAGCTAAGGCGATAGTAACGGCTCGCTCGTTCCCGTCATGGTGCAAATTTGTTCCCGCGGGAAGAGAAACGGGACAGAGACCAGACCCCAAGGGAAAACGTATTTACGGTTGCGCCGTCCGGGGGAAACGGGCTCGCCGTTGTACTCGAGACAATCGCGGCTTTACGAGATTGGTTCTGAAGAGACGCATGAATGTTGGCTAGATTTGCCGTAAATACAGAGGGTTGGCACGTCAGGCTTCCCCTTTGCTAGTATTTCATGCCTACAACAGTGCATACGCAAGATTTTATCGCGAGGAGTCAAGACTGTTTACTGGCTACAATACATCCTTAATTCAGGTATTCGAGCTACTTGAAGCTAGCAGGTGGCCAGCCGGGCGTGCCAACCCTCTGCACATTATTGATGGTGGTAAAACTGGGGCCTTCATTTTGTGCCATGTGACTGCGCAAAAAGAACCGAAGTTCTTGTCGGTCTTCTTTCCTCAAATGAAAGAAGAACATAGGTAAAATATAGAGAACTCGACTTTTCGATGCGAATGGAGACAGAGGGTTGTAGTGAAAGTTTCAATGAACACGACAATAGTAGTTGAACTGAACCTCAAGAGGATATAAAAGATACCAGAACTTATCGTACATGCATGTCTCCAAACCTCTATGCTACACTACCTGACTAACTAAGCAATGCAGCAACCTGTTCATACACCGTAAAGACAATGCCACCACTAAAGACTAATCTCCCTAATCGCATCGTACTTCCACTCCAGAAACCCCGAATGCCCGCTCCCTGTAGGACAGTTCGAAATGCTTTCCCCGTGCTTGCTCCCTTCGCACTTTGAGCCTGCGTCTTGATCGTATCAAACGGTTGTGTTGTATAGACTGTGATAACCCCAGCCACTGCACCTGTTCCAAACGTCGTTGCACTGTTTTGTGCAATGTTGTTTCGCCGAGAAAGCTCTTTCAATACATTGTAAGATCCCATGCGTACGGCAGATGTGGCCGACTGCTTCATCGTTGTGGAGACCAATCCTCGATAAAGGCCAGCAGTGCCCTGTGTTTGAATAATGAGTCTACAGGTTTGCAGACCGCCCCGACTTGATTGTCCCCCATTCTTCGCATTGTCAATGAGAGCGGTCTTCACGCGCTCCGTTGGGGTGACCGCCACCACACTTTCAGCAGCACCCGCAAGCATTCCTGCCAATACGCCTCTCCAAGGGGATAGTACACCTTTCTCGTCGGCAAGATGACGACGTATCGAGTCAAATGATAAAAACCGGACGCCGGCCTTGAAAGCAGTGCCCAGTATCAACGTTGAGCAGCCAGTGTATATAGCTCCTATGCCGTCGTTACGTGCCACTTGAGCGATGACCGCGAAAGGATTTGATGATGAGCTCGCGCCGACTTGAAGCTGTGCGCGCGTTTTTGCGAATTCGAAGGGATATGTCGCGGTTGCTTCCACCCCACCGGCAATAGCACCAGAACAAAGCGAGACAAGAGCTGTTGGAGCCTGCTTTGCTTTAGGAGGCGTAGCTTTGGTCACATTGGCCGTTGACAATGTATGTATCGAATTGTTCACAGGTGCGGATGCGACGCTCATGGTGGCTGTATGGGATGTAGAAAAGGTGCAGAGAATAAATTTTGATACGGATATTCTGATTCATCAAGGAGTATTTAGATAATAGTCTGGGCATGAATAAATCCGTACCCAGAATAATGGAGAGAAATACAGTACCTATACATCCAATGCCTTCCATATCGGACGCGGCCCGACGGGAGCGCCGACTTCCCGCTGTCCCATAACCTCTTCGCCCTCCTGCAACATACCCGCCGCTCAACACTCGTCTGCTCTGTTCTTCATCAAGTTAATCGAATATCCCGTTCAGAGTATCTGTTTGTGCCAAGTACCTTACCGCGGCAGCATGAGTACGGAAGGCAACGAGCCCTCGCCTAGTCGCCCTCGCAAACGTGCGCTTGAGGCCTGCACCTTCTGTCGCCGTCGCAAGGTTCGTCATCGCAGCACCCATGCCAACATTCAAGACACTGAGATTTCGCACAGATCAAATGCAGCGCAGAGAGGCCTTCATGCGCAAATTGTAAAACACATGGAACGACATGCAGCTATGAGCCCATAGAGGAGGCTCAAGCTCGCAGCCGTCCAAGCAAGGCTCCACGAAGGGAACCCACTTCAGAGTCGATTACCATCACCATGTCTTCGACACCACAAACAGTGTCGCGTATTGTTGTTGCTTCCAATGGTGCTTCTAGTTATCATGGCCGTACGAGCACTTTGTTTGATGAAAATCCCCATGACCGAGCCAATACTGAAACGCGCCCTCGAATGCCTGATGAATGGGTTGAAAAGGGCCTCGTTGCTGAAGCTGCGCGCCAGCGACAACTCGAGGAAGTAAACTTCCGCCTTGGGAAGCTCGATTTTGATGGTGTTGAACCCGATTTGGGAATGCACTTATTGTCCTTACATTGGAATCGTCAACATCATTCATTCCTCACAACATATCGTCCAGCATTTATGCGTGATATGGCGTGTGGGGGCCCATACTTCTCCAAACTTCTTCTCAATGCCATCTACTTTGGCGCTTCAAAATTCAGCCCACGGCACGAGGTTCGGCGAGTAGCTGACGATGTACGTACTGCTGGCTGGCAATTTCGTCAAAGGGTGCGCGAACTCCTAGGCGGTGCTCTCGATAAGAGTGAGGTCACCACTATCCAGGCATTGCTAGTGATGACCAACTCTCTGTTCGCTTTGGGTGATGAGCGTAGTGCTGCCTGGCTCTATGCTGGCCTCGCCTTTCGCATGATTGTCGATTTAGGAATGCACGTAGATACCGTAGATCTGGCAAGTACTCGCAAGTTTTCGGACGAAGATTATGAAATACGGAGGCGCGTGTTCTGGGCAGCATTTGGTATAACATATTCTGTCGCCAGCCAATACATTCAACTGATGGAAGATAGTCGTCGATAAGATCCAGAGTTTATATCAGGGTCGGCCGGTCAGCATCAAGGAATCCGACACCCTTGTCCCTATCAAGTTTCTCGATACTTACGAAGAGCTTGAGAATTGGTCACCTTTTGCATATTCTACTCAGTCAAGCTCTACCTACCAGGGATCACCGGCCTACAGCATCACTACCTTTCAACATTTGTGCAAGCTCTCGGTGATTCTCAGCGACATTCTTAGCACAATATACACGGAAAGAACTTTCGACTCCAGTCCAGGAGAACTCTCGGCCAAATTGGAGAGTATCCACTCAAAGCTAACAACATGGCATAGCCATCTGCCTGCTCATCTTGCTGTTGACGTGAAAAAAGAACCTATAACACCCCCTCCACACGTATTGAGCCTACAGTAAGTCTTCCCAGACCCACCTATCCCACTTTCATCTGAACACCGATAGTGCTATGTACAACGTACTCATGATACTGCTACACCGCCCATTTGTTGCCGACGGACATCTTTACAGTACATCTCGCAGCATATCTGTCAATTCCTTTATAGCCTGTGCCACAGCAGCTGAAAACATAGTCGATCTTCTACGTGTGTATGACAAAGCATTCAGCGTACGCAGGGCACCATACTTGATATCGTATGCGACATACGTTGCCGCCACTATTCATGCTCGCATTGCTGCAAAGAGAGGCATCGGTTCAAATGCTCATAGTAATTTGAAAGCGTGCTTAGCCGTATTTCGAGAAAACCAAGAGACAAATTGGGCTGTTCGGCGCGCTAATGCTATTGTACAGAACCTGATGAAAAGGCTAGGAGTAGACATTCCTAGCCCTGACGAAACTCGAATTGATCGAGACAATGGCGGGAACAGTCAGAGTAGTACTCCCGGTACGTCAACAAGCAGGTCAATGGCGAGAGAACCTAGCTTGCACAGTCTGGATATCGACGGCATTATTCAGAGTTTTGTACGAGAACAGGAAACTATGCAAGTTCCCCAAGCAAGTCAGTCCGGTCGCAATATGTCATCAGATGCCACATTCCCCGCGCAGCAAATGTGGTCCTTTCCAAGTACAGAGGTTCAAGGTGTGGGGCCGCAATCCGAGAATCAGGATACGAACACCCTTGCCTATGAAACCGATTCGAGTTGGTTATACCAAGGGCAACAACAACCGTTTGGAGAAGTTTCTATATCGGTAGATGACTTACTCTACGGTTTCAACGGATCGGCACTAGACAGCTTCCCCATCCTCGATGGAACTATGATGTGAGGAGCGGCGAAATAAGAACCGGGACGCACGATGCAATCAATCACTACCTACCCGTCTACTGATCAATAGAGCCGCTCTCAGCCTAAGGGGGAAGTCGGAAATAGTCCAAGGAAGGCTCGTGAGGCTATTTAATTGACTACAGAGACACTTTAGAGGGCAGAATAACATTATATTAAACACACCTCTTAAGGCTTTATAATAGTGCTATTAAATTTAAATACTAAATGCTATAATATTATTTACTAGATACAACGGTGCTTAGGTGGTGATTATAACAATAGGGGGTGGCCAGGACTATTTCCGACTTCCCCCTTAGGTTGAGAGAGCCGCTACCTAAACACGCTGCCCGCCTTATTCATCCGCGGCTAAACTTCGGGCCCCACACCCCTTCCCGTCCTCCCTCCCGTTCCCTCTCAGTAGCAATGCCGCGGGAATGGTGCAGACCCGTCAGGCAATGCAGACTTCAGACCTCACCAAGAGCTACCCGGGCAACAAGATTTACCAGCAATAGTCATATAAAGATATTTCACTTTGGGGCCATCATGGAAGTACTCCCATATCTGACAGGCTTTTTCCAAAATTATATTCCTGGCCTTTGGGGTTTTCAATGCTTCGCGCACTTGCTAAATCATTTCACACAAAAACATCCCATCTTTCTATAATCGAGACATCTACCACTGCCCCAACCCCGACTTGGCTTTTACCGACTTTCATAATGCATACCGAACGACCTCCTAGAAAGGTCCGATGCAAATTGCCAGCAGTGCTCATGCGTGCCGGGACCTCCAAAGGCCTTTTCGTACACCGTCATCATCTACCTGCTTCTGAAACCGATTGGACGGCTCCATTACTTGCCGCAATGGGATCTCATAACTCAGATGCTCGTCAGGTAGATGGTGTTGGTGGCGGAACGTCCACAACTTCAAAGGTTGCCGTAGTATCGCCGTCAACACGTTTAGGTGTGGATGTGGACTATACGTTTGTTCAAGTCGCAGTTGGGAAAGGAATGGTCGATTTGAGTGGGAACTGTGGGAACATGTGCTCGGGTGTCGGCCCATTCGCCCTTCAAGAAGGACTTGTGCGTGCCAGGCCCGGGGACAGGACCGTAAGTCTTCTTCAGTCGACTCGCAGTATCGTAGTATCTATTAATTATCATAGATTGATGTTAAAATATTCAACACTAATACATCGCGGATAATTGTCGACACTGTTGAAATAGATGAGTTTGGCCAGTATGAAGAAGATGGTGACTATTCAATGCCGGGCGTGAAAGGAACTGGCAGCGAAGTCAAAGTTGCTTTCGTCGACCCAGCAGGGAGTATGACTGGCAAGCTTTTCCCAACCGGGAAGCGTAACGAGACCATCGTAGTGAAGAAGAGAAACGACAGTCCGTTCTCGGTCAGAGCAACCTTGATTGACGCTGCCAACCCCTTTATTCTTGTCGACGCCAATACGCTACCACTACATCTTCGCTCATGTTCCAAGGATTCAACCGGATATTTGGAGTACATGGAGATGATTCGACGTACTGGTGCAGTTACAATGGGCCTAGCATCCAGTACTGATGCTGCAGCCAAAGTGAGAGGAACGCCGAAGCTTGCCCTCGTTTCAACTACCGACGATGCGAGTCTTCAAGTGCAAGCGTTCAGCATGGGAAGACCTCATCCGAGTCTACAACTGACAGGAGCAGCATGTATTGCTGCCGCAGTGTGCATTGAGGGCACGGTAGCTCATGATATCGCTTCAAAGTCGGGAACCCAGGCTGCGTGGCAGCTCTCAACACCTGAGAGGACCCCGAGTCCTTCTCTTTCGGACTCGAGTGATCACAGCTGTCCTGTCCTTCCCGACAGGAAGACTGTTAGCATCGCGCATCCGAGTGGATTAATCACTGTCGATGTCTCTGCCGCGAGCTCGCCTGAAATAGCGGTGGTGGACCGATGTATTGTTTCGCGCACGGCTCGACGATTATTCGAGGGGAACGTGTACTATTATCAAGATGCAGCGCAATGTCAGGCCTAGAATTAATACCACCAACTTTGTACCCAATGAATACCCAATAAAGATCCATAATCTACACACTTGGCTAGATTTACAGCCGTTGATTCTTGTGGGAATTACAAAAGCTCCCATGAATGCTTTGCGCATAGTACACCAAAACCACTTTTTAAATTACACACGCAACAAGAATTAATTATCTTGCAACCAGTCGCCTCTTAGCATCATCTTACAGCATCGAGACATATCGAAGCGCCCTCTTTCCTTTCGACCCCTCCATCAACTTGTTGAATGGTGCCTCTCCTTCTTTCAATGACCTCCATTGCCACGACTTAATAGGTGCTCTTTCCATACCTTTGTTTTCAATAATATCTACTACCCAACCTCCAATAGTTGGTAGGAACTTAAATGCATGCCCGCTTCCCGCCGTGACGACCATTAATCCTTCCTGACCGGGCACATGATCGATGATGTATTGGTTATCGAAAGAATCAGTATACCAACACAGTCTCGTCAACCAGATGTCAAGATCTGCCAACTCGGGAAGATACACGTTTGTAAACATTCGAATGACTTTCACAGCTTGGGCTGGAATCTGACGAATCTGCTCATCTTGCGACCACCTTGTGATCGGAACACTACGCTCCTGTCCATCTGGTTGGACTCGTGGATTGGTGTACTTTGTTCCTCTGTAACCAATCTTGAGAAGGCCGTGTTCATCGACGGGGAATCCATACAATCCGGCTTCAGGTCCGTCACCAATCTTGAACGCCCATGCTGGAAAGTTATCTGGTGCAAACCTCTGGCGGAGAGGAGAAGACTCTGGAATTTTGAAGATGACAACCGATCCAGCTGTAGTCTCGGCCATTCCATCAAGAGATGGCACAAGACTTGGCGTCCACCCACCGCAGGCAACAATGACGAGAGCAGCGTTGTGAATCTTTCCATCGGCTGTGCGCACTCCGACAACCTTTCCTGTCGGACTTTGGATGGTAGACAACACATTCCCCGCATTTGAGTCCAAGAAAAGATGGACACCCAAGCGCTTTGCCTTATGTAACGCAAAGCGACAAGCCTTGTCCGCCAATGCGATACCCCCAGTTGTGTCCATCACACCCAGCAGCTTCTTATAAAATGGGTTCATTCTTGCTGAGAACCCTTTCTCCTCCGCCAAGCGCAAGTGTGCCTCATTGTTGTTAACGAGTTGCGTATCAGCATATCCCGCCTTCTCCATGTTCTTTATTGATGAACTCTCGAATTCAGGGAGAACATCGGCATCAGTGACCGACAAATCTCCGTTATTGATCCAAAGCACGTCTTCGGAGCTCATGCCTGGAGGTACAGCCGCGCCACCGTCACGCAGCTCCTGATTCCACGCATCCCATGCCTCTACAGCATGGAGACTTAGGTTCTGGTATATGGTTTGCGTGCCATAGGCGGAGCGGATGATCTTGTTTATATCGGCCGAGGCGGCGTCGCAGCCGTTGAGGTAGGAGTAGAGTGTGCTCTCGTAGGGGTTCTTGTCGAGCAATGTTACGTTGGTGTAACCTCGTTCTGCAAGGTGAATTGCGGTGCTCAGGCCAAAGATTCCGGCTCCTACGATGATGATGCCATCTGACTTCGAGGGAGGGGCTGGCTTGGTGAACATGGTGGTCTTTTCGCAGTGTTTGTTCAAGGGATCGAGGACTGAGGATGACTTGACGAGTTTGACTTGTGGTTGGAATATGGCAATTATTAAATTCAAAGAAAGTCGAACTTAGTCCAAGAAAAGAGTTGAAGGCAAAAATGACTCTGAAGCGCCTTCTAGCCTACGCGCGTTGTATACCTTCCATGTCAGCGGAAGGGAAAGTACCGGGATAATCGATTACTCGTATGATTCGAAACAGATCGTCAATTGCTTTAGTTCAATTAATGGGAGTATTTCAGATAACCGGGAACATCTAGATCCAGTGGCGCGGTGATTTATCGTAACAATTGTAAATAGCGACCCTATCGCCGTGGCCCAAAAACTCTACATATCAACAGACTAATTGACGAATCCGAGCGCATGTTCCCATTGGTGGGTAGTTCCCTTCATACTTGGAAATACGGCCACAAAGGGAGAGAGATGACCAACTCAGTCCTAGTCGGGGAATAGTACCCACCAATCGGAAAACTGCGTCGGATTGAACCGCTGCCGACTTGAGGAAGTTTCCTATCAGTGAATTTCGTTCATGTCCATATCGCCGGCGCAAACCTATTATCGCAACTATGTGAACAGCAATATCTATACTTTACAAGATGCAGTCTCGAATACAAAGTCCATATCTCTGCTTCAGCTTTTAACACTCAACTCGAAGCATCAATTTCTCAATAAGCTCCGAGTGTCTTCGAGGTATTTTAAAATGTCTTCAACCGATCATTTTGATGACCCTATGTGGCCTCCTGGGACTGTTCGTCTGCAAGGTAAGCAAGGCCTTTCCTGATCAAAGCAATGACTTGGTTTAATGTGGACCACTAATCCACTTTCACTCCAGAGGAACATACATCGAACGAGATCATTCTACAACCCCAGCCGTCTCAAGATCCAAACGACCCACTGGTTAGTCATAGCAAGTACCTTTCGATGCAAGATCCATCTGCTGATGTGGAAACTCCAGAACTGGTCCAATAAACTCAAGTACCTCAACTTTGGTTTGGCAGCATTGTATGCCCTAATCGTCTTTGCATTGTATGTCACTTCTGCCCACGTCTATGCTGTGTATCTCAATTAACGAGGTTCTAGAATCGATGCTGCCACCCCGACCTGGGACCCCATGCATGAAGAGCTCGGATATAGCTACGATGATCTCAACAATAGCTACGCTGCTGGATGCGCAGGTCTCGCTCTCGGAGCTGTCGCACTGATACCATTCGCACACAAGTATGGACGTCGTCCCATATACCTGTTCAGCTGCGCTATACAGTTCGGGGTCTGCATCTGGTCTGCACGTCAAAAGACTGTGGCAGACCTGATTCTGGTCAACATTTTCAGTTGTTTCTTGGGTGCTCTCGCAGAGACAATCGTGCAGATGACCATAGCGGATATGATCTTCGTAAACCAACGAGCATTGATGAACAGCTTGTATTTTTGGTCCACCAGAATTGGCGCATCGTTGACGCCCTTGGCTGCAGGGTATGTCACGGTCGATCAAGGGTGGCGCTGGGTCTGGTGGTGGCTCACCATCATCTTTGGTGCTCTGATTATAGTCATGTTCTTCGGCTATGAAGAGACAAAGTTCGTTCCACCGGCAACTGAGGGTATCGCTCTGGACCACTGTTCTACTCTCGAAAACAACACCACCAAAGATGGCAAGGACATCAAAGACCCAGAAGTCGGCCGAGTCAAAGTCGCAGACGAGACCACTCGATATGCTACGAAGATATCGATCGACCCTACTATTCCAAGGAAGAGTTATCTCAAGCGCCTTGCACTTACAACATCATCACCCGGGTCTCTCAATGATCTGCTTCGCCACTGCTATCAACCATTTCAGATACTTTTCACTATCCCCGGTGTTCTCTACATGTCTCTCCTTTACGGAGGCATGATGGTCACGAACAACATCTTGGTCACAACCGTATCAACATACATGACTCAGGAGCCATACAACTTCAGCCCTGATCAGATAGGTTTGATGAGTCTAGCTCCGTTCATTGGCTCAACCTTGGGTACTCTCATTTGCGGCCCCGTCAGTGACTGGTCGATTGTGTATCTTACCAAAAGAAACAAGGGCATCTACGAGCCAGAAATGCGTCTGTGGCTCATAATCGTCTTTGCCACTTTCCTGCCTGTCGGCATGATTTTACTCGGCGTTGGACTAGAGAAGGGCTGGACATGGCCTATTCTAGCCGTTTGCTATGCGCTATGCAGCTTTGGAATTGCACCAGCTGGCACGCTCTCTCTCACTTACATCACCGATGCATACACTCAGGTAAGATCGCCGTGCAGACAAGTACAGTTTCATTTCGGCTAACACATCACTTTCAGATCGTAGGAGACGCCATGGTCGGTGTGACTTTCATCCGCAATTTATGTAGCACCATCATGATTTTCGCGAAAACGCCTTGGATCGCTGGCATCGGCTTGCAAAACACGTTTATCATGATTGGTGTCATACTTGCTTCCATTCTCTTTGGCAATGGATTCTTGGTCTATTATGGAAAGTACTTTAGGTACAAGTACCGCGCGACTTACCAGAAATATGCGATGAAGCAGTTTGAGCCGCGGGTCAACTTTTCCTAGGTGGTTCAGTTGAGTACGGCGAGGCCGCAATCTGAAAGTAGCTAGTAACGAGAGAACTCGATAGTCTGTGAAATAATATGTTGTTTATAACAAAGAATATGTGGATGTCTATTAGGTGAAGGAAATCAAGTTCTTATATTTAGTGGATTGGTGATCTCGGAATCGTATCTTCCAAACAGTCGTGACTTCCTATTGCAAGATCAAGAGAATCTGTAGTAAAAGAGTAATGGCTAATGGGGTAGCCTCGGGCAGAGCAAGTCTCTTCAACCATACGATGTCAATCAATTGGTCATATCCCGTAAAAGATGAATACTAAAATAACGGAACGTAATGGGTTGATATCCAAATAATGGTAGATAACATTAGCCCTATCAGGCTTAGCACGTGCGGAGTCGACCTCAGACAACATACTCAACTCGCGATCCATTATCTACCACCAATCCGGCCATGCTCCAGATTGATCCAAAACGACAAAATATTGCTACTCCAATAACTTCGCGCTCGACACATGGTCATGCTTCAACACAACCGTCAAAGGCGCCCAATGCGACCGCATCCTAGCGAGCCGAAACGCCGGTCTCGAGCACAGGCGGCTTGCACTCATTGTAAGGAAAGAAAATTAAAGGTACCAGCTCCGCAATGATCGAAGAATACATATTCGAAACTAATCACATCCCCCAGTGCGATGATTGTGTGCCATCATGTACCAACTGTTTGCGCTTTCATGTTGGTAAGATGAAGGTCCAAATCGTGCGAGAGTGGCCACTGATAATGATGTCGATAGCTTGTCTCATTGAGGATCCATCAACCAGACGCCAACTACCCAGAAATTATGTGCAAACGTTAGAAGAGCGCCTTGAAGTTCTTGAAGGTCTTTTGCAGCAACAACAACAACGCGGTCAAAGCCAGGCAGAGACCGTTGAGCCACCACAAAGGTCCCAATCTCACATCCATGACTATGCGAACACACCTACAACACGTTCTGTCGCCAGCGAAAACGACGATCCCGAAGGAAGTGATAACCTAGTCTCCAAAGCGGGAGTGCTAAGTCTTCATGCATCAGGTGCGGAACCGCATTATTTCGGACATTCATCGATGTTCTCCTTCTCTCGTATTATCCGATCTTGTGTCCGCCAGGTTGGGCAAGGGAGGTCGGACGAGCAATTCGAGTCAGCTTTAGGTGGAGCGGGAAGTTCGTCCATTTCACCTTGCAATCTACCAGACTTGGGAGTTGGTCTGATTCTCAGTAATGCGTATTTCGAGAATATACACTTGCAATACCCCTTCTTGCATGAACCAACTTTCAGGCAATGGGAGAATAATGCTCATGGAATTGGGACACAAGTCACCAATTCTATGGAGCTATTTTTCGTCAACATAGTAAGTCGTTTGTTATAGTCTGTCCAAAAGGAAAAAATCTTTATAACGCGATCAGGTATATTCGGTGGGTTCTCTTCTTAAGCCAAACACGGGAACCCTTTCACAGGTAAGTGGGCAAATTATTTCACTTGGAAAACCCGACTTACTTAGTTCATGCAGCAACTTTATGCCTCCGCTCTCTTGTATTTCGACGATGTGATTGCCCAGAAGAACATCGAATCAATTCAAGCCGTGCTTTGCTGCGCAATGTTTTCATTGAGGTCTACGGTAGGACCTTCCACATGGTACGTTGTTCTACACTATCACCACAGAATGCCGCTAATAACTGACGTTAGGAATCTATCTGGACTTGCGTTACGCCAGTGTATTGAATTGGGCTATCATCGGAATTTTAAGAAAGCCAATCCGATCACGAATACTTTGCAGTCAGAAATGAAGAAGAGAGTATTTTGGTGCGCCTATCAGATTGACTGTGCTTCCTCTGTCAATGTCGGCCTCCCACTCAGCCTGCCTATTGAAGAAGTGGACACAGAGGTCAGTAGTAGAACACCACTATTCACAGCACCAAAAGTGCTTACACAATAACCATTCCAGTTTCCTCTCGATATCAACGATTCCGCCATCAGCAATGAAGGTATTGGGGAAGCTCCACGGCAGTCACGGCTTGATCCCGTAACCACTGTCACACATGCATTGCACCAATTTCGCATCCGCTGTATCTGGGCGCGGATCTATGCGGCGCTTTACACCAATGCAGCCATTAAACGCCACAACAAGGAGAGCTACGAAGCGCAAATAAAATCTCTGCGCAGCGAGCTCGACAATTGGATGTCATTGACACCGCCCGAACCCCATCGAGCAGGCCCTACACTATGCGTATTTGCCAGCACGGAAGACTACAAGATCACATACAATGAGACCATCATCCTGCTCTACCGAGGAAAATTAACCAGAGCAAAGGACAATCCACCAGACGACATCTTCCTAGAATGTATGCAGGCCGCCAGCAGCATCTGCGACTCCTGCAAGCGTCTCTACGTCGGCAAGCCCATCAATTACACTTGGTCTGCGCTCCACGTCCTTTTCCTCGCAGGATTGACGTATCTTCACTGCCTCTGGGCATCGCCGACCTGTCGACAAGCAGCACGATACGACAAGGCGAGCAACACATTTACAAACTGCACCATGCTCCTTGCCATAATGGCGGAGCACTGGGCGGGCGCTGCGCCATACCGCGACTTGTTCCAAGCTCTGGCCTCGCGTACCATGACCATGATTGTGGAGCAAGGCCAGGATGCAAGTCCAGTTTTCACAGCCCCGAGCCCGAATACGGAGGAGTTGACGCAGTGGGCGGCACAGATTGCTGATCTCAGTATGCCGGACGCATTTGGGACTCTTTTGACTAGCCTTATCGGGGATTATAACCAGGAGGGATATGGGTTTTAGACAATCAATGCTCAAGATATTCGGCTTGTTGTCACAACTGTTCGCTGTGAGCGATGCTTTCTGTGTGGCGTTCAGGCATATCCTGCCTATCCTGAGCTACCCGATCCTCAAGACCCGAGTCAATCGTGACTACAACCAGTTTACCGCCACTGAATCTACTGGGCATCGCCACGTCACATATGTTGGTATACGGCTGTTTTAGCCATGGCTGCCTAGGCTGACACAGCGTTACTGTATCTGTCGTGTAGCTTCAGCACTTCCCCAACCTAGGTCTAGGTCTCGCAGCACAAAAGATTGTAATGAATGCCATCACTCTGTACATGATTCAAGTCAAGAGTCTCCTCAAGTAGAAATAAATATCGTCCTCAGAGGTGATGCTAAGGTTTCCTTCGCTGTGTGGCATTAACTGGTCACGCAGAACAGCAAAAGCCTTTTGTTGATCAAAACCTCGTTTGCCATATCTTTGAGGGACTGATTCTTTGGGGGCAGTTCTCACCTTCAGAATGTGCTCCGATCAGAAATTGCATGAGAGCACCTTCTTTGCTGAGAGATCTCTACACGGTTCTGTCCAATCGAGAAGGGCAGGTCGCAAGGCTATTTCAGCCTGGCGGTGTAGTCACTTGGCATTCGATTTCGCAACCTGTCGCGCTCTTGAGATTCAGCCTTGTCAAGCCAATTCCTTCTTCTACCCCGCTCCCCATCATTCTTTCAGCCTACTTGGAATTCCAATTCTCCTCCTTTTGTCCAAAATGGACCCGTTCTCCGTGGCGGGTTCGGCCGTCGGTGTCACCTCTCTCGGGCTGCAAATATGCCAGGCTCTAATCGTATATTACGGGAAGTTCCGAAGTTTTCACGATGATGTCGACGCAGTTGTAAGAAGATCAGAAAGCCTGGGCAGAAATTTGAAAGCCTTAGAGTCGTTGAAGATCCGACTGGGGGATGGCGAGGTGTCCTCGGATCTACAAAAGTCCATGGATACAGTCGCTCTGGCGCTCAGGAAGTTGAATGAGTATGCGAAACGATGTGGAGAGATCAAAGTACCCGTGAGCCAGCGAGATCAAGCAAGGCTTGTGACGAAGAGATTGTTGTGGCCTTTTCGGCACGACACATTACTCTATCTCCAGGATACGCTGGACCGAACGCAAGCGGATCTGGAGCTTGCTTTGCAGATTATAGATTTTGGAGTCGCACACAATCATACAGAAGCTCTTGAAGAGGTCAGAGAGACCTTGAAAAGTCAAAATGATATAATCGAGATCGAACGTGGAAATCGGACAATCGAGATGACTTCGATTCAGAATCAGACATCCCTGATTTCATCGCAGCTTTCTGCCATCAAGCGGAGGCTTGACATAATAGTGAGAACACCCTTGAAAAAAATGTACATTTTTACTAAATTGTAGCAGGTCTTACCCAATGCAAGAACTATGAATCTGACTAGCTTTCCAAGTTCTTCATCAAATGAGAAAGGCCACGATGAAACGTTGCTCTGTTCACAGAATCAAACAGCCGAAAATCGTCGTGAGCCACTTCAAGAGATAGCAAATTGGAAGGGTTCGCGAAGTGCAAGATGTCATTGTCGCTATTTTGCGCGGAATCAGATTCAAATTAAGTTCAGTATTTCACACTGGCTCTGGTTTCCTATCCGCATCGAGGAGGTGTCGGATCATATGCCAGGTTGCCAATATTATGCAAGCGGCGATCGCGTTCAAACGATCAAAACACATTTCAATGTGAGAATAGCTGGAAGCTGGAATTACCATGTAAAAGCGAGCTGGACTCACGCGCAAACATCAATTTGGTCGACCATATCCCCTGTTTTACGATTCCATCCCGTAGTTCCAACCGATTCGCCAGGGTTTGAACCTTTCAACCGGTTACTCCAAGAGTCTTTGAAAGAATTTCGGTCACTCCCTCGCATACATCATCTTTCAGATAAGGGGCGCAAAAGGAATTGGAAGTTGCGACTTTATCAAACATTAAACACGGTTCGGGACAACTTTAAGCATCAACGGGCTAGTCCACTCGATATTAACACAAACGGGATGAGTATAGTGAAGGTGAGATATCACTCTTTCTCTTCGAATCTTCAATATTCTAAACTGGGTAGCTTATTCTTAAGCATGTGATGTTCTACCTTGAGCAAGGATTGCTTGACATTGACGAATTTAACATTCTCCTCAACGATCTAGAACTTATGGGACTTAGACTGAACCAGGAAGTCAGCTATGCAATGTAAGCCACACTTGCAGATCACAATGATCGCGCTGATTATCACTAGGCTTTTGCTGCACATGAAATACGGTTCCCAGGTGGGGAGTCTCTGTCTTAAATATGACGAGGACGATGTTGCTCTCATTTATTCACATGTCATACGCACAACAGGGAGTTGGAGCCTCCCCAATACAACTTTGCTATTGATGGCACCTCAGGGGTTCTTCGACTTCATATATGAACTGCTCTTACTTGAAAAATATGACAGAGGTATAATTCAAGTGGCTATTGCTATTCTTTGCTGAGATATTCCAGACTTCGAGGAGGAATCCCCCCTCACATCCGCCATTGTCCATAGATCGCAACAGGAGCTCTTGTTGATACTTCAATCAAAGCCGCCATCTTCATTTTACACTAGTATCGAGTTCAACGAAGCGTTATCAATTGCATTATCATGGCCATCTGGATTAAAATCACTGTTGTCCAATATCCCTGGGGGCCTATCTATTTTAGGCGCGGACCAGAGCCTCCTGATGAATCATGCTTTGAACCTCAACAACAGAGCATCGATACGTATCCTTCTCCACAACAATATCTCTGTAACTCCTGATTTATGGAGGTGTGCTTGCTATCTGCAAGACGGCTTTGAGGCAGAGACACGAAATGAGATCTTCACATACATGGCCACATACTTGGCACGAGCTGGGTGCACTTCCCGACTCTACCACGAATATAAGTTGACTCCAATCGCTGCTCAATGTCTTTGGGATGCAGGTTTTCCACTGGACCAGGACACTGGGTGTCCTGGGAGGTCATCACCGTTGTGGTCTCATGCTAGACTTGCGGATCCCAAGGAATCCTCATGGGCTGCTACGGAATCACTTCTAGAGTGGCTTGTAAGCAAAGGGTGTAGCCTTGACTGGGTTCATCCACAGCACCGCACCACTTCCGCCCATTTCATTGCGCGACAGTTTGCATGCTCAGGGGTCTTCACTTCTATTAACCTAGATGATTCATTGCCACCGTGCAGTGAATTCATGATGGATGTTCTCCTACGTGGGAACCGCGACGTCTGCTGCTGCCACTGTTCAGAAGATGGATGTACTGTCATTGGAAGTGCCATAAAGTTGTCCTCAGGCTTGGTCGATACAATAGAGGAAAGACGAACAGGCATGTTGCATTTTGTCTACGAGATCGTAGATTTGCATGATGATCGTCGTTGGATGGCACCTGCGATCATTCGAATCCTCACTTTCGACAAATTGAACCTCACTCACACCTGCTGTCACGAGTCACTTAAGAGGTGGTGGCTTTCAGACCCTCCAGACTGCAGTGAAATAGACGAGATACACGTTATCGAAAAGAAGGACATTGAGCTTTTGGAACGACTCATGGAAGAATTTACGGCTGCTTGGGAAACACACACAGGGAAATTTCAGGAGTTCATCGACAACGTCTGGGAGCCAAAGATGGAAGAAGAGTGTGGCGAATTGTCTGATATCGATGAATCACAAATACAGAGGATTATGGACATTGGTGTGGTTCTTGACAAGGTTGAAACGCAGACTGTATCTACGGAAGAAGGGTAGGGGATGTTAGCCTTTTGGGGTCTGTTCAATTCATCAAGGTGTCAACACATGAACTCATCAAACCTGCCTTTCGACTACAACGCACCACCTGCCGATCACACCTAGGCACCTCTGTGTCAAAAACGATACAATATTATGGAAACGTTGTAAAGACTTAAGAAATGTTTTTGATATTTTGTTATTCTACCATCTGTAATGTCTCTATAGTCGGTCAAACAACCTGACAAGCCTTCCCAGGACTATTACCAGCTTCTCCCTTAGACTGAGAGCACGCATAACGATACCGTACCTTAGCACCCCCCTAACGACGAAAGTAACAAGGCCTAGTAGCACTTCTTCTCTACCTCTTGTGTCTACGCATTACAACATCTGTCCATCTCTATATACACCCACTTTCCACCACCCCATCCCACAACCTCATCTCCCACCTCCCATCCCCCACCTCAATCCCTCCCCCTCCTCCCCCTAACAGCCCACCAAACCCCACCCAACGCCCACACGCCCACCAAAACCCCCGCCTGCAGCACCTCCCCGACCGCACCCCTAACCACCACAAACCCACTGATAACACAAAACACGCCCGGCACCACGATACTCGGCTTGACGGGCCTCTCGAGGTCCGGCTCGCGGAAACGCAGGACGATGGCGCCGAGGACCGTCAGGAAGAAGAAGAAGTACTCTGCCAGGCCATTGAGCGTGAGGAGGGTGCGCATGGGGAAGAGGAGGATGTAGATTGCTGAGAGGAGGAAGTTTAGGAGGAGTGCGTTGCTGTTTCTTTTGTCAGTGGAAAGGGGGGAGAGAAGGGGGGATGGGGATGGGTTACATTGGTGAGTCGCCTCTATCCAGGGCGTCTTCGTCCGACGTATCATCGTCGCTTTGGTCGATTAAGGTGGGAGAGGAGGCGGAGGAGGCGTCGGCGTTTGAGGCGTCCTTTGAGGAACGCAGGTGGTGGGAGATCTTGAACGGACCTATCTGGCCCACGGTGCCGAATACGGCGGGGATCCAGCCTTTGTTCGCGGCGGCGACGGTCATGCGGCCTGCGACGAAGGAGTTTCCGAGCGCGGAGCCGGCGATCACGAGGCAGATGAGGAAGGTCGCGATGTAGGCTACGGTTTTGCCGAGGAAGTGGGTTACTGCTGTCTGTGTTTGCGAGTTAATGAATTTCCGTTGTCTTGCTTTCGGAGATGATATCTTTCTTTTCGAGATAGTAGTGAGAGACCTTGGGAGAGGGTAAAGAGAGAATTGAACGTACGACGGCGGCTGCATCAGTGATGGAGACGACTTTCCAGGGGAGGAGGACGTAGTAGACTGCGTTCGCGGCAACATAGCACACGATGATAGTCGGAATCGCAGTGTTGATAGCGAGCGGGAGCTGTTTCCTCGGGTTCTTGAGCTCCGCGGCTACATAGTTCGCCTTCATCATAATTCACATGGTCAGTCTTCTTCCTTTCTGCTACAACCTCACGTTGAAAAGGGGGAATCCAAATACCTTATCCCAGCCCGAGTACGCCCACAACGCCCCATACAACGCCGTACTATAAAACCCCAACGACTCCCACACACCCACCTCCTCCCACCGAATCGTCCCCCCATCCGGCAACACCGTCTCCCTCTTCTCAAACCACCCCCTCTGATGCCAATCCCCACCCCCTAGATCCCTCCCTCTCGTCACAAACACCCCCACCGCCGCAACCCCCGCCACAATCAGCAAAAACACGGACAAAAACTTCACCCCCACAAAGAAACTCCCCAACCGCGTACTCGTCCTCGTACTAATCGAATTCAACACCGTCACCGTCCCCACAACAAGCAACCCCCAAAGCTTGTGCACCACCCCAGGCGCCGCATCATTAACACCGAGACTCGAATACACACTCTCCACAAACGCAACGCTCAAGATCGCGAGCGTCGCCGGCATCGTCGCCACGACCCACGACCAGGCCGCCAAGAACCCGAAAACCTCGCCGTACATGTGGCTTAGGTAGGGTTGGATGCCGCCGGGCCCGGGGAAAAGGGTGCCGAGTTCGGCCATGGTGAGCGCGCCGGTCCAGGCGACGATGCCGCCGACGAGCCAGGTTAGGAGCGCGGCGCCGGGGGAGGGCACGTTGGCGTCGATGGGGCCGGGGGAGCTGAAGATGCCGGAGCCGATTATTATGGAGATTAGGAGGGTGAAGGCGGAGGTGGCGGTTAGGCGGCGGGCGAACGTGGAGTGTGGTTGGGAGGGGACATTTTGGGATTGGGATGAGGGGGGGATGGAGGGTTGGGCCTGGGAGTCCTGGTTTTCCTGGTCCTGGAGGAGGGGGGTGTTCTCCGTTGGCATTTTGGCTGGCGGGGGAATTGCATGTGGGTGATGGTGGTGGAGGGTTTGGAGATGTGAGGTCGTTGATATGTAGTTCGAGATAGCATATCATTGGCTGGGATGATTGCGTGCTCTATGGAGTCATGGTAAGTCACGTGAGCGCATATCTTCTACTTCATCGACCTACCCGGGTAGTCATATACACCCAAGAGAGAAGCTACAAATGTGAATATAAGGAATTCTTACACATATAAATGCAGTAGGGAACTACATGATAAGTCTTCAACAGCATCACAACCCATTCTTACACTAAAGAAAATTGACCCCTTGAAGTTCTGGTACTCAAATAAATCAGTAAATATATTGAATTGGTACTTTTCCAAAAGATCATGAGAAGACCTCTCTTTAACCAAAAAAAAACGATAGTCTTTCCTTTAAACCAATAACGAGTCTCTCATCTCATTGAAACAGAAAGGAAACAAAAAACCAAAATGATTCCGAAAACAGTATTAGGATTTTTCAAAAACTAACAACTTCCAGTATAGAGAATCGAAGTACCATTAAAGAAAACATAAGACAAAAGATGACAAGGGTATCCTTTCCTTTCCTTTTCCACCTTCCTCCTCTCATCACTCAACCACACACACACGAACACGAACACACATATCCTCCTCATGAACGACAACTAACCAAAACTCTACCACCGACTCCCCTGCTCCTTAAACCCCTCCCCGCCCTCGAGCGCCGGAATACTAAACCCATACCCATCCGTATGCCCCTCCCTATCACTCGGCGCCACCTCAACCCTAATCGTAACATCCAGCCCGTACGGCCCACACAGCCCCGTCGCCCGCAACCCACTCGCCGCAGGATGCGTGGTCCCGGCCCCCTGCTCGCCGTTGTGAATCGGCTTCCTTGCGTTGGCTTTGCGCTCGGGGGGCTGGGAGACGGTGGAGGGGGCGATGGAGGAGGCGGGACCGCCGGTTATGGAGGGGGCGTTTGCGTTTGCGGAGGCGGGGGGTTGGAGGGTTGAGGAGGGAGGGGGGAGGATGGGGGAAGGGTTGGACTCGGCGATGATGGCGTAGTTGCGGGAGGGCATTGTCGCGTGGTTGGAGTCGGCGGTCTTCTTTTCGACTTTGATGTCTGAGGTTGGGGTGTGGTTTGGTGGGTTGGGGGCGGGCTCGCCGTTTGTGGTGGTGGTGGCTCCGTTGGTGGTGGTGTTACCGTTGGTGACGCCGTTGGTAGGGGTGGTGCCGTTGGTGATTTTGCCGTTGCTGTTCGGGTCGCGGTCGAAGATCTCGAGGAGGGTCTCGTCGGTGTCGTGGTCGAGGTGGTGGATCTTGTTGCGCTTGGCGAGGAGGTTGGCGACGGCCTGCGGGGGCGGCTTGTTGGTGATGGCGGAGCTGACGACGTTGGGCATGTAGCGGAAGTCGTGTTCGGCGGGGATCGCGAGCTTGGGGTTCGAGTAGAAGCGGCCGATGGCGGCGAGATGCACGTCGCCGCCGAGGATGGTGACGCGCACGTTGTTCTTCTTTGCGGTGTTCTGAAGCATGTGGATGAGGTCTCTGCGCTCGTGCTTGTGCTGGTGCGCGGTGTAGTGGTCGTCCAGGTCGTCGAGGAGATCGACGTTGCCGTCGAACTGGTTGAACAAGCTTCCACCGAATCCGAAACGCTTGTTCAGGAATTTGATGGGCGCAATGAGGGGGGAGGAGAAGATGTTCTCCAACCACTGCAGACGGGGGTACGCAATTGGGACACCGAGCAACAGAATAAGATGCTTGATCTCCTTGTTAGCTGCCAACTCCTTGTTGACGCGATCGAAGATCAGCTTGTAGGTCTCAGGGTAGTTGATACGATGCCTGGTACGCTCCGTCCGAGCATCAATACCAGCAAATGCAATGCGCGCACCGAGCTGGCAGTAGATGTTCATGCTCGTCTCCTCGACATAAGGACCAGGCTTATGGCCGATGATGTAGGATGGATCTTTAGCATCGTCGGTCTTGACCCAGGTCGACTTGAGCTGCGCAGGATCCGCAGGCGTGCCCTCTGGGCCGACGGCCGTGGTAGCTGGCGCATCCGTAGTGAACGTACTCTTGGGAGGCGCAATGTGGTGCTGGAACAGCAGATAGTACTTATGCGCGACACCTCCAATGCCTCGGAAGACAGCGCACTTCATGAAGTGGTCGGTATACGAACCGAATCCGTCAATGATGTCGTGGTCGTCCCAGATGTTGACCTGCGGAATCTGTCCATTGGCGGTGGAAAACGGCTTCTGGCCGTACCAGCGCACATAGTTGTTGTAGTAGTACTCGTCGCAGTCCGCGCGCATCTTCTCGTTGAAGGGGTATTCGCGTCGCTTGTGCGGGTTGCCGATGTCAGTCCACGGCCTCAAGGGACCATCCACTCGCACGCCGTCGTTGTAGATCTGGTCGCCGCCTCCGATCATGACGTGGAACGGCTTCTGCTCGTGCATCCGGAGGACGTCGTTCCACAGCGCGGGGCCCGACCAGGCGTCGATGTCGGTGCCGACGCTGAAGCCGTTGCAAGAGTGGAACATGATGCGCATGGACTGGTGGACGGAGGGGACCGCAAACGTCTGGGGCTTGTCGGTCTTCTTCTCGTCGACGTACCTCAAGCCCTCGATCGAGTACTCCCACCGCGACTCGAATTGCTGGAATGGCAGCTCGATGGTGAAGCGCCAGAACGCCTTATTGGGATCTTCGTACAGCTTCTCGCCGGCGTACCTGGTGCTGCCGGAGACGGAGAACTGCTGGTTGCCCTCTTGTGGGTTTACTGCTCCGGCGGGTGAGAGAGTGAGGCTGGGACCTTGTTGGCCGGGTTTTGTCACGATGAGCACGCTGCCGTGCCAGATTGGCTGTCCGGTCTGTTCATTGCTCATGCGCCTGTAGTTGAGGAGCGGCCCGACGATGACTTCGAGGCCATTGGATGTGCTGATGACCTGGGGACCGTTTCCGACTCCTTGCGCGCCGTTGGCATCTGTCTGTGGCTGTATCTGCGGCTGCGGCTGTTGCGGTTGCGGTTGCGATATGGGTTGTTCGGCCATGGTGTTGGTGGATGTTGAGGAAGTCTCGGGTGAGGTGGAAGTATTAAGAGGTTGCTTTGAGAATTGTCAGTGACGCGCAAAAGAAGACATATGTAAGAAAGATCAATGCACCTGCGATGTGGAATCAACAATAAGCGCACGGCTATTGGGGCTGATTGACGACAGGGGAGCTGACGATGAGGGCGCTTGTGAGCTGTGCGCTTGGGGGTGGCGCGGCGGCGGAGGTGATGCGAGGTGAGATGGGATGGAGTGAAGAAGAGGAGGATGAGGGAGGGAGGGAATAATGAAGTGGTGAGGTGGAGTGAGGTAGTCAAGTTAGTGGTTACAGTAATTCAGGAATTGGTAAGTAGTTATTCTGTTCAGCCATTACTCGGTACGTATGCGATGATCCAAGGTTGTTATGGAGACGTGTGATACGCCCACCCATCGCAATGCACAACCACCACCTCAACAACACAAACTCCGCCCCTTTTCCTCCTACCCTCCTGCAATTCAATTACCAATTGCATTAATTACAAGTCTAAACCTCCCCTTACTGCCCAAACAATCTCTGATTGAAAAAGAGGAGAGGGTAGGGAGTACCAGGAGTACAAAAGATAAATGACCTTGTTTTTGTGTTTCGATGACGATGTCATAGGCCGGCTAGCGGCATCTTAAACCCCCTTGGCAGATTACAACTTCAACCTCCAATCATTCACATGTCTATTATGTCGACTCATCATGCATTTCAGTGATATTTGCCGTAGGAACTTTACATTACACTTCCATTCCCTTCCCTTCCCTCCCTGATGATCGATACTCCTTATGAGTGGTAACAATCGTGAATGGATGGTCATGTCCTTTTCATAAGCTGAACTGAGCCACAATTCATCTTAACCTTACTGGGTGGAGACCAGCCGGGTACCCACGAACGCGGGCCCAAGCTCCCCCCACTCGAGTACCACACTGAATCGCCCAATCACATGCCATCCTTTTTCAATCTCGATTTTATCAAATGATCTGCGGGAAAACAAGCATTCGAGCATCACATCCAAAACTGAAACGTTCCGAGAATTTCCTCGTTATTGTGTGGCGCAGGACGTGAACAGCCACCCTATTGTTGTCGTCGAGTCTAAGAACAAGAGGTTTCCTCGACTGGATAATGGAAGCATCGATCGCACATATACGACATTTCCTTGTGGGCTATGAATTATATACACAGCAATGATAATGCATATATTTATACAACGAATCAGGTGAAAACTATGGCGGAATCGGTTGTTGCTGTACGTATACCTACCTATGTATACTCATATATATGATATGCCCACCTACGTACATATTTGGGCTCGTCAATTAAGACCTCTCAAACGATCAAGTTCAATGCTAGTGACTTGTACATGGCAATGTTGGGATTCGAATGGAGGGTAGGTTATACTTGAAGAAAAGTGAATGATCTCTATAGTATAGCCATAGATATATGTAGATTGAATATGAACATGAGTTTTCTAGTATGTAGTTCTACCGTGGCAGCAAGACGAAGATATGGTATTGAGTAAAGTGCTCTGATACAGGAAGTACCAGAACTATAAACGCCGCCGAATGCTTCCAAAAAATGTAACTCCAAAAGATGCGGAAATGTCATGAACATGAAGAGAAAACGTCTTCCTCGTCGTCATCTTCTTCGTCAAGGTCCTCGCCGTCCTACTCCTCTCCATCCACCACAACACCCATCTGCTCCCCAACCCTCCTCACCACCTCTCTAATCGCCGCACACGCCGGCGAGTCCGGATACGCATCGAGAAAGCTCTCCCCATAATCACACGCCATCCCGATCCTAGGATCCAACGGCACGGCCCCAAGATACGGAATCCCCACGTCCTTCGCCAACCTCTCCGCACCCCCCGTACTCGCCCTAAAAATCTGACTCTCATGCTTACATCCCGGACAAACAAACCCACTCATATTCTCCACAATCCCGAGAATCGGAATCTTCGCCTTCCTACAGAAATCAATCTCCTTCCTCACGTCCAGCAGCGCCACCTCCTGGGGTGTCGTAACTAGCACCGCACCATCCACCCCGGACGCCTTGAGAAACGAATTCACACTCAGATGCTCATCACTCGTACCCGGCGGCGTGTCCACGATCAGGAAATCCAACTCCCCCCACTGCACATCCATGAGGAACTTCTTGATGAGTCCGTTCTTCTTGGGTCCCCGCCAGATGACCGCGTCGTCCCGGTTCGGCAGCATGAATTGCACGCTCATCACGCCCAGGTTGTCGGACACCCACACGGGCTCCCACCCGGAGCCAGTGACGTGGATCGTCTCGTCTTCGACGCCCATCATCTTCGGGATGCTGGGCCCGCAGATGTCGGTGTCCATGAGGCCGATTGTGTGGGAGGGGTTCGCCGCGAAGCCGTGCGACAGCATCGTGCTAAATGTCGATTTGCCGACACCGCCTTTGCCGGAGAGGACGAGGATTTTGTGCTGGATGGACGAGAGGCGCGAGGTTATGAGCGGGATGTCCGGGTCGGGACCTTTGGGCGCGGAGGCGCATATGGCTTGGTTGGGACAGCCGGCGCAGTTGTCTGCGAGGCCGGCTTTTTCGGATTCGGGGCCTGGGCAGTGCTCTGAGGGGAGAGGTGTTGGGTGAGTATTTGGCTGGGGTATGGAGGGAGGAGAGAGGACGTACCTGGCTCTGGGGCGACGAGTTTGGGTGCCGCTTTGATGGGCGCATCGAAATCGACTTGGGTTGGCTCTTCCAGTGAGGGCGCCATGTCGAATTCCTTTCGTGTGTACGAGTGTGCGAGTGTGTGTTGTAGGAATCGAGGAGTTATGTTCTTCCCCAGCTGAGTTTTCGAAAAAGGATCAGTCGTGAAAGTTGCCCGTGATTGGAAATCCAATCCAGAGCGGGCGGCGGGCGCTGACATATCGATAGGGAACGAATAACTAAACGCTTGGCAAACTTGCCCCTCGTTCCGACCGGAATCGGAACTGTGTGGTCTGATTTACTAGCAACCCTGTCGACACCAATGGCCGAACCCATCATATCTGCGTTCACATATAGATCTCAACAGGACATGCAGAGGACGAATAGCTAATGATTTCACTTTCATTTATTTATCATCTATGTAATGGTAGTCAATGCATCCAGTAACATCTATTCATCAAGTGTGATCCGTGCAAACAGCAAAGCATCCTCGCAGGAGAGCGATCTCGGACACTGCTTACTTGCGGAGCTTGACCATCACATACGGAACCTCAACGTCTTCCTCGGTCGAGTCCTCGGCGGTGATCTCGAAGATGACGTTCTTCTGGTGTTCAGGGATGGGCTTCTTGCTGATCGTCTCAACAAGTTTGCTCATTCTATTGCAGGTCAGTCACAGTCTCAAATGGTCACTGATCTTGGGATTACTTACGTCAATGGCAGCCTGTCCTTCAGTTTGCTTGGGGGGTAGAATGATGCATACAGCAAGCTCACACCCGAGCTAATCATGGTGATGCTCAGGCCACGCTTCTCAAAGTCTGCAATGAAGTCTGAGAGGGGAATATCGTCGGTCTCGAAACGGTCCCAGAGCTTGTCAATGACGACCTTTGATCCGTCGGGACCAACGTAATCTCCCTTGGGGCTGGCAATGGGCTCACTGAAGCCGAAGAATGGCAAAGCCAGGTTGATGAAACCGTTCTTGTACTGCTCAATGTCGGTCTTTCCATCGAGGATCTTGTACAGCTCAAGATTGACAAGACCAGTAACGAGAGCAGTCGTCGTGGCGATGGCTGGAATAATCTTTCCGGCAATGAACTTGGTCTTGTGTCGGTCGGCGTTTTCGATCTTGTAGTTCTCTGCACGCAAGTTGCTTGCAGCAGTGATGAAGTCGATGTGGAAGTTGGTGTCATCGTCCTTCTCGAACTCAACTGGCTCTAACCTAAAGCCAGCTAGGCTCTTTGGTGGTGGAAGCGACTCGATGATCTTCGATAGATCATCACCGTCGTCGCCTCCGGCTGGCTGGGCGTTCGGGTCGGGGTCGGAGTCGTTCGCCTGTATCTTGACAGTGGGGTCGGGCTTGAAGTCAGGAACGATCATATCATTCAAGACGGAGATGTAGTGCTCCTTTGTGACTCCCTTAGGATTGATTCCGTAGTTGAACGCATGCAGGTTGGCACCGGCCTCGACATAACTGAAGTGAGTAGGGTTGTTGGCATCAAACTTCAATGCGTCTGGGGCGCGCTTGGGACCAGACCAGAAGGGCTGGCCGGAGCCAGTTGTGGAGTCCTTGGGGAAGTTGTACAACAACTGCTCGATCGAATGGTTGTAATTCTTCTCGAATTGTTGGCGAGCCCAGATGATACAATCGTCAAATGTCAGAGGCTTCTCCGTGACCAAGAAATCGCGCAATGTCTCAAGAGTTTGCTTCTCACTTCCAGACTGCTTCAATGAGGCACCGAGGTAGTCAGGCTGTGTCAAGTAGAGGTTGACAGTCTCAGGGCCCTTGACGAAGAAGGTGTCGAACGATTCGCGTGCCCAAGCAATGGTGTGCTCGATACGGTTAGGGAAACTCCTCAGTGTGCACATGGGGAAAGACTTCTCCGGGGGATCTTGAGAAGAGGAGTACGACTCGGTGATGTGTGGAAGGACGACCTGGGTGTTTCCTTTGGTTCCAAGAGTACCGCTGTCGAGGAGAGGCTTGCGGAAAAATACGCAGCGGCGATCGACATATGTTCGCGCCTCGACATTGTCAAGCGCATTGGTCACAGCATCCAAGCCCTCCCAGAACTCCTCATTGAAAATGTCCTCGGTCTCGGGTCCAACCTTGTCCTGGAGAGTGACGATCTTGCCCTTGAGATCGGGGTTCATGGCTTGAACGGCAGCGGCAGCAGCCGTACTCTTGAGCTTTCCGACATCTGCAGGCCTGAACAAGAATTGCCTGTTCAAGTTGCTCTTCTCAATCTGGTCGTTATCTGTCACGGTGATCTTGCCCTCAGGTCCAGCGCCCAAGCCCATCATGGCCCAGTTCTTGAGCATCTCGCAACCAATAGCACCGGCACCAACGAGGAACTCCTTGACATTGCCGAGCTTCTCCTGGTACTCCTTTCCGAGCACTGCAATCTGGCCGTCATAGCGAGAGCCGATAGGCGCGCATAGCTCCTCGGATCGCTTGGTTGATGTTGGGAGGGACTCAAGAGAGTCGAAGTAGAGGAACTGCTTGATGGGGTGGAACTTTCCGGACACTGATTTCAAGACTTCCTGTGCAGCTAGACCACCGTAGAATGCAGCGACAGGGCTAAGGTCTCCGCGTGCCTGGTAACTGAGCTCCTTGATAACCTTCTCATCGAGTTCAACCTTCTCTTCTCCCTGGCCAGCAATTTCCTGAGCAATCTTGAGCACCTCGGCTGCGTCCTGCTCATGGTGAGGGCGGGGGAAGTCGCCGCCATTCTTTTCGGCAAACGCATGCAGAGCCTGGACACCAACGTGCAACTGCTGGGGTCTGTCGAACTTTGCGAAATCGGAAATGAGGTGTTCGGGGTTCTTCAACTGCTTGCTGAATGGCTCGAAGTCGATGATCTTGGGCATCTTGACCTGGTGGTACTGGCCTCCGCGCTTGTACTGCCCGAGTCCAGCAACGTCACCGATAGAGAAGGTATAGGGTCCCTTAACTTCAATCTTGCGTGGAGCACTGTCATTCAGTGCCTCCATACCCTCAACTTCCGTGAAAGTAACGAAATCACCATCCTCCAGTCCATGTCGCGTCTCGTCCAATGCGGAAACTAGGCCTTCGGAATCGATTCCAGCGATGATTCCGCTGGTGGTATTCTCGCCGGTCGGGTCTCCAACAGTGAAGTTCTTACCGAAATCGGTGAAGATTGAGCCGAAAAGTCCATAGGTGTCAGTAATGACCACATAGATACCATTCTCGTGACAGTAGTCGGCAATTGTGATTTGGTCCTTCAAGGGTGTATCCGTCAGAACGATAGCCTGGAACTGCTTCAGTTGCGACAGGTCTGACGTCAGATCTGTTGGTGTGAACTCCTTCACGGGGGTATAAGGGTTGAGCTCAGAGACACGAGGGACAGTGACGCTCGCTCGGGGCTTTCCGACATCCTCAGGGTGGAGGAAGAACTGGGAGGAGAGGTCCGCGAGAGCGGCGGGCTTAGGGTCGTAGAGGGTCAGAGACTTGACACCAGCAAGTGCAATGTTCTTTGCGATTTCGACGCCAAGGCCACGGAGGCCAACAACGAGGACGTTGGAGGCTCCCATGCGCTTCATGGCCTCGTGTCCGAGGACGTACAGCTGCCTGCTGTAGAGGGACTCATCGATCTCGCCCTGAGCATCCTTGAGCTGCTCAGCGGCTGCCGCTGGGTCATCGATCTGCATGTTATCCTTAATCGGGGTCAATAATTAGTTGGGCGACGAATTTGTGGTAGGTGAAAGATGAACAGCTGGTTGTTGAGACGATAACTTGTGGAAGGATGCATCAATGATGTTTATAGATACACAGCCTCGACCCATATGTTGTTTGGATGCAGAGGGTTTGCTTGGGAAACTGATTGCCGGAATGGCGCTTACTTACGGACATGGCTTTCTTTTGTGGACTCCCAAGGTCCTCACCGGAAAACCTTCTCTTCCCCAGCTTGCCGGCTTGCACAAAAGCCCCGGAGCTGTGTACTTGTGGCGAGAGAGCGGCGGTTGGCGGGGATGATGTTATCGTTCACAGATGCGCAACAGCCGGCTGTGCTACTGAATAGAAGAGATGTAGAGCGTGAAGATGTTGATTGACGTAGATATTGTGTCCGTTGGAGGGAGTAAGTCTTGTGAGGTTGTGAGAGAGGAAGAAGGCGAGTGTTGGTTGCTGATTGAGGAGCAGCAGAAGGTGCTGGATGCTTAGAGCTCGCTACGTCTCATCCCACTTTTCTCTTGGCAGCCGATCGATGACAACAAGGTCTTCTCTACCTTCCCGCCTCCAGGCACCACCATAAGCTACGCGCTCTCTTCTACATAACGACCCAAATCATTAATAATACACCCTGCACACACATCCTGCACCGTTCACGTTACATTAGCCTCTACATCCAAAGAATTCAATTCGCTGGGCCTCAATGACGGATTCTCACGCAACGGAATTTGGGCGATAGCATCATCGGTCACGCACGGATGAGGGACGGTTACTAATTGAAGCAGAACAAGATCGAGCAAAATCCACTCGAAAAAATCGTATTCACAGCCTTTCCTGGCAGCCTGGTCATCTACATAATCCATCGGTCGTAATATCCATATTCTTCTCCATCCGCGGCCATTTTGACCAGTCATTATTGCCACATATAAAACATGTTGAAAAAGGCTGCCACCCTGAAACTCCTTGGAGAGACTGCGGCCTAGGCCTTGGAAAAAATACATGCACGCTCAATCGTAACGCCACAAAATCTATGCAGTTAAGATGAAACCCGGAAACTTTTGTACAAGAAGGCGAAAAAGAAAGACCCTTATCGGCGTGAGGAGTGACGAGTAGGGCGTGATCGACGATCATCTGAGCTTGCGCTACCTATAAGGATTGTTAGCATCTGGAGATCGATACACATATTTTATGGAAACTTACTTGAGCTTGTGTAGTCGCTGTAGTATGCCGAAGAGCCTGTGTAACTCGACATCTCCGGCCTGTCGTGTCGGGCGTCGTGCTTGCGCTTCAAACCTAGGGCAAGCGCCAGTCCAGCAAGACCGGCGCCGATGCCCAAAGCATTTCCAAAGCCGCCCGAGCCGGATGGACGATCTGGGCGGGAAGGACGAGTACCGAACCAGGTGCGACCACCGCCGGCAGCCGCGCCGCCATGGCTGTGGTGGTGTTCCTCGATGTAGGTTTCCTCGTGGGTGTGCTTACGCTTCTTGCCGCAGCCGAAGCAGGCGAGGATGGTGTCGAAGAGAGATTTGGCACAGCAGTAGAAGCAGATGAGAAGTAGTAGGAGTAGACCGAGGAGCACGCCGATGACGATACCGGCAATGGCTCCTCCGCTTAGACCACCACTATCTCCAGGTCCCTGCTCCACTAGGGTTCCATTGACTCCAGTGGGGATGGGAGTTGAGAATGGCTTCGTTGCGGTGGGACTTCCGGTGGCTGTGACGATAATCAGAGTCGAGCTCGTGGGCCGTAACGGTGCGGACGGGGTCAAGGTACCAATGATTCCACCAGAAGATCCTCCTCCTACCAAGGCACACTGCCCGGCCTTTAAACAATAATATCCGCTGTCGCAGCAGAGGCTGCCGCATGGGTTCTGCCAGTCGCTGCAGGCAGCAGTAGCTTGAGGGGTTGCGGCTCCGACGTAAGAACTGAAGACCTGGGTCTTGGTGACGGTCTCACTCTCGACCCAGGTCGAAGTCCAGTAGGACCATGATCCACCAGGGTTGGCCTGTCCCTTTCCGCAAACTGCCTCGTTGTTCGCGTTGGTGTAGCAAGTCTCACCAGCAGCACAGCAAAGCTGATTGTAGAAACCGCAAAGAGTGCCCGCGCATTGCCTCTTCTCGATTTGAGTATCGTTCTGTAGGCTTTGCTCGGGGGTTTGCTGGATCTCAACTGGATATGGCTTGGCTACAGCTGAAGGCAAGTTTGATAGGGCAATCAGGCCGATCGCAGCCACTGAGGGTTGGAGGAACCACATCTGGAAATGTGAATGGACCAAAGGAATGGCCAGACGGGCGAGTTACTCTGACTCTAAGGCTTTATGAAGAAGCGCAAAGAGGGAGGAATCAGCGGTGAACGGGTCGAATGAAGTCGTGAGTGGTGAGATGCTGCGGGGTGGGGTTGATGCAGTTGATTCGCTTAGCGTCCTGCACGTCGGATTCTCTTGGAAGTGACTGTCTTTGGAATGCCGTATGTCGCGAGAAAGACAGACGAATTGATAGAAGTCAGCGATGGAATGTTCGGAGAATGTAGAGAGCAGTTTGTGTGTGTGTGTGTGAGAGAGAGAAAAGAGTGGAAAGATGGAATGGTGGATTGAGTGCAGGTGGTGGGAGGAAATAGGGTACTTAGATTTGGTGATGGCTGGGAGGAGGTTGGCTACCAACCACCGCAACTGCGCTACTGCGGGTCTTTTGGGACAACACCTTCCCTGTTGATATATCGTACCGCTCGTGTCCGAGATAAAATATTCGCTGTAAGTTAATAACAATAATGTTTGCGTTTGCGATGCAGGTTTCGAGGTTTTTTGAGTGAGGTTATTGTAATAATGTGAAGTTGGTTGAGATGATGATGGTAGATGATCTCCGCCTACTCTCCACCCCCCATCCTCCCCCGTATACAAACACAAGCGAACGTTTGTCCTAGCAACCGCCGCCCCTCGGCCACTCTGCCAATGTCCTGCCCTATTTTTACTCGGAGAGCCCAATAACAATAGTGCACGGCCGTCTCACGTTTCATTTTCAAATTTGACATCATCCTTCTGTCGTATTTTGTTAAGGTCCAGGCCTAATTATTCCGCCATACATTTGTCTGCTGCCTGGTTGAAGATGCCGTTACCTATTCCTCGTGCTGGTTGCGCTCCTGCCTTGTTTGAAGGCAGTCACATGATCACATTCGGCACCCCATCTATTGCCGTCACATCAAATAATGAACCTCTGGACCTCTGTCAGACCATCATCCATCCATCACAAAGCATGTTCAACAGCCTCGGACCGCTAGTGTTCCATACTTGGTCATTTTCATATCTCATCTGCATCGTGTATCTTTCGTAAAGTCATCATCATATAACTGTAAACTCAGACTAATCTAAATCTAAGAAACAAACCGATATCGTCCACATATTGTCTTCAAGTACTCTGTATTTCAATACACTCCCGTTATTTGTCAATGTGTAAGACGACGTACGTAAAAAGCATGGCTGCTATAGGACTTCGTCGTAATGCAGCCTGCGCTCTCTCTACAACTTGGATGAACCGACTGTGTCCAACTGGTACTCGGCAATGAGCTTTTCCGCAGCCTTCTGTCCCACCAAGTATGCCGTTGCTTGCGTGTGGTTGCTATGATCAGATTAGCACATTGTCAGGATGCTCAGCTCTTCTCCAAGAAACTCACTTTGTCGTTACAGGACAGACACTCAAGTCTGCCACGCGAAGCCCTTGCACGCCATACACCCGGAAACTAGTATCCACACATGCCTTGGGGTTCTCCGGCTTGCCCATCACCACAGTTCCATTAGCGTGCCAAACTGTGCCAGCGGCATCTTTGACAAACGCATCGACGTCTTCGTCGGATAATGTCTCAGGTCCGTACAGCCTACGCTTGATCAATGGCTTGATCGCTGGGTTTTCGAACAACTTGATCCACGACTGCCGCACCGACTCTCGCATGATGCGCTTATCATACGGATGAGTGAGGTATGCAAAGTCGATGACTGGCTTGTCGTCTGGATTCGACGAAGAAAGTGTTATAGAGCCCTCTGATTGTGCGTTCATCAGAAACGCCACAGCAGATAGATAGGTATTTCCCTCCTCGAGCGGCGTGCCTGGCGGGAACAGGATGGAGGGAGCGGTAAACTCATAAGCCGGCACCTTGTCCTTCAAGAGGAATCTCTGCATACTCTCGTCCAGTCCCTTGAATTCGGGGAGATTCTCGAGTTCTGGAAGTTTCAGGAACCCTCCCCAGAGGCCGCTGAAATCTAGAGAGTACCTGCCGGTGTGGTCATTCTTCCACTGGGCATCTGCCTCGAGCATCATGTTCTCGTTGCTTTCGAACGCATACCGATCGTTGTGAGATCCATCGATTTCCACGCAAAGGAACGTCATGACGTGATCGTGTAGGCCCTTACCAACGCCAGGTAGGTCCTTGACGACCTTGATGCTGAGGGCTTCGAGTTCCTTGGCCGGTCCGATTCCGTTCACAAGAAGCAGCCGAGGAGTGTCGATGGATCCACCCGTAATGATAGTGTCATGTCGCGCAGATGCTGTTCAACGTCAGTGTAGCCCTACCCAGTGTGCTTTTTATCAACCCACCAGTCCGGCCGTCAGTCGTCTTTACCCCCACAACCTTCGTCCCCTCGAACACCAATCTCTGGACCGTCGCCCCAGTCCAGATGGTGAGATTATCCGGACTATTCAAAAGATGCGCCGTTGCGCTCGTCGACCTCCCTTCTGCCCCATACGACGCAGGAAACACCGATATTCCCACCGGATCCCCTGAATTCGCATCCAGGTTCACCTTCTCCCCCGCCTCGATGACGGCCTCCATATGCGACGCGAACCCCTTTTCTAGGACTGGTGGAACACAAATTTGAACCTGGCCACTTTTCCCATGCACCTCTGAATCCGGATTCGCTAGATGCGGGTAATCTTTCGAGCCAGTGGTATCGTAGTTTTCAATCGCTTGAAACGACTTCAGCGTGTTCTCCCACTTCCACGCATCATCCCCAACTAGCTCAGCCCACCGATTATAATCCTCCGAGGACCCGTACAAATACACGGCGAAATTCAATATGCTGCTCCCTCCTAGTCCCTTTCCACGATTGTACGGCACAACCCGTCCGTTCAATTCCTTTTGCGGGATAGTGGAGTACTCATAGTCGAGATCAGGTCGTGTGAACGCAGGCGCAAAGCGGTGATATGGCGCTCGGAGGTGCTCACCCTCTGGCTTCGGGCCAGCCTCGACGACGAGGACCGAGGGACGAGACTGTGTGTGCGCGAGACGATGAGCGAGGAGACATCCGGCCGTTCCTCCTATGCATATCAATTAGCTTCAATGTCCACCTCTGCAAAGCGAATAAACATTATAGACAATTCGAACCCACCTCCGACAATAATGAAATCGTATGTCGAATCCGACATGACTATGCGCTATACAACAGTAACAGCTGTATAATTCCGATCTAAACTTTCACAGCGGTTGACTTTCGAAGCACCAAACAACTACAAATACGAGCAAGAATCACACCAGAGAAACAAGTAGCAAGGCTGATAGCGACCTTTTCGTTCAAACACCAATGAAGATCTGTCGCACAAAACAAAGGCAAATAAAGTATATACTTAAGCACCATGAAACAAACAACCGCCGTCCCTCGTATATATACCTACTTACCGAACTAGTTACCACCAACATCCACCCCGCCTCGTCTCCACACGCTTCCGACGCAGCTCCCAAACTCCACTCCGATCCGTTCTATTTTAGCCCAGTCCAGCCCATCATCTGCATCATCAGCATCATCAGCATCAAGTCGACCACAAAACCCATTACCCGTTAATAGGCATCTACCTTGTAAACCGCCTCGTAACATCATCAATCCATTCCAAATCAACACAAATCATCCTCGACTCGAACCAATTCAAATAACCCCGCTACGCACCGATCGCACGCCGCCAACCGCTCCCAACAAACACGAGATAGAAAAACATCCAACATCAAAAACAGAACAATCCCCGTGATGCCTTGCACCGCCCAACGATTCCAAATCCCTTCACATAAGAAATGACAAAACAAAACGAGACATGACAAAAAAACTCAGGGTCGCACACTAACCTACCTTCTACTAACCACACAGCACAGCACAGTACGCTACCCTACCACCTACCCACAGCACCGGCAGTGCACTGCGGGTATACACCAGTGACCATCGGCGCCGAAGCCCCCCCCTCTCCCCGCCTTTCACACATTGTCCTTCCCTCCCCTCGTACTCCAGACTCCCGAAGTCGCGCCGACGGACAAATCACATGCATCCTCACCATCTTGTCCTCCTCACCAACATTCCCCCATTCCTGTACTTCCCATGCCGTCGTCGTTACCCGTAGATATATCGTACGCTGTGATACTCTTCCGATGATCGCCAGTGCATGAAGCAATTGAGACGAATTGTGGATATGTACGCACGCGTGCTAGTCGAATTGTGGGGTAAAAATGTGGTGTGTGGTGTGCCTTACGCTAAGTGTGGATAGCCCTGATTATGATCGACGGAGCGCGCTGGGGATGGTGGGAGATCGTGGGTGATGTGATGTGTCGTAGGATTAATGGAGATGTTGGGAGGAGTAGGTGGTTGGAAGTGCGGTGAGTGTGTTTGTGTATTAGTATGAGTATGAGGGAGGATGGTGTTTGTGCGTGAGATTTGAACTAGAGACAAGAATGAAGCCATCACGGTCTTCTCAAAAGGACCAAAGGCGAGAGAACATATGTATGTTTTTGATATTCATGCTTTCCACCAACGCTTGCGAAAGAGGGGATGTATCAAGGTCAACGGCTAGGGAGATAGACATGGGAATTGAAAACGCGTCGTATCGTACATACATACATCTGTACTCTAATAAATAAATGCGCAGAAAGTCTACCTTGTACAAGTAAGTTTCGGGGTTCTGGACAGTACATACTCCCAATAAAGATCTAGTAAGAAATCCTCGACAACCTTCTTAACTCTACATCTATTCAATCACGGAAGTACTTCCTCGCAGTTTCTGCTAATCGCTGTGAGATGTATGTTTAGATAGATAGTACGCATTCTCCTCGTGTGCTTTCGCACGTCGTGTTCGAAACAAAAAAGAAATCAGACACGCATTCGCACAACCAAACAAATTCAAGCACGATGGAAGTCTCATACATGTCTATCCATGATCCTCGTCATCAACACTCTACAGCGAAAACCACCCCACCCATGCAATATCTGTTCATGCAACTTCTTAACACTCTTTTCCTACAGCAGGCACCTAATATCCAACATCTTCAAAACAGCTACCCTCTCTCCGTACTCTCGCTACGCCTTCCAACCGCACCATAACCCCCTCCGCACATCAACCCTCCTTCTGCACAAGTGCGCCACGAATCGCACGGCAGCAGTACACGGTACTTACCCTCCCTCCCCCTCCCCCTCTCATCACATACCACCCCTCTATCAGTCCATCATGCAGGGCCCCCGACGGCGTCGTGCATCTAACATCGAACGTGTGGTGACGATGGCGCATGCGGATCGGGTAGCGGGTAGGTCGGGCCGAAAGGGTCGTGTCTAGTGTGTGATGCTAGACCTATTCGTGTACTTCATGGGTGCGTGGATGTTTTGCTGTTGGCCTTGCCTTTCCTTTCCTAGGAAAATAGGTCCTTATCTAGGTATGAAAGTATGTTCATGTATGCGTTTGTGTATGGTATGATGGGTGTGGGGATACTGTTCGTTGGGGAGCGATGTTGTATGTAAGTGTATGATGAAGCGGCCGTGAAGCTTATGTGAAGCATTGGTAAGATTCCAGGAGGATGGGAAGGACCGATCCGTAAGATAACGGGTCCACCTAGTCGACAGTTTGGGAAGGGCTGTGGTAATTATGGTATGTTTCTGGCGAGACTGCAGCGGAGGGATTCAATGTCTTTGCTGAGGCTGAGATGCATGCGCAACAGACACGATTGTTCGCACTCTTGCTCAAAAGAGTTGGATGGCACGAAACCTTCTTTGCCGGATGCGTGTGCATCATTATGGCAACAGCAAGTCAGAAGCTCTCGATTTCCAACGCCGTTTGGGCATGCATGGGTCTGGCACAAGGTGTAAAAGCACAGAATCATCAGTCATCAATTCGTCAAATCATGTAAGTTATAGAGCCGCACTAGGCTCGCAGATATCGGATCTTGCTTCCGGGGGGACGTCGTATGTATCGTGTATATATATTACTGCGTGGAGAGCTCGCTTTTTTCGCTATGTTGCGGCAGTGGTGTAATATCTGCCACCGTCGCGCGCCTGGAAAATGCGCTCCCTCGTCGAGGCTGTCCGCTCCTCATGCCTACGCCCAAACCCACCCCGACTCCGAGACTCGAGCTCGATTCATATCCGAACCTGGCCTGTCCTGTCTTCGCTCCCTCCGGCCGGTCTTCCTCGCACGAAACTCTGGTATCTCCTGCTTCGGTGTCCTGCGGATTCCTGGATTCCATCAGACTCGCGGGTATCGCCGATCGCATCCAATCCGGAATTCTCGATTCACGCTTCTGGCATTCTTGGGCCCGTTGAGGATATCGCAACGCATCTCCACCATTTTCCGCATCGCCATAATGTTCGTGCGCATCTTGTTGGGCGTCCCGGCCACTGCTGCTACTCCGATGCAAATGTTCGAATTTCGGAAAGAATCTCGCAATGAGGGCCCGCAGATCCGGGAGTGACGCGGCGATTATGGCCAAAGCTAGCTGTATGGCGATCAGGAGGTTGATTGCGCCGCCGAAGTAGTTGGGGTTCTGTTCGCGGCGTTGGATAAAGGGTATTTGGGTGAGCGCGACTGCGCAGACAAGAAAACCAAGAGCGAAGATGATGATAAGACTGAGTCGCTGCCGAAATCGCAGCTTGGTGAGAGACCATACATAGGGAATCGGGAGTGCGAAGATCAGACAGTCGAGAATGCTATCACCGATTGCGGCACTATAGCTGTACGTCGACGACGAGAAACACCGCGACCCACGGAAAGCGATATAGTCATTTGTCCAGATCTTTGAGATGTCTTTGCAGAAGACTATGAGCACGGTAAAAACCTCGATGAACTGAGCAAGGGCAAGGACTAGCAAGACCCACGAAAGGCGACGGAGGGACAGAAGTGATGGGGGGAAGATGCGAAGGTAGTATGACACGACTGATGTACGTATGAAAGCTACGGCGAAGATGTACGCGATGCGACGTTCGAATATGTGCTGTTTACTGTCAGAGACATGCAGCACTAAAACTCCGAACATGCAGACGTCATGCTTACCTGGTAATATGGTATCTCAGCAGGTTCATCAGGTCCGTCTATGCTGAAACCATATGGATCATCTGCACTCATGCATGAAATGACTGTTCGCCCGAATGCGCACGCCTGGGTCGACAGTTAGAGGGTTTCTTCTTACGACTCTCCCTCGAGTCCGCATCGAACAAAGTAGATCTTCTCAGACTTACCCATCCAAGTGTGATGAGCACATCATCGACCGCCAACATTCTTTTCACTGCCAATCTTGACCAGAGTCGCAATGCAACCGTGGAAGTTGCAAGGATCATCAAGGGTAGTTCTGTCGCGAGGGTTGCAGTTTTCGATATTTGAGGGCCGCGGTAGCCATTCACGACTTCATGTTGCTTGATATTGTCGGTGCCGCGCAGCTCCAAAGCCCTCAAAATTCTCCAGTGCCAGTCGGTTGCAGGCGGAATAGCCATGGCTCTAGTGCCCTAAAACGAGCTCTCGCAAATCCGCATTTCTCCTCCTCTTCAAAAATAGATGCAGGGAGAGGAGACCGCAAGATGTCAATAACTTCAATCAAGATCCAGAATGTCGAAATCCGAGGTGTGAGTAACGGCGATTGAAAGGAAAACGGGTTGCAGTGGGGCTCGTTTCTATTCATGTTTGTTGGTACGAGGTAAGGTGATGCATGCCCGTGTTGAGATTGAGTGAGTGCTTACTGAGCGCGCTATGGCGTGTCGATATGTCTGGGCACCACTCGGAATACGACCTGCCCATGCTGAATAAATATCCGCAGCCTGGGCATGCACAGCCGGATGGTATTTTGATCAGTGATTAGATCGACCCAATTCCTATGATGGAAGTCACTGTCGACGCAGGGTCTTCTGGCTCGTGGGCTCGTACACGGTTCCCTTTCTTTGTTCTAACCACCAGCACACATGATTGGCACGCGGAGTCGTCTCCTTTAAAGATCAGCGATTGAGAGCAGACATTTCAGGGTCATATGTCAAATAGAGATTAGATCACGAGCTTTTCGGTTTGGTCGAAGTCGTACGCATTTCCGTACGGTCGACTCAAATAATTCTGCGCCAACTCCTGGCTCGACACATATATTGCTGCCACGTGCAGGCCAGTCCTCTCGAGCGTCAACCTCTCCCTCAACTCCTCGGCAAACTCGACTTGCATTTGATTCCGATACCAAGGCGCAAAATGGACTGTCAGAATTTTTAGCGGCAAGGATTCTCTTAAGCGACGTGGCTGGCTTACTGAAAGCAAGCATGACTCTTGGATCTTTGCTCATATTAGGCATCCCGCCATGCCATAGTCTTAAGTCTCGTACAACGACACTTCCTTTCTTCACGACGGGCTGGCATGGAGGTCGTTGAGCGCGCCTGTCCCTGAGTAGATTGGACTTGATTCTCCCGCTTGCGCGATCGCCATGTGCGCCCTCCTGATCCGCGATTGTAGTATTCGCATGCGTCCCGAGCCAAACTTCGGTAGAGCCATTCTCGGGTGTCATAGTCACGAGAGGCACATTGATAACAAGAGCGAATGGAATCTCCGGGTGATTGAAGTCGGCATCAGTGTGTGTCGGCTGGGACTTGGGCGGAGCATCCGGAGAAGGCGGAAGGGCAGTGTTGCCAGATATGAATCGCAAGGAGGGCTTGGGACCAAGAGTTGTTGACGTGATTTGGGTGATGATGGGATCTGGCTCCGTCAGAGAAAAGCTCGTCTAGTGGTTGATGAGCCCAGCATAGCGGACTCTTTTTGCTTCCCCAGATTTTCATTACCATAGACTTGGCCTCTCGATGAGAAATCCTTGGCTACCCCAGAAGCACTTACTGACATAAACCTCATCGCTGAACAGCTCCGTGGTAAGCAGTGGATCCTGCTGAATGTTTCCCCTGTGGTAGTTAAACGGACTGTCTTTCCTCGATCGAAGCTCGTAAGCATCCTTGATCATATAGTCGTTGAGGGAATCGAGGATTTCGTGGGGGATGAGATCCTCAATGACAACGAGGCCATCACGATGCAGAGCTCTGGTTGCAATCTCGAGATTCTGTTGAGTGAGAGATGCATTCTCAATCTCTGTGCTTGATATGCGGATTACAATGGGTTCTGCTGATAGGGCCATGTTGATTTATATGCGGGGGAAAAGTGTGACGTAATTGAACAATTATCTACAGGACCGACGGTAAGGTACGATTGCGGCTACACGGAAGTAACAATAGACTTTCAAGTACGGACTGAGTCCGTAATAATTTGGATCTGAATGCGGATGAATCGTTGACAAAGTTGTTGTGTTAGTGTTGGAGAACAACACTGGTTGGAGGGAAAGAACAATGCTCCGCTTTGGACTACGCGTCACTACCCAGTGCATGTGACATCCTGTACATATTAACGTACATATTAACAGAGGGCCATACCACCCATCGCAACATCTACAGTGTGTCGGATAAAGTCATATCCTTCCTGATCGACTTTTGAAGCATTTATTGGGTTCATTCGCATCTATCAAGAAAGATCGATCTGATGCACGGACTTAACCAATCAATTCCGCGCATAATTCCGGGGTGCAGAGCACATCATCTCATACACCAACCTTTGGCTGCAACTGTTCCAACGTCTAGTGTCATCAGCATCCGTAAATCAAAATCTATGTTGCCGAACTGCTCCCGGCAAACCTGTTAGCTCAAAATGCCTGTTTCTATTGTGGATCGCCGTTCATGGTATGGCGCGGAATTAATCGGTGATAATCGCATCAACGACGTCAAGCTTGTAGTCGAGCCGATCCCGCCGAGCTAATGCATCTTGATGACCGGAGATATTCAGAGCTTGGACGCATAGTGATATCAACTTCCAGAGCCTCATCGGAGTTTTTGATAGATGGTATGGAAGATATAAAGTGAACTTGATCCGCCGAAATAGCTGAACTTCATTGACATTGAACTACCAGCATACTTGACGACCTAACCACCAACAAATTCGTTACTCAACATCACAAAACAAGAGAAGGAACAAAATGAGCAAAACATTCCAATTCCAGGACATCCAAGTCCCGACCCCAGGTTTCGGCGCCATGGGCCTCAGCTTCGGCCTCGGCAGCGATCTCAGTCTCGAGGAAGCAGAGCCCGTCCTGCTCAAGGCCATCGAATTGGGGTGCACATTCTGGGACACCGCAGTCGTGTACCAAGCCGGCGTGAACGAGAAGCTCCTCGGTGATTTCATTAGGAAGCACAATGTCCGTGACAAGGTCTTCAGTACGTAACATAACGTAACCCACACGAGCTCGTGAACCCCCCGCACAAGAGGTGGACACTGTTTGCTAACAAACGAATTCCAGTTGCATCAAAATGCGGATTGAAGTGCTTCAACGGCGAATCTGGTTGCACGAATTCTGCGGAGCATATCAAGGAATACATCGAGGGCACCATCTCTCGCCTCGGCTTCGCGCCAGACCTGTACTATCTCCACCGCATCGACCCCAACACCCCGCTCACCGAATCGATCCCCGCGCTCGATGAGATCCGCAGGCAGGGAAAGACGAAGTACATCGGTCTCTCCGAGTGCTCGGCGAAGACGCTGCGTGCTGCCAATGCCAGTAAGTTGAAATCACTTATATGGATCCCTTGACGCATTTCTGACTGGATCCATAGTCGCGAAGATCGACGCCGTGCAAGCAGAGTACTCCGCCTTCGAAACACTACACGAGACCGACGGCCTCATCGACACCGCGAAGGAACTAGGCGTCGCATACGTCGCATACAGCCCCCTAGGCCACGGCTGGCTCGTCGATAACTTCGACTACAACTCTCCCGACGACTTCGCCGCGAACGACTTCCGACGATCAGGTAACCCTCTCCCCTCAAGTCCCCACCAACATCAGTGCTCTGTAACCTAACACTCTCGACAGTACCCAAATTCCAAGGCGAGAACTTCTACAAGAACAAGGCGATCGTGGAGGAGATCAAGAAGCTCGCGGCGAAGAAGGGCGTCAAGACGTCGCAGATTGCGCTTGCGTGGGTCGCCGCGCAGGGCATGATACCCATCCCCGGTACCACGAAGTCCAGCCGGCTGGAGGAGAACTGGGCGTCGAGGGATGTGGTGTTGACGGAGGAGGAGCGCGCGGAGATGCGGAGGATCGTCGATGCTGCGAAGCCGACTGGTAACCGGTATGCGGAGGCGCAGCAGAAGATGGTTGGGCATTAGGGATGGAAATATACCGTATCGGCGGGCCGAGGTAGATATGTAAAAGTTTCAATGCTAAGGTTCTAGGATTGTGGCACTTTGGATATCCCATTGTACAGGGTAGATCCCGAACTTGGTCCCTAAATGTGATGTTGAGAGCTGAGAATGTCCTTGAGTGATTCTACATCTATCCGTTGCAGACAGTCGCCCCGGCCTCGCTGGGTTCTTGAGGGGCATTTCGAAATTAGTAGAGCAATATTGTTTTCTAGTCGAAAATGTATTCGTGACCATGATCAGAAGACAGGGGCGTTTTGGTGCGGGTGAATAGCAGTAAAAAAGAGTGGAAGGGCCCCCTGCTCTCATAATAAGAAACGAAACAAAACGAAATTGGCAGATTGGTATGGAGATGAGCCTAAAAGAGGCGAAGAAAAAATTGGGGAGTAAAGTCAGAGTTTTGGTCATGATGAATTGTTTTTGATTGATAAATCCATGGATGGCGGAGGGAAATTAGAATGGGCAAGTCAATTAGTAAACCTCCTCAAAACCTAAAAGCCAATTGTCCCAGAGGTATCTCCAATCCGAACATTGAGTAGTATGCTCAATTCCCAAATCCCGGTCCGCAGACCCAAGGGCATTCCACCCTGTCAACGCCGTTTATGATCCGTTTGGTAATATGTACAACGAAATAATAGAATGAGAATTGCTGGAGCTACGTATGGTTTGTCACTCAAACCCGGAGTTTTACCTCTGACCTTGAGTCGGAATCCATGGACAGGCCGTCTCGGTGTGCGACCTCGACTATGCGGCTGCCACCCATAGTTTTGACTTTGTCGATGAGCTTGTTGTGAATGTGGAGTTCTTCGATGTCGTCACCTCCACCGATACTCTTGCCCATGAGTAGAACATTAGGAACCGTCGTTCGGCCGGTGGTCTGGCCGAGCGTTTGCTGAAGATAGTGGCCGAGAGGGTGTTCGTCGAGCTCGACCACGAAAGGCTCAGGAACGATTTTGTATTTCTTGAGGAGAATGTTCTTTGCCTTTTTAGAATAGGGACAGTAGGATTTGCTGAAAATGATCACTGTAGGGTACGTTAGCAGGCGCATCAGACCACAAGTGCTTTCTGGTACGTACTTGGACTCTTTTTCAGGATAGCATTCAATTCGACCTCGGCTTCGTGCTGCTCTTTTGTCTCATCCTTATCCTCCTTGGCAGCGTGTATGTCTGCAGGCCTGCCTCCAACGTTGGCAACACCTGGGGGGTTCTTCCTGTCTGCTGCCTGTTCTCCTAGCTTGACCCGTCCAGCAACGCTCTTCTCATTGCCTGCGCCATCGACCGACTCAAAGTATTTCTGGCTCTTTTTATCCGCCGACTGCTTAGCAGCGTTTTCTGCCGCCTTCAAACGGGAACCGACGTCTTCTGCATCGCGTTGTTTGGCAGCTGCTTCGTACTCCCTCGATTGGAGGGCCTCTTGCGTTCTGGTGTAGAAATCCGAGCCCTGTGTCCGGCTGGCTGAGCTGCTCATGTAGAGAATTACTATGACAACGACGATGAAGAGAAGGCCACTGAGGCGCATGCGTCGTTGGGATGGCATTGTGACTGGTTCTCGGGCGTAATTGGCGGGGAAGTGTACAGGGTGGGTTACGAATCGAGCTGTTGCGATGCGAAAGGAATGTTGTTCTACTGTCAACTAGTTAATTACAATGTACTCTGGAATATGCAATTCAGGCATAGAAAATACATGAAGCTAGCAAGTGGCCAGGCCAACGTGCATACCCTCTGCCGGTCTGGTGTATGGAATTCGCGGGGGTGTTAATTCAGCCGAGCTCACCGGTAGTGCTCATGCGACAGCTATGATGTATAAGTGTACAGGAGCTCTAATAAAGCTTCTCTCTGGTAATGCTCGCAAGTAGATATTGAGCCCAAACAACAGATGTGAGGATGAGGGGAAAAGGAAGACGAAGCGTGCACGGTAGATACGAGTAAGTGTAGTGTGCAGTGTGTGAGGAGTGGTGTAGTAGTAAGTTATAAGTGTAAGTGTACAGGACTGGAAATGTGAATGGGGAAACTTGCAGGGAGCAGAAGAGAGCGAAGCCGGGGGAGGGAAGGTCCCAGGGGCTTGGCTTATGGGTGCGGCGCCACTTTCTTCCCGACTAACCGGATTGGGACTGTGACTGGCTTCCCTCTCCCTCCTCTCCCCCTCCTGTTATGTAACTCTAACTCTCAACTCTACACAGTAACCTCCTCCATCCTACCATTCAATCATTATTATACGAGATAGTCATTACATTCTGTCTCCTTTGCCTCGGTAGCGATTGATTGCTGCAATGATCGTCGATTCAGATCGGACCCTACATGCATATGTCAGTGGAAACATACTGTCACCATTCTCATCATGCTAGTAGGTCCGACTAATCACTACCTACCCATTTAGTAACCTTTCTTCCATAACGGGATACTGTTCACATTGCCTGTCGGATTGCTCTCCGTCATCTAAGTATCTTAGGGACCTAGATATCTAGACCGTCGAGACCCTACGAGGCAGATCCACCTTCATGCAGGATTTCCCTTCCCAACATCCCGTATATCCGAGGAGAAGTACGCGACAAAGACGCGACGTGTCTCAACACTCGCAACCGTTGCACACAAAGGGCTGCCGCCGCGTCTGTCCTAGATCTGTCCGACTGCCCACACAACATTGGCGAATCCTTCCTTTCATGAAGTCCCAGGGAGAGGCGTTCTGATAAGCTGGTCATTGATCGCGGTAGCACAGTCTTACACGCCTCAATCATGTTTTCATGATCTTGCATTGTGCAACATCCCTTATTTTTTTAGTTGACATGTCACTACCTCTAGAACGCACCGGCCATGGGTAATCGACCACACCCGGTCTTTTGAGACTGATATCAAGATCTGAAGATCGTCATAGATCGACAGTGTTTCCAATATTTGCCCAAAGCGGCTAGTTGCATGGAATTGGCTGCTGACATCGCATGGCATATTATAATTACCATGGTTCCCAATATGGATCCCCTGGTCACCCCAGACATTGCTTGATATGGACTACACGCTCCATATATTTTTATCGACTTCTTCTGTTCATCCGCGGTCTTCCTATCAGCTTGTTCCCGTAGACTCTGACAGTGGAGCGACTTCAATGTATGCACTTGAAACATGTCTTTGACAGGCTAGAGGTTCCGACTACAGAATTGAGGGAAACCCTCTAAGAAGAATAGATCTACTTACAGGTTCTCAATGATTTAGGCTCCGTAGATAAATTTTTGAGAGTAAGCCTTCAGACAATGTGACCAAAAGTTCCGTAAGAAAAGAGACGTCACAGATCGTAAAGCGTCGAACCTACATCGTATCTTGCAGACGACCCATAGATCTTGACAGTATCGAGTATGCAATCACTAGGTACCTTCTGTGTTCTCCGAAACGAACAGGCCTTCATTGCTGCAAAGGGATCACTACGAGCATAGGTACTTATATGATGCGAAAGATATTACGCTCAGTACCTATTGATCCGATACACTACACTACACCGCACCCACTTATATATTCCTTTCCTATCTTCCTCACATCAATCGTTCAAATCCAACATCTCCATCCCGACGGTTTCCCAACCATCTGGTTCATATCCCGACAAATGGGAACAACGGGGATCCGTACAGTACATAACCTCCCCTCCTCTACCCCCTTCAACCCTACAACCCCACAACCTCAATTACAATAACAGTCTCACCTACACAATGAACACCCCACTATTCTTCCCCTACTTCATACTGACGTTAGAACAATCAAGTACGAACCCGTCCCCTTCCCATCCCACCAGCCACCCTACTGACCTACCTCCACCTAGAGTCCGCATCTCGAGCATTCAATCCGTTCCCGCCACTGAAATTCACGAACCTTTTCCCACCGTATTGGAAGGCGGAAACAGCGCACCACGTTTCTCTCGGCGGCGTCGTGCCGTGGGTGTTTGTCGTGGTGATGGGTGTAGTGGTATCGCTGGTAATATCCTCGCTGGTGGCTGAGGCGGGAGGTCCGAAGAGAGAGGTGGCGGAGGGGACGAGGTAGTGGTTAGGTGAAGTCGGTGAGATGGCGAAGAGGTTAAGAACGTGTTGGTAGATGGGTTGGGCTGAGCGAGGAGGATGGGCGAGGGTTGGAGGAATCTGTGATGGAGAGAGATGTCGTGTAAGCGATTCGTGAGCCGTATCAATGGCTCAGGTCTATCTGTAGGTCGTGGTTAGGCGTTTAGGTGTCTGTTTTACTGTTCTCTTATCATTAATAGCTTAGTAAAAAGAAAATCCTCTCTTTTCTATATTCATTCCCTATTTACCTTGTAACAATTCTTCAAGGCCAACATATCTATGCTAACATTTTCCCAACCCTCTGGTCTAGATCCCAACAAAAGGAGGACGGCGGAGCCGTAAAGTATAAAATCGATCTCCCACTCCCGCCTTGCCCCCCTCATCACCTTCCCACCCCCAAACGACCAACCTTTATTAAAAGAGAAAAACCCCACCTACACAATGCCCAACGCATATTTCTTCCCTGTCTTCATACCATGGCCAACACTATACGCAAGTACGAACCCTCCTCTCCCACCCCTCCACCCACCCCTCCACCCACCCCTCCACCCACCCTAACTAACTTCCCCTTCTTCCCTAGACTCCATACCCAGGGCAATCGAAGTAGTAGTGTCACCGGTGGAAATCGAAGTAGTAGTGCCCCCAGTGCAAATCCCAGTGCAAATCACGCACCACCACAATGTTTGCCTCGGCGACGACGACGTGCCGTTTGTGTTCGCCGCGGTGATATGTGTCGCGCTCATAATTGCTGTAGTAGAAGGTTGGGGGCAGAAGAAGAAGAAGAGGTAGCGAGTACGTGAAGTCAGTCAACTATGAGCGTGATTAGAATTGGTGTTTAGGTGTCTGTTTCACTCCTCTCTTATCTAAATAGCTTTGTGAATAACTACTCTCGTCTCTTTTCAACCTTTGGTAGAACGTTGCTTACTTCATTTAAGCATCACTCTATTCCACCTCGGCATGAAGTCTCACGGAAATCGTACGTGTACCGGGGAACGTTGGAGTTTCAGGAAGGTGATAAGGATTTGTTGATGATCATGGAGATACCACTGAACAATGATGAGATCACATGGGGGTAATATTTATTTCGGAACTATGAGCTGTATAAGTCTGTGACGATTGTTTAATCAGCCGGGTTGAATAATCTCTTCCGGGCGTGGTTGTTCGAATCAGGTTCTAACGTGGTACTGCTGTTACGGTGGTTCCTTCTCCTTTTTAACGAAAGCCGCCACTGTTCGTGCTGATCAGAGCGAATGTTCGTGTTGCTTGAAGGCGGCGATCCTGTTGACACTTTCCTATGCTTGCTATTGCCACGCTCCTGGGGTGCCGCTGGTCTCTTGGGGAGGCTCAAAAGATGGGCTCCCTATACCTTCTTCCAATCAGTTCGATCAGGCTTGAGGATCCTAACCGGAGTGTCTGTCTTGTTCGAGGGACCCCAGCGACCAGCCCTGCCACCAGGATCGACTCCACTTGCGCCGTTCTCCTTCAGTCCCGTCATTGTCGTCGCAGTCGGCGGTGCAGACCTCAACGCCCCAAACGCACCCGTAATACCGCTCATACCCGGCGCATTCGTCTTGATCGTCAGTGGCGAGTTCGGCTCAGAACCACCAGCATGCAAACTCGTGATACGGCCCCTAGGCTGGAACCCTTTCTTCCCCTTCCTCCTCTGACTCCCCATCTCGACCCAGGCACCACCATCCTTCTTCGCCCTCTCCATCTCTGAACGCCTTTCCCTCTCCCGCCTCGCATCTTCCTCCCGCTCCCTCGCGGCCCGTTCCTCCGCCTCGCGTCGGATACGTTCCTGTCGCGCCTTCTCAGTGTCCTTCTTCTTCTGTTCCTCCACGGCAGCGGCAAGGCGAACGGCATCTACCTTTTCCTGCTCAACTTCGAGCTTCAGGCAGTCGTAGCATTTGAAGTAGGATTTGCGCGGCTCGTCTTCCTGGGAGCACTCGTCGCAGGTGTCGGAGGGGGAGCGGAGGGCCGTGGTGCAGCGGTCGCGGAAGAGGTGCGAGGAGCAGCCGCAGAGGTAGGTCTTCTTCCAGAGCTTGCACATGGTTTCGTTTTGTAGTGGGTTAGGTGGTTGGTTGTTGGGGTTGTGATGTTGGTTGAGTTGGTTGTATGTTGGATGAGGGGTTGAGGTTTAAAGAGAGTGAAATGGTCATGGGTGGTTTATGAATGAGTGTTGAAATGTTGTCGCGTGGATGGAGGAAGCTTTGTTGTTTATTTGTTGTCAGTGAAGGTGATTGAGGGCAGTGTGTGATTGAGGAAGGCGCACGGTTGTCCTGGGAGCAAGTGAATGAGTATGGGGCAGAAGTGAATGAGTATGGGGCAGAAGTGAATGAGTATGGGGCAGAAGTGAATGAGTATGGGGCAGAAGTGAAGGAAGATGGAAAGAAGTAGGGAATGAGACAGATGAGTTGTTTGTTACTTCCAATACTATCAACAAGCTGTTTCTATGCTGCCGTAGGTACTAGGAATTCCTACTTGAACTGAAGTGAATTTACATGATGGCATATCCCACATCAATAATCGCAGATTTCCTATAAGCTCCTATCATGAGCTACCAGTTTCTACAGTACCTGCCCCTGTTTCTGGAACTTGAATATCCGTCAGGCCTTGGAATTTGATTTGCATCCTTTCTGTGGTTGGTAGGAAGCTTTGTGGAAACCAAGAAATCTCTTCTGGTGACGAATCAAGTACCATCTGGACCAGCGCCTCAGCCGATTTCAGACATAAAACCATGCCATGCCCATTGAAACCCGCACTTATCCAAACTCCCTCCATATCCGGCACCTTTCCGACGTATGGTCTTCCATCCGTTGTAGCTCCCATGATACCCGTCCACTCCTGCACGATTCGACTATCTTGTTCCTCCTCTGACTTCTCGCCCCAGTTTGCTTTACCAAAGTAGCCTACGAGGCTGCCTCGCAGATATTCTGAGATTTGTGGATTCAGAATAGCGTCGTTCACGGTACCATATTCACGCTCACCATTGTCTGGTAACCGTCCAACGCCGCCACCTATCACGATATGTTGACCTCCGTCTGGTAGTGGTCTGGGTATCATGTATTCGAAACCAGACTTGTAAGCTATCGAGTACGTATATGGTAGTGGTGATGGAAGCTTCGTCGCCTCCCCTGGTTTCTGCGCCGTGATCTGCCCACGCAGAGGCACGATGGAGCCTTGCAAGGAAGGAAGTATGTACGGCGTGTAACCATTCGTGGCAATAATGATAGAGGTGGTCTTGATAGTACTGTACTGGGTGAAGACTTCCCACTTGACATTCGGATCGTCAGATTGGCGAGCGGGTCTGAATGCGTGGACGGGTGTTCTGGTACAAAGTCGTAGTCCTTTCCTTGTACATAGGTTCAGGACTGCCGTGGAGAATTTATACGCGTTGATTCTTCCTGCCAGGTATTCGACGGCTCCTTGAAGCTGTTCTTCCTCTTTTACAGCAGGGTTTCCGTTCTTCTTAGCTGCCCAGAATTTCTCCGTCGCTCCTTCTGGGGAATGAATTTTGTACCAGGCGACCGCGCCCTCTGCTTTCTCTTCTTCTGTCGCCGAAGCTCTCAACGAATCGATGGCCTTCTGTCCTTCGACGAAAGTGTCCTTATCGTAGATCAAATCCACCGTATTACACAACTGGCTTTCACATTCAATCCCCAACTCTTTCGCCAACTCATGAGTCGCCAAAATATTTGCATGTTCAAACCTCATAATCCGTTTCGCTTCCTCCTCCCCAAGCTCATCGACGTGCTGCAGCCAGGTCCGATAGCTAGCGGCCTTTGTATGCCCCCCGTTCCGTCCTGTCGCGCCTCCGCACACTTCGCGGGCTTCAAGCATCACTATCCGAGAATCCGGTCGCTGGGTAAGGAGATTATACGCAATCATAGTCCCGGAGATGCCAGATCCAATGATACAGTGGTCGTAGACATGGCTCTCATTGTCGACTTCTGCCTCGACCACTTTCGCGAGAGGAGATTTTGGCTCGTGCCAGTATGATGGGAGAGGGTCTCTCACGGGTGGGCCGACTGGTATTTGTGATCTGCTCTCCATTTCGTAATTGTGGGATGCAATATGAGTCTGTCCGGAGTGGTTGGTGATGCTGTAGTTGTATGGTAGCGCAAACTGGCGCTATTTTAGAGAGGCAAACGGGAACGAGGGAAGTCCAGCGTGACTCAACCAAGCAACGTTCAATAATGTCGTCAAACTTTGGTGGCCTTGAATGTATAGAGTCAGGTATATGGTAGTAGGTTTTACAGACGTCATCAGATAGAAAGACCTCCCCGTGAGGAAGATTATCGTCGCTCTGGCGGGGTTCTGAGCTACGTAAACAACTTCCTAATTGGGGTAGCTCCCCGCTTTTGATGAATATGGATGATACCATCTGATAACTTGAAATGCATATACCATGAAATACTGGAATTGTCAGGATGAACGGTGCTTTGAACTTTGAGAAAGTTAGATCTCTAAAAAGAAAGGTGTGCCACCTTTCAACAATTATTGAGTAGCTGATCAAGGATATCGCGATGAGGTGTTTTCGTTCATTAGACCTGATCGCATATATCTCAATAATATGTTAATCTGACTAACTAGGGTCCGGAAGACAAGAGCAATGAAAGGGACAGGGGAACAAGCAATCTATATGCAAACATTACCAGTGATGTCGTACCTGGCTGCTAATATCATGTGTTATGCCCTGCAAGTCATTACAGGGTCGGAAATTTGCTAAAATGCTTTGCAGGGAGTGGACTGCATCTCTTACAAGGCATTATTGCTCTTCACTCAATTGGCCCAACAATTTTTCGAAGCGAGCGAGGTGACACAGGTCTACAAGATTCTCTTCTATCAGTCTGTAAACTACACTTGTCGTGGGATACGAGATCAACCTTCTCCATGTAAGTTGATTGCTGGTAAGTTCGTCATGCAAAGCCTCATTATAGAATTCACAGTATGCACTTTCATCCTCATGACCAGAAAAACTTACCGACTACGCCCTGATTGATCCAGAAGAATGGGTCCTCATGCTATTCCACAGTCCCAACAATGAAGATCTCGCTCCGACAAGAAGTGTGGCGAGCGCATGAAATGTTGTTGGACAGGGGTATTTCCGTTTCCGTTTCCGTTTCCGTAAGATTTTGAGCAAAGATGTTCCACGCCCTTTGACAATGCCTTGCGCTGCACTTGGAATGAATCAGGAGCTTTTTCACGGTGTGGACGCAGAGACGTGGTCATGCTCAGCTCCTCTCGAGTCTCTACTGGTTCTGGATGCATTGCGGGATTTTTTATGGATCAAGTGCTGTTCAATATGATAAAAAGAAAAGGAAATGGCTGCCGGCCCTCATGTCCTTGACGAGATGGTCTCCGTGTACACGCGGGAAATGAAGGTTGAACTGAGAGCAGAAGCACGCACTGATGCTACCAACCAGCATAGCAAAGAGCTAGATGACATCCTAGAGTGTGAAATATCTGTGGGATATGTTTGAACTCCAAGTCAAATAACAGTAATGTATCTGGAGGAATGTTGTTCTGCTGAGTCTTAGGAACAATGAGCCTTTGGCGAGATCTAGGAGTGGCCATCGCTTGGACTTGCATATAATCAACCTTATGAATGACCAGACATTGCACTCTTGCCTACCCATCTGCTTAAATGTTGTGTGACAATGACTGCCCGAATATAATTAGGCAACTCTCGAAGCATAAATCTGCTGATTCTCTTGGGACTAGACCTTTGACAGAGTTGTTAGTAATGAGATACCCAGGAGCAAAATGCGCAACCATTACAGTTCTTCCTTGTCAAAGCCATGCACTGTAAAGTTGTTTGCCCCATCGCTTCCCGCGGCTTGCACGGCCCCCATGGAGGAGCACGGCCATAGGCCGTAAACTTTCTCAATGTAACAACGACCCACGCAGCAATACCCAATGAATGCAAATGTGCCAAAGCGCATCGGCGCCACGAACAGCACCCTGAACGGCACCTAGTGCCCGATTTATAAACGGGAGAGGCACTAGGCTGATTAGTGGAGGTTATTCGTGCCCACCAGTACTGAAGTATCGGGATCCGAATTCCGATCTCATGTACGGAGTAGTAGTCTCTATTCATAGCCAAAATACGGTTTGCAGTGAACAGTATGCTGTTGCTGTTGCATTTAGTATTTAGATATCGTATACTCCGTCCAAGGTTTTACAGAAAATGACCAATTCTTATGCCACTCCCAATATGCTTTCGAGGACAAGAGAGAGACATAAGGATCATTGACAATGAGCCGAAGGAAACGGAAGCAATCTGGCGCTTCGGCAGCAAAGCGAATTAGGATTCCGTAAGAGGCACAGCGAGATAAAAATTCTGATTGGAGTCACCTATTCCTGTTACGAGAATGTCCGACGTGGATACAATTTGGTGGGCGGGTCGAGGTTGAGTAAACTCTTAGCTGTGCGACCCCATTGTCCAGCGTGGGAGCATGCGAGAGCTCGTCCCCCTCCATCGTTAATTGATGCTCTCACCTATCATGATCTTGTATTCTAGGCGAAGGAGCGGAAACATTCCATATCGGGAGCCAATATCGAGCTGCTTTTGTCATCGCTCGGGTATTCTACCTTGTGAGCTAGTGAATACGAGGTCCGCCAGTCGGACGGCTCTGGCGATCATCACGGCTATTACCCGTCCATCTTATCTGATCATGCACTGATTTTGAGGTTCGCCAACTGCTTGATTTCGCGCCAATCAGCCTCTTCACGCTTCTATTGCCCTTCGACCCTTGGACGCCTTATAATGTCGTGCGTAGGATTCTTCGACATGGTTAATGAATCTCTAAACCGTGCCGTTGGCAACGGAGGGTTCCTCAACTGGGTACATATGCCGCACCCACGGACTCACTGCACGCCCAGACCTACAACACAAAATCATGTGTTAAATAGGTAGTGGAAAGGTGCTGTATTGTATATGAGAAATTCAAAAGGTTCACAGCTCAAATAGGAATACAGTCCGGTGGAGAAGGAGTACGAAGGCGGCAAGCTTTAGCGCCTAGCGGGCTTAATTACGCCAAGCGCGGTGACGGCATCTTCGCCTCATGGATGTAGTGTAGTGTATTGGAGTCATTCAAAACCGTTGAAGGAACATTTTTGCCCTTAAAAATCCATCCACTGTGCTGGGAGAAGATAGTAAGCGATTCAGATGTGTGTGTTCGTTGGCACTCAATTTCATGGGTAGACTTTGCCAGTAAGCAGGCGTGAATTAAAGATGAGCAACATCGAGGAACAGGTCCCTCAGAATGGGGTTCAATGCCATTTTAAACAGTTTATAGTTACACCCGATGCAAATCCCGCTCGTATTCAAAAATTCGCTTGACATTGCATCAAATCTTATCTTATCAGATCCATCAGCTCATGCAAGAATGAGTGAATGGAGGCATGTGATCTGCATTTCAATATATCCATTAGGCAAGTGGAAATCAGGCAGAGATTTTCGACCGAGCAAGGTCCATGAGCCCCAGTTTTCTCTAGGATCTGATTAGATCCGAGGTCGGTGCCGAAATCTTGTATGGCCAGCCACGCCGTGGACACTGGCATCTGACCTTCATTATAGTCCCAGTACAATGGTCGCGATGGGATGATCGCAACTTGCTTCGGGCAAGGCCTGCTCAAGAAATTTTCAGTGCCCACCATGGCGACAAACAATGATTCTCCATGAACGGAGAGTACAAGAATAAATCAGTTCCGTTCCCCTGGAACTGCAGAACCATACAATCTCTTGTAGCTTTTGCAGTTGATCTTTTGCGACACTTCCAGTCATTATGGCTACTCAACAGGTCCAAGAGAAGGATGTGGCCATCGATTCCAATGCTGCCGCTACAGCACCTGATGTGAGCGATTCTGAGTCGCAGAAGGAGAAAGATCTCGAAAGCCATAAGCAGCATGGCGTGGCAAACGTCGAGGCCATGACCAGAGTGTGGACAAAGAAGGCTTTATGGGTTGTCATTGTACTGTAGGTCTCTCATGAATCTCATCCTATCCGCCTGATTACTCATCTATTCAGGCTTTACGGTGTATTCTTCGCTATCGCGTTTATGCGAAATGTGGCTTTCCCCCTTGAACCATATGTCACTTCGGCGTTCAGGAAACATGGACTGCTTGCTATCGTCAGCATTGTTTCTACTCTGGCCGGTGGTGTCTCCCAACTCGCGATCGCCAAGTTGTTCGACATCTGGGGTCGCCCCCAAGGATTTGCCGTTGCTGTTTTCCTTGTCCTCATGGGTTTGATTCTAAAGGCAGTGTGCCAGAATGTCCAGACCTATGCCGCCGGAAATGTCTTCTGGTGGGTTGGAGCCACAGGTCTTTCATATGCTGTGGATGTCTTCGTATCGGATGTCACATCCTTGAGGAACAGAGGCCTCGTCTTCGGTGTCAACAGCACTCCAGGTCTCGCCGCTATCTTTGCTGGACCTGCTATCGCTCAGGAGCTTCTTCAACACTCCAGCTTCCGCTGGGGTTACGGACTCTTCTGTATTGTCATCCCAGCAATCACCATACCAGTCATCTTTGCGTTCGCGCATTACGAAAGGAAGGCGAAGAAACTCGGCGTCGCACATGAGGCGGGTGCTGGTCGCACTGCGTTCGAGTCCATCAAACACTATGTTATCGAATTTGACGGTGAATTGCTTCCAACGAATCCTTTCCAACGAATAAAACTAACGGCTTCGCAGTGATGGGAATGCTCTTGACCATCGCGGGCTTCTCTCTAATCCTCCTTCCTTTCTCTCTCGCCTCCGGTGCCAGTCACAAATGGGCAAATCCTAGCATCATTGCAATGATCGTTGTCGGAGTTCTCTGTCTTGTTAGCTTTGTCATTTGGGAGAAATGGTTCGCTCCTGTCCAGTACCTGCCGTTCAGATATCTCAAGGACCGTACGATCCTGGGAGTCTGCATCTGTCGTTTCGCCTTGTACATCACGATTAGGACTTGGGATATCTACATGTCCTCATACCTCCAGGTGGTTCAACAGGTCAACGTCAGGAACGCAGGATACATTATGGACACGTACTCCCTTACAGCATTTGTAGTCATGCCTATTACCGGATTGTAAGTTCCTTGAAGGCTGTTCTATTTGAAACCATACTAACATCGTACAGGGCGCTGCGATACATGAAGCAACCTAAGTACCTAGGCATTGCCGCCATCCCGCTCATCGCCCTAGGCACCGGCCTACTCGTCAAGTTCCGCGTTCCCGGCCAAAGCTCCGGACTCATTGCGATGTGCCAGGTGTTCAACGGAGCCGCAGGAGGTATCCTCGACATCCTCAATCCCATCATGGTGATGGCCTCCGTCTCTCACCAGGAAGTCGCTGTCGTCCTCGCCCTGACAAGTATGTTCACATCCATCGGCTCCAGTGTCGGATCCGCCATATCCGGCGCTCTGTGGACAAACTTGCTTCCCAAGAAGCTTGAGTTCTATCTCCCAGATGAGTTCAAGAATGAGACAATGACGATCTACGGAGACTTGAAGGTTCAGTTGAGCTACCCGTATGGTAGCCCTGTGCGCGAGGCTATTGTTCATGCGTACGGTGATGTGATGAGGTTGATGGTCATCGCTGGAGCTGCGTTCGTTCCGCTCGTCGCCGCAAGTATTTTTGTCTGGAAGAACCTTCATGTCAAGGATATGAAGCAGACTAAGGGAACTGTTTTCTAAGGGATTTATCCTCCTTAGGAATCCAATGCTAGTCATTGGTGCTATCCATTGGACCCTTTCATATGGCTATCGTTCGTTTTGGTTGGGGGACTTAAAGGATATTACTTATCAAACCTACCTACTCAACGTAAGGTCTTTCAAATAGCTATGTTGATTATCAAATAGTCATTATATGGCTTCAGAAGCGTCTATCTCAACTCGATGTAATCAATATCAACAGACTTTATAAACCATCGTTGTGACCAGAATGTCTCGTCGTTACCTAGTGCGTTGTTGCCTACTAATTATGTCAGTGGCTGAACTGCCATCAACCCCCAACAGTAACAGCGCAGCACCAGGTCGTTGCACAAAGTGCGATATGACAAAACTTTTAGTTGAGGAAAATGTAAGCTCAAAGTAATTGGATCGCATTCCTCGTTTTCCAGGCTCCAGCGCGCCTTCATGTGACTTCGCGCCGCCGTGTTCAGTAATCCTGTCGCGACCCCTCATTTTTGGTGAACTTGGCGCGTTGCACCGCTTTAAGCAATGGAAGATATAAAATGAATGACAATCTGGGCTTGAAATAATTGAGAACCAGCAACATTCAGATAAGAAAACAATCAAACATACATTTTCAGAGACATTTACATTTCAAGGTGACTCCATTCCGCAACCTCAACCCCCCAAGTCACAACCCACTAACCCAATCCCAAGAAACCTCCCCAAACCCTTACAAACATCATGTCCTTCAAAATCACCCCTTGCCTCTGGATGGACACGGAAGGCGAAACCGCCGCCAAATTCTACACCTCCATCTTCCCCAACTCCTCCATAACCCACATCCAACCCTACTCCACCGCTGGGCAATCCATCCACAAACACACCCCCGGCTCCGCTATGACGATCGACTTCACGCTCAACAACAACCCGTTCCAAATCCTCAACGGCGGGCCGGAGCCGAAGCCCAACATGGCGACCTCGTTCATCATCTACGTCGACGACCAGAAGGAGTTAGATTATTATTTCGAGAAGTTGGGGGAGGGGGGCGATGACGAGATGAAGGTTTGTGGGTGGGTGGTGGATAAGTATGGGGTTTCGTGGCAGCTTGTGCCGAGGGATTTGGAGCGGTGGATGAAGGAGGGGAGTCAGGGGCAGGTGGAGAGGGTTACGGATGCGTTTATGGGGATGAAGAAGTTGGATATTGAGGGTATGAGGAAGGCCTTTGAGGGGGAGAAGTGAGCGAGGGGATTGGACGGGGAAAGATGCAGTTCTGGATGGTTTTATGAGGTTATGTGGGAGTTGGTACGGTGCTTTATTGATTTTTCTGAGTTCGAATAAAAGCTCTTCATTGACGATCATCCGGCTTCTCCCTCTGAGGAGTGAGTGACATCATTTCATCCCAAGATCCCAGATGCCAAAAGCCCAACAACACCGACCATACTGCCATACCCCCAGTGGTTCCACTCTCCAGTTCCAGCATGCGCCTTCACAATCGCGCCATCAGCAAACGCAGCCGCACTGGATGCGATCAATAGCGCGCCCAGCGTCCTCCTCGAGCCGAACAAGAGCGCGGAGAAGATTGAGAAGCCCATGAAAAGGTCCTTCACGCCAAAGAGCTTGCAGAAGCTGTCGATGATCTCCTGGTCGGCGGCATTGGAGACATATGGCAGGCCAAAGGTGCCAAATGCGTCATATGGGCGGAAGATGTAGTTTGCGCCGAAGCCGATGAAAACTGTGGCGAAGAATGCGGCGGCTAGGGAGATGATTGGGCTTCTGGAGATAGGCATTTTGTATTTTGAGGTGGTAGATCTGGGGTTTGTTGTGTAGGATTTGGTTGATCTGCAATGGTTCTGTGGGGTACTCGTTGTAGTAGTTGGGCGGGAGAATCTGATAAAGCTGTGCAAGTTTTGGCGCGACTGCAAATCAATATGTGGAGGTTTCCTTATTTACAAAATTTTCTTGTTGGGATCTTAGAGGGAAGATGTGTGAGTTGTTGTATTGTGGATGAGCAAGTGAATGTTCATTGAGCTGACGCGACCCCGCTTTTGTACCATTCACGTCAAGCGTCTCGGGACGCGCGGGCACGGGATTACGTGTGTTGTCAGCCTTATCTCCATTGCTGCCTGAAGTTGGCAATCCTTCAGCTGAAACTACATCGATGCGCTAATCTATTCTAAGGAGAAGTAATATGGAATGGCTTTCAGAAGAATCCTGAAGGGCGAAACCAAGGGCGTAGCAGGTCGAAAATGGACCAGCAAATCGATAAATTGACATTGGAAGTAGACACGACTACTCCGCGCAAGCCTATCCTTTGTGTAGGTGTCCAATTATCAGACATAAATCAATTAACTCAATGTTCGTTCGTATTAACTATGACTTTTGACATTTTACTTTGACAGAATAGAACGGAGGATATGCATAGATAACTTAAAATCACTACTATGTAAATCAGTAAATGTGTGGTATAATCCTGATATTGATGTTTGTCCTATAGTAACTCCCTGTATGTACTCTGTCTGTATTATGTTCTTCTTAACCCTGCTTTACGAGCAGCTTGGATAGACGACTTATATATAGTGAAGGGTCAACACCTTTAGGAGGCTCCTTGATAGTAACAACAACGAGAGGCGGACAACTCGCTTAGGTGAAGCTTCTTCCTCGAAAAAAAGGTGGGCCGTAATTGAAACGCTAAAACAACCAATCTGCCGGCCACTACACCAAGCGGCCACAATACAAAAAAAAGCAAAAAAAAGAAGATTGCATGATGAGGTCCTACCCGGACTCGAACCGGGGTCCCCGGAAGGAATATTCTGATGTGAATCAGAATCCGATGTGATGACCAACTACACTATAGAACCGAACCTCGTTGTTTGATGTTGTTTCTGAAAATTTTAAGTACTAAGTACCCACACAAGTGTTGTTTAGCGCCATTCTCGGAAACATTCTTGACTCTGGGATCCAGCGAAACTATCAGTAATAAGTCTATTATGAACTCAATGCGAACTATTTTAAATAGCGCGAACAATAAGATCCATCGAAACCATCCATTCATTAACCGAGGTTTTGTGTTTTGGAATGCAGCACAACGCCACGAGTAATCTTAGGCCGTGTAGCCTCAACAGAGTCAGTATTCCATTGCGGGGAACAGACCTTCATTCAAAACTTCAACATACCGGATGTGAACACTCTTTGCCTTCATCTTACGCTCTCATTTCTACGTTTGCATTGAATCCATCATGTCCTCCAAAATAGCCCTCGTCGTCGCATATCCCTCCAAGGACCCCGACACCGGCGACGCGCTCAACTTCGACATGAAATACTATCTCGCGTCGCATCTACCTCTGATCGAACGCGCATGGGGCCCATATGGCTTGCGCTCTTGGTCCATCAACGAGTTTCCCAATCCTTGTCCTCTGACTGGTCAGACGCCACCGTATCTCGTGCAAACGACATGCTATTTCGATCAAGTCGAACATCTCAAAGCTGCGTTGGAGAACGGGAGCGAAGAGACGAAACCAGATGTCGAGAAGTTCTCCAATGTCTTTCCGGCCATATGGGTTGGCGAAGGTGTGAAGCAGAATACCCTTGCTGGACTGGAGTTGGAAGGTGTAGGACAGGCTTAATGAATGTAACTAAATACCTGACCAACAATGCAAAGCGTCCAAGTTTCGGCATCATATTTGAAGCTACAGGTAGTCTCATCCGCTGCCATAGAACAAATTCCCATTGACACCTAATTGTCCGCTCTCTTGCGCACGGCTTCCGCTTCCAAATTCAACCGCTCCGTAGCAAGCAATTCTGAGAACAGTATTGAGCCTTTCCGTAATTTCCTCGGAAGTACTTCTGACTTTTATCAGTCTTCTGCCCGATCGCTTTCGTCTAAGTCTGAATCTATGCCGCGCTTCAAACTCGACGTCGAGCTCACTCCCCTGTCTTGTTGCGAGTATTTTGGAGTAGGCTTTCAAGCATTCCTGGGTGTATGGATGATCTCTTCCATGAACCTTGAGATATTCCACGCAACCTCTTTCATACAATACGAGAGCTTCATCGTAGCGGCCTAGTGTTGCGAGAAGCCCAGATAAGTTGTGAACAACCCCCAATGTGTATGGATGATCGAAGCCTAGCGACTTCTCAGCCCGATCCAGCCCCTGTCTCATCATTGATACGCCATCCGCAATCCTTCCCTGTACGAACAACCCAAGTGCGAGGATGCGATTGATCGTTAATGTCTCCGGATGATCCCGCCCTAAGGCCTTTTCGGATCGTTCCTGCGCTATTCGGTTTATGGCCTCGCTTTCTTTGAATCTTCTCATCCTCATCAGGACAGCCGAAAGATGGGTCATGATGGTTGACGTATGGTGATGCTCGAGGCCTTGTGCCATTACTGACCTGGCTAGTGCTGCCCTAAGGATGAATTCGGCATCCTTGATCTTGCCTGCATCTAAGGACAAGAGGGCTAGGTCCTTCATGATCCGCAGCGTAATTGGATGGCCCAGTCCATACATCTTCTCATATTCTGTCTTTACCCTTTGATAAATTTCCCTTGCTTCTTCGTACTTGCCTTGATTATCTAAAATATTGGCCGAAATCTCAACGTGCATAAGAGTTCTACGGTGAGTTTCCCCCAAGTTGGTTTTTCCTACTTCAAGAGCGCGCTCATTGATGTTTTGGGCGACGGTGTATTGGCCTCTCGCCATTGCATACCCAATTGCCTTGTATAGAATTGACATCCATAACAGGAGGACCTCAGTCTGCTCCGGGCAGTCGTTGACCAGAACTTGAGCATGCGGAAACAAGGCGCGGCATGTTGGCCAGTTCTCGTATTCGCTACTGGGATAGTTTTCGTTCATAAGATAGATATATGTAGCATACCAGAACTCCAATTCATGGTTTATCTCCAGCCATTTCTTCATGGATAATTGAACCAGTCGGTGCATCTCGAATTCGCTCCCAGCTGCGTTAGCATGAACTAGGGAGAAGGTCGATAGTATGTGAATGTCTTCTTCAAATGTGGCCTTCCACAATTCCTCGTCTGTCTCGTCTTCTTGGATATCGCATGTACGCCGATAATGTATAAGCAAGAGCCACTCTGGAATTCCTTGTCGATCAAATAGGCTCATCAACGACAATAGTCTTGCAGCCGACGGCTGATGCTTCTGAATGTATTCGAACGAGATTTGCCAGATTGTCATGATCGAATTCGATACACGACCGTCTCGACGAGTATCGCCGACATCTTCTTGCAGGAGCCGTGCCCGCTCTTCATCACTGCGGATGAGTCTCTCTGTGTACTTTTGAACGGTCATTCGCGGTTTCCTTAGTGCGATAAACGCCGCTGCCTGCGTAATAGCTAACGGCATGTATTCAAGTGTTTCCACCAATTTCGCGGCGTCCGTTTCATCCACCTTTTCGCTATCGTTCAAATCAAGCTTGCTGTGCAGTAAATCCAAGGACTGCTCTTTGTCCATGGGATGAACATCAATGATGGAACTGTTGCCTCCAACTAGCCGATGTGCGACAGCACGGTTCCGCGATGTTACCAGAACTGAGCCGTTCGGCGACTGAGGAAGGAAATCCGAGAGTGGTTCTTCTAAATTCGTTGCATCGAATGTACCATCTGGCATCGTCTCGTGGTGCATGAAGACTTCCTCATCATCGGCGTTGTCGATGATCATCAACCAGCGTTCGTTCAACTCATGCCGCAGCCATTTGCGAACGAGCCGCAGAATGTCAGACTTGGGGTCGTCCCATCCTTTCATCGAAGTCAACTCCGCGATTTGTCGATATCCTTCTTCGAACCGCGCTCGTGTGCCTGCATATACCCAGAATATCCATGTTTCGGGCGACTCCTCTCTTACACGATACGAGTACTCGATGGCAATTTGAGATTTTCTGTGCAAGTCATTGGCTTCATATTGAGTCAGTATTGCTGTTGGCACTTACCCAACACCACCCAGACCGACAAGGGCAACGCGCGATGCTGGCTCCGAACACTTGACTCGCAATTGGTCAAGCACCGCTGCTCGATCGACGAATTCCCGATCACGTCGGAACGGCACGCTAGAACTCGGCACCACAGAAGGTCCATCATTAGTTGATGCCCCCTTGATCTCTCGACGGAGTCGCTTGAAAGCATTGTCGCGCCCCTCCCCATAGATCAATGGCATGAAGACGTCGAATATTCCCAACAAAGAGTATGCAGCATCTTCCTCTCGTTTTGTTTGGCGTTTCAGAGACCACGACATGCGCTCGTCAACATTGACTTCTGCTAGAGCTTTGCCTCGGAGCACGTCAATGGGAATATTTGTAATCTCGTGAAGGATCTTCTGGAGTGATTGTTTATCACCCAACTTGATGCATTCCATTGAGAAGAATTCCACTTCTTTCGGCGCGATAAATTCCTGTAGCGTCCACCCTCGAGCAAACCACCTGCTCTTCCCAATGGCCTGCTCATCACGAGAAGCCTCCGCTGCTGATACATCCGATAAGTAAGCATAGCACTTGGCCGCTCCCCGATACCACTTGAACATCGAATTGATAGCCTCCGTAAGCTCTGCGCTGCTCGACTTGTCAATACAACAGGTGTCCACCCAGAAGAAGGGCAGGTCATCCTTCTCAGCCTGGCCCGCGCAGAAGGCCAGTTTACGATATCCCGGTTTCGATTTGCCTATGCCTTTGATGAGGTCTTCGAAAGTTACCTCGTCGCCATCATTTCCCCACGTATGCGAGAGTATCGCATATGGCGGGATATCTCTTCCCAGCCGCTCCACAAGGCTGAAAGTGCCATCACGGAACTGTAAAAGCCGCATCGAGATACTCGTAAAGTAAGATCGTGTCGCGTTTTAAAGATTGACTGTTGACTATGCTAGCGGCATTAAGCCGACACCTAATGCTTGATCGTCGAAATTGTAAACGATAATTCAGTCAACTAGGCTGTGCAATGGCGATGTTGGATGCACAAGTCATGTGATGAGCCTGTCTGGCCTGGAAAGGCAAGGTGGAATGTAGGATGAGACCTGAGGCTGTTATCATAGGCCTTGCTGCCTTGGGTTTGATCTGGCATGATTCCATTCGCTGGATAGCCGGGTTACACAAGGACAGCCTGATGTCGAGAGGCTGACGTAAGTTTTTGAGGAATAAGTCATGAAATTGACATTTCCTTTTCATTTGAATTTCAGGTATTGGTTCAAATTAGCGATAAAATAAACCTCATATTGTCCATGGCTTTTGAACTCTGAAGTCGTATCTCATTGTTCACAGTACCCTACGAGAAGATGATAGATGACAGGATGAGCGACCGACTGCGCAGAGCTGAAGATGCCTTCTTCGACCTCTATGAGGGAAGTTCTTATGAATGCGCGTCTGTCATTATGGATATGAGCGGATCAAAAGGCTGCTGTTTGCATAAGGAATGCATTTAGCACACAGAGTCTATGCTTGGGCAGCTTTATGAATTGCTAGTCTACTCAGACGACACCCATTTTACATTAAACGCATGTTCCTTTTAGACTCTACAAGATCTTCCCTAAACTCTAGACGTCTGTAGATGCGCTAATATCAAAAAGCAATCCAAACCCTGCCCAAAATATCCCTTCCATCGTCCACGGCAACTCCACCCCAGCATCCTCAAACACCTCATCCCATTTCCCCACCTCACTAAAACGGCATCACAATGCCGAAATCCCCATCGCCGTCCTTCCACGCGGAGCTTTTCGGTATTCAGTGTGGCGTTCCCGCTCACATACCCCGGTCACTGGGATCAATGTACCCCGCAAGGCGGGAACAAGCTTCGCATGATACCAATCAAATGGACGGCTGTGCCTTGGCAGGGTACGGAAAGGGAAGTATGTATGGATTCAATGTCGCATATATTGAGTATTTGTGTAGGGAGAGGCATGGGGAGGGAGAGGGAACCACGTGCGGGAGGTGCGTGGCGTGTGGGGTAGATACGCAGATACGGTAATTCAGCGGAGGATGGACGACGCCATTGAAAGGTATCGAGGATCTAGACTCTTTGAATTGAAGTAGCAATAGGACTCATATTCTAGAGGATCAGGACGTATGAAAGTATATTGGTCTGGTTCTCAATTTCACATGAGAAGTCCGTTTTGTGTCAAAAGTACGCTTGACGTTGGGAAATGGATAAGCTTTGGGGACGGTAGCTAGACCTTCCGAATGTGGTTTAGATGATATACATTAGTGGTGAATAGTCTAACGATCTATATTGCTCGGGGGTACCATCGCTCCTCTAAACAATTTGATTTCACATGGTGTGAGTTGGGGATTAATGAAGGAAGACGTTGGGAAATACCGCCCATTTCTTGACGAAGGTTTACGCTTCGAGTCCTTCAAAGAAATTGCCAATGCTGCAGTAGCAGAACACCTGAAGATCTCCCGCTACAGGACCCGGTATAGCGGTAATTATTGCTTCGAAATATATTGAGCTCTACCTGAGGGAGAATTCTAAACCCCTCTTCACACGCACGCAGGCAAATGATCAACATGTACGGAGCAGACAATTACAAAGTGGGCGTCTCTGGACCGCCAAAGCATTAAGCGAAGCTGCAGACTGACCCTTTGAGCGCCGCAAAGAACCCTCCCGTTCAAGATTGAATTGAATAAACTCAAAAATGATAGGTCTATATTTACAATCCGCACTATTCACGGGCAAAGAGAGCTGTTGCGCCAATCGCGCATTCTGCCTTACAAGTCTAGCGCGACGATACTAAAGCAGATCGACGTAAATGCGGGTTAGCGACCCCGCATTCTTGATACAGCCACCAGAATCCCATTCCCCTTCCGTGCCTACGTAAGGGATGTATATCTTCGCATTTTCAGCATCTGTTTGGCTACGTGGCCTGTAGGCCAAGCGGCAGGAGTTGGGGGTGGCTACCCTGTAGCCGCGGCATCGAGGTATAGATTCGACTCTTTCGAGTATACCTCCTACAGTTCTTAGTGTAGAGACAAGTTGGTGATATAGAGATCGACATCGCGAGATTGTTGAATCGTCTGGAGGCCCTGCCTTTGACAGATTCATTGCGCTGTTTTTGGCATCACCAGAAGCTTTCACTCTCAATGATCACGACACCGTTTTCTTTCGTATCGCACCCAATTAGAATGATGACTGGTTCAGACTCGCCTCAAGAGAAGAACGCGAAGGGGGAGGAGACGATTGAGCACCTTGAGAGAGCTCCGGCGGATTTGACACCAAGTGAGACCGAGAAAGGACACACTCCTGTCCGCGTAGCGAGCAATGTGCCAGTCATTCATGATAAGGTAATATATTGCATACTCTAAACAACAAGATGCGATCTAACAGTGGCAAACAGATGTCATGGAAGTTCTTCGGAATTGTCCTCTGCATGTCATTCCTCTGGATCGGGTCTCAGATTCCATTGTATCTCTTCGGATCGGTGCTTCCGATCATCTACCAAGATGTTGGAGGTGTGGATCGATACACTTGGTTCGTCATTGGCTACCTCATCCCCAATGCGGCTCTGTGCCCCTTCGTTGGTGCGCTGTCAGATTTGTGGGGGAGACAGAAGGTGGCTATCGTGGGCCAATTGTTCCTCATCCTTGGGCCGATTGTCACGGCTACGGCTCATACGATGAACATTGCTATTGGTAAGTAGTCCTGGGGAAACGAACAAGGGGTGGGTCTAATGCAGATATAGCTGGGCAGGTCTTTTCAGGCTTAGGAGCCGGTCTCAACGAACTCATTGCTCTAGCCGGAATGGCTGAGGTCGTTCCCGTCAAGGATCGAGGCAAATGGGTTGGCTTCATTGTGCTTACCATCCTGCCCTTTTGTCCTTCTGTGCTGTATGCTCAACTCATCGCGAAAGAAAGCAACTGGCGATACAATGGTATCTTTGTCGGGGTGTGGAACTTCGTCGGACTACTCTTGTGCATCTTTTGCTACCACGACCCACCTCGCCTTACGTCCGAGTATACGGCGAAGGATGTTTTACGCCAGGTTGACTACATTGGGGGGCTTTTGAGCACGATTGGTGTCACTTGTTTTATGATGGGCCTCCAATGGGGTGCTTCTCAGGTATGGATTTGTGGATCTGAATTGAGTCTCCTCTAATATCCAACAGTATCCTTGGGGCAGTGCACATAATGTTGCACCCTTCGTGGTTGGCGTTGTGCTGATCATTGCGTTCTTCGTATGGGAAGGGTGGTTTGCTCCATATCCCATGGCTCCAAAAGGTCTGTTCAGCAAGTCGAAGAAGACTATGACGTTTATTCTTCTCATCACATTCTTCTCTGGAGGAAACTACTTCGTCATGTTGCTTTTCTGGCCAACTCAAGTGTACAACGTCTATGGTGAGCATGCCTGTACTTGATTTTCCAATCATCACATATCTAACATGGCCTAGGGGATGATCCCGTTGGTATTGGCATTCGCTCTCTGCCAGTCGGCTTTGGTATTATTGCTGGAGCAGCCATCTGTCTCATCCTTATTCCCATAACACAAGGCCGTGTCAAGGCTCTTATGATCTTTTTCACCGCCTTGATGACTGCAGGTACCGGAGCCATCTCCGTCTCCAATCCCGACAATTTGAATACGATGTACGCCATTGTCACCATCTCCGCGATCGGCGTAGGGGGTGTCATTATCCCGTCTTCAATCATCGCACAGATTGCCTGTCCAGACGACCTACTTGCCACTATAACTGCGATCACATTGGCTATCCGATACATTGGAGGCGCCATAGGTTTCGCCGTCTACGCCAACCTCTTCTTCCGCAAGTTCACTGAGTACGCAACGGATACCGTCGCGATTAAAACCATCGTGTTGCAAGGTATCGTCGCGCCAACAGAACTTCCTCTAATCGCGCACATGGTAGAACTTGTTGGAAATGCAAGATTTGCCGAATTGAAAGAGATCATGGCAAATAGCCCAGCAGTATTGAGGCGCGACGCATATCCGATCATCATCCGAGCCGCACAGGAAGCATTTGCATTGGCATATCGGTTCCCTTATTGGATTAGCATCGCCTTTGGCTCCATCTGCTTCATCCTCAGCTTCTTCGTTGAGGACATTGGAACGCTCTTGACTAATCAGGTGGCTGCGCCGGTCTAAGGGATCCTGGTTTTCAAGGACCGATCATCGATTGCTGACTGTTGTCATGGATGATTTGGGCCTCCACCTTGAGGCGTAAATTCGGATCACATGAGCGAAGTCTAGGGTATCTTTTGATGCCGGGGTTCGCATTAGTGGTCCGGGTTACGGTAGACGAGACCTCAATAGGCTTGCAAATGCGCATTTATTTGGACGAATAGTAATCAAACATGATGCTGATGATCTCTTCCGAGCATGGCATATGTGCTTCCAATTGGAACTATAGTATTGGCATCGTATTCACCCACCAACGAAGAAAAGTGTGAAGTTCTAGAAGACTCATGGAACGTTGGAACATGCTTTGAGAGTAGCGATTGGCTGTTCTTTCAGGCTAGTAATGTGAAGCCTACATGATGATGTGGCTCTAACCCTTGTGCTACTCCGCATGACGAATTATCTCCGGATTTTCCACAAGACCATTTCTTGTTAGAAAACATAATGACCATCCTACGTTTCTCTCGATCTTGCTATCATGAGATGCGATGCGTAGAAATAGAAGGATTTGGGCACTAGACTGTATGGAGATATCGGAGATTGTAGTTTGAGGATAGCATATCTTGGCTTCGCGCTTTTCTCGAACAGCTTGTTTCCACCTCCTTTCCCATCTGTAGAAAAACACTTCACCCTCAATTACGACTCCATACTTGTTCTTTAGAGGTACCCGTTTGTCCTGTCGCGAAGTTGAGATAGACAGTCATGCAATAGCGTAATATTTGCCGCTAATCAGATTCCCATTGCCCCATTCGACCGGATCCTTGCGCCGGTCCAACGAGGCATCCATTCCAACATGCCCAAAGAAGTAGCTGCGTCTACCGTCACAGAATTTGAGCCTTACGCGCCATCTACCACTACGGCCTCAGCATCGAGGTCTACTTTCACTGGCGACGCCTCTTACCCCGTTTTTCCAAATGCAAACTACATATCCCGGTTCGCTATTATTGCAGATTACTTGTCTGATATCACACACCTTGACACCGATTTGCTCAATCGCTGCTATCTCCCCTCCCGGCCCCATAGATACGTAGAGCCTAGGAACCAGACCAAAAGGGAAGATTCGTGGATCTACATCAAGATCGAGAAACCCGATTACCAAGAGGATTCCCCGCCATGCCACCGCCAGGGGGCCATCAATACGAATTGCCGACTCCAGAACACAAATGGAACTTTCAGTGGCCTGAGGAAATATGAAGATAATTTCGACGAGCAGCAGCACTGCTTTTGCGAAAAGTACCCCTTCTTTGAGGCGACGCTAGGATGCCAGAAGTGCTTGGAGATGCATGGAGGCATCGAAGGTACATATGCTCCATTCAGCCCACCCCTCTTCGTTTGATGATTGGTTTGTACTGACGCAAGTGAGCATAGGGTGGCACTGGTTTCCAGAATCCTACATTAGTGCTGCGGCAGATGCATACTGCTCAGAGAACCCACCCACCAAGGAATTCTTCGACTACATGCTGGATTGGAAAGCGACGGCCGCTGAGGCGCAGATCCCTAGTACTACGGCAGAGGATTTACTAGGGACGCGAACAGAAGTTAGTCTGTACTACACCGCCAGTCCTACCACGGGCAGCAAGAAGAACACCTCCATGGCTGAACCAAGAGCCAGGGGACTAGGATGGGTATGGACTGTGGCCTGCATTTCGGTTGTCATCGGGGCCCTAATGTAGGCTCTAGAAGGATTTTAGACGTTATCAGACGCTTCTATGGGACGATCATTGTTGAGGCTCTAAACCTCAAAAGGCGCTATCCGGTACTAACCAAACACGGACTGGATTGCGTCGTTCTCATTGGCTGCGTTGGACTTCCTTGCTTGAAGAGGCAAAGATGGGCCGAGATTTTGTCCGCCTTCCCCACCTTTGGCCTTCCCCCTCTCCGATGATGCAGTACGTCCCTCGTCAGCCTTTAGACTTGACAAAACCAACATTTTTTCTTTCGCAACACAGGAGAAGAATTCTGTAGGAGAGGTTGTTGCTTTTCTTGTATACCCTTATATTCGACCAAATCTTTCCACAATATCTTGCGTTCAGACCCGCCACGGCCCATTCATCTACCCCTGTACGCTATCCGACAGTCGCGTGAGCTCTAAACCATGACGGCGTAAGGGCGCAACAACGCCGGAAGGTCTTTCGGGACGGATTTTTGAAAAGGACCCTCAGTACGAAATGCCTGATACAACTGCCCCGCGAAAGGGCACGAGAAGAGCCTGTGACCCTTGTTCCATTCGCAAAGTTCGATGTGACGGTAACCATCCGTGTGCAAGATGTATCGCCGCAAGTTGGGATTGTACGTACCTCAAAACTCATGGAAAATCCGGACCCAAGGGACCCAGGAGGACGACAGAAGCCGCCATCAGGAGGTTGCAAGAGCGCAACCGGTCGAATTTTGAATTGCATCGAAGTGACAGCGAGACCAGCCTTGACAGTGGGAGTCCAAGTACCGCCGACATCCCTTTGGTAGACCACCTGCCAATCGGTGACTCCAACTTGGATGGAACAGGATGGCCAGACATACTGTCGCCTCCACTACATCCTGCGATTCAGAGAGAACCTCAGCGCATATCTACATCGTGTATCTCCCAGTATCTTGAAATCTTCCGTGAGAGGGGTTATCCAATATGGCCAGTCATCGATACGGAGCCCTTGATAGCACGGCTGCTCACTGCCCCGGAGGACATGGAGGCTTATGGCTTAGCGTGTGCAGTCTGCGCGGTTACGATAAGTCAATTTCAGATTGACTCTGAGCCAGGAAGCCCCGTAGAGGGTCACTTTCGAGTAACCAGTGCTCTCTTCGCAGAGGAAGCGAAGAGAGCGCGTGAATTATCTGATCACCTCGAACACGTTACTATATGGTCTGTCCTTGGGAGTTTCTTTCTTCATGTACACTCGGCCAATGTCGGCCGAATGTCGACGTCGACGAACCTACTCGGCGAAGCGATCACCAAGGCACACATCATTGGCCTACACCGGATACAACACTATCATACAATGGATACGGAGCAGGAGCAGCATAGCTTGCGGGTGTATTGGCTCCTGTTCATAACAGAAAGGTAATTGGCTTGATTCTGTATGATTTTCCCGACGCTGATTGGTTTTACAGAGCTCATTCCATCCAACACGATGTGCCCACGATGCTTAGACGCACTCCCGGGCTTCCACAGATGGTGGATCTCCATGATGGAGCTGTAACACCCGCGTTTATTCAACTCTGTCAACTGTTCCAAATCTTGGACAATACCCTGACCGCCGACCCTTCATCCGTCCGTGAAGCGTTATCAAGGGCTCAACAGCAACTTAGCGATGATAGTGGATCTCGCTCGTTAGAGAATGAACTTGCTAGGGCCGACATATCGATGACTCAGCAGTGGATGCGGATCTTCCTCTGGCAACATGCTCTGGGAGTGACAAACTTGAGAACGACGGTGGAGAATGATGAGTTCTCTTTCTCTTATCCGGCCACTGTCGCACAGAATGCACTGAGCTTCCTAGGAACGCTATCACGGCAAAGCCTTGAAGCTCACGGTCCAGGGATGGTTAGTCAGTCAACACGTCGAACTCGGGCAAGTACTGACCATTACAGGAATCTAAACTCTTTGACATAGCAACATCCTTAGCCGATGTCATGATATGTGTTCCAACTATCAATTATGATGCTGGCTTCTCTATCGGTCCAAGGGATCTGATACATGAGCTTTCAACGTTGCTTGCTTCTTTCCGAGGCGGAAACCCTGCAGTCATCAACATCCTACAAGAGAAAATGAGCGCGCTGGGATTGAGTACATCGTCGCCTCGATTACTCACCGATGTCTCATCCTCAGAAGATGAACACGATACGTCGCGCGGACTCCCACAATCCACTTCTTGGAGCGACATGTCGCTATATACCCCGCCATCAACGACATTTTCAGAGTTGCCACCGGCGATGGCGGCCATGAGTATGTCGATGTAACACCAACCATATCAAGTGTGAGGAGGTTTCGCGTCCGTATGTGTAAAATTCACTTGTTGATATTTCGCTTCCGTGTTCATAGATCCTCTTCACTCTCTTACTGCAAAACTTGCTTTTCCTTGTACATAGATACAACTCACGACGCATGAGTTTTATACGAATACCCCAATATACGAGTCAAATATGATCCGTCGATTTCACACTTGGCTAATGTCCTTACCGTCTCCTGTGTTGTTTATATTCACCCGCCCCGCTACATCCTTGCTTCAGAACATCAGGGAGGTGAGTACTATCGATCACGTGATCTCCTTCTCGTGCAAGCTTGGCCAAATGACCTATAAAGGTAACCCCACTCAAGCATTTAGAAGACGGTACTCGTCGCAGAGCTGTTACCTTTTGTACCTCGGAAGTTCCCAATTACTAAGAATTGGATTTATAATAAGATGGGGATTGATGGAGTTATATACAGATAAGAGGTGACGTTGGCGGTTATGGACGTCGTCAGGGGAGCTAAGAATTGCGTGCGAGATGGGGATGTCGCACGCCCGGCACAGGGCACCAATCACCAACCTCTCCATATCACATCTGTCTCACTGTTATTTGGAGCCTGATACCCGCGACATCCAATATCCGAATGATGCAACCCGCTGACGACGTCGACCTCGCTCCCTCTGCTGTCGTCGAGATGCTCAACATGTCACCATCTACATTCCTCCGTCGCCCCGAGAATGTGATGAAAGCGGCGATACCAGCGACATAATATTCCACGATTACTACCCAAACTACAGTCTCGCTACACCAAATCCTTTCGAACTCGACAATATGGCGGCTACTCCAGAAGAAGAGCAACCGTTGCTCTCATCGTCTCCATCTCCATCAATAACCCAGGTATCTACACGGTCGAGCTCCAAGACAGCATATGGAAGCGACGAAGAATCAAACGGAACAATAGCCGTTGGAGAGGTATCCCGCGAAATCGAGGACGACGTCCTACCCGAAACCTCAGTACTTGGAAGGAACATTACCTGGCCGAGCGCGTACATTCTCGTCATATCGCGCGTCATTGGCAGCGGCATCTTTGCAACTCCAGGTGCCATCCTGCGAGGAGTCGGAAGTGTCGGGTTGAGCCTTTCGCTCTGGTTTGCAGGTGCTATCATCGCTGCCTGCGGTCTGGCGATATCCCTCGAATATGGCTCCATGCTCCCAAGATCGGGCGGCGAGAAGGTCTACCTGGAGTTTACATACCGAAAACCGAGATATCTAGCATCGACTCTGGTGGCAGTACAGGCCGTTCTGCTTGGATTTACTGCGAGTAACTGCATCGTTTTCGCTCAATACACGCTTTTCGCCTTCGACATTGAGGGAACGGATTTCATCCGGAAGACCTTAGCGATTGGCCTTCTTACAATCATCACCATCATCCACGGGTGTTTTCTGAAGACTGGAATCCGGATACAGAATTTCCTTGGATGGCTCAAGGTCGGCCTTGTCATTTTTATGATCTTCGCTGGTCTGTTCGTGGTAGTATTCCAGCGCCACGACACAGAGGTCAGAAGAAACCATTTCCCGCCTGCAGAGGATCTCTGGAAAGATTCGGACTGGAGCTGGGGTGTCATCTCTACTGCGTTGTTCAAGGTCTTCTACTCGTATGCGGGGCTTAATAACGTCAACAACGTTCTCAACGAAGTCAAGAACCCCGTACGAACCCTGAAGTCAGTTTCAGTCACCGCACTGGCCACGGCTTGCATATTGTATGTTTTGGTCAATATTGCGTATTTTATTGTCGTCCCGCTAGAGGAAATCCGCGATAGCGGCGAGTTGATCGCTGCACTGTTCTTTGAGCGTAGTTTTGGTCCACAGTTAGGGAAGAAGATTCTCCCCCTCGCAGTTGCATTGTCTGGCGCTGGGAATGTCATGGTTGTTACTTTTGCTCTGGTTAGTATGGAAATCTGCTCATGGCAATCAATGACTGAACTATGTCTAGGCTCGACTGAACCAAGAGATTGCCCGTCAGGGATTTTTACCCTTTTCGAAGATTCTGGCGTCCTCGAAGCCTTTCAACGCCCCGTTGGGAGGACTCATTGTACACTACATCCCATCACTTTTGGTCCTAGCACTTCCTCCGTCTGGAGACGTCTATTCCTTCATTTTGGAAGTTGAAGGGTATCCCGGACAAATTTTCGCACTTGCTGTATCAGTTGGCCTTTTGATACTGCGTTACCAGCGGCCTGACCTCAAACGGCCGTTCAAGGCCTGGATTGCAGCCGTGGTCTTTCGGATTGGCCTGAGTGCCGCACTTCTAGCTGCGCCGTTCTTCCCTTCGAAGGACAAGGTCAACAAGGGAGGAATTTGGTATGCTACTTACGCCGTAGTTGGGATTAGCATGTAAGTGTATATTTGAAGCTCAAAGACGAGGATCAGGCTAACAACACAAGTATCGTATTTGGCTTGCTTTACTGGTATATCTGGACACGTTTGATCCCCAAATTGAGGGGATATCGCCTCGAAGAAGAGACGAGTATTCTTAATGACGGCACGACAGTAACGACACTTGTTCACGTTCCTCGAACTTAGAGAGATTTCTGGATTCTTAGGCATTGCTACATATTTTTGCACTTCTCTTTTCCTATACACATTGGCAGCGTTATCTCACTCATTAATTCTTGCACTTTTCGCAGGCATCAGTGGTTAGATTTAGATACAATCTTGACATCATATGATTTAGACGAAAACATAAGAATCTGACTCCACTCGCTACCTCTGAAATATGACATGCAATTCATCCACGTACAACGATTAGAAATACCACATAGATTGCACCAATGCCATTGAAGCATCAAACGCAATCCTCCAGTATTTATCAGCACCACCGCACCCAACCCTGCATGCGTTGGACCCTCTGACACCATAACATCCAACCATGCAATTCCAGTCTCACAGGCATGAGAAACTGCACGTTAAGCCTTGCATTCGGACGAACACTAGCGGGATTAGCTCGATTCGTACGACTCGGCTTTGAAATGCAATGCGATCACTCGTTGCTGTTGGATGATTGCGTGCTTGCGGGGAAGTCATACTGTAGAGGGGGGGTAGCTTACATATCCGAAATGGTAGCTATCGTACGTCTTACGTCGAACGACTGGCTGTGATGGGGAATGGTGTGATGCGCCCCACGCTGTCGAGGGATGGAGTATAAAGACGTGGTGGTGGACGGCCCGAAGTGCATTTACTTTTTGCAAGATACTCTTCTTGTATTCGCTTTGCTAGCTTGCTACAATACATCCTGACTCGACGATCTCTGTGACTTCATCCCCGTGAAACTATAAACCACCACCACAACCACCACAACCTCCACAACCTCCACAACTACCACAACTACCACAACCATGGCCACAGCAGCAGTCCAACTCCCCCAATCCACACCCACATTCACCCCGTCCGTCCTCCCCACCACCACAACCCCCCAAACACCGAAACCCCAAGACGTCGAAACAACACTCAACTACCACAAGCCCAACGCCGACGGCTCGCCACCCCACCCAACCTACACCGACCGCCCGGAGACCTACGAGCGGCCGTTCGAGAGCCACAAGGCCACGGTGCGCGACGTCCGCGGGCGGGAGAGCGAGTACACGCTCGACGGGAACGGGTTCGAGTTTTACAAGCACACGAGCGAGGAGAAGGATTTCCTGGACGAGGAGCAGATCAAGAGCAGGTATTACCCGGAGACGGAGCAGTTGCTTAAGGATGCGTATGTTACCCACCCCCTTCTCCCTTCCAACTGTTCTCTTTCCTCAATGCAATTTCCATGCATGAGAAAAAGAAATTCAAAAGCAGCAAAGGTCGAACGTGAGAAAGAGCATTTCTGACGGATGTAATAGGACTGGCGCATCCCGCATCTTCATTTTCGACCACACGATCCGTCGCCAACCCAACACGCCCGCCAGCACAACCAGCCGCAACCTCCGCGGCCCCGTCCAGCGCGTCCACATCGACCAGTCGTACTCCGCCGCGCTGTCCCGCGTCCCGCACCACCTCCCCGAGGAGGCGGAGGAGCTGCTGAAGGGCCGCGTGCAGATCATCAACGTGTGGAGGCCGATCAAGACGGTGCAGCGGGATCCGCTAGCCGTCGCCGAGGCGAGCAGCGTCGATGATAAGAGTTTGGTGGTTACCGAGCTGATTTATCCGACGAGGAGGGGCGAGACGTTTGCTGTTAAGCATGATCCGGGACATAGGTAGGTCATTCCTTCCATTTTTCCCTTTCCCGTTCCTTTTTTCTTCTTTGGGGTGCCGTTTCCGGGGCGAGGCAGAGCGGAGGCTAACGCCGTGTAGGTGGTTTTACAAGAGCCAGCTCTCTCCTGAAGAAGTGCTGTTGATCAAGTGTTTCGACTCGAAGCTCGACGGGCGCGCTAGGAGAGTTCCACATACGGCGTTTGAGGTTCCAGGAACTGAGGATAAGGAGAAGAGGGAGAGCATCGAGGTCAGGGCGTTGGTTTTCCATTCGGATGATACGCTTGAGTGAGTTGGGTGGATTGAATAGGATCTAGGGTTGGTGGGTTATGTTGAGACGAATGCGCGTGTAAGTGTGGATTGAGAGGACAGACTGTTGATGTTAAATTTGCTGGAGTTTTGGGTTCGGAAGCGAATACATGCTGCCAATTTGGAATCTTTCTCAAGCAACGCGATGTGGAGGAGAAATGTGAGAACTGTTAAGATGCGTGCACGAGTATGCTAGAAAGAGATAATTTGCATGAAAGACTCATTAATCATTACCATTGCGGATATAAAGACATGGTGGTGTTACAATTGGTGATAGTACAAGGAGAAGAGGAGAGTTGGAAAGATGTTTCAAAAGAAACACTTTTGAAAACGAGAAGAAAAGGAAAAGACGGATGTGGGCCCAAAAAACAATAAACCTCTCAACTCGAACGCCATGTTGCAGCAACCCTGGGTATATCTCGAACATAGTGGGGAGAATTGAATATCCCAGCTCGCTTTTAAATCCAGGGTATATGCCGATCAAATAGGGAAAGAAACTCCAGTTCCGTACACCGTCAATCCGGGGTATCCGCTGAAGGTACGCGAGCCGTTTCATGAGCGAAGCGACAGGGTGAATGGTTAGGGCATGTCTATGCCACGGTTGAAGTAGGGGATTGGACGTCAATAACGCCCCATGGGTTGGTGACTTCGCCGTAACACCATAGGCAAATTACTCGTTCTGTTTCATCATCGAGTGTTTCTCCGCAATTGCAGAGTCCAGAAAGCTCATCGGCTACGCCTTCGGTGGATTCTTCTACGGTCTTCTGTTCTAGTTGGTAACAACGAAGACAAAGCCATCGGTCAAGGAATTGGCTCTTCAGTGTGCAGTCGCACACGGTGTGTGTTTTGTCACCGCGGCGGACAAAATTTGATAGGCACGTTTTGCAGCATGGTCGCTTGCGTTTCTCGGTAATGTCCCAAAAGGCTCTGAGGATAGAAGACGGATGGGCTATCCCTGATGACACCTCGGCAGCTATGGGACGCATTCCCAGGTCCATGCTGATCAGTTCCTCGATTTCCACCGGAGACACAAATGTAGGAGAGTCGAGTGGGATATCGAGAAAGCCTTGATCATGGTGTGGTAATTCTCCCCACCGTGCAGCGCCATTTGGTAGGTCGTCGTTTGCAAACATGTGGGAATGGCTTAGCACTCCCATTTCGGTCTCATCTAAGAGCACAAAGCCGCTGTAATTATCGAATTCATCTGGCTCATCTGCAGGATGCCGGATGCTTTGGTAGACGCAATGTATTCGACACTCGTCACATGTAGTGACCTTGCACTTGACGCATGGCCGAGACTCAACTTTCCGATTTTTGGCGACAGTACCACACTGATTACTCTCCACGGCTCCTTGGCTGAACTGGGATCTCTTATGTAGGTCATTTCGTATGGCGACACCACGGCCATCACAGGGCATCTTCTTAAGCAAGCTACACCGGCTTGTATTTCTCGGGAAAATGGCATTGTAAGTCGCTTTAGAGGTCGCCGCCAGTGCATGCAGGTCCTTTGGGAAAAGGTGTTTCGTGATTCCCACTAGCAAGCCATATTGCTGGAGAATACAGATGAGCTGACATATCTTGCCCGGACTTCCTGCATCTATCTCTTGAGCAACCTTCTTTGAAGGAAGCGATTCTGCGGGACTTTGACATCGCTTTCGCTTCATGGTAGAGCTGTGTACCATGGCTGGAAATGGACCAGCCCTCTCCGATGTAGGACGACTGTCTAGCGTAGAATAGTAAACGCTTCCTCAACCGTCGTATGATTGGAGTACCGAATGTCTGGAAGAGGTTACAAGAGATTTAGCGACTGATGTAGGATCTGCATGCTGAGGCTAGAAGCCAACGCTGCATACGAATCGGCAACAGGGAAATATCAAATCACAAGATAAGCTTGCCAGCTTGAGTAGCAGCAAAGCTTCGGGATCCACTGTCGTTTCCAGAGCCTGGCATGGGAGGCACAGTGGAAAGTCGAATGATCCGGCACGGTTTCCAAAGGCGAAAGTCGCAACGAATAAACAAAACACGGGTGGCGATATCTGAAGGGTTTATAGCCCCCAGCACACGGCCATTGTGGAAAAAACCGGGCCAGGGTACGTGCGAACTGGGATCTGGGGATCTTGCATTGGGGAGAGGAAGTTTAGCAACGTACAAGCTCAGAAGTAGAATGTTTAGTACTCGTGTGACCTATAGAGCTTCGCTGGGTGCGCCCTCAGGCATCGACATTCGTATACACATTATTCGGATAAGAGGTTGAGGGTTGAAAAAAATGTTTCGGGCTGACTCGGAACACAGTAACTCGTGACGCGAAAAAATCGGGCAGTCGGAGTGTGCGTCGGCAAAGGCTCGAACACAAACCGACGCGCGAGAACGCAGTAACAACTGCAAACAGCAGTGAAGAGGTCAAAGAGACAAAGATATTAGTGAAGAAAATAACCTGGGGATAGCTCGAGCAAAGGGAGGGTTGAGGTTTCCGAACGTCGTCGCTTCTGTGGAGAAATTACGGAGCACGTGTTGGTGGTGCTAAGTGAATGGTTAGTCATGTTGAGACGCTAACCTAGGATGGTTAACCTCGGCCTCTATCGAGATCTAATCTAATCTATCCCGTTGCCCGCTGTCAGATCTTCAACCATTTTCCGATGCCTTCGCTAGGATTCCCATTACATCATTGAGCCTCATAGAACTTGCATGTCACTCCTATGGGGTATATTTTACTACTCAAGTACAGACGTCAAGTCTTTTAATCGCCCCGAGGACGAAAAGATTCAATTACTTTATGCGGTATTCGACATCAAACGACGCCCAATTTTGATAATTTGAACTCAAGTCCATTTATCAACTCCAGTCGATTCTTGTCATTCCCAGTAAGATCAGAAGTCTAATCTTTCTTGTCGGGAATGCTGTAGCAGCATCCGATGTCCAAAACGTTGTAGAAGGTGCAGTCTCTCTGAACCCAGAATCCACCCTTCTTGTAGCAGGTTTCCTTCTTCGTACAGATGCCCGATGGATCAGAGCGACCGCATGGAGCAGGATAAGGATCAGCGGGGATGGCGCTAGCAATTGCAAGTGGAAGCAGTGCAGTGAGGAAGATGAGCTTCATTGCTACGACAATCAGTACCCTTCCACAGAGCGAGATTCGAGGGGTCCTTACTTGTAGGTTTGTATTTGTATATTCGCAAATCGATGTAAGGTAATGTCAATGCTGCACTTACAGTTCTGTGTCGATCTTAGCCTCCAGTGATCCACTCCTTTTATATGTCTCTCGACGAACGTTTCGCGGAGGCATATAGATTAACGATGATGCTGCTCACTGTTTAGTAACTCGGATTCTGGACGACATAATGCTGCGCGCCGGATTCTTTTTGGTATCAAGAATCCTACTATACGAGACCAAACTCTACAGCATAGCCAATCGAAGGTCGCGGAAACAGAATCGCAAGGTTTAACAAGGCATCTTAATATCCAAACGACCAACAAGCTTCACGTTTTCATGATTTTGGAGCCCCTCACTCGCATGTTCCGCAGCCGTTCTTCATATCGAGTATATTGCATGACATCACGTAGCGAGAAGCGAACTGCCATCTTGACCCGGCTACGAGACATGACATTGCATGATTCGCGATAAGAGAACTGTGGGTCGTTCTTCCAGATTGCGGGGCTCGTATAATGAATATAAGTATTCGAGTCAAGCGGCATCTTTGCATTTGAGGAGTCAATTGGTAGACTTGACGGTTTGCAAAGAGGTAGCAAGTAAGAGAGGCAGGTGATTTCTCAATTGAATGGCTAAATATAGTGTTGTAATTGATGCAAGACAAATGGGGTTGACGGCAAAATGCAGGACTCCTACCCAGGATGATGGTGATTGGCCAACGACAATGACCAAGTGTTCTAGCCAATCTTCGGATACAAGACCTGGAAAGCGTTATCTTTGAGAAGGAGAAAAGTGTATTGATTTAGAAGCTTGTATTGGCAGATGTGTCGATTAGCAGATCGAACTTTGACTTGCGAATAGGAAACCTCTCTGCTGCTTGAACTGATTCATATTTCCGGAATATCTGGAATGAATAAGTCTACCCTTATACCAACGTAAAGGATTCAATTTGTTAAACACATAGTTACAGAAAGTACACATTCACCACATGGGATGGACAGTTGCGTCTGGCGCATAGGACACGACTATGTGGAGACTATCAGCACCAATACATCACAACAAGGCAAGACGAGCTTTTCATGAAAGTTTCTAGGGCTATGCAGCCCTCAACTTCAACAGAGTTTTCATTATCATTAAGTGATTCACATTATAGCTTTTTCGACGTTCAGTAACGATCCTGGTAGGCCTTGAATTCTCACACCTGGAGGCGAGTCCTTCGGTTAAATTGCCGCTCACTATCCATGTCTCGAAGGACAAGCGATGTTGCAGTCTCTTTCTCCCGTCGACCGTCCATTCCGTTGTCAAGTCATCAAGTCTTCCTCTATGGGGCGCAGGCGCTGCGGATGATACGGGTGTTGCACTCGGAAGTGAGGACCCAGAGCTGGTTCTTGTAGGTATCGGCGGTGTTGACATTGCGGTAGTATCCCCAGCCCGCGGTCTGGCCAGCCGTCTCGGAGCACTGCTCAGTGATGCTTCGGATGGTGTTGGCGAGGCTGTCACCATCGACCTCGTAGGCGTTGTTGCAGTTCTGGTTGTAGATCTGCACTTGGACGCATTTGCCGTTGACTTGCTCCTGGAACTGGTAGCGGGTCATGCTGGGTTGTGCGGTGAAGGACTCCTTGGTCAGAATCACGTCGGCGAAGGCATTGAAGTCGTCGCTGGTGAGAGAAGAGCCGGAGCACTCGCGGATGCCAACGGGAGCGCCATGAGGCTCGGGAGAGACTGGGCTCGCGGCGACGAAGGGCGCGACGGCGAGGAGAGTAGCGAGGATGTTGGTGTACATTTTGAATAAAACGAAGGTGGTTTTGGGTTTTTTGGTAGTAGATCGAAGTATGATACAGAGAAAGAACTGTTGATTGCTGATGCTTCTTTCAAAAGAGTGCTTCTTGAAGCTGGTATTTCTATATGCACATCTATTCTCCATGAGGCCATCATCTTGGTCCACTTTTCCCACGGCCCGAAACTATCAAGAACCCGATGGGGTAACTATCTGCATTGTCTTCTAGAATGCTTCCCTACATTCCCACTCTTGTGTTTCCTTGAGCACCCTTTTGTCATTGTTTCTCGCCATGTTCGTGTTTATGGATTGCGGAGAGCCAATAGCGACCACCCCCGATATTATTCAATATTGAGATCGAATTGACCCACGACTAGGTTGTTTCATCTGGCCCTCTCTCCACCCCCAAAAAGCGCATCTGTCTAGCCAGCGGGCAAAAATAGAATTTCAGATGGGGAAACTAAACTAATAAACGACTTTGTCTCTGCATTGCAACGTTACTAAACTCTGTGCTTGCCCCCGATTTGGACTCTCCCCAGCGACCAGAATCGCGGACGGAGTCCACTAGACCGAGGATCTCCTCCCTTTTTAGAGATTAGGCTTTGCAGTCGGCCACTTTTTCGAGATTCCCCTAGCGTCGAAACAGCGACGGAAAGGATCAAAAGTGGAACTCGCAGTTCGTATCGACAGTATTACTCCAGTTTTCGCCCTGTTTCGTTGCCTTTTCAATCCATTCAAGTCTACCAACCCTTTTCTGGGGCGATGGGGCCAATGACGTTGCGCTGCAAAGCAACGCGCCACACTTTTTCCTTTTCGTTTGTCAATCCCGATCAGAGGCTGGGATGCGGAAGCTCTACTGGGTGGTGTTATTGTTAGCTGTCAGATCGAGCTTGACCATAATGGTATCATGCGATTTCTCGATTACATGGGTGAGGAGGACGGGGCTGGCTGGAACTGGGTTTATGAGACCCGGAATACGAGATGCAGGTGTCGTTGGGGACAAGACAATACAATGCAATACTCTGTCGCCACTCCTGCAATGTATACACATTATTGTACTATGCTGGTAGCATCAGCAAAGCCATGCGGCGGTGTCCGAGGATGCTCAACATCATAGAAATGATACGTCGTTTGTACGAGTACTTCACAAGCGCAACGACAACTTCCATGTCCCCTTACTCGCACCTTACTCTTCAGTATCAAGGTACCTGACTCCCTGTTGAAGTCACGATACTCAACACGTCATAGTCAACCCCCAACCAAAGACAAAAAAAGAACCTGACTCGACATGACGACGATGATGATCATGGGGGAGAACGAGATACGACGATAACGTCCAGGTTGTAAGCAACCTAGGCCCGCACGCGAGACGGGAGTATCCTGTGATTTACGGTTGTGGCGGAAATCAATTAGAGCCCCACTTCGGAACCAGGCACAGGCACTTGTTAAGCTCAAGGGAGGCGGTTTTGCGGTGCTTGTTGCAAGCCACCGACTGCCAGCACACGATTTGATTCCGCCTCATTATATGGCTCAAGCTTCGGCGGCTTGCTTTTCAGCTGCGGCGGCCGTTGCCGTTTGGACGTTGGCGTCGGGTGTACCGAGTCATGAATGTTGGAGATGTATCTGTAGCTACTTGCAGATTGGGAGAGCGATTCCGAAAGAGTACACTGCTTTGAACCGTCTAGATCTTAGGGAGAGATGCATGAAAGAACTGATTCAATTCACGAGACTCGGCTTGCAAAAAGTAAGAAAAACCCTGCGCGCAGGCTTTGTCCACGGTCAGAGTCAGAGTCCAGACCCAACAACTCTAGTCAAGTTCGTTCAGCAGGTACATCAATGCCTCTTCTATTGCCATTAGGCGCTGATTCTCGGTCGAGAATCGTATCACTCATTTTCGATGTCAATATGGCCCTTTTGCTCCATCGTTAAGCGCTCCTATTCTAAAAGGTGAACATGATAAGCCAACCGCTTGTCTTAGGGTTGAATGGTTGGATAAAGGAAATACAGAAGAGGTTCTACTGTTATCTCCTCTCCTCCTTACAACCCATTGAACTGCTAGGAACACGTTCAAACAAGCTCCATGTCATTCGCTGAACAATGAATACAAGTAAGATCCAGTAAGCAGTATGTACTCGCACCACTTCCGTCCATCATCTTTTCATCACAAACGCACACTCCAACCTCCACCTACTACCCCCAAAAGACACAAATCAGAAAATCAGGAATACCATTCACCTAATATCTACATACCCCCATCCCTCATCACCCATCCGCACACACTTTCCCTCATCCCTTAACAACCCTACTCACTTTATACTCCACCACCACCCCCTTCACCCCCTCCTCGTTAGTGACAAAGTGCCCCGCCGCAACGTACGTCCCATTCTGCAACTCCTTGTACGCCTCGCTCCCAGTCTCGAACGAGAACGTCACGAACGAGTCGCCGTAGGGCGTCGTATGGGCGTCCGCACCGCCGCCCAGGATGGCCTGGACGCCGGGGGTCAGCGCGACGGTGCCTTTGTAGTACATGGCGAAGACGGTGCCGTCGTTGTTCCTGTGGGAGGGTTGTGAGTGAAAGGGGAGATATGGGAGAGGGAGGGGAGGTGTACTTGACTTGGCTACGGACGTCGAGGCGCATGTTTTTGCCGTCGGCGTCGTTGTGGATGTAGTCGTATCCTACGCCGTGTCTATAATCTCGTCAGAACGTGATATCTCTTCTCATTCCTCGGCCCTTATTTCTCGTCTCTCCATCGTCCTTCCCAGCTTCCACTCCCCCTCTCCCATTCCTCCTCTTCCCCCTAACGTCGACAATTTCGAAAAGATATGGAGAAATCAATCATACAGTTCAGCATCAAGCTTTGGCTCAAAACCCGGTTCGCTCTTCACCGATCCAGACACCATTGGCACGATCACCAGCGGCGAGCCGTGCTGGGCTCCTGTTGCGATGGGAGCATCGATGGTTACCTATTTTCACGAACAACCGTCAGTCAATCAATTGTTCTTTTCTTGTGGTTTCTTGGGGGTTTGTATTTTGTATGGACGATCAGGTGATGTGCATATTGATGTATGGAAAGGTGAGGGGAGAGGGGCACGAGGGACAGAAAGACGTACTCGCACTGTGAAAGCGGGTTGAAGACTTGGGAATCCGGACATCTTGGAGAGAATGAATTGGATGTATTTGGTGGTGATTGGAGTTCTGGAGGGAGAGAAGTGCAACAATTGATGCTTTAATAGTGGGATAGATGTTGTTGGATACCTCCTAGCTATACAAATCGAGCTCAACAGCTACCCCGCGGCGCCGCCTACCTCCGATGCGGGCCCGCCTTTGCAACGCCTTGCTGCGCGACAACTTCCGTTCTGCCGACATGGCATGATGGACCACGATGATAAAACTGCGAGTGTAAGAAGGATTCGTAGATCGTGAAGTCAGCGTCAGCAAGTGGACAGCAGTGCTCTATCATTCATTTCGAAATTTTTGTCATCTAATACTTGTATTCCAAATACCAAAGTCATGATCATCATTAACAGGATTGCTATGCCTGCAGGAGTACACTAAAACCCGCTCTTCCTCTTATCCTTCGCCTTCTTCTTCGACATCAACGGCCGACCCCCGTGCCTCCCAGGCTCCATCTGACTCTGCACGATAGGAATCTGACTACTGCTTGGAAATTGCGGCATCACCTGGCTGCTCATGCCCAGGCCAAACATAGGCGGCGCCGGCGAGCTTCGAACGCCGCCCCGATCCATTCCGATGAGAGGCTGACTCTCTGCTTTCCTCTGCTCCTTCTCCAATTCGCGTCGCTGTCTTTTGCGGAGCTGCTCTTCTTTCTTTCGTCGGGCTTTGAGGTTGCGAAGTCGCGATTCCTCGTCGTCGTCTTCGTCGTCATAATCGTCTTCGGCGCCGAGGATCTTGCCGTCCCATTGGTATGCTCTGGGGTCCGCGCCGGGCGTCCATTGTGTCAAGACATCGCGGATGCCAGGGGGCGTCACGGGTTGTAGTTTGTCGAATTGGAGATGTTGGCCTAGCCTTGTGAAAGGGCTGACCGGTAAGGGCTCTGCAGTAGTTGCGGTCACACCTGTTGGAGCTAGAGATGGGAGAGGCTGAGAAGCCGTTAGACCCTGTTGAGCCGCAGGCTGTGACCACGAAAAGGTTGTTTGGGGCTGAGGCTGCGAGAATGAATTCATTCCAACGTTCGGCTGGTCCATGCCTTTGCGCGATGGTAAGATTGGCAGATGCACAGTCGGCTCTTGTTCTGCTTGCGTACCAGGGGGACCTGTGCTATTATCCATACGTATTCGGATACTCGCGAGTATGACTTCAGCAGATATGCGACGGGCCAATTGCTCTTTTGCCTGTCGGACGGGTATAGAGACATGTGCTGGGAGTGAACCAATCCAATGAGCGAGGATGGTGTCATAGAGAGAGGAAATGGTGGCTCTCTCGTCATCCTCGCCACCAATACGAAGGATGCTATCGAGCGAAATCCGCTCTAGGTGGTGAGGAAGATCTCGCTCCGTATCATCCAGGAGCCTTTGCAATTGTACAGATGCTTCATCGACGTCCTCAACTCCGATCTCAGATGTTGTAGAAAGTTCAAATCTAAGACTATTAGTTTGGTTACGACAGATGGCTGCAAAAATCTTACAATGTCTCTGTGGGTACTTCTTCCTGTACAAGCTGTTCATCCAAGATAGAGCTGACCTCTTGAATGATACTCGTGACACTCTCGGATTCCGTGTTTGAGTCTTCCGTTCGAGCTGCCGATTTCACCAAAGTCTGGTATATCAGCCGATTGTCTACTTCCCGGGTATTCGTCCAGTACTGAACGTTCGAGGCCATGTCGATATTCGTACTAGTAGAACGCCTCTGCGGATGCGACAGAAGCAACTGTGGTTTCGATGTGGGGCCCAACCCAACAGCAACGATGAATTCACTGTGGTCGACATTAGTAGGCGATCGACCTACAGCAAGATGCGGGCGGGTGATTCTAGTCCAGCCTGGTAGATCTACACTCATCCGGGCATGTTGGGGAGATCTGCCAGGCTCGTACACAAGTAGTGACTGAAGAATACTAAAATCCGAGAGCATTATGGCAAGACGATAGAAGCGAACGCCTGAGTGGGAGTAGCCAGGGCCGAGTCCTGTACCACGGACATTATCATCCTCCCCGTACTCTAAAGCGTCTAGTTGGAGGTTGACGATGTGAAGGGGCTTTTCCACGGACCCGAAAAGAGTCCGGTCGAGGTCCAATTGCAGTGGATCTGAGCAAGAATAGGGGAGTCCGCCACGTTGATCGTGGAATTGGAATCTAAAGATCGTGATCAAAGGATTCAAACGTGAGTGTACGAATACAAGCGTTTCTAATGATCGAGTCAGCACATAATTCTACGCCAAGATGGAAAGTTCAATTACCTGATTCCGAACTCGCATGAAGATAAATCTGAAGCGTGATATCATCCGTCCCCCGATAATGAAAAGAAGACACCAATGTGCGACCTCCTTTCACAGGGTTGCTGTATTCGGGAACATCGGTCGGAGGATTCACCGCCATGACGAGCAATTGCCTGGATGTGATCACAAATAGGTGACCTTTATGCGCCGGATGCTTCTGTACATCCAAAATCCAATCCGGTGATTTTGCCAATATAGGCGAGGGGCACTGCAGCAAGTTCGTCTGTCCACCTCGAATGTCGAAGATTCGCATCACCCTTCGGTTGCAAACAACAACGGTATTCACGTTCCCGATCCATAATATTCTCCCCCATCCATCAGCTTGTAGCCCAGGTCCAGACTCTGTGGCAAATTCCCCGGGTGTGGCATCCAGAGATCCCGTCACTGTGCACGACATCTTATATTCGCTCTCCCGGTATCCAGCATCGATATCCCAAACGCTCCAAAACCCCTTCTGATCAACAACTCCAAACTGGCGCTGATATTCAAAATTAAACGTCACATCCGCATGGGGCGCTCCCCCCGTCTGCTCAATCGACAAAGCCAATATCCGATGCGCATCCAGTCGCGAAGGAGGGAGTCTATGGAACTGCGACCGAAACGCCGTGACATTGTTCTGCCAGGGTCGAAAAATGACAGTCCTCGTAGGGTATCGCACAGCCAGAAAAGACGACCTATTCTCGGCCTGCGAGAAGCATATCTGCTGTATCGGCGCCGCATCATCGGCCCAATATCCACATTCGCAGTTGGCTAGAGAGGGCCCTTCGATCCAAAAGCTCCTGTCGGCGCCCCATCCAAGTCTCTCCTTTGTGACAGCCAACAGGCAGAGAACGCTGCCCGAGTCTCCAGTCGGTATCGCGGCGATGCGGCGCGGGTACATGTACCGCCCGCCGCCCGTGAACGTGCCAAAAGAGAGTAGCGGGCCAATCGCCGGGTCGTAGACTTCGGTCGTCGAGGATATGGCCGCGGAGACCTGCGCGAGGTTGGGTAGGATGTCGATTGCAGGTGCGATTTCTGGACAGGCGCGGCTGAGGGTTTTGGTCGACTGCTGCACTTCTTGGTTGGTTTTTCCACATGGTCCTCCTGCAGTGCTGTGATCGGCTTCAGTGGACGACGGTACTACAAGCTTGAAGGAGCCCAATTGTCGTAAGCGTCCATTCTGTCCAGGTGTCCTTTCAAACCCCCACGAGCTGGTTTCCAAATCGTACAACGGCTGTCCCGGGTGGCCATAGTTCAGATTGAACGGCGAGTTAGCCATTTGGGTTCAAAAGAGGTGTTCGTCTGCCGAGTAGAGGGACCAAGAGTAATGGCATAATTGATCGGCGGAACGTAAGAATACAAAATACTGAATCCAACTTTATTGTATAGGAGGAGGGCGCGAGACGCGTACGCGCGACGATAGAGGTGAAGGCCGTGTAACTTTTTTTCCCGCCTGTCCTCGAGAGCTCCAGTTCGGGAAAGCGATCAGACATTCCCCGCAGCTTTGCGCTAAACTGCGAAACGCATGGTCACGTGATTGTCGATTCGACGTTTGTTTTGCCTAGCAACCGATGCGGGAAAATCAAAACAACAATTCACCACCACAACCACAACCATAACCACACCCTGTCTACCATATCATACATCCACTACCACGTCACCGAAACCGCCAGTGCAATCAACCTGCGACCCCAACCAAAACAACAATAACAAAAAAACCCACGCCCCAAATAAAACCCCGGTGTTCCCCACGCCCACCATCATCTCAATGACGACCTTCGAGCCCACCCCCTCCCTCAACACCAGCACAATGCTGCACTCGACCACCACCGGCGCACCCACAATGGCCGACACCCTCCCGTCCATCGCCTTCGGCTTCGACGACCTGCGCACCCGCATGAACCACTTCACCGCGCGCTTCGACGACTTCATCGCCAAAGGCCGCGCCCGCGTCCTCGAAGACAGAAACCAGTTCCGCATCAACGTCGCCGAGTGTCAAGGTAAACACCTCCCCCTCCCCTCCACCCACAAACCCATGAAAGTACAGAAACTAACTCCGAAAAGAGGACCAGCGCGCCCGCGCCCGCGCCATCGAAATCCTGCACCTCAAAACCTCGCAGCACCGACAGACCCTCGCCAAGGAATCCGCAGAGACATCCGAGATGCACACCGCGATCTCGACCCTGACCACCCAGCGCGACGCCCTGCTCACAACGCGGGACGCCCTGCGCGCCCAAATCGCGGAGGCCCAGCGCGCGGTGTCGGCGCGGCGCGACGCGCAGGCTAAACACCGGCGGTACTTGGACGGGCAGGCGCGGTATAACGAACCCGAGCTTGAGTTCTGGGAGAGGTATTTGGGGTTGAGGATTGAAGGGCTCGGGAAGGAGGATAGGTTGAGGTTTGTGTATGAGGGGGTTTGTGAGAGGGAGTGGGAGCGCGAGGCGTGGTTTGAGCTGGATACGAGTGAGAGGGAGTATAGGGTTCTTGAGGTGAGGCCGGAGGGGGCGGTGGATAGGGAGGCCGTGGAGAGGGTGGTGGAGAGGTTGAATGAGAGTAGGGATTTGGGTGGGTTTTTGAAGGGGATGAGGGAGGTTTTTGTGGAGGCGATGAAGTAGTTGTTCATCTCACCTCTCTTCTTCTTCTTCTCTTCTTCTTGCTTCCATGCTTTCTGTCTAGTCGTTTTAGTTTCTTGTATACCCACCCCGTACCTATTACCAATTCCACCCATTCCCTCATTTCTGCGTAACCTTATAATACTCCGGCGCACTCTCAACCAACCACTCCATCTCCACCGCCGTCAGATCCCTAATATACACCTTCCCCCTCGTCTCCAGAATCTCGCCGTACACCACCCAATCCGCCTTCCTATGCTGTTTACCCCGCCAACCATCCACCGTCAGCCAAAACCCATAACCCAAAAAGCAAGCAAGCGAAAAGGGGGTAACGGAAATCAAACTTACAAAGAAAATAGAAGTAGGATGCGGCCACAGCGTCGCACCCCCGCCCGCCGTCCTAAAAGTGCCGTCACTTTGCATCCGCGCCGCCTGCGCGAAAAACCCACTCGCAAGACACCGCTGCACCCTCTCGACCACGCCCATGCCTCCAGCACGCACGACCTCCGGGCCGGAAAGCCCTGCGTTCTCTTCGATGCCGAGGCGCGAGAGGTGGTTGCGGAGCTGCTTGCGAACGGAGGTGGCTTTGATGAGGGATTTGAAGTTTAGGTTGTTTTCTCTGCACCATTGGGGGGAGGGGCTGTTAGTGGAGGAAGAGGATGATGGGGAGGAGTGGGAGTGGAAGGAGGTGTAGATGTTATACAGCGTCACCGCGTCGCCTTGGGTTACGGCGAAGCGGCGCCGGATCTTTTCCTCCTGGGCTTTAGAGGTGGAGGTTGAGGAGTGGGAGATGAAGACGTTGCCGTTGAGCGTCATCATGGCGGCGATGGTGAGCATTTCGGAGAGGCAGCCGAAGGACGGGGCGTTGAGGAGGCATTTCGCGAGCATCGGAGGGAGGGGGAGCTCTGCCATGCGTGTTCCGAGGGGTTTCGTGAGGCGTGCGGTCGTTGCGTCGACGGCGCCCAGGGAGCCGAGGAGGTCCATTGCGCGGATGAGGAGGGTGGATGGCGGAGGGGAGAGGTAGTCGAAGCGGACGAGGTTTTGGATGCCCAGGTTCATGAGTTGCAGGGCCATGGGCGCGAGGTTGCTGCGCTGGATCTCCGGGGTGGTGGCCGCCTCGAGGGCGTTGAAGGTCGATTCCGTGTACAGTCGGAAGCATTTACCAGGGCGAGTCCGGCCTGCGCGACCGGCGCGCTGGATTGCAGATGCGCGCGAGACGGGACACACGTTGAGGCGCTCGATGCCGAGGGTTGGGTCGTAGACGCGCAACTTCACGAAGCCGCTGTCGACGACGTATACGATGCCGTCGATGGTGACGGACGCCTCGGCGATGTTGGTCGACACGATGACTTTCCGCGTATCCTCACCGGCCTCCTCAAAGACGTACATCTGCTGATCCGTCGGGAGTCCCGCATACAGCGGCAGCGGCTGCAATCGCTGTCGTCCAGGCTCCAAGTCAACCATCCGATCCGCAATCATATCAATCGCCGTCTCGATCTCCTCACGCCCCGTCAGGAACACCAAAATATCCCCCGGCCCCTCACTCGCATGAATCTCCATCACCGTCTCAACAGCCCTCTCCACGTAATCCTCCGCAGCCTCCCTCAAAAACTGCACCTCAACCGGCCACACCCTCCCCTCAATCCCAACCACGCACGCAACCTCCCCCCTCCCCCTCCCACAAACCCTCTCCTCCTCCCCTTCCGGCTCAAAAAACGCCTTGAACCTCTCAGCATCCAACGTCGCACTCGCCACCACGACCCTCAAATCCCCCCTCCGCCTAACCACCTTCTTCAACAACCCCAACAGCACATCCGAACTCAACGACCTTTCATGCGCCTCGTCAACCATAACAACCGAATACCTCTTCAACAGCGGATCGACAAGCATCTCCCGCAGCAACAGCCCGTCAGTCAGGAACTTCACCCGCGTCGCCGCGGACGTCACGTCCTCGAAGCGAATCGAGTACCCGACCTCTTGTCCGAGCTTACACCCCATTTCCTCCGCTACCCGCGCCGCCACGGATGTCGCTGCGATCCTGCGCGGCTGGTAAATCAGCAGTAGTACGCCGTTTCTCCTTACACGTCTTCGTCCAAGGGGGGTTGACTACTCACCTGCGTAACCGCGATGCTCGACCCGTCGGACGTCCAGCCCGCGTCGTACAGGAACCTGGGGATCTGAGTCGTTTTCCCGCTGCCCGTTTCGCCGACGACGATGGTGACGGGGTATGTTTCGATGGTGTATAACAATTGGTCTTTTAGGCGGGCGATGGGGAGGAGGGAGGCGGGCTTGTAGAGGGAGGGTATGATGGACCCCTGGGCGAGGTCCTGCTCTTCTTCTTCTTCTTCTGCCATCGTTTGCGGCTTTCGGTTTATTTTATTTTTAAGGGGTTGGGTGAAGTTGAAGTGATGGGTGGATGTGGGTTGAAGGTTGGAGTTGGGGTTGTGAGCTAGTAAAATGTTCACGTGATATCATTCGCCGTTTTTGGAAGTATGGGATTTGAGGTTTTCTCGATTAGACGACCATAAACACAATACACACAGTAGTCAAAAGCAAGATCCTTGAATAGAATTCATAGTACATTTTTCATTCATTCAACACGTAGGCTAATAGACATTAAAACATATCCCCATCCCCGACACCCCCACACATCTCCACACACTCAAAGCCTAGGAATCGTCGCCCCACCAGCAACCTTCCTCTTACTCCACTGGTGGCTGCCCTTGGAGTCGACCTTCCTGTTCTTCTCCTCGAACAGCTTCTCGCTGAGCTGGCGGTAGAGGTACTTGCCGCCGTTGTTGTACACGATGCTGTGGTCGGAGTCGGTGAAGAAGGTGTTCGAGAACTTCTCGGGCGTCACGCGGTCGCCCATCAGGAGGTCGACGAGCGCGGCGCCGTTCTGGAAGTGCACGTTGTCGTCGCCGGTGCCGTGCTGGATGAGCACGTGGCCGGGGATGTTCTTGAAGCCCGTGGAGTCGTGCACGCGGGAGACGTTGTAGCCGTCCGGGTTGAGCTCGGGCGTCTTCATGTAGCGCTCCGTGTAGACGGAGTCGTAGAAGCGCCAGTCGGAGACGGGGGCGGTGATCAGGGCGAGCGAGATGATGGGGTCGTTGCGCTCGACGACTTTGGCGCCGAGGTATCCGCCGTAGGACCATCCGAAGAAGGCGATGTGGTCGCTGTCGACGAAGGAGTTCTTGGCGAGCTCGTGCGCGGCCCAGACTTGGTCTTCCGCGTCGAGGGAGCCGAGCTGTTTGGCGGCGAGGGAGCGGAACTCGCGGCCCTTGAAGCCGGTGCCGCGGTTGTCGACGGTGTAGGTGATGTACTCGAGCTCAGGGTCGGAGGCGATGTAGGCCTTGAAGTTGAGGGCGCTGAAGCGCTTGTGGACCTCCTGGGCGCCGGGTCCGCCGTAGGGGATGAGGATGGCAGGGTACTTCTTGGAGGGGTCGAAGTTGGGAGGGAGACGGAGCATGGCGTTGAGGGTCACACCGGACGGGTGCTTGAGCTCGTGGTAGGTGATGTTGGGGAGGTTGTACTCCTCGAGGGTGTCCCAGAGCTTCTTGTTGTCGGTGACGGTCTTGAGCGGGGTGGTGGAGTTGATGGCGTAGAGCTCCTGGTAGGGGACGTTGGGGCCGAGGTAGTTGAGGACGTAGTACGAGCCACCGGAGGAGAAAGAAGCGCTCCAGTAAGCAGCGACCTTGTCATCGACGAGCGCCTTCTTCTCGAGGGTCTTGTAGGACACAGAGTAGACGTGACGCTCGGTGCTGTGGTGCTCGGTGGAGGTGAAGTAGATCAATCCACGCTTGCCGTCGATCTTGAGGATGGCGGCGACCTCGAACTCTCCAGAGGTGAGCGCAATCTCCTCACCACCCTCGACGGGGAAGAGGTAGAGGTGAGCCCAGCCATCCTTGTCGGAGAGATCGACGTAGTACTCAGTATCGCTGCTGGTCTTGTAACCGGTAGCGTTGGCGACGGCACCGACGTAGGAGATGGCAAAGAGGTCGTCGAGCCATCCATCAGTTCCGTCACGCTCGCGGACGACCTTGGTGGAAGCGGCCTCGACATCGACGAGGACGTGCTTCTCCTGGTCCTGGACACGGTTGAAGGCGCGGTAGAGCACCTTTCCGTGCTCCTCGGTGACCCATGCGACCTGGCCGATGACGAGATCATCCTCGGGGAAGGCGTCAATCGGGACGTTGGTAACCTTAACCGCCTCAACGTCCAAAAGGTTGAACTGGACAGTGGGGTTCTTGGTGCCGACCTTGGGGTACCTGAGCTCCAACTCGCGGGGGTAGACATCGGCAATCTCCTGGTCGTTCATGTAATAAGGGATACGGTAGGTCTCGACGCCAGTCTCGTTGAAGCTGAGGTAGGCGATGTACTTGCCGTCGGGGGAGTACCAGAGAGTGTAGCGGTCGCCGTAGATCTCCTCCTCGTAGACCCAGTCGGGGACGGCGTTGAATTGGTCAGGGCCGCCGTCCTTGGTGACCTGGGTGATCTCTCCATCGTTCCAGAGGTAGAGGTCGTTGCCTCGGACAAAGGCAATCTGCGAAGAGGAGACGGGGCTCCATTCGGCGTACTGGATGTCGCCAACGGAGTCGGCAACGAGGGGCGTGGACTCGCCAGACTCTACGTTCGAGATGACGTAGTCGGCGAAGTACGAGTGCCTGTACTGCTTGGTGTGGTTGACGGCCCAGAGGACGTGAGTCGCGTCGGGCGAGATCCAGTACTCCCAGTAGTCCTCAGGGACCTTGTCAGCAGAGAGGAATGTTGTCGACTCGCCGGTCGCAACGTTCTCGAAGACGAAGGATCCGTCGTCGGCGGTGGTGATGTAGTCGCCATCCGCACCGAGACCAACCCAGCTCAGGGCCTGGGACGAGGCGAGGAGAGGGCCGGGAGCGTCAGTGGTGATGTTGTAGTTGAGGAGCTTCTCGCCGTTTCCCTTTGGCTGGTGAGGGGGACGCGCCGGGTCAATTGCAGCGACCAGCGAGATGCTGGACGCCAGGAGAACAAGAGAACGCATCATTGTTGCAGAAGAGCAGAGGTCCCAAACAACACAGACGACGGCAATTGCAGTTCCAATGGATGGGCGAGGGCGTCAATTAATATGAAGATGACGACCTGCCGAGAGCTACCCTGTCTTGTTGGTCGTGCAAGCAAATTACGACAGCTCGCAAAGTAGCTGGCTCGTATTTGTGATGAACCCAAGCAAGAACCCCGCGGGGAGAGGAAGAGAGCAAAGGCGAGATGCAGAGCTCAATTGGGTGACACAGAGGCAGTGCGAGGGTTCAACAACGGCGTGAGGTCATATATGTACTTGGAGCTCGAAGCTCGACGAGGTCAAGCTCCCCCCAATGGCGATAGGATTGGGTCATGATTGAGTGATTGAGCTGATTGGCAACGGGATGGCAACGGGCTGCGAGCTTCCTCATCGAGTAGGTGGATAAGGAATGCCAAGGGAGTCTAGAGGACCGGGTACCCGGTTAATCAAGGCATATGGGCGGCGGTCATTGCTGTGTTTGGGTTAATGGATGAGGTCGGGTAGAGATTGGATACGAAGGACGTGAAAGAGGTTAATGGCGGAATGGATGATGGAAATTGAGATGAGTTGAGATGATGGGAAGGTGGAAGGTGCAAAGGTACAAAAGACTTGGGACCCAACGGGGTGGCGTCTGGGTTCGATGGCGGGCGGGTTGGCGGGCGGCGGGCTGGCCGACACGCGGGGACTCCCTCCCTCATTCTTGTGGTAATTATTGCATTATTGCTGCAGGAACAAGAACAGGAGCCAACAGAAGAACCGCAGAACACATGGTGTGAACTAGTAGGAAACAAGACAATTCGGCGTGACGCCTCCCTCCACCTTATTTTCTCTCTCCAACTCTTGTATCATTTATTCTCATACTAACCATCAGATTTACATTTACGTCTACCAGATGCCCTCATAACGCGACATTGTAGAATCAATCAACGAACAGCAACCAGCACCAAAAAATAACAAGAGCTATATAGCATGACACAATCAACACAACCCACAGCCTCGCCTCGAAGGTCCTCGTACAAGACCGCAAAACTCAAGAAAAGAGCAGGACAGACCATCCCAGGCCAGGAAGCTGCTTTCGTATCCAACCCCATCAGCAAACGAGATGGACTCTTGGCAAAAACTTCCGCCATCTCCACAATGATGACCTTAGGGTTTTGGCCCTACCTAAGGCAGGCAATCGGTAGTTTCGGTAGCTTGATAGCAGTTGGAGCCTTGCAATCAAGTATTGTGCGGATAGGTGCTCGAACATTATGCGATGATTCCTCGCGTGATGTTGTGCCCGTTGCCAATGCTATGCAATACATGCAACAATGAACGCCATTTAAAAGCCGATAGCCTCTCTGTCTCCCTCCCTCCCTTCTTCAGAGCCTCTTTTTATTGCATTACCCTCTGAAAAACAGTGACGATATAAGATAGTCATTCTAGAGTCTTTTCATCTGTTGCCTTGCGGTACAAGAAACAGTGTATTTTGGTTTGTGAAAGAGAGCTGGCTTAACATCGATAAAAAATCATTGACACGGTAAGATTGTTAGAAGGAATGGTTTTTCTACGATAGATCTTCTGAAATTCATTGATTCTATCAAATAAAAAAGTAGACAACGAGATTCTAGGTGTTCGTTCGAGACTATTCGCGAATTCAAGGCTGTGATCATTGATCGCGTTCCCTGGCTGTACTTGTAGATACGCACGTACGGCGCCTTTTACGCTTAATCTCGATTGGGGCGGGCGAGTATCCACAGTTGGGTGGGGCCAATGCAGCTGCTCTGCCCGCCCGCCCGTGGGTGAGATTGACGACGACCTCACAACATCACGTCACATCATATCATATAAGAAAACACCATATCGATGATGACCAGTTCCAATTCTAGAGGACGCTTTTCAGCAATCCGCGAACGGATCCGAAGTGTGATGGAGAGAAGAAGTACATACGGCGAGCGCGGCCACGGGACAAATCCCCGAGCCAGCGACTACGCACACAATGCCAGAAGCAGCAAAAAATGAAGACTCTGTAAATCCCTTTACGGTCCTCAATCCCAAGCGCTAAAATGAGCAAACAGCCAGCACGAACCGCTCACCTCAATCTACCTACACAGTAAAGGCCAGATACACCGGGCATGCAGCAAGCTTACCTCGCCATCCACTTCATTCAAGGCAGGCGAGCACCGCTCTTCCCTTTTGGAACCATATGCCGATCCTCGCCGACAGCGCGAGCACATATCTGGTATCCGTCATCGCCATTGCCATCATCGCCGTCATTTGACGTGAACGCTGCAATGTCCGGATAGTTGGATATGTCGTCGTCGAGGAGGCCAGTTGATTGGAATAGTATAAAGAGTGTCGAGGGAAGTCGGGGGCGAGTCATTCATTACTCGTCAGCGTGGGCACCCTTCTTCTTCTTCTTGCCCGAGGTGTTTGATGATTGCTCTCCCGTCTTCTTCTGGTGCACGATGAATCGGGTGTAGCACTCTTCCGGATCCCACTCGAAGCCAGCGAGGTAGGGTGCGTCGAGCTCATCATCAGCCTGTGGTGCGACGTTGTCAGCGGGGTCGTCCTGCAGGATTGGAGTACAAGGAGCGGGGTAGAACGGGTAAAACGGAGGGAGCATACCTTCTTCTTGAACTGCTTGTGGATTGCGTCTAACGCATCCTTGATGGTGACACCCTTCAAGTTCCGTGCAGTGACCTCAAGACCGAGTGGGAAGTGCAGGTCGATCTTCTTGATCTTGGGTTCGGTGAGAGGCTTCTTTAACACATCCTTGTCATCTATTGATGAGGGCGAGGTGTTCAGCTTCCTATATGGGGGATAACATGTCAGCCTTGACCTATCCGAAGGGATCCGCGAGTGACCGGACGCGACAACGAGGTTGCGCGCTGTCCGGGAGACGAGGCTGACGAGCAGCTCGGCATCACCCGCGATGAGGAGACTAGAGAGGGTGAGGGGATGACTTACCAGCCTAGCTTTTGTGTCTCGATGGCGATCTTGATGGGCTTATTCTCCTTCTCTGTGTATCTGGTCAGCATTGGCAGCCCCACATGGTTCCCCTCACTTGGACATTGGGGTAGTTTGGGGGTAGGAGCGGAATCACGCCATTGGAGTGAGAGCGACGAGAGAGGGGGAGATGAGGAAGTTACGGACCTAGGTCGTTGATGTTGTAGACATCGGCGGCGAGGGAACTACCCCTGCGGTGGCCGGGCTTCTTGACGGGTGCCTCTTCTACGAGGGAGTCGACCTTGGAGAGGGTGTTTTCTGTCTCAGCTGCCATGACTGTGACGGAGACGGGTTGTTGTATTGGTAGCTTTGAAGCTGAAGCGAGCTTGATATTGGTGGTGATGGTAATGGAAGAATGGAAGAGTGAGTGAGGGATGGATGGAGAGAGAGGAATGTGAGGTGGTGGGTGAGGTGGGAAGAAAGGAAGAGGGAAGATTGGGGTGGGAGGACGAGGTAGATAAATGAATGAGAATGAGGGGTTTCCCTTAACAGACGGACAGTCAGATCAGTTTAACGCAAGGGCCATGTAGGTACGAGCATGTACAGTATACAGTAGTAACAGTGGTAGTAACAGTAACAATACTCGTAACAGTAATGCATAGAGAAGGAGTTAACGGCATCAACGGGAGGAGTAAAGAGGTGTCACTTGATCAGCACACCACCCTTAACCACCATAGCCAACCCATGAAACCATCAAATCATGTCCCATGTTGCCCCAAAGGGAACCAGTCGGAGGCCATTGCTCTACTCTACTCCCAGTATCATCATCCCACCGTCCCTTTTTCCGTCCTCTCACCACCCAATCAATCCAATGAGGGATCTCGCCGATGCTGGGCTAGATGTACCCGTTATAGGCCCTTTCTTGTGTATACCTTCGTAGACAACAACAGTACTTTGGAGATACACATCAACACACATGCAATTCACACATCACCCAGCAATCGCTTATCCCCAATCCCATCTCAATTCACCATCCAACAGCCTCATAAACTATCCCAACTGCACATCTACTCCTCTTCCTTTCCATATAGTCAAAGGATGATGGCTGACGATGATGCAAGCACAGACCCACCCACCCAGCCGGGGGGGGGGGACAACAAGAATGCGGGGAAGCTCCGCTCGCTCCATCGCCTTAGTGAACGACTCCTCATCCCTCGCACCCACCCCCTCCCTAAGCACGCAGGTACAAAGACCCATCTCCCATCCCAATCATCAAAAGTGAAAGGTAAACACACAAGTAAACACTGGCATCGTGAAAACTACGTAGGCGGTGAAAGTTGTTTGTGACTGGTGGTGGTGGTGGTGGTGGTGGTGGTGGTGGTGGCCTGTTAGCGGACGTGGTCGGAGGGAAGAAGAGGCGAGGTGAGGTGGTGAGACCACTCACGCGACCTGACCCCCGTACGTCATCCCACCACTCAATCGCCATCCGCGTCCCAGCGAATGCAGGCTTGAGGGGTAGAGTGCGCAGTTTGCGTTTCAGCTGTGTCGTTGGGACATGGTAAACTAGGTAGTAGCATAATGTACTCCGTACAATAGAGAACAATGATTGCGATGGTGGTGGTGACGGGATACTGCTTCATCTATCCCACACGCTCGCGCCCTGTCTTGTCTCGTAGCCACGAGGTACCTATGAGCGATGCACCGTCTTCCGGACGGCGGGTACGAAGCGGGACCTTGAGCTGCAGCAGCAGGCCATTGGGAATCCAACGGCATCCCCGCCTTGGCATAGACATTACCATTGAGATTAATGCTCGATCATCAAGTGTAGCTATCTAATCATACAGCCCTGAGTCAATTATCAAGGTACACCGTATGAGTAGACAGATAATGACCTGAAGACACGACAGTAGAGGCGTGAGGAAGTAGGCAGGGCGGTAGGTAGGCAGGTACCACGCCGCAACGCTCACCAGATCTCCGCGCAATCTCGCATCAACGAGGCTCTTGCTCTGCGTCCTGGCAATGAAATTCAGATGCACATCTCGTCACCGCATCGATCGACTGTATCGTACATATTGAGTCGTGTCGTGTCTACTTCCCTGACTTTGTTAATTCCCTCGTGGTGCTCGTACCTGATACTGGGAGTATGTATCTGGTGATCAGGCTAACTTGCCTAAACGGGACAGAGTCTCCACTACGGGTCGCTCGTACGAAATACAAGCCAACGTATCTCGCCATATACTGCAGGTACGAGATAATGCCCGTCACCTTTCAATGCCTTGTTAATGCTATTCTAATGCTTTCTGCTGGATGGAGATAATATGGAATGTGACGTCACATACCGAGTGTGGTTTATGAGGACGATACGATTGCACACACTAGTCGATATGTTAGGTACCTTCGAGGCGATTCAATATGATATGCATATACCACTCGACCACGGAGACCTTCAGTCCTACGCGTCATGCACTCCACCGCTGATGCCAATACGAGTTAAGAAACACATCAAAGAAGAGGAAATTGAGAGAATGAAATGGTAGTCGTAAAAGCACACATATACCCTGCGTGGAATTACGGTCGAATGATAGTAAGAGGTGGAATGTGCATACGATAGGACGCAATTGATAGGACTGGATATCAATGTTGTTGCTGTGAATGAATTTTTATTCCGTGTTGGGATTGTGGTATTCGTGTACATGGATGGAATGCGTGTGAGGATGTGGTTATATATGTGAGAAGAGGCGTGAGTGTGAATGGATTGAAACACACCTTGCGCGGGATTTTGCAGATGGGCTCTTTGGTGTTGTGTGCGTATGGATGAGTTGAAGAGGTGGGATGCAACTGGAGGCTGAGGGAAGGGGAGGAATTGTTGATGTGTAGATGGATGGGGTTTCATGCTAGAGAGGGAGAGTGATGGATGAGTGGTGATGGCATTGAAGTACTTTCACGCAAGGACATGATCAGTTGGCATAATTGAACGAACGACTGCTGAAATCACAACGAGAGTGATGTGGATAGGACTGTAAATCCAAACCACGAACACCGACACGATATGCGGAACGGAGATTGGGGTATTGTTTGATTGGTGAACACGTTTGATTTTTTTACGTTCGAGCTTTATTCCCCAAGGCGCCCTGAGTGTCGCGTTTCCCCACCATTGAAATGCAGAGAGAAAAGCGCATATTGCCCATGAAAGAAAATCCGCTTGGAAACCCTTCGCGACCCGCCCGGCCGCCATCGTCGTCGTCTTCTTTCAAGCCATCACCATCATATCATATCGTTTTTGTGGGTTCATGATTTGATTCGGATGATATTTACTCGTCCTCGACGATGTTGCCCCGCTCCGACACGTACAGACCGTCCAAGAACTTTCGGATATCCTTGTTTCGGACTTTGCAGATTTGCTGGATGTCGGCGGCGGACTGGGAAACGTCCTCGAGGGACTGTCGTCTTGCGTTAGCATGGTCCATTCAAAGCGAGTGTCGGCACCCCATCTAGGGTTTGTCGGGAGTCTTACGTTTCCGAGGAGCTGGAGCTCATCCTTCTGGTTTGCGGAGATCTCAACGTCGACACCAGGTCGGATGGTGATCCTTCGGACGATCTTCTCGCCAATGAAGTTCCTGATTTCAACCTCGAACTGGTCGGTCTCCTTGTTCTTCTCAACGTTGACGTTGATGGGAAAACTAGGTTCGTTAGCGCCCGCCCGCAAATGCCACAAACAACACAGTCGATTTTCGACCCAAAGCGATCCTCGTCCTTTCATGCAACTTTCCAACGTGATGCAGCACGTTTCCGCCTGTTCATCAATCTTCCTTTCTTGTTTTGCCATGCGAAGGACTCGGACCGGGTCGGATATTCGAAAATGATAATGGACGAGGGAAACCTACTGGGCATAGACGTATCGCATCCTGTTATGCATTAGCAAACAAAGCAAAATTTCACCCGCAGGAGAACCCTTACTTGTACTTGTATCCCTTGGTGACACCGATGATCAAGTTGTTCTAGCCCATGTCAGTCTCAGTCCAACGATCCGGCCTTCGTTTCAACGAATCGACCTGGCGATATTGTGGCAACGTACGATCAAGGTGCGGACAGTTCGGAGAGTGGCGACGCTCTTGCGCGATCCGTGGTGGAGCTCGATCTTGATGAGGTTCTTCTTGGGCTGTAATATGTTTAGTCCACCATCCATATCAATATTTCGAATTTCCGACATACGTGAGAGAAGGAGACGGCCAAGTGACCGAGAGACTTGGTCAATTTTCCCTGTTTCCTATGAGTATTCTGTCTTCTTCGTCTTGGCTGTCATCGGGGTGGACATACTCGGGGACCTGTAGGCAAAAGTTTGTCAGTCATCAATTTCCACTTTCTTGATTGTTGGCGCACTCACCCTCAACGACGACATTCCTGGTCTTGATGGCGACCTTGACCCCCTCGGGGATTTCGAGCAGTTCCTCGGAATGGCTGTTGCGACACTGTCAGTCCTGCTCCATGCAATTCGATCTATTTCGTGGGCGTTGGAAGGGATGGGTTTGCGAGAGCGTATGCAGGCTCATTGCGCTCATTGTAATCGCCAGGAGATGGTGTATATTGTGTCCGGAAAGGCATTCGGTACGTACATGTACTTCATTTTGAGGATTGGGGCGGCGTCGAATGTCGGTTGTCGTTGTGTTCGATATTGGGCGACGAAATTGAGAGTTGTGGGCAGTTCGAAAAGAATGAGTTAGCGAGGCGCTAAACCGCATCTGTCACTGGCCTTTTTGCCTCAACACCAAAAATCATCGTCACGCACACGACCCACTCAGCACCAAGACGCCTCTCGCCTCACCAAATTCATGAGATAAAATGATGCCAGCATAAACAGAAAAGTCAACGCAGATATGTCTACTCGCGCATGCCGCCTACACAACTGCCCAGTAGCCATCTATTCTAACAAGCATCGGTCTCTACCATTCAATAATCCATCTTGATGTGTTTTATTTGTCTCTCCCGTTTGAGATAATGCATACGTTGACCAGACTTTTACAATAATAGTAATATGCAAGCCTGAAGACTGCCGTCTCTTATCCAGTTACTTCCTTTTTTCTACCTCGTGTATACCATTCAAATTTCTATCGTAGTGTTAAAGTAATCCAGCATACACACGAACACACTAGACTTCATACATGCAGTACATCAACCCCAGTGCGCTGAACATACTCAACTACATCTTCTTAGTACACATGCATTGACTTTCATTAGACTCCACTACCTAGGTAGATACCATTTGAACCCTGAATCTGGGTGACTTTGGTCATGATATCGCTTGGCGTCTTCACTGCGTTCTTACAGCCTCCTCTACAAAGAACATACGTCTCAACGCTCAACAAACGGGTGTTTTGAATTTATGAATTTTTTCCCAGATTTTAGGGGTAGCAAGAAGGTACTTGGAAGGGTTGAAAAGTTATGTTGTGTTGTGCGGGTAATTGTTTGATTTACACGATTTTGCAGGTTGAAATTCCACGAGTTTATTACACACTAATTAGCTTGAGGATCATGCTTTCGGTGGAGTAAATGGTGCTCGCAAGTATAATCCATCTCATAAAAGGATCCAAGTATAGACAAAAAGGGTATCCAAAACTAAGCCAACATAATCGTCCCGCAGATATGTAATAAAATGCTCGAATCGATACAACACCCCCTTCACCAACCCACCAACATCAACCACTTCCGTGTAGACAGCCACCACACCAAATCTACAAACTCTGCCTTCCAACAAGCTTACCCGGTAGAAACGCCGTCGTAAACACGCACCCAAGCGTAACTCCTCCCGCAAGATACAGCACACTATTAATATCCTTACCCTCGCCCTGTGCATAAAGATGCTGCGCAATAAGCGGACTCACAATACCAAACAACCTCCCCCAGAAACTCGCAATACCGCACGCCGTGCCCCTGATCGGAGCCGGGAAGGCCTCGGGTGTCCAGCCGTACAAGATAGCATTGAACATGGATTGGAAGAAGTATTCCATGACGTTGAGGCCGATGTTGGAGGCGGCGGAATTGACGGTGCTGAAGACGAAGATGGAGGTTCCCATTAGCGCGGAAGAGATTACCATGGCCCATTTTCGACCGATGAAGGGTGTGCGGTAGAGGAGGGTGCCGAGGAGGACGCCGAGCGTGCCGGGCAGGTAGATGTAGATGTAGGAGCGGTAGGTGTAGCGGAGGGAGAGGTTGAGGGCGCCGTTCTTGAGGGCGATGATTTGGGGGAGGTAGGTGCCTATACGAGCATGAGTATGTCATGGTAACAGAACGTGGACAGGGTAGAGAAGTAAACGTACCAGCAACGGTGAAACCCCAGTAATCACAAATATAGGTAAGCCAGACGAGGATTGTAAGTCTCGCCATCTGGGGGCTGCTGAATAGAATCTTGAAGCGGACGAGTTCTAGCTTGATCTTCTCGCTCCATGTTGCCTGCAGCTGCTTTGCTCCTCCGCCCAGTACAGGCGTTGAGCTAGCCAAAGAATTATGCTCCTTCTCTAGAGCCTCGAAGTCTTCTAAAGTTATATTGCATGCCCTCTTGTTCATCTTCGCAACGTACTGGAGCACCTGAACGGCTTTCTCATCTCGCCCGCGGTAGACGAGGAACTTCGGTGACTCTTGGAACCGAAAGACGACAAAACGCAAAAAGAACACGAACAAAGTGATTGCTCCGAGACAGAACAACAGATACCGCCAACCCATGTTGCTCGCTTTGGTGCAGCAATCTTGTCCTGGCTGGGCCTTGCTGCAGGCTGGAAGCGAGTTGGGTTCGGAGAAATTGGGCGCGCAAGAGTAGTTGGGGATGAAGCCGTATGCAATGACACTGCAAATAACCACACCGATTGGTTGGAAGATAGATAACAGTGGTAGAAGATAGCGTCGATTTTGAGGCGTAAACTCTAAAGTGATGGTCGTGTCGATGGGAATGTTACCGCCGACTCCGAACCCAACGAAGGCTGTGAGAACTAGAATGGAATCGTAGGAATCAGGGATACCGAGACAAAGACCGAATATAGAGGCTATGAATACTGTGAGGTTGAATGCCCATTGCCGGCCTAGGATGCGTCGTTAGCTGGGATGTCTGCTCTGTTCAGGAGAGGATTCGATGGCATACCGATAATGTCGACTAATACTCCCCAGACAAATGCTCCAGCAGTAAGACCACTCGAGAACGCTGTACTTAGGTTTCCAGTCTGGTCATCACCAAATCCAAGTTCCTGCTGCAATGGACTTAACACTAGCCCAAATGCCTGAGCCCACATCAAGTCGATCCAGTATCCTAGACCGCAGAGCGCCCATAAGTACCACTGGTACCTCCCCATGCCCATTGAATCAATCTCTCGATTAATGAGAATGCATTTTTTCTCGTACAAATTAGATCCTTCCGCAGCTAGCTCTTCAGCCAGTGATCGAGAGCGCTCAGTGTCTTGACCGAGATCGGGTTCATACTCGGCCTCGCTTTGCTTTTTCTCGGTTTCCATCTTGGCAGACGATGTAGAGCTGCGGGGAGGCAGCAAGTCTGAATGTTCAAAAGACCCGTAGGCAGCAGTGGAAGACGAAGAAGCAAAAGGCTGAATGAAAAGTTGAGCTGATTCTTTGTGTGACATATTCGCTCGTCATGGCACATGGCTTCTACTTAAGATCCGCGAGACTGGACGGCCCGCTCGAGGGACAATGTACCTGGGTGATTCCTCGGTTGACATATTCTCGCGTTTTGCAAACGGGATGGATGTACAATGATAATGTAGACGACGTCAGAGGAAATTGTAGAATTGACCTGATCCGGGAATGTGATTGGTGGAAATGTTAGGCTAAGCCCAATCGGTGACATGCTCTAAGAACTCCTTGAAGGAAATCAGGCAAACTACCTACCAGCTATGGGAAAGTTGGGTTTTCGATGTCTTAGACTAGGAGATTCTGTCCTTATGCCAGTGATTTGGTGGGTCCTGTACGATCCTAGCTCCGATCTTAGTGCTGGAAGTATATGCCATCCACTTTTCCAAGCTGTTGAGAAGCTCGATGCTCAAATTGTGATCAAGGGCATGGGCGGTTTTGGATGCTTGCAACGACGGCCATCCTCAAGTAAAACAACAATTCAATTCTCCTTGACAAGTGGTGCTAGTTCTGCAAAGCGAAATGGATATAATCCATACTCGTTTCAAATCAAAATAGCGGACTCATACTATGAACTAAATCCCAAATGCAGATATCAACTTGTATCTCGCCAGTGGTCCTAGAGCAGATCGGCTTTACCGATGTCCTAATTACCTGTACTGAGCCCATTCACGCGCTAGAAGTAGATGTGCGATGTAACATAGGCTGCGCGTGTGCACGTGCACATAGATGGATCAAAGGTCAACTGGAGCTTTCTTGGCTCTTCACTATGGAGATTAAGCTTTCTTAGAATTGTCATAAAGACTCAATTGCTAATTGATAGATGAATTGATTGCTATTGCATTGAGGGGAACATCTTCCGTGGTAGTATGGTTTTCGTACTATACAGATAGAAAGGACGCCATACTCCCGAGAGTCATAGTTATAGCGATTGACAGTCATACACAAATGCACTTTGCCAAATCCCTTTAAAATAGCGTCCTGATAGCCTCTTCGAGAGCTGCACCGGCAACACCGACGCCGAGCACGGTCCACAGCCACTTGTTCGAAAGTTCCTGTGTCTGGGGCCAGAAAGCGTTCTTCTCCTTTCTGAACTTCTCCAACTCCGCGAACTTATCTGGGTTTGAAGCAGAGTATCGGCGGGTCTGGTGGCGTTCCTTTTGATTGTCTCCGCCGAAGAAGCGGAGGAAGAGGTAATTTGCGACTGGGCCAAGGAGCTCGACGGGGGCGAGCATGTCAGAGCCGTAGAGAAGGACAATGAAGGAGAGATGGACAAACGCGTCACCAAGGTAGCTATTCTTGCGTTAGTGATTGAGAGAAGAGAGCAGAAAACTGATCATACTTAGGATGGCGGACAATACTCCATACGCCTTCCTTCAAGATACCAGTTCCACCTTTTGCTTTGAATTGATCAAGCTGATAATCTGCAAGTGTCTCCAACGCGAAGCCAGCCGAGAATAGACCCACGGCCGTCATCTGAAGGAGCGGATGGTATCCCATCAAAACCGCGCCTTCATGTCGGAATGGCGCGGTAAAGGGCAAAGCAATTAACATCTGGAAGAAAGCCTCCGGGATGAAAGTCGTGAACAATGACTTCGACCAGAAGTCTTCGTCCATCTTTGCCTCGTCGTACCGAGGATCATCCTCTCCACGCTTGATTGACCTTGAGGCAATTCGGTAGAAGAGGCGTCCGCCCCATAGAGTAACACCGGTCAATACAAGGCGCTCGTGCCAGGAAAGACGATGAAGTGCTTGCGAAAGAGTGAGACCTTGATATAGGCGACGACCAACAGCGGACCACCAGGCATTGACGACTTGTCCACTGGGCCAAAGCCAATCTTTGGCTTCAACTCGTCCAGTGTAACGGGCAGCTCCCCAAGCAATTATAGCAAGACCTGAGTGTAGTTCCAGTGATGGAACAAGCGTGTCCTTCAAGATGCCAACGTCAAACAAAGTGTTGGTGCTAACGTGAGTCTTTGAATGATTAGTATCGATAACACGCGTCCCCGGTGGCGGTCCAGTGTTGTTAGAAGAAGATCTTAAATAGAAGTTGTTTGGTTCGCGGTCCGCGATTTGGACCTGAATGTCCGGCGGCGTCTGGGGAGCACCGCTTTTCTGGAACCACGACATGATTGATTATTGTTGTCGTGTCAATTGAGGTGTCAGAGGAGGAAGAAGCTGCTGGAAAGGAATGCATTCCTCCCACCCCTGAGCTTATTATGAGCTTGTGACAATTTCCCCGCATCTGGAGTGACTGCATGACGGAAGGGAGGCGATGCTTTCCATTCGCGGCCCCACCTACCCCGGATTCTGCACACTGCCGGCTAAACCTGCTGTAGCCAACATTTGCAGCCCAATCAATATTGCTTCGTTTCTCAGCTTTGAATGATCAATTTAAGCCGCAATAGTAATGGAGCCAGTCGAGCATGAAGGGGGGCGTTGCCATAGTCTATGTATGGAGTTCGCCAACACAATGGACTAGTGCATACCGGAGCTTACAACATTGACGTCATATCTGTGGTACGATGCTTTTGAGAATTCTTATAAAACAGTACGAGTATCTTGATAATGATTGAGGGAAACATCGCAATGCAGAGAAGAATATTGTACTATAGATAATAATAGATAGTTCCTCCTTGCGAAAGCAACCAGAGCATGATATGACAGACTGTCTAATCCAAGAACAGACTAGTTGAGTCTTCTATCATGCTCTATGCCCCTCACTCTCTCGACTCCACCCATATCAATGTACATAATACCACTGCTCTCTGATCAACATTTAAACCCCTTTCTGATCCATCTCTTGTAATTCCCTCGCTTGTACTTCTGTCCAATGTCATACCCGAAAGCTTTCCTTCTGCCATTGGCCCTCGCAGCTAGCTGTAGCTTCGCCCGCGAGATCACATTCCCTCCAGTCTCTGGCTTCGCGAGCCCACAACAGCTGGGTTGGAACGACCATGGATTTGCCTCTCTCGAAGGAGCATTCAATGGTCTCACCACGTATGCCAACCTACCATATGTCTACTGTTTAGCACCCGAAGGCCAAGAGGTGGAAGGTTATGACATCGCGATCCTAGGTGCTCCTTTCGATACGGTACGTTTGTTTTATCTACCTAGGCGTTTGATATCTTGAGTATTGGATGTTGTGTGCGTGTCACCTTTGACCTGAATGGGACTGGAACCGCTCAGGTCCGGACAGCTCACAACAATCTCGGATCGAACCGAAGTTGTGCGGGCCGAGTACCTCATCTGCGCTATCTTGTGTCCTTTGTGGAGATATACCACGATCGTTTGTGTATGTCGAGTGTATCGCCAAGCCTGTGTCTCCGTCAGATGTTACGCGATAAAGCTGCGATGTCGGAGGTCTAATAATTGGCTACGCGGTGTTTGTACCGTGTTGATACCAGAAAGAGATCCAGTAGTTACAAAATGGTTAAAGAAGACAGCCCAAAGTGGAAGAGTTCATACTGCAACCCGAGCTGATGTCCTTGCTAGGGTGTTACTGCCCGGCCAGGCACGAGATATGGGCCTGGTGGCATCCGTCAAGGTTCTCGTAGACTTCAACCGGGCGAGTACAGCATATACACAGGTAAGCTCGGAGGATTTATTTGAAACGTATGCGGTGGATGTATATGCACATGTGCATGTGGTCCAAAGTGCTTCATGCTGTGTGGCGGTTCCGGCCTCCAGCCTGCCCTCCGTCATTGTGCTGCTGTTGACGAAACAAAATCGTTACCAATCAGTTCGAACATTCAGGTATGATACGGTATCACAACATGTTGTGGCTGCGTAATTTTTATGCGGGGCGATTGTAGTACATCTTATCGGCTGAAAAGGGCAGTGCAAGTACTTGAAAAGCCTACTAACGTGAAAAGGTGAGGATGTGTTCCAAGAATGGGCCAAAGTGGTCGACTGCGGAGATGCCCCATTGACGTTTCTGGTCAGTAGATACATATGCGGTTAATGCTTTTGTTGAGCTGAACCCATCTGTGATAGGACAATACCGTTGCGCTGAAGCAACTTACGCAAGCGCACAAGGTGAGTTAGTGGAATAGGCCAAACCTGTAGAGACGTATGAATGTTGCAGGTTTATAGGCTAATATTGTCAGGTCATCTCTGGGCGACGAGGAAAAGCTAGCGATTATTCTCAGCCTAGAATCATTACACTGGGTGGAGATCATACCACGACATTGCCTGCCTTGAGATCAACGTACGAGCATTGGGGCCAAGTAAGCGTCATACATTTTGATAGTCATATTGGTGAGTTGACTCACATCATGCACTAGACGTTGCTGATAATCGCCGATAGATACCTGGGATCCAAAAGTTCTAGGTAAGTCCAAAAGATGGCTCCTGCAATTGATTGACCACTAATTATGTTGCTAGGAGGAGGGATATCTCATTATGCGTAAGTGTCGATAGAAGTCTATGATAGTCCCCCTAACGCTCCGCAGAGGCGTCAATCATGGCACATTCCTGCATATAGCTCACGAGGAAGGCTTGATCCGTAATACCTCGATACATGCTGGCATAAGAGCTCCTGTATCACGGCCTAAAGGCGATATTAGAAATGATCTTCGCTGTGGCTTCACTATGATAAAAGCTCGAGATCTAGACCATATTGGTGTTGCCGGTGTGATTGATTTGCTGAAGAAAAGAGTGGGAGATTCGAATGTCTACATTAGCGTTGATATAGACGTTTTAGATCCTGCATTCGCGCCAGGTGCGTAATCTTGAGCTTTCGAATTACCGTAGTCCTACTAGACTAGGCAATATCTTGACTTAGACCCAAATTCCATCTGCTGACTCTTCACCGATAGCGACGGGAACTGCAGAGGTCGGCGGCTGGACAACGCGCGAACTCCTGTCGATTCTTGATGGTCTCAGTGGACTAAAGGTGGTGGGCGCCGATGTTGGTAAGTTTTCTCTTTTACCCTTTCGAAGATCAATTAGAATTGTTGTTTCCGATCACTGACTGTCTGTACCAATAGTTGAAGTTGCACCAATTTATGATAACCCAGGTGAGACGACTGTACTGGCGGCTGCTGAAGTTGTTAAGTCTCTGATCGGCTTGATGGTCCACAAACCTATAGAAGCAGCCGGGAGTGGTGAGGAATTGAACGAGCTGTGAGAGCCCATGGCTTACGGAAAGAGATCTTTCATAAATCATCGCATTGGGCATGGAAAGATATAGACGCCGACTAAACATATGATAATTTATGTAGAAAGTTAGAAGTGCGCTAGTGCTGTGGCTCATGCGTCGACATCATCGAATAGCAATCACGCTATTTCCCCCACCTCGGCATCTCCATCTCCATCGCTATCCGCATCAACGCGTTCTTTCAATCTCTACACACACATTTCAACATGGCAGACACGAATCAACCGCAAGAGAAGAAGGAGAAGTTTGCGCCAAAGGAGCCGGTGCAATTAAACCCCCCAAAAGACGACATAATCAGCCTCGAACACCTCGCCAAATGCAACGGTGAGCCCCGCGCGCATCAACATGGCTGCTCCACCACAGGCTGACCAGATGAATCGTAGGCGAGACGGAAGGATATCCCACTTATGTCGCTATAAAGGTATTTTCTTGTCTCATACTGGGGTGTAACCACCTGGTTACCCTTGTGCCCAGTGGACTGTGTAGCTTACCTGTGTTTAGGGAACTGTGTTTGATGTGAGTGGGAAGGAGACTTACGCGCCTGGAAAAGGATACCATGGTATGTATACTGCTTCTAAGATCCTAAATATTCATGGAACCTGACATCTTTTCTCTACAGTGTTCGCCGGCAAGGAGCCCAATCGAGCTCTCGCCCTATCCTCTCTCAAGGAAGAAGACGCTGCTCGTTCTGACTACGACGATCTCGACGCGGGCCCCAAGAAAGTGCTGGACGATTGGTACACTTTCTTCAGCAAACGATACAATGTTGTTGGGAAGCTTCAGAGTAGCTCGAACCTTTGATCGAGATATTGGATGGTCTGGAGTCGACTCCAGTACAACGTGAGTACAGGCTACAATGCGCAGTGTACCCCCGAACGACATACTGCGGGGACACCTTGACACCCAACGACAGACTTCATGGCTACATTAGATAAGACACCTCGAGGTATTGCGCAAGCACCGCACCTCTCTTGGCAAAGAATTAACCTCCTCCAATGGTCGAGGTCATTTGGAATACTGTATAGACAGTCCGTTGAACGCGACGAACCTTGTTCCATAGCTAAACATCATTCACAAATTCTAGCCGCGCATATGATGCTATGCTACATTATAGTGGAGTCGGACTTTTGCACATAATCATCATCAATTTTTAGCACAACTCTTCTTTGCTCAATCGTATGATTATACGTAAGCTGTTCAACATTTGATCACGCATGAATTGGAATGACATTCGAGCCTTTGCTAGCCTAGGCAACGGACGTGATACGATATGGAAGTACAAAGACTATCTTATGCAGGCCAACGCACATTCTCGCTACAGGCAAAACAAAGAACTCGAGTCCAAACCAAGGACAAATAACAGTCCCAATGAAAGTCCAATCTTCACATGAAAGACACACAACAGATTCTCACCACTACACACCATACAGCCCATCAACCTTCCTTTAGTCGATCATCCAAGTAGACGATACCATGACTAACCAACCGCGTGTCAATGAACTCAGTGTCTACCATTTGCCATACCCATTGACTTGGATTCCACATAATTGGCGTGGAGGATTCTTCGTTGAATGCATCCGTCACACTCTGAGTTGTTCTGCGGCCATGATCTGTTGATCCTCCATGCACCAAAGCATTGATGATTGGGATCATTGCGCGCAAAGTGGCAGTATTGATAACGGCGAGTTATCTCGTGGCCGCAGGGAGTATACTGGACGCTTTCCCAGAGACACATGGCGACGGAGACTGATCGATATCCGAGAAGTGACTGTATATCAATTAGATGATGAAGAGTTGAACGGGGACGTCAATTACCTAGTGTGGTTTGTGAGTGGTCCGGAAGGCAAGAGTCAAATTCTCAATGAGTTCGAATGCGATGAGGAATTGGGAAAATGATTTCGTATCAAGCAAATGCACCGCCTATAAGAAATGGAATGCTTGCAGGAACTGGAAATTATGAACGAGGCATCGGTCTCCTCAGCCACTCTCTTTATATCTTCTCCAATGCTGCCGTGCGACAACTAGACTGACGGTCGATCTGTACAGATAATCCAGTTAATCCAGTTTCATCGTCACTGTGCAGAGTAACTTTAACCGTCTATTGGTCGACGTTCAATCAAATGCATGGACATCCTTCATGCTTCGATTCTACCGGTCCGGAGTGGGTGTCAACTGCGAGGATACACGGTAGACACCGCTGGTACATAGTCTGCGTTACCCTTGGTCGTCACAGGTGTTGTCATACCCATACCTCTGCTTGGGGTGGTTGTTCGTTATCCAAAGACGAGCAAACATAGAAAACCTCCTTAGCAGTAGCGCCGCACCCCTTGCGAGTGAATTCGTGTCCCGTGAGAGCCTTCGTAGCCTACGTCAAGTCTAGACTTCCTCGATCTATGAAGTCATGAGTGTTCTAAACAGAATATCCGAGCCAGTAAAGTCGATGCTATGATGCAGTCAGCACGTTTGAGGGCATTAACAGACGATCTGGCTCACTTGCCTCTGGTGAGAGGGCCGGGGTGCATGAAAAGCGACCAGCAGCCGGGGATTTGGTACATTCAATCCAGGTAGAGGGTAGATTCATGACAGTGTGGCAAACATATCGATGTCCGATTCTGGACGCTGAAATGTTGGTTCCGTGCGCCTGGCACCACAGAATCCGCAGGAAGGTCATGGGCATATGCAACACTGATTCTCGCAGGGACTGGCTTGCCTGTACGCTCCATCGTGCATCTCGATGCCAAGGTGTACCGTCTGAAGGGAAATCCTCGAGGACCCTGGGAAGAAATTGAACGAAAGAAGTGACCCATCGTCGTGTGAAGGGGGTTTTGAGCTTTATGCATGCATCTCATGTAGCGGTCCTGTCGTGCACCTATTGACTGATGTAGCCCTCACTGATTGCTTCGTGCAGCTGGCTTCAGGGAAGGGCGGTCGAGCTCGCTAGTACCCGTCGTTTCTTTGGGGATACTATGCGGTCCGCCCCTGTCCTGTTCATTCCAAGTTCACAGCATCAGACAGTTGGTGTGGGACAGAGATGGCAGATAGACCTGTTGCTGTCAGCTCCCGGTTCGATTCCCCCCTTCCCCGAGTGCCACGGGGGAAATATGTACGTAGGTTACAACTACAGGACGATTGAAAGCTGCATGTGGATTCTCTGCTCGTATGTACGATTTTCTTGCTTGTAGGACCATGAGAGACAGACATAGCTAACGGGCCAATCAATGCATAACCGCCAAAAACTGCCCACAATCGAGCAGGACGATTGAAGACCAAAGCAGACAGCTCATATCTCCGCTCTGATTCCCCTCCCACCAGGTCTACACCATTCGGGGTGGCTCACTCATGACTCCCTCACCTCCCTCATCACTCATTAAGGACTGTTTACCGAAAGAGGAAATTTTGAGACCCCAGACAAACTGTTTCCGGGACCCACCTCCCGCAACACTGAAAGCCACAATGGGATCAAAACGGCCAGCCGGCCAATAGACATATTCGATTGCATTTGACAAGAAGCATGCCGGAAGGGGAACTGCTTCCCCCGTCCCGAACGGCCATCGTCGTGTTTCATTTGCGTTGCCCAACCGTTGCGTGCAGGCTTGGCCCTTTGAAATGTCACCTTGCGGGAATGGGCCTCGAGGAGGGAGGAGACCATACTTTGGTACTTTCATTTCTTGGTTATGGGTGATGATGAAGGTCTCTCGTCCCTAACATACGGTGTGCTTCATGGCTGTATTTGCTGCAGGCGAACGGACCTTTTAGAAGATACCAACATAACTCACCTACGAGCAGACGGTTATGAAGCCTTATCCAAAAAGCTCGCGCATGGAAGAAAAACGTCAATGACCCGCCGTCGCAGAGACTCATCGCAAGTAAGAATAGCCGATAATTCCATTCGTGACCCTCCCAATTGGGAAGACGCACGATAGGTTGTATGACTTCGACCTAAATAGGAAGGGCGTGCAGCATCGGGGCCTTGTTACGCGCAGGACTCGTTGGGCGGCAATGCTCTGAAATGATTGTTCTGTCAGTGGTCAAGTCCCCACGGCTGCGTGGGGCTGCAGTCAATTGTCGTCGGCGCATGTCGTACAAGCAACGGCGCTCGAGCGGCGGTGTAAAGAAATGGGTGCGAGGATGAAAATTTTCTCGTGGGTGTTACATGAAGCAAGCAGTAACCCGTGTTCAATTACGAGGTGGAACTTGGCTACTAGGGGGGGACTGGTATCGTACGGTCTTGAGAGATATTCACTTGTGAGGATTAGAGGGTTGGGAGAGGAGACGGTGAAGACAAACAAATGAACGATGAATTGGAGGTATTCCGCCCATACATGAGAAAGCTTTTCCTATTTACCACGACGCCATAGATGCACATGAGATGTTAACCGCTAGGCCTTGCCACCCTTCTTCGCCCTCCTTGCCATGCGCTTTTTGCGAATGATGCGCGACCGTTGCGCAAGTTTGTCGTCCTCTGCAGCTCCAACCCTGGAACCGGCATCGTCTCCCCGTTCCCCGGTATCTGATCCATCTGCCTTCTTACCCTTGCCCTTTTGCCCTCTTGCTGCATCTGCATCATCACGCTTCCGCTTGTTGCCAGCGCCACCTGTAGAACTAGGTCCAGCATCGACATCACCCTTCGGTTTCGGGAACTCCCGAGCCTTATTCTCTCGATCTGATCGACGATGTACGACATTTGCATTCTCCAATGCAAATTCGACGATCAATCTCTTCTTTTTGTCTTCAAAGGCCTCCTTTTGGGTTTTCTTGCTCTTGGGCTGGTTATCGGTCTTCACCTTGTAATCGACTGCGTGACCATTTAACCATCGGAGACCCATGAGCGCATTGCGATGCGTATAGTACTCGATGAATCCGTACCCGCGTGATCGACCCGCACCAGTGCCTTCGGTGACCTTGCTTCCACCCTCGGTCTCGAACACTACTTTGGCTTGCTTGACCAGACCTTTGCCCTTCGTCTTGCGATGAAGCTCCGCAGCGGCGTCGAATCCACGAGTCAATTCTTCCCTCGAGATGCCCTGACGTTTGCTAGCCTTGACATCTGAAGCGAAGCCGACGATGGCCTGGCGAGCGAGCGCTTTGAGATCCTTCGACGTAATGCTTCTGGGGATGTTCCGGATAGAAAGACGTGTGAGCGATACATGCAGCGATGGATTTGTTTGAATGAGCTTCTGTCGCTGTTTTGCACTGGACTCACGAAGAGTGACCTCGGAGGGCGAGAGCTTCTCGTACAAAGGAGAGCCTTTGGCAATGGTTCCTTCGGAAAGGAGATAGAGACGTCGCTTGTCCTTGTCACGGCTAAATCGAGCGGCATGGTGGTCTGCCGCAAGACGGGCAGCTTCGTTGCGATCGACCGCGAGGGAAAGTCGGAGAACTCGACCGTCCATGGTGTATGCACCTGATGGATCCGCCTCAGAGTTTTCAAGGACGGAATTGGGAAGTGCAATGTTCGAGCCTTGTTTTTTGTCATTTGATTTGGGTTGTGGCGCGTTGCGAGGTACACCCTTCAAGCAGTTTGTAGCGTCTTCGTCACGAACGAAGGAAACGAAGCCTGTGCCTTTGGGCTTTTCGGTTTGCTGGTCCATGACAACACGGGCGTAGCGTAGTTTTCCGAATTGCGAGAATTGTTCAAATAAAGAGTCGTCATCTGCAGTGAATGGAAGGTTGCGGATGAAAATTGTTCTGAGGTCTTGTTTCGGTGGGGGCGCCTCCGGTTCGATTTTGATGCCGCCATCCTCATCATCTGATATGTCTTCGAGGTCGGTGTTGCTGTCTTCGTCATCCTCGTCTTCGTCTTCGTCCTCGTCCTCCTCATCCTCTTCATCGCTGTCCTCATCAGATTCGGTCAGCACTGAGGATTCGGCGTCCGAATCATCTTCCGCGTCATCAGCTTTGGCCTTTTCTTCTTCTCTCTGAGCGCTTTGTAGATTCTGCCATGTATCCCTGTCCACCGCCCAATCCACAGCAATTGCTCTGCCATCGATCTCCTTGCCATTCAGGTTCTCAAGAGCCTTCTCTGCATTCTTGCGTCCGCGCAACAACACAAAGCCAAAGCCCTTAAGTTCCCCATTCGGTTTCTTCGGCAGCGTGGCGATCGTGACCTTTCCGTAGCTTTGGAATAACTTAGATAGATCTTCGGGTGTCTTGATACTCCAGGGAAGGTTACGAAGAATAAGCTTGGGGGGTTGCTGATCTTTTCGTGCTTGCTCGCGTTCTTCCTTCGCCTTGATCGAAGCGGCGGCGGGAGTGCTCTTCTTGTGTCCGGGGATTTCAGAATCGATATCACGGTGACGAGGCTCCGCAATCTCTACCCTGATCTTACGACCCTGTAGGTCCGCACCATTCAACTCGTCCTTAGCACGCTGTGCGTCCTCCGCGTCTGCGAACGTAACGAAACCATATCCTTTGCACTGCTTTGTGGTCGGATCGAGAACGGCGAGAGCGTGTTTGATAGGATACGACTCGGAGAAGAGCTCGGTAAGATGTTCTGTTGTTACAGAGGGCGCCAGCGAGCGTATGAAGAGCGAGCGGCGCTGTTGGAGGTTTTGCTTGCGGACTTCCTCATCGTTCGGTAAGGGTTCAACATTTGAGGTAGGTTGTTCAGCGTCGACTGTCGCAGTGACAGCTTCTGCGCCGTCCACCGAAAGGCGTTGGCGCTTTATCCTAGGACCCATTTTGTACAATTGCAAATTGATTGCTGTAGGATCGAATTTGCACTGAGAGCATGGGAATAGACTGAACAAAAAAAAAGTTTAGAGGCCAAAGCGCAGAGTCTTGGCACCTGCGGAGTGTGGCCAACCCAAACGGGTAATTCACCATGGGCCGTGCACCATATGTCAGATGCACTTTATACTAACTTCTCAACTCCATAGCATCAAGAACATAACAATTACTCACTGATACGGTCCATCACCTAGCTATATGTGGCATTTGCTCTGGATTCTTCTGCGGGATATGAATTGTATTTCTCTACACAATGGGAAATTCGGCATCACCTCCCCCTCCCCAAAGGCTCGTCCATCTTCCTACCATCGATTCTGTCTCAGATAGGCACGAGACTCACGACATCATGTTACTCCTGCTGTACACTGCGAAATAATGCAATCCCGCCATTACCGCCGCTAGAACTTTTCAAACCTCCCATGTCCTCCGTCAATCCGGCCTTGTTGTAGAATACCCGATTCTTCTCACCACATAGTACACTTGCACTTGTACGCTCTTCATCGGCTTTCCTGATACCCCAATCGACTAGTGCTTTCCCAATGCCCTTGCCTTGGTAATCTGGATGGACTCCGCAGACGTAAAGATCCCAGCACTGAGAATGTTTGCCTGTCCAGTAAGAAGCCGCGCTCTCGACTGCGGAGTTGAGAATCGAAGCACGTGCAGGATCTGCAGCACGATTTGGGAAAAAGTACAGGGAAACGTTGTGATACAACGAGTAGGTCGGAGAGATCAGATTTCCTACCCCATGCTTTAGTATGTGTATGTCGTCTTTGAATTTAGCAAGGCCAGAGCTGGGGAAGGGAACACACTTGGATCGAGACGTGGAAGCTCCATCGCTTTGCCACCATCCCCGATTCTCCTCCAATCTGCCGCGCCGACAATTCTTTCAATACCTTCTTCTATAACCGTAATAACGATGAACTGGTGTCTCCAGTCCCAGAATCGTTCTCTAACTCCCCGGAGAAGGAAATAGTAGACATCTTCAGGGCTCTCTTCTCGATGGGGATGCATCAAGTCTCCAATGACTTCGTCATCAAAGAACGCATAGTACCAACATCGAGCAATAGCAGGTAGATCAGAAGCCGTTGCCAGGCGAAGAATAAGTTCTGGGCTGTTCATGGTTTTGATACTCCGATGCTTCATGAATATTGGCTGACAATCTTACGATAATTAAAAAGGTCGTCCCCGTGTAACATATCAGTGCATTATTTTCCCCAGCTCTTCTGTAGGATAGATGTTGAATTTAGAAAATCAATAGAGTACCTAATGCTTGAAATATTAGAACTTCCCCGCAAGCCCCACCCCTTGCAAAGCATGTGGGGTCCTGCATGGAGCAACAATTTTGGTGAAGAAGGTTTGATTGAGTTAGATAGACAACAACAATAAAAGGAATATTTCACATTTAACATGTGTCAACTGCTCGGAAACAAATATGGTGAGGACGATTCTTTCATCCAAGATCTTAGGGTATCCAGCCATGTCTCGTCCGAGCCACTCAATACTAGGAGTGATCTTTGAAAGAGAAATGCTAATGGTATTGCTCAATTGATATATGTTGCTGTTTTCAAGAGAGAGTTCACTTAGACGTGCATACTACTTGTTTCCTGAACTCAATTGTTGATTGAACCCGGACCGGGTCATCATTACCACAGGCGGTGCATTCAGAGTCCAACGTGTTTTGGCTTTTGTAGGGTGACATAATGGGTAAGGTAGGTGTCTTTATTGAGATGAAGCATCGTGAGAGTCAGACAGTACCTGACCAAACAACCTTTTTCCTCTTCAATCGTAGGTTGAGAGAAAAGACATAGCGAGTGACGAAGAAGTTCGTGAGGTATGAGAGTAAATCCATACTATGGCATTTGAAGAGGGCATTACAGAAATAAGGACAATATGGTAATGACTACTGCATCAGATTGTGTGTTGATTCGAAGAAAACCTCTACCTTCACTACTAGTCTGAAATTTAGGTAGACATGGATCAGTGACCCAGCTCGCCCGTACAATCTCTCTCACTCTCTTCCTCTCTCTGTCCTTCTTCTTCCCATCGAACAAGCTACACACTATCCACACGGCGTCTTTTTTTGTGAGAAAAGCGAACCAGCTAACGAGTAGCCAGATACCAATACCTTTTCCCTCGCTCGTCAGGATTTCTGGAGATATCATTGTCACCTTTCCATTGAGTTGAGGTAAGTGAGAGAATGGGTGAGAGAGAGAGAGGGAGACAGCTGACTAGTGATACCTTTACCTTTACCTTACCTGGGGTGCGAGGACTTGTTTACCTATTTATTCTACCCGTCCTCCTTCACTGCTTCACTCCATCCTTCCATCCACACACACATACACACACTGCTGCACTCGACCTCGTTTTTGCTCGCAAGAAAGGAGCCATAGCTGACTTTTCAATAGATACCACGAATCAGCTCGATCAAGCATCAAGCTCATTGCAGTTGCACCTTTGGCAGCTTTCTTCCTCGTTGAGAGGAAACATTTGGTGAGTTTGACGGCGATGGCGATGTGACGAAGTTTGACGGCGATGGCGATGTGACGAAGTTTGACGGCGATGGCGATGTGACGAAGTTTTACTCAGACATTTGCAGGAACAAATACAGGCCAGGCCTGATATATCAAAGTCCATCTCAACTAAGATGGCGTCCCACCCACCGTGGCTTGCTGCATTGATGCAGGGAACCGCACATGATGACACGGTCATGACTGAGAATGAAGATGGAGACCACGATGACTCCATCACCTTGACCCCATATCTTTCAAGCGCCTCCGCCCCCGAAGCGGAATCAGATCTAACCTACTCCCTTCTCATCGATGCCCTCTTCGAAGCTGGTACAGCTTCACTCCATGCGTATCGAGCCAACCCTGACCGTGCTCAGCGCTTTCGAAACATGATGAAGTACTACACGACGGTTTGCAGAGACAACGAGGCTGCGCTTAAACTTGGAGAAGGCGTCGATCAAAGTGCTGAGCAGTTGAGGGAGTGGATCGATTGGGAGATTGAGGAAGTCAACCAGGGCAGAATGACTGGGGGAGACATGGACCAGGTGGAGGAGGAATTGTTCAAGAGGAAGTTCGTTGCCCCAGTCAAGCAAAACATCTCCAAGTCCTATAATGAGGACATGGGACTACGCGACATCCGCTCTCTATACGCATTAGAGCTGATCAAACTGTCTGATGAGGCTACAACCGCACTTTCAAAGGCTAAAACCGCGGTCCAATGCCACTTCGCCGAAGCCACGTACAGAGCTGGCGTCAAGAGACTTTCCAGGAAATATCCCGGAAGCCCAGAGAATGGTCTCACATTCACAGAAGACGTGAACGCAGAGTTGTCGAAATTGGAGCCTACAACTGAGCAGACACTGACCGCGGAGTCTTCATCCTCGGTTCCCACACATGACCACTATGACAGCGCCGTCCATAATGGACCCCTTGAGGGTCATAGAAGCGCAGCCGGTATTGAGGCAAGCGACTACGATGTCGAGCATAGCGGCTATACCACAGAAACGGCCGCGAGCACCGACTCCCTCCCGGGATCAGCATCCAGCTCTCCAAGGAATGTCCACCACCGCAAGCGTGTTCGCGAAGAGGACCAGCTTGATTCATCTACACAAGAAGTTCTCAGGTACTACTCGTCATCGCCTGAAGATGATTTCAATGAGGTACCTGCCATTCACCGTGGCGCAAGCCGAGAGGAAGTATTTCTTCAAGCTGTCCAATACGTCAGAGATGAATTCCCCGATGTACCCATCATGGACAGACTCGTTGAACATGTGCGAGACAGCTTGGTTCGCCGAGTCTCCGAGAATCCTCAATCCGAGAGACTCCACCACAGCAGTAACAGCCAGAGCCCCGACACCTCCGAGTCGGACGATGAGTCGGTGTACCCTGCATCCGACGAGGAGGAGCATCCCTTCGACTCCCCAGCCTCTGGAGACTCCTTCTCCGCCTCTCCACTCGCCCGTTTCTCCCGCAACGCGGGCGCCATGCTGCCGGCGATCTTTCAGGAGGCAGGCTCGGATAGGGAGCCAGAGCATGGAGGCCTGCAGGGCCAACTACTTCCTGGGGGTTCTCCCACCCCAGGCGCACATGGCCACCGGGGCCTCGGTACCCAGTCATCTCCAATGGAGTTGTCAGACTCGGGTGAGGACTCCGAGGAGGAGTCTGAAATCGAACCACTGCCGGAGCTGGTCCCAGATGTCGAGGGGGAGACAGATCCAGAGTCTCCCCAAGAGCCACTGACCGATGGCGAATACTGATCGGAGCAGCACTGGCGGGAACTACCTTTCGACCTCGACTGAAGGTGGATAGTGAGATGCTCAAGATGTAGAATTGTATAACAAAGCAAGTTTTGAAAGTTCATTCTGAATGCCTACAGTCTATTGAAAAGTGATCAAAATGGTGGTAGAAATATTACCAGAATTATCCTCACTCCCTTTGCTCTCCTTTAGTAGCTTTTGCGTACATTGCCCTCTGGAATTGTTCGTGGAGGGCCAGAACACCAGGAAACATAGGTGGCATAATCTGGCAGAAAGCAACACCACAAATTCCTGCCTTGTGGTCCATGTACTGCTGGTTGTTAACTCAAGCTTCTCTAATAGAGGCAACCTACTTACCCATGTCATACTAGGAACGCCTCCCCAAGTATGAGTACCCGCCAACATTCTCCCTTCCAGATCCTGCTCGACCGTCAAGCCCGCAAAGCTCCACGTCTTCTCGATTTCCTGAGGCAAACTCATGCCCAAGAATTGAGCATGTGCTGGAGAAGAGCGCAGATACTCGTTCAATGCCGTCTTAACTTCATCGTTCAGCTGAGGTCGGAACAGCTCATCATACGATTCAGAGTTGAGAAGCCTGTTGTCCCGTCGCAGAACAGCCTGCAAGAACGTGAAGAAGTCTTGTGCGCTGCCATACCCGCCCCCGCCACCTAAGCAATCGGTACCTCCAAACAACATATCTTGGTCTGAAGCGTCTTTCGCCGGTGCTTCACCTGTCTCGCTCAATGTGCTCAGGGTTGCTAAGCGATCCTTCATGTCCTCCCGTTTCTTCGGATAGAATGTAAGATCCTTGATACCTAGAGGCTCGAAGATCTTTTCGACCATAAACTCCTCGAGCGACTTACCCGTCACCCGTTCGATCAGCTTTCCTGTCCAATCCGGGCTGCCACCATATCGAAAGCTAGTACCAGGCTCGAAAAGAAGTGGTAGTGTCGTTTTGTCCTCAACGGTAGGTCCTGTCCATGGTTGTTCGTTTCGACTCGCACGCCACTTGGCCAGCAGTGGGCTGAACCAGTCGTACTCATAGCCGGAGGTATGGCAGAGAAGCATACTGTTTCCAATTAATTAACGACCAAAGCTCTTGTATTACTATTCGAATTCTTACCGCAACGTGACTGGCGTCTTGTGTTGTTCGTAGATCCCTTCATTCTTCTCGTCGTTCCATCCTGTGAGTATCCCGTATTTGCCTACTTCTGGTAGTGTTTCTGTGACGGGCTTCTCCAATTCCAATAGTCCCGCTTCTACAGCTTGTAAGCAGGCCACTGAGGTGAGAAGTTTGGTCATAGAGGCGATCCAACAGATTGTGTCGAGCTTGAAGGGCTGAGTTTCTCCCTCTTTGAGCGATGCGACACCGTCTGCCTTGGAGTATAGAATGTTTCCTAGAGTGAGGAATGTTGATCATTGATGCTTATTGAAAAGGGATCAGAGTGTGTTACCATCTCGGCCCCCTGCAATGAGTGCGTAACCGCTAATCACAGAGTTCAATTGACGGATTTCGGGGCTGCTGTGCAGAGAAAGGGAAACCACTCACGGCAGGATCTTCTTCTCGATAGCTTCTTTGTATGCTTGGTCGAAAGGCACTGACGCTTCAGATGTAACGTGTCGCGGAGCAACCTTGGTTTCGGAGTAGAACGCCATCTTGTTTGTTTTAAATGCACTGTGAATGATAAAAGACTTAGGGATATTGTGATGTTACAACTTTGGCAATTTATTGTAGGGCACGCTCCTTTATAAGCTCTCTCATTTTCCATGATCGTGGCACAGCCGACACAGTGGGTTTCTGACAGTATGATAAGCCCTATAAAATACTAAGACATGTTGGGTTGTAGAAGATCGAGCATAGGATTCTAATTAAGCCCAATCAGGAAAACCTCCGGTTGACCAATGAGAAGGGGGTTTATCTCATTTCATGTAATTGCTCCAGCTCATGCAGGCCAAATAATGTTATTGCAGTTATTTCACCTTGATTCTATAGAACTCCAACGCAATCCTTCTGTCCTACATCTTGATTGTTGTAGTGAATAATAGGAAAATGTTCAACCTTCCTCCCTGCTTCTCCTCTCCATGCTATCTGTCCAATCGATCTAATATCACACATCTAGGAATGGTCCAATCTTCTCATCCACCCACTCCATATATCTCTTTGCCTCCCCAGTTCCCCCGTCTTCAACTGCTAAATTCGCGAGAACAAGATCCTCTCTCTGCCCCGGATGCCACCTCCCGTCGCAAATCCCATACCTCCCCTCTTCCGCAGCTTCCATCGTCACCTCGTTTGAAAATCCCATCCAAAGATACGTATACGCACCAAAGACAGTATCCCTCATGAAAAACCTGAAGACATAAGAAATAATTGTTGGCGTGAACCTCCAAACGTTGGTAAAGTACGTCCCGGGATTGCCAGCGATGTTAACCACACCAGATTCCCTTCCGTGTTCCCTTGCCAGCTGCGAGGCAGAGAACCACGCAGCCGTCTTCGAGATGGAGTATTTGACGCCTATATTTGTACCTGGAGTCTCTAGGAAAGATGGAGGCACTCCGCCTGTGGGCGCCATGCAGTCTACGACAATGCTCGCGGACCAGACTACCCGCACACTGTCCTTTGGTGCAACCTTTGCGGTTGCCGTGAGAATTGGGAGTAAGCTTCTTTCGAGGAGAACATGCGCTACAGTGTTGACTCCGAGGTGCATTTCGATGCCTTGCTTTGTCCTTTTGTTCCCGGGTACAGCTGCGAGCCCCGCATTGCAAAACAGGACATCGAGTCTTGTCTCCTTCTCTTTAAAGCTCCTAGCTGCGTCTCTCACACTCTCAAGATCTTCCAGATCCAAGGGTACGAAATGCAAAGATCCAAGGTCACTCTTGTCGACATCAGCGTATGCTTCTTCTATACGCTGGATTGCTGCATCGACATTGGCTGGTGTGCGGGAAAGAATATAGACCTTTGCGCCGGCGGCGTAGAGTAGTTTGGTGAGCTCGTAGCCAATTCCGCTGCTTCCTCCCGTCACGATGAAGACTTTGCCCTTCTGTGAGCCTAAGTTCTTCTCTGTAATTGGAGCGCGGTCTTTGGGTGGGAAGATTTGCGTCCAGACTGCTGATAGACTCACGCCCATGATTGGAATGGTGTTGTGAAAGTGGAATACTGCACTGTTTAGGGAAGAAATTCCGTTAAGGCGAGTTTACAAGTTCTGATTCACTCTTTTTAAAGAGATATTCAATTTTTGAGTCCCAAGGAACTGTAGTCGAGCGTGAGGACCAGCACTTCCTCCGCCGAAACGGCGCAGTACGACTGATGTAAGAATGCTGCGGCGTAGCTTCGAGATTTGATAGATCCCGGAGCACTGCGACCTACGCCTGCAGCTACCTACTTGTAGTTGCGCTTATCTTAACGTGCCACAATTTCGCTGAACATTAGAGGGGCAAGATCGTCGCTACTAGTGATCGTTCGCTATAGCGATCGGTCAATTAATTTACTTAGCCTGATAGCGGATGTCGGTGTTGTACTGTTATTATATAAGGCAAATTGCGTTAAGAAGGCAACTTGCATGAGACTGACTGGCCTATCGCCGTTCGAGTTGATGACATGGGAACGATATGACGTACGAACATCTCGGGTCTGGCAAGCCAGAGCGTTGGAAACGTGATCACGGTTGAACTGCATATATAGACATCTACTAGATAGGTAGGTAAATTGGCCGATAACACAATCTATGAAGTAATTGTAACCACCTGTACATTGGTTCCTGTCTAGTTCTCTAAGGCTGTCAAATGCCCATTGACATCATCCATTAACCGATTCATTCTGCCCATTCTAAGTTCCTCCCAGTCTCCCTAAACGCCACGGAAGGCAAAAACCTCATCAGTGTTTCCTCATAGTGCAAACCGGACCGGTCGCCTTCATGACCTGCGCCAACGTCTCATCATCCGCGTCCCACCACTTGTCCAACTTCTTGATATGCCTCCTTGCCAGACCCGCATCCCTATTCCGATACACCGAATCGATTTTCCTCACATCAGTCTTGTCACTGAGAAGCCAGCGCTTGTCCTCAGCATGGAAAGTGTGGTAATCGTAGTCCGCACCATATATGCGCTTGATGTTTGCGACAATATGGTCGTGGGCTTGCTTGGCCATGGCTGCGTGCTTTTGGCCTTCGGCGATTGCTTCGGCTTCGCGGGATTGTGGCCAGATGGTTTTGCCGAAGAAGTATTGAATCGAAGGGGAGGAGGCGACAGCGCTAAGGATCTGGTTCAAGCCGACCTGGGTGAGCGCGCTGAAGCTGAGATTTAGGTAGGCGATTTGCGAACGGCTTATCAGGGTCTGGATGGCGGGCGCGGATTTGTCGGTTATCCAATTGAACCTATTGGGCATGTTAGTGTATCGTGAAAGGTTGTTTTTCGTAGGGTTCTACGTACCTGGCATCGAGATCACGAGTGGCGTAGGTGTGACCAAGTTGCAGCGTCATCAGTGTTGGATGGTCATAAAGCGACTCGCAGAGTGTAATCGTGCCGTCATCAGTTAGGCCAACCGATGTGAGCGATAGGCGGGTGAGGCTCTTGTTGGCAGCCAACCCTACGGCAAGAGCTTCAACACCAGGAGATCCTAGTGGATTACTAGAGGCATACAGAGACTCCAGTCGACAGTGCGGCGAAGCGAGAAAGTTCCGAATCGCGGTAGCACCACTGAGACCAATACCAACGGCATTGAGATAGATGTGGCGAAGAGGAAGTGGTTGTTCCCACGCAGCCAATTTGGAGAAGAGATTGGTGACACCAACATCACCCAGCTCGGTCTGATCAAGATCCAAAGTGCGGAGGTTGGGCGTTTCGGTGATTAGTCGAAACAGGTCATCTGCAGACGACGGTCCCAATGGATTGCGCTTCAACCAGATGTTCGTGACTGTGGAAGACTTCACAAGCTGATCGACCAACACTTTGAAGCTGGTTCCGTCGATGCAATTGCCCGCCAAATACCAAGTGTCAATACGGTCTGGGTACTCCTGCAGAAACTCGGCGATACACTTCGCACCGTATGGTCCGATGATGTTATTGCCGAGCAAGAAGTGGGTGATGAACTCATTGGACTTCAAGCTCTCCAAGAGATCTTTGATATTCGTTGGACCGAGCACCATTTTGCATAGGTCCATTCGACGGTCAGAATATACGACACCTCTCTCGAACTCAAGAGCATCCACCTCATAATGAGGCTCCTGGATTCGAGATGAGCTCTCAGTGGCTGTCGTTGACGAGGCCTGCTTCTCGGTACCACCGACTCTGAGGTGATCAAAGAAGGGCTTCAACGTCTTGGGTTCCGAAATTTGAACTGGCATAGGCAAACTAGGCGACCCGTCAAGGGAAACGGGGTCCTTGAGAGGATCCCAAGGGCCTTGCTCGATGATACGATGGCGCCAACTGTATTGTTCGTTCTCTTTGGTCGCTGTATCGATGGCCCGTACTCTTTGCTCGACCACGTGTCTGCGAAGCTTGACGAGGTCCCTTTCGTATTTGATGATCGGTGCCAATGAATGATCGGGCGCAGGGTACAGCAACTCGGCAGCTTTCTCAGCGATGGCAGCACTGACGGGGTCCGCGGCTTTTCGGCGAGGTGCATCCATGATGCTCTCATCGATGGCTATGAAGTTCGTGTTCGCAACTTCGCCTGCATCATCGTCGACATCGTCCTGCGCCAATGTTGAAGCAATTTGTCGAATCTTGTCTGCCCACAATATGGCTTGGTCCAGAATACTATCCTGGGAGGAAAGCTGTAGAAGAGTTGCTGAAGCCATGATGTTCAGATGCAAATTGATATTGGAGTTGTGAAACCGGCTGGGAGCCTAGGGAGTTTTTATAGTTGTCAATAGGGGTTGTAAGACAATGTCTCGAAGACAGTGTCTTGCTGTTGCCATAGCCACGTCACTTCAACTTTCTTTTTTGGAATCTCATCGAATTCGTACGAATAGAAGTTATTCTATTCAGCGGGCAAACAATCGGATTTGAGCACTGCTGCAAGGGCGTGAAGGGCGCCCCGGGCGCGTGGTAGGTTTGGTGGGGAGTCACAATCGTGCGAGTGCACGTGCTTCACGGTTGCCTAACAAACAAAGAAAGTGAATAGGCGGGATCACAAACATCGCTTCAAGTTCGACCATCATCAGCTCAGATAGTCGACGACCAATGATTGCACCCAACACGTGTATCAAGAGACGAATAATTCGATCCAGCAGCAAAGATAGGATGAAAGCAATTCACGGCTCACGCCACCTCGACATCGCCTTCGAATGTGGGCAAAATGCCGTGCTGTAATGTACTTAGTTGAACAGAATACCAATATTAACACCTGTGACAGATTACGTTCTGACAATCACATCTTAAAATCCCCATCTCCTTTTACTTTCCCATAATCCAGAATCCATAGTGCTCCAACTTCTACAAGGTGCCCACGGATGCCCGGGTTCACATGTTCGCCTCACGCTCTAGAACCATGTGTTGAGCCGCACATTGAGACCCAATCCAGCCTCGGGCAGCCGCAGACGAATATTTAATATAAAGTAGCACCATTATCGACATCATATTTGTCTTACTCAATATTCACAACTTCCCTTGGGGGCTATAGTGCGACCAGGTGACATTGGCAGAGAGCAAAATCCGGGGAGTCGGCACGGGAAGAATCGCTGATTGGAGGGTCGTGCGATGGATGCTTGTCAGGCCCAAATCCTTCGATGTATAAGTTGAAATACGACTTGGCAGCATTCGTACTTTGTATGTATATGTATGATGGGGAGGAAGTACTCCCTTGATTGCGGTTCTTCAATTATGTTACAACCATGGCGGACGTTGACAGAGCTACATTGGATCCGCCTCCGCCATATTCGGAGGCAGTAGCTACTACGCCAAAGACACAAGGCGGCGCATTGCCGAGTGTATCGCAATCTCAAGCAGCTGCTCCCACGCCTAACAAAAAGTCATTATGGAAGAGACCGGTAATGATACCTATAGTACTACTGGGGGTTGGGGTAATCGTTGGAGTCATCGTCGGGACAGTAGTTGGCGCCAAACGTGTCAATGCGAGTAACGCGTGAGTGGTAACAATACGAAACGATTCCAAAGATTTAGGATTGACAGATATTATTAGATCAAGTTCTCGATTGCAATCGGGTGTAACGTCTTCGTATCCTTATTACTATTATCCTAGTACTACAACGACATACATATCGAGCTCGACTTATTATTACGACTACCCTACCGAATCACCAAACCCAGAACCGCGACCAATGTTAAATAACCAAAGCATCATTCCTCGAACGTTTGGCGGAGCCTCTGAGTCGCCATTCGGTCTGACCGCCTGGGACCTGAAGGAAGACGGAACATTATGGATTGAAGAAAGCAGACAAGGCGAATGGATCAAAGTGCTCGACCAGAAGTTCCTGCTCGCCCCGATAGCTGTCAAGACCGGCGACGGCACCCAGATGGCGGTTTCAGTCGACGCAATTACTGGCCAAATAGTGGTTGCGTACTTTAGGGATGGTTCGTGGGGGAGGGGATGGGAGGAGGTCTCTAGGCCTGTTCGCGCACCCATTCTGACTCGTCCAACCGCAGTGTCTCGAGGTAACGGTGGGATTGATATCTTCGCTATTGACTCGATGGGCGAAATGTGGACTGTCTCGCAAGACAACGGCTTCTGGAGTGAGTTCGAATACTTGGGCTCCGAGTTCACTGGCGAAGTGTCTGCGACGTCATGGGATGAAAAAAGGATCGATGTCTTTGCCAGACGCAACACCTGGATTTATCATCTGTGGTGGACAAATGAGGGAGGCTGGTCGAACTTGTGGGAAGAGCTAGGAGAAGCGTATGTCATCGAAGATACCGATTTCTCGCCGCCGCGGGCAGTATCGTGGCGTTCTCCCGAGGGCGACGGAATAATCGACGTTGTGGTCAACTCTGGTTCGACTTACCACAAGATGTTCAGCAATGGTGCATGGGGCAATGACTGGGACATCGTACCGGCAAGCCATGAGGGAGGGGTACTTCCACATACAATCAGCGTTGTTTCTGGGGATGGTGTGGATGAACGACCATTCGCACACATGATGGCTCGAGGAGACGACAACTGTATCCATTACATCTCTCATAACGGCACCGAATGGGATTCCTGGGTCCCTCTTTGGTGTGGTGAGAACGGTGTGGATCGCGAGATTATAAGCCATATGGCGACAAGTATCATCAGGGGCGAAGATGGTGTTGTCGATTGTATAGTACGTGACTACAGTGGAGACTTGATGCGCTATCAGGTGAAAGGGCATCTAGATCCAGAAGGCTTGCCGCCGTTTAATGACGACTGGGAGATATTAGGGGCGGGTGGGTGAGACAAGAGTTGGGGGCTTGAGTTGAACTAAGAGGAGAATTATGATGCCCTATTCCCAGGGTAGGAAACTCCAAACTCCCATAGGAGCTGAAGATCCACAGGAGGACTCATTCATCTTTTTCTGAATGTGTCCGATGCATTGACGGCCAAAACTAGGAGACCCCGGAAACCACACTTCGGTGGGGAGAACGTCGCTGCTGTGCATGGAAGATTCTCAGTCCAGAAGACCGGCGAACAAGTCTGGAGGGAACTATTTCTTCACATTCAATGAGATTCCATAAAGAGGGAGAGAAGAGTATTTCAACATCTCAATTCAGAGTCGTTGGACATTCGATTGCCTGCCAGAAGATGGGAGAAAGCTTCACATATAGGCCTAAATGATTGGCATACTCTATAATTATACGTCGTAGCAAAAACATTCCAATGTCTAAGGCTTGAAAAGTACAGAACAGCTATCGCCGTCCTCAAACTTGATAGTAGATAGGATCAGTTTAATACCATAATTCAATGCGGAATGCTCATTGGTTGGAGCGCACGGACGGGGTGCGTCCTAGATCAACTGCAAGCTTCACTCGACATTTCCGAATGTTTAAACATTTCCCCAATAACAGCTCCCAGTGTTCCAAAAACCCCTCCCTCGCAATCAGCATTGATCCTTCTGTTACGCCAGAAACCTCAATAAGACCATAACCTCATCCACCCACACCGGTGTCTGGAGTTTTCCCCCGACCCACTTTCCACCCAGGAAAGCTCACCACCAGGCCTGTAACCGCGCCTCAGAATCCACAATCCACAACCTCACATCCTCCATCCACCATGGCCTTAAACGCCTACCTCAACAGTAATCCTCCCCCTCCTTCCCCCACTGCCATTCCCCTCTCCGCCCCCCCCTCCCCCAACTAACCCCCCGCAGAAAAAGTCTCCGTCCTCACACTCGACGGTCGCACAATGGTCGGAACCCTCCTCTCATGCGACGGCTCCATGAACATCGTCCTCGCCGACGCAGTCGAACGCATCATCCGGCCCCTCGACGACGAAGGCACGCCGAGCGAAGAGGTCCCGCTGGGCCTGTACATCATAAGAGGGGATAGCGTGGCGCTGTGTGGGCGGGTGGATCTGGAGGTCGATGGGCAGATTAATTGGGAGAAGGTGCATGGGGATGTGATTGGGACGACGAAACATTTTTGAGGGCGAGGGACTGTGTGCGCGGGGAATTTGGAGTTTTGGGAGGGAGGGGAAGATACTGGGGGAAGAGCTTGCGCGTGTAGGAGCTTTAGCCTGGGGATGGAGGGAGAAGGAGCATAAAGGGCCTGAAAATGATACCCACGAGCGAATAGAGATATACGGAGCGTATGTCAACACTTCAATATTGACGGACGGAGAGCTGGTTGTAATTGCTAATCTTCGCATTTCGAGAGCGAGAGAGAGAATGGCCCGCTGGAAATTTTGTAATGATCAATTGAAATTATGGAACAACGTCAGGGACCTGCAATGATGCGTGCCGTGCCACACACCCGTGAAAGAGAAGCAAAGAAAGAAATTTTTCCTGTTGATTACTCCTGTTAATCTGATCTGAAGGCCTATTGTTATGTTGGTATCATCACTCGCTTTTCATTCCCCTCCTTTGCGACGGTCAGAATGGAGCTTCCTCCATTCCATGTCTCTACTGTATACTTCTCCCAACACCCACATCCGTCCCCACGATCGCCTTATGATCCCCCGGATTCGCCGCAGCCTCATACAGCACGTTCACCGGCTCCTTATTCAGCTTCATGAAGTCGCCCTTGAACCCGAGATAGCTAATTCTCGTCTCATCCTCCTCGCCACCGCTCCAATTATCCTCGAAGAAGAGCGCGAGGCTCCGCGTTGTGTTGAAGTACGCACGCTTCACGGGGATCTCCTGGACCTCCGAGGACTGCGAGACGGAGAGTTCCTGCGTGGGTTCCTTCTCGGAGGCGGTGTCGAAGTCGATGTCATCGGCGTTTACGAAGACTTTGAGGGTCTTGGGCGAGTGGTCGGATTGCGAGGTGCGGATTAGGATTGAGTGGAGGCGGACTTGGCCGGTGAATCTGAGTTTGCGGAGATGTTGGTCAGTGGGTTGTGGTCATTGATGATTGATGAACCTTGTTTTGGGTGCAAGGGCAATTTTGGAACTTACGGGATTATCATGAGGAGCTGTTCATCTGCACTGCTCTTGAGCTCTGGCTCTGGGTCTAGTCTTTGCATCCATGTTTTTTGGCAGATTGCGCGGCCGGAGTTGGAGTCGTCTTCGTTAAGGGTGTGGAGCTTGCTGAAGTCTATTTGTTCGTAGAGGAGGTTCTGGAGTGCTGGTGTGATGTCATCGCTATGGTCGTGGACGTGGTCGTGAGCTTCGGCGTGCTCATCGTCATGGCCGTGACCATGGTGGTGATGGTGATGCGACATGTTTGTGGTGGGATGTGATGGCGGGGTAGCTTGAGTTGGTGGGGATCGTATAGTTTGATGTGTATGTTCGATCAGGTCTGAGTTGTGGACAGCAACAGCATGTCAAAGCGGGTTGTAAGATGTGGATTGTTTGCTACATGTATGTCCTTAAGTAAACTTTCTGGTGTGGATCAACACTGTCATGTGCAGTGACGTGAAGTGCGAAACACACCGATGCCTAATTGAGCGATTCGCGCTTCACTGCATTATGTCCCATCAAGAGCACATGGACAACCAACTTCACTGCTACAAATCAGATGGATATTCAAATGCATATGTACGGAATAAGACGAAATCCAAATGCGGCCGCCTGATCTAGTATGTCCAAATTGGACACTCCATAACGCCTCGCTGCAATGCCTCTTGAGTATTGAAATTGTAGATCGCAAAATGTCATCAAATCATGCGGGAATGAGCTCTCGTTGCTGCTGCTCGGCAGCTCTGTCGCGGGCTCTCTTCTTTGCTCGCTCTTTGGCGATCTCTGCCTTCTGTGCATCGGTCAATTCGATCTTGTTCGCAGGCGCGGTGGGTAGATCGATGCCCGAGAGTTCGGCTTCAAGGGCTTCCAGCTCATCCTCAACCTCGTCCTCGTCCTGGTTGGAGAGATTGTTCGCCAGCATATTGCTGATTTCCTGTGTATATTTGTGTTAGCACAGCCAAAGTATTGTAGGTTTACAATTGTCCTCCATACCTCTTGGTAAGCGCGTGCCTCTGCATTCTCCTCGAGCAGTTTCTCAACCTGTTCCACCCCGCCCATTTCCTTATGAATCTCCTTCAGCACCTGTGTTCCTTGCTGCAATCCGAACATAACATCCTTCTGCAACTGCGCAAACTCTACGTCATGCGTCAACTGCTCGAGCTGCGCCAACTGCGCATCTGCCTTTGCGAGCAATGACTCCTGGTATTTCTTGCGCCGGAGAGCAAGCTTCGCCTTCTTCTCGTCGCCTCGTTTCAGACATTCCTTTGCGACTGCCAACTCGCGGTCGGTGATAACGGTAATGCGCTTCTGGTATTGGTGTAGCTTATCTCGCTGGTTCTTCATGTCCAGGATAGCTCTGAGATTGAGTCAACATCCACTCTATGAGACTTCCTACTCGCTATTTCAGGCACATACTTATCCTGGGCAGAGATCTTGTTCGTGCTCCCCGAGTTCCCCATGATTTCATGGCTATGGGGTGGTGTATCTGGGGTGCAATGTAGTTTGTTGAGACTTGGGAGATGTGATGTGCCATGGTTTCGCGCGCGTGCCCTACCAGCCGGTACAATGATGTCGACAGCGCAGGGACCGTGCATTATCGATAAGCAAAATAGGGTACAATGTCTTGGCATCAACTTTTTTTCCGAGTTTCCTTTGGAGATGCATCGCCGAAGCACCTCCGCAAAATCGTCAAGTTCTGTTTAATAGCGTTCACGCAAGAAAAGCAAGTTACAAGGGTTCTTTAAAAGGAAAGAGCGTAATAGGTTATCTCGCTATTTTCTGAAACTGCGAGACAGCACTCAAAAATGGCTTCACGAAGTCGTGCGACTTTACAGCAAGGTCTCGACAAGGAAGTGTATCAAATCGTCACAAAGTTCATAGAGGAACGAAATGAATCGCCACTCAAGATAAAATCTTACACTCTATACGACTGGATCAAGGGTTCGAACAGCAGTCTAAAAAGGAGACCCAAGAAACAATTAGAGGATTCTATCGACCGCGTACTGGCCGTCCTGCAAGAGGACGAATCCGGAGAAGATGAATTGGTCGAAATGGAGGGCTTCGTCGAAGAGGTCGCAAAGAAGGAGAAGAAAAGCCACTCGACAGATTTGATGAATCGGTCCATTGTCAACTCCTGGGCCGTGTCATCGGGGACCGCCACCCCAACCGGAGAGAAGAGCAAGAAACGCGACGGATCTAAGGTCAATGGCGAAAGGGATGCTAAGAAACCGAGAAAAGAGAAGGACGGCCAGAAGATCAATACATCACCGCCAACGCATCTTAGCCTGGAGGATGTAGGTGGTGTCGATGATGTCAAAGCCCAATTAAAGGATCACCTCGTCATGCCATTGCTCCGACCTGAAGATTACGTGCGAAGGGGCATTCCAATTCCCAGGGGTATCCTACTTCACGGCCCCCCAGGTTGCGGCAAGACTGTGATTTGCAGAGCGTTTGCCGCAAAACTCGGGGTTCCTTTCATTGAAATTCTCGGCCCTTCCGTTGTTTCTGGCATGTCGGGAGAGTCGGAAAAGCAGATTCGGGAGCATTTCGAAAGGGCAAAGGAGGTCGCCCCGTGTCTCATCTTCATCGACGAAATCGACGTGATTGCACCCAAGCGAGACACGGCGCAAAGCCAGATGGAGAAGCGAATCGTCGCACAGCTCCTGATATCTATGGATGGCCTGGCGATGGAGTCTAACGATGGCAAGCCAGTCATTGTACTAGCCGCTACAAACCGACCGGACAGTATCGATCCGGCTCTCCGACGAGGAGGTCGCTTCGATACTGAGATCAACATGGGTGTTCCTAACGAGGGAATGAGAGAGCTGATTCTCAAGGCGTTGACTCGAGGGCCAAAGTTGGACAACGATGTGGAATTCAAAGCACTGGCAAAGATGACTGCAGGTTTCGTCGGAGCAGATCTTCGCGATCTTGTGAGCAAAGCAGGGACATGGTCGATGAATCAGTATATCAAGGCATTGGAGAGGCAAGCCGCAGAAACTGTTACGGAGATGGACATCGACGATACACCTGCTGTTACTGTAGGCTCTGAGATGGACCGCTCAATTGACAGACTTGTCCAACGTGCGCGTGATCAAGAGATGCCGGTGCCTGAAGGATACGAGGACGAGACGATTAGGATGGAAGCTTTCACGGCTGTTCTACCAAGCATCATTCCTTCCTCCAAGCGAGAAGGCTTTGCGACAATTCCAGACACCACATGGCGGGATGTTGGTGCATTGGAGAATGTTCGTGAGGAACTACAAATGGCTATCGTGGAGCCGATCAAGAACCCTCAACGCTACAAGAAGGTCGGCATCTCCGCGCCAACAGGTGTGCTTCTATGGGGCCCACCAGGTTGCGGAAAGACTCTATTGGCAAAGGCCGTCGCCGCGGAGTCCAAAGCGAACTTTATTAGCGTGAAAGGACCAGAGCTGCTCAACAAGGTAAGTCAGCTGCTCGCCCACCCCTACTGCTTTCAATCGTTGCACGAGCTGACAAAATATAGTATGTCGGAGAGTCCGAACGTGCCGTTCGACAAGTCTTCACTCGAGCACGCAGCTCCGTTCCTTGCGTTATCTTCTTCGATGAACTTGATGCTCTGGTACCACACCGTAACAGTGAACAGTCGGAAGCCTCCGCCCGTGTTGTCAACACGCTGCTCACCGAACTCGACGGCCTTTCTACCCGAGAAGGAATTTACCTTATTGCAGCTACCAATCGACCCGAAATGATTGACCGTGCCATGCTTCGTCCAGGACGACTAGAAACCCTACTTTACGTGGAATTGCCAAAACCAGAAGAGAGAGTGTCTATCCTTCGAGCGCTTATCCACAAGACCCCCGGCATGAGCCTCGAACTTGCGGAAGTCGCCCGCAGAGACGACTGCAAGGACTTCAGTGGTGCAGATCTAAGCGCCTTACTACGGAGAGCAGCACAGCACTGTCTCCGGGCTGGCAGAGACATGGTGGAGGCGATTGATCTTGAGGTTGCGGCAAAGCATATCAAGCCCAGTGTCGGCGATATCAAAAATTACGAGCGATTAAGGAAGGAATTCGAGACAAAATTGTGGTAGATCACTATTTAGGTTGTAGTCTAACTAATCAACATTTTCCCATCGCGGATACTACTTTCTTTCTCTATGCCCGCAAGTCTATGGTGAACATGACGTCCATCTCTCCCAAACCACCCTCCCTCACAATCAACCCGCACCCGTTCAAGCACAGCAGCGGCACAGCGTCCCGAAACCTCTCGCACGTGTCCCTGCCCTCAACTTAACCCGGTCATCGGCTCCTCGCTGCAGTACAACCCACGAACCCATCCGGTGCAACACTGCAACGACGGACAACCCGCCCGGGCGTCGCGTGGCAGGTTCCCAATAGCTCTGCTACCCTTGTTCTTAATTCGAAGGTGTGCTGCGCATCGGTGAGTGGCATGCAGGCCAATCGTACGAAGAGGTTTGCTGGGGATGGGTGGAATGGGTAAGCATGCGGGGGCGGTGTTGGGGGGCGTAGGGTAAATAGAAGACGGCGGAGGGTTGATTAAATGGTTTTTTTCGTATAAGCAGTGGAAGGTGAGGCTGAGAATGACATATCGTCAAACAGTTGGAAAAATAATTAGTATATGTAAGCCTGCGGTATCATTGTTGCTAAAGTACGAAGCATTGGAGAGGTGTTTGTATCGGAGTTTCAACTGTGACTGCAAGTATTTTGTAGAAGGCTTGAACTTTGAGGCGACCACACTTCTAGAACAATTCCAGAATACGCCAACAAATCAAGTGTCAAATGACACTGCATCTTTTTCACCAAGCATATACCACCTCCCAAATATACACCAAAGCGGGCGTTGCCCAGCTGTAGATCAACCCCTGTCATCCCAATCGGGCGTTCTCTCAAGGGGAAAACTAGTTCCTCCTGCACTCGTACTCGTGAGTGAGATAAGCTGAGTCAAAGTTCGGATTCAACACACGAATCACCATGACGCAAATCTGCCACGAAAGACTGCTTAGGACTTATCGATTGGAAATATTCCAGAAAAAAATGGACGGATGAATGTCATGCGGTCAGTGCTCCTGTACGGGTGGATCAGGCGCCCTGCCCGTTAGATGCTAGGAGTGGATATGCTCGAGTGTCACGGTGTGCATCGCCACAGTTCGTGGTCGACGGACGAGGAATCTTGGGTTTTGGTGATTCTTGAGGACTGTCTCATCCAAGCTGGGTTGTGCTAGATGCCGGAGTGATTGAGTAAAGATGCAGTCATTGCTGAGCATCCACGAACGAATTATATGCTAAGTTCCTGTAGAAGTGAACACCCCGTGCCACTTTCAATGCTAGAAGGGTGTTTCCTTGAGCACCAGACTATGTGATCTCAGCATTGGGGGGCGAATCATAGGGCACAACTTCGTATTCGAGATGTAAGCCCAGGCTGGGAAGCAGTTCACTCCAGTTTTTGGTGAAGGTGGGATAGGCAGATATGGTGATCCGTGCATTGTGCAGGGCATTCACAATAACTGATTTTTCACATACCAAAGTGAATATCTATTATATAGGATCTCCAGATGAATTGACATAGTTGTCTCGCGCGACGCAAGTTGTCTGGTTTGCAACTTCAACGCCTTCGCCCCCCTTGGATATCGTGGCTTATATACTTCGTGGATGTTGGTGTGTATGCAACTATACGCCCGTCTGCTTGTGCTGACTGGACTTTCTCAGGGACGAGAGAAGTTCTACAGGTCTTGTTCCATTACGCCCTGATAAGCAGTTTATCACTCCCACGGCGGGTCCTGATCCTTCGATCGAGTCCTGATTCATACTCTACAATTCAACTAGATTTTCGCATACATTTTCTGGAGGCTTTTGAGCCCACTCAACTTTTAGACGTGGAAGAATACAATTGCTCATCAGACGAATATGATGGGACCACGTATCGATGAAATGATGTGTTCATCATTCGAACAAGATCAGAAAGATAGAAGCCAAGTTGTGTCGAGGAGAACCAGGCGGAGTCGTACTGTCAAACTCAGGTCTTTTGAGGAAGAAACGAGGCTGGCTTACAATGCTCGCATCTCGCGGCTTAGGAGCACCGAGTACCCCATGATTAACGGTATGTATGAACGGTGACAAGTTCACATCTTCAACTAACTGTGATAGGCACTACGTACCTTGACCATGCAGGAACGACACTGCCAGCGCGATCTCTCATGACTCTGTTTTCCGATACCATGCAGGTCCAACTCCTAGCAAATCCACATTCTTCTTCACAATCTGCTCCGAACTACTCACATGTTATGATCGAAGAGACTCGGAAGAAGGTCTTGGACATGTTTGGCACAGATTCGGACACATACGAAGTTGTATTCACAGCCAACGCAACCGCTGCAGTTAGACTTGTTGCCGACGCATTTGCTTGCCAGCAGCAAGGCTTCGAATACTACTACCACCAGAACTGTCACACAAGTCTTGTTGGAGTTCGGGAGCTGGCGAATACTAGCCACTGTTTCCAGTCAGATCGAGAGGCCGAGTCGTGGATCCATGGCCAGTCACCACATAGTGAGATGGATGATACAATCCCGACCTTGTTCGCTTACCCAGCCCAATCGAACATGAACGGTCGCCGGCTTCCAATCACATGGGCATCTAATATCCGTTTCAGTCCTGCTCATCGAAACACATACACCCTTCTCGACGTAGCTGCCCTAGTCTCCACGAGTCAGCTTGATCTAAGTACAGATGACCACTCGCCAGATTTCGTCACACTTTCGTTTTACAAGATCTTCGGGTTCCCTGATGTTGGAGCATTGCTGGTCCGTAAACCGGTCTCCCATATATTCAATCAACGACGGTACTTCGGCGGGGGTACCACGGAGATGATCACCTGCGACGAAAATCATTGGGTTGCTAAGAAGCCCCGTCTCTGCGATAGACTGGAGGACGGCACATTACCTATCCGCAACATCCTCGCCTTGAACATTGCCATCGACGCACACAAGAACCTCTTCCGCGGATTCGATTCGATCTCCAAACATACAACATGGCTCGCCAAATCGCTCTACGATCGACTTTCACAGATGAGACATCAGAACGGTATCTCGTTGTGCAGTATCTATCTCGATCCCGACTCAACCTATGGAGACCCGACTACTCAAGGTGCAACAGTGACGTTCAACATCCGAAGGCCTGATGGATCGTGGATCAGCAGCGCTAGTATTGGGGAAATGGCGTTGAAGCATAACATCCTTATTCGGACAGGGAGCCTGTGCAATCCAGCAGGGATGGCAAATGCTCTTGGTCTTACATCTACCAATATCCGCGATGCGTATGATAGCGGCTTTCGATGCGGGCAGCCGAACGATGTGAGGTTCGGTGTACCGATGGGGATGGTTAGAGCCAGCCTTGGACCCATGAGCACAGTCGAAGATGTTGACGTTTTCGTCAAGTTTGTGGAAACCTGTTATTTGGATGGGAATGGGCCACATCAAAGAGATATCAGTGATTTGCTTGCGGTAGCTGACTCAGAACACGGTGAGGAACTGTTGCCAAAGAAGAAGCAAAAGAAATCTTCTAGAATGCGGCATAGATTTCCGAAATGGCTTGGGTTTTATTGACAAGATCATCAACAGCGTACTGAAATAGAGGAAACAAAAGAAGAGGAAGTCTTTGAATACATCAGCGCAAACAGGCGGCATCCGGCTTGCTCTTTTGGGTGTTTAGATACATAGATTTCAAACATTACAATGAATCAGAGAGAATACAATGGTTTCAGTGTTTGTAAAATGGTTGCTAACTAAATGAGCAACGCGTCCAAAAATAATAGTCGCGTTGTTCAACTTTATTTCACTACCTTTACCTTTACCATTCTCACTCACGTCCACAACCAACTTCGTCCACAACCAACCTCTACAACAACGCGATTCAAAGTGTTGATCACACAAGTTTCCGCCGACACGGAAAACGATCACGCTACTATGGAAGACGCGTGGGCAGCTGGGCTTGAAGCCCAAAAGACGATTCTTCGAGAAGCAGAGAGGCGGAAGGGAGAAAAGCCCAACGACCTCAAGTCTCGCGAAGAGAGTCTTCGGTGGTTCTCGAAGAGCGTGAGGGATGCCATATTTGGGGAAGACACATGGCATCCCTTGGTGAGACTCTCGTTCCTGACACCTACCTATCCGCCATGCACCACCCCCCTCGCCCAGCTTGAGCCCATCACCATCGAAGATCTTGGACTAGAAACCCATCATCGAGGAAGATACATCGCTCTCCGCGCAATCACCCCACCCCTTCAGAAAGACACGGTGGTTGCTATTGCTGAGGACGTACTCGATCGTGTTACGATCCTTCAGCTCTGCCTCCAAGAGGAGGAAGGTGTTCGCACGGCGGGTGATATCATCAACGTAGGCACTGTCGTTTTGGTGAAGGAACCCTTCTTCAAAATCACCGAGACTGGTGATTATGCTTTGCGCGTGGACCACCCCTCCGACCTCATCTATGCCAGCGAACTCAACGAGTTATACCCTCGTGAGTGGCGACAAGACGTCCCAACGGATGCAAAGATGTACAAGGTGGCTGGTGACTTGGCCATGGGAAACAACAAGTATTGGAAGGCGATCGAAGCGTAAGCGTCTATCCAGGGTTCCGTCAGTATTGGCAAGGCTTATATCGTTCACTAGCTACACAAACGCCCTTGTCTCCTCCACTGATCCAGATGCTATTGCAATCATTAAGCGCAATAGGTCACTGGCGTACCTCAAAACCCATCAATTTGATGCCGCACTTCTAGATTCGGGCTACCCCAATTTTGGTCCAAAGCCATCTGAGAAGGCGTTGTTCCGGGCAGGTGAAGCCCTCTACTCACTACAGCGGTTCGAAGAATGCCGCCAAGTCCTCGAAACTCTACACACGGAATATCCTCAGAACCCTTTGGCAAAACCTAAGCTTGAGCGTGCTCAGAACCGCTACGTAGAGATGGATACCGGTGTTTATAATTTCAAAGCCATGCAAAGGGACGTCCATGACCACAATGCGCCGGATCTTGACTATGCCACCTACATTGGACCCGTCGAGATCAGAGAATCCATCGGTAAAGGCCGTGGTCTTTTCTTAACAGAATATGTGAAGGCTGGAGCGTTGATCCTTTGTGAGAAAGCGTTCGCTCGCGCTCACGTCCCACAGACGCCAGAGCCCGGTTCGATCACTACTATGCTTATAGATCCATTTAAGGATATTCGCCACGTTCATGGCCAAGCCGAGCTTCAGCAGATGGTTACGCAAAAAATCTACACCAACCCATCACTTGCTTCTCGATTCACCACGTTGCATTGCGGCACGTACGAGACAGTGAACGAATCTGTCGTCGACGAGACGCCAGTAGTTGATGCGTAAGTTCAGTATTGATCGTAGCAGTAGGAGTCATTTCAAAATTAATCCGATGAGCTTGGTAGATTTCTCGCGCATGCAATTACCTGGTTGAATATGTTCGCATGCCCAATCTCTAGCTTGCACTCACACCGACAAGACATGGAAGAGGAAACCCGGCAAGGTCCAACCCCTTTGTCTATCCTACATGGCAGACACTCAGTCGGCATCTGGACTCACGCGTCATACCTCAACCACTCATGTACCAGCAATACTCGCCGCTCTTTCATTGGCGACATGATGATTGTAAGGGCGACCCGTGACTTGGACGCTGGCACCGAACTCTCTTTCTGGTATCAGGTTCCTGACTTCCAGCTTTCGCCCACCCGGGGAAGTCAGCAAGAAAGACTGCAGAGCTGGGGATTCACTTGCACGTGCGCCATCTGCCAGGACGAAAACCACACGACCACCGCTACCCTAGAAGAGAGAATGAGGATCATTGTCGGACTGAAGCGGGCATATTTCGCACCTACAGAAGACAAGACCAAGACTCAAATCATCAAACGACAACTGAAAGCGCTGAACGCAACCTATACCCAACCCGCTGAAGATGTTCCTCGTCTCTTGGTATGGCAATCCCAGCTCGAGCTGGCACAACTGTATATCAAGCGACAGAAGCCCGAAAAGGCGTTGAACGCAGCGCGGGAGTTCTTCACGTCTCTCGGATACCGTGTCGTTGGCTTGGATGCGACTACGTCCCGCTTCGAGATACTGAGATGGGGCCTGTTCCAGGACCGCTCGATTCAGGCGTTCTTTGTGATATACAATGCCTTCCTCGAATTGCAAGATTGGCAGAACGCAAAAGTTGCGGCTAAGTACGCCATGACCGCTGTCAAAGTCGTTGTTGGCGAGGACGATTCGCTTGGACTTTAAATCTTTCATAGCGGTTAGCGAAGAGGATTGAGCAGCACACGTGGCACCGCGCGGCCTGGGGACTTGAAGTTGCTTTTTCTCTTTACCATTGTGGTTTGGTATTGAATTGGGGGAAAGGATTTTGTGATTGAAAGAGCACGGTAGTCAATTGGTAGATGCTTTGTGGCTGCTGTCGAGAAGGGTTATGTAGGAGATTGCGATGAGTCCTCCTGCACCCAATTGTGCTTGATGACAAGCTGGTAGATTTGTGGAAAAATTCCAAAAAATTCTTTTGTTCAGAGAACATATCATAGTCACCCCAGGAACAACAGAGAAGCATCAAACCCTCGTGTCATCCAACCCCGCCAAGTCCCATCAACGTTCACGACCCCAACCCCAGATCCCTTGCACACGCGTCTTACTGCATGCGCAGTCACGGCACACCTGGCCAGGCCAGGTCCCTGCGGTGCACCTTCGCCCCGAACACGCAGCTCATGCTTTCCGTCCACCTGGTTCGTCGAACATCCTTGCCATAGTAAGCCCATTGTTTCTGAACTGACTCCAGATGCACTCGTGCGAGCGTTGGGAGGAGGGCGGTGGGAGTTGATGGCGGCGGCGAGGGAGTATTGGATGTTCTGAATGGGTTGTTTGGTGGCTTTTGCAATGGATTTGGGGGTGCAAATGTATAAATCCTATACTGAACCTGTTTCTCACCGTTCATTCATGCTAAGAAAAAACGTGTGCGAACTTAGGTGTTGAGGAAATATCATACAGCTTCAAGTCCACACCTTGCGATTCCACATGTCTACAGCACAGCACTACTCCCCCCTCCTAGATCTCCCCCTCGAAATTCGCGAACAAATCCTCTTCGAAGCCCTCTCATGCTCCTCTTCCTCTCCAAAATCTAACCCTTCAATTCTCCCTTTCGACAGACCTGTCCTCCAAATCTTTACGGACAACCTCACCACCAACCCATCAAAATCAACAACCCCCAATACACATAATTTTAAAGCATTACCACAGAAAACAACAACAGTACCAACCCTCCTCACCACCAACCGCCAAATCCACGCCGAAGCCTCCGCAATCATCTGGTCTAAATTCGCCATCCACATCACAGGTCACAACAGCTACCCCGATCACTCATCGTGGCTTTCATACTGGCATTGCCGACAGCCAACTGTCCCACCCACTGTGCGCCATCTCCAGATCCGATGGACCGAGGTCGTGGAATGGGACGTCGACAGCCGCCAAGACAATAGAAAGATCGTTGATAAGAAGAAACTCCACTCGACAGTGGCGCAGGTGAGAAATTTCCCCGGATTACTGAGCGTGAGGGTGCAGGTGCACTTCCTGGGGACGTTGAAGACGCCATCGAATGCGGCGAAAAGGGCTTCTGTGAGGAGATTAGCTGCGCTTGTCTACGCGATTCGGGGACTAAACGTTCGTGTCGATGTGTTCCTGGAGCCGAACGGAGAGGCGCCGTGGGGGAGGGAGGTTGTGAGGTTGTGTCAAGATGAAGTTAGGCAGAGGGTTAGGACGACGGGGTTGCTTGAGGAGGCTGTTGTGGAGAGTTCGAAGAGGGAGACGAAGGGGGAGGGGCTTGTTTGGTCGTTTTTGGTGAGTTGATTGATGTGTGATGGCATGGGTGTGACCATGTTGTTGATAATTGACAGGGACATTTGTCTACGGCGCAAGATGAGGAGTGGAAGAGAGATATGATGGGACTATGGGATTCGAATTCGGATGAGGAACGACATCGAACCGACACACGACGAGTCACTGAAACGAAACAGTCCATTACACCGAAGCTCATATTGATCTGACCATCAATCGCCAAAACATCTCAATCATCCCCCACACAAACTTACTTCCCAAGACGTACACCCCACCACCTAATGAACCCTCAAACCCCCTTCTTCTCCTCCTCAACAAGCACACCACTAACCCCATTCCAATCACTATTCTCCCCCTTCGTCTCCCCCTTCCTCTTCAACCAGCAATTCGCCCCATTATTGATACTATAACTCCTCGCGACGTCCACATCAAACGTAAACGCATCGCACCCCTTGTCCTCGCCCATGAACTTCCGCGACGTCGCGCACGCGTCCGCGCATTGCTCCACGGAGAACGCGAGGATGCCGGTGATGTCGCCGGCTTGGAAGTTGAGGTTCGTTTTGCAGGTGAAGGAGACGGTGGAGTCCCAGGTTGGGAGGACGGAGGAGGGGCAGGAGAGGGTTAGGCGATCGATGTTGGGAATGCTATGGGTTGTGGGTTAGGGGGAGGGCTGAGAAGGATGACCGAGAGGGTGGTGTTTGGGAAGGGAATGCGACTTACACTCGAGCTTGAGATAGTGTGAGTGCTGAGAAGAGGACGAGGAGGGAGGTGGATGGGATCATGGTTGCGAGGTATGAGGGAAGTGTCTTGTCGGATGTTGTAGAAGTGAAGTAGTCGTTACTTGTTGACGATGTTACGGACTTGTTGCTTGAAGGTTCATACTTTATAGTGCTCATTGAGACATTGGAAAGAGTTAGGCGTCCACTGTGACCATCAGCTTCTGCATGACGAGATTGCGGTTCATGGGGTGTTTATTGCTTTGAATTATTGACAGGTGATACGACATCAACGGAGAGTACTATGTAAGATTGAACTAAAGTTCATGTGAATTAAATCTTACTCGTAAACATAGCGTACATGTTCTTGGTCTTTGAGCGGAGTTCATGGCTATGTTCAATTATAGTTGAATATAGTAGCATACATTACTTAGGACGTTTTTTGAAATGGAGGTGGAAATGGAAACTAAATGTTACAACCACCAGAGTAAAGACACCAATTGCTCGAAAATGACCCTAAATGTTAACTTAGCAAGCCTGGCATTGTAAAAGTAAAGCAGCCTCGTGACATTGCATATACGCAAAGTCCCAAATCATGCATCTTACTCCTCCCGCTGTAACTTCCTCGATTCATCCGGGTCATGTCGTATCACGCGGAGCCTTCACGTCCCATATTTCCATTGCAAACATCCAAATCAAAATCGACTGTATTCGGTATCTTGTAGCTAATATATAAGTGAGACATACAGCATCGCCGGCGCTACATCAGCCGGACTGCATTGAGCATCTAGGCATGTTGACAAGCTTCCCCACAGATCTAGTCCCGTCCCATGTCTAGGTAGGCAGGCGGAGACAATGCATAATAGATTGGTAGGCATCTTGGGATGCCTTGACTGATTGATTCACATTTCTCAATTCGCTGTTGAGGCCGGGGCCAGGGCGTTGTAATTATTTTTCCAGCTGGTGGTTGTGGAGGTGACGTGGTGGGCGATGTCTGCTGGAACTAGTAGAGCTTCCGCCGCCCGATCATCGGCCATTTCTTTTCAACGAGAGAGGTTCGCTTGCGCTTGCGGCCGCCGCCTCGCCTGTTGGCGATTTCCAATCGCTAGACTGAGAGGCGTTGGTTTTTTCAAAGAGAGGATTTTGCGTGAGGTTCGTGGTTCTCGTGTCGTTTAACGGACTTGGATTGTCCATTCTTTCCATGCTCATTTTCATCATCGTAGGTCCTGGCAGCAAAGTCCCGTTCGTAGAAGTCTTCATTCACAGCTCGCCGCTGGCTGGACTGCATTCAGACGTCTTGTTCGACTTCGTCCACCGTCGGGATTCTATTCAGCTTGACGCCTGTGAAATCCGCAATCCTCCGCACGCACGAAAGAATCGTCTTGACGTCCTCCTGCGGGACGCCGATGCGTCGAATCCCGCGGATGTGCCAGTAAGTCTCAAGCTTCAAATTCTGGATCATGATGCCCACGAGCACCGTCAACTCGGTGTCCAAATCGTCCATATTCTGCCTATCTGAAAGATAAAGGCCATACGTGATGTCCGTGGAGATCCACTGGAAATCGAGATGCGCGTCGAACAGCCGCAGCGTGGACTCCATGTTGCGCTCGTAGATCTGCGTCAGCCACGCCATGCCGTCCTCGTGGTTCTTGCCGTCGGCCTGCCAGTTCTCGCGGCTGAAGCTGTAGTCGCGATCTTCTGGCCGCTCGACCTTGACGATCGAGATGATGGCTTCCAGGGGCTTGCAGACGCCGATGATGGAGACGAGTTTGACAATGATTTCGCGCAGCCGACGCATCAGGGCTTGTCGGTCGCAGGGATTCTCGCGTCCGGGCTGGTTGATCATGTAGAGGTAGAGTTGGGCGGCGAGCTCGGGGTTGGTGCCGCCTACGACGGCTGCCATGGTGAGGATGTACCAGCGGTCGTCTCCGAGTCCGGTGTACTGGAATGTATGTTCTATCTCTTGGAATAGGGCGGCTACATCTGGCTGCACGCCGGGAATGTCGACGGTCGGAGCCATTGATCCCATCATAAGTGTCGTGGTATACTTGCAAAGGGGTTTATAATATTTCCGTTATGGTTAGTCGTGAGTCGTGACGTTAGAGCTTCCACCCTTCAGGAAAGCGTCGACAAGATTGTAGTAGGTAGTTATACTGTGCAAGAGAAGCAAGGAGAGAAACTCCCGGACTATTATAGGAATAATAAAGTGAAAAGCAACAATGGCACGTGTTGAAGGCGCTAGGAGACTTTTGTGCCACGCCAATGGTGGGAAATGACGCTGTGGTCCCAGAAAAAAACCCTTCGATCTGTTGCCGTAGAGGGCGACGAGCGACGGCTGATTCGGGGATTTGCCTTCGTCTCCGAACCCAAACAGTGGAGACCTGACCTTGTACGAATAGCAACTGTGAATTGAGTGTCCGACTTAATCTCCACTGTTGCCCCTCTTGTTCTATCTGTATCACAGTGTCAATTATCACGACTGAAAAGTATAAAAGTGAATCAAAAATACGACCAAAGTTGTTATACGAAATGCAACAAAACTTACGGTCGATGCATTGCCATAGCGCACCTTGTCAGTTAGTCCATCACGCCGTCAGACGTGGGCGGGATCCTTAGTGTGCAAGATGAATCGGTGTAGACTGTGCTAACAGCTTCATCTCTGCCGTAAACCGCCTGCGATTGGGCCGTCCAGAGTGAATCTATCCGAATAGCGAGGCATTTCCAATCGAAAGGTAACCTTGGAGTCCAAATTGGCATGGAGCCGAATCCTGACTTACGTTTGCTTGTTTCCCCACATTGATAGTTACCTGTCCTCTGACCGTCGTTACATTGACGAAACATTCGGTTGTCATAAGAAACAACATGAATCAATCGTTGGAGAAGAATGCACATAGTACAAATAAACATGCAAATAGAAGACAATTCCACAAGAATCCTTTCCAATTTCTTTTGTGTTTACGCAGGGAAATACAGCAAGGGGATCGCTACATCACCCCCTCGCTCCATGCCTCCAAAAAAACGCCCCCCTCGTCATAATCACAAAACCGACAATTCTCGGGCCTGTTCATCACAATCAAAAACCCATCTAAATGATTAATGATTTGTAGCTCAGGCTACTGCACAGCCTATTTTCATAGGCGCCGTTTCCTAACGAAAAGACGGAGGAACTATGCATTCGATCCATCATCGATCGAACCTAGCCCAACTGCTCTGCTCTCCTCTTTTTCCCCCCTAGACCGCCTTGCGTTCGTCTAGCACTGCGTCTTTCAGCAGCACGGCCGAGTACGAAGGCTCCCTCGCTCCCCCACCACCCGCCGGCCAATCGATCAAATGTACCATATCTCTCGCTCGAACACAAGCAACAGTTTGATCGCATTTGTTCGCCCCAAATCCCCATACGCACGCGCGCAGGCGCTCACATTCGCCGTACATACATACATACATGTACATACGTGCTGCATGAAATGCACACCCGGCATTGTGGGAGCGTGCAAAGTGCCGAAGTCGGTCGCTTGCAACGACAGCTGAGGTATTGCGGATATCAGACCGGATTGAGGGGGGTCATTTGGCTTCCATCGAACCATTGTTGCTTGATGGCGCTTGAGGGGGGATAGGAGGAGAAAGCATCGTTTTCATTACTGCCTTCGTGAAGCTTGTGAAGATTTCAATGGACCTGAAGGTTTACGATATAAAACATAACAAATACTATGTTTAGTTTCCAGGTAGGAGCAGAGTGAGGGCAAATTCGCCACACATCGAAAATCTGGAGATTCGTGTTGTGTTGAGTGTCGAGCGTCGAGCGTCGGGCCGATGCTTTGGAACCCCCAGTCCCCATCCCCTCGTATTCGTAAAGGTAACTGTTCATTGGGAACATGGGGAGGGGCAATCCTTGGACCCTGACCGACAGCAAGCATGTGAGAATGGCCGAATTCGATGACTTTAAACCTCGTGTTTTTTGTTACCCCTCGTGTGCATTGTTCCCATGCGAATTTGATGCTATGCTTATCTCGCAATTGCGCTTAAGCTGCATTGGGTGCGATTGAGATTGCAGATTGTGCGAATTGGGGGTTAGCGGGTCGACAGGACTGGAGGAAATGGAATTGTCGCTTTTGCGAATTCCGACGAAGTATAGATAGGTATCTAGGTAGGTGGGAGGGAGGGTTGTGACGCATTGTTGAGTGCATGCGTCCTGTGAGAAAGGTAAACCACTCGTACGCCTGTGGCGGATGGCTTGGGCTGCTGATTCGTCGCTTGCTCGTCTGGCTTGATTGTAGCTGAATGTATATAGGTAGGTTTTGTTTGTCATTGCTTTGCAATCATCTTTGTACACCGTACTCGTTTCCCACGATGCTCTTTTCTGTAGGTATACGATGGCAACGTCGGGGAGGGGTTTGGTGGTTGGCGAGCAGCTGGGAATCGTTGAGAGCAGTGTTCCCTCGCTTCATTCTCCTCGCTAACAATCCACAGTCGAGTCTAACTCATACTTCGCAGCTGTTCGTATCATTGCATACGAAGTCGTAACTCTCTTGCGTCTGCATAAAGCTCGTCGGATAGATTTCTACCTTTATACAGTTTCGCTGGCGAGAGCGGAATGCAACATTCTTATTCCCGTGCCTCGCAAAATCGAGGGCTTACGGTGTAAGTTCTTTATGGAATTGGGTCTCCCGTGCAAGGAGGAAACATCTCGTACAATCTGACGCTTCGGAGCGACTTCAACCAGAGAACAGCAACAGCTGAAGAAAGCCATTTGCGCAGATCGTAAGCTTGTACGATAATTTCCCAATGAGCTTGACATTTCTTTCGTAAATATGTCGAAGAATGCTGTTCAATACTGAGTTGATCTGCGGGGTAAATCAGCAATCAGACATTCGATCCATAAAATGGTGGAACATTTGCAACTCAGCGTATACGCAGCCAGTCGCATTGTACAAGTCTCTACTTGAATGTTCCGAAGCCGTTAATAAATCAATGTCGCAGCAACGCAAAAGCCAACTTACCCATCAAGGCAAGCGATGCGATTCGTATCACCCGCTCCTACCTCCAATCTCATACGTCCGTACACTAATAAATCTCCGCTTCATTGAGGCATCCAATTGCCAGTACAGCAAAATAGCCCACAGCGCAAGGCTGTGTACCAGTCTCTTGCGACAATCATCCAACCTACGGACGTAATCCAGTCCCATCTTACGTCCGTAACCAGTCCTCCCACCTGAGCTTAACCGTATAAGGTATGCTAAGCGAGTCGGAGGATCATTTAGGCCGACGGAGAGGGACAGTGCGGCGGTCTGTTTGTGAGATCGACCGGGACAATGGTTGCGATTCGAGGGCAGGGCTGACGTCTTGCGTGCGCAGTGGATTGTAGTCGTGTTTGAGATGAGTGAGGTGGGGATGGGAGATGAGGGAAGGGGAGGATATAAGTATGTTGGGTTGGAAGGGGTTGAGGTTTCTTATCATCTCACTACTCATAACAATTACAAGATTCATATAACTACATCTTCCAAACAATCTTCGAAGCACTCAAGATTTATATCATCGACATATCAAATTCTTAGCATTATATCATCGACATCACTATATCATTCACAATGTCTATCCCCAACCGCAAGGTCGTCATCTCCGCTGCTGGAGGCCCCGAAGTCGTCTCCGTCCAGGACAGCGAGCTGCCCGCCCCCAAGAAGGGTGAAGTCCGCGTCAAACTCCTCTACTCAGTCTTCGGCGGATCCGATATCAACATGCGAAACGGCACATATCCCATGCAGGAGAAGGCACCACTTACTACTGGCTACGTCTCGGTTGGAGTCGTGGATCTGAACGGCAAGGACAGCCACAAACTCCAGCCCGGCGATCTCGTCTGCTGTCTCTCCGTCTACGGCGGACAACAATACTACACCAACCTCCCCGAGCCATTCATCGTCCCGGTTCCTAAAGGTATCAGGCTCGATCAAGCTGCCGCTATGGTTCTCGACTGGACGACAGCCTACGGAATGGCGTTCCGCACCGCAAAGCTCCAGAAAGGCCACAAGGTCTTCGTCCACGGTCTGAGCGGCTCAGTTGGCAACGCCTTATTGCAGCTCTGCAAGATTCAAGGCGCAGAGGTTTACGGAACAGCATCGGAATCGCAATTCGATGCTCTGCGCGCTCAAGGCGCTCACCCATTTGTGTACACCAACAAGGACTGGATCCAAGCGATGAAAGACATGGGTGGCGCGCACGCCGTCTTCGATCCCCTCGGCTTCGAGTCCTTCGACGAGTCCTGGTCGATCTTGTCCCGCGACAATGGCCACTTGATCGGCTATGGGTCCAACGGTGCTAGCCTCAACGGCAAGCCTAGGTCCCAGGCGGCAGCGTACGCGGATATTGCGAAGCTGATGGCGAGGAAGCTTGTGCCTTTCTGTCCGTTCAATGCGAGCTTCTTCTACGTCGATAGGACGCAGAGTACTTTCGTCCCGGAATTGCTCAAGTGCTTCGACTTGCAGGTTAAGGGTGAGGTGGATGTCAAGATCAAGAAGACGATTTCGCTGGAGGAGGTGCCGCAGATGCATAAGGATTGGACGAAGACAAAGGGTGTTGGGACTGTGGTGGTCAAGTTGCCGTACGCGGACGAGTACCTTGGTGGACGATGAGCAGTCATTGGATCTGCTTTCTGTTTTGAATTTTTGCGTTCATCCTTTGCCGCGGTTTAGATTGTAAATACCCTCTAGTTTATGAGATTTAGAATATCAAAAGACATTTCGTTCTTTATTACTCATCGTATTTCCGTTGTTCTACGGAAGTGAAAGTGCTATTCGGATTATGAGTTCTTGTTCTTTAGAAGTAGGCTCAAAATGCACATTCTCCTGGCAATTGTATGGAAGCCGTATAGTTCAATGGTCTCTCCAAAAGCCTCGTCCTTTCGATCTGGAGTGGCCGTGATCTCCACTGTTTGACTACTTGTCTCACATGTCAAACGGACTGCCTTAATGATGCTTTTACGGCGTTATAGCCAAGTCTCAAGATCGACTTTGTTCATTCTTCGAGCTCGAAAGAGGCTTTGAATCCAGATAATGTTGTCACAATGATCTCTGATGGTGTATTCGGCGTCGGTCGAAAGGGAGTCGACGCATTGTTATAATAGAGTTTGATGCACATGGCCGACCGATGAACAGTTATTGGATAGGGCGAATGGGGATTCTGATCATCGTCATGTTGTTCCTATCACCACATTCCGCAGTGCCGAAGCAATTGACAAGTAAGGCAGAGTGTGGACTGAAGGACTCCGGAATGCCTGAATGAGGAGGCGTGGGGAAAGTTCGTTGGAGTGGAGATGAGTCGCGGGGTAAACTGGTTGGAGCTATCGTGAGTTGGCATAGCTACCTCCTAAGTCATGGACCTGACCCGAATGGGAATAGACGGCCCCTCCATGACTATCATCCACCAAAGCTTCCCCTCATTCACTGCAAGTTTTCCCCCATTTCTCCAATAATCTTTCCCATATGCGCCTTCGAGAGACGCCAATTTCTCACCAACAACACCTAGTGTCGGAGCGACATCCTCCTCCCCGTACAGCTGCTCAGCTCCCTGGATGCAGAGGCAGGGCAGGTCCACCGAACCTCCGACCTCGAGGCGAGCATACCTTCTACGTGCTGCGGTAGAAGGGATCCACCCCAGGGAAAGACGTAAATCGATCCACCACAATTGGCTTCTCATGGACCCATCGGACCTTTCCATTTCGCGTATCCCGCGGGTGGGAACTCTGGACGAAAGGAAAGAGCAATAAAATGCTGCACGAGGCTGAGTGAGCGCATGAGCTGACGCCAGAACGCACATCAACCAGGTCGTAAACCAATCTTCGTTGTGGCCGATCCCGGGGGAGGGACCCGAGAAGCTGGGGAACGGCGTAATTCTGGGGCCCTGAGTGGGCTTGCGGGACGAGTTCGTGTCACAATAAATAGTCGCCTGGATATATGAACCCAAATGGCCCGACTACCTTCCAGCTTTCTCCAACTCCAGCTTCCTCATACAAAATCCTTACTTTCCTATTCCACCGCTGTCGCGCATTGTGAAAGAACAGTACAGGTGTTCTAACGTACCACTTCTTTCTCCGAGTACAACGTTCCACTTCATATTAAACGACTCCATAAGCTCATTCGCCAATCATGGGTGAAATGCTGGGGCAAAGCTCCATTCCCTCACACAACCGCGTCGAGACAGGATCCGTCAACATTCCCTTGCACGACTTCCCTGCAACATCTGCCTCCTCCTCCGTCGATGCTCCTAAGGTTGCATCAGAAACAATCACCGCCCTCAACGATGCTCTATCGAAACAAGACCACGCCGCCGCCGCATCCCTGTTTTTGCAAGAGAAGAGCTACTGGCGCGACCATCTTGCCTTGACCTGGCAATTACGAACGATCAAGGGGCAGAAGAACATTGAGGAGCTATTGAAGTCGAGCAAGATAAAATTGCAGAAGGTCGAGGTGGACAGCAGCACAGCATTCCGGGCACCGAAGTTCCAGCCTATCGATGCCTTCGGCGAAGTCTTTGGAATACAGTTCTTCATTTCATTTGAGACAGAGATCGGCAGGGGTAGCGGTGTTGTGAAGCTCGCGGAGGACAATGGGACATGGAAGATACATACTCTGTCAACGGTGTTGGAAGAGCTCAAGGGACACGAGGAGCTTGTGGGAAGCCGGAGGACCAAGGGTGTGAAGCATGGGGGAGATCCAAATAGGAAGAACTGGAGGGAGAGGAGAGAGGCAGAGAGTGAATTCGATGGCAGCGATCCGAAGGTCTTGATCATTGGTGAGATGCCATTTCTTCTGAATTTTCCCTTCCATATGCTGATAATATTATAGGAGCCGGCCAGGGCGGTCTCACAGTCGGTGCGCGACTCAAAATGCTCTCGGTTCCCTGCCTCATGATCGACCAAAACCCTCGCGTCGGTGACAACTGGCGCAACAGGTACCATCAACTCGTACTTCACGACCCTGTATGGTATGACCACATGCCATACGTTCCTTTTCCGCCGCATTGGCCCGTTTTCACGCCCAAGGACAAGCTTGCCGAGTTCTTCGAATCCTATGTCAAACTTCTTGAGCTCAATGTCTGGACTTCAACATCTCTGAAATCAACCTCATGGGATGAGGGAAAGAAAGAATGGACCGTTGTTGTAGAACGAACGAAGGCCGACGGTTCGAAGGAGGAGCGGACCCTACACCCCCGACATATCGTTCAAGCCACAGGTCATTCCGGAAAGAAGAATTTCCCGCAAATTCCAGGCATGGAGTCATTCAAGGGCAAGCGGCTGTGTCACTCTTCCGAGTTTTCTGGTGCAGACAAAAACTCAAAGGGTAAAAAGGCCATCGTAGTGGGCTCTTGCAATTCGGGACACGACATCGCTCAAGACTTCTTCGAGAAGGGCTATGATGTTACTATTGTTCAGCGCAGTACAACATGCGTCATCTCGTCCGAAGCCATAACAGACATTGGCCTCAAGGGTCTCTACGACGAGTCTGGGCCGTCAGTCGAAGATGCAGATCTCTTCCTCTGGGGTCTCCCTAGTTCGCTCTTCAAGACGCAACAGCTCAAGCTCACAAAGATTCAAAACGAACACGACAAGAAGCTCCTCGATGGACTTCGAGCTGCAGGGTTTGGCGTGGATCAAGGTCCCGACGACACCGGTCTCATGATGAAATACTTCCAGCGTGGTGGAGGATACTACATCGACGTTGGCGCCTCGCAGCTCATCGTAGATGGCAAGATCAAGATCAAGTCGGGTCAGGAAATCGCCAAAGTGCTTCCCAATGGACTCGAATTCGCCGATGGATCCGTACTCGAGGCTGATGAGATTGTATTTGCGACCGGCTACCAGAACATGCGAACGCAGGCCCGGATCACGTTCGGTGATGATGTTGCGGATCGTGTGGGTAACGTCTGGGGATTGAATGAGGAGGGCGAATTTAGGACAATGTGGCAGAATAGTGGACATCCTGGATTCTGGTTCATGGGAGGCAATTTGGCAATTTCGAGGTATTACTCGAGGATCCTTGCACTGCAGATCAAGGCGAGGGAGGAGGGCATTCTGACCGTTTGATCATACTATAAATTCCTTGTACAGCTCTGGCCTAGTATATCTACTTTAGACTAAGCTATAACTAAATTCCATTTCAGTTTTACTACTTATTCTTATAGAGTAAAGTATATCATGCTCTTACTTTACTTATTTTAAGTATTGGTATGTTAACACGTACTAGTTAGTAGTGGAAAGAGAGGAAAGTATCTATTCAGAGTTAGGGGTTCTTCCTGGAGTAACAAGGGTACGTAGCTCTCCAAATCCAATTTGCTTTCCCCTAGAACCTGCCCAAGCCTCCATAATTACAGTGTCACCATCCTCCAACCAAGTTAGTTCTGATCCGTCTGATAGTTTCATGGGGCGTTGCCCACCCGATACTATCTCTTGAAGACAGCCAGACCTGTTGCAGTTACTAAACTCATCTCCGAAATCAGCGAACTGCTCTACTGTTGAGGAGAGAGTACCAGTTCCAAAAAGATCGCCAGTAGATATTCCGCATGCAGAGCTGCTTTGATGTGCCAACATCTGGAACGGGGACCAGTGAAGATGCTTGAGGTCTGATATTCCAAGCATTTCCTTCGATGACCCTCCATCCCCTGAGTGTCTACGTTAACGTACTGAACCAATGATTCTTCAAATAGTAGCATTCACCAGACTCCTAAACACTGAAAAAAAAATGGGCAGACTTACTAGAAATGTAGGACCTGACTTGAGCAGAAATGTCATAAGGACACTGCAAGAACGGAGACATCGTGTTCTTTCCCCCCACTAATCCGCGCGCCTCTGACACGATCAAAGCACCCGCTTCCTCCAACGCATCCAACGTGACAATCCAAGGCGAGATACTAGTGCCTGCAGCCTTGCCATTAAACGGCCCCAGAGGCGTCATTTCGTAGAACTGGATATCTCTAGCGCTCCAGTCATTCATCAAGACAAAGCCAAAGATGTGTTCGCGTGCAGTTGCTGCATTGACTGATTCGCCGTAGGGTATCTCTTGTGAGATGAAGACCCCCATTTCTACCTCGTAATCAAGCTTTCGGCTGTGCGAGTAGTATGGGATGTCAGATCCTGGCAGCATGCCTATCGGTCGGGGAAGGTCTTGGCCACTGACGATAATCGAAGAAGCTCTCCCGTTGTAGGCCAACGGGATGTGATAGAAGTTCGGTGGGACCGTGGGATATCCTGCAAGCTTCCCAACCTAGAGAATCCATAGACTTTCAGTATACAGACGACAGTCAATTGCGGCTAGGATATAGGCTTACGGTCTGTACATGCTCCAACGAGCACATGAAGTCTGTGAAGCTTCCAATTCTCATGGGCAAATGCATCTTTGCTTCTGTTCCGGGAACAATTGCAGGGCGGCGGCCAGGGCCTACGGGCTTATAGAGGACTGAAGCCTCATTATGGATCATTGACTGGATTGACGAGCGAAAATCACGGCGCAGACTCGGTGCCAGGGCAGTAAATTGATTCAATGAGGACTTGGGTAATAAAAAGGGTAAGTAAGTCAAGGCATACAATGAGTACTGCAAGTTTTAAACTAACCAAAGAGAGTGCTTCTCTCACTACTGTATCAACCTCGAGTCCAAGAGCAATCAATTCTTGTAGATCAAGGACAAAGTCCCCTAACGCGACCCCTGGCCGTGGGGTTTGCTTTGTACATCAGCATAAGATACAAAGGCTGTTGAAGATTCCATACATGTGCTTCGGTACTGAAAATTCCAAAAGGAATATTCCCCATCGGGAAGGGGGAGTCGTGCGGTATAGGGAAAGGGTATGTAGCCATCGTTATTGGAGGAAGCAGGATAATCTGAAAGCGTTGCTGGCTGTGTGTGGCTATTCTTCATGGACTTCAAGTAGCTTTTCCAATGGTTATCTACGAACCTTTGCTTTGGTAGAATGATTCTGGCTCGGGACGACAGCAATCTGAGTCGGTCCGGGCATAGGCACTCTTTCGTAATGCGTGTGAGCTGTAACCCGCATTCGGACACCTCCATCATTTCTTCCACTTGCTATCGTGATTTCTTTAATTCAAGTGGCCTTTTAAATCAATGGATGATTAGTATGGAGAAAAATATAATTCTTAACTGCAACTCAGAAGTCTGAGTTTTGCGCATATTTCAATGTTGAGTAAAGGTTAGCAAGGCTCTATTCATTGGTAGCCAGAACAACGTTTTTGCTCGGAACCTGCTCTCTAGTTTCCGCATGGGAAATCTATATTGTAGGCACAATTTCCCCATAAAAGATAATAGAAGATCTTGTGGGCAGTGCTGGGTCCGAGGGCAGAAAACGTGGGTTCAGATAAGTGACGATCTCGGACCGAGGCGGCCCTGGTGATAGATTGCTCTGTCTTTGTCTCCGTCGCGAATCGTACCATCAGGAATCTTATAAGACCGATTAACTGCTTCTCCAAAAAGCCTTTCTCCTGACTTTGCATAGAGCAAGCCCAGCACGTTACATAAACCAATGTAAGTGCTACCTACACGTCTTAACACAGTCCGGGATTGTTAATTCAAGCAATGTCCGCTGACTGAAAATAGGCCATCAGTCCCCAAGCAGGAAGCTTCTTTTCAAGCCCTGCACCCCATCATGTCTGACAACACAAAAACAACAAACAAAATTCTCCCTAGCGTGAATCGCTACATCACGACCCACAACACGGCCGGGGACTCCATCTATTCCAAGGAAGTTGAAGAGCCACTGGACTTTTGGACGGTGCATACTGGCGAAGGTCACTCCGGGGAATTCGAGCTAGGTTACGTGACAGAAGGCTTCCCGGTCCCCTTGGCCGGAGATGAGGATTTGACAGCGTTCAAGGATGCATACAACAAAAAGAAGGAATCCGGTCTCGTCAAACACGGTGGCACTATTCTTCGGTACTGTAACATCCCGCCAGGCTCCCGATCCCCAATGCATCGGACTGTCAGCCTTGACTATGGAATTCTTGTCACTGGCGAGTTGGAGTGTCTCTTGGATTCGGGTGAGTCCAGAACAGTTCACTCGGGCGACCTAGTTGTTCAAAGGGGAACCATGCATCAGTGGATAAATCACAAGGATGAGTGGGCTCGTATTGTGTTCATTCTGTTCCATGCCACACCTGTGGAGATTGGGGGCACGAAGCTCGAGGAACACCAAGGAGGCATGGTGGTGCCTGCCTCACACTAGATAGTGACGCAGCCCTCTATACGGATGAACATAGACAGGAAATGAATATCTGCCAGTAACTACAATATAGAGACCCTGTTTGAGGCTGCCTGTACTACCTTTCTGGGGACCGTTCTGTCCCTGAAGCTTTCTGCCATTGGGGTCAGAGATCGATCTAATTCCTCTATTTAGTTATCAAAGAGCATGCATTCACGACTGGCTAGATGACCCTTTCAGTCAGCACAGCTCGAACAACAGGGAATAGTGGCTTAAAGTAGCCAGCAAGTACAGTATATCGGCCCACAGGTTCAAATTAACCCATGGTAGTAGCACTCGGAAACATTACAAGACATTGCGCAAGTTGTAACATGCTGCCGGCAGCTAGAGACTAGATATAGGAGGGTAGAGAGCAAGTATCCTATAATTTAGAGCCAGAGGAAGGAAAGCGGATGGAGAAGTACGTACTGGCGATGGGCGAGTTCAGTGTGGAGGGTCTCGGCCCGGTTCGGCGCGACATGTCTTTGGCTCAGTCCGTCGCAGACAAGACTAAGATTTTAGAAAGCACCAATTCCTTCATGGCTCCATAGGCATTGATATCATAGATCAATATAGAGTCCTGGAGGGCTTTGAGACGAGTTCTCGAAGAAGGAATTAGAAAGTCTTAGAAATGCGATTTGTATGGCTGTAAGGCTCCTGGACTTTCCCTTCTTGCATCGCCTCCACCCCACCGCATGTTCTCCAACAACAATAGGGTTTGCAGGTGTAATTAGGGGATTAGGAGTTTGTCTCACGAAATTGAAGGCAACATAGCCTCGAACATTTGTTCCTGCGGGGAATAAATGAATCACAATTTAGCGTTGCGGAGCGGTCGGGCCGACCCAATACTTACTGTCACCGGCCTCCCACCTCACTCCAAATGTTGTCCCCCGTCCTGACTTTGACCCTGATAGCGCACTGATGGCAGAAACGGATCTTATCACAACATCGCAAATCGTGCCGCCACAAGTACCACAGCGATCTCGGTTGTCCAGGACGGCTTGCGAGAGATGCCGTAAGCAAAAGGTACGGCCTACCATGAGCGTTGCCCTCGTTTTGATACCACCTAACTCTTGTAGTTGCGTTGTAGTCGAGAGCAGCCCACCTGCAACAGATGTCTTCGCCTATCTGGCAGCTGCAATTACCCCAAACTAGCTGACCGCAGGGTCCTTGCTGCCCAGCGAGAGGCTGCCCGGAGGGTGGAGATATCGTCGCTTGCGGATACCATCGAGCCCAATGTTGGTATGTCTTATGCCCGTTTCGTCTTGGATCATCCCTTTTTTGTGTCCCCAGACAATAGACTTCACGCTATTAATCGCTTCTCAGCTGCTCCTGTTGCTACTAATGATTTTCCCGCAGTTAGTACGCAGGTAGGTGTCGCTCACTCCAACTGCCCCGTTACATGATTTGGTTCAACGCTAAATGTACATGCACCAGGCTAGCCAACCGTCCCATGTGGACATAGGCTCATCAGATCTCCCTCCTCGAGCCATAGGTTTGGGATTACTCGATATTTATTTTGAGCGATTATACAATGCACCACTGCTTTTTCGAAAATCGGATTTGTTCGAATCGTATCTCAACAACAGCACCCCATCGTTCCTTTTGAAGGCTTTGTTTGCTTTGGCCTCACGGTGAGCCCAAATTTCTATCATCCCCAAGACGACAGCTACGTCTCGGAACTGAACTAACTAGTCGTTACAGATTCCTTCAAGCCCCACCCTCAGATCACAGGTTGTCACTCAATCGCCCTCCTATCATCCCCGCTGAGTTGACAATGCTGAGCTCATACCGTAAACACGGAAAGAGCTGGGCTGAGGCGGCTGCTATGGAGGTTTTGCAACTAGCGGATCGTCCAACAGTTCAGTCAATCCAAACGTTAGCATCCCTCAGTATATACTGGTTCTCCAGGCGAGATTCAGATCGTGCCAGAATATTCATAGGTGCGTGCTTGGAAAGTCAATTGAAAGCTCCTCTATCCACTGACCCGAACTGCTGCTGAAGCGATTGCCTACACATCTTGCTCAAACTTTCTGCCTTTGAAAATCCCCACGGGCGAAGAGCAAGGCCAAGCAGGTGCGTTGGCCAAAGAGGAAATAAGAGCGTGTTTTTGGGCCTGCTGGGCTTCTATATGTGCTGCTGCAATGCCCGAAGCATACGCACTGAATGCTTGGGCCGAAGCCTCCAGGGTTCCCTTGCCCCTGCCATGGCACGAGTACCAACTTAATTCCATTTTGAATAGAGAATATATGGATGAGGAGTGGAACTGTCGGCTATGTCAGCAAGAAAATGAAGGAAGAGTCTTGCTAAACACGGGATCAAGCGAAACAGTCATGGGGAAGACGCTCAAGATGATGGGCATCTGGTAAGCAAAACCTCTAATATCTGTCTATGATAAAAAAGTAGTTCTAATTGGGATGGAATGTACTTCAAGGGCCCGTGTGCAAGTAATTGTGAGAAGGGACATCGTAGGCCCCTCTACATCTCAGCTCAAGACACTTGCCGCCACCGCGAAGCATCTATTCAACCCGCAACAGCTTTCCCCATCCTTCGCAGATAACGGGTCTCAAGTCCAAGATCATGCCAGGCTTCTTGGCATGCATTCTTTGTATCATCTCTGCCGTATGGTAGCTTTGTCTCCTCTTGTCACCATTTTCTCTGGACGCCGCCTGCCGACCGAGAGGGTGGAGAGCACCACCCGAGCCTATGCAGAAGCGGTTGCGGATCATGCCCTTCAACATTGCCAGCTTGTCCACGCTTATGTCCTGAAATCGCACGACATAACCAAGATCAGCTCTTTAACTGCGTTCGCAAGCTTTGTAGCAACGTCTATACTTGCGACACTGGTCAAATCAAGAATTCGTAGGCACCACGATATGCCAAACGACTTCAATCAAATGCTCCGCCAAGTCTTGATATTTCTTCGCGATTCAGTGGACATACTAGATATTCTTCAGCTAACTTGGGAGCCATTGAGGCCGATGGTATGTGGAGTTGGCCCAGCATCTTTTGACCGTTTCGGTGACTGGCACTTGTGACTGACAATTTGTTACAGGCTGAAGTTTTACACCAACGATTGAGGTCCCTACCGACAATGATGGGCGAAAACGCAACGTGCAATCTTTCTGAATCTCCACGGCCACTCAGAATTCCTGTCACTGGTTTCAATAGCCCCATACCGGAAGGGGGTTCAATTCCCATGACGTATGTTGACAGTGGGAGCCACTCCACAGTACTGGAAGATGATACTCAGCCTTCACCAATAATTGGACAAGGTGGTGTAAGAATCAATTCAAACCATGCATACGAAGACATTATCGATAACGAAAGCACTATCGAGTTTCCTGCAGAGACTGGGCCACCCGATGCCTCTTGGCCGGTCAACCTTTTCGGAACAGACAACGACATTCTCAATTTGGATAACGTCTCGGATTGGGATTTCGACCTCTTGACACTGTACTCTGCGCGAGATAATTCATGTGTCTAGTGCGCAGAATGCATTCGTTGTGAACAAGGATATCACTCCGATGAAGAGCATCACTGACCAATTCCAATGGAAAATGCCCTAAAGACAATGTGGTGATTAAGTATAAGAGCAAACTACGGATACCATCTGCTGCAACTAAATCGAATCCACATTTCCCCTTGCTAAAAGTCTCCTCGGAAGATTTTCAACCACTTGGCCCTGGCCGCCTTTAAATCGAATGTGGCTGCCAAAGCCTCGATCTCAGCTGAGCGTCGTGTGACTTGCGACATCAGCTCAGCAGTGTCAGCTAAGAGCCGGCCATTCCGTTTGCGAATTCTTCCATCCACGATGACGGTGTCGATGTGACTCAAAGACGTGTGAAAGACCACAGACCCGACCGGATCCGACACAGGAAGTGACTCCAGATCATCGCGGGAGATCAACACTATGTCCGCCTTTTTCCCAACTGTCAAAGAGCCCACGAGGTGATCGATCTGTAGTACTTCTGCGCCACCAAGAGTTCCCATGCGGAGAACATCCTTGGTCTTTCTTGTGATGGTGAGAGGAAGGGCCCCTTGTTCATTTTGCAGGGCGCGCTGGGCCTGAAGCGCCAGCTTCATCTGGGCAATGAAGTCATTGCCCTGGTTTGAGGTGATGTCGATTCCCAGACAAGAGTGGCACCCGGCGTCTTGAGCCCGAAATGCGACAGGGAAACCCATGCCCATCCCCAACTCGGTATCAGGGGTACTCACAATTCCAGCGCCTGAAGACTTAATCGCTTCAAGCTCACTGTCAGTGAAGGACGCACCGTGACTGAAGACGAGATCCGACCCAAGAAGATTGGCGTCTGAAAGCTGCCGAACGACCTGTTGATGTGCTGCATCGTATGGCCCCATTGCGACATGCATTGTGATTAAACGAGCTCCTACCTCTCGAGATTCCCTTAACTCGCTCTTGGTCTTTTCGATAGACTGTGCCTCTGGCTCATCTGGGGCAATACCAAAGGTAGCCAACTCCTCGGCGGGATCGTTGGAACCGAAGTACTGCCTGCGCACTCTAGCCGCATCCTCAAGCCTTGCATCGTGCGAAAAGCCTTCGGTATGGATTCCGTCGACGCCGAGTTCCGGAATCGGTGGGTTTGGGTAAAACCCATAACAAAACGTTGCCCGGATCCCAGCGTCTTTCAGCGCTCTGATTGCAGCATCTGCGTGAGCTGGCGAGTTGATGATGTGGCAATGCTCCAGCACGGATGTCACCCCATTGTTCAGGAGACTCAAGGCCGCGGCGTATGTTGCTAAGTATACGTCATCCGGGGAGTAGATGCTTCCGTATATGCTTCGCATCTGGACGGTGTAGTCGAATAAGGTCCAGTCAGTCGCAACGGCACGAAGCAGCTGTTGCCACATGTGGTGATGTCCATCTACGAATCCGGGAATGGCGATGAAGTTGTGCGCATCGATGACGGTAACGTTGCCATCTGGTTCTGCTATGTGCTCTCCAATCGTAGCGATACGGTCATCCTTGATAAGAATATCGCAATCTTTTAAGACACTATTTGCTGGATCAACGACAATAGTAGTTGCCCCTCTGATGAGAATGAAAGTTGTTTGTTCTGACATGACGAAGAATGAATTGGAAGGTGATGATGTGGATAAATATTGGCGACAATGATGGCGGTTGCTCACACGCTTAACGCGCCTTTTGAGGACCCTTTATTACCCCAGAGTCTGAGCAAGCTGAGATGCGTCGGCCCGAACGTACCCCACAATATTAGAGTGGGGAAGTATGGAGTCCGAACGGTAGGGCTAAGTCGTTGTGACTTTAAGGGGAAAGGCTAGCTCTCAAAGATGATCGGCATGCTAGATCGGGCCCTGTGTATGTTTGCATTTGGCTGTCTATTTGCCTTATTAACAGGTTCATCAACAAAACCTCCTTCTAGCGAGGTTCTTGCTCGCTGTAGTTACTTGATCTCGGGCCGAAAAAAGTCCCCCATAGCTGATGCGCCTAGAAGAGAAGAGTGTTAGCTTTTGCCAGCTCTCTGGTGGCATTGTCTTTGGAAGGTTGAAGAGCGCCAAATCAAAGGCATCGTCCCGATCCTGGTTACAGACTGCCCACATGAGATGGTTGTAGACATTCCTCCGTGGTCGATTGCAAGCTCTCTGTTGATATCAAACCACCTCAAAACAAATACCATATCACTGTTCACCTTGCCTATGGCGCTTGTGGTGAGCGGAGATATTGGACGTTCAGTCTTGAATTGGGGAAGTATAATAGAGAAAAATCTCCCTAAAACTGTGCAGATGCTTGTCCACAACTTCATACTGCTCCATCTGCAACCAGTGGCCTGCAGGAGGTGACCCAAGACCAAGATTCCTTGCGAAAAGCGCACTACCATAAATCTATAGTGGCATGGTAACCTTGTTATTATCTGAATTCACAAAAAGTCGGATGAAGGATGGCTGCTGCCAGCGCAGCAACATCTGCTAAGACGTCAAATTCTGTCGCAGCTATATAGACGGAAATACTTCGTGCGGTCGCATTTGGTGACACGGTGGATTCCTTGTTCATACATGTTATGAACGCACATTAGCTAGCTGGCTTTGAAGTAAAAGTTCAACGTGCAAACTATACCCTCCTACTATATCATGTGCGCACTTCTTAAGTGACAGTGTCGCGTATAGATGCCTCTGTAGTATGGCGCATCACAAGAACGACGCGCAATCGGTGAATAGGTAGGATAGGTAGACATCAGCCACCATCGATAGGCCTCTGAAAGTAGATGAATGATACCTCGACCACTCTCGGCAGCCCTGATAGATCTATTTACGCGCTTTCTCGTACTTTTTCCCTTACATGTGATCTCCGAATAGCCTCACCTACCTTACCACACTACAATATAAATTCACACCATGCCATTCAGTTCTGCCTGCTTGTACTTAAGATACATTCTTCTAAGGCATTCGTCTTACTTTTTTTGAACGTCAATCCACGATGCGGATGTTTGATTGTGATATACTCTTCGGACTTGCCTCTACCTGCCGTGCTATGGATACTTTCATTCACTGGCTCACTTACCTGCTCAAAAGGTGGAGTTTAAGCTTTCAACTGTCAATAAGTACTGTGTAGACGTCCTTGGAGTCTAATCAAACTGTAGCCCACGTGCCTCTCGTGTGACAAGTACCTGAATGGTAACTGGGAAGGAGCATGGCAAGCGGATGGTCGAAAGCGTAATCTCGCGCTCCTTCCCTCTACGGTCCATCAATGGGTCATCTGCCCGAATATTTAATGACCTTTCTCCCTCCCAGTCTTCCTATTTTCGTTTCTCTTCCTTTCTCTCAGCTCCTACTACCAATGTTCGTTTGCTCGATTCCTAGCATCCCTGGAACCTGAAACGCCTTTCCTACTCATAAATTCACAAAGTCTTCATTGAAATCCGCAATCATGCACCTGCCCACTGCCATGCTCGGACTCTCCGTCCTTGCCACTTTGACTTCGGCACTGCCACCTCAGGGCGTTGCCACCGAAGAGATTACCGACAGCTGGGTGCCCTTCAACATCAGCGGCGTCACTGGCCTTGCTGCGCCCGGTATCGTTCCTTCCGACCCAGCCATTGCCTCGGATCTGAACTTTCTCCAATGCAACCCCAAGAACCCGGATGAGTGGGCCATCATTTGCCTGAAGAATGGCCACGGATGCAATAAGTGCAAGACCTCCGATTACTGCATCTGGCGCACCCGTGAGGAAGGCTGCCCCTGGCACTGGATGGAGATCGATCTCTGGCGCGACGCCGTCGGCGACCACTGGTGCTACTGCAAACTCGTCAAGCCGCAGGGCGAGAACGAGCCGCTTCCCGAGATCGATCCGCCTGCAAAGGAGCATGGGGTCATTGAGAATCCCGCTTCCGACTACGACACTGCCACTACCGACGTCCAGGTGCGACACGTTGATGTGGGTGATACGAGCGTCCCCGTATACGCCTCTTTGGATCAGGTACCAAATGACGGAAAGGAATGTGATTGGGATAACAAAAATCAATGGCTCATCCTTTGCCTCAAAGATGGCCACGGTGTTCGGTTCTGTCGTCTCACGCCGTACGTTGTATGGCTCAGGTGGGACAGGGACACTTCCATCTGCGATTTTCACTGGGCATTAGACGAGAAGAACGGCAACAAGCCAGGCGATCCTTGGTGCTACTGCAGGCCCCACTAGTTCAAACAACTTGGGGCATCGTCAATGTGTCGATGTTGTATCCTGTTCGACTTCGACGCGATGACATCTAAGTGACAGGCCTGTGTCGGTTAGATTAGCTAGTAAACAAAGTGACGAAGATGACCATGTTGTCTCCGCAATACACTCATTAACATAAACACCTCGTCCTTTCCCCAATGCTTGAAGTGACTTCCAACCCCTCATATCCTATCCAAACCACAACCGCTCAATTCCGCACCGCACCGCACCGCCCTGAACAAACCAAGCCGACCATATTCCAAATCGCCGGTACCTTCTCACTCGTGCACTGTACGCCCATCCCCCCGTTCCACCATCTGGCGTACAAGATACAGATCCGCCCACCGCATGATCGCACTCAGCAACCCGGCACCCGCAGCCCGCGACAGACACCCGCTTTGAACACTCCCTATACGGACGACGTGGCACATCGCCATATTCTGTTCATGTGAAGATGGACGACTTGACGTGCCAACCGCTCACAACCCCAGGCGTACTGTGCTTGCCTACCTAAGCAAGTACGTCAACACTCACTCACTCACGCCTCCAACCTACGCGACCCATTAGCAGATTATAAAAGTTGAACACTAGAGCGGTGAATGTGACATATTAGCTATTAAAGTTGTATAAAGGTACATTACAGTACGATACAATACATCTCCACCGCCCTTCGGACCCCCCGCCTCGTTGCCTTGTTTTGCATCACATCACTTAATTGTACATCGGCACTGGCACTGGCGTTCGGTGGATGGGTTCAGGGGGCCTTCAGCACGGTTTCCGCGCGCCGCTGCAGCCGCCGTTCCCCATGAGAGGAAGAAAGAAACATGACCATGAGTCCTACACGACGTTCACTGCCTCCTCCCGCCCAGCGTGTGCGTTCTGCGGGGGCTTGGAGAGGTTGACGATGCCGCAGTTGTCTGTTTCGAGGTGGGTGAGGAGAGAGGCGAAGGTGGGGAAGGAGAGGGTGCAGGTGGCTTTGTTGGGGCAGGAGTAGAGGGTGGATTCGTTCGGGGTTGCGTCTGTTGTGACGGATTGGGTGTCGGACTGCGTGGGAGAGAGGGGTGGGGTTGGAACTTGGTCGGGCTGGGTGGTGGGCTGGGAGGTTGTGTGGTGGGTTGATAGCCAGCATGATTCGGTTTCTAGGTGCTGCGAGAGGAGACAGAGTGAGGGGTGGGAGCCTTTGCAGAAGGGACAGATTATGGGATCTCCGATGTGGATGCTTGGGCCGAAGTGCTGGAGATGGTTAGCAATGCTGGTGATGATGGCGAGGCAGTATCTGACTTACCATGTTAAATCCGTTCTTGGTAGGGAAATACCTGTTGCAGTCAGAGCAGTGGTGCTTGCCGTAATGGTTGAAGAGCGACATGTGATGGTTTGCAGAGTCCTGGGTGTAGAGCTTCAAGTTGCAACCTTCGCACTTGATTTTAGGGACTCGGTGAGCGGTGTCATCCATATGTTCTTCAGCAGACTCCTGGGTAGCGAATTTTTGATCGCACGTCTCGCACTTGAATCTGGGCATCCAGTGAGTTGCGTGGTCCATGTGTTCTTCGGCGGATTTCTGAGTATGAAATTTCTCATCGCAGGTCTCGCATTTGACTTTGGGTATCCGGTGGTTTGCACTGTCCATATGTTGTCCCGCGAGTTCCCGAGTGCGGAACGTTTGGTTGCAACTCTCGCATTTGAATCGAGGTTCCCAGTGATTAAGAGAGTTCATATGTTGTGCGGCAGATTCTTGGGTATGGAACATTTTCTCGCAGGTCTCGCACTTAATTCTCGGTTTCCGGTGATTGGCAGAATGCATATGTGCGTCAGCATATTTCTGGCTATAAAATCCAAGTTCACACGTCTCGCATTTGATCTTATCCTTGCGGTGGCTGGCATCATCCATATGAGCTTCGACCGAAATCTGGGAGTGGAACTTCCGTTCGCAGGTATCGCATTTGTACCTTGGAGTCCAGTGTTGGAGTGCGGTCATGTGTTCATCTACATCCTTTTTCGCGAAGAACACTCGATCGCACGTCTGACATGCGTACCGTGGGCGCCAGTGACCAGCCTTGCTCATGTGCTCCGCTGCCAATTTTGGCCTGAGAAACTCTAGATCGCACATCTCACATTTGACTCGGGGCCGCCAGTGATTAAGAGAGTTCATATGGTTATTTGCTGCCTCTTTGTTGAAGAACTTCATCGGGCAAAGTTCGCACTGAACTCGAGGACCCCAGTGACCGAGTGCGTTCATGTGTAGGCTTGCTGACTCCGGCGAGAAGAATTTCTGATGGCAAGTCTCGCATTTGTATTGAATATTCCAGTGACCAAGCGCATCCATGTGTTGATCTGCATCAGGTTGGGCACGGAACAGGCGAGGACATGTCTCGCACTTGACCTTGGAAGACATACTGAAATCGTCTTCCGCAGACGACGCGGGAAACAAAACTGCTCTGTTTGATATATAGTTAGATACAGACGACGAAGGAAGTAAAATTGATGAAAGGAAATGTTGTAGGGGAAGTTGAGGGTAGCAAGTGAGAGTGAAGGTGGCTGATGGTCGTGCTTGCTCGATTGGTTAACTACTGGCTACAGCAAGCGCGCGGCAGGCGGGGTTGATGGTGGGTGTGACAAGGACACGGGAAATGCTGTTGCCTACAGATACCAACAACTACTTTCGCGAACTCTACTCCATACCGAGTTCAGCTACTCAAATGACCGTTCAAGCGAGACAGTATCCTGGAATTAATCCTGGTGTGATTAAAGTGATGTGGCTGACTCGATATTCAGAGAAAGAGAGCGGAACGGGCAGTGTGGTGACACTGCAGGTTAATGTAAGGATGCAGTCTCGTTACAGGAACCCGATATGTTGCAAACAGAGGCTGTTATAATTGATTGACCATGATATGTGTATGTGCAGAGAGGTTGGCCCTTTATCGTTTCAAGGGATTCGAGAGGTGCTGAGATACTTCTTCCATGTATCCCCTGGTCTACATTCACGCGCTCGACTCCCCTCATGGCTCCATGCCTTGTGGCGCATACGGCGAAGCATCCATTGATTTTGCCTGATTTGCCTCGTTTACACAGCCTATGAATGGCGAGGCTGCCTGGAGTATACCTATAACACGACGCGTCTTCCGCATCGCGCAACATAACATCTCCTCTCTTGAAGCATCTGGTACCATCTGGACACCATCCAGATACAACCAGTATGGCGACGACCACGGTAAATTCGATGCTCCCTACCCCTCCTAACAGTCCATCTCTTTCATCTCGCAAGCCAGTCGATTCCATCGCCGTCGCAATCGCTGAGGTCTTGCCCGAGACGTTGCCCTCGCCACCCGTGAACGACTGTTCAGCCTTATCCCAGCAGAGGCCAACACCACCACCAGACAATGCGACATCGTCGGCAAGCACCACACCATCGCCCCCAGTTACTCCCGACAAACGAGTGGTAGTAAGAAGCACCCCGTCACGTACCCTCGCTACTCTTAAGAAAGACCTCCACATCGAAGGCTGGCAATGTGGTGCCCAGACCAAGAGACAAACAAGGTGCCGGTTGTTTATCAAATGCTGCAACAGGGACCTTATTGACGCGCAGCTTAATTCCATGACAAGCATGACGGCCTCCTCTCCACATTTTGAATCCGCTGCGTACAATCTCGTCAAGCTAGTGCACTGTCACTTGCACATTAAGAATAATAAGTCTACGGAAGACCGACTTGACACATGGAGACTTGCGTTCCCGCCCCGTAGCCCTGATGACAGCGCGCTTGGGATATCCGTTGAAGAGCTTATTAGAGAGGCCCTCGGGCCGTTCAGAACACAATGCCATGCCCAAGAGGAGAAAGAATGCAAGAGAATTGGAGGACAGAAGGTCCAGAATTGCGAGAGAACGCTCCAAGAGCTCATCAAGCCAGAAATATACTCTGACAGCGCCAAGTTAGAGTTGTTACTCAAGGCGCTGGAGTGGAATAGGACTTGCATCGACCATGAAAGATCAGAGAAATTCAGGTGGGTTGCGGCGTGGAAGGAAAGCATCGTGGCGGTACTGCCTCTGCCTATAGTAGAGGACGGCCTGGCGGTTGTCAGCGATGCACTGGAAGAGTCTTCATCCTCTCCAAAGGTTTTCCCAGGCTCTCCTATCACCTTGACTCCGTTGACAAATGAGACTACCGTCACCATCGCACATGCCTTGCCTACCCCAGATCCCGATCCAGCCCTGTACTGGCCAAAAGCCTATGACACAAGCCCCTTCAACATTCTCCAGCATATCAATCACCGCGCAAATCTGGAAGAGCTGATCGGAAACTCGCTATGTGGCCCTGACCTTAAAGCGGGGTACGTCTACGCCTACGAAGTCCCGGGCAACGAAGGCTACGTCAAGATCGGCTTCACCAACCGCTCCCTCACAGAACGCCACGATGAGTGGTCGTTCGACTGTAACAGGCTTACCAAACCAATTTACCCCTCCACTGCTCAAATCGCTGCTGCCGTCTCAGACGATAAAATGTCGGCCTTGGAGGTCCCGCACGCACGTCGCGTCGAGGCATTGTGCCATGCTGAGCTCAGTCGTCGAAGCATCAGGATCTACTGCAGCGCGTGTTTGAAGCAACATAAAGAGTGGTTCGAAGTATCGGCGGAGGAGGTCACGGCTGTGATTCAGAAGTGGTCAAGGTGGATGGCTACGCGTCCTTATGTGCTAAGTAAGAATAGTGGGACGCTTAAGGTGGATGAGAGGAATCGGATGCATGATTTCAACCGGTTTTTGCGTGAGGTTGGGGAAGTGCCTGCTGTATCGAGTGCAGAGGGCGAAGGAATCGGGGCGAGCCAATCACCATCTTGAACGTCTATGATGCTGCACGGCGATGGACAGGGCACTGCAGAGATGTGCGGCGGGGACTGATCAAACTGATCATTCACTCAGGCCTTCGAATCGACAACCGAAGATTAGGTGGAAATGGCCTGCAAGCAAGCAAACAGCCCCATTAAGTGGGACGACAAACCCTATTGTACGCCACCCACCGCTTCTCGAGGACATCAATCCCGCTCTCCCACTCCCAAGCAACCGAACGAAGATGATTGCCGGGAGACAATCACGAATTGCGAGACTCCTCTCGCTACTAACAGCACATGTGCCAGAATCGGCCCAGCTTACTCAAAGTCGCCCTTCTTCCACTGGTTCATTTCACGAGCTTCAAATCTGGATCTAGCCCAGCACCCACTTTATCTGCAACTGATATTGGTGTTGTGGGGTCGCGTCAAAGGACTGCATGATGTGTGATTCTAGGTTCTTCAGAGAGTGGCGAATCGTCCGCCATACGGTCTCGCCCTCCAGAGATCGTATCACTGCATCTAGTGCTATGATGTACCTAGAGCGGAGATCGAACTTGTTTCTTTCACTCGATGGTTCAGCGCAAAGGGGATCCGTATTTCTATGCATGATCAAAGTCTTATATTTCCTTGTAATTGGATGTGATAAGGTGCTGGATAATATCAAAGAAGGGGAGTGCACTGGGTGAGAGACTAGACAGAGCGGTACAGTGAGTCACAAAGGTCGGAATGAAATTTTGGAAGCAATGGGAGGATTCCGATTATTAGGTGCATATGTTAGGTAGAACTGTGGAGACTTCGAAAATATCTGATGGATAAGATCTCTCAGACTGTTTTCGATGGCGAGATATAGGACAATAATTGGTGCATAACGGATATAATATCCGTTATGTTGGACTTTAGCGTACTTGGTATTGTGAACATTATCAGTTGTACTTGGACATACCGTGCGCTTGTATTCCCTTCAACGTTACGTTCGAGTCAGTCTAGTCGCCTCATCCCTCACCCACGAACACACTCACCCTACCATTCCTCGAGTGCAATATTGACCATCTGACCACCATCCGTACTAGCGCTACATCTCTCTCTCACGACTCTCTCCAATAGCCCTCGTACCAACCCAAATCGATCAACAAACCAACGAAGGAAGATCCAGACATCAGGCGAACATCTCTCGGCTGCGGCTGTACGGTTGTACGGTAACGACACGGCACCAACCCTCGACACCGACTCCTTGGTGCCGGGACACAAGGCACTATACTCCCCAGCCCATTACCGGTGTCGAGTCCCTGCATGCCAACATGAGATCTTCACATCCTGCCAACACCGTTCAAGTGTGCTTGACTGTTGCTTAACCTTCCGTCGTGATACCAGCGTTATTGTAGACAAGGAAGAAATCTATCTCGGCTTACTATACTGCCACACACGCAATGCATACTTTAAGACAAAACCACAGGTAAGGTGGAGTGGATATCCCCATACCACACCATGTGGGCTTTTGCGGGGAGGGAGACCTCCATATAGCCTACTTGGTTTGATTCATAGAGGCTATTACTCGCAGACAAGAGATGCCAAGAACTCCTCCAGCTGAGTCGAGTGTGCTTGGTCGGTTCATCGATCGCTTAATTGGTGGTGGTGGTAGGCATTGGTATTGCAAGTACAGTACGGCCCGGGTAGCGTGGTGATTAGTGCGCAGTTCGCCATGCCTGTGCTGGTCTAGAGTCGTGGTTCAATAAGATGTGTGTAGGCAGGTGAACTTGTTTTGTTCGAGGCATTGATGGGGGAATACGGGGGGTTGCGCCACAGGTGGTTTTGTTGTGGGATTGTGGAGTGTGATGGGTTGGCTATTCGCTAAGAGGGGACGAGGTTGGGTCAGTATGTGGCCGGTGAATGTAGGGGAATAGTCATGTTGAGTCTTGCATGCCAACACGGATCCGATTGTTGGGTTCGGGTTGGGAATTGCGATAAACAGAGTTCGAATGAATTGAATTCTCCTTATCATTTCAATAATGCTGGGAGTTGGCGTTCATCATGGAATACGGAGAATTCGTGGCAGGGTGTGGTCTGATTCCCTGCTCGCAGGATTCTCGCTACATGCACACTGCACCGTAATGATTGCCGGGAATTTGAATAGACTTCACATCAGGCCTCTGTCTCTCTATCCACAAAATACACTGTCTGATCGTTATTATTGGATCCAGATAAAGGATGGCATGGAAATGGGACCACGTGCAGATAGAGTCGAGAGAGTTGACTCGAAATTAGCGGGACGTCTTGGCGAAATGCAGCGGAACGGTATACTTCCCCAGACTCACACTGCCGCCTCCACAGTCCGGTCCTTGGCAAACTGGGGTATTTACAAGGTTTCGTTTCTCACGGCCTCCAACAGACCACTAAGCAGCTTAACCATCGATGCTTGGGCGTTACGATGCCTGATTTGGTGATGATCGCAGACTGCCGGGGGGGTTCCGCTCCACTTTGGCTGCAATGCGACGTCGTCGAGTCCAGACCGAGCGTATTGGAGGCGTATTGATGGGGTTTAAATACTCGTAAAGGGGATCATCATCGTGGTTTCCTGTCTGTTTCTTTAGGTTTTCATCTTCTCAAGTCGAAAGTTCTGGTGGAAAGATCGCAGTGTTTGTAGTATTGAACGCTTCATCCCACGCCTCGCCAGCAATTGACCCTTGCAATTTCTCCGGATTTCGTTTACCGGGAGACCCACAACAATGGAGGAAAACAAGAACGACGTTGAGCGTATCGAGAAGGCTGTCGAGAGTTCCACGTCACAAGTATCTCAAGATGAACAGCAGGATTGGACACCAGAAGAGGAGCGGGCTATTGTGTATGATTGAATCAACTGACTTTATATGAGATGCGAACTTTATACTAACAACATATATAGTCGAAAAGCAGATCTGAGAGTCTTTCCCATGCTTTGCTTCATCTTCGGCCTCTCCCTACTCGATCGAACGAATATTTCATCTGCATACATTGCAGGTCTAGCAAAGGATTTGCAGCTCGCTGTCGGAAGCCGATATAACATTGCATTGTTGATCTTCTTCATCGGTACGAATGGCCCATTTGGTTCCTCTGTCGATCACGTACTGACGCCGAGACAGGTTATGCGCTCTTCGAGCTACCATCAAACGTTGTCATTCGACGACTTGGAGCACGAACATGGCTCTCTTTCCTCATTGTAGCATGGGGTGCATGTGTGCTAGGCATGGGTTTCGTTCATGACTGGAAGATTCTCACAGTTCTGCGTGCTTTACTGGGTGTCTTTGAAGCTGGATGTAAGTATCTTGACTTTGATCGGGGAAGTCAATTGAGATGCTAACCTGGAAAAGTGTTCCCCGGAGCAGTTTACATCATCGGATCGTGGTATCGTCAGTTCGAGACCGCGAAACGTGTCTCTATCTTCTACATGGCCGCGCTGGTTACATCCGCTTTCGGTCCTATCGTATGTTCATGGTTCTGCTATACGATCTTACGATGGTTTTATTAACAAATTTCAGTTTGCGTATGCACTATCTTGTATCCGTGTCGGAGATGGCATGTACCGCTCCGGTTGGCGATGGATCTTCATCATCGAAGGCATCGTCACCATCGTCGCAGGTTTTGCCGCGCCTTTCTTCCTTATCGAGTGTAAGCATATATCCTACCTTGCAGACACAATTAAGATTTGAGAAACTAACTATCAACAGTCCCCGAGAAGGTCAGCTTCCTGACCGATCGTCAGAAGCATATCGCCATTAGCCGCGTCAGTCTCGAACAATCCGGCAAGCAGACCGAGCCGCCCACATTCATGGATTCGCTCAAGATGCTCGTGGACTGGAAGATCGGCGTGTACTGCATCCAGTACTTCGTCGCCGCGTCCTCCGTCTACTCCCTTGCCTTCTTCGCCCCCATCATCCTCCGACAAGGCATGGGCTTCTCCTACGTCGAGGCCCAACTCCTCTCCTCCCCACCCTACATCTTCGCCATCATCGCCTCGTTGGCTTGTGCTTGGCTCTCCGACAAGATCAAGCTCCGCTACCCCATCCTCATCGGCCAGTCCGTCTCCGCCATCGTCGGCCTCCTCATCGTCCTATACTGCAAACCCCCCGGCGTCAGGTACTTCGGCCTCTTCCTCGCGACCTTCGGCACCCAGGCCAACGTCCCAGCCACCCTGGCATACGGAAACAACCAGACCGCGCGAGTCCAGAAACGCGGCGTTGTCGCAGCCGCGATGATCAGTGTCGGTGCCGCGGGCGGTATCACCGGCTCTACCATCTTCCAGGCTAAAGATGCTCCGGTAAGTTTCCTCCCTATTTACCACCCCCTCCTGATTCAACACCTTCTAACGTGACATATAGCTCTACCTCCCAGGCATGTGGGCGACCATCGCCATGCAGATGCTCTACTCCATCATCACATTCGCCATGTCGATGCACTTCAAGCGCCAGAACAAGTTGGCGGATGAGGGCAAGAGGCCGACGCTTGAGGGCGTCGAGGGATTCCGATATGCGCCGTAGATGGAAAATGATTCGCGATATGAATAATGATGGTTACACTGCTGTTGGTAGTATAGTTAATGATACTTGGTGCCACTTGCAAATGTTCGTGAAGGTCTGATATGGATTGCTGATGGTTGAGAGCTTCGTGATGCACTATTAATGATTGGACGAATGAATGCCGTCTTACCTTCGCAATTTTTTGGGGATGTTATTTCTTCGATGGCTGTATTGGCATGGCCAAAGAATTGAGCGATCTGGTAGTTCCTACAGCGAAGTATCCAAAAGTATCGGGCAAGATTTCACATCGTATCATCGCAGTGTAAATGATGCTGCTGCTGCCGCCCCATGGTAAATAATCTTGCACAAAACTTTCAGGTAATATTGTAGCGCGAACAGTCTGAAGACTTCGAACTTCTGGGAAGAATCCAAGCGCACTTTTATAAATATGCAACGTTTTCTAGATTTGGACAGATTCCTAATACCTGTAAACTCCGTGAAAGCTTTAAACTCCTCCCACAGATTCCTTTTCCTTTCTCATCGCATCCATGCATTGAGAGGTATGGCATTTCGTATATGCAGTATGACTTCGATGATCAAGGGTTATGTCTCGCTTCTCACACGTGCATGCCGTCAAAGCTACCTATTGGCCGCGATTACTGATCTCCGTCTCTTGACTTATACTTTATACGAACGACAGTCATGAACTGGATATTTGCACAATATCAATGCCGTTGATTTAAAGGGAACCTACTTGTCATCACTTACTCTCTCCACGGACCTTTGGCACCGATCGAAGTAGAATTATACAGGAATTCAGGAAGGCATTGTGATGGTCCAGCAAACATCCTCAACGAATCCGAGTCGAGCCAAACATACATCGATGATAAAGACTTCATGGCTTTGAATACCAATTTCAATGCTTCGGTCGGCAGTATCCTGCCCCCCTGGTCTCCAGGAACTCTCGACATTCATTTCATCGATACAGGTGTTGGCAACGCTGCCTTCGTGATAGGCCCAGATGCAACAACCATTCTGATAGACTGCGGAGCCACTCGCGGTGGACCCCCAGCATCAACTCCTCTCCGCCCTAACCAAGAAGAAACTGTAGGTCAAATCGTCTCTCGCTATGCTCTTCGACATGCTGCTCCCGCAAAGCGAACGACACTGAACTATATGATCGCCACCCACGTCCACCCGGACCACGTTGGCAATCCCATCCCTAGCGACAAACTCGACCCTGGAGGTTACTACCTCACAGGTCTTAGCGAAATCGACTCTCTCATGCCCGCCGACCTCGTGATAGATCGTGGCTTTCCAACCTACGACCCTCTGCCAACCATCAACGCCCCCTTCGCCACAAACCACATTGCCTGGCTTCAATCCCGCATCAACTCCGGCAAACGCGTCGAGCAAGTATCCGTCGGCTCCGATACTCAACTCACACCACGCAACACTCCCAACTCATTCCAAGTCCGCTTCATCGGCGGCAACGGCGAAGTCTGGACCGGCAACGGCACCTCCTCTCACTCCATCCTCGCCCCTCCGACCTCCTGGACCTCCTCCGCCAGCCCCGAAGAAAACCACATGTCCATCGCCCTCACGCTCTCCTACGCCGGCTTCCGCCTCTTCACAGGCGGCGACATCGTAGCCGACACCCAAGACGGCGCCTACCCCTGGCTCGACGTCGAGACGCCCATCGTCGAAGCCGCAGGTGAAGTCGACGTCGCGACCGCGGACCACCACGGCTACTTCGACGCATGCTTCGCCGGCTTCACGAAGGCGCTCAACGCGACGTCTTACGTCGTTCAGGCATGGCACGCCACGCACCCCGCCATGGATGGCCTCCAGCGCATGCTGAATGCGTGGCCGGGGAGGGAGGGCAGGGATGTGTTTATCACGAGGTTGGACCCCGCGAGTGAGGCGGTGAATGCGAGGTTTTTGAAGAGTGCGAGGAGTGTCGAGGGGAATGTTGTTGTGAGGGTTGGGGAGGATGGGAGGTATAGGGTTTTTGTGACGGATAGTAGGGATGAGGAGGATAGGGTTACGTTTGTGGGGGATGTTAGGACTGCTAAGGGGAGGGGTGGGTGATGGAGTGAGTGGTGGTTGGGTTGTCTGGAGTATGATTTTGATGTGGCAGTACACAGCATAGTGGAATCTCTTAGGCTAATTCTTTCAGGTTTGGAATTAGATAAGAGACAACATTGTTGTTTGATAACTATCATTGAGCTACATCATCGCTCTCTGATGCATGACGTTTCCCCTGCTGAATGAACCTCAAGATTTAACTTCCACGTAATACGATAAAAACGATAGCTCTCTCACCGATCACAACCCACTAGCACCATATCCCCCGCTCAAGCCCAAACCGCTCTCCTTTCCAATCTAGGCATTTCCTCTCCAAACCTACCCCCAATCCAGCAGAACCCAGTTCCCTCCCCTCTCCAAAACAGTGTCATATTCTCAAAATCCATTAGAGCCGTCGTCACTTCCTTGCCCAAGAATGACAATTATATGTGAAACGGTGACGAACGCATGGCCGAAGGGGGCACGTGCGAAGGGTTCTGTGCTGAATTTAGTATGGTTTGGCATAAATTGGCGTCTGGGATTGCCGGTTGGGGAAGTAGGTAGGTCGAGAGGTCTGGGTCTGGGTCCTGGGAGGCCGGGCTGGGATCAGGGTTTGTAGGATGGGGATGTGGGAATGTGGCTAGGTACATGGATGGAGGATTCGAGGATTCGAGGATGTTGGATATCGAGGTTCTGTGTGTTTTGGGGTGTGATGTTTGACAAGGCTGGATGGAGAAGTTGTGAGAAGTGCAAATGAGGAGTATCGTGAAAAAGTCTAGTTCCAAATGAATGGGTATAATGTATTTCTATGGTGATGATGAAGCGAGTAGTGGTATCGTGAATTAAAATATGAGTTATGGGTATTTCTAAATGCGGCTCCAAAACACACTTTTTCCTCCCTTTTCGTCTTGATCTTGGTCTTCGTCGTTGCTCTATCTCTTATGCGTCTAATCCCGTAGTCTTCCCCAACCACCATGTCCCTTCTTGGGCACGACGAGCACCGCCTCGTCGTCACTGCTCTCCCGTCCGCGACCCTCAGCGTCGCTCTTCACGCTCTCTCCACCCTCAGTAACGTCGTCGAGGCTCTTGCTCTGGTGAACCTCCCTAACCCTGAGAGCAGTCTCCTTCGCATAGCCGAGGCCGTCGAAGTTGGCGCCATCGGCGGGCTCGCTGCTGATGTGGATCTCCTCGGTCTTCTTGATCTGGTTGCCCTGGACGGTGAAGCTGACGGCACGGTCATTGCGGTCGGAAGTTCGCTTTCCGCTGGCGGAGATCTGGGAGCTGAGTTCGATGACGGAGGCCCGGCGGCGGCCTGTACCGCTGGGGTTGGTGTTGTATCGGTCTGAAGTGGATGCTGAGACGAATTCGTGGGCGATGGAAACGTTGCCTTGGCGGCGAGATGTGGAGATGGCGATGCGCTTGATGAGATTGGCCATGGTCATTTCGATGTTGAGTTTGACAAGGTAGGCGAGAGGATGGAATTGAATGTACCTGGTGGATTGCGTGAGCAGGTTGGAAGAGACAATAGAGAGAATGGAGTGAGCTTACACAAAAGAATTAGGGATGGACATAGCGGCAATGATCATGACGTCCATGAGCAAGGAAAGAACAATGATACGCTGATTGTACTTAAACAGTCTATCGTACTTTTGCAGACCGTTGTTGATTAGGTTGGCCTTGACGACCTTCAAGAAATACCAATTGAGAGCGGCGTCGATGAGGAGGTAGATGACCTTTTCGCAACGGTCCCAGATTTCGTTGACTAGTTCATATCTAGATCTGGTCAGTTTGATGGTTCAGTGATACAAGATTTTTCTGATACTTACGATTTCGAAACTTGAAGACGAGCAGGAATCCAAATGCAGAAAACGCTAATGTTGATCATGGTAACGACGGTAGCAGTTGCAATCATGATATGCTTCGATTTGCGGCGGTCCGGGACAATAACACGAATACGATTGATGATGATCTGAAGAAGGAGCTGGACCTGAATACACCACCAAAACACTGGGAATTCAATTAGCATCAGTTAGACCGAGAGAACTGTTATTTTCCCGAGGACTCTGAACATACAGATGGTGAAATAGAAAGCGAAGCCTGTAATTATGATCAGTCGTTGCGTCTTGATACAATCTGCTTGAGACAGTGACTTACTGGGTTTGATGATTTTGTGGATATGCAGATAGCACTCCGTGCCCATGACTGTCGAGACCACAAGTTCCAGCCATATCATCCACACATATGCACTCCTAAGTGGTGATCGGGAGGTATGTGTTTGGTCGATGCCCAGCCAAATCGCGATTCCAACGTTGACGAGTGTTAAAATGTAAACCACGGAGGCGATTATCATGTCGGAGAGCGTAATGGGTTCATTGTGATAATTTGGTGAGATGAATGGCCCCCATGGCTGGAAACTGGGAACATCTCTGAACTCCTGGCTCATGATGATGGTCGATGGTTACCAATATCACAACGGTAATCGGTGGGGCATAAGGCGGCCAAAGTTGTCAGTGTCTTTCCGTGCGTCCGACGTGCAGATGCGAAGCGACATATTTAAGAGAACGAGATCTAACATACTCGATCGGGTGGAACGCTTGCTCATTCAGCAGTGTCCCTGAGCTAGAAATCTTTGAGTAGCCTTTTCATGGGCAAGACATCCTAGTGTCGCACGGTCCCAGATCTGAAGTCAATTTAGATGCTGCCACTGGTTCCGGACCCTTCACTAAGTTGCGGGTGACAAAGAGCTACGATTAGCGTTGAAGTAGACACAAAGATCAGCAGCCTTCGCCAGACTTGCAATTCCTACGCGGCAGATCCCTGCCGTCCACGCAGCACAGGAAAATTACGCAGATTTCATTTGTCCGCTACAGATTCCAGATATCACGATTAGAATTGAGGATGCATCGGTATGAGCGCCCGCAAGCCATGTGGCATGATTCTGGTCGATCAACCCCAGAGAATCATTATGCGGAGTCGGGCCAACGGTCCCAAAGTAGAAGAACAATCGTGAATTGTCAGAGTGCGTGTACCATACATTTTTCTCTTTGCAAAGCTTCATTTCTACGGCAACCAAATGGGGCGCGCGAGATGGTTTCTAGCATGGTCATGAACGGAATGCTGTCGGGCGTTATCGAGTACCAGATTTCTCCCATGTACGAAGTACAGGAAGAGAGGGGCGATATGGCAACAGCAATTGTAGATCTCCCCCAGCTAATAGCAGCGATCAGCACAAAATCTCCTGTATGAATCATGGACATTTGGGCGTAAGCTGCCCAGTTTCGCTAGGAGATCTATCATTTCCGCCGAAGAGAGGCCATTGGGTTACTCCCCGCCCTAACCCAATCTCATCACATGTAAAGACATCCGGTTAGGACGACAAATAATTGCACATCGATTGCCTTGATAATCCCCTCGTAGCCAGCTGCACGTCACAGTCTTGGGAAACGTGCATAGGTTCAAGCCACAAATTCACGGGGAACTCGAGCAAATGTTGTCGTTGAAGGCTTGATGGATGAAGGATGTGCCTTTCCGTTGATCCTCGGGGGTGCACGGTGCTATAGCTGACCATCCACGTGGGCCGCATGGCTTGCGCGATGTCTTCACATGGTTCTCCATGTTTCCTCGTTCCTATTCTGGCAAGACAGCTCATGGGCTACACTCTTCACACACAAGTCTAAAGCTTTCCTTGAGCTGAACTCACTGCGTGCAATGGTTGGGAACTGTGATACTGTGGCTGCCCGGCACCTTCACAATGGTACGAGTATGATGGAGTTGCTGGGTTCTAGAAAGATGAAAGCCTTAGGTAGAATATCAACTAGTATCTGGTAGAACCGCCAACTTGGAAACTATCAGGTCGCCACGCTGGAATCCGACCCGGTTCCGATGAGTTAAGGGCTCGTTGGGCTGTCACTGGCGCGGTGTAGTGCATCGTGTAGCGCATCGTGTAGCGCAGGGGTCCAGGCATAAGCAGGTTACTGACTCGGGCGGAGGGCTGCTGTGCCGTTTCGTAAGTATGAAGTAAAACGCAGCCAGAAACTATCGAACGACTTGTGGGCAGATTCTCGAGATGATCCTTGGTGTGAGAGAAGTTGCAGCATCATTTGAATGTTTGTTGTATTCAAATGGTGATGTGAATTGACTTTTGGCCCTTGTGAAAATCCTCCACAAATTACCAGCACATCATTCTTGAGATCATTGAGGCGAAGGAAGACAGACGCGATGCGGGCGGGGCCGGAATGTGTACCATGCGCAGATCAGCACTGTACGTCGTATTTCTCCGCCCAGCACTCTTCCAAATTCTGACCGCTAGACTCGACAATCTCACAGTTCCAAAAAGCCTTGCATGAACCCATCGACTTGAGATTTCACACCATACCAATTTTGATCGGAAACGACGATACGCATGGACGTTGATACACATCTATGCATGCACTACCTGTTGGTGTTTGCAGTGGGATCCATCAGAATTGTGGAGGATCGAGACCAAATTCGGGAATGCCGATACTGAATATCATCACCACACATGCCGCGTCTTCTGAAATCATTGTCCGTCTTCATCTGGGTGGAATCTTTAGCACGAGATCATCCATCAATACAGGTTGATCAGACAACTTCCAATAAAATCCCGTTTGATCATATCTTTCTTCACTTATAAAGGGGTTGAACAGTTAGGCAAATCTGTTCAAGCGTTGTGTACTCCGTACTGTGTAAGCTTTAAAGATGCTCGACTGGGACCGAACTCATAATAATACACAATACAGCTTGTTCTTGGGGCGATGGTATCGTGAATTCGATAGTTTTCTGATCTGGTTATCCCACTTTCGTCGCCTTCGTCCCCTATAACATCGTATACAGACTAGAACTGCTCCTATCATCGTTGGGCGACAACAGCACCTGTCGTATCTCAGCAATAGTGTGTGAGCTTGACTTCAACATCGCAGCCTGAAGCTTACGGGCTGTTGATCCGGCGCGCTTCCCCGAGACGTCAAGGTCGGATTCTTACCACCGAAATGCAGCATTGAGTCAATCCCAAACTCGTATTTCACTGTTTACCATTCCCACACACCTTGTGCCGCGCGCCATTCGCCACTTACTATTCGCGTTAGAGGTCAAGCCTTACGATTCATGTCCACACACGCAACATCGCTGATCAGAGACTTCAACGGCCCCTCTCTGAAATCTCCGGAAACCAGACGTCCGGGACGATACTGGAACTCCCGATTTGGGGATAATTCCTACTATTCGTAGGAATCAGTGAGTGAACAACGAAGTGACGAATTTTCAAAGTAATATGCGATGAAGGTTTTCCAGAATGTTGACAAAACCTTCTCTGTCGAGGCTAATTCACCACGTGGAATAATTAAACTTTGACGGATGTTTCCAGCCTGCAGGCAGCTTGCCATGCATCTCAAGACACTCCTAGCTGGTTTTCAACCTTTCCTACCAAGATAACCACCGTATACGAAGTAGAAACTTTACCTTCTCAGCACTATCGTCCAATAATTGTTCTGTGCCTGACGATATCCTAGTAACGGCTGTACGGTAAGAAGTGGCTAATCCTGTCAACTTGGCTCTGTATTGGGATCATCCATTCACACGGCACAGTAGTGTCCTTCAGTCGAAGGAACTAGCCGCCAATTAGAAGAAGGGACGGCGGTTGTTCCTCGGGTCAAAGAAATTTTGAAGGACTCCAAAAGTAGCATATCCCCTTGGCTACAAGTAGGAAGGACGGCACGTGAAATTGGCAAGCGGCTGGTTGTCAGAGAGGAACGGAGGTTGTAAGAATTCGTATTAGATTCGTGGTGATGGTCTCGAACGTGGATTATAGCTTCGTCCCTGTTTCGCCGCTACTGCGTTGGTGGATCTGGATCATCACAAAGGGGTTCAAATTTCAATGGCTGTGTGCTTCAATTCAGTTTCAATCCTGGCGTCGTACACCAGTACAGAGCGGCTGGATGAGTGCAGGTCGATGTTGATCAGGCATAAGCCAAACCGTGTGGACCAGAGGGCGGGCGACATTGTGTAGAGAAGCCTGAAAAGGGGCCAGCTCCTCTCAGGCGGGTATTATGGAAAGAAGATATGGTCAGGAGCCATCATTTTGTAGGCTGTCACCATCAAATTGGACAAGATTGATGAGATGTGCTGGATTTGGTTGTGGTGTATGAGTCCTTTGCACAGCGCTCAGCAAGATCTCCATGAATCGGATTATGTCAGCTGGCTTCGTCATGCCAAGACATGTTGAAACCAAGCCACAGCTCAACGCCATCACTTGCGTAGCTCTCTAGGCCACAACTACAACAACATCGCTTTTATACTCTGAAGGTTCTTGGATTTGGATCTAACACACCTAAATCACCTTTGCGACTTTACAAAGTCACTTACACTAGCAATGTCCGAGAAGCCGATCCCAGAGAAGGTGCGCTTGTGACCCCACTACCTCACATATCTTGACTTCCAAAGTCTATTGCTATGAAGTACTCATTCCGAACAGCCAACGAAGACAGGTGCAGCTTCAGGCGCCGAGTCTCCAACTACCGCCCGCGAGCTAGACTTCGACGACGATAACGAGGCTACCACCGCAGGCCCCGAGACCGCAGTCGCATCCCCTCCACCAATTTCCAAGTCTCCCAAACCAGGAGTACGATTTTCCGAAGATGCGACAGAGATCCCACCCCCAAAACCTCCGCGACCGACCAGTCCTCAACAGCAGGCCGAGAATACATTGATTGAAGCTTTTCCCAGCATTGACTCAAAGATCGTCAAAGCCGTCCTGGTTGCAAGTGGGGGTAAGGTTGAGCCCGCGTTCAATGCTTTATTGAGCATGTCGGACCCCAGCTTCAGCGCGGAAGATGCCCCTCCCCCACAGCCACCGCGACCAGCTCAGCAGCCGAGGAGTCAGGTTGAGCAAGACGAGATTTACGCCAGGCAGCTGGCGCAGCATTACCAGTCCTCTTACACCGAAGATCATGGCTCGTCCAGGCAGCGCGAACCCCATCTACCTCAGCAACGACAGCAGACGGGACTCAAACCGAATGAGTTGTACGACCGAGACCACAGCTTCTTTGATGACGATCTTCCAGTCATTCGGAAGAATATCGAGCAAGGTTTCAAGGAGACGCAGACCAAGGTGAACCAGTGGATCACCAACTTCAAGAAGCAACTTGATGGCGAGCCAGACGAATACGATCAGTATGGAAACCCAGTATCTCACCGACAAGTCCCCCAGCAGCGCCAGAACTATGGCCCTTCGCAATCCGATCAATCTCGCAGATCGGCAGAGAGACAGCGTAGGTCGGCAGACCGAGAACGGTATGATACAGACAACAGGGTGCTCGGAGACGATTTCGAGGCTTTGCAGCTTCGCGACGATGAAGGTATGTGCAAACTACTAATGTAGGTGAATTCGCGATGGCTAACGATCATGTGCAGCACCCCAGCAAAGGGGAAATCGCCCCTTTGCCAATCCCAACCTTTTCAAGCCAACGCCCGTTTCCCCGCCCACAGGCGGCCCTGTGGATGAGGTAGATGCACTGTACCGCAACCCATCGCCCAATGGCCAGCAAACAGGCACTACTGGCAACAAATCAGGGAACAAGAAGTGGCAACCACTGACATCCATCGCACCCAACCCGGAACCCGATGACCATGACCCATTCAGCTTGGGAGACAGTGATGAAGACGAGGCGAAACAAAAGGACATCAAGGCGGAAGATACCGAGAGGTTGAAGAAAGCCGCAGAAGGCAAAGAAGGACCGACGGGCCAGCTGAAAGGTGCTGAGCGGAGCGGCAGTGTTGGCCAGAAAGACGCCGCCGCCGAGGCTCTCCTCAAAGAAGCCAAGTAGGCAGCCACTGTCACTTCAAAGTCAATCATGGGTGGAATTACGTTATGAGTGTCACGGCTGAGAATTTTACGCCCTGTACCTGCATCTTGTGTCATGGAAGATATCACATCCCAGTTTAGTGCGAATAGCCAGACTAAAGTCATTGTACAATCATTTCTTGCTTCTTTTCCAATAACGAACCTTCTCTGAATGTGTGACTTGACCACTACACGGCGCCAAACAATACACAATGCTTTCCGCTGAGACTTCTACAATTAATCCAGCGTAATGTATTTCTCTGATAAATTGCATACACAGTCTAATGAAGTGTAGTTGGGATTATTTTATATTGTTTTTGTTATCTAACTTATTTCTTCATAGTGATATATGGTAAAATTTTATTACTTTAGTAAAGTAACGAATACCTACAAAACACACGCAACATTAGAAAGCTAATTAAATATAGCAAGAGGCAAGAATATTTGTTCCTTGTCAATTAAAATAAGTATTAGAGTAATTCAGTGAACATTAGTTGGTACAAAAGGGTCAACTTGGATGATGGTAGAAAGTCTCAACCATTCCTCTTTTATTTGTAACTCAATACTTATGAAATAAAAATATCTTGTAAAACACGCTGTCATAATTATGAGCATCATAAATAGTCAGAAAAAATTCGCTCTAGAATCAACCACTCCCTCCCTCTCCAACATCTCCACAAACTTCGCCGCCATCTTTCTCCCACCCTCTGAACTCGGCTCAACTCTCGCTGTATAATCCGCCGGATCCTGCCCATCCAAGACTTCGTACAAAGGACACGGCACAACCTTCACGCCCGGTACGCGGATCGTCTGAGTCCCAATCTCATAAATCTTTTGAATCGCCGTCTGCAACTGCGAGGGATACCTATTATATCCCAGCGCCTTCAGATTCACATCCGCCCACCCCTGCTGCCCCTTACCCGCTTCGAGTGGGAAGTAAATCATACACACAATGACAACCCGAGGTTTCGTCTTCGACGTAATCCGCGAGATGTACTCTTGAATTCTAGCGCCGAACAGCTCCGCGAAATACGCAAGCGGTGACGCACTCCCGGTCTCGATGGCCGTGCGGCGAGTCAACCAGGCTAGATTGAGCATGTTGATGATGGTAGAGAAGGTTGGCCGGAGCGCGATGTCGTTGGCTCCAATACTGACGACTAGGGCATCGTTTGAGGATATGTTGTTCTGGATGAAGGTGTCGTGTTTGTTGAGATGATCATCGCGCTCGCGGAGCATGGTCGCTTCTACGGAGGTGTTGATGCAGGTCGCTCGGGAAGAGAGATGGTGGTTCATCCAGAAGGCAACGTCGGGATTTATTCGTGGGTGCTCGAGGACCGAGTTATAGATTTCTGGGACTGGGACTGTGAGAGGCTCGCCTCCTGGTCCGGATGAGGGAACCCAGTATTTGTTGTCGAGGGAGGAGTCGCCGGCGAGCCATATTATGGGTTGAGTTGGACGGAGGGTTTGAACTGTGTTGTGGAACTTGCGGAGGCTAGATATTGGGTGGCCGTGCCATTCCATGTAAAATCTATACGGATTTATTTTTTTGGAGGTTATAGTAGACGTTGTATCATCGTCCGAGTCTTGCGCCGGGCTGGTGCTCGACGTCGAGGTCGCGCTGCGCAGCAGGTATCTCCCCATGGCGACTTCGAATGAAGACAATATCAATGTTGATTCATTTTCAATGGAAAATGGCTCATGAGCTCTTTAATGAAGTACCTAAGTCAGTAGGTAATGGTAGCGTGTCAGCCGTACAATCTATTTACAGCAACCTAGGCAGCAGCCTAATTTAGGATTGAAATATGAGAAGTTTATATTTTTATGTATAATATCAAGATATCAAGATTCTCCAACTGTATACTTTAAGAAAACTTCGTAAGAAGTGTGTGTCTATGTTTTTAGAGCTTTGGATTGACTCCTAGGGAGCACTCTCCCAAGTATGACATCATGTCATGTGACCTGATCTTACAATAGATCTTTGGTGTGATAGCCTTTTTTATTTCCTTGAGTTGTGAAATTCTATGCTCCTGACAGAATTTAACTTTAGGGATTTCTAAATGCGTTGCGTAGCTTGAATTAGATGTTTGTTTCCGACCGGGGTCAATTTTGTACCAGTTTCGCAGCTAAACTCCATCAAATAGAGGAGTATAATATCCTTCTGTCTTCTCCCTTTTATGCTGCTTGGATCAACTTCTTTGTATATGAAGATATGGCCATCTTGTCAATCGGAAAAGCTGAACCGTACTAGACATTGCTATTTGACATTGTACATGAGGGATGTTCTTTACGAGTTATCCCTAATTTTGTTAATATGTCGACAGGTTTACCTCAGGGTCTAAAGGCGACATGCCTCTCTTCGCTTCATGCTGCCTGATCAAAGCTTTACACATCGTCAACTGAGTTTTAAAAGCCGTAATTGTGTCTTTTATGCTTACATGCGAGGGATCCTCACATAGAGGACGACTATTAGACTCCCTAAGCGCATCTTCCAGTCTCCTGGCCTCTTTGACCAAGTCACCGACCTCGGATCGCTTCTTCTCCAGATTCTCCCGAATTGCCGCGACGAGGTCGACGGGCCCGCGGATGTCGATACTAGAAGTGGAGTCTATTGAGTCCAAGAGGCGGTTCAATAATTTCGGATTTTTTTCTTTTACGTGTTCGGGGGATATGGTGATGATAACAGTTGGGGGATCGCAAGATTCGACGTCAGGCATGGGGACATCTATAGTTGCGTCGGAATCGTAAGACACGTCGTCGTCGAAAGCGGACGAAACAATTGTACTACCGCTGTCTGAACGGTTATCCTTCAAAGCGTCCCCTGGTAGTTCTATAGGCTCGTCCGTAAACGCCTTCAACTCCTCCCGAAGAGCTTCCCTGTCGCAAGTGAGGTTGATGATCTGGATGTCCTTAAACGTGCATTCTCTTACAGCATCGCACAGTTGGCTGTCAAGCGCATTGTTCTGTACAAGGAGCTGATGTACGTATTGTTCTTCTGCCTTTTGTAAGAGGCGATTGGTTTCATGGACAGGATGCTTCGCTTTGAATTGTTCCAGCTCCTTCTTCAGGTCCTCGTGCTCCTTCCTCAGGTCCTCGTACATATCTTCTCCATCGAATACCATGTCCCTGAGCTCCGCGTTCTCGTTTTCTAAGTCGCGGAGCTGCAATGTTTGTTGCTCAGTTTTTATCTCAAGGTGTGGAATCGTGGTTTTGACTATTTCTGTCAGTTCTTTGTTTTCCTTTTTCAGCCGTACGACTTCGGCCTTAAGATCTGCATTTTCAGCACTCTTCGCCCTGATGGACGCCCTGCTGGACCTTTCCGTAGAATTATCTTTCGTAGCTTTCACTTCGGTCTCCAACCGTTTTATTTGCTCGACTTGTTTCTTGTCCTTAATTTGCATATTCTTCAATCGTGTCTGTAAATCAGTGATCTGGGCTTTACGACGTAGTAGCTCTTTGTTGGGACTAACATTCCGCGATGGTCGCGGTATAGTGCCGGCCTGTCGCGTGCCATTTGGAGGGTCGATGGTTGGTTTGGCCATTTTTCTTGCTGGAGATCTGGTAGCTGACTTGAACTCAAACATCGCTAGTGCAGATGACAATAATTCTGGCAGCAGTATGCACTGGTAATGTTACCAGGTGATTAGGACATTTAATAGGGACCATGTAGCGAAGCATTGTACACAAGAACTAAACACTGCTGGAGGAAGACAACCTTGCTGTGTACTATGGCTCTTTTTCTATGACTCCTTTTAGTCAGATTCCCGTGATACCTAGCATTGTGAACGGAATGTGCATAGAACGTGAATAATCTCTTTGTTGTTGAAGTATTTTGCTTTCATTATGTAGAGGTAGAATAGAGTCAGCCACAATAAATTGTGGCAATTGTCCCCTTCTACTAGACAGATGAAGAGACAGCTTATGTTTAATTAGATTCAGCAGTGTCTCAATCTGGAGGCCTTCAATTGGTTGTACCTCAACTGCAGTGTACTCCCAGATCGTCCGGTCTGTACCCAAGTACATCTATATCAAACATTAGTTTCTGATTATCACCAGACCCAATGTCTCTGGTGCCCAAGAACATCAGGCGCCCATTGTCTCTGCACTTTCCCTGCACAAAGTAAATTGGTCGTGATGTTGTAAGTGGTACAATGATGCGCCCAAAGGCCAATGAGTGTAATACCTCGTCATGTACAATGCGAGACTACCCCAAACGGTGTAAATCTACACCTTCCAAAGCCTCCAAGAGGTCTCGATCGGCATCAGCATAGAACTAGCATGCCATAAGATTGAATTAAGTGTCTGACACAGTTACGTATTGGAAATCCACCAGCCCATTCACTTAGTATGGATAGAATGCATGAGTACCCCAAGGCTGCTGCGACGTCGGCCGTAAGGCGGCCAGAGTAATTATATCGACGTATGAATAGCGCCGCCAGAAACGATATTAGCCATGCGATTCTGCAAGAGCGAAGCCTCTCTGTATACACTAGTCGGGTAATGTGTTGGTCGCCAAGTTAAGAAGCGCGTCGCTACGATGGTGGTAATACTTGAAGTTTTAGTTCAAGCTGTTTGAGTGCATTTCCCCCGAAATGGGATAGAGGGAGAAGGAGCATTGGGTTTAGCCAATGATATTACTCTTGCCTATTGGGCGTTTTTCGGTGGAGAGTTGGCGCTGTGTAAGAATAGGTCTTGAAGGATTATCGTGAGGTTGCTCACCTGTATCTTTATTGGGCCGGCCGTTCCGGCGGATCAATTGTAACTCGATCAGATTTATCATGCCAATAGTTTCAACAGTCATTGTGTAATGTGTTTGGGAATCTGTGCAAAACACTCAGTGTGTTTGTTTTGCAGATACAATGCAAGAACCAGTCTGAATTCTTTAGTTCTATGAATTGCAAGATATCTCTCTACCACGCCAGTCCCATAGTAATCAAATGGTCGTAGCTATTGTCTGGTCATTGTTGCTGTAAGTTTTCCGCGTTGTGCGCAGGTACTGTATGATGAGCCGAGACAAATCTTGGCTACGATCCGATCTCTCCGGCTTGTCTTATGATCTTACGATCCTCTTACCTCTGCATGGAGAAGGTATCTCAGATTCTAGAATCACTGACAATACATACCACGCAGCATGGTACCGGATTAAGGTACAAATCGAGCAATGCGCATGGCCAAGAAAGAGCCGCTTACGGCTGAGGCTGGCAACTTTCAGGGGCGGGGATTCCTTACCCCAATGTACGAGCTATGTACCTTGCGCCTCCACGGCCCGGCCAATCACCCCCTTGCTTGCGGACCCTGACAGCATCGTTTGGTCTTCGCGCGGAAATTTTATATTAACGACGAGGCGGAACGTCAGATACCCAGAGATTTAGTGGTACCCAAATCGGAAATGCTAGATCCATACTTCGCAGTTCGTGTTCCTGTTCGTTCGTACATGATGACGGGTAACGCCCAGATGGGCGGTGGGGTCATTGTCAGCCACGATTAGAGCTTAGGGTCTTACAGCTTGGGTTCTTGGAGTCTTTCCATTTTGGGATTGTGGTATACACCTCTATGGGCTTCACATGATGGTCGACGATGTCTCAAGGCATCGTGAGATGTTAGAATAGAGAAGGGAAAATGTATAAATATGGGGGAATGCAGCTCCGTTAAGAGACCATCATCAATCGATCAAGCTCGTCCATCTCCACACCGTAACTACTTCTACTACAAAACGAACAACTAGTTCTTTAATCGTAACTTCAAATCACCTTCAAAATGAGAATCGCAGCTGCCGCCTTCGCCCTCTGGGTTTCCTCCGTATGCTCCTCTCTTCAATTATAATCGCATCTCCAAACTCGAACACACACTGATGAATGAGTTATAGGTCATCGCCACTCCCCTCGCAGAGAATCTCTACACCCGCGAGGAGGCCCAATCCCTCGGACTCCCCATTGTCGACCTCGAATGGACCGGCCAGGTCGTCGAGGGCGGACCCACCGTCACCCTCACCGGAACGGCTCAGTCCATCTACGAGGAGATCCTGAAGATCAACCCTGACTTCAAGTCCGACGAAGTCGAGGAGCGTGGACTCGAGGCTCGCCAGTCTGATGGTACTGTAAGTAGTCGATACCGCTTACTTTCTCTACCATCCACTGTAGGGCTATGAATAGAAACTAACCATCACCGGCCAACAGATTCAATGCGGCAACGCACCCTACGTGACGAACTACAACAGGCAGTGCGGTGAGGGCATCAGCTACCTCCGCCGTCTGGGCGGCGGCAACGGAATGTGCGGTACACCTGCTGGTGTCTGCACCCGTGTGAGCTGCTCCAACAACTGCGGCATGTATCTCTGCAGCAACGTAAGTCGAACACTGCCCGACAACATACCCTCAGGCAACGATTAACATTTTCTACCATAGTCCGCAAAGAGCGTCAGGTGCAACTCCATCGCCAACGATATCGAGTGGATCTCCAGCAGGTGCGGTCGAACCGTCAACGGCGTCTGGCAGTCTCGCGGCCGCCTTGTCTTCCGCGATGGCCATGCTACTGAGCTTAGGAGGCCTGACAACCTCTGCTGATCGCGTTTCGCTGGACAGCTTAACAGCACAGTGAGATTGAATGATCGATCATATCGAACGTCTCAATGGTGGCTACTTACCAAAGGGATCGTTGTCCAGTCATTACCTACCAATGTACTTAAGTCATGATATATATATAAAACCGTGGAGGACAACAACATCGACAGTCAAAGAGCATAATCAAAATTGTTTAATCCCATCACTGACTATACACAACCACCATGTTCCTCTCGCCCACCCCATAACTACCCACCTAATGAGATACCTACTCCCCCGAAGGTCCCGTAAGCGTCGTCCCAAGCTTCCCAGGCGTTCCAAAGTCAGGGCTGCCATCCGACTTCCAATTGACAATCTGCGCCATCGTGTACCTGTTCCCATCGCAAGCACCGTTGCTGTTGCTAGTTGCGTGGTACACGTTCCAAGTCTGCGAGCCGTCTGGGCTTTGGAAGAATCTATTTGCACCTCGTTAGTCAACCTTACTTTCCTTTCCTTCCCCTCAACCAAAAACACGCTTGATAGTAAACCCAACAAGAAAGGTATAACTTACCCATTGTGTCCCGGCCCATAGTTCCCATTCGCGCTCGTCAACAGCGGCCCCGACTTCTTCCAACTAGCACTCAACGTCGGATCGCCGCTACCATTCCACGTCAACAGCCCCAAACTATACGACGTCGTCCAGCAGAAGCTCGCCGAGTACGCAAGGAACGTCTTCCCGCCATGATACAACGCCGCGGGGCCCTCCATGACGGGATTTCCGACGGTCTCCCATGACGCAGTGGGTGTGGAGAGCACCTTGGTGGCGCCGATTTTGCCGGGCGAGGTCAAAGGCGCGATGCACAGGGATTGCAGGGAGCCGGAGAAGCAGGACCAGACGAAGTAGTTGCCCCAGGAGGAGAAGCGGAGGATCGTGCCGTCGATGCCCCAGGTCGTGGTTAGGGTCGAGAGGTAGCTGAAGGAGTCCCAGGGGGTGGCACCGCCTGTGGGGGGGTGGGTTAGTCGGTGGGTGCGTTTTATGGGAGGGATATGGGGGGTGGACGGGGAGATGTACCCTTCAAGACGTGAGGTCTTTGGCCGTCGAGGTTCGCGCTCGTGCCGGCGGTGTAGTAGATGTACCATGATCCGTCGAGGTAGTGCAGTTCGGGCTATGGATATGTTACTCCAGACTTCCTTTTTACTTCCATTCAATGGCTAAGGAAATTGGGGAGCGTACGGCCCACACGTTACAACACCTCGCCGCGTTGGTATCCGTCCAAACCGTCTTCTTCTCCCCCGTCTTCAGGCCCTCCAATGTCTTCGCACGGGTGATCTGGAGGTTCGACCACGTCGTTGTCATGAGGTAGTAGTATCCGCCCGACCATGCGATGTGCGGGTCAGAGCCATCTTTCTGCTTCAAAGGGTTGGAGAAGCTGGCGGCGGATGCGAAGGAGCTTAGAGCCAGGAGGGAGGTTGCTAGGGTTTTGAGGAACAGCATTGTAGTAGATGTCGCGAAGGGCGACTCGACACGGTGAATGCAGTCGTGAATTGTATCCTTTTGATTGCGGTATGAATGCTCTATTTATGCTACTTATAATTTCCTTGCCCTCACGAATTTAGAAAACAACAGCGAACGACCATTCCGTTCAAGAATTCCAATCCACGAATCAAGGCCATTCAATCCCGAAATGTAGTCACTGTCGGTGCCGAAGAATATATTAAAAGCTCCGGGCCACGATCTACGAATGAAGGTATGTTTCATCTGGATTGAGATGGCGTGGTCGTGTGATTGGTGGAACGCATTGTCGGTGCAAGGGTTGTAATGCGCGAGAGAGAATTATCCGCCCCGGATTTTCCTGGTGCGATTTTAGGAGGACTTTTAATGCGGGGAGGTGGCTCAATATGTTTAGGGCTCCGACTTGAAATAGTTTTAAGCATGCTGTGTTGTAGCATGGCGTTTGGCATCACGAGGACAAATCTGCAGATGTGAAGACAATGTTTCGTTTAACACGGTATTGTGGTGTAGCAGGATAGACGAGGCTATTCGGGGATCACGTGTATGGGGATGGGCACTAAGCAGGACATAGATAGATCGATCAGGGCTGCCGAGAGAGATTGAGGCATCATCCACCTACCTCCCGAGGCCTATCGACAGAAATATCTACTTATTCTACCTATCCACCGATTGCGGGTCGTGCCTGTGATGAGCCCTACTTGTACTACAGAGGCGTCTATACGCGACAGTATGAACAAAGAATATCAGTCGCGGCGATGTAATTCAAAATACGTATCGTCATCACAAACTGTAGAGTGTAACATACGGAATGGCGATATTATTATTGGTACTTGGATATCTGAGAGAGAAGTCGATAGACACGACGTGGGTATTCCAATGAAAAGAAACAAACAGACAACAGACCGGAACACCTCGCTCACTCGAAATACAATCTGGTTTCCTAACCCAAAACGACGCACGACGAGGTAGGAAATTGTCCAATCATAGCATGAGGCTCAAGTTGGTGTTCGGTAAGTTTTCAGACAAAGAAAATTTAGACACCCTGCATGCGCATCTCTGGGTCGGCAGATGTATCTCCACGGGGCGTGCGTCGGATGTGGAGAACGGCGAAAACAGTGGTAGCGACGAAGGTGAGCCTGAAATTGATGTTAGCTTTCTTATTCTATTCGACGGATGGGGGTTGAAACATACCAGATGAAGGCACCGAAAACGATAGCGGCGGTTCCGGCACCGCAAGGGCCGCCGTTGCTTCCGCAGTGGATATCACCCCACAAAGCAGCGACAGCCACCCAAGCAGCGAACCAGAAGATCATGGTCAGGGCTTCGAGGCCGGCAATGACATACTTATGGGCGAACTGCGGGAAGCGAGATGGTGTGATGACTAGGAAGGCCACAGCGAGGAGCGTCCAAACAGCAGTGAAGAGCATGAAGTTCACGCTGTGAGGAGACCAGGAGCCCCAGGGGCTGGTATAAGCGTCCACAACTAGCGCAGAGTAAGTATGTTTATATTTACTATTTCGTGTTTTCTACAGATGAGGTGCAACTTACCATAGGCGGCGAGACCGAGGACGATGATGGAGAAGACAGCCTGCACGGCACGGAGGGGAAGAATGTAGGCGAAAGTCATTTTTGTTTCGTAAATACAATTATTCCTAAAGTGTAGGGAAATATAAGGAAGGCCGTTGATGCAGGGTCTTTTGTATAGAGGAGAAGGGAAAAAACTTCTTAGGCGTAGTCGAGGATGAGGAGATGACTGCGAGACCCCGCCCGGACAGATGCAGGAGTTATATACTGAAGGGCTTTCGTCATACGCTGTAAGGCTGAAGGCAGGTCACGACACGACAAACGAATAATGGATGATGAAAGAAGGACACAAAAGGTGGGTTGTTGTCATGGGTTGTCATGATGGCTTGGACGGACTGGGCGATGATGATGATCGTGAAATGCTACGTCATCCGACAAGGGTTAGGACGTGGTAAGCGGCTTGTCTCAGCCAATCAGAATCCTTTCACTTCCACCCTTTGTTAACTTTAATCCAGTCACTCACCACTTGATCTCTTCTTGTCCTTGTCATAATTCTTCACTGCATTAACATATGCACCCCTCTTCATTACCATCTTTTCAAAGCTTCCAGACATTAGTGCTCTGTATTATCGATCTCCATGTACTATGTATTCTCTCGAGTTCAAAGTTTGACATGGGCGGTGATATCATACTAGTAACACCTTTTTCCATGCTGCGCCCTACGCTGACGCACACGGCCAAGTTCAAGGAAAAGACGGCAAGCCACCACAGAGCCGCACGGAACCTGCTTCCGTAGACGCTCAGAAATCAGAACATACTCGTGTACATGAAAGACAGACTTGTGCCGACAATGCGACGAGCCGCCAACTCTTGCGCACTGTGCACTTGTTCTGCTCCTGATGGGTCTGCTTCCCGTGGCCGTCATCTGTGCATCCCGATCGTTCATCTTTACGAGATCATCTAGGGACCCAAAGGTTCTCTAATACCTGGTATACAGTCCAGTACAGGCTTGCATTATTTCGTGAAGGTCTTTTTGTTTTCAAATCGACCCCTGCGACAATCATCTCGTTGTCGTAATATGCATGCGCGGTCTTCGTATGCGGAAACATTACTGTGCAAACCTGCGCTTAATCAAACGAACCTTCTGTGGCGCAGACGGGAACTAGTACCATCCTGCTGCGGTGCATGCGAAGTTTAAATCCTACCATTTGCCAAGGTATCCAACTGACATCGAACGTTTCTAATCTTTGCAGCGTTGAACCGTACAGCGATGAAATGAGCTCGTTTGTCTATCTTGCCTTCTCTTATGCGGCCGTAGAGTAATCATTCCGTACGATATATTGTGTCGATGAAACAAACAGAACATCGCTTTCTCCGCCTGTTGGCGCGAACGTTGCTCACTGTTCGACTAAGCCAATATTGCTAATTCATGAGATACAATGGCTGAGTTGAAAATCAACTCTTGACATGCCAAATTGATTGCGATGTACTAGTACTCGTAAAACGGTAAATCACAGATTGTATTCCCGGATGGCCTAATTGTTTAGTAAGCATTCTCTCACCTGCTTCGCCCATAACCCACCCTGCACCATTCCAGTGAAGACAATGTACACATTGCTCGAGATGACCACGTGCTGCCTTCCTTTACTTCAATTCTCAAGGCGCCTAAGGTGAAGTCACTTTAAGAATCATAAGCATTGACATCTGCTGACTTAGAGCCTTAGTAGTGTTGAGGGTTCTAGACTTCAGCATCTTTGTCTTCAATTCGTACAGCTGCATCTAATTTACCTGCATTGTTAAGTGTCAATTGTGTAGGCCGGTGGGAACCTCTACCCACGAGCTGGCCCCACAACCTGTTACTATGTCTCGTACTTCCATGCAGCTTTCTTAAATAGGTAGCTATTCACAAATTGCTTCTCGCCAGGGGTATGTAAGCTATCTCTGGTTTTGATCTTACAGCAGATGCTTTTGGATGTAGCGAGTAGCAAGACGACATTTCAGTAACTTCGCGGGCGGGAGACCCGATCTGGTAATCTACCATTTATCATGCATCAATCTGCCATCATCACTTGCACCGAGGTCTAGCAAATCTATACTACATGTATCAGTCTCCTGCACCAACATTGCAGGGCGTAGGCCCTTTAACTTGATCTCGTACTCTACCAAAGAATTCAAATCGTTCATGCTTAAGCGGCTTCATATAATAAATAGAAAGATAAGTCTACAAACTTAACCTTCGTGGTAGGCAAATCACACGGGGTCGAATATCATCAAAGTTCATCTACTCATGTCTCAAGGCTGACCAATGACAATTTAGCCACCCGTAACCACCCGTTGCAACTGCATGCGAAATCATTTGACATAGAGATATCCAGCCAGTCCAGCAATAAGGTTATAATGATCATGGGCATCATGCCGTGTTCTATTTTGGACCTACCATGTTCCCGGACGCCCTCGATTCGTCACGTCACCGCGAGAAAACTTCATTCGGAGATACATTATAAGGTACTCACAGCGCACAGAAACTTGAGAGACATTGCAAGTCAACTTCGTCTTTGTTGGATGTTTCCACCACGACACTGTCGCGGTCACAATGCAGTTCACTCAATTCCTTTTAGTCGCATTCTGCTTGTATGGTCAAGGTACGCTTTATTGAGGACAATAAGACCATACCGTATAGTACTGTACCTTCACCGCTGACTTGTATCAAGTTTTCTCTCAATTCGTAGCAAGCAAGTTCTACGACACATCCAGCGGAATAACCTATGCCTCCATCACCATCACCGGCGTCGCATACCGTGTTGCCCTTCCACCGCTCAATTCACCAAATCCCGATGCGATCATACAGATTGTCTCACCGACCAAGAATGGCTGGTGTGGATTTTCCTGGGGCGGTCGGATGCTGAGATCCCCATTATCAATCGCATGGGCTACCAAACAGACATCTGGTCAGCAAGCCATTATCGGCAATTGGATGGCAACGTAATGCGCCCCATTCTATTTCTAAGCTACGGAGAATTGTATTGTCTGTTAACATAATCCCAGAGCATATGCTCGGCCGTCGCCATACTCCGGCGCTTCACACACCCCCATAGCGATTTCGCCGTCTAAGACAAATGGTACGCATTGGACGGCAACAGCGCGATGCATAGGCTGCACGAAGTGGGATACCACCGATCTTACTACAAAGAGTGGCGAGACGCGGTTTGCATATGCGTGCTCGACTACGGCTCCAACTAATCCATCGAGCAATACATCAAGCTTCAGCGTTCATGATTCTCCCGGGTCATGGTTGCACGATTTGAATATTGCGCGCAACTCGAGCTTCTCGAATTGGATTGCTTAGGTCCTAGAGGTGGAGAATTGTGGTGGGAAGTGCGCATCGCAACGGGCCCCTGAGATTTGGTCGTGCGTGCCCGAAGATGACAAGCTCGGCCGGAAGACACGACGATCATTGTAGAGCCTGCGGAGAACTTTTATATACCATAAAATGCATGCTTGCTGTATTGTCGGGTCTCTAGGAATTATTATCGGTTATCGTGCAAGTCTTAATAATGCTATCAGGCCCTTGTCTCTGTGGGTATGAACGGTCTAGAATCCTTGAAATTTGCCCATGGTTTGGGGGCCGAAAACGAAATCGTACTGATGCGATGCTTCCATTCGCCATCCTCACCATTCAGCCTCGCCAAGTAATGCATGGGTCGAAGGAACTTACTTCAATGCGGCAAGACTGATACAGTAGTTAGTATTGCTTGTAGGGCCTAAATATGCATTACAAAACCAGCGGTTGCCTACTACAACGCCTCCCGCCTCCCGTCAAAACGTCAAAACGTCTCCGCATTGCACTCATGACAGCCTTATCGTCCTGTCTCCTCTCGTTCGTTCGAGATGTTTTCGCATTTTCTCTTGTCCATATTGATATTTTCCGTCTCCGTCGTTTCAGGACCTTTATTATATGAGAACGATAATATTCTTGGTGCAAACTGGACCAACGGAAGCTTAGATCAGGAGGAAGGCTACGGTGTCCATCCATGGAAAGAATGGAGTCCAGCGGGGAACGCATCGCAGCCCGTGAATCTAACGATACTACCGGACAATATAGCAGCGCTGATTTTTCCTGTACCGTTGAACGACACTGGACCTCAGAATATTGCTGCAAGATTCGCGCTAGCAAGAACGATTTTATCAAACGAGTACAATAGCGGAGGAATAGGATGCATGTACCCATTGAGCGGATCTTACGATTTCTTGACCAGAGTACTCTTCTATCTGTTAATGTTCTTTGCACTGCTATATCGTCGTCATTCGTGGGTTGCCGTGGCTGCCCTCGGCACGGCAATGACCTATTCTGCGACAACAGCGGTGCATGCTTTGGCGCTCCTCACCCAGTTCGGGTGGCACAATGGGCGCCCCAATCCAGAATCATCGAAGGACTATGGAGATACAGATATTTTGGGCACATATCCGATTTTGCTCACGGCGCTGGTCATGGTCACGCCGATTCTTAACTGGTCCGCTAACGTCCGTCGTGACAAGGCGCAAATCATATTGATACTATGGGGCATGCTTTCATTTGCAGCACTGGTTCCCGTCATGGTATACATCTCTCAGACCGCGGGAGGGACTGACTTTCGTTCATGGAGTCTGAATGGCATGGGAGCACTCATGCTTTGTCCTCGATCAGTAGCAGAAGATAATCTCGACTGCGCGCTTACTTCGTACCCTACGCGCAAGCAGTACGAACAGTGCGAATGCATTGATTTCTGTGCGCTCTTGGGACCTACCGCACCCATGAGACACGGTGCCTCCATGGTTCCTATGTTCACGCATCCGTTCATCATCGACTTGTCCAACAACACCGTCTTCATGTTCGTCAATTACTGGAGCCAAGCCCTCGCTGCCATGATTGTTTGCTTTGGAGGTATCCAACTGATCCTTAACTTCTTCAACCTCCGAGAGATGCGCGATCTATTCCTCCGCATGTTCTACAAGCCGGGACTCACGACTCTTATGCGAATAGGTCGGGCGAAAAGCACAAGTGCGATTCTTGTCAACCACGACGTTGATAGCTTTCGCTCGGCTCGAGCAAGTCCTTGGTTCATGGTTGTCAAGACCATTGCGGCACTCTATTATCTGCTCGGAGTTTTCATCGGCTTCATTTCCCCCCTAATCCTTCTGGTGATCATAGGAGTCGTTGAGACTGGCATATTCCTAGCCCCCGAAAGCGAGGAGAATGACGCCGTAGGGGCATGGAGTCCCTGGGTCGGAGCCGCAATCATAATCCTAGTAGCCATCGTCCTACATTTCCAAGATCACTGGCAGCATCTACTACGTGTCTTTGGCTACTGGTTCCTACGAATAGCCGGATTTGGCGGACTCGTCGAGAAACTGGAGGAACAACGACCCGAGCCTCCCAGCAAGAATGTGGGCGTCCTCACTCGGATCCGCAATTTCTTCACGCATTTATTCAAATGCAGCGTGTACGGAGCATTCTGCACCGTCCGGTCGACCCTCAAGGAATACAACTCCTGGCTTCGTGCACCTCCACCACATCCGCAGCTGTGCGGCTGCGACAGATGCATCGAGTACAGGAACCTCATCCGCAAGACTCGAGAGCTAGATGACCACGCGAACACATGCCCATGCGACAAGTGCTACGCATTCCGGGACCAAGTCGACAACCTCACCAAAGACCACGATTCCATAGACGGGGGGAATATAAGAAAAGTGAAGAAATGCGGCTGTGAAATGTGTTCATTGCAGCGAGAGCAGGCACACTGGAAGCGGCGTATTGTCGATCAGCGCCCGTGCGAGCACTGCGAGCCGGAATACGAAGCCATCTCCAATCCTGCGGGAAAGCCTGCAGATGATGTGAAGTACGAGAGTAGGGGGTATCAGACTTTGGGTATCCGCCTTTGGCGGCGGTTCGATAGGGTTATGATTAATCTGCTTGAGGAAGCGGATAACCAGCGCCGACAACGTCCTAGCCAGACGTCTATTAAGCCGTCGCCAACGGTTGGAACTGAAATGATAACGATGCCAGCGAGTCCGAAGTCTGCGGCATCTGTCAGTCCACCCGTGTCTCCTAGGAGCTCTATTGCGTCTGTTCGTAGCCAGCCAAGTAACCCACCCGCCCCTGCTGCAAGTAGTAGCACAAGTCGGATTAATCAGACGACACCCTGAACAGCGATAAGCAATTCCTTTTTTTTCTTAGTTGGCTTCGGGGTTAAGGGGTGGCAGGGCAATTCCTTTTCAGGCACAGCATTTCTTAATACCCCAAAGATTAGCATTTTCCCGATCAAAATGCAACATATTCTCGCATATAGATACACGATCAACAAGTAGATGCAAATACAAACTAGCATGCAAAGTCTGAAAAATGTACAAACCTCGATTTTCTTCAAGTCTATCTTCTGAAGATGACCATTCTTTTCATTAGTAATACTCTCCTCAAACATTTGTTTCTAAAATAAGATGAACTGGATTGGTCAGTCTAGATATGTCTTGAACATAAGAAATGCCGATGGATTCATATTCCCTCTTCCTAAAGTGCCACCAGTAGTATGCTAAAATTCCCATGATTGTTAGTTTCATCCATTTGTCCAGGGAATTTAGAACTTCTTCTAAGTACCCTCATTCTCAACAACGTCTCCCTCGAATTTAGTAAAACCCACCTCCTTACCATCAATAACCAAAGGCCGTCTGAAACAGCAACCCTCCGCCCACCGACTCCACTCCGCTTCCGTCATGTTCTCCGGCGAAGCACGATTATCTGCTTCGCCCCAGCCAGTCAGTACATCGCCTTTGTAAACAAACAGAGGTGGAAAAGCGATTCCGAATCCAGGGAGTACAGATCTGAAGGAGAGGGCGTGGATGCGTGCGATAGATAATTCGGACATCTCTCCGACGTTGCTGGAACGACATAGGTTGAGGACAACGGCGATGCGTCCATTTGCGGCTTTGGCGGGTATTGTGATTTTTGGAGGTGGTGGGGAGTCTCTGGATGTTGTGGATTCTGTAGATGATGTGGGTTCCTCGGATAGAGATGAAGAAGATTCTCTACCTTGTGTGGATTCGCCAGACTGTGTGGATTCATCAGATGGTTGTTTCGGCGCCATCAAATGAATCGCATAGCTCTCCACTTTCCTCAAGAAACCGTTGACACCACGATCAGAGAAGGCGATGGCATGGGCAGCGTCGCTGTCAAGCGTTGCGGTCGTCGATGGCGCGGTAGTGGTGCAACCCGCGTCTTGCAACGCCGCTGCCAAATGATCTACCTCATGTGCATGTTGTCAGTTTCAAGGTACCAAGACGGATGAATCGGTCACTTATCTAGTTCATATTCCAGCTCTATGCTTTGTTTTGGGTTTTGTTCTAGGGTTTCTTCTAGATCCTTAGTGATTCGAACCCACATGTCGTAGATCTCGCACAGCATGTTTCGGGTGATTATGAATATTTCATTTTCGTTGACATTTCCCATATTTGGTATGTCTCCTGGCGTCAAAATGAGCTTTGGTACCGATTCCTTCATCTTGTAATCCTGGACCACGTCTTGAAAGATGGGCTCGATGTCGTTATAGAATGCCTTCGATGTTCGCATGATTGCGAGCGGGAGACACTCGCGGACCATGGTGATGATGGGGGCTTTGCGTTGTGTCTTGGAGCGATTGTCCCCATTAGATGCGTGAGATAGTTCTAGATAGTAGATATTGCCATGTTAGACTTGTAGACGGAGAAGTTCTTTATAGATCGTATCTTTGTTTTCATGTCAGTACATTGGGACTCTACGTGGCTGAAACTTGAGGCCAGGAACTTACTCCTCAATTCTGCGGGTAATTGATTAAATCTGCAGCCAGTCTGAGGATTTACGTTCACCCTGAGGGCTGCCCTTGCTGGGGTCTCCGCTGGGGTTGAGGCTGCTTGAGGTGTTGCCATTGACGTTGAATTATACAATCTTTGAAACAAATAATTTTGATTAGGATGAATTTATGAATAGAAGAATTGTCACGAGAAGGATGTTAGTTTATTCTAGACAGAATGATTCTCAGCAACATACAGGAGTGATTATGGTAGAGTTGACATCGATGACTGTAGCGTTCGTGAATGTCAACGTACACTCCAATCAATTCTCTGTAACACAAAATGTCATGAACATGTAGACTCATAGAAAAACGTTAATACAGAGGATCACGATATTGCATCATCATAGCAAGCCAGAGCAGGAATATATGCAGAGATGCAAAGCCTCGCATCGATACTTCGAGGGCTGGTCGAGACATCGCACATGTTTAAATGTGTAGTAATTGTTTCGTGACTAGTATTGCGAGTTCTTGAGGGATGATTTATCTATAGGGAATTGAGTTTTGGGGAAAATGGTACTTCAATCTTCCTTCAGACGTTGGTGAAGTTATCTCACATAGTGCATAACGCGACGGAAAAAGGGCATTGGAGCGAATATGACACTACAAACATCTGACTCGCAACATTTCGAAATGACTGTTGAGGCCAATCCAAGGACATATTATACTCCTGTAACGTAGCACAAGAGTAGGTGTCAGAGCACAATGACACATTCGAACGACTCGTGCAAATCTCGACTTCCTTATCGGGGTGGTCTGGGCGCTGGTAGTCCCAGTCTTGTTTGGATGAGGAAAAAAATAGGAATCAATGGTAGGGTGGGTCATTGCTTCTACACCATTGATGATATTAGTTCGTACATTATTCGCTTTATGTAGCGAAGAGGAAGTACTGATCAACACCAATAATCATAGTCTATTTGCTTGACATCACATCAGACCACTCACCCACATACAGTCTTGACAGCACCTCCAGGGCTTGACGACTCCAAAACACCTCGCTTCCAGGAATGTGACTACTGAGTTTCCCTAAAGCGGTCGTGATCCACTCCTTCTGCTCGTCCGTCGCCCCGTAGAAAGACATGATGAGCGGACCTGCCATGTACATCGACCCCAGAGGCCAGAATCTCAATGAGTACTCGAAAGACATACATATCTGCTGGCGAGCGCGGTCGCAGCGATGAACGATGGCTTCTCCCACGGCCTGTGGGTAATTAGTAGGGAGGAGGCGATTAATGATTGTCTCGAGGACGATGGAGAGGCCCCAGTAGAGAGCGCAGGCGTAAGCGAGGGACTTCTCTTTGTATTCGTACACGACTGGGACTTGCGTGTCTCCGAGGGTGCCAGAAACTTCGAAGATATCTTTGGCAGTGTTGACGGCTTCGTCGATTAGACTGCCAATCTGCTGAAGGGTTCTTCGTAGCGTTTGTGCGCGACTGAGGACGGTCTGGCAGTCGATGGCGGCCTCGAGGGTTCGGAATTGTCGCAGTTCTTTAAGCAGCGTCGGTAGCGCAAGAAGAACGGCTACCATGTCTTCGGATACATGTCCGAAGGTAGTGGAGGGGAGATCGTCGAATGAAAGGTCGGTCCAAGGTTGGTGCTGCAGGAAGCAGTCGTCGCCTCGCACAATAGCATCTGCAACCTACAGATATCAGCGAAAGGGTCTTCGGATCTTACATGACTGGTAGGATCTTACTATGGCGCCTCTCCGATACGCGAGCAAAAGCTTGCCAAATCCTTCCCGGTGACGATCCGCTCCGCGGTATTGGATCAAGCGTGCAGCTCCCCCGGCGTGCATGATGTACCCTGAACCACCCTGGAGATGTGTCAAGCCACCTCCAAGCAATTCGATCTCACCAAGCAATGCCACGGCACAGAGGGTGTTGTCGGAGTAACCTTCCATTGGGTCGTTTATCACTAGGCTTAAACTGTTCACTGCTTTCAGATAGAGCTGCTGCTGCTTGTTTATCGCATCGTAGCCATCGTTGAGGAGAAATAATCGACGATGCACTAGACAGGCTATAGTAGCATCTAAAACAGCGGAATGGCCTAAACGCCGGGGAATTTCTTGAATGAAATTGGCCATGGTTGAAAGCCGCAGTCCAATGCTTGAACCATTGAATGTTTCCACCAGGACAGCTGTTAAGCCTTCGGCGGGTGTTTGCATCGGTTGTGGAGACAGGACAGGGCTAATTTCCCTTGTCGTACTCTCCCGCGGCATGCATTGGGTTACGGTGCGAGGGGAGAGCCCCTTGGGCTTTACAAACTTGACCTTCGATATAGGAGCCTCGCAACATCGCTGCCCCTTTTGGCATGGTCCACAGACCGGTTTGACTTCATCGCACTACCGCCAAGTAAGTTATACAGTAGATAGAATGGAAGAGTGCATTGTGGCTTACTTTGACTTTACGCTTCCTGCAAGTACCGCATCTGTTGCTTTTGATTACTCCCGTCATCGTCTTTCATCGCAGTCCTTGAGCTCGCCGAATTTCTTTTTGATTTTACACATTGAAGTTAACAAGCCACCGACACCATAGAAATCGACCACATAGCTGGAATATAAGGAAACGGTGATGGAAGCCATATCGGTGCTGCCGAGAGAATCTTGTTGATTGTCCAGCTTCTCACACTGTGCTGCGGTGAGTTTCTTACCAGGGTCTGCATTCAGCTCTGCAGATCGGCCGACCATACTCGCAACATTCGCAACGAATCGGGAAACTCTTGGCAACTGGCATCCTTGCACACCTGTTGAGTTCTCCTGCAATGAGGCTGAAAGCGATAGCTACACAAATGATTGTGCAGAGGGTCGGTGTGGCTTGTTCATAGATATAATATGGAATCACCAGAGCGATGCTCTATGGATGTCTGAGGCAAGCGGTCTATCAACTTCGCACGTAGGAAACATAAAGCAACTTCGAATTAGACGCCTCTTCGTAAACCTATTGCCAAGAACAAAAATGTTATCCGGTTTCTATCTAATGCGCTCCCAAAGATTGGGACGGTGTAATTTGTAATAAGAGACTAGACGAATAGCATGATCAGAATGCACCCGTTCGATCCCGTAGCATACCTAAATAACAAATTACTTGACATTCACAACGAGCCAGAACGCGAGAAATGTTAGGTGGCAGAGCTGTGCATGGCTGACTGTGGCAATCAATGAGTGAATGATCTGGACAGGTCTCATTCGATTTGCGATTCATGACCATCCGAGCTTACAACTTATCTCCATTGATTCTCATTCCTCGGCCGAGAAGTCAGTCATTGCCTGAATAGCTGTGATAGCCATTCTTGTGTATGGAACCCGAGCTGAACGGCGATGAACATACATACAGCCCAATCATACAGCGGAATGATAAATGGGAAACTAACCCCTTTTGTGTTAGTCAGGAACCCGGCATCGGGGGTCCAGAGAACATGTTACAAGATGCATGGGCAAATGATGGAAATTATACATGATTTGAAAGGACCTATCTGGTGATCTAAATAATCAAATACATTGAAAATGCCACGTAGAGATCATGATACTGAAGAGAAAAACAATCAATTGTTCATGTTGCCTACAGATAAAACCGTCAGAAAGAAAGGCAAGTCATCAATCGACCTACCAATAAGGTTTCCCGAAAATAACTGCCAAGCTTTAGATGCCAAGATTGTGACCCGGTCCAATGGGAGAAGGGAAATGAAAGGGACGGGTTTCCTTCCTTTGTTGTTAATTTTACCATCTTCATCAATTCTTCTGGAAGAAACAAACTCCCATACATCTACCTTTGGGCCTGCCGACACCCGCAAACACCTGTTACGGACTCTCGTCTCGTATTGTGTGCGAAACCGCCGCGTGTCCCTTGCCGCTGCAATGGTGTCCCTTTCCCGTAGCGGGCCTTGTCCACGCAAGGGCCCGCTGGGCTTAGCTCGCTCGTTCTAGGTCTCTCGTTTCCTGGCCCAGGTATCACTTAGTACACAGTCTGAGGAGATGATAACACACATCATCAGCATCATTCGACACCACCGCACTATTACTACCGCTCCTACCCCACCAGTCTCTGCGCATCCTCTCCACAGGCACCGCTAGACCGACTGACCTAACGATACCCTCCTCCGCTAGTCCATCGAGGACATTCACACCACAAAGCCCACATGTCCCGACCCTCTCGCTAAGGACGATGCATTCCGCACGATCGGGTCGTCTCCGCCTGGCTACCAAGCTTGCCGCTCTCGCTGCCGCTATATATGGTTTTATATGGGTCAGCGGGTTTCCGCGATACTACGATGAAGACGAATTGCCTCCCACCCAGCAGCGAGGCGACGACCCTGTCCAGACGACCCCATTCCCCGTCGAGTTCGATCATGTCGTCGTGTCTCTGAAGACGAGCGCTACCAATGCCTACAAGGAGGTTCCGCCGCTGCTCGTACTTACCAAGCAGATGTACTACGACTCCCTGCTGCTGATGAGCGACCTGCGCATGGACATTGGTGCCTTCCACATCGAGGATGTGCTGGATAGATACAAGAAGGATTTCGTAGATAATACACCGGAGCTGGAGAGATACAAACACCTGGACTACTGCAACCGCGCAAAGATTCCGTTCGACACTATCAAAGATGGAGACCCTCAGAAGGAGAAGGAGATACAAGAAGGCATGGATAGATACATGATTTTGCGAATTGTACAGCGAGCCTGGGAGCTCCGTCCCGAGCGGTTGTGGTATGTGTTTGGCGATGCGCAGACCTATATTGCACGCGCAAACCTGCAGACATGGTTGGGCCAGTTCGATCACTCCAAACCCTATTTTTTTGCCAATCCGCCGATTGCTGGTTTGCCCGACCCTTTCGCTGTGGGAGGCCATACCTTCATACTTTCCGCCACCGCCATGAGGGCACTTTTCGTGGAGCAGGAAAAGGTTCTTGACCACTGGAACGACCGGATCTCCAAATCCAGTACAGCATACGATGTTCTCACAGACTTCCTTTCCACCGAGATCAGTTTGGAAGTAAATCAGACATGGCCGGCGATATCTGGTTTCAATCCCTTGACAGCGCCTTATGGAAATGGATTCTGGTGTGAGGTCATTGTCGCCATGGATAACGTTCCACCAGAATCACTGAGCGAGCTGTGGCGCCTGGACACTGACCATTTCGAGGGTCGACTGGGGAGTGTTCAGGATCCTGTGACATTCGCAGATCTCTGGAGGCGCTTCATGCAAGGAGAGGATTTGGATACCCCTAGGCCGAACTGGGACAATCTCTCCTCTGACCCAGACAATGCACAATTCAATATTCTCAGCGAGACAGTAAATACCCGCTCTCACGCAAAGGAACATATGCTCAATAACCATCATCACCACACACGAGACGAGGAAGATCAATCGGTAGACACCTGGGAGGCATGCCAGGAAGCCTGCAACGCAAACGACCTCTGCGTGCAATGGTCCTATTCCACCGTTCCCACGTCGAACTACAACTCCAATGGCGATACTAGATGTCATCTCAGTCGAAACATGCGTATGGGACGTCACACGCCACCATCGAATACAGTCATCGAGGGCCAGCCCTATGAGACGAGGTGGAAGAGTGGATGGAGGAAGGAGAAATTCGAACAGTTTGCCCAGCATCACCGATGTAAAGGTCAGCAGGACAAGATGTGAAAGCATATAAAAAGAGCGATTGAAAGCATAGTTGTATTATCTAGCCAGAAGTAGTAGTTTAGCATCGTCACGCAGGCCTTGAAATGCCAATTTATTTTCAGTTCTAGACGCACATCTCTACGGTTGTCACTACTCGTACGTTCTCCAGACCAGATAGACCAGGCAGAGCAAGTAAATTAACGCTAGGCTGCGTTTCAGTGACCCTGCACGCTTTGGTGGTATTAGAAGCATTCTGGAAATCCAATTTGGTAGTACGCAGATACTTTAAGCAATCAATGTTTCAGGTTTCATTTTATATGCCTATTGTATGCCGGGTGGCTGGTTGATTGAACAATGGGAAAGTGATTGTTATTCTGAAATGAGGTTAGCGTCTAAGGGCGCTTGGCATCTCCGACTACTGCTGTTATTGTTTGAATAACCAGCCTAATTTTCTATTCCACATTGTTTCCTTCTTCCCTTGCGATCCTAAAGAAAAACCCCCTTTAAAACTGAGCAAGGTACTTCATGTTGCGCTTCAATTCGTCCCAAACTCGAAACCTTTCCATCACACTTGTACGGGGTGTCCTGTTTACTGAGCGACCTCTAGTTCTTTAGCGTACACCCCTGCCACATTGACCACCAGCAACTTCAACATCCTAGATTTCCCTTGTTCCACACGGCGACGATTCTGGCCCATCTATTCCCCTCCTGGAGACTTCCTAACTTTCTGGTCACCATCGCTCATATCCGGATCAACTCTTCTAACCATCTCTGTGGCATAGCTCTACAATTGGTAGGGCTGTCGCAAGATGGTTGCTCCCTTCGCATCGACCACCCTCAACTTCCTCGCCACATATCTCCGCTCACATGACGCTGGCCAACTGTTGGACAACATTCCTCCCTACCAAGACCTAGACTGGAAAGACAACCTCCCCGGCGCCCCAGGCCGTGCGCTCGCCCTCGGAACAAGGCACGATGTCGACATCCTCGTCTGCGTCGTCCAGAACGGCGACAAGCCCGCGGAATCGCGGTACTTCATGAAGCACCCGGACTCGTCGAGCGTTAAGGCCATTACCACGGACGATGTGTGCGACGGCGCGGACCTGACATTTCCGTTTGTCTGTTTGCAGGGCACGAGCAAGAGTGAGAAGCGCAACTTCAGCCTCCTGACCAAGTTCTATTTCTCGCAGGCCGGGATCGTGGATGAGGCTATGGAGGTTGCGCTGAAGGACTTCGCGAAGCGCATGCATCATGTTCTAGAACTTATTAATTTTTACATGCGTGAGCACCGGGTCCCAAAGCCGCGTGCAAGCATACAGTCTCAGACGACTGAAAGTTCGGACGAGGAAGAGCAGTATGAGGGTCAGCAGCGAGAGCAGTTAGAACAGGAGATCGAGAGCGTCCAGTCGAATCAACCAAAACAGAAATCTCCAACCCGGAAACAGAAAGCGAAGTTGAATAATTACGACATACCTCCAATTAATCAGATACTGGAATCCCTGGTTGCGCAGGATGCAGAAGACCTTTTAGATGTAATCCCACCCGTCACTGATATGACGTTCGAGCCTCAAGACGTTGATGAAAGAGCTGCAAGTCATAAACTCTTTTTCGCCACGCATAGCAAGGCCGACCGCTCAATCTACGTTTTTCTTCGTCCAAGTAACGGAAAGTCACACCATGAAGTTGTTTTTAGACAGGAAGGTCGCCGCGGCGTTGCTCCGCAACAGCTCTCAGCAGAAACGGCGATCTCTCAGAACCTCCAGCGACCATTCGACAAGCTACGGACATGGCCCATCGAATCCTCAGTCAAAGCTCGCATCAGCCTGATGATCAAATTCTACTTCGGCTGGCAGGGCCTCATCTCTCAAGACGTCTTGCTGCGCGAGACCGTCGACTTCTCTAGACGTCTCAAGAGCGCTCTAACGCATATCGATGAGAAGATCAAGAGAGAGCAACGCGACCCCTCCTGGACACGACCGGACTATGTCAATCCAGTTGTCATCGCGGACATAGACAACGCCTTCAACGAGCTCGAAGACTCTGACGAAAGCGACGAAGAGTCCGAAATCGAGCTTGGCTTACCATCCCCTCTCGTCCACCCTTCCAAACCTCATCCTCCTCCTTCAACAGCAACAATAACAGCCCGCGCATCCGAACCACCACCAAAACCACAACTCACACGCCACGAAAGCCCCCTCAAACCCCCACCCCAACGACCCATCATCCCCTCCTCCAGCTCCACCGACACCCTCCCCAACAACCACCACCGCAACCACCACCACCACCCCTTCACCCTCCAAAAACACCAGCAACCCTCAACACCCGGCACCCTCACCCGCCACGCCAAACGCAAGCGCCGCTCCACCGAAGCCGAAGACCTCCGCACCTACCTCACACTAGACGAACACTACCAAAACCAGCTCGAGAGCATCGACGACAAGCTCGCGGAGCTGCGCAACGAGGCCGCGTCGCTGAACACGCAGTGGCACGCGATCAAGAAGATGAAGAGAGAGAACTTGGAGGTGTTTAGGGGGCGGAGCGCGAGGTTTGGTAGGGAGGATGATGAGGATGATGATGATGATGGTGGTGGTGGTGGTGGGAGTGGAGACGGGGCGGCTTCTTGAGGAGCGTCTTGAGACTTTTTCTTTTTTTGGGATTTGGAGGGTTGGGAGGGAGGAGGTGCTTTTTTGTGATATACCCCCTTTTCTGTGTCTAGTTCTTCCGACTTTATTGTCTTGTTTGGTTCGCTTTTATATTCGATATACCGCGTAGGGTTTTGGTCGGTGGGCTTGGTGGATTGGTCGGGTGAGCGGTAGAGAGGGAGGTGGGGTGATAAGGGGGATACGTACATAGAGTACAGTTCCTCAATTCTAACGATACAATCAACTGAAATGGCATATGAAGTGAAATGAATTTCAGAGTAATTTGATTATATTCAGTTCCACAACAGCAGGGGCTAGAACAACCATTTAGTGGGTGGCACTTCCTGTGTGTTTTCAGTCGGGTTTTCTTTTGGAAGTGAAGTATATTGAGAAAGAGTGCATGTGAGTGTGATTGCTATAGCTACCGGTCATGTGAAAACAGATGACTACATGGCGGGAGCGGAGGACATGAAGGTCGATAGGGTCAGGAGATGCGCAACATCACGTGCAGACAATGCAAATCTAAAAAGCATGAAGAGCATATTGTGGAATTCCATTGATAGCTAAAGGCTGATCGCAAGGAATGAAGGCTTCGGCCGTCATTCCTGCGGACAAGATACTTAGCTACCTATCTACCTACACTCACTAATTGTGAGCCGTGCTTTTGATGCTGCTCATTCGAAGCGTCCTGGCGTGGCAATAGTTAGTCCAGGAAGAAAAGAAGCGTGCTGAATGCGGCGTGAGAATCCTTTCGTGACAATCGTGGCAGCAGCTGGTGGGCGTAGAAGGCCAAAACCAAGACGTGGCTGTACAAGTGCGACTTCAAGTTGTCTTGGTTCCAGGTTGTTATGACATGTTGATTCGAAGTTGCATCGATTCCAAGTTAAATGGGTTCGAAATTGTGTCAGTGCCAAGTTCTTTCGAGTACGATCGTACACTTTTGTCGGCATATCAAACCTGGGGTTCTCCTTTCGCTTCTTCCATGTCGGTGTCTTCAACGAAAAAGACCGAGGGGTGACCGATAACAGTGTAGACTTCGTCAAGCGCAATGCCATTCATCAGCCCTTTCGCCTCAGTGCATTTCGTAACACTTTCTTCATTTTCCTCATCAATCTTTTTCAGCTCAGTCTTCTTTTCTGCCATAGCAGTCTGGTGTTTCTTTAACTGTCCCTCAAGGGTCTGTAGATCCTTCTCCATATTCTCATACTCCAAACGACCACGTTTGATGGTTGTGTTAAGGCGCTTTTGGTTGTTGTACTCCAAAACAACAACTTCTTGACTTGCCCTGTACGCGCTCGTTGCGGGGTTGGTAAACAGTGACGCGTTCTTAGAATCCTGTTCAATGGTGGGGGTTGATGCTGCATGACCAAATGTCGGTGCGGGAGGTGCATATTGTCTAGCTACGGGTGCATTGCTCTTTGGTTCCATCTTATGAAGATAATTTGCAATAGCGCTAATACTTGTATTAAAGTTGTTGCTGAACAAATAGTCGCGTCTGAGTCTCCAGTTTTCGGTTTCAGTACCTTCGGTGTAACCGCCACTAATAAAAAGTGCCTTCAAGTAGACTGAAATGGATATGGTTGCTTTGATGCTGCGTCCGTAATGGTGAGCAATCAACTTCAGAGGTCCTATGAAATCGTCTCGACTTATATCTGACCAAAGGTGTTGCTTCCAGCTCCGTGATGGGGCGTCACAACGGCTCTTTGCCGTTATCTGTATACTGCTGCCATAGGGCACCGCGAAAGCCCAGATAGCTTCTCCATCGCAAACAGCGGCCTTGAATATTGGGCTGAGTGAATCTCGGACCCTTTCGGTTCGGCCTTGAACTTGAATCTCAAGATCACCTTGCATAGGTAATTCGTCAATTCCAATAGCCCGGCGCAAGGTCTTTCGCAGCTCCAGAGCATGTAGTCCGCTGTGTTTGGACTTCATAATGGCCTGCAGTGTCTCGTGATTCAGAGAAAGTTGTGTGGAGATTGAGAGAGAAAGAGTGTTCTTGTGGAATGGAGGTGCTTTGGGAATAGCAGGTCTTGACAGGAAAAAGCGCAAACCTGTCACTGTTTTCTGCTACTTGCGGTAGGGAAAAACGTGAGTCTGGAGCCAGTGCTGTGATACAGTGAAGTAGCCCCAGCTGCAAGTGTTGCTATAGACGCATTAGCCCAGTTGAACTGCCGAAAAGGAAGTCTAATAACCATACCAGCTTAAGGTAGACTTTAAGGCAGGAAAGATTAACAAGGATGTGCTTTTAGATGAGAGGTAGAGTCTTGCGGCAGTATTGCTGGGCGCGGGCAGGATCTCGACGATGCTAGTGAGTAGGCTTGATTAAGCTAGTTGAGAGAAGCAGATGGAGAAGAGAAAGTAGGTGGAGTGGAGAGAAGTAGGTAGAGAAAAGAGCGGTAGGTAAAGTGGAGGTTGAATAGAGAGGTGGAAGTAGGTGTAGAGCGGAGGAGTAGTCAAAGATGGGTGAAATTAAGATGGTGAACGATCTCGGTGAGAGCGAGGAGAGAGCGGTGAACGGGCTGTAAGTGAATCCCGACAGGTATATCCTAATCTTATACAGCGTCTCAGATTCTGCAGTCATTGGAAGATTTATTATTACGAATTGCTAACACAAAGGTATTCATCTCAAAGCATCACTCAAAGGTACTTCTAGTGTGTTGTTTTTGATATTAATTCCCTAATAGCCAGAGGTGCTGCCTATTCGCCTGCTACATGTGCAAGAAAGCTCTCTAGAACATTCTTGATCACAGTCCGCCATTAGTTCCATCTACCCGCTGCATTATCATCCCATAAACATCGTACAGTCTTCCAGAATTCTCAAGTACCCCCCAAGTCCTTCATTCTCTGCGGACGGCAAATTTCTCCAGCATCTCATGAGAAGCAGCTTGAGAGTCGTATGTCTGTATCAGACCCCGTCCCCCAAGCTCATAGTAGCGGATCCTCTCATGGAAGATATTTGCCAATCTCGATGAACTCCTTCATCGTCATTTCCTCCATGAGCATTGTCAGTCTACTAAGAGTGTCTACGTTTGCATCCTCCGCCTTCTTCACATTGGCCTCGTACTTTGTGATCCATTTTCGTTCGTCATCGATGCGAATCTTCAGAGCTTGCAAGCTCTTCTCAAGGTCCTGGAGATTGCGATTCGAGCTTAACACGGCAGCGGTGGCCTCCCTGACGCGGGCGCTCTGATTGAGATCCTGTGCGTGGAGTTTGAGCCAGGCACTGACCCGATCACCTTGGGCTGCTGGGGAGGACGATTGGTTGTTATTGTCATTGGCGATTTCCAAGGGGGAGGATTCGACCACCATGTCCGACTCCAACATGTCCACCTGCTTGGTGCTGGAACCTTCGAAAGCCTGTGTATTCGTTTGCTCGGGCGGACTTCCCCTCTTTCCTTCGCCTCTAGTAGGCTCTCCCCGTACTTCGATCTTCGGCATGTCTTCTTGACTATTTGGGCCAGTGTCGTGATCCTCTTCGAGGATGGCCTTTACTGCTTGAGCGAGTGCAGCTGCGCTAACGTCTGACATGAAGTTTCCAGGGAATCCTTTACTGTTCCTGAGAGCTACGCAAGCTTCGAGGAAAGCAAACATTGCTTCGGCGGACCGGGTCCTCTTCCAGATGATGTCAAAGGGACTGGACAAGTGGATGAGCCCGAATGCAATTGGAGGTTTCAGGAAATAAGCAAGGGGCGGATTGATCGTGACACTGGTGACGAGGGTTCGGGGGTGGCGATGGCCATAGCAATAGTAATCCCTCTGGTAGTCACATCCCAGGTGCAATTTATCCTTGTGGGAGCCTTCAAGGGGACAGAATTGGATTTTGTCGAAATGAGGAAGTGTCTCCAAGCCGAAATCGGTCTGCAGGATATCTTTGATATCTCGTCCATGAGGTATTGTGATGGGAGTCATTCGATCGTTCCACGTCTGTGCCTGTAGGATGAAGCAATGGAGGAAAGGCGTGCAGCGCTTTTCGAAATGCCGGTTGTCTTTTGAATTGAGGCTGCAGTGTGGAGTACGGTTGCAGTGTAGAATGAGCTTGCGAGGTGCGAATATAATGAACTCATATAGTGCAATGAGATTGTAAGGTGAAAGTTGCGCTGTGAAGTGAATTCAGAACAACAAGCACCTTACTCAACAGCTTATCATCACATCGCACTGCACAATCACCCCCGCACGGCCACTTCAACTTCATGAAGCAGGAACTCTACGTTCACTCGAAAGGATCCAGTGATTGCATTGACACAAGGTTTGCTCCAGACAGACAACAAAGAAACATCTTCCTAGAGTGCTGTCTCACAATGCCAGAGCTAACCATTCACACTGCTTCAAACCATCCCATTACATGCATTAGCAATGCCTTTGATTCACTTGAACCCCCCCTAGATGAATGACAATGTATTATACCAAGCTCCCCGTGCAGACATTCCAATCACATGGCATCGCACATCACTGCACCCATGACCCTACATCCCCTCACACATCCCCATACCGAGAACCAAAAATCAAGCCCTCACCTCCCACCCTCCATCACCCCCCGTAAGACATTGCTCTCTTCCTGCATACTCACTAACCAACACCACATCCCCCAACCCCTCGAATTCAACTCCGACTCCTCTTCTCAGTCCCCAACACCCTTCCCCAACCCCATAATCCTACTCACACCAAGCTAGATGCAATCCATTGCCTAGCGAGTACGTATACCTCGCTACCGTGGGAAGCGTCAGAGATGAGATTGGAAAGCGTGGTATTGCATTTCATGTTGTTCGAACGAGAGTACTAGATGTAGTAAAAGAGGGGGGAGTAAGTACCGATCCTCACTACCACAAAGATACGATTCTGACCGGCACGGAATGACGCTGGGAAGTGTACCTCATATCTACTCCCTCATCTCTATTCCCTTCGTCGACATGTCACTGACACACTAACTACATCACACACAACCTCACTCACAAGCAAATCCATAGAACATAAAGATCCCAAGCATCCCATTCATCCTGAGACTAGATCAACCATATACATCCTCAAAAAACAAACACAAAACAAAAAGAAAAAGCCGACTAAGTAAGGGTATAAGTTCCCCAACTCCCCCCATCCACCCATCAATCTCAACCCATCAATCTCAACCCATCAATCTCAACCCATCAATCTCAACCCATCAATCTCAACCCATCAA